CAATGTGTTGGCGAACCATTCTCAAATACGTCCCGGTCGTCAGACTTTTTTCAGTGACGAAAAGAGTTAATATAGCGTATGCATTGCTATGGTCTCATGATAAGTCTCCAATCACTGCACAGCGAAGCCTGAACAGTCCAACATCAACTGCATGCCGGAGCTCCTTCACGAGCTCGAACGGAGCAGGGCATTCCGATGCGCTCTGCTCAAATCTAAATCCGTACTTCTGCGCAGTGATACTTCACACATCGGAATGAGTCCGGCTTGCCTCGATCTTACTAGCTCGAACATCTCTGGCATCCATGGATAGGAGAAGAGGTCTTTTTCGGTTGGACAAGTCATTTGTGATGAGTCAGCCTCAGATATGCAAGCATGATATTTGACGTCAAAAAATCTTTCAACACTATTCGGCCATCATCGGCAAACATGCAAATATCTCACGTCGTAGGCCAAATTCGCATGCGTCTCTCCCGGGTCTAAAAATGTGATTGAGTGGTAACAGGCGGGATTCCCAAATGGTCACCCACTTTAACGCTACCTACAGCTGAGCGAACGGGAAGTCCTCTCTGTTCAAATTAGAGACGTCCGAAAGAAGGCTGACACGTTCTCCTACATATCTGTCCCAATCAACACTGGCAGTCCGCGAAGAGCAGTCGAAACTCGACTGACACCCTTCTCAATTGACCGATAATGCCAGGATCTTGAACTCCGTCAGAGGCTGCGCGTGGAGACAAGATAAAGGAGCTACAAAGGTCTAGCGACCCTGAGAAATGCTCCTTCATGGCGACAAAGTCGAAGCCGAGAGTCTCATGTTTGAAAGTGACCCGTGCTCGCAGCACATCATTCAATGAAGCTGCGCTCAGCGGCCAGTTTCGCATCATTTTCGACATCGGATCCCTCGATCTTTCAGAAACTTGGAGCGTGCTAAAGTGGGCCTCCTCATATGTCAAACCGGCATGACATTCAAGCGTCGATGATGGTATTCCATTTCGAGCTGTATTCGGCGTCCTCGTTTCGTTCATTTGACCGTGATACCTTCCATTGGCACTGCCTCGAATCTTCCTTGCTCGAATGTCGCCTGCATGATTCTGCAAGTGTTTGGTTGGGGGCCGGGGGAAGGGATTGGCGCGCCTTCACTGGAAGTATTGACCCAGCTCGACTGGTCGAGAAGTACAGCAGCAGGTACTATATTACGAGCAGAGAACTCCAGGAAGGTATTGTGTGGGCAATGCTACATCTCAGCGCTGCAAGATTGACAGGCCGGATCCAGGAATGTCGTTCCCGCCTAACTAATACTCACATAAACATGCCCGGGTGTCGACATCTTTTGGTTTTCCTCTCTCAGGCTTCATGCCCCTCTGCCAAACCTGCCCTTGTATCACCGACCAAACTTCGTCCATCTCTAGTTGATGCATCTATAGGCCCTGTGTTATTCGCTGACCTTCCGCTTTATTTCTCAATGCCTGGTTGCGGCATGTGCGGAACCATACCTATTCAACGGATTCTAATGCTCCCTTCAGGGCCCCCTCTCTCCTAACCCAGTTCATGCAAAAACATAGCAAGCACTCCAATACAACAGCAATGACCCTGTACCTCTTCATTTCCATACTCCTCATTGCGAAACGCACAGTTCTTTCCGCACTAAGACAAGTCAACCCCATTCCTCAAACGGATCGCTCCCCACTACCCACAATATGGTCGCATTCACCAATGTCGATATCAGATCCAAACATGACTATCTCCATTCATATTGCTTTGAAGCAGCAAAATCTTTCCGAGGCGGCAGCATTTTTTAAGGAAGTGTCAGATCCTGGATCACCGCGCATTAGACAATATTGAGCCTCCCAGGATATTCTCGAAGGCTTTGATCCAGCCACGGAGATGGTCCTCGCAATGGAATTTGGTTTTGAAGGAAAGACGGAGAAAAAGAGCGTTTAGTGCTATCCTACCACTTCTGATCCTTCCCTTCGTGCCTGCTTCTCATCCGAGTTAATCTCTGGGTTAGATTCTGAGCTTTGAAAAACAGGATTTATCTCACGTTTCGCTTCGAAAAATCTACGACTTGGCGAGATGTTGGAAGAAGATGGCAATTGTGAGCTTCTTACCACTTTCTCGATCCTGGATGGGAACGGCAAGAACTGCTGCGACATCGAAAACAGCTAACAAATGACGATTCTCATTGTCAAAAATGGTTCGTTGATTTCTTGTCTTGTTTGATTCAATTGGGGGAAATACGGTGACCTCCCAACAAGAAGGTTTGTTTCCTATCCTCTTCGTATGTGAAGGGGGTGACTATGGCAAGCTATGAGCCTTCCGTCTTGACAGTGCCACTGCACTCTGAATGATGTTGCAGAATTTCTGCGGTTAGTCTCCAAACTCCAGTCATTCCCAACGCGTCACCCTGATATGCAGCTGAAGAGCACCCATCAACTTATCAATCGACTCACAAATGAGATGCCACTACGTGTATCTGCGTGCTCGGGCGAAAGGGGTCGACCTGGTGGATGACGTTCCAAGAAATTTCAATGCCAAATACTAAAACTCAATCAGGAGTGGACCGAAGTGCGCTTCTTCATGAACGTGTTTGTCCAGATCCACATGCATACTCCGGCAGAGTCTCGCCAAACGGTTCGCTTCAGCCGTCTGGAGTGGGTCTTAGAATGTTTCATAGGCGCAGTCCTATTTCGTCCAAAAATGATTCTCCTGTCTGCCAGAAATCCTCTCACATTCGCCAGATCACCTCCGTGGTGACCAAGAGACCATCGCCAATCTTCTGGGGCGGGGCGGGGCGAGTCGTTTGGATAAAAGGGTGGCTCTGGTCAAATCTCGACATACAAGCACAATTGAGGCTATTGAATGAACCTTCGAGCATACAAATGTCTCATCGAGGACTCGGCATGCTTCGAGGGCTTCGCGATGCGGTCTTTCGAATATCACAAACCATGACGCCGAGCTTGAGCGAAGTTCTACCACCTGGGATTCAAGACAACCCAACATCAGTCCTCTTATCCTAGGCTGCACACAGACAACGGCGCACAAGCAAGGCAGATAGGGCAGATCTCCATTTCACAGAGACGGAAGGCAGACATGCGCGCTCTGTCTTGAGAGGGGCTCCCGCCACTGATGGATATCGAGACGGATCGGTGGGAGCCTTTCGTATACGTGTTCCCGAATACTACTATGAGCTGGAGGCTCTCCCCTCAGCAACTTTTGCCCTTCTGTCCATTCTCTGCCTCTGTTAAACCATGGTCTCATACAAGGACCTCCACTGCAGACCATCATCCAAGTCCTGGAGGCCATCTGTCTCGGAGGATGTCAACGAGGACGACAATTTCCTGCTTCCCGAGTTGATCGACAAGTAAAAGCCTTTCTACCAATGGTCACCCACGCTATTTGTCCCGTTCACTCTGCCCTGGATCGTCAACGTGTTGACTATGTATATTCTCTTCCAACGTCATGAGATTACGAAGCTTGGCCTTAGCTCCTATACTGTATGCCTGACCTCCATATCTCAGCTCCGCGGGAATCTAGGTTTCCACTGACCATCTGTTGAAGACTTGGACCATCATGGCCATTCAGATGCTTGGAATGCATAGAATATGCTGTTTAGTTGACCCAAAAGGAAAGCACATGCTATCTCCAACCCGGTCACAACGCCCGCCCAACGTGTAGACAACGACTACAAGATCGGGAAATTCCACCACGGCTTCGGCTACAATAAAAGCATCTCCCAAGGACCGCCAAACTTTGGGTGAGATCAAGCCTGGAATATTCTATGTAATTGTGAGTGAGAAAGAAAAGAACTACCCGTTATCCTGCCTGCCACTTTGGATGATTCTTCCACTTATGGGCTGTGAGGGTCTGGATGTGGCATATACTGACTCGAATGTTCACAGTCTGTCGATGACGTATCCCAAAATATGAAGCTTCGCCGCTCTCGAACAAAACAGATTCCATTTCCGGTGATGAAAAGCATCTCCACAAAGCTGCTATCTACTCAAAGCAATTCTGCCTCCTTGACATGTTTCGGATGTAGATGTCTTCCACGAGCTCCATTGTCCGGTAAATCCCAAGTACCTCATCTTCTCCCAGTCTTCTTCCACTCTCAACATACCTATCTGTTTGCTGACTGGGAAATGCTTAGAAAATACTTCGCAAATTCGTCCGGAAAGAATACTATGAAAACACCAACAAATATCAATACCTCAACGTCCAACGCAAGAAACACTTCATCGACACCTTACGGTCGAGTATCATGTGCGCCTCGGGCATAAACGTGATAGTCTGGTAAAGGCATAAGAATTATCAGCAATTCATGGCCAGCGGGGATATCGTGAATGGCTGCCGGAATTGTGGGGCGATTAAGGAAGGGGCCCTCGAGATGACCGTCACGAATGGGCAGCTGAATGGGAGCGTGTATATCGTGGATGATATTCATATTGAGCCTTTCTGGAAGATAAAGGACGAGAGGAAAAAAGAGAGAGGAAATGTGGAAGGAGGGAGGACATACGAAGCAGGTGGAGTCCTGTATCGGCGAGAGCTGCTCATGATGAGAGGATGGCAGAGAGTGAAGTGTATCTTAGCTCCTTGTCTTTGGTCGAGGGCTGAAGCTATATATATCATAGCTCCAAATTGATCCGTCGGGATGTCAGCTTAGAGAGTTTTGGCTCTCGGACCGAAGATGAAAGAGGGTCGATGAACGAGGTCAGCCCAGAGCCGCACTGAAAGGGATGAGGTAGAGCTGTGGCAGGAGATTTAGGGGAAATTTTTGGCTTGTTGTCGGTATGATTGCTCAAGTGTAGTCACCCAGATCGGTGAAGGAAGATCAAAAGCGCTGCTATTTGCCAGTAGCCATCGAGTGTGTTGCAGGTAGTCGAAATTCTTTCCTTCAATTCACGCCTATCTTCATGTTAACATCCCCATTTTACTCACTGACTCGTTTTCTCGGTCCGATTCATATTTTCTCAGCCGACAATTCATAAGAGACCTTTTCACCGATTTTAACCCGCATTTTTCATCTCTCTCAACAGAGTCATCACCTCACTTGCTTCAGTCTTGCCCGTGACCTTCTTCATCTCTTCCGTCTTCACCCGCATGAATACATTATACTGCTTCTCCTGACCCATGGTAAATTTGCCTTGGGTCTCTTTATTCTCATTGGCGAATTTCTCCAACATCTTGACTGCCGCGTTGTCGCCGTCGACTTTCTTCAAAAACTTCACGTTGGATTTCGTGTACTCGTGGCCCGGAAAGATTTTGGTGTCATCAGGCAGAGAGGCGAGGATCTCGTTGAGTGCGGTGTTCATCTCGGCGCCGTTGCCTTCGAAGAACTTCCCGCAGCCACCGATGAAGAGCGTGTCGCCGGTGAATACTACCCGTTCTTTCGTGCTTTGATCTTCCATGTACCAGCAGATGCTGTCTTGCGTGTGGCACGGAGTGTGAAGTGCGGTTACTTGGATATTCTTGCCAATGGGGAACTTTGAGCCGTGAGGTGGTGTTTTGGTCACGGCTTCGCAGTCTTTTCCACCGATGACGGGGACTGGCGATGGTAAGGCAGAAAGAACTTTCTCGTTCCCGCCAGCGTGGTCCCAATGGTGGTGAGTGTTCATGATGGCTGTTAGGTTGAGGGATTTGGATTTTTCCGCGAGGACGGGAGTGACTCTGCGAGGGAGAACAAAGGGTGAGTCTCTTGACTGTAGAAGAAAAAACTGGAGTGAGGGGGCATGGGACATACTCTGGAGGATTTGCTGGATCAATAATGACAGCATCTTTCGTCTCGTCGTCACTGACCAGGTATGCATAGTTGTTGGACGAGCCAACCCCTGAACAACACCACTATCAGCCCGGATCATATTTCAACCAGACATGATTCCTCCGTCTTGCTTTCCATCACTCCACAAGCCACTACCATCTTCCCCGTCCCGCGCGCCATAGCTTCGTTACCCAGCTAGGAGAGCCTGGGTGGCATACACATTGGAATACTCTGAATATGCATCTTTCTCAACGGCTGCTGTGCCAATCCCAATCCTGAAGTCGGTCCAACTCCAAATCTTAGCCGGTGAATCTGCGGGGTATTCGTAGGACGAATAAACGAGGCAAATGCGGTGCTGGTGGACAGAATCAGACGAACGCGTCGCGAACTGATCATGAATCAGATCCGTCTCTCTAGAAGAATAAGATGTGAGAGTGGACAGAGAGGGTTTAATAACATCCAGATGAATGATCAGCATTCGGCGTGTCTGCGGAGAAAGAGCAATCAATGCCAGCATTGATTGTCATCCCGATTGACTGACGTCAAGGCCGTTGGCCAATGGGAAGACATTCCGCAATGTCTCCAAGCGGCCGCCTTAAAGGGCAGTTTGCTGGCGCCGCTTTTGTGCCCTTTTCGCCATCACGTGATCAATAGAATGGTCATGTCTCTCAGTCTCCCCTTTTCTATGTGATCTCTTCTATCCGGCGCGATAAATATCCTGCAGCTGACTCGAAAATGACAAAAGACTCGTTGAAGTCGTCCGAGGACTCCTCGGCCCTACAACAGAACCTACTAGTACGGCACAGGAAGAGATCGACAGCACTGTCCACCAATGCCATCAGCCGGCTTTGGTCCCCCCAGGCCCCACATGATGAAAAGAATCATTCCCCAGGGGCCCTGATTAGGTCTATATTCTCCAGCCTCCTCGGTATCGCATTCATGAACGTTTTGCTCTCCGAGCCCTCGGTATCACATGCTGACAAGGTTTGCGGTTTCCCTTTGACGCCCTCTATGGTTGATACATATATTGCTGCTGCATAGTTCTAGAGGTCTTCGTCTGCACTGAAATCAATTTGACCGTGCTTGAATACCTTCCCTCATCTCCATCACCCCTATCTACGCTGTGGTTATCGTCCTTTAATTCATCCACGAGTGGGGCGGCAATGGCCAATGAGACTCACGTCCAGCATGTGGAAGAACCAAAAGTAGTCCCGTCTCAGACGGAGGTCGTGGGGGAAGATGGTCTGAAACCGGCAGTCGTGGACACTGTACACGGTGATGAAGCTCTCAAAATCATTGTTGCTCAAGGTGGAGATGACTATTGGGATGAACAGGAAGAGAAGAAGCTTGTCAGAAAGATCGACCGGCGACTACTTCCTGTTCTATGTGTCACCTACGGGATTCAATTCTATGACAAAGCGATGCTGTCGCAGGCTGTGAGTTTTTCTTTCTGGATCTATTGTTCAACCACATCGATATTCCGTTTTTCTTTGCTCACCCTCCTTCTCTCTTTTTTAGGCGCTATTCGGCCTGAGAACAGACCTAGACCTGGAGGTCGGAAATCGCTTTGTTTTTTCATCTTCTATCTTTTACCTTGGCTTCATCGTTGGTGCATATCCGGCCATATTTATGGCTCAACGGTGGCCCATTGAACGTGTGGCCGCGGGCATCAGCTTCATCTGGGGGATAACTGTCATGTGCAGTGCCGCTTGCAAGACCTACGGCGGCTTCTTTGCCCAGAGATTCTTTCTCGGTGTCATTGAGGCAGGCATATCACCAATTTTCATGCTCGTTGTTGGGGGGTGGTATAAGAAAAACGAACAAGCTTTCCGAATGGGTGCTTGGTTTTCTTGCACGGGTAAGTTCAGTTCGCTCTCCAAGTACACAGAAGCACCCAAGCACCAACTGTTTTCCTTATATAGGCTATATATCCATCGTGAGCCCCTTGATCAACTACGGACTGGGCCACATCACGGGAGGCGCCCTTCATCCTTGGCAATACATGTATTTGTTTGCCGGCGGTATAACCACTCTCTGGGCAATTGTTGTCCTATCTTTTATGCCACCGGATCCCATTCGAGCGAAAAATTTCACAGACCGCGAGCGGTACATTGCCGTTGCACGTCTCAGGAGCAATAACAGTGGCGTCCGAAACGTCCATTTCAAGTCCTCTCAGGTCATCGACGCTCTAACGGACATCAGATTCGGCCTGGTATTTTTCACTACCTTCCTCATGTTCTTTGCTAATGGAGCAAACGCAACAATGGCACCCATCATTGTCAACAGCTTCGGTTACTCCACCCTCAATTCTCTCCTTCTGGTGGCACCAGCGGGTTTTGCGTCAGGTACGATCGAACTCATCGTTTGTTACCTGGCGTATCGTTTCAAGAATATCCGCATTTACCTCTTTGTCATCTGCGTTGGCATGACTATGGCGTGCTGTTTGCTGCTCTGGCAACTACCTCGCGCAGATAAAGCGGGCCTCCTTGTCGCAATTACGTTCCTCCCCAGCTTCGGAGGTGGATATGCTATCCTCATGGGCCTGCAGATAGCCAATACGGCCGGTTACACCAAACGATCCGTGACGGCCTCAGGACTGTTTATTGCTTGGTGCCTTGGTAACTTTACCGGGCCTTTGCTCTTCAAAGAAGAAGATGCCCCTGTTTATGGTCCCGCTTTTGCTGTCACCGTGGCGGGGTCTGCTGCGGCCGTGGTCTTGGCTACTATCTACCGGTTCGTGGCCAGTTATGAGAATCATATCAGAGATAAGAGTGGCACATCAGAGGCTTACGAGCACGCCTACAATGATGATTTGACCGATAGGAAAAACCAGCAATTTAGGTATGTGCTATGAGTGACGAAAACAGGTCAGATTGAGCAGAGGTATTTGGATAACGTGCTATAGGGTTATTTGTTCTCTTCAACGGAGTTATTTGGGGGAAAGAGATGAGGCGTATGTCTCCCCTTCTAATTATCAAGTACGGTGATGCTGGGCAACAATGTCGATAATGAATGCCGGGAGGGCGCCTTTGCTCTGGCCAGAGTTTCGAACAGGTCCTCGATATAGCAGCCTAATCTGTCAACTCACCTATTGAGTCTTCCACCCCCTTTTGACTTTTTTTGTTTCGTCGGAACTTCTCCCTCCGGATCGTTTCGCTGGCCATGAAAGTTGTGCAACAAGCGCCATATATCAGACTCCCCCCCCCAAAAAAAGCATACGCGACGTTCACCCGATACATTGGCGCACATTCTATGTGATTGTTATGATTTAATCAATAGTATCTTTGCCTGGCTACCTCTTCCCGTAGGGATGAAAGTCTGGTAAGACGGCCGGGGAATAACCCACAGTGTCTTTACAGCCTTGCACTCATCTCCTGTTTCACCATTTGCCTCAACTCAGTCTTTTGAATCTTCCCATTTGCGTTCCTGGGCACTTTGTCTACAAATCTGATTCCACCATCGAGTTGCTTGTATCGTGCTAACTTGTCTCTCGTGAACTCTCTGACCTCCGCCTCGGTCAATACGGTGCCAGGCTTCACGACAATATATGCTCGAGGGAGCTCAGATTTGTCGACTGAACAATGCACGCCCACAACTGCGCAATCCACAATGTTAGGATGCAGAAGGAGTACACCTTCAAGTTCTGTGGGCGCGACTTGGAAGCCACGAACCTTGATGAGCTCCTGTGGTCATGTTAGCCAATCATTCGCACTTGGGACGGCAATAACATGGGCAGAATGTACCTTCTTCCGATCAACAATATACCATTTCCTCGTCTTCGAATCACAGTAAGCAATATCTCCTGTGTGAAAGTATCCATCCTCATCCCAGTCTCGTTGATTAGCTTCATCATTCCGGTAATACCCCTTCACGATAATGGGACCCCGGACGCATAATTCACCTCGAACATCAAGTCCGTTTGTGCCTTTTATCCCGCTGATATCATTTCCCTCCTCATCAACGATCTTTGCGTCACAATTCGGTATGAATCTCCCCACACTCCCGGTAAAATCTTGCTCTGGAAAGTAGAACATCGTGGCAAGACACGTTGTCTCACTCATTCCCCAGGCTTGATTGAAAGGAGTGTCTGGACGCAGATATTCTTTAAATCGGGCTTGCACACCCTTGTCAAGAGGCGCAGACCCCGCCCAAGCATTGCGAAGTGTCTTCAGAGAGTACTTTCCTGAGTCCAGGAGACCTGAGGAGAGCAAGCTAATGACCATCATGGGAACTATGTTCACTTCGGTGATGTTATACTTTGCAATATTTGATAGCCACGGTTCGAGTTCAAAGCGACGCATTACGAATGTCGCGGCGCCGGATTTGATCGCGCTGGTGTGAGCGCGAGGTACCTGAGACACGTGGAACAAGGGGTTAGAGAGAAGCCGACGGACCTGAGTGTCATCAGCAATGAGGATTCCAAGGAGTCATTGCCACTCACCTCGTACGGTCGAGGCCTGACTTCCATCACCAAAGTATGTTGTGAAATCTACCACTGTCAGTTCAAATCTTCCTTCGTTCATCGAGAGTCCATGCAACTCACAAAATTCCAGACCGATATATCCAGGGCCTTGGGCAATCCTGTCGTTCCGCTGCTAAACAGTCGGGCAACTACCGTCTCCTCACTCTGTTTCTGCTCGTCGAATCTTTCCCAATCTATCTCTTCACCCTCAACCTGCAAGACATCCCAACTCTTCACTGCCAAACCTTGGGGATTCGCCTGTCCCAGGATATCGAATGCAAATATGTTGGATGCAGGTATTGAGCATTCTTTCGCCGCACGGAGGACTTTGGGCACGAGATCGGGCTCGACGATAAGGTACGTTATGTCCGCGGTACGAATGGCATGGATCAGCTCGAACACGGTGTATGAGGGATTCACCCCGGTGAAAACCCCTCCTGCTGCTATGATCCCCAAGAAAGCCATCGAATAACAGATCTGGGGAACACTCAGCTGGAAACATCATGAGAAGAGAAGTTCGAAATCTACATCATTAAATGCCATTAAACAGACACAATCCGATTTCTTTAATCCTGCTTTCTTGAATCCGGCCGCGAGTCTGCGGACGATACTTCTGGCCTGTTGACACGATATGGATCGGGAAGGATTTGCGGCATCAATATAGATCTTGGGCCCGCCGTCAGCACAAGTTCAACGTCCCAAGACATAAACAAAATAACCGGATGGAGGTATTCGCTTCTGTACCTACCGGTTTATCTTCGTCATATGGAGCGTGGTGGTCGAACATCCATGTCAACAAGTCTATTGTCGGGATCGGGTAGTGTTCTTCAGCCAGGTAAGGCATTGTCTCCCAGCTATCACGCAGTTTTGAATTGCTCACTTGAGCCACAAGAGAGAAAAGTCAACACGACTCAGAACACGGGCAAAATCCTAACTCTAATTGAGAAGTTCAGGCTTCATAAGATGAGGACAAATCTATTGTGATATTTATTCCAAAAATCACCGTCAAAAATGGGCCAACGAAGTCGTCACAATCGTAACGTCATAAGATTATAAGGTTATCAGAGACCCCGGATTGGAAGACACAGAGCGTTCGCATTCTCAATGCCTAGGGGTACCCAACTCTGTGACCCACCGGCGAGGCTGAGCCAAGCCGAAGAGGGCCTTAGAGCCGATAACCGACCGAGGATTCCGCGGCGAAAGAGTGACAGGGAAGGTCATGTGATAGAGACTGCGAGGAGACTCGGTATACCCCGCCATCTGCCATTCTCAACCTCACCCATTGATCTCTGCGCCTCCCTTTGCGAATCATCAATCGCCAATCGTCTAAAAATGAGGTGCGTGCTCACCCTGGAGGACACTACAGCCGCGTTTCGATCATCCGAGGCCATTTTTCACCCGGGGTTGAGTCTTCTGACTCAGTTTCCTTGCTACCCCGTCTCATATCCGGCAAACACCGATGATGTTTCCCTCTGATAGCCATTCCCGATCAGATACACCAGCGTTCAAGCGAATAGCTCGGTCATGCCAACGCTGTCAATCCAGGAAGATCAGATGCGATAGAAAAATCCTTGGTTTAACCTGCACCAATTGCCACCTGGATGGCATCGAATGCACTCCTGGAAAAGGCAAGCCTGCCGGGCTGGAAAGGCGCCGTTCTGCAAAACCCAAATCCTCCAATCGCAACACGGCCGATGCACGGAGTCCTAGTGGTCATCTTTTTCCAGTTTGCGACAACCGAGAACTGGTCCAAGATCTCACGGCGGCATACTCTGCGCTGCCATGCTTCATCAAACCTCTTCCTTCCCATTTGACATGTGAAGACACGGATTATTTGAGTTATAAAAGAGTCTTCGAGATTCCGGAGGCCCGATATCGAAATGAGATCTTGCGCAGCTATTTCCAATTCGTTTACCCTCTATTACCTCTTCTGGATGTCGGAGGCTTCCTCGGGCCGATGTTGCAAAACGATCCACAGGATCAAGTCAGCCTATTACTCTTTCAAGCAGTCATGTGTTCAGGAGCGGCCCATGTTGACATTCAGATTCTGCATGCGCTGGGATATGGTACTAGAAAGGCTGCTCGAAGAGCATTCTTTGAAAGAGCCAGGGTGAGTGCGCGGTCGCAATTATAAAGACATGGCTAACGATCCTAGTTACTTTATGATTTCGACTGCGAACCCGACCGCGTATCAATGGTGCAAGCTTTCCTGCTGATGACATACTGGTACGATGTTCGAGAGACCCATAAAGATCGGAAGTTTTGGATACGTGCCAGTGTGACCCTTGCTCAAGACTTGGGCTTGGATTTAGATCTGGAAAGATGCGACACCAAACGAGGACGATTGTTCAAGAGATTATGGTGGTGCTGTTTCATGCGCGATCAGTTTGTCGCCCTGATGACCTGGACTCCAGCTCAGCTTGGTTCAAGATATCGCGGCCTGCCCATGCTCGAACTCGATGATTTCGAAATTGAAGATTTTCCTGAACCAATTGCCCATGAGTTCAGTAATTGGAGTTTGATCAACAGCAGGGAGACTAGGATCAAGCTCGCAGCACTCTGCATCGAAAAGGCTAAGCTCTGTGTGTGTATCAATCAGATCCTGCAGGTCCGATACGCAAGTCATCGCCATGAGTCAGACAGTCAAATGATCACGATCCTGGTCCCGAAGCACGCGGCCAGTGATCCTTTCGAGGTGGTTGAATATGATCGAAAACTTCAAAAATGGTACCACGACCTCTCGGATACGAGAAAGTTCGACCTTCGAGACCCCCAAGCCCCTGCATTTATGAAGGCGTCAGACGTAATTACCATTCAGCGAGCACATCTGAAATTGCTGTTCTTGTCTGCCATGATCGCCCTCCATCGACCTCAAGTATTGGATCACTCTGAAATATTACCAACTTACTTCTACGAGCTGTCCAAAACCAAATTGTGTCAGGCAGCTGATGAAGTAGCACATATTGCAATGTGTATTAAGAACCTTGAAATGGGAACTCACATGACTCCCAGGGGTGTCACTCTGTTCCTTCCAATCATGCTTGTCCATCTTCAAGACATTAGTCCGGATATGCATAGTGTTGGGAGGACTCGGTTACAGAAGTACTATGACTGTATGCGAATATTGGACTCCATTGGCGACGCCGGTGTCTCTGAAGATTTCCTGCCTTCCCAACTCGATGCAGCTTTCCGAAAACTAAACATTCTTCCTTCACAAGTCAATGGTATTCCTCCTACGGCTAATTTCTTCTTTCCTGGTGGGGGGGATTTGCCCTACCTCGGAAATGGGATCTTTCCATATCTCTCTCAGCTTGGAACCATAACTCCGTCTGAAGCAAGCTTACTCACCGAATTAAGCGTCTACCAAAAGGGCGGTGGAAACTCCTTTATTGTATCGGAAGAAGATTGCGAAAATGATCAAGACGACGTGAATTCCACGGAGCTATTGAGAAATCAGTCCAGTCGAGTGGCTCAGAGTCGACAACGGGATCAGACATATCCACCAGCACCATCAAGATCAACGACACCAACCCATATCACCTCTCAACCTTCTTCTCGTCGCAATTCTCCTCTTCCGGTTGTGCAAAGTACCGTAGATCCCAGAGGAATATCTCGGTCTATCCCACAGCCTATTCGCGACGGGTGGATGATGCCGGCGGTACCACCTACCCCGCTGATCAACCCAGATGAGGAAGAAAACGTGATGGAGAGTTTCTTTGCATGGAAAATATCTAAATCAAAGCTTCCAGGGCACAGGCAAAAGATCAAAGATGCCTATCAGATCGTTCTCGATCAGATGTGGACTCTTGATGACCTGAGAGCAATGGATGATATGCGGTCGGACCTTTACGGACTAGCCGTGCAGCACGGTCTCCCCGACGGTCTGGCACGTTCTTTCCGACGAGACCTAGCTGTCTTCATACCGAATTGGAGAACTTCGCGAGAGCTCCAGGTCCAAGAAGGAGAAGGCGCTTGAATGTATAATATTTGCCAATGTAAAACTGTCGAGCTTTTCGAGAGATGGTAATGGAAAATACTTTCCGTCCCATAGCAGATTCATTCTCATCACCTTCATGCTGTCATAATTCACGTCTCTTCTTCCCCTTAGTAGCCCACATTACCTCTTTTTGGGTGCCCCGTCAATATACCTCTGCATTCCTTCAGCCGCCTCCGATACATCCATAAAGGCCAGCGAATCCACTCTTTAATCTTCAACAGATTCTGTTTCAAATGCTGACCAATCTCATTCTCTACTTCATCTAGTACCTGTTGCCAAAAATCCGGTCTGAATCATTCTCATCTTCCCACCGAAGATCTCTGTAACAGAACCACTCTGCAGAAGTCTGTCACTCGAGATTTTCCGTCCCATAAGCAGAGAACCTCGTTTGCCAAGGGAAGGCCCATTCACCGAACGAAGCCAATGCTCACGCCACCCTCTCTGTCACAGGGTGACCCCTGGCATTAGGACAAACGTGCCAAGCCAGTAAGCTGGCATCCTTTGAATCGCCCGCGAGGAGCATGTCGTCTTCATGCTTTCTCAAGGTACAGTCGGTCGATGTTATATTGACTGCCTCGCTGTCATTACTCCATACGAAAAAGCGTGCAGAATGCCCAAGTCGGGCCGGCCGACAGCCGTGGTCCCTCACGGTGGACCTACCTGTAAAATCATGCTCGGCTTCAACGTGCTTTGAGAACGTCGCTCCCTCGCTTGCTTCGCATGGATACGCAGTGCTCTCGCGCAACTATCACGGCAGCACTGGCCGAGGTGAGAATTTCGTGTCCGATATGGTCGGTTTCCTGGGTTCCAAAGGACCCCCGCGTCTGATCCGCCTGCTCCAGTTCGAAGGTTAGCCACGATGTCGTCAACGCAAAGAGAGCCGGCATCTATGGCTTGGCCATATGACGGCTGCATTACATTGTGGTCGTGACGCGCGACAAGACGTTTCATTTAGCCCCATTTCTCCCCATTTCGCCAGGGTAGGAGCATTGTCTGACGGCACGGAATGGGACATTAGAGTCATGACATCTAACATGCCCATCTACCCCGTCGCTTGCTCGTGCCGGATATCTTGAAACGTGACGAAAGATGACGCGTGGAGCCGCAAGAATAGTCCCGTCGGGCACATGGCGAACAACAAGATCACAAGGCTATTTCTGATCTTCGAAGTCGAGGACGACGACAAGGTCCACGTCAGGGCTGTCTGGCGCACAGGTTTGAGTGCGAGTACGTCGTGTACCCTCGGGAAGTGCGTGGGGGCGTTCGCGCCATATGAGAGGCGCATTATAAGAAGAGAGAGGTTTGGGAAGTATCTCGGCGAGAATGACAGAGTCTGGCTAGGGTGGGGATTGTTGCAGTATTTGAAAGGTTCATTGGTTGCTGATCAAAGAGTCCGAACGCCCTGCCTAAATATACCTAAAGGAGACCAGGCTGAGAGGGCCTCGCCAAAGCTTCACCGAGCTCTACAGTATTTCCCCTCAAATACCCGGTTGTACAAAACACCGTCTGATCAGACAACTTCGAACGTACACCGAATAGCTCCTTTGCAATTTTTTTCCCCCTTTGGTGATTCACTTGTGCTGGCCTATCAATTAATGCTAGAGCCTGAGACACTGGATTCGCTTTTTGCTAGCTCTAAGGTTCTATGGCCTTTGCACAAAGGGCTGCGGAAGAAATAGGAGCACATACAAGAAATCTAGACAAGTTTTCGTTTTCAACGGCAATTGAACAGAGATTCTGCCGATACGATCACATCATTGCCCAAAGCATGAATGTTCCAAGAGTGGGCGTTGGGTTAGTGTCTTTGCCCTCCGCTCCCCGTCTTCCCCAAGGTTTTGTAACGGTGGCTGAGCAATCACCGACATGGGGGAAGTATCCACTCATAGCATCTCATCCTTCTTATTGTTTAACAACAAGCACATACTAGTCACTTGCCGCGCCGCTCTTTCTCTGCCATGACCTTGGCCCTCTGATCTCGAAGCCATAAAGAAAGGTCTTAACTCCTTCCATGCATGCCATGATTTCTTGGGTTTCACTGTGTCATCATCTGCTTTTGATCTCCCCTGTGTTTAAACGCCATCCAAGAATTTGTCCTCGACTTGAGATTTCCTTGTGGAGGATAAGCTTGTCGTTCACGAAAACGAGAGATGAATGTTGTTGGTGTCTTGAAGGCTTGGAAGGTCTTGGGCGCTTGGTTCGACCTTTCCGATGTCTGCAAGCCAACAAAAAAAGGGGAAGAAGTTCTTGAAACTCTTGATGCACGGAATTTAGCACGATAATGCCTGTCCGACTTGGATCCTTCCAGGATCTGCCCTTTCGAGGAGTTCCGGGGAAATGAGGGCATGGACTGCTGATATGGGAACAGAACAGGAAGAGAGGGCGAGCGGTTCGTGAACCTTGTATAAGAAGGTGGGCTATCCCTACCACAAATCACTTCTTTCGCTTTCAATATGTTTTCTTTACGATTGGAACATTTCCTCACTTTCCATCACCAAAAATTGCCCTCCCCATCCCATAAACTCTTCCTGAGTCGTCGAAATGGCTGCTTCCCACGAGGAAGCAAAGGTGGTCCACGCCACCCCCGAATCCGCCGTGATCGAAGCCGAGAAACAGCAGGGCCAACACCAAGAATTCATCCTTGATGAAGAAGGCAAATGTGTTCCGGTCGATTACTCTGGAGCCCATGCCAAAACTGACCCTAAGGAGATCCGACTTGTTCGCAAACTCGACATCTGGATCATGCCATCTCTCTGGGTCATGTACTGGTTGAACTACCTTGATCGCAATGCGATTGCTTTGGCTCGGCTCAACGACCTTGAAGAAGACTTGAATCTCACAGGAACCCAGTACCAAACTTGCGTGAGCATCCTCTTTGTGGGATATTTGCTCGGTCAGATTCCATCCAACATGTTCCTCACCCGCACCAAACCATCCTATTACATGGCTGGCTGCATGGCTCTTTGGGCCATCGTCAGTGCCTTGACAGCTGTCTCCAAAGACTTCACCGGCCTCCTCCTTACTCGCTTCTTTCTCGGTGTCACAGAGGCCCCATACTATCCAGGCGCACTCTTGATGTTGTCACTCTTTTACACTCGCAAGGAAATTGCCACTCGTATTTCAATCCTCTACACCGGTAACATTCTCGCCACCGCCTTTGCAGGCCTTATTGCAGCAGGAGTCTTTTATGGCATGGATGACCTCGGAAGCCTCGCCGGCTGGCAATGGCTCTTCATCCTGCAAGGCGCAGTGACTTTTGTCGTGGCCATCGTCGCGGCATTTACCCTCCCTGACGAGCCTCTCTCAACCCGTTGGCTGACACAGTCTGAACGTCAGCTTGCCCACGACCGAATCCTGCGTGACACTGTCGGCAACAAGGCTGGCACCTCTACATTCGAAGGTCTCAAGGAGGCCGCTGCAGATCCCAAGCTCTGGATCTTTGTCTTCATGCAGCACATGCATCTGGCTGCCAATGGCTTTAAAAATTTCTTCCCAACGGCCGTGGAGACCTTGGGCTTCTCAGAGACCATTACTCTTGTCCTCACATGCCCGCCTTACCTGATTGCGGGCCTCATCTCTGTTCTCTGGTCCGCATCCAGTGGCAAGTACAACGAGCGTACTTGGCACATCACCGTGGCCAAAGCGATTGCCGTGACGGGCTTCGTCCTGGGCTGCGCTACCCTCAACACTGGCGCCAGATATTTTGCCATGGTAGTCTTCGCCATCGGCACATATGCCGTCAACTCGATCATCCTCGGCTGGGTGGCTAGTACATGCGGTCAGACTAAAGAGAAGAAAGCATCCAGTCTCGCTATCGTGAACACCATTGCCAATGCCTCTTTTATCTGGACTCCGGTAAGTTAACGCCCATGCTCCCACCGAGCTGCCCTTTCTATGCGTGATCTCCGTCAAATTCAGAAAACATCTGGTTTCCATGAAGGGGCAAAACCCGACACTGATTGGCGGATAGTACCTCTGGCCCACATCCGACGCACCTCGATACACAATAGCCATGGTGTCCTCCGCAGCGTTTAGCGTCGCATGCGCCTCCGCTGGGTGGGTCATGAAGATCATCCTCATCAGAATCAACAAGAAGATCCGTCAGAGCAACGATGAGACGGTCTTGTTCTATGCCTACTAGTCTAGTGATCACGATGGAGAACGATGGGGCGGTCATATACGTACATACGTATACTCCCGGTGGTGTTGTACCTTTGACTTGGAACGCTGTGAGAATGAGATGTTGCTTTAGTCTTCTCAAGAGCGAAGAGAAAGGGTGATTATACTTCGGAAATGAGTACTAACGTTAAAAAAGATATACATGAACATTTGTTCTCCGCTTATTAGTCACGAATCGAATGGTATGGAGTGCGAATGAACAAATACATCTCCTCTCGCGAAACAGTAGAAGGCCAAATCGGATGACAACGAATTCAACATGTTATCGTCAACTCTGATTCATCATAGCCTGAACGTACTGCCCAATCTCATAAGTCTATCACTCTATTGTACCATAATCAACCAGGGTACTCCGTCGTCGACCCATGCTCATATGACCACTTTCACTCAAAAGCCTTTGACTTTGGGTCATGTCCACCACTCTATCCTTCCCCGCCATACTCGGGATCCAACCTCTCATCCATCCATTAACCCTCTCCCAATGACTATAACCATGGCCATCTCTCACTTTCACGATTCGGTCTTCCCTTTCTCCGTACATAATGAATTGAACTCCCATCAAAGCGTCCATGCTCAAAACTCCCGCAGCACCCAGGAAAAATGGGGCGGCTCGGGCCACCCATGCCCATCGCTGTGAACCTTCTGCATCGACCCAACCGTGGTGACCATACGGTGGATAATCATTCCAAGCATTCGGATTGGTAAGCAAAGATGCAGAATAGAAAAAGTTACCACAGAAGGCGGCAAGGAACAAAAGAGGAGACAGACCGGCAGTCGATTGACGACACCAGTTCTTATATAGTTGCGGCAATCGAGAGCCGAGATACAACAAGGTGGAGCACCAGGACAAGATCGTTCCAGCAATCTCACGAGGAGTCTCGACGCGAAGAAGATGGATCCCGTGCTGGTAGTGGTCGGTTGGAAAAGGTGTGGGAGCGGCCGCCACATTGGATGCGAGAGAAGCCATGGTGGCCGCGTGTATAAATGTTCGAGGGGAAGGGGACGGCATCCAACTCGATGCCAATCTGTCGGTGGACGATATATCTCTTGGCGGCGTACCATTCTTCTCTCCATAGTTCACGGGTGAGAATTGAGGGCCATGGGTGCTGGTTGGCTCGGTAGACTTCTGAGGACTGTCGTCCAGGTCGCGTAGGAGTGGACCTTCGTGGGCGAAGTTGGAATTGATGGGTGAGAGCCCATTGATAATGGCACTGTCGGCATCGTCGATATCACTGCTTCCTGTGGAATGGAGATTTTTGGCATAAATCCATTTCGTGCAATGAGTGTACCAGAAATATTGAACGACAAGACACATATCAACAAAGACATAATAGCTGGCAATAATGATCTGCCATCCCGCCTGTTTGGTGAAAATGGCTCCTAGAAGATTGGTCAAATCCCCCAACAACCATTCCGCTAGAAAGAATATCGATAACCCCGCGGTGGATTTTAGATGGTAATTCTTGAAGATTTGTGGCATCTGAGCAAATAGCCATGACACTATGGAGAGTGTTCCGAGCAGGGTAGAAAGAGCGGCGAGGGGAGTGGGTATGCAAAATCCGAAGGAGGATGAGACATCGGTCAAGAAAGGAGAAGTCGGAGTACAGTGGTCTGGTAGAGAAGGCGTCGATAGAAAGGGTATATGTGAGAAAGCCATGGTTCTCCGAGTTTGAGGGAGTTCTCTCGCATGGATGGATCAACTATCGTGTCTGTCCGACTCTTATCATCTCCTCCAGACCGCGGCGATCAGTGCGCACGAGACACGACGATAAAGCAGGAATTGTATCCCCAGCAATGGAGTTGTGGCTATCTCTTCGGGCAGCACTCGAGACGGACCGTGCGAACGGGATTTACTCGTGGTCGAATGGCTTGAAGTTAGAGGTTCATTGGCCGTCGCAGGAGAGTGTGTGTGAGAGGCGCTGGATATATCCGACAGGGCGTCGACTTTCGAGATATACCGATCTATAAGTTGGTGAGCGTGCTCATGAGGGAAAGATAGAAGGCAGAAGCATAAGTAGAGCGAACGACCGAGGTGGAGACTAGTGGAAATGAGTGAGGCGAGCGTGGGCATCGGCCACCAGATCACAAACAAAGCCACCCGATAAGGCAGTCACACCCCCCACCCCCCCGGGCGGGCGAAAATGGGATGCAGACCAATTGACCAAAGGCGATTTGGCGCGGGGGGGCGATGGGACGAGCCGAAGTTGGGATTTGATTATTTTGTGCAGATGACATTGCAGAATGACACTGGAATTGGTCAGATGGAGGGCGAGAAGAGAGGGATTGGTGGACCAGGTAGATGGTAGCAGCTACCAAAGGAGGGCGGAGGAAGAGTCGGATTTGCACGCGACAGTCAGAAAAAATACAGAGAGCCGGACTGGAGGAGCCCCGGGGGCAGCAATCGAGCGCAACAAAGGCACTGATAAGCTGCCACTAACGAGCAACAGCTGCGCCTGATTCGTGTCTATCCCAGCATCTTGGCGTGGGAAGAGATTGCCGCGGCCTCCTCCACCGATCACATCTCGCTTCGAGATGAAACTTCCAGCTTTCACCCGGAATCGGGACGAAAAGGGGCCTCGAGTATCCTCCCACGCCTCTTCCGATCTTTGCAATTGAACGATTATAGGCCAACACAACTTATTCTTGTATGTGTCTGGACATACGGTTTGCAGCGCAGTCCCCACTAGTCCGCGGGTTATTACATGATAGATTCGTCTATTCGTCCGAGTGGATTACAAGATTCCTGAACAACACGAACAAGTCACCGATTAAGAACCTGACAGTATCCTACAAAAGTCACACGATAACCTTCCCCTCCGAGTTATAACGAATTCACGCGACGTCTTTCCTCACCGACAATCGAGTGTTCTTCGAATAGGGAGGTCCGAAGACCAGTGTGTTAGTCATGAAATCAGTATAATCGAGCGCTTGGACCTGAACATCACCTACTTCACGATATCCTTGGCCGTGGCAATTCCAGTACATCCCATGGCATACATACTCAACCGTGTCCTCCAATCACTCTTTTGGCCAGCAGCGAGACATAAACCAGGCACCTGCCAGGCTGAATCCCAAGATTTTGATTGGAAGTGTGGCAGGTTGGTCCTTGCAGAATGCCACCGAGCCGTTGTACAAGAAATCCAAGGCACTAATGGCAGAAAATGTTTTGGAAACAATATGGGTGAGAATTCACGATGTTGAGGATGTGTTCATTGGCGGCAGTCTGGTGATCATCTACCACCATTACGTCGATGTGTCGACCGCGACTAGTCCATGCGACATATCTACTTGGCTGGAATTCCATGCCACCATCCATGCCAAGGTTGTTACTGATGTATTTTGGTTTTGTCTAAGGACTCTCACCGGCGATGCAGAGATTGCCAATGCAGGAACCTGGCACATAATCCGTCATGTGATCTCGTTCAGCTCGTTCGGAGGGATCCAATTTCCACAAACGATTACAACCATCCCAGTTGAAACAACTGCTGAGGAAAGAAGAAACCGGCAATGAAGAAAGGCTGGGGGGTGAAGAAAGAGAGATTCCAATCATGAATATCTTTCATGTACGGGAAAGATAGCATACCATAGGTTTGGTAAGCAAAGCCGATCAGAAACCTGACAGGAGCAGCCCATTTCGCCGTCTTGTATACAATATCCCCATACTGGACACGCCCGAGTGATAGAGGTGATGAAAAGAATTGAAAATAGGCCAAAATTGGCGTTTAACAGCCTTGCTAACAACAGAGTTCCCACTCAACATGGGGTCGAGAGTTCAACTTAAAGGGTCCTTGCAATGGAGGTTCCATCTCTGGGACAGCGGCAACCGCAGCCTTGCCAACTATCGGGAACAAAGTTTTTCCGGTCCGGCCGCTCCTGTTCCGCCGGACGAATCACATGGCCGCCAAATCAAATGCTTTCGCCGTCACTGCCTTGCTATCGTTACCATCCACAGTTGATGTAAAGTCGTCCTTCGGCAGTTGATGGCTTCGAGACATCGGCCGCTCTTGATGTCAGAAAATTGAAACTCGGTTCCTATGACCAATAATGAAGTCATCCGTGTTTACATGTGATGCAACAAAGTTGAACTGAACCCGGACCGTCTTCGGATCAGAACTTCCGTTTCGTCAGTATGGACTTACTCAACGTCCGACCCACCAGTCATATCGCTCGAAAGTCTATCCCTTTCCGCTCAAAAGAGTGACGACCATCTCAAACGTCATTAGAATGGATGCAATATGCAATAGCTTTTCTCTCATTGGTAGGGCCAGATACTGACAGGTATGAAAGGGCATCCGGTCAAGCCCGCGCTGATACTGGCTTATGTTTTTCCGCCGTGAATAAATTGTCTTCTGTCTTCATTGCCTCTTTCCTTCCATCATCATGGCTTCATCCCTCGCAAGTGGCCTCCGAAACGTTGGAGATTCTGTTGCTGATTCCATCGCCACCATGACTGAAACCAAGAAAGTCGCCGACCTCCAAAAGAATCTCAAAGATCAACATTGCCAACAGATAAATACCACAGACTGGGGTTCCAAGATATCTGATCTGGACCACTGGCTAAAGATCGTGGACGAAAAGGGCAACAAGGTTGGTCCTCAGCTTCTCGAAGACCAAATTGCACGAGAACGGGTAAGTCTCAGGCCTCTCCTTCCCAAATCCCATGTCACTGCTGATCATCTGGCAGATTCATCGATTCGATCATGAACGTATTCCGGAGCGTGTTGTTCATGCCCGGGGTACTGCCGCTCATGGTCATTTCAAACTCTTTGAGAGTGCCGAGGATGTCACCACCGCTGGGGTGCTGACGGACACATCTCGCACCACACCGGTGTTTGTACGATTTTCGACCGTCCAGGGGAGTCGGGGAAGTGCAGATACTGTCCGAGACGTCCGAGGATTCGCCGTCAAATTCTATACTGATGAAGGCAACTGGGATATCGTGGGAAACGACATACCGGTCTTCTTTATTCAGGAATCGATCAAGTTCGTGGATGTGATTCACGCGGTCAAGCCGGAACCCGATACTGAAGTTCCTCAAGGCCAAACCGCACACAATAACTTCTGGGATTTCGTCTTCATGCACCCCGAAGCCACTCATATGTTTTTTTGGGCCATGTCCGACCGAGGCATTCCTCGCTCATACCGAATGATCCAGGGCTTCGGTGTCAATACTTGGACTTTGATCAACGCCAAAGGTGAACGAACATTCTGCAAATTTATCTTCACCCCCGAACTGGGTGTTCACTCATTGGTCTGGGACGAAGCTCTCAAGCTGGCCGGCCAAGACCCTGACTTCCATCGCAAAGATCTCTACGAAGCTATTGACAACAACGCCTATCCCCAATGGAAGTTCGGTCTCCAGCTGATTCCGGAGAAAGACCAGCACAACTTCGACTTCGACATCTTAGACTCCACCAAAGTCTGGCCGGAAGACCAAGTGCCTATCCGCTACGTTGGGGCGTTGGAGCTCAATCGTAATGTCGATGAGTTTTTCACCGAGACGGAACAAGTCGCCTTCTGCACCAGTCACATTGTTCCCGGAATCGATTTTTCCGATGATCCTTTACTTCAAGGCCGTAACTTTTCATACCAAGATACGCAGCTCTCTCGTCTGGGTACAAACTGGGAGGAATTACCCATCAATCGACCAGTGTGTCCCGTATTGAATTTCAACCGAGATGGCCAGGGCCGCCACACCATCACCAAGGGTAAGGTGAACTATTGGCCGAACCGATACGGGGCCAATCCGCCTGCCGGCCAGGGTCGCGGTGGCTTCGAATCATATCCGGCCCGTTACGAGGGCATGAAAGAGCGTAAACTCGCGCCCAAGTGGAAGGATTACTTCTCCCAGGCTCAACTGTTCTACAACTCCATGACCGATATTGAGAAGCAGCATATTATCAGTGCTCTCTCCTTCGAGCTCGATCACTGCGACGAGCCAGTCGTCTACGAACGCGTGGTTTCTCGTCTTACAGAAATCGACCTCTCTCTTGCTACGGCCGTGGCCGAAAAAGTGGGCGCTCCGACTCCCAACAAGCAAACTCGCTCCAATCCAGGGCGCCAAACCAAAGGTCTCAGCCAGCTTGAATACATGCCGGAAAACCCCACAATCAAATCACGTCGCGTGGCGATCTTGATCGCCGACGGCTTCGACGCGGTCAGCTATGAGGCGATGAAATCCGCGCTCCTGGCAGAATCCGCCTTACCGTTTACCATCTCCACCAAGCGTCAGGATGTCAAGGCCGCCGACGGTGCCTCAACCGTCAAGCCCGACCACTTCCTCAACGGACAGCGATCGACCATGTTTGATGCCATCTTCGTCCCTGGGGGTGCCGACTCAATCAAGACTCTTCAGTCCATGGGGCTGGCGCGGTTTTGGGTGCGCGAAGCATTTGCCCATCTCAAACCCGTCGGCGGTGTCGCGGAGGGTGTTCAGCTTATCCAATCTGCCCTCAACGAGGTTCAGGGTGTGAAGTTATCCCAGGAGGAAAGCGTGGACATCGTGGATTGGTACGGTGTCGTCACCGCACAGAAACCCGATACCGGATCGAGTCTGAAGGACGGTGTCAAAATGCTCAAAGAGGCCAGGGACTTTACTGGCAAGTTCTTCTGGAATATTTCGCAGCATCGCAACTGGGCACGTGAGCTGGATGGACTCGCGGGCCAGGTCTCGGTCTAAATAAATAAAGCGGTGATATGGAGCCCTGATGGCGAGGTCGAAGTTCGTTGGGACATGACCGAAATGGAAATGTAACACGGCACTACTGTCAGGATAACGGAACGCAGGTAGGACGTTACACTATGAACACACGCTTCCGGCACACAGTATGATCAAAGACGACACATTTTTGCCACGGACACGTAAATAGTTGGGCAGGGATGATTTGAATTGATCTTCATCTCGACTCGACTCCTTTCTCCCCTTCCGTCATCAATCTTTCTCCTGCTTCTCCTTCGTTCCGCCCTCATCTTCTACGTCTATCCGAAGAACATGATGTGATCGAGACAGAGTTGAACTGCCATCCGTGATCACGAAACAAGTTGTCCTGCCTTGGAGCTGCAAAAAGCAGGCTCGCCTCCTTGTTTCCTTCCCCTTCCACCACTCGAAGAACGTCATACTCAACTCAATCCAATCTAATCCGTTGAGAGTCGATACCACAACATCCCCAGAAATCCAAGAATCTTCTTTTTATTCAATAGTCATTCGTGTGAATGTTTGAATCCGTGTCATCTCTGTATGTTCAAGGCTTAAGGAGGAGGAACATCGAGTGTCCCTTGCATAACCAGCACTGCGCACCCGCTCAACAAGACTTGTTCGATCTCTACCTCATCGCCGCCTTGACGATCCTTGACGCTGACTTCGACGAAAATCTCACTGCGTTGGCCCATCTCCACGCCCTGCGTAAGCTGGTACTTGTACGTTCCAGCCTTCCTCTTCATGAGCGAGAGATACGATGTCAACGCGCTCGCCGCACTGCCTGTGGCCGGATCTTCGCGTGACCCAAAGTTCCTGGTGCGTAACGTGCGGACAGTCGCTCCTGAAATATCGGTGGTAGTGCCCGTGTCGACGTAGAAATACGTAGGGACCATGCCTACGCGCCAACCCTCATCCAGCGCGTCTTGCGAAGTATACGTGTTTTCGGCGCCCAGGAGGTTCTGCCACTGCTGGCCTAGAGTCTCGAGATCGGGCAGCAGGGCCAGGATGAACGTCATACCCTCCACGATGCTGACGACGGGGTACTTCCCGAACGGTTTATCGGCGAACGGCGAGTTGTGGACGTGGACATGATGCGCAACGGAGATTTGCACGCCGTCAATGGCGGAGTTCAGAATAACACCAATACGACCTGCTTTTGCTTGCAAGGCTTTGACGTGTCGGGAAGAGCTGTGATTTGGGAATTGGAGGAGATAATTCGCTGTGCCGACAGTCGGATGGCCCGCGAATGGGATTTCGGCATAGGCCGTGAAGATGTCGATTCTAACGGAGTCGTCTTTAAGATCTTGCTCCGTTTGTTGATGGAGAAACACCGTTTCAGACAAGTTGAATTCTCGGGCAATACGTTGCTTTTGGTCCTGTGAGAGCACCGTGGATTGAGGAACATTGACGATGGCCAAGGGATTCCCGGTGTATTTGGTCGACGTGAAGACGTCAAGTGTCGCGAAGGAGAGCTGTTGTGTAGACATGTTGAGTAAGCCGGTCTTCTCAGGGATGATAATATGAAGATTGAAAGATCGATTGAGTCACCCTGGCATGGGAGGAAGATTGTGTAAATCAGTAAATGCATCTTCGCCTCGGCATCCCCTGTTCTTGCGCCTTGTGACTTGCCCCGGGCTAGACCAAAACAAGTAATCTCCACTTCAAGCGGCTGGATAACATGAGGAAAGATGGATGTAGATCAAGATTCGAGTGTCTCTAAATTATTCCTGCTTCTCATTTCATATCGATGCATGACAAGAACTGCCATCACTCAATGAAATTGGAGTCCATTGGATGTCATAAATGGGTCACCCGCATTCTTTGTGGAACTCATCACGATTCAAAGAGCCTTTTACCTAGACCTTACAAATTGCCACGTATTTTAACGTAGTGTCGAGGTGTTCGGTCGCCCGAGGCTTCTAGGCTGGTTAGAATCTATTCGTTCCTGCTCGATTGAGATCTTGATTCTCAATCGAAAACGTACATATACGGATTCCTAGATTCTCTTCTTGAAATGGATATGTGGTCTTCCAAACAGGTTCCAGAAAGACGAAGAAGGATGAAAGAATAGAGTCAACTGAGGGCTAACTGGGAGAATCTATTGAGGGAAGCTGCAGGTTTGTGCCACCGACTGCTACGGCGGGACAGTGACAGACGTTGCTTCCTGATTGCCAGAAGGCTTGGCGTGTCAGGTTTGTGCAAAGTGGGTCTTCAGCCTGCTGGTGCCTTCTCGTGCCTGTGCTTATGTCGACGACTCGTTGGACAAGTATATAGAGAACCTAGATAGCAGGACGTCTTGCAGGGAGACAGCGCTCTCAATACGAGACATTGTGCAACACTACTCTTTCATCAATCATTCAACGGACACAACAGTCCATCACTTCCTCTTCCCTCGTGATCAGATCGAAGACTCTTGTTTCAACTCCGCAGCCACTTGTCCTACGGCGGTGCACGTACGCTCGTCTTGGGCGGGTTTGAACTCTCCCACCTGCGTGCGAGTCGTCACATCATACCGTCTCCCTCGTTTGACCCTCCTTCACGTCGATCATAATAAGCGCTTCTAATCAGGAAGCTGGGCAATGCCCGAAAGGAATCCCTACAGTCCATGAGGTGGAAAATTGGGACGAGGAGCAATTGCTCGAATGGGTCCGGCGAACAAAACCAAACATTTTCCGCGATGACGAGGATGTTTTGACATTCAAAGTGGCAAAAATCGATGGCTCCGTCTTCTTGGAAAATGCTAAAAATCTAGACTTCTTCAAGCAAACTCATCTGCCCCTTGGAGTCTATAGCGCTCTTGCGGCTCTTGCGGGAATAGTGAGCAAACAAAGTAAGACGGCGGATGTCACGTAAACACTAGCCAACAGTGTTTAGACAATCAACCGAACCAGACAGCCGGCCGAAAGAGGAAACGTAATAACACCTTCGACGTACCATACGACAGCCAACTAACATCGTTACAGGGGATAAAACTGATACACCTGAAGAGCCACCCATTTCGCCAAAAAGACGTCAAAAAGATGAAGATGAAGACGAACTGACACAATTAGCCATCGAAGCGAGTAAGCGAAGAAAGGCCATTAAAGATATGATTACTCAGATGAACGACTTTCCTAACCAGTATTCTAATTCCGTCGATCCTCTTCCTGGAGCTGTCGATAAACTTTCCAACCCCACATTAAATCACACGCTCGACTTCCCATTTGTCGGCCCGATGCCAGAACGATTCAAAGAGCCCGGTATAGCTAGAAGAAAGTGGCTATATATGGGGAGAACAATGTTCAAATACTTCCTCCAAGAGGTAAAGAAAGTGCGAAAGAGTCGCTCTTACGAGAGGTGCTGGCTCTATGGAACCCAGGGCTTTGGGAAGTCTCGCCTTCTAGCCGCCCTTGTCTGCTACTTTGCTGCTCAAGATGAACGGGTCGTCTACCTACCGGATTACCAGGCGTTGCTCGATGACCCTGTTCCTTACGTCGTAGTAGCAATGCTGTTCGCCTGGGCCGACGATTTCGCCACCCAGAAGAAGATTATAGCCCTACGCACTGAAGACCAGATCGAGATATTCTGCAAGAATCAAAAAAACGTCATATTTATCGTTGATCAGATGAGTGCTCTTAAGACTAAAGGCATTGCAAATAGACAGGAGGCCGAAAGGATACGTCGCTGGGTGAACAGATTCACCTTCGTCAATAAAGCAATCTTCAGCTCCTCTGCAAATTGTGCGAACGACCTTGAAGGGCTGGGCCATCAGAGCCCAAACTGGGTGGTACCCGTCTATGGCGGCTTTACTAAGGTAAGTGGCGTCAAATTCGTGTCACGACGAGGTTCCTAACTTGGTTAGATGGAAATGGAGCAGTGGTGGAAGCAGCATGAAGATATTAGGATGGGAGGGTATTCCCGAAATCAGGTTGAAGACGTTACGGGCTGCATCCCATTGCTCTTGAATCGATGCGTGGTGAATGGGGCGATTGATTTGGCGGCCCCCGAATTGATCCAAATCTCTGACGAATCTGTGGCGTTTACGCAGCGAATCAAGTCCACTGCTACGAAGTATGATTGGGAGTGGTATGTTCGACTGATTTGATGCTTAGAACATTTCTGACTTTTCAGGTACTGCGACTACGTGAGGGCTTGCATTCGTAACCAGCCTATATCACCTGGATGGACGGCACACATCGAACTGATCGACCATCGATACTTTTACCAGTTTAACGACATCATTGGGGGATGTAGCTGCGGTTTAGTTCGTGACGCTGTAGCAAATAAGCTTCTCGAGTTGTGATATTACCTCCACCGAGGAGAAAGCCGAGGGAGAGGAAGCGGATGAAGAGGAAGCCGGAGAAGACCAAAGAAATGGACGCATGACGCGATCTAGGGCAAGGCGATCTAGGGCGCGCTAGCGAATGCTAGACTCTGTTGGCCAGGTTCATCGCAGCAGATGGGAGAAGTGAAGGATGCAGGGAATGGTAAGAGCAATGGATATCCTGAGTGGAAGATGAGGAAAACTGTGGCCCAGAATGATCGGAAGGCCACTGGTTTCGCTTTCGTGGTCAATGTCGTCATCCCTGTCGCCTTTCTTGCCGTGATTAATTTTGTTGTTGTAGGCCGCGTCGCTGTTGCTGCGTTTGCGGGAACCATGACCCACTGGCTCCTAAATTTCTCGCGCTACCGAATATTCTTGAGCGACGAAATCCGCACTGCTCACAGACGTCGCCCGTTGAGGAGATTTTTGTGCTCGACACCCAACTGGGTTGCAGCACGGAGAGCTGAGTGGCAACTACGGCTGTGTCAGACAGCTGGTGCCTAGTGCCAAGAGCCCCTATTCTGGCCTATATAGGGGGCTCCCGCCCTCCCATTCATAGTTGCAATCGACATTTTCACCCCTTCTATCCGCGTCTCACTCCGTTCGACAGGATGTTCGATTTTGACGACTATCCCCCTGGGCATTCACAAGTCTAGAACAATCGCCCATCACGCGGATTCATCTCCGCAAGGCGGTGCCAGGAGACGCACCGACGCCGACACCTTCAGGACCATGGTCAAGGCGTAGATGATGGAGGGGTCAGCTGAGCCTGCACGTTGTGCGGCCGGTGAAGCCAAATGTGCTATGGAAGAATTGGAGACATGAAAGGGGCCGAAACGGGTTGCGTCAAGGGTGCAGAGGCTGCGAGGATCGGGGATTAGGAGAGGCGAAGCAGGTTTTGAAGGAAGCTGATGGAGAATCGAAGGGGGGCTGTGATCGTACTCGAAAGGGTAGGCAACCTCAAACGGAGAACTCGTTCCCAGCACCGAATTTAACACACGTAAACTTTGTTCGACATGTTCAAATAACACGAATCGGGAGGAGCTTTATGTCACGGAAGGATATTTCGGATTATGTTAGAATGGGGGTAATATTCGGGTGCTCGCTGATGGCGTCTTCGGTGTCGTCTGCCTATCTCCACATGGGCCATAGACTGGATCCGATCAGGCTGGGAAGGCTATGCTGGGGTAGCAAGATGTGCCGTACACGCTGCCGAATGAGACCACTGTTCCCAGCCCCACCCGGCCACATGGTCCACGTATCGGATCCAATGGCGGTGGTACATCATGGGATCCGATCCAAGGGCCCCATCTAAATATCGAGGTTGGGGGTGCCGACACTTTCACGTGACAGTTGCCAAGCCACTGGTCCACATTATTGGCCAACACAACGGTCTTGGCGTCTCACACACGTTACCTCAAAATCACGTGATTCCAACCGGAAATTAATGTTCGTATTTTATCTGAGTGGCAACACCGGGTTTTAGTCGAACCGATAGAATTGAGGGACCTCACTAGTGTTCGATCATAGGTGAGGCAAGAGGGTTGTCCGGCCTAGCTCCATTGAGTTTCTAGGTGCCCTAGATGGGTAAAGGTAATGCTCCAGCCAGTAATTGTTGATGTCGCACTTGATGATAACTGTTGGGGAGGGTCATTCAGTTGAACTTGTCTGGCTGAAGCTTTCATTGGCTGCGGCACCCCATCTATGAGTTCATCAGAGATGGACCACGGAGTACAGAATAACAAAAGGTGGTGTACAGACTAACACTTCCCGTCCCTGACCTCCAACCCACGTGACATCCACAAGGTGTGACACACGTGACACATGATCAGAATGTCAGAATGTAAAAAATGCAACCGGCGGACACCACTTGAAATAATGTAGCGAAAATAGCTAGTGTGTCGTCACTAAAGGTGCGCGAAAAGACATTGGCCCGGTAGGCGGCGTGCTTTGTTGTGTGCATCAACAGACCGTCAAACTTGGTGTGCAATTTGAATTTGAATGAATGCTCTGGCTCTATATTTCTTCAGTGTTGTTGCCTGTGCTGCAGCCCAGCAGGCAACCGTCTCATAGGTCAATATATACCTTTTCATTCCAACAAAGCTTTTTTTTAAATCCTGATCTCAATATCGTCTTCTGACTGGCCGTTGCGCCTTTTCTTTCTACTCACTTGTCCTCTGCAGCCACTCCTACTCCTGCTTGGTACGCCTGCTGGTGCTTGATTCTACTCCCCGTCTCTCCGCTTCGCTTGTTGTACCTACCTCCCGCCGTCCTATCAACCGCCATGGAACCCCTTCCAGAATATACACCCAAGCAGGCCAGCTACAAAGAGAAAGCCGCAATCAGGTGGAATGTAAACGATCTGCTAGCTTGGATCAAAGACAAGCGACCGGACCTGCTCGACAATGACGGCAGTGAGAAACTCAGAAAGGCAGAAACCTCAGGAGAGGTTTTCTTGGCTTGTGCTGGTAACAGGGAGTTCTACAGAAATGATTGCAAGCTACCTCTCGGGACAGCCGCAGTGCTCGCGAATCTATCGAGGGAGCTCGCGGAAGAGGAGGCCGCCGGTATACAGAGTAAGTTACTCGTCTTTCATGTCATGCACACCACGTAAGTAGCAAGATAACAACGTCACAGGAAACAGACACCAGGCCGAAGATGTGGAGATGTTCGACGCCGCCGATATGAAGAGTAAGTTACTATCTTTTATACTACTTAGGCTACGTATATAGCAAGCTAACAATCTCGCAGGCCCAAGGAGAGTATATGATGCTTTCAAGGCCGGAATCCCGTACAAGCCCCCACGTCCTCTTCTAAATACGAGCGGTGTGAACTGGGTATTTCAGCCACACCCGGAGCTATACAAGATAATTGCACCGAACGTTCTCGAGCACTACACCAGATACAAGAAAAATCAAGCTGACAAGGTGTACGTTCCCATCTATTTCTACCTAGGGGGCGCCGGAACTGGAAAGTCGAGACATGGCTCAGAATTCGCCTCTTCGGTCCAACAAGCCATCACGCTCCACACTGAACACAAACTCTACCCTGAGCTTGCGCAGAGATTGAAAACGGCCTTTGTGTTTCATGTTTCGTTTGAGAACGAAACATTCTTGACGGATGAAGAAAAGAGTAAGCCATGGAATGCGGTTGGTGTCAGAATGCTGCGGCAGCTACTTGGTGGGAATATTGAACGTATCAGGCGCAAATACGTCGCAACACCTTGTGACGTTTTCCGACTCGTCGCGGCAGCCGAAAACGTTGACCTGTACAACGATTTCACTGGAATTTTGGTGGTCGACGGAATCCAAAGAGTCATTACGTGGGACGGAGACGGGACGAGTAATGACAGTGTCTTTTATGGATTGTTGCGCCAAATAGGTGATTTAAGTTTAATGTCGCGCCATCCTTCCGAAACCGAAGAAGGAAAATTGAGGCAAACACCCTTCATCTTGACTTGTGTCACTGCGACCTACCTTGGGTTTGCACGTCAATATTTTATGGATTCCCACCGCAAGCACGTATATCTACCACTCAACCGGTTAGATGTGCCGACTTGGAAGGATGACAACTCGGAAGTTCTCAACGACGACCCCGGCACCCGTCTTCTCGTGAATGACGTTGGTGGGCACGCGGGGGCAATAGAAACAATCGCCGAAGAACTGGCTCAGTATCGAAATAGGTCCCAGCCAAATATCACCGAATTGGCCAATGCAATCCTCTTCAAATTGGAGGACCGCTATCACGAAGTCATCTCCATGATGGGAGAGGACCTCCTCCCTGTCGTACCGATTATCCTCTCCAGACAACCAGTTCGTCTCCAAAGTTCTATCCCTGGGTCGGACTTGCGGTTGGGGCATATTACCGCGCCTGGGCTTCTCTGGTTTGAAAAAGCTGAGGAAGCTTACGATTCCCAATACAGTTACGGTGCGTGGGGGTACCTTGTAGCCCCTTACATCTGGCTCTGGCTGCTTGCTCGGTCGCTACCCCCCCGAAACACCGAGCGCCTTTGCCGACTTCTAAAGGAATGGGAATTCAACGATTACCAACAGCTTCTTCACCTTCAAACAAGCAAAGGACACGCCGGAAAAACCACTTGGCAAAACTTCGAGACATTCTGTTGCTACTTTCGCATTTTGCGGTCGTCGGGATTTAGTGATAGAGAGGAAGTGGAGTTCAGGTGCTTACATTCAGGGTGCAAAAAATTACGAGATGACAAAGAGGCGGTGGTGGTGAATCGGCGGCTTGATTATGCGGAAGCGGCCCACCAGTACAGCACCAAAGCAACGTCCGCCAAAGATATCGTCACCAAAGATATCGGAACTTTGGATGCGGAGAAGCAGTTATCCCATGTCATCCTTAACGCTCCGAGCGCGTCGGCCGGCGATTTCTTTCTTAGTATCCAGACGGACTCTGCGCCATTTACGCCTTTTCGGAGCAAAATTGTGCGCGAAGTAGGACGGTGCAAATTTGTCAAAAAGAAGTTGAACGCCGAAACGTACACTGAGGAGAGGAATAAGGCTGCTGGGCCAGACGATTTCTTTATATTATACACAACAACCGACGCTCCGGATGACATCGCTTTGCCAGACCGGTCCGGGCTTGTTGATCAGAGTTGCTGGATGTCCTATTTTGGTCCATTTGCCGGTCGTGCCTTCATAGCGTCGCAGTACGTCAGCTCCCAAGTTGAAGAACCGTAATAGGGCTGCCAAGGATGGCTCGCAGAGGCGCAAAGAAGGGACGAGGCCCGACTGAGGCGGAAACGTCAATGGTGTTGCGACTGAGCAGTGGAGTACTTGTCTCGAGGTTGATAAGGGATGAAGGTAGTCATGGTAAAGTTGAATCTAGACGTAAATTCACACAAACGGCCGATGAGTGTTTTGGAAGATGTGAGCTAGTGGGATGGAAAGGACCGAACAAATAGCGGATCTTGAAATTGACGACTAACGGAGGGCCACTCCCTCTCCCAAAAAGCACAGCCTGGCTTCTCCGGTACAGGGTTCACGATCCCGGAGCACCGGCGTCATGCCGCCTGCTCATTCCTTCGTCGTGCCTGTCACTTCCATCAGGGTGCCCCCTCCACTGCTTTGAGCCCTGACACTGGAGGGAGTCATCGACCATCATCAGAAGCATTTCACGCGTCCGTCGTCAGACGATGTGTCGTTCGCCTGCGCCCTTTGGGGCCAATAAGAAGGCGCAGACACGCTAGAGGGAGCTGACTCCGGGCAGATACACCCACAGATACACGGATATAAATGACGTATCCTAGTCTTGACACACACATAGTAATTTTTATGGGAAACTGTGAGGCCTTGAATGACTTACTATCTGATCGAATTGCTTTCATTTGACCCTATCGTCAGCGCTTGTATCGGCAACTGTGGTGTTTTCAACCAGCAATATGGCCTCTTCTGCTCTTGTTTATGCCGCCGCCGCCTGGACAGCCCGTCCTGGCTGTCATCCGCAGTATAGGGCTCCTTTTGAAAGGGCCGTCGATAATTCCCTGTTGAGCCGAGTGAAAATTGGTTGAATAAATCTATCTGACCGAGGTGCAAGCTACAAAAAGGGGCACCGAAGGGTGCGGTGCACGTGACTAGGCTAGGCCCAATGTGGACTGCCAACATGCCCTTCCCGCCGGCGAGACCTTCCAGTCGAAGGTAGAGGCGGAACGTCGTCTGCGTATCTGGGCCATGATGGAAGGCTTCGACAGAGGAATTCGACAATTGTTCGCCAGACAGGTTGCAATTGGATTTCATCGGATCCAGTATCCAATGCGTGGATCATGTCAGGTAAGATCTATCGAGCTTGTCAAGCCCCCCGCACATGGTCCACGGATTGGATCTGATGATAGTGATCCCGGAAAATATTTAATCCGATAGCGGTGAACCGGAAAATGGTTAATCTGACGGTACTCCGTAGTGGTTCGGAAAATATTTGATCCGTAGGGGTGGTCTACTGATCGGATCTAATCCATGGTGATAATTGGGTCAATTATCAAACGTGGCTACAGTGGCTTGGCTCGACGAATTCGAGTCATGCCAGGACTTTTGGCACGTGACACTGCATCTGCAGCCTAGGAAATCACAATGGATGTCGAGGGAACATGGGTACTGGATCCGATGGGATCTGGTCGGAAAATATTTAATCCGATGGTAGTGGACCCGAAAATAGTTAATCCGTTGAGGGTGGACCGGGAAATGTTTGATCCGTTAAGGGTGGTCACCGATCCATGGGCCCACCAAAAGGGAAAAGGGGGGGGCTTCGTCGTCGGTTTACCCTCCCCCTGGGACAACGTACGTCATTCGTATCAATGTATCTGTGGGTGTATCTGCCCGGAGTCAGCCTCCGCTAGAGCTGAGCACAGGTAAGGTCCAAAGTTGTCAGGCAGAAATACTGGCTTTAAGGGGCCCAAACAATTCGACTTGAGATCGTGGCAAGGAAGGGTCGGTGATTGAAGGGCGGCGGAAGGGGATGTTTGGAGGAAGGCTTGAGGACAGGCCACCTAAACCAGAGGCGGATTTCCCAGTCAACGACTTTACATACATTCTCTTCCCACCGCTACAACAACAAAGCCGGCAAGTTGTGTGTTTATGGTGCTTTAACCACGTTAGGAAAAGGCCCCTACTGGATCAATTCTTTTGCCATCCGTGGGGCCTGCCGTCATTTCATCCACCAAATGCCCAAATTGATCGCTTAATGAGAAGTTGTTTGCTTTTCAGCTTCTCAAAGTTCTGGCATTCCTGAACGTGAAACTCTCTCCACGAACCTGGTCAATGGAACTCTGGATCTCTCTTGCATCGTTGTGGATAGATCTTTCTAGTCCAACGTTCGAACTTGATAAGCCGGGCGCAAAGGGAGCAGCGCCAATGAGGGCCAAATACGGCTTGTTAGGCTACCTAAGCCTAAACAAGCCTTGATGAAGTCATTGCGCATGGACAAGAAAGGCGAGTAATGGGTGTTGTTGAGCTGTTAAATGAGCTCTGTTCTCTCGTTTTATTCGCTCTTCATGAATCTTCGTCGTCATCTGATAAGTCATTCAGCGCACAAAGACTTGAAGCAGTGCTGCTTGATACCGTCTGGACCTTGGATTTGGCGGAAGAATTTAAGGCTGCGGATGCGGACATTTTGATGTCGGAGTAAAATTTCTTCAGGCTTTAAAGCCAGTCCTGGATTAACACCTCAACCACGAATTTTATTGGGAATTCTCTAGAATATGGATCATATCTTATCAGCAGACGAAAAAGAAAAATTTGACGAGTTCATTCCAAAAATACCGTGGCTCGGATTTGACCACACACCATCTGAGCATCTTGGAACATTTGATGACTATGCGTTGCAGCGCGGCTGGTCTCGAGAAAAGTTACTCGACCTCAAAGAAGGGAGACTGGGAGGACTAGAGAAAGAGTTCTTGAAACCGTTCCTCCAAAGTTGGTTCAGCATTGGCCTCTGGGAAGCAGCGCTCGGAAAGGGCCTGGAAAAGGACGACTTCGTTGTATCGAAATCTTCAAAGCTCGTGTTCACGAGCGAGTCGTTGAGACAAATTATCAAAAACTTGGAAACAAGTTTCAAAAGCACCTCGAAAGATGACCCCAGCAAAGTCAGCATTTTGAGCCGGTTCAACCATGTCCTCAGGGCGGCGAGGATGTGGAACAGAATGCTCGGCGAAACCCAGCTCTTCATCAAGCCGAACCTGGAGTTCTGCGACGAGACGTATCATTCAGTCATGCGAATGTTCGCTCTGCTAGGCGTGACGCTTCAGTACACCGGAGAGTTCCTCGCTATATGGGTGTCAGTGAACTTCAGAACACCGCTTCAGTATCATTGGTCTTTTACATATGATGTGGAGCAAACTCTAAGAGAACGAATGGTCAAGTGTGGATGGTGTCCATATATTCGAACCATGCTGAGTCCCTTCAATGTCATCGTTGCGGAATATGCTGCTGTCATAGGGCCATCATCAACGTATTTCAGCCATCACTCATGCTCAGCAGCAGAATGTGTAAGGCATAATATTGACGAAGGTACCTACAAGCCCTTACATACCCATCCTGATTGTCAGTGCTCGTTTGTGAGGCCGAGTCTAGATCGAATCGCAGAGATCTTGGATCATGGCCAAATTCCATTGATGGATTTTAACAAGATCTCCGACAGTGAAGGGAAATCAATCGAGGCTGTGCCATTCGAGCCTAATAAAACAGTGTTCACTGCCGTGTCGCACGTCTGGTCCGGTGGATTTGGCAGCACGTCGGAAGCAGGACTTCCGCAATGCGCACTAGATCGGCTAGCGGGATATATGGAAGATAACGACAACAAGAAACTCGTTTGGATTGATTCCCTCTGCATTCCGCGAGGACGGAGATTGCGAAAATTGTCCATCCACAGTATCAACAAAGTGTATAGCCTGGCAAACACAACGCTAGTCTTGGACCCAGAGCTCATGCGCTCACCTTCCTCGAGCACTCGGCAGATGTTGCTATGGATCACCACTGCAGCGTGGATGCAACGAATGTGGACGCTTCCCGAAGGTCGGCTATCTCGTCTCCCATATATCGCTTTCAAGAATGGTGCTGGACTTCTGCAGCATCTGCTCATGGATGGAGAAAACGAGTACGAGAATCCAGTCACCGGAGCACTTATACCCGATCTCTTCGGATTGTTCTCACAGAATATCAATGAGCTCCGATATATCCACCAATCCCTCTGTTATCGTACGACCAGTAAGCGCGAGGACGAGGTACCAGCTCTCGCCGCGCTTTTCAATGTCGACACCCGGCCCATATTGAATACCCAATCCCTGGATGAGCGGATGGCCATTTTCTGGATAGCTCTCCGGGGCAAGGTCACCATTCCTGTGAACATTATTTTTTTGACGGGGCATAAGCTCTCGATTCCAGGACTGCGTTGGGCACCGAGCAGTCTTCTCAACGCGGGCAGGCAACTGAGTCTGTTAACTCCGCCTCAGGGGGTGAAATCGCACAACGTAGAACTGAGTGACGATGGGACTTTGACAGGGACATACGTTGTGATTCGACTGGACAAGAGGGCCATGTTGTTGCTCAACAAATTCAATCCAATTCGACTCTCGGTTCTTCCAGAACCAGGTTCAAGACAGCTTAGAGTTGCTCCATTTACCCTCTTGGCTTTCAACAAGGTCGGGACTGATGTGCAAGAAGAAGGGATCTTGCAGGATATCGATGCTTTTGCGCTCAACGTCACAAATCCCGAGGCCCGAGCTGGAGAGTCTCTGGCTTCCGAATTACTGGCGGCCGTTCGCTCGGTAGTTGCCTTGACCCTCGATCATCCTGAATCTCAGGCTGGGACAGGGACGACACAAAACAAGTGGGATGATGATCCATCAGCCGCCATGACTGATACAGGGGCGGTCGATCGCTCAAATAGTTTCTCATTCAGGGCACGGTATTTGATGCAACTGTCTCCGATAGAAACCACAGGGAATGAGTTAATATCGGGCAATGTCAGATGGGCCCGAATTTCGATATCCTAAAGGTCGCTGCAGGTGTTGAACGCGTCGAGCGTCTTTTGTCTAATATCCGAGGACAGATCGGTCACATTATCACCCAAACATTTGGGTAAAAGAGAGTCCCGTCAAACTGAATTCGACACATGCTTGCCATTAAATCCATCTCTCATTCGTGGGTCTTCCATTTGAGGATCCTGATTCAATCCCGAGGCGCGCCTGAATCTGACCGGCGGTCGGAGAGGACCGAAACCGAATTCTCTGATATGGAAGCAAGTACACGGGGCCGTCGCCACTCCTCCGTGACCGTCTTACCATTATCGTGAATCACGAGCATGTATGGCTGCTCAATCGGCTCCTCATGTTGAGCTGGAAGGACACTATTTGCTTCCGTGCACTCTTGGGAGTTGCTGGAGTGAGGAATAACCACAAGCTCTGGCACAGGCGGATCGGTTGGCGGATCGGTCGTTGGAATGGCTGATATGTCTCTGGCGGTCGGATGGATCTCAACCTGTTCCAGACCCTCCTGGCCTAGCGGAACTCTGGAGCTGGGACTGACAGCTGCGTCACTGCTGGATGATACGACTGTTCCGTTTGCAAGTTCCTTCATCACAGCCTTGGAGATTGCGATCTGTTCCTCCGCCAGAACTTGAGTTCTTTCAATCAAGTTCAGAAGAGTCTGCTCCTGTGTCGTTTGCTTGGCGAATGAGTTCCTGGTACCAGTCCTTGTAATTTTGACTGTCCGAATGGCCTCATAATAACGTTGATTGTCCTTGCACTCTTGTGTGAACATTTTGATCTGTTTTCTTAGTTCCTTGCTGTACCAGATATATTAGTCTGTTGTTTGCAAACTCACGGGCGATCAGATCAATGGATGCCACAACGCACATTTGCCCGGGAATCTCGTGAGAGATTACTTTGCCATTTTTGCGATCCTCATCCCATTTAGATAGTAAAATCCGGGTGTTGAATATTCCAGTCAGCACTAGAAGACTAAGTTTGATGGGTTCCAGTTTGGCTAAAAGTTCTTTCAGATCTTTCTCGTCACAAATCATCCACATAAGTTTGGCACGCATTCGTGAGAGTCGTGTTGCTTTGGGGTTTTCGAGAGGTTCAATCCTTCTGAAAGTCATGCCTATGTTTGACATTTCCGCGCTGATAGCCTTTCGGATTTGGTTGAGATGTTTTATCGTTTGTGGATCTTCAGCTATAGCAATGTTTCTCGAACTTATATCGTCGGCGGTTTTGTACAATAGATCTATGATATATGAAAATTGAGAGACGGATCTGCGCAATTGTTTGGCATTCTTTTGAGCTCCCCGGATGGATCGATAGGATTTCGTGCAGTAGCCCGACAGCTGGATGGAAAGCTGAAAGAGTCCGGCCACTGCGGCGGCAAATTCGACGCCCGTAGGCATGGAGGTAGGCAAATGAAGATATTGTTCAAAAATTAAATCAACTTTGAAAGAAACCTGAGTAATTGCGAGACTGCCATGGTAGACTGGCCCTGCCTTTCGTGTCATGAAATAGGTCGTCCATACATCCTGAGCGCATGACTCTTGTCGAAGTCGATCGAAGTATTATGCAGAGCAGACCTATCAATGGTAATCACTAGATGAGTGCACAACTTGTTGGCCAATACTCTAGCCATTTCTGCATGACCAACATGGCGATCTCATGCAGACTAAACCACACCGGTTTGCATCCGCTCCTACCATTGGGGCGAATTCAGCATCCTTGTTTCGGTAGTTGGAGACAGCCTCGCTCTTTGACGGAATATATGAATCGTCATGCTTTGCTGCTACAGCAATTTCTGGGTTCTGCCGAAGGTTGAGAATCTGTCCTACACTGATTGAGATTATCCTCCGCTTTAACCCTACAGTAATTGGCGGGAAACAAACAGGCCACGGGTGGCCCAGCATGAAAATGTGGACGCTACAGAATCGATTGAGATATCCAAGGCGACTTCTATTATTTGATGAAACCGTGAGAGGACCTTCTTAGTGATGCTATTTAACTGGTTATTATCATAGCTGAGAAGCTCGTCGAGGCAGTATACTTTCTCTGTAGGACGAGTGTACCAAAAATGGAAAAATGTTGTAATTGAGAGTGCTTTTTCGGTAAGATCGTATTGGCCCGTGCAGGCATGTAGCTGGCTATCAATCGGGTCTCTCTACAGGTAGTATACTTTGGTGAGTTCACGCTGGTCTTGGGCTAATATTGGAACACGGAACGACCGAGTTGTGCTTCTGCACAACCCCCCATGAACCTTTGGTGTAGTAATCTTTCAAGCCAAGAAGAAAAGCACAAGTCCACCATTGTAGAGTGCCTGTGTGTGATTATATTTGGCTGATAAATCTTTTGTTTTCCCCTTCTCTTGTTATCTCGACAACTGCCTCGAATCTAACCCACAGCACAGCCATAGTCGCTGTCGACAGGAGGACGCCAACCATAATACTGGTGTTCTGGTAGTGTTTTGGACCTGTTTCATTCGTCGAACTTCTGATCAGCGCTCCGGCGACCGGTGTCCCCACCATCGTTGCCAAACCGCGTCCCATATATAGCACACCGTTAACAGATGCGAAGTGCTGCACTCCAAATAACTCAACAAGCGAAGTTGGAAAGAGAGAGACATACGCCGATGCAAATACACCATAGAGGACTGTGAAGGCGATGAAGAAATTCCGACCATCAGACTGGGTTTGAGAGAGGGATGACGGAAGCCACAGGACCAGAGCACTGATTGCTGAGATTCCTGTGGTGAGCAATAGAGTATTGAGGCGACCGATTCTGTCCGCCGCATGACCAATGACAATCTTACCGATGGCATTCGCAGCGTTCGATAGAGCGATGAAGTCGGAGGCGGTGGCCGCAGAGTAGCCTAAAGTTCTTGCGTATGATGCGAAGAAGAATACCGGTGTATAATACGCTGCTGACTGCAGAATCGCCCCCAGAGCTTGCGCGAGGAACTTTCGAGATCGAGCAATGCGATAGTTTATCAAAGGTATTTGGAAAAGTCCTGCAGCACGCGATGAAGGTATTGCCTCTGCTTGAAAACGACGGAGGGTACCAGGCTCCCACGTCACGACGGATCCGGCCGCGATGATAAGCAGAAATGCAACGGAGCCTGAGATCCTTAAGGTATTGCGAAATCCGACCGCGGCGATGAGTGAGTGTAAGACAGGTGCCCAGACAACTCCTCCGATGCCGGTACCTGAGAGAACAATACCCATGGCAAGGCCACGGCGAGCAGTGAACCATGTCGGCGTCACCGTGACGGCGGGCAAATATATGATAGACACGTGCCGACTCCCGCGAGAAAGCCTTGCGTGAGTTCGAATTGCCAGAGCCGTTGGCTAAACGAAGCTAAAAGAAAGGCGCCGAAAAACACGACGCTGCCGGACCAAATGACAAGGTATGGAGGATACCGCTTTGTCCAGGCTGTAGCGAATGGGGCGCCGATGGTCATGAGGGAGATGGCTAGGGTACCAATCAGGTCAATTTCCGCCGGTGAAGAGCCGTAGAAAGGAGATGAAGGGATGTGAGACATGCTTTCATAGAGCTCTTGATAAACGCCGAAGGCGAACGCGATACCGCATACTGTAAAGACAAGCGTGGTAGAGGCGATGACGATGAATGCATGTTGCAGATTGGAGATGGGAGGTGGTTGCGGCTCCGTTGCCGAGGAGACCTCTCGGCCCAGCTCGACTTCGATTTGTTCAGCTAGATTGGACATGTTGATTCTGCTTCTCGACTTTTGTCATCTCGATTTGCCCATATGAGAGAATCTTGAGAGAATCGAGGATGGTGTTCTGTACCAACGAGGGGTGTCGAGTCACGGGTGGGCATAGGGCGGCATGACCTTCTTCCCAATCGGGGGTTAAGTTTGGAGCTTGAGACTCAAACTTCAGACCGAGATCCCAATTGTTTGTTGTCGGCCACATACACCACATCAATGTCGTTTCTACGGTCTTCCCAAAACTCCCTCCGACTTCCCAGAGCCTGCACGCAGGTCCCCCGATCAACAAGATGGCTTTCACAGACACCGCCACGGCGGCTAGGCGAGCCCGACCCGAAAGCTGTCCCCGACGTCCAAGCCATGCAAATGACCGAAGATCAAGCTTCAATGGTCGAGATCGAGAACAAGAACGACGCGGCGGTCAAAAAATACCATCCTGACCACCAACCTGATTATACTGCAATGGTGGATCACGGAACATCATGCTACTCGCCTGTTCCCAAGAGAGTGATGAATGGCAGTGAACCCGGCGAGGTCACGCCCGCTGCTGTCTTATCTGGAGCTCCTGTGGATTTACAAGCTCGAACAGTCAGGTGAGAACTGTGAGCTTTATATCAGACGCCAGTCGGAGTTGCTGACAAGCCACGTTTTCTAGAATCTACAAACCCGCGAAACCCGCAACTCAGTCCGGAACATGGGGCTCGCATGCCTGGCGCATGGACTGGGATGTGCTGGGCAAGGGCCACCGGTGGGAGAATCCCCTGATGGGCTGGCAGTCGTCGGCGGATTTCATGCAAGCAACCAGAATCAACTTCAGAACGAAAGAGGAGGCCATTGCGTTCGCTGAGAAGCAGGGTTATGAGTGGTATGTGCAGGAGCCACAGGTTAGGAGGTTCGTGCCCAAGGCATATGCGAATAATTTCTTGCACGAACCGAATAAGTTGAAACATATCAAGACGAAATAGACGGGCGGAAGGACCTGCATCAGCATGGTACTTGGGCTAGCCCGGATGGATTTGACATGATCGCAGATAAACAGGCAAAGATTTTGCGAGTTTGCAAGATTGGGCTCTAGGTGGACTGTTTATGTTGACCTCATTATACTGGCAAACGCCAAAAAGATGAATATAACCATGATAGTTCTGGTTCATCACCGCAGACAAGTACTTTGATGAGTTTCCCGACCGAGCGCTAATATCTAGAAAGTTTTAAGAACTGCTGGAAATGGACAGGTGGAATGTGATGATCTAGGTATAATTCTGGGTCATTCAATTATCAATCTTCATTCTAGAAAATATCAAGCCTGCTAAGCCTCAAACTTGGCCACAAACGGGGATATCACAGCACGGCAGACTCATCACCCGCACGCGCCATCGTTTGTCAATCTCATTCCTACGTCGTTTAACATCCGCCTGAGCATAGACTAATAGTTATGCTTTGCAGCTTGTTTATTCACGTCGGCCTGTGTGTTATGGCTGGTCTCATGCATCTTATCCTTGACGGCGTTGCTCGCAGCTCGCAAACGAGTCGAAGTTCGAACGTTGGGGTCTTTGGCGATCCTGCGCAGCGCATCAGCAGCTGTTTCACTTCTTGAAAACAGGGAAGAGTACATACGACTTGTTGGTCTCTTTGCTCGCGCCGTGAGCAGAGCCCTTGACTTTGTTGGAGATGTAGTTTCCTGCGGATCTGAGGGAGTTCATGTTTGCTGACTGATTATTGTTGTGGATTGATAGGGATAGGATTGTATTTTACTCGGTCAGGTGGTGGATAACGATGTTCTGAAGAAGACAGAGAGAAGATCAAGCGACGCATATCCCAACCATATACTTACCCACCCTCCCGTTTCGAATACACCTTCCATGAGATCGATAACCCTTTTAGGCCTCAAGAGCGAACGATGTCATTCCACATGTTTCTGCTAATGAAAAACGACAGCTCAGCACAGCTAACCCCACTGGGAGCTTACTCATAATCATATCAGGAAACTCTGTGAGCTGAAGGTCTCGTAAGAAGGGCCAACGACCTATCGGACACCAAGTGAAAGGTTGTGAAACCTGTTTCGGGATACGGATTTAGGGCTGGCCAGGTGAGCGATGACCGATGGGTTCGAAGATCGATTGCCTTGAACGGGGTACAAGGACTGAATAGGCTCATCAGATCACGGCAGTGATTGAGCGTAGGAGAAATCAAGGTCGAACGAACATGGATGGTACGCTACGTCATCTGTGGCACTTGTGGCCTCACATGGTGGCGCGCTCTCAGCCTTGCAGGCCGGTGGAGCACAGCCGGATCAGGCTGAAGACAAAGAGCCAGGTCATCGGTTATCACTACAATTCAAGAACGAGATTCTGGGGTGAAATCTTGATTGCCAAGTTGGCTAATGGTGCCCGTGAGACCACATCCCGCTTCCTGCCCAAGCGAATTTCTATGCGTCCGTGGAGACTATCTGCGGCACTCCCAGCCAGCCCCTTTGACTCGCTGTCCTGCGAGAAAAGTCCGACATTCAGGGCGCACCTCCCTTCTTGATCGCTCCATATTTGCAACTAACGCTAATCGGTCCGTCATCGTTCATCGCATTGTCAATCAATAACTGACTTCTCTGATAGTCTTTCATGCCAGGATAGTGGAATCCATCGACTTTCAACCACCCGTCATGATTACAGTAATTTTGTTCGTACATGGAACACTCGAGGCCTTTATCTGGGCCCATAGATCCTTGAGATCCGTAGTTCCTAGATTCACACGAGAAATATTAGCATTGAATCCTGACAGCAAGTGTAAGCATCGGAGAGACAAGGTGAAAGGGGATGGACAGGGGAGTTGGTCCTTGCCGGTTATAGCAGCCGCCATCTTCAATCGGCGTCCATATGCATGGCATGATGAAGTTTTTGTTCATGCATTCGTAAATACCCAGGGGCATCGTACGAGAGTGATGGGTGTGTAGGTCGCCGTCTTCGTGTTCTCCCATTATGTGTCGGAATCTTGGGCCTGGAAAGTCATCGTCGCCATCGCCATTCGCGCGGTGGTCGTTGTTTGCATGGTGTTCATCGTGGTCAACCTCTCGCGAATGTCTTTCTTTTTCTGGTCTCTTCCCCTGATAGGTGTCTCCTCCTGAGTGAATCAAACGGCCATTGCGATACACCACTCTAGTGTTCTCGCCGCGGCGATGATAGTCTGGATGGTGAGTGTGATAGCCGCCGTGGTCACCACCACAAGAACCGTCGTGGTCAGCGCATCCGACACCAGTTGGAGCGCTGTCAGGCTTTTCCCATTGCCCCATACCTGGTAATGTAGTGGTAAGAGTTGCTAGCGAGACGATGAGGATAAGGGAAATTTTAATAGCTACCATTTTGGCTGTTTGTCAGTATAATCAGCAAAACTGTGGACCTGTACAAGGATATACTTCAACCTTCATTAGAACAGTATATGTACCTGGTGACGGATGCCCTCGAGAAATTGAGAAAGGAAATCTTTGTCTGTCTGACAGGCGTATGAGAAGCTGTCATGGCTTCAAACAAGCACCTCACGAGTCTTGCTAACCGTTTTCAAAGAAAACTGGAATATTTGATTGGGTCTCATCCTACTGAGCATAGTGCCATAAAGTACAGTGAATCACTAAAATGGAGACGGATGACTCTCAGAGACAAAGGTTGGTCTTAGTATTGTTCTTCTGGAATGAGAGAAGCGGCTTAGTATTGTTCTCTCTGATCTCGAGTTATCGCCGGCTACAAAGGGATTCTCCAATTAGACAAGGAATCTTCTCCCATAATAAGTCGACGGTCGCGGTGATGGGCCTATAGTTGATGCTAGCAGGAATAATAAGAGGTTTCTCCCCTGAGGAGAACACGCCGGTGCTCTCTGTGTAAGTTTTTGGCTAGGGTGGTGGGCTGAAGGTTAGTGCTATCATGTACTCGGTCCCTTTCGCATTATACACGGTGAGGTGTGTAACACCTCGTCATTATTGACACTAATCCTCGACCCACCGTGAAGAACATAATTGTCACGGCCATACGGGAATTTTTGTTCCTCATGGCGCTAGATGCCTGCCTTGTATTCCGGGTGGCCTTTTTTACCCACCTCTAGTCCTCAACGGCCGAGTCACTGTCCAGCATTATCAATAAACTCTGCCAAAGTCTCCATGACTGACTGATGCTGCCCATTCCAACAGCTGCTCAGGGTATAATCAGCAGGGAAATTGGTAAACTCTTTTCGTTGGACCTCGCCGATTAGGACTTCATAACGAGCGAAAACAACTTGAGGGGTCGAATTTTTTCCTTGCGCTGGACGTAACATGACTCTTCGAGAGTTCACATTGAATCGAACGATTGATGGTGCTCCATATGATGACCCTCACGTCTTCACTCTGCGTGAGACCCCTAACGGATTCGACGAGCCGATCTTCTTGATACCCACGTGATCACAGGGTAGCTGATCAATGTGTAGTAAGCAAAATCACAAAGATCGAGTTCTGTCCGTCTGTTGTTGAATGGATCAAATCGAATGTTCTGGGGGTTGCTGTAGCCAGCACCTGGTTGTGTAGCCCTCATAAAAGGGGTAGACGCATCGAGAATTGCATAGAATTTCCAACCAATCAAAGCAAGTCATTTGCGGAGTCATGTGGTCTGTGGAAAATGCCCACACCTTGCCGTGTTAAATCTGGCGGCGCAAATCCATTTCTTCGAAAGTCCAGACCTTACTCGCCTAACAAAGCACCCATATCCTCCACAACCTATCCGAAACTACCCCGCTTAAATGCCTCCAACCGTAGTGGAGTACCGAGCACCAGACACACATCTCTGGCCTCCTCTTCGTCTTGGCTGTGACCCAGAGATCTCATCTAGTAGTTTACATGTCATGCTTAAAAATGAAAAGAAAAGATGGAAGCTCACCTTCCCCAACTTTACGATAACGGTATCGACCGTTTGCGGTCTGGACAGGCTTGCCTCACTTGCCGAAAGCGCAAGAACAAGTGCGATGGGTCTCGTCCGGCTTGCGGCTTCTGCAGCAAGAGAAGTCTGAGGTGCATCTACGACAATCCTAGCAGACATCCCACCGTAGACAGAGGGTACGTGACCCATCCATCCGAATTTGTTCAACCGGTCTGATAGAGTGGACTCTGCAGATATGTTGAGACGTTGGAGCAGAAGGTCCGAAGGCTGGAGCAGGAACTCAGGCAGATAGGAGGCAGCAGGAGCTCCGAGGCTCCTACAGTCCGTCCACAAACCGACGAAGCACTCGTACAGGATTTTCAAGTCGCTGGAGAAAGACCACGACCTTGTCAAGATCATCAAATATGGTAAGGCTTGATATGCGATCGTTCCTTTAGTGGTGCTAACGAATAATTCAGGAGAGGTCTCGATACACTCGGCTCTGGCCGACTTCGGAGTCGCGCCATCAGGCACATCTCCTTCGGATGCGGCGCGAACATCAGCAGACATGTCAAACGAGGAGTTCACAGTTCGGGATGCAGACGCTGATATCAAAGGGGAAAACTTCCCTTTGGACGACAACAGTTACGTCTTGCCACCACGCACGCTTGCATATCGCTTAGTTGACCTCTTTTTAGATCATGTGCCCCCGATTCTGCCTTTGGTGCATGAGCCGACTTTTCGCAACGAGTTGGACGAATTATACGACAAGCGCAAATCAGCAGGCATAGCCTTCCGCAGTCTGGTCAATGTCGTCTTCGCCTATGGCTGTGATTATCTTGAGCTTGACTTGGCTCGAACTTACGAATTGTCCCAAGATTTCCACGAACGAGCTACTGATTTGATCCTCCTAGTTTGCTACGAACTTGCGTCACTTGAAGTGGTACAGGCGGCTCTTCTGGTGACTTTACATCTCAACAGCAGCATGCAGTTCCACCGGATGTGGATAAATACGGGCTTGCTTGTGAGGACGGCACAAGCGCTGAACTTGCATCTGGACCCATCGGACTGGAACATCGGCATGATCGAGAAGGAACTGCGTAAGCGACTGTGGTGGTCATGATAAGGGTGCTGAACGTGGCAGATTCATCAGCTTGAAGCATGGTCGCCCTCCAGCTTTAAACATCGAAACTGGCCACCCAGTTCTACCGTCGGCCGCGGACGACGACCAGATCCTACCGACATACATCGTCAAATCACGAGATCCTACACGTCAACCTTCGCAACTTCACTTTTTCAATTGTCTGATGCAACTGATCCATATCTCGGAAACGGCACTCTCTTCCTATTCTACAAACGCCCCGTGGGTGTTGTCTAAACAGAAGAATAATAATCTTTCAAAGGACGATCCACGAAAAGCCCTCTATATCCAGATGGCCATGGCTCTTGAACAAGAAAGCAAGCTTGTTGCCTGGCTTGGGGAGCTCCCTGAGCATCTGCGCTTTGATTTCAGCAATTCAGATCCAAAGCTTCGCAAACAGCGGCGAAGTCTGCAGACTCGTTATTTGCATACCCGGCTCATGATTCATAGAATGAACATGATTCCCGCGATCAGGCCTGACAAGGGGAACAACATCCTGGGATGGAACGACAAATTCGCGCAGTCCATTCTAAGCTCGAGTATTCAGCAATGTATTGAGTGCTCCTGCGAATTGATTGGCTTGGTCACTGAATATTACGAACAGAATACCTTGGATCCATGGTGGCTTCTTCTCCAGGGTAAGCATTCTCTAACCGACACACTCTATTCTACATCATGAACTAATTCGACCTGCTCCAGTTATTTTTACGATTTTGGCCACACTCTTTGCCGTTCGAGCAAGAAGGAACATCCTCCAGAATCTAGACGATAACAGCATCAATATCACTCTCGAGAAGGCCATGAGCCTCCTGCATTCTTTGGGCGACATCAACCCAGCTTTAACTCAGTGTCGGCAATATTTTGAGTCACTGATGTCGTGTGCCGTGACCCAGGGCGCACTCTTGGACGGAGAAAAGGTTTATGGGCTCAAACTTCCCACGGATCCTCAATTTCAGACAACATCTTTTCCCCACACACGAAACCCCGTTCTAACGTTCCAGCAGAGGCCAAAATCAAGTATCCAGAACGTGGTGGATGGTCAAGCCCGGAACATCCACCTGTTGGATGCGGATCAGACGATGGCAGACTATCCTGCAGAACTGTTCGCTGATGCCACTTTCGGCAACTTCAACTTTGGCGCATTGGATCCTACTCTTCAAATGTAGCTGATCATTCTGGGTTACAGGTCATGGTCAGAGAGAGGACATTCCAACCTGGTGGTCCATTTCCAGACAAACTAACATGCTTTTCGACAATCATGTCCAAATTAAGATCTTTCTGCATACTATGCAAAAAAAAAAAAAAAAAAAACTTGAGGTCTGCAATTCATATTTCTCAGCATCATTCCTTGCGGGCTGTATGAGGGTGGGTTTTGCCAAAACAAGTAGCCTCGAGCTTCTTGTGTAATATAGACCAACTACTAATTCATGTCAGCCTTTCTACGTCTCTTGCGCTCTCTCCCTCTCTGTCCGACTTTGGCATGCGCGCTTTAGTCCATTACGGCTTTTGTAGAGGGGAACCCACATGAGCTGTGAGACATGGGGTACAGAATGAATCATCACCCACATTCCCACATTGTGCCAGCACAACTACTAGTAGACAATATGGCCAATAAAGGACCGCCCCTAACGGTGAAAGCTGACGTACTTGAACAACCCTTACGAACTTCGCGATGTTCCGGTTCTGGTAGTCCGCGACCCAGATAAAATCCTCATTCGTATAGATGCAACATCTTACTCCCATATCGACGATGTGCTAGCCTCAGGCTCCACACATCCTCCTCCAGCTCCTTCTACACATAACTACCACTAGCGGTTGTCTCGATGTCAATAGACCTAGAGGTTTTCGAGAATATACGGGTCATAGATTCTAGATAGAGTTAATTCCGAGTAGTGTGATAGCGATGCGATCGGCTCAAAATCTTCATTACTGTTTATAGTTTCTCTGTTGCTCGGCTCCACTATAGTACATTGCTACCGTGGTTCTGCGAGGAGCCTTATACGCACCTCATCAAGCTAGTAGACTGAGAATGTCTTCGCCATGCCATGTCATGTCAGTGTCCTACCTCTCAATTCCCTCTATAAACTCCAAGTACGCAGCGATACACTTCTCTGCTTCTTCGCTGTATATCTCATGTCCCGCCCCGGCAATCTCAACTAACTTGCACCCATTCCCAACCTGTTGTTGAATCTCTCTTTGGGCAGCAATGCTCGTCGCAGCGCTCCTTGTCGGTGCCAAAATTAACATGGGAACTGTGATTTTCCCCAAAACAGGCCTTGAGTCGATGGTACACAGGAATTCGGCATAACTAGCCAACCCTTCGCCGCTACTGACGGAAATCTGGTCAAGCCACCATTTTCGGTACGCCGGTTCGGTGGAAGCCATGGTGCCTGGACGTCCAGAGAGAGCTTGCGCCCACCCTCTGGAATTGAGTGCTCGGCATGCTTCGGGCCAGGCTTGTTGGCCGACGGCGAGAAATTCCTGTGTTGCTTTGGGTAGGTGTGTCGGACTCGAGCAGACTGCCAAACTGAGTACGCGCTCAGGGTATCGAGAGGCGAAGATCTCACCGAGGATCCCGGACGTGCTTTCGCCGAAGAAAAGGACCTTTTGGATTCCCAGTTGGTCAAGCGTGTCGAGAATGTCGGACAGGATCGTCTCTAGGGTATAGGCTTCTGGCTTCTGCAAGATCGATGGCGCACTGGACAGGCCGTGGCCGCGTAGATCGCGGCGGATAACTCTGTAGTGACGAGACAAAGCCGGGACCCATTGGTAGAAAAAGGCAGCATGGCGGGCAAATCCGCCCTGCAAGAGGATTGTTTCTCGCGGTTTCCAGGGATCAGAATGGCAGTCTGCGATATAGTGAGTGATCTCCCCAGAAGGATGTGTGATGAATTCACTGTGGGGATCCATCTGGACTCTGTGCAGTTGAGATGCCAGATGAAGAGAGTATTAAAAAGATCAAGTCAAGTGTCCAGCGACGGAAGTGATGCTATTTACTTGAGCTTTCTCGAAACTCTAATGGTCTCCCTCGAAGCGGAACTGGAGCTTAGGATTGTCACGTATCAGCTCGGCACTATACCATGCCCGATAAGTGGCGTAACCTGTGGGATAAGGGCGGTCCTGCCAACCAGTGATAATACCCCGAGCCTTCGAATGGACGCCGTCGCAAGCAAGCACACAGTCTGCCTTTATCCTCGTCTTCGTTCCTTGAAGAATTATCCCTGCTTCATTTTCGTCCTCGAAGACTTCGGTCACCCGTTGCCCAAAGAAGACGGGAATCCCAAGCTTCCGGCAGTGATCCACGAATAATTTCATGAGTAGTGGTCGTGGAGCCAGATACCCTTGGAAACTCGAGTACCCGGCCATGGGCTGGCGATATAACACCTCGCCAGTATCGTGTCTGTAGATATTGTTCTCGATGTATTGACCAGCATGTGGTATTATTTGCTCATGAATCTTGCCATTATCCCATTTCGCAATGATTTTTGCAGAATTGGGGGAGAGCCCGATCATATCACCTATCGTAGACAATGTGTGTTAAGAGCGGTCTTGGGAACATATATGGCGTGCTCACCTAATGTTGATACACCATGAGTCTGCTCGTATATCGCAACTTTGTGGCCTTTCCGATGGCACTCTATTGCTGCAGTTACTCCAGCGTAACCCAAGCCAATGACAATAACATTGATGCCGCTGGAGCCAGGGTAAGCGATGCCATCCGGCCCGCTTCCTTTTCCGGCATATTTCATGTTGAGAAAGGTTTGTCGAAGTGAATGTCGGATGTGATCGTGTTGTACGATGACTTTCTATGTCTTCGAGAAAGCAAACTCAAAGGTACATTCTCTGAAAACTCGAACTCGCACGACAAATCCTCCAAAAGTCGAGCTAGGGGCGTAGGCCCATGAGATAGATTCGGTCCGTTGGAATCTATTAGTGTGGGAGATCGTGGGGTGGGAGCTTCGTCGGTGGAACCGAACAGCTCAGAATGACCTTGCCTGTGTATTGCCATCAAACCTGCCTCCCACCAGTTCGTCCATTAATTGAACGGGGTATGAGTGCATAAAACGGTGGAGCCCGACCTAACCATGGTCAAGCCTCCTCCAAATTGTGGAGACGGTCGACTCCGGACTCCCTCCCCGGCACGCGTCACACAACACCCATTGGCAAGGATTGGGGAAATGTGAGTCGGAGGAAACCTAGATTCGACTAAACACGGCGACTGTCATGAGCAAGTACAATACTTGGAGGAATCAGGCCGTCAAAATAGCTTCCCCAGCAGGGAGAGAAGCGAAAATGGCTGACATGGACTCGACCAAGGCTTGGTGTCCCGTTTTTTGGGTGATCATCAGCACAGGGAAAATGTTGAATACAGTTAATTCTGGCTGACACGCACTACACACACAAGTTGTCGCTAAAAGTACAGATTGCCTTCAGCCTACTGCGCATCTACACGGGCAGACCAGGAGAGCAGGCTATTATCTTGCCTACTTGCATTCTCATCCTTTTGATCGCTCTCAAAGCGATCAAGTCCATATCAATAGACCAGTCAATTCAGTTCATTCCATCTCCAATGTCTCGGTATCACTTTTGCCTGTCCACTGACTTGGGCCAGTCAATCGACTGCTCTTAGATTGATTCCACATGGTTATGGTTCTCATTCTGCTTGTCCTCAATGATATGCATGCCAACGGCGCGGGCATTCTCGGCTCGTTTGCATTTGTAGTTCTTGAATTTGCGTGCAGAGAGCTTCTCCTCAAACATTTCGTCGATTTCTTCGAGAGTACGATCCTTGGTTTCCGGAACCAAGAAGAAGATGAAGAAGAAGATGACAAAATTAGAACCAAACCAGATATCGACCACCCTTTACGAATGTTAGCTTCTGCTAGATGTCGCCCAAATTCGAATTTACTCACCCAGTTTAGCTCTGACGGATTGAGAAAGTATGGCGCCGTGTAACTGGACACCCAATTCCAAACGAATCCGACACCGATGGCCATACCCAGAGTGTAGCCGCGCAGACGTTGTGTGGGGATCTCACCCGCAGAGAGATACAGATAAGGAGCAACGCACATGTTGTGGAAAAAGAGATAGATGATGGTGAAAGCAACGAGCACCTTGCCACCGGTTGCAGTTGTCGACTTGTATTGGTATACCAGGGCCACAATAAGCATGCATACTGCTTGAGCAGCAAAACCGATGAGTAAAATTGTTCGTCGCCCAATTCTAGTGATTAACCACATGGAAAAAGCCGTGGCGGCCAGTCCAGCAGCAGTCATACCGACGCTCTCTGCGAAAGCGTTTGTTTGGCCGGCAATGGCGAAGAAGTAAGTTCCAAAGGTGAGGAATAACAAGGCCCCTGAGCCCCCAAGGCAGGTAAGCAATGCTAGTGAGAGCAGCGTGCGCCGAAGGTTCGTTTTGCGGAAGCAGTCGAAGAATGCGATGTTCTTGGTTAGGGCTTTCTCCGCCTCAAATGCCTCTTTTATCTCTTGTAGTTCTGCTGCAAGCAGCTGCGGACTAGTGTCCTTGTTGCGGAGCCTGGCTAAGGCCTTTTTCGCGTGCCCCGGCCTGTGGTGCTCAATGAGCCATCTCGGAGTTTCGGGCATGAAAAAAAGAGCGATCTGGAGAACTCCTGGAGCGATGAAGAAAATGCCGAGGGGAATCACATAAGCTTGCGTGCTCATGATGGTTGAAGTATAGTTGTCCACAATAGACCCGATGAGGAGGCCTACGCTAACAAACACGTTGAAGGCTCCCAGGAGAGATCCTCGTTGCGTCGCAGGAGCGCACTCGTGGATGTATAACTGTGGCAATACGTCGAGGAATCCCACAGAGAGACCAATGACAACTCGTCCCGCATAGAGGGTGGCCAAATCTCTCGCGACAATCATAAGAATGACACCGAGGTGATTGAGGCAGCACCCGATGAACATGACCCATTTGCGGCTTAGATATCTGCCCATGGACCCGACAGCGAGGCAGGCAATAAACGGCCCAACTGACATCAATGAGCTGATGAGCTGTTGCACGGTTGGATCGATACCCCAGCCTAGAGCTGAAGAATCAGAAGGGAAGCCGAAAATCATGAGGAATCCAGGCATTGCCTGGAAGCCAGCAATGGACCCAAGATCGACACCTTGGTTGACTTGTCAGACAGCGTACCCACGAAGAAGTACAGGTAGCTCCATACCAAGTTGAAAGCCGCCAAGGCAAGCGAGGCCACAGTAGATCAAGGCACGATAGTGATGGAAGAATTTGCCTCTGGCGGGCACTGGCCGTGGATGGTTTGTTTCATCGGCCATGGCGATAGTGGCAGTTACTTCAGGCTTTGACATTGTCGGAAGAAGCAACGAGGTTTGCAAAGAAAGAGCCTGGAGCGAAGAGACAGGGGCTGCCGTATGCTATAATAGCTTCATACGCATCGATATCAATGCCAAAGTTTGGGGTTAACGCCTCTTTCCAAGGCAATTATTGCTGTCCCTTCGAAAAAATTAACGCGGATGTAGAAGGGTCTGATTTGAGCATGTGTTCAAGAACGAAAACTGTTCTCCGTGCGTGCTCTCCACTGGACTGCGTCGTCAGCTCGGCTCCAAAAAGCCTTACATACCCCACGTTCTCCCTTCCCCACGGGGCACTAGACCAATGGTCTAGTCGGCTTGATTCAGTATTGGACTTGCGGGCCTCGTGGCCGGATATGCGATGCATGCTTCAATGAGATCTGCGAATCTGCGAATAGAACCGCTTCGCAGGGACGCCGATCAAGTCCCACGCCGCCGGATGCTACGGACCTCTGGCCCCGTTGGACTCCATTCAAGCCCCATGCCGGGCTGGGGTCTCATCATGCTGGACGAAATCGGAAGCCTTGGGGCACTCGGGATGACTCCGAGGTTGACAGGGGTGGGACTCCGATTCCGAGTGACGGCTCCTACAACCGCCCAGGGCTCGGGACGTGGGGCTCCAATACCACCCAGGCTAGACCCTGCATGTGGCTTCTATGTGCCCAGGATAGATAGTCTTATGCAAGTATAAGGCTGAGGAAGCGAATACAATTGCTAAACAGTTCAAATTAATCGAGGCCGTCAGGATGGGTAATCTAGCTACCCCAGAGTGGCAAGGGTGGCATTCCCCCAAAGGGTCGTCATTCAGACCGATGTATATGGCAAATAGCTGCGGACAAACTCGTCTGAGCCTCACGCTTTGTCTACGAAGTCGATCATTCGTAAATTACGGGAGGTATCGTATATGTGTAAGACGAAAATTCCGTTACACCAGTGGTTTGAGGAGGCTGGGGAGGAGAATTCTGAGCTTGAACTCATCAGTCGTTGGGCTCTAGGTGGCCGAGAAATGTATCATCAAGCTGGCCTAAGGAATGGAGCATTTCCTCTCTGCCACCAGCTCACGTAGATAATACAACTGCTTTTGTCCATCATTTCCTTCCTTCAACGGAGACATGTATTTTCCACCACAAAACGAACTAGGTGCACCGCTTTCTTCTGGCCAAGTCTGTGTACTCTGGCCATAGCCTGCTCTTCTAACATCGGGTTCCATTGCGGTTCCAATAGAAAAGCATGATTTGCCGAAGTGAGGTCCAGACCCTGTCCACCACACGAGATAGATACCAAAAATACACGTAAGGAGGTATCTTCGGCAAAATCCTTCAACAGTTGACTCCGCTTCGATCGGCCCAGCTTGCCATCATAGCGAGTGAATCCAATGCCGCTTCGTACTAGGACTTCCTGTACTGCATCGAGGCTCGAGGTCCAATAGGAGAAAACAACGCATTTGTCATGAGAAGGAAGCTGGTGAATCTGAGCCAGAAGCGCCTTTATTTTGCTCGATGGCTGTTGCAATATAGTTGGGCTCCTGGGTGTCGAATAACCCGAGGAAAGACAGGATGGTGATGGTGTTAAAGGAGCTTGCTGTCTGCCATGCTGCAGACAGTTTCTGCACACCGAAGAAGGAAGAGAGCTGGGTACATAACCCGAGGCCATAAGATTCTGATCATTGGCTTCTTCTTCTACAAGGTCCGCACCACAATTTACACAGAGCACTTCTGTGCCCGTGTCCCATGCAGCTAGACCACCATCAAGGACGTCGGTAATTGCAGGACCAAGCATGTTCACGGCGCCTGCGTTATCTTTGTGGCGTCGCGGACTGATACCATGGTTGCACATGTATCTCAAATCATTGATTCGTTGGAAAGCATTCAAGTAAACAGAGCCCGACTGGTCGATGGACATTGCATTATTGAGGACTTCAATGACACCGCTTCGGGCTTTTTCATAGATAGTCCTCTCCTCAGTCGTAAAGTGTATCATTTCCGTATGTTCTCTTCGATCAGGCAGGGTAATGACACTTCTCGGGCGACGGATAGTTATTGCCTTCATGATAGATTGAAGTCTTTTTAAGGCGCTCTCGTCCATTTTCGTCTTCCATGGACGTAAAATTTGTTCGTCAAAGGTTTTCCATTCATTGTAAGGATATACCCCAAGAAAACGGAAAAAGACTGAAGACATCAGCCAAACGATTCTGTATGGGCATTCCGGTTATGCACCAGCGACGATCTGCTTGAAGCGCACAAACAGATCTCGCAGAGGCCGTTTCTCTTGTTCGAATTACATGCGCTTCATCGAGAATTATTCTGTGCCAGAATGTATCGAAAAGAAGACTCGGGCTGGTTGGAGGTTGTGTGCCCTTGTTACTTTTCCATTCCAAAGCCACTGTATTGTATGTTGTCATGACTATGTCATAGTCCTTTCGATTGGTATTCTGGCATCGCTCGCGGCCATAAAATACAAGGTAACTGACATGTCCTGGCCGAAAATGTTCTAGTATTTGCTTCTCCCAAACAAACAACAGGGGGGAGGGTACAACGATCAACGTGCCTTTCACGGACTCAGGGACGACGCGTTGAGAATCGTAATCAGAAGAATCTGCACACAGGCAAGGATTTGCGGCTATCAACGAGAGCATGGTGCATGTCTTTCCGAGACCCATTTCATCCGCAATAATACCCCCCCCAGAAATCTTTGGGAGGGGACGTTTGGGTATGGCCAGATATGACATTCTTGTATCTGGTCATACCGAACGAGTCGATGTGCGACTTCCAAAAGTCACTTTTGGTGCCAGTATAATCCCAGCCCTTTTCTCGCTGGATCAAGAAAGTTAGCGCTTGTCTCTGGTGAGAATGAAGTTTCGACGCGACGGTGTAAGGTTGGCATGCTTCTTCGAGTACCGAATCGTTGTAGAGGTCCAAAAAAGGATCGGTGTACCGGTCTTGGTTCTCAGTCTGGTGTTGAGAAAAGTCAGATGATAGCTGGGAGGTGTAAATCGTGAAATCCTGATTCGAGGCGAGACATTGTGGATTTCTATAGGGGACATCTCGATTACACCCTCTTGGAACTTGAAGATACATCTTGATACTGCCTAACCAATCTTCCACGGAGGTTGCCATCTCTCGTGGGCCATAGACGATGATTGATAACGAACGATCTGTCGCAACAGCTCTGATGCTTGATGATGTGTTTGGCCGAGCGTTTTGGCTTCGAGCTGGTAGTTGTCGAGACGAGAGAAGGAATTGAAACTCCGGAGTGGCTTCTGAAGCTAATGCTTGCAGGATCCGAACCATAGTTGAAGAAAGTTTACCTATGTAATATCTTTCAGTTGGATGCTGCAGGTAGACACCCCCATCCCAGGATAGCTCTTGTTCTCCTGGCAAAGACTCTATCGAGACAACGATTTCCACAACAATGTCGCAGAGCATTCCGAAGCATATCATCATGGCCGATATTGATGAAACAGTGTCCGGGTCGGGGTCACGGCCATCTTCCAGGTCGGTGGAATGATTGGCCCGGGGGCCTATCAAGTCAGTAACTACTTCGCCAGAGGTCCTGGAGTGTGTCGTTGGGATGGCCGTATTTATCATCATGCTTGTTGCCGTCCCTAGACTCATGTCGAAGGCACACACATCCTGTCGATTATGGATGCTGGTATACACTGCAGGTCCTAGTTGATCAGGCCGAGAGAATCGGATTGTGAAACAGGATGAGACATCGGATTGCAATCTGCTTCATATTGCTGGTATTCAGTAATGGACGCATCGTATTGTGCTCCAAAACTAGATGTGTACGGTGTCGAAGAAGATAGCGTGAAGTTCCCGTTGTCCAGCTTCCTCCTCTTGCTCCATTGACCTCTGAATCCATGATGGTCACCAGGATCGTTCAGGGAAGTGCATTCACGGAACTGGGTATCTGTAGAACGGTGTCAGACTTGCGATCCCAAATGATGATTTCTAGAAACAGCCTGCCAATGCTGGAAACATGTGAGCCTCCCACACTGTGCGGGATCATATCGAGTCTCTGGTCGCTCGACTGCCACAGATTCTGGGGGTTGCCAGGAATTCAAAGTTGACTGTGGGCAGGATGGCTCTGGAGCTTTCATCTGTATCAAGACCAATACAAAATCCGGGTTTGACCCTGAAATGAGATTCAGCCTGATGGTCAGCCGCGCCCTGCACGGCGCAGTCGAGTCTGCCCAACGCGTGCGCCTCACCATCCTCAAACCTTGTCGGACGGGCAGATCATGTTATCACACCGCATCTCTCTCTCATCTACGAGATATGGCCTCTTTGGCAAATTTGACGATCAACAAAGGTTTCTCCCAGCTCTATTGAATGTGATGTTCCGAGAAATTGCAAATATGGAAACAAGACATAACCAACCTCATCCTATCATCAAGGAAGCCTTCACCAAATTTGAGTTCCACGTGCGTACCAACGACGCACGCCTTTTCAAGTCGACGACACTTGCAGATGTAAGAGAGGCAACACGGATCATTGAGCGTGATCAAGCGCAGAGACGATGCCTGCGGAATATGAAACGTATTGAGCCGCTGTTCGAGTGTCTAGAAAAGCTGGGAGGAGCAGTCGAGACGTTGTGCCAGGGATGTTTCATCTGGATGCATTTCGCTTCCCCATCTCCTATAACTAATGTACCTCACTAACACGTCTAGCCAGGCACCGATCAAACTTCTCCTCCAGGTAGGATCTCTAAGATACCTGTTGACCCACAATCCGCTTACCTCGCTTAGATTGCCGACGAGTACACTACTGCCTTTGAACGACTCCTCGAAGCCTATCATGAGATCGCACAACATCTGCCGCGATTTGACCGTCTGAGTATTGCGTTCCAGGATCAGGAGGACTTTCAAACCGTCCTTGCAGGTATCTACAGCGATGTTCTTGAATTTCATTCTCACGCTTATAGCTATCTACGGCGTGGAGGTGGGCTCATCCGCCTTCAAATTCCCTTGCCTCGCTTAACGCGTTTTACTAGGTTGGAAGTTGTTATTCGATGCCTCCTGGCGGAGCTTTTTCCGGTCGCTTCAATACGATTCTGCAAAAATTGGCGAGAGGCCGTGATCTTGTTGACAGAGAAGCTCATGTCTTTGCCATTTTGGAGGCAAAGGCATTTCGGCAGAAGGTACTTGAAGAAATTGATCGATCTGAAAAAGACCGACAAAGATTGGCAATTGCGCGATACCCTTGCTTGGCTCGATCTGAAAGGACAGGACCGCGAACAAGAAGACTTGTTTGAAAATAGATCCAGGGCTCGAAAAGCGGGGACTTGCGAGTGGATCTTGCAAAATGCTAAAATTCGCTTCTGGCTTGATCCCGAAGATGGTCGATCTATCCTCTGGCTTCGAGGGAAACCAGGTTCGGGTAGGAGCAATTTTCGCAGACTTAGATCCCGGCTGACGTCTTTGATCATTTAGGAAAGACCACTCTGGCAACATTTCTCACCGAAAATGTCCCAATGCCGCCTCAGGGGACTATTCTATACTGTCTCTGTTCCTATGGTTTTGCCACATCTGAAACTAGCGTTTGCAGCTTGACGTTTCGATCCTTCATCGCTCAACTCATCAGGAAAGATCGAAGCTTACTTCCTTTCGTTTATGATCATTATGTGAAGACTGGAGTCACTCCTTCGACGGCAAAGTCCAGGGTTCTACTTAAAGAACTCTTGGTTGCTTCGACCCCCTACTTTTCTGATCGTTGATGGACTCGATGAATGCGATGAAGAGCGCCAACGACAAATGCCGTCTGATTTAGGCACTTTTGGACCTTCAAACAATAGCGATGGTCGAGACCAAGTGACAAGCAAGATTCTCATTTGTTCACGAGAAACCAGGAGCACTTTATCAAAGCTCAGAAAGGTGCCTCAAGTCGTCTTGACTGATGAGAAATTTTCTGTGTCAAAAGATATTGCCACCTTCGCCAAGGAAGGCCTTTCTCCTCTCACGGAGAGATTTCCCGCCAGATTGGTAGAAGAGGTGGAATCACGCGTAGTTCAAAAAGCAGATGGTGAGTCGATTGGAGCTACAGCGATCTAGCTGACATGCAATAGGAATGTTTCTATGGGTCAAACTGATTCTAGACGTGCTACTCGAACAGCACCGCATCGATGACTTGCAAAAAACGCTCGAAGAGCTTCCTATGGAACTCCCAGAAGTGTCTGTATCCCCCATAGTCGCCCCAACGCTGATTCTAACGTTTCGACATAGGTATGCCTCCACGCCTTCAGACTTGTCATGACTTTCAAAAATGGCAAGTCAAACATATTCTCAGTTGGTTGGCTCTATCCTACCGTCCTCTGAAATGGTGGGAAGTCTGTGATGCGATTGTGTTCCACAATAAGCATTCATCCCTCAATGACTACACCAAACTTCAGAAGATTGTCCTAGACATTTGCAAGCCCCTTATAGAAGAGCACAATGACCAAACCATTTCACTTGTGCACTTCTCTGTGAGAGAGTATGTGACTGACATTGGATCTCTAGAGGTTACTGCTGACATCTTGGACAGATTTCTCCTACATGAACAGAGCGGGCCCTATCTACATCGCCAGCGGATGCATATCCAGATCACACAAGCTTGCATCCGATATTTAATGACTTACCACCCATTCACAATATTGCCACCGACTCCCAAGTCGCCGGGTCAGGTTGCGAAAGGATTCCATGATATTTTCCCATACGTGAATCAATACTGGACATTGCACCTGATGGACTCGTTCAAGGAAACCTCGATCAACTATTCAGAGGATGACCATGATGCTAGGCAAGAAATTAACTATCTACTCGTTGCCTTACTCGGAACCTTCCATCAGCCGGAGCCAAAACAGGGAACTGAAGAGCGTTGCAGCAATAGCATTCCGCCGGGAAGAAATGATACGAGAGCACCGTGCTCAAGTCTCGGAGACTTACCTGAGCCTATCCTTCGATATCTGGCATTCAAAAGAGTCGCTGTGGCGAAGAGAGAGTCATTCAATTCGAGAAACGGCCCCTCGAAAATTGGGCCTCCGAAGGATCCGATGTCTATCAGCAGCGCGTTTTCCACGTTCCAACATGCCTTTGAGGCTTTGATGTCTGATAAACCGCCAGTGTCCAACCACGAAATGGGTGTCAGCGAAACCGACTTGGAAAAGTTTAGGAGTCGCCACGCCTCTGCACCCTATTTCTGCTGCTGGACTGGATGTGTTTGGGCATCAACTGGATTTCGGACTTCCGCACAGCGAAGCAGACACGAGATGTATCACGAAGAAAAATTTCGATGCTCCGATCCTACATGTGACTTTGCAATCCGTGGCTTTAGTTCGAGACAAGCTCTTCGAAAACACAACGAGAGATACCATACTAGTTTGGATAATGTCGCTCTACCCAAGTTCCCGACATCAAGCAATCTTGCAAGGAAAATGAGACAAATGCTGTACACGGTACAGAATTCACCAGTTTCTATCAGTTCTCCCTTCAGTTTCCCACCCTATTCCCCACGGGACGCCCAAGACTTTACCAGTTTGAAGAACTCAGACGGATTGGAAAACTTCGACTCGTTCTTGAACACCATTCAATTTTGATGTCGTGTAGCCTCTGGGTCACCTCGGCGTCCACTATTTTGGGTATAGAGCCCATTCGCAGCGGCAGCTAACCTCGCCTGTCTGGCCGTAGTAACCTTCGAGCAACCTTTTGACAAGAAACAAACGCCTCTGCTATCAACAGCGTAGTACTGCTGGAAAGTCCCAGATTCACCTTTTGGAGATCACTGCTAGCCTTGGATTGTGACGTGACACAATAGCAAGGCTGAGCAGCAGGATCAAGGCGGTTGTCTGGATTTGGCTAGCTCTTGGCGGTGAGAAACATCACATTGAATGCCTCCACTGAAGCTACCGTAAGACTTCCCAGAAGTGTTCAATCATCATCCGATCGGATCACAATTACACTTCCCGAGAAGTTAAAAAGCCATTATTACATCGCGCATGAGCTCTTGATACTACAGCCACAAAAGCTCCCCGCGCTAGCTAAAAGATCCCTGCCGGTGGAGTGGCCAACAACAGAAATTGATCCCCAACACTCCCTACAAATTCTTGTTTTCTCAGCCACGGTTCCATTGAAAAGACAGAACAAAGACAATGAATCGCAAACAACGACGCGCCAAAGCCTCATCGAATCAACCCACCAGCCAGACCGCAGACGACATCCCCCTCGCCAGACCCGACACGACATCGCCCTCCCGCAAGACTAAGGCCAAAACATTGCTCGAAATCGCCGCGGAGCGTCAAGCACAACTCAATCCCAACAGATCAGTAAACAAAACCATCTCAAAGCCCGAGAATATCGTGCAGCTCAAAATTGGAGAGGACGGCCAGATCATCAACGACCCGGCTTCCGCCTCATCATCACTACTGAACCCTGATTCAGAAAATGGGTCCGAACCAGAAACACCCTGGCTCGACACTTTACTGCTCGCCTCCACTCTCTCAGCCGTCCATTTCACGCTCGAGGTGTTGACCGTCCACCAATACGCTCAGGAACTCCACTTCCCCCCCATCATCGCACATACAACCTTCGTAGCCTTTCCGACGCTGACGGTCGTGATCGCGCTGTTCCATGGCGTCTTATTGCCCATTTCGCTGCCTCAGGCTGTACGGCTCTGGGTCCTTGCGCTGCGCCAGGTCGTTTACGTGCTCACGGCGAACATTGCCGGTTGTTATTTAATCCAACTTACGAATGATAAGGGGTACTATGCGGTCATGAAGAATGCGCCCGGGATAGGCACGATTTGGGTCTGGGCGGTGTTGGAATTGGGGTTGACGGGCGCGTTAGCCGGTGTGGTTGGGCCGGGGATCTTTGCTTGGTGGTTTGGATATGGCATTTGGTGATTTTTGGGCGGAGACGGTGTCTCTACTTAATGGAATGGCTATGTTTTTTGAGATGCAAGATTTAAGATTCTGATGTGTTATTTGACGTGACATGGCTGAGGTAGGGATGTGATGGTCCCGACGGGTATGATGGTGTCGATCTGGACTGATCTGGATGGGTCATTTCAAAAAGTCAAGTCGGGTAAGTCGAGGCCGGAAAGCATGTCGGATCGGACTTTCAAATTGATAAAGACTACGGTCCTTGGGCAACGGGGTTGATTTCGAGGGATGAGGGCAGCACAACGAATAGGACAACGGACAGGGCACGGAGAAGAGGGGGTTTTGCACCCTTCAAGATCGGATTTCCACGGAGATGATGAGAAATGTGCCCACACTTTCTGTGGGAAGTTTGACGCTTGGTCCTTGCGATGAAGTGGTACAACACGAACTCGAAGCTTTCCGTCACACCTTCGGCAACGTCGTACCAGGGATCCAGATCTTCCCCCTAGGGTTCATGGATTTCCAGAATAGGGGGAAGGAGGCGTGAAGGGTTGGGAGTCTTTTCTCGTGTTGTTGTACTCAAGACCGGTCTGCGGGCCGATTTCTTCAATTTACCATCTCACCTGAGAATGGACATTCAAACAGTTGCGCATCTTCGCGCGGAGAAGCCCGATCATATTTTTGTAGTTCGAGTGGAGTTCTTCAGAAACCAGGCACGGCAACCATAAGCAGGGAATCCAATCCATTTGTTCGGAGGGGAAACAGAGTCAGACTTGAGGACAAGGGTGGTACGACGCTTCGCATTATTTAGCAGAATTCAGTACCTTGGGTCATGTACCTGGTCGAAAGAAGAATTCCAGAAGGTACATTGTAGTAATATGTGGATTTTGTTGAATAATTATAGAGTAATGACGGTGAGGCGAGACCCATCAACAGAAAGCCTAGATAGCACGTGGGAAAATTTTCAGGAATGGGAGTTACCTAATGAATCAGGATGTCACCTTGCCGAGCAACCGGACTGGGTCAGAATTTATGGGAGCGGGATAGGTGCATCCTGTGGTCCCAATTTTGCAAGAAACTCGATGGAAGAGTCGACAAAAATGTCTCTTCTTGGCTCCGATGAAATCGACGTAACTTATCCGCGGATTCACGGTTGTTTGGATCGACGACCACACGTCAGGGTGATGAAGAGAGCAAAAAAACCTCGAGCACGCAAGTGCTGGAGAATTTTGCGGGGTGCAGAACAGTGGCGGTTTTTCAGGGCCTTCATTGGGCCATTGGGCCATGAGGGCAAGAGTTTGATCGATCGAGCGGTGGCGGACGAGTTGGCAAGTTGGGCGATGCATCCCTCGTACGATGCTTTGAATTCAACCAGGACCTAAAGCCTTCGTTAGTCCGGTGACCCCTCAAGTCAGGTCATGTCAGCTGCCTTTCGATCTCAACGAATCCGGAGAGCAACAGAGTTTTGATTGATGGGCCCCGTCTAGCGGGGGTTTTGTCGTTTGCGCGTGATTGATTTGGCAGAATGGAATCGAATTGCGTCGGAGAATAAGGTACTCGGTTTAAAGTCTCTTGCGCTGGCTGATGATGTTGGCGGTGGCGTCTTGTTGGCGGAAAATTTTGCCTTCGTAAAGGGATATTTCGTGATGTCAGCTTCACCATGTTTTTTTTTTCAGTTTCTGTTGGGCTGGCTGTGATTCATTCTCGATGGGTCGTATAGTACCACACAGCCGTTTACCTGCTGTCATTTTCCGGGAGGTCTCGTCCGCCCAGGGACAAATCGAGTTGCTCCATCCTTGCAACTAGCTGCAGTGACTTTGCCCGGATTGAATTTCCATTATTCACATCATGCGTATCTGGAGCGTCACGCCAGACATGGTAGACATACAAAGGCTGGCGTAATGGCCGCGGGCCCATGATATTTTTCTCGCTGTAGTGTGTCGTTCTTCTTCGTCATCCAATTTTCACCGCAATTATCACGGGATTGAGGGAAATTTTTCAGGACCAGAGGATCGAATTTTCGAGGACTATTGCGGGCTCGTGTTCGACACCCTTCTGGAATCAGTCGTTCATTTACCTTTGAGTCACCACACCATCGCCAGCGGATATTTGCGGCGACAGAGACAGTTCCGGGGCGGATAGCACCAAGCACGAGTTACCTTCGACGCTTGGAACTGTGTTTTTGGGGTGTTGCCTGCCCCCCGCGTCTGCGATACTGGTAGCCTTCACCAGAACCTCTACTAGTTCCCTGCGCCTTTGCATCATGCCTCGCCTGCAAATTCATCACGCTACCTCGACCACTCCCACTCATTCCCCTCGACAGACCACCAGCACGGTCAACGACGTTGTCAATGCCCTGCAAAGAAAACTAACCGCGAACCACCTCGATCCTCTGTCCACTCAAACTCCTCGGCGCCCATCATTCTCAATGGACTCTCTCCTCCATCACAAAAAGGACAAGAAACATGAGGAAGTCAAGGATCGCGACCCGCGTGGGCAAAAGCGCATGTCGCTTACCATGCGTCATCCCAGTAAATCCAAGGACCGGTCCTCGGGCCCAGCTCCACGAGTCCTCCCGGCTGAACCTGGTCGATTCGAAATGATTATTGAGTCTCCTCCGTTGGTGCTTTATGGGAATGTGAGCAACTCTACCGGCGCGCTACTCTCCGGTCGTCTGAAATTGCTTGTCGAAGATGCCACCGGCGAACTTCGACTACAGGATTTCACCATGCTTCTGCGAGCCACCATAGCTACTAAAAAACCCGTGGGCAAGGATTGCAAGGAATGCAGCGAGCGCACTGATGAGCTCAAGAAATGGACATTCCTCTCCGAACCAAAGACGTTTTACGAAGAGGAAGACCATCAGTTTCCCTATTCTTTTCTCTTCCCCGGCCATCTCCCCGCCTCGACTCAATCACAACTAGGCTCCATTCAGTACTCTCTGGTCGCGTCCGCCACCACATCTCACGGCGAGAGGATCATCCTGACTCATCCCTTAACCATCCAAAGAGCCATTCAACCGGGGCCAGACAAATCAAGTATCCGAATTTTCCCCCCCACCAATCTGGCTGGCCGCGTTCAACTGCCTCCGATTGTTCATCCAATTGGCACTTTTCCTGTCGCCATGTCCTTGAGCGGTGTGGTGGAGAAGAAGGCCGAAAGCCAAACCCGATGGCGGTTGAGGAAGCTCTCATGGCGGGTGGAAGAACACAGCAAGGTCATCTCCACGCCCTGCCCCAAGCACGCTCACAAGGTGAGCGAAGGAAAATCCATCTTACATTCGGAGACCAGGATGCTCGGTAATGACGAGATGAAATCCGGCTGGAAGACTGATTTTGATACCGTGGGGGGTGAAATTACCGTGGAGTTTGAAGCTTCCGTCGCGACCAAGTCCAATCACAAAGCAACCTGTGATGTCGAATCTCCGGCGGGAATTGAAGTCAAGCACAACCTGGTCATTGAGTTGATCGTCGCGGAGGAATTCTGCCCCAATCGAAACACCCAACTGATCACCCCGACGGGCGCCGCACGCGTGTTGCGTATGCAATTCGGACTCTTGGTCACCGAACGAGCAGGAATGGGTATCAGTTGGGATGAAGAGATGCCCCCTGTCTATGAGGATGTCCCCGCAAGCCCACCAGGATATGGCAGCGCTGATAAGAATGATGGTGCTTGGGGCGGTGCCATTATGGAAGACTATCACGGCCCCGAGCTGGAATATGAAGATCTCGAGTCTATGGCAAACCGGGACTCTAATGATCCTCCATCCTACCGCAATGCTAGCCTACCAATGCATGATCGACCTCAAAATAGAAGATACAGTTCAGGGGAAGGCCCCTCGCGAATCAGCCCCCACAGAAGACAATTGGAAGGCTGGACGAATGACGAACTGGGTGCCGAACCTCCTCAATATGGACTGCGACCGAGACGGGACTCCGTCAGGAGCCAGACAAGCCCGGTAGAAGACTACCATGAAGGAGCTACTTTGAACGCACAGCTTTGATATCCTGAACGACGACCGAGTGGATAGCGATTGGACATGATCTTGATTGGCCAACATGTATTCTTTTGGGACAAACCTTTTTGACGAACGACATGAACGACCACCCCCCTTTTTTTAAGCAATTATATATCGGCGGCTCTGTGCAGTTTCGACATGATACCCTCGATAGTAACAGCGAGCATATGGGATCAGAATAGGGCTTATTGCGACAGCAGATGATGATAGGTTGGGGGCACTGCAATTGGTTTGGGGCCGGTTTGGGACCGGTTTAGAACTGGTGGGCATTCTCTTCTCTTTTCCATACTTTACCTCGGGATGGATATCGATGGGCGGGGACAGTCATACGGGATGCATTACCAGAACAGGACAGAACCAGACTGCGTATTTGAGTCTTTACTGCCAGAAGAGGTTTGAGCTCATGATTAGCTAGCTCCCTCATACTTTGATGTCCTACGATATTCAATTATAGAGTAAATTTTATTTCTCAATATCGATTCCTACCGTACTAGTGTTTGCATAAGCGGCGAACTTCTCTACGGACCATCAATGTGTCCAAACTTTGACACTGGCCGGCATTGCTCTCACCGAGATTGCGCCTCTAACTCACTCACGCACCAAGAAACACACAGAATTTTGACCCAACAAAGCCACTACCAGCCTCATCAAGTTTGTGATTTCTCATTGTCGCACTCATCATTATCACACTGTCGTCGACTTCTTCCTCTCCGTCAGTCCCCTTCCTCATCCTCCTGACATCTAACTTTCATTCATCCGCATCTATCGGCTTATTCTTCTCCTAGAAAGCCTCATATTCCTCTGCCGTCATTGTCTGAAACTCCATTGGCCGAGTAATCGGCGTGAGCGTCTCGTCCCGGTTCGCAAACTCTTCGATCCTCTTCCTCGTCATTTTATTCACACGATACATTTTTCACCCTATGACACGAGCTCGTCACATGCAGGCCCCAATTCCACGCATTCCCGACCTCAAGAGACTGCGTATTCGACGGATTATCCTAGCATCTTACCACCAACTCAATCCACCCCTCCACATCGCACGGCACACTCATCTCCCATGTCCGCCACGCGAATTGATGTTTTGCAGACAGTTTCTCGTTGGAAACAGCATACCAGCTAAAGCCGCTGTTAGCAGAGACTTCGACGTGCTCCGGCCTGCGGCCGCCGCCAGAGTACGCCCAACCTTTCACATCGATTACGCCTTCGTGTACTACCTGCTTGTTTCATGACGACATGATGGCGGAGAATACGGGTATTTCTTGGATCTGGATCCCTATCGTCGGCAGCTGATTGTGCTTGCCGACCTGCTGGTTGAAGTATAAGTGCTCTTTATTCTGGCCCGGAGGGCCCGTTGGATGAAGTAAGCCGCGGATCCGGTAGATCCATTTGACGCCGCGCGCGCCGATCTAGCCCATAACCACGAGTCTTACTGGATATCCGTGGATTTGAGAAAGGAGCTCCCCATTCATCTCCCACCCGAGGATGACTTCGTTGGCTATGACTTTTGACCAGGGAAACAGGGACAAGATAAATTCATGACCGTCATTTTGTCAAAGTAGGTATCTGCGCCGTGGAATTCGAGATGTTTACCGGCCTTGGCCATGCCGCCGCATTGTTTGATGACCTTTTTGAGAGAGACGCCAGCGTAGTGCGCCGTGTTGATCCCGCCATTCGCCCAGGGCGTGTTGATCCATTTCGTCCCCTTTGCCTGCGTACATTTGGATCTGCTCGATGCGGCGGGTGCCGCTGCATTGGATGGTCACGAGCTTCTCCATGCGCGGGAAGACTTCCTCGCGGGTGCTTGACTATGAAGTGGAGTGGGATGGATTGGGCGGTCACCAGGCGTTTTGGAGGCTCGCCGTTGTAGGGGAATCGGAGATGAAACCTGTCGGATGTTTCTCTTGGATGACACGCAGCCAGGATTCTTCAGGCACAGAGGTCAAGGGGCTGCAGATGGCTTGGTGCCGTTGTTTCCAACGGACGCCTTTGAAGATGGGGTTGGCGTCGGAGATAGGACCAAGTTGGAATTCTGGCCGGGGTGAGAATGTGTGGCTAAGCATGATTTGGTGCACAACGGCTTTCTTCCCGGGATAGTCTTCCCATTCGATGTATCTGGAGTCCAGGTAGTTTGATCAGTGATGTTATCCATGATATTTTTTTGGACTGGCAATGGGATGGGAATTCGTTGGAAAATGGAATGCTCACTCTCGCCATTCTTCGGCAAACAAGATGTCTGGATCATAGTCATCTTCACTATTCTCTTCATCGCTAAGGATAGCTGATTGAGGAATGTCGCCTTCCAAAAGAGTTTGATCTCGAATGGGAAGCTCAGCCCCAGTTAACCCTTGCTCGAGCTTCCACTCATCTTCAGACTAGATGGAAATCGTGTTAGCTAGGACCCATGTTCATCAATTGCAGTATCGTTAACTTGAAAGTGGCGAGAGATCTCTCTCATGCGCACGTCGGTGTGAATTTTGACGAATATCTATGATTTACTCTTTGGATATGTTGCCACACAACGAATGGAAAAGACGCGTAGTCGCTTTGGAAGGACAGTGGGAGTCTGAGGATAAAAAGGACAGAATATAAAGAGAAGGAGAATGTTGAATAGGTAAATGGCAATGATGGATTGCCACGATTGTTTTGGGCCCACACAGAGTCCTTGAATAGGCTGTACGTTGGTCCCTTAAGCTCAAGTGACAGTCGAAACTATACAGCTTGGAAGGCTATTGGGCAGCATATCATGGATGCTCATGCATGGCAATGACCCAATCATGATGTATGAAGCATACCTCGCAAGGACATGTATTTTAGCGAACCATGGGCCGATTACGACTCTATGGCACTATGCATGCGACGGTCAGGTTGAGCATGGCCGAAGTTTATATACATGGCGTGTTTGATCGATTCGAGGACGGGATGTGATTAGCGGAATACGATGAGTAACGTGGTACCTATGGAGCAGGGAATGGCAGAGGCATTGGCCACATATCCTGGAATAAAAGTTCTTCCTCGTTCAGGTCGGTCTGGACACTAGTCCATTTCCGGTCTAGTTTCGCGGCATATTTCAACCGTAGGCTGATTGGCCCACCAACTCCATCCCTCATCCTTCTCTGCTTCCCTCAGCGATTGAAGCATCTATGCAACCTTCAAGGACAGAAATCATGTCATACATTGAGGTTTACCGAGTAAGCTCTATCCGCCGAGAACATGTCCAATCCCAAATGCCACCAATACGTCTCCGCCCAACCCCAACAATCTGACAAACAATGCATACCCGACCCCTCCTGCAAGCACCCACACATTCCCGGAAAATAGGTTTTCGTTCTAATTGGATTGGTGTCATCGAATATCTCCATTTCGAGCATTCAACTCGACCCTTAGATTAGATCAGGCCCAACTTCTTCACAGCCTCCCAACTATCCTCCACCGTCTTCTGGAACGGCGTGAATTCCAACTTCAACATCTTCTCCGCCTTGCTTCTGTCCAGCCCAAAATGCTCCCCCGGAACAACATGGACACCTTCCTCCCCTAATCCCTTTTCTCCTCGGGCCCTCAACCCAGCCAGCCCATCCTCGAAATAATCAACACCACCACAGAGCAAGAATCTCTCACTGACTCCCTTCTCCAGCATCGTTAGAGCCCGTACATGCGCCTCTGCCACATCTCTCACATCCACCCAAGCCGGCAGTCCCGGCGTCGCAACTTTCGGCTTGAAATTCGGATCCTGTCCCTGAATGCTCGTAATGAGGCGCTTGATACTTGTATTCAAGCCCTCGACTCCGTTTTCCTGGTGAATCTCCTGTACCGGCGGCCCGTAGATCATCGGTGGACAAAATGTGACCAGATCCCAGGTAATCTCTCCCTTGGCCTTCGCGTCCTTCCACACCTCCCACGCTGTTCGCTCCGCGAACGTCTTGCTCGCATGATACCCCATGTATCCGTCCTTGGCAGCCTCTTCCATTGTGACGGGATCCCAATCGTCAGAGGTATAAGTATATCCTCCGCGGGGATTTTTCGACAAATCAACAACACTTGCAAAGCTGCTGAGGACTGTCATTTTCTTTAATGTCTTGGTTTTCAGTGCGCTAGACACGACGTTCCGCGTGCCATTGACAGCAGGCTCGACGAGCTCTTTGATCGGGTCGTTGGACGAAGTGAAATATGGAGAAGCAACGTGGCAGATGTAATCGACGCCCTGGGCCGCCGAGTCCAATGCACCCGGAGCTTGAATGTCGGGGACTACCACAAAGGCCAAGTCCCCGTTCGATGATGCCGCGGCGTACTTGTTTTGAAGATATGTTGCTTTGGAGAGAGAGCGAACTGTGCCGCGGACGCGGAAGTGAGATCTGAGAAGGTGTTCGAGGACGTGCGCACCAACGAAGCCGTTGGGGCCGGTAAGGAGGACCAGTGAGGACATGTTTCTGTGGAATTTGGTGAGATGGTGCCCGTGTTTCCCAATTCCTGGTGAGTGATTGGCATCTAGGTAATTGGTATTTGGTAATTTGAACACTTTTTGTGTCAATGGGGTCGAGAATGAATTTGTAGTTTCATGCTCTGATGCTGATTCGAATAGTGTGGGCTGAATATGAGAATCTCAAGTACTCATAGTCTCAGTACTCACATACTCTTCTCTTCCTCTAGTATCTGCTAGAGTTAAACTCCATTATGTAACACACGATCCATCAACGCTCTCTCGCACCTATGACTAATCCGTGCCAATGTCAATGAAGCTTAGCCCATCCAAAGACGCCCCAGGAAGAAAGCCATCTCGTGTGCGATTCCTTTTGCATCTGTCCATTTGATTCGATTCTAGACTCCGACTTCCGCCCACAGGCATGTGTTCGATCGCTTGTGAGTGTGGTGAAGAGGTAAAAGTCATGGGTCAGGATCTCCGGATTCTTCCCATTCGTTGACCAAATGCACACAACGGATGGACCGGCGTGAGCTCCTGGTTTAAGACTGCTTTTGCGAAGAGAATTGAACAAATGGGTGTGGTCGCATACTCGCCTTTTTTTTTTTTTTTTTCTTCTGACTAATGAAGCAACAACAATGCCTCAATGTATCAAGCGACGTCATACTTCCCTCTCCTTTCACACTGCAAAACTCATGTCCCAGCACCCTCGGCTGATCATCCCGATATACTACAACGGTACTACCCACTGTCTGTCTTCGATTGATGCAGAAAGGACACGCCATAAGGCAGAAACTTATCCAATCCGATTTAGTTGGGATATCATGCGGCTAGAGCACCCGAGTCCCTTGTACAATGCGACACAACAACCATTGATTCCCATGCTCCCAACTCCAACAAGTTGAATACGTACATTATTCAGCAAGGCTAATCGTTTCAATTTCAGCCCAAGAGCATCTCCAACTCTTCGATACGTCTCTTCTTCCTTTCTTCCTCCGTCTCACCAGCCCCGGACTGTCCCACACCCAAAGAGCCCGCGACAGCCATTTTCCGTTCCTGCACACGCAGCATTCTGCCCTCAATACTCTCTTTGGTCACGAATCGAATCACTTCAACTTTCTGTGTCTGACCCATTCTGTGTACTCGATCAATGGCTTGGGCTTCCACGGCAAAACTCCACCATGGATCCATCATGTAGCATCGACTGGCGGCCGTCAAGTTCAATCCAACACCACCTGCACGAAGGGACAGAAGTAGAATTCGAGGGGCTTGGGGATCCGATGCATTTTCGGCATTGAAGGCCCTGATTACTTGAGCTCGAACCTTTTGCGGCATGGTTCCGTCGAAGCGAAGATGCGCGAAGCCACGTTTGCTGAGTTGCGGCGCGATGAGGTCAAGAAAGGACGTGAATTGTGAAAATACTACCGACTTGGTTTCCTTCGGCTGCGCGGAAAGATGATTCAGAAGTGCGGCTATTTTGGCTGATGTTGAAGCGGTCGGAGAATAGGGGTGAATTCTTCGAAGCGAAATCTTCGAAGGCTTCGCCATTGCACCATCCGCCAGGTACATGTCACCTTCCGACTCGAATGAAGTTGGCGGACCATTATGCCTGACCACCTCGAAGACATCCCTCGGATTGATCGTTTCTCGACAGGAGAAGCAGCGAGGGATCTCTCCTTTATCCGTCTGATGACAAATATACTTCTCCAAACAATTTTTACAAGCACTGTGCCAGCAAGCAGTGACAGTCGGATTGACCATCGGATCATCGTAACATAGCGGACACTCGCCACTTGATTCCTCTTGGATCTGTCGCAGAGCATTGGTCGTGAACGTCAAGATTGGATCTTTGGCGGCTGGATTCTCCTTCTCGGCCAGATCTGTATCCTCGGTAAATCGATCGATAAGATCTTGGAGGTCCATGTCATCGGCAAACCCATTGGCATCGGCCGCTGCGGCAACAGCAGCATCTTCTTCGTCCGCCACAATGTCCTTCTTCCTCGTCAGGACAGGGTGACAACAAGATTGTCGCAGGCGCAAAATCTGGGCAAAGATGGTGGTGTATGACTTTAACAAGGTCCCAGCTTGAAGAGACTCGTTGAACGCCCTCTTCGCTCGGGTGAAAATCAGTTCATAGACTTCACGCTCTGTTTTGGACAGCTCAACCTCTTCAACCATGATGATCTTTGGAGGAAGTGGAACCAATGCTTCGCCTTCCGGAGTTTTCATATCCTTCGTCCTTCGAAGAACAAGGGGTTCCAGCACCGTTTGAACGACATTAAGGGCCCGGGCAATCTCCTTGGACTCAAATGGCACCGTGATGAAAGTCTTCCAGAATGAGAAATTACTCCATGGCTCGACCTTGAGGAATCGAACCAAACTGAACAAATCTTCGAGACGGTTGACGATGGGCGTTCCGGTGAGAACCCATCGATGTTTGGCTTTTAGTTCGTAACACGCCTTTGACGTTTTGGCTTGTCGGTTTTTGATGGTATGGGCTTCATCTAGAATGACGCGATGAAAGTCCATCGAGAAAAGTCCACCGTGAGATCCTCGATCTCCGCCGGCAGCCGATACTTGACCAAACTCTGACAGCACAGTCCCGTAGCTTGTGATGAGGACGCGGGGAGCAGAAGCAGCATTCGCCGCAGAGCATAAGACCTGTAAGTTTGCGGACTTGTCGCTGCCATAATATACCATGGTCTTCATAGTCCCTGCTTTGGAACATTTGACGGCTTCACTCTCCCATTGTGCCAGCAGTGACATCGGTGCCACTACCAAGGTTGTGCATGGTGCTGGCTCAATGGAGGCCGATGACTGCGGTAGGCGGGGCAGGTGGTTGACCGATGTGACAGGCTTGTCAGATGATTCGAGATCAATCTGAGAGCGATTGGAATGAATCAGACTGTAGATTTCAATGGTTTTGCCCAGTCCCATCTCGTCGGCCAGAATACCCCCCAGACAGTTCTGCTCCTGAACTGGGAAGTCAAGGCCAATCTCTCCAGAATAAAGGTTGACATAAAATTTGTCTTGTCCTTCAACCACGGGAAGGAGAGCGTCATCGGCATCCTTTGTGGGCCACGTATATTCTTCCCAAAGAGGGTGCATGGATTGTTGATCGTTGGATTTCTGGTCTCTTTCCTTTCCCAGCATCCAATGTAGTGCTTGTTTCTGATATTTCCGTAGTTCGAGGGCAAAAGTCGACACAGGTTCGGCTTCTGGCGTGTTGAAATCAAACGACTGTGCCTTTTGATATAATGCATCCAACTGATCTTCCTCCAATTCTTCGCCTTCCTCTTCTTCAGAGCTAGGCGTTGAAGTTCCAGATTTGCCTTTCGAATCTTTGTCATATTGCTCAGCCATCTCCGCGGCCCTCAGTAAGCCTTGTTTCTTATGCTTCGCCGTCGTTTCGTTGGTCGAGGTTGGCCGGAGGTTAACTTCTTCGAAAAGTTTGACCAGCGCGACTTGCCGAAGACGAAGGTCCTTTTCTTCACTGCTTTCTTTCTCTTCGAAAAACCCAGTAGCTCTATTGTCATCCTTGGGCTTCACAAATGCATTTGCTTCAAAAGCGGTTTTGAGGAGATATGCTCGAAGCTGTAGGTATACGGTATCGTTCACTCGGACACGATCCGGTGCATACACGCAGGTTCCTTCGAAACGACAAATTTTCTGGTCCAGGAGAGACGAGACCCACGAGGCTGTTTCTTCTGGCAGGCGGCCCAATTCGTCACCTCTGGAATTGGTGAATCTTGTTACCACATCAGCCTTTTGATTCCTTCCAGTAAGAGGCACAAGTTTTCCGCCTCTTCCAATTTTCGTTCTCGGAGCAATCTTTGAGCGTTCTATCCGTACTGATTCTCCATGTGCCAATAGGTTTGTGCCGCTCTTCGTCATCCATGCGCCGACGCCGAATGATCCGACATATCTTTCTTTCGGCATGGAGTGCCACAGTGTTCCCTTTGGCTGGTCATTACGGATCTCTGGCGGATCTTGTCTATCGGGGCCACCGGGGCCTACAGCGCTTGCGTTGAGCCCCTCGTCCACTCCTCTGGAGGGCAGGGATATGTTTAGAGAAGACACAGAAGTGACGGCATCTTTCCAGGATCCATCGAGGTACATGTTGATGGCCCGCTCGATATTTCCATTGGCCGCAGCTTCCACCCTGTCCACGACATCTTCGCCAACATCTTCGCCGACGAAAGCCCTAAATGTGTCCGCATCGAATGTGAGAGAATTTTCATCGTCCACCGAGGTTTGAGGATCGGCCGGTTCGGTTTGGCTGGACTTCTGCGCCCCAACCGTGGAGGAGTCTGCAGATGTTGGGCGGCTGGACGCGTCTACTGAAGATGTTGATATTTGTTGATCGGTAACATCATCAGAGTCGTCCACGAAGAAGCGTCTCTTCTTCTTGGGCCTCACATCACTGTCCATGAAGGCAAATGTGCGCCTGTTGGCATCAACGGTTAGAGATGAGAGTGGATGGAACACTGGACACGCTCGACGCGCGTTGGAAGAAAAATCGCGATTGCACGTGACCTCAATTACAACTTTATCGATTTGAACCGCAAACCGCCTTTTGTCTTTGCCAAAAGCGTTTTTTTTTTTGCCACGTTTCATGTATAATATCACAATGCCTGTCGGCAAATAGCATATTTCTTTCCCGGGCGTCCGAGATGGGGAATTATCGTGGTTGCAATATGGTGGGAGCGTTGGAAACAATCTCCCACCGCTCCCAGAAATGGGTGCCATCAAGGAAAATAGGACGAGATGAAACACGAGCCGCAAGAAATTATCGGTCATTCACTTCAACTCCGAGAGCTTCATTGTCCCTCGATCGAGGTTCTTCAGATGTCCAAAAAGCTCATGCGTACTGCTCGAGCCTTGTTCGGTGAGTTAATACCCAGCTTGCAGGAGGACCTTGGAACTCTATAGGGTACAATTCTAACTTCCCGTTCAGGAACTATGACTCCCCTTCTTATACGTTGGCTCACTTCATCCGACCGCACATGCTGCCGGCGTATCTCGCGATCCGCGCATTCAACATCGAACTGGCTCGAATACCCGACCTGGTGTCAATGCCTCAAATTGGTGCGATGAGGATGCAGTTCTGGCGGGAAACCATCGACAAAACCTTCAACCTCACTCCTCCGCCTGAGCCCGTTGCTATTCTATTAGCTTCCTACCTCAAACAAGGGTACAAGCTCAACAAGACCTGGTTTCGGCGAATTATCACCGCCAGAGATCGCAAATTGACCCATCCTGGGTTCACCAACATGGCCGAGCTTGAATCTTACGCCGAGTCAACTTATTCGACCTTGTTGTATTTGACGCTTTCGGCACTTCCCCTCAAGTCCCTGACCATGGATCACTTGGCCTCTCATGTCGGGAAAGCTGCTGGCATTGCAACTGTCCTACGCGGAGTGCCCTTGCTCGCATTTCCTCCTCCTCCCAATCGCCACTCCAATAATCCTACTGGCCAGGGGTTCCCTCCGAGTCGCGAAAACCAAGGCTCGATCTCGTTGCCCTTGGATATCATGTCACAGTGCGGTGTCCGAGAAGAAGATATCTTCCGAAATGGAGAAAATGCAGCGGGCATCCGTGATGCAGTTTTCACAGTCGCCACCCGCGCCTCCGATCATCTGATCACCGCCAGAACCATGCTGAAAAATGTCCAAGAATATCAAGATCCCGGACACGAATTCGAGCACATGCATGATGAAGGCCACGAATACAGCAAATATGATATCGGGGTCAGGATGTCTGCTGAGAAGAGGAAAGCGGACAATGACAGGGGATTCGGAATTGTGATGGGTCCAGCCGTCAGCACCCAGTTATGGCTGGACAGATTGCAAAAGGTTGATTTCAACATCTTCGACGACAGTCTGCGGCGAGTCGAATGGAAGCTGCCATTTGTTGCTTGGTTACGCCATAAAAGAGGAGAACTGTGATGTCTCCTCAATCAAACTCAGGGACCCACATTATTATATCTTGCCTTCGAGCGCGACCGATCTGGCCCAAAAGGCATTGCGAGATGCTCCGACGTGGACAATGCCTAAGCATCCAAGGTATTTCGGCGACTTCTGCTCAATGCCATGGCATCCCCTTTTTTGCCCAGGATCGCTTCAATCGCACCAATCAGGGCTTGTGCGTCATATAACATGACACCCTTTGCGCTCTTTCGGCCGTACAGCTTCAAGCAATCAATACCAAGAGACGCAAGGCGCTGACGGTCAACTTCAGGCGTTCCCTCTCCGGTCAGATGAACGACGTGCGTCACGTACGTGCGGTAGATGGAATCTCGACCGGTACTGTGTGCGTTGGGATGATGTGATGTACCAGGAGCGAGGAACCCTCCATGGTGAACTCCGGGGAATATGTGGGAAGACTTCAGCGTCTCAGCTGACTTGGAGATGTGGAGAGGCGGCCTCCAGATGTGTCCCCTTGATTGTTCGCAGGCACGAGCAATTGCTTCAACAAAATCCAATGCGGAGTATGGATCTGAACTCGGACCTACTTCACGGTCCAGCGAGCCATTGAGAATGAGAATTTTGTGGCGAGCCGGAGTCGACCGTAGCGCCTCGCCGACGCCTTTCAGGACAATGGAGGGTATGATGGAGGTATAGAGTGAGCCGATCGAATAAATGACAGCTTGAGATTGTTTGATCGCCGAGATTGCCTGTGGATTGGCGGGCGGGAGCATTTCTTGTCCATATGGATTGATGTACCATATTCGCTCGATTCGAGCTGGGAGGTCTTCGTCTTCCTCCTTACTAAATTTGATATTGCGTTGGCGAAGAGTAGGTAAGGTCCCCGGGAGATTAGCGTCTTCGATTTCCTCCACGTGATCCACACTGTGACAAGTTCTGACCGCATGTGGCGGGTCAGAAGAAACTGTTCGCATCTCTAGAGCAGTTGCCGCCGCAGGATGCGAAATATTGTTTTGGCCCACGATGACTTCTCCATTTGCAAGTCCGGCCGCAATGTGGTGGGTGAAATTGGAATTTATGCTGGGGATGACCCGTACTTCGCCATCGGGAATGGCGCATATACTGCTCAACAAATAGATGGCAGATTCGAAGCTGCCACTGAATAATCGTGCTCCGGTCAGAAAGAGATTTCCAACACTGGCCGAGGTGAAATCGAATGTAGAGGAGGGCCTCGATCGTTTGAGGACCTCGAGGTTGAGAAGATTGAAGAATGAGCGGATGAGTTCCCTCTTTGCCGAGGGGATGCCACGCCATAGATCAGATGTGCCCGACACAATCGATTGCCATTCCGTCGCTGCGTCCGCAGATGATGTTGACGTTAAGCGATGGTTGAACAAAGAGGATATCGCCGACCTCTCCGGAGACGGAGGATCAGTCGGTATGAGCCTGACGAGACGACTGCGGACGTCGCCGATTCCAGGACCACCAAACACTCGTATCAGCTCTGAGGAAGAGCCTCCATTGTCGCTGATGGGGATAATATAACTTAAGGGGCAGTCCTTGTTCTCTCGTACGGCTTCGAATGCGTCGACGAGGCTATTGGCCGCGCTTCCACCAGAGAAAACCACTATTCCTTTGGAATTGAGCATTTGGCAGGGAGTTGAGAGAGTGATACAAAATGCTATCGAGAAGAAAGTCAGTGGGCTTTAAGTGTGACTGTTCCTTCTCTTTGTTCAGCCTTGCTTGGCCAGGGGTTCGCGAGGATATATTTCCCTTTCTGAGAATGCATCCGCCATCCACGTTAAAAAAGAGGACAGATTTCCCCCGCGGTTGAGTGGAAAGGACGAAACTCCTGCAAGTGCACGCGGCGGTCACTACAGGACCTGATCGATCATGCTCAATAGTTGACCTATCGATTTCCAGTGAACTGTCGGGAAGGTTGTCGTAATGCTGCCAGACGAGATGTTTCCGTCAATGAATTGTCGCATCTCCTTGCCATTTCTTGTTTCTCACAAACAGGCCCCCATGTTGTTGATGAAACAATGAAACAGGGGGATTTGAATGCCTGCCCCAGCTGCCAACGGTGCTTATTCTTTGGAGGAAAAAGCTTCGCCTGAACTTGATGTCGAGGTAAGATCCGCTGCCAAATTCGCCTCCTGAGACTCGCCGTTGAATTTTTGACTGTGGCATTGTTTTGGGGGTACGCTGCACCACGTGTAGGCACATTTTTAGCCAACACCCACAATCCCTTCGCGCCTCTCGCAACATGTACTCAACTACTCTTTTACTAATTTAACTTTAATATTGGCTTCCAGCCTGCTCTCAGTTCTCCTTATAGGACTTTTATCTGTGCAGAGGCACAACATGACCTGCAGCTAACTAATTGACATCCGCGCACGAGACCTACCAGTCACGCATCGAAATGGCCCACGGGTCTCACGTCCTTGCGCATCGGAAGTCCTCAGGGTCCACCACCGAAAATCCTCTGAGTCGCCATTCTCGAGAACATCGTCGATCTCATGAAGTTGACATCGAGGCACAAGCCTCCACGTCTGCACCTCCCAGCCGACACGGATCGATACCACCCCACCATGTCCAAATTCAAGAGAATCCTGAGGTGATACATCATAGACATGAAGAAGACGGCGAGCATGCTGTTCCGCAACTCCACCGCTCCGACACAAGTGCCTCTAAATCTACAATGAAGTCTCTACGCAGGAGGGGCCGCGCAGACACTACCAACATCATCTATGGATCTGCCGAAATGGGACGAACAACTGGCTGGGCGCCTGGACAAGAACCAGGCATTGACACAAGTGATCCTGCTCCCCCTTATAGCCAGTCAGCTGGTGGAGATTCAATACATTATGAGCAGCTCAGTCAACGATGCGAGATCACGGTGGTGGACTTCGGCAACGATGCAATGTCCACCACAGATCTGGATAATGATAATATTGGAGAATTCCTGCTGAAACCGCCTGATCCGTGGTCGGATGTTAGATGGATCAATGTCAACGGCCTTTCGTGGGATGTCATTAGACTTCTGGGAAATCACAAGCGCCTTCATAGGCTCGCTATCGAAGATCTGATCCATACCAAAAATCGAACCAAGGTGGACTGGTACAACGACCATACCTACATGGTTCTGCCATTACAAAAGCTAATCAATCTCGAGGAAGATCATGACGGTGATGATTCAGATGGGGGAGGTTCTGATAGCGATTGGGTGGAGGATCAGGAGTCAGAATATCGTACAAGGGTCATCACCGAGCGCCAAAGGAGAAGACGGGAGCAGAAACGAAGAAAAGGCGCTATCCTTTCACTCTGGGAGGATATCCGGAGGCCCAACAGGAAAAAGAAGGTGAATGAGATTCCGGACATAGCCAATCGGCTCCAACCTTCAAACAGCTTCAAGAACTCCAGCAAGGTTGAAACTCCGTGGGCACCCCGGAAAATCCGAACCATGCAACGATATCACGCGGGCCCAAACCAGGACCGTATCGAATACATGGAACGGCATGCCGTTTTGGCACCAAAGGGCATCGGAGTCTCGATGGAACAAGTTTCCATTTTCCTTTGCGCGGACAATACAGTCATATCGTTCTTCGAATACTCGGCCCACGACGTGCAAACTCCCATCATCCACCGATTGCAATCTCCAGGCACGATTCTTCGCCAGTCGTCAGATGCGTCGATGCTTGCGCAAGCCATCCTCGACGCCATAATCGACCTCGCCATACCTGTCACGACCGCCTACCAAGATGCCATCGGCGACCTGGAGCTCGACGTGCTCACTGACCCGGACATCCACCAATCCACCACTCTGTACATCCTCACGTCTGAAATCGCCATCCTGCGCAACGCCATCGCCCCCGTCGTCCAACTCATCGGCGCCCTGAAAGACCACAAGTCCGATGCATCTGCCTCAGTCCCACTCGCTCGCGCCGCCAGCCCCTCGCTCGAAATGAACGGCGATCCTCTCATCAAACCACAACCACATCCATTCGTCCGCAAACAATCATCGGCCGTCACCTCTGGCGTGCAAATTTCCCCGATGACCATAACATATCTAGGCGACGTCGAAGACCACGCCCTTCTCATCCAAGACTCGTACGACCAAATGCGTCGAGGCGCCGATAATCTTTCCGACTTGATCTTCAACACGGTCTCCGCGTACCAGAACGAGAGCATGAAACAGCTCACTATCGTGACGTGTTTCTTCTTCCCTCTGACCTTTATCACGGGCTACTTCGGCATGAACTTTGCCGAATTCCCCGGCGTCATGAAACATAGTGACGGATTCTTTTGGACCATCGCTGCGCCCGTTAGTGTCGTGGTATTCTTGTTGCTGATGCGCGATGTCCTTATCCGTTGGGTCGTCCGGTGGGCTAATAAAACACTCATCGAAAGAGGGAGGAGGAGGAGATTGGCGAGGACTTAGTCATGACCATCTGGAGCGTGATGCTTTTACGTGGTCTTCGCTTGCGAGCGAGAAGGCCCTGGGTGGCATTTTGGGCTTCAAGTTCACGATCTCCGAGAAAATCCATACGTTTTTCGGCTTTTGTCTGCCTACCTGCCCGTCTCCCTGGTTCTAGCTCGGGCTCGGGCTCTGGATATGCACATTGTATTACATAGCAAGGATGGCGACATGTCGGAGAATTTTTGTCAACGAGTCTCAACGACGAGATAGTGACCGAACCCAAAAGATACCATGGAATGAAAAGCAAGGTTCGGAACAATGAGACTTCAATCTAGACTTTTCTGTATGCACGGCTGGCGAGGCGGACTGGCTTCTTCACAGCCACGAGGCACGTCCTTCCTCCATTACCCTGTGTTAAAATATTCGGCTTCAAATGTCATCCATCACCATAAATCGATTCGTGGGTATCATCCAAAGTAAAACGCAAAATCACGGCCATGCCAATCAGAAGTTTCCCCAAACAACCAGTAACTTTGATTCACTAGATGCTGTTGTATTCTCGAGTACTTCTATGCCCGCACATCAATCCGCCATAAATTCTCCCCAAAGAGCCTCCTCCGTCGACTCTCGTTTTCTAGCCTTGCCTGCCCGGATATTCTCCTTCCCCCTTCCGAATCGATCGTTTTCATCGTCGTCATCACTAGCTGTCTCAACTTTAAGCATTTTCTGTTTGCCTTTATCCTCTCTTTTTCTCTTCTTCACCATCAGCTTGAGTTCAAGCGGGACTAGACTCCTGCCATTCCCGGGGCCGTCCTTGAGGTCTAGTTGCTTTCGACAGACGGGGCACACGCCTTTGACTTTATGATTACGCGGGGCATCTTCACGCCGTTGTTCGATGGACCAGTTCAAAGTATCGACAATACAGCGGTGGCAGAAGACGTGACCACAAGTGGTGGAGGTAGCGTCAGTCGGAGTATCCATACAGACAGGACATTTATATGCCGTCAGCGAAGTTCTCCCAGCATCCGTGCCCGGCCTTTGAGCTAGAATTGCCTCCTCCCGCTGCTTTGCCAAAGTTGCAGACAGACTTGCACTGTCATCGACGGCCGTGAGATCGACGGACTCAATAGCAGGATCTTCCTTCGGAGGGGAGGCAGATCGTCGACTTTGGGCCGTTGTCGACGATGAGGCTGAAGGAGGAGACATGGTTGAGGGAGGATCTGGTATCCGTTGACGGTTCCTAGCCTGAGTACGCTCCCAGTTGGAATGATTTTCTCGCTGACGCAGTATTGCCTCTTCTTCTGCCATTGATTCTAGTGGATTCTGAACCGGCAAGATTGGGGGCAGCCGGGGTCCTCCAGGGCGCCGATGAACAGGCCAGAATCCCACGAACGATATAGGATCGGCAGCGTCGATGGCTGGGATATTTGGACGCGATGGGTAGACAGGTTCGTCGAGGGTATTTAGTCTTCTTGATCGTAGGTTGTGAGTAGAATCATGCGGGTGCGTGGTTCTCGAGATGAAATGTATTTCGGCCGAACTGTCGGGTGGACTGTTTGTCAAATCAACTAGTTGGTTGGCAGGTTCTGGATCAGATCTAGTCCTTCGGGCCTGGTGAAATGCTTCTTGAGCGTTTTGGAGAGCTCGATTGGCACTTTGAAGGGCTCGGTTGACGTCTTGGACGGTATCCTGGTAATTTGCGTGAGGGAGTGTTGCCTGTCTTCGCGAAGCACCGTCAGACATAGCATGGAAGAAGTCGCGAAAGAGTCTTGGAGACCGGAGGCGTGGTGGTTGAGCGGATCGTTGTCGAAGTCGAGGAAGCGGTTGATCGAAATTTGTATCGGAGGAAAGGGATAATGAGTCGGCTACAGAGGCCGAAGAGCTCATATTGGGCTGGAAGAGATCAAGTTAGCTACATCTCACATTCTGGCAATCCAGCAGAGGAAGGAAACATTTGAGGACCTGGACAACTTTGATGGCGGTGGTTTGCAATTTGTCAAAGGACAATACGCTTGTGCGGTCTTACTCCTCCGTACTGGTGGTCCGCCAGAATGTCCCAAGGCCAACGTGTGCGAGAGTCCGTGGCCTTCGTACGTCGCGGTATGTACATCATCCCACCCTAAGACCCCATCACCTCGAATGCAAAGGGCTCTATTGGCAGTGACCGGTCTTTCAGAAAATAAGCATGTTTAAGCATCGTGGCTCTCGCTGGATTCAGCGATCATCAACGTTGGTGTTGATAAGCAAACGGGTAAAATCTCCCTTCGCCATCCTCCACAAAGTCTCGTACATCCTGTTGTGGAACATGCTTTACAAGTCCACGATTAGTCGTGCCATGGAGACACGAGATCGCAATCTCCTTTGGCTTCGTACCGGAACCGAGATCTCCTCCACGCTTATGGTCACACTCCTCCTCGTGGCACCAGACTTTGCCTCGGTATGTAGTAGTCTGTATGTACGAAATCGGTTATTGGTCGACCTCTTCCACCCCCTGCTGAATGAATCGGCAACCGGCAACTCATCTTCGCCCAAAATGCCGGAGGCGATATGTGAACATGCCCGCTACCGGGCTTCCGTCAAAGTGATGGATGTCTTGGATCTCTATCATCCCTCCTCACCGTCATTTTGTTCAGCCTCATTTATCGGCCAACCTGGTACCTGGATGGACCTTGAACCACCACGATGGACATCGAAAGGGCTCCAAAAGAACCCCCCGACGGCGGGGGCGTGGAAGACATGAAGACTTCGACAACTAATCCGAGACAATATGACAATCCATTCGACTTCCCGGCGTGGAAAAAATGGATGATAACAGTCTTATGTGCATTTTTGACTGTTGCGGTGACCTTCTCGAGCTCGATTTTCTCCTCCACCATCAACACCACCTCGATGGAATTTGGTGTGAGCGACACGATCATGATACTGGGAGTGTCTCTATACGTGCTGGGCTTTGCATTGGGCCCTATTATCTGGGGTCCTTGCTCGGAACTCCTCGGCCGACGATATCCTCTCTTCATTGGCTATGCTGTCTTCGCTTTGATGCAAATTCCCATTGCCTTGTCAAAGTCCCTTGCTGGAGTGCTTATCTGTCGCCTTCTTGCTGGATGCTTTGGCTCCGCTCCGATGGTCCTCGTCAGTGCAATGTACGCCGACTATTGGACTCCAGCCCATCGTGGAACAGCTACCGCCGTGTATTCAATGGCCGTCTACATTGGTCCAACCCTTGGACCTATTGTGGGGGCGTTCGTTACAGAGAGTCGACTGGGATGGCGATGGACGGCGTGGCTGACCCTGATGCTCGCCGCTCTTGTCGGGACTCCGGCTTTTTTTCTTGTTCCCGAGACGTACGGCCCGGTTTTACGCGAGAGAGCAGCAGAGAAATTGCGCAAGTCTGGAGTACATGTCGAACCTGAACGAGATCCTCCTTCCATCGACACCTTTGTCCGAATATACCTGGTGAAACCTATGCTCATGTTGATGCATGAGCCTGTGGCAAGTTGAGCCGCTCCAATTCCTTATTCCACGCTAATATAATTTTAGCTAGTTGTCATTACCATCTACATCTCTATCGTGTACGGAATCTTGTACCTGACCTTCTATGCTTTCCCCTACAGCTTCTCTGTCGAGCGAGGTTGGGATCCGCGAATGAGTTCGCTTCCATTCATAAGTATCCTTCTTGGATCAGTCACCGGAAGTATTCTCGTTGCATTTTATTCGCAACATTACTATCAAAAACGACTCATTGCTCGGGGCAGAACTTTACCCGAGGATCGATTGCCACCCCTTATGCTCGGAAGTGTCATCCTTCCTGCAGGCCTATTTTGGTTTGGTTGGACTGCTTCGGCGGGAATATCATGGGTGCCACAGGTTTTTGCCGGCTTTTTCGTGGGTTGTGGGATTATGCTCATCTTCACCAACGGCGTGGCCTATGTCGTCGACATATACCTATCTTCGTCTGCCAGCGCCATGACTGTGAATACCTGCATCCGAAGCTTCGCTGCAGCCGGACTCCCCATCGTAGCGCCTGAGATGTACAAAGGCCTAGGAACGGCCTGGGCAACCAGTGTACTTGGGTTTCTGTGCATTTTGGCAATGCCTGCCCCGTTTTTATTTTACCGGTACGGTGCTAAACTGCGTCAAATGTCAAAATTCGCCCTTACAAAATGAGCCACAATCTTATCTGGCAACGTGGCGTTACATGGCCCAAGAACCCTTCCGTCTCCCCCGGATCCTTTATTTTGTGGATCCCTAAAGGTTGGGGGCCGACAACAACGGTATGGTGTGTGCTACGCAATGCAAAAGTTGTTGCCTTGATAATAGCACGAACCTTCAACTCATCACCCCATGAATCCTTATGAGAAATTCCTCTCCGACCTCGCAGCGAACAACCATCAATTAGCCATCAACATCGACGATTTTGTCAAAAGCCAGTCGAGCACCGAGGCATCGAGATCTCACTAAGCTGAAGACGATCATATCATCACAACATTCCCCGAAAAGATCCACGATGCTGTATACTCGATCAGAGAACATTGGGACCACGAAGACACTGCGAACAAAGCGATTCTCGCTGCCTAGTCCAGCTTCTTGTTCCTCATTCGAAACCTGGCTGCCCGTCCCCCAAATGGCAACTTTCTGACGAGCGAGTCAACGTTCCACCCGGTTGACTGGAGCTAGAAGGGACGGATTTGTTCTAGGATCATATGATGAAGGGAGTCCTCTACAGAATTTAATACAAACATACCTATGGTGTGCCAGAAAACCGCCGCTTTTGGCAGTCAAGGGCTAAAATATGCCATGGCTGTAAAGAACCATTGCGATTGCACAGTATGATAGTCACCTGAAGTCGTTGAAAAAGGGGGATTATGTAGAGGAAGCCAAACATGGGAGCCGTGAGAAGGAACCTCGATTGAAGAGGATTCGGCACACAGCAATCATGGTCGATGTTGTCCTTGGAAAACTGGTGGCTTCGAAAAAGTACCCCTTTGGGTACATCTTCGGCGAGAGAAGTATGTGAAATGACTGCGAGGAAACTTCGAGACCTTTCTGAATGTGGTCTTGAACCTATGCAAGCTATGATTGAGGGATCTGCCATGCTCCAGGTCGAGGAAGATTAACGCGAGGTCTTGGAAATGTTGTCGTGATTGGGGGAGTCAATGCGGCACAGGCATGGCACCTCCCTTCGGAACATCCCGAATTACTTAAGCACATCGACGATAACATGCTGAGATCATGACGAGTTGCCTCAGTAAGAAACAGAAGGTCTGGCCATGAGGCTGACGATGTGGCGCCATTCCGCACTCGATGATAGGAATAAGGTCGGAGTTGCAGTGATGGGGAGAAAGGGCCAAAAAGACGATAAGTCTCATCCAAATAGCTTCACAGAGCGCCTCGATTTCCAGCATGCCGGAGTAGGTAAATGAATTATTATCATCGTGGTGGGCCATAAAAGAAGTGCTGCGTATGTGACGTTCTTGAATCTTTCATACAGCATTGGGATCTTAGAGTCGGGATGCAGCACCGTCAGTAGGTCAAAGGGCTTGATGTGTTGTATCCATTGGCCCTTGGAAGGTCAAATTAAGGTTGACTCACGTGATATTGCTAGCTGCCTTTTACCACGGCGTGATTGGCCAGAGAGTCCGGCCTTGAATATCATTTCAGCTTTTGTGCCATTTCCTTTCTCCAGACTGCAAGGATAGAAATCGGCCATTCGTGCTTTTGACAGCTCAGGAACCCAATTCTGGTCGTACCTTCACTAATGCATCCTTCCATTCCGCGAAGCTGTCCTTCTGTATCTCTCACCGCCCGTGATAACCTCCAAGCCCCCGAAGCTAGGATTCATCCCCCAAACTGCCAGATTTATGCTTCGCTCTGACAACTGCCTGAATTCACATGGCTTTTTCCAGGAGTCCGAAAATCACGGGTCGAATCTAGGGGACCATCGACGCAAAGTCAATTAACCTATTGCGTCTCCTTCCGCACACTTCTTCTTTGGAGTGTTGTTTACTTCCCCAGGAGATGTTTTGGTTCATTACTACGAGCCCACAAGAATGTCGCCGAGCGATATCTCGAATTTCGAAGCCTGCTGCCATTTTCTTGTGAACTTTTCGGCCTCTTCTCTTTGACCTTAGATCCCACTCAAAAGCGTACTCACTTCTCGGGAGCATTCGGAAGATGCTCTGTAACTTCATCCACCTTCAGTGGGAGACCAAATCTACACAAGAAGCTGCCAAGACACGGCCAATCCACTTTGCCAGAGAAGAGCGACCATGACATATTGAAGTACATTCATAGATATGGTCTGTGTTCGCTAGGCCCGATCGACTAATAACCTGCATTATCTCTTTCTCGGCCACGCTGCAGTTTTCTACTTCGAAAGATTAGTCCCTGAGGTGTTTTCAAATCCGTCTGGCTCAAATATTCATGATATCCTGCAACCTTTTTTCTTTTTCTACCAACCCGCGAAGATATTCCCAATCTCAATGTGCCTTCGCCCATTCCCTGTACCAATCCAGACAAGCATTGTTTGCCACGCTCGCACTAGTTTTGATATTCATACCGCTGAGAATCTGCTTAACTGCACCTTCGACCTTCTTCCCGTTCGTTGTCACTGGAATTTCGGGACACTCATCCACGATCCTGGGTACATGTCGGGCGCTCAGTTCCTTCCTAACCACGCTTTGCACCCTCCCCGTGAGGTCGTTGGAAAATTTCTGCCCGTGGGACATCTTTAGGAATAAGACGACTACCTCGTCTGGATCCTGTTCCCGCTTGCGGCCAATACATAGAGCATCTTCGACTTCCGTCTTGAAGTACTTGAGCAGGATATTGTAGATCTCGCTCGATCCGAAGCGGACACCCATAGGGTTGAGAACACCATCCGAGCGACCAAGCATCCAGATTCCACCGGTCGATGGGTTGAAGCGAACGAAATCACCATGGTGCCAGATCGGGTGGCCTGACTTGGGGTCCGTAAAGACCTCGAAGTACGAGGATTTGTAACGTGCCTCAGCGCCGGGACCTGGAGGCCAGAACATACGCGGTTGACAGGGAAATGGTACTGTGCAGACCAGCTCGCCGGGCTGGCCTGTAGCGGTGATGTCAGCACCATCTGGAGAGAAGCTTTTGATCGCCATTCCGAGACCTCGACATTGGATTTCGCCTGCATACACGGGGAGAATGGGACATGGAGCGCCAAAGAGGGAAATGATGTCTGTGCCGCCAGTGATGGAGCCAAGGAGAACTCCCGGAAGGGGTGGCGGTGGAGAAAGATTTTTGTATACATAGTGAAAGGTGCTAGGTGCAAGAGGGGACCCAGTAGAGAATATGGATTTGAGAGACTTCAGAGTGGCGCTCTTGGGAGACGCTTCTCTAGGAAAGATATGTGCCTGTTCCAGGACGGAGAGATATTTGGCAGATGTCCCAAAATGGTTTATTCCGAGCTCATCGATCAAGAGTAGCAAGCTCATTTCTTTGTGTGGTTGGAATGGAGAGCCGTCGTACAGGACGATAGTTGCTCCGCTAGCCAGACCTGACACTAGCCAATGCCACATCATCCAGGTTACCGTGGAGAAATAAAATAGCCTCTCTCCAGGTCTAATATCGGAGTGTATTTGGTGTTCCTTTTTGTGCTGGAGAAGTGTACCCAGTGAAGCGTGCACAATTGGTTTCGGTGCTCCCGTGGTACCGGAAGAGTATAGGATATAGACCGGATGGTCTGGAGGAAGGTATGCGAAGCACAGCGGTCTGGAAGGGTCGCCCTTGGCTAGGAATGAAGAGTACGTCTCCACCGTCGTATTGGGCTGTCTGTCCACAGTTGTGAGATCGAATGCGTGCTTCGAAACGGTTTCGAATATAACAAGATTGCGAACAGATGGCAGCTCTGAGACGACTTGCGATACTTTGCTGTGAGTTTCGTGGACCTTACCATTGTATGTGACCGCGTTGTCAGCGAAAAGAAGAACAGGTTCGATTTGACCGAGTCGATCGAGAACAGCATGGACGCCCGTGTCAGGGCTAACACCAGACCACAATGCACCCAAAGAGGTCGCTGCAAGCATCGCGACCACAGAATTTGCATGATTGGCCAGATATCCAGCAACTCGGTCTCCTTTCTTCAGTCCATGTGCTTCCATCGCTGAGGCGCATTCTCGAACGCGCTCTCGCAGCGCTGACCACGTCACTTGTTCACGTGTGTTTTCTGTGGTTGCGATGATAGCGAGTGAGTCTGACGGAGGGTTTGAAGCAGGGAACAGCAAATTCTCAGCAAAGTTCAATTCACATTCAGGAAAGAAAGCCGGTTTAGGGAACATGGGAGACGATTCATCGAGAACCTGATATCATTCTGTTAAACGGCTTCGCATATATTTTCTAGAGGCTCTATCGTACGGAATCATACTGCTTGTTGGCCTTTATCCCAGTATAGTGCCATATTTCCTCCCAAAACGCGCCGGGATGATTCACGCTCCATTGCCAAAGGTCATTGTAAGAGGATGCGGAGATGTTGTGCTTTTTCGCAACGTGCTGTTGGAAAGCAAAAAACTCCGTCGACTCTGGATGAGGATGACTCCAGAGTTTGACCGAGTCACTCACGTCGCCATTGGTGCTGTCCAGGAGCATTTTGCCTGGATCGGTTGAGGAGGAAGAAAATATGAGGAATGCGAAGATGTTCCTGTGCCTTTTAGCCAATGTCGGAAATATACGGCTGCTCCCGCAACTCGGGGCATTGAGCTTCGGTGGACCCCAGAGCAGGCCGCCTAGCTCTGTCGGGAATTTGGTCGGTTATCGATGCGATAGATGTGGGCTTTTGATTCGGTGGTGGGGACTTCGAACTGTTGAAACGATCAGCCTTCATGAGATGTTGATCGCGCGGTCAAGACTGCACCGCGAGGATTGCTTTTGGTGGTAGACCCGGCATAATATTGACTAGAATGACATCCGGGTTCTGCTCCATTTTGGCTGAATCAGAGGTCATCTTTTCAACCCTTGTGTCTGTGTCGCCGGAAGGAAGAAAAACCCTTCCTGCAGGTAGCACATCTCAACCCATGTCTTGAACCCATTGGGAATGAAATTTTGTTTAGTTTTTCTTCTCGGGTAAACCAATGCCAAGGGCCGTTTTTTAGGCTTGAAGTCAAAGAGGCATAGGCCCGCTAGACCCAGGGTTAGGCACGGCTTCCTGGTGGGTCCCCTAGCCAATAAGGCTTCTTTCCTCCCTAGCCCTCCCATAAATCCTCAGTCCTCACCACCATTAACCCTTTCTTACTCCATATTCAACTTTGCCTTGAGCAAATCCGACCAGCCCGCCCCCTAAATAAGATTGAATCCTCCGAAATCCACCCCTTACACTTCAACGATCCCCCCCCCAGAAACAAAGGCCCATCGAAACAGAGCTAAAAACAATTTCGCGCCGAAAACCATCCGTGGAAGTCGAGCCCTCACCCAGCCAGAAACTGGAGACTGGAAACTGTTAATCACCTTGTCAGCTAAGTTTCAATTTGGCCAAATCCCCAGCTCGCGTCCATTTGGTGTCGGTGCGTTCCTGTCCTCTCCTATCCAACAGCTCCTCTACTCTGCATATCTTTTTCATCGTCTTCACCTCATCCCTCCTCTCCGCAAATCCTGATTCTTTTGCATTAACGGGGGCGGCTGAGCGCGGGCGGCTCCTGCAAGGGACACGCTCTGGCCCAACCACAGCACGGCGGAGCAGAGCGGAATCTCTCAAGTCATCCGGCCAAACCGGTTCTTCTTCTCCCCTTCAAGTTCGTCATACCACATTCGCACAACCTTTGTTGCGGTCAAGTTCTTCTCCTTCATTCTGCGTGAGCTGCGGCAAACATCATCCTACCCGCTCTAGAACGTCCTATCCTTCGATACTGAGTTCTTCGTTCTCGAGCGGATTTGACCTAGCACCTCGAAAGCCTAGCTCCACACGGCCACCCTATCTATCTCGCTCTTGAACGACGACGCTACCGAAGGAGAGGGGAAACAAAAAGAAGAAGAAGAAAAGAAAAACGCCGGCGTCAACAATTGCGCGGGGAGATTATATCTGAATAGCTTGCAGCGTTCTGGTTCTATTCTTTGGCCATGCCTCGTCGAGTGTCCAACTCCCTTTTAAGCAGTTCACCTCCGACCCCCTGGCCGTCCTTTTCGCCTTCTGAGAAGGGCGGCAACCTCGTCAGCAAGACCTCGCAGAAAGCGAGCAAAATCGTACAACTCTTCTCGACGTCGCCGAAGACAAAGGAAGCACAAACGGCCGCAGCCGCGCTGCTTGCAGCCAGTAAAGCTCAAGAGCAGGCCTTTCTCGCATCGGGCTCACCTCCCATCAGCACACCTTCGCTGTCATTGCCGAGTATCTCATTATCAACTGCTCGTGCAGACTCGTCGAATATGGATGAACCACCGACTACGCTCTTTCAGCCGCCATCTCCGGCCGAGACGAGAAAGCTGGCCAGACAACACGCTCAATTTGGGCCGTTGATTTCTCACTCTCACAGATACACCAGTCGACACCAAGGCGGGGAATTTCCCGAACCCGTTATTGACGAACCACCCTATTACTATCTTTTGACCACCTACATTTCCTACCTTATCCTCATTATATTTGGCCATGTCAGAGACTTCTTCGGCATGAAGTTGAAGGAGGACAATTACCGACATCTCAAAGCACGAAATGGTTATGCTGCCCTGAATAGTGATTTCGATAATTTCTACGTCCGCCGGTTGAAGATGCGAATCAATGATTGTTTTAACAGGCCCACCACCGGTGTTCCAGGACGTTACATCACGCTGTTGGATCGCACGTCTGACGATGGCAATGTTCATTTCTCCATGACCGGAACTACCACAGAAACGTTGAATATGAGCTCTTACAACTACCTTGGTTTTGCCCAGTCCGAGGGTGCTTGCGCCGATTTGGTGGAGGAAACGATCAGAAAATATGGGCTGTCGACCAGCAGCTCCAGAAGCGAAGTGGGCACCTCGGAACTAGCCCTCGACTGCGAGAGTCTTATTGCCGAGTTCGTGGGCAAGGAGTCTGCCATGGTTTTTTCGATGGGCTTTGGTACCAACGCTGCCATTTTCCCGGCCCTCGTTTCAAAAGGCGACTTGATTATTTCTGACGAACTCAATCACGCTTCAATCCGGTTTGGATCCAGGTTATCCGGCGCAATGATCACATCCTTCAAGCACAACGACATGAAAGATCTCGAGATGAAGCTCCGAGAGGCAATTTCTCAAGGTCAACCCCGCACTCACCGTCCTTGGAAGAAAATCCTGGTCGTGGTTGAAGGTCTGTACTCGATGGAGGGTACGATGTGCAACCTTCCAAGCCTTGTGAGACTAAAGAAACGGTACAAGTTTCACCTCTTTGTCGACGAAGCACACTCGATCGGGGCACTCGGACCACGTGGACGAGGTGTATGCGACTATTTTGGAATTGACCCCTCAGAAGTCGATATACTCATGGGAACGCTTACCAAGTCTTTCGGGGCCAATGGAGGCTACATCGCGGGTGGCAAAGCTGCCATTGACAAACTGAAAGCCATCAATGCTGGTGTCATCTACGGAGAGACGCCCTCTCCAGCCGTGCTTGCCCAGATTATTGCAGCTCTTAAAATCATCAACGGTGAACTCAGCCCGGGACAAGGCGAGGAGCGTCTGCAACGAATTGCATTTAACTCCCGTTATCTTCGACTGGGCCTTAAGCGTTTGGGATTTATTGTCTACGGCCAAGACGACTCTCCTATCATTCCACTTCTCCTTTACAACCCTGCTAAGATGCCCGCTTTCTCACATGAGATGCTTAGGCGCAAGATCTCAGTTGTGGTGGTTGGTTATCCAGCAACACCACTGATCTCCTCTCGAGCCCGATTCTGTGTCTCGGCCGCCCACAACAAAGACGATCTAGATCGCCTGCTGGCAGCGTGCGACGAAATTGGCAACGTACTTCAACTCAAGTTTTCAAGTGGCATCGCCGGCGGTGCTCCTCCTTTGCCAGAGGGCGTCACCTGGGAAATGGAGCAAAGCCGCAAACGATTGGAAAAGCATGATAAGGTTGCCAAATCCCTGGTGGTCTCACCCCGATGGAGCTTGGATGAAGTTATCAAGCGTGGCGTCCAGGACGTCAAAGTCCCTTTGCGATGATCGCCCACATCTCGATCTCGGGGTATTCAATGGAATAACCATGGTGTTCACTAAACGTGTGGGAATGATGTCATCGCATCTGATTTTCAGTGCAAAGTGTCAGGTTTGAGATGTTGGGGAATTTAGTTCTCTTCATGAAGGGTCAAGGCGCAGAGCCGATTGTACATAGAATTTGGCTTCTACGGCGTCGACGGATACCACAGGCCATGCTGTGGGATGGCTGTGAGGGACATAACTAACGCCCTCTTCTAGTACAAAGGAGTTCAAGGGAGCAGCCATGAGAAGGTGGGCCGGATGAGGAGGCTAGCTGACCCTGGAAACTTCAACATCAATATCTAATATTAATACATTGCCAATGCATCATTATACCTGTTCGTAGTCATGAGAACTTTTGTTTATTGCAAGCACAAAAGTGAGGCGATATCCTCCTGACCTGCACGGTACACAGAAAGCTAAGTGGCGACATCAATTGGGCTTCCATCTAGGTTCGTTGGTCTGCGAACTGGTGTGATGGTGGGTTGGAAATTCAAACAATGCTACCAATGATGTAGATGACCAGTTTATGTCCCATGTACGGAATTATGTCTCGCAGGGATTGCAATAGTTGCCCCATTCCGCTGGGTTGTGTCGGAAGAGTAAGAACGAGACGAGCCTTTCGGTTGAAAGGGCATTTGACCGAACCTCACCCTCGTCTGGATACTTTAGTCTTTCACCAGCGTTGGTTCTCCTTTCCCCCCCCCCCCCCAAGAATATGTGTTGTACGGCAGCTGCAAGGCAACCAAAAGGTGATACGTGGGATAGGGCTGATCAGTCAAACACGAAATAAATCCCCACTCTCATGTCTGCGTTTGATCTTGCCGGCCGTGCCGCGGAAAGGAAAGTACCAGACTGATTGCGCTGCTCTGATGAGACATCCCTCCAACTTACCAGCGAAGCTGGGAAACGGTGTCGGCGCTCTTTCAAAGGAGCCTCTTTTTCGCTCGGATTTGGCTAGCGTATTTCAAATACGAGAAGGTAGTAGCAGGGGTGGTAGGGAAGAAATCTCGGTGGCCCCGTGTTCTTTTTTCGTTGGGTCGATCGCAGATGTGGTTCTGTAGGCTCTGGCAAAAACTGAAATGCTTTCTGCGGTCCTTCACCGCTCCTGTCGTGGCATTCCATTGCTCCGTTTATGAGGCTGGCATAGGCAAGATGTATATGCACGGAGACAAGCCGGCTTATGAGGTTCCATCTTCACAGTATTTCGGGTTGAGTCCTGTGGATGACGGGATCACGTGAAACCGTTAGCTGTCACGTGCTATGTGGCCTGCGCTCTCTTTTTTTTCCCCTTTTCGTCGATCTGTGAATGCATCCCCATCTTGTAACCCTCTATTCGATGTTCCATTTGCCTTCGATTTCCTCTGCAAGCAAACATCCACGCAATCCTCTACCGACGCCCGACCGCATGATGACCGGCCCTACCGGATACCTATGACCACAATTACAATTGCTGTGATGAGAACGCCAAGGGAGTCTTTCATTTGCTCAATTGTGCATTTTCATTTCCACTACTGCATGCATGGGGCTGGCGATTTCTCTTCCTCTGCCTCATTCTCCAACGAAAAGCCAATCCTCAAGGCACCGCTGTTTCAAACCTCGACCCTGTCTCTGCCTGTCCTTTCTGAGGCATCCTCTTTTCATGCCACCGCAGCTAAAGCAAGCCGTTCGAAGGCTCCCATGCTCGCTTGAGAATGTCTCATCCTGTTGGTCAATAGAGTAGATACTACACCAAATTCGGTTTCGCCTGGAAATCTGCGCTGAATATTGGTTCGCTTCATGCGAGGCAACTGTCTCGGATGTGCTTCGACAGGCGATCTTCCAAACCGGTGTCTTCTTTCAAAAACAGGCCCGCTCCCAGGGAAGCTGCCGGATGACCACACTGTCGTCAAATGCGATAGCTTCTCTTTTTCATGCAAACTACTTTTCGTGCGAAGCATTTTGGGTTTTCTCTGGCCATCCCTTCCCTACCTTCCCGCTGCATATCATCGACTTTTTTTCCACACTTATTCTGCCCCACCAATCTGGCCAAACTTACCGTTCTGCTCATTTTATCCTTCCGTCTTCCAAAACGTATCCTCACGAGAGACAAACTACACCTGGCTTGTCCAGCTTTGCAAACCCATCTCCCCGGGCAATGGAGCCAATACCTCCTCCACCCCATGACCACTTCGCCCCTATTAACCCAAACATACAAGTTGTGCACGACGATATGGACGATAGGTATGAAGAGGCGGTGCGTTATGAGGAACGACTGCCCACCGTTCAACAGCGCATAAACTCACTATCTCTTGACGATGACGTCCATGACGTTCGACCGCGCAATGGCCGCCTGAGACCGTCTGATATGATCGCGTCGTCCAAAGATTTTCTTTATTACAGATTGAAAAAGAAGGGTTCGGACTGGAGTACCGCCGTCAGAACCACTATTTCTGCTCCCGTCGAAGACATAGAGAAGAAGGCCAGAAGGACCAAGGGCGGTGATCGCTCAGTCCTGGATCAGTTGACGTCAATGCCCAAACTCCGTCGCGAGCTGATTGAAGATGTTGTCCAGATGGCCAACGCCAATGAGACTGGAGATGCTCATTGGGAAGTTGCCTACATCAAGTCCACCAAGCAACTCAGAAGGGACAAAACCATCGAGGTCCCAGAAATGGACATCATCTTGGAAAGAATTAGAGGCAGGACGAAGACACGGCCTAAGTCTTTTCATGGAGATGTGGTGAGTATCAGAGACCCCGGAAAACGAGTCGGTAAAGAGAAGAAATATAACGATGACAACTATACTCGTTCACGAAAAGACTCCGGACTAGCTATGCTTGCCGACCCCATCAGTGACCTACCCCTCTTCGACATGAATGGAAGACCAAGAGATGAACTTGGTCCAATGCACTTTGACAACGCTGGACTCCCCGAGCAGATTCCTAAGGAAAGACCTCTTGGAGCCAAGCTTGATCACAAGAAGGAAGACAAAGGAGAAAAGCGGGAGAAGAGTCGGAAACGCAGCAAGTCGCGTGAGAGAGACTTTGTCCAGGATGATAACGTCGTGGTGGTACCGGAAGGCGGATTCCCTGATAACGTCGACCCTTTACCCATTGACGGAATATTGGGCGAAGAAGCCAAATCCGATAAACGAGGTCGACAAGGAAAGTCCCCGCATGCCCACCCAGAAGTTGTCGGTGAGAATCTTCCACGATCCCACTCCCGACGACGTGGTCACGCTGAGAGTCGTGGCATCTCGCGCGACAAGTCTCGGTCGCGAAGAAGTTCAGTACACTTCCCTAACCAGCATACCCGTCAGTACTTCGAGGCGAGCAGTGCATCCTCGGAAGCCAGCGACTCTAGCCACTATGGATTTGTCGAATACGCAGAAAGTTCGAACACGTCCCTTGGCACCCCAGGCGGTGTTCCTCGTCGAGGCAGTCTGGTGCGTGTACCACCTCGAGAGGACACTGTGTACAAGAAGCATTATCGTGGACCTGCCAGAAGCGTGTCTTACTCGGAGAAACCCTACTATAGTGAGCAACATTATATCGTCCCGGCTCGGTCGCGCAGAGACTCCTATGCCGTTTACGAGCGTCCTATCGAAGGTCCACGATATGAACGACCTCTTCGTCCCACGAGACAAATGACGGTCCCAATTCCCGAGGAACGACAAATCTTGTACCACGACCTTTCTCCACAACATAGAAGTGGAGAAATTGTTCCGGTTCGTCGAACGTATGAGGCTCCCCTAACACGTCACATGTCATACGATTCCAGCATGCCTGTGGTTACCTACCCGGACGAAGAACGGGATGTGTATATCCGCGAGGAACTGGAAAGACAGAGCTCGAGGGTCGAAGACTACCAGCGCGATAGGGTGAGAGAGGAGTTTCTCAAAGAGAGAGAACGAGAGGTCAGTGCCAGAGAGAGGGACCTGGAAATCCAAGAAGAGGAGTTGAGGAGATTGAGGAGAGAGCGTGAGAGAGAATACTATGATGAACGAGATAGAAGGGAGAGACGAGCGCTTTATCGTGATGAGAAGACGGGTCAATATTTTTACTACGAATAACTGACCGAGCTTGACCATGGCCGTCTGCTCGTCTTGGGCGAGTATCGACGACGTCGTGATTCTCTGGAGTTTGGGCGTTGTGGATGGGCAGGGTCCACGTCTCTATCGTTGAATGATTGAGTGAGCGGTTGAGACTTTTCGCGAGCTTTTCTTGGGATGAGAACTTTTCTAAGAGAAAGGGAAATTCGGGAATGGAACTGATCTGGGAAGGCAAAACTCTATGAGACACGGAAAACGGATTGGTATGGGGGGTTCTGTCCACACGCAGTGGAATCAACAGAAAACAAAGAAAGAAAAATCGCCCGTTGGAGACGGGACCGGGCTCGCTGCCGCTTCGGGGATGTCAGGAACAACGGAAGCCCTGAGGACGGGATCCAGCGACCTGACTACTTACGCACTGGGACGAATGGTTTTGTTGGGTGGCGGCTCTTTGATCTACCTCATTTGCAGGATGACGTGGCTCGATCGATTTGATGGATGATGGACTCTTCTCAGAGTGTTCGATGACCAACTAACGGATGAGACTCCAGATTTTGGAGCGGGGAAATTTTAGGTTCTGGATTTTCTTTCTTCCATTCTTTCTGTCGCTTCAGAGATACCCCCTTTATGTTTGGTTTGAGGCATGTACGAGATCCGCCATCGAGTGAGATGTCCTGTCGACGAGATGTGATGTGGTTGAAGAATCCAGCTGGTTTAGTAGAGAACGAGAATGATGATGTCGATGCCAGAGTTGCTGTCACTGTCACAGGTTGAATTGTCAAGTTGGAAGTTTGTCTGCTCAATAACATCGATCCTGAGTTTGTGTTTGAGTCTGTATCATGTTGTATTTGAACTTTGAGCTTTGATAGTGATGGCAAATGGGAAAAATGAATTAGTACGAAAGTTGATCGATTAGGATGTAATGATAACAAGAGAAGCAATGAAAACAGGGCCAAAGAAACAGCAAAATAGCAAGTCAGCAAGTTGGTTAGATCAGTTCATTCATGGATTTGATTTTTTTGCAACCGTTAATCTATACTGCGAGTTTCTCATCTGCTTCGTAGAACTATCCACTCCTGGCCTTTTCTTACATTCTCCCCTTCCTCCTCGGCCTAGCATTTTTCTCTCTTCTCTTCTCCTTCGCCCTACGTTCCTTGACCACATGGTCAACAGACCTGAGCTCTCTCTTATTCCCTTTCAAGCCCAAGCCCATCGCCGCTTGCCGCTCCTTCGCCCCCGCCACTTTCGTCTTCTGCTTCTCGTAATCTTCGCGATACTTGTCTGGCGCTTTAGGCGCCTTGTTGGACTTGTGTCGAAACCGCTTTCCTGCGCCTGACCCCACCCCATTTCCAGCTCCAACTCCTAAGGTGGGGACATCGATGGAATTATTTTCAGCTTCGCCCACGCGCGGTACACGGTCCACGCGATGGTCTTTCTTCCAGCGCTCGAAGCGTCCGCTGCGGAAACTTGCTGCAATTTTTGCGCCGGACTCGCCGCGGACGAGGCGCGTGCTGGATCCCTTGGACCCGTCATCATCGTTGGCTCGTCGTACATACTTCTTGTGCCGCTTGTCCCAGCGCATGATGCCGTGGGCTTCGCCGAAGTTTTTGCCAGCCTCGTCCTGAGCCAAGTCCATTGTTGCTGAGCGCGCGGCTTCTGCGAAACGCAGGTATGCATTGTTGCTATTGCTTCCTGAATGCACTCCGTAGGCCCGGTCGTCTAAAAGGTTTGTGGATGAGGGGTGGTAGGACATAAAATTCTCGGGGTCGCGGAAGGAGGTGTTGTCTTCATGTGATTTTTGTTTCTTCTTGGGTTGCGGTTCTGAAAAAGTGACGCCAAGGTCGGAAGATGAGGCCATAGACATGCCATCGTTGAAGTCTGCTTCAGCTTCGCCATCGCCATCGTCATTGTTTGTGGGTTTATTTGTGTTTGCTGGGTGAGGTTCCTCGTCGAGAATATCTTTTTCTGCCGCCTTCGAGGCGCCTAGAGATTTTTGCTTCCGATTTTCAAGGCCGTATCGGATCTTTCTTATTGCGTCCACTGCCTCTTCATTGTTCCTACGACCTCCTCGACGAGCGCCAATTTCGAAAATAGATTCTTGCGGCCGAAAACCTCCCACTCTTGCAAGCATCTTTTCTCGCTCTATTTCCAGATCGTCTGCTTGACCACTAAATAAGGGATGCAGTTCCGACCAGGACTGCAAAGAAACGAGCTTTTTCGATCTTTTGGCACTCTCAGGGGAAGCAGAATTTCTGGATCGTTGATACAATTTCTCGCCTTTCAATACCACGGAGCGCAGGCCAGAAAGATCTATATCGCTTTCCAGGGACTTTGTGATCCATTCGCAACTTGTCTGGAGCTCTTCTCGTCGAAGACTTCCCACCACGACATCTTGGGCAAAATTGGCTTCCACTCCATTTGCTCGCCCAATCACCAATTTGCGACCGAGGAAAAGCTGCAAATCGAGCAGGTAAGGAGCGTCTGCGTCTCGCACTAGACTGTAGCTCCAGCCTTTTTGGCCGGCTCGAGCTGTGCGGCCAACCCGGTGGACATAGATCTTTGGTTGCGAGGGAAAGTCGTAATTGATCACATTGGCCAAGGCAGGTATATCGATACCTCTTGCAGCAACATCGGTGACCACCAGGACGTTTGTCTGACTAGTTCGAAACGCCTGGACTTGGGCTTTTCGAGCCGCTTGGTCAAGAGAGCCATAGACATAGGAAACGGCGTATCCAGCTAAACGAAGCATTTGCGCCAGATATTCGACATGATGCTTGGTCGCCGCGAAAACGATAGTCGAGTAAGGATTCGAGTTTGGCAATTTTTCTTCCTCCATTTCCGGTCTCTTTCTCTTTTTGTTGGATTTGGAGACGTCGGCGGGAGACGCTGACGAAATCAATTGAGATTTTGTCGGGACTTTGATTATATCTTGGAGAAGATGCAACAATGCGCCTTCCTTCTCCGAAGATTTCAATGTGAAGAAAGCACTTTGCAAATCGGGAGAGATCTTGCTGTCTGCATCGAGTCGAACCAGGAGAGGATCCTGAAGACCCGCCCGGGCAAATTCAACCAGTGATTTTGGTAGGGTTGCAGAAAAGAGCAATGTCTGACGAGAAGCAGGCAGAGCATGAAGAATCTCAGTTAATTGCGCAGCAAACCCCATTTCAAACAATCGATCGGCCTCATCAAACACAATGTATCTCATGCTCGAAAGATCCAGACCCATTTCAACTTTCAAATGAAGAAATCTGCCCGGAGTGGCAATAACGATATCTGGATTGCGGGACATGGCCGCGAACTGCTCCTCAAGACTGTCACCACCCACAAGGAGAATAGATCTGAGATCCGAACCTCGTCCAAACTCTTTGACGACTTTCAGTGTTTGCAGAGCAAGTTCTCTTGAAGGCGATAGAACCAGAGCCCGTGCTCCCACTTTGGAGCTATGGGCTTTCAATTTCTCAATCATGGGAATGACAAACGCAGCCGTCTTGCCAGATCCCGTCCGTGCCATGCCCACCACATCCTTGTCGCCGAGAAGGAGAGGAATTGTTTTGCGCTGGATAGGCGTAGGAACGGAGAATCCTTTTCTCGTTATCGCTTTGAGCAGATGGGCATTTAGACCCATTGCCTGAAATCCACCACCTTTTTTCACCGTTCGGCCCTTGAGGTTGGCCCCTTTGCGATTCGACGCAGCTTGCTGAGCAGCAATGATCGCCTCGTCGTCAACTCCGGATTCCTCCGCCATGACGTCGAGATCGCCATCTTGAATGTGTCCATCTTCATTATCGGAGCGACTCAACTCGCCCCCAGCGTCGTCTCCGAATAAGGCAGTGCCAATATCAAATTCGCTTTCGGAGCGAGCTGGAGACCTCAGCCGGCGATTCATGCTAATCGATCGGGCGCTGGTCAGCAGTTGCTGCAACCAGTGTTAAAGGAACTTCTCTAAACCTCCCATTTTCGACATTGATGGTGGTAGAAACGGAATGTCGCTCCCGCACGGAAATTTTGCCTGCGCTCCAAAATGGTCCCCCCGACTTTTTGTGGGCGATCCCAATGCTCCGCCGTAATCCCACAGACGCGTTCATCGAAACGCGTCTGACTGCAACCATTTTCAGTCTTCAAATAATTGTTGACGCATCGCCATAACGTCACCTTCATCGATCCTAGCAAAGATGGGTATGTATATAACGGACTCTACGTCTATGGGCTTTATGTCTAACTCTTCCTAGACTACGGATATAGCAACCAATACTCCACCTCATACGGGGTAAACGGCGCGGTGGACGGCGGTGGATTCGTAGCGGGAGAGCCTCAAAGTAGCCCTGCTGCCGGAAAAGTAAGCGGTATATGGGGACAGCGAAGGCACCAGGCTGACTTTCAACGATAAGGGAGGATATGGAAAAGACACAGTCAGACCTGTGACCATCAAGCAAATCCTCGACGCAGAACAACCCCACCCCGACGCCGACTTTCGTGCCGATGGAGAGCCATTCGGTCAAGTGAGCCAGAGCAATGGAATTGACCATAAGACGTCACGCTGATATATTCTGTTAGGTAACTTTCGTAGGCCAAATTCGAAGTATCAGCACGCAAGCGACAAACGTCACCTATAAGCTCGATGATGGCACGGGACTCATTGAAGTGAAGCAGTGGATCGACAGTGACTCGATTCAAGACAAGATGGACGTGGAATCAAACAAGCCTAGACTGGTTGAAGACGGTTATTGTCGTGTCTGGGGCCGATTAAAAGCTTTCAACAGCAAACGACATGTCGGCGCACACATCGTTCGACCGATCACGGACTACAACGAGATTAATTACCATCTCCTCGAGGCCACCGCGGTGCATCTGTTCTTCACTAGAGGACCCCCACCAAATGCGCAATCCCACGGGCACAGAAACACAAACGCCGACGGCATGACTGCTGGTCACCAAGAATACGGCAGCGCAGCAGACGGCATACTTCCCAACATCTCGCCGTTGGCACGTCGTATTCTCACCACGTTGAAGAACACTCCGCAAAGCAACGAAGGCCTGCATGTTCAAATGATTGCTTCGCAGATGGGTATGCCAGTCACCGAGGTGTACAAGGGTACCGATCAGCTTTTGGCTATGGGGATAATTTTCACAACAGTTGACGAGAATACCTGGGCAGTACTGGAAGCCTAAACATGCGTTCTCGAATATCTGAGTGATTCAATTCGCACAAGGGGAGGTAAGATTCTACCAGGGATTGTACATTATGATGATACGAGACCTCAAGGCCCTGAATAGGGAATAACTTATGGAATGAAAGCATCAATGCCCCTGAGAAATAAAACCATGTTACTTTGCTACGGAGATACATCTGGGCTGCTGGAGGATCGGAGATGGCATTGAGTACCAAGCTGGCTCCAACAACCCCACGGTTTCTGTACTTACAAAGGGTACCCGAGCTCCATTCCCACCTCGATTGCTCTCACGCACCTGGATCTATCCCTCACCTCCCCGAATTTATGGCTAAATTCGAGCTTCCAGGACGAGGACGGAGAAAGTACCACGGCGATGTGCGACGTCATGTCTGAAAACTACTTCTCGCCTGGCTCGACATATTGGTTCATGAAATGTAAGGAAGAGCCATATCCATAAGCTCGATACCCAGAATCGTGGCATTGAAGCACCCTTTGCATATCATGGTAAGGTGAGGAGGGCATACCTCTCTCCTTTCATCAGGACAGAGGTACCACTGTCGGTTGAGGGTCGCAGAAACCAAATTTGCGTACAGTTTGGTCTTTGGCTATTCCGTACCTCCGGGGCCTTATTTTGTCGAAGCGATCGGAGGCGACAACAGTCCTTGCAGTTTCCAACGACGCGGGAGACATGAAAAGGTTTGGAGAAAGGCAGTCAATACAAGGCTTGTCACGATGGAGAGTTCGCCGGTTCCCATGAGACGTATCTTCTCCCCCGACCGTGAGTGCATCCAATTTGGCACCTCCGAGCCCAGCATGTTGATTTCACTCTCAAGACGGCTTGCGCGAAAAGAAGAGGCACCTCCCATTATCGCCCTAGTAAACACATCCACCAACAACGCCCTCTCGTCCCATATGCGGTATGCTCCGTCTTCATCGTGACAGATTTCTTGATGCTGTAGCAGATATCACTCCCAATGGTATAGCAATACTCCTTCAAGTAGAGAACTCTACAATGTTGAGTTGATTATCATATAATACTGAATCATGCCATTCACAATAGAGAAGCCTCGTTGTTGCACTCGGCAGATGATTAGGCCGAAAATGTGGGGTACAAGGCGACAGTCAACCTCGTTTAAAAGAACTCCCTCCCGGAGTTTTCTCCTCTCTTGCTGTCCACTCATTCGATTTATCCATTCAATTAACCATGATTTGCGGGCGGATCTCCGTCCCTCTGGTGTCTCCATACCCAGGACCTCGAAGAGGATTCCCTGCGGGCGTCATCACGCCATTCCCGCTTTTGATTTCAGGCTGAAAAGGTCCACTTTTTGTGCTTGGAGGTAGGGAGTCTTTTTTCGTCTCCCCGCAACTCCCTTCCATCGCATCATGGACTTTGGACAAAGTAGAGTTGTGGAAGAGCGTTACAGTAAGCGACTTAGAGCCTCCCATGCTTGTCAGAGCTTGCACATCTTGTCTTTTCCGGGCTGGTTCTTAGGTCGTCTTTGTGGCGCTCGCTGGGCGAACTATTCGGCATCTGGTAAAACTCCGACCTTTGTTTCCCCAGTCACAAGTCCCAATGTGATCAACTGCTCCGTAATGTTGTCCCCATTGTCCTATTGCTGGAGTCCTGGAGTCCCCCATGTCTTCCCCATATCAAAGCTGGAGATCGGCTGATAACGGCAGGAAGGTCAACAATTGAGCAATTCGTTTTGAGTAGCATCCATGACCCATGCCCTACCTGCCGCATGCTGGGGGAATGCCGGTGGATATTAGTAGACAGATTATATTAACGACTTTGCGCTTTCCATGATCATGCTCTTGCTCCTCAGTACTGGTCGCACCCTCTATCTTCTCATCGAAACTGTTGCCACCATACCCTGCCAGTCATGTCGTTCATCAGGAGAATCGTGCACAATGATGCCATCAAGCTAGATCCTCCCGAAGTGTACAACTGGAGGGTCTTTACATTGGCCGCAGCAGTAAGTCATGAAGATCCAATTTTTAAATTGGCTGCTGCTGATTCTATTCAGGCTTGTTTCGGTGGAACTCTTTTTGGCATGGATATTGGAATTATAGGCGGTGTTCTGACTCTGCCTGACTTTAAAGAGTACGTATACTTTACAAGCAACGTGGCTTTTCAAAAATATACCGACCGCTCGATACCGTGAGGACACCCGTCGAAACATGGAGACTGTATACCATTAGCGAAACTACCGATCCAGAAAGAGAACTTTCAGGGAGAGGCGCAATCTTATCGTATTACGACCATTTTGGAGGATACCAAATATGGCATGAACGAGTCCACCAACTAGGAACAAGCACCCTCGGTGATACCTGGAAGGAGGGGTCCTCGTCAAACTGTGCCATCCAAAGGAGTATTTGTCGGGGCTGCTAACCCAGAATATGACAACTTCAGTGATATATTCAGAGAACATTCCTGGACAAGCCTTGCCGGCTTTTGTGGCAGTGCCGGTCGACGTCCTAGGCTCCTCAGTGCTAATACTTCTCTAGTGAATTTGGCCTCACAGAACTTAGCAAGATCAAACAGTCCAATCTTTCAGCCAACTTGGTGTCTGTGATGCAGGCCGGCGCCATCGTAGGTGCCTTGCTCGCCAATCCAATCGCTGATAGATTCGGTCGTAAACCGAGCATCCTCGTTATCTCCGTGTTCGCGTTTATCGGAGGTCTTCTCCAAGCTTTCTCATATGGTAGCCTTGTGTGTTTCTACATTGGAAGGTCAGCCAGACAGGGCTTCTAGCCGAATCTTATAACCACCAAGAGCTGACAATATCAGATTCGTGGAAGGTTTGGGCCTAGGTGGAGCGACCATGCTCGCGCCCACTTACGTTGCCGAGAACGCTCCTCGTGGTATCCGAGGCCTCCTTGTGGGCTTCTATCAGCTCTTCGAAACAATGGGAGCAATGATCGCATTCTTCATCAACTACGGCAGTCTTCTTCATTTCAAGGGCCATGCCACCTGGATCGTACCACTTTCGATGCAGTCCCTACCTCCCCTCTTGCTCTTTTGCTCCATCCTCTTCTGTCCAGAGTCTCCTCGCTGGCTCGCCTCTAGGGACAATTGGGACAAGGCTTCCAAGATTCTCTGCACCGTGCGTCATTTACCTGAAACACATCCATACATCCAAGCCGAGCTTCTCGAGATGAAGACCACGTTGGATGCAGAAAGAGGCCGTCTTGGGGGAAATAGCTACTGGGCTTTGACTAAGGAGGCATGGACCATCCCAGGCAATCGGCGACGGTCGATTATGGCTATTGGTCTCATGACTGCCCAGCAATGGACCGGCACAAACGCCATCAATTACTACGCACCCACGATATTTACGAACTTGGGAATCACAGGAACCACCAACAGCCTCTTCGCTACAGGAGTCTACGGCATCGTCAAGATGTCCTCCTGTGCCATTTTCATAGTTTTCCTTGCCGATACCCTCGGCCGAAGGCTGTCGTTGGTGTGGACTGGTCTGTTTATGTGGTTCTGCATGTTCTATCTTGGATTCTACGTTCGATTCGATCCTCCAGAAAAGGGAAGCCCCATTTCCGGTGCGGGATATGCTGCACTAGTGATGGTCTATCTCTTTGCCGCTGCTTTTCAATTTGGTTGGGGTGCGTCACCGAACTCTCTTTATACCCCCTATCTGACCCAACAACGGCTCAAAAACTCGTTGTTCTAACCCCGTACAGGACCGGTCTGCTGGATTTACTGCTCTGAAATCTCCAGCCAACGTCTCAGAGGATTGATCGTATCGTACGCCGCCGCCACCCAGTGGATTTTCAACCTGGTTGTGGCTAGATCGACGCCGGTGATGCTCGACACCGTGGGAGCACACGGATACGGGACGTACTTTATCTATGGCTGTTTTAACTGTGTCATTGGCGTGGGAGCCTTCTTCCTCGTCCCAGAAACTAAAGGGGTAGGTTGTCAAAATGGAGTCCTCGGAAAAGGGGCCGCCATCTTTGAAGCTAGACGACAATGCTGATCATACAAATAGCTCTCCCTCGAACGAATGGACGAGCTCTTCGGAGTGACTGACTTCAGCGGCGTGGAGGACGTTGGTATGGCAGCTCAGCATGCCAAGGCCGACATTGAGACGGTCCACGTCGAAGAGTCCAAGTGAAACGCGAGATGCGGCTAAGAATGCAAGGTTATCAACGTCGACAATTTGATGAGCTGTCTCAATGAGGAGAAGATGCAGACGACAGTGGGAGAACCATATGGTTGGCCGGAGGGCTAATGACTTCTTTTCCAAGCGACATAGATGGCAGGGAATAATATCCAGCTATCGTGGTCAGCTGAGGACCCAATCCTATACATTTCTGACGTAGAATGCAAAGCACAAATGACCACAGCTTCATTAATTCGACCTTGCTCTCATCCATAGTGCCCTAGTCGTTCAAGCTACAGCAACCCCCAGCGGAAAGTGACACGTTTGGTCCGGGGAACCCCGCCCCTTTTTAATTGGACTCTTACTAGCTTCCGCGGAAGCAGACCCATTCTCGAGGGGACATGCCTGATGGTATCCCACCCTTTGGAAGACTGGCCCTGGTCACCCTTTTGCCCACCCCCCGGAAGGGGAGGGAAGGGAGTTTCACGTGACTTCCAAAAGCGGGAAAGTCGCGTCCGTGCGCCGGGATATCCCACGTGACGCAGGCCTGCGGGCCTCAGGTTGCGGCTGCGAAAGTGAAAGAACAAAATCCACCACCAGGCCAATGAGCATCCCTCTCCCAGACTTTCGCCTCACTCCTCTTGCAGCCATCCCCATTTCTAAACCTCATCCAGCATGTCGATGCGTCGTTCCCGTGACCCTTCCCTTTCCAGGTCTACCTTCGTCGCTCATTCTCCTTTCGCTTCTCAGTGGAGCTACTCGTAACCCAAGTCCATGACCATCACCGCCAACATCCGAACGGACGGGGAGAGCTTGAGATGTTGACGATTCGCGCATTGTGCTGATGCGAAGACTGCAATCAGTAGCGTGGGGGAATTGCCTCTCCCTTGCTCAATCCGATTGCTACGGTGCTGACATTGAATTACGTCCGACGTTTTGCTGTCCTACCCTTTGACTTGGACCGTCTTTCCGGGTCTGGGCTTCTCTTTCACTGTTGGACAGGTTTATAAACTTCCGGCCTCTTCCCCCAAGAGCTCTTCTTCCGCTTCAAGCTATCAGCCTCGAGGCCTCGCATAAGCACTGCAGTGGTCTGTCGACTTCGACACTTCCGCTGCCTGTATCGACCTTGAAGCTGCAGGCTCTGCTCGTTCGACTGCGTACGTTTCAATACTCAGCACGACGAAGTTTGTCCCACATCGTGCTGTACGACCGGAGTGATCAAATAATACAGTTCTACCTCAATTTAACTGTCTGGCGCGATCCAATTCTTCCGTTTCTCCCAAAAGAAAACTTCAAACCAAACCGTATCAATTGCTGATGTCGGTTGATCTACGTGCATCTCGTACTTGTCTGCGCTTTCCATCTCGAGTCGATACAGTCTCGAGAGCTCAGTTATCTTCATTCCATACTGGAGATCTTACTAGGCCTATTGATAGAGGTTGAACAATCCCAACTTATACCAAACAGTAGGTGGACCGAAAATGTTTGACCTTTCCACTAAAGTTGAAGAAAAGGACCCGCCCCCCAAAGAAAGAAAAGGAAAGGAAAGAACCAGGAGCTACTAAACACCAAACCACTGAGTATGGCTCTTTCTAGTGCCGCCGGTCCGGTCTTAGATGCCGCGATATTGCACGAGAAACGAAGCTCGACCGCTGACAAACGTGCCTCGACAACCCCGGCCAAAGATGGAGTTCGCATCGTTGCCCCCCACGAGTACAAAGAGGCTGCCGCCTGTCTCGCTGAGGCTTTCCGCCTTGACCAAGTCGTGCGATATGCGGTCGATACGCCCGATCGGATGCATGTGTCGGAGGAAGAACGATTCGACCTTCATCGAGCGGCGATGGAGTACGTCACCTACGCTCACTGTCTCCAAGGACTGGTGTTGACCATTGGGGACAACTACGATTGTGTTGCCCTGTGGCTGCCGCCGGGCAAGAACATTGATGATTGGATCACGATCATTCGCAGTGGTATGTGGCGTCTCAGCTATAAGTTGTCAAAGGAAGGCAAGATTCGATTCTTTGAGGAATTTTTGCCCCTGTTGCATAATACCAAGCAAGAGATATTGGGAGAGAGGGACAACCATTCTTGGTACCTCAACTATATTGGCACCAAGCCTGAAGCCCGTGGCCGAGGCTATGCCAGGAAGTTGATTGAGCACGTTACGAAGATGGTAGGCGTCCGGAAAAGTGTGCGTCTGACCTTGACTGACCCCTGGTAGGCTGACGCTGAAGGCTTACCTTGCTATCTGGAGAGCTCCCACGATATCAATATCATTATATACGGCAAGTTGGGATTTGAGCTTAGGAAACACATCTACTTGCAGCGAGCCGCAGGCAAGGAATTGAGAATGGATGTCATGGTGAGAGAACCCGTTGTTCTCCACGAGAAGAATGTTGCCGCATTAAAGTCTGGTTGAGGACTCTGTTCAATCAATCACGGAAGAAGGGAGTTGAGAGTATGTGTACGCACGGGATGATGGATTTCGGTCGTTCATGCAAGTAGCATCGTCACTCCCTTGAGACCATAACGAAATGAATCTATCTACCTAAAACCCTTTTGCATTTGTAGACTTCTGTAGTACTGTTGGACGTTTTGCTGGGGGACGAATGGCAAAGGCTGACAGCGGAAGTCCCAAGGCCCAGCAAAACGTCATTTCAGTCTCTTCCAGGCTGCGCGTTTCAGACCCATATATCCAAACCCCGGCCTCCACGAATTCAATACAAGTGCTGACATTCATTCTCCTTGTCCTTTCTTCGATCCTTTTATATCTCGCTCCTCTGACTGAGAACCATCCGAATTAACTGCGTGCTCCCCAACCATGTCTTGGTCTGATTCGAGATGACATGCCATCGACACCATAGGACGCGACCACCTGAATAAGCCCGACCGTTCGTTTCGCCTGCCTATGACACCCTTTTTCACCCTTCTTCATGGCTAGCTACTCGACTCCTTCTTCCTCGCCTCCTCCAACTCCCTCGGGCCGCCGGTTGAGAATTTGTGCCCGAAATTGTGAGCGTGCGTGCTGCACCGTTGCCACCTACTTCCCCCTGGCCTTCGTCTACGGTTTAACTACATGGGCTGTTTGGGTGGTGACAACGATTGGGTTTGGTAAAAACAAGTCAAAACATGTATGGTGGTTAATTCAAGGGGTTTCATTATTGGGCATAATCCTTTATGGCCTGGCTAATTTGTCATACACCATTGCCGCCTTCACGGACCCGGGTTCGCCCTTGAACTCAGCGACGGATTCACCGAACCAAAGGCAAGGGAGATATTCGATGCTTCCAACCAATGAGCCATCGGGCCACTTGGGGGATATCCAGAATATCACCGTTTCTTCCACAGGGGCTCCTCGATATTGCAAAAAATGTCACACTCCCAAGCCGGACCGAACGCATCACTGCTCGACGTGCAAGCGATGTGTGTTGAAGATGGATCATCACTGCCCTTGGCTGTCAACTTGCCTGGGTCTGCATAACTACAAAGCTTTTGTGTTGTTTCTCATCTACACATCTCTGTTTTGCTGGGTATGTTTTGCCAACTCAGCTTGGTGGATGTGGAAGGAGCTTTTCGAGCAAAGTGGTTATTTGGAAGAGGTTGCTCCCGTGAATATAATTCTTCTTTCCGTGGTGGCCGGGATTATTGGCTTGGTGTTGACCGGATTCACTGGGTGGCACATTTACCTTTGTGTTAAAGGGCAGACCACGATTGAGAAGCTTGAAAAGACTCGATATCTGAGTGGCATAAGGAGTCGTGTGGAGAGGAACCGACAAGAACAACAATTCAATCATCACAGACGGACCTCCGAGGGAGTTGCCGAAAGACTTCAACGGGCCGGTGAACAGATTCTCGAATTTCACGCCAATGCTGTACCCGGAGCCTCGCGATACGAAGAAGGTGAAGAGCACACTTCACCGGTTCCCAGGATCCATAAGTTAGTCCGTCCTCACCCTCCTTATCCTCAACACCCAAACTTCTATACCGACGATCATGTCGGCAACGATAACAGTGATGATACCCCGGCACTTCGTGCTCTGCGCAGGGCATACTCTTCCATCGAAGCCGAGCGCGAACGCGATCGATACGCAGAATATCTCGACGAGCACGAATCAGAGAAGATGCCCAATGCATTTGATCTAGGCTGGCGTCGAAATCTAAAGCACTTGTTTGGCCCTAATCCGCTTCTCTGGTGGTTGCCTGTATGTAACACTACCGGCGATGGCTGGCGGTGGGAAGTCAGTGAAAAATGGAAGGTGGCACATGAAGAAGCCGGGAGGAGGAAAGAAAGGAGATTGGAAGCGATGATGGACCAACCAGGGACGGCTTCCGGACATGGTGTGAGGATAAGAGGTGGTGCTGGCCCTGGATGGTACGAAAGGGATCGTCATGGTGATTACGGCCATTCTTATGACTCACGAAGCGCAATGTTCATGAAGACACTGAATCACAATCACAATCCCACTCAAGCTCAGCAATGGGCAGGAGAATATCCGCCTTCTGACTCATCGGGCGAGGCATCGGATCGAGGCAGAAGGAGACATAGACGAGATTTCGACCAAGCGGAACCAAATGGGCAACTTGAGTCGTTCCAAGTCAGCAGTAGTAGCAGCAACAGCACCAGCGACGATGATAATGATGAAGATAGTGATTCGGACATCGGATATGATGACGACCGTGCAGAGAGGGGGTGGGAGAGAAGGAATCGTGCAAGCATAGGCATAGGAAGGAGATGAGGTCCAAGATAGTACATGTTTTGTTCTCGGATTTCCAAGGACCTGGCTGGATATCAATAAATTCGCGAGCATTTGGGAGCGTCTTCTTAATCGAGAACCAGCTTTGGTAGAGGTACTATCTGGGGACGGGTAGCTGGCATTGGCGGTGTCTTCGAATGAATCAAATTCCTTACCAACTTGAAATCCAGTGCGTGAGCCACAAACCCCGAGTGTTGTCGATTTTCCCTTCGTTTCATCCCATCCGCCCCGGGCAATCTCATTCCATTCCGTCCCATCCCATCCCATCGATTCCTTGAGGTTTTGCTTCTAAGAACCAGCGTGGTATTACCCGTATGCCACTCTCATTCTAAGTCCATCTCATATAGCTACCCCGTCTTTCGTCCTCAAGGTGGTCGGGGTGATATAGGTCATAAAATCATAAACCCATCTCATTCCGCTCCCGGCTTCTGGTCGGAATGTCCACGTCTAACGTACATCGATAAGTTGGTGTCTATGGCGGATATCCGAACCTAAGGCAACCGGGGCAAGCCCCACGTCGCAAGAGAGACATCGTAATCTTCTCATCAACAGGAAGACCTTTAATTTCGTTCGTTGTGTAGTGTAATGTAGTGTAGACGTCATTTCATGCAGATGTGACTCTGATGGAACTGACTGGTCATTCTATTGGTCATTTTGTACGTACGCGAGATGGTCCATATGTTCGATTCGTTGGCTCGATGGCTCTCGAGCTGACGTGCTTTCTAGCAGGAGAGATTGACTACATCGCAGGCATGGGCGCCCAATCCTTCGGTACAATATCCAAGATATAAGATGGATGGATTGGCATTGATGATCCTTGTCCTCACCCACTCACTCGCGCTGGAGATAGAAATCATCTACGACGCCGTAGCCGGCCCCTGCAGGGTAGAAGATCTTCTTCAGCACCATCAGACATAATGCGAGGAAGACGCCCGCGATGGCCCGGTCGATGGTAATGGTTTGGTCACGCCCTCTTTCGTGTCGTGCGATGAGTGATTGGGCGGACCGAGTGAGTGCTGCATTCGCCGTTGCTAGAGGGGGCGCGTGGATGCTGGACATTGTCATGGGCCGAGTCGCCGGTGCAGAGGCGTTTGGAGGTGGTAGGGAGAGGTCGGAGGGCGTGAGGATGGCTTCGGCAGACGCCTGTGTTGCTTCTGCTGACGGTGTGGGGACCATAGGGATTGATGTCTGAGAGGGAGGACAGAGAGCTGCGTATGTGTCGCCGGAGTCTGTGCCTGAATGTGCTGGTGACTGTGACTCAGCTGTGGAAGGCTGTGCTGGGGGTGATGATATCGCGGGGATCTGCTGCGGCGAGTATGGCGCCGTACCATTACCCATCCTGTCCTCGGCCTCGCGATCGCTCTTCTGTGCTGGTGCATTTTGTGTATTTGGGTCTCTTGCCTCGAGCGTTATTTCCTCTGGCAGCGACTCAAGCCCGAGATCTTCCTCCTGAACATTTACGCCTGCTTCGCGGCACACATCCCACCAGTCGCGCATGATCATCTCATTCGATTTCTTGCAGGCTTCACATTTCCACCCACGACTTTCCCTGGCCAATCTCTTCCTCACCTCCGCACTAGCTTCGAGGCCGCCCACTTGGCCCGCCTGGCCTTCCTCTGCCATAAACGACCTTAATGCTGTTAGTGCCGTCCGCACACCCCATGCTGGCATCCAAGATTCTTCGTGGAACCGCGATATGCTCAGGCAGATCTCGCGGTTGACTTCGAAGCGGCCGGAGGGCGTCAGGAAGCGGAAATTCGGTGGCTTTAACGGATATTGCGAAGGAAGGCTAATACGACCGTGATACATGCCGCCACCATAGGGTGAGGGCTCTGGAGGACCGAGGAGTGTGAAGTGCCATTCGTGTAGGTCGGCGTCGGATACAGGCGCCGCGAAGAAGGCTGGGTTCGGATTGGAGGAGGGAGATGACAGCTCAGCGGTCTCCTTGAGCAGTCGCCGTATTGTTGGTGAGGCGGCCATGGGGAGATGCCGTGTGCAAGTCGATTGGTGTTCTTACGCTAAGGTCATAGGAAGGGATGGGGGAGTGGGTTCGTTGGGCGACAGAAAGAAGGAGTTTGATCAGACCTTGTGTATACAGATCCGCTGGTGAGGTGGACGAAAGCGTAGTCTATGTCATGCGTGCCTTGAAAGGTGCTGGATAGCTATGGAGGTTGAGAGTCGACGACGTCAGGCTCGCCGTGCCTCTTTCTGCCGATTTTGGATGCCGCCCTAAACTTAGAATCGAAGCTAGCCGGATTTGGACCGGCACTCTTTGAAACCTTTTTCTCGTCGTCTGGTTTCACTCAGCATTGGCTTTATATCTCCGGCCTACTCCTTCTGGAACCTTGTGATATCAAAAGAGATCTACCTAACACAGCCAGAGAATCCAAGAAACCTCGATAATCTGTCACACAGATCTCGCTCTCAAAGAAGCGAACGAGCTCTGCATGGCCGGAACAATGTGCCTCGCCACCGGCTGATTATTATCATTATCGGGAAATAAAAAGATATACCGCACTATAATGGCATCCATATCTCGGACCACATAAACTCCAGAAGAAGGGTTTGCAGTGGTAGGAACATCAATCAGTTCACAGCCTAAAACCAGACGGGAATGATTTCTCAGAGTTCCCTTCGTCCAGCCTGAGGCGTTTGCAAGGGTGCCACTACGCGCATAACTCAATGATGTGACCGGCTCCGCGGCTACATATAGACCGCTTCCGTACGCGTGTCCGTTCTGTCGAAGGGGTGGAGTGCTGTAGATCTTCAACCCATTTCGCAGGATTGGGTACAATCGGTCGAGCGTAGTTCCATGGAAGACAACCCTAGTATTCGTTGCCGATGCTCCTCGATTGGATGTACCCAGTTTCACAGCGAATTTTGCTTCCAGTTCCGGGAATGTATTGGCCAGCACAAATTGCTTGACCCCAGGCATATTGGGGATTTTCAACAAGTCGGTTGCCGGGACAATGAAGCCACGGTAACTAATGCAAGCCCACGACAGGAGTGCTTCGCACTCTCTACCGAGATTCCTCACTGACAGCGCTAGGCTTCCAGAACTTGCCAGAGGTGCTAGTCTTGGAATCCTGTTGAGTCGCGCTAGAATATCTGCTGAATTTTGAATGGGACACCCATCCAAGAGAACAGAGTCGTTGCCAGCGGCAGCAGAGGCATGGATTGATGAAAGAATAAGATCGACGACGGCAGGGTTGTCTCTGAGGTCACCAACGCGGTGTTCGAGATGCGAACGCCGCAATTGCGCGTAGCAGGAGTTCTGGCACGTTGTTGATCGAATTAACGGATGTGAAAGCTTGTTTGAGCAAACCAAACAGGTGTGCCCCAGGTCGTCAATCGCCGATGAGATGATTTCATACGCCTCCATCACCGACGGGGCTGGAGATTGTAGATACCGAAAGACGATTCGGCTGAGCTGGTAAATGGCTCTGTTCGGGCTAACATGACATGGCTCTAAGTCTGGTATCACGGCTCCACGGCGTACGTCGCAATATCGATGTGAAGACGTCAGGGCACTTGCCTCGGGATGGAGGTGAATGCAAAAGCGAGGAGATTGTTGTTCGTCACCCATACCCATCCTAATCACCAAAAGTGATTCCTCATTATTGAGACACATCGCCTTGCGTTGGAGTGGCCTTAAGTGGTCAAGAGGAAAGCACATTTCAAGCAAGCCATCCTCCGTTGTATCCACGACGTCTACCAATGCTGACGGAATGCCTGTGCCAGCGAGAGAGGGCGGTCCTTCTTCAATTCCCAGGCTTCCGAGAAAGCCTTTCGCCCAACTCGCATCGTGCCTTTCAAGAGCAGTACGCAGAGGTCCGAGACCCATTGCTTGCTTGATGGTTTCAGCATATCTTCGTTCGATGAGCCAGGATGCTTCCTGCAATGTTTCGGGCTCCGTGATTCGAGTCGGACAGGGCCTCAAATCGAGTAGCGCAGCTAGCTCGCGAAGTGCACCCCTGTCCGCAGGAGTGAGTCCCGCTTGATGCCAGCCAAAAAAGGAAACTTCCGCCATGGACCGCAAGGACTGTTGATGGAGATTCAGTATGTGCAAGCAAGCCTCTGTACCACGTATACTAGTGGAAGTTACGCTCGCCATTACCTTCCAGACTTTCTCGTCAGCATGGCGAACGTCGGCTTTGAGGTTGGTAAACGCTTGGAGGATAGGATTCCGATCGAAGTCATCGTCACCTTGAAAGAAGTTCAATAATTTCATGACGGTCTCTCTTTGTTGCCAGCCTTTTAGGATCCATTCCACCAGAGATTTGAATTCCGCCTTGGTTTCCAAGAGCAAAAGGATTCCGAGGTAGTTAGATTCCAGACACCGTGACCAGCAGTGCAACCCCGGTTGCAGGATGAAAAGTTCTTGAGTGGGAAGATCCGACTGACTGCCAAAGATAGCCCGCAGATTCTGGAGGAAGTCAAACCACGCTACGACTTCCATATGACTAACGCTGTATTCAAGGAGAGTAGAGTTTCTCTTTTTCATCATCCAATGGAGCAAAGCCCGCCAACATGTCCGATCATTATTCCTCGAAAATCCTCTAGAAAGAATCAGTCGGGCAAGACATGCGCAGGACATTTCAGAGCCCGTCCGCACGATCGTATCAATATCCTCGAGGTAGTCCGTGTCAACATGATCAATCTGAGAAACGCACTCAAGTCTCTGATGAGAAGAGAAGGTTGAACAAGATATAAGTGACAACACAAGGTGGCGGTGTGGAGCATGAGGAGGCTGTTGCCAGTGCCGAAGTAATACTTCCATGGCAGTCTGTGATGCATGATAGATAGTGCCGCGTCCAGCTATACGAGCCATGCAGTACGAATCGACCATGGCGGTCAAAGGATCTCCGAGGTACGTGACGCTCACCATGTCGGCCCGAAGTCTTAGTAGTGCCCCGATCTCTTGCACTGGTGGCCAAACATCTAGGAAAGACCGGAATTGAGAGTCGAGAAGGTCTCTGATCTGTGGACACGTCTTCAAGATTTGGGCCAGAGAATTTAGCTGGCACACAATCCCTTGGGGATTGCTCTGGTTCTGGATCAGCTCGCAGAAATTGTCCTGCATGGCCGTGATTCCATTCTGAGCTACATCTTTCAAGTTTGGGGACAGGCATTCCAGCAGGCCTGGGCTTCCTTGGGAGGGCAAAGCATTCAGGATGTTGATCATCGCGGACATTTGCACTGAGTGGTCCGGTGAAGTGAGGATGTCAGAAACAGAAGCCAACAGATCAGGATCCTGTATGACGGCGACCTTTTCCAGGGTCTCCAGAGTTCTGATATCGACAGCGTTGCGCAAGCAAAGATGGTCAAAGAGGTCAATCGCATGCCTTGATGGGAGACGCGGCCCAGGGAGGAAAGACAATACGCGATTTACAAATTGCCGCGCACTTATTCCTCTGTCGTTGTCAAACCAGACGAAGAATTGGCCATGGCATATCGACTTTTCTCTTTGGCTGGCAGCTCGTGAGAGCAGCCCATCCAGAAGCGATGTATGCGTCTGATAAATCAAGTCTGGTCCATCCAGAGCGAGAACATCGAGAAGCTGGCTCTTGTCTGCCAGGCACTGAGAAGTGACCAATCCTCGCTCTGTTGGGTGCCATCGAGCCCACGACCTCCAATGTGGAAGTGAACTGTTCAAGATGGCCTCCAGTCTTGGTGAAATGCCAATAAGACTGGACAACCATTCCACGGCTCGGAAGGCAAGAGCCCACTGACAACTTGTTTCAAACACCCGAAGCCGATCCGCGAATTTGGAGCACAGTCTGTGAATTGTAGCGTCGATGTACCCGGTGGGGAATAGATCATACAAGATATCAGGATCTTCAAACGAAAAGAAGTCTCGAAGGTGCCGTAGAAGATTGTCGTGATCTTCAAGGAGGAGTAAGATGAATAGCCGGGCGCGTCTCTCTTCGACGTCGCACACAATGGAAGGGTTGGCACGGTGGACAGCGATGATAGCCCTGAGATAGCCCACAACACTGGCGTCATCGTTTGGGCGGATAGCAAACTCATTCATAAGGATATCTCTCACTGCCGGTCTGTTAAGCATATGGCCACATGCAGAAATCGCGACGGATTTATCATGATGAGCTTTAATTAGTGCTGTCAGTCGAGTGCTTCGCTGAGCACAGGTCAGAGACTTCTTTTTCTTCAAGTAATTATCCGTTACTTTTCTTAGCTGGGCGAGGAACGTGGAGTCGCCATAGTTCAGATCAAAGGCATTTAGTCTCGCTCTGATATTGTCAATATCTCGATGCCATCGGTTCTGATGGCGTCCCATCCTCGATCAAGACGAGAACATCAAGGTTCAGGCAGTTTGCAGTGGAAGTCGGGAAGCGACGCAACTCAGGCGAGAGTACCATAGCTCTGTTCTGTTGAGACGTGGTGGCATTCGTGGCATCACTGCTTGAAACTCCCTGAAGCAACGACAGGTACAATGAACATCATGCTCGGGGTCTTCTGCATACCGGCGGGAACTTCATCCTGGGTGTCTGTACTCGGCTGGCACAACATACAGTGGATCGATCATCCACGCCATCACCTGAACAAATCTAGTCTTCTGCATCCGAGAGCTAAAGACAATCGCGGCTTCATACTGAACTTTTCGAGCTGCCAAGCTTGCATCTTCATTTGAGAAACCTGACGCAGATCAGTCAGGCTCAATAATATCGAGTGCAAAATCCAATAGTTCAAGACGTCCTAATGCGGGGCAACCCTTTGGTTGTAGTTGTGTGACTAGAGTGATGAGTCTACCTTGGGCAGAGTTACATAACGCTTCATCCGGAAACGAGCAAAGAGCCCGGTGTTGACGGTCCTGAGCCGTACAAATCGGGCGTCACCAGCGGGTTGAGAGTGCGACACGTCAGTGGAAATGGTGAAAAAGAAAATGAAAGTTCTGGCTTGCCGATGATTTAGCGGTATTGAAGGGTGATACTGTGAATACCGTCCGAATTCCCAGATACCGATGCCCGGATACCGATGCCCGCCGTGGAGGTATAGCCTCAGAATCATTCCGACTCGGAAAGCAAATTTGTATGTATAACGAGGTGTTAGGTTGCCACCGAAGAGCGGGGTATTTGACCACGGTCTCGATGTACCCACCATTCACGCGATGATTGGCCGGTCAAATTCACAACTGAAATCCCAGCCTCACCTCCAAGGCGCTGGGTACCCACTACCTAAGTCGACGAACTTCGGCGAAGATGCTGGACCGCTTGACGAATGAAGTCTGCAGTTTTATGAAGGCAAGTTCTGTTAGCCTTGGCATCTCGAAGAAACTCGCCTATGGCCCCGTCGAATGGCTGACCCGTGTGAGAATCGACGGCGGGAACTCGCAAAGTGTCAATAGCTCTCTGCTCGGTCTCGGGAAGAGTCGCCATGTAGGCCAGGAATTCATCCAGCTGGTTTCGACTGGGGGCCTGATCCTGGCTCATATCGTCCATCATGACCGAGGCGAGTTCTTCGAGCTTCCGAAGGGCCGCAGGTCTCACGCCTTGTCGCAGATTTGACTGCTCGACCTGCAACGCGGCCAAGGGTTTGCCCAATGGATGTTGCAAAATGCTCTTCACGTCGCCCGGAGAAAAGATCTGTCGTGAGAGAGGGTTCCGCATCACGCCATTTGTAGCTGCTAAACAGGAAGCCAGCTCGCTCATGTCCCAAGCATACCCGTCCTCGCTGACCCAGAAGTTTGCCCTCGGGATGTCTGCTATTTTGTCCCCATACATCGTTTCGTCATTGAGATATGTTTTTTGCAATTGTTCATGCTCGACATGCATGAAGGCAATCGACGGCCAATGCCTAAGGTTTGGTGGCAGCGCAGCGGTCATCACTCGTACACGCCTTTGAACAGCTTCCCGAATCTCGTCGCCGTCTCGTGATAGCTCGTTTTCTGTCTTGCGTATCCAACGAATCATGCCATCTAGGTCATCGACTATCATGTCTAGAACTCGATCTTCACGCTGCTCAGCGGCAACGGCGCGGGCAATCGTCAAAGCACTCCTTGGACGAGCTGTTGCGACGACGTTCCAGATGCCCCCCTCGGTGATGAGTTTGAGATCTTCGATTCGAGAATTTTCAATCTGCTGGTCGTTCTCTGAGTGCCGGTTGGTCCCTTGTTGATGAAAAGCTTGAACAAATCGTGCCTCCAGCAGCAATTGTCTGGCTTCGGCTCTGACAATTTCATAACGCTGGGAAAATTCATCTGCTAGGATAGCTTGCTCCCTGCCGTTTCGTGGGACTGGGTGAGGATCTCGAGGTCGAGTGCTTGATGGGTTACTTGATGACACTGTGCTAGGAGAGCACCTTGTAACTGTATCAGGTCCACTCGTTCCCTCGTATAGGTGTCGTGTAGCATCAGTGTTTCCAGGATCGAAAAGTAGAATGTCTTCCGCCATATGTTTAGCATCATCGTGCCAGCCAAGTCTGTGGTAACATTGCATCAATAGCACGCGAGCATCGATGCCGGGTGGATTCACCATGATAAACTCCCAAAGCTCGCTAATGAAGGAGCCGTCGCTGTCGTTTGTATTGTCGGTGGCCATGCCGAGAAGCTTTGACTATCAAAGAAGTGATCGTGAGATATGATGTTGGGAGTGGTTGGCGATCCACGGCTTGTCAGATTTTAAATGTCCCTGATTTAGGGACGACACACAAATAACAGTTTGCACTAGTTACGTGCATGGGTATTCGGTAAGTTTGCCAGCGGAGATAGAGGTGTCTTAATCAGAGGAAGAGAGTGTGGAAGGAAAAGGGATCGGACAGCTATGACGAAACTAGTAGTGCTACAGCCTCGTGCTGCCAGAAACGGGATAGGCTGGAAAACACAAGAGTAATGGGGATACCCACCTAGTCTTTTGGCCCAGAAGAAAGTATTCCATTCGCTTTCGCTTTAACACGGAGCTAACTCATACCCATTATTTCCCTCTACAATTCAATGGAGTAGGTTGAATTGATGAAATTTTCTTGCGATTCTCGTTCACTTTATCCCATAGCCGTCCAGGCTTGACTTTGTGCCCATCTTCCCATCGTACTTTGATCGTCTTTCAATCCCGCATTCGGTCTTGGTTTCCACCAGGTAACGATTTGCTTATTTCCAGGGCCGCACATCCCGTGCATTATACGCATCGGCCTCGAGAGCGTAGATCTTCCGGATCATGCTTTGACAATTGCGGATTTCGCTGGCGGCCATAGCCTCGCCGGGTACCGAGTCCACAGCTTCAGCATAAGACGGGAATGGAGGCTCAGAAGGAGGCGGTGGATAGAATATTTGCAGTTGCGCTATGAATTCTCGTCGCCGATTCCACCATCTCGCTTACCCGTCCCTGCTAAACGCCGGTCGGGCCCAAGCACGGTTGCGTGCAACATCTCAGCAGTATGGAGAAATGATTAGGGCAATAATGATGGCAATCAATATCATGAGATACACAAAGGTTAACAATGCTAGGGTCCCATATGGGGCGACTTCCTTCCGTTGGAAAACGAGGGTGTCGTTCATGCTACTGGCAGAGCTGTTGTAGAAGTATCCGTTCACATCGGTGCTATTTGGTGGATGTCCATTGACGAACATCCATTCTGTTGAGAGAGGTTCCAATTCTCATGCTTTGGTAGTCAATTGATTTGTTTCACAGCTGCTTTCAGAGCGGTATCCGATTCATTCAGATAAACCATCCTTACAGACTGGCCTTCTCGAGCAGAGGAAAACAGGCAGTTGTCGGTTATGTGGCGGGCCATCCCATTGTGAGGCTTTTACCTCACCTGCTGGAGCGACAGGTAGTGGTAAATCCCTGTTTCGGCTTGGAGCCTTCACAGAAATGAAGCATCAGGAAGATTTCATATCTTCGGGCAAGAGACGTAGAGCTAGGCAGCCACTCCATGAATTGTCGGTTTGTGCGGTATCCCAAGGGCAATACGCCCGAATATCGTGGCCCTGGATTGAAGATACGCACTATGTGCTGTCGCAATCAACTCTACAAGATAGGTTTTGATGGCGAGGCTCAAAAGGGCAGGGATGTACAGCCCTACATCTTTTCCCTCTTCTGGATCGACGAGGTCTTTTTTCCACTCAGAGGCGATAGTTTGGAGGCCCTGCCAATCCCCTTGGTTGTCAACACCGATAGCAATGTGAAGGTGCATCATCACAACGACGTGGGGTTTTTGGCGTTGAGAAGATCGAGAACAAACTCCTTGATTTTGAGACCGGCCGCTTTGATCGGAGAGAAGGAAGATTTGCGAGTTCGATCCACACCAGGGACATGCGAGGACCGGTGCTTACATCTGATCCAGCTTCAACATCTGGATGTACATGGGTGACGGCGAGGTTTCCGCGGTGGAATCGTCCATCTTTGTGCGTGTCACCCAAGCATAATTAACTGGGGTGACGGTTAGGCAGGTATGAATTAGATCGATTGGCAATGGGAGGGAGGAAATGGAAAAAAGACCGGCGACGTGTCTAACGGCAGCAGAACAAGAGATTGCGATAGGCGGGGTGCCGCGCTCTGACGGAGCAAGGTTAGTCCCATATTTACTCTCGCTTAGTCGGTCATGTAAATATTGCGGGACCGTCTGCGTCGAAGGAGATACCGATCCGACAAATCATTGAGATGCAAGCTCGTGATCGACCTGGTCCGTAATAAGGGATGTTCGGGTACAGTCTCGGAGAGCAATAGAACAAATCTAGTCGAGTCTTGCAGATAATCTTCCCTACCCTTCCGCTCAAGAAAGTTATACCACCGCCTGTACGCCTCCATCTTCTTAACTTGACGGTGTAGATCATACATTTAGGAGTACTCTGTTGTCGGAAGGACAAGTGGAATGTGGCGGGCAGATGTCGGCCAAGCGACGACACGAATGGAACGACACGATTGGAGGAGTGGGACTTGGGTTTTCTGTTGGAAAAAGACATCTGCTGTGGCAACCAGCGAACATTAGATGGCAACCTCTCCAGCCAAGATCACGTGATTACGCGTGGGCGTAGACCGCCAAGACATCGACCCGGCTTGAACACGACATCGATTCTCTTGCCTCAGTGTTTTAGAACCTTCCCAAAGTCTATTACCTAACTCGTCGCTTATCTACCTCCCTCACACCTTCAATGACAGGACGACGACCTTGCGAATGGACCAACTTGCACGTACGTGCATCTCCTCAAGCACGCTGAGCTTCTCAAAGGAGAATTTTGGGCAGAGATACCACAAGAACCAGTCGCACAAACGTCGAGGAAGGCACCACACTTGGCTAACACGAAATTCTACCAGCTACCGGCCCTTTCCCCCTCGATGTCACAGACAGTGTTTAAGGGAGTTCCTGCGACAGACCCAGCGGCAACCGCAGCTTTGTGGGCAAGAGTTCGAAGCGCCATGTCTCCCATAACGAGGGTGATGGTGAACAGCGAGGACAATAACAGAGGAGCAGGTGGCCGTGGGGGTCGTAGGGGTCGTAGGGGTCGTGGTGGTGATCACAGTCGCAGAAAACAAGTTGACGTGGGACAACATGAGAGCAAAAAAAGGAAGAGGAATGTGCAGCAAGATGAAAGTGAGAATGAACTGGCTAGTATCGCTGTCTCCCAGAGTGCCGCCTTAATGGCCAACAACATCATTCAGACCAAAATCATGGCTCAAAGCGGACTCTTGGAGGACTTTGTCCTTCGCCCTCGCAGGATCGTCAAGGGCCGCGACGAATTCCGCAAGAACGCTTACTCTCATTTTGGGACTGCACCTCCCCCCGGAGGAGATTATACGGCCATCGATGGCCTTGATGCAACGCAAATCTGGCTCTCCCTCTCTAACGACCAGGTTGAAGAGATTATCGAAGAATACCGGTGTATGAAGTACAGACGGCTTTGTGAGGCAGAATACGCCTTTTTTGCAACGGAAACATTCCTCCGAAGACAAAGACGGTTTCTTCAAACTCCTACAGACAGGAAGTGGCGTGCTGAGAGGATGATCCAATTATTTGCTCCGCCCACAGAGTGGTCCTATTGGATAGCCCCGCCATCCTTTGAAAAATGTCCCGAGTTCAAATTCGACTTACGTCCAGACTGTTGCTACTGGCTCTCCCTCGCTGGGTTCAATTCTGTATATCGAAGTGAATTGAGGGATGCAGTGTACATCCAAGATGAAGATTGGATTACGTGCCCGTACTTCACCATTGAGTTTAAGAAGCACGGCCAATCGATTGAACAGGCTACACGGCAGGCCTGCGCCGCCGCATCTATTCCGCTCTATAATCGCTACCGGCTCAAACAGGAGGCACTTGAGGTTGAAACAAAGGAGTGGACAGATTCGGACAGAGCAGAGATGAAGCATTACATCTTAACCTTCGTTGGAACCCAGTACGACATTTGGGTACTTCGTGCTCGCTTTTCTGAGGATTCCAGTACTTGGGATGGATGCTCCATGGTGAACATCTGTAAGTCGTCGTGCACGTCGAGTGTTGGGGTACGGAGGCTGGAGAGCTGGATCAACGAGATTCACCGGTGGGGTTTGTCGCGACATGCGGCTGGTTGTCAGACTGATGCGAAGACGATTCTCAATGACAACGAAATCGATACCTCTATGATAGATTGAGGCAAGCGAGTGCTTTGCTACTACCGCAATCGGGGAGAGTGTTCACGACCTGTGCAAGGATCGACATCGGTGCCACAAGAATGTCTGAGCTACAGACTCTGTTTGCTTGTTTGGGCACGGAATACGTAGTCGGTTGAAAAATGAAATATATGTTACTGCAATACCCAGGACTGACGACTTTTGCCTATTTCATATTCTGGGCAGGAGGAAATCCAAAGTCGAAGTTTTAACGGCTTGCTTCTACTTCCTCACCTCCTACCCAGGAAGATTACGCGTGTGATAATTTAAAGCGTAGCGTGAGCGGATCAATTTTGTTCACGTGACTTAACCGTTTCTCAATTGTGATTTCACGGAGGACTTAGTTGGCATTCGAAGAGACCGTCTGACTATATAGTATCTGAGGGTTACTAGCGTGTTTCGAAAACCCCTGGTCATTACAAACCTTGGCAGACCGTCAAAAGGGTCACGTGGGCCACCTATAGTCACACAATGGCAGATGTTATTCTGTACAATGGTCGCAAGGGTAAAGTAGTCTTAGTACGCCGGGTCCTCTCACTATAACTTATTAGGTTAGTTCTCATGCTCTTTGAAAATGTCAACATTCATTCGCGCCGCTATGAGGATGTGATTAATGCCAATGGGTATCACATACCTTGGTAGTTTGAATCGAATGCTAAAGCAGCGTGTAAATCCGATTGGAAGAAATCCCTGTCAAGTGGAGCATGCTAAGATTGCTTACCCTTGCGACTATTGTACACCACTTTGTGTTATTCTGTACACCGTCTACAATATCCCTCGCAGAACGCCATAAACACTACGTTAAAGACTCAAGTTTTTGCTGGATCATGTGCAGACATACTCAGTTAGTAGACATATATCTTTTCAGCATCCAAATCGCTCCAAAATTTTGCAGAGCGGTAACAAAGTAAATGCTATTCTGTCGTAGTGATCCACCCTTTTGAAAGTTGTACGTCGTACCATTTGGCGTAAGTTACGAAACGCGACATTTTCTCACCACTCTATTTACCTTACAAAGACGTAGAAAGAAATCGAATTTTTTTGGTTGATCCAATTTCGAAGGCCCTATAGTAGCTATGTTAAGAGTTACAGCATTCTCAGAGTACCTGTTGAGATTTTGGCGATTCAATTTTGCGAAAAGAGTGTACTCCGTACAGAATAACAAAAAAAGTTGGTGTACAGAACAATACCCCCCTTTCTGAATGGTCGACGAAATTGCTGCTGATTGGTCGAGAAAATGCTAAATCACATGATTTCGCGATGGGTATACGACCCTGTCTTCAAAAGCGCCTACTCTCTTTCTTTCTCAAAGATGCCTCGGTCGGCCCAGGGAGCAAGGTCTTTTCGACCTGTATGGCCTGTCGTGACAAGCGGAGAAAGAGAAGGGCTCGACAGCAGGACCTTCGAACGCAGTGAGGCCTGGGGTGTGGGCTAGCCCCCATAAAAGACATGGTGATCAATATCGTCTACATATGGTCCATGGACTGGATCCAATGGAGGATATCGTACCGCACAGGACACCGTGATCAACACCGTCTACATATGATCCACGGACTGGATCCGATGGAGGATATCGTACCGCACAGGACACCGTGATCAACATCGTCTATATATGATCCATGGACTGGATCCGATCAAGGGGGTCTGGCAGACAAAGGCGGCATTCTACCCATTCCTGGGTGGGCCGTGGATTGGATCCGATGGGTCAGCCAATCAGAGCACAAGACTAGGTAGTTGTCGGATTATAGATTTTCCGGATCCTGAGGGGTTGGCGATCACGTGAATCGTTGTGGGGTCGCATGTGCGTGATGCCAAGAATTGTCAAGACCAATGTGGCCGACTAAATCACGTGATACCTCGAGCGCAGCGAGGCCTGGGGGTTTGGGGCTACCCCCAAAATACAGAAGCTACGCTTTTAAGTACAGAAATGCTCGGCCAGTAAGCAAACATGTTTTCAGCTTTCAAATCGCTCATATATGCTTGCGGAATGGTGGTAAAATAAGTGCCATTACGACGTAGTGATACGCCCTTTACAAATGGTACGTCGTACCATTTAGCGCACGAAACGCAACTTTTTACCACGGCTCTCTTTACCTTACAGTGACGTAGAAAAACTCGAATTTGTCTGGTTGATCCAATTTTAAAGGCTGCATAGCAGCTATATTAAGAGTTTCAGTATTGTCAGATCACTCGTTGTTGAGATTTTGGCGATTCAATGCGGCGAAAAGAATGTACAGAATAGCCGCTGCCAGTTTCACATGCGACATCACGTGATTACGTGTGGGCGTGGACCGCCAAGATATCGACACGCCCTAGCGAATTCGCGACAAAAGCCTGAACGCTACATCGATTTTCTAACCTCTGTTTTAGCACCTTCCCAAAGTCTATTACCTAACTCGTCGCTTATCTACCTCCCTCACACCTTCAATGACAGGACGACGATCTTGCGAATGGACCAACTTGCACGTACGGGCATCTCTCCGAGCGCCTTGAGCTCCTCAAAGGAGAATTTTGGGCAGAGATACAAGAACCAGTCGCACAAAAGTCGAGGAAGGCACCGACACTTGACTAATACGAAACTCTCCCAGCTATCTGAAATCTCTACCGCTAAGCCGGCGCCCCCCCCCCCGACGTCACAAACAGTGTTTAAGGGAATTCCCGCGACAGATCCAGCGGCAACCGCGGCCTTGTGGGCAAGAGTTCGAAGCGCCATGTCTCCCATAACGAGGGCGATGGTGAACAGCGAGGACAATAACAGAGGAGCAGGTGGCCGTGGTGGTCGTGGCGGTCGTGGCGGTCGTGGCGGTCGTGGAGGTGGCCGCGGTCGCAAAGGACAAGTTGACGTAGGGCAGCATGAGAGCAAAAAAAGAAAGAGGAGTGTGCAGCAAGATGAAAGTGAGAGTGAACTGGCCGATATTGCTGTCACAGTCCCCGAGATTGGCGCCTTAACGGTCAACGACACCGTCCCGACCAGGGCGAGCAAAGTCACGGTTCAAAGCCGACATTTTGTGGACCTTGTCCTTCGCCCTCGCAGGATCCTCGAGGAGAAAAAAGAAACCCACAAGAGCCCATACTCTCATTTTGGGACCGCACCTCCCCCCGGAGGAGACTATAGGGCCATCGATGGCTTTGATGCAGCGCAAATCTGGCTCTCCCTCTCTGACGACCAGGTTGAAGAAATTATCGAAGAATACGTGATTATGAAGAACAGACGGGTTTGTGAGGCAGAATACGCCTTATTTGCAACGGAAACATTCCTCCGAAGGCAGCGACAGTTTCTTCAGACTCCTTCAGACAGGAAGTGGCGTGCTGCGAGGATTGTCCAGTTATTTGCTCCGCCAGGGAAATCCCCGCATCTCCGCTGGATAGCCCCGCCATCCTTTGAAGAATGTCCCGAGTTCAAATTCGACTTACGTCTAGACTGTTGCTACTGGCTCTCCCTTGCCGGTTTCAATTCTGAATATCGAGCCGAACTGAGTAATACAGTGTATCTCCTGGACGACGACTGGGGTACGTGCCCATACTTCACCATTGAGTTTAAGAAACACGGCCAGTCGATTGAACAGGCCACACGGCAGGCCTGCGCCGCCGCATCTGTTCCGCTCTATAATCGCTATCTGCTCAAACAGGAGGCACTTGAGGTTGAAACAAAGGAGTGGACAGATTCGGACAGAGCAGAGATGAAGCATTACATCTTAACCTTTATTGGATTCCAGTACGATATTTGGATGCTCCGTGCCCGCTTTTCTGAGGATTCCAGTACCTGGGATGGATGCTCCATGGTGAATATCTGTAAGTCGACGTGCGCGTCGAAAGCTGGGGTGCGGAGGCTGGAGAGCTGGATCAACGAGATTCACCGGTGGGGTTTGTCGCGACATGCGGCTGGCTGCCAGGCTGATGCGAAGACGATTCTCAATGACAACGGAATCGATACTTCTATGATAGATTGAGGCACGCAAGTGCTTTGCTACTACCGCAATCGGGGAGACTAATCGGGGAGACTGTTCACGACCTGTGCTAGGACCGACATTAGTGCTACAAAGAATGTCTGACGTACATAGACTCTGTTTGCTTGTTCGGGCTACGGAAGTAGTGGGTAAAAAAAGAAATATGTTACTGTCATCCAGCTGTTCGCTTGAGACAATGGATTTCCCACAATCATGTTGCAATCCCCGGGCCTAGAAGATTTCGTCAATCCGAGCCCAAATTCTCTTATTGCGACCCATTTTGAGCATCCACGTGTCGTTTCGACCTGTCAAGAGTTGGAACACTTCCACATTTGCTTGAAATGACTTTCATGTTGATGGTTCTACCCAATTAATTCGACTTCACCAGAACGAAGGGCATTTCCACTGCGACCAGTTACGGCTTATTCTCATTGGTCCCTAGGGTGCTCGACCGGTTTTCATATTGCCGCGCCGCCACCGTTCGAAGGGTTATCGTCAGTCAAAACACAACTGCTCGGATCACTATTCAAAGACAAGACCGCCGTCAGCCGTAACAGAGTCAACTGTATCTTTGCAGCCGCATTCGCTGTCCTGTTTGCATTGACTGAAAGATCGCAGAAATATAACCGTGTCAGTGAGATATCGTCCAAAGAATCGACTTGGGAATTGCAGTTCTCATATTGTGAGCTTCTTATCCTTCTCGTGCATTCAGAACAATCTCCTGTCGTCAGGCAGGACTGCACGGAACCATGACTTTCCCTTCTCTCCTCTAGCATTGATAAAGTCTCTCATGCGTTACAACGTGGCAAGCCTATACTAACGTGAGATCCGCACAGACGGTACCTTACAATCATCGAGTCGCCGTGCCCTACGACTACTTCGTTGAAACAACAGAGGTTCCGGATCATCGTGCTTCATCTACGACAGCGAGTTCGACGGTGCAAATTTGCCTTGTTATTCGGGGAAGTCATCATCCTCGCATTCATGGTCGCCGCGATCTACTCGGTTGGCAGCGGGATCGCTCACCAGGTCATTGGCATGAGCTCGCAGACAACGACATCATCAATAGCTTAATATTGACTCGGGTTCGTTTCGAGGCTGCGTTCTATATCCTGCAGTTCTGTGTCAGCTTGCTCACAGTGGCCTTTGCCTCTACAAGTTTCGTGTTTGATAGGAATATCATGGGTCAATTTCCGCCAGTATTTCATTGTTTCCCTCTCTCATCCATGTATCAAAAGGAAACTCAATCAACTCCGCCAATTCTACTCAGCCTCCTGACACGACCATAAGATAGCCGCCATCCTCCTCCGGATCAGCTACACATCCGAAATGGTTTTCGTGTTCAAATACCATCTCGGGCACCGTTCACTGGCCAAAATCACCGATCTCGCCCGCGATGGCATCTTCAGCGTCTTCCCTCTGATATCCCTCACCCTCCTGACCCTCGACGCGACCGGCGCTCCGACCCCAGCTCCCACACTCAAAACGACGACGATGACCAGAACATCGAACCAGCAGTTGTCACGCTCCTGAAGCGAATGCAGGATGAATCCCGTGCCAAACTGATCGAGCAGCAGCTGGAGAACAACATGCATGAGAACGAGACGAAAGCGCCGGCATTCGCTACATTGATCAGTACCCCGCGCGCTGATCCGAGACAGGGTGTTCTCAAATACCACGAATTCGCAGCGTAGCAAGCTGACTGGTGTCTATCAAACGAGGTTGACTGCGGTGTGTAACAAAGTTCCTGGATACACTCCTGTATTGTTTGGTTACGTAAGCTCAGAGCCGGTCCCGATGGCTGTGAGGAGGGGCATTCAAAAAGGTGTGATAATGCGCAAGTGGTCAGATGCTGCATGAATGGTCAGCCCAATGATACCCTCCCCGCATGGGACCCTGCTCTTGTGCCGACATGACTAGAAGAGTGACAAAGAAACTTGGAAAAGGAAAATTTTATGCATATCATTAGTGTTTGACATTCGGGCTCCGACTTGCTATGCAGTGGTATGCTTTTGCTCAAGCATAACAAAATCAGTGTAGTCCACACCCACATCTAGCGCGATCCACGCTTTCGCTATTATACAGAGGAGAAGGATCAAACCCAACGCACGGCCGTTTCAATTTCAATAAGAAAAATAGGGCGGAGAAAGTTCATCGACCAGATCCCCGGCTGGCCGTCTTGGATGTACGGTCCGTCTTTTTGTTGGAGAAAATAAGTCGTAAGGGAAAGAAAGAGAGTGCCTAAAAGTCTTGTATCTCTAAGCGCACAAGGTATCAAAGTGAGAAGATTAGGTTGTACGTGTGTGTCGTGATGAACTCGAGTTTCGGGGTAGGTTGCGTGATAAGATGAACGACCAACGAAGGGCCGTGTCTTTTGGGAACCGGTACCTTCGGTTTCGATCTGAGGTGGTGATATCGACTTGAAGAATTAGGGCCTTATGCTGGAATAAGACTTCTGGAACCAGTTCAACACAGCGGGAAATCAAAGCCCTAAAAAGATGCCTACTCGAACGCCGCGCCTTTTCAAAGGCAGAAAGGGGGCCCCCCAAAGTCGCCATGTCGTAATAGAGAGGAGTTGATGTGCTGATGCACCAAGTCAGTTGAAAAGAAAAAAAAATTCAATATGCTGCTTCCATGCCCATCAAGGTCTGATCAGATACTTGAGGCACACCTGTGACTGGATCGACAGGAAGTTCATCAACATATCCAACCAAAGCTTGGGCATGCAGCTTGAATGATTCACCCATGGTCTTGGAGATGCTGTCACGAATTAGTCATGTCCACCTTCGAAAAGTTGAGACCGGCTTACCCCCAAACAACCACACCATCTAACATGGTACCCCAGACACGGGCAACTGTGGAGCTCAGACGAGAACCGTTCGCGTCAACAGCATCGTCGTCAAATAAGCCGCGTACTTTCATGTACATGGAAAGTTCTTCATCGGTAGCTTCTTGGTCGTCGTGCTCGATGCGATAAAGCCAGAGACTGAGAATGGTGATAAGGTCCAGCCCGCAGAGAGGATGCTCAATACTCCAATTGGTGGAAGAAGTCTTTGTCACCCAGTTGATGCCTTGCATTGCCACAATTTCCATACATTCGTAACATTGCTCAACCACTTTGATCATTTCCTTTGTTCGCTTAACACTGTCTCGTGACAGCGTCATGGCCCCAGCAATCTCATAAGAGTTGTGATATCGCAGAGCTTCCTGAACATTCTTGAGGTCCACTTCAAGGAAAGCCCTCGTATTTCGATACACCGCCATGGAGTTGAAGATCAACGGGTGGCTCTTGTGTGGCGTGCTCAGAGGGACGACAATCGTCTCGGGTTCGCACAAATCGAGTGATCGCTCCCAAGTTTCCAAAGCAATCCGAATCTTCCATTCCAGAACCACGTCTTGGAGTGATTCGAAGCTTCTCCTCAAATTCCACACTTCAAGGAACAATGCATTGATCATCACCCGTGTTGCAAAAGCGCTGTATCGTGCGGCGTCTCCTTGGAACAGACTGTCGTGGGCTTCTCGAACAGTGATCGTGGGTGATGCCGCGAAGATATCTTGCCACGAATCCTCATCGGTCGGTTCAATGTTCCACAAGGATTCCGAAGATGGCAGTGGTAATGAGTCGAACTCATTGAAGCTGATGGCAGGAGTGTGGTTGTATGTCAAGGTCAGCATTCCAAAGAAGATGTACACAGCATAGTACGTCCTTCTGCAGCCTTCTTCCGTGACCCATTCCTCGTGTGTGGGCGGGGTGCCGGAGCGTGCATCAATTCGTAATTTGAGCTCGTATTTGTTGCCAGCAACCATCTATTCAAAGTTAGTCTCCAACAAAGAAAGCCGATACGGAACACGTACATTCGCAAGCAAACTCTTAATAGAGCATGCCCATTCCAATCCTTGGGAACCACCACTCCAACTCTCAAAAACCATATTCAGAAGCGTGCTCTGCATGGTCCACAGTGGGCATTTTCGAGAATCGAAATTGTCTTTATTCTGGAGAAATTGGTTGACAAGCTTCTTGGACCCATGGTGGAGTAAGTATGCGTTTTCTTTTTCGAAGTTGTACAAAGCTCCAATGGACAGGATGGCAAGGAGGAGAGCTGGTTCGGTGCTTTCGGGACGGAAGGTGACGGGGTGGAGGAAAGGAAGATGATGGTGGAAGAGGTTAAAGTATGTGGCCAGGTAGAGATTGACAGAAGGCAAGGGGGGTAACGTGATATCTCCGTCGCCTACTTGGTTAGCAATGATAGCTCTCTCGTCATCATTGTTAAACTGCGGAGCTTTGGGTAAAGAAAGGGGTTGGGCGGGACCAGGCGACTTGCGGTAGTTCACTGGAGATACGGGACCTGTCATGGAGGGAAAGGGTGAGAGAGCATTGGGTGTAGGGGTGCCGGAGACGGGAAAGGTGTCCGCCAGCGAGGGGAAAGCGGGAGGCAGAGAACCGCCGAGGGAGTTCTGGCGTTCCATAATGGGCGGCAGCTGTGACTGATGAGGCTGGATCGATCCCATGTGGACGTAAGGGGGCTGCGACAGGTTATCTTGGGACGACATGCTCGACATGGAATGCGCCTTTGGTTCTGACGGGCCCTGTGGCATGAAGGTGTCCCAGGGCATATGTGGCAAGCCGGTCGACGTGGTCAGATAATCGGAGGATTCGAGGAGAGAGCTTCGATCTGGAGAGAAACCGGGGATGGATCCTTCGCCGTTCTGAAGATGGCCGTTCACTGCTGCTGCCGCCTTGTGTTGGAAGTCTGTCATCAACATGGCGGCAGTTTCAAGGTCGAGCATACCATCGCTGCTTGCCTCTATCTGCTCCAACGTGCCAGGATCGATGCTAATCGAAGGCTTAGACGGAGCGGCCGCTGAGGGCGACGTCTTCGTCCCTGCGCCTGTTCCTGTCGTCCTCTTTCTACCCTCAGACTGGAGAGGCACACCGCCATCCTTTGCATGTACGGTTCGGTCGTGGCGTAGGAGCAAGTCTCGACGGACGAAGGTGCTGCGACATTTCTGGCACTTGAAGGGGCGCTCCTTGGTATCTATCCAGGCATAATGGTCAGCGACAGGTTCGATTGAAGAACATTTGACCAGATGAAGGTTTGGTTGATGGCGGGGTCAGTCAGTCTCCTTATTTGCCCCACGTCGCAACCAACACACACCAAAAAAAAAAAGGTCTACTTACGCGATCGCTCGTGTCGACTTCGGTGTTCGCTTCGACTGAAGGCTCGATTGCAGTACTGACACTTGTACTTCTTCTCGGGCGCGGAGGCCGTCTTTTTCGGGGTCGAGGTCGTCGCGGGTGTGCTGGCAGGCTCAGCGCCGGCGGCGGCGTCAGACTGGGCCATGGGTTTGTAAAAAGAAGATTAAAAGTCCTCCGACCAGGCGCAAGCGTTTCGCTCAAAAGTGAGATGGTTCAGAGAGATCGATCGCGCCGTGTTCATGCCGTGTAAAAGCAAGCCGACAGGTTCGAGGATCGAGGCGATTGAAAAAAAAGTGAGGAAGGTGGGTGCAGTGCGAGTGTGCCGCTTGGGGGGGGTTTGCTGGCTCGCTGCGTGGCCGAAGGAGAATCGGATTCGGCTGGCAAAAAAACCCAAGGTCGATCACGTGGCCTGTACGAATCTTGCAGCGCCTGATTGACGAGTTCGAGACAAAACGGCGGCCACAATTTTTGATATCAATATTATACAGATGCTATGTGACAATGACAACGATGTTGGTGCAGTATAGGAGAGAGGTGTGTGCGATGGTGGTAAAAACGAAGGAGGGGCAAGAGGCCAAAGAAGGCCGTGAGGGCACTGAGATGCCAGGCATCCCTCCTTGCAGTCCTGCTCTCCTCGCCCTCTCCCTCATTCTTGCTCAGCCCCTGAAAATTACGGTCACCACCTTACACTACTAGGCTGACCAGACCAGAGGCCACCAGACCCGCGACGCCAGTGTTCCCCCCCCCGTCCCCTCCCTCGAATGCCACCTTTCGCCTTCGAGAAATTCCCTACTGCCGCTTCCGGTCTCAATTCAGACCTTGTTTGCACGCTTGTCCCCCATTGTTGTCGAGGACATGCCCAAGAATCCGGGTCCCTGGTTTGCAAGGCAGGTTGGACCGAGGCAGCTGGGTGTTGCTTTTAAAATGACAAACAAATACAAGCTCTGCTGAAGGGGCCGCGTCGGGAGTGTTCTGTCTCTATTAGGCAAAAATGCCAGCAAAGAAGACAATTGCCCTCATTCACGAGTGGTGTTGTCACGGGACAGACTTGAGTTGCGGATGCAGGCACAGTCTTTTCCGGAGAGTCCTATCACAAAGCAACAAACTCTTGAAACATCCTTCACAGTTCCCAGCCACCCACTCACGCGCCCACTCGCCATCAAATCAATCCCAGAAGCTTCGGTCCGTACCCACGCTTGCGCCGTTGTTGCTGGCAGCGTGACCGCCTAAAGATGATGCTTCCACTCATAACATGGCGACAAGCCACGATTTGTCTCCCATTCGGCTGTTTGGAACCAATCAATTGCTTATGGAGGACAGAACAAAAGTGAAAGGCGTGGGCATATCACCGAATCAGGCAATTGCATTTGTTGATGAGGGAAAGTAGAAAGAAATCGTGGCACCAAAAAGCTGGACGAGAAAAGATCGTCATCGCATTATTTTGGTCCTGTTCCTGCATCTCCCGTGCAGCCTGCAGCTCCTGATCTCTTGGGAAACCGACTTGGGCAAAAAGATTTGGAGTTCGCTAATGCCGAAGTGAAATACACCACTTCCCACTCCCTAAGTGGGTGCACTCCCAGTTCTGACCCTCGACCTCCTGTGCCAACTCCTCCTTGACCCAGGGCGGGGCAATGGAGCTAGGAAGATTCACAATTCCTTCCGCGCGACGGCTGAAGCAACCCCATCATCCGGAGACCATCCTCGTGGACAAGACCTTGCTGGTGGGACTCATGGGTACCCATGGAGAGATGGATCGTGCCGTCAAGGAAAACACTCGATTGAGATGTCTCCTGACAAGGACTGCCACAAGTCAAACGAGTCATCGACTACCCGAGAACTGCGATTGGTACGGTTTCGGGAATGAGAACAGATCGGACATGTCGTGGAAACCGACTGCAATTTCCCCAAAAACGTTCATTGCGATTGTCTTGAACCAGGAATCACTTGCATCTCTCGCAGAGCCCCGCGACATGACCCTTGCTGGCTGCGATTGCGTTGCTGGTAATCTCATTTACCGGGCCTGGCTAGCTCTTCAACAAGGCGGTGAATGATATTTCGAGCAATGCATGCCCGGCAGCTCTTCCGCGTTCTCTAGTCTGCTTGTTATATCCATTCGAAGTATTTTAGAACGACCTCCCGATAAATCGGTGGTTGGCGGTTCCGCACGGTTGGTCCAAGTTGTGATGGAGTCTTGAAAGAATGCTGGCGCTCGTTAAGTCAAGGCCGAAGGAGCCACAGTGGACGCCGCGTCAGTGGCACCCGTCGGAATCCCACAAACCGCAAAGCTACTTACCCCCCCACTTCACAACCCACTCTTTTATGGAGACTGCAGACAAACCCTCCTCGGAAAGATGAACAATCTCCGTCAACGTCGCATCGGCTGCTGGTTCGCCATCGGCATCCCCTGGGCCTAGTCGACACCCATTCGAGAAGCTCGAAGTCACCACGATTCACTTCGGTTGGTCATTAGTTGATCGCTATCAGTTGATCGCTATCAATTGGCAGCGTTGAGGGGCATATCTTCCCGACTTTTCTATCGAACTTTGACCGCTTACTTTCTCAGAACAAATTTCAAAAAGAAAAGAAACGTGGGTCGTGACAACAAACAGAGGTATTGATTCATCGGCTATATGAGCCTCGTCCAGCTAGAGATGGGTCTCCAACAACCACTTCCCTGACCGCCTCAAATGAAGGTGTTGAGCTATGGAGCGCAAAAAGAAAATGTCCTAGGCGTCTGACACACCCCGTTCTAACCGGCTCTGAGCTATGGTTAATACGCACGTCAACGTTCAAAACTTGAAGATCGGTACTTCTGGGAAACCCTATTATTGCCTGCTTAAAGCTGTCTGCAGGAATCTCCGAAGTTGTCAACGAAGGGCCCTTGTCGAAGTTCGGAAGTTTATTCGAACCAATCATAAAGGCGTAACAACAGGATATCTTGGCGAATACAATGGTTAGCCAGCCTCTTCCGTACAACTTCGAATGCGTATGGCCTGAGTCCCTTCGTTGAGGACAGTATGTATACTTTCTTCCCAAGGCCTGCACAGTGTTACGGTGTCGAGCCGCGAACGACTCAGCGGCTCGCGTTGTCTTTTCAGGGTGAACTTATCCTGGATCAATTTCAATGCAGTCGCAACGGACCCTGCTCTTCCCCGGGTTTCTCCTAATGAAATATGCTCTGTCAGGCCTTTGAGAATCAGCTGTTCATGAAGGTAGTTGCGTGCTGCTTACAATAACGACTTCTATGCGCTGACTTGGCACACTGCTCCAAGATAGGTTTATCTCATTTCCATGGTGTCGAAATTATCACCTGAACATCGGGCTCCCGATGTAAGTGCGATGAAATCGTTTAATGAACGGTCGTCTATAAGATCTCCTAATCTTTCTTCTCATTATTGTCATGCCAACTATGCAGCCTTACCAATTCGTCATCCTCTCCCCTTTATCAATCAATGCCATTAAAGTCGATAGCAGCCCAGCACTTCCGACCCAGCGCCTTACTCACCATGGTCAAATCATCGATGTCCCCGTTCTCCCGATCCCTGGACTGCAAAAACTCACACACAGCGTTATCCGCATCACATTCGGCATCGTAATAAAATATCCCGGGCACGGTTTCGGGAGAATCGAACATCTGCCAAGAGCGATACGAGGGCGGGAAAGTTGGACACTTGGACTTGTTGCCGTCCTTAGGAGGCATCACTTCGGGCAGGGACGAGTGATCCCGCCTCGCAAGATCTGCTGGGTCGGCGCACATGTTTAATTCGCCCGAAATGAGCGAGAATTGCTGCTTCGTCCAGGCACGAGGAATCCGTTTCTGCTCGTAGAGGGCGACGGCTTCGGCGACAGTGACGGTGCCGCGGACGACTTCGCTCATGACACGGCCTAGGAAGACGCCATCCTCAATCGCCGTTGCCGCGCCCTGGCCCATGTGGTTTTGCATGCAATGACAGGCGTCGCCCAGTAAAACGACGTTTCTGAATTCATTTGACCATCGATCCATGGGCGGCATCACCAAAAGCGGCCAACGTTGCGTGTAATTGACCAATTTGATGATGGATTGGATGGCCGGGCTGTAGTCCTTATAGTAGCCGCGGAACTCGTCGATATCGACCTCCTCCATTTTCTCGACATAGTAGTCTTTGCAGAACGAGGTGACCACGTTCAGTTCCTTGCCCCCGGATAGCGGGTAAGTCATGATATATCCATTTGGACCGGTCCACATGTCCATCGTATTCGTCAGTACAGACGCGCCTTCAGGGGCCCTTTCTCGTATCTCGTCATATGAAAGCACTCCTCGGTAAGCAGCCACTTTGGACGGGGCCTTTGGCATGACTTCAGGAAAGAGATGTTGGCGAATTGTCGATTTGATGCCGTCGCTGCCGACGACCAGATCGAAAGTGTAGGAGATTCCTTTTGCCGTGGTGACCGTGGCAGAGTGCGCTGAGTACTCGAGTTTCTGCACACGAGCTCCGACGACGATCTCGACCCCATGTCGACGAGCAGACTCGGTCAACCCGGCGTGAAGATGGTCTCGACGCGCAATCAGGTGCGGGAAGCCCGTGAGTTTCTTAACCTGTTTCGGATCGACTCTGGTCACCACTTGTCCGCTAACACTCCAGGTGCGCACTTCATCCACTGTCACCAGGTTCTCTCCAATGATCTTGTCGACGTCCCAACGCAGGAGATATTTCGACACGTTGGAGAAAATCTGAATGCCGGCACCAATCTCTCCTAGTTCGGTGGCAGCCTCGAGAATCGTTACCTTAACTCCTCCTCGAACAAGCGCAATCGCGGCAGCGAGCCCGCCCATACCGGCCCCTACCACGCCGACGTGGAGCGGAACTGGAGGCATTTTGATTTATATTCCAAATTGAGGAAATGTTTGGTAACGGTCTCGCGGATGAGGGATATCAAATTCATGACATTCTTTCACGCCTAGTTAAAGGTATGCGATTCAAACCTCAATCATAGAACTTCCTTCTGACATGAGCATTCGATTCGGCCTCCGTGTTTGTCGAGAGTTTTGAACCATAAGCACCCAAGCGTTCTCTTATCGTCCAGGCTGACACTTCAGGATTTTGACAATATATTGGCGAAGCATGAGTCTTTTCAACTCAAGTGAGACAAAGAAATCGAGTCAGGTAAACGATATGCTCTTTGTATCGGCTTGGTGCGCCACCAAAAGCCGTTTCGTGGACCAAAGGACGTTCGTACTCGCATCTGTCGTGGGGGAGGGCCTGAACCGCGGTTTCCGGATTTGGGCGATTCACCAATAGAAATACAGTCAGCCTGAATGATCGTATTATTTGCAACACTAGGTACGTACAGACCAGGTCCCTCGACGGTTCTGAGGCTTATGATTTTCTTGTACTCACTCCCAACGATATGCCTCAGGCGAGCTTGGCCCAGATCAAGACGGAGCCCAGTGACACGCTGAAGCTGAAAGCCTCCGCAACCGGTAGTAGTGTGGCATGTGTGTGCTTAAAGTGCTCCATACCATGAACAGAATAGCCCTTTTTCTGTTCGGCGCAATAAACGAGAAGTTATGATTCCTTGTCGTGTCAAATCTGATATGGCGTGACACACGATAAACCGATCTCTAGGTTCATTCAAATTCGTCCTAGAGAAAGCTCGTTAGGGAACGGCAGCATTCCGTACCCCTCTCGTGCCCCCCTTTCTGCTCGGGGCACAACAGCCCCCGCCGAATCCTTTCCGGCCAGTTGTTTTCGGGCATAGCAATGACTCGACATAAACGACAGAGATCGTCCATTCTGGGCCGTATGATTCTCGTTCTGGTCCTGCGCTGTCTCGTAGCCTATGCATTCAGACACAGCAAAGCCCCATTCTCCAGACTCAGCCACCTCCGGGTTTTGTGAAAGGCGAGGCTTGATATTGTGCGAGACTTGGCCGGTTGTCATTGATGCTGAAATGTGCAAGAAAATTTGGTGACTGTTTGTGTCCTTTCCCGTCCCCTTGTTTGTCCAATTCACCTGTGGCTCAAATTAGTTCCTCGACCATTAACTGGTTGCAGGTGGGTGGGCGGCCACGCGGCATAGCCAGGAACGAGAACCGCTCGTGTAAAACACCATAGCTGGTTGGTTTCCAGGCCAAGAGAAAAAGGGAGTAAGTTCCAGGCTAGGAGTACGAAGTAAATGGTACAGCTGCTTCTACACTGTAGGAGTTCCGTAAAATGCGTCGAGACGGGGGTATGGGAATGGCATTGACCTGGGAATTTTGGCGCCGCGACGGCGGCGGTGGGCGGCTGCAGGTGCACTGGCAGGCCAGAAGAGACACTGGGCAAGGGGCCAGACACGCTCACGGTTAGGTTTGCTCATGGCCTGCCATGATTTGTTCTCCTCACCTCCTTGCAGAATGCACAATGTAGAATGCAATCTGCGGCCCAGTGACACCACCTCTGCTCTCCGCGCCTCAAGATCATCTTTTCACTCGCCCTCACCTCCATGCCCCGATTGTGTTTTGTAGTCGTCCTTTCGCTGAGAGGATTTTTCTCCCCCCTTTTCCCTCTGCGCTGACATCCTCGCTTCCTCTCTTGTTGTCCCAGATAAAGCCTCCCCTCACCCATATCCCCGTATCACTTACTACAAAAAGCCCGTTGCAGATAACCGCTTAGCGAGCCTACTGCTCGACCTCTCAAGGCTCACCCTCATCCCGAACCTCCAATCGGGGGTGCCTGTCCATCCATTTCTCCACCCAACTCATCACAGACCTCCCACCAGGGGACCACGGACCACACCTGCCACTGCAGTTGCCAAAAGACCTCTCCTCTCTACGATCAATCCGCCTCCAAACTCTTCCGTACCATAATCTCGGTCCCTCGATCACGCTTTCGCAGCTGGCCCTCAGTTTTCGCCCTCCAGATCGCGGTATTCGAATATGCGGATCCTGCCTGCCTTGCTGCGCTCGCAAAGGCAGAATCAGGCGCTTCGACTTGTCTCGGGTTGGTGAACAGTGTTGAAACGTCAATGTCACGCAACGTAGGACAAGATTCAACTTCCAAAGGCCATTCAGTCAAGTCTGGGCCGACTTTTGCCACGGCTTTCCATTACATAGAACCTATCCGACCTTCTCAATCGACCCTCCGATCCGAAAACTCCAGGACTCATCATTCGGGCATGAGCGGCCTCTCGCCGCGCCGTCGTGCAGCTCAAGCGGCTGCTATGAACGGCTATGTCGCCAGCCCTGACCTTCCTCCGCCTCCTCCACCGATCTTCGTGCGAGCCCTGTACAATTACGATGCTGATGACCACACCAGTCTGAGTTTTCGCCAGGGGGATATAATCCAAGTGTTGACTCAGTTGGAAAGCGGCTGGTGGGACGGCGTAATCAACGATGTTCGGGGCTGGTTCCCAAGCAATTATACCGTTGAAATCACCAATCCCGATGATTTGAGTGAGCCGGGGACAGGAGGCCACGATGAGAGCGAGACCAGTGCTGGGTCGGGTACTGAGGAAGATTATGAGGATGAAGAGGAGGATTCAGACACTCGCACACAAGATGACGACTCGGACTTGCCAATCGAGGGCGGCAGCAGCACTCAGATTCAAGAAGAGGCGGCGTTTTGGGTTCCTCAGGCGACTCCGGACGGACGATTGTTTTATTTCAACACGTTGACGGGTGTCAGTACCATGGAGTTGCCTCTAGAAACACCGACCAGTGCGGATGAGACTGGTCCTCGAGATCGCACCAATTTTCACGTGCCAGAACAAACGAGACCGCCTCCGGAAATGATGGCGGGAGGGTACGGGCAGAATGAAGAGGATTATGACGGCTCTGCCTCCGAGGCGGACGGTGAACAGTCTTTCCGATCTCCACGCAAGAAAGGCTCCATGACTTCTGGCAGCATTTCCACCTCAACTTCCATGGATTCCATCGACGTAAGCGCAGCCCGACAAGCCGGCAATCAAATTCCCCATCCTCTCACCAGCCCTTTTGGATCTCAATCCAATGTCTCGATGGCGCTCCCTCCTCTTGGAACGACGGCCACGTCCTTCACGGTATCTCCGCCACCGAAGCTGTCTAAATCCCCCACACCGAGATATTTCGTGGACGACGCAGTGGCACCCGTCACATGGAACACTTTGGTGGAGAATATGCGAGCTGCCGTTGATGCCTATCGACATGCCATCCGCACCCACGCACGAGCTGACTACGTTCGACGGGCAGAAGATATTTCAGATCATCTGCGAATGCTGTTGGCAGCGGGATCAGGGACCACCGACAACCACTCTGGCAATCCATCGATCATTTCGTCCAACAAAGCACTCTACCCTCATTTCCGGGAAATGATGTCCAAGTTTTCGAAACTGGTCTTATCCTCTCATATCGCCGCTGCCGACTGGCCGGGACCGGATGCTCTAACGAAGTGCCTACAAGAAGCCGATGGAGTTATGAATGGTGTATACGGCTACGTCGAGGTCGCCAGGCAACAAAGAGGAGAAGAGATTCCACGATTGATCCCGGGCTTCTTTGTTGGAAGCCATGTCGGCGGAAGCTGGCGGGACAATAATATTGAAAGTCAAGCGAATCTGGACGAAGTGTCGTTCATGGATTCCAGCGACGACTTTCGATCACGTCCTTCAGTGCCACTGGATGCCAATGTGTTGCGTCGCATTGAAGACTCGAAGAAAAATTTGACCGCTGCCGTTCGTCGTCTCGAGGAGTCACTCGTTCTCGCTGAGAAAATTGTGACTTCGGCCAGGCAATCTGCAATCGGCGACACAATCTGTCAGGGCGCGGGTGTTGTTATAGATCAATTTCGACCTTGGATCACACAGATCGAGTCGGTTGACCTTGCTCCACTCGGAAATGTGTTTCAAAAACCGTCGTTGGTGGACTTTGGAACACAGAAGCAAAAGGCCTACGATTCGATCGGTGAATTGATCGCTGCCTGTCAGGCTGTGACGGCGCCGCTGCCGGACGAATGGGCAGAAATTCGTGGTGAGTCCTTGGATACCCGCATGAGCAATGTTCGAGGAGCTTGCAAGCAACTGGACACACATACCTCCAACGTCGGTTATGCTTTGCAGCTCTTTCTACCAGCCACCGCTCTAAATGCACCCGGCGTATCGAACAAGCGGGATCACCGCGTGACAGACGGAGGTGAAACATATCAGAACCATCACTTGAGATCGGACTCATTACAGCGGCCTGCATTGGCAGATCTCGGTCAATCAAATTCTTACACTCTCGGCCAGGATCCAACAATGCCGGAGAAACTTCGCCGCCCCCCCACCAAAGACAAAGCAAGGCAGTTCTTCGGGCAGATCCCACCCAATCTGGCTCAGCTCAAAGCCAATATTGAACCTTCTTTCTCTGCGGAGGATGTCCCCTGGTATCTACAGCTCGACCACGCTGATGAGGTCACATATGATACCAGAAACGACCCGCCTCAGGTTAAAAGTGGCACGCTCACCGGATTGGTTGAACAGCTTACTCGCCATGACCGTCCTGACACGACCTTTACCACCACCTTTTTGCTCACTTATCGATCCTTCACGACGGCGACGGAACTCTTTGAGCTTTTGGTGAAGCGTTTCAATTTGCAACCCCCCGCGGGTCTGAATCGAGATGAATATCTCATTTGGGAGGAGCACAAGCAAAAGCCCGCCCGATTTCGAGTGTTGAACATTCTCAAGGCCTGGCTCGAGTTGTACTGGATGGAAAATGATGATGCTACCAGTCACGCTTTGCTTGATCGGATGATGGCATTTGCAAAGAGCACACACACCAACACCAAAATCCCCTTGGCAAAGGTCCTGACCAACATCATCGATCAGCGCATGAAAGGAGGAGAAACGTCGTCCAAGAAACTTGTTTTGACGCTGACCAATTCTGCACCGGCTCCTATCCTCCCGAAGAACATGAAGAAATTGAAATTCCTCGACATTGATCCGACAGAGTTTGCTCGACAATTGACGATTATTGAATCAAGACTCTACGGCAAAATCAAACCGGTCGAATGTTTGGCCAAAACATGGGAAAAGAAGGGCAAATCAGAAAGCAGTGATACGGCACCAAATGTGCAGGCGCTGATCCTCCATTCCAATCAACTGACAAATTGGGTCGCGGAAATGGTATTGGCACATAGTGAACTGAAGAAAAGAGTGGTGGTGATCAAGCACTTTGTAGCCATTGCCGATGTGAGTCTTGTCCTCTCGATTTCATCGAGATCAGTACTGACTGTCGCAGAAATGTCGAGCATTAAACAATTTCTCGGCCGTGACCGCCATCATTTCCGCCATGGGTACAGCCCCACTCCTGCGACTCAACCGAACCTGGCAAGCGGTCAATCCCAAGACACAGGCGATGCTCGAGTCAATGCGTCAATTGATTTCCTCTTCGAAGAACTTTGTACAATACCGAGAAACCCTTCACGCAGCGACGCCGCCTTGCATTCCATTTTTGGGTGTCTATCTGACTGACTTGATCTTCATCGAGGATGGTATTGCATCCCTGGTGAAGAATACGGAACTCATCAACTTTGCCAAACGAACCAAGACTGCCGAGGTCATTCGGGATATTCAACAATATCAAAATGTACCGTACACGCTCAATCCAGTTCCAGAGCTACAGGAGTGGATTTCAGAGAATATGAGGAATGCTGGAGACGTTCAGGAAATGTATAACCAGAGTCTGAAGGTGGAACCTCGGGAACGAGAAGAAGAAAAGATTGCTCGACTCCTATCGGAATCTGGGTTCCTATGAAAACTCAATGGACTTGACCCTGAATCAACCGGCCCTCTAGAAGTTTGCTTTGATTCTGCGGTTCTTGGAATCAAAGACCTGCCCAGCACATCTCGGCGTATATGGTGGGAGAAATTTCCTCGTCCTTCATTATTGGCCCTCGAATACTTAGGGAGATGGTCAATCAGGGTGATATGTCCGGGAATAACATGGTGCTGCAGGTGGTGCCTCGAAAGAACCATTGCTCTGTCGCTATCAGCTACGAGTTCATGCATAGTTTACGATGTTCATGCTATGGATATGAATCTTTTCACATGAGTCGGTGTCCTGTCCGTGCAGCAGAAGAAATCTGGACTGGCAAAGTGGGGAGAATTGATCGGGCGTCTCTCTCATTTCGTTTTCTGGTTATGGAAGGGCGATTTGTTCGATAGTTGTTCGCATAGACCGGGGGATATATTAACTTGCTCTTTAACTATCACGTGCCCGGAAAGGCTGCGCGGATAAGTCGCCGTTCATACTCAACTCCAATTCATGGCCTGCTCCCTCCAGGTCATACTTATCTGAAATCTCTATCCCACCTTCTATTTAGTTTTCTCCCCCCTCCTACCTGTTCTATCTCCCTTGTACATGCCTCCTCTCCCTTCTTTTGCAGGTAGATTCATCGCCCTCCCCCCCGGCTGCGCGCTTTCCCCGCACCGGTTTCTCTTTCCACGACGACGACAGAACTTGAACCTGACGAAGCTCACACAGACGATCCGCGAGATGTCGTCGATTTCCGCAATGGCAAAGCGCCTGGAGGGCAAGACGGTGCTGGTCACAGGCGCCTCGTCGGGCATTGGACGCAGCGTGGCGCAGGAATTCGCGCGAACCAGCCCCAACAACCTCAAAATCATCCTGACCGCACGGCGTATCGACACATTGAAACAGGTGGCCGCAGACATTGCGAAAGAAGTTGGCGACGGGGTCAAAGTGCTTCCTGTGAAGCTTGACATCTCCAAGCCCGAAGAAGTCGCCAATTTCATCCCCGACTTACCAGAGGAGTTTAAGGATATCGATATTCTGGTCAACAATGCCGGGCTCGTCAAGGGCATGGACAAAGCTCCCGACATCAAGGCTGAGGATATGCAGATCATGTTTGACACAAACGTGACGGGCCTCATTAATATGACGCAGGCTGTGTTACCTATCTTCAAAACCAAGCAGAATGGCGCGGACGGCGGACGAGGAGATGTCATTATGATCGGAAGCATTGCTGGCCGCGAGGGATATCCTGGCGGAAGTATTTACTGTGCGACTAAAGCTGCGGTACGGACATTTACGGACGCTCTGAGACGAGAGTTGATCGCAACGAGGATTCGAGTCATTGAAATTGATCCCGGCCAGGTCGAGACGGTGAGTTTGGAACCCGAACCCGAACCCGTTCATGCTTTATTTTCCGTGATCGACGAGATCAAACCGATTCCAGTGGAGGTAGCTAACCCTTTTTATGCAGGAATTCTCCATCGTCCGCTTCTACGGTGACAAAGCTAAAGCCGACGCGGTGTACCAGGGTGTCGAACCATTGACCCCCGATGATATCGCGGAGACCGTTGTCTTTGCTGCCGGACGCAGGGAGAACGTCGTGATTGCTGACGCGTTGATCTTCCCTAATCATCAGGTCAGTTGTTTTCCCTTCTATATATTCTCCGTAAAGTCGTCTCAAGCCCAAATGCCGCTATGGCGAGCGTGTCTCCTCCCGGTCCCCGTGAACGGTTGGTACTAGAACAGACTAGTTGACATTTTCTGTCGTGTGTGCACATTTTAGGCTTCTGCGACCGTTATGCATAGGAAATCATGATAACGCCACACTACGACAAGGGAGTGAAACGATGCGATATACGGAATGCTATAAAATGAGGCGACAGCCAGTCGAGTCCGGAGATGGGGCGCTCAAAAGGTGAGTGCATCAGGGGGTGAGATAGATGGAAAATCTTCCAAGTGGAGAGTAAAATAGAAAGGAACCGAACCGCCAATCAGGTCCAACGTCAACGCCTTGTCCCAATGAGAAGTCTGCGATTCTATCTAAGCCAAATTCTGATCGTCTCCCACCCGTTTCTCAGAGAAAAGTATCACGCCTGCGCCCGTCTACGATGCCATTCCGTCTATATAATATTCCATTTCATTACGCGCATTTTGATGTTAAAATCTCTGCAAGGCGTGGCCACTAAAGCAACTGACTCTTTTGACAGGCGAAAGGCCCAACACCAGCAGTTTCAATGCAGGTATGTACATGCTCATCATGAACGAACACCAGGTGCGTCGTGCTTTGATCGATCTTTTGTTCTCATGATGCTCTCGATCCTCGCTATGATCCCTGACCGGGTACTTGGAAGGCTTTTGCCGTTCTTCGAACCGGGTTCAAGGACCGTAAGATGCGCCGTTCTGATATCTGCCATTCTGATAATCGCTATTTTGATACTGGTATCCTCCGCCTGGATATCCTCCGTTCTGATACAGGCCACCCTGATATCGCGTATTTGCTTGCTGGTATCCACGATCATTATTGTTCTGATGCGTGAAGCTCTGTCTCTTGAATCTGCTGTTCTCACCATTGATAGGCTGAGCCTCCACATTCTCCAATTGAAAGCTGTCCTTCGGCCTGGTCAGCGTCGGATAGAAGAACAACAGGATCGCCATGACCGCGGCCATGAGCGCCGCGTCGAACGCATACGCCGCCCATTCATGCGTATAAAGATACCCATCGACGCCAATTCCGTACTCGATGACGCGATAAATGTTTCGGAACATGATCAGTCCGCTGGCAGCGTAGAGGACGGTGAGCATTTTCTCCCATGGGATTTCGGCGCGGCAGGCGGCTTGGCTCGGCGCTTTGCGGAGACGCGTGTGGAAGACGACGGTGGTGACGATAAAAAAGCCAAACAGCAGAATCTGAAGGATGAGTCCGAGAAGGACGACGTTCTTGCCTAGATCGGCGTGATCGGTGCTGCCAGCTAGGATCGAGCCGCCTGCGGCTTGGACGAAGAAGCAGAGGACGTCGCCGACGACGAAGATCTTGGTTAGCCAGGTGACGCGGACCATGGAGTACTTCTCTGCGCGGATGGCGCGGATGACGCGGCTGAGGATCATGTAGATGGTCGCCGCGAACAGGGAGGGTGCAACGAGGATCAGCACTGTTTGGACAATGAAGGGTGTTTTCTCTGTGTAGTTGTCGTGGCCGTACCCGCGAGCAGCGAAGCCAATGAATTCGACTGTTTGGTTTTCCGGTTAGCCAGTGTATATGGAGTAAATATTATTCGTTCCTGGATGTGGGTGGAAATGGAAGAGCCGAAAAAGAAACTTACAGAACCCTCCGACGATCAAGGCAGTCATGAACCATGTCTTGTTTTTCACCATCCGCCACAGATGTGCTAGAGAAAGAAGTAGAAATATAATGCATGCAATGACGGCGCTGACGAGGCTTGGGATGTAATGATAATAGTTGCGCTCCGTGCTGCTGTCTTCGTTGGACGACGCCATGATGAGAACAAATCTAGTAAACGGTTTTGAAGATGTCGAGTCGAGAACGCAAAGTCAGGTGTATGGAGACCGTTGAGAAGAGGAAACAATCTCAATCTCAATCTCAGACGAGAATTGCGACCGTTTGCGGCAGTAGACAGGAAGGATATCAGAAACGCCAGAACAATATCTTAACATCAGACCGTCCAAAGCTCTTAATATAGTCTCCCCCGCCACGTCATCCAGCGCAGCACGCGAGGGCATGACTAGATAGGATGGGAAATGTGAAGAGACAGGGGAGGATCATTCAGGGGGGGGGGGGGGTCGGCGAACTTTTTCTGTGCGCAATACAGGTCTTTGTGGGTGGTCGTTGCTGGGAAACCAATGAGAAGGATCAGTATTGATGGAGCACAGAGATCCCGTAGGCGAAGTTATGCTGATGCAAGGTACCCGGGTCCACCATATTCCCCGTATCCGGCAATAAGATCGTGTCAAAACTAGTTCCTATCTGATATCTGTACTACCTGGAGATCCCACTGACATTACAGAGAAACGTGGCAGCTTGAATCCCTCAAGAATGACTGGACCTGAGATGGTGAGAATAATATATCCTTCTCTCAAAGGCCAGACGACTTGCTCGGGATACAGATTGCAGATAACTTGCGCCAGCTATGAAACCCACAATCTGGGCTTGCTAGCCTCAGAAGGCTGTCGATGCTCTGAAACGAGCAGTACCGTCGTATTTCGCAAGCAAAAGACAAATACCCACAAGCTTTTGGGTCGAAATCTGGATGTGCTGGACCAGGAGCGCGCCGAAGAGAGGGTTAAATGCGCCAGGCGAACGGCCCGGAAGACCTGAGCAAAAGCGGTCGGGGAGATGGTCCGGATTCGGACTCACCTGGTCTAAGCCTCCTTGAAGTCGTTGTGATTGCATAGACACTTTGGATTAGGCGGCGCCTGGTCGAGATTGATATTTATAAATTATGAAGACAATATGTCGCCAGTGATGCAACTGTCTCTGAACTCAGCCCCCTTTATCATCTCCGCCTCGCGACGCCTACCGATTCCGGTATAGCTTTCTTAATGTCTGGTTTCAAGATTGACGACATTCGACTCCTTTTACATTGCGCTGTGGTTCTTTTTAAACCGACTTCGTTTCTAATGGTGGCCTTGCCGTACACTATACTGCCTACATGCAGCCAACGACGGCTAGTATTTTCTCATTGCTCTCGTGATCTGTTAGCATATATTTTGTTCCAAGGCCGGATTTCTGGTCCAGGCTGACTTGCTGACAGATGTAAAATATCACCCAGAATCCAGGTCCCCATATCAGAGGGTCATCGTAATGAAAGACAGGGTGAGTGAAAATAATCTGGATGACGTGGACATAAGCTCGTTTGTCTCTCTCACTCGGTATCCTCCTGGTAGCATGAATGTTACAACGGAACAGCTCTTGAAAGGGTGAGCTCGTGGATGAAATAACTAACGCACATTCTGTCTTTCGAAGTCGTGTTCTTTCCATTAGCCGCTGAATGAGGAGGCAAGCAATCTGGACAAGAAGTTCACCCAGCTGCCCTGATCCAACACGTCTCAACGCCCGACTCATTTTCCGGATTCACTTGCGACGTTTCATCGCCACGCGCCATCTTTGTAGGAGTGCTTTCAAGTCGGTAGTGGAGGTGGTGGGAAAGAATGCGTGTTGCCAGAGGCGCCACTATGGGTCCGAGATTGGGTACTCGAAGCATTCGACGACGGTTGACGATGGCTAGATGCTTGACGCGAGCGATTCTCTTGTTTCTGTTGCCTTTCTTTTGTTTTGGTTCAGGGACTGCGGAATGTGATCAGTACCTCAAACTGTAGTACTTGGCAAATTCTGCTTCCATGTCAGCGAAACTCATCCCTACTTGTTCCTGGTTCCTTTGTCTGCCCTTGACGCACTGGTTGACCGAAATAGTATTGGCTTTCATTTTGAACGTCGATTGGCGTGAAAGTCGGAGCGGGCTTGGGAGAGCCGGGTCCTTCGAGAGCTGCAAGTCGTTGCTTTTGTTCAAAAGACAAATATTATCATCTCTCAGCTTCTCGGAGCTTGCTTGATGCACAGATTCGTTTGCGATCTGGGCAGAGCTTTTGCCATAGCTGTCTGTCTCCCACAAACTTGACGAGTAGTTTGGGTTGTGTATCCTCTCTAGTACAAAGAACCTGATCACACTGCCAAAACTGGATCATCCTTAAAGAGATGCCATTCAGAGGTTTGGCGAACGGATTGAAGTACGTATTGACATTGGGATTGCAAAAAAATGGAGAGACAATTGTCTTTTGCTTAGAATCCATCTTCTCTGAAAGCGCCATAGCTGATTCTAATGCTTGTACTTATTGCTCTATACGTAAGGAACTTGAGTTCTCCTTTCCCGCTCAATGGGGTCAGGATAGTCGAATCCATAAAGTCCACCATCGGAATCGAAAGATTCATCCTCAGCGCAGGGCATATATACGCCGGATGAAGGATTTTATTATACACCCTGATGAAATTAATCGATCCATACCTATTCGCGAGATGTCCGGTACATCCGACGTAGTCATGGCCATGATGTGATCCTTGAGACTGGTTGTTGGTGCAGTTGATGGAGCCATATAACTGTGAGACGACGCGGATTGCGAACTCGCAGAATATCCCTGAGTGTGGCAGTTCGGCGCCTGGGCCTGCTGCGACTGATTACCGCGGGTCGAATGGGAATTGAATGGGATCGCATAGCGAGCTCGAGCCTGCTCTTCAGGAAGGCAACATCGAACATTTCTCACGCGCTGGACCAAAATTTTCAGTGGCCTTTATGAGTCCCGCACTGGACGTGACAGAATATCAACCATGATTAGGTGCTGCTTTGGCCAACTTATGAGGGATGGAATTCCTCTTTGTAGGACCTTCGAGGCTGCTTCTCGCTCCAACCACGTAAGGGCGACGTCCCATGCCGCTCTGTGCTGTATCGCGACCCTTGCCTTGGTGACGGATAGACATGACCGGGTCGACACGTGCGCGGCAAGGTGAGTTGAATCGTGGGCAGTGGTTGGTGGCTTGCTACATTTGGAATTGTTCAGGGTTACGACAGCTTTGGCCTGTGCCGTAAGTAGAGAGGTCTTTGGGGTGAATAAGTCGTAGGCAACACGGTTGCGAGGTGAATCGAAAGCATAACAGCACAGGAACAGGTATGAACACAGGGAGACCGCTGGTGTGAAAATATGAGAAGGTTTGGGCAGTCAGTCGTCATACTCCATCCGAGATTTTACATGAGATCCTTTGTGTACCGTGAAGAAAACTAGCCGAGCTTCAACGGCTCACTGCAGAATCGAAATAAAAGGAAAGCCGCCGGGGACATGATTAGATGGATTGTGAGAGGCGACATCTTTCTGCAGGTGAGAGTAGGAGATGGATGATGTCCCCTTTGGGCAAGCGGGCAACGTGTGATTTGTCGCTACCCATTTCTCGTTTCTCATTGCCTGCGTAAAAGGAGCACACGCCTCCATCCACGTATCCTTCTCGCCTTCATTCTTCATTATTAATCTGATGGAGTTCTGTTTTTCTCTCTGTTGAGCTGAGGCCCCCCTCGTTTCTCGCCATTTCCCGCGAACTCGCCTTATTTGATTCATCCAACACCATGAGAGAGGGCGGCGCGAATTCTTTGATTTATCAAGGACCTTTCCCTAAGCGCGAAGGCCTCGACCTGTAACACAGCCAGTCCAACAATCTTCTTTTGCAATGCCTGGCCTACCGGGTATGCTGTTGCGACTCCAGATGAAGCGCTGGCACTAACTGTTGCCCTCTGCAGCAAGCATCGATCTCGACGAATGCATCTCTCAACTCTATAAAAAAAATCTCCTGGCCGAATCCCTCATCGAAGCAATATGTGCAAAGGCAAAAGAGTTGTTGATGAAGGAGAGCAATGTCGTCCACATATCTGCGCCTGTGACGGTTGTTGGGGACATCCATGGGCAGTTCTTTGACATGCTGGAGATTTTCAAAATTGGAGGCTTCTGTCCCAACACCAATTACCTATTTCTCGGTATGTACATTGCGAAAGATTTTATACGACAGCTCTGACATGGGCCAGGCGACTACGTCGACCGTGGCCTTTTCAGCGTCGAAACCATTTCCCTACTTGTTTGTCTAAAGTTACGATACCCCCAGCGCGTTCACCTTATTCGCGGTAATCATGAATCACGCGGCGTCACGCAGTCTTATGGATTCTACACCGAGTGCGCTCGAAAATATGGCAATGCCAATGTTTGGCATTATTTCACCGACATGTTCGATTTCCTCACCTTAAGCGTGGTTATCAACAACCAGATATTTTGCGTCCACGGCGGCCTTTCCCCTTCCATTCATTCAATCGACCAGATCAAGATCATTGATAGATATCGGGAAATCCCACACGAAGGACCTATGGCCGATTTAGTATGGTCCGACCCAGATCCTGAACGCGATGAATTTTCACTCTCCCCACGAGGCGCCGGCTACACCTTCGGAGGCGATGTGGTAAAGAAATTTCTGCAAGTCAACAGCATGTCTCATATCCTTCGGGCCCATCAGCTCTGTCAAGAAGGATACCAGATCTTGTACGATGATCGCTTGAGCACCGTATGGAGTGCTCCGAATTATTGCTATCGATGTGGAAATTTGGCCAGCGTCCTTGAAGTCAGCGATGCCGGTGATCGCTTCTTTAATATCTTCGACGCTGCACCGGAGAACGACATCCATAGGAATGAACAACAACAACAGCAACAACAACAAAATCAACCGAAAGACGGTCAAGGATCTCACATTGAATATTTTCTCTAGCCATCGAGTCCTTCTCAATGTCTCAGCCTTCATACCGGTCCACGTCTGAAACACGGCAATCCCCCTTTTCAGGTAGCTTCCCAACGATCTCCTTCGGAGGTTCTCTCTCGTCAAGAGAGATTGTGTACAGCGTGGACCATCACTTCGGTGCGGCATTCGAGGGTCTGGATAGACACCGTGCCGGACCTTGCCACGACCGTGCAGCGGCAGAATCATTTCCAGTCCTTGGCGATATCAAAAGACCACTCGAATTTGAGATGGGTCACATCATCATCATCGACGAAGCGAGACACGGCATCGTAATGGCCACGAGCCATCATGCCAGATGGCGCCTCTTCCGGTGCGAATTTCTTGGTGTAAGTCGGCTTGTCCGTGGTGTTGGGAGGATAGCTGCCGATCATTTCCTGGTCTTTGCCTAGAGGAATGCCCTTTCGCTTGAGAGATTGGATGTATTTGAGACCGGAGAGAACCTGGTGCTGGACGACAAAAACCGCCTTCATCTGATATTTGCAACCTTCCTTGATGGTGAATGGCTTGTTCTTCAGCGTTTCGAGGGCGCCAGGCTCTGAGAGATCAATAGTTATATCTGGTCGACCTTCGACTTCCTGCGTCCTGGTTGGTTTCGAGAAAAACCGATCGACAGGGCGTTGCTTACCAAAGCAAGGGATTTGATGATGCACGAGCGAGGGTCGTTGGGGTCCGAGATGGAGCTGCCACCGCCAAGTCCGAGAGATGCTTTCCACCTGTTCATTGCTTCATCTTCCTGGTCTAGAGAGCAGAACAGGTCAGTGGTGCATCCCAGTTGAACATATTTAAGAGTTTCAGCGAGAGAAGATAAGATGGGACGAGACTAGAGAAATCCAGTCATTTTCCTGGCTGCTTTCTAACCCCATCATTCCAGTGCCGGTCTTGAGAGCAGTAACTTCGAGTGACTTTGCTTAAGTTTGTAGAAGCTGCAGGCGCGATAGGTACTGTAGACGCAGCCGGAAGAGGTCGCGACCTGGAGGACTCACCGAGTTTTTGGTACTCCTCCAGCGTCTTTTTCTCCCCCACCTTGAACCCTGGGGTCTTATCCGCTGAGACATCGTCCGCCATGGTGAGTAGGCGGAGAAAGAAATTTGGATTTCCGCAGTTGAGTCAAAGGCAATGTAATTGTCACGAGTCTTTTGGGGTGTAGAGATCTCCTTGTCAGCCGAAGGAGGTTGTGGTATTCTTTTGACGCCGAGGGGCATGAAACACGAAACGGGGTCTGTCGCAGGCCGTACGCTAACCCGAATGGGGAAATTATGAAACTGCGCGTCATTCGAGCGACCAGACGCAGCTTTTTCGTGGCGGTCGTGACGCGGTTCCGCGGTCGTCGCGACTTCACCACTCTCTATCCATCTGGGCTCTCCATCTACCATCACTTTTTGTTTATTCGATCACCAAATCTTGTGCACGCTGCCGACGCAAATCCACAGAAATGCCAGGTCGAGTGGTCGAACAGCCCAAGAAGCGGGTTCTTACGGACACCACCAACACTCACAATGTCCTGAAATCCCCGCCCTCTGCAAAGAAGAGGAAACTCAACGACAATGGTCCAAATGTCAGTTTCCATTCCTCTCAGGCCGGTCCCAATGGCGTCCAATCGAAATTGGGCTCTAGCCAGCCCAAGAGCCAGTTTGAAACGGAAGTACTGGAGAAGATGACCCAGGATATTGCAGGCTTGAGGGAAAACAATTCAGAGAAGGATCAACAATGGGAAAGACCAAGTTTGGATGACTTTGACGCTCAGAGGGATGCCCTCCGATTTCAGCAGATTGAAATTGAAGAAGGCACACTGCATGGTGGAAGGGTCACGCTGAAGATGTTTGGTGTTTCCGAGGTAGGTCCGCCAGCCAACCGTGCGATAATGTCTCTAAGTTTTCTTACAGACTGGACACTCTATCCTCCTTCATGTGACCGACTTCCTTCATTACCTTTACGTTGCAGCTCCCGTCAGCTTCCAGAGGCAAGATGTTGAAGGCTACAAGGCATATCTCGAAACTCAACTGGCCCAACACCAACCCGCCGTCCACTCTGTGCAAATGATGCTTCGTGAAAACCTGTTTGGATTCCAGGGCAATCAGAAGAGTCCATACCTGAAGATCACAGTTACAGACCCCAAATTCATGAACAGGCTGCGGACGTCAATAGAAGACGGCCATGCGAACTACAAAGGGATGTGGAAAGGCGTGGAAAGCAAGATTTTGACCTTTGACAACATACAATATGTTCTACGTTTTATGATTGACACCGGAATTACGGGAATGTCTTGGGTCGAGGTGCCTGCAGGGAAGTATCACGTGATGGCGCAACATAACCGCCAATCCAATTGTCAGATCGAAGCATATTGCCATTACCGGGATCTGATCGCACATGGACACGACGGGGAATGGGCCAAAATGGCACCTCTTCGGATTTTATCCTTCGACATCGAATGTGCGGGGCGAAAAGGAGTCTTTCCCGAACCTCATCAGGATCCAGTCATTCAAATCGCCAACGTCGTCACGAAGTACGGCGAATCGAAGCCCTTTGTTCGCAATGTTTTTGTCCTGGATACCTGCAGTTTGATCGTGAATACACAAATCTACGAACATGACTCCGAATCCAAAATGCTGATGGCTTGGAGAGATTTCCTGGAGAAGGTGGATCCAGATGTCATTATCGGGTACAACATTGCAAACTTCGACTTTCCATACCTTCTCGACAGAGCGAAGCATCTGAAGTTGACAAAGTTCCCATACTGGTCGCGTCTCAAAAGTGTTGTTTCCCAGGCAAAGGACACCAACTTCTCCAGCAAACAGATGGGGAACCGTGATACGAAGGCCACCAACACGAATGGTCGTATTCAATTGGATTTGTTGCAACTCGTCCAGAGAGATCATCATCTTCGAAGTTACACCCTGAACTCGGTCTGTGCTCACTTCTTAGGAGAGCAGAAGGAAGACGTGCACCATACCATGATTACTGAATTATACAACGGTACGCCGGATTCGAGACGACGTTTGGCTGTGTATTGTCTGAAGGATGCGTATTTACCGCAACGACTCATGGACAAGCTGATGTGCCTGGTCAATTACACTGAAATGGCCAGGGTCACAGGCGTGCCTTTCAACTATCTCCTGGCACGGGGTCAGCAAGTGAAATTCATCAGTCAACTTTTCCGAAAGGCATTGGAGCAGCAATTGGTCATCCCGAATCTCAGGAATGAAGGTACCGATGAGCAATATGAAGGTGCTACCGTCATTGAGCCCATCCGAGGTTACTACGATGTGCCCGTCGCCACTTTGGATTTTGCATCTTTGTATCCATCCATCATTCAAGCTCATAATTTGTGCTACACAACCTTGCTGAACAAGAACAGCATCGAGAAACTGAACCTGAAAAAGGATGAAGACTATATTCTGACGCCAAACGGTGATTTTTTCTGCACGGCCAAAGTTCGAAAGGGGTTACTTTCCCAGATTCTGGAGGAACTGCTGAGCGCACGTAAGCGGGCCAAAAAGGAGCTCGCTATTGAGAAAGACCCTTTCAGGAAGGCCGTGCTCAATGGTCGTCAGCTAGCCTTGAAAGTGTCCGCAAACTCCGTCTACGGTATCACGGGTGCGACCGTCGGAAAACTTCCCTGCCTCGCAATCGCCTCCAGTACGACAGCATATGGTCGACAAATGATTGAAAAGACCAAGCATGAGGTGGAGCAGAAGTATACCATCGCCAATGGATATTCGCACGATGCTCAAGTTATCTATGGTGACACAGATTCGGTCATGGTCAAGTTCGGAGAGAAGGACTTGAAGAAAACCATGGAACTCGGGCAAGAAGCCGCCAACTATGTGTCTGGAAAATTCATCAAACCCATCAAGCTGGAATTCGAGAAAGTTTACTTCCCTTACCTGCTCATCAATAAGAAACGATATGCCGGCCTGTATTGGACGAATCCGGAAAAGCACGACAAGATGGACAGTAAAGGTATTGAAACCGTCCGCCGGGATAACTGTCGTCTTGTCCAGATTGTGATCGAGACCGTCTTGAAAAAAATCTTGATCGATCGCGATCTAGACGGAGCGCAAGATTACGTCAAGGAGACAATTGCGAACCTACTCCAAAATAAGATTGATCTCAGCATGCTCGTGATCACCAAAGCACTGAGCAAAAACGACTACACGGCCAAACAAGCACACGTGGAGCTCGCGGAACGCATGAAGAAACGGGATGCCGGTTCTGCACCAGCTCTAGGAGACCGCGTCGCATATGTCATCGTCAAGGGAGCTGGAGGAAGTAAAAACTATGAAAAATCCGAGGATCCAATCTACGTGTTAGAAAACAACGTCCCCATTGACACGAAATATTACCTTGACAACCAATTAGCCAATCCTCTCGGGCGAATCTTTGAACCCATCCTAGGTGAACGACGTGCCAACTCCCTCCTCGCGGGCGATCATACACGTTCCATCTCCGTCGCGGCCCCGACACTGGGTGGACTGATGAAATTCGCCAAAAAAACACAGACTTGCATGGGCTGCAAGAAACCGCTCATCGGGGCCGAGGAGTCCAAAGGCGCCGTTTGTGAGAACTGCCGACCTCGCATCGGCGAACTGTACACAAAGCAAGTCAACAAGGTCGGCGAGCTCGAGGTCCGTTTCAGTCGGCTGTGGACTCAGTGTCAGCGATGTCAAGGCAGTATGCACTCCGAGGTTCTGTGCAGTTCGCGTGATTGCCCGATCTTCTATATGCGCATGAAGGCGAGGAAGGAGGTCGAAGAGGGATCTCGTGAGTTGGCTCGGTTCGATCACGATGTCGGTGCGATCTGGTAAGCGTGGATGAAAGTGAAGATCAAATGAAAGAGAGGGAGCACCATAATGTGGTTGAGGCAAAATAGTATTTTTACCTGGCTGCTGTAAGCAGTTGAAGGCCAGGCACCGAACTTGATATGGAACTTTGACTTTGAAATTTGAAAGGTTGTTACGTTAACATTGGCAAGATCATAGATACCTGCGGTAGGTATTGTTTATTCACACCGCTGCATTAATGAACGGTAATTTGTTTGAGCACGAAAAGGGAAACTTGGACGCCAACGGTTGCAAACTAGGAAAACTGTATTGGGTATCTCGACTGTGTGACAAAGGAGATGATTACTTAAGTCTCATCCATTCAAAATACAACCCCCCTTCTTATCCCGACCCCCATCAAAAAACCAACAAGTTCATGCAATGTGCATATATTTTGTAATGTACGTTGCAATTTATGTCTCAGGCTTTCAGTTTGGGGTGGACGAGTAGACATCCAGTTCCCAGTCACTGGGCGGAAGAATTCCTTCCGACTCCACCATCCGTCATGACACGTGTACACCATGAGCTCGTCCTGAATCCGTCCTGTCTTCAGCTCTTCAAAGATCAGGATCATCCTCAAAATCCAATTTTGACGTGCTTCCAAATCTTTCTTCTAATTCGTCCCCGAGCTTTGACCCCATAATCGACACAGCGTCACCCCCAAGAGCATCGAGATCGTCATGCGAAAAGCCAAAATTCGCCTTCAATGCTTCGCTACGGACCTGCATCGCCACGATTGCCACACCCAGTGCGTTCCACACGTCTTGGTCTCTCTGGCTAAAATCAAGTTCGGCAATGATACGCAGTCTGTCAGGGTTGAAAGTTTGTGGATGATTGAGATCGGGATCTGAGTTGGGAGGCGAAGCGGTCTGCGGAACTGATTGTTGCGAAAGTGGAGGGGAAAGAGAAAAAGGGCTAAGCGTGACAATCACCAGAACTGATGAGATAATGACGAGGCCAATGAACGTAGGTGAAAATTTGTCGTCATCGATCACTCGAGTATCGTCCCCGTCGGATGTAGTTTGTGGGCGGGTTTCGATACTGGGTTGGATATCGCGGGCTCGACGATGTCTCTCGGAGAGCTTGTGTAGCTTTTCAGCGACATCCTCGAGAGTGTGAAGTGTAGAGCGACCTTTGCGTCTGGTAGCCACAACATGGACAGGAATATAATCCGCGTTTGAACCGGGGCGAAGTCCAATGTCCGTTAGTGCCCAATATAGATACCTCTTCACTGCTTGTTCTAGTATCTTCTCCCGTCGGGAGCCTGGGCTGACGTGGTTTCTGTCTCGGACATCATGACCTGCTTCAAACAGCCGACGAAGTGCATGGCCAGCTCGGAATTGATTGTCTCTGATATTCTGAATCAGTGGTGGATCACCCGTGTTCTCATGCGCGAACAAGCTGATCGGCAGTGTGTCGAAATCGATCATCCAGTTTTGAGGAAGTAACGGCTCAAAACCACGATATGCAAGGTGAAAGAAGAGTTCTCGCTCTGTCTGTGACCAGATTCCCGAGTTGACTGGAAGAGTGACCGCTGCCGCATGTCGTCTTGCCTCTTCCATAAGATCGCCGTCCATGTCATCTGGTTTCCTCCTTGGCATTCCAGAAGAAGCAAATGATATAGAATCCTCATCATGCAGCCAATTTTTCGAAGTCCCCAGAGGGACTGGTTTCAGGTGCTGTCTTGGTATGGGCATGAGAGATCGGTGAGGAGTCGCTGGAGGTGGCATTAATGTACGGTCGATCTCGGCCTTGGTTCTCATGTCGGCGCCTGCATACTCTAGATCCTCAAGGCTTGAAGTCGAATCATGATCGTCATAATTATCGTATGGAATGAAGGACGATCGATCTCGATTCACGGTCCGCCTCTTGGGTAGTCGCTCGAAATCGTCCTCCACTGCCTTACGTTTCCTATCACCGGGGTTTCGGCCATTGCCAGATCGAACACGTTCTTTTGTGATGGAGTTCTCTCCCTCTCTTTGAGCAGCTTGGACTCTCGGGCCTTCCTTGTTTGATGAAGTTGAGATATGGTCAGTGTCAGAGGTTGAATTGTTGCCTAAGTCAACCAAGCCGGACAGGAAGCGGAATGTAGAGGTCAATATCGATCTCGCCATGGATACAACCGGCTGAGGGAAGGGAGACGATACAGAACGTCAAGTCTGTCATCCAGCAGAGAGGGGAATGATGTTGTCGGCGGCGAAGCGAGGCCTGGTGTCTAAAATGAGTCGAAATCGAGTAAAGGTCACGGCTCAACCAATAATTGATCTAACACAGGGTGCAGGTCCCACCCCCAGCCAGTGCACAGGGTACATGGTGAGGCTGTGTGCGTGTGGTCGAAAGCGAGAGGGTGTGTTGTCGGACAATGAGGTCTTTGTTCGTGGGAATTGACAAGTGAAGGCGAACTGGGACAGAGCCTTGGAAGTTGGAAGCAGGGATAACGCTGCATCGCGTGCTTCAAGTTTCAGGCGGCCCCTGCAGCTGCCCGTGACGTTGGATCAAAACCGACTTTGAGTGTCCTAAGCTTCAATCCTGTGCAGCGCCTTGTCCATTTTAAGATTAGCGTCCGGCTCCAGGTCACGTGACGGCGCGTTCCGATATCTGTTCTTTTGAATTTGTTGCCTTAGTCCCCTTCAGCAGCCAGACTTTCATGAAATGGATGCCGCCGAACACGACCTTGATGCTAAGCTCTACAAGGCATCCGGGTCTCTGCTACTTGAGATTCAACGCAAATTGCCCTTATTGATATTCAATCCCCTCAACCCATCCGGAAGCCCACGTGTTTGCGTTCTTGACTCCAAGTGCTACGAAGTTAGACTGCTTGTAAGCCATCAACGAGTGTGAGTAGAGAAATTAAACCTGGGAACTGATACCTCTCCAGCTGGATCGCTTTCAAGAATGGCCTCAGCTTCTCGACCCCTGCCTTTCAAACTTCGTTCAGCTTCTGGCTGGAGCCTTTGTGGGCTATCTTACGACTGCGAGCCACCATTATGGTCCAAGTCGAAGACACGGAACCACCACCGTTTCTCCTCTTCCGCGAGCAATATGTCAACTCCTGTACACCTTCTGCAAGGTCAGGGGCAATAAGGTCATCGTTCGTCTGCTGAACAGCGAGCCCAAATATTTAGGGCCCATGTTATCCGCTTTCAAGGCGTGGAAGACTCCAGCCTTGGGGATGACTTGGGAGGAGCGATACGTCATTTTATTATGGCTCTCCCATCTCATGCTCGCACCTTTTGAACTGGCCAACATGTCAATCCGCACTGATGACCAACCTGACCTGGATATCTCTCATGCACTTGGCAATCTTCCCGGGATTGCCAGTGATGTAGTCTCTCTTGCCTTTGGGCAGCTGGGCAGTTCAGGTAAAGAACGTGATGCATCCAGCATCTTGCTCGTACGACTGTGCCTCCGCAACGATATGCGGACTCATGATTTGCCCTTAAAGCTCATCAATCATGCCACTCAGAGATTGCTCTCTGGTGATGAACTTGTCTCTGTCAACCCTTATAGGTCACTTGGCTTCCTCTCACTTATACACGGGATTACGAACTCTGGATCAGACAGCGAAGTTGGCCCGTATCTTGAAAAGCTCTTTCAAAGTATGTTGGAAGTTGCTACGTCACCGAGCAGTCATTTCATTGGCGTTCGAGACTCTGCTCCCGCAAGAAAGTCGATTTTGAAGATCCTACGCGTCATCTTGACCCATGCGATTTCTTTGAACTCAAGCAAGCCGGTCATTGCAGAAGGAAATTTGAACATGATGCTTGAAGAGAGCATTCAGTATTATCTCGATGCTCTCAGCGACAAAGACACGCCTGTAAGGATGGCGGCTGCCAAGTCTCTCAGCGTTATCGCTCTCAAGCTCGAGCCTGCCATGTCCGCAGAGGTTGTCGAAGCCGTACTGGCATGTCTTCAGGAGAATGTTCTCCTGGAGGACCGCCACACTCAGAAGCTCGTCGCCATTACAGATAAGGTCAAGAATGACGGTGCCGCCTTGAAAAGGAACATAAGTGCTGTCGATCCGTTGCGCTGGCATGGATTGATGTTGACCCTCGCTCACCTTTTGTTCCGCCGTTCGCCACCACCTAACATACTTTTAGAGATCATTCAAGCTCTCATACTAGGACTAGAATTCGAGCAGCGATCGAATGTGGGCACGTCGATCGGCGTTGGGGTCCGAGATGCTGCTTGTTTTGGTCTTTGGGCCCTTGCTCGAAAGTACAGCTCCGCTGAACTTGAGCTCGTCCAGATTTCCGAGTTGACCGAAACCAAGTCGGGCGAATTTTCCAAGAGTGCCAGCGTTCTACAGCTTCTCGCGGTTAAACTGACCATATCTGCCTGTCTTGATCCTTCCGGCAATATACGGAGAGGTTCTTCCGCAGCTCTCCAAGAGCTTATAGGGCGACACCCAGACACAATCCTCCATGGGATAGCCATTGTTCAGATTGTTGACTATCATGCCGTGGCTAGGTTATCTCGAGCTATGACGGAAGTCTCTCCACAAGCAGCATCTCTCAGTCCCGTTTACCGTAGAACCCTTTTGCAGGCGCTCATCGAATGGCGAGGTGCGCGAGCTACTGACGTGAATCAACGCCGTTGGGCGGCAACGACCATTCGTACTCTTACCAAATTTCTTCCAGACTCAGATACAATCGCTTTTGTTCGGATTATCCTCAACCAACTTCTTGATTTGAAGTATGTGAACATCGGAAGCACAGCTGGAGCTCGGCATGGGCTGCTCCTTGCTCTAGCTTCAGCACTGGAGTCGATGACAGAAAACGACGCGGCGACAACGCTGTCATGGCTGTCGGAAGAAGAGAACCCCATATTGGCCCTTAGTAAATTGACGGGCAAAATGGATGGGCGTGTGACCGCCGATTTGGAGCTTGTACTGGAAGCCATCTCTACTTTGATTGGCAGGATCTGTCGATGCTTCTCCTTGATGCCCGCGGCCAACACAACCTTACAACGACGCCTCATCCCATCAGCTCTGGATATTCTCAGTCAATGCACGGTGGCCGCCGGTCGAGACATCGTGGTTCAGGCCAGCGCCGACGCAGTGGTGGAACTCTTTAAGCTGCTTCCCAACCCCGATGACACCAAATTGGTTGAGAACTGGCTCGACAGCAAAGAACAGCCACCTTCCGTTTTCACAAGCAAAGGCCGCATCAAAGCACTCAGTCTTATCCATGCCTACCTAGCTCGGGTAGCACGCCAATACGAACTGCGAGAGAGTATCACGTCCTACGCGATCAAGATCGTCGAAGGAAACTTCAAAATAGAGACGCGAGTTGATGCGATGGAAGCACTTGCCGTCATTCTGCCGACGGTCGAGGCGTCGACACAGACAGATGCCTCTAGAATATCCGCTGTACTCCGGTGTGGACTGACAGACTACACCAACGATCAGAGAGGAGACATTGGATCGATACTTCGACTTCAGAGCCTCGAAACTGTTGACGCCTTCCGTGGCAGCAAAGACCCGCATCAGATCTTGGATCCCGTACGGAGAACTATACTGCCTCCGGTGGTGAAACTCGCTGCGGAGAAGTTGAACAATGTACGCTTTCGAGCATGGAAATGTCTGGAGAGTTATTGGCGAACAAGCCTAAGGTTCCCAGCGCTGAAAAGGTAAGCGACTTCTCATATGATTCGAGTTTGCAGAACTAATCGAGACAGCACTTTTCATTATCCGGCCGATGTATCTTCTGTCGCTTATTTCCGACAATTAATGGAACTTCTATGTGTGGAGTGGGCCCAGAAAGATCTCCTCTTAGGGATTGTCTCCTCAGCGACGTCAGGCACAGAAGACACATGTCGAGCAGCGTGCAATGCGTATGTCCTGAATATGCAGTCGCTCGACAATGATGAGCGCCAAAAACTGACGACCACGGTATCATCGATATTGGTCGAGCAGCTGGGTTTGAGCGCGGCGCAGGAGGATCGCCAGGTGGTGCCTTTACTGGACTTCATCACTTTCATGATTGACCAGGGCCTTTGGTGTTCTGAGCCGATCATGCAATCGCGCGACAGAGGTCTCGACATCTGGGACGTCATGCAGACAGTTCACACTGCTTCGTCAACTCTTCAGAGGATTGAGGCTTCACTCAATTTGTATTCAAGGCTGTTGACAATTGATGGTTTTCGAGCTAGGGCCATGGACAAACTAACACGCCAATTGCTCCATCGCTGGCCAAAAGTGGTTTTCTCCTCCTCTCTCCCAGTCTTTAATCGGACTAACATATTAGATAGATTCGTAACTCCGCCGCAGATCTGCTCTATCTTGACACTCCGACTCCAATTTTGGCATCTTGTGATTGGAACAGTCCGGTCACGAAAATAAAACCAGTCGTCCTGGAACTTCGGAAGCAGCTCGGTGTGGCGGGAAATGCTGCCCCAAAATCATAATGGCAGCCTCGACATCCTCGAGGGTCGATATCACACTGACCGCTGAATTCTAATGAGGTGGGGATCCCACCATGACTCCGGTTCAGCTGTCCAAACCTCGGCTTTTCAGGCATCGAGCAACCACTTCCTTCACGGATTTTTCGTTGTACTGTTCCCAAATGTCGTACAGACAAATCATTTCTTGGGTCCCCTCAATCATTTGTTCAATGTCGATACCGGACTCAACGAGGAACTTGATGGTATTTTGCATCTTCTCAGACTCCGTGGCAGCCGCTATGGCCTTCCCTTTGTCAAGTGGCTGTCCACCTGACTCACTAGACGGCATACGAGCTCTGCCATTGGTGTTTCCATTGCTCTGGCCACTCGTTTGACTTGGCATTTGCAAATTCCCAACCACGCTGTTGAAGGGGCTAGTGAGGCTGGGGCGACCTCCGAGGGAAGAAAATGGACCCGAGTCCGGATTGGCGATGGTGTCATGAGTGAGAGGCCGTAGCGTACCCGCTGCCTTGGCCGTCGGGAGAAAGACAACGGCGAGAAACATGGCAATAATGGCAATGAGATGCGGAGGGCAAGTTAAGGGCAAATCAGTCATGTAGCTGTCGTTAATGATGGACCAAGCAAGGCCAAGTTCGTCGTTGGATAATTTCAGATCCTGGTTTTCCTTCAACGCGATCAGGGAACGATATGGATGCCAGATGATCAACTGCGATCGCATCTCGGAGATGAGACAGAATTCCATCTCGCCCAGTCTGGATACGTCTCCTGGAACAAACTCCGGCCAAGACTGACGTGCTTCCGCAGCCACAAGTCGAATATGGTGCGGAGACTCTTCGGTCTTGGAAGCGAGATAGAACGCCGTTGCCACAAGAAGATACAAATTAACGTTCTGCATCGGCGTCGATAGAAAATACCGCTGCAAGTATACCATGGCAGTGGCCACACATTGCTGGCGAAATGGCTGTCGTTTCGCCAGTTGTAGGAGTCGATCCCTGAGGAAGATGAACATAAGTCTCCGATCCGGATATGGGTATTGCTCGATCAGTTTCGCGTTTTGCTTTTCCACGTCATCACGAATTTCGGTCAACTTTTCGGGCGTGAAGGTCCAGTACCTCCGTTGAGTCGAGGTCCAATAATTGGCCGCCATGCCCGTCAGATCTGATTTTTTGGAGATCAGCTCTAGTGTAGCCACAAACGGAACCAGGGAAGGAGAATGGTCACGATCCAACTGCTTCCATCCTTCCCATTCGAAAGAACGAGCAGTCTCTTCACGCTTCCATCATCAAACAGGCAGATGCTGGGAAGGAAATCGAGCCCGAGGGAATCGCCCGGATCCGGTAAGCAATGAGAAATCGGTAGCGAGGGGGGGTGGTATAAGGAGGTGAGTGCTACCCCAGGCTGAAGTTCCGGGCGGGTTCAGCCATGTCTTGGCAAGGCTCTCACTTTCAACCCCTCTAACCAATTCCGCGGCAAGTTTTCGGTGCAATGAAGCCTGCGACAAGCCGGCAAGAATTCGATCCCCACTTGTCCGATTGGAAACCAATTGCGCCAGCACGTCACACCCAGCATCGCCCGCATTACGATAACCCAAAGCTCAACCTGCAACCCTGCAACATGTAGCTCTGCTCTCAGCTGCAGAAACAAACACCACCCGTGAATTCCATCCCCGAGTCTTCGGCTCTTTGGCTATTGACCTTGTATCGAGGCATAATCTGCCATTATTCCCTTTGTGTCGCACCGTCACGTCGTCGCGAACACCAAAGGTTGCGCGCGGTGAACACAACCGACCGCCATGCTCCCTCACCGATAGCCTCTCATCTCACCCATCAAAGGCGGAGTATGTCCGGAGAGTCAAATGAGCACCGCGACCGGCGGATTGAAGAACTATGGCACACACTAGACACCCGCAACGAGGGCCAACTTGACCTTCCTGCCCTCAAGAAAGGCCTTCGCAACATCGATCACCCCCTCAAAAATGCCGATGAGCTCCTTCACGATGTCCTCAACGCCGTCGACACTTCGGGCGATGGACGCATACAATACAATGAATTCCGAGTTTTTGTGGAGCATGCCGAGCGTGAGCTTTGGCAACTCTTTGAGAGCATAGATAAGGACCACAGCGGAGCTCTGGATAAAAATGAGCTTCGTGCCGCTTTCAGCAGAGCCGGTCTTACCATAAGCAATGCAAAATTAGATCAATTCTTTGACGAGGTGGATGTAAATCACGATGGAGAAATCAGCTTTGAGGAGTGGAGGTGCGATCACTGCTATGCACCATCAGGTCACTTCTGACATTTTCTCAGAAATTTTCTCCTGTTCTTGCCTGCAGGTCAACCCAGTCTACGGGCCGTCCTCACATACTATTCTGCGACCGCAAATGTCAACCAGGAAGGAGACGTACATATCAACGATACGCTTCAAGGATTTGGTATGCAGCTCACCCCTCTCCAACTGCCGACCCAGTATGCGGACTGTACGATACGGGGCTCAACCCCACTGTGCCTCGTTTGTGCGCTGAGTTGTGCGTTTCTGCATGGCTCCAGATAGACCCTTGATATCTGACGTACTCCGGTTGAAAAAAAAAAAAGAAAAACGAAGTAGTAAACAGACATTAGATGTGCAGGCTCTGACACAATTGACGATGCTGACAGATTTTCTCCCTCCACTAGGCTATTTTATTGCAGGAGGCTTAGCAGGCATGGTTTCTCGAACTGCTACTGCACCGCTCGACCGACTCAAAGTTTACTTGATCGCACAAACAAACACGAAAGACGCCGCCGTGAACGCGGCAAATCGCGGAGCCCCGATTGAAGCCATTAAGAACTTTGGCCGACCTCTAATAGATGCGTGCAAAGATCTTTGGGCGGCTGGTGGTATGCGCAGCTTATTTGCTGGCAATGGTTTGAATGTTCTCAAGGTCATGCCCGAATCGGCCATTAAATTCGGAGCCTATGAGGCGGCCAAAAAGATGTTGGCGGAAATTGAGGGCTCCGATCCAAAGCATCTTCACCCTACTTCTCAATTTCTCGCCGGCGGTATCGGCGGTGTTGTGTCCCAATGTGTGGTGTACCCCCTCGACACCCTCAAATTGTAAGAGACTGTGCTTACTCCACTCGCCGGGCTCAGCTGACCGAACAACGTTTCCAGTCGAATGCAATGCGAGACCGTTTCTGGTGGTCTACACGGAAATGCACTCATTGTTCAGACGGCACATAAAATGTGGAAACAAGGGAAGCTCATGCCCTACTATCGTGGTTTGGGTATGGGCCTTGCCGGAATGTTCCCCTACAGTGCAATCGATTTGTTCATCTTCGAGAATTGCAAGCACTTTGTTCTGGCAAGAAAGGCGAAAAAGGCTCGATGCCATGAAGAAGATGTTGAGATGAGTAACCTCTTTACTGGGGTCATTGGAGCGACATCAGGTGCCATCAGCGCGACCGCCGTCTACCCGATTAATTTATTGCGGACAAGACTACAGGCTCAGGGGACCGTGTTGCATCCGCCAACATATAAAGGCATTGTGGATGTGATGATAAAGACGATCCAGGGCGAAGGCGTCAAGGGCCTTTTCAAAGGAGTGACACCGAATCTATTGAAGGTGGCACCAGCTGTAAGTATCAGCTACATTGTCTATGAGAACAGCAAGGCGTTGATGGGACTACATTGATTCATGGCTCTGCCCACCCGAGCGAGAAAACATAGAATACAATACCAACAGATAAGAAGCCATTGAAATGCTTTCTATTAGACTGAGCTCGTTCCTGCCACTGGGGATCCCATTTCAATATGCAGCCTTGTAGACAGCCACCTGGCAATGCCACAAACTGTCCAGAACCGGGTCTGTGGGACATGAGCCTTTATTTTTTTCTCCTTCTTTTCCCCTCTTCCGAATTGACGAGCAGCGCCAAAATTTGTACTGAAAATCTAGATCTCTATATTGCATGAGGACCCGCACCATCCTAATACAGTGATAGGCGTTGTCGATCTGTTGATCAAGCTCTCACTAAAAAACGTTGGTGCCAATAATGTGGTCCAGATATTTTGTGTTGATGGAGAAATAAGCGAGCGTAACGACGGCTGTTTGGCAGGATCTGAGGGGTCATCGGGCTTGCCCATCGCCAATGGCATGCTCTCAGGGCATTTGGCCTGCGGCTGATTTGATATCATCTCTCACCACCAAATAACGATTGCCAGGACCATTTTCCCACAGTTGCCCGATATCGTATCGGCCTCTCCGCCGTGTCATAAGTTCTTACAATTCTCTCGAATTACTCGCCATTGCGACACCCACAGATTTTGTTCGATGCTCGATTGGAACCTGATCTTACGAGACAATGCCCTTGCGCCGACCTTCTACGATCACCGTACAATGCCCATTTGCGAGAGCTGAATAAAATCCAATTTCTTCGTTTCCCCCCCACCATGGATCCTGAGATCAAGCCAGAACAACCCCCCCATTTCATAGACGTATCGGAAAATGCAGATTCCTCAATACAGGTTTCAAGCAAGGGAAAGAATAAGAGCAGAGACAAAGACGGAGGTTCATCCAAAAGGCGATGTGTGAGCACCGCTTGCATTGCTTGTCGGAAGCGTAAGTCCAAATGCGACGGAAACCTGCCCAAATGTGCCGCCTGCGCTTCCGTCTATTTGACGGAATGTGAATACGCACCTCATACCGATCATCGTCGCAAAGGAGTTTACAAAAAGGAGGTGGACGCTACCAAGACCAAGAATTCCACCCTACAGATCCTCATCCAAGCCATTCTCAATGCTGAAGAGGACGACGTCATGGATCTTGTCCGTCAGATTCGCACATGTGACAGTCTTGAAGAACTCGCGACTAGCATAGAAACCCAAGAGAAAGGTTTGATCGAGGACCCCACTGATTCACCAGCCGATGGAGAAGAAGAACCCAGTGTCCCTAAATTTGAAGCTGAGCTTTCGGGAAAGATGGGTGATTTGATGCTGGATGGATCCGTCAAATTCATCGGCGGCACTTCCAATCTGATTTGGCTCCCTGAGGATTACGAACACAAAGGCTCTGGCAACTTGCCACCGCATCAAGAACGTGTTGTTCGACCCCGTGAAGAAGCTCTCTTATCATGGACGACAGTCACGCAGGACAAAGAACTCATTCTTCATTTTATGAATATGTACTTTTGCTGGCATTATGCATTCTTTACCACTTTGGCCAAGGGACTCTTCTACCGCGACTTTCTGACGGGGACGCCATCACAATACTGTTCTTCTCTCCTGGTCAATGTTATGCTTGCTCTTGGATGTCATTTTTCATCGCGACCGGCAGCTCGAGCCGATCCCGAGGATTCCGGTACCACCGGAGATCATTTTTTCGCCGAGGCAAAGAGACTCCTCTACGAGAATGACGAATTTGCCAATGCCAAAATCTGCACTGTCCAAGCTTTGGCGCTGATGTCGGTAAGAGAAGCCGGATGCGGTCACGAGAGCAAAGGATGGGTGTACAGCGGAATGAGTTTTCGAATGGCGTGTGATTTGGGATTGAACGTGGATGCCGCTCCCATCAATGAATCATCTCGACTAACAGATGAGGATATTGACGCAAGACGGATCACATTCTGGGGATGTTTCCTCTTCGACAAGTGTGTGGTGTCCGTATGATTACCCCTATCTCGCTGACGTGTGCAGATGCTGGTCCAATTATCTGGGGAGACAACCTCAGCTACAAATGCCTAATATTACGGTGAAAAAGCCGGTGGTGTTTCCTTCGGAAGACAGTGAGATGTGGTCGCCATACACCGACACCGGCATCGTTCAAGCACATGCTCAACCCGCTCGCACGAGAGCAGTAGCTTTGCAATTGTCCAAACTGGCCGAAATCTCCAGTGATCTCTTGACCTCGTTTTATATCCCGCAATTGCTCGACAAGCCTCTTTCCAGACAAGCCGAGCTCAAAAAACTGAGTGATCTACATACCAGACTGGAAGCATGGAAGCAAGGACTCCCGGCAGAAATGGAGCCTCGCGAGGGACAACTACCCCAAGTCCTCCTGGTTCAGTAAGTCAGATTGAGAACAGAACCCACAACCCATAGCTGAGAAGGTCTAGCATGTTTTTCCAGCTCTTATACATCCACCTGTATCGGCCATTCCTGAAGTACAACCGCACGACGTCACCACTCCCTGCTCATGTGTCGCCCCGAAAGTACTGTACACAAGGCGCCGCCGCCGTATCGAAATTGTTTCGGTTATACAGACGAACACATGGCCTTCGACAAATCTGCAACATTGCGATTTACATCATGCATTCGGCATGTACGATCCATCTGTTGAATCTGCCAGACAAAAATGCCCGACGTGATATCATTCACGGGGTCAAACATCTGGAAGAAATGGGAGAATGCTGGACGGCAGCTCGTCGTACCCTACGAGTTCTTCGTCTGTGCGCCGACAAATGGAACATCGACATGCCCGAAGAGGCGGAAATGGTCTTCACCCGAGTCAAAGCCAAATGGGGACTCGCCGAAGGTGCACCCTCGCCTCTCTCGCCAGACTCTCTAGCAAACATGGCTAAGCAGATCCATGCGACTCCCGCCGTACCCGACCTGATGGCTCGAAATGTTCAGCAATCTTCTCAACAAGCCATGCGGCTCCCTTCGACGACGGTGCCCATGACGTACCCTGGCTTATCTGTGCCCATGGTCCCATCACCCTCCGACACCATCGACACAAGAAGGTCATCCGGCGGCTTGTCCATGCCGCCCCAATCGGCGGCCGACTTGAACCGCGACATGCACCGGATCCGACCCTCGACATACCTGACCAAAGCACAACAAGATGCGTGGAACGCGCATCAAGCGCGCATGGGTGGCGCGAGTGGAGCGACGTCCGGGGCCGCCAGCCATGTTGCTGCCGATCAAAACGCCGCAAAGTTGTTCGGCGGCATCGACAGCCTCATTGAAGAAACACAGGATTGGTTCTTCAAAGACCAGAGCCAACTGGCGCTGGGTTTCGAGAACTGGGGCGAGCCTCAACAGGATTGGGCCAGTTTGGACCTGTCGTTCTTTGATAGTGGTGACGGCACCACGAATTCCAGCAGTCATGTCAATACGAATGGAAATTCTCCTGCGTATAATGGGATGCAGTACTCCGCATATGATTATGATCCGGGTACGGGCACGGGTCCGGATGCAGATCTTGGGGATGGCGCGTATGGGCAGTATGCTGCTGCTCCAGCGAGCACTTATTCGAAACCGAACGCGATGAACGGGATGGATATGACTAATATGGCAATGGGAATGGGAGTCGGAGGCGGCAATATGAAAATGAATGCTATGATGAACGTACCTTTAGGTGGCGGCACGGGACCGGGAGTGAAACGCTCCATGCGGTCTCAAAACCTGGGCTTTGATGACGACATGTACTATTGATTTTGATGATTGACAGATAGATTATCGACGGAATGCAAAATGAAATGATAGGATATGATATCGTGAAGACGGAGATGTTTAGCCATGTGCAATGGGATTGAATTACCTGGTACCCAACGAGGATAAGGAATAGGATAAATCAGCGGCGATCGGTTGGCAAGAATTGGAAGCATTTGCACGGATTCTGGAGCCCCCTTATCAACTCTGTCATATACGTCTCGCCATGTCAACTGCAGTGATGTCGATGGCCGATGATATCACATTCGGAGTGAGGACCTCGGCTGCTACAGAATTATTTTTCCCTCCCCCTAAACGGAGGAGGAAAAACCCCCTCCTTTTCCTTTCTACTTCCTCCTCCCATCCGGATTAATGATGCTTGCAAAATTAAGTTGTTTGGGCGGAGTCATTGGATACTCTTCTGGGACACTTGGCAGTTCACCAATATCATCTGCAGTAGCTGCATCTTGCTTCTTCTCGGGGTCGGAAGTATAGATCTCTTCTCTCTTCTCTCTTATCTCAAATGGATCATGAAGCTTGGAGGAGAAGACGACTGGGATGGGCAGGGATAATTACTCAATTATCGCGGGGATGTTTGTTCGCTAGTATTCGGAGTCGATTCTGACGTGTACCCAACCAAGGCCCAGCTGGAAGGGAGGAATATTCCGCGCATTTGCTCTGGATCACATTTTGGATTCCATCGGGGAGAAAGTATCCATCTATATGCTGGTTCGCCAGTCAAAGTACTCGTACTCAAGAGTCTAGGACATATGACACAGAGACACGTATGGAGAGGCTCATGGTTGAGGGATTTTCATGTCCGGCTTCCGACTTTCGACCGATACCCTCTCGACATTTCATGCATCATTCTATTGAGATCGGGATGTTTTGTATGTAGAATGGGGCGCCCGCGGACCGGACGGTTTCCGATCAAATCACCGGTAAAGAGTCGACTCGTGCAGAAGAGCACGTTGAGTATCCCGGGTAATCAAAAAGACATGTTCTTGAACTACTAGTAGTTTATGAATAGGTTCCCAAATGCCCCGTATCACCATCGCCCACGTGACGTGGATGCGGCGAGGTCGGAGCAATTGACTCTTGGATGGACAGGGACTGGGTTCGAAAGAATACCGTTATACCTGGTTGGACTGTCACTCAACATATTAGATAGTGGACGATGATTGCCTGCAGAGGTCGGACTTCAGCAGCGAACGCTTACCTATCGCTAGGAGCATATATGAGTTGTCCCTAATAGAGTTTTGCGGGGCATAATGAAGATTACATACGTAATCAAGTAAGCGAAGGCGCTGTGTCAGCCTCGGTCCGGGTCAAGGTGAGGGTGAGGATCAGGTCAAAGGAAAGAGAAATAGTACACGGAGGACGCGGGAATGGAGAATGGGAATCCGAGTAAGGGTCAGGGATGAGCGGCCTGAGCCTCTGGATCTCTCACCATGAGATCATCCGCCCAGCTCCCCTAATCTTCCGCCTGATCCGGCGTCCCACTTGGTTAACTTGGCACCTCCCACTTCCGCTTCCGCCAAAGCAGCTCCTCGACACAGCCGCCTGTTCCGACCTGATCGACAGGATCTGTATTTTACCGCCGATAGTTCAACAACTTTATTCACCTGCGCCTGGTCAACAATTGTGTATTCGGTAACCCCCTAGTATGTTGACTCTTGCGATTCCCTGGTCAGATGGATCTTGACCTGTTCTGCTAAAACCATATATTCGGCAGTCCTCTCGTCGGTTTCTCCAGCCCCACACAGAAAAACGCGGGACGATGTTGACCTCCACTTCCACCAACCCAGCTATCCAAGCCTACAAAGTCTACCACCTCTCTCAAGCCAAACTCGACGTTGAATGCCGTCGTCAAATACCTGATCTTCACCGGATTGTAGCCCACGCCTCCATCGTCGACAGCGTTCGCCGTTGGTCTCGTGATCTCGCCGAACCCACCGAAATCGTCCCGGTAGACCCGGATTCTGATGCCGATAGTGATCCTTTGGAAGACTGTCATCCCGAAGATGAATCCGGGAAACCTGTCCGCCAAGTAGTCCTCTTTGACGCGGATGTCGATGACGCTGCCCAATTCCATGAGATCCGGGCCGGCTCCAAGGTCATGGAAATCCACACGACCCTCGTCCAGTCCAACGAGAAATCCAACCTTATTCCCAGCCCGCAACGACGACCTCCTCCCCCTCCACCAAAGGCGTCTACATATGACCTCAAGGATCAAAGCTGGAGACAAACTCGACCTGTTGTGGTCCGGGAAACTGCGGTTGAAGTCACCGAAGAGGATTCATGACACATCATTTCACGAGAATTTTGGCTAGGAAGGGAAAAGTTTCAGCATTATGATACCCCAACAATAGAGTGGTGAGGCCGCAAGGCGATGAATAAAAATCACGACGAGCGATCAGTCAAACGTTGCGACGACCATGATTATGATGAGAATTTCCGCCGAGGACGGCTCTTCCAATGTTCCTACGACCCAGGCAGCCTTTGGTGGCATGTGCCAGCAACCAATCAAAATTGGTACAATGCCATGCTTGCCACCCATCCATCAAACTGCTCAAGAGTGACGCAAGTTTATTCAACCATCGCCGCTCCGAGTCGGAGCAACAGAGGCGCCGTGTCGAGTTAGTCGAGTTGGCGAGGAGTTCCAAGAACCATTCTGTCTACAAAGGCATCCTCCCCCAGAATCGCTGGGCGAATGAGAAGGACAGGAGAGTCAAGGTGTCGGATCAGAAGAACCACGGAAAAGTTGAAAGTGGCGTGTATTCTACGATACGGTATGACATGGAAGGCTCAGAAGTGGTAGGGCAGGCGGAGTGGAAACTCCATACGTCCGCCGAATAGTCGTCATTTCAAACACTATGAATTAAATTCTATTTCTGCAAAGGTTTACTCGGTATTTTTACTCCCTGAGTGTGTCTCACGCTCTGCCACACACTAGGCGATACCTTGATTGGTAACTTTCTTCCCTTGAGCCGTTGATCAATTAACCATAGACCAACCACGAACTCTTCGCGATTCAGAGTTTTCGCGCCTGGTTGGGAAACCAAATCCCACACTTCTTCCAGAACATCTTTGGGCAAACGACTGCGTTCCCAAATGTCCCGCACCACCACGTTGACCACCAGATCACTTGGAAGAGTACCGTCCTTGGCTGGTTCAAGATCTGGATTATCGAGGTCGTGATCAACAAGAACACCCTTATTAGCAGCCCAGACGCCTTCGTACCTTTTCCTCTCACGTTCCGTAACTTTGTCTCTCCACCTCTTACGGTCACCTTCATGATGCATGTTAGGATGTCGTCTCCAATGTCGTCTCCCCCGTTTGGTTTGTTCATCCGCAACATCATCACGTTCGGGCGATTGGTTCCGCAGGGTGCGCCTCATCGGCCGCACAGGAAGCGGTGTCAATTTCGGTGGATGTGAAACGCTGTCAGTCTTCGGACTGGGAAAATGCGAATGATGTCTTCCACCGCTCACTACTCTAACCGACTTGGATCTTCTGCGTGGTATTGCTGGAGGAACTTTCTTTGATGGCGGTGCCACTCGTGAGCCTGTATGTTGGGATGCAAGAGATGACGCCACCATAGCATCAGCTAGAGAGCTGGCCGTCATCTTGGTTCGAGCGTCTAAAATGGGGGAATTGGAGTTTGTCTTATTGGCTTGTTCTTGCGCAATAATAGCGGCAACACTCGGTCGCAAAGGAATCGGTGCGGGAAGCGGTTTTCGAGGGGTTTCTGATGTCGTCCGTACGGAATCGCTTTCCGAATCAGTTTGTGGCGGTGTGAACCTGATTCGAGGCCAGCTCGAGGCTATGGGTTGGGCGGACAATCCAATATCACGGGATATGTCATTGAGGGCACCTTCTCCGGATGTCGAAGGCGTTCTCTTCCTTGCCTCGACACTGGCGGCGTTTTTGGTGGCTGTCACTGCCGCAGCTGTTCCAGAGGGGGGTGGACTTGATGCGGATGAACGATGTGGTGATTGAAGAGTCAAACGAGGAATGGGCCCCAGATCAGTCTTCTGCCTATCGACGCTTGTGTTCTGGGCTGGTGCTTGAACGGGAGCTGTTGTCATAGAAGCAATGGCCCCTGCAAGAGCGTCTGGACTCTTTTGTCGAGATTGAACAGTCTCGCTGTTACTACTTGTGCTCATGCCCCTCTGCCTGACTTCATGTGACAATTCCGGTTTCTTCAAATATGAACCAGTCTGATCTCTTTTAATTTCTGGCCTGCGGGCAGGACTCGTTCTCGCAGAGGCCGCGACTGCAGCAACAGCAGAGGTTGATCGAGGGAGATGAGGTTGGAACCCAGGCTTTGAAGGAGAAATCGAAGAATGGTTGGACACAGCGACTGGTAGGTTTTCCGTCGTCAAAGCACGACCACGAGGGGTAGAAGGAGGTTCTAATGGTGAAGGGGCATTTTGTCGAGCAGGTTGCGCTTGTTGCTGTCGTTGATTTTGTTGTATCTTGCTGGCGGCCGCAGTCGCGGCAAGTAAGGCGCCTGCGGATGGATTATGCGAAGCACCGTCATTGGAAAGTTTGGCCGGGCCGGGACCAAAAGCCGTTGTAGCACCTCTCAACGCAGGCGAAGGAACAGGGGAGGTCTTCGGAGAGGCAGCATCCTGTTGAATGAATGATGGCTTTGGCGCCACAGGTGGACGCCGTGCCTGTTTCTCAGTCATCAATCCATGAGACAACGGACCGAACAGAGATGCGCCCGCATCGACAGCAAATAAAACGAAGGTGGGAGTTGAGGAGATTAGTAAGGGTTTTGTAACAGCTCAGGTAACTCCCATTGTCGGGAAGGCTGAGGATGCGTATGGAAGAGTCTGGGATAGAGAAGAGTTCAAAGGTCGTGTCCTTGTCAGCTTTGACTGTTTGAGATAGGAAACCGATGTCCCAAAATGGGTATAAGTCACATGATCTCGTGTCGGGTATTTCTTGGCGCGTCGGACGAGGCCGTGACATCAAATCTTCTCTTCATTCAATCACCTCCTCAGTCCCCTGCATATCATTCACCTTCAGGGCTCATCAAGTCTGGTGCATCATGCCACAGTCCTCCTTGATACCCCGTTGACAGTCTGAATGACCGTCTCACTATGTCGGACGACGAGGAGATGGATATTGACTCCAGAGATGGAGGTCAACTCAGCCGCGCCGAAATTGAACGACGATTGGACGAGGAATATCCTAATCGACCTCACAATCATTCCAAGACTCTTCCATTTCACACACTTTTCGAAGATCTTTTCAATCCTCTTATCGCAAACCGAACCAACAAACCAATAGGCGCAATGATGAACCGAAGAAAATTAGGTCCCGGTGTTCGTCCCAAAACATCACCTGCCGAGAGGCGTCGTGCGATCATTGAAAGATATATTGCTCGATGGCGAAGTCAAGTCGGAGAAGACTTTTATCCTGCTATGCGTCTTATCATTCCTGACAAAGATCGTGATCGTGGCGTTTACGGTTTAAAGGAGAAAGTCCTCGCGAAGCTACTGGTCAAGATTATGAAAATTGACAAACGTTCAGAGGATGCCTTGAGTCTCCTGAACTGGAAATTGCCAGGTGGTTCTCATAATGCCGGAGACTTTGCCGGCCGATGCCACGAAGTAATTTCCAAACGACCTATGAGAGTAGACGTTGGAGATATGACCATTGAGGAGGTGAATGACCTTCTGGACAAGTTGACCGAAGCCCCAAGAGAAGAAACTCAACTGCCTGTTCTTACCGAGTTCTACAAACGGATGAATGCGGATGAACTCATGTGGTTGATTCGAATCATCCTTAAACAAATGGCCGTCGGTGCAACAGAAAAGACTTTCTTTCATCTCTGGCATCCGGATGCCGAGACACTTTTCAATGTATCCAGCAACCTTCGGAGGGTATGCTGGGAACTTTACGATCCAAACACCCGTCTTGAAGGCGATGAAACGGGAGTGACATTGATGCAGTGCTTTCAACCGCAACTCGCACAATTTCTGACGGAGACACTCGACAAGGTCGTTCAAAGACTACGGCCGACCGAAGAGGACCCCGAGTTTTGGATTGAAGAGAAATTGGACGGTGAGCGGATACAATTACATATGATTACCGACGACGAAGTCCCAGGCGGAAAACGATTCAAATTCTGGTCGCGCAAAGCCAAAGACTACACGTACCTCTACGGCGAGGGGTTTCAAGACAAGGAAGGTGCCCTCACCCAGTTTATCAAAGACGCATTCCGAGATGGTGTTGAGAACATCATTCTTGACGGCGAGATGATCACCTGGGATCCGGAAACGGATGCTGCAGTGGCGTTTGGGACATTGAAAACGGCCGCTCTGTCTCAACAACGCAATCCATTTGCAGGTGGACCAAGACCACTGTTCCGAGTCTTCGACGTCCTCCTTGTCAACGACCAAATTCTGACCCGCTACACTCTCAGAGACCGCCGAAGAGCCTTAGAAGCCAGCGTCAAGTCCGTCCACCGTCGCCTCGAACTTCATGAATACCAGGTTGCCACCTCGGCGGATGACATTGAGCCACGGCTCCGAGAAGCCGTTGCCCAGGCGTCTGAAGGACTGGTCTTGAAGAATCCCCGATCATCATACCGTCTGGACGATCGCTCTGGTGACTGGCAGAAGGTTAAACCAGAATATATGACTGATTTTGGCGAGTCTCTGGACTGTCTCATCATCGGCGGGTTCTATGGCTCCGGCCATCGCGGGGGAAGCCTGTCCAGCTTCCTGTGCGGTCTCAGAGCTGGTCAGGGTCCGCCACACAGTCAGAACCAGTCTCAGAGTCAGTCTGAGAGTCAAGGCCAAACTGCATCTCAAAGTCAAGGACCGTCGAAGAAATTTATTTCCTTCTTCAGAGTCGGCGGCGGCATGACTGCCAATGACTATGCGGCCATCCGCCATGAAACGGACGGGAAATGGATAGATTGGGACCCGAAGCGTCCTCCAACGAAATACATTGGTCTCGGCTCACCAACAAACATGGCAAAAGAGAGACCCGATGTCTGGATCAAGCCTGAAGACTCGCTCGTGGTAGAAGTCAAAGCCGCACAAGTGACAGCCAGCGACGACTATGGCTGCGGTATGACGCTGCGATTCCCACGATTCAAGAGACTGCGACGAGACAAGAACTGGGAAACGGCTCTGTCGCTAGAAGAATTCCGAGACCTTCGCGATTCGTACGAGAAGGTCCAACAACAGACGGCAATGCAAGTGGACGACGCAAAGAAGAAGCAACGCCGAACAAAGGCGCGGAAGAAGACCGTCACGGTTGCAGGATATAGTGCCAAAGACGTCAATGCCCTCACTCTCCCGGAGGGACCGGGCAGCACTGTCTTTGCTGGCCTGACATTCTACGTCGTGACGGAATCGGCTCTGCCGGCACCGCACAAGAAAACCAAACTCGAACTCGAAGCGCTGGTGAAAGCCCACGGCGGCAACATCGTCCAGACGCACACAGCTGTCGAAGGCACAATCTGCATCGCAGCGCGTCGGACTGTGAAAGTCGCGAGCCTTGAGAAACGCGGGGATAAAGAGATCGTCAAGCCGACCTGGATCTTCGACTGCATTGATCAAGCCAAGCGGGATTTCGCGCGAGGGTTCTCAGAGATGGTGGTCCCTTTGGAATTGGAGCGGCATTTATTCTTCGTCCCGGAAGGCATGAAGGAGCGATGGGCAGACAATGCCGATGAATTCGGCGACAGCTACGCCAGGGATACCAGTATCGACGAGCTTCGCGAGTGTATGGCTCAGATGCCGGACGATCACGAGGATGGAGATGAGAGCCAAATCCCAGACTTGTTTCCCGAATATCTCGACATGAAAGGATTCATGTTTCGCGGCCTAGTGCTTTTCTTTGATCGGCCAGATGAAATAAATCAGCACAATTCAAACGCGTCAACGTCCACGCCAACGTTAGGGACTGAGAACGAGGTAAACGATGCCACGATAGGGAATATAGCGCTGTTTGCGGGCGCAAAGATCCTGCCTAGTGACAACCTCGGTGCCGTGTCTGACGACGAGAAATCTACAATCACGCACATCATTGCCCATGCTGACTCGGATCTCCCTTTGCTCCGTCGCGAGGTCTCGAGGTGGAAAAGTCGGAGAATTCCACGCATTGTGAGTGCCGAGTGGATACTCACATGCTGGAGAGAGGGAACGAGAGTTGATGAAGAGGCGTATGTGGCGAGATGATGAGCACTACGGAGTATGAACTGGGAGATTTGAATCGGAAAGGGAAGTGGAATGGGAGCAAATGGGAAATTGTCGAGTTGAAGAATTCACGATCGAGAGCTCCGTTATGCATTGCAGACCGTGAGAACTATCAACTCACACAGTGATCTCGACCCTAATGACACTGCCCCCATGCCCCCAGTTCTCACATCTTCTTTCTGCCTTCTACAAATCTCTCGTCTTTTTCCCGTGCCTTGTTCCTGATCGGATTGTGCTCCTCGACCCCCCAAAACTTTCCCGCGATGAATATAGTAGACATACATCTATACAAGAACTCTATCACATTTTAAAGAATAGGGAAATCAATCATGATAATCATACACGATATCCGCCCAAAGCACAGCCAGACATCCAATCAAGGGGTTCGGCTCAATGACACAGGTAAGAATCTCCTATGACCGATAACTCGTCCACCTTCATTTATTCGCTCGCCCGATTGTGACATAAGAATGTAGCCGTTACTTGTAATTGTAAAAGAGACACCCTGTATTCTGCTTTTCCATCGCGTGCGGGAGTTTTGTTGGGAGAGCAAAAAGGAAATGAAGGAACCCAAAGGTATCACAAATCCTCACTGGACCAACTCGCCCATCTGTCTAGTCCGGTCTTCCTTGGAGCCTTAGGGCCTTCCATTTTATCTTTGTCTTTCTCTCCTTCGTCAACTGGCGGCAGCCACAATCTCGCATGTCCAACGGCTTCGTCGCTCAACTTCCCCTTTTTGCGCATGTTCATCTCACAGACGAAGACACGCAAGAAATCCCTGTTTTCACGCGGTTCACGTGTTCGGGGTTGACCCTCTCCGTTGGTCCCATCCTCCGCTCCTTCCCAAAGCGCTTGGGCGGCGCGGTGTTTGTTGCTGGGAGTACCGTCGGGTTCAAGCCAGGTCGGTGGACTTGATGCGTGCGCTGTACGGATGCTGGATGGGATGCAGGTGGCCAATGGAACGATTGGGGGAAGTTGAGAGGCGGTACTTTTTGGTCTCTTGAATCTGATCTGGTCGTCGGGAGATGATGGTAAGTTCTGGTTTTGATACTTCTTCTTGATCTTCAATTTCGGTCTGATTTCGGACGAAGAAGGGGGACTTGGTTTTTCATCAACCCAAAAGTGGAGTTGTGCTGGTGAATCAGAAGGGACCATGGAGTGGGGATTCAGGTATCTTCTCAGAGCCGCTGATGGAGGTTCGTCCGACGGCGGAGGTCGTCGATCATCAGTCAAGGCTGGTTGGAAATCAAAGATGGATTTGGTCAGAAAATCGTCGGATTGGACAAGAGGAGGCGTGCTGGCAATGTTGGACATGGTTTGCGCAGCAGATTTGAGAGCCTTGAGAGACGCTGTCAGACTAGATTTGAACGAGCTTTGTCGCTTCTCTGCCAGCACTGGTTTCCGCTTCAGTCTTGAAGGAGGCGACATGGCCAGTTCCGGTGTAGAAGTCCCACTATAATCGTCATCTTCATCCAAAGCGAGGAGTGGATGTTGATTGCTGCAATCTTCGGAGCTGGCCATTTGTCGTAGTCGATGATCGGAGGGAGATCGAATGGTAGCCGGAGAAACGCTAGCAACATCTGTGGCGCTATCATCGTCCGGAGAAGCCAGCGAAGGCATAGATTCGCTTGAGATGGATCTGGTTGACAGCATGCCAGCATCCACCCCTTCACTCCCCACAATCATTTGACCTTCCACCAGTCCGTCAATATTGCCGAAGAGTCCCTCAAATTGCGGATTCGTCCAACTTCCGGACAAACTTCCATCACCGCTCGGCTGAACATCATCTCGAAGGAGTTTACTAAAGTCGGCCACGTAATCGCACTTGGGCAGTCGTTGGCTAGGCCGGGGTTTCTGCTTTCTTCGGATAGGTATGGTGGTCGACGAGAGGATATCTTGAACCGACTCCTTCCTCTTGGGTATATCCTGCGCTTGAGGAGTGGGAACGGATCTTGGTATCTGTCGCGATGAAGGTTCGGATCGGCGAGACGGAGTTAAGCTTCTCTTCTCGGTAGGGGGTGGAATCTTGACGGGATCAGAATGAGGCTTGTAGCCGGAATCGCCGGTCTGTTGGGAGAGTCGCTGGGATAGGGCTGAACGAGGTGGTGAAGGTGAAGAAATGCCGTTGGGTTTCCTTTTGGATAAGTGGTCCTTCTCATTGAAATCAATGTGTTGCCTCTGCATCAGAGGATTCTGAGCAAAGGAGCGTGGGATCATCATCTTCATATATTGTGTAGGATGTTGTCTTCCAGAGGTATCCCGGATCAAGCATACAGAATGAGTTAAGGAGGCATCGCTGGATGCTGTGGTTTTCGACTCCGTCCGGAGATATATTCTATGGCGACCGGAGGGGTCGACAACAAGGTAGGGGCAGCGGAGGTCGTGGTGGGAGATGGTTGAAAAGGAAAGATGAAAAGGATAGCATGATGAAGTAGACGGCAAATACAATGTCGCAGGATCCAATAGAGGTAGTTTGGGGGGGGGATGGTGAGGTTGGTCATCTCTTGTCTCGCACGACGCCCCGGGAGAATCGAGACGAGTCGTGTGCGAGGAAAAGATAAGGCAAGCAAAGGCTATCGAGTGAGGACGATTGGCGGAAGTCCCGACCAGACTGAACTTTGGCCGACACCGAAAGACAAGGCCATTCTGCGCCTTTGCTTGCGGCTTTAGGCTGGTGCCGTAGAGATGCCTGTGCGGGCTCGTGGCAGTGGGATGATGACGACGCCCACCTGTGATAATAACCTTAAGCTGCTGGCTCAGGGGCATGGTTCTTTGCTTCTTTGGCTCCCTTCTCCCTGCTGATCCGATCTCGCCTGGCTGCGGTTGGCTCCGCGGGTCCACGCGGGCAACAGCCAACACCTGGCACAGGTCAACTGCCCCCATCCGCTTTTCTCACCTGCCATCTACGGCTTATTCCATGCCATCCGTCTCTCCATTACATGATAGTTTTTGCAAAAGGATTCAACCTGGCTTTCCATGAGTAAAGAAAACCACTTGGTTTCACCACCCGTCGTGGTACTTCCACCTTGGTACCTGGCCCGGTGCCTATACGTGTACCTGTACCCGGACCTACGCACTGGTACCTCGACTCCATCTTCGCAAGCGATTGGTGACGATGATTCCTTTTGTATAATGCTTATTCTATTGATTCGGAACTTTGCGGCGGTGAATAGGTGCCCGACGAGGACGTACAGCAAATCGGAAAAGAAAGTCAACTTCTCACTCTGACTCCCTGTCAACGAAGAGACAAACTGACCTGGCTGCTGGAAATCCAATCTCTTATGGGGGGATGGGCCATGGCACTCCGTTGACCGAAACTACGGAAGCACTTTTCCGCCCGGTCAATTGAAATCAGCCCACGCTGCGCAAACCCTAACATCGACGAGACATTAAGCTAACGCACTCCAGATGCAACTACAATTTTTTATTTTGAATTGGATCGTACTTCTCCGGGGATGACAAAAACTTCCCAAGTTGTGCCGTCATACCCACAAAATAATAAAAATGCAAGCACATTCCCTGCTGATGCAAATCTGTGATCTGATAGGACTTTGGTGTCGGGCTCAAGGAAAGACGAAGCGTCACATTCTTCCATCTGTATCATCCATTATCTTGTTTCTCTGCTTGTTCGCACCCATTCCGCTGCCCGGGCCTTGACTTCTTCGATGCGTCGCTCATCCCCTTCTCTCTCTTCAAAAGCCAGCCATCGTTTGAAGAAATATTTGGCCTGCTTGGGTTTGAGTCTGTGGCTGAAGATCCGCTCGAACAACCCCCGGGCCTGCTCTTTGTCGCCCAATTTGAGCTCCAGATCAAGAAGAACATTAAACAAGTCCACTCGTCTGGGGAATGAACTGATTAATCCTTCGAAGACGGTTCGCCCTCGTTCGGCCAATCCATTCGGGGACTTGAATTCGAGTTGCGCAAATTTCACTGTCACATCCAAATGTGTGAATTTTGGCAAAACCTGAAGGGCACGAGGTAGCAAAGCTCGTCCTTTGTCGGCGTCCGCCGCGGTGTCGAAAAAGAAAGTCGCATAATTAATCCACACTTTGGGAGCTTGCGCGAATTTCTTTAGCATTTGTTGAAACAACTCGTCCGCCTTGTCGTGTTTGCCCGATTGAATGTAGATGCTGGTTAATCGGGAATAAATCTCTTGGGGATCGTTGTATTCGCACGCCCGCTTGAACGTCGCCTCAACCGTCTCTTCGTTCCCATAAGCATTTTCCAAATTCAATAGTGCCACCCACACATTCATCTTTTCTTGTTCTTGTCCGAGTCCGATCGACTTCAATGCTCGCTCTCCAATCTGTCGCGCTTGATCCGCATCACCTAATTCGAGATGGAATGCCATATATTGGAGCCAGAGAAGTGATGAATCGGGCTCGCTGATGAGTAACCGCTCAAAGTCATCCACCGATTGAGGTCCGCCAACGTCTAGATCTCCCGTACGATCAACTTGAATTTCGGCGCGTTTCTTCTTTTTCTTCGGCGATGTTGTTGATTTTCCATCTTCCGAGTCCGACTCGGCCGCTCTCCTGTTCGACTTTGTGCTGGGAGATTTAGCAATCCCATACCAGTCGAAACCCCCGACGCTGAGGCCATTGTTTTGCGGCCCTTTGTCGAGACTCGAGGTGGCTTCTTTTACATGTGCACCGTCGTCATCGAGGTCGTCTACATCGTATTCGTCCTCGTCAGTATCATCAGCCTCTTCAGCTTTGTCATCGCCTGCGTCTTTCGCTTCTTGATCAACTTCAGCGCCACCATCTTCGAAACTTTCCTTTACTGATTCTGCCTCGCTCTCTGCCTCGTCGTCTCCGACAGCGTCAGAAAAGTAAGAAGCTTTCATCCCAAAATTGACTCTTCGGTTGGCTGGATCCAGTTTCAGTACTTTGGCCTTGACCGCATCTCCCTCGGTGAATAGCTTGCTGGCATCTTCGATTCGTTTTTCTGCAATCTCACTGCGATGACAGAGCCCGCGTACATTTTCAGAGTTGTCGATCAGAATAAAGACCCCAAAAGACTCGACTTTAACCACTTTGGCAGTCACAATGTCTCCAACATGCAAGTCATTGAAGGTAAGCGGGACTTTGTAGTCGGGCTTCAAGGCCGATTCCTTTAAGCTCATCTGGACGTGCCCAGATGCCTCATCGACCATGATGATCTTTCCTTTGACCAGCTGATCGCGCTGAAAGTGATCTTTCCACTCTTTCAGGTAGCTGTCTGACAGATGAGTTACTCTGACAAAAGCCGTGACACCATGTCCCAGTATCACGAAGACACCTGTATCTGCTACATTGCTGATGAAGCCTCGGACCACGTCATTGACTGCAAGTTGGCTGAGGGACGTGATTTCTCGATCAGTTACTTCCATCGAAGAGCTCAATACTTTGGAAGGACGCGTTGATAAATTGACCTTTTTGTTTGCGACGTCCACGCCGAGCACACAGACCCGACAGACCTCGTTCTTCCGGTATTTAGCGGGGTTCGCATCGTTATAATCGTCGGCCATATCAATCAAATCAACGGCTCCAACAACTTGATCGCCTATTTGGACCAGGATCCCATGATCGGTGATTTTGGTGACTCGGCCTGGAAGTATTAGACCTTTCGAGATATCCTCGAGGGTCAGAGAACTCGCAGTCCCATCCGACCTGGCGGATAGATCCAAATGAGCCTTTTCAAGGTCGACGGCGAGGACATGAGCCTGCAAAGCAGATCCGATGGGGAAGTTTTTCGGCAGATTGGCCGCGAGGGATAGATCATCTGAGACGTCCGTGGCCCGAATTCTTCCACGGACGGAAGGTGATATATTCACCCAAAGACATTCCTCGGAGATGTTATTGACGAAGGCCAGCCACTTGGACCCCACTGACATATCTGCCAGGGTAAGACTGGTCTTTCCTGGAGCTGAAATGGAACTCGGCTTGCACGAGAGCTCGAGCACCGTATTCTTCCCCTTCCTATGTGTAAGCGGTAGGAATTTATGGTTTCTAGTGTCGTGTGCTCCAAGTATTTGGACCACGAGTTCTTGTTTCGGATTAAATCGCTTCAATGGCTTCTTGCGATCTTCAATATCTTTCCATTCGTCAAAAACTTCGGAAGCATCGATGCGCCCCTGTATGTTCTTCGCTAGCTCCACGTTGACCTGTGTGTCCTTGACCGATACCACCCGTGCTTTAGTGATTCTGCCTATTACTAGGTCACTGACACTTGCGAGGCTTGTATCCACGGGGTCCAAAAGTTTGGGCAAGTCGCCTGCAGACTCAGTTGTCGGTCCCTTCGAATCGCCATTCTGAGAGGTCTCTCTCATGGTTAACCAAAATCTTGGGGTGGCACCCTTGTAGTCAATGGACAAGACTTTGGCCGAGACAGGTTGTAATTTGGTCATTCCGAAGTCTGTTTCGTTTTCTTTCTCAACCGAGAGCTGGGATTTTGTGATTAGGCCACTGATCCCGCCCGCAAAGTTAACGAACACGCCATCGTCGGTAATGCTCGAAACATAGCCTGTCACAATGGCCCCTCGTTGAAGTTGTTCATAGCTCTTGAGAAAAGAGCCCTCTTGAGCAGCGTGAACCAGGCTTTGTTTGTTTGATACCAACACCAGTCTTCTCTTTGCCTGAACCTGTAGAATGAGAACGTTGTCGATCTTTTGCCCAACTCGTATCTTGTGAAAAGCAGATTCTCGTTTCTTCACCGAACCGTCGGAAATGTGGTCCAGGGTTAATCGTGCAATAGCAGCCGAGTCATCTAACCGTAGCAAGATATCATTTTGTGACTTTTCAAAGACCGTGCCTTTAACAATGGTACCAGGTTGTAACGCTGCCAGAGAGCTCTCAATCGATGGAGTAGCTGCATTGACATCTCTGCAGGAAACAGTTAAGCGATTTTCTGCTGCGTTAATGCTGATGGCGTTGACCGACACAACTTGACCCACACGAAAATGTTCCGTGGCATCCTTGATGTACGCCTCGCTCATTTCAGATACTGGAAGAAATCCCCGGACGGGCCCATAAAATCGGACGACGGCTCCAAGCCGGTCCACTTTGGTTAATGTACCCGCCGTGGAATCACCCGACTCGATGTCCTCAAATCGCAACCACGCTTTCTGATCATTATTGACGAGTGCTTTCTTCAAGGTCAGTTTTAGACGACGTTTATTTGGGTCCTTGGACAAAACCCTGGCTGTCACGGTCTGTCCCTCTCTGAATTTTCTCTCGGGGTGCTTGAGATCAACATCTGACATATGGATCCTAGGCACAAGACCGCTTAGGCCGTCCGCAAGAGCGACTATCAGACCCTGAACACCTGTTTCTTTGATAAGTAATCTCTCAATTGTCCCCTTGACGACTGCACCAAGGGGCACATCATCGAATCTGAGGAAAGGCTGCTCAAGGACTTTCTGTTGGAGAGAGACAAGGTAGAGGCGGTCAACGGGATTGAAATCAATCACACGGGCCTTGTGTTCGGTTCCCAGCTTGAACGCACCGCTCACTTCAGAGAGAATCTCTATCTTCTTCTCGGAGAGACGAGATATATGTGCGAAGCCGATTGTGTCCGGACCTAACTGTAGATAGATTCCTAGACCGGGCTCAACGCGAATCACCCGCGCAGATTCGACAATGGAAGACAAAGTCAATGCCTGGCCCCCCTCTGAGTCTGACTCTCGAGTGCGCTCCAGATTGAGCACGTTGTCCAAAACTGAGAAGCCCAATCTCTTCGTTTCTGAGAGAGGATAGGTGCAAATTAGACGCCCTACAATCTTGTCGCCAACGTCAAACTTGGCGAGGAATGATTCTCGGTCTTTGAAGGAGCCCGAGTGCACCACGTCGGCGGTCACATCAAGTAAGCCCATAATCTTTCCGGAAAGCCCGGCATCGGTGAGGTGGTTGACCAGTATTTCGGCATTGGTGCCAGGGAGAAAAATATCAACCGAGGGCGCAGCTTTCAACGGAGCAGCTATTGCGGGATCGGCGGACAGCTTCACGACTTTGTTGTTGGAGCGGATTTCCAGCACAGAGCACAAGAAAACGGCACCAGTCTTGATATCAGGCAGAGGAAGATCGTTTGGCAGGTGCTTCTGAGGAATGAACCCGCGGACGTCTTGTTCTTCTAGCGCCAGATCTACCACTAATCCGTGGTCTTCAACGCTGCTTACTGATACTTGGACAGTGGCACCAATGGCGAGATTTTCTCGACGGATCCCGATGTTGGTCAAGGAGGGCTCAACAGATAATTCGATTCGTTTTCGTGCGCTTGATTTGTTCCCACGTCCATCTTGCTCAGTAGACGTCACGGCAACCCGAAGGTACTGTCCCACTCGAAAATAGTTGGTCAGGACAATATCTTGCTCGTCCTCTTGCTCGCTGTCACTGGAATTTTCTTCGTCGTTCCCCTCGAGCAAGTCTTGTATCTTCCCAGTTAATTGAGCAGAAATCGAGGTCAATGGCACATAGCCTACGAGATTGTTTGGTAGTGCGACTGTCAGAGACCTCGCACCTGCTGACGTGATCTGGCCTAGTATAAGAGAGCCCGTTGTTATTCGCTTGTAGCTGAGGCCTCCAATTCGAGCCTCCGAGCTCTGACCTTCAGAGCTTTTGGAACGGACTTTTTCTTTTCGTGGCCGTTTGGCCGGTTTCTTCACTTCTGGTTCTGATGCGGAATTGCTATCCTCATCGCCCGTATCATCCTCTTTGGTGCCTCCTCCTCCAAAGAAATCTGGGGTCTGTCTTCTCTGCTCTCTTACTGCATCACGAGATGCTTTGGCTTGAATCTGCTTTCGCTCTAATGGAGTCAGCAGACTCGCACCCCCTCGAGGGAATGCAGGTTGCTCTTTCGCGAAAACGGATACGATCTTGGGCTTCTGGCTCTTGTCTTGCTCGGGATGTGATCTCTCTGTCTTCGGTTTGACATCGGATTTGGGTCGTTTATTCGGTGGCTTCGTCATAGCCGAATCTTCGGCTGCCAGTTTTCTTTTTACGGGACCCATACGGACAAGTTGATCCACCTGAAGGCCACTGGTGCAACAAACCTTTGAAGGTAAAAGGCCTCGGAGAACCTAGACCTCAGATCGACATCGTGGGGAGACTTGGAACCTGCCACCCGCAAGGTCGTGCGGGCGTGAAATTTTTTTGGGAGTGGTGCAGTTTTTGCGGGTTGGAGACGTACTTTTTCTTTACCCAATGAGAAAGGGTGGAGTGGAGGAGCCACCGCGGCATACTTTCATTGGTCGACGCGTCTCTACGCGGAGCGCGATGAGAGCTCATAGACTGCAATTGCCACATGGATTATCTCTCGTTGCTGTGGATCTATCATCGACAGATCGATATCTTTTAGTCTATTCGAAAATATCATGCTTCCTAGCCGCTTAATGCGCCGGAAATCTCAGCTATCAGTATAGGACTCACGCGACAGGGCGTTAGGACAGATATGGACCATACGCCAGAACGACCTGCCCGAGAAGAGACGGTCACATTTGCTATTCCCCCGGACGAGAACAGAAGTCCTCGTCGAAGTAGTCGCGTGAAGAAGAATCCTTCTATAACTCCCAACCGTTTCAATAAGTTCTTCACCCCTCGACTCCGGAACGCACAGCATACCGTCCGAGCCTCCAGGAAAGTCTTGCGAAATCTTTCGGCCGCTCATCTGAACAGTCGTTTAAACGCCGGCAAGTTGTCAACCCTCCGCGCGGACAAATGGGACGAACAGCCCAACAAGAAGAGAAAGCTTTCTTTCACCTCCTTATCATCTATTCCGTCCTCGCCGATCAAGAAGGACAGCATATATCCCAGTGGTCAAGAGACTTCTGCAGAGGGAAAGGATAAGGAAAATGACCTTTGTGACACAGGTGAGGAGGATGAGGAGGATGAATCATGTGCTGGAAGCACGTTTCCCCCGCGATTGGTACCATATCGCGCCCTCAGCTCATCCGCAAGCATACTGTCAAGACGAATCGAGGGACGAAAGACCGTGACAGAAACCAATGACAGCAGCCTGTGGCAACATGAAACGGCCAATTTCTACAGTTCTCCTGAAGACTCCTGCCTTTACGAAGCTCCAATTCATCAACTTTCGGCATTGCCGTTCAGTGCTGCCAGCTTCAAAACTGTCTCCCTTGTCGCCATTGGAGATGAGGATGGTTCTGTACGCATTCACGACGCAGTCGACCCGACTCTTCCCTTCAACAAGATTTTCATGACCTTGCATCCTCATGACAATGCTGTCATGGATATGGAATTATCTCCGGACGATTCTTTGATTGCGACGGCGTCAGGAGACCAAACCTGTCGCATCACCGATATGAGAACCCAGGTACCAACACATACCTTGATCGGGCATACGGGGTCTGTCAAATGCGTCCAATTTCAGCCCGGATCTGGTAATAACGTCCTCACCACCTGTTCGAGGGACGGTAGTATTTGTTTGTGGGATCTCCGATGTGCGAGGGCAAAGGGCTCGTCGCTGCCCAAGATCTTTCCCTCGTCATCGGCACTCATGATAGGTGAAGGCAGAGAAGTCAATCCCGTCAATCATATTCGGGATGCGCATACGTCTTGTGACCGATTCCACCACGTGAAAGGAAAACGCCAGCGGAATGCAGTTTCCGCCAGATATGGTTTTGCGATCATGTCCTGTACATTCATCAGTGAAAGTCGTCCCCACCTCTTAGCCACCGCCTCGGACAACGATGCCGCCATCAAACTATGGGATATGCGTACGTCGTACAACAAGCGGTCCGGGAGACCGACGCCGGTCTCGGTGACACTTGAACCTCAGAGCCATGAGAATCATCGACAATTTGGAGTGACTTCAATCGCCATGGGCACTGATGGGTCGAGACTGTATTCTCTTTGTCGAGATCACACCGTCTACGCCTATTCTACCCCCCATCTTGTCGTCGGAGGTGCTCCTGAGATGGCATCGTCTTCCTCTCACCCATTCCGACAATCTCGTAGCGCGGGGCAAGGATTGGGTCCATTGTATGGCTTCAGACACCCAGCTCTGCGACTCGCGACATTCTACGATAAACTTGCCCTTCGACAACGGACGGAAGACAAGACAGAAATGATAGCCACTGGAACCAGTGAGGGATGTGCAGTCATTTTTCCAACTGATGAACGATATCTTAATATGTCCACTCAACGCCCTCCCTTGCCCACTAAAAATGGCGTCGGTCAGGGACGTGACCTCCCTCGGGAAACATCGAATTTACCTTTGCTATCAGGAGTCACTGTGGAAAGCGACCGCGACTCTTGCCCCATCTATCACCACGGCGCGGGACTGGTAAATGGACATCAGAGAGAAGTTACGGCGGTAGCGTGGGCACTGAATGGCAATCTGATTACAACCGCGGACGATTGCACGACTCGGTGTTGGCGAGAAGATGCCGACAGAGCACGTGCCTTGCGCTTGAATACTGATCGCGATCTAATGAGGAATCAGAGCGGATGGGCGGAGGTGAGGGATGGGTACGATGATGATGAGGCTTGAAGGGTTGAACCCAGAATTTTACTCTCTCTCTTTGTCTTCTCCCGATCGTCGAAGCCCGTGTGTACAACCACCACGCCTGTGTCCTCTACTAACTAAAGTAAGCTACTCTGTATACTCGGAATGAGAGTAACCGTTTTTGTTTTGGACGATTTACACTTCCACCAGCGTCGAAGTACAGAATCTCGAACCTTGCATTTTGGGGGCAAGGCTTGACTGGGTCTCAGTCTCAGCCTCAAAAGACAAGTAGAAAGGAGAATTAAACAGCAAGTGTTTTCCAATCTGTGTTTTCTGGTCGATGCTCCCTGGTTCAACTCTAGGCAAGCATGACTCCAAGGAACAAGCATTCACTGTGTCCTCTCCCTCCTCCACACAATGTAATGTGCATACGTGAAGCCATGAGTCCGTATCGCTACCATGGACGCGACCTGCGCGCTACAGCAGCTCCGTGAACTTAATGATACCCAGGACTCCGAGAACCATATCCACTCCCAACGTAATCGTACAAATGCTACGCTACCGTCAAAGCCACGCGTTTTGTTCGTGGTAGCAAAATACACTTTTTGTGAAGAAAAGCAGTGAAAGGATTGCAAAAATGCCAGCCTTGACAGAGGCGAAATTCATAACAATCCTTTTCGTAAACTCGTCCTGTGCACCGTTGATGTTGTTCGGCCGAAGCCGGAACACATACTCGACGCCCGTTTTCTCGTACGTGTCTGAAGATCACGTCGTTACCGATTTGTCTTGTCATCGTCTGGTAGCACCACCACATTTACATTCGCGGATCAATCTTTTCAGCTCGGCGTTTTCTTGGAGAAGTTTGTAATTCTCCTCCTCGACACGCATCAATTCGGCTTTGTAGTGTTCGACACTTGCTTCTGGCGACTTCTCATTGTTGGAACTTGGAGGTCTGTCACTGGGAGCGGTGCGCACTTTGGCTGGTAAGAGAATCGGTGCGTTGAGGCCAGGACTCGGAGCGGAGCGGTTCGTGGTACTGGAATCGGAAGTCGGTGGTCTCTTTGGCCCAGAGCCCAAGGAAAGCGCTGAACTAGATGTAAGGGGTCTGTTCTCGTCGGTGCGGCCTTGCGAGGATGTCGGGTTGCCTACATTGCTCACTTGCTCGGGGTCTTGTTCCGACAAGATCCCTGAGAGGCCGGGCCGAGAGGTCTTCTGTCTCCGACTTAGACTTCTTCCTATGCTGGGGAATAGACGGGGACCATCGCGTTCTCTCAAACTACCAGTCAAAGCCGATGCTTCTCTGATCGTTCCGTTCGATCGAGTCAGACCGGATAGAAGTTTCGTCGGAGAGAGACCTTTTTTCCGTGCTTCATGTTCGATCCGGAGGGAGTCCAGAATCGTGGAAGCCGCTGGCTCCATTTCGCATATTTCCGCAATGATTTTGCGAGCTTTCTCAAGAGTTCGAATTGCCACAGTAAAATTCGTGGGTACGTGTGGGAGCATGGCGTCAATATAAAGGCCATATCGTGAGATTCGCTGAGCTGGCTCCATAAGCAACGACGGTGCTTGTTGAATGGATGTGGTGCCTTCTTTGAGGTACAGGTCCAAGTGTGAAGAGATTTGAGAATGCAGGTCTAGGTATTCTCGGTATGGCATAGGAAACTTTGGAAAGTGATTTAGAAGGACTTTGGCGAAGCTGTAGATGCCCATCGGATCTTTCGCCGTTGGGAGCAGCTGAGGGTTCTGGTGAGCGGCGTCAAGGAAGGTAAGAGCGGCGTCTTCGGAGTTCTGAAGTGCGGTCTCGATGTCATCGAGGAATGCAAGGTTCAGATCCTTGATTTGATCGAGTAATGACGGGAACTGGATCATTGCGTTGACGGCGTTTTGATTGCGTGAACTCGAAAACTTTGAGCTCAATGACTTTGGTGTTCGGCCCTGGGTTGTAACCAGATCTATTAATTCCTGCAGACGTGTGATATATCTGTCTTCGGTATCCACAAATTCGCACATTTTGAACCGCAATGACTCAAGCTGCTCCAAGGAGTGCCTTGGAGGGGGCGCCGAGCTGGCTTTTCGGTTTGCTGGAGTGGATACCGAAGGAGACCGTTTCGTCTGGCCGCTTGGGATTCTTCTGGATGGCGCGAATGTGTTAATGGTTCGACCGCCACTAGGATTGCTGGCATCCGGGGGGAGAAAGGATGGTCGCGTTTTCCTTATTGAGGCCAGTGGTTTGATCGGGGTTGGTGGACTGGGTGGACGTTCTTTGGAGAACGGACGCAGTGCTTCGATGATCTCGTCGGTATTTATGGCCCTGCTCATCCGACATGTGACCTGAGCGGCATGAGTCTGACCCCATTTCAAACCGATTCCGTGGTGCAAATTCTCATCGGCTATGGCATGCTTGACTTCGGCGGGGACCTCGGAGAAGTACCTGCACAAGGCAAAGGCAATGCCGCGATAGACATCGTCTCGTTGCTTATCCTCTGGTAGCTTATGCACTGCAGAATAGTAGCTGCTGCTGGGAGCCACCGAGAAGGCGCCGAAGCTCTTGAAGCCGGCAGCGCTGAGAATGGTTGTTCGGATTCGGGACGTCGAGGCAAGCGAACCTACTGCCTGAACAGGGTAATAGAAGACGAGGATACGAGGTAGGTAGGGAGGATCTTCCGCATAGTATATGGTGGGCGTGTCTGACGGATTGAGAATGGCCGACAATGCGGCCAGATTGCCCGACTTTGACATGGTGGTGAGGAAGCGCAGTTGATCAAAAGACAGGTAGAGGTGCGCAGACGGCCATCATTGACGAAGAACGAAGTGGATGACGATGCGGAAAGATACCAACTCGGCTACGACGTGGGGGGACTAAATCGCGTGGAGGACACGAGCTATGCAATTGCAATCGACAGGTAGCTGTAATGTGTGAGTTGGACTGTAGAGTGTGAATGGTGTTGCAGCGTGTTCGATATTATTTACATTTGGCCGAAAAGGGAAGGGTACCCGGCGATATATTGTTCCGGTCCGAGCAATGAAAAATTTCAACCGTAACGCTTACAGCTTCCCCTGTGTCGGTCTCTTTCCAATGCCTTCTTTGCGTAATACCTCATGACTTTGATCTGTACTAATGGGAGCAGGATCATCACTAACATAACACCGGGGTCAATATAATCCGACCCCGGCGAGAAATTACTGATGCTCGGAACTCCGGAGCTATTCTGTTTGTTACCTGCCGCATCCAAAGGATAAACGTTGGCTAGTGGTCTGTGATTATGGAATGCACTGGCAGACGGAGGAGAAAGTTTGATGGCTTATGTGCCCTACCAGGTCTCTGGTGCCTGCTATTTACAAGGCTGATAGAGCGGGATACGCAACAGCCAGTCAGATTTGGCCCCACCTCGCGGAATGATTTGCGACGAGAGGGAACTCTGTCAGCTTGAAAGCGTCCACGTCTAACGAATGCTGAGAAGAGTTTTCAGACTTGCAGAAGCCTTTTTTCTGTGCAAGTGTAGGCAGACAGCAGGCGGAACCCCTCATTCCCCCTCGTGGCTTCCAGCCTTGAAACTCACAGACGTCGTCTGCCAAACCAACCATCTTCCTTCGTGTTTCCGAAAACTCTCATCAAATCATTCAGGTGGATGCCTTTCTGCTCGTGTCACTCCTGCTACTCGTCCTTCTTTTTCTTCTTGTCGTCATCGTCAGCACGTTCCCTCCACTCCGCAACTCGCTTGAACTTCGCACTCCCTCGGCTTGCGTTGCATCTCGAATCACCTGTCGTTTATCCCCGTTCCTGACCTTGACCTTTCCTACGGCGAATCCCCCCCGTCATCGCCGAGTCTACGCGTTGTCCAATGTTGACTGATCATGCGTCCGGCGTTTTCTGCGTCCATAACGTCAAGTTCTGAGACCGGCGTGTTTAATTCTCCACCATCGCTCAGGAACGCCCTCTGACAGGCGGAGAGACACTGGAAGTTGTATGCAGAAACAATTCACCGTTAATACTGACTGATCTCATCTATTTGGTGGACTAAGCGACGGCTTGACTGATTGGTATTTGAGTTTTTATGCCATGCCTGGTGAATGGTTCAATCTGACCCGGCAGATTCCCTAGACGTGTTCATCGTGGATTCCTGTTTCGACTATTTCCAATCCTACCTGCTGTATATTTTGATCCCATCCGCTGCTCGACCCCCGTGCTGTGACTCGTACTTTGCCAACAAGACTTGTATAGCCAACTATTCCTGAGTATGGCCATCCAGACTGCTGCCGGAGTGCCCATCCTCGACATCCGGAGTGACAAGTCGGACCAGTCCCTGGTCAACACACTTCATCGGTCTCTCCATCCTCCCCAGGGACAGTCACGCACGTTCCCGACTTTGTTGCTCTATGACGGTACAGAGGTTCTTGATGTCTGAGACAAACACTAAACCATTGTAGAAAAGGGCCTGAAGCTGTTTGAGGAGATAACCTACCTTGAGGAATACTACCTCACCAATGCTGAAATAGAGACTCTCGAGGCGCACGCCCGCGAGATTGTTGCACGAGTTCCAGCAGGAGCACGCCTTGTGGAACTTGGAAGCGGGTATGACACCGTCCTCTCTCCCTCTCACTTGGGCTGCTCCAGTCAATGTTAAATGTTGAACAGGAATCTTCGCAAGGTCGATGTTCTTCTGAGAACCTTCGAAGCCGTCCACAAAGAAATTGAATACTGTGCCTTGGACGTATCTCTCTCCGAATTGAAACGCACATTCTCCCTGTTGGACATCAAAGCCTACCAATACGTCACCTTCCGAGCATTGCACGGCACCTATGACGATGCCCTATCCTGGCTGGCGAATTCGAGGAGGGATGATAAGACTGTTTGTGTCATGACCATGGGCTCTTCGATGGGGAATCTTACCCCAGAAGGTGCTGCCAAATTCCTCGCTGATTTCGAAAAGGTGTTGGCACCATCCGATTTGGTGCTCGTGGGCCTTGATTCTTGCCAGCAGCCTGACCGCATCTATCGTGCCTACAATGACCCGCAGAGAGTTACCGAAAGGTTTTACCGAAATGGACTGGCACATGCGAACAACATTCTTGGCTATGAGGCATTCAAACAAGATGAGTGGGAGGTCGAAGGCTTGTATGACGAGAAGTCGAACAAGCATCAAGCGTCGTATGTTGCTTTGAAGGCCGTTCATACTAAAGACTTTTCTTTTGAGAAAGGTGAAAAGATTCCCTTGGAAGATGCCTTCAAGTACTCCGACGCGCAAAGTGACCAACTCTGGCATTCTGCTGGTTTGGTTCCTCAAATGTCTTACGGAAACAAGACGAACGACTATTGTATGCATCCCCCCTATAAACAATACGTACCTGCTCACCTCATCCAAAGTCATTCATCTTCTTTCCCCAGCACGCATCAATTTCCCCAGCAAGCCATCAGAGTATGCCGCAAGTCCGCTTCCTTCTCTCGATGATTGGCGACAGCTTTGGGCGGCTTGGGATGTTGTGACGAAGTCGATGGTCCCGAGGGACGAGTTGTTGAACAAGCCAATCAAACTGCGCAATGACCTCATTTTCTACTTAGGTCATATTCCTACATTTGCGGGTATGTAGGCCGTTCTGGCGGATATGCAACTCATGCTCACCTAAAACCAAGACATCCATTTCACCAAAGCAACGTCAGGAAACCCCACAGATCCAGCTTTCTACGTGTCCATCTTCGAACGAGGCATTGATCCTGGTGAGTTTTCCAGCATCCTCATTAACGAAGGCACTAACATGGCCGTAGACGTGGACAATCCCGAGGTGTGCCATGATCACAGCGAGATTCCGGACACATGGCCTCCTCTGAAGGATATCTTGAACTATCAACAACGCGTTCGAGCACGAATTCTTGAGAGCCTCAACTCTGGTCAAGCACAGACTGATCGAAAGCTGAGCCGTGCACTCTGGCTCGGTTATGAGCACGAAGCCATGCACTTGGAAACCTTCTTGTATATGCTTCTTCAAAGCGAGCGAGTCCTTCCACCACCGGGACAGGATGTGCCAAACTTCAAGGCTCTAGCCATGCAGGCCCGTTCCAATCGTGTGCAGAATAAATGGCATCGCATCCCGGCCGCTACGGTTAAGATAGGCTTGGATGATCCGGAGAACCACCTTGGGCCGGACCGATATTTTGGTTGGGACAATGAAAAACCGTCACGCAATGTGGCCGTCCAGGAGTTCGAGGCTCAAAGCCGACCGATCAGCAACGGTGAATATGCGCGTTTCTTGGAAGTCACCCACAACAGTTCTCTGCCAGCCTCGTGGACAGCTTCTGAGAGGTTTCGAGATGTGAATGGTGCCAATGGCACCAATGGGGTCAATGGACATGCTGAAGACGTGCTCGACATGGCCAGCCCATCTTTTGTCGAGGGCAAGGCCGTTCGAACAGTTTATGGACTTGTTCCTCTCAAACATGCCCTCGACTGGCCCGTCATGGCCTCATACGATGAATTGGCAGCTTATGCCCAATGGTCCAACGGACGTATTCCCACTTTGGAAGAGGCTAGAAGCCTGTATAAGTTCGTCGAAGACCAGAGTGGTGCCGTGGAAAAGGTTCCCAGCAAGCTGATTTCGGCGGTTAACGGGTGAGCATATTCATGTTCAAGAATGGGTGTATACTAATTAATATTAGACACCTCTCCAACGATGGTGTCGAAGAGACACCCCCATCCCACCCTTCGTCGAACGGTGTCGTCAACGGTGCTGCAAAGATTCTCGATCCCAATCCCGCCGATCTTTTCGTTGAGCTCAAAAACCACAATGTCGCCTTCCGTCACTGGCACCCGATGCCTGTGACGGGTAATGGCGAGAGACTTTGCGGTCAGAGTGATCTCGGCGGTTTGTGGGAATGGACCAGCACACCGTTGGCGCCACATGAAGGTTTCAAGGCCATGGATCTCTACCCGGGCTACACAGCAGACTTTTTTGACAACAAGCACAATGTCTGCCTTGGCGGTAGTTGGGCCACTGTGCCCCGCATCGCCCTGAGGAGGACGTTTGTCAATTGGTATCAGAGGAACTATCCATATGTCTGGTGCACGGCCAGACTGGTCAGAGATGTCCTCGCCTGATCCTGAATTGGATTGTATCCACCCGACTCACCTACCGATTGACATGCCGTCATCCGACAAAGTTGCAGGAAAGCAAACTTTGTGCCTTGAAAATTCTTTTCCTTGATCAAAATCAAGCAAGCAGAAGAGTCAACTAACCCAAACACACACAAAAAAAAAAAAAAAAAGAAAAGGACCCGTTGGAAACGGTGTCACTCCTTCTCTCATACTCTGATCTGGACAATAAACTTGGGCTGGTGGAATGAATTCACCGACCAGCCCAGACACATTCGTTCATTTACGATAGTCAATGACGATGAGGCTTCCTTCTTTGGTTCATTATCTTTGTCCATACTGCTCATTTCTTGGGATCCCGCAGACACAACACTGACGCCGCCTCAGCTTCTTCCATCCAGCTTGGCCTCATCTCGTCTCATCTCGCCTTGCCTTCCAGGGGCCACGCAAGACTTGACTCTCGGGATTTCACAACAGACTGCGTCCATCGAGCCCCGCCGCAGGACACGGCGTGTGATGGCCTCAAATCTACTGTCCACCCTGTCTACCTTTCTTCTTCGCATTATGATCATGGATCTGAGGCTCGGATCTAACGTCGATGTCTCTTGTTTTCCTTTGTTGCTTACCTGCCAGATTTGTTTCTCGAATGATAACCTATCCGAGACACGGACAGATTGTGAGAATTCAATCTCTATCTTGTCCAATCTTGCCGAGCTCGATACCGATCTAAGTTGACCTCTTTGTCTTTGTCCAAGCCACCCACAACTTTCCCACTGCCTCCACTAGTCCGCTTCTCGCACTGCATATTGGCGCCAGCCAAGAACATGAATATATGAAGCCCTCACAACCGACAAGGCTCTCCCGATCACAGCCATTCATATCCGACCGATATTCACTATCGCTATCTATTGCTATTTTACAGCGCGCGAGCTTTTCTTCACTCTGTCCCGCGCTCTTTTCTCCTTCCTCGCTTTCCCTCAATCGGGATACTTTGATAGCCTTCCCGCGCTCAAAAATCGAAGACCTTGATTGAACGACGCTTGCAAAAAAAAAGAGAGAGAGAACCTTATTCCTTGCTCGACAGACAAAGAAAATGGATCCTGCGGCACCAAATAGTCCATTCAGGTGGGAATCGGCTTCAGGGCTCGGTAAGTCAAGTCATAGGTCTAATTCAACAACCCCCTCCTCTTCAAGAAAAGAACCTCAATCAGCCCCTTTTACCATCTCGTGGACAATGGCTGACAAGTGTCATAATCCACGCCACAGAACACAGTTGCTTCTTATGTTCCATGAAAATGAGCAATCCCAAAGCCAAGCAGACATGTTTCGGTATCCATTCGATCCCCTGCTACCGATACCATCAAACCATGCACGCGATCGGGACCAGTCACAACTGCTTCTCGTGCATCCAGGCAGATGAGTTGCATGACAATAGGCATCGAAGGGTAAGTGCCCCTTTCCTTCCCTTTTTGTCTCTTCTTTGTTTCCCCCCCTCAACTTCGTCTTGTTATCTTCTAGGATTGGTCGCTGGTATATGAATGGAAACACTGATTTGTCGAATGATAGATTGCCGAGCTTCTCGTCGAGTATAAGATCTCCACTGGTGCTGACCCGGCAAAGTTGAGGGCTGGTCTGGAAGAATTGCCCGTCAATGTTCCCCGTGCTGCTACCGCCGCCGTCACTGCTGGACCGGCGGCTCAAAATGATATGATCGCCCAACAAGAAGAAGAGATCAGGGACGAAGACAACGAAGATGCTCAAACCACGACTAGTGCAAGTAGCGAGACTGTTGTTGCTGCTGTTCCTCACAAATTGACCAAAGCTGAGGCCCGAGCCATGAAGAAGGCTGCCAAAGCCGCGAAATCGCAGTTCAAAGCCAGCAAGAATCAAAAGAAACACGCCATAATTGTCCGGACTGAAGATGTCGATTTCGTCAATAAGATCTTGCACGGCGATATGGCTCATCAATCTGCATCGTCTCACCCGCTGGCATCAGACAAGACGATTGAAGAAGTCATCCAGCGAAACATGGGCTTCATAGCGAGTATTGAGGACCATAAGAAGCAGCTTCTATCTACCATTGCGCAGCGGCGGAGGTCAGATCGTGAAAGGCGCAAGTCAGCAGCGGCATATCATGGTCATGGCAAGAGGCGAAGGTTCATTGATTCCAGCCACGTGGAGGAGGGTGAGGACGAATACGATGAAGCCGACAAGTTGGTCATGGCGGCGTTGACGAAGCTCGGTGTTGCTGCGAATATCGTCGGTACGAAGAAGGTTGCTGGTGGTGTGGCCAGTTCTGGTGTTGGAGGCAGTGGTGTATCGACTCAAGCGTCGATCGTGGCCAATTTGAAAGCGCTGGTCAAAGACGACCTCGAAAGGTTTGAGAATGAACAGAGAGAGACGTGTGTCCGGGCTGGTGGATTCTGGAGATATGCTGGCCGCACCGTGTTTGACAGGATGACCAAGATTGCGGAGGAGTTGGATTGGAGGACAGGCATGAAGTTGAAAGGGGAAGATTGATGCCATGATATTGAAATGAGAATGGGAGGTGGGAGGGAGTTGAGACGGGCACGATCGTCGAATGTTTTGAATATCTTTGGATACGGTGAGCTCTCAAATGCTATTTTGGGTGCATCCTGTTAGTGTAACATAGTTTCTTTCTCATCGTCGTCTCGTGCTGTCCCTTATTTCCCCACGACACGACTTGCCCACTCTAAGTCGATATCGGTAAGGAATTTCCTCGAAAGCATGCCCTGACCAGAGAAGTATTGATGGTCTGGGGGGTTGTCGGGGGAAACTTGTGCCATGGCTCTCCATTGTCCTCCTGGTCGACCGTGGCATGTTGGAGGGTGTCTCCATCTTGGATTGTCGTTGACTGATGGCCTTGCGCATGCAATACTGGCTGTGTGGTCATTTGAGAATGGCTGCCTCCGCATCGCCATCTCGTATGGGCTTGATGTTCTGGTTCAGCGGTATGCTGCGGGTGAGTTACATGGCTACTTCTCACCCCCAGATCAACGGAATAACGTTTCCTCCTCACCTGATACATCAGCTTTTCTCATCTCCGAACTCTGGTCTCTTCTCTTCAAATCCCAACAGGCGTCCAACCATTCCTTTTGGTTTTGGAACAGGACATTCTCTTGCATTTTTCTCCAATGCCTCTGCTTCGCGTTGTAACTCGCGGAACAACTCGGCTTCGTCCTCAAGGTTCTTCGACTCAACCAGGTTTCTACCTATTCGGCCGGATCTGGCTTGCAGCCATTCTGTGCCGTGATATACTTGTTCTTGGCCCCCTGATGATATTGACGAATCCTCCGGCGTATTCCGTTTTCCTGTCCGTCGTCGAACTGGTCTTCCTTCATCATCGAATTGGATTTCAGTATCCGCGTAGCCTGTTCGGGGTCTAGGGCATGGAAACAGGTGTGGAATGCCCACCACAACGAAAGATGCTAGCAGTGTACCTGCGAAGAGAGTGCTTGTCGCTGTGGAGCGAGGATGGAGGTGTGGAGGCATTTCGGTAGGGCGTTCGCGGTGTGATTGATCGGTCAGGGCTCTTCACGAGCCAAGTCCAGAGGTGAAGCTCAAACGTCGTGTCTCAGCATTGATCGGTTAGCAGGAAGCTGTAAGGTGAGAGGAGGGGTATGGTGGAGGCTTAAATGAATGTGGTTGACCGACAAAGAATGGGCGCCGGTCAGGAGGGAGCAGTTCTCGGGCTCTTGAATCTCAAAGCTCTCAATGGAGCCCGAAGATTGTTCGCTCGAGCATTTCCCTGAGCTTCGTATACAAATGGTCCGCCGTAGTTCATCTAATCTAATCTCTGAGTCGCGCGAAACGATTGCAGCATCAACTTGTGGCGTTCCCTATCTCAGACTCAGCGTCGACAACACGGTCTCGTCTGCTCTCAATACTAAGTAGGCGAGGGCGCTCCGCATCTGAAGCGAAATTGGTCTCTTTGCTCGTCCCAGAATCGATATCGGCGTTCCCTATCATTCACTCCCGCTTTTGGACCAAGTCCGCCCTCAACCACCCATGGTGAGAAATCTCAGGTATCGCTCATCTGGAATGCGATGAGCGACCTTGACAAGTAAGTCTGAACATCAGCGCTCGGGGTTGTCGTCACTAACTCGATCTCAGAGCCATTGCGCAACTGCGCGCGTGCCGCCCCATTCCCGAACCTCAAGTCCGCGAACTCTGTTACAAGGCTCGTGAACTTCTCATTGAAGAAGGAAATGTAGTGAATGTCGATGCCCCAGTCACCATATGTGGCGATATCCATGGTCAGTTTCATGATTTGATGGAGCTGTTTCGTGTCGGCGGAGATGTGCCAGATACCAACTACCTCTTCATGGGGGATTTCGTTGATCGCGGATTTTACTCGCTTGAATCGTTCCTCCTCCTTTTATGTTTGAAAGTGCGATATCCGGACCGAATAACGTTGATTCGGGGCAATCACGAGTCGAGACAGATCACCACCGTCTATGGATTCTACGATGAATGTATACGGAAATACGGCAGCGCGAATGTCTGGCGATATTGTTGTGAAGTCTTTGACTACCTGGCCCTGGGAGCATTGATATTGGGCGCCACCACCGACGTACCGCCACCCACGACGTCGTCTTTTCACGATAATACCCAGTCCGGTCTCCCGTCGGAAGACGAAGATGTCGAATCGGAAGTTCTCAACGCGAACGGCGAGTTATTGGGAAAGACACCGCGACGACAATTTGCCGGCTTGCCTCTCAATTCACAAAACCCCAACACGACACGAATATCACCAGCTCCAGATATCGACATCCCGTCCCCCTTGGAACCTCCTGCCTCAAGTCTTCCCTCGCAATCCTCTCCGCCTCCTCCCTCGCTCTTCAATCCACCGTCCTCTACGACCGGCGCTGTCCTGTGCGTTCACGGTGGCCTTTCTCCTCTGATCGAGACCGTCGACAAAATCCGCCTAATCGATCGCAAACAAGAAGTACCACACGAAGGCGCGATGTGTGATCTTCTCTGGTCCGATCCGGACGAGATCGAAGGCTGGGGCTTATCACCACGAGGGGCGGGCTTCTTATTCGGCGCCGACATCGTGCGACATTTTAACCACAATAACGACCTCTCGCTGATCGCCCGGGCCCACCAACTTGTCATGGAAGGCTACAAAGAGATGTTCGACAAGACCATCGTCACAGTTTGGTCAGCCCCCAATTACTGCTACCGTTGCGGCAACGTCGCGGCCATTCTGGAACTAGGCGAAGACGGGAGTAACGGCGGCTGCATTTCGCGAGCGAATGGTGATCAGGGACGCAAGGAACCTGTCGGTGGAGATGGCGCAGGAGGCGGTAGTGGTGTGCTCTGGAACCTCGCGACTCCAGGACGACGGTATAGAGTCTTTGAAGCCGCGCCGCAAGGGACCAGGGGCATGCCGGCGAAGAAGCCTGTCGGCGAGTATTTCTTGTAACAACACAACAACACTTTCCTGCGTGGACCAGGCTGGATCTACATCTAACGGACGAGGGGTTAAAATTGTTTTGGTGAAAGGCCAAATGGTCAAAGGGGAGCAATGAGGGGATAGAGGAATTTCACATTCTACATGGGGCGGCAAAGAACCAACCAGTGATCTCGTTTTCCGGGATGGATAAGATGCAGCTAACAGTGAACAGTTGCAATGCGATGCGATGCAATCCCCGCAGATGTCGGGGATCAAATATCGATTGTTTTTGGTTTTTAATTATTTTCATGTGGACCTCAAGATCTCGAACGCGAACTGGACCTCATTCTATGCCGGTGTCTCTAAAACGGGCGCAAGAATGAAATGGTCAGGTGTTGACATGGTTGGGAATTAAGTACTCTGTTCTGGGCTATCATCCAGAGGGATGGGTAAAGGTATGTCTGGATGAAATTCGATCCTGGAGAGAAATGCATCCCGTATGTCCATTTCTCATGGCAAGAAGACGGGTATAGGGTTTGATGAAACCTCCCCGGTCTATCCATCCAGTTCCAGTCCAGTCAATCCCATACAATCAAAAAAGACTCATCTCTTCCCCTTCTTCCCAGTTCCGGATGCAGAAACTCCGATCTCCTCCTTTACTCGCACCAGCATTTCATTAGCCCTACGTTCACGCTTGATGAAGCCGCCGTTGAATATGGTGGGGAGGACACGGGCGCTGTTTGCATGGTCAGGAGCAAACTCCGGACCCGACCAGTCTCGTTGGCGACAGAGCTTGACAGCCTCTTCCAGGAGGCCATGTCCGACGCCCTTGCGGCGATAGCGGCGCTTGACGGTCCAACCGCGGATGAAGCCTGTGGTGGGGAGGTTTTTGGTGCGGGATTTCCGTGGACCAGAAGTGGACGAAGGGGGATTGTCAAGTTGGCCTCGCAAGACGAGCGCGCCGATGGCCTCGTCGCCGAAGCGGGTGAGGAGAATGTCGTCATCATTGCGGCCGCGATTCAACCATTTCCACGTCCCGACCTTTTCGGCCTCTTCAATGTAGCCATTTGTGAGCCAGCGGACGGTAATTAGCACCGCCATCAGGACACCGGCGGTTGTGGTGCCTACGATGGCCCAGTCGGAGCTAGAGCCTTTGTAGAGGTTTTGGTAGACAATACCGAAGAGGAGAACGAGTATGCCCATGGTCAGTGGGTGGAAAATCACGGCGGAAGATGCGATTTGACGCTGTTGGGCCACGGAATCGGCCAGGAGGTGCAAGGCTTCGACTTTGTCATCTTCGGCAAGGGCAAGTTGGGTGGTGAGTTCCGGGATGGAGTCCAATGGGTTCTCCGACTTGGTGTCAACGATTGAAGTGTCTTGGGACGATTCTGAGGTTTGGGCAAGAGGAGAAGGCGACGGAGGTGGCAGAGAGCCTGTTGATGAGGCCATGTTGATGGGTCGAAGCGAGTCCGGGGTGTTTGTGAGAGAGGGTGGGGTGGAATCGGTACCAAGAATGAGGTTTGCTCGGAGGGTGTTGAAGAAAGCTGTTTCACAAAGCATTACTTGTCAGAACTCTTCCCGTCTTATTTTTCCTTCTATTTCCCCCCCCCCCCCCTTTTTTTTTTTTTCCCAATAAAGAAATTACCACGTGCTCACCAGCAGAGGTTTTGAAGCCCGGAATTCGGTCGCCAACGGCAAGGGCTGTAGTACGGCCGGTCTCCTGGAATAAGGCCACGGGTGATGTATAATAGACGCCGGATTTGACGGCGAGAAAGGAAGAAGCAGAGGCCAAAGAATAAGGAGACGGTTGAGGAGGTTGAGGAGGCGAAAGGTATAAGTGTTCAGGAAGTCTTAGATGATGGTGCCGGCCCATGATCTAGAATCCAGAAAGAAAAAGTTCGACAATCGAAGAATAAAAGCGTCGGTCGTTGTCCAACCCGAATTGGCATGGTCGACAACGAAACGAATTGGGGAAAAATTAGTATTGGGCAAACATGACGTAAGCTGAAAAAGAAAAACGGAACAACTATTGTTGCTTGAGCACAATGACAGAATGCGACACAGTGGCTGCTAGTGAAAAGCGTGGAGGATGGAGAGGGGCAAAAGATGAGCAACAGGCCGGCATTTAGTAACTTCAGAGGGAGCACGTTTTATCGTCTGGCCATAGACACCGGCTGGCCAGTAATAACCACTTATCATCACCGTCTGCACAGGATAAGAACTCAATCTTATCATTTCCTGAGATGGTTATCGTCTTCGTTTACTCCTGGGGGGGTTGCCACACCCCCCTTGGCGCAACTTCTGACACATTGATATCATGATATGATGAATTCTTGCGTGATACTGATACTGGCCGACGCCAGATAGGCTCGTTGCCATTGGCTTCCGAGGCTAAGCAGCTGGACGGCCCAGCTGATCTTGTCCTGTTCCTGGCGAATCTTGATAAAGCTAAAGCAAAGTGTCAAACCCGCAAACCCACCCCCTTCCCCCCCCCTCCCCCCAAAGATCCAATTTACACAACAATCCTCATAATCGACGCAGTGGTCTCATCATTCATGATCGGATTCGTCTCAATCGTCCTTTCTATCATGCTTCTACCAACTCCTCCGAGCAATTGCAAAGCCGGTCGTCTAGTCTCTTCAATATGACCGGCCGAACATGCACCAGGCCTGTGCCATATTCGAGCATTTCGGATTCCCGCATTTGGTCACGCCCTTTTCCACACCTTCTGGCTGATCGAATGGAATACAAAGACTCTTTGCTCCCATACTCGGCGCGCGTTCATCTTGGGCCACACCGCTCTGCTCCTCGGCCTTGCGGGCGCTCATTTCCTTGATCTGATCCTCGCACTCCTCCGTCAGACAATGGGGCAACAGGATGACATTCTTGTCGTTTAGGGCCGGAACGAAATCGTCCCAGTGGGTGATCTTCTTCACATGTGACTTGTACTTGACATCGGCCCGATTGTACAGGTCTCTCTGGATCGTCTCGAGGAGATCTGGAACGGCCGCATTGAGCTCACTGATGGCAATTTGACTCTTGCTCTCCGCCTTGGGAAGATCTCGTCGAGAAGCGGTCACATAGTGACCCTTGCTTTCTCCCGGTCCGAATTCAAGGCGAAGTGGAACACCCTTGAGCTCCCAGTCGTTGAACTTCCATCCTGGAGAATAACCCTCACGGAAATCCGCTTCTGCTCGAACCCCGACCGCCTTCAACAATTCTCTCAGACCCTCAATTTCCTTGTACAACGCGTCTCTCTCCTCGTCGGTCGTCTTGGCGGTCACGCCCACGGGAACAATGATCACTTGGATTTCCACCACCCGTGGTGGGAGCACTAAGCCACGATCGTCTCCATGGATCATGACCATCACGCCGATAACTCGGGTGGACAGACCCCAAGAGTTCTGCCAGACGAACAAGCTGTTCTTCTTCTCCTCCTCTGTCTTTGCATTCGGATCTTGCACCGTGATGCCGAACATTTTGCTGAAGTTTTGACCTAAGCAGTGCGATGTCCCACCTTGTATGCCACGCCCGGTCGCGGGAATGTATCCTTCCACCGTAGTGGTGTACAGCCCGCCCGCAAATCTCTCTTTGTCCGTCTTTCTTCCCCTGATGACGGGGACAGCCAGAAGTTGTTCATAGACACCGGCATAGAGCTCGAGAATCTCCAGAACTTCTTTGCCGGCCTCCTCTTCCGTCAAATGGGCGGTATGGCCTTCTTGCCAGTGAAATTCTCGTGTTCGTAGGAATGGCTGGGGATGTTTGAACTCCCATCGCACGACGGAGTTCCATTGATTGAGTTTGAGAGGCAAGTCACGGTGACTTTGGATCCATTTGGCATAGTAAGGATACATGACTGTCTCGGAGGTTGGACGAATGGCGATTTTCTTCTCCAGTTTGGTGCTGCCGCCGTGTGTCACCCACGCCACCTCAGCCGCAAATCCTTCGATATGGTCCTTTTCGCGATTCAAGACGTCTTCAGAGACAAATAGGGGAAACGAGCAGTTCTTGACTCCCATCTTCTTGATCCTCGCGTCAAACCATGCGCGAACTTCATCCCAGATGAATTGTGAGGCCGGTTTGAGGATATAGCACCCGGAAATATCGTAGTAGTCGAGCATATCTCCCTTGAGCAAGACTTGCTGATACCACTCCGCGAAGTCGACATCTTTCGACACATCGATGCCAATTAACGCAGCTCCTTCCATCTTCTTTTTCTTTCCTCCCTTGGCTTGAGGCATCTTTGCTTCAGCCTTGCCCATGGGCTTTTCAGGTTTGTCCTTGTGATCCTTTTTGGGTCCTATCTCGGCCGTCATATCTTTTTCTCGCGTCGGGAGTTCGGTTTTAGAAGGGGTTCGGGAATGAGACATGGTGTCGTGGGGCTTCTGGGTGTTTAAAGAGAGGTCGGGAGTGAGTCAGACCTCAATTCCCCAAGAAGACGGTTCTCCAGGGTTGTTACTCACTTCGTATTCTGGGGTTTGGAGACTCACTCTGGTGGCTCGGTCAAAATTGTGTGACTCGCACCCCGCGATTTGCGGCAAACCTCCTGGAAATCTTGGCACTTGGATGATGACCCGCTGCTTTTACCTGCGCCTCGAATGTGCGTTGTGACAAGTTTATTTCTCCCACCCATCTCACACTGGGATGGGATGCCTAGGGTATCTTTAGGAACACGGACTCGCTACGTTACTCTGATGATGCTACTAATTCATTCTTTGAACCACAAAACCACGAGTTATGGCCGGTACACAGCGCACATCGAAACCCTATGGTTTGCGCCTGCCTGGAGATTTCGTCAAGAACTGACCACTGGAGACCTGGTAGGAGGTGTCACAGCCCCAAATTTTATCACGATGAGAGCTTCTCAACGGTTCAACTCAGATACGAGATCTAGGGAAATCGTCAGAGAACAAGCAAGGAGGTCATCGTCGACTCCTTCATCACGTTTTACGCTCGCTTCTACACTCAAGATAAGCCGTCCCGAAATTAGATGTGAGAAGGCCAGACAAGTATTTACAGCTTTCCTCGTACATTATCGACTTTTCTTCCCTTCCTCTGCACTGCCTAACCACGCCTCGCACATCTCCTGATCCACACTCTCCTCCGTGAAACTACACCGCCCCCAAACCCACTCTAGCCATCTTCTCGCCATACTCCCTTCCTCCGCTCTCAAAATGCCCGTGGCTAAATCCAGCTCGTCTGGTCTTTGACCACACCAGTAAAACACCGTTGCGCCGCAGTTGCCACAGAAACTTCGACACACATCTGGCGATGACCAGTGATACGTCAATGACAGTCCGGGATTCGCATCTGCGCTGGAAGCGGGCTTTCCAAAGACTACGGGCGTCAGATTGCTCTCATTATCATTGCTGGCGGTTGCAGGAGCGTTGGCGTTGAACACATTTTCAGATGGAACAAGCGTCCACGCCGTTAATGACACGCCGGTTGAAAGGCGGCAGGAGCGGCAGGCGCAGAGGTACGTCAAGTACTTTGTGGGATCGGAAGGAATATAGCGAGCGGGACCTTCATGATCGAAGATGGCGCGTTTAATTAGAAGCGAGACTCCCCCGCAATGACATTTTGCTGGGAGATAGGAGTCCTCTTTGGGCGATGAGAGCGTGCCGAGTGATTTCCGAGGGAGAGACAACACAGTCTCATGCGGGAGGTCGAACGAGTCGTGTCCTTCTTGTTGAGGAGAAGGCGGTTGTGGTGGTGAGGCAGCGGACCAAGTTGGGACTGTTCGACCATTGAGATTCAACAGGAGAGGAGTCAATCCACCATCGACGGTGTCGAGGACGAAATCATGGTGCGAGATCTTGACCGTGTCCTTGGGCCACAATATGTCAGTGTGCGAATTGCTCGACTCGAAGGCCGGACTGGGCTCGACGTTTCCCCCCTGACAATACCACTTTTGACTGTGATGGTTGATGTGGAAGCAATGACAGCCACAAGTCGGGCAGAAGTAGCGCGTCAGCTTCTGCGAGCTGTTATATCCTGTAAGCTTTGAGAGAGTCTCCTGAGGTGGAGGTTCCTTGAGGAGTGGGAATGCGATGCCCAGGGACCCTGATGTATAACGGCATGGATTGCAATGGCAGATTGCAGCATTGATGGGAATCTCTGAGCTGGAGAGCAGGGTGCCGGACGCCGAGATGGCGCCGCATAGGCATGTCAATTGTGCTGAGGATGAAGATATGGAAGTCATCGTGAAGAAACCAACTCAAAGTAGTAGAATGAGTCGATTGAAATAGAGTGATGGAAGTTGAAAGCGTGAACCGATAATATAAATGATATTGATAAAGGGATAAAGCGTCATGAAGTTTATCCGCTGGGACTCCCAGGATCACTTATATGTTCAAGATGTCTGATTGGCAGTCAAATCAGGCGTCCATTTGTGGCTTCTCCACAACCCATTTTACGCGGCTGGCTTTCTACTGTGGTAGGCTGGCGCGTATACGCCTCAGATGTATGCAAATGCGTTGTTTGCGGAGCAAAAACACCACCAAAACTTGATTTGCCCACGAGATGGGAAGAGCTTTTAGCCCATACTCCAGTCTGATATGGCTAATCAGCACTGTTCAATAAATACCGGATACGTAGGATTGGAATGAAATGCTTGCAATGATGCCTCCTATCGCTCCTCCCATTGTGGAGGTAACGGAGACGATTGAACGTTTGAGGAGTGCGAAATAATGTTATTTGCCTGAAATGACAATATGCCTGGAATGCGGAAATTGAGCCCTGTGATTCCTGTGAAATTGTCAGTGGACGTAGAATATACATCATGGAGAAAAGAGGAGACTTGAAGCTTACCGAGAAAAGCACCCAAAATATCGAACACTATTGGCTTTGCCGTAGACAGTCAACACGACAGCAACTGCCTTGCGGATCTGGTGGACAATAAGAATTGGACCACGGAGGTGGAATATCACACCAAGCTACCGTGATACATAACACAAAATTGTCGCTGAGATGTAAGACGGTGTACTCAAAAGCTGACATGCCGTAGTGCCGTATCCCCGGCACAGCCACGAGCAAGAGCAAATCTTCCAATCCTTGAGATAGTGGAGAAGTCGACGGACCGTGATTTCATCAGCCTCGGCTTCATCGTTGATCATGTCGATGATGAACTTCTTTCCTTCGGCATTGAGGAGTTTGCCAGCTTTTGCTAGGATGTCGATGAGAATGAACCATCCGAACGAGCAGATGGTGTAAGCTACAACTCCTTCGATTATGAATATGCCTGGAGCACTTGATGTGAGTATTATCACGTGCAGAGAAAAGCGGATCTAGGGACAGGAAGCAATATTCGTCCTACATCTCTAACCACTCAGCTTATGAAACAAGAGAACGCATATATGCGAAGATTGCTACAAAACCAGAGCGGATCACTTGGGGGAGCCCAAAAAAAAAAAAAAAAAAAAAGCACAAGCGAGCCTTCTCCCTACATCATCATATCAGCAAGCGATCAAATGGGTACGACCTATCGTGACAACTAGTATTTGGGATTTCAACCAACCACTTGCAGCATACCTGGTAGGAAGTTCGCCTCCAAGGCTCCCCAGCAGGAGTCTACAGATCATCAGACTCCGCCACTGGTTTGTGAAGCCCATACGAATGAGCACTGCACCAAAACTGACTCTGACTAAAGAGAACCAGTCTGCTGGTCCGGCTTTGGGAAGGATCAAGTTCTGGATTGTTATCTTACGCGAAGCTAATATCCAAAGGGAGCAATGCCGCAGAACTTCCATACTAAGTTATGGAGGAGGTCCGTGTCACGAATAACCTGGCGGTCAGGGGGAGGCTTGGCAGACCAGCACTATATAGACCGCTCCTCGCATGCGAACGCTCCGGTTCCGCATGCTTCGAGTTTTCGTCGATAGCTAGATAGTAATTAGCTCTATACTGTTCTCCTTTTCGTTCCATCGGCCGCCATTCCTGACAGTTCGCGACGTAAGAACAAGCTAATACTGTAACAAGGCAAAATGGCTTGTGGGCATGAGGCTAGACACTTGGGCAAGGCTGCAAGTGTCTGGTCACATGACTGGACAAATGTTAAGGTCCTGGGGTGTTATTATGGATGACAGGAGCATGGAAGGAGCACCATTCATAAGAATATTCATAATCATCATCATCAAGAATATCAGCATCGTTGAACAGAGAGACATGATATTTACTAGAGCGGATTTACCTATAAAAGGGGTATAATATTATTCTCGATAAAGCTAGATCCGTCCGTAACGTTAGTGTATAGACTCGGCTAAGGGCTAACTTAACGTGGCTACTCTAGGACGACGAGGTGGTGATTTAGTAGTCTAGTTCGTCGTATGCGGCATTTAGGGCATAGAAATAGCGCGTCGAATGTCCCTTTCCTAATATATCTTGTTTTGTGGTGCGATTTAAGGTTACATTTAAAGCTAAACAAAGGCCGTTGGTCGTATAAAAGGCAAATAGCCGTGCTGTCACCTTCTCTTATTGGCGCTGCTACTGGGGCTCCCATGGGCTGACCTGGTACCAGCCAGGGGTCGGAATCCCGATTCGTCTCATCCCGGGTCGGCCGGGGAACTGTCCCTAACTTCGGTATATTTTCCCTGCCGAAGGGGAGATACGTCACGGCGGCGCTCGAAACTCTGCAGATACTCGGTGGCCGGTTCGACGGGAGCATTCGGATTTCGTTTCAAGATCATTGTGAGCATAGCCCGTTCGACGGTGACTCCGTCCCCCACGATCCTGATGATAACCAGGACGAAGAAAATGTCGATGAAGACGATGACGACGACAGAGCAGAGGACGAACCGGAGGACTCGGACTTTGAGGAATGCGACGACGGCAATGCCGATGACTACCATGCGGAGAACTATTTCGACACAGGCGAAGGGGATGACGAGGATGGCTTCGCATTTGGCGCAGGAGGCGGCGAGGATGGCGGTGAATATTTCTGAGTAGGATCATGCAGACTCGCTGTCTCACGGAGCAATTCGTAACCTGGAGTGCAGGAAATGCAACTCGGCCAGGGATCTCGAAGAAAGATCACAGGCAAGACGCTGACGAGGCGTCTAAATCATGTCGTCACGTATCACCGATCTCGCTTTTGGTGCTCCAGTAACTCACTATTAAAACCCTCCGGATGCAAATTATGCATTTCAAAAAAAAAAAAAAAAAAAAAAAAAGCTGGAAGGACATGCGCCTGCGTACTGCTTTCATTTGTCCACGACACTTCAGCGGCACAGATTTTGCAAGGCTTCAAGACCTCAGCTTTGAATTTTTCGTGACCCGGACCTCTCCTTGCTCGTTAAGGTGGTGGTGTTATGCCGGCATTCTGGAAGAATCGAGCTCGCATCGCCCTTTTCCGCTCGTATATTCTTGCTCGGTTCTTATTCATCTCTCTCCAGCCCTTTTCAAATTCATCGTCCTCGGACTCGCCGATCGAAATCAGATGCTGTCGCCATCGGCGCACCCCTTTTCGGGAGTACTTGAATCCGCTCTGCCAGAATTTCGTCATGTCCCCGTTCACCTCAGCACTGTGAGGCCAAGCCCCGGGAAGATCAGGATCGGGCGCGTCAGGAACGAGATGAACGGTTTCCCAGAACTCGGCTGCGTACTCGTCCAAAGATGTCGATATCCATATCCGCCAATCTTGAGGTTGTTTGCCATAAGTGAAGGCGACCAGACGACCAGAGGCGACAGCTGGATAACATGCCGCAAAGGAGAAGTGCCCATCCTGATCGGCCGGGGAATCTTCCGCATACTTTGCATACTCTGCGACAACTTGTTGATATTCCCATTGCCCATACTCCTCCAAGTCTTGGCCTGCGGCCTGTACTTCTCTCGCCCAACATTGTAGCCGATATGTGAGCCGCTCGGAGGTCAAATCTGGCCATGAACCCCGATAAGTCCAGAGGGCTGTGGGTTCGTACTCGTAAACGAATTCAAGGTAGTTCAGCATTGGCGAAGGGCAACCATGCTCGAAAGAGAGTTGAAGCCCATCCATGGCAATGGCCGATTGTAGAAGCGACTGCCAGTCACTGAAGTCTTTACATTCTCGATCCCCGGTCCACCACTGGCTCATACCCCGCGCCAGAACTTGTACAATGCTTTCTCTTTCGTCATGCCAACGTACAAGACAGAATGCAGTAAGTTGAGACTGGCACAGGTAGAGCCAGAAAACATCCGGAGAGACACAAGTCCAACACGCTATGTATGCATTTTTGAGCCTACTATCGAAATCCAGGGTGCTCAAGGGAGGGCAGATCCGTTGAACAAGAGTCGGCACGAGATGCGGAACGCATTCACACCAGTCCCCAAGAGTGTGTGGTAGGCTGGCAATGAAACGGGAGTGCGACATGGTTTCGAGCAGTGCACAGATGGTATCAGACTGTGAATTTCGCTTGTCAGATGTATCACTCGGGTCCACGTTCGAGATGAAGAGGATATACACGAAACTGTGTTCAAAGTCAGTGAAGCTTCGCTTGCGTTTGTGTCAGGACACGAACTCTCGGTAGTCTTCCAGATCGTCAACGCCTTGCTCGACGAGAAACTTAGTTGCGGTGGCGGCACCGCGGGCTGCCGCATGCTATGGAGATTATGAGGCCCTAACATAGGGACAGAATGGTGCTGGGTACATACGAGTAACAATGACCATCCCTCTGTGTCTCTGTCATAGATCGAGGCTTGCTGACTTCTGAATAATTGCCGAAGTGCAGTGATGTTTCCTTCCTCGATATATCCATAGATTTCCTTGGGGAATTTGCGAACATTGTAGGTTCGAAAGACATATGCCCAGCCGCCGTACGCTTTTTGTCGAAATACGTCGATTCCCTTGCCAAGCAATCGACTCTGGAAAAGCATCAGGCGTGTGGTATCCTGGGAAGCCCAGTGGGGGGAACGATCGCCAGCGTGACCTGTGCGAGTTAAAGCCTCATCCTTCCCGTCGTCATTGGGTGCACGTATCGAACGACGGGAGGGAGCCGTTAGGGCTCGCGGGGTGCGACGAATGTCCTCGAGGGCAGAAGACATATGTACTTGGGTTGTGACCAGTAACGTCTGAGTGCTGGAATGTTGCTGGATGTTCAAAGCAGTTATGGCACTGTCTGATATCAGTCATGTGCCAGCAGGATGCCAGACTGTGCTACTTACTTTAGCAAAGCGAGTTGAGCCAGAATGAGGCTCGTTTTGGCTCTTTCGAGGTCTTGTCGCGCCTTTGCGAGAACTTCCTCCTTGAAGACGGACTTGATGGAGCCGCGGATCCTAGAGTGTTTGAGACTCTTGGCCAGATCATCGCAGATTGGTTTGAGATTGTTCACAGCCTTGTCACATTGCTGCCGGCATGTCTGGGCCACGCTGGGAGAAGCGTATGTCGCGATAGTAGCTTCCTGCTCCGCGAGAGTCTGTAGAACTTGCCGAAGAGAATCTAACTCTTCCAAGAGATGTCCGAGAGCTTCTGGTGCATGTTTGGCAGAGCCGTAGAGTTGCTTCAGCTCTACCCCAATCTTTCCAAACTCGACCGCAGCCGCAACAACACCAACAATTTCAGCCATGAGCGATGGAATGATTGGCCACAAACCTAGCAGTTATCGCCAGAGGCATATCTACTGTCGCCGCAGGCACGTCTACAAAGTCGCAGGTATATAAAAGATTGGAATCGTGATCAGGCTCCCCTGCAGATGCGAGAAATTGTTGGTGCTGTCGGCCAGGGTCTGGCGCGACCAGGTTGGGGGCGATGAGGCTTTGCGGGAGGCCCAATCCTCAGCCAAGACCATGGCCAGCGTACCATCTGGTAGGGCTCACTGCAAAGCATACTAGATAATGTGGCTGCCTGTTTGCGGATGTTACAAAGCTGAGAAGGTGAACAGCGCTAGCGAGCATGTATTACGGGCGTAGCCAACGAAACCATCCCAACCTGGAGTTGGTGCCTTGACGGTCTAAGACAGCTCTTAAGTGGTTAGATAAGCTGCCAAGGCCGAAATCGGTTCGGACAAGCAATTTCTCCGGACATGCCACGCGCAAAATTCCACCGACATCAAATCAGGAATTGACTCAGGGCAGAGAGTTCGCTCAGAGAGTGCGAGAAGTACTTTTCTTCGGTGCGGTCCCCATAGAGTTGAGCGGCTGGCCTCACAGTGGCTAGAGACTATCCGTAGCAGTCAGTACTCTTTGCCGGTCCTGTTATAGGGAGCGCACAATGCGAAAGCCTTGCAGCTAGGGCGGTCACTTCCTTTGAACCCCGAGTCGCTCCGCAGAAAGAGGTCCGCCAGTGACGGAAGGTCGCTGATTAGTCAACGTCATCGTCTTTGTCGCATTCCTTACCGTTGTCTTCAATCTTGTCACCATCGGTAGAGCCGATGCTGCGGGCTACGGCGCCTCGGACGCCACATTTGTCGGGACCCTGACAGTCAACGACATCCGCATTGCTCGCGGACCCTGCTAGTTGCGAAGATTTTGAGCTTTATCTACTCGACACCTAACGGCAGAGAGCGACTGTAGCAGAATGGCTAAAGGTGTGACTACCGAACGACGGAGTATTCGCACAGGGCTGATACGCAATGAAAGTGGCCATGATCAGAGTACACTGTTCCAAGGGGTGCGAAGAAGGAGTGCATTTAACACTCCAGAATAACGAAGGAACCGGCGTCGTTTATAGGCAGTCAACACTGCCCACACCTCTTGCGTGCTTTCCCTCGCTCTCGCAACGGACAGTTCAGCTTTTTCAACCCACCATGTTTACCACCTTGGCCTGCCCAAGGCCCTCTCTGCCAATCTTTCCAGCCCCCGTGGGGCGGGGAGAAACAAGACCATCACGGCGAACGAAGTAGAGCCCGTCATGCCACTGAAGCATCACAAGAGACAGGGATTGTCATTCTAAGCGTGGGATTGACCCGGCGAGAGCGGTCTCGAGAATAAGGGGACAATATCGGGCGTTGGCCCGTCGACCCGTTCTCCTAGGTTTTGAGGGTTTAAGGATGTTGAGAATGCGCCTTCTGGACCGAGACGGCCTTGTAGGGATCGAACGCTAGAGGAAAACCAACATTTCCGTCCGTCCCGGTGAAATCGTGTCCTGCGAATCCCACGCTCTTACTCCTTCATAGTGCCGTTCGCCAGCCACTCTTGGAGGAACCGCTGTACTTCGTTCGGCTCAGACGAGATAGCAGTTGCGAATCTACATGCGGTATACTGGCGTATCCCTGACGCAGGACGGCACCTTTTCCCCTCAGTTCTCGGGGGCCGCAATAGAAAGCTCTGCCCCCTTTAACATTATATTTTCTGTTGTTGGGGAGGGGGGGGGGGGCAACAAGGCGCCTGCGCACTGCCGATCACCTTATGCGGTATTTTCGCGATTAGATGCACGGGGTGCGGCACTCAGCTTCGCTATATTCTGCCACCTTCCATGTCTTGCTCTACAAAGTCGAGACGCAGCATCCCCACCCGATGTCGCAGCACGCAGAGTTGAGTGCCGGCCAGGGCGTCCCAAAGGATGTTCGGTTCTGCTGTCGTCGGTGAACATGATCTCGCAGAGTCATCGCCGGTCTGGAACGAACACTGGAAGGAGCGTATTACGCGGATTCACCCTCGCAAGGAGACCGAAGGAGACTTGCCGAGGCGCACTCCCACGCCCATCCCCATAAGGGTCCCAGGTCAAGTCGCGGATAATGGGCCACGTCAGCTCAGCCCGCACGGGGTGGACTAGCGAAGTCAAATGCGCCGGGGAGGGACCAGGTACATAACGGGCCCGAAACGGATCCCTCGTCGAAAGTACCAAAAGTGCAGAGGAGGCCTGCGAAGATCGAGGATTAGGAGGCAGATCGAGGCGCACTCTAAGAGACGAGGCAGATTTTGAAGGAGCCCGAAGGGAGAACCGAGGGGAGCCCGAAGTGGTAGGGTAAGAATTTTGGCTGCGAGGCGAACTGCGAAGGAGTCGGGAGCGGTAGGAGAATCGACGATGGGGCGCCTGATGCGGCAAGAGGGAGGGATCCGGGAGGTGTCAAAGTGAAGCGCGCCATGATGCAACCTGCGCGAACGGAGGTGCAAAGGGGAAATAGCAGGTTGGGAGAGAGGGATGAGGGTGGGAGACGAGGTTCTTATAGCCGTCAAAAGCGGCGGCGCGCGCAGCCTGCCACCATGCCCGAAGTGGCAGGGCCGCCTAAACCGAAGGCGGATTTCCCGGCACCGACTTTACACATGGAAGTTTCACGGGAAACCGCGAATAAATGCCAACATCGCGTCTTCGGGTGTCGTGATCCAGTAGCCGGACTCACATATATGTGAAGAAGAGTGTATCTGTCTCCAATTAGCAGGCCTGGATCCGTTCATATTCTTGCGACAGAGGCAAAGACACCGTGATCAACATCGTCCACACGCGATAGGAATGGATCGGGGCACCAAACTCGGCACAAATTCGGCCTTACCACGATTCACGTGATTGGCCATCCTCTCGGGATCCGGAAAATCTATAGTCCGACACCTAATCACGTGCTCTAGGTGGCTAACTCCATCGGATCCAATCCACGGCCCACCCTGGAATGCCGCCCTGCCAGTCCATGGATCACGTGTGGACGATGTTGATGTCACGGGACCACATGCCAAGGATTACGCATTCAGGGGCTCTTCAGCACTTCCAGTGCTACGTCTTGTATCTAGAACTCGATGCTAGCCAGAATACATTGATTGTATCCTTGACCCCGAACCCTTACAGGCTGGGGACAGAGTATGATGCCGGCCTTGGCATCTAGAAGACTCTCTTCAGGGTGAAGCAGACGTGTTCTAGGCAACGTGGAGGCGCACGCCAGCCGTGGGCTTGAAGAGAGGATATATTGATGTGATTGAGCCTATAAACACCAAGTGTTTCTATACAAATAGGGTCGACGGCGAGGCTGTGGGACTGCAAGACTATTTTTTCACAAAGGATGGAGCAGGTACTTACGTTTGTGCGGTAGAGCCAAGGAATTATAGGTACCATTACATAATAGCGGAATTTGGTGCCGAGTTTGGTGCCCCGATCCATTCCCGAGTGTCTCACTGGTCAAACCGCGACCGAGCAATGAGCAAGCCAGCAAGCGACTTCTTCCCCATCCAAAACAGCGACAAGCAGCTAAATGATAAGCATAACTCCATGACCCCGTGACAGTAGGTGTAGGTAGAGGTTCATTTAATAACAAGTCATAATACTGTGCACAACGACGCCTACGAGGCGCCTCTATATTGATTTGGCCTAGGGATTCTCTGGATTGAACATCATGACCATGTTGGGAATCCGTCCTGTGGAAGATGTCGCCGCTTGCATTTTGAAAATGGCATCTGGTATCTCCAAATTATCTCCTCGAAATTTCTGACGGTTGATTCTGCTCTGCAGAACACACAAGGTCAGGATAAAATTGACGAGAGCGCACGTTCTAGAGTCCATCGTTAGCACAATTTCTTCTCATATAGATGAAGGAGCTCACAGAATGACCGCAGACAGTGCTAAGATATTGGCCCTCCCTGTACGGCTACCCTCATAGATTGCTACCGCATCGAGGCCTAAGACGATCAAGCTCCAGCTCAGGGACCATCGAAATATGTACAGCTTGCAGCATCTCGCGAATAACCTCCCCCAGCAGACCCCCTGGATGACGATTGTTCCGAAAATATCGAAGGCTGAAATAGCACTCAGAGATGCGTATATGGAATACATTACGTTGTTTGGAAGACCGAGTGAATAATCTGTTGTGTGGCACGCACCCATAGAGTTGTTGTCATAAGTCTGTACCGCAATAGCATTAGAGATCGCTTCGAACATGAAAGCTGTCTCGGTGTCAAGCGTTCCGTAGGGTAGTACAGCGACTACTCCATAGCATAAAGTTGGTACTCCCTCATTCCAGTACGCATTCAACTTTACAACAAGGGCGAGCCTTGCCACTGTGCAGGTGAAGCTTGTGATTAGTGTCAAAATCACAAGAATCAGCAGCGGATTTAATAGAGAGCGGAAGTTCCTCCGAAGTTCCCTCTGAGGCTGAGGCTCGCGAGGTGCCGCCGTCCGTACTTCAGGTGGTATTGGGAACTCCATTGTACGTATGCGAGGTAATTTCAAGCTCGTGTCTGTCCTTACGAGCCACACGGCCAAAATTCAAAAAGCAAGAACGTGTTGGAAAGAAACAAGAGCGATGAGAAGAAGATGTGGATAAGACCGAGCCGCTGTTTGAGATCGACTCTGGTCAGTAAATACCGTCGTTCGGCAACACTTGACTTTCTCTAGTCATCCAAAGCCGAATAGAGCTTTGCATGGATGTGAGTTGAGACCCAATCGTCAAAGCGTGCTTTGTGCCGCATCCGTGCTCGAGACGGACGCTAGTAGGCACAAACACGACTGATTAGTCTGTCAGCCTCGAGCGAAGGATGAGGAGAGTTACCAAAGACCTATCGAGTGCAGCCATGTAGGGGCAACGAGCGCGGGGTTTTCTGTGCAGGGAACTTTTGACTAGTGCAATCAGGGTGTGTCAGGCAAGCACGCTAAATCTTTCGGGGTTCAGTCATTAAGCGTGACCGAATTCAACGACGAGAGCGAATTATGGATCATGCGGATATCTTCGTGGTCGAAGCTTAGTTCATAGACGATAAGGACAATGCATGGAAAAGTTCCAATGCACCCAGGTCCATATAGCGACCTCCCGGGTACAGGCTAATACTAAACCTCAAGGTTCGCCGATTGCTTTTCGCCTTGTAACCCCAGGCAACATCTCGGCCTCTACTGCGGCAAATAGATCATGAATGTTTTTCGAGCTTACGACATAGTTACCAGCTCGACAGCTCTGGAACCGCCATGCGCCGAAGGTTCGGCATCCCACCCAGAACGGAGCCTTCAAGAAGGAACCGCCTCTCCAAAACTGGGTTGAATTCTTTCACCTATGAGCCACTGCGTGACGCTGATGAGATACGTCTCCTCAATATTGCACCGCGGCATACAACAGCTGGCAGTAGTGGGCTTAAGGACAGTATTCAACATGTTCATCTCTCAGCTTCGCCCTTGTATACTGCCATATCATGGATGTGGGGCAGTCCTGGCGATCTGATCGACTTTGAAGTGAATGGTTCCACTCTGATGGTACAGCGAAACTTGAGAAGGGTCATTGAACACTTACGAGATGACTATCAAACCCGTCGAGTATGGATCGACGCTGTCTGCATCGATCAGAAGAGCATACAGGAGCGTAATCATCAAGTGCAAATGATGGGCAAAATCTACGGAAACGCCAATTATGTCGTTGCTTGTTTGAACGCCGCCCGACCAAGAGACAGCAAGCGCCTCAAACGCGAGGCTGAGGATTTACACAGGATATTGCGAGAACGGCGATACTCTACAAACACCAGCCTATACCGCCACTTCTTCGGGAATCAGTACTTCACACGCCGTTGGATAATTCAAGAGATTACTAGGGCCCGAGCGGTCACATTCTGCTGTGAAGGACACCTATTACCGATGAGCATCCTCAGGGATGCCATCAAAGACTTTAGTCTAGAGACTAGGCATGACGCTACGCAGGGCTACTCATATTTTTCTGAGGCGGAGAGAATGGCGGAAAGTCGAGCTATACAGCTTTCTTCCACTGAACCACACACTCAAAGTTCTTCCACCTCGATGGAAGATCTCCTGTACTTGCACGAAACAGCGGAGTGCTCGGATTTTCGCGACAAGATCTATGCATTGATTTCACTGACTCCAGATGCACAGACTCATCTATCAGTTGATTACAATATCGACCGGGTACAGCTTATGCTAACGGTACTGAATTTCTCCCACACATACCAAAACTTGTCAGCTTTCCGAACCCTGAGCTTCATGTCCTTCCTTCGACAACATCTTGAAGTTGGAAGGGATGAACTGCGCGATAGTATCCTCAATCTGGAGACTCCAGTGTTCTCTACCAATTTCGCCGTCTGTGGTACCATACGAGGTTGGATCGAAACTCTCCATCCCGGGCGTGATGCGGAAGAAGCAGCCCTGCGAGTCCGTAACAGGTTGCCTGCCCTTTTCCCACGTCGCAAACTTTTGCTGAACGAGAAAGGAACTTTAATGTCACTCGAAATCGATTCGGAGGCTTTGGTGGACACACAGCCGTGCGCAACAGTCGGAATTCCTGGGATTGACCAGTGTCTATTTGCCTTTACTGGCAATGAACTTGGAGACTCAAAAAACTCGACTGTAGACCGTGAATTACCGCCGAGATACACGACCACCGATGGCCCTCTCTTTGCTGGACTGGCGTCCGCGAGAGTAAATATTGGCGATGAGATCTGGCAATTTGATCGCACACCCGTGGCTGTCATCGCACGGAAGACTCTTCAAGGCTACACGCTGGTAGGACGAGCTTTCCTCATACGTGACCTGAGGGCGGAATACCAATGCAGCCGGTCGCGATTGGAGGATGAAATAGTGTGGATCAGGGATGGCACAAAACATCCAAAGGCCACGCCAGTTATTAGCGTTGATCTTAAGGGACTGCATGAGCTGATGACTTGGGTCAACCTTGACCAATGAAATCCATTTTTGTCAGTCATATGTGCTGGACATCTAGTACTGGATAGACAATGGCGAAGTTGATCCTTATCCAGAGCACAAGCTCCCCTGCCCGTAGTTACATGACGCCCTGCAGTACGTGCAGAAGCCTAATAGATGAACACCCTGGCGAGGCAGACACTGTCTTAGAATAGCTAGATCAAGGCGAACCAAAACTTAGACACGCCTCATTTCACCTGCAAGACTTTGTGGATACACTAGGCCCGAAACGCCCAATCACGCATGCTGCAACATGCTGAAGCAGTGAAATACATACCCAGGCAACTGGCAGGCGTCAGGCTGAGCACCAGCGGTAATCATTAACTCGTATAATTGTAGTCTACCTCGGTAGATAAGGACATTGTATAACCTTCAGCAGACATACAGCATGCCCGTGCAGCGGATATCCTAGCCCATCAAAAGCGCTCGCGACAACCAATTCAGAAGCAATGGGATCCGGCGGCAGTAAACCTGTGCCAACGGCGACAGAAACACTGACAATAACCGCGACAACGAGGTTACCGATGCCCATAGCAGGCGACATGCCTCTCACGGCAGAAATACTTTCCATGGCGAGTTTGTTCACATCCAGCACCAACATCCAAGACCTAATACCTCTGGCAGACTTCCGACACAACCATATTCGCAGCTAGCGACTGTGCAACGTCCGCCAGCACATGTGTCTTCGTCCAGCCCATCACCTTCACCGCGGCTCCGAGCACTTACATCTTTAACGGATTAGATTACTGGTAAGTGGGCTGTGGCGGCAACTCACATAGTGGTGCAGAATCAGAAACTGATATTGGTATCCCAGGAACATCCTCGGGCAGCTTGACTGCTCGATCTCACAGTCGCCGCAGACTGCGGCCTGTGCTTGGACGGTGGGGAGCTACCCGTCGTCCGAGGTGGCGAATCTCACGAAGAGTTGGATCACGACGCCGGCTGCGAGCAGTGTGACTATTCTACCTACTATCACGGATATAAGTAGGCATAGTGCGCAGGCGTTTGTAAATGTTGCCTACCAGGAGGATATCTATGTGACATTGTGGTCCGGTAGCCTAGCGAGAGGTGCTGGGTTGGATGTGATGTGGGCGGTGGTTGCGGCTGTGATGTCCGTGTTATCGGTGATAATGCTGTGATAAGAGAGGATGTGGCTATGTGTATTCATTGGAAGGTAGGAATCATCTTGTTGGCTGAGTACTTAGTCGACAGGCAAGCCGTAATTGAAATATTAATCCGTAAGTGGAGCTCACCAGATATTCCTATACTGCTTAGAGCTCGGTATCTCCTTCGCAATAGGAATATATTGGACCATAACAGTCCTAGACATCCGCCACGCTACCACTGCTCAACAAGTATCCACTTCCTCAGTTGCCGTGGCTGTCCACGACTCGCGAAGGATAATATCGGCCTCGAAGAAGAAGGGCCAGATAACCTTCTTTGTTGATATCCGAAACTTTTATGGCCCCATCTTTTCAGCTCCATAATCCCTTTAGTACCTAAGAGACCGACTTCTTCCAGTAAGCTTCGCCTGAGGAGGGGAGAGGTCGAGACTGCGTACCATTTCTAGAAGGCCCTTGTCGTTGCATAATGCGAGTCCGTTCTCGCTCCGCCTTCCTGACCCTCCCTGCCTTCTGAATGCCGCTCGGCTGCCGCGTCAGCAACCGACGAGGCTGAAATTAGCTTGGTAACTAATCTGCAGCCAATCCCGCTGAAGAAAGGACTGCCATTGCTCGACGTTCGGGCGATGGATAGACCGCGCCATTGGTGATGGTGCGTCTCGCCGCTTCCAAATGTCTCACCCATATCCGTGTAGGCCAGCCGTCTCGTGACGCATTTCTGCGATTGGATTACACTGAGGATCCAGTGTATCATTCATCTTGTAGCGGAGAAGGGGAAGGCACAACTAGGTCACTCGTCGTAATCCGTAAGTTTAGTTGGAGGATCGAGGCGATATTGAAGCCTACTCTGCCTAAATCGGATGGGAGAATCGTCATATTTAGAGTACGGACGAAATGAAGAGCCGAAGTCAAGCCATCGCGATCGTATTGATGTCGCTGAAGGAAGGAGGGATGTCGTCGAAATTAAACCTACAGTACGGGCTCGTCGCTGATCTACAACGATGAGAAAAGCCATTCTCGTCCGATGACGGCGCCGCCATGACAAGTTAGAAGAGTGTGTTGATATCGTATCTGCTGTGATAGGACATGTAGAAGGAACGTGGCCGTACTCTAATGATAGTCATTGACCAAAAAAGGTTTCCTTAGACGAAGTCATCCCGGTCCGATGTCTCCAACGGTGTGGGCGCTGGGCGATGATGGCTTATCCTTTCGCCGGTTCGAAGCTCCATATGATATTGCTTTCGCCCTCCGAGCCATTCGCCATAAGCTTTCCTGGAAATGAGAAATGGATTGGTTCTCCTTTTCCTCTGGGCAGGTGGAGACGGAGCCCCGTCCGGAGAGGGGCCGTTAGCGCGCTGAGAGGGGCCGTGGTGCATGCGTGGTACATTTCACGTTCGAGTATTGCTTTGTTTCTCATGTAGGAAAGGGAAACCAGTCGAGGGTAGAAGCAAGATGAAAGACTCGAGCCGTTCACGCAGGAGACGTGATTGTGCTTCCAGCTGGAATGGCGCACTGCTCTATTGAGAGTAGCACGGACTACAGATATATTGGCGTCTATCCAAAGGTATAGTCTCAGAGCCCTTTCGCAGATCTGGCTTCGAGGAGATACTCTTCCTTCTCCTGGCCCGATTGACGTTTTTCCCAGCAGAAGAATAACTTGAGCCTTAGGGTTGCCCTCGCTGGAGAAACGAACTTGGGAAAGATCCCATAGATGTTGCTGCGCTACACAAAGAGATTGTGACCGTTGCAATGCCTAAACAAGATCCTGTCAACGGACCGCAGGGCTCTTTACTACGGTTGTGGGCAGACCACAACCAGGATTGATCACGATAGAGACGAAAGATCAAGCTTGACTCATACTCGTCCTTAATCTCCCTGGGATAATCATCATAGATTCCCAACTTCCCAAAAGCCGTAGAATGGGCTTCCAGCGTCTTGGAACTGAAAAAAGGGATCGTAGGCCGCGCCCTTGGTGGAGGAATTCCCTGGGGTAGCCCAGGGAGCGGCCGCCGCTTCTGGAACTGATGCATAAAGCATGGGGACTGTCCTTGCAATCGAATACGGAAGCTGTTCGTCTTGCCTACCACGCCCTCTGGCATTTTGGGAACTTTGGTTAGCAGGATGGCCTGAGTAGGGGGGCAGAGCCTGTCCTCCAGTAGACATGTCCACTTCCGTAGTAGGGTTGTGAAAGATCTGCGTTTCGACTGTATGTTCTTCGTGATCGCTATCATCGTTGTCCTGATAGAGAGACTCGTGGAACAACCCGTGCCCCGGCAGATGGGAATCTTTACCAGCGAAATCGTATTGGAGAATCTCCCACATCAGGCGAGTGTTGATTGAGATCGTTCCGCGAGAGATCTCCTCTTCCCGATCGGAACGATTGAATGGAAACGCCGAGTGAATCAAGGTTTGGAGTTTCTCCAGCTGTTCAACGGCTCAGTGTCCGACGGTCGTCCCAACCCCGGAGCGTGCAATTTCAGAAAGATTTACTTACCACCCTACGGCAAGAAGGCCAAAGCAGTGCCAATTCTCCCAGAAACGTTACGCACGTTGCCATTTTGACCTGCGCTGCCTCCCTGATCCTCCTGTCGGCCGCTCGACAGAAGTAGATGTGAACCGTTGCAGCAATCGCTACGCAATGGCCGATGAAAGGATCCGATATCCGGTAAGCCTTCTCCGAGACCATATCAATGAGCCGGACAATCCAGGTGGCGTGGATGAAGGCCAACTCGGAGGACGTTTTCCAGAAGGTGTTTGGCACGGCTAGTTGAGCAGACTGCTGCGGTCGTGAAGAATACAAAAACGGATGATTCAGCGTGCTGTGAATTGTGTGATAAGCGAACTGCAGGTACAGCCAGGGGCTCCAGTATCCCCGATTTTGTTGCAATTCCTCTTTCTCGCGGTCCGAGAATCGCGCAAAATCGTATCGATGATAGGTAGGCAACTTGGTTTCCAGATCCATGAGATGGGCGCCTATCACGGCGTACCCTGATTCAACGGACCATGGTGGCTCGCTGTTTGTGTGATCACATTGCATCACATACATTCGAACTTCTCTCCAAAGGGTTGACAGCTGAACCATGTATGCCCATATCCCGTTCTTTTGGGTCCCTCCACCCTGTACTAACTCCAGCGGCATGGACGGGGGGAGGAGGTTTGACTTTTTCCGAAAGTCCGGGTGAGATGTAACATATTGAGGACTTTCGATATCCTGTATTATATTCAGCACCGAACCGTGCTGCCCGTACATTTGGTGCAGAAGATGTAAACTCCAAAACACCCTCCTTCGCGCTTCTGCCTGCAAGGAGACCTCGTCGTGATGCGACTCGAGGTCGAGGCCAGCACATTTGGCAAACGTCATCGCGATATTGACGTGGAGAGATACGAGGTGCACATCATTGGCTATAAGAGGTCAATTGAATACTCCACAGTTCCATAGGGGCTGGATCTGCTTACCCTGAAAGTTGGCAAGGGTTAGCATACAGAGGCTTTGTATTGTCGAGAGGGTGACTTTTCCCTGAGCGATTCTCAGCATGATATGCTCCCTCGCCAGCTGTGCGTATTTTTGGCTCAATTCCTCCGATCGCCCTTTGAAGAAGGAGTGGTTCGAATGACACAGAGAGAGCGCCAGCAAAGAGAAAATGGTCTCCTCACGGCATTCTTCGACGGAAGAGAGATCATTCCGATCAAAAAGCCACAGTGGCTGCAGGTGACAATACTGAAAATAGGCATTAATAGCGTCAGCAATAGCATCTCTCGGAGGCATGACACTGTAGGCAGAAAGTCAGTAGGCGTTTTCACTTGATGGGAAACAGGTTATTCTTTCCCATTAGAGGTAACGATATCGTTCCGAGGTGCTTGGGAAGGTCGCTGGCATGCAGATCTGGTCGAACTTGATGTTGGTGACTCCATATCGCTGATTGTGCTGGTCGTAATATGACATCAGCGATTCAAGTTAGAGGGCCAGCAGCAAGGATGCGACTCCGTACGTTTGTCTTTCCATTACCCTCTCCATCCTCTCTTCTAGTTGAGCAAGTCGGCTTTCCTGCATCCAGATGAGCCCCACAGGAACTTTTTTATATTTTTTAATTTTTTTTTTAAAAAATTTTTTGAGCAGGGGTTGCCGGGAAGACATACCACGTCTCTTGTGTTCCCCTGAGACATCACCGAGAACACATTGCCACCATTGCTTTCGGTGTACCTGCAAGCTTGCGAAAGACGAGTGCAGGTTGAGCATGCTGGTTTCTCTCCCGGGCAACGAGTCTTCTTCCTTCTTTTCATCCCAAACGTCAGCAGGGCCAAAATATGACTTTCTGTAGCGCAGAGGTCAAGGTCAAATCTCTCACCGGCAATTCTCACAGGCCTGATGCAGGCGTTTGTAGACGCGACCTTGCGTAGTTGGCATGTTTCTCGACAGTCGCTTCTCATGTTGCACATGCTGCATGATAGATGGTGTTGATGGGTCCGAAGGGAAGTTACGTTAGATGAATAGAGGACAATTGTTCGTTCGAGATATGTAGCGGGGTTGAATGGTGACTAATATGTATCCTGTCTGGGCAGCTTTTCAGCGATTGGGATAACATAACCGTGTTAAGGATGCGAACGGTTCGGCGCGGTTTGGCGCCTCCCCAGATGCTATGCTAGGTTGATCCATCGGTTACTATAGGCTACTCATATGTTCCCCAACTCCGTATTCCCGCAATCAACATATCTAGACAAAAGGACTTTCAACGCCATCAGCATCTGTCGTGTGCATCCAAGATCCGGCTATATGATCATCATCATTGATATCAGTGTCCGTGTCACCATTCTGTTTCAGCCAATCGTGCAGAATTGCAGGCTAATCCAGCACAGAAAGCGGAGTCGTTCTCGGTGGCTTCCGAGGCTGGTAATGGACGACGTGCCGGCCATACTTTTTCACCTTTGGTGACCTCATGCTTCCGATGCTCCGTCACGAGCTGTCTGACCACGTTCTGGAAGAATATGGGTGCACTCTCTAGCTCTGGATGCAGCTCACCGTTAACAAAAACGCCGGTATTCAAATTTTTTTGGGCTGCGTTACAAAGATGCTTGTCTTCGTCTAGGACACGTTTGAAGAACGAGTCAATAAGATCGAATTCCTCATCCGTGGCATCTATGTGACGATAGACCTCATATTCCATGGAACAGGTGGTGGCCGATGTGGGCACACATCGCATCATGTAGAAGAAATGCGGCCTACATGCACGACCAGGGTTAGCATGTGTTGGATTCGACTCGACCATGATAGGTATGGACTTACGAGACGGTCATGCAGGCATTGGGGAAATAGTAGGTACTGACGTTCTTGATGTCTTCATGTTCTTTCCCTTGCTGTGGCCGAGAGAAGTGTTGAATATAGCCTGGCTTGGAGACTGTGTAATAGTATGAGAGGTCGGCCAGCTTCGCCACGTCCGGATGCGCGACCTGGCAATGGTAGCACTCGTTGTAGTTATCGGCCAGTGTCTTCCAGTTGTATTCACCTTGCATTTCCCACGTGTGGTCGAACTTATACTGAGAGAAATCGAAGGATCGAAAACGTTCTTGCGTATCGACACTCTTGAAATCATCCTCCCATGGTACGGGTGTAGGAGATGCGTCGAGATTGACCCAGATGAACCCTACCGCATCGACATGCACGTGAATGGGGAACAGACTGTGATTCTCTTTCTGAAACGTCGGTACAGTGTCGAATCGAGGTGCCTTAGCAAGCTTTCCGTTCAGCCCATATGACCACCCATGATATTTGCAGGCGAATATCTTAGCATTTCCTGTGTCATCTGTAACCACGGGGAAAGCACGATGACGACAAATATTGTGGAAGCCATTTATCTTGCCCTCCTTGTCAAGACAAAGAACAAAAGGATATCCAGCCTCTTCAAGGCGTAGGAAGTCGCCCGCTTTGGTAAATCTTAGCCTGTGCGTGACGAGCAGCCATTTCTTCGAGAAGATGGCCCGGCGCTCCAATTCGTACATCTCGGTGCTGCGATACCATGACGATGGAAGTGCTCTTGGTTCGGTATGTATTTTTGTGTATGGCTTCCTTTTCAAGTCTTCATTCGACCATCTTACGAAAGAGCCGAGTGTTGACAACATGTTGATTGGGCCGCCGGGAAGGAAACACTATTTAGAATTGTATTGCGCGCATATCACTTGTAAGCGGTTTGCAAGGCCTGTTTCTGTTCTTGAATCGTCTGAAGTCTGGAGATAGGGCTTCTGCGCACATGTCTTTAGATTAATAACTGGCAACCTTCATGGTCACTGGGTGACACTTTCCGGTCACGCTTCTGCGGACACAAGGCTGAGAAGGAGACCGCACCCCCTAGATCGTCTGCGATCGTAGCCACCTCCCGCCACCGTGATGTCACCATCGAGTAATGCCTCCATGCTCTCGAAATAGGATCACCGGGAAACACAACTGGAAATAGAAAAAATATTTACGTTGCATCGGACAAATCAATCATGTGACCGGTCACGTGGCCGGGGGCTAGCGGAGGCGGGACCGAATCCTCCTTTTTACAATCTCCCAGCCTGCCGGGAGAACGTATCCCTCCCCAAAATGGCGAACTTGCTTATCAGCTCGGAAAGCAGGGTCCGAAACTACAGACGGAGGCTCGCAGACCTGCATCGATGTCGTCAAAGAACATGTTTCATGGGACACAAATTGATGTCAATCTGATGTCTGATACGGCCCCAGGCTTCTCGAGGGTCAAAAAATGGCAGGAAACTCAGAACCTATGCTGTCCACGAGACGATTGCGATGCAATATTATCGGTGCAGGGTAAGAGAGCCATATGGCGGACATCATAGTGGTTTTCTATTGGGGCTAATCAGTTCTTATCAACAGAGTTTCTGGCATCTTGATGGGTATTTGGTTTCTCATTTCCCAATCAACACGTGCTCACGGATCCATTTTCAGCTTGTAAGCTTCAGGAGACCTTGGGAGATTCTATTGAAATCAAAATCTTCGAGAAGAATGGTGATGTACGAGGTACTTGGCTGGAGAGCCGGTACCCCGGTATGTGTGTCAGAGGCCCATACCTGCGAGTGAAGCTAGTGCTAGATGCTGATACTTTCAATAGGTTGTGCCTGTGATGTCCCTAGTCACATCTACCAATTCAGCTTCTGTCCCAATCCATACTAGTCAAAATTGTAATGCTTGAATTCTTGATCCTAATCTCTCGTCTGATTTTGATGCATTGCAAAAGGGGACCAGTCTGACCATGAGCTTCACCGTTATGCCGCTTCCAGCGAGATACAGTCTTACCTAAAAGCTGTCGCTTTGCATTACCGACTTGACCGGTTCATCACATTCCATAACCGGGTTGTAAATGCCAGGTGGAACGGAGATTGCTTTCGATGGACCGTGACGATTGAAGGAGGACTGGAACATGAGAGCGAGATTCTGGTCAATGCAAGCGGAATACTCAACAATCCAAAACTCCCAGATTTGAATGGTCTCGACGGTTTTGAGGGCGACCTAGCTCACACTGCTGCCTGGGATTCTCGAATCGATGTCACGGGAAAACGAGTTGCAATAGTCGGTGCGGGCGCAAGTGCTATCCAAGTTCTGCCAGCATTGCAACCACAAGCCTCCCACATCGATATCTACATTCGCACGCCCTCTTGGATTACGCCCCCAGCCGGTGCGAGCTTCAACAACGAGCACAATCATACCTATACCGAAGAGGAAAAAGCGAAATTCGCCGACGATGCGGACTATTCACTCAGCACACGAAAAGAGATGGAAGCATCATTTAATGCGATGCACGGAGCATTTGTGAAAAATAGTGAGAAGCAGCGAGAGATGCGATCCCGGATGGAAAGTCGCATGAAACAGCTCATTCACAGCGAAGAATTACAAACTAAGCTAATCCCGTCATTTGAAGCCGGTTGTCGACGACTCAATCCTGGGGAGAAGTACCTAGAGGCTCTGCAGCAGAACAATGTTGATCCTATCTTTGAAGCCATCCAGACGGTCACATCGAACGGTATTCGAGATATTTCCGGGAATTTCAGGCCCGTGGACACCATTATCGCAGCTACGGGCTTCGACACATCATTTCGACCTCGTTTTCCTATTATCGGAACTGACGGGAACGATCTTCGAGACCTTTGGAAAGATGAGCCGGCTTCGTATTGCGGTCTTGCGGTGTCCGGCTTTCCGAACTATCTCATCTTCCTCGGACCTAATACACCTATTGCTAACGGAAGCCTAATGGGCGCCTTGGAAGGCACAGCCGACTTCTTCGTCCGACTGATTCAAAAAATGTCAGTTCAGCAAGCATTATCATTTAATGTCCGACAAGCTGTACAAGACGACTTCAATCATCACGCACAGAGGGTGATGCAGAATCTAGTCTGGACCGGAAGCTGTCGATCCTGGTTTAAAAACAGCCGTGGTAGAGTCACTGCCGTATGGCCCGGGAGTGGGTTGCACTATCGCGAATTTCTGCAGTCGGATCGCTGGGAGGATTGGGAATGGAGGTACGACACCAACCGTTTCGCTTATTGGAACCTCGGATACTCTCGTATCGAAACAGAGATGGACCCAGATCTGAGCTATTATATCAGACAACATCCTAACCTGCCTCTAGAAGCACTCCTGCGTGTTCATAACGAACAAGATTCGAGATCTGTGGAACGAGCGGATTCGCATACTCATGGACCTAGCAAGGTGGACATTGAATCTGGAAGATCTTGTAACATGGAGGATGGGGAAGGAGACTGTCGATCTGATGAAAGCGCTTCCTCCGGTTATTTCGATGGATCGCAGTCTGAGGCGAGCGATGTGAAGGCATCTCAATTAGATCTTCTTATCTGGGGCTACCGTGTTTAGTGACTAATCGTAATAAAAGGCTCGGGAAACCTCAATTGAACTGACTCCAGCTTGATCTTTGTCGCATTTATATAGTGGTAGTGTAAAGGTGATGAACGGTACAGCACTTGAGTGCCTGTCATGCAGGGAGGATGTCGCGTCTAGATCGTTGAGCAACCACACACGAAGCTCTCATTGCTTGATTCCTCTATGTTCTGTGTCTCCCTGTGTGTCTACAGTAGAGAGTTTCCAAACTACTTCACTGGGAGGCGACATCATCATCCGAACGAACTTTCCCAATCAAGCCGCGTGATATTTTGAGTAGGATCTCTGAGGTCTAGCCATCGATCGTTCAACACCCATGGCACCGGTGGCTCATTTGCAGTACGTTGGACATCGATCATAGTCGAGCTTGCTCCATTCTCGATAGCACTCTTCGTTCTGGACCTCTGCGGCTACCGTCGTTGCATACAAATGGAGCTCTAACGCCGGGATCACACTTCAACCTCCACTTCTCTCTAATGTTTGAGGACGCCTTGCCTTCGAAACAGTCGGTAATGTATCGACCTAGGACCGGGAGAAATTTGAATCCGCTACGTTCGCCCAAGCCGTTAGTGATGCCCCTGATGGAGCATAACGCATTGGGTGGTGAGATCGAACTTACTGTCCAGCACCTCCTGCAGCAATGAACAGCCCCCGAATGGATGGATGGTAGTCTATGACAAAATTCCCCTCAGGAGTATCTGTGTACCAGCAGAGCCGTCGTCTCATCCACGGCTTCTCAGCAAACCTTGGTAAAATCTGTCTCAGTCCATGTCGTAGAGCGGAATCTGCGGATTCGGGGATGAAGGACGAAGCTGCATTGTTAGAGTCCCGTTTGGGAGCAGATATAGTCCGATTCGTGCCCTCGACAAGCACCCTTGTCTCGAAGCCGTGGCTGTGACAAGCAACTTTGAGTATATGTGTTCCTGGGGTCGGGGGAAAGACAAAGAACCCAGTAGTCATGTTTATAAGGGTCGGCATTTGTGAAATACTGTCTGCTTCTTCCGGTGTCAGTTGGATGAACCCCACTGGCTGTCCAGATGAGGACATTGCATATGTCAAGTCCAGGAAGCCATTTGTCCAGGCGCCAGTAGCAAGAATCACTCTCGATCCAATGATATGAGGCCCTTGGACGACATTGACGCCCTCGATGCGTGAATTTGTGATTCTCAAAGATCGCACAGTTCCTCTAGGCCCTGTGATGATGGAGACACCTTTTTCAGTGCAAAGAGCTGCCAGCAGAGCTACGGCGCCTGCCGCATCGGCCCAGCCTCCATTTGGATTCACGTAGCCGCCAAACCCTTCTTTGACCTCGTTTAAACATGAGAATTGTCGTTTCAGCTCAGCCGTGCTGCGAAAGCTTTGGAAAGGTATGTCTTGTCCCCGCAAAACACCTTTCAACTTTTCCAGAAACGCATCGGGTTGAGACTCCGAGGTCAAGACGAAGCCAGAGTTGTGATAAAACTTTGCAAATGGCCCAGATTGCCATGCCTGTAAAGCTTCTTTTGCCAAAGCAGCGTAGAAGGGGTCGGAATAGTCGCTGCGAACGATTCGAGAAATGTCGCAGCTGCTTCCATCAGGGACCGGTGGCGCCATGCGATCCAGGACGGTAATATTCGTGTAGCCTCTCTGAACAAGATCCAGGGCGGTTGTGAGGCCAAATACACCGGCACCAACAATGATGACAACTTCTTCCTCACATGGAGCTAGCATTGTTCCAGTTCAATGTTTGAGTGTACCTTGAATTTCTTTGGGGTGGGGGGAGCTGGGATTGTAGCACTGATTCTTTAGCCTTCAATTGATAGCATAGATTTCTCCTTATTTTTTTTGGGCATTTAATGAACCTGTAGTCCCAGTACCATTTGAAGATTTGTGAGCCCGAGCAGCGAGTGGCTGAAGGCTGGCCGCCGCTCATGTGACCGGTGTTTGCACTGCAGTTGAGGTATTTCTAGGCTCATGACTGCCGAAGACTATCTTTGGAGGCCGCTTTGGTCCCTTTGATGGCAGGCTTCCTGGCAGCTTTTGTTCATGATAGCTTGTCAGGACAGTTTTCCAAAATTATCGCCTCTGTAGATCCAGCGAGTATCGTTAGCCAACGTATAATAGGCTTTGCAGAGGCATCGGTAAGTGGTGCGACTTTGTCGGAGTCATGACTGAGGCATGAACTGAAGAAAATGGTAGGCATGCGGTCTGGCTTGATAACGTCCGAAGAAATGAACCAGCATACTTTCACGAGTACCAGACTTGGCCTTCATACTCATTGATGTCTTAGTCACCCCAATACTTCTCTAGATAGAGGAGCTATACTCTCAGCAACAATATGCAAGCGAGTTGCGCGGTCAAATGTTGATAACGAGCTGAAATCTTCCGCTCTACCGCTCTCGTCGATCAATTCAGGCTGTTGACTTCGAGATCAGCTCTAATTGGTCTCGAAAGAGATAGCAGGACGCCCACAATCACAAGTTGATACGCGAAATTCTAGCGGGGGGAGTTTGTCCGCGATGGCACACCCCAATACGCGCTATCAACGGTACTTCCTGGTCCCGGATGCAGCGATGGAACGCCACCACGCCACGTATGCTTGCTGACCAGCCGCTAGTACATTTTGGCATCGAATTGCTTGTCGTAGCGCAGGCAGTTGGAGGTAGAGGTCCCGGTGCTTGTACAAAGCCTCTTTGAGGGTGGGCGGTCTGCCTCAATTGATTGATAAATTCACGTGCCTGCACCTCACGTACCATGTCCGAGGCCAATCCGTCCCCAACGTTTGAAGAACTCTCAAGGTAGTCTGTTCTCCCTTGACTGTTTGTCGACCTGTTTTTAAACATGCTTACCTCTGACGTATTGTTCTTATGGCCGCTCTGCCTTGCAGGATGCAGCCTCTTCATGGTATACCTGGTCAGCCTTGCCATCTATCGTTTATGGCTTAGTCCTCTCGCAAGAATTCCAGGCCCCAAGCTGGCCGGATTGACCCTTTGGTACGAATTCTACTATGATGTTGTCCAGGGTGGTAAATACACCTGGAAGATTGCCGAAATGCATGAGAAATATGGTGAGACTCTTACCATCTGTCCATACCAGACTAACCGACAGGTCCAATAATTCGAATTAACCCCTACGAGATTCACATCAACGATCCTGATTATTACCTTGAAATCTATACTGGCCCAAGCAAACGTCGTGATAAATGGGCGTGGTCTGCTGCGATGTTTGGAAACTCCTTATCCCACTTTGGAGCCATTTCACATGAGGAACATCGACGGAAACGTTCGCCTTTAAACCCATTTTTCTCCAAAAAATCCGTCGTGCAACTGGAGCCTCGAATTAAAGAAGTGGTCGAGAAGCTCTGCGCAAGACTTACGGGGTTCAAGAAGACGAAGGAGCCGGTTAACCTTCGCCATGCCTTTGCTGCCGTTGCCATGGACGTCATCACCGAGTACGCTTTTGCCAGGTCATTCAACTGTTTAGATGAACCGGATTTTGCCCCGTCCTGGCCAGAAGCAGTGGATTCGGTTTCCGAGCAGAGTCATCTGAACAAACAGTTCCCATGGTTGCTGCCATTGATGAGACTCATTCCCCTCTCCGTGGTGGAAAAGGTGAATCCACACATGATGCGCTTAATCAAACTCCAAATTGTAAGCTTTCCTCTCTTCCCTTATTTGCACTAACATCAGAAGGATATTTCGTCGCAGGTCTCGGATATTATGAGCGGTAAAAATGCAGATGACCGAAATTGGAGTCACGATACTATATTTCACGAACTTATCAATACCCCCGAAATCCCTGACGAGGAAAAAACTCTTCAATATCTGGTCGATGAGGGTCAATCGATTGTTGCAGCGGGCCAAGTGACTACGACTCATTACCTCAACACCACCGCGTATCACATTGTCGCTACCCCGGGTGTTGCGGAAAAGCTGAAAGCCGAGCTCGTGGAAGCCATGCCGGACGGTGCACTACCGCCTCTGCAAAAGCTGGAACAACTTCCTTATCTTTCCGCCGTGGTTCAAGAGGGCTATCGCCTTTCTTACGGCGTGACACATCGACTTCAGCGAATATCTCCAGACGAACCTCTTTTCTATCACGATTTCGTTATCCCCGCAGGAACACCCGTGGGGATGACGTCGGTTCTGATACATGAGAACCCCAGATATTTTCTCGATCCAAAGCAGTTCCAACCAGATAGGTGGCTGAACTCGGACTCTCAGAAGCTGAAAAGGTACCTGGTGAACTTCAGTAAAGGGACTAGAAGTTGTTTGGGCAAGGAATTGGCACAAGCCGAGATTTATCTTACGCTGGCCGCCCTATTTCGCAGATTTGACTTTGAACTCTACAAAACGGCCAGGGCCGACATTGATGTTGCACATGACTTTTTCAACCCACAGCCCAGAAGAGGGTCCAAGGGTTTGAGAGTACTTATTCGATAAAATTAGCACCACTCAATTCTCGGGCTTTTGCCCATAAACGACAGAGACCCTTGTGTAGGAGTGAATTGTTGGATCCTTAAGGCCCTCCCTCACTTTGGCCAGAAACACCTGGACCTCTTCATAAGACCAGCCCAACACCCTCGTAAACAGTGCCAAAGTCCATCCTTCAAGCCCCTGATATGCCTCGAGAAGATGCCACCGTCCAATCTCTTTCAATTTCGGGTCTTTGGGCCATGGCCCTAGCGGCATTTTATATCTCTTCTCAACGACATTCACGAAACCAGCCTGCTCCACATAATCCTTTTGAAGGTCAAGAATGCGAAAAGTCTTGCCCATCCTTTCACCGGCCTCCTCATAACTGGCCGAGGCTAAGGTGAAGATATGGCCTGACGGAATGGAGTCATCGTCTGTCCTCCAGTCGACGCTGTATTCGACCTGCTCGAACCAGGCACCTGGCTTGAGGTGCTGGTACACTTGATCATAGAAGGCAGGCCAGTCACTCACGGAACCATATAAAGCACGAACATGGATGAAGTCAAAATGATTCTTTCGATAAGTCCAGTCCAAGGTGCAGTCTTCAACCTCGAACTTGCAATTCGGTGGAATCCAGGTGGGTTGGATGGGAGAAAGGTCAGTACCAGTGACGACGGCCGACGGGAATTGATCTGCGAAATCAATGGCCCAGATACCAGTCCCTGTGCCAATATCAAGGACGTGTTGAGGATCCTCGATTGGGGCTTGGAATAGCTTCCCGTCAAAGAGCAAGAAGAAAATATGATGGGCAATGTGGAGCTGGTCATTTTGAGCTTCGTCATTTGGCGCCCAGTATTTGCCTTCCTGGTAGGCGTGATAACGTCTTCCATTTTCGAATCTATAGTTGATTATCGACGATGTTAACGAGGAGGTCTCGCTTTCGCTAACCATCGGTCAGCAACATCTGCTTATGATCAAGACCATCAGAAGCATACATGTCTCCACCATATGCCGAATCAACATCGTCGGCCTGGTTGGTGGCTACCTCCTGTGTGAAGTTAGGATAATGTTCAATCAGATACGATGACTTGCCACCGGAACTGTTGTGTTTTCAGCATCCATGGCAAAATATTTCCACGCTCGCTCTCCTTTGAAACAACCGCAGGATATAAATCATACACCTCACATCATCAAGCTCTGTGAAAGGACAAATAAACGGACAAATGCAGGTGATGGACGCATAATTTCTGCGATTATACATACGCCTGCCCTCACAGTATCGCCCTTTAAAATAGTGCGAGACCAGCCTTCCGCCCTTCCCGTCCCGTCCTGCGAGCTAGACAGCTCACCTCAAACCTGTGGGTGGAGCTACATTTAACCAGGTACCGATTGGCCATGAGATGGGAGCAGCAACATGCCAAGCTACGGGAAACGGTGCCTCCCGGCTGATAAGCACGCAGCCCCGAGACCAAAAAAGAGTACGGAAGGAGCTACAACCCCCAAGTTCCCACTGTGGGTTGGAGACAGGGGTCGAGAAACACGCGGCACTCCGTACTTTTGTGAAAGCATTGGGTGGTAGTGATTTCATTTTCTCCCAGGGCCGCCAACCAACACCACTTCCAGGTACGTACACCACCTCATCCGCCCACAACTGCTCGACCAATTGTTGTTAAGGTATGGACCATACATAGTGTACGAAAGCCGTGGATACCCTTCAATTCGCGCCGCAACGCCCGGCTTCAAAGTTGGCCGTGTTGCACTAGGTCAACGTGTATGGAACTATTCGACTAATCACAATGTCTCCAAGATAGATGTCATGTTTTTGACTTGGCGCCCCGCGGCCGATGCCGACCATCAGACCAATTCTGACGTTAGGAAGGCTACTAAGCATGCCTTTGGCAACGTTTACTACCGTATTCGCCGTCCGGCAAGACGGCCAATAACCGCGTTGTGTTTTCCCAATCTTGCCCAAGGTATAATTTACTGTTGTCGTGTGGAAAGACGTACTCCGGCCCTGCGTGTTTTTCATCAGGGCTCGTGCTGGAACATGCTCCGTACGAATGGTGCAGATCCAGCCGACAGCATAGTCCTTGGGATTCGACATGCTGAAGTACGGCGCCTCGCGATTATGGGAGTCTCAACGATCATTAGACCCACACCCTCACATGGTATGTGATATCTTAATCCGCAGTGACACGATATCAGCGCACACAAGAAGAGGGGGAGCTGCATGAGGCCTAACCCATCAATTCTTCGTCTAGCGCCGTGCTGAAACTAGTAATAGATCTGCTATGGGCAGTTCAACGCGGTTTGTCCCAATCATGAAAGATTGCACTGGTGCACACGCTCCACGCTATGCAAGTAGTAGGAGAGTGCTGACGAGGCGCGGACTTGACTGGTCAGATAGACAGGTTAATAGCTCAATGCACCACGTGGCAATGAAGACTGCCAATCGCAAGTCAGATGCTCCTGTCCAGTAAAGATAGATGGGGATCCATGAGTTATCACGGTCATCCTCAATCCTTAAAAAGAACAGCGCTTTACCGCTGCGATTTATGTAGCTAGAATGTACTACCCGGCCCTCGACTGTCGGTGGTCGTTTCTTAGAAGCAGGAATCTGAACCTTGCATGCTGGTGTGGTTCCGGCCAAGACGCCAAGGACGGCGCCTGTAAAACGGCCACAATTGTTCATAGATTAGGCTAGTCCTTAACACACCTTTTTCACACTGGCCTAGCCTCTTACATCGAAGTCACGTGAGATATGGATGAGGGGATCGTGGTGGTCTTGGCAGGTTATGTTTTGATTTTCCCTGCGGTGCCTATTCACAATATCAATTAATTCTGTTTCAGTCACACGTCGAAGAAAATTTCCGGCGTGTTCTGGTATATACTAGCCCAACTGAAGACCGTGATCGATGGCCAGCATTTTTGAGGCCCCGCGCAATGCGGGAACTCTCTTCCTCGGAGGTCAAAAGATCAGCGGTGCCGACATTCGAGATCAAAATGTTCTCGCAACCCAGGCTATCGCCAATGTGGTCAAGTCCTCCTTCGGTCCCTCTGGCCTGGACAAAATGATGGTGGATGATATTGGAGATGTTACTGTCACCAACGATGGCGCGACAATCCTGAGCCTTCTCGATGTCGAACACCCCGCAGGAAAGATCCTGGTCGATTTGGCGCAACAACAAGACAAAGAGGTGGGAGATGGCACCACATCGGTTGTTCTCATTGCCGCCGAGCTACTACGTCGAGCCAATGAGTTGATGAAGAATCGAATACATCCTACTGTCATCATCACCGGCTACCGTCTGGCATTGCGGGAGGCGGTCAAGTACATGCAGGAGAACATCAGCACCAAAGTGGAAACGCTGGGAAGAGATAGTTTGATCAATATCGCCAAAACGTCCATGTCCAGCAAGATCATCGGCGTTGATGCCGATTTCTTCGCCAATATAGTAGTGGATGCGATGCAGTCTGTCAAAACCGTGAACCAACAGAGAAATGAGGTCAAATACCCTGTGAAAGCAGTTAACATACTGAAAGCGCATGGCAAGAGCGCGACGGAATCCATGCTGGTCAAGGGTTATGCCTTAAATTGTACCGTCGCGTCACAAGCGATGAAGACAAGAATTACCGATGCAAAGATTGCTTGCCTGGACATGAATCTACAGAAAGAACGGATGAAACTCGGTGTACAGATTACTGTGGAGGATCCTCAACAGTTGGAAAAAATCCGCGAGAGAGAAGCGGGAATTGTGCTAGAACGAGTCGAAATGATACTCAAAGCGGGAGCAAACGTGGTCCTGACCACCAAAGGCATCGACGATCTTGTCCTGAAATTATTTGTTGAACGCGGATGCATGGCTGTACGAAGATGTAAGAAAGAAGATCTCAGACGCATTGCGAAAGCCACTGGCGCGACTTTGATCAGCACCCTGTCGGACCTGAATGGAGATGAGAAATTTGAGAAGGAACTTCTTGGGTATGCGGAGGAAGTGGTCCAAGAACGCATCTCGGATGATGAATGCATCTTGGTCAAAGGCACCAAGGCTTTCTCTTCGGCGTCGATCATTCTCCGCGGTTCAAATGATTATCAACTTGACGAGATGGAGCGATCTGTTCACGATTCATTATCGGCTGTCAAACGAACGCTGGAATCAGGCAGCATCGTCCCGGGAGGCGGTGCAGTGGAGACAGCATTACACATCTACCTCGAAGAGTTCGCCATGACCGTTTCCTCCAGAGAACAACTCGCAATCGGCGAGTTCTCGCAGTCCTTGCTCATCGTTCCAAAGACACTCGCCGTCAATGCTGCCAAAGATGCTTCGGAACTAGTGGCTCAACTACGGGTACGGCACGCTTTGAGCCAACGAGTCCATGATGGAGATGCCAATGAGAGAGAAAGAGATATTGCAAAAAAGAGGCAGTACAAAAACTACGGCCTAGACTTGACGAGGGGCAAAGTTGCCGATGTTGTGAAAATGGGTGTGCTTGAACCCAGTATGAGCAAAGTGAAACAACTCAAGAGTGCAGTTGAAGCCTGTATCGCCATTATGAGGATTGATACGTTAATCAAGCTTGACCCGCCCGAGCCACGAGGAGATGATGATGGCCACGGACATTGACGAAGAGAATTGTCATCCTGCGACGGTTCTCTCCAAGGGCCAGGGACAAGGCGTATCGGCCAGGGGAAATGACACCACTTTTCAAGCCCGAGGCAAACACCACTGTGTGTCCGCTTTTGCGAAGAATGATGGATCTTCTCGATACATCAAAGCAGAAAGGAGGCCGCGATCGCAGCTTCCGCACATAATGCCGGGCGAAGTGAATTCGGCCGAAAGGAAGCTTGTATGGAAGACATCAGAAAGAATATCTAGGACTTGTTAAGGCATGAGTGCATTCGTCAAGGAGACAGTGCTTCGAACGTGCATAGGAACTGAGGATGGAGGTTGAAGGAAGACTCGAGAGCAACGATGGGTCTCATGCTGGGGATACAACCAAGCAGACTGTTGTCCAAGAACTAGATGAATCATAATGAGATTGATACGGCTATCTGGATGGATCCCAATAAGTTCCTTCAAGGAACTGTACCTATTACCACCAGTTTTAGCACTACAAGGCACTCCACAGCGCCAACCCCTCCCGCCCTCCCTCTTCCACAGGTTCAAACACGCTTCTGGGCTCCGACAACTTCTTCCACATCATACAATATCCTCGATCAGATCTCCACGAGTCAGAAGGGAGGTATATTCTAGAGAGTGATCTTCGTATCGTCGAAGATGAAGCGATCCTGTCAAAGGGAACTGCCAGCAATCTGCACCACCTTTCCTTTTGCATCCCATATCGCAGGTAAGAGGCGTATCCAATGACATCACACGATTTTTTCAACTTCGTAGCATCTCTCCGGCTCCAGATGATGTTCGATATCTGCGAGGGTATGGATTTGGGTGACTGGTTCACACATTGTCAGGCTGAAAGGTGAAGAGACGCTGGGGAGACGGCAACGCAAGGCAATGCTCCAAAGCCAACATAAAAGAGAGCAGAAGCTTGATCCGACTCCGGTTATATCTCAGCGACAGATCGATTCGACATGAACAGGCACCATAAAATATCGACCATGTACAGGAGCCTATGGTTCCAGACCGTTGGTTGACTTTGTCCGCGCTCAGCCACCCATCTTCAGAATCAGCCCTCGCTGTATGGTCTCCGTTCGGCTGAAAGGTAAAGGATATACAAACCGCAGGTCTTTGCACTGCTAACACCATGGCAAACCAACAGTGTGACATGGTGGCCAGGGAGTTTCTCTATTGCTCCCTCGATCTGATGTAATGGATTTCCCGGTATGTATGTGAGAAGTCGAGCAAAAATGATCAAGCATTCATATCCCAGAGTCTGTCTGAGATATACACTTAGCAATCGCAGCAATCGCCACCTACCCGGAAGTGCCCTTATATCTTCTGAAATTGTCAACTTCCGCTGAAAACTCGCCATCATGTATGATCGTTTGCATTCTATGGTAACAGCACGGCAGATCAGAATAACCTTGTAAATCATGGACGCAAGGCATGTCTGGAAAAGGTCTTCTTTCAAAGTCTTAGTCATGGCATCTCCGAGAACATCCAAATTGCCATCTTCGAGCAGTCAAGAGAACTCCTTTCCCCCTCCAATCGGAGAGAATATGAGATATGATAAACGAAAATCATTAACATATCCATCCTGGCGCGCCACCTTCAGGAATACTTGACGAGAAATGCTAACCTCAATTGCCTCAACAGCGACACATCTCGATAAACTTGGATACGAACCTATGCGATCGCAGAATTTTGAAGAAATGACTGCTGGCAGTCTCAAAGAAAACTTCATCATGGAGAGACCTACTAACAGATCAACCGTATCTGAAGCAGAGGAGGACAAAAATGTCTACCTAGTTTCGCTCTGGGACCCCGCTTTATTCACAGACTGTCAACCAAACATCACGGGGGAATGACCATCGTTGGCTGAAAACATTCTCAGCGTCACTACTCTGACTTTGAACCTGGACAAGGACTATTCTGCTCCTTTCTGCCATGAGCCATCTACTGTCTAGAGACCTTTACATTACCCACCCCCGCCTAGTGCTGATGAACGAAGTGAGCGAAACTCAACCAATCAATAGTCTCTGTGATACTGATCATCCTGGGTATCGGTGCTCACGCCAACTTTGGAGTCCTGACTCGGCTCCTATAAGATGAGGTTGGCGATCTTCAAGTGTTCGATGCTCCAACTGGGTCCTGGATTGACGTCAAGCCAATGCCAGGAAGACTTCACAGTCTAGTAAAGCAATATCATGATGAGATGGCCCAATGACACCTATGTCGCCAGTTTCCATCCAGCGTTGACGGGAGTCGGCTCTCACGACTCCGGCTCCGGCTCCTGAGTCTAAGGAGCCGTCTGTCAACGGTAATGGGGTATTTCGCGCGTTGCCAAGAAATTAGTCGGTCCACTTTCCTAATTTGGCGAGCCACCCCGTATTTCGCGCCTGCCCCGCAAAAACTTTAATACGGCCTCCATTTTAACACACTCGATGACCATATTCTGAAAAATCCTTATTCCGTAAAGCGAGAGGGACTCATCGGATCCAGTCCACGGCACAGCCAGAGAGCACCATCCACCTCTGCTTACCCTCTAGCCTTGACGTCGTCACGTTGCTAAAATGTCTATAAACATCAGTGTAGCAACGCTAAAATTGATGCCTTCGAGGCTACCAGGTGTTGCGGAGACACCTTATCAAGTCTCTGTCGTCCTCGTAAAATTCAGAGTCGATTGAAGGCCCTTTCTGCCTTAAAACCTTGAGTAGCAAAGACGGCTTCGTACCACCTTTTGCAGGACTCTTTTACCTGATTGGCCAGTCTGTCGAGAACCCTTGAATCTGCTCCTATGACCATGAGTCTCTGTTGATATACGGTCGCCGATCGCGCTTTATTCGAGTCTCAATGGCTCTATTGATATGCCACAGGCAGAGAAGGTGCTTTGCCTCCGGTAGATGCCATCGAAAAGCTGTCGCTCGCCATGCTCGCATGGCAAGACGTCTATAGCGCTAACGTAGTCACTATGTGTCAGCAGCCAGTGGGCATTGTTCAAACACTTATTTTAAGTCTTTGCAGCATTCTACAACCTCTGCTTTATTCCAAGTTGAGTTCTTGGACGATATGTTCGATTCGGTTTCATGCATGAAACTGTCAAGCAAACCGCGGTGTGAAGATGATTCTCTACAAGAAGCTGGTGAAACTCACAGGCAAGCCGCCACACCTCTGTAAGAACTTCGTCAAATCTCTACAGATGAACCCTTGGATCTGATGGCTGCGAGGACAGCGTACTCTCCTATAAATCCAATGACAGATCGGTTATTGGTTAAAGTCGCTCATTGAAGCCAGAAAGTCGGTTCCGAGGAAATTACGACCCCGCTCAAGGAGCTGATCTGTCATAGTCTTTCGGACCAAACCACACGTGTATCCTCCAATCTCTTCGTCGTTGTGATAGAAGTACCGATGGTAGATCGGTTCGAGATGTTCGGCCGATCTAGGCGGGACAGCCTGGTTCTGGAAGCAAGACGTCACGTAGTCGCAATACCTGAAGAGTCAGTAATGTCCTGAGTGTGGAATCAGTTGTACATGCCACTTCCAGTTAAGATCACTTTTCTTGGTGATACCTTTGACTTGCTGCACAAAACCCGCAGATTTGCTATAGATGTCGCGCAATTCGGGCACATCCAAATCAATATTCCCTCTCACCACGCACTTGTCTAAGAGCAATGGGATGCGGCCGGTAATATCCTCAAACCTCTCTCGACGGTAATCTTCCGTCGCGAGGCCTTTATGTCGTTCCCACCACTAGTGCATTTCGGTCTAATCTGGAGCGACTGACGTCATCCAGACCGCCATAGACCCGTAGCACACGGTGCGGGCTCCGTTTGTGGAACGCTTTAAGGCATTCTACATAATTGGCAGAGGAGCTGAAGACAGCTTTGTGACATGAAGTGAAGCTTCTTACCCAGTCATGTAGATTTCGTATCTCTGGTCCATGAATGCTATCAATCTTGAAAGCGTTCATCTGGTCGACAAATATAACATTCTTTTGAGAGGAGAAGAAGGCCTTAATCTGATCCGTCGTATTTAGTGTTGTGATCTTCTTCTGAATGATGACATCGTCTGCCCAGGCGAACAGCATTGCAGTTCTGACGTATCCGACAGGATCATCGAGCAATGACCGGCAATTCGGAATGTAGACGACCCGTTCATCTTGAGCAATCAAATAGCAGACGAGGCGGCTAGCAGGTAAGACTTGCCATACCCCTGAGTACCATAGAGCCAAAGGCTGGTGTAATGCTCATCGCGCCGGACCTCGTCAGGGTTTTGGACAAGCTGTTTAAACTTCGTTCTTCTCACGTATCGCCAGTGTCCTTGCGACCCTTTGAATCGAACTGGTATCAAACGCAGAAACGGGAATGGAAGTGTCTGATCAAATGCGGGATCGGAAAGTCAGCCGACGGCTTCAAGAGGATCGACGGAATTGGAAAGTTGGTCGGCGGAGCACTTGATGTCTGCTATGGCGTCCTTGACGTGCTTTCTTTGTTCGCGAGCCGCGATGGCGAGCTCCGACGTTAACTTTTCGAAACGATATCTTTTCGGCGAAATGGGCGGCTCCTCATGTGCGTCAGCTACACCCGTAATTTTATCAGCTAGCTATCGTAAGCTAGTCCTAAGATGTTGTACCCTTCCTCTTTTGGCCGGCTGCCTGGTTTGATAGCTCGCCTTAGACATTGTTAGCCGGTGTCTTAGTTACGTCCATGGAATGAACTTACCCTTCCGGACTTGATTCACAAGTCGCTCAGGTCCTAGACTGGCAAGAGGATACAGATGACAGATGTCATGAAAGAACTTATAATTGGCGGCCAAGAAGTTGATTCCTTGAAAAGGTAATCTCTCTAGATCGTCCTTCGCGAAAAAGCTGTGGTTCTGTCGCTTGATCCACCGAAGCAATTTCTCACCATCCCAAGACTCCATCTCCATGACTGTGGGAATTGTAGGTAGATGCTGAGTGCTCTGAATCCGCTCAGATTCAGACCCCAAAGAGACGGGCATCGCGGCTGGAGTGCTCCACTGTCCAATGAATCGACGAGGGAAAAGAAATCGTGACAGCCAGGCTCGCGCCTGGATCCGGAGAGCTCTGAAGTGGTCGAAAAGATCTTGGATATGATGACGAGCTCGATCAAAGGTGGAGCTGATGCGTGGTGCATGCGGTAGACACTCGTAGGTCGGAGGAGGAAGACTGAAAGTATTTTTGGTGTTGGCGATGCCAAGCCGCGTCCGAACAAAGCGGCGACACTGACTAACCTAGTCAGGCCGTTATAAGAGAAGGACGATGTGGTCCTCAGAGGAATTTCCCAGCCGCGACCCAGGAGGTATTTTCGAACTTTGCCATACGACCATTTCTTGTCCTCCCAGCCCAAAAAATCATATAATCAACTAGCAATGGTTGCCGAAATAATCACCACCATCTCTCCCACCAACAACAAGCCCATCCTCACCCGTCATGGCCTTTCGCCTGACGAGATCCTTCGACTAGGAACCACAGCCCAACATGCCTTCAAGGCCTATGGCAAATCCCACCCAACCCTCAAAAGCCGCCAGAAGATAGTGTCAAAAGCTCTCGAAATCCTCTCTCAGAGACAAGATGAACTCGCACGTGAACTCACAGAGCAAATGGGCCGTCCAATAGCATACACCACCAAAGAAATTACCACCGCGGTCAGGCGTGGGGAATACATGAACAAGATTTCCCCCGAGGTGCTGGAGAAAGATATCCCAGGCGAACCGGAGACAGGATTCAAGAGATACCTGCGCAAGGAACCCGTGGGCGTCGTACTGGTCATTTTCGCATGGAACTATCCCTACTTGATTCTCGTCAATAGTCTAATACCTGCCCTGCTGGCCGGGAATACTGTGATCCTCAAACCCTCTCCACAAACGCCCACCATAGTCGAGCACGTCGTCGACATCTTCGCCACAGCCGGCCTCCCCAAAGATATCATTCAGTACCTCCACTGCGGCAGCCCCAACGACCTACGGCCACTTATCCTCTCCCCGGACGTCAACCATATCTGCTTCACCGGCTCCGTGGCAGCAGGCATCGCAATCCAATCCATCGCCTCATCCCGCATCTCCTGTTCCGTGGGCCTCGAACTCGGCGGTAAAGACCCGGCGTATGTGCGCCCCGACGTCGACGCAGCCTGGGCGGCCGAGGAAATCGTCGACGGGGCCATCTTCAACTCAGGTCAGTCCTGCTGTGCCGTCGAGCGTGTATATGTACACACCGACATCTACGATGCCTTTGTCCAAGAAGTGAAAAAGGTTCTTGCGGGCTACCGCCTCGGCGACCCCATGGACAAATCCACACATATCGGCCCCGTGGTCTCTGCACGAGCTAAAGACGCGATCCTCAAACAAATTGCCGACGCCCAAGCCGCGGGCGCGGTGGACGAAACGCCTTCAAACCCGACCTTCACCTCTCCTCCGGCAGAAGGCAACTTCGTCGCCCCGGTCCTGCTCACGAACGTCAACCACTCCATGTCCGTGATGCGCGACGAGACGTTCGGGCCCGTGATCCCGGTTCAGCGTGTGAGCGGCGACGAGGAGGCCATCGCGCTCATGAACGATTCGCAGTTTGGGCTGACGGCGTCGATCTGGACGAAGGACGTTGCGCGCGGCGAAGAAATGACTCGGATCGTCGAGGCGGGAACCGTGTTCGTCAATCGCGCGGATTTCCCAGCCCCAGATCTCGCGTGGACGGGCTGGAAGGATAGCGGCCGTGGCGTCACGCTTAGTCGATTGGGTTTCGAGCAGTTCGTCAAGATTAAGAGCGTCCATTTGAAGGATTATCCTAAGTGAGGGTCGGCGCGAGAGGCACGCAAGTCGATTCCAATGTGGATCCTCTTCCAAGCGCCGCCTGGGAATACATGCTGCTCTTTCATGCTCGCCTGCAACCTCTTGCAACCTCACATGGCCTCTTCTCGTACAGTGGAAAGGGCTGTGAGTCAGCTCTTTCTAATTGTGAACTTTTGCGTCTTGACAATCTCAGCATGTGCACTCCGCAATTCATTTGCTAGGGAGTCGTCCTCGTCCCGTTGTTTCATAGTCGATCAATTCCTGGGCCGAGTTTTACGCATTGCATGACTGTACCGGTTTATAATATAACCTGTACCGGAACAAGAATATCTTAAACATACATACGGACATGGTATCCCATGTTGGGGTAAAGGGAATCTTCGAATTCCAGATTCCAGATTGAAATGGACGGAATAGATATTACATCTATGTTTCAGTCAATGCGGAAGGGAGGGCTGGAAGTGGAAGGCACCAGCATCGAGTGGAAAGACAAGAAAGGAAAATACTGATCAGGAAAGGGAAATTGAACGACGGTGAACAGTGGAAAAGGGAGCATATTAAAAAGTATACGGAAGCGCAGAATCGACTCAAGTCGAGCAGAGTCATTCTGCATCTGCATCTGGATATGAGACGACAGATATAATGACGCTCATCGCTATGAACAACAGGATCACAAAGCAAAGCCGTCGAACCCCACCATCTTCCTTGTGACATCGCATTCGCATTCATTGAGTCCGTTTCCCGCATTTACATTGATGTCATGACATCTAGAATTAATCGTCATCGTCATCGTCGACATCGACATCAATCGCATCCGGATTCGCTGCCACACTGGTCGAAGTATGAGTGGCAGCATCTGCATTTTGCTGAGGCCGGTTTCCGCCCTCTGGCCCTGTGCTAGCGGCAACAAACCCCACGGGGGCGCGAGCCTGACGTTCCAACGCTGTCATTGCATCGATGACTTTGTTATCTGCGCTACCATCTGCCACATCTTCGTGCTGCTGTTCGCCATTCGCACCGACAGCAGGAGCGGCATTCGCCTGACTACGCTGGACAGCCTGGCTAGCGATGAATTGGACGTCGGTATTGAACTGGGCAGCAACACTGCGTTTGATACGGAGCATTTCCTTGAATGTATCTTCGTTGCCGTGCGCGACTTCAAATTTCTCCCACGTGTCCCAGAACGCCTTGTCGACACGGGGATCTGCGAATTGGCTTGCATGTCCATAAATAGCTCTGGCGCGATCGATCTCGCCTAGACGTCGCTCCATCTCCGCGAATTTCAGACACATGGTCTTCGCTTCTTTGTCCGGCAGGGCAGCAATGGCACGTTCGTAGATCGGTCGTGTCGAGGTGAGGCCAAAGTTGGATGCTAATTTGGTGACATAGAATTCAAACATGGCAAGACGGTCTTCATCGGCAACGGCACGGGTCGCACGTTCATAAATGCGCATTGCAGAGCGGGCGAGGCCGCGTTCTTCTTCGAGATTGCCGTACATTAGGTAGATGGGTTTGGCGAATTGGGGGGGACAGTTTTCGACGGCTTGTTCGAACAGATCGCGGAGACGCTCGATGCCGATCTTCCTGTTCACGGCTTTCGTGAGGTACAGGTTCCACAGCTCGAAGGCCACAGGGTACGTGAATACGTCGAGGCCTCGTTCGTAGACTTTGAAGGACTCTTCAAAGTAGCCGTGTTCTTCGAGCAGATTGGCGTAATTCACCACTGTTTGGGGAGTGGCAATGCGCAGTTCGAAAATGCGATCGTACACGGCGCGAGTCTCGTCTAGTGAACCGACCGACTCAATGAGATCCACGTAAAAGGACCAGACCTTCCACGACTTGTGAACTCGTTGTTGTGGCGATAATGTTTCGTCGAAATAGTCCACGGTACTACGTTTGGGAGCCTTGGTCGCCATGGCCATGACTTTCACGGCGGCATCAAAGTTTTCGTTTCGAAGTTCCATTTCTGCCCAACTAACCCAGGTATCGGCCAGCTCTGCCACGGACTTGTACGGCACTTTGACGGCCTTGTCAAGAATGATTCGAGCGGTGTCCAGGTCACCTGATTCTTCGTAGAACTTGGCATATTTCAGCCATAACTCGTGGAATTTGCCGATAGCCTTTCTCGGAGCAATTGTAGCGATCGCATCAGTGTACGTCTGCACGATCTCTTCTTTGTTGTCGTTCCAGAGCGCAACTCGTTTCTCCCATTCGACAACATTATTTGGATTCTGCCGCAGGAGCACATCGTTGACCAGGAACGGTCTTCGATCCATCAGATGCTCGAAACGCATCATTCTCATGTCGAGATCAAAGTCTTTATTGGCATCAACAATTCCCTTTGTAGCACGAGCAGAAGCCGCGTCCATAAGAGTGGAAATGATGGATTCTTCAAATTCAACATAAGCGTCGAAGATCACCGTAAAATCCCGCACCGTCATAACAGTCGTGATTCCCTCTTCAAACACATCTCTGGCTCTTTCGAAATCTCCGCGGGTGATCCAGTATGTTGCTAGACCAGCCCATAACTTGCCACGTTGATCGGCAAATCTTTCTATCCCGCTTCGGATAATAGTGTCCGGGTCAAATCCGGATACCGAACTGTCACCGAGATCTCTTGCCTTGTTGACCATCAACTCCACCATTTCGCTCCAGAGCTGAAATTCACTTTTGATGTGCTTCGAACGGAATTTCGGGTTGTCCAAAATTTGAATATATCGTTTCACAGCCTCCAGGTAATGTCCCGTATCGATCAATAGATCAATGTAGTCTTCCATATCTTCCGGGTGTATCTGGACATATCGCGCCCATACCTTGACGGCGGTTTCCCCACCGGCAGAATTGGCAAAGGACTTGTATAGCTTCCAAATCCGGTTGTGTTGAGTTACAGGTAGAGCTCTTAGTGCCTTGTCCAACGTCCTTCGGGTTCTGGTAACGTAGGGTTGTCGCAACAGGAACGTGATATACATCTCCCATATGACCGGCATCTTATTCAACAAAATCAGTGCTCTTTCGAAGAGCGCATTGACCTTGTTGAACTCTGCTTTGTATTTGACAGGATTTTTCTTCTTGAGATGTTTGACCCGAAACTCCAGATACATCTTCCAAAGCTTGTATGACCGAGGGAGTTGTATGCAAGCCCTCTCTTGTACGAATGCTTGTTCGTGAATTGTCCCATTGTGCATCTTGAACTCGATGTAAGTGAGCCATGGTCGAACGCTTCCGGGGTTACGGAGAATGTCCTGTTCGTAGATGGCGTCCTCATTGGCAATCAGGTAGAAGTCAGGCTTCGCAGCCTGCGAGGAAGCCATGGAGGTCGCTTGTCCAGATTGCGACGTGCGTACGAATCCCGGCATCGCAGCAACAGAGCTGGCCGAAGACTGTGTTGATGGTTTTCATGTAAAATGAGATTCAACAGGCAGCGTCCCTAATAAGGGAAGTTTTAGCGAAGGAGGGAACATTTAGCCGTCAGGCCGCACAGCCTTGCCTAGCGACTCGTGGTGGTTTAGATAAGGTAAGCTTGTTGCTGCTGCATCTGAGCTCCTCGGTATTGTGTCTCTGATCCGTGCAAGCCACACCGGGCAAAAAGCGCTATACAGGCACCATGTCTTCAGGCGCAGGGGTAGGAGCATTCTCTGAAATAACAACATGACGAGTACTGACAAAGTGCACAGCGAGAGCCCGTCTTCCCCACCCGCCAGGCCTTGGGCCAAATGAATAGCAAGCTGAAGGGCGCGCAGACAGGTCACAGTTTGCTGAAGAGAAAGAGTGAAGCTCTGACAAAGTATGGATTCTATGCTACCCGCTGAACCTGAGTGCTGACCATGAAATAGGCGATTCCGAGGTATACAAAGCCCTCTGCTACCTCTACTCTATACGACGCTCAGTGTTTTGCAGAGATTTTGAAACGAATCGACGAGGCGAAAAGAAAAATGGGTAGAGTCATGCAAATCGCTGCATTCTCTCTGGCCGAAGTGTCATACGCTGTGGGCGGAGACATAGGCTACCAAATCCAAGAATCGGTCAAGACGGCACGGTTCCGAATCATGACCAAGCAAGAGAACGTGTCCGGTGTAAACCTGCCTCAATTCGAAGGCTACACAAAGGACGAAATCAATGACTTTGGCTTGACTGGTTTGGGCAAGGGAGGTCAACAGGTCCAACGGTGTCGAGAAACATATACCAGAGCCGTCGAAACACTGGTTGAACTTGCGAGCTTGCAAACTGCCTTCATCATTTTGGACGAAGTTATCAAGGTCGTGAACAGGAGAGGTATATCTTCTCGCACATGTAAATGGAACCAGATGCTAACTAATTATCTTTCAGTCAACGCCATCGAACATGTCATCATTCCACGAACCGAAAACACCATCAAATGTAAAGAGTGCACGTATACATGACATATTGGAAACTGACCAGTCTTCAGATATCAACTCCGAACTCGACGAACTCGATCGTGAGGAATTCTACAGATTGAAGAAAGTCTCAGGCAAGAAACAAAGAGATCAAGCCGCCGCAGACGCCGAGATGAAGAAACAAAGGGAAAAGGCAAAAGCTGGAGGAGGCAAGGAAAACAACATGGAGCCACAAGACGTGCTCGGTGAACATGAGGACGACGATGTTATCTTTTAAATGTTCGGCATTGATAAACACATTTGGCCCTCAAAACGCCACCAACCATCCCACTATCAATGCATGGGTATCAAAGTTTCAGCGGTCCCAAGCCCTTGCCACGGCTCCATTGAGAAATCATGACCCTTTTCATCTCTCTTTTTTTAACTTTCGTGCTCCGACATCTCATGACCAAGTCCCGAAGCTTAAGCTCGTTGATACGTGACTCTAATTCCCTTTCCTTCATCACCAAGCTGCATCCCCGCCGTGGCTTCCTTCGCACTAATCGCACCAGCCTCGGCCTCATACTCGACGAACGCAATTCCCTTTCTCCCCGGCACCATTCTGACCTCTTTAAACCCTTCAAATCGGCTAAAAATCCTCGACAATCCATCCGCATCATAACTATCGGGCAGATCTCGCAGGAACAAAATTTTATTCGGCGGTAGATATTCGTCGGGGATGATCGCTGCATTATTCGTGCCTGAAGCCTTGAGACCTGCCCCTTTGGCTGTTTTCGCGGGCCGCGCCACCAGTCCTGACGGCGCTGCATCCTGCGGACCCGAGGATGGTGCCGGCCTCTTCAACTTCTGCTGCGCGGCCTCTACGGCTTGTTTGCGTTCTTTCTCCGCGAGCCGGGCCCGCTTCCATTTCTCAAGACCTTGTTCGCCATCCTCACGGAGCACTGTGGCATCGGAACGTGTGCGTGCAAAATCCAGGCTCATGGGCTTGTCGAAGAGCTCGAAGCCGTTGACTTCCTCGATGGCCTTTGCTGCATCGTCGGCCGAGTCGAAGACAATGAAGGCTTGCCCTTTGGCTTTCAGGTTCTTCTTAGCTACTAGGTCGATAATATTGCCGTATTCTGAGAAGATTTCGGTCAGGGCCGTCTTGAGCTGATCGATTTTTATCCGCTCTTCAAGGTTTTTCACATAGACCCTGGAGGGAATAAGAAATAAAAGCCGTCAGCGTCTGTAGTGACATATTAAGATAGAGGGGGATCATATGACCTACGTCGCGCTTGGGGGATTCTGCATTGCAGTTGCCATGTCTAGCCACTTGTTGGCAACGTGGAAGATCGGCTTTTAACTGGTCTCAAAGGCCATGTGGTCAGAAGTTACCCTGCGATGAAGGGCAAATGAGCGAGTCAACTTGGGAAATCGCGAGTGGTGGCAGAACGAAGCACGTGACTATGCCCAGATTCTTGGCGGCGATGGGGATCTTCGGAATTTCTCATTTTGGAATTCAAGTTGTCTGCTTTCGCTACATTGACCTTGAAATCCTACACCAGTTTCTATGGATTCGAGTGTCCACAGGGATGCATCCCCTCAGTGTACTCTTGAAAGGGGTCTCTTCTGCGGGTATATCTTCCGCCCTCTTCTCCAAGTTGATAACAAAGCAGATCGAGTGCGGACTCTTCCCTAGCCATCGTACTTCCTCCAGTATGGAAACAGTCTAATCATCCACACATTCCCCTCCATCAGGAAATTCCAGACTTCTCTCTTAATTGAAGGTAAACCAATAGACCCCACTGAACAACGAAGAAGCTTGAGTGGTGCTCGAGTGGTTTTCCGGGATTTACAAGTTGAATGTCGTATCGTCGCAAGAGCTGCGGCAAGACCTTGTTCATTTCAAGTAGGGCAAGATGTCGGCCAATGCAAACATGGGAACCGCCACCGAACTAGGAAAATTCAAATATCAGCCAAAAGGGCCGCGGTCATCGTCTCATGCCGTACGGTTGACTTACCTGGAACATGCATCTGTCCATCGTCTTGATATTCTCCTTGTCGCCTCCCAGCCATCTCTCTGGCCTAAATACCTCGGCATCCTGTCCAAACACACCTTTATGCCTATGCAAGACCCATCCGTTTACTGCAACGGCCGTTCCGGCCGGAAGCTTAACGCCGTCAATTTCAGCACCACCAGGGGGCACCTTTCTCGTGATATTCAATCCGACCGCAGGGGAGATTCTCATCGCTTCTTTCAGGCAGGCCTGGAAATACGGGAGATTCTGTGCCTCGTTATATGACACCATTTCAGACAGATCAGCCGTCATGATTTCGTTGATCAGCTTATCGTACACCCGTCTGTTGGACAGCACATGCCAAAAAAAGCTTTGCATCGTGCTTGCAGTGCTGTCGCTGCCCGCAAAGATGGCACCGTGAGCGATGGCGAAGACGTCTCCAGGTCCAAGAGCCTCAGGATGTTGTTTCTGGGCCTCGATCAAGCTGTTGAGGAGATCTCTATATTCAACTTTCTCGCCGGGAGGAGGATTGTTGCGCTTATCAAGCTGTGCCAATGCGGTTCGAGTAACGAGTGCATTTTTGGTGGCCATCCAAGGAATGTAATTCCACAGCGGATTGCGTCGGAAAATATGGTCAAGCCAGGGGACTTGGCCAATGATGCCGTTGTACCATTGCGAGTTGTCGATCGTCTTGATAGCTCGGTCCACATCAATACCAGCCTCGAGGAAACCGAATTTCTTGGAAAATGCGACTTCCCCCAAAACCTGCAATCAGTGAGTATTCTGTCGCTATTCATCTCCGGTGTTGCTTCTACTTACGTCGAACGCAAAAAAATGTAACCAGTCACCCAGATCGCAAATTTTGCTTCCATCAGCAAATTCGTCCAACTTCGACATCAAGAGTCTCTCGGTCTCTTCAATGCGGGGCGTGCTTTGTTGCATTGAGGCCAAACTATATGGAGTTGTTGCATATCGCTTCTTCACCCCATGAACCGCCTCCCGGGTCTCGGTGAAGATGTCAGGATTTTCCGGAGGCGGGAAGACGCCATAAAAGTCTGTTTTGTGGAATCCTTTACCTGTCTTGAACAGTTCAATCGCGGCATCTGGCGACGAAAACGAAACCTCATTCGGGGCGATTCGCACAACAGGACCTGTCCGAGTCAGCCTTATCTTCCTCCAGGCAGCCTCTCAAAATACCATATTTTTGGTGGAGTGCAATATGATGCTGCTCTGTTTTCCCTGTCCATGTGCTCCAGACTATGAAGGTTAGTTTCGATGATGAAATATCGGTCTCCCGATAGTGTGAAACTCACCTTTCCACATCCTCGTGCACGAGGCTATAAAAGGACCGGGAAATTGTCTCAATGGAGACGAATAGCGTTTGTATAGGGGTCGAACAAATAAAAGCACGAAGAGAATCAAAAATGGATGCGCCACCAAGAACTGCCATACGATGAGAACGGCAGAGCCTTTCTCGGGAACCTCGTCGGCAGCTGGTATTGCCATTTTGATATAGATACTTGTTGAAAGGGGATCAAGTTGGCGTTCAAGGGTAGAAATGAACGATTAAAAGAAGGTGCGGGAAAGATATCGCATAGGTCGGTATCCGCTCCGCCCACGCCAGCCCCAAAGGATAGGGCAGTAATTAACAATGAGAGCATTGTCTCTCCCTCCACGCTGGAACACATGCTCTCCGAGACCATTCGCATATTCCCCATTCTCACAAAACAATAAATGCCCCACACGTAAGCCCCACGATCTTCGGGAATTCCCATGGGGAGGCCGACAAGGCCGACTTATCGAGGTCGCCCATCTGGACTGGCTAGGCAGGGATTCCCGTGGCGCTGAAAAATTAAGCCACGCTTGGGGGATGGGGAGATGATGGAGCAAGTGCCCGTACTCGAGAGTCCTACCCAAAGAAATCAACTGCCGAGGGGCTCGATGATGTCTCGCGTGGCTTGATCTTGTCTCCAGTTTTTGGGAGAGCCACAACCGTGAGATCCCGCCGCAGGTATCGACATTACTTGTTGTCGTGTAATGCACCTGTGACTTAACCGAGCAATTGCTGTCAGGTCCAAGCTATTACAGGAGTGGTAGAATCTTTTCGTATACATATTCCTCGAAGTTTCCCACTGATTGAAGTTGGCTAACCTGACGACGGAATTTCTCAGAAATGTGGAAGAGGCAAAGACGCTTCCCCACATAACACTAGAGAATCGTCCTCACTCAGGCCGAGTCGCCATCGAGCCAAATGGTCCCAGATTTGTTCAAACACACTCCATTGTCGTTTCAATCATCATCAGCTCCCCCACATGTACATTGGTGATGTACGAATATGGGCCAAGAAAGGGAGATTTTGGAATTCCTTCATCGGTAATCTTCCGTGGTGTGTCGTGGGTTGTTTGCGGTGGTCTGTCAGCTCGATTGAGCTCATGAGGTCTTCAAAATTAAAAAAAAAAAAAAAAAAAAAAAAAAAATTGGTCCCACCTCCGGAAAGGCTTGGTCCGAGTGTGATATCTTGAGCATTGTCAACTAACAAAATGAGATTGGAACTGTGAGCGTGATAGAGGTTGCATGCTGATCAACCTGATACCCCCTAGAGTGACTGGCCTTTTCGGGTCCAACTCTTTGTTCCCCAGCAGTCGAGTGCTCACCTTTCAGGAAGGAAGATGTGCCAGACGGAAGAATTGGTGGAAGATCCCCATCGTTGGTGGACGTCTCAGGGTCGGAATGGGGTTTCGCGAAGATGCTGGTCGCCCTAGATTGCCACATAATGGCAGAGAACTGCGTGTCGTGCGGTTCCAATTTGCGATGGAGAAGATTGTGATTTATTCTTTTGCTTTGCTACCACCATTCTTACTGATTTGGAACCCACAGTACCCTCCTCTCCATCATTAGGTCTTGAGAGTACTGGCAGACATGCATCAAAGTATCGAATCAAGGCTCCTGGCAAGTAAGTCAGCTTTCCCAGATATCCAGCTGCTTCAATGATAGATTTCGTTTGTGATTTTTGCACGAAATATTTGCAATAGATGCGGATTTCGCGGCCTGCCATAAGATTCGAAAATCCCCTCGTGCTCAATCATCAAGTGCATGGCTCTCCATGATCTGAACTTTGCGGCTGCGCGAGAGAATTCCTACGCAGCACCTTTGATTGTTTGATGATGGTCGATCGCAGACAGACGAGGGGGCGGACAGGTGATGTTTTGCTGAAGTAGACAGGAGAGAGCTCCGTCAGCCGAAAGAAAAAGTAGCCATCTCCATTTTCTGCAACGGTAAGTCTTTGAATAAAGAAATCTAGTATTACATAGTTTGGGTAATTCTGAATAAGAAAAATAAAAAGAGAGATTCTGTTTGTTTGTTTTTTCTTAGCCATTCCTCTTTCGTTCCTTAACTCCATTTGACTTGGGTCGGCCTTCCACGGGCTCCTCATTGACCATGACCATTGGTTTTGTTCCATTCATCTTGGGTTTTGCGGTACTGTCTTTCTTGTCCTCTGTAGCAACCTCCACCTCCTCTTCATCGTCTTCATCGTCACTTCGTTCATCCGCCTTTATATTAGAGAAGACGTAGTTCTTTGCAATGCGGAGGATCAGGAATAACCAAAACAGATTGACAGCTTGAAGACATGCAAGAAGTGCAAACGTGATATACTGGCTGATCCAGCATTTGTATTGTTGAGTCTCCCAATTCAATTCGAACGGCCCAATAGTTCGGAATTCGGTAAGTGTTGCCCACAAAATACGAAGATTGATCCAGTGACGAAGGTAGATCCAGACGCAGATGAAGAAGCCGAAGTAGGGTCCCACAATAATAGAGTCGAGATAATTGAGAGACTTGGATGTCTGGAAAGAATTAGCATCATGACACGAGCGAGGAACAAATTCACCCGTACCGCAAGGAAGAAATCACTTATGTCATGGGTAATATAAACCGCAACTCCCATGTGCGTAAAGTGAAAGCGGTAGCTTAGACCGATCAGGGCCAACGTAACGACATGGTGCAAAACCAACTCCTTGAAGTCCTTTCGAGGCTTCTCCAGTTGCAGGAGGAGGACAATAGCTTGCTGACTCCAGTAACTGGCTTGTAGCAAATAATAGGCCTTGAAGACAGCTTCATGAGTCCGATGCGGGAATCCTTCAAACATTGCCGTAGTGTTGAAATACCAAAGAGGACCCCTCGACATGACATACAGGCCGAATGGTCCAAAAATGGCGAAGTAAATGGCAGTGTACACCTGTTCCATAAACCGTGCCTGCTTTGCCCTTTTCGTGATGCCACAATGGATTGCCAATGGACGAATCATCCTTTGCATTAAGAATTCTCTTGTAAAGCTCAGCACAATGGTGTAAAATGACACAAAGGCAATGTCTGCTTTGCCTTTGCCATACATGCTCGGTCCGCCCGGGTAATCTGGTCCGAGAGGATAGGATAGGAAAATCGCTTTGTGCAATGGATTTTGCTCTCCGGGGTTGATGAAGTAGGCGATCAGGACTACGACGACTATGATAAGCGGATTGAGCCATGTATGCCGCAGCGAGATTTGTTTCCACTTTCGAAACGCAGATCGGGCTTTTCGTCTCTTTGAATGGGATTTCAGGTCTTTTGCGCTTGCCTGTAGGCTGTCAGTTGGAATTCCAACGAAAACAATGTGCTCAATCGTACAGGTACTTGTCCAGATGATCTGGGAGTCATGGTAGCCAAAGCCGGCGAACTTGTATCTCCGCGAGGGTCACCCCCAAGGTTGCTGGATGTTCGATGTGGGCGACCCATGATGATGGCCTTAATGTCGACCGCGCAATCCCAAGACAGTCAGACGTGAGATTCGGAAATGGTTCAAGTAATTGAAATGTTCGATCTGGCAAGGATTACGGTGGCCGTATGGGGGAGGCTGCGAAGTTAGGGAAGTCGGATTCGGGGAGTTGATCACGCCGCATCATCCTTGGCAGCAAACGTTTTGGCTCAAATAAAAAAAGGGGAATGATGAGAGGGCAGGAAATCAATTTCATCTTCATCGCTACAACGAGGTGAGCGATACTGAATGCGGCTCATTTTTGAACCACCAAAATTAATACAATAGGTACAAAGCTTGGGAAAACTTAGTGACTTATGCTGACTAGCAGTCATGAACCCCAAAAAATAAACTGTGGTGTGATGTTCTGGAAATGCTATTCTGTACAATAACCACAGGGGCAGAGAAGCACCGAGGCCAATTGTAGCAGCAATCGGCTGAAATGCAATGACCTTTCTGGCCCTTTGTGGACCTCGATGGCTCAACAGTGCTATGGTCTCTGCCATTCCTTCGGATTTCTTGTTTTTCTCCCTCCACCTCTTGGATGATTTACCCCGGACACATCTTTCGGGGGCCTGCTATTATTTACTAAGCCAGCCTCGGCCTTCCTTTTTTTTTTTTTTTCTTTTTTTACCTTTCTTCTCTGTACGTCTTTTGTCATCTGGTAGCGGACCTGCCATAGTCTTGATGTTGGTGGAAATCCGGCCCATCCCACACTACCCAGAGTCAGCGCAGACAACAGGCAACCTACTCTTTCTCGCTTGTTTCGGTTCCTTCTTTGTTGGCACCTTCGTCAGAGGCCTCTTCTTTGCTGTTGTCCTTAGACTCTTTCTCGTCTTCCTTTTCCTCCACTGCCTCCTGTGTAGTCTCAGACTCTTCCTTGGGTTCTTCAGGAGGTTCCTCTTTTGGCTCTTCTTTAGGAGCTTTCTCAGGCTCATCCTTCTTATGCGTATCGTGACTTTCGTGGCCGTGATGATCATCGGAAGGTTCGGGTCCTTGCTGCCAGAGCCAAGCAGCCGCGGGAACGGTGACAACGACAGAGCCGATCAGCCTGCAAACAGTCCATCAGTTTCATTCAAGTCAAATTTGGCTTCTCAGATTGAATTATCTTACCAGGGCAGGTCGCTGCTCTTTTGTTGTGGGCCATGTCCGCTGGCATAGGTTCGACGAGAGACACCACGTAGACTTGCTCGAGCTTGGGTTCCGGCTTTTCTCAATGCAAACGAGCGAATGCAGCCCCGGGGGACGGGGGATCTTGGTAGCACCATTTGAAATAGGTGGAGGGAGTGGCTGGAGGCGTCGGTATGAGGTTATGTAGCTTTATGAAGCCCCGAGGATCTTCACGTAGGGTGGTCTGGATGGAAGACAGCTCCGGAGAAGAGCAGTAGCTTTCGAGCTTCCACGGCCTTAAAGCTCCGCTGGCACAGAACATGGCCGCCAAGCGAAGGTCCGGCGGAGACCAGACGTCATTGGCCAATGTGTTTCCCCTCCAAATATTCTCACCACTGAAAGTCCATCCCAAGTATTTCTCCGTACAGTTGTATACCCACCTCTTTGCCCACATCCACTTCCTCCTGTTTACTTTTGAGGGAGAAACTCAGGTAGATTGATCTTCGTTCTGCTCGCCTTGAAGCGTTCCAGCGTGTGTTCTACTCGAATTCACGCCCAACGACAATCACAAATTGCCTGCGCTTCTCTGGTCCATCTTTCTCCGCATTTGGGCCAAACACTTCGCAAATGCTATAGACCTAGATTTTCCGGACCCAAAATTCACAAAGGCCTCAGAGGTAACCCCTCTAGATACCTTTTCTGACAGAAACCTTTGGTTCACTTGGATCTCATGGCGCGAGATCGCTCCTCTGCACAACAGGGCATTGCCACCCTGCTCACCAAAATCAACGACCCAGACCCAGACATTCGTTTCATGCAACTGAGTGATCTCTCAAACATTCTCCAATCTCCTTCCTCCGAGTATGTACGAAATGACACTCATACCGCCGCCAGAATTATCGAGGGTCTACTCAAAGCTTTAGCGGATCAGCACGGCGAAGTTCAAAATCAGGCATTAAAATGGTAGGTAGGCTCACCAGGCGCCCGTCCTACATTCATACTGACGGTTCTAGTATTGGACCGCTCGCGGCACGTACGCCGGGCGAAATCATTGCACCGTTGATCGACAAACTTACAGACCTGACCAACAGTGATATCGATATCTCAATTCCGAATGCAGCACTACGAACCCTCATTGCCTCGATGCCTCAGCCCCATCCAAATGGCAGCTCTGGCCCAGAAGTCAAAGATGCATATAGCGCCGTCAGTAAAGTTTTAATACCAAGATTAGTCGGACACGTCGTCTTGCCATCAAGCAAACCCGCTCCCCGACTGCCCACGGGCCTGCTGGAGAAGCAAAAGGACAAAGGCTTCAGCAGCGACGCCGTCGATGTTATGATTGAGATTGTCAAATGGTACGGCCCTTTGTTGCAAGAGTTGGAACTAGTGGCCCTCGCAAAAACGGTCATGAATATTATCGAGAGCCCCCAAGCTGGAGGCGTAGTCAAGAAGAGAGCCCTCGCGGGTATTGGTGCATTACTGGTCCATTTCAATGATGCTCAAGTCAGCTCTTTTGTTGCTGCCTTGACCGAAAGTTTTCAGAGTGGCCAACTCAGTACCGAACATCGAAAATTTCTTATCGCAACAATCGGAACTCTTGCCCGCTCAAGCCCCGGAAAATTTGGGCCTCACCTCAGCGACGTTGTCCCCTACGTACTCCAAGTTTTGAGCCAAGACGATCTTACATCCATCGCTTCTGTCTCCGACGAAGATGCTGAAGTGGATCCAGAGATTGAAGAGTTGCGCGAGACGGCCCTCATCTCGCTCGAGGCGCTGATCGGATCATGCCCTATTGAAATGAAATCTCATCTTCCTGAAGCTATTGATGCTTCCCTGAGATACGCTAAGTACGATCCTAATGTGGCAGCTCTGGAAGGTGACGAGATGGGAGGAACCCCCGAGAGCAGTTCGGATGACGGCATTACAGAGGAGCCTCCGGACGAGGACGACGATGATGAGTATGCCGAGCTGGACGATGAAGACGCATTCAGCGATGTGGATGACATAAGCTGGAAAGTGAGACGGTGTGCCGCCAAAGCCCTCTATACCATTGTCTCTGGCGTTCCGGCCGCGGATCGGGCAATTTTATTCGGAAGAATTGCACCCGTATTGATCTCACGGCTTTTCAACGAGCGAGAAGACAGTGTGAGACTCGAGGTCATCGCTGCAACGACTGCTTTAATTCGAAAAACCGGATCTGGGTTGACCCAAACCCTGACGAGAGTCGATTCATCAGAAAACCCAGCTATGCCAACCAACACTCGAAAGAGGAGGCGACAGGATAGTGAAGCAGATCGGAAAGATCCAGATCTCAGAGGCTTGATCTCCATCCGATCTAGTCCTCCAATTGTTCCAGCATCTCCACCAACTGGCTCTCAGGCCGAACTGGTCAACCTCGTGCCCAAGATTGTCCAAGCTCTTTCGAAACTGTGGAAGAAAGCTAGCATGTCACTGAAACAGGCCTCGGTTATCATGCTCAAGACACTGACGATGGCTCGAAATGGTATCTTGTCCGATCACCTGCAGCAATTGGAAGACCCTATTGCCGATGCGTTGAAACCATCAACATCCTCTGGATCAGGAAGTACGGCGTCAGGGACCTCAGCAACAGTGGCCAGTTTGCAGATTGAAACATTGACGTTGATTGGCGCAATCGCAGAGACCAATGGTACCACAGTACTGATCCCATTCGTCATTGCCTTGATACCGCCAGTGACTACCATTGCTCGCGATAGAAACTATAAAGTCTCTAGCGAAGCTCTTGCAACTATCGAGCAATTTGTCAAGGCTCTCACCCCCCCTAGACTACCTACAGCAAATCAAGATCACGCTATGCATATCGAGAAACTCTGGGACGTCATTGTGGATCGAGTGACCGACAATAATACCGATCTTGAAGTCCGACATCGCGCTATTCAAGTGTTTGGTGTTCTCATCGCAAGAACCTCGTCTACACAACTGCTGTCTGCCACTGATAGAATCAAAAGTCTCGGGATTCTCAATGATAGGCTGAGGAACGAAACTACTCGACTGGCGAGTGCAAGAGCCATAGGCCTCATTGCTGAAGCCGCGAGCGCTCAAGATAATATCGGTTCAACTTGGATTCAGGAGATCTCACTTGAAATGGCCAACCAATTACGAAAAGCCGATCGTGCACTTCGAGGATCATGTTTGGAATCATTGCAGTACCTCGCACTCAACCCGGTCACTTCTTCTCAGTATGAGACGACGACAATACTCCAACTCCAAAACTTGCTTATGCCCCTGATATCTGCGAACGATCTACACCTGTTGACGCCAGCCCTGGTCATCATGTCCAAGATCATCCCGATGAATGCGGAGGCTCTGGTGAATCCGGATGTTGTTAATGCCCTATGTGGCATCACACAAGCTCGGCTGGAAGGACCACCTCTACGGGCATATCTGCTGGTCGTTAAAGTCATTGGCGAACGAGGAGTGGGCGCTCTGCTCATGAAAGGCCTTCTGACCATTGGGACCAGCGGTGAGACCATGGTTCTTGGGAGGGCTATAGGCACCCTGCTGGTATATGGTGGTGACAATCTTGGAGTCACTATTCCCGACTTTTTGAAAGAACTCGCGACCTCTCAGGACATCCGAGCCATCTGCCTCGCCCTGACGGTCCTGGGTGAAGTCGGGTTCAGAATGGGACCCCACTCTCCCGTAAAACTCCAAACTTTCATCAATTGTCTGTCTGCAGAATCGGACAAAGTTCGACTTTCTGCTGCCGTGGCACTCGGCAGCGCTAGTTCGAACAACGTGTCGGAGTGCTTGCCAGTAATTCTACAGAGCCTGACGCAATCGTCGGCTCAAGATTATCTCTACTTGCATTCTCTGAAGGAGATCTTGGAGCATTGCGAAAGTTCGTTTGGTGAAATGGCACCATTTACTTCTGAACTTTGGCAGAAACTATTCGCGGTATCCCAGAGCGAAGACAACAGTGCTGTTGGCGTCGAATGCATCGGAAGACTTGCAACTATCGATCCAAACACCTATGTCCCAGAATTGTCAAAGTCTTTGGAAGATCCCGACCCTATTGTTCGTGGTACCGTGATTTCAGCATTCCGATTCACACTGGGCGAAACCAGCAATTCCTACAACAATCTCCTAGCCAAAATGATGACACCAATGCTTCAGACAATGTTGAACGACAGCGATCTTTCCAACCGCCGCCTCGCCGTCACTACCTTGAACGCAGCTATCCGTAACAAACCTGAACTGGTCATCCCAGACATCGGACAACTCCTACCCACTGTTCTTGAAGACTCGCGCATCAAACCTGACTTGATCAAAGTGATCAAGATCGGTCCGTTCACACACAATGAGGACGCCGGCCTCGACCTCCGCAAGGCTGCATACGCGACCATGTATGAATTACTCGACTGCCCTGGCGCTATTCCCCAACTTCCGATCCCGAAGATCTTCGATCGCATCCTCGACGGCATCCCCGATGACCACGACATTCGTACACTGTGCAACCTCATGCTAGTCCGGTTGTCGGTGATCGACCCTGACGAAACCCGCCGTCGCCTGTCGAGTCTTGCCGAAAAGTTCCGTGTTGTTCTCGGTGCGAAGATCAAAGAGAACGCGGTGAAACAGGAAATCGAAAAGGTCAACGATGCCAATTCCGCTGTGGTTCGTACGACGATGGAGATGGATCGCAAGTTTCCTTCCGCAAGCACCGACGGAAGTGGCGAAATGGTAGCTTGGAAGGGGTATGTCGAGTACGTCAAGAAGGAGTTTGCGGGAATGGTGCGCAATGTTCTTTCAGAAAGTGCTTAGGAGGCAGAGATGGAAATAAATTCGAGTGGCAGCAAAGCGATGGAATAGGAATTCCAGACGAGGGGGGAGAAGGAACAGTCGGAGGATGAGGATGGTTGGATGGTTGTGCTGATGAGCCGTTGAGCGGGCGAGTGCACCACGGACGGGTTCGCGATGGTCAATCAACTTGCATTCAACATTTCTAGCTTACGTGTATTCATTGCACAGCATCAATCGGGCGTCTCGTCGGTCTTTTGCCGCATGGTGGAGCAGAGCATTGCGGAACATGGTAGGGGAGGCATGGCGAACCTTGGTCCTGTGTATTTCCACAGAGTCCTTCTTGCCACGAGTACAATCAGATGGAAAAAGTTTCCGGAAAGAGGACTGAATATCGCCTTTCTGCGTACTGGAACTAGAGCATGAAATGGCCTCAATGACCCCATGGATCGAATCCATTGATTGATTCGTATGAATTAATGTTCTCGGATACTGGGATTAATTCTCCTATCTATTCTTTGACTGGACCGGATCACAGAGCGCGGCTCGACTCGATTCAGTTATCATTTCAGGCCCGAACATGCGTGGCAAAGGAAAGAAGGTACTTACTTGACCCTTGACACTAAGGATCACTGCTTCAACTTTCGTGCTGGCTTTCTCCCTCTCTCCCAATACCATCCTTTCGCCCTCTTCTCTCCTCTTCACTAGAAAAAAAAAAAAAGGAAAAAAGAAAAAAGAATACCACAGCCTCGTCTGTGAAATAATCCTTGCAAGATTTCCGTGTCGGGCCCTTCCATCGACCGCCCCTCCATTCCCATTTCTTCTTTCCAGGATTCCATGCCATTCTGTGCCATCATTCGATTTTGATCCATTCCACACAAATTCAGCGATGAGTTCGCTTGGAAAACATGCCTTGCTCTCTCTGGTTGACTGGTTATAGAATCCGACAAAAATAACGAAAAATATGGACTCGAGACACAAGAATGGGAAAGCGGGTAAAATCTAAGGTGGTGTTTCAATACTGGTGCAGAAATCGGTGCTGGGGACCGGAAGTATTCTTTGGATTGGTTTGGGAGGATGTTGTGGGTTGATATTCGGAAAGCGTTGTTTGATTTTCCGCACTGTTTGGTGAGCCGTCAGAACCTTATTTGGCATTTTGAATACGGTCAGGAGCGGGTCATCTCTTGAAATCCGAATTGATCTTGACAATGAGCTGTGTAGTCGCTCCAATAGGTTGGTTTCGGATTGCCGCGTCAATTAACCGACTGATAGAGCAGCAGAGGCTCGCCGACGTTTTCGATCTCGGGAATGGTGCATTTCAGGTCAAATGCCTTGGAGAGGACGATCTTGAAAATCTTCTGCACATTGATGCTGTGACTCGTGCTACTGAAAATGAGACTGGCTCGCATGGCTTTTGCGAATCTTCGAGCCTGTTTTAAGACTCAGTCTTCTGGCACACGGTATGTTCCAGTACGTTCAAGTCTCACCTGATTGCTAATCTCTTCTTGATCTTCCCGTGGGAAATTGACAAAATGATCATATTTCGTACCGATTAAGAATGGAATTGCCGTTTTGTTGAAGCCTCGTCCTTGCCTGTACCATTCTTTGATACTGTTTAGGGTAGATTTTCGGGTGAGATCGAACATAAAGAGGATGGCGACGGCATCGTTACAGACGAGGGGGAGCATATTGACGAACTCTCGTTGACCTCCGAGATCCCAAATAGAAAAGGTGATTTCAGTGTTGCGTATTGAGATGGTCTTTTCCATGAAATTGACGCCTGAGAAGTACCTGGTTTAGCTGGCGCTTAGGAAAGGGATATGCCACCGAACACACCTAGAGTCTGGATATAATCCTCATCCCAACTGCCTTCAACATACTTGACCATCAAACTTGTTTTGCCTATCTGAGCATCGCCAACCATTCCGACTTTGATGACCACACTGCTTTTACTGGCGGGTTGTGATTGTCTGTTTTCTTGGTGTTGTGTTTGTTGTTGTCCACCCATTCCAGAGTCGGGTCTTGAGCTTGGTTGCTGGGAGAGATTTGGAGAATTATACCGCAGATTCGAATCGTTATCGATTATGGGAGGAGTGGCTGTGGCTGGTTGGGATGGATGGCCATTTTGGATTGCGGTGGTGTCTTCTGGCTGGTCTTGTTCATTGACGATGTGTGGGCTGTAGGCTGAGTCGGCGGGGTATTCATTATTGGGGGCGGGATCCATGGTGTGCTGGATGAAAATTGGACAAACGAGAGATGGACGGTGGAAAGGAGAGGGAACAACCACGGCTTACGAGCCAGGAGTCGGTCCTGCGGGAGAGGCCCGAGGTTTATTCATGAGCGGTTGAGGGTTTTTGACTTGACCCAAGTTGACTGCGCGAAACGAGAACGGACACACTGAGCCTAGCAGACCAATAAAGACGAAAAGAAGCGCGCAACAAGAAAGAAGGGCAGACGCGTTGGGGAGCTAACCTCTTTAGGACAGAGATGATGCCGCCGTAAAGCCGAGCGAGGGCTTGGGGGAGAAGGGCAGCTCCGATCACACTGCCGTGTCGGACGAACTACAAAAGATGAACTCGATCATCATTCAGTATGGTACAAATGGCTACTCGCAATCCCTCGTCCTTGACGCCTAATGAGCCTCTGCCTGAGCCCCCAAGAATAAAGTACACGCAGCAATAATAGCAGTGGCCACCACTCCAAAGACAATCTGAGTCTTCATCCCGGACTGAACTAGTGCACGTCGTTTTGCATACTTGGTGACCGTCCGCATGTAAATACCCATTCCACTCACAAGACATGCCAAAGAAAGAACCCAGAAGATAATCCCGAGCGGATGGGATAGCTTTTCTTCAACAGCGCTGGGTTGGTGCTTAAGATGGAAATTAATGAAGATGGCGACGGACACTACCGCCATATAGATGGACAGTCGAAGCCATGACAAGAATGTTCGTTCATTGGCGCAATGATCGCGCGCATCGGAGGATGTATTGGAGAACAAGAGAGGAGCGTAGAGTGGGCGTTGAAGAAACATCTTGATGGGATTCGAAGGATGGGTTCTGGGATTGATCAACTCGACTTCGCCACCAATTTTGCTTCTGAGAAACTCACTCGTCCACATTGATGGTGGTACCGAAGGAATTGTACAGGAGATGCCACTCGTCCTCAGTACCAGGCGGGAGGGTCGTCGTCCTCGCCATACTAGATGGAATGAGGTGGGCGTACAAATACGGGACCGCCAAAAATTATGGTTCGTAGTTGGGAACGAGTAAATACGGTCAATTGTATGAGAACGATAGGACTCGGTCGAGGATGTATGGTAAATGGTACGCAGATCATTTGATGAGGTGATTCCAAGAGTTGCACGACCAAAGAACCCCCGAAGCACCGACCAGGTACCTAATCCCGAGGTGTATGTACGGCAAATTTACAAGTACCTGCGCCCCGGCCGATATTCAGTGTACTACAAGATCTGTCATCCATAACTCGCTCACTATCAATCTTCCCTTGCATCTAGTTTCTCCTCAGGTGGTATCTGGAGCCGGCAAGAGCCCTGTCTTTTTTCGCCTCGCACGGACCAAATTCAAAAAGGCCTACGATTGGGGGAACAGGGAGAAAAGGTCCCCGATAAGGCCATCCCAGCCGACTGACTCGCAGATGAGCGAGCACCGCGCAAGGTAGGGGCAAGCTTTATCAGGACATAAGTCCTCTCTCAGCCTTTGATAGCGTCTACTTCCATGTCGGAAGACCTCCTATGCAGAATTCTTGACTTGTCAATTGTTTCATCGTCCTTTAACATCCCAGATACATCATCCCATCTCCTTCCATCTGAGCATGCGGAGCAGTCAATCTCGATATATAGCGGAGTACGCCGCGGTTGATTTGGAAATTCTTCTTCACCATGACTACACCCCCGAAACACTTCAGCACCCTTGAGCGTGTTGCTAGCCGAGTATTTTCACACTCTCTACCGGATGCCTCGCCTATCGCACAAGCCTCTCTCGCCCGAGACCTTGAAGAAGATACAGATTCGGAAGCCGCAGAATCAGAATCCGACGAGTCTGAAAGCCCGATCCTACGCCCATCCATATCTGCGCCAGGAAGAGGATATTCTTTTGTGGGATCATACCGCCGGCCCAGTTTTGCTGGAGCTGGAAACAGAGCCACTGTCCTTCCTCGAATGATACAAGAACATGACAAACTATCCAAAGAAGAAAGACAACGGGCGTTGGAGGAAGAAAGAAGTCTACTTCGAGACAACAACATCATTCCACCCAAACATCCTCAACTGGAGGACACCGGTCCGAGGAAAAGTCTTTTTGGCAACTACCTGCACATTCCTGGTGGTGACAGAAAAGTGTCCCGAGATGAAGAAGCCATATCAGCACTGGACGGTGCAGTTGGTCTTGCGTCGGAAACGGCACCGTTACTAGGCGACTCAAATCTCCCGTATGGCGGACAAGGTGATCCGAAGAACATCAACGCGAAATGGGAAGAGGCCGTTGCTGCGGGAATGATCCACACGACATGGCAGCGCGAAGCCAAAGTGATCGCCCGATACTCTGCACCGTTGATGGTCACCTTCATCCTCCAATACTCCTTGACCGTCGCCAGTATCTTCACCGTCGGGCACATCGGCACTGTTGAACTTGGGGCTGTCAGCCTCGCCTCCATGTCCGCCAACATCACCGGCTACGCGATCTACCAAGGTCTTGCGACCTCGCTCGACACCCTCTGCGCCCAAGCCTACGGATCCGGACGCAAGAAACTGGTCGGTCTCCAGATGCAACGCATGATCTTCTTCCTCTGGACGATCTCCATCCCTATCGCCATCATATGGCTGCTCGCCGACAAGATCCTGATTGTCCTCGTCCCCGAACCCGCTGTCGCCGAACTCGCCGGCTTGTACCTGAAAGTCGTGCTGCTCGGAGCTCCTGGCTACGCTGCCTTCGAAGCGGGCAAACGCTTCGTGCAAGCGCAAGGCCTATTCTCAGCATCCCTCTATGTGCTCCTGTTCTGCGCCCCCTTTAACGCCTTCATGAACTGGCTCTTCGTATGGAAATTCGACTGGGGCTTCATTGGCGCTCCAATCGCCGTGGCCGTCACCGACAACCTCCTCCCCCTCGGCCTCTTCATCTATGTACGCTTCTTCTCCAAGACCGGCATGTCCTGCTGGAACGGTTTCACCCGCAAAGCCTGGCAGAACTGGGGTCCCATGGTGAAACTCGCATTGCCGGGCGTCGTGATGATCGAAGCCGAAGTGCTTGCCTTTGAAATCCTCACTTTCGCAGCATCGTATTTTGGCACCACAGTCCTTGCCGCGCAATCCGTCCTCGCAACCTTGACCTCGCTTACGTTCCAGATCCCCTTTCCTCTCTCCATCGCCGGCTCCACGCGCGTCGCAAACCTCATCGGCGCCACCCTCGCCGATGCCGCCAAAGTTAGCACGCGCGTCACTTTCTCCGCCGCCGTCGTCGTGGGGATTCTCAACGTCACTCTGTTGTCCGCACTTAAAGACTATATCCCGCGCCTCTTCACGTCGGACCGGGACGTCGTGCGTATCGTGTCCGACATTCTGCCCCTGTGCGCCGCCTTCCAACTCTTCGATGCTCTCGCGGCAAACTGCAACGGAATCCTTCGCGGCCTCGGCCGTCAGGAAGTCGGCGGCTACGTGCAGTTGTTCTGCTACTACGTCTTCGCCATGCCGATCAGCTTCGGTACCGCATTCGGTCTGAACTGGGGTCTCTGGGGCTTGTGGACCGGGGTGGCGCTCGCGCTCGGCCTGGTCGCACTAATCGAGTTCGTCTATCTATATCGCACCGATTGGCAACGGAGCGTCGAGGAGGCGAGGGCACGGAATCAAGAAGGTGGTGTATAAATGAGTGAGTCAATTACCCAAAGGGCCTGGTCTGGTCGGATATATACATATACATACAATACGACCAAACCGAAAACCTTGAGATTCCAATAAAGAGAAATTTCAAATTTCAAAAGGGGGATATTTCTTCTCGAGATACCGTATCTTCTGGTCCTGCGCTCTAAGATCGTTATGTATAGCAACACAAGGCTCATGCTGGCGAGTGTTAACCCGATGTGCATAGAGTTTGGTAACACGGAAACTAAGTTAAGACTTATTTAGCATCCCGCATCTTGTATAAATAGTGCCAGTCCCATACAGATAATCCGTCGAGCGAGTAATCCTTCGAATGAAGACTCCTCGTGTCTTTTAATCTTGGCCACTCGCGCTGCCCATCATGATATTTGAATTGGAATACCTCCCTCTGTACATAAGCTGTTTCCCCTAAGTGCGCCTGGAACGCAGTCTCACATGACTATGGCTCTATCCTTCTCGTGTCCCTCCCTTCACAGAACTCTTCATGCAGCCACCAAGGACAGAGCGCTGTCTTTGATCTGGATCTTCTTCATTCTCACTCCTTTCGCCGCCCATCACATCCTCCGAATCTGCGTCTCGCTAGTAACCTCCGCTAGCCGGCCTTGTAGCAATTTATCCCACCATTGGAATAGCATGTCCTCGCAAATCAAGCGGAACCACGGGGTATATTTGAGCGCCCTGTCCTTGCCCGTCTGCGTCTCGACGTCACGGAACATCTGTTTCAGCTCCTCCGCGCTCACCCATCGAGTATCTTGTACTTCGTTCTTGTTGATGTCCAGCGTAACATCGGCCTCGATGAAGAGGATGTAGTCGATCTCGTGCTCACCCCATTTCCCGTCTGAAGGGGCCAGGTAGTGGATGCGCGTGAGGAAGTCGAAGTTCGACACCGGGACTCGGGAAGCTTGAATGCCGAGTTCGTGGCCCAGTTTGCGTTGAGCAGCGCGCTTGGCGCCTTCGACGTTGCTGGGTAGATCACCGTGGCCAGTCTCAGAGGGGTGAGCGAGTGGGTGCGAGCAGCATGTGTTCGTCCACATGTCAGGAAAAGTGATCTTTTCGCTAGCTCGTTGCTGCAGGAGGAGTTTCTTGGTTTGGGGGTCAAAAAGGAAGACGGAGAAGGCTCGGTGTAGTAATCCTTGGTTGATGTTGGTCATCAGGTGGCATGCTTTTTTGGAGGCAGATCCAATGGGCATGTCGTTGCTGTCGAGAACAATGCAGACCTCGTCCATAAGACGAATTTGCTCTTCATCGTAGCCGGAAAGATCGCCAGAGGAGTTGGAGGTGCCATTCGTCTCGAGGGAGGCAGTGGGAGCCATGTCCACACCGATAAGGCGGGTGTGGACTTCGGGGAAGAGAGTGGTGACATTTTCACGAGTGATTGTGGTTGTCGCCATTTTGAGAGTCCAGTACAGAAAGACGAGGATGTTCAAGACTGAAAAGTAAGTAATGAGCGTGGGAAGGTCGGCGCTGTTGCGGGGGGATAAAGGAAAGACGCTATGGTACGGGTTTGGTCTTTGCTGAGCAGTCAACGTGGAATGCGCAGGGAGAAGATGAGGGTGAATGGGTCAGAGAAAGAAAAGGCTGTCACGTGCCAGGGGCACTTCGGTTGACGCGACATTGTTTCCGCGATGGGCTGATTCTGGACCTCAACTTTAGCAAAACAAACATCAACGACAGCGAAAACCAAACGGACTGAGACGCAATCCCACATTCTGATGATTTATCGTAGATGAGATGGATTGGCGGACGCTGAAGATCCCAACAATGTATGCCACCACCCATCCGAGGACAACTCCACTTGCTACCTCCCATTAATTAATCATCAACATCCACAACCTCAAACTCGATATCTATATACGAAAGAGAGAAGTCATAATATCGCAGCTGAAGTTGCTATTTACACCCTACACTACGTGAAGGTGGCTCTTCATGTAGGGCTCCTACCCACCCACCTAACGCCTTGAGCTCCTTAACTCCTAATTGCCTGAACTCTCTAACGTCATAACACCAAACACCAAAACTTGCAGAAACAGGTATTCTTTTTGTCGGTGGTCTTTCGAGGCCTTGTTTTATGCTACTTTTGTTGTCCCCTTTCTCCATCACATATCGCCTCCCCTTGGCTTCCACACGCCACTTGTTAAAATTCTTCTGTTTTGCTCGAAGGCAGGCATCCGTCTCTATGGTCCTGGTTCGGCGACTTCGTTGTCGGTCGCTGCAATTATTCGAATCGTCGGCCTATATGGTTCGGAGGGCGCTAAAGAGGATTGATAGGCTTCGGCGCCTTTTGGATAAAATCTGTCATGCCGATGGCACTCTGCGTCGTCGTCAGAGGGCAGGGGACGAAATTTGGGCTCCGTGCCGCAGGCGGTTGAGGCTGAGGTTGAGGAGCTGCTGAGGAGGAGAGAGAGGAGAGGATCTGGATCTGGCTCTGACGAAGGGGTGACCGGGGATGGCGGACGTCGAGCAGGGAGTTCCTCCAACGCGGCAGCTTTGCTGCAAAGGTACCACCTTGTTGGATGAAGGAGGCTTCTCGAAGGTATGTGAAATTTGTTGATCTGATTCTGGTGCTCTCCCAGCACTCAGAGGCCCTTTGTGGAAGTTGGGGAAGATTTTGGATTTAGAAACTACGGCGACAATTGAAGGTAAAACTATCGACCGGCCGGCGCCAGTGGTGGTGGCTAGTGTCTGAGTGGGAGCACACCACAACAACAAGCTGAGAACAGCACTCTCTATGTGAAAACGGATTAAGTTCAGGGTATGCAAGGCTGGAGTTGCTGTAATGCTCTGCGATCTAAACGTAGAGAATGGTAAAGGGGGGCTGGAGGAGTCGGGGACCAACGAGTCTGAAGAGCGTGCTCTGATTGGCTAAACCACGTCTTCACAATATATGGTCAAACGATTCTGCCTAAGCAGCCATTTGCCTCAGCCATCCCTACGACGATGGGCACACACAAGGATTGTTTCGATGTCACTTCTCTACCGTCACCGCCGCCCTCAAGTCCGAACACACGTGGTCTGCATCAGGTAGAGGGAGGTGGCCCATCCAGCAAGCATGTTTTATCACTTTCCCACAAAAGGCCCATCCACTCACACTAACATTTCAGCATGCGCATTAACCTTTCCAAAGGGTAATGGCGTGGGACTGCGAAAGCTGCTGCATCGCGGCCCAACCGTACAGGTGAACGCAGGCGGCGAAATGTTCAGCGTGCTATGCCTACTCGGGAGAACACAGCCAAATCGGAAGAACAGCTACTTCTGTCGCCAAAACAGGGATTCTATCCACTGTTGCTCAGGAGAGTCCCCCTTCCCACGATTTGCCGCAGAAAGGGCATCCGCCCAAAAGGAGAGTTACGGCAGGCATAGGTCTTACAGCAACGTGGAGGCCAGTGGCCACCGGACCTCTCGATGATCTAGTCGGAGGCCTTTGAACTAAGCCGAGCTGGTCTCTGAGGCACCGAAAGGTTACTTCGTTACAGAAGCAATCCAATGGTGGAGGATCAACATCTATGGCTTCGTCGAGACGAAACCTTCGCAGTCGGCACTTTAATAAGATCTAGATCTAAATTATCACGTAAAGTTGGAAATTTGATCTGAATTTCGCCCATCTCTATAGTCTGCATGATAGGAGTATTCGCGACATTTGACAGTAGCCACCCACCCACCCAGATCAATCCATGGCCCAAAATGGTCATACAGCGCCGCTCGTCTCGCTGATGAAAGTATCAACCTACGATGATTTGCCCAAGCATGCCGTGAGGATGTGGCATCTAGACATGTGAAACTCCACACTCCTCGCTAAGTATTCATGTCACAAGAGTACCGGATTGCTCCTGATGTGTTCTAACCCATTCATCAGCGCCATTATACGCTGACCTCTCCATCTTCCTCCGTGATACCACTGCTCGAACTCGAGGTGGAGAGTTCCTTAGTAATTTCGGTGTCGGTCGTCATTTCCCCTCTACCACTGGTTTCCTTGATATCATTATTTTTGATATCGCTCAAAATACGCTCAAAATACGCTTTAAGAGTTCTTAGGCCGCGTAAATATCCTCGGTCAACGTCATGCGGATGGGTTGGCGGTGCTTGAGTGTTTGGTGGGAGCGGGTCTTCTCCTGTGATGCAGTTGGCAAAATCCACGATCTTCAGCTCAATCGGTGGTGGCCATTTTTTGCCTTCCTTTCTCTTCTGTTGGGCAATATCAATACCATTCCTGGCCGCTTCCTCAGCCTCGCGCGATTTATGAGGCTCCGCATCATACAGCATGAGGAGCGAGCTCGCATAGAACCGGTAGCCAGGTAGTCGTCGTACCATGCTTTCAAGCTTGGACAGTTTATGCAAGATGGGTGGAATGTGTCGAGCAACACTTGCGTAGCTGACTCCATCGTAGAGGAACCTAGTGAGCGCTTCCCGAAATTCACGTCCAGCCTTCAGATCACGACCATAGTATTTGTCCTCATACGACACCTTTTGGGTTCTGGCATCGAATGTTTGCATCCCACATATTCGTACTCCCAGTTGCTGTGATGTTGTCATCTTACATTTGCGACGTTGTGATTCCATCTTCTTTTTGCTGGCTTCCACTCCAAACTGTCTGGTTCCCATCTTCAAATCAAGAACGCAAGGTCGACCCATGCCACTTGTAAGATCTTCCAAGAGAATAAAATACACCACACGGTCACCTGAACTTGAAGATTGTGCATCCTTTGGATTGGATGGAATTAGATCCGCTTGTGAGTGGTCTCTGGATTCGCCAAGATTGACCGAGTGTCGATTTGACCTGCTCCAATCTTTTGAGGTGGATTCCTCGCGTACTCCATTGCACAGTTTCGAATCTTTAGAATTCTGGTTGCGCTGATCAATTTTCTGGGTTTGATCTTTGAGAAATGCATCATTCCCAATATCGGGGCCAACGTCAGTAGCATAGGCCTCGTCCTCAAAATATTCAAGGTCGGGAGTATTTCGACCATTCATCGATTGTCTTCTCCGGCGAAGACCCATGCCAGAGTGACGTCTCTTGACATGGGGCTTGTTTTCGCTTGAGGCGGTTGAGATTTCGCTGCCCGTCGTTCTGACCGGTTCAAGGCCATATTTCATATCATCGAACGCCGAGGCCGAAGACGCGTACACGCCATTGGCAGTGTCGGAGTTATGTGCAATTTCACTCAGCGGACTCATCTGGGTATTTTCATTGGTCGAGCTGGGCGCCTCTAGCTTTTCCTGTGAGTGCTTTGATTCCTTTGAGTCCGGGCGGGGAAACGGGTTCGCCGAGAGATTGTTTTTTCTCCGAGGTCCATGATGGTTCTTCAACCTTGGCACAGTACTGTGTGAAGATATATGACGGCGATAGTACTGCACCGGAGGCGGTCCAAATACTTCACGGAGAATCTTGTCTTTCAACCCCTCGTTGACCGAGGTATTCCCCCAACTATTGGAATGTTCTGGCAACGATGGTCGCGTGGGCGATTTGTCTTGTTCTTGATCGTCATGCACTTGAGCATTGGGCAGATCGAAACCATTGCTGCGTTGTCGTCCGTGGTTGGGATCAGTACTGCGAGGTCGCTCCGGTAGTGCAAAATAGTTTGACGGAATGATATGCTTGTTTTGCTCTAGAATAACCTGCGGAATGCTGCCCAATTGTTGCGAGTGGCTGACTATTCGTGGCTGCTCGTTCGGCAGTGAGATCGCCGGTATGGAATCGGCGTCAGGTGATTTGGTCGCCTCGGCTAGCCGCCCTTCTCCTTGACGGGGATGTTCAGCCCCAGCCTTATCGTCGAGCCTCGTTTCGGAGTTCGGCACCTGCTTGGGTACTTTGGAGAAGGTGACATTGAGGACGCCAATGTATCTAAGACGGTCAGCATGATCGATCACGTATGCCCGTCTTTGGGCGACACTGGTAAAAACCTTACCTCGGAAGGAATTTGAGCATGTCGGGGTGTCTATGCTCAATCCGTTCATAAAATTCATTCTCCCTGTTGTTCAACTGCTTGCAGACGGCTCGACGAGAAAATCGAAAGATGGTCGAATGACCTCCAACTTGATGCTTATATGGTTCCAGAACGACTTTTGCTTTGGTGTTCGGTACATGAACCTCGCTAGGCCTTTTAGCAAGTGTGCTGCTCAGTTGTGTCGGCGTGGTAGAGATATCTTCTGCGTGACTCTGTTGACCGAATTCATCTGGGGATTCCATCTCGGACTCTGAGGTGCTGACGACAGCTGTAGAAGGGGTCTCTTCAACCGGAGACAAAGCGGGAGTCCCCAGGTCTGCAGTCGCCTCATCGTGAGGATGATAATTTCCATGGAAGATCTTCTTTTCATTCCTTGACACGACTGAGATGTCAATGTGTTCAGTACTCCTGGGTGGTTCCAGGGCTTTATTCTCAGGCATTTCAAGACTCTCTGGTGAAATCACCGGTGGACGAAGATTGCCGACATCGGGAGCCACCTCGCCAGGAGAGGTGAATCGTTCGATTTCTTCGGGCGATGGCCCCGGATGAGGATAGTAGACGGCAGCAGAAATGTGTTCCTCCTCATCTTCACGGGTGGTAGGGTGATAATCATCAACAGCGTCAAACTTGTGCGGTTGCTCCGACTTGGCCGCGTCAACGACCTTGCCAGACCGAAGTTCGTCGGCTGATCTCGACCTGTAGGCTCCTTTGCTTTCATCCAACAATTTCGGAGGGACTGGTGGCTTCTGGGAAAGGTCTTGTTGGCGAAAGTAAGGATCATGTTCAGGCTTGTGTGGAGAGGCAGCCGCTGCACCTCGAAGGCTGGCAGCGACACTGGCGTCCCGAGATGACGGGGCGACAGTGTCAATAAAGTCCTTTGAACCTCGACGAGCGGTTCGGCCGGTCAGGGAATCTTGATGCACGGGACTTGTAGGCCGGGAAGATGACTTGGACGGTTCCCTGCTTGCACCAGCCTGAGAAAATTGTTCCCCCAGAGCAAACATTGGTGGTTGGGAACCGGTCCGAGGGTCAAAGATGCCCATCATATGACTCGCCTTCCTGCTTCGAGCCGTTCCACCAGTCTCCGGGTTCTTGACTGTGGCTTCAATGCTCTTGTCAACATGGGCCCGACCACGACTGACGCTCCGTTCTGTCCGAGGACCCTCTTTCAGTGCTGTTCTCATGGCGTCGTCTCGATCAACAGCAATGTGCTGAGGGCCATCATGTTCCGACCCACCCTGGGCGTTGACGGTTGTTCCACCAAACGGGTCCTGTTTGTTACTCTGTGTGTCGTGACCCTTGACATCTTGGCCTTCCATTGAGTCAACTGTAACGTGGAATTTTTTCGCCCACGAATGCCCATCGGAAGCTATTCGTCTGATACCATGTATTGTGCCCGTGGACGGGCGGGACGGGGATGAGGCGGCGTCTTTGTCGGTGAATGAATCTGATCTCCGGAGCCATTCATATTTCCGGGGAGTCTGAGGACGAGATGTTTTGGAGGACTCCGGAGGGGAGACAGGGTGAGTGACCATGGTAGACATCGTTACAGGGGCCTTCCGCAGATTATTAGGAGTCGGGGTTATTCTTTCTGGAGAGGAGGAAGGATCGCTGGCATGAAGGACATAATGGTCGGCAAAGATACTGTCTCTTTCTGATAATGGAGGAGTTTGCTCGCCCAAGGTGGCTGTCCGGTGGAGACTGTTGTAGTGAGAGCCTCCGGCTTTGCCATTGTATGTCTGCTTTCCTTTTGTCCCCCGTGAGATTGGAATGGGTTTGGAGTTCGACGAGGGACTTGTTGTAGTTAAGGTAAACCCAGATTCATGGCGGAGGAGAGACTGTCCATTTACCGTTGAGGCAGGCGCGGAGGGTCTTCCGGCGGGTACGCTATTTGACATGGGGAGGACATTGGGCGCGCGGTTGGGTGACAGGGATTCTTGGGCGTGGAATGATGATTCGCTAGGAATAGTCGACGGCAGGGTGGGAAGGTAAGGAAGCGAGAAGAGAAGCAAAGACGTCGGGCAGTGCTGAGAGAATCAACGTGCTACCAACGGAGGTTCGTAGAAGGACTTATGGACTGGGAGTGCCACGGAGGAGAGGATCCGAGAGAGGCGGTCTGCTGAAGATGTGCTGTGTGCTGGGCCATGCGACTTGAGTGAGGATGGGTGTCGAGCAACACGTGGAGGAGCGAGAGGCTGAAGGTCAAGAGAGGTGGTGATTCGGTGAGCGAGTGTTTTGAATGGATAGTGAAGATGGGTCTCCGACTGTGCACGGTGCCAGTGGCAGCGATGATTGTTATTGATGTGTCTGGGTACGGAGCTGGGTATGGGTTTGGGTATAATGGAGTGCCGGTGTTAGTGGTGACAGTGTTGGATGTCATTCTATTTCCTCTGCAAAAGTTTCGACACCGGGAGTGAGGATGGTGGCGGCGAAATAGACTTGGTGAGTGACTGGGGTGGAGGGCGACGAGAACAGAGACTGGTTGGAAAGAGAGAAAAACTCTCCGTTCTCTGTGCAACCATGACGTCCCCTCCCCTAGAGTTGAGGACTTCCCCGTCAACTCTACGCCCTATCAGCGCCCCAGCTCCATAATTCCATCTCTCTCAAGGTACAGTCTCACTACAAGTATGTATTTCGCCGTACTCAACAGCTTCTGTCCCTGGAGCTCTCTTTTCCCTCCCTTACCCCTGTTTTCTTTTGTAAACTATAACTATTTCACATACCGTTTCTTTGCTCCCTCACCCTCCCAAGAAATGTTCCTTGACGAAGCATTGACCCGATCGCAGGGGCCTGCGGCATATTCCTCATCTCCCACCAATCCTACGGACCAATCCCTACACACAATCTTCGCACGTTGCAGACCATGCATATCAAACTATCACAGCCGGGCAGCGGAAGACCTTGCCCGCAAACACCGTCGACCACGATTGTGAAGCCACGTAATTCGGTCCGAGACCGTGGCACAAATATCCTCAGTATTCCGCCGCCCAAATTCTGTCCCGGACCTGGTCATTCAGACCTCAACCGTTAACAAAAATGCTCGGCAAGATGACATGGGTCTGCATACTTGGACCAAGACAGGTCAGACCTTGAGGTTAACATTGAAACCACAGGGTTCGCCCACGTGTGCATAGCCGCGTCCTGGTGTCAGACCATGTCCCTTTTTCTACGACCTAATGAGCCTTGGCGGGGGCATAGACTATCATGAAATTTCGTGGCTAAGAGAAAAAAAGGGGGGAGAGAATAATAATCATAATACGAGGACTTTCCGTGCAATGTGCATTTCACCGTCTACCGCTATGTATGCTGCATGACCACCACTCCCCGAACCAACAGCCCTGCACCTGCATCGATGGACACAAAGATGCTCGAGAGTTACACAGAAAATTTCTCGCCCACCAGAGTTCTCGCCCAATGTCCACAATTCCTCCGAATTCTCCTGGTTCCTCGCCCAGACCACGGCATCTGTCAATTGACAAAGTCGTCCAGGTATACATTGTCGCCAGAGTCGCTCGGAGTTGGCGACTTGGGATCTGGCGCCGTAACCAGTTGTCGTGGAGGATCCTTACTCAAGTGAACTTGAAACCTCCCACTTCTTCTCGTCCCGCAACAAATCTCTTTCGTGAACTCGTCATCCGTCTGCCGCCCGGGTGCAAGGCGTAATACTTTGATGCGATATTTCTTGAACAGCCGTGTGGTGAGTCCGCGAAGAGAAATGTTGGCTGATTTCGATTGACGTTGTGCGACAAACGGATTGTACCGACCCCCCGTTTGCATGTCGAATAGCGCCATCCTGTCAATGTTTTGCCCGCTCACTCTCCAAAAGCTCTTCTTATTCTTTGGTGAGGTTCAAGTCAGAGTACCGAATTGGCGAGAACATCGCGCCTTGAGACGATACATTGATGATTCTGACAGCATCCACAGGCGAGCATTTCGCTGCGGCAACAGATTGACGAACAGGAAATGACCGATATGATTGGTCGCAGATTGCATCTCAATATTGTCTGCTGATTGTTGATGCTCTTGGATCCATAACGCCCGCATTACATATGACAACGTCAACCTTTGGAACATCTGGATATGCCGTCATCTCCCCAGCTGCTTTTCTCACCGACATTAATCTTGAAAGGTTCAATTCCATGTATCTGCACTCCAGCTCTGGATGGATGATTTTCATTTTATCGATTACTACTCGGACTTTGCCCTTTGATCCGCGCGTGAGAATGAGGAGAGCCGGCTTATGGGCGGCCAGTGCTTCAGTGGTGCTCTAATCCAGGCCATTGGGCGATACTCTGGGTGCTGAGGAGCGTCTTGCCTTTGATCTGGGTTGAAAAGGCGGCAGCGGCGGTTGATGCCTCGCTTCATTTGGTGAACCCTGGATGGGAAGCCATCTCGATCGGAATGTGATGGAATGACTCCAGTAAGTGGATTATCTGACTTTACTCGGCTTAAAGGAAAGGTGAGCGTTCTTTATCATGGTTGAGTCCATCACAGCGACGATGAAGGAGTCTTGATTCACTTCTGAAAACATCAAATTTTCAGACGATGCCCCCATTCGATCAATGATCCCATGGGAAACATACTACATCCTTCGGTTATAACACAGATTCAAGCGGTGCAGGAGGTAGAATTCCCCCAGTCCAGTTTGAAGGAATTGTTTTAGACCAGTAGTAACGAGTTCCCGGCTCAAAGACAGGGTGCCAGCGTCTTGCATAGGTTAGCTTGTCGTGCTAGTGGTTTTATTTGATGCGACATGGGGTTTGACATCTTTCGAACCCGTTACCTTGCGTCGAGGGAGGATTAAAGCCCGACGAGGCTGGACCGCCAATCAATCAATCGAGGCCATTCGCTTTCCGTCGAGGCTGGCCGAGTCGTTGGTGGAGTGGCAGGTAATGTATAATCGTGGGTGATCCAACAACATGCAGATTCCGTGATCTTGCAATTATCGGGGGCTCTGTAGAGCATGCAATGTCGATTCATTTGGAAGATTGTTGTCACGTGATGGAGGCGGCGTTGTTGTAGCGGCGTGAAGCGAATGTATGAGCTAACCAAACCTATCCGCTGGATTGGCCGCTTTATTGTAGCCTAGCGTCAGCCAGATATCTTGGCAGAAATCCCCAGCTCTTTCGTACTCACGTGACTGACTTCCCGCGTCGGATGGGGGCGCGTCTCGCTCAACAGTGACATTATTCATGCAAGAAGGTTGCAAACTGATACCGTGCCATGTGCTCCATTTCAGCTTGCTTCAATGCCGCCCGAAATAGCAGACTCGGATGCCGAATCCGACCTCATTTCGCCTGTGAAGCAATCCATCATTCAAAACGGTGGAGTTGAAACGGCCGCAAACCCAAGCCAATTCTCGCTCACCGGTTACGATTTCGGTCAATACTTAGATCCTAACCAGAGATTGTCGTCCCTCTCTCCACGTATCGATAACGGTGTTGAAGGCATATCCGAGGGCTATGCGAATCATCCAAATCGTACGTCTGAGCACTTGGATGAAAGTGCGCTCAACAATGCTCCGATCCGTGCTGGGGAAATCTCGCCTGCGGTTCGGTCAAAGAAGAGAGCCCACAGCACTTTGCAAGACACCTCGAATAATTTAGGGACCGATATTGCTGAGGAATTCTCGAAACCCAAAAGATCCAAGACGTACGGATCGTCCAGATCTCGCGCAGTGGAGGATATCGATTTGTCCGCCATGCCTGTAGACGTTACGCCAGAGGTTGGGAAATTTGATTCAGCCCGTCCAACACGAAGCCAAAGAGACCACTCCGTATCAAATGTGGGACAGTCTTCAACAGAAATGCAGCTGCATGGTTCGACGACTCTTCGACATTCGAATAGTGGAATTGGCCTTACGGGACAATCTCTCAGCGACGCAACGCATCGACTAACTACCACGGTGGCTTCTATGGGGCGATATGAGTCAATCACTCTAGATTTCCGGGGTTCAGGCCAAGGACTAGACATCACTGCCAACCCCTTCGGATCGTTGAGTCAGGTGTCTTTGGATGAAGACCCAAAACCAGCTGAAACTGAAAGATTTGTGAGCATGTTCCGACCTCACGACGACTTATTGAACCTAGAGAATGCCAATCATTCTCTCGTATCAAACGAGACTCCGCAACACTTACCTTTATCTGCCCTTTCGCAGTCTTCGCCGGACCGACCTTCAGCCGTCGATCCTTCTCGCCTTATGTGGAATGACGGAGCCACACTTGAAACAGCAGCTGGCGGCGAACTGCAGGAAGGTGCAACCACAACAAACAGACCTGACACGGATGGCCCTTCGGAGAGTGTTCTGACAAATCCAGACCAAATCCAACCAGAAAAGGGCGGACGAAAAGCGAAGAACTCCAGGATTCCTTCACTGTCTCCAGCGCCTGGCGTAGTGGAAGATTTTGGCGATCTCGCATTAGCAAATCTACCTCGTCCGGACGGATCCCGACAAGGGACTATAGACCCTGTATCTCAAGCCTCCCAAGCGTCGGCCATCAACAACACCACTAAGAAACGAAAGAGACGGAAATCAAAACAAGGAGTTGAAGAGGAGGACTCGGCAATAAAGCCTATTGAAACCTCTCCCGTTAAACAACCAACAAGCGAGCTCAACCTTGGCGATGAAGCATTGATAGGGTTACCGAAGGAATCATATAAACCCCGTCCGAGTCGGTCCCGGTCCAAGAAGATGGTGGAGGAGGAGACAACCATCTTCCCTCCTTCGCTCTCAGAAACCGAGCATGACACGTCAGCCACCCAGAAGAATGCAGGCCTCCCAGAACCTCAAGAGCACACGCTTTCGGCGGGCCCATCGAAGACCGGTGCAAAGAAATCAGGCCGAAAAAGCAAAGTCAAGCGCGCAAAGACCTCTGCTGCAGCCTTGCTCAAAAAGGCCGACCCAATGATCAGCGAGGGGGAGGAAGATGTGGTTTGGATGGATGCAAAACCAGCACCTGTGAAATTGGACTTGCCGCCAGATGTTAAGGTGCTGAAAGAGGAAGCTGAAATTCCTGAGGAAGAAGGCCGAGAGGTCGAGGCTAGCAATACACACCTTAAAGGAGATAATGCAAATAACAGCAAAATTACGATCGGAATACCACCGGCCGCAGAGACAAAGGACGTTAAGAGCGAACCAAAGAAACGGGGCCGGAAACCAAAGAAAGTCCAACAAAAACCCGAACAGGAATCCGATGAAGCAGAGGAAGATCCAGATTTAAATGCTCGACCAGCTCTTACGGAGAAGTCACCGAACATGGCCGACGTGGTCCAACAAGCACCCGCTGACGCAGATTCCAGAGGACCGACGACAACACCAGCTCCTTCGTCTCCCGAAGCTCCACCCGATCAAAAGTATCCAGAGAAAGAAAACGCCACTGCTTCAATCACAACGCCCTCCAAACTCTCCCCGCCGCCCAAAAAAGGACCCACAAAACACTCGCCCATCAGCTCACTTGCTGGATCAAATGGGAAGAAAATCATCTATCGCATCGGTCTGTCCCGACGGCAGAACATTCCAAGCCTTCTACGCAAAGTGCAGCGAGACAAACCGCCACCAAAGATCGTCATTCGAAAAGAAAAGGAAAACAAGAAGAACAAGGAGGTGGTTGGGGATGGAGATTTCGATGGGGAAGATGAGAATGGGGATGGCGAAGGCGGGAGTAGAGGCGAGTTGAGAGGCCCGGATGGCATGTTGACTGAATGGGATGATTGATGAGAATTGGGATTCATGGGCCAGCGACGACGAATTTGCACGTACGACCATGATTCGAATTGGCGTTGTATCGAGTACCGACCTCTCCTCTTCCAGACGCAATTCCCTGTCCGCAATGGCCATGTTCGTCCTAAATCTCAGCCAAGCACAATCAGCGGTGCAGTACGAATTGCTCTGGACCGCTCGGGTAGAACGTTACCCTGACCTAGTAAACGTGGTCCCGAACACATGCGGCGACCAGCTCCTGTGGCTTAATACGTAATGTGGCCCGGGAGCACAAAAAGGACACCAGGCCCGGGACAAGGAATCAATGTTGAATTTGAGGGGGTATACGTTCCGTGCTGCATGAATATTGTCAGTAGTACTACAAAGAGTAAGGTTTACCGGTACCACATGGGTGGTATGTTAATTAAACTGTGACGATGTCAATTGAGGTCAAATGAACAGGTAGAGACAAAAAAAATTTGATACAAGGGCACGATACTTCCTGGTGCTATGCTGCGTACCAACTAGTCAAAATGCGCTTTTTGGATGAGAATGGTCCATATTTATTTCTGATCCGGCATGACTTCTCCCGCCTCGTAGTCCAGCCCGTCCTTAAGAGTCGCCACATCGTCGTTACTCCCAACCAAGACATCTCGCGATGTTGTTGCACATATCACTTCCGGTACTCCCAAGAACCAGTCGTACGAGATAAGAGATCGGGCTGGTACGTAGTCCCTCAGGGCCCACGGAGCCGACCCAAGAGTTTGTGTCGAGGAAAGCAAGCCTGCCAGTCTGCTGAGCGTAATGACATGGGAAATGCAAGGAACGAGGAGACAGAGTTGAGAGTTGAAAAGGGCTCTGAACTCGGTTGGGACATGGTTCTGTACTTCCTCAGTTGGGACGGATGTTGCACCGCCCTTTTCGTTCGTCTCATATTGAGCTGCCACGGCAGTATCTCCAGTCGGGATAGTGTTGCTTTTGATACTAAATGACGCCGTGTCTAAAAGGTGTATACTTCGGGTATCAGTCGGGCCATTCAATTCAGAAAGCTCGAGGAAGACATGCTCCTGGTTCTCATTAGCCTTGTCCTGCATTATATCCTTCAATTGTAATCGCTCCGTGACCGTTGCAACGAACGAGACTGATGCAATTTGTGCACAATCACTCCAGGAACAGACATGCGCAGCTGACATCCTCAATGCATATTACTTGGTGCGGCGACTGCAGGTGTGGAATCCGTTTGTGAATGTCCGATCTGTCCCAACATGTCCGTACAGCGTCCTGCTGACCATTGATGTTCCATTAGTGATCCGATTTCGGATTGAAAGAATCAATTTGCCTGCTCCCTCACCGACCAGAATCTGAGTAATAGACTTGCCACAGTCCAGGTGGGATTGAAATAGGGCTTTCTCAGCAACCCATCCGTCTCGGGGTGACTTCTTGAGATACCACGCAAAATTCTTATTCGATTTGTCGGCGCTCATGATTGCGTTATTCTGCGGCTACTATGCGTCGTCCTCGCCGCAGGCTACAATGTCTTCCTTGGGATGTAATGCTATAGTAGTAATCTTGATTTTGAATCAGAGGGAGCTGCCTCGATAGGTGACATGGCGATGCTCTCGCTGGTGTCGTCTCCAACAGAGTCTCGAAGTGGAATTGCAGCCTCCCATATGTTACATTGCGAGCCTGGAATGTCGGCAAAGTAGAAGTTACCTTTGCTGAAAGCCAACTTTTTGGTGAATAAATTGGAAGATTTGACCCTGTAGAGCAATCTTATGTTGTCAAATTCGTATTTGAACGATTCCTGACGCCGCAGCTCCCCAAGCAGGCGTCCGTTTGGGCTAGCAGCCAGCCAGCGTGTGATATTCAGCTCGACGGCTCGCATCCTGGAAAGGATCAAGGACCATAAGCTCCCCATTAAGATAAGATACGACAAGAAGCTCAATGGCGGAGCTCGGATTGAGTATCAACGATGTGACTATGTGTGTGATTAGTCGACTATTGGTCAGTCTTTCCCAACAGCTCCCATGGCCGATCAAGTCAAAGAAGGAAAGACGTGGAATTTCGATCGCGGAATGTACTGAATAATTATAAGGCATCACCGCCTATAAGATAGTTAGAAAGCAAAGTCCTGCTGCAACGCAAATATTTGAACTTGATTGCAGATACTAATAGTGGTGAGGGAGGAAGGCTGAGGAACTCAGGGGGACATTTGTTAGCTAATTTATGACTAAGTGCAGTGCCAAGCAAGTATTCGATCCTGCTGCCAAAAGTTCGAGCTGGGCCACTAGAACTTGCACCTGAACTCTCATTCAAGCAACTATCATTTACCAACGTTGCATCTTGATAATTCGGTCTTCATCAACGTCTTTGTGAGCCCGGTAATAAACCGCGCTGCATCAAATAGAACTCGAAACCACAGCAAAACCATCGAAAAGCCGTCAAAATGGTCAAGTTGGAAGAACTCGAAGACGAACACTTCATCAATAAGCCATCTTCAACTTCTGACGACGCTCTTCTCGTGGAAGACGACGACGATTACACAGACACGGGTACTTTTCTCGCTCTCTCTTCCTCGTTATCTTCATTTCTTCCTCATTACTAACGCTAACACTCGCGCAGAAAGTGAAATCTCAGACGACGGCTCAGACAACGCTGCATTGGACGAATCCCTTCTCGACCGCCTCAGCGCACTCCGCGACATCATCCCACCTAAGACTCGCGCGCGTATCACCTCGCTGTCCTCCTCACTGTACTCCGCCACGAGCACAACCGTCACATACTCGGGCAAGGGTCTGTGGGTGCTCGCCACTAGTATCCTGTTGCTTGGAATACCCTATGCATTGGCCCTGGGCGAGGAGCAGCAGTATATTGAGGAGGAGCGCCAGCGCAGTATGATGGCCGAGGGTGCACAAGGCATAGTACAACAACCGGGAGCTGAAGGTCAGGCTAAGCCGGCTTTGTAGGAGTATGACGGGGCGATCGTCTTGAGTGAGAAGAGAAGAGCTGTGCACGGTAATACATATAGAATAGGGGGGAGCTGGAGCAATGAATTGTACACAACACACGAAACCAACATCTTCTGCGTTCCGGGTGTACGGGCTATTTTGTCCTCGACTGAGACAGGTCGGTGTGCAGCGCAAACGGCAAAGTGGATTGAATTATTATCTCGTCTCTAAAAATTTACGTCTCGCTGAGAAATTCCCACTCAGCTGAATGTATTTCTGGATTCTGGATCCTGGCTATGTTCAAAATGCCTTCAAAATTGGGTGGGGAATGGAATGGAAATGAAATGTCTGTCTCTCCACTTTCTGCTATTAGCACGGGCACGAGCACGAGCATGAGCACGGAAACGTACTGCCACGTACGTAGTCTCCATCTCTTGTGGTATCCAGAAAAAAGCCCAAAGAAAAACATCCTTTTCCAAAATCTGCCGCATCTTCAAAACCTGGTTATTACGCCGTCTGGCATCGCACCTGGATTCAACCCGAATGTCAAGCTCAAGAATCGGCGTCAACTTGCGTCTCATCCACCCTCTGGATCTGTATCCTCCACATAGGTAACGTGAAGCCGATCTTGATTCCACTCCTTGACCACACCATTACCCTTAGGCCTAATGGCGCCAACGCGTCCTTTGGAGGCGAGAGCCCCTCTTGTCGTAGTCTTCCATACCCAGCCTCGCGTCGTTGAGATCATTCTCGAACTCGGCCCAGAACTCGCCTATGACGCCCGTCTCCTGCATGTTGTCGACAATGTTCTCTGCCTCCCGCTCGCGTTTCTTCTTGTTCATCTTGTCGCGCGCAACAATCGCCTCGGCAGACAAGACACCCTGCATATCTAGATATGTCATCAACGAGTCGTTCAGATGGTATTTCCAGTGTGTCAATTTATGGCCCATTTCGGCATTGGCGGCGCAGAAGCGGCCAAGGTAGAAGCGTTGGTCCTGCGAGGGGAGGGCATGGCCGTTTTCGTCACGACTGACATCGTCATCGTAGCCGTCTCCTTCATCATCGTCCGAGTTGTCGACAGGCTCTAGGGTCTTTTTGTAATATGGTTGGCCTGAAAAGACAAACTCGTACTGTGCGGGATGATTTGTTCTATTGCATGCATCACAGTCGCGTATATTATCTTCGGCAGAACCTGGTAGAGCCATGACTTTCATGTTCGGTCTTGCCAGAATGGCTCGTTTAAATTCTGTCCCCCATGCCGCCGAGATTAGTCGGCTCCCCGCTTGCGCTTTGACTTGATCATCCACACGATCAAAGGCAAGGTTGTACAATTCGTCGTTGCGGGAGAAGGCCGGTGCAATTTTGTTCTTGACCAGCCATTCAATAATATGAGGGAAAAGTTCTCGTGGTTTTGCCGAAGCAAAGGACGTGAATTGTAAAGGGATGTCGGGGTGGGGCCGACCAAGTCTGCCTGTAGAGTCCTCAACGACAAAGTCCTCGTCGTCTCCAACTTGTTCGTCCTCTGGTTCTTGGTCCGTGTCAATGGAAGAATGCGCCGACCCTGGGTCCGAGACATCATAGCGTGGATACCGAATGAAATCTATATCTGCACCAGCGTCTGAAATTTCTTCCTCTTCTTCTGAATCCTCGACGCGCGGTATTTTTTCTCCCGCTCGCCGCCTCTTTAAAAGGTCAAAATGCTCTCTTGCCTCGTCACGTTGGGTCGTCACAGGGCCACCTCTCGTGCGAGTCTGGATTACACTGCCCTCCTGGTCGGAATTTTGTAAGTCTCGCAAATCCTCATCAAGTTCGTCTTGTTCTTCTTTACTCCTCCGGCGAGGGGTTCTTGGTGACTTGTGGCTTGTAGAAAATTTGCGAGATTTCCTTGGTTGTTCCTTCACGGCGTCATCATCATCATCAGAAAGATATTCTACTTCACCGTCGTCGACAACGAAAACGTCCCCACGTATCTTCTTTCGTCCCCTTCTTGTTCTGGGATGGGGGACTTCGTCGTCTGAAACATATTGTATTTCGTCATCATTAACTATGAAAGGATCCTTCTTCGTAGCGCTGGACTTGCGTCTTGAAGCGGTTGGCCTGGACGCCATTATAGCATCTCCTTCATCGCTACTTTCCGGCGATCCAATATCAGAGAACCTAGACGATGGCTGACGTGTAGGGGTTCGGATCTCCACTGAGGCAACGGTATGCGAAGAATCTGATGGACTGGACTGCACATATCGTGGTATTGATTTGCGTCGCAACCTCCCAGATCGCCTCGTCAATGGTGAGTTTTGTTCATCACGTTGCGATGGCGAGCCTGGGTGCAGCCGCGCCGATCGTCTTGTAGAGCTGAATGCCGGCCCCGAAGACATGGCTGATAATATCTTGCGTCTCTTTTGAACAGATGAAATAAGATCATCTTCATCCGACTCATCATCTATCTGTGTTCGAACAGGTGAAGAAGGGGATGAGGTGTGAAGGGGTGTCAGGGTAGCTCCTAGACAGTTCCGGTTAACTTCATGTCTCTCAACAGGGTCGTCGATCATTTGAGACTCACTCTGATCTTCATTCTGCAATTGAGAGGAGGGTTCCGGTGTGGGTAGAGTTTGTGTCTCTCCCGTTTCACTTCGAGCATCATTTATATTATGTGGCAAGCCTCTGTCGGTCCCGTATCTGGCACTCACTAGTCGGTCTTGCACTGCTTTGCCATAATTGTCTTTCCCCGGGGAGGACGAAGGGAGCGGCGAGAACTGTAAAGTTGTCTGCTTCTTCTGGTTTCGAAATGGGCGTTTCGGGGCACTTGCTTTGGCTCTGCCAGCCATGGTCGAAATGGGATTGAAGCACAAAGGATGACAGGTTCTAATGGGATCGTAAAGATAGAATGGCAGAAATTTTCATCTCATAGACGCAAAGCTTCATCCGCAAACATGTACAATCATATTTTGGTTCCGTAAGACGATGGCTCAGCATGTTGTAATGGCAATCAGGCTGCAGCGCGGGACAGGTCAATATCAACGCCGTGCTGCGGTGCGCGTTAGGTTGAATCAAGTCACGCGAGTCCACGTGACCTTATTTAGAGTAGCTGTATCTGGTAGAAGGGGCAGAGGGCAGGGGGAATGTGTTCTAACTCCTTGGCATCCCCCGAGCTTTCAGAGCGCACAGGCAAGAAAAGACGGAGTCCTGCGGGCGGATCTACTTCCATGGACCATCTTCATACAGCACTACCGACCTCCTGTACCATGTAACTTACAGCAGATGAATCAGATTACATACTCTCGAAAATGCGCCTCGATCTAGTCGTCCTACCGTTCAAACTCCAGAATTGAAAGAAATACTTGCTAACGTACGTCTCGATCGGTATGGTCGAGAGAAATCCTGCGTAGATATTGCGGCTGGGATTAAGATAGTACCCCCTCAGACAGTGTGGAGAGTTCTGAGCCAAGCCGACTCGCAAACCAGGACTGTCTCCAATACGAACACTGGACAATGGAAGACTGGAAGAAAAGTTCGGTAGTTCCCGGTCATAGAAGAGGTGGTTATCGAGTTTGGAGAAAACCAGATGATACGATCCTACAAGAAGACAACGTACCATCACATGCCTTGATGTATCCGAACATGATTTTCGGTCATGATGGAGCCATCAAGCTTCTATAAAAGGTGCGCCTTCGAAGGCCGCAAACGAGGCACGGATCAAGGCGTGGAATGTGCTTTCTCAACACCTGATTCGGAAGTGGATTGAGTGCGTTGCACGACATATTCGCAAGGTGGTCCAACTGGAAGGAAACAATAGCTATGAAGAAAACTCAAGTATCCCTACAAAAATTCCTTGTAGATATCCCTGTTAGTTCAACGCCACGTCCCTCGGAGGGAGAGACCTTTGGAACCGATCTCCGTAACCGCCTCATGGAACTGAAGTAGAAGGGGTCCATGGAGTGGAAGTGACCTCCGTAGTGGCTCACTTTCAGCGTGAGGCACACATCATGGGCAAATTCTACACCAATGTGAGTAGTGGGAGGCCAATCCACAGAAGACCCGCCATCCCCGTTTCAGTGCCAACTCTCACGTCATTATTTGTGGATGATACCCGGAGAGGAATGGACTCGTGGATCTGCTCCAGTACTGGATAGTTTCACGATTACGATCAGAACAGCTCGGCTTGATGATGGACTCTGAAGATTTTCTAGTTTCGGGACGGCCATTGGGGAATGCTAGAAAGCTTGACTGTTGAAAGATGGCCGGAAAATGCCGCGGTTTTGGGGTGGACTCCTCGCTCGGTTAGTGAATACCGATGGTGTTTGTCGATCTGGGGAACGGTAGCGAACACGCATAAGAGCAGGACTTATTAAGGAATAGAACCGCGAAAAGATGCCAACGTGGTGGAGGACTCGAGGGATAAACTTTCTAGCTGGGGCTGTGGGTCGCTAAGGTCTTGTTTCTGTTTCTTTTGATGTCATGCTTGCTTCCCTCCTCATCGACATCACTATTGTATCATTCTTCTCCAGCATCATGATGATGATGGTCGTCGCTTCTTTTGCTCCTTTGGGCACTCTGTCTTCATCCCCACCGCTGGCTATTCCCCATTCACTCAACCGAAATCCCATCCCACCCGCCTCTCGTCTTTAATGACAAGCTCGAAAGCCACAGTCCTGTCGATCCCTTCGATAAATTGGAGTGAGATCACGACCAGCCTCAGAGATCGCGCCGAAGCTGGGAATTGGACCGCTACTGTTTGAGGGCTTGTGCCACCGAGCGAACAACTCATAGTGACGATTGACCAAGTGACAAGCTGAACGCTCGTACAGATGATTCTGCGACGCCTGATGTATTACATACCCCCTCTTAAGCTTCCGCACATATACATCACCTTCTCTCCCCCTGCTGCTGAAACTTTCATCTTTCATACTTCTTCTATGATATCTTAGTCTCAGCACCTTACTGCCTGTGATACTGGCTGAGCCTGTGACTGATTGAACCGCTTTTCTTCTCTGTGATACCCTGCTTTTCATCTTGCCCAACTGATCAAACGTCATCATGTCCACAATTAACCGCCCCACTGACACAGCCCAAAAGGAGAAAGACATCAACCAAAAACTCCAGCTTTACGGAATCTACCAGGCCTTTTCTAACGGAAAAGCTCCCTCCAACAAGCAGATCGATGTTGCCCTGAACAGTGCTCTCGAGTCCAAAGCTCTGTCCTCGCCCTCGGGAAAATTGTCCGAAGACGGCCGCAAGCTCGTTGCTGATCTCAAGGAGGTTATTCGGCAAGCAAAATACTTGCTCCTGACCAAGAACGAGGGAGATTTGCTTCAGGAGTTTGTCTGGGACACACGGCATTTGGATGGTGGTAGTACTAAGCTTCCGTCCGCTCCTACGGACAAGGCCACCGCCCAACAACACGGCAACGAAGCACTCGATGGCCTCAAGACACTTGGCAGACTCGTCCTCTCCAACGGTCAATTCCGCAAGCTTTTGAACGATGCCACTATTCTCATCCGAGACATGGCTGGCGATGCTGCTCAGAGCGCAGCCAACCGTGTCAACCCATCCCAGGAGCAATTGAATCAAATCGATCGACCTGCTGAGGACAACACCTGGCACGATGTACCTGGTTGGTCCAAAGAAAACTTGAAAAACCAGGCACGTGCGGCGTATGACAAGAACAAACCATTCAGGAAAGAGCAGGTGCAGGAAGCGATAAACGAGGGCCTCGATACTGCCCAACCGCAACCAACTCAGGACACTCCAGAGGCTGGTCGTGTTGGAGTCGCTACTGTGACCGAGAATCTCAAAAGGCAAGCTAAAGAGAACATTCCTGATGAGCGCCAGGAGGATGCAAAGAAGGCAAAGAGTGCCGCCATGCAACATTCCAAGGACTATTGGAATAAGAAAATGCCTCAAGAGCGTCGCGATCAAACTATCTGGCGGATGAAGAAGATGGTTGCAGAAATTCAGGGCCATTCCGATTGTGAGTTTTGCTTGTGACATCATCCAAAGGACAAATTGACTAACGATGGCATCAAGATCAACAGGCAATTGAAACACTGTTGACCCTGGCTGAAACATACGGCGGCCATGCCAATAATTTGTTTTCACAGTCCACTGGAACTGTCCAAGGTGCCCATGATGACATTGGCCTGAGAAGTGCCGAAGCTAACCTCAAGGTGTGTTTAGGAACCTTCAGCGGCAACAGGGCGACGCTGACAAAATTGAAGACTCTCATTGAACGTTTTGCCAACTCCACAAGCACCGACGATTTCTTTGATTCCCTCAATGACGTCTACAAGGATGCCGAGCGTGATCCAGAGCTCAAGAATTGGTTCAAGCGGATTGACAAGTTTGTTCGCAAGTGCCTCCAAGAGCAGGGTTTCATTGTTCAAGACGCGGCCAACGAGGAGTGGAACCGTCTCTACGATCAAGGCCACTTCCTTCTCCGCGAACGCTACCGAAATCGTATTGACCGCATTTTGAATGAAATCAAATTCCTTGCCGATCAATTCGATCAAGATCCTCAAAACAAGACATTCGGTCAAGCGGTCCAGAACTTCTTCCTGGATCTCGGAAATGACGAGAACGGCAAGCACAAGTTCAAGAAAAATTTGGTCAAGGATTTGACCGAGGTCATCATTCCCGGCATCTTCGAAAACACTCGCTATGTACCAATTCCTCGTATTGAGGTTGCCGACCCCATGATTGATGCCGTCGTCGATAACTTGGTCATTGAGAGCGACAATTTATTCCCCAATGTCCTCGAATTTGGGAGTGACAACTATTTCCGCATGGGACGAAGGGGAATCAAGAACAAGAAAGAAAACAAAGTCATGATCGCCGGATCGGGCATCCAAATGGACTTGCGGGATGTTGCGTACTACGTCAAGAAGAAACGAGGATTCCCGTCAATTACTGACAAGGGTGTCATGGACATTTTCCTGGGAGGAGAAGGTTTCAGCTTCAAGATTGCCGCGCGAAATGCTCAGCAATCTGACCGTGCCCATTTTGTTGCAGTGGACAAGGTGGACGTGACTCTCAAAAATCTCAATGTCAAGATCAAGCAATCTAATCACAAACTTCTCTTCACCATCGCGAAGCCCTTGCTTCTCAAGACGATACGTCCGGTCATCCAAAAGGTTTTGGAGAAACAGATCAAGGAGAGCTTCATGCAGGCAGATGCTTTTTCCTACGGCATCCACCAGGATGTCCAACGTGGTGTTGAGGCAGCCAAGGGAGACCCAGAGAATGCCGCCAATATTTACCAATCTTATATCCACGCTGTCCGGAAGAAGATGGCCGAAAAGAAGACGATGGCCCAGGAGGTTACCTCCAAAACCAACGTTAACATGGCAATGACCCAGCAAGATTCCATATTCAAGCACATTTCTTTGCAAGGCGGTATTTCGACCAAGGCAACCGAGTATAAGGAGCTTGCAGCCAAAGGTGACAGATGGGAATCCCCCGTCTTTTCAATTGGAAGTGCCAATGAATCGACCGATATTCCAAAGCTCACCCCACTCAGCCGGAAACCACACAGTACAGCCAATGGCACAATTCGTGGTGGCAATCATCCAAATTCTGAGGGCAGTGTGGCCAACACCACCACCACGGGTCCTTCTTCGGGATTCAGCAATCAGGTCGACCATGCTTTTGACACCCAGAAGGTCAACACCGCGCCAAAAGTGACCAACGCAACCGCCAACATGTCCAATGGAAGTACAGCAAAGACATACTAAGGTGGTGTCACACAACACTGGGGACATGGGGCAAGGAATCAGTTTCGGTCTACTTGAGGAATCCAGATTCATGAATATGTGAGCAATTTCTTGATACCCGTTTTCCGTCCATAGTTTTTTGCGTAACGCCTGTGTACCAAGCAATAGGATGGGAGGCCAATGATAGAAATACTCAATAATAACTTGAGAATGAGAACATGCGGTCTCGTCTCCATTTGCTCACGTGACCTTCGTGTTTCTCTACGCGTGGCCGCGTGACATTCGTGTTGGGCGGTTCATTTTTGTTCGACATGCAAGCTTCGACTTTGGATCTCAGCCATTTTAATTACCGTCCCAGCGACCGCCTTCTTTGTTTTCGCTGTCCTGGTTGTTGATTTGATTCTTCTCAGCGTCGTTGGTCACAACGGTATTCATCAGTTTCCAGACCTCAGCGTGGTTTTCTATAATTCGGCCATGCCGATTGTCAAATCCAAGGTTCCAGACTACCCGAGACCAGTATCACCCGTATTCGCCGATGAGATCCCTATTTGTGACGACACGATAGTCTATTGCGATGAGAATGATGACGTCGAAAAAGATGAAAAGCAGAGAGCTGCTAAGAGGCGGCGGATTGAGAGCTACGCCACTTCCTATCTGAGAGGCGAGCAATTGTTCATTCTCACGGCCCAACTGAAAGGCCCCTTTGGCGATGGCTGGCAAAACCCCTGGGCAAAGAGGAAAGAGATAAGCGATGACATTGAGAGAGTCAATTCTCCGAGGGTTTGTCCTGAAAGTGCCGGCAAGCCTGCATTACAGAACGTATCCGAATCCTCTAAAACGAGCAAACAACATGAAGGAAGGATGAGTTCATATGCAGGCACACCATGCAAAGAGCAAAAGCTAGGACCATCGATGATAAAAGAGGACAACAGGCCGGCAACAAGTCCGTTCTGGGAGCGACAGAATGTTGACAGGCTTTATGCAGTTGCGCAGAAATCTGATTCCAAGAATCGCAGGGTGGGAAATTGGCTGAAGAGAGGCAGTTCCTCCAAACGACCAGATCATGAGCTCCCAGACTCATCACCAACACCTTTGAAGAGAAATTCGCAATCACAGACGAAGAAGTGGGAGTCTCCGTCGATTAATATTCAGTCCCCTCCGGCACCTGATCCCGTTGGGGCAGTTACGGGCCCACAGCTCCGTCGCCGCTCCAGCACACATGCTTTGATGCCGCATGAGAAGTTTGAGAGAGAAAACTCATCAGTGGTGAATCTTCCGCGCGCAGAAAACGAGGGACCAACAAAGGCAGTGCAGAGTTCTTCATTGGGGGCTGAAGGTCAACAGGCAATTCTCCAAGCAACACCGGCCAACAAGCAGGCTAAACCACCGTCCACAGACGTATGCAGGGCAGAATGTGCCATCCTGCATGTGAAGTGCAAATCGCAACAGACTGACCGGCCTTCAGCTACCTTTCTACCTCGTCGAGATCACGATAGTGATGCTGAGGATCAGACCAACCGGCCAGAGCCAGCTCGCCTCAACCCTAATCCTCTGCCGCTTGCCGACGCCGGGAAACCAGATCTCGATCATTTATCAGAAGTCCAGCCGTTGTCTAAAAGCGATTCGCCTTCTCTGCACCCAGTGCAGGAGGTATCATCGTCCAAGCAAATCGAATCTATCGTGCCACCTTTGTCCAAAGAGATATCAGATGCTAGCCTCACAAACGACTTTCCATCCGCTCAGATTGTAGAACGCTCTCTAGTGCTGTCGGGCTTATCGAATCTGTCGACAGGTCAAATGCTTCGAGAACCATCACATCACACAACCCAAGACGCCGCTGCAATGAGGACCACTGAACAACCTCCAGCACATGAAACAGTCGAAGTGGATATTCCAGAAATCAACAATGAGGCTTCCAATCGCCACAAAGCAGCAACTGGCGAACTTCCAACGCCGCTTGAACAAGAACCATGTGAACCGCCGGAGAAGACGCATGTAGAGTCGGAAAGAAGCTTCTCTCCGTGGATGGCCACAAAGCCGAGATCAGCGAAGACTAAAAAGAAAGCATGTTTTGTCACAGATGAGAATCCCTCGGGCTCTTCTCAAGGTTCTATCACATCGGTATTGAGAATTAAAAAACCTTTTGGACGCAAGCAAGACAAATTCAAGAATTCCAACTTCTCCTTGTCAGACGGATGCGGTGAGAGAGCAGCACCAGGGCCGGAACCATCCTCACTCTCAGATCAGGAGATTATCTCGAAGATATCTCGGACAACAGACCCACCAAGAAGTATCCTCAAATCATCTCTCGAAGCGTCTGCTTCTTCGGGCAATGCTGTCTCTTCTTACCACCAAGATGCGCAACGACCTGTGAAGCCTATCATGGACGATGATGGTGATGGACAGCTCGATGACGACTTTGATCTTGATGCCGCTATAGACGAGTTGGGTAGTTTTCTTGGGACGTGGGATGCGGAAAGGGAAGCTGCGGAGATTGTGAAAGCGTCCGGTTAAGAGGAATTAAAGTGTCATACAGCTGGTTGAGAGGGAGCTGGGCATGGATGCACACGACGCCCGTCGATAAGCACTGAGGGCCTTTGAGAAACAGCTGAACATGAATACAATGAATTGCTCAAACAGCTCAAAGTGGCATATACTTCGCAGCCTTGTAGTCCAGGGCCCAGCCTTGCCAAGTCGGGACCTGGCGTATGCAGCGACCAAGTTAGTATAAGCCGGGTTTTCATGGACTCATTCAGTGCACATGAGCTCTCTTTCATTTCAACTCAACGTATTTAGGGTAGTCAACCATACCTGAGACGGAGCTTTGTGACTATAATTGCAGATCAGATTTATAACCTCATTCTCATCTGGCGCAGCTGGATTCTGCCATCACCTGATGAATTGATTGACAAACTATCTCCCGCATACGCGGGGAGACAGAGACATGGTCTCAGTCGAATCAACCTTGACACAGGCAGCATCTGCACTCTTTGATCTGCCCACTGCTTCACCAGCAGTGAATCTAACTCGTATAGGAGCAGCCACGGCGAACTTAACATCCTCCTTTGTCCTACCTTCAAAAGACCAAGTCGTTCGCATTCCCATTCGGCTTGCCTCTCAAATCGATCGTGCCCTCCTCCATATCTGGAACCACTTTATCCTCGACACCCTTGGGATAAATACCTTGGCTGGAGCCGGCGCAGGTCATACTGCGGTGGGTGGTGCTGGAGCGCAACAAATGGCGGACGCAGCAAGACAACCGGGAGCAGCGCAAGTATTGGGTGATACCGGACCAGAGACCTGGGCGGCCTTTTTTGCAGAAGCCTTTCAAACAAGTACTTTCAAGAGTTATTGGGGGATGCTACACTATCTCACATCAAGATGGGCTTTCACCTGTTTCGCAATGGTAAGTTTGGCGGGGCTCGAACGCAGTAATCAAGCGCATGTTAATGATGGCAGGCTCTTATCCTCAATCGGATTGGTGTTTACGGTGCCTCAAGACAGAGAATACACCTCAACTGGACAAAGCGACTGGCTCTCCGCATCATTCCCATCTTACTGTTCATCACTCAAATCCACCGACTCCTGCAAGCCATCCGATGTCAAACATCTCCCAACTTTTCACTGTACCGCCATGGCGATAACAACAAATACAGCTTGCTGGATTGGTCAACAGATGGTGGCTCGCTGCACACGATTACTTCGACCATTTTATTTCAATCGACCGATGCCGATGCGTGTGCCGCGGTTGGTTTAAGTAGGCCCAGCCCAGAAGTGAGGGCGCCGTACGGGTCATTTTCACTGCTCTGGCCTTCGTTCCTCCGGCTCAGTCTCTCTCATGTTGTGGAAAGCTTGTCATGTTCATTACAGCAGACCCCGATCATGACCGAGGTTGGCATGTCGGTGTTTGAACATTCACTGGCTTTTGCTGAGGCCGAGACCATGATTTCTCACACTCTTGGTCTCGGCCTTTTTGGAACCGCGAAATCCTCTGGCAGCAGTAGGATGAATTCAACCGCAACCGCCTCCCAGCCTACAATCCCCGCGTCCGGCACAATTCTTGCACTGGCCGACGCGACGGCATCCCTGACCGGCCCCCACCTCTTGGATGGCGTTAACGTTCCAGTGGAGATTTTGTTGGTCACATTGCTTTCCTGTTCTAACGCCCTATCTTCCCAGATAATTGCCGTGTTAGGCAAGCAGCGTCAATGGCGTCTTATCAATACCGGAATGTGGGGGATGGCTTTCATGTCATCATTCACTTGGGGCCTTCTCAGCACCAGCGTGATGGTACGGAGTGGTGATGATGGTGACAATCGTCCCGTGAGCAGTCTTTTGCACTTCCCAACCGTGGCCATTGTCGGTTTTCTACCTCACATGGTTATCTTGGTGGGCATTGGGATCTGCTTCCTCATCTACCTGGTTGCTCTTACGTTTACAGCGGTTTCTTTGGGAACGAACCCACATATTCCCCAGCCCACAAGCCTAAACGAGCGTCTCAGTATTGCCCATGACAATTTGCAGGCCGCCGTTCAAACGCGCGGAGTAAATATTCGGTGGCACGAGGATTTCTATACTGCACTTCTTCGCGTTGGGTTCGCTGCCTTGACTGCAGCATCAGAAGCAGTTTTTCTGAATGAAGGCCGGTCAGTTGAAGTACGACAGTTCACCTGGTTGGAAGAAGACAGATTGGACGAATTTGAATCTGCTAGGAGTGAGCGGGGCGCATTCTCGAACAATCAACAATTTCAAATTTTGGAAGAATACGGACTTCCTCCCTCAAGCCCGGGTGGAACGGATAAAGGTGGTGTCTGGGAATCCGGTTACGCTAAGGAACGCAAATTCGATAAAAAGGAAGGCGAACTTGAGAGCAAAGACTCGTTTGTTTATCCCACTCCTCGAACTGGGGGAGTGGGAGCTGTACAACGGACCACTCGATTCTATCTTTTGATGATTTATCTTCGGGGGATCGTATTCCTGATCGGGGGATACATTGGTTTTGGCTTCGGCATTTTACTGGACAGCATTGGAATTACGGCCCGGCCACGCTGGTTGAGGAAGATTGTGGGCCGATCACTGAAGCGGATGAACGCGGAAAGAAATGCAATGAATCATGGTGGCGCTCTCGACTTTTGGTTCCTGACGGAGGACGGAAAGCTTGTCACACCTGGAGATAACGAGGTCGACATCGAACCCGAGCTGAGAAGACGTTTGACAACGGAATTTTCTGAAGATGAAGTGGACGAACTTCTGGATTCGAAGTTATATGACTGGTGGAAGTCTGGAGGCTGGTTCGGTACCAAAGATGATAGTGGTGACTACCAACCATCAACCACGGACGATGTGGATGATACTACCAGCATGATCTCTATCTCGACTGAAGCAAGTGTTGATGCGAACGAAGGCGATGAAGAGAACGAATGGGAGTCCGAAGCCGAAGGCCAGCGAACACCAACTCAGTCGTCGGTAGAGCCCAGCTGGTCATTTTCAGCAATTGATACAAGAGAATCAACACCAGGCGTCACCGACTCACCTCTCGATGCGGCAACACTGGCGAGGCTGTTGAATCCACCAGACAAAGAATCACGCGAAGAAGCGAGAATTCTGGCGTCTCATCTTGCAAGTGCTTCTTCCGACTATCCTTCAGCTGGCATCATGACAAGATCTCGCTATCGTCGCGAAATGGAAAGCGAGAGGGCCAGAGTTCTTCTCGCTGGCCGTACACCACATCCGGCGAAATCTGATTCCCAGTCCCAGTCGATTCATGTCCCAACGATCTCCTTGTACAATGAAGCAAATACCAGCGGCCCACGTCCACTTACATCGACTGAAGAAACTGAAGTCCTTGAATCCCTTATCCTAAGCCGCCGAAGAAAACATGCGCCACCCCCGCGAACCAAGAACGGCATGCAAGACCGGGCTGCCGATGAAGATGAAGATTCGGGGCGGGCGGGACCACCATGCGTTGTGTGCCAGACTGCCGCGCGAACAATTATCGCTTGGCCATGTCGCTGCCTGTGTGTCTGTGAGGACTGTCGCGTGAGTCTCGCATTGAATAATTTTGGGAATTGTGTCACTTGCCGGAGATCAGTCCAAGGGTTTGTCAGGCTCTATGTGCCTTAATTGGCGGAGAAACATGGACGGTTAAGGGCAAAATGCAGATGACTTCAGAGGAAGCCCTGCGAATGATTTGACCAGTCATCCATACTGGATGGGGACCGGTTCGTCTCCTGTCCATGGATCCGGGATAGGAGGCCCCCATTGTGCACCATGTGCGTCCTGTATGGAATATTGTACGTTGAATAGATAAATTATATTTTCGACAAGGCCTGATTTCTCGTTCATGTTTCCCGGGTCGAGGCAGAGTTGGTAAGACAGCATGGTTAATCAGCTGTCTCCTCCCCGTGCTCGTTCAAGTATACTGATGTTGCTCTACAAGAGCCTAAGTGACCGGGCGACGCCGTGTTCAGTAGCTTTTCTCATGAGGCCATTCAGTTGAATACAATTCCACTTACATAGATGACAGTCCACAATATAATTTTGTTGCCGCCCTTAGGCTTCATCAGAATCGGGCTAGATAACGCAATAAAAGATAGGTACGGAATTGTAACAGCGAAACGTCATCAAACACGGCCTTGTGTGTGGATGGCGAGCTAAATATGTGCGCTAGATGTTAAATGGTAAGACAGCCGCTCATTCCTAGCTGGAGTGGGGCAGAGAAAAAATCGGAATCAAAGTTGCGAGAGCCTAACAATCGATCCTATCTAGAATAGGCCCGGACCAACACGCTACCCAAAGAGAATGAAAACACCCCGATACCCTAGCGAACGCTAGAGCGCAGGGATCCTTTGTTGAAAAAGATCCCTGCTATCCCCAAGATTATCAGAGCCATTGTCCCAAACTGGTCCATCAGTTGCGATAGAGAGACAAATAGACGGAAACAAATCTGTAGAACTCCAAAAAGCCGCCTGGGATCACTTTCTCCTCCACCCTGGGCTGCCGAGGCAGCCAAACGTATGGATATCCTGTCATTGGTTGCCCTCCTCCTTTCTTTTGATGATTTTCGCGATGATCTCTTGATGCCTCAAGAGGCGATAAGAGAATAACGTATATCGTGTGATTGGTGGCCAAAATCGACCGAACATGTGCTGTGACTATTAGCAGCCATGCTGAATGGCTGATCCAATGACGGTCGTCTGCTGCCAGAGCCCGAATGTTCCATTCGGTGGTTTTCTAGTATTAGGTCAAACATATTCAGCAGTTCTCGAGTGACATTTGGGTTTTTGTCGCCGATAGAATCGTCTGCGTCGCTTATCATCCTTCAGCCAGCCCGGTCTTCTTGTTGTAGGACGTTTACTTGATGACGGCTGTGAAACTTGCATTGAGATTTGGCGACCGGGGTTTAGCCTCTGTCAGCCGAGTGTTGAAGTGGGGTGTGTGAGACACGAAGTTGTGCTGCTCGACAGTGTGTAGGACGTGCAAGCAAGGTTGTACAAACCTGTTGAACTGGTCTGGATCGTTTGAGGTGCACTGGACGGTGGGAAGCGAGAAGCACTGCAGATCCATTTCTCAGTTAGGCTGTTGTGTTCTCTCCATGAGGCTCAAGTCTTCTCGGGAGAACCGAGAACGCACCTTGTCCGATCTTGGGAAAGGTTCCATTCATGAGTTAGTCTGCATGAGATACTCACGGCAAGAATCCCAAGCATCAACAGGATAAATATCACCAACGCAACGATCACGACGCGAACCCGGTCGATCTTGATTTGTCCACATTGTCCACAGACGTTCAGGGTTAAGTAAATGTGTCCATTGTGCTGTCTTGCTCCATCACCACTGACTTGATTTTCCTTGAACGCACTGGACATGAGAGGGTAACAGTGTAACACCAGTCAGGGATGCGTTGAGGGTTGTGGTGAGTGGAAAGCAATTCGCGGAGAAAGTACTGGGCCGACCTTTTTAGGGCCTTGTCTGTGATTCGCCTCGCCTCCCATTCAATCCCATGCATCGGCAGTGCAATGCGCCCTTGTGGCTCGGGCAAAATTGCCTTGCGTCCTGGGCCTCCCTCCAACAGTGTGATCCATGTTGTTTTTTGGTGCCCGGTATCATGAGCTGACCAAAGGGACGCCAAACCGAGCACTCCACAAATGTGCCCGGGCACTGCCAACGGCACAGAGATACATCCTTCCATTGCATTTGGTCCTATTTGAGTGAAGTGATTGGTTTTAGAACTGCGACGCCCGCAAACATTGTGGCCATGTGAGAATCGTCAGCCCCGTCTGGCTGTTTTAAGTCTCGAGAGTCTGGAGGATGAAACGAAGGGGTGCTCGTGTCCGATTCACAGTGGCGTTACACCGACACGGTTGAGAGAATGTATGGGAGCAAGTGAGATGTCGATTTCGGTTGCCTTGTTTGTAAGGCAACCATCACGCATACGTTGTATAACATGAGATGACATGCCGGGTAAAGACTCGCCATTCAGAGCCAGCCACGCAAGAGCAATTCCAAGCCTAATATGAAGTTAGCTGCAACCACCATCAGAAAGATATCTTTTAAGCCGATATACCACTGTTGCCGAAGAGCCTCAAACAATGTAGCCATGTCTGGGGTAGAGGCTCTCGGGGCCGTAGCCGGTACGGCTCAACTGGCCTCCTATGTGTCGAGACTTATCCTCGCAATTCAACGCGCCATTAGTCAATTAAAAGATGCTCCTCGTCGTTTGCAAGAGCACAAGAATGGACTTCTTGTCCTAGCATCTTTTCTCGAATTTGTCAGCCAAACAGATTACCTCTTAGCGACAGAAATACAGTCTTACCTAGCGCAGATCCAGAGCAATGTCAACACTCTTCTAGAAGTGCTAGATTCCAGTCTCCGACACGCAACAGACAAATCCGTGAAACGGTACTGGAGAGTGTTGATCAATCCCCGAAGTGAAGAACAAATCCTCAACAGCTTTATTGCCTTAGAAAGGGACAAGAGTAGCTTGCAACTTTGGTTGATAGGGGCCACTGGACAATCTTTGCATGAGATTCATCACCTAATTGAGGTAAACATGAGACCTAGCAAGAAAAGAGATTGCAGAGTCAAACCTTCCCAGGCTTCAAAGCATGAGGAGGCCGGGAGTCGTGAGGTGACGATCCCACAAGGCGCAGGCGCAATTGCAGCGGGACCAGGTAATTTATGAATACCTCCCATAGATGGTGATCCTTGATCGCTAAAGTGCTCGTAGGACAAGACGTTGAGATGCAAGAGAGTCCGGGACGAGTCGTTCCAGGACATTTGCCCGGAGAAAACACTCCAAATGCCGCCCCCCGGTCTTCCTGGGAAGACTGTAAAGCCATAGGGACATGTGCAAAAACAAAGAACGGATACACCTTTCCGAGCTCAATGAGCACCAAGAATAGGGAAGCAATCCTCAAACTTAGTGACCCGAGCTGGAAAGGGTGCAATGCAGAAGCGACGCATGAAGGCGGTTCGGCGGAAGTAATCAATGGCCATTCGTTTGGGGGTGGTGAGAAAGTAGGTGACGACGCCCACCAGGAAAAAACAATGGGGGATAGAGCAGATGACGCGGAAAGACGTGATGGTAAGAAGGAAAACGCCGGAGCAGCGCAGGGGAAACAAACTTTGAACAGCGACGGAGACATGCCTATGGAATGACTTTCTGCGAAACGCGTACGAAATCCCGGGGAGAAAAGTACGATTCGAATTTGTCTTACATGAAATTTTATCGTCTTGCGAGGAAGTCTTTCTGAAATCATGTTGGAATCGAGGTGGCAGATATGCTATCCTGCTTTCATAAGGAATAATCATATATTTTCTTCATGTCGTAGTCTTGGACTTAATCACACATTCATGTCACGATAAATGTACAGCTAAAACCGTTCCTTATCTTTCCAAGGATGCCGTTACGCCGTCTCCCCCAAACTCTTGCTCTTTGCGCTATAACTCTGGATCCAACCACTGAGGTCCACTAGAGGTAACTGAATGGGGAAATCCACCGACAAAAACAACAACGCTAGCAGGAGGTACCAACCAGCCATGCAAGTAATGAAGAACGCGGCCCCGCCAAGATGCAGCGTCCTACTGGCAGCACTGTCTCCTTCTGCCGTGAACCAGAATGTAGCTGTGAGGAAGATGAAGCCGACGAATAGTCCGGCGAAAATGATGACAAAGACAAGATTCGTTCGGAGAGCGCACACGAGATAGATCAAGCAGAGCACGGCCATGAAGATCATGAAAAAACCGAAACTGGCGTTGAATCCCTGAGTGGCGAGTCCAGCAGTGATATCCTCTGGGTCAGGCGAGTAGGCGCCAAAAGCGTTGAAAAAAGGGAGCAGGGTGGCGCCGTAGGAGAACCAGAAGCCGCCAAAAGAGGCGAAGACGACGAAAGGGAATGTGTTGCCTGCAACGTACTCGAAAAGACCGCCCAGAAGCATCAGTACGCCGCCGATGAAGAAGTATGCTCCACTAATCACGACAGGGGTCAGCATATGGCACACAAGATGGGCATGGGATGGACTTGCATCGAAGCAGCTCCGTTTCCTCCTGCACCACGCCACCCCAATAGATCGCACGACAACGGACTGAGACAGAGCAGGAAGCCCACGACGGACAGGGGAGTCGGGTTGGCAAATTGCCAGTTCGCGTCCTTTTTGGCCGGGGATGGCTCTTGGAGCCGGAGGAACATCCTGTCAAACATGTCCGCGGGGATACTGACCATGTTTGCATCTTGGAATGATGGCGGAGCAGGCGGTGGTGTTTGATACGCAGAAGCAGACTTTTTGTCCATGTAGAACTTTGATTCAAAGGTCTGGGCGCTAGGAGGAACTGGCGGTTTGTAGTAGTTACTGGACTGGGACCTTTGGAGAGGGCCTGTGATTTTGTAGGGTCTTGATTCCATCTTTGAGTCGAAGAATGTGATCAAGAACCCACGGTTTTTCTGTTAATCACATATGTAGGTAAGGGCGGTTCAGCGTAAGCAGACGAAGCAGAGTCAATAAAGCGATAGATGGGAAGTTCCATTTTACCGCAGCCTTTTTAACAGAACCAAGGCCGCCAGCTTCAGGGGATGGCGCCTGTCCAACATCTGCGGGCATCAAGTCTGCAACACCTACCGCATCAGAGGCATGGTGATCTCGAGAGTCAAGAAAGCCAAATGCGCTCAAGGGGACGTAGAGAACCATCATCACACTCGACTAGAGTGGACGCAGGGTGAAAATCAAGAAAAGGGAAATAAAAAAACGATAAATGGCTCATACCGCGACCAGTGTGCGGTTATGCCAAACGTCCAAGAAGTCTTGGGGATTTCTTGGTATACATGGTTCTCTCCGCGTTTTCTGCGCGATGCCCCAAGTCGCTTGAAGATGGTGAAACGACTCCGAAGAGCTACGGTAGAAATGATGGGACGCTTCGGGTTTCAGATGTCGCGGTAAAGGGGTTGAGGTCCTGGGCATCAGGGTACAGAAGCCTTATTGGTCGGAGAATCCCCTAGAGCCCAACTGCAGATTTCCTGCCGGACTTTTTCTGCTTTCAGGGGCTTCGCTCTTGACTAGATGGATAGGACTTGCTTCTCGATGATACTTCTCATGGTCGGTGTCAATCTTTCAATCTCAACCGTACCGTTTATTTTTCTCGAGCCGCCTCACAGCCCGTCGCTCTAGCCCAGGGTGTCCGTTGTCTTCCATTTGCAACAACAATTCTTCCTCATCATTTACACCCACACTAACCGCCGCCCCGAAAATGTTCATCCTAGCAATCCCGGCCCCAGTATTGCTCAGTACTTTAGGCTTCTCAGACCTCAACGCCAGTACTATGATTTCGGAAACTGAGTCCCATGCACTCGACGCAACACGGTCTTTTGCAATCGAATAACCTAAATGGGCGGCAACTAGGGCATAGATAGAAGTAATGAGCAGGGAGAATATTGTGGATGTCGAGTATTCTTTGCGCGTGGGCAGGAGTTGTTTCTCTCATTGATTTCCGCTGCCCAGTGTGTTGAGATTCCCTTGAAGGGTAGCATGTTTTCCAACGAGACCCATCGCTTGTGCAATCATCGCTACTAGGATACCCTCAACGGCATGTCGAGGCTCTTGTGCGTCGGATAAGCCACTCCATAACCCCGCAGCAGTGCAAAGTGCCTCGAATACGGTAGCGTTGTCTCGTAGGAAAACGTTGACGCTGTGCCCAAGTTGGTCTCAATTGAACAGAGAGAAGTTCTCAGCCCCACTGCGGTTGTTGAAAAGCCCTGCAAGTAAAAGCCGCTCGATCTGCCCTGAAACGACGGGGGGTCCGGTCGAGAAAGAGACTTCAATAGTGGTATCGGCCCATCTTGCATCGAAAGCACGGGACAATAACTGACCTGATTTCTCATCTTCAGTTGATTTGGGAATTGCGGCGACTGCCCCCAGATGTGTCTGGTCTGATTTCGGGTCGTGAAGGTTCGTCCAATTCAGTCCCACGTGTGATTGAAGTCCAGAAATCCCGACCTCAATGTCGGGTCATTGGAATTACACCGAACGAAGACTACAGGTTGCATTGTCTTGGTGGAGCAGATTATGCGTTTGTATTGGCTGTGGTCCACAATAAGCACAATCGCGCCACCACAGATCCGACTGCTTCAGGCTGGACCGTTGTGAAAGAGATGCCTGGGCTGTAGAGAAAGGGACTTACGAGCCGAGTCGTAGGGCTACGGAGCGAGTGTCGGCTTGGAATGTATGCGCTGCGGATCATCTCTGGTCTGACCGGGTACGTTTGCGAGGTCCTTGGCTGGAAAGAAAAGATTCCGTCAGCTAAAGGATTCTAGTATCTGGAGGCGTAAGGGCTTCCACCAATTGGTTGACAATCATAGTCTATGGTGAAAGAGGCGTTTAGGATCGGTGGGAAAATACGGCTGGATGTGGTGTTGAGCTAGAATTTAGTCCCACCGGCTGACCAGTCTTTGTCGGAGGGCTTCAACGCCGTAGCAGAGGAAGGACTGACTACCAATCATAAAAGTGTAGCAAAGACCACAGTTCTCACGAGTAGGGTCTGAGAATTTGGCCTTGAGAATCCATCATTGAATAGGGCCACTAGTTTAGCGACCAGAGATTTGAAATGTCGAGATTTGGAAGCAGGGAGCGATCGCACCGAAGGGAAGCCCATGGTCAGAGTTCAAGTGCCGCCGAAGTTGTTGAAAAACAATGGCACTCAAAGACGTCAACATCAGCAGTTCAAGGGCTTTGGCAGCCAACAAGAGCCAGACTTTACTGTACCGAAATGTGCCTGGTACATCATACAGATGAGCTCGATCTCGCAGAGACACAAAACGGGTATTCTGACCACGGCCAATCCGAGTCTGTCCTGGCTCCTCCGGCCAGGTACGCTTTCATAGCATCGGAATGAAGGGCTTTCGCGATGCAGGATCTCAAGTCATCACATGAAAGTCTGCCAATTTGAAGAATGAAGGTGACGAGGTTGTCTGCATAATCCGGTCTTCGTCCGGTTGCCCGGTCTGGTCCTGTTTGGTTGTCTGCCTTGCCACGTCGATCATCCGCCCAATTGGCCGCAACGATGAAACAAGAGTCTCAGACGAATCGAAAAAATTCTGTTTACCGACCTTAATTTCGACTTCTAATTTCGGGTCTCTCCATGCGCAAGATAAGCAAACATCGTAGGGATTGTCATCAAGAAAGTGCTGTTCGCGGCTGCCAGGCGATCATATCACTGGCTGTCTCCTTGAAAAGCCATAGGATACTCAGCCTGCCACTTCATGGGTCCACACATGTTACTTAAAAGGATTACCGGCAGGGTACATGTAGAGATAGACCCTAAAGAAGAGCGTAAGGAGCGCCCGTAGAGAGTTTTGATCGAGGTGGAGCCGAATTTGAATCAACTTTGTCGCAATACGCGGAAGCGAGAGTTGAGCTAGAGGAAGGATCAAGATAGGTGAAAATAAGAGCCTGCTTCTGATCATACCTGCTTGTCTCCCCTAACACTTGTTCTTCGACACCAATCGACGTATGGTAGGATTGGAGATCAAGATTGAATTTTGTGCCCCTCGTTTCTGGATTGCTTGACTGATTAACTGACTCGCGTCTGCATGACCCTGTGCAATAATAGAGCCCACCGAATTTGCGCTTAATTGGAGAGAAGGCTTCATATGAAGTTCATCGACTTGCGTAGCAAGCGGGCATAGCGCAGGGGCGGCGCAAGATGTATCTGAGAGAGAATGATTGTGGATGGCCCGAATCTATCCAAATATAGGTTACTGAGTGGCCTTAGACTTCTGAAGATGGCAAAGCAAGCTAGTCTCAAGGCGCGTAATTGCATGCACTGGAAAAATGAACACCGTTATTCCTCAAGAGAGGCGAACTAAGCAGCAGGAAAAGGGATTTCGCAATGAGCTCACCATCCCTATCATCCAGTGCGGCAGTTGGGTAGCAAAGATCGACCACCTGCGCACTTGACACGCTCACTTCGGACGTCTTCCCAAGAATTCATACTAACAATGAAGACATCTTTCCAAACCAAAAGATACTTCAACAGGTTAAGTAATTTGGATGACGCTGTTCAATGTGAAGGAGGGGCATGGCTAATGATTTCCGAAAACAAAGACCCACCGCGCTAGCATTTCCGTTCCTGCAACTTTCCTCTCGCCGACGATGGCGAGTTGGTCTCCAAGGGCTTCGGGGGATGAATCTTGCTCAGTCGTTTCTATAGCCAGTTGAGACGAAGCAAACATTACGGAGTAGGTCTTCGAGACGCTTAGACTCCGCACTGTGCATGTGTCCTCAGAGAAGGCAGAAAGTCATTTAGACCAGGTGAGGGCTCCAATCTCAGTGACGTATGACACAACCTGAACCCCCGATACCTGGGTGTTCCGGCCTTTTGCCCTCTGCAACTCAGCCTCGTGGAGGGTAGGAATACTGGGCGAAATATGGGAAAGGAGCACATGTTGAGAGAGATAGCCGAGCTGAGGGATTGCATTACCACGCACGCATTACCACATGGTAGGACTCCATATGGAGGACGGAGGATGGCTGTGGAGGTTGCAGCCGTTTCCCAGGTGGCATCGAGGACAGGGGGGAGGTTTGATGTCGGGTCCTGGCCAATGGGAGGGCGGACAATTTCAGTCTTGGCGGAATTTTCTTAGCACACCACACGGCCATCACCGTCAGGCGTCCTTTTTGGGTTAAATTTCCTCCGAGTTAAAAAAGTTTCTTCCTGAACCTGATTTTCTTTGTTCCTCAGATTCCACTGCGGAGCAAGCTTTTTGCTATCCGGCTAGTGGAGGCCGCGAAATTTCGTGCCCGGAAATTCTTTACGATCGGGTGGTCCGCCTCTTTTCTCCTTTGGGTACGAACCCCGCACGCCACTTCGCTCGACAATAGGCGGAATCGGACTGCCAAGGGCGTCCGTTGTCTGGGCGGATAGTGGAGTAGAGAAGACAGGTTTGTGGGAGGAGAGTTGAAAGCGGTAGGCCTCGGTCTTTCACACATGCTCTCTCTTTTGTAACGCGCGCCTTGAGTAAGTCGATGTTGTCCATCAAACGACGTCGAAGATACGCGTCGTCAACACTATTTCCGACAAGATATTCCATCTCTTCCCCAAACTGTGCGGAATCCTGGAGTAGGACTTGTGGGGTGAAGTCTTAGCATAGGCTTGGACAACATTCCAAGACTCCATAAGACAAGCACAAGCCTAACGCCGCGGCCGGTCAGTCCCCCTTCCAAGATCCACACGATGTGAACAGTGTTACATCTGGCATTTTTTAGGTTGCAATACTCTGTGATGGCACTCTTTTTGCCCTTGGTTCTGGAACAGCAAAGTGATGGCGCTTCGCTCCACCTGTCGACGGAGTTTTTTGGCTCTACGCGTGACTTGTCAATATGATGGGATGGCGAGGCTAGGCCAGATCAAGGGTCTTGATTGGCTCTCCAACATCCTATCTCCGCGAATCCGCTACATGTAACCCACGGGCGACATCTTGGGAACTCCGTTTCCCAGGTGGCATTCACTCGAATCTGGTGACCAGAATCTATCCCATTGGAATGAAGATAAAGTCCTATATAGCTTCCCCGCCCCTCGTCCCAGTTGCTTCTCTGTCATTTTCATTTACGCCAAGTGACTATATCCCTTTCAGCAGCCATGTCCCGTCAAGGCTCTCTCAATCTCAGGACTACCGACGATGTCAACCGTATTGAAGCCCCCGTCACGTGGAAGGCGTATCTAATGTGCGCTTTCGCATCGTTCGGTGGTATCTTCTTCGGTTATGATTCTGGTTACATCAATGGTGTCAATGGATCCGACATCTTTATTCACAAGGTCGAAGGACCTGATCGAGATGCCTTGACCTCGTCCCACCAATCCCTTATCGTCTCTATCTTGTCGGCCGGTACCTTCTTCGGTGCTCTTATTGGTGGCGACATGGCCGACTTCATTGGCCGCAAATGGACCGTTATCCTGGGCTGCTTTATCTACATTATCGGTGTGGTGATCCAAATGATTACTGGTGAGGGTGATGCTCTTGCTGCAATTGTCACCGGTCGTCTGGTGGCTGGTATTGGTGTTGGTTTCGAAAGCGCCATTGTCATCCTCTACATGAGTGAAATTGTACGTCAAACGTATTCTCTACTCGCAGATTCAACGTTCCGGAACTATACTAATTCAAAGTTATAAAGTGCCCCAGAAAAGTCCGAGGCGCTCTTGTCGCAGGCTACCAATTCTGTATCACCATCGGTATCATGCTCGCATCAATCGTTGTCTACGCTACTGAGGATCGCGACGATACCGGCTCATATAGAATCCCCATTGCCATTCAATTCGCCTGGGCTCTGATCCTGGGTGGTGGCCTTATGACTCTTCCCGATTCGCCACGGTACTTTGTCAAAAAGGGCCGACTTGAAGACGCTTCGATCTCGCTCTCCAGACTACGTGGTCAACCTCGTGATTCAGAATACATCCAAGTTGAACTGGCGGAAATCGTAGCCAACGAGGAGTACGAGCGTGCTATCATCCCCGACAGTGGCTGGTTCTCTTCCTGGTACAATTGCTTCAAGGGAGGCCTCTGGGTACAGAAGTCGAATCTGCGTCGTACTATTCTGGGCACTTCTTTGCAAATGATGCAACAATGGTATGTGGTCGAATGATCCGTGACCTAGAACGAAGACTGATTGCTAATTTTTTTTCCCCTCTCCCTTCAGGACTGGCGTGAACTTTATCTTCTACTACTCAACTCCATTTTTGCAATCCACCGGGGCCATCGACAATACTTTCCTCATCTCGCTCATCTTCACCCTGGTGAATGTGTGCTCCACACCACTCTCTTTCTGGGCGGTGGAGAAGTTTGGCCGTCGTCCTCTCTTGATATGGGGTGCCCTGGGCATGCTGATCTGTCAGTTCTTAGTGGCCATTGTTGGAGTTACTGTGGGATTCAACTATACTCACCCTGACCCTAACGATCCCGATGTCAGCCTTGCCGACAACATCCCTGCCGTGAACGCGCAGATTGCATTCATTGCCATCTTCATCTTCTTTTTCGCTTCGACCTGGGGGCCAGGTGCCTGGATTGTCATTGGTGAAATCTTCCCCCTACCCATCCGCTCTCGTGGCGTCGCTTTGTCCACTGCGTCGAACTGGCTCTGGAATACTGTGAGTATCCTCCCGCTCGGCTCCGACAAGTCAAGACTGACCGATTTCCATAGATTATTGCGGTCATCACTCCCTACATGGTCGGTGAGGATCACGGAGATTTGAAATCATCCGTCTTTTTCGTCTGGGGTGGCCTATGCACCGCTGCGTTTGTCTATTCGTATTTCCTCGTTCCCGAGACCAAAGGCCTCACTCTCGAGCAAGTCGACAAGATGATGGAAGAGTGCACGCCCCGAACTTCGTCCAAATGGAAGCCTACCACCACTTTCGCTCAAACCATGGCCAAAGATGGCGTTTTGGAGAAAGGTATTGTGCAAGCTGTCGAGAGAAAAGGGTCCGCATTCTAGACGAACTCTGCGCTATGCGTTTGAAAGGCATATGTTGGTGCAGAGCTGACACGTCGCCCTCAATCCACATTTGCCTTCTTCGGTGTTGAGAAACTCAATTTGATTGTGGATCGCCGAGCCTGGAAAGGAGAGCTCTGTCCGATGACTAGGAACAATAACTGTGATGTTGCAACAATTCTTGACAGCAAGCCAGATCTCCGAAGCCAGGAGCACTGTGGAATCAAATATCACATCCCGTCAAAATTTTCTTCACCCCATTTTCATTGTCCAACTCCCACGGTTGTGAAAACACGTTTCCTTTTAATCCAGACAGTCTCGACCTGGCAAACATGTTCCAGATCCACTACCGATTGTTCTCCAGGACGGAGACACCCCCGGCTTATTCTGAGCGACCCCTTCCAGCATCAATCTGCTCTTTCATTTTTTGTATTCTTACTTAGCACGCGACAGTAGCCGCTCGTCGTAAACATCTCCTTCGCCTCACCGTGCGCTGCTTGATCTTGAAGAATCTCGATCAGTGCATCGAGATGTGTCTTGGTGTATTCGCTGCCCAGAAGCTCGAGCTCGTTGATGACATAAAGTAGTGGTAACCCCGGAAGAAAAGGATAAAGCTCGCAACAGGTTCAGTGGCGTAGGTGCACTGCTAGTCCTCTCATCCAGGGGTTTGAACTGCTTCCAATAGAAATCCGCGTTGCCCTCAAATTCCGGAGGTCTCAGGTATGTCAGCTGATGGAATGATGAGTATAACAATGCTATCAGTTCAGCCTCACGATTTGTATTGCCTTCTGAGCTGACACAATGGTGTGGGCCTTGCAAATGAACGACATACCAGGAATGTCCGCTGCAAGAGATACCGTCCCGCCAAAGAAGGCAAAAATTAGACTTTCCATCCGGAAAATGTGAGCATCGGGTGTTTCAACTCATTTTTGCATATCTTCAACAACCTCCCCAGGCAAGAATGATCTCGACGTAGCATCACGAGGGTTCTCAATTTCTTTCGGCCTGTTCCCAATGTGTGCAGTGAGATGTTCTGAATACTCCTCGAGCTTCTCGCGTGTACACTGACCCCCCAGAAGCGAGCTAAAGATTCCAGATCGTTGACAGCAGCGCCGTAAGACACAATATCGCTCTTTGCCAGCGCCGTCTCTTGCAACACCCAGCTGCGGCTGAACCGGCTTGTGCGAAGAGAAAATGGACAGTGATCCATTGATCACATGAGCACTGATCATCAAATTTCAGTTCCGATACCTGCAACTCTGATCATTGGTCGGCCGACCGCAACCTATGCTCGTGATCTGGATCCTGGGCCCAGACCCGAGACAAAAATCTGAATGGGAGCGGATGCGGTATGGTCTTGCTCGATGCATGACGACTGTGGATCATCATTAATCATCGGTTCTCTGAGATATGCAACGGTACGTTCTGCCTTGCTGTAAACTTTACTCATGATTTTCACTATTCTTCATGCTCTTCGGGATCACCTTGAGTGATGTAGAGGGGTGCCCGCCCTAATAAACTGGTTAGATCTCCATATGGAAGGTGTAGATTCTCATTCGCCGAAAGAACGACCTCTCGGCAAGACGTTTCAAATTGGGGATATGACGCCCTAGATAACTGCTGTTCAGCCATTGCAAGTGTTAACTCTTCTCCATCTGGCTTCTTATCGTTTGCAGGTTTCAGAAGCAGCGACAGACCAGTGTCTTACAATCTCATTGTGGCAATGAGTTCCCTAGACCATGAGTCTGAATCAATGCTAACATCCTCCATTCCTAGCATTGTGTCTTGGAGGTAGTCTTCAATCTCTCCTCAGCAGCCGCTTGCGCCTGCGACACAAGATTTAGTCCCGTCATAATCCTTAAGAGAGGCTGTGGGTCCTGTCCACTCATAAATTTGTTGAGTGAGATCTGTAAACTTTTAGCGCTCGTCTACCGCAGGTACTCATTTGGTGTAACTCACCTGGCTTTCAACGGGAGCGATCATTCGAAATTGGAACTTGATGGCCTTTTGTAGGGGAACATTTCGCACAGCTTCATCCGTCCCAGCAGCCGAACCAATAGAATAGCAACAGGAGCCAATACCAAGCTGTGGCCAGGAGTGCTCAGCCTCGCCGGCCATGGACAAATAATCGTTCGGTGTATCAGGCGGGCCCCATCAACTTTGCTTCTGGTACTCCTCGCACAGCTCCAGCCTCAAATGCTTAGGTTAAATCACGGATGAATAGTAAACTGAGTTCAATGTTGATACTTGAGAAAGTCAAACACAAGCCAATCATTGACCGTCTTTGACTGTGGTCGCGGCACCCCAACCGTAACCTCTGTGCGTACTGTTACATAGCCATTTTGGCTGAATAGCAAGCCGAACGCCACAACATTGTGTGATTCATGTGTGGCTTCCACCACCACACGCGGATAGCGTCGAAGTCTGCACCGATTGAACTCTTCCCGCACATGCTAGCTTGTATTCAACGTCTGGTCTTGGTACTCCGCATGATAGGAGATGCTTATCAGCGCTCATGATTACTTGCGGTTGCTAAAGGATGCTGAGATTGGGGAACCTCTTATGCCAAAAAGGGGCTAAGTTGTGGGCCCGGTACAGGCTTAGGATCAGCCTCAGGTGTGTTCTAGGCTATTCGCGACAACGCCAAGCCGGACGTAGGCTTGAACTGCCACTGCTCAAAACTACTCCCTCACGGCTTTGAGTAAAACAGCATCCGCTCACTGGTGGAACCGGAAACGGACTTGAGGTCCGGATTTCGGGATGAATATTATGGAATTACGCTTCCAGCTACGAGAGGAGAGAACCGGAATAAAATTGACCGTGATTTGTTTAACTCTGTTCTTCTAGTGTGTGGTTCAGGGGGTGCAAGGCTGGGTCGACAGGGGGTTCATTTGTCATCTGACAACTCCGAAAACGGCAGCTGTGATGCGCGGACATATCAGATAGAGTTCAGTTGTCATATTCCTCGGGCAATCTAGCTCTAGCATGCCCGACCCTGCAATCCTCATTCGCCCCAATGCAATTCAATGAGATAAATTCTTCGAATTGTCTTACCATGCCGCCGGCTTGTTCAAATCAGGCTGATCAAGTAATGGAAGTTCTCCTTCTCCCTTGTCTTCTTTGATAGGGAATCAATATTCAGCGAGAGCAGCAACGGTTTAGAATGCTAACAAATATTCAGGTTGTGTTGGTCAGAGAACGTCCTCACTTTGGGGCCAACATAAAAAGAGGAGTACCCATGCCAAAACTGAACATGCCTCCAGAAATCTCTTCAAATCAGAATTTGTCAACTTACGGAATACTGCAGTAGGATTCATCCATGTCCATACCAATGTAGTTGCTGAAGCAAGGCCACCCAGAATGACCCCTGCTTTACTCGAATGTCAGAAGGCATTATCTCTTTTCGGTTACCAGTGATACACTAAGACTCGCAAACTCCCCCCCAATAGGCAATTTGACAATTCAGGCACCGAGACTATTCGCTGCTCGGCCCCCACAAAATCGCGGAGAATCACGTGCGACGCAGGTCCAAGTGGATACGAATACGTTGTGAGATCCAAGCCCAATACCAGCCTCATACACCGAGAGGGGCTGATTGGTCGTTGTTGGCCATTGATGGAGAGAGAAAAGTAGGACGTGCGTATAAAATGCCTGGTATTTCCGCTGGAAGATTTTGGTGAGATGCTACGGATTCCATTTCTCTTGGAAACACACCCATTCTAAGCCAACTTAACAATAACTTGCTGATAATATTTAACTGCAGAAAGTTTGTTTCTTCGCCATGGACTCCAAACTCGACGTCCCTCCACAGGACGAACAATATGAATCCGAGGCTTCTGACGCTGGGAACATGCCTCCCCCACCATATCGTCGTGCCTCTGAATCCTCTACCGAGCGCTCTCTATACGACGAGAAAGATGTATTGCTGGAGAACCGTTCCGGTTCATACCAGCAACCCACCTCCAGCGCCATGCAAGAATACAACTGGTACCACCCCAAAATCATGAGCCGTGGGCTCATCATCACGGACGGCGCCTCCTCGACCGCCACGAAGAAGACAGCAATCTACTACGTCGAAGTGTCCGAGTTTGCTGTCAAAAAGCCCGACGTGATTCTGCACTCCGCCAGCCCTATATCCGGCGATAGCATGGACTTCGACCACGTGGCTTCGGCCAGCGAATCGGGCCCGGTCCTCGGCGTCGCGCACTTCCCTCATTTCTCTCGCCATTACAAGGTCTGTCTTGGGGATCCATCCAGCGCCAATCCAACGACCTGGGTGGACATCACCAACCCGCATAAAATGTACCATGGCGAATTCACAATGTCGTACCAGGGAAAATCGTATGTGTGGAAACGAACGCACGACGCCGCGTTGGGCGTTGGAGGAGGCGATATCAGACAAGAAATGACGTGGAATAGTTTCCAGTTGCTCGATTCGGCGACGGGCGAGATGATTGCGCTGTTTCTTGAGAATACGTTCAAGAGCTGGAAGAAGAAAGGGAAATTAAGGATTTTTAAGGATCTTGAAGGAAGCGAAGAGGCAAGACAATTTAAGTTGTTAGTCTTTTTGAGTATTGCGGCGATTTTGGAGAAGGCCAGGAGGAGGGCGAACAGGCAGCGTAATGCGCATGGAGGTGGTGGGCCGTGAGTATAGTATTGGGGGGAGGGTTCACTTGGAAGAGTAGTAGGACACGGCTTGGGAGCCTGCTGATAGTTTTCTTTTTTTTTTTTTCGTTTATGTGTGGTTATGATTTGATTTCGAAATCCTGTTGGCCGCGTAAGAAGTAATAGTCCATGAAAGTGGGCGCCCTATTTGCATTTCGCGTCCAGATCGGAAATCTTGACATTGCCTGTTCACTGCATTTGCAGTTGAGAAGCTGATTCATGCGTCAAAGCCAGTAAACATATATAAAGCAACTCTGGGCCGGCGAATTGCTGCAACGGATGATCCACGCCAGATAAAATGGGCCCCACCAGTTCCTTTCAGCACCGTCTGGGTTCACGGCAATGCAGATGAAATCACCCAGCCCAACGCGGAAACGGCTGGCATCACAGTTGTGCGATGCCTGACCAACGAGTCAAGAAAAGGGCGACTCATTTGCCGGGTTCAGCCTTCTTCTCGCAAACTCGCATGAATTCGGTCTAGCGTATATCATGCTTGCCGAAAGGGTTTGTGTTGACGGAGCAGATGTCCAATCACGATATGGGTCTCCTAGTAGCCTTGCTACATTCATATATGATCTTCAAGAGGCTGAGCCCGTGACGTCTTGATCTCTGCATAGAGGTTGAGTTTCATTCACTGTTTTGAAACCATCCCCTCCACCGGGGCACGTACCAGCAGTAGCATGGGAAGGTACGTTGAAATGAATTCCTTCGATACTTTTTGATACTTGAAGTCCGAGTACGAGGCTTCTTGACGCTGGATGTCACATGGTAATACTGGCTATCCCTTTCCGTTTCCAGAAGACTTTGCGAGAAGGGGAGTGTCCGTTGCAATCATGCCGTCTATAAAAGTGAGTAATTCTCTTTGACACGGTCAAAACTGCCTTCTCCCTTGACTTATCATCATACCAGACTATCCCGTCATCTTCAGAAGTTCCGCACTCTGTGTTTCATCATCCCCACCTCCTTTTCTTTCGACAGTCATCATGCCCAAAGACTCAGTGCATGAACCGAAATCACAGCTGGCCCAAGTTTGGGTCAAAGCATGGAGAAAGGTCTATCATCCTCTCGGCTTCAAAAAGGGATATAACTTTCCCTTATTCGTGATCCTGGTAGGAGCATTGATGGGCTTCGTGCTCGCTCGGCTCCAGTATTTGAGTATTAATGGCATCTTCTTGACCGTGAGCGCGCGTCCATTTTCCCACTTCGACTCATGACAACGGAAGACTGACGGGTTTTGCTTCGCTAGAAAACCATCCCCGGCGATGCTGTCCATTATCAGACCGGAACCAAGCGGGTTGGGATAATTCTCCACCTCGGTGCTATACTCCCGGCGGGTTTTCTGGTCTGTTTTCAATTCGTGCCCGTCATTCGACACAAAGTATTGCTCTTCCACCGCTTGAACGGATACGTGATCATTCTGCTCTTGCTCGTCGGCAACGCAGGCGCATACATCATCATCCCCGTCGCAGCCGGCGGATCACCGAGTACCCAAGTGGCTTTGGGTCTGCTGGCGGCAATAACCACGATCTCTACGGTTCTCGCATATGTCAATATCAAATGTCTTCAGATCGATCAGCATCGCGCCTGGATGATTCGAACATGGGTGTACGCTGGCAGCATCATCTCCGTACGGCTGATCATGATGGCCGCAAATACCTTCATGGCCCAACATCAGTCGGGACACTGGTACGATGTTCAGAGCTGCGCCGACATCTGGGCTCAATATACCCTCTACGGTGCGCCAGCGGGTGAGGGCAATCCCACGCCATACCTCTACCCGCAGTGTACTGGTCCAAACGCCAGTGTGCCTGTCGCCGTCAAGGCCAACATCAATGGCATGGGTCCTGAGTCTACCACGGCATCGTTCCACCTCACATTCGGCATGGCGCTGTGGCTGTCCCTTGCCATTCACGCCATCGGTGTCGAAGTGTATCTGCAGTTGACTCCCGCCGAGACTGAGAGGCTACGTCTTGTCAGCTATGAGAAACAAGTTGAAGCCGGGTTCAAGCGACCAGGGCGTGCGGGATTGACCGTCGATCGGTTTGGGGATGCACCCGCCTGGAAGCCCATTAATCATCTCGAAATGGATGACTCAGAGGGAGATTCGAAGTAAGGGGCCACTGACAAAATTCAATAAAAATAGGGGGTCAGATCGTCTCTCCAGCTGATTCCGGATGGGTGCTGCCAGTCAGGGGCCGCTAGGACGCCAAAATCTTGAAGCTGGAAGAAACTGTCTTTCGCAGCACGGAATATCCTTGGGACTCGATAGGGTCATGTTTCATGAGGATCTACTTTTTGGAGGTAGGAAGCAGATATGATGATCACTGAACCAATAATACAAGCCTTTCAAACAGCCGCCGAACCACGCTCTATTCCAGCAGGTGGCCTGAAGGCAACCGGTGAGGCTGGTGTTGCCTTCTTGCCCCCCAGAATTTTGAAACTCCATCTTTTCAACCGCGACGGGCCGTTGAGCTTCATCTAAAAGCATTCTTTACGATTTTGTGATTTCATCATGGGTCTATCTTGATCGCCCCCAAGCCGCAGCATTTCCTCTGCCCAAAATTTCATACATCGGACTCTAGCAAGGACAGACTTGAAATTGATGCCCAAGGCTTTTGACTCTCTGCTGTGGGCGCCACACTCGACAATTCTTTTTCATCTTCCCAATCGGCGAGGTGGCCGTGGTACCTTCGACAAATCAATCGAGCAATCGTACGGAATTTTGGTGATGGCTGTCGTGTATAACACGGAACACAATGGTACTCCTGGCTGGAACAAATTTTGCCAATCGGCAAAGTAATCTCGAACTTGTCCTTCTGCATACCAACTCGTTGAGACTTCAAATGCCCCCAGATTCCTGTGGACATTAGCGTGCTCCCTAGACAATTGAGCCCGGCTACGGCAACCGGTGGACGACCCAATATCTCTTTGCTTAATTGCATCCCGAATTGAATGGCCCTGGGGATGGACCAGTGACGGAGATGTAAATCGAAGGAGCCTGGTCGGAAACAGGATTTTGAATACTGATGCACCGATCCGACAACGGCTGATTACGTAGGACTGGCTAGGCAGGTTTCTACTGCCCAATTGCTAGTCCCAGAGAACGCTTGATTGTCAGAACAGCCAGATTCGGTTTTGATTCTTTTCGTCCCAATCCCAAGGTATGTGGAGGCGCTGCACCAAATGTGCTAATTTGTTTTGGCCCCTTTAGTACAGTTGGCTGCACGTGACTGCCAGCAGCCGTCGTCTTAGGCTTGCCTTTCCCTAGATCCTGGGCATGCTTTGCCCACCTGGCCCCCGGAGCTGGCTTTCCATGGTCACGTGCAACAGCACTGACCTAACGAAAATTTATCCCCGGTACCTTTTGATTCAGCCTCCGTTCGACCAAGAAAAGCTTCGCATTGCGCTAGGCCAAGGTACACCTCTAGCTCCGATGGTAACGTGACCGCAATTCGTATTCGGGAATTTTGATCCTTATCCGAGATCTCCAGGTTGCGCCTTACAGACCCTTCTGAAGTCTTCCTTTGCTGAGGATTGGTTCCTGAATTGCTGACACAGCAAGCAAATCCCTCCACGCTCTGTGGCCCGTCACAGGCCAGATCAAGTCCGGTCAAGACTTGGAATATTATCAAGTTAATGAGGCCTGGTAGGCAGATTTTGAGTCTGTTCCAGAAACAACCCCTATCACCTTTTTCCCTTTGAATCGTTGTTTCGGCTATTTCCCACTTATATTCTCGTGCGTCCCGTTGGTCGTGAAGGTGAGCAGCTCTGGCGCGGAGGTTTGACACATGACATTTCGCCGCAACTTACCGTCATCCAGAAATATTATAGAGCAGTCAAAAACGCTTGAATATCATTCTCTCTGAGATGGTCTACGCAGGCCCCTCCAACGGCTGCCTCACGTGCAAAAAGCGGCGTGTGAAATGCGACGAAACCCGACCTGTATGCAGAAACTGCACGCGACGACGAGTGCCGTGCCCCGGATTCCCTGATCCGCCTGGCACGAAGTTCCGCGATGAGACCGATGCAGTCATTCGACATGCGCAAAGAGGCGAAAGGAAGACGAGACCGGAACGAGATGACGACTATGCAGCAGCCGAGTCTTTTGGAACGAATTTAGGGCAGGATGAGAGTTTTGTTTCGCTGTGTTTCTTCTTCCATAACTATGTCATTACCGGCCGGGGCATTCAGTCTTCTCGCGGCGTCTTTGAGAACCTGTTGCCGTATTATAACCCGAATAAGGCGGACTCGTTGGTTTCGCTGGCGGTGGCGGCGGTGGCGGCGTCAATGTTGTCCATATGGCGACTACAAGGTCCTGACTCGGCGGCATCACGACAATATGTCGGGCGAGCAATCACTTTGCTGCGCGACACATTGACGGACCCCGACGGTTGTGTGTCTGATGAGACTTTGATTGCCATACTCCTTCTGCAATATCGCGAAGGAATCATCGCACATTCAAAAATGGTGCAGGTTGACGGCAGTCATCAGAACGGGGCATATGCCGTGGTCAAACATCGACAGAGCAAAGGGTTCCGCAACGATGCATCGAAACGACTGCTGCAGGCTGTGCGAAGTACCATGGTCTCCGAGGCAATTCGTCATCGACAACCCGTCAACATGGAACCAGCTGTATGGGATGATGAGGAGCCGATGCCGCATAATCCAAGCAGTGATCTGGATCGAATAGGGGTAGATGTCGCTAATTTACAGGCTTTGTTCGAGCGGTATAAGAAGGCGGTGCAGACTGAATCCGTTCTCGAAGCGATAGATGTTAGGACGCTGGCCGCATTCAAAAGAACAGCCAATGACGTCGACGAGCGTCTGGAGATTTGGGCCACAGCACAGTCGCGCCAGTGGAGTCCTATTCCGTTGTTGCCACATGAGATCCCGGAGTCTATTAAGAGGGCAGGCGTCTATCGGAATCTCTGCGATGTCTATCCCACGGTCCAGATTGCGAGTGTTTGGCACACTTATAAGAGTTATCGTTTGATTTTGTTGAAAATAATCCTCTCCTGTGAGCAAACGGAACTGAGTCTTCAACCGGTGAAGCAGGGACGCGACTCGGATCATTCTAACACAAGGGCGCCATCAACGGCTGAAACATTCCAGGAATTGGTCGATGAGATGTGTGCAGCTGTTCCGTTCCATTTGGGTAGTCGTACAGAGCCTGGATTTATTGGCGAATTTTCCAGGACCGACAATGTTGATTTTCCATGGCCGCCACCGGAGAAAGATCCATTTTCAAACTCATACAAATCAGGCAATCTTGGAGGAGACGGCAATTTGAGTCCGATGACTAGCGATGAACGAAAGAGACATGCTATAGGCATGGGAGGCTGGCATATCCTGGGCCCCCTGAGCTTTGTCCTAGGCATGGCTAGCGAATCTCTTGAGCTGGGACCACTGCGAGAGAATGCTCGCAAAGTAGGGTGCCTGCTTCGTCAGGACCAAATTCCTTGGCTTGCCGGGCAGTTACGGCGAGCTCTTATGCTTCATCGTATGAAGAGAGAAGGCCCTGAAAACCCTGGGAATATGGAGAGGGGAAAATATCCACCGGAAAAGGATGCATCTCTAGCGAGAGACGTGACGGGGGTGAAAAAAGCCTTGAGATATGCCATCGGTGTGTAGGAACAATCGTAGGTTTTTCAAATTCTTTGCAAGTCAGAGAACATTTTAGCTGTCTCTTCCGATACCAGCTTAGACTGTTTCTTGATATCATCCGTCGAGAGTATACCATTTTCGCAAACGTAGTAATCGATATACTTTGATGGGACCCATTCGAAATAAACGTTCCGTACGGTAGCCATCTGGTCCCATAGAGATGATGCCGGCAAGTCCCAATTGCGCATGACTTCGTTTTTATCATTATCCTCATCTGGATGTTCTTCAATCGCACCCGGGGGGGCGATCTTCTCTGCTTCGCTGATGCAGACCACGGTGGCAGACCCGTTTGTGGTTTCTTTGCTCGTCACGATAGCTGCTAGCGAACCCATCTTGTTGCTTACATCTCCTGCTTCGGAGATGCGATCTGCGCCGATGATAACGAGGTCAGCGTCCTTACTCAGTAAGCCAACCGACGCATCGGTGGTGAGGACAATGCGTAGCCGATCACGGAATTGAGGGCCTCGTGAGGGATCTTCACGTCGTGCGTTGGCTTCGTCGGTCAGAGCTTTTGCGAAATTCACACCTTCGAAGAGAGGGCGTGATTCGAGGATGCGAAGTTCGATGAGGCGTCTCTCGTCGGTGTCCAGAGAGTGTAAAATTGCTGCCTTGATCGTTGATGAAGAACTCAGCGTCAGAATTTTAATTTGTCTCTCCCCTCCCGTCTGGCCAAATCTTTCTTGCAGGAAAGAATAAAATTGACTGCTCACTCGTTTGCTGATTTCACCTCTTTTGGCGACGTATCCTTGAAGGGTTTGCTTGACTTGAGCAAGGACGTCTGACCTGGCACTAGCGACGATTCCGCTGATTTCCGTCAGAGCGGAGATGATGGCACTGGAGATGGCGGCCGCCATGCTCGGCCGCCCATTGAATGCTAGATGGAAAGCCTTCATCCGGAAATCCCTCCACCATCCATTTACATCTTCGAGGACATCGGATTGCTGATCATTCTCGACGATCTTGATCAGAGTGTTCACAGCCACTGTGGCCAGCTCTCTGGCCCCGTGCGAATGATCCAGCCTCAATTCTTCAAGGCCCCGGTGTAAGATGCTTTCTGGATCAACCCATACCTGACCCAACGTGATTTCCAATCTCGGCACACAATCATCTAATATCTGTCCACCGAGGACACTGTCGACCGCCTCCCATTCGAAGTTGAGATGTTCGAAGTTGAGCTTCAGTGCCGATTTGTCGAAATTGTCGGGCTCAAAGGCAAATTCTTTCTTGAAGCGAAATGCAAAGGGCCAGACGTGCCATATCCTCCCTACCTTTTCACCTTTCCCATCCTTACCACTTATCGCTGTTTCATCGGTGAATTCAAAGCCTAACCCCCTTCTCCAGAGATCAATTTGTTGTGGCCCGAGACCGGTCTCCTCGTTCAATTCTCGCCAGGCCGCGTCCAGAGGGGTCTTATCAGTGGATTCAATCGAGCCGGCTATCGGAGCGAGCTTCCTTCGATACGTACTGACTTTGTCGGAGCGGCGGAAAAGGAGGAGACGATATGGCTTAGATGTGTAAGCTTGGAAGGGAAAGAGAAGAACTGATACGACGGATCGCCGTTCAAGATGGGCCCCAAGAGATCCTAGTGATTGAGCCATCAGTCTGATCACGGATATTAAACGAAAACGACGACCGAAATAAAATGGGGGGGCTGTGATGCCGAATATCAAATGGAAGCCGATGTTACGTCATTACGGTCAATCAGAGAGCCTTGTGCACAAGTAGTTGAGGAAAGGGCATCACCAGATCATCAGACGCTTGTCGACTAGATGGCATGATAAAAAATTCGAAATGTTCCATGCGTTTGTGATCGAATGAAATGGTTACAGAGTACGTCAGCCCACACTCTATCTCCGGACCTTTCCTGACATCTCTTTTCGCTTTCGAATTTCCACCGGTTGTTGTCTCCATTTTGTCCAAAAATCCTTGTTGTAGAACCCGCGTGTCGATCCCAAGCACGGTCCCATTGTTAGGATCGACACGGAAAAGAATCTCATCAAAAGCGCGAGCGCCATAAGTGAACCCGTCCACCGAGCCCCAGGTACCACACGCATTGGAAAATGGCCCCATGAACGGCTGCAAGGCGGATGTGGCCGACAAAGAGCTGGTGGAGATGATGTTGAACGTGCCACGCCAACTGACCAACTTGTCTCCTCCATTTTGCGCCGCGTCTATGAGGCCCGTCGGGAACAGACTCAAATCGATAGCAACCGTTTGAGGAAGAAGCAAGAGGTCCTGCGCAATGAACTCAATCATGTTCATGCCGTTGAAGATCCATTGATCGATCTTGAGATATGATCCCCCTTCCTCGCTGCCCTGGTCCTGGACACTGAGTTGAAGACTCGAATTGGTGCTTTCATCCGCATAGCGTCCAGCATACAACCTTTGCGTCTGTATTCTCGCTGCTTGTTTTAATGCGGGGATGAACATTGAGCTGATCAAGTCAGACAAGAGCCGAGTCTCTATGGAATGTTGTCCTCCTGCAGTCAGCACGGTAAATCCGACGTCGTAGTCGGGTATCAGTCCCATCATGGAGCTGTAAAGGCCCAGATCGCCGGCTTTCGAATATATCCTCGTCGGGAATCTATCCATAGGCGGATAAGAGATAATTTCCCAAGGGGCACCAACGATCACGGAGTCGTCCGGAGTGAAGGAATGTGGTTTCAACCACCGACGGGTCATCGACACCGGTAGAATTGTCGAATTGAGGATAGAAAGGCCAAACTTGCGCATGTCATTGACGGTACTGTAGTAGCCGCCACCTGGGTCCAGGGATCGAATGTTAACTGAATACCAAGATGCGGTCTCGTTGATAGGAATGACCGCAGATTCCGAAGACGATGGAAGACTGTAGTATGTCGAGTTGAGATCAAGTTTTCGGAAGGTAGCATTGACCAGTGCCGGAAATCTGGAGGAAGTCATGTTCTCCAAGGCATACGCAAAGAGTTGATAGGCAAGGTTGGTGTAGACGGGAGTATGAAAAGGGGCCACGACCGGATGACGAGCCAAAAGATTGAGAAAGAATGCTGTTAGCATTGTTAGCTGCAACGGGGGCAATATGATGTCGGACGTACACTCGCGATCGCATGGAAACAGAGCGTCTGGGCGACCTTGGCAGTGTGATCCGTTCACAGCAGGGACCGGAGGCATTCCCAGCGCTTCGACCTGTGCATCATACTCCGCATTACCCGCCGGATTTCTGGCCATACCCGAGAGCTGGGAAGCAAGAGCACCAATCGTGATCTCATTCCATCTGACGATGTCGACATCGCTTTCTAGATGGTGTTGGAGTCGACCGTGTTGACTCCTGCCGAGGTATTCGGGACACTCAAGCTGGGTGCAGTGAAGTGGTAAGTGAACAAAGATCCTCCATCTCGTGCCGAATAGACGTCTATGGAGAAGGATGTGCTGGTATTGTCCAAGACGCGATCTTCCAGAAGCGATTCGACGGTAGCTGTCAAGTTTGTGGCTGCTCTCGATATCGGCTCACTGTTCCTCAGGGAAGCAGATATTGGAAGATTTGGTGAGAAGGGAGCACATATTTGAGCATGAAAGACGGGGATACAGCAAGCCAACAAGGTAAGAGAAAAGTAGCACAACATCGTGAGGTGATGGTAGACGCCTCACAAACTACTTGGACCTCGACTTACCAACTTGATCAAGACTCCGGCTGTCTAGTCAGGCAGGTCTGTTTGTATTTCAAGAACCATGCAGGACAAAAATAGATTCGATATCTTGAATATACCTTGGCTGATGGGGATGGTGGCTGGTGTAGAAAACACCGGTTGGGCTTCGCCAGGCACATCGTTGTCTGGCACGCGCACGTACATTACGAATACGTGGGAGCGAATCTTGGAAATACGGCATAACATGCAGTCGGCACTTGGAATTTCTTGGCCATCTTGTTGCTAAGCGGGAATGAGTCCTTTACCTACCAACCATGTGACTCCGGTATGGCTTGGAAAGATAGGACTCGGTATTCGACATATTGGCAAAGAATATCGGCGACTCAGCCTCGTGAAGACAAGGCTGCCGTCTTTGGACTGCGTCGCTTTTGCCAACATCTTGCACTTGGCAATTTATATCGTAGGTCGTCTGAGATGAACCGTTTTCGAAGTTCCTAAATATGCAGACTCTCCCCTCGTTCCGCTTCGATTAAAGCTATTCTCCATCTCAACTCAGGAATAGGACGTCTCTCACGTTCTCATTTCATGGCATAGGCAACTCTAGCTCCCCGTGCTGGTGAGGAAACAGCATTATCACCATAGGCGTCGCATCGTGTTTTCGAGATCTGCACCATCACCGTTCGTCCAGACATCACGTCCTAGTCGTTGCCATTCGCGGATAAGTTTTAACGCGGACCGACGTCAGGCATGGCATCGAAGAGCCCAGTCACGGCGATATTTGGAGTTGGATAGTTGGCCCAGGCACCCAGACCCAACAGTGCTTGGAATATTGGCTTCCATCTCACTGTCTGTTATACAAACCGATGATATTTTTGAGATCGAGGGTGAGAGACATGAAAATTATCGAACTGCGTATTGAATCGAGTACTTCTCCGTACCACTGCATCACCTTCAACTGCGCTCATTCGATTATCCTCTTTGCCAGCGCGTTGCATGTCTGTAGACTCCTTATGGGAGACTCGATCTTCATTTCCATGCGTTACGATCTGAGTTAGCGCCTCGTGCGCTTCTTCGACTGCTTTTGTCAAAATGATCAATTTCATGGACTATGTCGTCCACGCCTTCGGTACCTCCACTGATTGGAATCCAGACAACAGCTATTCCTCCTTGACCGCGACATCCGACGCGTTACTCTCATTCCAGACTCCATCCACTCTTGCGCTGCATGTGTCATCTCTGAGCACGCCGAACTTTGCATCTTCGTATACCTTGTCCACGTTGGGCCAGATAGATGGCTCAATATCATACTTATATTCGACGGTTCCCCTCCGGCATATACCGTCCCAGACCCCGAGCATACCATTGAAATACTTGGTCCGAGGATATAGAGATATCAGACTTCCCGTTGTCCTGGGCGAAAAGAAAGAGCGCATTGACCAGAGTGAAGATCCGAGGAAACCAACCCTGCTCCATGCGACTCTCGCTCTTCCACCTCCTTCTGTTCTCACAGCACTTTACGTTCGCCGCATCAGCCCAGGCACTCTTCTGTCACTGTCCTTGTACAGCAAATCTGTCACGGCTCCCGTTCTCACCTCGGGTCCTCCTCCGGCCTCCGGCCTTGCCCATATTCAACATGACACGGGCCAATATTCAATCGAAGGCCTGGGCTCAACAGATAACGCCCTCTTGGGAGTACGGGGACTATGGAACTTTGGCCTCTCCCCTCCCAAAGGAGATGATTCTCTCCCGGCCCAAACCCCCTCACCGGAAGCAGTTGATGGCTTCACCGAATTTCCGTCAGGACTACCCCTTCCACCACGGCCTGATACCATGTCCGCCTACCACAACCGACTAGCATCTAAACCCTCACTACTCTCCGCGGGCGCGGAATTCTACTACAGCCCATTCTCCCACGTGATTGGCCTCTCAACCGGCCTCCGGTTCACGACCCTCGCTCCACATATAACTCCCTCAGAGCCCCCTCCACGTTCAACGTCACATCGACCTCTGGCAGGTACCTCTGCCTCTCTCCTCACACCTTCCAATGTGTCTCATTCCTCATTTCCATATACCATGACATTGACTCTGACACCTCTGACGGGTTCGATCTCATCCACATACTCTGTCCGACCCACTCCGACACTGGCCCTCTCTTCCCGATTCGACTTCAACTTCTACTCCTGGGAATCCCGCTACGTCGTCGGCGGCGAGCTGTGGCGCCACCGCAGCCGCCGACCCGATGACTCGGACTCATCTACGGACTCTCTGTCTTGGGCCCGCGCCAAGACCCAAGACTGGTTCTCCCCCGCTGAGCGAGCACTCAAAGACGAACGTATCGAGCGCGAAGAGGAGAACGTGTTGAAATTTGGCGTCGACGATTCCTGGAACTTCAAAGCGCTTTGGACAGGGCGAGTCAAGAGTTTACTGGTCTCCGCTGGCGTCAGCGTAAATCCTGCGGCGAGCCACGTGCCGACAGTTGGAGATGAAGGAAGTCTGGATATGAAGAGGTGGACGGGCAGTGTGGGCGTAAGCATTGCGTACTCTACTTGAAGGTACGGGATTTTGAATGTAGAGCATAGCGAAGGCGTGAGTGGTATTCGACATTCGCATAACGTAGACCATGATATACCCCCTCCACTGCTAGTGATGTTGTAAAACACGGGCAGAATATACATGTTGATTTTACGGCTTGAGTTGTTTTTAGCTTTAAGCTCCTTTTTGCTTTTCTCTTTCTGATAAATATATATATTTGTCTTTGCTGCGATGAATCTATTTCCTTGCAGCTATAAAGCTCATCTTGTCTAGCATTCAAAATGTCTTACGGTACCCCATCTTGCCCGAGGCGTTTCTGTCTGTAGGTGCCTGATTCTGATCACACTGCGATCTAATGCCATAGTTTATAGGAATCATATCGTGCTCTGCCCACCCACCTGTCCTTCTGCCTCCCAGCATTGCTGTTGCTTCAATCTCAGCCGAGTATTTTTCTTGGCCACGGATTATCCTGACACAGGAATTCAACCAACTTTTGACGATTTCATGCCACAAAGCGCAAGCACGACTTAGTTCAACGCATCCAAAAATTTCTGCGGAGGTTTCTGCCTGTAGCCTTCCGGATTATTTTCGGTCCAGCGCCAGAGGTCCGCGCAGGCGTCCTCCAACGTCCGTTCCGTCTTCCAGCCGAGCTCTCGGTTTGCTCTCGAGGGGTTACTCGTCAGGTCCAGCACATCACCAGCTCTTCGGCCGACAACTTGGTACGGTAGATCGCGACCAACGGCTTTGCTAAAAGCTTTGATCATTTCAAATACGGTCGAGCCCCGACCGGTGCCCAAGTTCCATGCGCGTACACCGGGATTGTGTTCGCGCAAATAGTCCAGGCATTTGAGATGACCTTGCGCTAGGTCGAGAATGTGGATATAATCGCGGATAGCGGTTCCATCGTGAGAAGCGTAATCGTCACCGAAGACCAGGAGTTTCTCTCGCTTGCCTGTAGCGACCTGTGCGAGGAGAGGAAGAAGGTTGTAGGGGACACCTGAAGGGTCTTCGCCCATGATACCACTAGGGTGAGCGCCCGCAGGATTGAAGTAGCGGAGAAGACCAGCATTCCACTTCTTGACGCCAGCCGCATCTCCTTTCTTTTGGGCTTTGGCCCGCTCGGCCGTGATGTGGTCTGTGATCATTAGTTCAGAGGAAAATTTTGTGTTACCGTACGGATTGGTAGGCCCGAGGGGACATTCTTCAGGGATGGGGATCATGCCAGGGACTCGGGTGGCGTCACCATAGACGGTTGCAGAGGAGGAATAGACGACGTTAGTAACATTATGACGCGCTGCGGAACGGAGGAGGCAGAGTGTTCCGTAAACATTGACTCGGTAGTAGTCGAGGGGAATCTCTCCGGACTCGCCGACAGCTTTCAGTGCAGCAAAATGAATGACACTGTCAATGTCTGGGTGTTTGGAGAAAACATCATCGAGGGCCTTTTCATCCGTTATATCCAGATTGTAATATTCCGGCCTCTTGCCACAAATGAGTTCTATTCGGTTCAAGACTTCAGGGGACGAATTGTAAAGGTTGTCGACAATGACGACTTGGTAGTTGGCCTCGAGGAGCGCAAGGGCAGTAAAAGAGCCAATGTAGCCGGTTCCGCTAGAGAATGTTAAATTTTTTGTCTTGGAAGGGCTCTTTCAGCCTGGCTCACCCGGTAATCAAGCAAGATCCAGCACTCATATTGACATCGATACCGGGGGGACCTGATGAAGTAGGATTGTTGGCTCGTGGCTCCTGCTGGTATTGATGAGTTGGAAAGAGGAAGCCGTCAGACAAGTGCACAGAGGAGATTTATTCTACCGCTGCGCAAAGTAAAGAGAAGCTCCAGCAGGAACTGGTGGTATTGAGCGTGGTGTGCTGGTGGAATGATTTTTTTTTATTGGAGGCTTTCTGCGCCTGCCAGTTCATGTCCCTGAGCCTAAAGTTTCAGCAGCCGAAGATCCACATGCTCAATCTCGAAGCTTGATAATTTTTTTCCCCTCCCCGTCAAGTCCGTCTGCCCGCGTTTCTATGGCAAAATCCCAACGTGAAAGTTCCTTCGCGATGGATGAGCCCCGGTCGAAGAAGCAGAAGATAGGTGCAAACGGCCCAAAAATTCAATCAGGTCCTCGGATCACAGATCCTCGATTTGCCAACATCCAATCTGATCCCCGCTATCGATTACCGGGCAAGAAAAACAAAGTCAAACTAGACAAACGATTCAATCGAGTTCTACAAGACGAAGATTTCACGAGAAGGGCCAAAGTGGACCGATATGGCCGCCCACTCGACTCTAATGTAGAGCGGAATAGATTAAAAAGAAAATATGAGTTTAACGAAGAGGAAGACGATGAGACTGACGAGGCAGACGATGATGACGAAGTACAAAAGGAACTGAAAAGAGTTGAACGGGCACATGATCCGCTGCGAGAAGGCAGAGAGACGGGGTCTTCCTCAGAAGAGACTTCAAGCGATGAAGAATCAGATGAGGAAGCGGGAGTTGGACCCGCTCAGCAAACCGATGTGCCTACAGGAGAAGTCACCTCACGCATAGCAATTGTCAATTTAGATTGGGACAATATCCGAGCAGCAGATCTTATGGCTGTATTCAACAGTTTTCTGCCTTCCAACGGCTCATTGTTAAAGGTGTCAATCTACCCGAGCGAATTCGGCAAAGAACGCATGGAACGTGAAGAAATGGAAGGGCCACCGAAAGAAATTTTTGCCAACGGCACAAAAGACGACCGGAACCAAGGATCAGAGGATGAAGATGAGGATATCAAGAAATCCATCCTCCAGCCCGACGACGGTGCGGATTTTGATTCTGCCGCCCTGCGACGGTACCAATTAGAACGCCTCCGATACTTCTACGGCATCCTCACATTTTCTTCTCCTTCTGTTGCAAAACACATTTACGACGCTGTCGACGGAACGGAATACTTGCGGACAGCCAACTTCTTCGACCTTCGCTTCGTTCCCGAGGACACGGATTTCTCCACTGATGCTCCGCGAGAAGAATGTGACAGGATCCCAGACGACTACCGACCCAATGATTTTGTCACTGATGCCCTACAGCACAGCAAAGTGAAGTTGACCTGGGACGCCGAAGACGGGAGCAGAAAGGAGGCAGTAGCAAGAGCATTCAAAGGCGGCCAGAAAGAAATCGACGAAAATGATCTGAAAGCCTACCTTGGTTCGGACAGTTCTGAAGACGAAGACGTCGAGAGACATGAGGGTTCGGGCCCATCAATGTCGAAAAAGGAAGCGGAGAGACAGCGCATGCGGGCTCTACTAGGCCTAGCTCCCGAACCGGAAAAGACGTCTAGAAAGAAAACGGTCCCTGTAGGAGACATGCAGATCACCTTCACATCCGGTCTGACAGCCGCGAATGGGAATGGGAAGAAGAGATTCGTGTTTGAAAATTCGCCAGAACCGGAGGAGACGACATTGGAGAAGTATGTGCGCAAAGAGCGTGAGCGCAAACAAAAACGCAAAGAGAAGATGAAAGCTGCCCGTGAAGGCCGTGACTTAGACGTGGACGCCGACGACACGGCTAATGCCGATGCTGAAGCTGGTGAGGGAAAAGAGGACCTGGGCTTCGACGATCCCTTCTTCGCAGATGCTGATGCACAACCCTCGGCCAAGTTGGAAAAAGCAGCCTCCCACAAGATGCGCAAAGAAGAACGCTTGAAGAAAAAGAAAGAGCGTGAAGCCGAAGAAGAAGCCGAGCGCAAACAGCGCGCTGAATTAGAATTGTTGATGGCCGACGACGATGGCGGGACCCCAGCCCAACCGCAGCGTATCCGACACTTCGATATGAAAGAGATTGAAAAGGCTGAGAAACAGGCGCGGAAGAAAGAGAAACGAGACAAGAATAAGAACAAGAAGGGCCAGCACGACGACAACGAGGCGAACAAGGGTATACAAGACGAAGACGGATTCAAAATCGACACTTCAGATCCGCGCTTCGCTCGTCTCTTCTCAAGTCACGAATATGCGATTGACCCGACAAATCCGCGCTTCAAAGGTACCAAGGGGATGAAAGCGCTATTGGAAGAGGGAAGGAAGAGGAAGCAGAAGGATCTGGATAGTAAGAAGGACGCTTCGAATGCAAATGTCAAACGGACCACCGGCAATGATAAGAGATCAGGAGATAAGGCTGCGAAAGCCACAGGTTCTGGTGTCGATGGAGTTGAGGATGTGAAGAGGCTAGTTGAGAAGATCAAGCGACAAAACCAGAGTCAAAAGGAGAAGCAAAGATAACCGATATTCAATGCGACAACCCGTCGTCGAAATGAAAGACACCTGACACCTTCATTTGTCCGCACTGATGTTTTCTTTTCTGGTCCGTTCCCCCCCCCGCTTTTCTACCTACTAGGACGACCAGTAGTTAGGTAACCGCATGCCTGTTTCCTTGTGTCGTCTGTTGCCTTCTCAATAAGACAGGGATATGGAGATAATCAAAGTCATGCAAAGGTCTCCGGCGGACCAGTCCAATGTCCACATCCATCATGACAGAGACATATGTAGACTCATGTCTCTCCTCCGAGACAGTTTGTTTCGTTGCTTGCGCATTTCCTCATCTACATACAATCCAGCCTCAAATGGTCCCCAGTCTGGACTCACACCAAAAGTGATGGACCAGCCCATGCATCAACTGAAACTCAACATCCAGTCTTTTTCTCATCTGTAAGGAGGCATTCCCCCATTTCCAGTACCACCTCTCAATCCCAACCCTCTGCCACCAATTTCACCATACATATCCATAAACACTCGACTGATTCCTTGCGGCGGAGCAGATTCGGCTTGGTATCTGGCCGGATGACCAGGAAAACCCGGGGGAGGACCGGCGCCGATAAACCCTGGTGGCGGATACATTACCGGAGGAAGATTTGGCACTCCCGGCGTCGAAACTGAATCTCCAGTGTATTTACGTTGCTGCTGTGGTCGCTGCTGCTGGGGTTGTTGTTGCATATTTTGTTGATTGGTTATCTGCTGTGTTTGCATGAAACTGCTGCTTGGGACTCCTCGCGGAACATTGGACAGGCCTGGAGGAAGTGACGGCTGACGTGGAGGTGGTTGAGAAGGCCAGGTTGGATTTGGTCGCGGTAACTGATCTAACCCGGGAGGTCGTTGAAGGCCTGGAGGAAGTCCTTGATGTTGTGGAGGTGGCATTAGTCTCTGGGTCCGGAGCATCGCCATCATTGCATCATCTGTGAAGCCAGGTTGTGTACCGTTGGTGGGTCGTCTGGAAAGTGCTTCGCGAGGTCCTGGTTCATTCTGATACATAGAAATCGGAGATTCATCAAACATGGAACGTCCCGTCTCTCGTCGTTGCATCATCATTATGGGATCTTGAACTTGACCTTGGCCTTGAACAGGAGAAATCATTTGTCCTCTTGATCGGCTATTGGGATCATTCAATCCAGGCATTCTCGCTCCAGCTCCCATTTCTGATTGCTGATGAGCAGGAGGAGGAGGAGGAGGTGGTGGTGGTGGTGGCTGAGGCTTTGGCGCAAGGCTTGCCTGACGAAGTAAATTCAACAGAACTTCGTCCTTGTTGATACTGGATTGTTGTCGTGTATGCGGAGGTTGTTCGGTAGGAGATCTCGGCTCAGCATATCTTTCGTGGTTTGGAGGTGGCTGACTCTGAGCTGGTTCGGATTGTCGAGGTGCGTTCTGAGCACCCAGAAGCGAAAGAAAGTCCTGAGATGACGGTCTCGCCTCAGGTTCAGCCTTGGACCCCGTGCCCCCAGCATGTAGTGGAGTCCTGGGCTTTGCAGTATCTTGATTCTGAGGCGTTGGATTGTTGCTCCGAGTTTGTAACATTTCCAGAATGCGGGCGAATCCGGCTTGATCCGCATCTGTAGAACTTGGAATTTGTGCCGATGATGGTCTCTCTGCCGTGGGCATCGGAGGAGCTTCGACTTGTTTGTTTTGTTCAGCTGGAGGACTGAAAAGAGAGGCAAAGCGTGTCTTTCCGTGCACTTTACCCGCACCGGTCTTCTGCTCAGTCCCTTTCGCTTCGAACCGAGCAAAAAATTTGTCCATCGAATCATCTGGTTCCACTGGAACAACCTTCTTGGCGGGCTTTTCCTGCACATTATCTGTGGGCGAGGTGGTCACACCAGACTCGGTCTTGTCAAGAGATGTGGTTCCTCCCGCCTTCATCTTTTCCTTCCAACGTTGAAAATCTTCCTGAGTATGGACCTGAAATGGTTCGTCGGGTTCTGTAGAATCCATCCATTCAGGATCCGCTTCAGCTTTGACAGACCGATCCCAATCTCGATCTCTACCTCGACCACTGCGCCAATCCTGTGACTTGTCGGTATCACGTCGACTCTCTCCATCTCCTGTATCTTTCTTAAACCATGATTGTGACAGCTTGGCTCTTGAATGTGTATCTCGTCTGAACCCAGTTCGCGTTAAATCCTCATGATCATCTTCCAAGTTCTGGTCACTCCTATCTCTTCCTGCCCATTTGAATCTTCGATCATAGTCTCGGCGGTTTTCCGTCTCTGCGTCCTCACTGTCTTGTCGATTTCCGAACCGACCGTTCGACTGCGTGGCTCTCCGTTCATAAGGCCTTGACTCTGATTCGTCACCATTCCTGGATCTCTCGTGGAAGGAGCTGCTGTCTTTACTGTTTGATTCCTCCGACCCCTCTTGAGTTTTACCGGCCGCGCGAGCATTTGAAGAAGCAAAAGAACGACGAGGCGGACCGAGTACTATCCGATCTGGGTCTGGACCATTTTGTTAGCAGATGGGTTACATCACTGCTATATCGTTTGGGTTTTACCGGTAGTTGTTCGACGCTGATTATCAAGTAATGTCGGCCTCTTTTGGAATGTTTCATTTGGTACAGATGGTTCATCTGGTTTTCCCCGAATTGCCGGTCTTCTATTACTTGTGTCCTGTGTTCTAGTCGGTTTATCAGTTATCGCACTGTCAGCCACAACAGAATTTTGTTTCATACCCCATCCATTCTTCTATCGGTGGCAGGTTGGGCGGTCTGCATATCAACGGCGACGCTCGCAACTTCAGCAAATCTTCGACAGAATATATCCCGGACATCTTCGGAGGAGATGAGAGGATAGCGGTATCCGCATCGGTTTCAAGTGCAGTGGCAAAATATTTCGGGAGAGGTGTCGATTAACTGGAGGAAAATGAATTTGCCATATGGGGATTGCAGCGTCTCTTTGAAAAAATCCAGAGGTGAAATCGTACACGAGTGGGTGCAGTCAGCTCTTATGTCTCAGAGTATCGACTCGGTGTGGGTGGTCGAGGGAAATTTTTGTCTCATTTGAGGGAGATTAGATGTCAGGAAGAGTGAAGTAGCGGTGGTTTGGATAGGACTGGAGCATTAATACATCGGTGAACAACAGTTTCTCGAGCAGCTGTTATGATTTTGGGCGAGGTTCCAAGATTTGAGATGTGACGTCGGAAAAGGTTTTGAACCTATTGTACTTTGTTTGGCAGTTTTTGTGTAAGAGATTCAGGCTTGTATGGAGAGGAGGACCTAGTTGCAGCGGGAGAAAATAAGGTAATTACACTCTGCGCCCATACAAGTCCCTGTCTAGTCCAAAGCCGCACCGAGGAAATGGTCACGCTACTTCTGCCTGTTTCCCTGTTTGATCGCGTATTCTTTGGTTTTACACAAGATCGGACTATGTTCCGCCAAAATGGCAAAATTGCAAAAACAATCAACAGCCAGGATTCCCAAATGGTCACCCACTTCAGTACTAACTGGCCGGCGTACAGCTTAAGTACCACTGAGCGAACGGGAAGTGCTGCTCTCTGTACCCTATGGTCGATTGTGGAAGTAAGTGCGTAAAAATGAATTATAAAGTAGAAAACCCGAAGAAGAGTTCCCCCAGACTGTTACACCTTCAAATATGGGCGTGCCGTCTATTTACGCGGCCAACATGATATCCAGGTGGAGGCCAGGAGAACTTGCTCAGCTGAAATGTATGTCCCCAGCGAAGACGCTTTCCTATCAAAGCGTGAATGGATCGATGGCACCTACAGAAGGGATCCGGCTGATCAATGAACACCCCATACAACGTTCCAGGTAAAGAATACATGTCCAAGCCCCGGAAACCTTAACACCGATCTCCTTTCAGACCCCAGATATCGTTCACCCCAGCCACCCGGCGGAGATCATGGCTGGAATCGATGCCTTGGAACTTGGTGTTATTCGCGCCAACTCTGACATAGTTACCATATGCAATCGCCATGCTAGAACTAAGAGCTCGCGCATTTAGATTAGCGATATTGGCATGGGACTCGTTTCCAAGCCGATGTGAGTATGGCCCTAGATGCCGTTGCTTTGATCAAGCCAGAATTCTAGTTATTGAGGCGTCCGAATAGACAGTAAAATTTCATTCTGCACTATCAATCCGGTTCTATCGCCCACGGAATGTCCACTAGGTCATCAAATGAGCGGCCGAGTTACGGGTTCGGTCTGAAGACATTGTCAAAGCCACACCAGAAATGGGGCATCTAAACGGAGACAAGCCAGTTGCATCGTTTCAAATGGTCGACTGCGTACGCAGAATCTGCCGCCACTTGTTGAGAAGAAACTTATATTTACCTCCTTCAAGGTCACGACAAGCAGTAGAGTTCTCTAAGGGACCATTGCAAATGTCCTCAAATCTCCATGATAGCCAGAATTGTGGAGAGTCTCTCTAAGAGTCAGTAAGTGTATGAAGTCCGTCATGGCAGCCGTGCAAGTCTCTGCGGCATCACGTCAATGTTGGCAAGCTTTGTGGGATTCACCCATGTCCGACTTTTCAATGACTGATTTCCGCGTGAGGGTTTTCAAAAGTTCGCAACAACGCCCTGATGATAGAGAGCCTGACAGCGAAGTATGTTAATTCAAGTCGACTTCTATGATTCGGAGAGTCCGATGATTGTGCGTGTGTGTGTGTTTTTCGACGTGGGAATCGCGCTGAAGCTGGCGATTGATTGTTCCACGTGGGGAGGTTAATGAGCAACAGTCGAGCAGTTTCAAAGAACCAGCCGGAAGTCTATGGTCAAGAATTCTAAAGCTTTGGGTGTGCTTGGCTCAGTGTCAGTTGAATTCTTTGAAGGATTGAAGGTCACGTACAAAAGCCTTTGAAATACAACATTAACACGATTGATCAGTCGTAATGCGTACGTGATGTTAGTAGGTTCGATGCCCCATGCTCTCCAAGCTGGCTACGTTCCAGATGGTCCAGCATCAAATTATCCTTCGAAATGCGCGGCGACCGGCCCATGCTCAGGATGAATCAGGTGTCTAAGGCAAAGGTGACCCAAGATAGGCGGCGACGAAGAAAAGTTATCTGATGCTGGGGTATGCTTCACCTCTCGGGTTTGAGATGGAGACTCATTGTCTCTGGCGTGGACACAAGGACTCCAACCAAAGACCACTTATAGGGTATATCAGGATGAAGAGAGCTTCCCTGAGGAGGCATATGGCTGCCTGTACCAGGCCAACGGAAGTTTTGTGAGTGTTCTCGCTGAAAGATCTCCAGAAAGTCTCAAAATGCTTTTGTGCGGAAGGCCGATCGTAAACAACTTGAAGGCACTAGAAATTATCGTGACTGAAGAACCGATCCATGATCAAGTACATTGCGGAGAGTGGATTGATTGGTGAGGGATCTGGAGGGCTGAGGCAGATTATCTTCCAAGAAGATTGAACTTCATAAATCTGTGTATAAAATGAGCGCTCTAGGTCCCCCGTGACGACGTTGAAACCCACAATTTGATTAGACAATCACCAGCATCCGGAGTCACTAGGGCTTCCAGAGGACCTCGTCCATCAGAAACGGAAGGACTGGTCGCCGAACCAATTTCAGCTTTTTTCAGCAGATCTGGCAGTGCGAGCATCCATTGTATTAGGTTTCGGTCATTTGACATCATACGAGTCGCCTACCTTTAGAACCATGACTCATTGCCGCCGTCGAAGGAATAACGTCGGAGCAGATTTGGATCCTTCTCACCAGTTGGACCGACAAAATGGTTGACGGGAAAATAACCAAGAGGACGTGGCGTGAAACCGTTCGCGGCGTTTGGCAAAATTCTGTTGAAACCATTTCCGTCTATCAAATGTTCGGTAGGGGCATCGGTATGGTCCTCTCGAAGGAGAGACTTCGTGTCCCATACTCTCCCATCATTGGATCTGCTAGCAGTTAGTCGCCATCGAGTAAAAACCTTGTGTTTGGGCCATATTGATCAAGCTAGTTGAAAATTTCATCCAAGCGATCATGGTTCCCGTCATCAAACATGTTCAGGTTTCCAGGGCTGAGGGTCTTGGTGGACTGGATACTACGGTTAGAAGTTGATTTTGGCGTTCGAGGCTTCCTCCGCGCTGACGGTATGTCAAATGTACATTCACGAGCAGGCAGCGTACAATGTCGATAAGGTGTTGACTCTTCGATGCGACACGCACGGAGGGCTGATCTTAAAGGATCTGAAGATACGAAAAAGTACAACGAAATACTCCAGGGAAGAAGAGAAGACAAATACTGGAAGATACGAACATTCTCGGGGCAAGATCCTCAAAGGCATAGACAAGCACAGGTGAGCACCGCCAGTTATTGAACGCTTTCTCGCGTCCTTCTATCGTCGATGTCAGCTCGAGCACCAGCACTATATGATAGGGGCGGCTTACTTGGATCGGGTCCAATCCGATGATCCACAAACTACTAGAACCGTCCTAGAGATCCCTAGGGAACGTCCTTGTATGTGGCTATGCTCTCGTATGACATTGAGCTATCAATATCTTTCCAATGGCCGGCACTTGTCGAAAGTCGAACGCACCAACCGATAGGAGTTGAAGGTTGATCTCGCACTTATTTGATCAGCAGCCGAGAGTTCATCAATGGAAAGACTATCCTGCTTGGCGTTGAAGTCTTGAGAAACTTGGCCATGCCGCCGGAAGGTGCACCTCGGGTAAGAGGAAGTAATCGACATCGACGACAACTATATGAATCCTTGAGCACATCTCACGACACCAGGCTGCCTCCGAACCTAGACCACGCATTGGCCAGCCACCTATCAAACCCCCGGTCAGCGCAGGAGAACAAGTCAATATGGTATCTTGAACGTACTCTCATGAGCATTGACATGACCTGGAAATGGACCAGCTTCTTCGGGCGTATATACCCGAACTGTGACCTGGAAGCCTTGTACATTTGACAGCTCGGGTCCTAGAATCCAAGTATCAGTTCCTGCAATGGACTTTGTCTATGGCAAAATACCTTATCGGGCCAGGTATGGTATGTAAAGCTCAGGCTTAAGGGATTCTTACGGTATTGCTCTACCGGCCTCTCGTCTGCTCGTGTGGCAGATGCGCCAGCTCGTCCTAGAAGTTTGCGGAATTCAGGATCAAATCCAGGCAGATACTTCTCCAAGACTGGTCATCCTCTTGGCCGGCTTGTGCGACTTGGTTCCGTGCGTCATTCTGGCACCTCCTGACATCAGTCCCCCCGTCTTTTTTTTTCTGATAGACTCAGACGTTTTCTTTCAGCACCTCTCCGTTTCTGACACACGTTCATAAGTGTCGAGGGCAAATTCGAGTTTCGTAATTCTGTTTGGAAAACTAATCGCTTAATCGGTCGTCTTGCCAGTACAGTCGCCGGATTCGCCAAACGGTCAATCGTCTCGGTGCAGACATACCCAGCCTGGCCTCCTGAACTGGGTGGAGGAATTATACATGGTTGTCCTAGTAGATTCGGACTGAGTGGCGACAGGCGGCCCCGTTGACGAATACGATAGGCTCTCTCCTCCACTCATTTACAGCGCCAGAGCACTCCTTCAGTTCAAGTTGCACAAGTTTGACACATTCACTTTCCAGTTCAATCTGCGATACCAGCCAGTAAACTCCCCACAACAGTCAACACAGGTGCATATCCCCAATGATTCCATTGACCACCACCTATCTGAGCAATAGACACAAACCCATCGACATACGCAACAGCACTAGCCGCGATCGTAATCCAACCTAAGGCCTTGTTCGTTCCAAAGATGACGGCCGCATACATGGCGACGCCCATGAAGACGTCTCGCACACCGTAGATGATCATGAGGTTGTCGACGAGATTTCTGGCTTCGGGGGATGCTGGGAGCGGAAATTGGAAGATTTCAAGACCGCTTCGAGGTCGGACCATGGCGTTGGCGCCAATGGCGACCCAGATGAGGGCTATCAGGTTGGCGGCGCCTTTTACATATGGCGATTGTGAGAGAGGCTGAGGCATTACTTTTGCTATCGTTTCCCAACACGTGACAGTATTGGTGATGAATCGGTGATGAAGAGTGAAAGAGGAGGCAGTGGCAATACTGTATTACTGTTGATTCATTTCACAATCGGGATTTTGGGCTGGAAATAAGATTCAAGCTGTTGATCAACAAGGGAAAGGGAGGTCTAGGGGCTGCTGGCAATGCCAACATATATAACATCGTGAGTTCTTGGGTTTCTAGGCTCGGGGTGAAGGACTCCGGACTCCGCATCGTCTGCAATAAAGTAAGGGTTAAGGGGATGGGGTTAAGGTTCGTAACCCCGTGCTAAGAACATTTAGGCCGGGCAGAGTCCAGGCAGCAGGCGAGGCTTTACTCAATTTGAAAAGTTGAAACTAGGGGGATGCCGCACTGGTTCACATGGCCTTTCATGTTGGTGCCAGATAGGAGATCAGGATTTCGATATGGATAAGGATCAAATCCTCATGGTCGATCATGGATCACCGAAGAAATTAAGGTTTCATCCGGCTGTTTGGATTGCGAGGAATGTGAGGAATGTGGCTGTGGGTAGCAATCTGTCGAACAAGGGGAGTTATCAACACAGGCTCCACCACTGAAACACTGGTAGAAGGTTTCCATAGATAACAGCATTCCTGATGGTTGTTCTGCACAACGAGACCTCCGCAACGTCTATAAAGAGGACGTCAGGAACGCAACAAGTAGACAGAAAAGCAATACATCTCGGGTCGCACCTTGTTTGACACAATCATGAAAAATTGGAAGCCGCAGGCTTTATCGAACTGGAGGCTACGTATGGCACGTAGAGGAGATGGCAGAAGCGGTGGAGAAGGTTTTCGCTTGATTCCTGAGCAATGAAGTTACCAAATCTATTAGATGGCAATCGAATTTGAGTGCTCAGAAGTAACCCCAGTATTACCGAGATGCTACAATTTTCAGAAAGGTAGTTCTCCTAGTAGACTTCTTGGGGGGAGATCATGAGTCGTGAGATCAAGCTACCGACTGTAAACTAAAGAGGAGGACATGATAGTAGAGCCAGCTTTACATATTACACAGGTAGGACAGATCTCGCATGTCTTCTCTCCAATCCACCCGAATCCTTTCAGGTCTTTGATCTATCATCTCGACATTCGAAGATCGGATCTGCCAGATCTTTTCTACTTACAAGGAGATGATGACGGACAGGACATGTTATGAAAACGAAGCATTATTCCTGAAATTCTTCTTCCACTTCCCAGGCAAGGTCCAACTCTATCAGCCGATCACCTGTCCAATATGTTTTCAGTCCAAGGAAATGTTGTAAGTACATCCAAGCGAAAATTCCTCAGCCGTTGTGGCTACCCTTCTTTATCGCCAGAGATGTGATCATATCTTACCCAGGTCTTCCGTGACAGGATGGTGTGGTGGGCTTCGTCTACTGGCAACACAGGCGCTGTTGATTCATGTGTATCTCTGGGTTGGCTCGATTGGATCTAAATATATCCATCGCGAAGCGTGACACAGATCAATTAGCTTAGCAGCAGACTTTTCAAAGGCGAAAATCATCACCAAAGACATCGACGTTACAAATGCAGACAACGTACAAGATGTCCGAAGTTAGCGACGAATTGGGGAGTATAAATTCCTTCTCTGCTCCACGGGAATGGTGTGCAAGGAGCCCTCCCTAACCATCCCACCTGATCTTTTCCACCGAACAGTCGATGTCGGCGCAACAGGTTCGTTCCCATGCGCACAAGCTGCGGCGATGGATAATTTGAAAGTTCGTTCTCTCCGAGTTTGTATCACCCGTTGGACTCCCTCCACAGGCGTATGGTAGAGCAGAAGAACGGCGGTGGCATTCTCATCGTTGCGTCTGGCAGTGATCATATAGTCGTGTATCCTCAACCTCATGCAGCATACGCCGCTTCGAAAGCTGCAGTTTTACAGTTGACGCGATCTCTGGCAGCCGAGTTGGCGGTCCGTGGGATTCGAGTCGACAGTATTAGCCCTGGCTATATGGATATTTTTCTCAATTATGGTCCTGGCATTGGGGGAATGGGGGAGACATGGCTTTCTCAGGCTTCAATGGGACAATTCGGTCAACCCCCTGAACTTGTCGGCCCCATTGTTATGCTGTGCGGTTGCGCTGCCAGTGGCATCACAGGAGCAGATATCATTAATGATGGTGAGACGATTATTTTCCCGTATCATGTCTTTTGGCCATTTTCCCGGCGGACTCTGCTTGTTCGAAATTGGAAAACACATTCTCTGAGTGCCTCATTACAGCTTGGCTTTGCGACCAAACCTGAGACAGAAAATCCTCAATATCAGTCAGTAGAACCTCTGGCTGTTCCATTGCAGCAAAATGTCCTCCCTACATTGTCGCTCCTGCGTCAATTTTCACTCTTTTGAGAAGCATGGGTATTCTGCACGCACCTCGCTATGCCTTGTGAACCACACCAGATTTCCCGTCGTTGCTGCCCAGGATTTGGGGACGGGAGCAATTTCTTTGGGAAACCAGGAGTACCCAAACGGCTTGTGGCAGTAATATTTGGGATCACTGTGAACCATATATCGTTTGGGCCCTTCTGAAAATATCTTTCGATAGTCCTCTTCACGTCTCTCTGCGGGGGTCGTCTCAACGAGTTCCTGTATTGCTTGAGTAAGTTTCCGAGACAGAGAATATCTACCTCTGTTTGGAGAGACTCGATCGAACAGACACTTACGTACCTGGCGATATGGATAGACGGCGCGGGGAAAAGTCTCTGTCAGCCAGTATAAAGTGACAGATTCCAAGATCTGATCCAGGGAAGGCGGTTTGTCGGTCCATTTCAGAAATTTCTCTCCAACCCTAATGAAGAAAAAAAGGTCCAAATCAGTTCGGTTTGATACCCGGAAGATCGCAATGCGAGGTAAACCAGTAGACTGACCAGGCTAGAAGGGCCAGTGGACTTGCAGATAAAGCAAAGCCTATCGTGGCCGGTCGCGTTGAGTGTTCGATCGCGTATCCAGTACCAAATTTCGCGAAATTATCACCTCTTTCCAAGCCCTCCTTTTCGAAGACGTCTAGATCGAGATGGCCATGTGTAGCCACGTCAGGACAGGGAATGACGCAGAAGTTGACTGTCGGCCCAGTATAATCAGTCATGATCGTATTCGTGAGCCGTATTCAATGCAATGCTTACGATGGAGTGCTGTTCGACTCGGTAAGCAGAAGGGCTTTTTTGGGGTTACAGGTTACCTTCCATACCTTTACAAGAGTCATAAAGACTAGCCATGATCCGCGTCGTGTAACTGCCAATGTCGCCACCTTGGACAGCGTAACCAGATCCGAATCCCAGCCCTGCCATGAGTTTATGCAGCAGACGCGCAGAATCTTCAAGCTTCCAATCCCTTTCCAACGGTGGCGTATCAGAAAATGCATATCCTGGAAGCGATGGGATAACCACGTGGTAGGGCAGTTCTCTGGGAGAATATCTCTTTTTCAGTATCGACAAAATGTCCAGAAATTCAAGGAAGCTCCCTGCAAGGCGTTAACAGTCATAGTGGGTCAGATAAATTGGTTGATAGGCCGTCGTTTCCTGCGAAACTGGCTGACTGACCTGGCCACCCGTGCACACACATTAATGGAATCGCATCCTGCCTTTCCGAAAACAAGCAGGCGAAGTGCACCTTGTAGACACTACCATCATCATCCACAAGCTGCGTTGTAAAATTGGGAAAGCTGTTAATTCGCGCCTCGACAGATCGCCTGGTAACACAACCAATTTTTGTGAGCTTCGACTCTGGGACTAAGATCCCGGTCATGCCACGGCAAAGGGGACACATACCATTCAAAACGGCTTTCCCAGTATGCTTTGGCATCTGACATCCACTGATAAATAACTCCGAATTTTGCATCTGCACGCAGATTTTCATATGTCTTGGGACCGAGTTTTGAAACACGGAGCTGGGTTTTGAGATCTTGTAAGTCAGATTCGGGGATTTGAACGGTGAATTCGGAGACTTCGAGCGAAGCATTTGATGGGACATTGGAGTATTTGGCCATGGCTGTCTGTATTTGGGGAGAAGTCGACGATCGGGCCAAGTTCGCCCCAAATATCACTAATGGTGTTTTGCTATACGCGCTTCCTCCAACAGCGAAATCCAAGAGATCTTCAGGCCAAGACGGGAGAAAGGAGGGCGGCTCTGATTTGTGAGACACGCGTATTGATATGTTCAAGATCACTAGACCGGATTTCATGCTTGATTCTTCCCTCCCGGTGCGGGCGAATCGCACCTGGTGTGACTCTATTCTTCCCAGGGTGCATTAGTCTACGAAAACCCGTCGCAGTTTTGACGGTTGAGACCATGGGCGGCAATAATGGATCATTGATGTTTTCGGGCCCGAAGAAGTGAGATCATTCCCACCAATCACTGTGGGCTAGAACCGTGCCAACTCCTCGAAGCTATTCAGAAGCTTTTCTCCTATCGAGATGATCTCTGAGACATGACGACACATGCACGGTTGGACAATCCGACCTGTTGTTTGAATGAGCCTCGTCCGTATACTGTGGCAGGGCCCCTGTCCTAAAGCGTTGAGAATGGTTTCGCCCAAGCTTTCAAATGCGTCGGTCATACACAAACCAATCAGTGCGCATTCTTGCGTTCGATGCGCTGAGCGCAAGGTCAAATGCGATAGGCGACAGCCTTGCGACGCTTGCATGAGACACAACGTGGAATGTATTTTTCGTGAATTACCACCGCCTCGGCGCAGAAAGAAGCCCACCAAGGAAGAAATCTTGATTGCGCGTTTAAAGCTATACGAATCAATACTCCAGGAGAAAGGCATTGAGTCACAAGAATTGCCAACACAAGTCTCCAAGACCAGTGGATCAGGTGAAAAAAGGGATCCCGATGCTGGCTTCGTGGCAAATGATATGCTGCAATTGGTGACGCCTGAGCTAACACGTTTTGAGCCGGAAGAAGGCATTTCCAAACCGCAGTTAGTGTATGGAGAAGGCCGTTCCAAATTCCTTGACAAGTATGTTTTTTGGGCAGTCTTTGCCAGAACAATGCTGACGATTGAACAGTGATCTATGGACAAGGGTAATAGAAGAGGTAGGGCTGTTCTTGTCATTTTTACTTTGTGTTCACCAAATTTGACCACTCGATAGCTGATCAGTCTACCAGTTCCGAGAACCAGGAGATGCTTTGGGAAACTCGTCAGACAATGATAGCGAAGCAGAAGCAGAAGCAGTTGAGAAAGAAGATATGGATGACAGTGCAGGTGTTGTGCTAAGCCTGAGTCCAGTGCAGAACAGCGGCCGCAAATGTCCACACCCACCCACAGATCACATACTTGAGCTGTGGCGGATCTTTTTAGAAAGGATCAATCCGCTCTTTAGGGTCGTACATGTCCCTACTTTACAAAGAGCTCTCCAGGTGGCTATTTCGAACCTCAAACGGATTCCGAGAAACCTTGAGGCAATTCTCTTCGCAATCTACAGCGCTTCGGTTATGTCGCTGGATGAACATGACTGTGAACGAAGATTTGGCCAGTCACGCAAGACTCTCCTATCACGGTACATCCAAAGCACTAAAGTATCTCTATTGCGAGCAAAGTTCATGGGGACCACAGACCTTGTCGTGCTCCAGGCTTTTCTCATCTACCTTTTATCCGTCCGCCATATCTACGATTCGCGTACATTATGGACCTTGACAGGAGTTGCAATTCGCATAGGAGAAGGCATGGGTCTGCACCGTGATGGCACCTTTCTAGGACTCCCCCCTTTTGAGACGGAGATTCGACGTCGTACATGGTGGGAAATGAAGATGCTCGACCAGAGGACCGCGTATGTCAGCGGTTCGAGTATATTCGATGATGTCGACATGCAGGGACGCACACCCAAGCGGCCTGCAAATATTAACGACGATGAGTTATTCCCCGGCATGCCCTCACCACCTCGGGAGTCGAACAAAGTGACAGACATGTTCTTCTGTGCCATGAGATCGGAATTCAAAAGCTTCTGGATCAACTATGCGGCCAGGAAGCGACAGCAGGGGAAAAGTGATGATCTCTGGGACAACTACGAGTCAAGGGATGAAATGAAAGAGAAAGACACCGCCATTGACGAACTGGAACAAGTCCTCGAATCCAAATACGTTCGTTACTGTGACCCTTCGCAACCGATCCAGCTCATGGCCATGCTCTTCGCTCGATTTTCCATCAGTTCCATGCGTTTCATGGTCCATCATCCACGAAGGTGGAAACACGTCCAGAAAATCTCCAGCTCTGAACGTCAATATGTCTGGGACTTGTCCGTCAAGCTCCTTGAACAGTATAACATGCCCCGAACCAGTCCGCAACTGAAACTCTTCTCCTGGCAAGTAGCCTTCTACTTCCAATGGCAAGCTTTCATTCACGTCCTGGATACCCTTTGAACCACTCCGCTGATGCCCGAAGCCGCCAAAGCCTGGGCTCTGATTGAAGAAATATACGAGGTTTTCCCCAGACCTGGCAGCTAACACGAAAGAATATATCCACGTTGCAGTTGGAAATCTGTGTTTGAAGGCTTACAATGCTCGTGAGGCTGCACTGGTGGCACAAAGCAACGGAGACACGCCCATGCTGGTACAAACTACGCCACGATACATCACAACGCTTCGTGGACAACGTGAAGCAGCGAGTATTCGCCGACAAGAACGCAAAACGAAAATTCGAAAAACGACAGAATCACATGTATCGAAGACGAGCGAGATTTCTTCTCCTGCCCGTGTTTCAAAGGACCAGCTCACAAGCCATCTTACGTCTGACCATATAAACCACCTAGTGGATCGGGATCCATATGACAATGCACTACTGTTTCTGCAAAATCTTTCCTCGTTCGACCAACCAAAAGTGGTCATCGACACCGGTACAGGCACGGGCACATTTTTGTCGTCATTTTCTGGCGGTACTGTCAATGGAGGCTTCTTCTCCGGCCCTGAGAACATGGAGATAGATACAGGTGCACTTGCAGTTGATCTCATGCTTGCTCCAAGTAGTACTGGTGGTTCACATTCTCTTTCTCCTTCTGCTTCTGTTGATCAAGCACAAGTACAAGCACAAGCAATCGACTGGACACGATGGGATGCTCTGCTTGGAGAAGACCCGAATAATAATATGATGCTGCCGCCACTGTTTATGACCGAATTGCCAGAATAAACACAGCCTGCATGGTAGTAAGATAGAATGATCCTCGATTCTAATCCTTCCTGCCAATCATTTGATCAATTTGTCCCGATACAAGTAAAGGTAAACAAACCGAAAAAGGAACGAGTCAGGGGATTCAAGTTCTTAAATTTCATGAGCTGTGCAGAGGTGTTCGTCGCTTGGATTTACTCTTCAAATGGGTTAGCTGCATTTTCTCTCTTTCTTTTCCTTTCCTTGTCACACCTCATACCGTTCCATCCTCAATGCCACGGTTCATAGCGAAAGTATATGGCCTGGGTGTTGCTTGACAGATCCTGAGAGACATGACGGTATATCCGCTACATGTGCCTTGCTGCTCTCATATTTGGACGAAGACTCACTCATGACTCTGGTCTGGTCATCTGGATCTTTGTTGTGAAGACGTTACCTTCACGCGGCTTTCCAACACCAGCTCTGGCGTCTTTTGTGATCCTCAGACCCTCCGGATTATTTCATCCGTTACCCCAGCATTTCCACATCAAGACCAATGGCTCTCATGAACAGATTGACATTACCAAGTCTCACACTCGACATTTCAGCAGGTAATGTCTTGCTCTGCAGGACAGTCTCCATGACCCTATCCTTGACACCGATGACCAATCTCTGCTGCTGTTCGGGGCTAGCACCAATGCCCACCGCGGCCAAAAACTGCCAAACATACATGTCGTCGCCAGAATTGACGGGCCCAGGAAATAGGGAACTAAAGAGCGGCTCCAACATATCAAAAAGTCGGCTGTATAATGTCGTCCACTGTTGCCAATCTTGATCGGCAACCGAGCCGGTTTCTTTGACCAATTCTGCCCGGCTCAGGAGGATTGTCATCATGCCCAGGCCAATCTTGGTTTGCGCAACAGTTGCCAGATTAGTATGGTCGATCAAAAGTCCCAGCAGTCCAATGACAATGTTGATAGGTGCTTCACTGATATAGCCTAGCAAACAAGGCATGACAGCTTGAGAAAATAATTCAATCTCTTCACGTACGTGTGGAGGTGGTTGTGTATCTCCCGGTGCCGGACGTGCATCTTTCACCACATCCAGTTGATCCAGGTGGATCACAATCATCGTCAAAATGGTCACTCGTTGCTCCTGGTCGATCTGGCGAAAAACGCGAGGAATGGCCTTTTTACCTTTGGCGAATGAAAGGAATGCAATGAAAGGATGTACCACCGATGATCCAGGCACTATCGGATCGAGAACCTTGAGATCTTGCCAGAGAGTCTTGTTGAGCCCTTGCATCTTTTGGTGCCACTCCAGGTGAGCTTGAATCGAGTCGGCATCACCTTCGGTGGGAGGTGGAGGCATTTGTCGTTCGTTGTCCTCAAGACGCATCAAGGTCGTATAAACAGCCTCAATGTTCTTCAAGATGGTCTTTCGACCACTTGACCCCTCGCCACTCGCCGTCGCCCTTTTTCCATTCGTTGGACGGATTTCAGGATTTTCTTGTCTCTTGATGTTCAGCAATGGTTTCGGTGTCTTGGCGTTGCTGAACGATATTTTCCCCAAGCTGCCTTCGATGATTAGTTGTTTATTCTTGGGCTTGAGTTTGGCAGCCTCGACTGCACGTTGCACTTGTTGTTGCATTCTTTGCATGTGGTTATCTCCATTGAGATGTTGTCTTCTGCCACCCATGCGCGTACCAGTGTGAAGCAGGTAGGTCTGTGCAAAATGCCCTAGTGGTTGAGTTGGATGTTGTCTCGGAGCTCCCCGGATTTGGCTGTAGACTTGATAATAAAAATCCTCATTAAGTGCGGCTTCCGGGTTCGGATCGGCCGAATTCCCCGTGGCGGTCACCAGTTGTTGAAGTTGAATTCGAGTAATGAAATTCTTGTCTTGCGGTGTCATCAGACCATTTCCCCTGGACAATAAGAAGATTTTGTGATTCCTTTTAGCTCGTTTAGCGTCTTCTTCCAAGTAAGCACGTCGTTGACCTTCCGACAGTTCCATCAGCTGCTGAGGATGAGCGATGATGGGTACAGCTCCGGACTGTGGCGGTCCGCTCCGTGGCATGCTGTGAACTCGTTCTATACTTGGTTGTGGTGAATGACGAGCCCGGTTAGGATTCTGAAGGATTTGCCGGGGCTGCTGAGGTTGACGTGGTTGAGAAGGCATTCGACTGTGACGCATCGGGCTGACAGAAGGAGGAGGAAGTTGTGGTGGCTGCTGCTGCTGTTGAATCGGTCCTCCAGGTTGTGATTGTGGCGTTGGTTGATATGGCTGATGCGGAGGAGGTTGTTGCATGTGTTGGGCTGGAAATTGGAAAGACTGCGGCGGCGGTTGAGGGAACGGTGGTTGTTGCCCCTGGGACTGAGCCAGCAGAGCAGCTTCGACCTCTTCCAAGCTCATCTTTTTGACGTCGGAGGACGCTGCAGGGGCTGAGGCGGAAGGAGCTGGTGCGCTGGTTCGAGCTGTGCTGATGCGATTATCACCAGATGGAGTTGAGCTGTGAGATTTTGAACCCCATGCTCCCGATTTTGCCTGAATATCTGGGATATAACCAGGATCTTGATATTTCTCGTAACCAGTCTTCTTCGGCTTCGGAGGTGGGACAGGGGCAGCTTGGTGTAAAGTAGGGTGCTGTAAATTGAAGCGCAGGTGTTCTTCGTCGATGGCGTCGGAGACTTGAGCTGTATTTCCAAAGAAATCGAAGTTTTTTCCCACGTTGCCTTGATCGGTGGCACCCTCAGCACCTCCACCAAAGGTATCATCATTAAAATCATCTCCAGTTTCCTCGAGTTGATCGCCTAAGCCGTCGTAGGTGTCTTCGAAATCGAGACTGAAGTGGAAAATATTAGCACTGGTGTATATCGGTCCCTGTTCAACTTACATTTCTTCCTCATTGCCTTGAAAAGCTTGCAACTTGCGAGCTTTCGCAACCTCGTTGAAAGGATTGGTGTGCTCGAAGATACCCTTGCTTTCGCCTCCGGACTTGTCCCTTGGGAGCGTTGAATCGAAGCCAAAAAAGGACATGACGAAGGTAGAAAGAGGCCAATACTGGTGATGCTCGTAGATATCAAAAAGTCCGATGTTGCTGATGTTGTCCCAAGTTTGCTCTCTACTTTACCCCACGCCGGCTCGTTTCTCGACAGGGTACCAAATCGGTGGCGGTGCGCATGTTATAGCGGGAGACGGGTTTCTGTGGCAAGCGAGGACAACAGTCTGCTATGAGATTGTAGCCGATGGTTGAATATATAATAATCGCGCAAATGAGATGCAGGCGAGGGAATGATGAAGGACTCGGATTGCATTGTACAATGGAAAGCAAGTGTGGGTGTAGAGACCTAATTAATACCACACTGTATCGACAATACGGGGAATTTATCCCGCTCTCACTCTAGAAGAAGAGTGTGTGGTCAAATATCGGCCCTGGAATTCTTCCTGCCTAACTAACAACTAGTACGGAGACTGTCTTAGCTAAACGGCATGCCTCCCACCCAACAGGATCCCCCTCGGGCCAGACAGATCCATTCCCGCCTCACGGCCCCCCAAAACTCTCTCGTTTCACGTCTGCCGAAAATGCTTGCGCGTCGTCCGTCACCCTTTTTTACGTCTGCAAACCCTCGTCTTAGACCCGGTCTTCTTCCTCAAGTCCAACCTGGAACTTCGGTCTATACACTCAAATGTCGTCCTAGTCACCCATCTTTCTTGTATTCCATTCTTCTTAGGGATCTTGTGATTGAATTTCTTTGTTTCCGCCATTGCCAACAATATATTGTCTTTCGTCAGCAAACTTGGAAGGCCTCGTTCATTCCACTTCTACAGCCACAAACCGATCGCTTTTCGCCTTGCAACCAAATTCTTCTCTACCGTCTCTACTGCCCATCACGTACCGACGTCGTTCTACCGACCTAACCTCTGATTCCTATCGCGCCAATATCGCTACCTGAGTAATCCCGTTTGCAACGATATCCGCAACCTCAAGCCTTCTGCGCCCTCCGAAGCGATAACATGGCTACAGGCACGGGGAGATACCTCCGTTATATACTATTTGCCATATTTGTAAGTGGCGTACAGAAAATGAACAAGATCTGGAATTGACATGAACCAGGGCATTGCAATTCTCTACTTTATTTCCACCTCATCATTACCCTCCTATGCGCAACCTCTCACGTCGGGTGGGACATTTCCTTGGGAACAAGTCCACACCGAGAAGACCAATTCCAATCCTAATGAAATATCCGATACGTTCTCCTCGACCCAGCCTTCCTCCAGTCCTCCAGACACCACGCCGTTGGAATCCATAACCCCGAATAACCTTCCTGTGGTCCCTTCCGAACTTTCACCTTCGGCATCTGGTGAACGTGTCAATGCTACCTTTGTGACCTTGGCCAGAAATACGGACATCTGGGAAATTGCCCGTTCCATCCGACAAGTCGAGGACCGATTCAACAGAAACTATAACTATGATTGGGTTTTCCTGAATGACAAGCCATTTGATGAGCAATTCAAAAAGATCACCACTTCACTTGTCTCGGGCAAGACTCATTATGGACAGATCCCCACCGAAAATTGGTCATTTCCTCCTTGGATCGATCAGAAGAAGGCCGAGGCTGTTCGAGAAGACATGCGTCGGAGAAAGATCATTTATGGTGATTCGATCAGCTATCGACACATGTGTCGGTTTGAGTCAGGCTTCTTCTTCCGACATCCTCTGTTGAACCAATTCGAGTATTACTGGCGAGTTGAACCAAGCATCGAGCTTTTCTGTGATATTCATTACGACCCTTTCCGCTATATGAAGGAGAACAAGAAGAAGTACAGTTTTGTCCTCAGCTTGTACGAATACGTCGAAACGATTCCGACCTTGTGGGAGAGCACCAAAAAGTTTATCAAGGCACATCCGGAGCATATTTCCCCCGACAATTCTATGTCGTTTTTGAGTGATGACGGGGGCGATACGTACAACAAGTGTCATTTCGTGAGTTACAGCTTTACTCCGCCTGCCTATTATTTCTAATGTTGGCAGTGGTCAAACTTTGAAATCGGTAACCTCGACTGGCTCCGGTCGAAGCCTTACATCGACTTTTTTGAATCTCTCGACAAGGACGGTGGCTTCTTTTACGAACGATGGGGTGATGCTCCTGTCCACTCGATCGCTGCGGGCCTACTCCTCCGAAGAGAAGAAATCCACTTCTTCAACGATATCGCATATTATCATGTCCCATTCACCCATTGTCCGACAGGAGACGACCTTCGCCTTAAACTCCGTTGCCATTGCAACCCCGCTGACAACTTTGACTGGAAAGGTTACAGCTGCACATCTCGATTCTTTGATTTGAACAAAATAGCCAAGCCCGAGGGTTGGATGGATCAAGTATGACTATCCGCAAATAAGACAGAAGGAGTCGCTTTGGGATGGGAGATCTGGCAATATTCGTGCATATCATTCGGCGTTGGGTTGGTCATGATGATGATTTTAATGAAGATTCCCCGGACGAGACGTAAGATTCTCGCCGCGGCAGAAAGATTGGCTGAATGGCACGAAAAAGGATTGGAGCGGGATGAAGCTGAGAGGTAATCGAAAGGGATACTGAATTTTGACACCTGCAGAATCCTCGCTTACCTTTGATACGACTGGTCGAATCTTCACTGGCTTGGGTTTCACACTATCCAGGGCGACGTAACAAGCTTCCACGAGAAACCCTCGTCGGAGTGTCCGATTGGTCACCGTTGCTCATCCACCTTTGATGTGAGAAGGTCGCTTCACTTGGACAAATTTCACTATCGCTCGTACCTAGAACATGGGATCGGCGTGCGCTTGTTTACGACATGGCTTTTCTTTGAAGGCGGACTGGGAATTTGAACGACGCAAATAAAAACTAGGAAGAGAGAATCAGGATCGAGCCGCGATGAAGGAGCAGTCCACGATATCTGTTCTCGATTCTGTGTGATTGTAGAAACGGGAGCATGACAATAGGATATGAAAGTGAACACGGTCGGAGTTTGGGGCAGAGATTACAGCGTCAAAAGTCAATGTCAGCATCGGAACAGCAATACAGGGTATCAAATCTTAGCTACTGTGTAAACCTTAAGTATGTACAGAGCAATGAAATTCAAATCCAAACGCAATGCAGTCCCGTGCAAAGGAGCTGAACCCATGACACATGGGATAACTGGTTCCACTGGTGTATTCGGATCTCGACTAATATGAGAAGGAGCACTTTTTCAATGCTACGATCATTGTATATGTGTACACATTTTATCGTGCCATGTGTACCAATCGATACGTAGGTATCTTTGTTGTATATAATGTACAGTCAAGTCCAAGTCCAGGTATGGAGAAGGTCCATCTCGTCCTCTCCCGAAATGAAACGATCCTGGTTCTTCGCTTTCGCTTTCTTTTCTGGCATAGGGGCGGGCATTGTTATTCCTTACTCCTGGCTCATGGCTATACACTTGTGACTGCTCCTCTTCTTTTTTCTGTGAACCGGTCTGAGACGAAAATCTCTCTATCAGGCAGTATCAAAGCCGGAAAGGGGCCTATCTCAATAGGGCAATTGGATCGTGGGATGAATGTTTCGATATGGTGTATTTGGTCGACAACGAAGTCTTCCATTGGAGATGGACTGGTGCTGGATCGAAATGGACTCGATTCGACCGTTGCTTTCAAGCTGGATCCAGAGTCTCTATGGTGCAGACCCAGCACTCAACCAGCTGCGTGCGAGAGAATACCGCCTTCCCATCCTCAAATTCTTGTCCCATTTGTCCAGACTTACTCATTGATCACCCATATTTCAATCGGTTTTTGGTTTCTTCGTGCCGTATTTCGACCGACTAGTCGCTCGATTCGGGACACCGCCCTGGCGCAGGAGACGTCAGTATCCATTGCTCATTTGTCTAGAAACGAGCTTCTCCTTAAACAAACAAGACACAGATGAAATCCAGTGCACGATGATGAGCATGGAACTTACCAAATCAAAAGCCCCCCGAACAAGATGATATCTGACACCCGGACAATCCTGAGACCTGCCTCCTCTCACCAGCACCACGCTGTGTTGCTGCACATTATGTCCTTCTCCGGGAATGTACGCGGAGACGATCTTGCCGGAACTCAGTCTCACCTTGGCAGTCTTGCGTTGGCCGGAATTGGGCTTCTTGGGCTTCGTGATGCCAACTTTCAGACACACGCCTTTCATCTCCGGTCGTTGCTCGGCGGCCAGGGCGGGCGAGACGGCATGGCGGGCTTTCTTGGGGTGTCGACCTTTGGTGCGGACTTGGTTCAGGGTCATGGAGGGTTTTGGGGTTGTGGTGAAGAGACGAGGGCGGGAGATGGAGGGCGTAGAACGTAGCGTTCGCAGGGAAGGTATTGTGGTTGGGTTTGGGTTTGAGATGGCGAGACGCGTTAGGGCGCGCAAGGCGGAGGGAGAGGGAGTTGGTGGCATTGTGAGAGGAGACAGGAATGATGGAGACGGTGTTTGACGGATAGTAACTAGAAAATAAACCCAAGTTTTTGCAGAGAAGCTGGCTCCGGTGCGCTAAGCCAAATTGGGATCCTCCTTCAAGGTTGGACGCAGCCTTGCGCAAAGGAACTCGGGAATGGTGCGGACCTATAGTCCTTCTGCAGTAGATCTAATGCATGAGATGTGGGAAGCTCCACAATTTTTAGCTTGTTCAATGATTAAAAGGGTAGACAGCTAACAAGGCTGAGGCTGAGGTTTTCGTGTTCTTCGGGCGAAGAATACCCACCCCATGCAAATGGCCTTGCTGGGGGCCTGCATTGGGTTCTGGTTAAGATATATGAAGCATCGATCAGTATTCTAGTATTGAGCAAGTGGCGATATCGCCGAGTCGCCTCTTCACCTACAAGACACCACGTTCCGTTATTCCTGCAAAACCTTCATCCGCCGTAAATCCTTCCAGAACCACACTTCATCCACCAACCTCCCATCAACAGGCGAATACCCATACTCCGAGACCACACCGAGCTTCTGATATCCTAGGCGAGGATACACTTCCTCCGCCTCCGTGCCTACAGTGGTATCGAGCATGAGATTCCAACGGTCAAGACGGAGAGCAACGGTCTCCAGACGCGCCATCACGCGCCGTGCGATACCCCGGCGACGGTGTAGCGGAGAGACGAAGAGTTTCTCGACGAGCGCCCGAAATGGCCCTGTCTGTGAAAAGGGAGTGTTGAGGCTGACTACGCCGGAAACTTCGAGTTGAGGTTCAATCACTGGCCACGACTTGCCCTCCGCAGAAAACGGTGCTATGACCTCCATACCTGCCGTCCGATTTGATATCTCCGACAAACACACGATAAGCTGTCGACCACCTTCGGTGACTTCTTTCAGTCGATCTTCCCACCAGCTGTACAGCGCTGCGTGGGACAAGGGCGGGAGGAATGTCGCGAGCGTACCATCGTGCAGGATGCAAGAGGCATGGATGTGCACGATTCCGTCGATGATTGCAGAAAGCTGTGGCGACGAGGATGTGACCAGGTAGACTCCCGGTGCCAAACTTACAGTGAAAGGTATTGATTCAGGCATGCTGTTTGAGTTTGACCTATGCGGGCTTGAGATGGAGGAGATCCAGTGGTGATAAAAGTGTCCAAACTGCGAACTTCTTGATAATGCAAAATTTTTCGCCCTCGCGCAAGGATTGGACAAAGTAGAAAAATTGAATGGGAGAAGAGAAAGTTCGGAAAATCTCCGCTGGGTATACATATATCTCCCACCTTAGCATTACGATTGTAACATCACTTCTCAGGTGTATCCACGACATGGGTCACGTATTTTGAACCGATGCATCAAACGCGCGCAAAAGCGTGAAATTCGGAGCATTTGTCACCGCACATGCTGAGTGGCTGGTTCCCGCGTACAAAATGCAACCTAGTCTGGTAGGGGATCTGCGGATAAGACGTAATCGAGATTTCTGACGAGATTAAGTGCCCAGAGAAGAAACAATAGATTGCATCAAGTGAAGACATATCCGTCGCATCAGCTGGATGACCTCTGTAAAGTGTAGTTATAGAGGACAGATATCTGTTTGATCATGGATCCTCGTGCCCGAGTCAACGCAAATTCTTCTGTCAATCCAGTCAGAATCAACATGGCCCGCCTCAAAGCAAAGCTTCTCGTCAATCAGCAACCCCTAATTCCAAGAATTTTTGTTTGTTATTTTTTAACACAGAGACCCCCGGTTGAATTTGATGGCATTGCACGGTAGACAAGCACATCTCGAAAATGACATTATGACAGGACAGGACAGAACAGGGGTGGGCCAATTGAATATATTTTGTCTCTGAACCTCCAAGTCGGGACTAAGATCTGCCAATATTTGGTGCAAGGCTGAACACATCGACTTGGGATCGGTGATTTGCTAATTCGAGATGGTTGAACTTTTTGGACTCTCGATGGTGCTTTTCGTCTTGCAGTATGAGTGCTATCGCTTTGGCTTCTCAGATCTTCGGATTCATATTCTTCCACATCACTCTTGCAACTCTCATCGGTATGTGATATTCCTGGACGCTTCCGAATTTTAGTACTGGACTCTCACGCGTATTTAGGTGTCCATCGAGATCTTATCTCAGCAATGCAACATGTCCACACCACAATCCCAGTTATGCTAGGAAATCTTCAACAAGAGATCGAAATCGAAAAATCTCTCAGGTATCGAAATTCGGGAAGGCGACCGATATTCAGTTTTCCGCTTCCCATGAGAGAGCGACCGTGTAAACATAGCGAGGTTGCTCAACTCTTAGAGATCACTCAACAACCTGTGGCAGGAGTTCAAGAATATTGAACGACCTTTTCTCATCAAAACCCCAGGAAGGACCGAGATGATCCAGAAGGGTGATTATTGGGAGATTTCCATAGACAACGGCATCCCTGATGGTTGCTCTGCGCAACAACGAGGCTTTTGCATCGTCTATAAAGAGGTCCTCAGGAGTGCAACCAGTTGGCAGAAAACAGAGCATTCAATATATCTCAAGTTGCACCCCCATTTGACAGAAGCCTTGTACCAAATCAAATCCTTCTAATGAGAAGAGGACCAAAGATTGCATGGACGTGGCGGAAGCTGGTCTATCTTCAGACTAACAAAGATATTGTCGAATTGATTTTGGTCCACCGCTTTATCGGGTAAGTCCTTGACTTCACACTCTTCTAGCTAGCTGATTGCTGCTAGGTGGCAAAGTCAGGTGTCTATTTAAGTATGCTGGATCAGGTCCGACGGGTTCGGATTCAAAGGATAGAAAGAAACGTTTTGGAAGCCGACGAACTTGTTAAGCATTGTTTGAGGATTCTGGATAGGCGACGCGGCGGCGGAGAAATGGAAGTGGAAGTAGGAGCCAGGAAGTGATTGGGGGAAGGCGGTGGCGTCGGAGTCGTGCGAAGACGCATCGTTAGATCGTGCCCATGGAGAGTGAAATTCCCAGTCGACGGGCGAGTGCAAGTGGATGATGGCCGACCTGAACGACAAGATCAGTTTGAATATGCTGCAACTCACTCCTTCTTCCATGCGTCAAACTCATCCTCGAGGTGATCTTTCAGTTGTTTGAATTTGTTTCCAAACATCTTCCCACAGCGCCAGCACCTACAGTCCTTCTTCAAATTGCCATTCTGATAACTGACGCTTCGCCTCACATCATCCGAGGAAAGCGGGAAATCCTCGAGGGGGATGAAGAAATCCGTGTTGAAGCTGTTGTAATGCTTCTGATTCTTTAGTCGGTCCGAATGCATGTCCCGACTAATAATGTGGACGTGAAGATGATTCATGGAGGGATGAGCATGAATTCCTACTCGACACTCCTTCGAAAAGTCTCGTCCCGGAGGGAGCTCATCAGGAGGATCGTCACTTTCCATAGCAGATATTCGAGCTTCGCACGATTCTGAGTAGGGACTGATCAGTCGCGACAATTCGGACGCGGCAAGTTTGACTGCCACCGCAGCCTCCGCTCGCATCATGTCCAAGAAGGCCTGATCATTCAAGGCATCCCGAGGATGAAGATCCCGTTTGGAAGGGTCTCGTGGGAGCAGGAGGAGATGGACCGTGGCTTTAGGGAATGCGTCCCGAATCAGGACTGTTTTGTCGTTGTGTAGAATGACCATACCAGGAGAGTATTTCGACGGTTCCAGGATGTACGTGAGGAGCCCATTCTTCCAGTCTTTTGGATTGCTCAATTTCTTTAATCCCTGTAATTTGCAGGGCTGCTGTTTCTGTTGTTTGGCCTTTGGAGACATGAGTTCGGCAAAGGCATTACGCTTGGTTGATGAGGGCGGCTGAGAGGTTTCTTCACCTGCGTCTCCATCGGCGATTGCATTCATGTTTTGCAGGTTGCCTCCTGGTGATGGTCGAATTTGAAGGCAGGGATAGGAGGATAAACGGGAGATGGCAATTTTGAAGGTCACGCCCCATGTCCTCCTTTGCCTTTCACAAACATCATGTGACAGATTGGGGCAGCCTCGTCCAACATTAGTATAATCTGACTGCCTTGCCAGAGAGTCAATCAAAATTCAAATCGTAATGTCCAGATGTCTTACACAGATGCATTGGTGGGAGAAAGCGGTGCATCTTCCTCATACTGGTCGTTTTCTTCTCAGGAACTTTATTATTCGCCCCCCCAAAGGAAATACCATTAACATGTACGAGTTATATCATTCTGGGTGGGAATAAGGCACTGAATGCCTAAACGGGCTCGGCGGCCTTTTTTTTCTGTAACTGGATCAGGACTTGCAATACCGATTGAATCAAACACCCCGGCAGCATTCTGGACTCCGGTCTTTGGACTCTGTGGACAGGCCCGGCTGCCTTCTCCCAACAAATAAAATAAAAAAAGGAACATCCTCCAATTTTGGTGGCGCAAGCCTTAAGAAATCTTGACTCTCATTGACCCCAAAATGCAAGCCAAACCCAGTCAGTGCCATTCCACTAAGAGAGACGCTCTCAACTCCATGCGGTGAAAGAGCGCCAACGACATTTGCTAGGTTTTGTCTTCATATTTTTGTAGCACATCTCGTCTCCATTCCCAACTCCTTTACATAACCACACACCTGCTGCAACATCCAGCGCTTTCTGCTTGATGGCCCATCTCCAGTTTCTGACCGGGGCCATGCGACCCTAGTTGAGGAGCACCTCCACTGTAACCTGACATTTCTCGGTTGTATCTTCGGATTTCTCTGACGAGATCGTAGAACGCGTTGTCAACATTTATTCGGGATTTGGCGGATGTCTCGATGAATTTGCAGCCATATTGTCGGGCGAGGTGAGCACCCTCTTCTTGAGATACCACTCTTTCGTTTTCAAGATCACACTTATTGCCAACGAGGATGATCGGGAAATAATCTTTATCCTTGACACGTAGGATTTGTTGTTGAAAGGTCATGATCTCTTCAAAGGATTGTCGAGAATTAATCGAGTAGACCAACAAAAAACCTTCTCCTGTCCTCATGTATTGTTCTCGCATGGCGGAATATTCTTCTTGACCGGCGGTGTCTAGGACATCGAGGAGGGCGACTTCATCGTCAATCATGCATTGCTTGCGATAGGAATCTGGAGTTGGAGATCAGCGCCACCGCTATTTCTTTTAGTTGTGTTCGCACCTTCAATTGTAGGGTCATATTCGTCCACAAAGTGACTCTGGATGAGTTGGATGGTCAAACATGACTTTCCCACGCCGCCACCGCCTACTACTACTAGCTTGTATTCGCGCAGAAACTGTAAGGGGGGTGTTAGTCCTGCCATGATTTAAGAAGAAGAATCATTTAAAAGGAACCGATAAAAAAAAAAAAAAGGAAATTGTCAAGCTGGAGTTCAAACAACCTTTGAAGCCATATTAGACAGCTAAGACCAGGCAAAGGACAAAATCCAATTAAGATCTCTGGTCGGAATCTCGCTAGAGAGATGTATTCCAAAGCGTGGGCAGTGGCGTCAAACCCGGCCGTTGGGCGTGAAAATGCGATACAGGAGAGCTTGGCAGGAGGTGTGAGGACGAGGAGTAGGAGACCGGTTGGAAGAGGGGGGATCCGTATTCCGTAGGTCCCCTTCTAGTCAGGGGATTGATGGATCGATGGAAGAAGGAAGCGAGGAATCGCAGGGGAGGACAGAGACAAGTGTCGCCTTGCAAAGACGGTACGGAGTGAAACGTTGATTCGGGGCAGTTTTGTAACAGCGACCTGAGGGCTAGACGAGGGAAAGGGGATTCGGACTGCTTGCTGATAGTCTCAGACAGAGCTCGCTTGCAAGGCTCGGTTGAGGGATTGAGAGGACGGGGAAAGGAGGATGTTTTGCGAACTCCCAGGATGTGAAAGACGAAAGTGAATGAAGTAGTCCCGTAGTAAAGTGGGCAGTTAAAATCCGTTCAAGTTGAGAGACGTCAAGGGTAGGAGAGCCGTAATTGTAGTAGTAGAAGACTAAGAGAACGACTGAGACCCCAGTTTGGGGCAGGGGACCGGGATAGGGCTTGGGAAAAGGACGGCAAGCGACAAGGGGTTGTTTTAGTGCCGTAGGGAGCACTCGTCCTAAAGTGCTGCGATGTACCGTGAACTGTGGATTGATCGAGCGGCGAGCTGCCACTGCGTACGAGAGGAGAAAAAGAAATGGACTTGATCGATGGATAGCTAGGTGGTCATTATTGCCACAATATCAGGGAGATTGCTAACTAGGAAGCCTTTGGAGCATGTAATGTGCCGCTGGCAAGCTCTGTGGTAGCGAGCATGGTGGGCGGTGCAGAAAAAAAGCCCTACTGTACATTCACACCACCACAATCAACATCCAATGCAGACCATCACCATCCCCCATCACCTTCGCTTGATCAACCACCGTAGCTCTTTTTCTCTGTCTCCCATCCTCCTTCCAGTCTTCTCCTCCATCACCATGGACTCCCTAATGCAACACATCTCCCCGGTACAGCACTCAAGTCTTATCACCAACCAGAACCCATCACATCACCATCGGCGCCGTGCCACCGTCGGCGAACCAGGCCACAAAACTTTTCCTGGGCCTCCGACCAAACAGCCTGCATCAAAGAACCGGGTGGACGGTAACCGCTCGCTACCCGTTGTACCCATTCGTTCAGCCGATGCCCGACGAAGAAGCCTGCCCCGACCCTCGATTCGATGTCCTCTCAATCCATCACATCCACCCACACGCCGTCCTTCACTAACTCCAACTTAGCGTTCGCGCTTACATTTCTACTGTAGGGCCTTCTACCACAGTTGTCCCCCTTACGCCAAGGCTAGCATCACTAAACCAAAAAGAACAGATAATAAAAATGTCTACCTCTGCGGTTCATTGTTCCAAAAGCAATACGAGAGAATCGATAACCCCACAGCCATTGTGAGTTAATGGGCATCGAAAATCACTCATTGGGGAGATCAAGACAAGGCCGAGCGCGCTGCAGAAAATCAACGGACTTTGCATGCCAATGCAACATGATGTCGGGGACCCATCACCCAGCCACCTCTTCACCACCCCCGGACCACACTGTACTTTGCGTTAGCCATGTCGTGCTTATTCACTTTCTGGAAAATATGTATCCCTGATTGCGACTTGTCGATCCCGAGTTGGCATACTATGATCAGCTGTCACTTCGGAGGAGGCTTCCAATCACCGGTGTGGCTGTTGCCACGATCACCCTTTGCAGCGCCGATGGTCGCATACTCAGGGTAACATTCTGGAAGATTTCCCAATTGAAAGCCCAGGATCATTCGTTGGTCTTTGAGAAGATCTGGAAAAACTTGTACGATCTCATTTCAAGAAAATTCCACAGACTAAACGGCCCCTGATGCATTGGCCGCAAACCTTCTGCGCACGTGTCTTTGCTTGTGGCGTTATCTGATCCACCGCAGACCTCCCCAAAGACGAACTTATGCATGAGAAACGTGGGCAATATGCAGGCCGAACGGGACCGGTTGGAAGAACCAAATCGAGAGGGGTTGTGTCGTTTTGGGGGCAGAAAAAGGAACAATGATGACGCATGAGAACCGGGAGGCTGTTGTTGTGGAATCATGTCCTATTCCCATCAGCTATCTTTGTCCTTCTTCACGTCAGTCTCGTCATCAGTATCATCTTCGCCTTCGGTATGGACTCTGGTTCCTTTAACACCGTCGGCTACCTCCGCTTCTAAGGTGTCCATGAATTCTCTATCAGTGCCGACGAGTGTCACGACATTCTTATTCTTTCCCCATCGAGGATAACTTCCCACTTTGACGCCTTTGGGCTCGACTTTTGCAGCCAGCGAGCTCAGATATTCGGCGACCTCACTTTCGGCCAATGGTGTACTGAAAAGCATTCGATACATTCCTTTTCCTTCGGGATCCTTTAATCGAGGAAGAAGGCGAGGTTTCATTCCCTCGAGGAGTGTTTCGAAGATTCTCGGCACCCCGGGCAAAATATGGATATTCCCGTTCACCACTGAAATGGGGACCCAGAGATCTTCCTTGACAAATAATACTTGATCCTCGTCTGGAATATCAGGGTCGGTTGGAAGGTGGGCCATTCGTAATTTGGCAGTTAGTGCTGGAGAAGGGGTGTCCCAGGAGAAATTCGGCTGGGATTTATGAGGCCTCGAGAACTTTCTCATTTTGGCCACTGTGGTCTTGTGGAGCTGGAGGGGGAGGCCGAATGCTTTGGCTATGGATTGGTATGTAATATCGTCATGTCTTTGGACCAATATCTCAGTGGCGCCGAAGCGAATGAATCTGTTGCGGGTGACACATACGTCGGACCAATTCCGCCACTAGTCACCACAAAGTCATAATTTTTGGACATGCGCCTGGCTGCCTCTATTATTTCATCTTCGTCATCGGCAATGACTTCTATTCTTTTCAACTGCATTCCCAACGAGAAACAGAAGCGCGCAAAGTACGCGGAATTGGTGTCGACGGTCTACCAAGTCAGCTGGGGGTTCCGCGTACTAGTTATTGACCGCCGAATCTTGTCGCCAGCGCATACGGCATCATTATGTTGATTTTGGCGGTAGAAGAGAAATTTCGGAGATGACCTGCCTTGCCGCCCAATACCTCATCGCCTATAATTATACATCCCGCTGTGTGTATCATGCTCTTTTGGGGGCTGGAATAGGACTCGGCGTTGGATGATGATGTCATGTTGGAGGAGCACGACGAGGACGACGAGGATAACGCGGCGGCGGAGCGATGGCCGTAGTTAGGGAGTGGTCGAGAGAAGTGGCGTGCTAGCTGAGACAGGCGAGAGAACATGGATTGAGAAAGGAAATACAGAGAGAGAGGTGGGATTTGACAATGCTGGTGGTGAAGGACGCAAAACTGCGCTGTCAGAGTCGGAGTTTAGAAGATGATTGATTGCCCCACCACTCTCCAACTCACCAGATCTTCCATTTGAAGTTGCCCACAGCTCCTCCTCTTCCGAATATCAGCCCTAACGATAGCGAGGCTGAGTACGATACCAATCACTCTTTGTATTCTGAGAGCCTGTCCCGAGTTCGGCGTGAGCATCCCAATCACCCCACTCGCACCTCTGGAACGCCGCCGACGGTCTCATTCAATCCCCTTTGGAGCGAACATGGTAAGTATGTCCGTTTGCCTCTCTTGTCTCGCCCGCTCCAGAAAACCTCCCTCCCTCTTCTCACGCCTCGAACCAAAACTAACAGCTAACACACTCAGTCAGAGTCCCGACTCTACACTTTCTCGCAAGAAACGAAAGACCAATTGCGCAAGTTCCGACTGGGCACCTCGCGGGCGAAGACGCCCTTGGCCAAGATCTGTGAGTCGCCGCTTGATAGAAACGCCAGAATTCAAAAGTGCTCTTGTCTTTTGTATGCTTGAGCGCTGCCCTGTCTCGGACATTCGATCTATCAACCGACGGTACATCCCTTACGACGTGATCATTCGGCCATCAGCCTCAGCCTCGGCCTCGGCACGGGAATTGCGTCAATACAGTAAGAAACTAACATGCGTATTTCGGACAGATCAAATCGATACCAAAACTCAAGAAATCAAACTCTCCTCCGATGAGACGTACTCTGACATGCTCGAGCTCGCCGACGAGCTTCCCGATTCGTCTCCTCGATTTATTTTGCTGAGTTATCCGTTGACGTTGGTACGTTGGTCACTTGATACTCTTTATTTCCCTTTCGAGCAATGCCCCAATCGACAATCCACTTCATTGTCCACAAACCGCTCACGATGTGATGGGTATAAACAGCCCTCAGGCCGCGTCTCCGTCCCCTACGTGCTCCTCTATTACTTGCCCGTCAACTGTAATCCGAATATGCGTATGAGCTATGCGGGCGCTGTGGAACTCATGCGCGGTACTGCGGAAGTTAATCGTGTACTGGAAATTCAGGACGCAGAGGACTTGCAGAGCATCGGGGAGAAATTGATTGGTGAGGACTAGGATTCAAAGGAAAAGTCAAAGCGTGAAGGGAAGCGAAGTGTAAGATGGAGAATGGTAGAGGGGAAATGGTTGGGATGTCAGGGATGTTGGAACAGGATCATGAAAGGAGGTTGGTTGCGTCTCCCGGTAGGAACTCAAAAGGGTTCTAGAGAATGAAGAGCCAAGAACATTGGCTTCACGATCCCTAAATCCAGGGTGGAATCAACATCAAGATTGATCATGTTTGCAGTATGTGCTTGGATATTCTCGTATCTTTACACGAAAAAGTGATTGTACCATTCCAATTAACATATCAGTGTTGGTTGAATAAACATCGAGATTGTAAAGATGGATTATTGCCCTCTAACGCCCATGCTTCCCGCCGCAAAGCGAAGCGATGCAATGCTAAAGATGAGACTGGGGAGGGAAAGAAACAATTGCATTAAAGCTGGGATCGAACGTGCTCTCTCCCGCCTCTGAGCCCTGTACTGGCCTTCATCTCATCTCTTCCCGTTGTGAATTCCTTGAAATACCCTTCGAGCGCCTCGACGGTGCCTGGTCCTTCGACCAACTTCACAGTGACACCAACATGTCCATCCGGGCGCAGCACGACCACGGCGCCCTCGTCGCCGGTCAATCCGACCTTTGCATGCGCCGAGGCCACCCCGTCCGGCACGCGCATATCTCGCCTGTCATCTGCGTACACGCGGGCTGCATAGTCCTGGAACAGCGCCGGGAGGTCTGCGATCTCGATCTCGGACCGTTTAGCAGCGATTGTCAAGCACAGCGAGAAGAAGCGTGAGTGCGGATTGTCCATGTCGTGATGGTTGTCGCGTTGGCGACTCGCGCAGCCGAAACGAGAGTAAAAGCTCGATGGTCCCGTGAGCCCGGACGCCAGGTCGGCGAGGGCCTTGTGCCGGCCCTTCTTCGACCTCTGTTTGGGGCCTGCGAAGATGAATAGGCGGAAGGAGCCGTTGAAGGGGATCTCGTTCTCGAGGTGTACGACGTTGGCGTCGACCACGCGCGTCACGTCGGTGGGAGGCATGATGCGGCCGGGGCGCAATTTGGTCGAGTCCATGACGATCAACGGGTGTTGGAACGGGTGGTCGCGAGTATGGTTGAAGACGTTGCCGTTATACGCGACGCCGTACCCCGAAGTAAACTCACAGTTGGCTTTGAACATCTCGACGAATTCGTTCTGTGTTTCCCCGTGATCGTTTTTATGCGCGTCGTCAACTTCGGACGCGGTGGGCTGCCGTTGCGAGAAGAGCGCGGCGTACTTGTTGTCGAAATTCAGGAGTGTCTCGGCGACGGATTTGCGTTCGACCTCGTACGTGGTCAGGATGTCGCGAGACGCGAAGCCCGATTCGACCAGGTGCATTTTCCACGCGAAGTTGATGGCGTCGTGGAACGCCGTGTTCATGCCTTGTCCGGCTTTGGGCGAGTGCGTGTGGCAGACGTCGCCGCCCATGAAGACTCGGTGGTCCAACGTGTATTTGTCCGCGATACCTTGGCCGATGGGGTAGACCGAGTACCATTCCACGCGGTCCCAGTGGCAGTAGTATGGCTGGAAGATGCGTTTGGCCGCCGCTTGTACTTCCTCGACTGTTGCGGTCTTGCGAGGCGAGAAGTCTGGGTCTGTCGAGCTCGCGATCTGGATATATAATCGCACCATATTGTTCTCACGTGGGATGACCATGATGCTGCCGTGATCGGAGTGGATGGTGCATTTCATCTTGATATCAGGGAAATTGGTTCGGACCACGCCGTCCATCACTCCCCAAACGTGTGAGATTGGATCTTTATGTCTGATTTGGACGCCGAGCTGTTCACGGACGAAGCTTCGTGCTCCCTCGCCGCTGAAGAGGTATTTTGCCCGCACGGTGTCTGTGACGTTGCTGTCGAGGTTCTGGAGGTCGACTTCGACAGGGTAATCAGAGTTGACGTGGTTGGTTTCGAATCGGGTAATAGTCCATGGTCGTTGGACCGTGGTTCCGTTCTTCGTCAGATCATCGATAAGCACACGTTCAATCAATCCTTGATGAAGCAGTGCAGTAAAGGGGTATCTGGCGTCAAGGAATTCCGGGCAGCTGGCCCAGGTGCCGGTTCTGACGATCTTCCCACCAGGTACAGGATCCCAAAACGCCACCTCAAAGACTCGTGCGGGATCATGGGCCATGATCTTTCGCTTCAATCCCATGTTTTTCAGAATCTCTAGGGATCGTGGTTGAATGCCATCCGCTCGTCCGGTTGCTGTTGGAACGGGCCGATTGTCGATATGTCTGACTTTGTAGCCCCATCTCGATAGACACACTGAGAGCAGTAAACCAACCGGTCCGGCACCGATAATGACAATATCGTATAGGGGTATTTCTGACGGCATTTTGATCTAGACGCTTGGGCGAATTCTGGAAACGAGAGAGGAAGCAGGGAGTCCTGTGATCTACGAGTAGTAACCAACAAAAAGGGCTTTACTCAGCTCAGTGTGGACGATGCCAGTCTGGAGATGGGAAACTGCCTAAAGAAGAGAATATATGAAAATGATGACAGAGCACGGCTTTAGTGGATCCAAAGGTCGGGAGTCGACCATGGCAGTTGGTTAGAAGTTCGGCGAAAGCATCAAGGTTCACGGTGCACTGGGCATCTGCATCTGCATCCGCATCCGTGCAAACGACCGAAGAGTTCCAGTGGTCGCCCAACATCGCCGTTGGGGGTAGCTCCGTTGGGGGGGTAATTTGGAGGGACATTTTCCGGGCTAGTGGGGGCGAAGGGACTGGACCTCATGATCCGGCGTCGAAGGTTCAGAGTTACGGGTTCGACTCGGCATAGAGAGCAGAGGGAGGGATAATTGGCAAACAGATGAATCGGTAGAATCTCTGCAAGCCGGATATCAAAGACGGCAATCGAGATGGTCACGTGGGTACCAATGCACGTGATATTCCAAATGCGAGCAAGAGCATCTTGGCATGCCGCTGCCTTTTTCAACTTCATCTTCTATCTTCCTTTGTAGAGACCTGTTTGGTTGTTTCAGCTTCCCAGGGCGCTGACCTGCTGTTGAACGTGACAAACTTGCCATCCTCGCTCCTAGATGTGAAGCCCGAGCTGAGGGATTTGGCGGTCCTGTTTGGTAGGCTGGACAATGATTAATGCCAGTTGTTGATTGAATTATTCCCCCCTTTGATATGCCACCATGAGTTCTATTTGATGAAGAGATTACGCTGCTTGATTGATCCCACCGACAGCGTGACGAGTGGAATAGGGGAATTTCCGGCATCGTCTTCTCCCCTCTTGGAGACGGTGTTGTGCGACTCACCTTCGTGTCAATCTTCCCATTCATGTGAATTCATCTTGTTCCTTGAGCGTCGTGATTCTTCAACTTGTCTGTGAAATTGTCCTGATCGTTCTGTGTTCCCAACGCTCATATTACTTACTTTTCCGGCCACCATGTATGACGTCGCCTGCCGTCGCGTCATATCGGCCACCCACCCTTCCCCAACATCCCTAATCCTCGTCGAGTCGAAGATCTGGGTGCCTTTTGACGAGGAATCATGCCGTTTCTGCCTGCGAGAAGTCGATCCCCCGTGTCATCCCCAACGATCCAGCCTCATTTGGCATGGAAGAAATGTATAGCCTCAACCTTGAATGATATGGATATATCGGACGAGAAGATGCCACTAGTGTCCCTCGAGAACAGCCTTGAAAAAGAAGCGACGGCGGGAAGTTTAAGTGATGATGGAACCATTTGGCGTTCCTCGCGTTACAGCTGGAGATATCGAAATGTGCGTTGCTCCCCCTTCGCATAGGTGCGGAGACAACTGCTGACATCGATCTCCAGGATGGTTCCCCCGATGCATTCGTCCCTCCGGTGGGAAGCTTTGTGCTGCCAACCCAACGTGTCGCATACGCCGCTCCTCAAGGCCCAATATTTCATCAGACAAATCGAGAATTCGGGTGCCTCACGGGCTATAGTGCCATTAACACCCATCTGTGCCAGCATAAAACCTCCAAGGCTTTCAAACGGACAGTCGATAGCCCCGGGTTCTAGAGGATGATGAACCATGTCAGCTTCCGACCGGTAACAATGATGTCGCCACGGATCAGCCGGTCAAGTCTCACCAGACCTTGAACAGAAGAAGTGGGCAGATCAACCAAGTGAGGCGTCCAAAAAAATGCTGAACTATTCGCTCGTGTTTCCCCCAGCGATATCTCAGATCCGAGTAGGAGACGACGTGCAATCAATCGTGAAGCCAGATTGATTGATGGTTCAATTTTCAACCCACCGACCCGCAAGAGACTGTCGCCCACAGAAGAGTATCCAAATCGATGTTGCTCCAAGTTTTGATGAAAGCAAAGTGTCGGCGTCATCATCGGCGCCAGCGGCGAGTCGCAGTTGGGACTCTTGTCCGGCAGAAAAGCGACCCCCCCATTAATGGTTCCATAGTTTCTGGACTATCTTTCGGACCGATATCTAAGCAAGGTAAAACAGCTTAAGGCAGTTAACCGACATTTCGAGTTGTCGTCCCATCTTCTCGACACCGCAATCTCAATAACAAGCCCTCAACCGAGGTGCAAAGCCGTTCACATTACGCTCTAGGACTGGACGGGACCTACTTCAGGAGAGCTTACACATTCAAGATTTCCATGGAGCTCGATCGTAACAAGCCTTTGCCCCTCGACCCTGGCGAACTTGTGCATGCTTTGTCAGCTAACTCTGAGTTGGGCTCTCACAAGCAGCCTCGCGGAACTTCTCACACTCCCTCCACCGCAGCCTACAAATTTCCCACCACTTCAGCAACCCTTACAAAAGCCCTGACCTCTCCTTGCACATATCGCGGCACCCACGGATCGTTTCAGATGATGAGTGCAAATATCCCTCCTCAACACCGACTCTTGCCAAATCGCCAAGGTGAAGGAAAATCGACCCCAGTTGCGACCGACCCCGAAAAGTCTGCGCAAGCATCGCTTTCGTACGTGGTAAACATCCTCGCCAAAGTATCAACTGACAATTTACAGAGCAATCTCTTACTCGAGCATTGCAAACATGAATCCTTACACCAGCAATGGGCTCTTTTCGCCTGTTCAGCCACCACCTGGACTGTTCACTGCAAACCGACCAGCATTGTCCATGAATACGCGTCCATCAGTCATGCCTCCCCCTCCACGTGTGAATGCAAATGACGGTGAAGACTCATACATGAGACAACCCGTCGCGGCCGACCAAGCCAGAGGTCGCCAACGTCTGGCCAGACCTGCCGCACCACAGCCTCCTCATGTTTCTGCATCAAAATGGAAGGCATACCTTCGCAGACGTAGTGAGTCCAAAGAAATCAACGTAGCCACCGATACTCCGACTCCTGCTCCTCGACATTGCAAGAACAGCAGTGCGAAAGGCAGTTTGGGCAAATTCGCCGACAAACTCAAATCGGCTTTCTTGGTAATATTCCCGCAATTTCCCGACTTCTGCACTTGCACTTACGCCAATAACAGGCTCAGGAGAACCAGCGCATGGTCGAAGGTTGGATAGATGATGTGGATGAATCCAACCAACCCCCAGTTGTTCTCACCACACTAGAACCTGCCCATCAAGCACGCATCTTTGCCGACCTCCAGGTTATGTTGAATGTCAGTGCAAACAAGTTTTTGATCGAAGAGGCCAATGCGGCGAGACTGAATCCAGAGACAGTCGTCGGATTTGCGAAAGACTGGAAGACTAAACATGGCGACCCTGTGGTGGAATTTCTTTATGATGTTGAGGTCCAATACCGATTAGTTCTCGCCAACCTCAAAACGATCAAGTTCCGCGGCAGATTTGAAAACAACTATGTTGCTGTTAACGCCAGTCTGTGCACCTGGGTTGCCTATGCTCAAAACTTGACCCAAGGAATTCTCTGTCTCTCCGATGATGTTGTCACCAAGTATGTCTACGATCTACCCCCACTGCTTGAGATGCTGGGTGCTTCAGAAATCACTCGGGCAGCGTTGACTGATCTTCAATTGAGGGTTATGGGTTTGCTCGGTGCTCGCACATGGCTCTACGAGCAAGAACAACGAGCAAAAAGCCCATATCCTTCCACCATCAACCAGTATGGCGATGGACTCTATCATAAGCGCTCCATCCAGGACCCCAGCCCACATGATATGCATCACGGAATCGAATACGCGGTCAGAACTATGCCACCGGTTAAGATCCCTGCTGGTTTTCCGACTTCGAACGCACCTGCGATCTACGCTCCCAAACATCCAAGCGCTCAACCAAAGACTGTCAACGCTCAACATCCAGCTACCCCAGACCAACCTGTGTCTGAGGGAGGACCAGGTCCAACCACTGAATTCATGTGTGTTGTTCGACAAGCTGGTTTGACCTCCCGCAAGTAAGGTCGCTACGTCATGGTCCTATTGTCATCGGCTTTCTTTTTTTGGTTTCCCATATGCATGACTTTAAAAAGTCGTGAGCTGGATAGGTGGGAAAAACGGAAAAGGACATAGGTCCACTAAAAATTGAAGATGTATGATGTGCGATGAATCACTAATGAAATGTACATAGTATGGACTTTTCAGCCATGGTGGACGAAATCGACCAGGACAATACCTAGGTAATCCACTATCTCGAAAGTACCGACGAATTGGACGACACTTTCATGCTAGACAATGGCGCCGAAGGGGCCCCGCTAGAAGCTGTACCAACAATGAGCAATAAGAAGCCTTTCGCCTCCCATCATTGATGAGTTTTATGATAATAGTATTGAGAATATGGGTTAAGTTCGACCTTGTAGGAAACCTTGCGTCAGGGGAACCTTTCTGAGGCTGTGAAGTTGTTCCAATGCGTGGTGTTTGTTAGCTGGGTCGATCATCATAGCTCCCCAAATCTCGACGTCGACGAATCTAGTGTGCACGACGAACAAACACATACCACTGGTGGGGAATTATTTGGCCTTAGAGCTATTCGTCGAGGGTAGTGGAAGGCGCTATGGATGCCGGCACCGAGGGTCAAGGATCAAGGGTCGCCGGAAGTAGTATAACATCGCCAACAGTCCTGGAGAGATTATGATGAGTCTGAGATTCTACAAAAGCTGGCCAAACATTGGGAAACATATTACATGGAGACGGGAAAGTTCGACCATGGACACGAGTTTTAATTCATGTCATGAGTAACTCTAACGTGTTCAGAGAGTTTAGACAACTTGAGCGAAAACTTGGATCGAATCCGTGACCATACAGGTAGAGGTGAGAGTTGGAAGTAGGCAAACTGTAGATATACTGCCGCAACGTTCACGCATTTACAAATTGATTAAGAGTACCAGCAGGCGCGGGAGGACATGCACAGTTTGCGGAAGGTCATCGAATCTTGCCCGCGAGGAGAAGCAGAGTCCTGGTGAAACAACGAACTGACGAATGTGATATCTACCGGGAGCGTGTTCGCGCTGAACATTTGAGGACGAGAATCAAGCCGGTCAGAAGAGTCAAGTCAAGCATCCTGTTTTTCTGGTTCGTACATTCTCATTCTCATTATACAGGACCTCGAAGCCAGTACGTACTCATCCCAGGCAAGTTCTCCCTCATGCACATCCGGCTCTATATTGTACGCCAATGTAGTCGACTAAATGATTTCAAGACTCATCTAGTTTATGCGAAGCCTTTCCAATCCAAATTTCATGAGAAAACCCCGTACGGCGCGCTAGATAAGGTGGATGCGTCTTCGAACTACAAGACAAGAAGAGATAAAAGTTAGCTATTGGCGTGATATCAAGATTGACGTAAAAAGTAAAGTACCGGACAGAAGAGAAACGAAACGGCGAGCTTGGGTGTGAGGACTTACGTCGACAAATCCACAAAATGTGACGAGGCCCGTATAACATCTAACGCATTCGGCGACGAGGGGGCGAAGACTGTCGTCGGTCTTGCCATTCACACCGGCAAACTTCTTGAATACACCCACCATGTTCGCGCGGTAGTCCGTCAGGAAAGTGCGGGCGATGTATTGGATCTGCTCATTTTGGGCACCGCGAGAAAGAAAGGTGGAGAGGAGCACGCGCAGTGTTGAGGATAGGAGGACGTAGTATGTGTGTAATGCGGAAGCGATAGATTCGGCTGATGTGTCCACAGGAGCTATGGCCGAGGGCTCTGCGTCATTACTCTGTGATATTGGGGTCGAGATGCCGAGATCTGGGTCTGCACGGAAGAGGAGCGAGTCACGCGACGCGGGCATGAGCCCAGCATCGAGAAGTGCTCTTGCGCCGTCAGGCGTACGGGAGATTTGGAGGAGGAGAAGCATGCGCGACTCGAAGATCGATAGGAGGTAAGGTCGGTCTAGATAATTGGAAAAGTTAACATGGTCGAAGACGAAAGTGGGGGATCGGACAGTTGAACGAAAAGACTTACGAGCTGGTTCCGAGTCCTGAAACTCAGATGCAACGTGCTTCAAAGGTTCGATCAGAGTCTCTAACACGTTGGCTTTGACGAGTGAATTGAGGATGAAGTTTGACTTTTCGGTTCGCGCAAGCGACGCCAGGAGCGACAGAAGATTGAGTGCATTTAACCGACAGGCGTCGACGCCCTCCTCGGCATCGTCGCACAGGATTTGGACAAGCCGTTGACTAGTCGAGCGGATACAGTCCATGCTGTTTCTTCGAGATTTTGCATTTGCAGCTGAACCATTGCCGTCGGACGCAGTGATTCGGATCAGATATTGCGAACAGATCCGGTAAAGGACTGTCCTGAGGCCCGTGCTCGAGCTGGAACCTGGGATTCCTTCGATCGAGGCGCGGAAGAGCTGAAATAGTTTCTCGGTGATGAGGTTATCCATGTGCGTGTTTGTCGGTGATGTTTCGGAAAGTGAAAAGAGTAGAGCATCAGCCGCTCTAGCGAGTTCCATCACCTCTTCAGATTCATCAGCAATGAAAGCGTCGAGCTTGGGCAACATGATCTGGAGCATGTGCAAAATGAACTGTGATTTCGTTGGCGGGTCCATGGAGCAGCAGTCAATAACGGATATGACCATTTCCACATACTCATGTAGAGCATCTCCTCTGGCCTTGTGAGCAACGATGGACCGATTTTGGGCTTCCAAGGTGGCGAGGATGCCATCGGCCTCGGCAATGACGATCTGCTCGTCAACCTTGCTGCTACCCGGAGACTCTGTTTGCTTTTGCATAAAGCCGACTCGGAAGGCATTCAGATATTCGCGTATAAGATTGAGATCGTAGAGATTAGGCATTCCTTCTGACGCTTCAATCAGGTACGCCTGGAAGTCGACCCCACGGTAGAACTCAAGATCCAAGTCAAATGAGCCAGACAAATCAAGCTCCAGGAAGTCAAAGAAGGCAAAAATATCAGGATTTGTTATGAGAGTACCGTCAAGATCGGTGGTTTTCCCCTGCAGAGTCGACAGGGTCTGTCTCAGGGCTGTTGACAGCCCATCGTTCAAAGCCGCTCGTAACTCAGATCCGGTGTAGTTGTAAAAAGAGGCTCGGAAAGTAAGAAATTCGGCAAGAGCCTCTGCAGATGTGCTATACCAGAAAGCAGGATGAAGGACCGGATTACCGTCCCAAATGGTTTGCTGGGATACAATAGGTTGGCTCAAATACTGAGATGGCAGGAACTGTAGTCTGCGAAGCTGGCCCGCAACAATGCTGGACGACAAAGGCGACGACCAAAGATGTCTCAAAACTTGCAGAGCTGCAGCTTTGACATGGATTAGCCAGGATGACATCACTCCGTCTTCGTCGTCAGGATAGCTCTGTACCAGATTGACGACCGAATTGAATACAGAAGTACCTGCGTCAATGGAGTTTGAAATGGTGAGGCGCTCGCCCAGTCTGTGGAACCCGAGAAGCAGATGGGCGATGTTGGGAAGATCTGGTTGTGTTTCCAGGCAAGAATTGAAAAAGGCCAATATGCCGTCCTTGATTAGATAGCTCACTGATTCAAAACCATCCTCGAGCTCTCGGATATCGAATTGTAGTCTGGACGACAAATTTTTCGAGATGGGTTCTAGTTCAAAGCTGGCATTTGGACCCAGCATATCAACAATTCGTCTCGTACGACCAAGAGCAGCTCCATTCGTCAAGAAGTGATTGTTGAGCTTCGCGGAGCCTGACAGTTTCTGCAGGAGAACCAGAGAGCGAAGGGCAAGCTCGGCGTGGCTGGTAGCGGCAAACTGACATAGGTTTAGCACGACCTCGGGATGCGCAACCAAGCTGTCTTCAATCGAATTAATACTCGACCGGGCCAGGCCGTCTTCTTGGGCTGATTGCGACTGAATCAACGGCCTGACGATATCAAAATAAGTCGGTTGTAGGTCTAGGACACGATTGATAATATCGATTGATCTTTGCAAGCCAAGGAGCAGAGGTGAATCTGGTAGAGCTGCTTCCACGGACTCTACAGGCACACGCAAGGACTCCATCAATGCCTTGTTCATGTCAGTGCTGAGTATCCACTGCATGAGACGGGCAAACGGACCCTGTTGAGCATACGATGCAGCTATCGGCGCGTCCTGGAGAGCATCGCGTTGAGTGCGTGATCGCTCGAGCATGGCCACGTAGTCTTCATTGAATCCCGCGAGACCAACAGCCACAAAGTCCAAGCAGTGAAACGAACAAATTGATCGCTGTAACTCGTCCCCAACTTCCGGAATGCGCTTGACAAAGATCTGGCCACAGACGAAGTCGATATAGGGACCAATTCCAGGGCTTCTGTAAGATGATCCCAGGTCCCCAGGAAAAGCCAGCCGGTCGGTACCCAAACTAATGGACGGTACGGGGGTAATCAGACCACGGAGAAGGACCACAAAAGCGTCATACTGGTCGAACGATAGCCCGATCGAGTTAAGCGTGTTTTGAAGATCCAGGAGAGTGGGTTTCGGAGGCTGAGCCGCTTTGCTGAGGGTCGATCGAACGATCTCATGACCATCCGAAGCCCACAAATCCAGAGTCCGCCATAGTGTGGTCGCCGTTTGCACAGATTTGTCAGTCAAGAGAGCGTCCAGGGTCGTAAAGACGCTGGCTCTCAAATAACTGGGCACCGAGCCAGAACTGAGGAGCAGCAAAGATTGCGGAAATGGTGGTGTGACGGTCTCAAGGATGTAAGTGCGAGTCCCACGATGTTGCCGGCTGAGATGGGCTAGGAGACGGAGATAACAAGACAACATCACTGGGCTTTCCAGCTCGTTCATGTCGGTGGGAAGAACTTTCCGCCTGTTTGGCAATTGAGTGGTGGTCGCGCGCTCGTGAACTTTGTGCGAGTAAAGCTCGAGTTCAGCAAACATTTGTTGGTAATTCATGGAAGGATTACGTCGACCTCTTGTCGAAGTAGGTAATGACTCGTCCAAGAGAAACTTGTGGGCGGCGTCGGCGCATTCCTGGTCTTCCGATATAGATGTCAACAGCTCACAGAAGGCGCTGGCCCGGGGAACTGTTTGTCTTCTCGAGGCCCACTGGAGAAATCCATACAGGTTGCTGTCAGGATCTTCCCACCATTGCTCCGCTGCTTCTGGTCTCTGCTCAAAGGCGAACGAGATAAGGACAAGGAAACATTCAAGGTGAAGTTTAGACGTGGTAACCCCTCGATGATCGAGCGACAAACCTTCTTGCATCGCAACGAGTTGATTCAATCTCTGGTCGTCTTCTTCAGTCTTGAGTCTTCGAATGGAATCGGGCATGTTCGATATAAAGGCTTCAATGAACGTCTCGAGAGACTCCATGAATTGCAGTCGGAAATAGGATGAGGTCTGATCGCCGCCTTCGAGTGCAACATCAGGAGTGTCACTGAGAAGCAAGGCGACCAGTTCTTGTCTCGCGGGATGTCGCCACACATCCGAATTTGTGCTTGTGCATATGGTAAGCATGAGTTCTAGAGCATCTTCCTTCAGCGCCGCCTTCACGGCATTGGCTCTCGTTTCGACCCCGGCATCTGGGCCGGTTAGATCACGGAATTGCCCACTGTATTCCACAGTCCACCATAAGCTTAATACAGCTTGAAAAGGTCGAATGGATGCGGAAGAGGGATCTTGGGGCAAAGGACCAAAGACCGAGTCGAGAGAACGAACGCTGTCCTGGGAGAGGTGACTTCCCGGCGAGCCGTACTGGTGGAACGCTGCTGAGAATGCGGGAAGATAGTGGATGAGACTGAAGTCGAGACGATTCCAGCGCTTGATGATGTTGTTAAGCTTTCGAAGGTCCTCCTGATTCGTGTAATCGCCCTGGAAGAGGTAGGCGAGAATGCAAGCCAATGCCTCGTGCTGTTTGAACAAACTGTCCCGTTGAAACTCAAGAGTGGCATAGAATTCTGGGCCTCGTGGCCCACCCAGAACCGCTTTGCTTTGGAGATCATCTCCGACCTTCGCCTGTAATTTTTCAATATCCTCCAGGCTACTCAAACATTTTTGGGCAAACAAGGATCCATTGCTAGCGACGCCCATGTCGATTTCCAACACCTTTGCGACAATGGTCTCAAAAAGCTGTTTAATTCCATTCTCGGGTGCCGCCGCGAGGGATTGTTGGAAAGTGATCCGCAAAGTCTGGAGGAGGAGATCTCTGTGGTTGTGGAAATTGCTCACAGTGTCCATCACAAAGGAATCAGTTGAGGACGTCGAATCTCCTTGATTTTGTATCAGCAATCGTCCGGCTTCGATTTCGTCCAGGGCAAGGGTCGTGGCGATTGCGCGGCTAATGTGTTTGAATTCATCGTTGATGGCATACTCCTGGTCCCCAACAGTGATTTTGTCTGCGACTGAGTAAGCCACGGGTACGTTTCAGGGGGAAGAGCATTAACAAAACCATTGCTATACGCCTCCCGGTCACCAGCGGCTGGAATGGGATTGTCGAGCAACTTCCTGAAATCCTCGATGCTGTCCTCCAATTCCTGCCACAGGCGATCAATATTTGCCAGGCGCGTTTCGGTGAAAGCTACCAGGTCTGCATGGAGCCCCTGGAGTCGCTCGAGACTCTCCATGGAGACGGCAAGAGTGAGACGCGTAAAAATGGTCTGTCATGTCCAGTTGAATCGTGAATTTACATTGAAATCATTGAAAATTGTACTTCAAAAAGTCCGCAGTTGTCAAAGTTCCCAAAGAGGCTAGCGTAACGCCAAGCGCAGATGCAAACTCAGGCGCCGACTCCGACATTCAACCGTCACTTTTTTCATCCTCTGCAGAGCACATGAAATCACGATTCAATCCACACAAACCATTGACGTTCCTTCTGCAAAGAGAATGTACTTCGACTCGGGCCAGTTCTTGAGATTCGCCGGCCCGAGAGATGGCGGAGTTTAGCATCCGGTCCGCCGTGGGTATGGAATTCTCTGTCTCCCCTATTACTCAGCCTTGTCCATTGACGTTCTGTGCAAGCGAAGCTCGAGGGGGACACCCAACGTGTCAGAGGTGAAGGCCTGGAAGGTAAGAGAAACACCTTTTAGCAGTTTATAGTCTGCTCAGCAATGCCGTTGTAGACCTCAAACGTGTCTTGGGTGAGGAACGGACCGCATCAAAATTGTAAACTCCAACTTCTTGTTGTCCCATTTCTTTCTTCTAACGAGATTGCTTAGCGACGAAATCGGAGACGACGAATTCCATTTGATTTTTGAGCTACTCTACCAAGTTGTCTCAAAGGAACGATCTACATTTCTTCGGGCAAATAAGCCAACGACCAAGAATAATGCCGCCTCCCGCTTGGAAGTCGCCGCTGCGGCGATTCGCCTCGCCGTGGGAATCGGAGCTCCCAAGATCAGATTCAAGACAGCTCTTTCTCTGCTTGACCACATTGCCGGAGCTCTGCCGACGGCCGATGGATCACTGTGTGAGCCACTCAGAAATGACTATCTCAAGAGTTTTAGGATTCTACTCAGCTATGCGCCACATGGAGAACATATGCGCCACAAACAATGGCAGAATTATGTGGACTTCGCTTTGACCACGCTAGCATCCACCCTTGATGATAACTCTATCGGCAGTAGCATCGCAAGTAGCAGGGACACCAGCATCGCTTCTAGGAATGGCCAATACTTGTCCATGCGGGTAAGCGAAAAAAGTGGTAGAAGCACCGGAACGGCTACGGCTTCGGATTCTGAAGAAATCATCCATGCACTCACGAGCTTGACTGCCGTCACTAATGCTCCCATTATGTCACGGGCTGCAGCCATCAGCCGAACAATCCAAGAATACCTCGATGTTGCCGCAAGAGGTCTGGAGAGTGCCTTTGAGACACTCAATAATATTATCTTTGTCTCCCTGACCGAGGACGTGGAATTTACCCAAACTCTGATCTTAGGGTTGATTTCAACGGTGCGACGATTGTGGTCTAAGGGATCGATTGCACTTCGAGAACAGATGTTAATCACCTTATTTACCACCCGATATCTCTTCCTCGCCCCAAGTGATCAAGCTCCTTCCATTGATCCAGCACTGTTGCAACCGCTGTTATCGACGATCTTCTCCGAATATCGTACAAGAAACGAGAGGGATATATTACACTTCGACGACATGCAGCCGCTCATGGAATCAGAAGATTGCCCTCTACGGCTCAGGCAGTTCAAACCTGTACGCAATTCTGCAAGAGCTGTATCCGGTTGGATGACATTGTCCGTTGTGGCCTGTCTCGTCCTAGGACTGAGCCAAAAGCCCCGTTCCGCAGATGCGGACGATTTACCGGATGACATTCCTCGAAAGCGACCAAAGCTCCCTACCCCTTTCGAAGTAATGTTGCAGCATGGATCCGAAAGTGTTGGTCAAGAAAAGCTAGCCGCACTTCAGGTCCTTCTTTTCCTCTTTGATCAACCTCGCCCGCTGAAGGCAGAATCGATTTCAGAAATCTGCAAGTCAATGCTGCCTATCTTGTCCCACGAAGATGGCAACATTCAATCGTGGGCCTTCCTCATATTCTCAAGGTACGTTCCCTGTTGAAATTTACTGCACTCGTCGGCTCATTATTAATCTAAGGTTGTCCCTTTGTGATACTTCTACCCTCCAGAATCGATCAGATATTTGGATTCAGCTTTGGGACGCTGGCCGGAGAGCAATATCGGCCGCAGCTTCGGTCAGAGCGGCGTCCCATGCATTGGACGTCCTTCTGAAGACCGGCGTTCTGGCCTCGGAGATTAGCGGAAACCTCATCGATAGCACTCTCTTTGGTGGAGGAAATAATGGACCATGCAGTCTCACGGATACCTCACTGATCCTATTTACGACTATACTAAATTCCAACATTTTTGACCACGAGCGAGGTTTTGAGGCTTTCTGCATGAAGGTCATTAGTTGGCTCACCGCGCGCTGGACTCTTCGTATGTTAACATTAATCTTACTTCAGGGAGGTGTCGCTAACATGCGCGTAGCTTCCAATATCGACCGTCTCTACAATGCACACATTGCCTTCCACGCTAAACCGGAATATTTGTATACTTTACTGACGTCTCTATGCGGCACGCACGACCAGTTAAGGCCCTATGAGGACTGGTCTCCAGCGCACAGTTTATGGAGAGCTTCGCTGATGTCGTCTTTCAATCTCGACTTCCTCCATTATGTCCTTGGTATTGAAACCTGGGAAGCGAAGGATATGGAGCAACAAGACAATATTTTTCCTCGGCTTGACCCACCCACCACTAAACTGCTGACCGATGCCGTTCTGGAATTCCTAACCTCCCTGTTGAGAAATTTTCTCCAATCCTGGAAGACCATTCATTCCGAAAGGAGCTCAAACATCGGCAACGATATTGTGGAAAACCTTGCTGTGGCGTCCACCGTGTCATCTGTGATATGGACGCGCTTTGGTCGCCCTACTAGGGAGCCGCGACCTCCGTCAGTGTGGCCCGAAAGCCGAAGTCTCGTTTGTCAGTTCATCCGGGATCAGGGCGATGATGATTCTCGAGCCGTGGCTTCTCGAATATGTAATGGCGTCCTAAAACTTCACAACCAACTCCTTCACCAAGATGTTGATATTTGCTGCGAAGAATATCAATCGGTCATTGAATCTGCGCTGCATCTTGCCCGACACAGGATGACGTCAATTTCTCCGTTTGATACACCCGAATTTGGTTTCCCTGATTCGAAAGCGGAGAGCCCACAATCGAGCCAGAGAAGCCAGTCCGGAGCATTCTCTCATGTCATGAGGGCCGACTTACCACTTTGTCAAAACGCCACTCAACTACTTGCCAGACAAATGGTTCAACTGACAATAAGTCTGCAAACTGTCAAATCGAGTGGAGCACTTGATCCTGCAGTAACATCTCGTATTGTGGATGAGATTCTTGCTCTTGATCCAGTTTTGCTCCTCTCTGCCCGTGGAGCGGTGCAAGATTTCCTGGGCCTTAATTCTGGCATTGCACGCGCAGATGCTCACCGCATTTTGAAGATGTTTGGAAAAGTCTACCTACAAGAAGGATCATTTGAGAGATGTGAGTCTGCCCTGTGTTTCTGCTTGAACACGATGCATGGACTTCTAGATCTCTGGACCTCGGATGGAGACGAAAGCGACGATCTTGCCGAAGCGGCATTTGACATCTATGACTGGTTTCTCACTACTGCACTCGATAAAGGAATCGCATCTCCGAGAGTCCTTGTAATTCTCGCGGATTTGTTGGACGCTCTACTCCACAAAAAAGCTTCTTTTGGAGAAGACCTTCCGTCGCCCAGAACAAGCCTCCTTAAGATCTTGAAGGTCAGCGATGCGGCGACGCAATACCGACTGGCTCCCAAACTATCCCATATCTTCGAGAAGTATGTCCTCACACAGCACGAAGCCATTTTTGACGACATTCTGGAGAATTTGCCGTCAGATCCCGACAACCGAGAAGGGATTGCCGTTCGGCTCCATGTTGTTGCACACCTTGGAGCTCGGTGGCATACCGTGTTGCGGCAGGCAACATATCATCTCTTCGAGACAGTGGCCAACGTACCACTTACCACAGCCCTGGCGCGTAACTGCATTACCAGGGCCTGCAGGACCCTTGGACTCAACCAGCCGAGGCAGCTTTTTACTTTATTTTCCCCACAGATCTTCTACACTTGGCTCTCAAAAGAGGGTCTGTCCCGTATGCCATTCCGTGCCTTCGACTACGCCTCTTTGAAGGAGATGGCTTTGGATAATATAGATGAACTAGTCGGGCAGATTGCGCTTCGCGGATTTAAGCATGCCGAAGAACTCGAACAATTGGTTGGCCAAGATTGGACCTCTCTACTGGTACAGGGATTTCCCTGTGCCGAAGCCTACACACTATCCTCAGAAACCGGTCTACCACGGCATGACCGTCTCTTTGATGGATCCGAAAAGCTGGTACGGAAACAGCTCGGATCAGAAATCTATCTGCGGTGCATTCGTACCTCCCTTCCAGACATCATAGCGCGGCTAATTACGTGCCTACAAGATGACAGGGGCATTGACAAGGCTTTGGAGAAGAGCAAACAAAGCGCTGCTCTCGCAATCTGGCAAGACATGCAGAACTATCCGAATCACAACATCCAGCTGCCATATGCTCAGCAACCTTCTTTTCGTGCACGATGTCTCGTAGAGGAGCTCAGTTATTTGTGTGGACGACTCGACCTTGACGTGAGCGATCTATGGGCCCCTTCATTACTCATTCACGTTTACAGGCAATTGCTGGATAAAGCCAGACCAGCTCTGGGATCCTTGCATATCTGCAGCCTCATTCGGAAAATCCGTATTGTGATAAGCCTTGCGGGGACCGTAGCATTGACAGGCTACCCATTAGAGATGCTGCTTCACAATCTTCGGCCTTATCTCACTCTGTTCGAGTGTGCGGAAGACACCATGGGCATCTATCGCTATCTACTGCGCGGGGGAGTTGAATATTTGCGCTCTCGTCTCTCGTTCATTGCGGGTCTCGGGGTGACAATGTTCGTCTCGCTGATTGGGTTTATTGCCTCTTCACAAGACAGCACCACACAAGAGGGCCATTTCTTGTCAACAATATCAAAGGCACAGGAGTTCAGATCTTTTTTGGGCCAATACCTGGAATCTCTACAGCCGACAAGTGTGTCGCACGAGACTCTGACAACTTTCAGAAATGTCGTGCAACGTGCAAAAGCCATCACGCAGTCAGGAAGCAGTGCGAGAAGCACAAACGAGGGCGAACTACTTTACGCCTTGTTACAAGATCGAAGCTGCGACACAACACTTCTGACAGAATTGCATTTTAATCTCTCAATCGAAATACTGTGCAGAAACTTTTCGTCCTCAACAGATCCCCAGGATGACATACTGGCACACGATCAAGACACGGCCCGATTTGCACCGACGTTATGTTCAGTTCTCAGCATACCACAACTGAATGAGTCCTTCCGAACTTGGGCCGCTCAAGGAATCGGGAGAGGCTACATTATGCGTGGCTTAACCTTTAATATCAGAGAAAGGCCAGGGAAAGGGCCCTCATCGGTCAAGTTGACTGGACACAATTTAGAAGTTGTCTCGTCATATACGAGTATTGTGCGACATCTTGAGCATCTTGTGTGGCAATCAAAATTTCCCGCTTCGACTTTCGCTGAAAGAACATTACAGCTCGTCTTCTCTGCCCTCGACCAGGGAAGCGAATGCCGAGTTCTAGGAGCCGACATCAACCGAAGTTATGTGGACGAACTGAGGTTCAAGCTGTTCCCATGCCCCGGGATTCCACTCTCCCTCTCGTCGGGACTTGAGGAGGGCCCTGGAACTTTGACAAGCGGATCTTCTCATGATCAACCTTGGAAATGGGCTGCAAATCTTCTGAGAGAGATATGTGAGCGTGCAGCTCGTGATCCCGTGTTGTCCTTTCTCAAACCACTCATAGCTGCCGTTCCAGAGTCTGCGGAAATCCTGTTACCATACGCCGTTCACATTGTCTTGCGCAGCGAGGTCAACACACAGGAGACGTTTCGAGAATACCTGTCAGGGTCCTTTTCCAAAATTCTCCAACCGAAGGAAAGATGGCCAAGCCAGGCTCGACAGTTGGTTTTGAGGACACTTTTGTATCTCCGAACATGTTCTATTCCAGACGAGGCTCATATGGCTCTGCGGAATTCCTGGCTCGAAATTGATTTTGGCGAAGCCTCGGTCGCCGCAGCTGACTGCCACATGTGGCACGAAGCCTTGCTCTTCCTTGAGCTACATTATTCTCAAGCCCAGCTTCAAGTAAGTCGCTCTTCTCGGAGATCCTTCGTTGCCACAGACGATATTCCGACAGATGTTGTGGCCAATATCTATGAGAATGTTGATGATCCGGACTTCTTCTATGGAAAACACCAAGAATTTGATCTGCAGTCTGTTCTTAAAAAAATGAATCATGAAGGAGCGAGCCAAAAATCTTTATCTTTCCAGAGCGCCATGCTGGACTCTCGACTGAGAATGAGCGGTCAAGAACGAAGTTTGAGCCATGTGGCACGGACAACCGCATCAACTCTAAAGGCAGCAAATATGCAAGGAATCTCCGAGGCTGTCAGACAATATTATCAAGGGTTCGTCAAGGACATGTCGCACAAACAGCATATCGATTCAACGTCGGCCAACGATAAGTGGGATGTTCTGCCCGCAAGGGAACGTTCTACACCCTCTTCTACTTTTGACTCGCTATTTCGCAGCATGCATACTATCTCGAACAAGGAAAGTCTGGCTCGAGGGTTGGATCGATCTTTACTTGGGCTCGTAGATATAATGAAGACTAGAGACTTCGGTAAAGGTTACACAAGCGATCTTCTCTCCCAATTGGCAGTTCTCGCAGAGGCGAAACAAATTGTCAGCGCAACTACAGCTGAAGGCCTCAACTCAACCTGGGCAGCAATAATGGCAAGAAATGAAAAGATAAAACTTGCAGTGTACGTGTCGTAAACTTCCGAGGCGATCCTTACTGACTGACACAGGTTCCAAAAACTATCGCCCATACTACGTGGAAGAGAGGCGGCCTTTGCAGCGATACGCCGAAACACTCATTTGCAAGCCACGTTTTCGCTCGATGTCAAACAAGCCCTCCTACACGAAATCAGGGCTGTGCGACAGACTCTCGACATGGCATCAGCCTACGAAGTGTCACAATTTTGTCTGAACCGTGCAATGTATCTGTCCGAGCTGAACCAGTTAGCTGTAAATGAAGAATTGGAAGTCGATGTTGCTATCCAGTATGATCTTGCAAGGACATTGTGGGCCCAAAATGAAATAAGCGGCTCGATCGGGATCCTGCAGAGCTTGAAAACTCGAGAAGACATTGCTCAGCAGGCTATTGTTATCACGAAGGCCGATATCTTGACTGACCTAGGCCACAAAATTGCAGAAGCCCGTCTCGAGAAGCCTAACGATATCATCAAGACATATCTTTCGCCAGCATTCAAGGAATTGCACGGCCGAGAGACAGGATTAGAAGCCGGCCGCGTTTTTCACAACTTCGCAGCCTTTTGCGATATGCAGCTACAAGACACTGATAATCTCGATGACTTCACGCGGATTAGCAAAATTCGAGATCGCAAACTGCAAGAAATCCATGATTTGCAAAGAATGATCCACTCCAGCCGCGACGCCAGACAACGCCAGCAATTGGAGTCACATTTGAAGAAAACGAAAGACTGGTTCAAGCTTGACGATATGGAATGGAAGAGAGTTCAGGCAAGCAGACAGACTCTGATCCTTCAGTGTCTGGAGAACTACCTCCTCTCCATGAAAGCGTCCGACGAATATCCCAACGATACCCTTCGATTCCTGGCCTTGTGGCTGAATCAAGCAGAGAACCCTGAAGCAAATGCAACTGTCGGCAAAAATCTCAAGTCAGTTCCGACTCTCAAATTCGCACCGCTTGTCAACCAACTCTCGTCTCGATTGCTGGACGTCAATGACAGCTTTCAACCGCTGCTCATGGAGCTGATGTTCCGAATATGTTCAGATCACCCTTATCACAGTCTGTACCAAGTGTTTTCAGTCAGCAAAACCAAAGGTGACAAGGCGGATGAGGTGGCTGTGTCTAGAAATGCCGCAGCGAACAAACTGGTCGACCTTGTGTCCAAGAGAAGTGTTTCTGCGGCAGTCTGGGTTGCCATCCACAACGCCAGTCTGTATCTGTTCAAAGTCGCCCAGGAGAGGTTGCCTGACAAACAGACCAAGACCGGGTCCAAGATCGAGCTGCGAAAACTCAACTATGGTCAAAAACTGGAACATTGCATGAGCGAGTTGAACACAAGAATCCCACCACCGACCATGAACGTCCCCTTCCGGGAGGACCGAGACTATTCATCCATACCAACATTCAGCAAGTTCGAACCACAAATTTCCATCGCAGGCGGAATGTCAGCCCCCAAGATCGTCACAATGATTGCCACCGATGGTTCTCGCCACAAAATGCTCCTAAAAGGTGGCAACGACGACCTCCGACAGGACGCCATAATGGAACAAGTCTTCGGACAAGTGTCCAACCTTTTGAAAGACCACCGCGCCACTCGCCAACGTAATCTGGGCATTCGAACTTACAAGGTTATTCCACTAACCACGAACGCGGGCATCATCGAGTTCGTCAAAGACACGATTCCACTACATGAATACCTCCTCCCAGCGCACACTCGATATTTCAAGAAGGACTACACGCCGAATCGATGCCGGAAAGACATTTCCGAGGCCCAAGGCAAGCCTCTCGATCAACGCATCAGGGTATACCGCAATGTCATTGCCAACTTCCACCCCGTCATGCGTTTTTTCTTCATGGAACACTTCCCAGATCCCGACGACTGGTTCTACAAACGCCTCAACTACAGCCGTTCTACCGCCGCGGTAAGCATCCTCGGTCACGTCCTGGGCTTAGGCGATCGACATGGCCACAACATCCTCCTCGACGAAAACTCGGGTGAAGTCGTCCACATCGATCTGGGCGTCGCATTCGAAGCAGGCCGCATCCTCCCCGTGCCAGAAGTTGTGCCCTTTCGCCTAACTCGCGATTTGGTAGACGGCATGGGCTTGACAGGCGTCGAGGGCGTGTTCCGACGGTGCTGCAACTTCACGCTCGAAGCCCTCCGTCGGGATCAGGAAGCCATCATGACAATCCTCGACGTCCTCCGCTACGACCCACTACACTCATGGTCCTTGTCCCCGCTGCGCCTGCAAAAGATGCAGGAGAACAATGAGCAAACGACAGACACTGCTACGGCGTTCACCCACGATATTGCCGCGAAGCGGGAGGTCAATGAACCCAGCGAAGCGGATCGCGCTTTGACAGTCGTCGCAAAGAAGTTGGGCAAAGCACTCAGTGTCGAAGCCACGGTTAACGAACTCATCCGCCAGGCTACTGATGAGAGGAACCTCGCGGTCTTGTACAGCGGATGGGCAGCTTATGCGTGAGACAGAAGAAAAAAGAATTAAACTGAACTGGGTTGTCTATTAGCCAAGAACACATGGTGCCTTATGACATGCACCAAGTTCTCTTAATTTTTTCACCACTCCACTATCGAGTAAGCAAGCGAAGGAAAGAAAAGTCTGTTGAGCATTGAAATAGACATTGATTAATATGCCGAGCACCTGCATATGTGTCGCCGCCTCCATATTTCTGTTTTTTCCTTTTTTTTTTTTTTTTTTACTGATTCGTACGCCGTACCGCTCAACTTGTACAAGAATACGTCATCAATTCTTCAAGATATGCAAACACACGAAGAGGGGACCTGATATATCCAATATAGCTGATGACAACACAGGACAACTCGGATGCTTTTAATATACACGCATATAGTCGGGGTAAAAACAGATCCATAAATCATATAGGTCCTTCCCCGGGATGCAGATAGGCGGTGGGACTATACTTCCCACCCATCATTCGCCCAACGACTTGTCCACTCGGCCTTCCGCTCCGTCAACCAAGGTTTATGACTGGTGCCAAAACCGGTGCCGAGGGCCTTCTGATACCCAGCGGTCCAACGGTCTTCGACCTCCATTAACACCGCACGCTGAGGCTGCGCGTGAGGCGGGATCGGGACTTTCGGTTTCGGCCGGCGACCACGAGAGAGGCTAAAACTTTTCGGCGTCGCGGACTGTGTCCCCGTTGACGTCTTGGAGTAGTTGTTTCTAGAGGAAGAAGACTCCTTCTCGACGTCTTTGACGATAGATTTCAATTCCTTCTCGTCATTGGTGATTTGGGCACGGATATATGCCACGTCATTCGATCCACTGAGCATCGACATGACACTTTGCCGTGGTGTATAGACGTACTTGTCCAAGTCAATTGGACCGTCTTTTGGTACGATGGCAGGGTCCAAGACAGCTTCTTCTCCCTTGGCCAAAAGTTGATTGATATCCAGACTCTCGCCGTGAGGGATCATTTCCGGATGACTGGGCGTCACACAGTCCATGTCCGCTTCCTTGCGGAGCACGTGGTCGATATCCACGGCTGAAAAGAACGCACAGCATTGTGGGAGATCTTCAATTCCCATCTGTTGACTGAACATGGCTCGTGTCCATAAGTTGGAGATTTGCAGTGCTAGAGCAGCTTTGTATCGATCTTCGTGTTTGACGAGGTATCGGATTTCATCGTGCACGGTGATGGCGAGTCGAGCATCGAGATTGAAACGTCGGATCAAGTAGTCCATACTGATGATGAGTAGATGCAAGTAGTCAACACCAGAGGACTGAATGGCCCAGTTGATGCGAGACGTCATGAAAGAACCTTGGTTGATGAATCGTCGCATCAAAGCTTCGGTTATGCCGGCTCCCAGAACCGGTGTTCGGGGACGTTCTTGCTCTGCGAATTCTTCAAGTTTGTTGAAGACGAATGACTCGGTTCCTCCTCTCCAAAAAGAACCATTTCCCAATGCTTTGCGTCTGGTTCGTGTTCCTTTGGTCTCTTTGTAGAGTTTTGAGGCAATCTCGGTTGTCTGCTCCTCGGGCAAAGCAGGGTTGAATTGCCGGAGAAGCGTTGCAGCGAACTTGAGGCCGGCCCCATAGATGCGACCATAGTTGAACACTTTGGCGTCGTTACGGGATATTCCTAGAATTCTCGCGGTTTTAGAATGAAGATCCGTCCCGGCAGCTTTGGTTCCCTCCAGCGTCATGAAGCCAATGGCATTTCCGCCATGAAGCTGGAATTGGGCATCACCCACAAGTGAAGCAATCCAGAGTTCCTGACTGTCAACATCAGCGCCGACAAAACAATATCCTGGTGGCGCCCTGATCATAGCTTTCAGTTCAGAGCCCACTCGGTTGGCTTTTGCGTTGGAAGCGGTGAGCCAGGTATTCTCCACCGCGCGTCGTGTAATTGTACCCATAGGGATGATTTGAGGAAGGATGAATCCTTGCTCGGACTTTCCAGTCAACGCAGGGTCTCGGTCCGATTCGTTCACGACCATCTGGGAGATGATACGATCTCGTGCTGAAATCCAATATGAACATGACGCATTCATCTCCAAAGCTTCTTTCGCCAAAGCAAATTGTGAAGACAAAGTTCCTGCTTCAAAATATTGCAAGTAGCCTTTGGCCAGGGGTGAAGCACATCGAGCAGCTGGCCCATCCTTATGGGGAAGTTTGAAGTAGGTGTTTTGGAAGTCCGATTTCAAAGTCTCGTTGGTCTCCTCCGACATGTCACAGAGAACAACATTGCTGTGTTCATATTTGTCGACGTCTTTATTAGGAACTCGGAACGTCCACCCATGTTTGTCAGACCAAATCAGGGGATAGCCGTCCCAAGAAAGTTTCAGCAAGATCGGCGCGATTCGGGTCCGCACAGTCAGGTTCAGCGGAGCGTTGTTTGTCGCGAATAAATCTCTGTACCAATTCGGTGCACCTGGTTTCTTCTGCCGAGCAACCGGGACCGGCTCTTCGTCCTTTTTCCTTGCCTTCTTGTACTTGATCTCTTGACCTGACCAGTCCAGCTGATTGAGCCATGGATCATTTTTGTAGACTTCTGGTTGATCTTTGACGGCCAGAGCAGCTTCTGACAACTGTACGAGTCTCTGCTCGACGTCTTTTAGTCTTTGTTGGTATATATTCTCTGCTCGTTCGAGGTATTCGTCCCACGACTTATCGACAGGTAATATGACCGATGACAAGTGTCTCAGCGCCCCAAAACTGACCGGGTGCGGACAGGTTTCCAAAAAGTTCGGGAATACTTTTTGGAAAACTCGGTGCGTGATAGCAACATCGGCGGCACAATAGTCAAGAAGCTCCTCAATTCTTTCACGGATTCCATCTCGATCAAGTTCACCAAAGTAGTCTCTCTGGCTCTTGTCGATTGTGACGCCACAGTGGAATTTGGCAACGTCGCGCAAAGAATTGACAGAGCTTCGTCCCACCCATAATTCCTCCTCCTCTTCACTCAACAATTTACTCTCAAGCATCCTTTGAAGCTCAACAGAATTGTGATCCCCCGACATTTTATCTCTTAGATCCCTATTCTTCTTGTGCTTCATCCAGGTCGGTCGCTGTCTCGAGCACATGCCGTTGACGGCGACATGGAGAGACATGGTGTCGATGAAAAAGTTTCGAGATTGTTTGAGATCGTACTCCTCTTTCACTCGTGCCCGATCATAGCCGATGTTATGACCAACAACGATCCGGGGCTTGGTCGGATCACCTAGCGGCACCAATTGTCTCGGATTATCCGACTCTCCCAACAGCCAGGGTGATATCCAAGCATACCAGGCAGTGGGACTGGCAGCAGTGGCCATGACGGCGAACGGTGTTTCCTTCCACATTGTTTCTACGTCAAATGAGAGCATAGCTTCATCCGGCGCATCTACCTCTTCCGTAGTCATATCAGAATTGTATTTTGTCCATCCACTTCTGATCACCCATTTCCGAGGTCTTTGCGGAGTATTTGCCTTGACGAAGGCCTTGCCATACGACAAGTATGGCTCCGAGCCGTTAAGACCAAGCTTTGTAAAGTGTTCGTCTAAACTGGTGCCGTGTAAAGGTGGGACATCGACTCCAATTGCCGGTGAATTATCCTGATTCTTTCCGAGCAAACCATGCCGTTGCAGGTGGTCTTTGGACAATTCAACAAGATCTGGGGGTGGTCGCGTGTCCCCTGCCGGGAAAATTTGAGGATGGAGGAGGTCACTCAATTGTTGTACACCAATTTCATTATATCTCGGGCTCGCACTCCGAGCGAGTGTCCCATTTCGGTCAACATTAGAGATAGTAAGGGGAGGAATAGTTTCGTGGGCATAATATCGTCGGAGAATGGCGGCATCTCGGAGAGCGCATGATCTGAGTTTCTGGGAAGTTCTGATGTAGCCTCGCGCGCATTGCGCAAGCGTAGGAGGCCACAGCATGTATGCAATTGAGACTGAGCGTCAACTTAACATTTTGCAGGGGACTGAGATCGAGGGAGTTGAAGACCAAAATCTTGACGTTGCGGTTCAGGAGTTTGCGAGGTAAAAAAAGCCCACCACCTGACGACTTAGTAGGGTGCTCGATAAGCCCGCTTATCATCACATGTTGTTCTCTATGCACGTGACCTAGCATCCTAGAATCTTTTCGGTCGCGGCCTCTCGACCTCGACACATCTTCAACTTGGCTTTCTTCGATCCCATAGTTCGAATATGGCCTTCAACGCCAGAAATATCCAATATAACCAAAAAGAGCCTTCGTTTCTCCGCAAACTGCGAGGTGAATTTGGTGGACTCGATGGAAGGCACAATGTCCAAATCGCGCGACCGAAGAAGGACAGACTTAAGACCGGGGATGGTGATGAAGACGATCCAGTAATCGTGGATGAGCAAGGTGAGAGAGTTGAAAAGGGAGAATTTGAGCGAAGGATACGAGAGGGCGATCTGTCCGGAAACCAAGGCGGCAAGGAGCCAGGAGCAGATCCCGAAGCCGACCGGAACAATGGGAAGCAAGAAAAACAAAAGGTGGTAGAGATTGGTGCCTCCGCCAATGCGAAGAAGAGAAAAGCGGGAAAAGTAGTTGGTGCCGACGACGAGGACGGAGACGGCAAAGTTGGCGACACATCAGAGGAGACAGCCCAGAGAAAGAATGACGACGGCGAGGCTTTCGGTTCAAAGAAGAATGAACCTGGTACCGGAAAGAAGAAAGGAAAGAAGATCAAGTTGTCATTCGACGAACCGGATGGATAGCATGTCCGACAACTAGGTTGATGCTACCTGGGGTTTGACCAAACCGAGTGTTTACGACAGTCCAGACCCAAGCTTGAGGAGCTGACAAGCACCTGGACGTTTCGTCTTCCAAAACGAACAGCATCGAGATGACCAGTGACATTAAAGCCCATGGATCAGGACAGGGGCCGTCGAATACTTGTAACGCTTCCCCCTCTCCAACACTCGACAAGCTCACAGATGGGAATGCGACGAGCTCACTTTTGGGGACATTACCAGACTGCGCCAGCGCGAGGCCCTGATCGACATGCCATCACAAGACGATATCATCCGATTTCTCGCATGATCCTTCCGATCTCCCTCTTCGCAAACTTCTCCCTTTCAGCCTTGGGCATCTCAGACCCCGCCTCACGAATCGCAACCACTCGCTCCATCAAACCCTGCAGCTGTTCGACCTGTACATCTTCATCCCCGGGCATGTCTCTCCTTGCCTGAGCTCCCTGATGAGTGTCACGGTCATCACCGTCTTCAAGCATGGACATTTTCAGCTCCATCATCTCTCGCTGCAACTCATGATCAAGACCAGAGAACCTCATGTTCCCCGGTACGTGAGGCGACAAGGTAATTTCTTCATCATCGCCATCCAGCTCACCAAGCTCACATTCACCGTCATCGTCACCGACATTTGGTGAGGCGGACCAATCAATACCCTCCAACACTTCAATTACTCTCTGAATACCAGTTTTCTCACCATACTCATTCCTTTCGTCGTTTGCATTTCCTTCCTTCTCAACGTTTTGAGTTTGCCCATCCCAAGCCACGAAATCCCACCCTAAAATTCCCTTTGCCGACAGACATGTATCTTCCAGCTTCTCCATCGTGGCGGACAATTTCTCCTGTTGCACTGCGGAGGACATGGACTGTAGTAGGATAATCGAGGCAATGTCGCGACCGTAGCTGTCGTCTTCGACCGCCTCGCGTAATGAGTGTACCGCTTCAATGAATGACACGTAAGAGTCAGGTATTGACGAAGACGAGAGTGAAGATATAGGTAGAATCAAGAGAATCCCACCGATGACAGCCCGGACCTCTGCGGCCGCCGTGGAAAGCATTTGGTCGTTCCATTCTTGGAGGGCCAAAGTGTCTTCTACTGGATTTGAGTCTGCTTCTTTCCGGTCTCCGCTTTGGACGCTAGACGTGGATATAGACGGTAGTTCGTCACACCAAATACTTACATCGGAACTATAATATTTCGTCCTCAGACTGAGTGGTGGGTGCGATGTATATCCGGAGAATGAAGTGACCTCATCTGAGGGTGATGATCCCGTGATGGCTTCCAGTAAATTACGAAATGGTGGTACCGTAGTCGGGTCCGAGGATGGTGCGAGAATCAATAGGCGTAGCGAGGAGGGTTTTCCCAGCGACGGCTCCGCCACCATTTTTCTCGCCCAGCCTGGCCAATGCGGGAGACGTACTTTCGAATTTGATCGGTTTCCCTTATATTGATTGGAAATGTAGCCGAAACAAGACAGATGGCCGATAGTTTGGGGGGGAGAAATAAGAGTACAGGGATTTTAAATCTGCTCACGATCACGTGCAAGACCTTCACGTATAAGCCCTTTTTCTTCAGTCTTCCACAATTGGTCGAGCTTCGAACAGAAGCAGGAGCCTGGGGCTCACCTCATTGATTAAGGAGCCACGGGAATCGTACAAGGGCATGCTCAGCGTAGACAGAGATGAAGAATGGGCACAACGGGAAGCAAGGCTTTGGCTTCTCCAAAAATATGCCAACGTAGCCCTGAGTATCTTGCACTTTAGGGTATCATAATTTGTCTTGACTTCGTTCCCTGCACCATCGAACCAAGACGCTGCTCTTTTTCCCATTCCCGTAGGGTATCATATGAATTCACCATTTTTGATGCTCCCGACGCTCGCAATTCATGCGTGTCTTGCGTGTTGAAAATTCACCCAGAAGCCGGGCAGCGCCATTTGCTAACACCAAAGGACTTCAATGCAACATGTTCGTGACGCTGGTAGAAAAGTCTTTTCCTTTTTTGGCTTTTCCCTCATCATTTAATTCCTCCTTCCGGCGCGGGCACGATTCACTGTGGCTCTTCCTCGCGCCAAACCGACACCACGACCTCTGATTCCCCGTGACCTGAACATGGGTGCATTTCGAAGCATATCTGGGACAATGAAAAACCGCACGTGGCTGCCTCGGATGTAGACTTGATCAAGGTGCGACACTCGTCCGTCTCGTGCGGTGGCAGTGATGTCTTTCAGTTGGACGTTCATGTTGTCTTCGGCTGTAAAAGAATGGAGTCAATACGACTTGTCCAGGCTAGAAACGTCCGGCGCCCGAGAGTAGAGGCCCCAAGGAAAATTGCTGGTTTCGTACCTTCTAAGAGTTTCCCGCGGTATACTTGACCGGACGTCAATTCCAACGTAACTACATGGCCCTACGCAAAGAAATAAGTCAGCTTTGAGCCATATAGACCATGGATTGCCAGTATAGGACTTACTTGTGCCTCGTTGAGTAGTTTGATGGGTATGCCGATGGTCGATGTGAGTTTGCCCATGTTTGGTTATGGTGGGGGGAAGGAAATGGTCTCGTCGATAACAGACTTGGTAGTATAACACAGTGCAAGACAATATGAGGCGGTATTGAGGAGGGTCGATTGCGCGATCCGACTTGTCGGTAAAAGGTCGAAAATCGCAGCCCACGAAAAGAATGCATTTGAGGTGCGCCTCTTATCCCCGAGATTACCTCCGCCGTTCAAAGAGATCGGGTCAACATCACATTCGTCACCCATGTCAATGAAGTTCCTCGAACTTCTTCGTTGAAGATTCAATGAGTCCTCCAAAACGATTCTTGATATGCCGCTCTTTTCCAATGTCCCAGCTCTTCGTCTGACTCTGGCCTATGCGATCCACGATCCGTCGTGCCTCCTTCCGCATGCCACCATCCCAACTCTACTCTCTCTTCCACTTCCCGTGGGCCCTTGTCTTCCCTCACTCAATGCCACGGGCAAGAAACCCACGATACGCGCCCTTGTCTTAGACAAAGACAATACCCTCTGTCCACCGGAGACTGCCAAACTACACCAAGCTTATAGAAACAAGGTTGAGAAGATCAAAGAGAGCCCCGAATTCTCTCACAGCACTTACAGCATCCTGATTGTATCGAACACCGCAGGAAGTTCTTCGGCTCCCGGACACGAGGCCGAAGCTAAGCAATTGGAGCTGGAAATCGGACTGCCTGTCTTACGACAACATCCAGATCGTAAGAAGCCATTTTGCGGGCCGGATATCTTGAAATTCTTCCAAGAGCATGGCGTGACAGAAGACCCACGAGAAATTGTGGTAGTTGGTGACAGGCTGGCTACTGATGTTCTTTTGGCTCACGAAATGGGCAGCTGGAGTATCTGGTGCAGGGATGGATGGCGAAATCCTGAAATGCTCGGTCGAGATTACAGAGGTTTCTTCAGCAAAATGGAGAATCGCTTCGAAGGAATGGTAAGGCGCGGTCTAAGGCAGGCTGCTCCCTTGCCCAAGAACACCATCTCCTCGCAAGAGCAATGAGAATCTCGGCTCCTCGAGTATATTATGGAACGACCTCAGTCGCCTCGAGAAAAGTTGGGGACCGTTTCTATGAACCAAGTCCACAACTTTTGCCCAGACGTGTCCCAAATCCAACAAGATATATCCCCCCAAAACCCGATTTTCGAAGGAAGACTGTCATACTATTACTCCCTTATATAACACAGTCAACAAATTCCCCGCTACCATCATTTCCCAAAGGAGATCTGTCACTGCTTCAACATCAATTCTCCATCACCTGAACTCCCTGAAATAACCGTCGGCGTCCCTATAGCGGCTCCTTTGAGCAGTTCCGAAGATTGATAAGAAGGTAGGGACTTGGTTTCCATCAAACTTGTAGTCACAGCTGGTAATTCCGAAACGGCGGGAATGGCTATCTTACTGGTGGACCGTCGCAAGGTCCCCATGGGCGACTCAATTGGACTGATCGGACTCGACGAAGATGTTCGCCGCTGTGGTCGTTGTTGTTGAAGATCTCTGCTGACCAATTGACCGGTATCAGAGGTCATTCTTCGTGTGACGACCTCGACAACGGCATCTTTCAGCGTGAACCTGTTCTCTTTGATGCGGACTTCTATCCTCCCCGAAAAAGGGACGCGCGTCCAATCCGAATCTCCGTCTAGAAACATAAATCGAATTCCCTCGAAAAACACCGTATGACTGCTCCCGGAGTTCTCGACACACCAAGCGTGCTTCAGATCCATTTGGTGTTTTGTACACCGTGCTCGACTGGAGATGATGTTGTCGATAGCCTCGTCTCGACCAACACTTCGGTCGGTGCCATTTTCATTGTCCTGAAAGTCTTTTGCGAAGAGACTGTTCAAAATCAACCGGCTGGGCTGAGAGCTGTCGTATTCACTGAACAGGACTTTCAGGCATCGTAACCCGTGCGGAGATTTGGTCGAAATGGCCTGGTATGATTGTGTGTGTTCCTGAACCTGGATTTTTCCCATGACGATCAGCTTGGGAATATGGTGTAGATGAACGGACACCTCTCAAGCAATCTTCTGAGGCGACATTTGACTTATTTGAATGAAACAACGGCGCCTTTTGATCTACGGCCAATACACGTATCATGAGTAACTATGCTAAACTCTGGGGATCCCCTTCCAGGGGTACCATCGACCTCCACTTCGTATCGGCCCCCTCTAATCAGGGGCTCACTGGTCCCTTGCAGTTCGGTTTCATCGACCTACTGGGAATGTCAATCAGGCCCCCTGCTCATCGGAAAATGCGGCCCAGGCAGCAAAACACTAAATGAGAAGCGCCCTGTGCCCGTCAATCTCGGACTATTGCATCATATTTATGATTTCACCAACCTATTGCTACAAGACGAAAGTACACTTTCCGGTCTTTGATCAGAGAACAATTACCCAATTCCACAAAACAAAACCGATCAAGACGGTCGGTTGCTGTCTTTCGAAGAGAAAGTCACCCGATTCCCTACAGATGACATACCCCTGCTCATCAGGCATGAAGCGAAGACACGACATTGTCCGAAATTGTGATCTCACCAAATATCTTGATCGCATGCTCAGGAACACAACTAATTTTCTCTCTCTCTCTGGCTACTTCTCCACGTCCACTCAACGCTCACATCTCTACATCGTAGAGACTCAAAGAATCTCCCACTCACTGCCATGAACTAGTTCATGAGCTTATTTCAGGTGACATTCTCCCCGACGATTCACGGCTGGGGCTCGACCAGGGCCGCATTGAATGCTGCCAACACGAGACTATGCGTCAACTTATTTTGTAGCTTTCCCAAGGCAAACTCGAGTTCAGCTTGACGCAGTTTCGGCCGGGCAACAAAGATGGGCCGATTCGACATGAAAGAACACGGAGCAGATGCATTGTACCTCACCTCGAAGAATACCTCGATGTAGTAGGGGAAAATCTCCCGCCACTACCACGATCCACTTCCTGTCCCATTTTCGATCGCCATGTCGGCCCAATACTCGGAGGCGACCACCCGCACCGTGAAACTTGGCTGCCTTCTTCATATAGCTCTCTACATGTGAGCAAAACAGCAGAATGAAACGGGCACTCCATCTTCACACGATAACCCGCGACCGTATTCTGGAGTTCTCTGCTGCTCAGGGATTTTCTTCCTGTCGTCTTGCTGGGAGCTATTGCCATCATTTGCCCGTGTCTAGCTTACCAGTGGTACTGGCAGTGTCTCGCATTTTGGCATACGATCCATGTGGTGTTCTGAGGAAGCTTCTGAGTGAGTCTGATATCTCAGCTGTCGCACTTCCCCCCCGCTCTTGCCCTCGATTTGCTTTGTCCTTTGAATCCCAATTTCCAACATATCTTGGTCGATAATCGATAGATTCGAGCACCCAACTAATCTTGCTGGTGGCGACATTATTTGGCCTCGAGTCGCTACTTTTACTCACTTTGTTGCGGAAGTTTCCATCTATGTAACAATGGCACAAAAAGGAACGGACAAAAAGTAATAACGCCGATCACCATTTCCCGACAGGACGAACAAACAAAGCCCACTTATTCGACACGCAGGGATGTGGCGAGTGACAAACTTAGTACTGGCTACTGACGCATAGCAAAGCTCCCTGATTTCGTGTGCTGGAAGCAATTCCACGAATTCGAGTTCCAGTTCAGAAGCGGTCTCTACGTGGCGAAAATCAAACTTTTCGGGTGGAAATGGGAACTGGATTTCAAAGAAGTGGCTCTGAAATCTGAGACTCTAAAAGGTTAGCAACGTGTTAGCTCTTGCAAGTGCTGACTCAAGAGTCTGAAGAGAAGCATTGGATGGACTTCGTTTCTCCAGGACACTTCAGGCACCAGGATATGTTCGAGGAAAGCCATACAAGTAGGGGTATCTTCCATTGGGTAGAGAACATAAACCTCAATGTGTCAGCATGATCCTTTCCTAGTTTAGCCTTGAATCCAGAGAAGAAATTCCCCCAGAAAGTGGAGTAATGTAGCCGCATGAAGACTACAATGCAAACAATTTTTTTGCCGCACAGAATTTCTCTAACCTTCGAAAGCATAGTTGTGGAATTGATCTGTTGACATGCTGATGTAGTCGTCGCGTCACAATGAATCACCATGTCTCCTCGTCTTGAAGGAGGATTGGCTTGTATACCTACATATATTGTGTTGATATCAGGGGGAGAATTGTGTAAGGCTGCGTGGAAGAAGCCCCTGGGGGATGAAGTCTTGGGGAGGGAAGAACACGGCTCTTAATAGGCTCTCGCAGCAATGTCCATTCCATATGGGCCACCGAACCAGGCCATTTATCCAAGGGATACCTATGCAGGGTTACGACCGATTTGAGGATGCAGATTCGGATAGATTTGGGTTTTCCTGTCCAGCCGACATTGAAAGCAATAACGCCTAACCTGAACAAGGCAAACCCGGGAAGGTCCTTGTCACGTGACAAGGCGGACGTAGTTCCTGCTACCCCACACAACCCTCAAGACACACAGATAGGCCATACAACGACTACTTCAGTCAGCCTTTGCCATTGCGATATTCCCTTGCTCCTTTTCTTTCCCCTCTTGTCCCAGATATGACAATCTGGCTCTTGTATTCTGTTGGTATCTAGGCAGTTATGTGCAGGAGTACCAACACAGCCCTTTCACATTTGCTGTAATTTCTCCCGGGCCGCCTTTTGACCTTCCTCGCTGACATTAGGATTATTGGTTGCACTATGAAAACCCAAGTGTCAATTCTCAGCTCCTCAACTCGATATCTATACTCCCGAGGTGTCAATACTTACGCTTTCAAACCACGGGCCACGTTTCCAGGATCCTTTCCACCTTCGTCGCTCACCCCGACATTTCCACCTTGTAGTTCGTTATCAAGGACATCTTTGGCATGCTGCTTGGCATTCTCTGATACATTGGGATTCGAAAGAGTTCTATCGAAAGTCAGCCATTTCCAGCCGTGATGAAAAGTCCTAGATATTGACCAGGCTTACGCCTTGTATCCTCGAGCTTTGTTTACCGCTTCTTCAGCCATCGTATCAAATTTTCTCGGTATAGTAACTGGATATGGTGCTATTCTGCTTGAGAAGTGAGCCTGCGTTTGTTGCTTGCCTCCGGTCTGATATAGCGTTCTGGATCTTTGTTGCATTTGCTGACGTCACCTGAAATAAATCGCTTGTCCTATAGCCAGCCTTGCCCCGACCACACAGTTGCCAGGAAATATGCCTTTGATCGACTTACGAATTCTCGTCCCATACGTAAGAATGATCCCATTATCACGTCATGTGTCTCCCATCACACTGGGTGGATGCGGATCGTGACGTGGAATATCATCGCCCTTGTCGAGCCACAAGGCCCAAAAAGTGGGCTTGGAAGAGTGGCCCTATCAACCTTGGGCATTTTGAATTTCATTAGGCAAGGGTGATCTCACTATTACAACATATGCCATCCGTCACGTTTGCAGACCCTAGGCCAACCCCAGGGAATGTGAAATCGCATCGGTGGACAACAAGAGACAAATGCATCATCCGGACCAACTGCGTCCTGGCAATACAATATCCATATAAATTGGCTGCCTCTTTCGCCTCTGCGGTCAGAGGACCAGAGTGGTGAGCCAGTAGAGGCATTATATCGCACAATCTTCCTAGTTTCGCTACACCAAGATATCTACAGTGCGAAAATGACGGACAAATCAAACTTCCGTGCCGGCGACGACCGTTATGAAGCTCAAAACGATGACGCAACAGAAGTAACAGGTGATATCAACGACGCATCTTACGTACGGCCTGGAGAGGCTACGATACCAGTGCAAAAAGACACAGACCCAGTGGAGGACCCTGTGAAACCACCAGAGTCCAACAGTGATGAGCAGCTCGGTATGTTCGACTCACCTATCTAATTTCGCCTCCATGATGAATTGTACCTGCTAACGGCACACGCAGAGGGAGATGAGAAGGAAGCTATCAACCAAGACAACATTATAGGCCAACGGACCCGTGCCGCAAAGCCGTCAGGAAGCTATTCGGAGGGTTTGGATGAGGATGAATTGCCCTCGGATGTCGTGTCGGGAAATATGGGCAGATCTGATGTGAAAGCTCTTTAACCATCTCCATATATTGAAGGCCTAGAGTCAATGATAGTATACTGTCTTTAATGGACTGAGATTTGATTCCCGCTTGGCTCCCTGACATTTCAATGTTTGTGCCATTGATATATCTTTTGTAAGCGTTCAAGCTAATCGACAACACAACAACGGGACCCGTTCAGCAGACAGAGAGAGCAGGACGGAGTAGAGTAACTGTGATAACCCAGGCTGAGTTAATCCACATCCGCCAAACGGTTATGTAGCATACATCTTCCAGTATTCGCCGATGTGATGATGAGAATCCCCACGCAACACTGGCTGCTCTCTAGCCAGTTAAGGCCATTTGCCTTGCAAACGATAGCACATGGTGACCACGGACCAGTTATCTCAAGTAAATTAATTCATCACCTTCCAACTGAAGCATTCTGCCATGATTTTCTAGCTTCCTGGCCAAGCTTGTCGACGGCCGCTTACGAAGCCTGTGCTATAATATCATCATTGGACACATCTGTCAGGCAATCCTAGACTAGGGGGAACCGGAACTGTCTCCATCATTCCCTCTAGTGTAAGCAATTCAGTTGGTATACTCAAGTTCGGGGTGTATTGCTCTCTCACTTCTATTATATGATGTCTTCTTTGGCTGTGGCAGTCTGAGAAACTATGAGCAACTCGCCATATCTCTCAAGAGGAAGCGATGTCATCGCGTACTTCAAGTTCAACTTTTGAAGACAGACTTCTTCCCCGACAATCCCTACAAGCGTCTGCGTATACGACGCCACCCATTGTTTTAGTCACGGGTAACATCAGGTCTCACAGCTCATTGACTTGCAGATCCTCCCATTTCTCGAGTGAACACTCCAGCCCGATATTGGACATATCTGATCTTCTTTCATCAAGATGCATTGTGGTTTCAAACTCGGCCAATAATTGGCGAAAGGCTTTGATGTTGTTAAATTGAGGGCTCTGGGTGTGGTTTTCACTGCTTGTTCGTTCCTAGGTCCTCGGAGTTAGACATTCCACGGAACCAGGGGGCCCAGGAATCTCTGACAGAGGAGCGGTCCCTGGCTGTTCGCCATTTGTGGACATGGCGGATGGTGGAGAGCGCAGAATCGTGCGTGAAAGGAGCAAATTTACGGCGTTGGTGGAGAGGACTTCATTTGATCCACTTGACAACACGAAATCATCGGCTCGCTGAGTCTTTCGCAAAATAAGACATAGATCTCTCTCCAGCTATTTTGGGTGCCGTTCGCGCCGAAGGGGGTTATAATACTTTGAGACGAAATTATCGTCGGCTGTAACAGTCGTTCAAGGCTTCGCAGGCACAGACATTGGAGGATTAATGATGTCTGTAGTTTGACTAGGCACGCGGCGCTGCGTTCCCCGGGTCCTGCGATGAGCGTAAGGCTCTTCGACCTTCGGGGAATCTCCAACGTTGCGAAATTCGGTCTCAAGCCAGGAGATAATTTCTTGTCTGGTGGCATTACCACGTATTAGATTGACCAGAGAATCCACTTGACTTGGTCTACCTGTCCGGATTGCGTTGAGTAAGTCCTCAAGGAGTCGGCGATCGTTCTCCAGTATCTCAACCTTTCGTCTGACAGCGAGCCTACGCCGACGATCGTCGTATTCATCCTTAACACACTCGGTATTCCGGGAGGTACAAGATATGCAGGGCATGTTGCCGTCACACTTTTCAAGGTCAGTCAGAGGGCCCGCCAGCATCACAAAGGCAGGTAGCAAACCTTTGACCGCCGCTTTTTGCAAGCGAAGCAGGCCACGCTTGACTTCTTGCGTCCCGAAGATTCTGGTGCGGTACGCTGAGGTCTGTTTTCCCCAATGACTGAGAATGCCGGTTCGATATTTTGAGATGACATCCCTGTGGTATTGGCGTGATAGAATCGAATCGCAAGACTCATCTGAGGAGGCCCACTGCAATGATATATGAGAGAAAGAAATCGGCACATAAGTTATGGTCAAGCGCCACAGATCACAGATCAATGATGTCAGCTTCCGAGTCAAACGTATATAATTCCCGTGGCGAAAGAACTTCTCACGCATCTAGCTATCCTAATTAGTAGCAGCCGGCGGAAATTACTTCCCTAGCCTATTGTGGGGGTGATAGCATACTTCCAGAGCCCTGGCTTTCTGATGCGTCTCCCAGCGAGAGGCTCGTGCCGTGCTCTCCACATGTGACAAGTGGCGACGTCAAGGCTTGTAAAGACTCTGGGAGGTGTTGCGCGCATCGTACACGCTTCGGGACTATATAGTCTGACGACCCCTTGGATCTTTTCGGAACAGGACAGATCCCCGTGTCATCGTACACTCGTGGAAGCCCTTCACGCGACTTGACTTGCACGGATGACCGAAAATCCAAATTCGGACCAATCAGAGGCAGTGTACAGAATGATGGACCCATTTTTTGGGATCACTCACCCAGGTGTACAGAATAACATCCGCGCTTTACAAGCCTTTAACTGCTTTGGCAGCGCCGATTATCACAGATGAGAAGAAATGGGACTACGTGCTAGGATGTGGTTGTGACGTGATATAGTGGTCCTGTGACAACTCCTCCTCAGTATTGAGGGCTCTCAATAGGCGGCCATGTAGTGTTTCACCCAGGCCGTTCTGAGTCGAATTGATCAGCTGAGGCCGGTATCCACTCTCGTCTGGCCATCGCTCTTTCCTCAAAGTCAAGATAGAGACCAATGACCTAGGAGCCTGAAGTTGGTGAGTTGCATTTCTGGAGTCTCCAATACCACCACGTGTCCTTGACATGCCGTTAGTGGGGGGATAATTCGAAGCAGGTACGGATGATTAGGTTCATTGGGATTGATGTCCGACGGTGTGGTATCGGATGATGTTGACGTCGCCATTTTACCAGGAGGTGCAAGCTGAATTTGTTGGGCAGCAGTTGCGGATCGGGAGTGTTCAAAGTAGATGACACTGAAGTTTGGAGGAGAGAAATAAATTTAATGATGGAAGCTTCGTCTTTGAAGTCCACCATTAGAGGATGGCAAGCTACCTCAAACCGCCAGACCGAGCAGTGATATACTTCGCATGTCGAACTTGGCAACATGACAAAGCCAGAAAGTCATGCCAAAGCTTTTATTGAGTGCCCTCTATACCCTTCTGTTCAACGGTTGAACAAGAAGCTAGTGCCCCCGTTCGGGATATAGGGGTAGGAATAGGGGAAGAAAAGGGGTCAACCAAACGTGTATATGCCAGCAGCCTGGCAGGACCAGTTGCCAGATAAACAGAGCATTCAATACACATTCTCTTGGCATACTCAGTTTGGCACCTTCATACGAGCTACTCATGTTGACCAATTAGATCTGGTCAATGACGGAATCAGAGGCGTGTGGGAAGAGTCGAGCGCCAGGGACTAATGGTATTGTGGACTGCAAGGAGAATGATGAACTTTCACCGAATATCTAACTGGAGTACCTACCTTCGTATGGACATAAACATGCTGATACAGAGGCTGCCAGTTACAAGAGGTGCGCCGTCTTAACGGTGTCGGCTCCATACCGTCCCCGACAACAGGGCCTATGAGGCCGGAGAGACATTCCATGAAGGGCTGCTTTGGCACAATGGCTATTGCTGGAGAACAGATGTTCCAAGAACACAGATACAGAATACCACGTGGACTATACACTGGACGGCAACCGCTTCTTCGGTCGAACTTGACATGCGTCAAGGTTCGATACCGAGAAATCTGGGGAAGCAAGGCTGACCAGTCAGAGTCCACTGGATTGAAAGGCAAAGAAAAAAAATGGAGGGGAGGAAGGGAGAGAACGGCGCCGGTAACCAAGGAGGACTGAAAGATAATGAAGGGAACTCTATTATCGTACAAATCACTTTCTCCTGCATACCGTGGGCATCATGTCTATTCGCAAGCTGAGCATCAAGGAACTCCTTTTGCACGGCAAGAGTGGAAAAAGAAAGTGGTTGTCGTCTTCTGGTGGACATGTCTTTTGCTGCTCATTATTATTTGCACGTCGTTCATTGTGTCTTAACCCTTCCATTCCATATAAGCAGAGGAAAGTCAAGCCTGCACAGGAAATGCAAGACCCACCGGGCGCTGTCATGCGACTCTGATCAACTCCATTGAACTGCAATGTCCATGCCCGTCCTTATGTTGCCCACCGGAAAGTCCAGATCAATCCAACGTAATCCTTTTGCACGTTCAAACGTGGGCCCCATAAAGATTTAATAACCTCTTGACATCTGTCGGCAGTCTCCAAAAAACACCTCCTCGGAGCTCCTGGTTTCAACTGGTACGTCAAATCAGTGACCAAGGACTCCAATGCTTGCCACTTCGGATCTTTTTGATTCTTTGTTTTCGCATCTTTCAAGACGATGTTGCAATAGTTTTGTATCTGCCGAATACACGAAACTGCGTACGTGACATCATTGCGCTCAGCAAAAAGTCGAAGCAGCATGATGTTGAGTCGGGCATACCACTCTGACACTGGACAAGCACAAGGAAGTCGTAGTGCGAGAAGGCCACTTGTAATGGCTAGTTCCTGAGCGAGACTGGGTTCTAGGCGAGTGGTCCGTGGAGTATAGCTTGCTGACGCTGGACGTAGCATAACCGCTTTGGCTGCATTTCTCTCACCCGGAGACACCGCCATCTCGTCACCAGACTGCGTGGTATTCTGCTCGATGTGCTCAACATTTAGATGTTCATTCGCCGTCGCCGACGAAGAAGCTTCCACAGGTTCACTTCGTTCATCGGCGGAGGCCTGATCGGGACTGCAATTTTCAGCCCTTTTCGCTTCGCAAGATGCCTTCTTCTTTCCCTTTGCGAACATTTCTTCAATAGTTTTCGAAAGGAGAAGTGCTAATGACCCACTTCGAAGCTCGCAGAGTCTGTAGGCACTCAGAGCGATCAGCTTGCAAACACGATTGATGCCTTCCTTGGATTTAGACGAAACATCCACTAATTTGCTAGTTCTCGTGCGCACGATACTGGAGGATTCATAGCAGACGCGTTCATAGAGACGCTCGGCACTGAAAAAGTCGCCTTTCTCGATGCAGACATCGGCTTGGAGCATCAGCTGCTCAAGATAGGTGCAAATCGAATTGTAGGTATGAACGTTGGGTTCGTATTTGGCTTTATTCCGGTGGTTGATGAACTCATTTCGAATCGAATCCAACCGCTTCTCAGCAGACGGTGATGTAATCTGGGCGGTGTCGTTTGAGGTGGTGGCACGGCCCGGATAGTGGAAATCGATCGACTTGACGTGACTGTGTAGCCAGGGCAAGACTGCGCACTTGACGAAACTGTCGGTCCGATTGACATGGCGGTATCGCGGCTCCGCCGGAAGAGTCAGGTTGTATCGCATGCCACGCGCGAAAGGGCTTTCAATCATAATCCAGAGGGCATGAACGAAATCTGCAGTGTCTGCATAACTGCAAAGGTAAAATGGGGTATCCGGTTTGGTATTTTGACCACTGAACAGCATGACCGGGTCGAATTTTGACATGTCGGATTCTGATCCTTCAGATTGTGACGTGATCAACCTCGACGCCGGGAAAGGACCCCATACCGGCAAGCCATAGTTTTGGAATTTGGCACCGAGTCCTTTGATTCCAGACTGGAAGCCCACCACTTTGTTTTCGATGTAGAGAACTGTTTTTGCTTCCCAATATAGCGATTTGCAGGTCTTCAATATCGCCAGGTCCAGATGACAAGTGTTTATGACGGGTGGAGAGCCGTTGATATCTTGATTCCCTTTATGCCTGAATGGAGCCGCCTCGAGTATGCGTCTCGGATTCAAATAGAGCAGTTCCGAAGCACTGGTTGAAGGCGGCCGGCGAGTGTAAGTCTTGCGGTTCCGGTCAAAGCGTAAGAGGTAGCGGAGGACCTTGAGACGGAGCTCGACGGGCAGACGTAGGAGGGGAGGGCTGCGTTGAGATTCTTCTGTGGCAATATGCTCATCCTCCTCTTCATCGCAGTCCAAAATCAAACTGAGAGTGACAACCTCCCGAGATTGTAGAGGCATTTTTGGTGCATTGCGTGCCGTGCGGTGAAAGAGGCTAGGTTATTCGACGGAAGATCGACTTGATCAGGTTGCAAGTTGGGTGGATGTCTGAGACTTTTGGTATGATGATCATCGCCTGTACTTGTTGTTTACAGGAAGCCCACGTGAGGGAAGTGAGGTTATTGGAAAAAAGGAATTCCTTGAGCTTGGAATATGGCGGGGAACATATCTGTGGACCGGGAACTTGATATTGAAATTTAAATGCGTCGCAACAAGAGATTCCTATGGAGACATGGCAGGAGAAAAAGAATGTGGTGCTTGCCTGTGCAGTATCAAAGTGATGCTTGTTGAGAGATCGAGTGACAATGAATGACGCCCAATTGCTGTGGAAGAAAGGGCATCATCAATTGCAGCCGCAGTTGTTAATCAGTTGCTGACTGGTAGTAGCTGTTTCGCCCAAACATTGCGCCGGTGGAAAAGTCACCTGATATCAACCAGCGCCCCAATTCACTGGTATAGATGGTCGATTGTCTTGTGCAAAGAGAGGACCCCATACATTGTCCTTGCTATTTGAATTGGTCGCTCTGTGAATAGACTCAAATATCAAACTCGAGATACTTCGTGGGTTCGTCATGGGCTTCTATTCCTTGCTTATTTCGTATCTCAATCACCCTTTCAGCTCGTATCCATTGTATCACCGTCTGACTTCCTTTTCTCTTTGACAAAAGTAACAAAGTCGTCGATAGCCATGGGCCACGCACCATCTTCCGTCCACCACGTGAGAGATTCACCACCGGGTTCTCGGGTTTTCATCACCAACTCGCCCATCATGTTCCACAGATCCTTATTGACCGGTCTTTTGCTCTGTGATTCGTAGAAATCACACCACAAATCCAGCCACTTTGTCGAAGGGGTGTTCCATTCGATACCTCCTTTCCCCTCTCGGAAGAACATGTTCCAAAAATCGATCGCGGAGTCCAGGGGAACGCTACGTTGGCCTTCTGGTTTGGCGAGTTTGAATGCATTGCGGTAGACCTGTTTGAAATAGGCTGAATCGGTCGCCAGCTTCTTTCGAACAATATCGACGTACTGGGCTTGGCGGGATGCATTGTCGTAAGGTTTGTCGCCGGAAGAAACGTTTCGCCAACCGGAAATAAAGCGGTCACGCTCGAATTCGCCGATAGAGGGACACTGCAGGAGGTCACAAATGGCCAAGTGAGCTACCTCGTCAAGTTCAACGTTGAGATCGGTCAGGTATTTTTGAGCGCCTTCGATGCCAATCGTGTCTGGAGCATCCTTGGGGTTATCTGTGGACCAGTCAACCATTCTTCCCCCCCATACGATCACGAGCGATATTTACCTCGATATTGGTCAAAGAGTTTGCTCAAGTTCTGCTGGATCGGTGGGGTCGGGCTATTGCTTGATCCACTCTGATAAAATCTGTCGAGACAAATCATATCAGTTTCCCGAACTTGATAGCATGTCAAACTCCAACCCTGCGGGCTGAGAACGATTAATTTTTCCACCACTTGTGCTTGACTTGGTTCCTCGCTGATATTTTCATATGGGTCAACGGACCACTCATGACAGATGAAGATGCGTTGGCAGCGTTCCTGTGACGGTGTCTTGCCCAGAGGAAACAGCCATCTTGACTTTCATGCCCTTTTTGGTAATCCGGGTTCGGTGATACCGGTGGATTGAAGGACCTTTTGGTGAGAGGGAAGATCCTGATATGCTGGTGAATGGTGAGAGGGAGTAGAAGAAAGAGATTCTACAATCGTGGGGAGGGTAGAGTCGAGATGGTGAGTTGGTGAAAGTAAGAGGCGGTGGATTGTTGCAGTGAGAACCCAACCTTGGAAGGATGATTTAGACATGAAAACTTGCGTAGTCTCGGCAAAAAGAATGTTTGAAAGATTCCCGTTTGCAATCTGACAGCCACAGTCTATGGAAACAGACTGCTTTGAAGAAACACCGACCAAAATATGTTTGATGTTGCTCGCAATTGCCATATTGATTGTTGGACAACCTCGTGCAACATGGTCATGAGCAGTTCCACCAGGATTTCTGTTCCAGCACTCACCCCTCAGAGTCAAAGCAAAGAAATATATATGTATATGGATACATATATGTATTGAACAGCAGGAAGAAACGAAATGCTAACTTACGAGTTGAGCGCCCTTTCCACGTCCCAGTCATGATTCTTGAGAAACTGTGGCAGACTGTTCAATGAATAACTCCAAGCGAAATCTGGCCTTACATACCCTCGCTGCTATGCTTTCTTTTGCCTGCGTGAAGCTGACGAATTGCGATATGGAGGATCTTTGTGATGAGCTATAACTAGGCATGTCGGAGGCTGGGGGTTGACTTGATCTTTGGATGACTACGATTCTCCGCCAATCTCGGGATGGGGAAGGTCTGTAGCCTTGCAGAGAAAAGTCCTTGTTAATGATGACGAAACGGTATTAATTTTGCGCTCAGTTTTGACGACCAACGCGTTCCTGTTCGTGGTTCTCACATCAAAACCGGGTTCGCAGACGGGGAAAAAAAATGCCCGAAGGCGCCGTCCAGGCCCGGCAAGTCAAGCGAGGGTTTACTAAGCAATCAAATCTGATCTGACGCTCTCGCTTGGAGTACGGTACAGTATGGACGGGGATGCGAGCAAGCTGAATATTTTTCCCTATGGCGGATCTTCGACTCAATAGGCTCCCGGGTCCAAATATTCTCATTAACCCAGAACAGGAGTAATTCTGCAAAGCAGATAGACATGGTCCATTACTGGTGGGGAAATGGATCAGGAACCGAGGGAACGAGGTCAAAGCGGGGTTAGGATCTGTGGCTGAGCAATGCTGTGGCTGTGGCCAGGCAGAAGCCTCAGTGGCGCAATCGATTGCGATTCACAGCCAAAAAATGGCGCAACGGCAGGATTGTGAGAAATGAGACTCAGGCTTCAAGCAAGGGAACAAGATCTTCCCCTTTTTTTGCACATGCGGTTAGAGTGGCCATCCTGGTCCATTCACTAGCCACCTGGTGTCATTATCCACCCCACCGGGAACAAGCAAGAACAGCACAGCCCTCCCGCTACGAGCTTCCCATCACGTTTCAGCCCCAATCCCCTATTTGCTCGAAAGTGTTACAGATGGAATATCACTTCTTTAAAAGAATCGGGCCTCGTCCTTTCATCCTCTCTTCTGTTACCTAACCCCCTCGACCTCAAATAAGCTGAATTTTTTAGCAGAAAACATCTCATATTCAGACCGAAAATCATGGGTGTAAGGGTCCCTTTGACGGAAAGAACCCCTCTGTTGTCCTCTGCCCCGCATGATTCCGTGATATCATCTTCATCGGTCTCCGATAAATTCCAAGCTGACGATGACGCGTATAGCTTGCTTCCAAACTCGCTGCTGCAAACGCCACCGGCGCAGCATATCCAGGTGGTCCTCCACAGCCTGGCGGCGCTGCCCCGGGTGGATACGTAAGTCGCCCTTGCGGATAGGCGGCGATGCTCGATGGGATTGCTGTGGCCGTCGTTCTCATAACCCAAGGAATATGGATTCCACAGTTAACGCACTATAGAACCCGGCCGGCGCACCACAACAATATCAAGCATACCCTGGGGGCCCTCCAAAACTAGGTTCTTCGGTAAGATTCTTCCGATTACTGCCAGTTTTGACATTTTGACTTTCAAATCATCATTTCTTGGCCAACTTTCTCCGTTGCGTCACTTGATCGTATCTCAAACCCACCCTCTTCAACCCGCGCTTGCTTCTCTTGACTCTCGACTGTCTTTGATCTGCCAAAACGAACAAGTCTCAATTTATTTCCTCTCCAACCCCCACTGTCACTCATCACATCTACCCAAATTATGAGCAAATTCTCGCGACTATCGCAATCTGCACCGGGAGCAGCACCTGGATATCCTGGTGCACCAGCACCACAAGCACCATACTCTCCTCAACCCTACAATCAACCTCCTGTTCCTCCACGGCCAAGCGCATCACCACAACCATACCAGCAGCCGTCGTGGCAGGTACCACAACACCAGCAACCTCAGTATGGCCAACAACCAGGACCGCCGCAACAAGGAGGGGGATATCAATCGCCACAACCAGCATACACATCGTACCAATCACAATACCAGCCACAGAATCATTATGGACAACTGCCGTATCAACACCAACAACAACAGCCCAATAGCGGTTATGGATATGTTCGTTATAGCACATTTCACCTCATCCTCATACATGATAATTTTTGGGGACTACAGGCTAACAAAATTTCTGATCTTTCAGGGTCCTCCTCCAGGACAAGGACAACCTCCCTATCCCGGCGGCCCAGCCCCAGGCGGTCCTCCGGGCGGTCCCCCTTCACAGCAATATGGCAGCGGGCCAATCGGTGGCGCGCCTATGGCTCCGGTCGGGAACGTAGCAGGCTACAAGCAAGCTCTCCAAGCGACAATTCAAGAGAAAGGACTCCAAAATTTCTATCCCCCAGGCAATTCTTTGCTCGACCAAATCGCAAATCGTGGCGCACAACAAGTTGCACAGTTAGCACAGGAATGGCGCATTTCCACTGAAATTGCCGCTGATATTGTCAAATTGGCACTGTACGACGTCATTCTCTACGTCGATGATAGCGGAAGTATGCAATTTGAAGAAAACGGCGAACGCATCGACGACTTGAAAGTGATATTGTCGCGTGTCGCGTATGCCACCTCGCTGTTCGACACCGACGGCATTCAAGTACGATTCATGAACTCTCCTGATCAGCGCGACGGCATCCGCGACAAGCAGCATGTCGATGAGATGATTGCTCACACTCGCTTCTCTGGTTTAACTCCCATGGGTCGTGAGCTGCAGAACAAAATTTTGGGTCCTTTGGTATTGGACCCGGCGAGACGCGGTACTTTGCGCAAACCAGTACTGGTAATCACAATTACAGACGGACAGCCGACGGGCGAGAGCCCTTCAGATATAGCGAGGATCATCAAGGCCGCATCGGACGAGTTGGCTAGAAATACTCGTTACGGCAAGGGCGCATTGGTATTCCAGTTCGCACAGGTCGGCAATGATCTCAAGGCTCAAGAATTCTTGAGCAAGCTTGATGAGGAGCCGGCAATTGGCGATATCATTGACTGCACATCCAGTATGCTTTTTTTCTGCCGAAAATTTTTTTAACCAGAAACTAACCACGAGAACAGACTATGAAGTCGAAGCATATGAAATGCAGCATGCCAACCCACCCGTCCAATTGTCTCCCGAACTTTGGCTCATCAAACTCTTGTTGGGCTCGATCGATTCGTCCTACGACTCTAAAGACGAAAAGGCTCGAGCGCGACCTCCTCAAGGCGGATATGGTGCCCCACCACCACCCGGCGGTTATGGCGGTGGATATCCTCAGCAGGGTGGTTATGGTGCTCCTCCTCAGCAAGGCGGTTACGGACAACAGGGCGGATATGGCCAGCAACCCGGTGGATACGGACCGGCACAAGGCGGATATGGAAGACCTCCGCAACCAGGAGGATATCCTCCACAGCAACAAGGTGGTTATGGTGCACCTCCACCTCCCAGATATTAAGCTGAAAGGATGAGATGTCTTAAGTATGTGCTGTTCATCCTACAGGCGAGACTGTTGTCATGATGCAACAACCAGCGATTGTGGAATCGTGGGAGCAATACGTTAGCTAACTCTGTCAATTCGGTGATATCCTGGGGTGGAAGAGATAAAAGTGTTAGGGGATTGTCGGAGTTATCGAATAACAATTCCAAATGTAGCTTAACAATGGATTGGCAGGTTTTCAAAGCATTGGGCAATACCTCTTTCTTCATTCCCTGAAGAGTCACTAATTACTTGCATTACAGGCTTGAGATGGTGTACAATCTGCAACTGCCTAGTTTTGGCGTTCGTGAACGAGAGGTGAACATGTGTAACGAAAATTTGACGGGTTACAATCTTGAACATGATGCAGCACGAATACAGAAAAAGGTCGCAGGGAAGTTTGCAGGACAATAGGACAATGACATTTTTGGTTGATACGGTTGGGCCAGCATCAGACCCACATGTAATTGCAAGGCTGCAGGAACGAGATCGGCATCCCATTATGTTGTTCGGAATTTCAATCTCGCCCACCTGTACGCTAGCATAATTGAGACATGCAGCAGTTTCATTGTTGTGAAAGACGAAGAACGGTGAGCAACAAAAGGTATGGTTGCTCAATTGTCAGCGCACCATTCGTGTTCCACTGGGGCTTCTAAACTCCTATCGTTGGCCACGGCCTTCTGTACAGTTGACCAATCAGGCATCAAGCCTATTGCCCCAATATGCTGCCTGTACGGTTCATTACCTATAGTGATACTGACCAAAAAGGAAGGCATAAAAGCTGCGAAAGTGGCAAAATGGTGTGGTTGAGACGACTACAATATCAACCAGAAGCGCCATTTTCGGCCGCGTGATATCGCCTGAACGGATCCCAGCTCAACACTAAAAGGTTCTTCAATTTCTCAACATGAGAATGCTGAGCACCAAAGACCTGATTCGGCAGTTGCACACCATCGGCATATCTCTGTACTACAATGCAAACCACGTGACTCCGCAAATGGCTTGCTCTGATTGGTTGAAAAATATATGCCGTTCTCGTAAAAATGTCGTGGATACTGTATATAAACCACTGAGTTGCGGGGTAGCTAGCTGCCCTCAGAGCACTCAATTTGATCCATTTGACAACATACGCACTCTGCCATGAGTTTAACGGTTTCGGCATTTCTGCCTTGTTCTCTTTCATGGTAAATGCAAGGTTGTTCGGCGTGTCGGGATGCTCTTCGTCCAGCACCCTCTTTCGAGTCTCCATCACCTGTACATCCATTTTCTCCGCCTCCGTAGCTCTCACGGTTCTCCGGCAATCGGACGCGGGGATTGCAGGAATTTGGAAGTGTGCGATAAACGGACGTTTTTGTGAAATACCAGGCCCCTCTACTTGCAGAAGGGCAAGGCGCAATAGTTGGAAGTTTCTCGGTTGCAGGCCTAATAAAAAAAGAGCCGCTCAAACACTTTGGCGACAAGTCATCCTTGGTGCCTATGTTGGATGGCGCCTCTCCTGAATGCTCTGCATCGGACTTGCGCTGACAAGTTGATCAGTCATGCCTGTCACTGCACTAACCCTGCTGGAGCGTATTCTATCAACCCACGGACTGATGGTTAGTTGCCCAACCGTTCCTGGTCGTATTTATTAGTCGTTGCATAAAGTTATGCCGTCGTAGAGACATCTCTGCATACAGCACCCCCACTTGTCCTCTCTTTTTTTTTTTTTTTTTTTGGTCCCTCTAATGCAAGCAACCTGGTTTCGCTAAACCTTAAGTTCCAGATCGATATCGAGAAGAGTTTGGTGTTCAGTTCCCCATTCGAAATCGAATTCTTGAGGATGATATCTGCCGGCGTGGGATATGCAACTTAAAGAAGGACGTTTAGCGCTAAAGAGCCCTGGGGACCTTGATAGAACAATTGGGCGAGCAATCAACATCTTTGATATTTCGGAGGAGGATCAACTCCTCAACTAATGGGATGTCGTTTTTGAAATGCAATCAAGGTTTCCGGGCCGATCCATGTTGATCTAGCCACTTAGCCTCGCCGTTTTCATTTGCCCCGTCGGGTGCAAAGACCATGACATAGCAACTCGGTGGAACAACGGCCTTTGTGGCTCAGACGCTCGTTCAAGTTCTTGGATCTAGAAAGTGTCCAATGAACTCGCGTGGGATTCAGATATGATTGGTCTAATCTTAGCCACAAGCGCTTTGCATTTCCGTCATCACACCGGTTAGCTTCTTGATGCCAACACACTTGAAGTAGCAAATTCTCGAGCCCCCTTCTGCCCGTGAGACGATCTTCATATGTTTACCATGCACCTGTCCTTTGCAGACCGAAAGCATAAGCTTGCATAAGGCAAGCACTGAGAGGCTGGGATAAGGCGCTCGTACATATATGTAACGTTGAGAGGATTTTGCTATTGACAGATTCTAGTGTTCCGCTTCACAACCCCATGTATGGTTGCTCATTCTGCTCACCGGTTTGTTCAATGTGCTATGTACAGTTGGTTGTGCTGCATTGCCCACTGGGGTAGAACGGCACAAGGCTGCGAGGTTGTTCGGCATGATATTCGACATCGATCCACTGGACAACACATGTTAATAACGTAGTCTGAAAGAGATTGAAATAATGTGCCCTGTGCTCCACGAAGTCGATAATCGAAAGCTCAACCCTGGCCACTTGTGCTCACATGTTCAAGCTTCTCCTTGCCAAACTCTGCCCTAGTTACAGGTCTCGAAAGAAGGCCAAAGTTATTAAAGAGCTATCATCACCTCTATCCGCACCAGTTGATGACCACGAAGGCCATATGGATTTGCCTGTTTTGGAGATGCCAGGAGACCATGTTGTCGGCCACACATCGCTATTTGTCTCCGTCGACGTTGCTCGCAGAGACGAATGGCTGGGAGAGAAATATTTGGACTATATGTTGGCTCAGACGGTACTGAAAAACACTCCCGGGAGAGACGGGGTTACCTCCCTAAATGTATGTCTGGCGTCACCACCGGTAGAAATGCGAGTTGTGGTTCACAATGATTCTAGGGAGACTTGATACAGAGGCTTGCTCGTTTTCGTTACGACAACTGCTGTGAAGAGCTTAACCTCAAAAGGGTCCGGCGGTACCAACCGACTGACGCTGGCCAATTTGCTCTTCCTGTCAACTATAGAGAAATTCTCCTGGGCTGGATAGGATCCATCTTGAGCCGCGGAACACTAGAAGAGAGAAACGTTCTTCCTCACGTTGTGGCCCAATGTTCACAACAGCACAGCCCGGAAATTTTTCAGAGCACAGGGTCCGTCAACACCAACTCCGAGTCTGATACGGCTGGGCAACAAGATCCTACGTATGAAGACTTATCATCTGAAGAATCCGAGACGGATATTTGGCGGTATACCAAGACACTGCAGGAGACTACTGCAGGCAAGGATTCTGTCCCTCTCTACAAAGAAACCCTTGTCCGAGCTTATCCCCCCAGGTTCAGATACGAGGTCACGTACCGTGGAAAAAAGGCTACAGGCGAGGCCGGTAATAAGAAGCGAGCAAAACATCTAGCTTCAAAGAAGTTGTGTGAACTTCTCCATATCAAATTACCAGACTAGCGTAGCACCGCTTCTCGAATGATCCACAGAATGAAGTGCTTCTGTTGGCGTCTTTGATTGGAATCACGGCGCGTTGAACTTATATCCAAGATCGCTGAGGGGGAGGGAACAATCGATCAATGGGATGCATAACCTCGCTAGCTGAGGAGTGTCTGCTGTGGATGGAACCGTCGTCGAATTTAAGACAGGTAGCTTCGAAATTGTGAGATTCTCTGTTGCATTAATTTCTTGTCTTCCACTACCTTACGTAGACTCGCGTGGGAAACTGAAAAGAAGCCGGTTATTGGGAGTATGTAGGTGGGGGATGATGCAGCATTGATAACGACGTGAAAGCTCCTGTGTCAGATCCTAGACCCTATGCAATGTCGAGCCACACCACGTCGATTATCAAAAAGATTTTGTCGCCGTTCTTACGATTCCCCTACTCATCGTTGAGTTGGGTGATGGGGTGTCGTAATGATGCATGTGATGAAACCCACGTCTCATCAATGTTTCGACGTTGCAAAGCTTTCTACGTTTCGAAACGATCAACGGCAAGCATTCGAAACGACGCAAAACCTTAACACCGCCTTATGTCAGCAATAACGCATCGCCATACAAGGTATCGACCTTTCCTGATGCAGTAGGAGTGTCCTCATCGTCAGAGTTTGCCTTCGTATCTCATCTCGATTTAGTTGTTGAAGGACAATGTCATGAAGCCTCAAATTACGCAAGACCTCATAGATTTCGAGTGACTTGACAGAGAGGACATTGCGCGCTCCGGTGTCAATAGCTTCTTAGCTGATGAGAAGGCCAGTTCAACCTCTGCTGACATTGGTCTCTGGCTCTGTCCAAATGAGTTGGGATAGCCAAGTTGAGGAATCGTCCGGAGAAATTGCTTTGCTACTGACACTCGAGTTCCATTGGAGATGCCAACATAGTGCCATATAATTTTTCTCGAATGGGCGTCGGTGGCGGCATATATCTCATATGGTCGTTCACACGGATACGCATGTCGCACGGTCGCTCACGCGGCTGCTTTTCAACGCGGTGCTTTAGGACTAGCAGCTCAAAATTGAAAGCCAAAAAAAAAAAGAAAGCCCCCTCCCAGGGTCAATCTATAACTAACCCATAGATGGGGGCGCCACAACCAGCGAAACTTATCAGTCAAGACAAGTTCAACTTAAGGAGGGTTTGAATCAGTGACCTCCTAAACTTGGTATCAGCAAAGTGCGACATCAACAATCACTGGTTGGAGCATTACGTTTACCCATCTAGGGCACCTAGAAACTCAATGGAGCTAGGCCGGACTACCCTCTTGCCTCAGTTATGATCGAACACAAGCGAGGTCCCTCAATTCTATCGGTTCGACTAAAACCCAGTGTTCACTAAGTTTCGTCCTTGATAGGTCAACTATGATTTGGTGTCAATTTGGGGGAAATTCTGGGGGAATAAAATAATATACCTGAATTTTAGGATGTGACCACGTGATTAAACTTAGTATGTGGGGGTGCTAGGAATTGCCAAGACTACAGTATTGGCAAATCATGTGAGGTTTTGGCTTGGCACTGCTTCGAAACGATGACTGTTTGCTGTATGGTTGGTAGAACGCTTGCAGAACAATCCTGGCTGAATGCAGGAAGACGCAAGCTCTTTATGAATACTAACTGTGGGCGGAGAATTGAATGAAGTGTGGCCCTGTAGCGAAGTCAGTTTCACAGCCGACTTTTTGTTACCCCTTCCCCCCCAAAACACCCTTATTCTCCGCCCCCACTTCAATTGCGAACGAGCAAGCGCCAAGTTGTTGTCGTTGACGAGGTTTCAACATTACAGGATGATTCTACACACACGCCACATTTCACGCATTCTAGGAAAGAGCAGCAGCAGAACTATACCGCACCAAAAGACCCTGGCATCCATATTTGAGGACAAATCGGTCTATCACATGGCCCCAATTTTCTTCCCTTCAGCTTAGCCACATGCGCTACGTGGCTCACAATGTCAAAGTACCCGCCAGACCAGGAAGGGAGCGAGCCGAGGCGCGCCTCCAGGCGGCTGTAGCCATCGCCGTTCGAACCCCTGAATACCCTCTACCTCGGCGCTAAAGCTGAGACGCCAGAGGCCGCCTCACACACGACCTGCGCCGCTCGGATTGAAAGTTGATCTCAGCCTCAGAGCAGCGGATGGTCGACCACCTGAAATGTGTCATCTTCATGGCCTCAAAGGGGGGCAGTACTGCTCTCAGGAAGTTGACCATTTTCCTGCCATAAATATCCGCTGCACAGACGATCTCTCACCAAGCACACAATGTCGCTCAAACTTACGACTCTATGATTCGCAAACAAGATTGACTTCTGCGTCTCTTCTTTCTACCTTCGCCAACGTCGATGATCAATTCGTTCACCCTATGGGCTCTCTGCCCGACCAGCAAATCGCGCAATGGACCCTCTATCATTGGCGGCTAGCATTGTCGCTGTCCTACAGCTCACGTCAACCCTCACAAGCTACATTAATGAGGTCAGAAATGCAACAGCAGAGCAGGCGAAGGTGGCAGTTGAGGCCAGTAATCTCTACGGTCTGTTGACCACCCTGCGCTTTCGAGTCCAAGAAGCCCGATCCGACGACCCATGGTTCAATCAAGTGAAATTGCTGGGAAGCAAAAATGGTCCGCTGGACCAATTCAAAGATACACTTGAAATAATGGTGAATGAAGTGCTATCGTTCAGGAAAAGAGACCAGATCAAATCGGCACTATCGTGGAAGTTTACTAAAAAGGAGGTGGGAAATGCAGTGGCTCGAATGGAACGATTGAAATCGCTCATCAGCTGCGCTTTGACAAATGACTTGATGTACGTGCAACTGCTGCGGGGATGTGAGAGGCCACTGACAAAAGAAAGCACCTTGTCAAAGGCCATTCATGACGACATCGTGGTTGTGAGAGAACAGACTGAGCAACTTCATACACGTATAGAGCGACTGCATACCCTTGTGGATCGTAAGTACCCCGACCGCACGTGTTGAATAGCTGAGCTGAAATTTTACGTGACAGAGAACTTACCGAACAAATTGTCGCAGTGGTTGTGCATACCGGACCCGTCCACGAATTACCACGCGGCGCTGCAGAAGCGACACCCGAAGACGGGCCAGTGGCTGCTCAACGGTCAACAATTCGCAGACTGGAAAAACTCAACAACTTCTTTGATGTGGCTTCACGGTAGTGGTATGTCGCAGTTGCAGAAGGAAACCGGCAGAACTAACACGCTGCGTCAGCGGGTTGCGGTAAGACAATCTTGAGGTATGGCCAAGAAGTACATCTTAGCACAGAGGGTTGTGGCTAAACGAGGCGACTAGTGCTGCGTCGCTGCACCATATCCTCAATTACAAGGAGTCCCATCCCGACACGACCGTAAGCTATTTTTACTTCGACTTCAAAGATGTGGAGAAACAGTGCTCCAGAATGGCTATTCGATCATTGCTGTTCCAGTGTGCGCTACAGGGGAGCGACGTCATTCAGGATCTTGAACGGTTGTATCAAAAGTGCGACAATGGACGGCAGCAGCCAGCTGAAGACGTCACACAATCACTCTTCAGAAAGGCAGCTGCCTGCCCAGGACAGAAGTACGTGATCCTTGACGCGCTGGATGAATGCACAGACCGTGAAGATTTGCTACTTTTCGTCTGCGAGTTAATGAAGTTAAAACCACGGGACCTCCATGTGTTGGCAACGAGTCGCCGAGAAAAAGACATCGAAGACGGGCTGAGTCCAATCGCGACTCACAACATCAATATTCAAAGCGCCCTGGTGGATGCCGACATACATATCTACATTCACGATCGGATGGCCACAGACACAAAGTTGAAGAAATGGCCAGATTCAGTGCGGAATGAGATTACCACTACGTTGATGGAAAAGGCTGGTGGCATGTATGGACGACATTTCATTGCATTATCTATGGTTTATTAATAGTGGAGCAGGTTTCGGTGGGTATATTGTCAACTTGAGTCCATTCGTCAATGTGTCAAGTTGAGTGCCTTGAGAAAGGCGCTATCATCATTACCGAAGAATCTGGACGAGACGTACAATCGAATATTACAAAGTCTTGAATCGACAGGTCAACTTCAAGACGCCATCAGCGCTCTACAATGGTTATGCTTCTCAAGTCGTCCGTTGAATTTGGCAGAAATCGTTGAAATTCTTGCCATAGGAACAGCAGACCAGGGAGGATTTTTTCCAGAGGAACGCCTTCCTGATCCTACAGACGTAATGGTTGTCTGTTCCAGCTTAATCAGTCTCGACCCCATCAATAATGACAACAATAACGCCGACTCATGGGATGGCAGCAAGGAAGACGCTCGCAGAATACAGATTCAGCTCTCACACTTTTCCGTAAAGGAGTTTCTCTTGTCTAGTCGATGTGCCTTTGACTTGAATTTTCGGCCGCAGATCTGCCACCTTGCTATCGCGGAGGGTTGTCTGCATTACTTACTTCACCTTTGTCAGAACGCACCTTTGACCGAAGAGCTTATCGAGCAGTATCCCTTATCTTTATATGCGGCAAAGGAGTGGTGGCAGCACACACAGAACACCGGAAATACAATTAGCGATGCATTATCTGATCTCGCGTCAGGCCTTTTGACGAATGAGGATACTGCTCTGCTTTCGTGGAGACAGCTTTACGACATTGATAATCCATGGGGAGGTCCATATCTGTGGCTGAAGACAAGTGACATAGCCCAGCCTCTTTATTACGCGGCGACGATTGGCGTACCAGAAATCTGTGTGAGAATATTGCAACGAAATGTCGATGTCAATGATCAAGGAGGACAGTATGGCCATGCACTACAGGCGGCATCGTCTCGTGGCCATGAGAAGGTGGTGAAGATGCTGGTGGATGCCGGGGCAGATGTCAATGCTCAAGGCGGATATTATGGCAGTGCGCTGCAGGCGGCATCATTTTGTGGCTATGAGAAGGTGGTTAAGGTGCTAGTGGACGCCGGGACGGACGTCAATGCTCAAGGCGGATACTATGGCAGTGCGCTGCAGGCGGCATCGGAAAGTCGCCAACAGATGGTGGTGAAGATGCTGGTGGATGCCGGGGCGGACGTCAATGCTCGAGGAGGACGATATGGCAATGCACTACAGGCGGCATCATCTCGTGGCCATGAGACGGTGGTGAAGATGCTGGTGGATGCCGGGGCGGATGTCAATGCTCAAGGAGGACGACATGGCAATCCACTCGAAGCGGCGTCAGAAGGTGGCTATGATAAGGTGGTCAAGATACTAATAGATGCCGGGGCGAATGTCAATACTCAAGAAGGGTATGGCAATGCACTATATACAGCATCAGAGAGTGGCTATGAGAAGGTTGTGGAGATACTGCTGGATGCTGGGGCGGATGTCAATGCTCAAGGAGGATACTATGGCAACGCGCTACAAGCGGCATCATATCGTGGCGATGAAAAGGTGGTGAAGATGCTGATGGACTCTGGGGCGGATGTCAATGCTCAAGGAGGACGGTATGGCAATGCCCTGCAGGCGGCATTATTTCATGGCGATGAGACGATAGTGAAGATGCTGATGGACTATGGGGCGGATGTCAATGCTCAAGGAGGGCGGTATGGTAATGCCCTACAGGCGGCGTCATTCCGTGGCGATGAGAAGGTGGTGAAGATGCTGATGGACGCTGGGGCGGATGTCAATGCTCAAGGAGGATACTATGGAAGTGCGCTGCAGGCGGCATCAATACGTGGCGATGAGAAGGTGGTTAAGATGCTGGTGGACGCCGGGGCGGATATTAATGCTCGAGGAGGATACTATAGCGGTGCGCTGCAAGCGGCATCATATCATGGCGATGAGAAGGTGGTCAGGCTGCTAATAGATGCTGGGGCGGATATCAATGCTCAAGGAGGATGCTACGGCAGTGCGCTGCAAGCGGCATCATCTCATGGCGATGAGATGGTGGTCAGGCTGCTAATAGATGCTGGGGCGGATGTCAATGCTGAAGGGGGACTCTACGGCAATGCATTACAGGCAGCATCACGTCGTAGTTATGAGAAGGTGGTCAAGATGCTCGTGGATGCTGGTGCTGTCTCAAAATGAATTGCAACACCTTGAATCTTCAGACTTGCACATGGGTGAAACCGATTTGCAAGCCACTGTATACAAGACTTGTTCGTATGAATCAGCCAGAGCCATGCTTGAGATGTCTTGGTTCAGGCGGTGACATACCAGCAGTGTCAGTCAGGAAAAGCTTGCCAGAATCACTCGGATGAGTCAATAGGTGGCAGAAGGGTATGACGATGTCGTGGTGGTGGCGACCACAATACCCCTCAAAACATTATCGTTGCTAGATTGAGATGCTTCTGCCTCTGGTTGTGTTTCTCAGTATTCCTGACAGTTGGGATCTCAATCGCTAAAAGCTTTGCACGTGCAGCTCTTTTGAAGGTTACGGTAGGACGGATGTTTTTCTGCGGAAGAGTTTGGCCAAGTATTTGTGTAGCAAAGGTCGGAATAGGAGGGAGGACCAGTAGAACGTCGGCCTCGAATATCTTTGTGGGCTATTTGGTGTGCGTGCTCAGGTGATTGAATTGACCTTGGAGCGTGGGAAGTGAAGAATCTTCGTCTCAAGATTTTTGCCTGGATAGGGCTGACCTGTGCGGAGGACAGTTCGGCAGGATGGTTTGCAATCAAAAGAAACGTTGGTTGAAAGAGAACCGGGGAGCGAACCTGAACACGAGTGGCCGAGGTTTAGACAAATCAGAACCTCGACAGAGAAAAGACGGTAGTTCACTGGTAAGGCCGCAGGGGCAGGGCGCAGCGCGGCTTGGGACTTGAGATTGGATGACTAACCAGCACTCTGCAGGCATCAGGCTTTGGGTTCCTCAGGCTTCTCACCGCTAAGGGTGCGAGTCTGCCTCACGACGCTTGGGGCTTTAGTGCCCCTCGTTCCTGCGCGGCAAAGGAGTATGTCTCCCCTCTGCACGTTATACAACGAGGGACTCCCTGTCGCAGCTAATGGCAACCTACATATTCTGTTGATCGCCAAGTGTTTTCTGGCTCTGTAGGTACAAGTGCTGTGGGTGTTCCGATGTCACCGCTTGGCTTTTGTCCTCTTGATCTCTCCACCGATAGAACGGTGAAGATTTCGAACTCTATCCATGCCGTCCACGTGTAGAGCGGGATGAAGAACCGCCTCATTGGGTTTGCCCACCGCAACCTGGTCCGTTGGCTGCGTGACCATGCTGGTTTCGGGGGGTGATATGCGTTTTGACGGGTAGACCCCTGCCAAAGTCCCACGGTGAGTACCTGGGCGACAAAGGGACGGTGGACTCACAAATGCACCGCTTACATACTTACTGGGTCATACACAATATGAGCATTCTATTGAGTAAGATTGACCATCTTTTTCACCCCATAACCATTATATTAATTATCTATCTCTCTCTTCGTTCCTCCCTCTCCATCAACCCTTTCGAACTATCACCACGAACTCATCGGTGCTCCATAGTTGATCGAATACCAACCTTTCCATTCCACTACACTGAGATCGACGATTATCTGTACAACACGTCGACATCCAGCACCTGTCAATTGATCTATCCACCGTTCGTCACAATGCCTTCCGCCTGCAGAGCGAAACCAGCTCTCCTCAAGGGCTTCCGACCCTTCCTCTCTACCCAGCAAGAAGTAGATGCCACCCAGAAGATTCTGTCCGCGGCCTGCTCGACAACATGCATCTACTGCGACATCTGGAAGCTCGCTACTCTGATCGCGTCTCATGTGCCTCTCTCTACCCGATACCATCTGTTGACCGGCACTCCCGCCAATTCTCCCCATTCTTCCACACCATCCAGCCCGGTTTCGCCCTCACCCATATCCCGGACGACATCACAATCAACAACTTATGCCCATGTATTGTGCGCATCCAAGAGGATTGAAGCCCAATTCCAAACTCAGCGATCTCGATTATCCTCCATCCTCAGCATTTGCACGGTCTCGGGAGCCGATGAAACTGAAGGCCTCAGAATGGCCCACGATCGGTGTTCCGCAGCAGTGGAGGATTTACTCGATCAAGAAGAGGAACTAGAAGAAGCTCTTCTCAAAGATCTTCAAGAGCAGCAGTATGCCTACGAATACGAGTATGGCTATGCTGGACAATACGGACATTCACACGAAAGAAGACCCAGCATGATCCATGTGGCCATTTAACCAGTCTCTCAAGCCAACGTGTCCCACCATCCTTTAGATGCGAGCGCACCAAAGCAAGGCAAGCAGGCCAGCGATACAGCAAAACGATCTTTGATTTGATGGATTTTTCATTGGATTTTTCATCTTCAGATATCAGACTGAAGAGGCATGGGCCGTATGAGCAGCAGCAGTCTGTTCAGATGTTACGAAGCGCTATGATAATGTACTAGTATGACGCAACTACATTGAACTGGTTTCAATCTCTCTGCTCTACTTTCTTCTCTTCCTGCTATCACGTCACTCTCAAAAAACGCCTCGTCCTTATGACGACAATAACTATCCACACGTCCATGCTAGAGTCACAAGTTTTGCAACGCTTTGTTGGTATCAGAAGGTAAACCCAGTAGGGGATTGCCAGATCAGGCCAGCTACGCACCCCTGCTCTAAACACTAAGCTGCCCCTAGCTCTGGGACTTTGGTTAGGTCGCCAAAAGGTCTTCAATAGCCCGCCCACCCGGAATTTCAGGTGGATCCGGGCCTCGCGCTACATTTTTCCCTCGGAAACCGTTCATTTACTCCATTAATCCTAGTAACAGAGGAACTTGCCAGCCTCTGCTAGACCGTCTGCCACGGCACCGGGCAATTTGAGCCCATGGTGTCATTTCCAACATACGAGCCTGAAGCCATCAGCCCTACCCTACCCTTTGCTCAGCCCATGAGCAGGTGATGGACATGAATGTGAAACGTGACCCCGCAGAACAATCAATAAGCGGGGATCATCTGCACCGCATCGTTTTCTTTGCATCATCACGTTGCACTGGATCCCACATGAAGAAACACGTCTACGAACAACCGACACTAGGAAAATTATTTGTTTTGATTATCCTCCTGATTTGCTACAGAGGGTTGCAAGACCGGTTTCCTCTCAAAACACACTCTATTCTAAAACATTCTTTGGCCTGCAGAGGAGCACCAACAGAGTCATCATTTGCCAGATCCACTTCAGCATAAACCGTCAATTTACCAATCATTTTAAGTACGACGGGCCCTGATTTCTGGCCATTACAGCCCTCCCCAAATATACCTGTCGTCCTGACAGATTTACGATGTTCTTCTTTAACTCCTTCGCATCCTGCAATGTGCTTTTCGTTTACCATACCCGTCAGTCTCACGTGATCATTGTTTGGCGTATTGGATTGACGGAAGTCCGAGCCATTCGTCTGAAGTCTTAATTTCTGGACTGGGAAATGTGCGCTGGTCTTCCTACGTACTGTAAGTGCACCATACACTCCAACTGCAGCCTCTGGGACAGACATCATTCTGCTTCGAATGAGCCATTGACCTCCAAATACTCCGTGATCGCGGTATCTCATCCGAATGCTAGCTGGCTGCTGGAGGCCCAAGGCCACTCGGGCAGTCGTCACAACTACACTGCATGCCTCAGATACCGGTGAGAGGGCGTGGCGACGGACGCACCGACACCCATGAGCCCATCATTTCGGTCGTTGAAATTGAATTTGAGCTGCAGACGATCACTGCAGCCGTGGCGAAGCATGGGGTTGTGTGGACATCGATGGCGGTTTGAACGGCCCCAGGCGATTAGCTGAGTGATCTGCGCCCCGAAAACATGACATGATAATGTGTTCAAACTTACCAGCGGTGTGGGTGCTCCCTACCTATCCTATTCTTCCAACATAAAAGGTCGTTTTACTTGCAAACTATGGACTGGGAGCTTCATCTGGAGCCTCGACTGTGGATCATTCTTGATTGCGCTTGTCCACATGCTCGTCGAAAGCTTCCACCCAGCATTGGGCCGTTTAGTGAAAGCTTTGATGAATAAGATCCCCCAACCTTCACCAATAATATGAGGGCGGACAATCGCGAGCGAGAACTTTCCGTCGAGTACCCGCTTTGAGAAACTCTCTCATGCGTGGTTGTCGCAGTTGTTTGATATCACACACGTCCGATGATGGGGAAGCAATGTGGCGAGGCAGTAAGAGAATTCGGCCGTCCGAAACAACTCGACTCGTTGAAAATATCCCCCTAATGCGGTTGTTCTCTGAATTTCTAAGCGCTCGAGATGCTCTACGCACCCAAGTTTTTGTCTCATATACACACTTTATACCGACTCATTACGATTCTGACCTCTTTCTTCAGGATCCAGTACATTCCAGAGCCGAGCGAAGCACCCAACTAGTCTGCATCACCTTTCGAGTACCAGAATGGTACGCGCAGTTTCCTCACCTCAAAGCTCAGAAACGGTATGGTGAGAAGGCGTCAATGAATGCTGACATCTCATCGAAGTTGTCTTGCTCGGGCTTGAGACTCTGACAGAAGACTGCTTTTCTATTCCTAAGAAGGTGAAGAACTGAGAGACTGGGCGGCCATGGGGCTCAACGGCAAGCACAGAAGCTTCTGAGAATCATCGAATGGAACATAAATTGAAGATTTCCCTATACAACGACCAAAGAAACCGGGACCCTGGCCGTAAGCAGGCGAGCTGGAAGACGGCCTGGTCACGACCAACTGGTCATACTCGTAGTCTACGCTCCTCCGAAAGGAACAGGAGGCTCAGACCGTTTCAATACAGTCTGCTGATCAGTCAAGTCGGCCAGTCAGTGTGGGAGTTGGAGTGGCGGGATGTGGACGCGAGCTTGACCGCTGGTCCTGTAATTATGCTATGTCACCGCCACTCGACACAGCCGCATTGAACCATAACCAGCCAATCAGGACACAGTGGACCTTCTCAGGTCTCTAGATTGGCAAATTGACTGATCTGACCTGACCGAAAATTTAGTTTTTCATGTCTTCAACTGTGGTGCGCATAGCGACCGGGTCGAACACGTCGCCAAATGATCTTAAACGATCACAATATCTACGTGCGGGAGAGACTGTAAAAACTCCGTCCTGCAGTCCAGATTCCGGCGCCATTTGGCACGCTGCACGGCCCAATCTTCGCCATTTTCGTCGAATTCCTCTCCACCATTAATCCCAACCAGACCGATTCGTTCATAGACTGATGTTGTCTCATCTGTCATTCGCAGAACTAGACAGGCATGATATGTCACGGTGCGGCTATAGCGATAGGTACGACAGAGAGGTCATCTCCGCCTTGAAGCTGATTGTTCCCCGGGAGATTGACGTTGTAGTCGTCTTGAAAGCCTGGATAACGGCTCACGCATGCATGGATGTGATCAATGCACACGTCCAATGCTGACTGTGGCTTTGATCAAAGGAGCACGAAGAGTGATGTTGGTCCGTTGGGTGATTTCTCCCATCTGGAATGGCCCAATAGTGGTGCAACAGACACGGACCACGTGGATGGAGCTGAGTGCCGAAGTGATCGAGTCATCCCATACAATTTGAGTGTCGACCGAGGCCCATGACCAGGTGAGTGCTCGCCAGCATGCCGGTCTCCCTATCGAAGATCTGTGTGTCCTCCATGAAAGATCGAGAAGGAGCGTGTCTTTCCAGAGGCCTGCTATAAAGGTGTCATTCGCTCTGAGATCACGCATGCGTTGCGTAATACCTGCTAGTGCCGCCAATTTGTCGCTGGGATATGTAAGTCGCAGTTCTGTATATCCGAAAAGAAATCGCCATTGTAGACGGAATTCTCGTCTTGTCCAACTGAGATGGGATCTTGGTCGTTACGTCCCGCTCTCACTTCTCCGTATGCAACGGCATTCCCAAATGACTTCTTGGGCACAGAAATGCAGCATGCGTCGCGAGAGTCGCCTTTCCTGATATATCCAACCCCTTTCCAGTAGTGGCCAGCTCGTGACTTCTTTCCAATCGTTGGCGTTGTCTTGAATTATGCACAGGGAATCAATCCAGAGAAAATCGATGTCGAGACGTCGACATATGTCCACGGCATCTTGAAAAGTCTTTGTGAGGTCCTGCCACGGAACTTCTTTTTTGACTTGGTCCAACGTTGCCGTTGTGGTCTTGAGGATAGTACTTTGTGGACTCCGAGGAGGAGGTCCCCAGCAATGACTCAGGCAAGAGTAGGATTTTCTTTCGTTTATATTGTCGCGAAGCACAACTCGGCCGTTTCTGAGATCGAGGAGACGCCTGGGGAGAATACAAGCGTCGTTATGTTGACGACAGCTAGCATAGTTTGAATCACATTCCTTTAATAAGTTCTTGATGAAGCCAAATGTACGCTCTGAGGAGGTACTTCCGGGAAGAAATAGTTTTTGTTTCATGCCTTTGAAAGGAGGTTGGTTGTTTGCTAGAGCAAATATCAGCGGATTGGAATGAGATGACTGTCGAGGACATACGCTGAGGCGGGCTCCTGACGAAGAATAAGCTTGAAAGATGAGCTTGCATCCTACCGAGGAAATGCGAAAGATGCTCCTTCAAGGAAAATGATGAAAAACTCACCTGTATCAGTGAAGACTTCAAGGTCAAGGCCCGGAGATCCTGCGGCATCATATCGTATCGCGCAAGAAAAGTCTTTCAACCCCATCATCGTGCCAGGTTGGTCAAAAGCATGAGGCTCGTAGCAGGTAACACATCGTACAAGGAAGAAGCAACGACGACACCCAAACCGGACAGCATGTTCGAGGTCTGGAAAGCTGCATGACATACAAGCTACAGCATCACAGCTCGCCTTGGGCTTTCTGCAATTGGGGCAGATATCCACAAATTGAGCCGCCTTTGGTGGGTCTGAAAGCGGCATGACAGCTGAGACGGTGCACTGAGAGATGGACAAGAATGAATGACAGATCTAGATATCTTGTGTCTCGCTGGCACTTACCCGCCCAGCATAGGTAGGCAGTATATCATATGATACCCGAGGGTGGTCGAGATTTTCAGCCTCATTACATTGGGTTTCGCTGGAGGAAAGAATGCTCTACCGTATTGATTCTACGGCGATGCAGATTCTACCTAACTGGGAACCTTGTAAGGTGGAGCGATACAAGTTAGTTTTACGGGTATCACACTGTTCCAAAACCCGCTCGTAGAGGCCGAATTGTGAAATGCCAAAAGAAGCTGTGCACGATCCCATTTTGTCCGTAGGAATTGAATAGAGGGCGTGCACAATTGATTTTGGGGATGAAGATACTAATATCTGAGTACAGCCCGCCGCATCTGCTTCGGTTTGTTCAAGGTATTACAACAGATCAGGAACTGTCTCAGCGTCCGTTTGCTCTTTTTTGCGAAGTTCCGATCCTCATGCCGACAGATTTTCGATTTCATGCTGTTACTCACAATTAGTTGAAGGCAGTTCTCTTCTCGAACGAACTTCGTACTAGTGTCAATTTCCGGGGCGCGGTGATTTTGACCCTGTTATTTTCCATCTTTTGGAGAGTTTGCCATGTGAGCGGATTTCTATCCTTGATCGGAGGTCTTGGTGTGTTTTCTCTGTGGACTTACATCCAATTTCCACTTGCCCGGGAAGTTCTTCTCTAGAAAAACTTCGGTATCATTCTTCCTCATGTATCTGGCATCGATGATCTGGACCTCTTGCACCGTTGGCACTTTGTTGGTTCTTGAAGTTGAGCTGGTGAGAGCTTGTTCATTGCCCATTGTTCTTGTAAAAGGTGACGGCAACTTGGTGTCTTTGCCTAGATAGCTCGTCTGTTGACTGAGAGCTGGATTTTTTTCTGGCAATGAGAAGAGTTTGTAGAAGCGGACCGGAGGGGGAAGGGCACCGGCCTAAAGGATCTCAGCTTTTACTCAACCACCATCATCCACAGTCGCATCACCGGTCCAAGGCACAAGTGTCGACACGCAATTTTTCAGGCAACTGATAATGTCGAACCGTGGTCTTGTCGAGCATCGTTGCCTTGTTGACTTTCAGCCCCGAAATTCCAGAGGAATATTGTTGCCTAACGGGCCCCTGCTAGCAAGACAGCCTCACTCCTTGAGATTGAAAAACCAGGCGCTCGAAACCTGTCTTTCTTTTCAATTAATAAGATGCGGCACAGCCGCAAGGAAATTGCCTCGTGCTGTCGCAACTGTCTCCCGGCTCCGGTCGCCTTCACCACTAGGCCCCGGTAGCAGGGAGAAGAGCAGGGCACTGGCGACGTATACATACGCATTTGGTGCAATCAAGAGGCTTACTGTCCATATTGTTGGAGTGAGCTGACAGGCAGCGTAGCTGATCGTTGACATTCAGCCTTTTGGATGAAGACGTGCCTTTGGGCGCTTTCAGAGGCCGTGAAATCACGGCGTCCCTTCAAAGTCGTTGCTCCCAAAACATTAAGGAAATTTTGCCAGCGCATTCCCAGAACTGGAATAAATTTTTTTTTTGAGCGCGAGTTCCCTGATTGAAGAACTCCGGACGTTCCGAACAGCAACGCATGAGTTGTTGTTCAATTCCATAACACCTTCTTGGACCTATCAAATTGTATGTCGAAAGGGTGTTGGGCAGAGGTTATGAGGAATCACAACCAATAGCGAAGTTGGACAAGTTTTTGCCAATCGCATGGTATGGATAGCCCAAACCAGAATCTTAGTGAGTCTTCAATTTGTTTCCGGAGATCTGACTGCAGTTGAAAACCCTCGAGGGTGCTACAGTTGTGTTGTCTCATCCGAAGTTCCGACTTTCTTTATGCTGAAAGTCCAATTGCCTGCCCATTATTTTCTTCTGTTGGGGGTTTTCGTGAAAGGATCTTTTTTCCGGGGAGACTCCTACTCACCGAAAATGTAACCTAGGGCTTGATCGATACCGTAACAAAACCTCCTGAATCAACCAATGTAATGACCAAGATGGGCAACCTTTTGGGTTGGTTACACAACATTGGGGCAATGCAGGGTAAGTTGGTATTGTTGCACAGCATATGACTCAGCCAATGATTCGCCCTTCGCACACACCATTTAACAGTCGCATTTGCTGCAGATGAATGAGGTGATCGCAAGACTCGGTGAAAATGAAAGTCGGTGCCCTCACGGAAGATGGCCCAGAAAGGTTGACGGTTCCCTTCCTCCCTCAACCGGCCCAACGGGGTCTACCTTTGCCTTCTCTGGTCAAACGCGTTACTGTGAACTTTTCTCTGCGTAAGTTCCCTTGTCTTCAAGGATTTGTAGGTTATATTTTTTTTCTGCGGTCTTCGAATGAGCGTGTCTGACGAATGTGACTCAATTTCGGGGGCAAGGCTAAGATTTTCACTAATGATTGTTTTAACCTGCTACCGAATGTGAGACTGGTCCTCTAAACATTGACGTTCGTTGAAGGAATAACATGGTTATGGCAGTAAAACAGCTGGTCGTATGCTTAACGAGAGTTGCGGTGGAAAAAATTCAATCCTATAAGGATCCAATAGTGTTTTCCCCCTTCTCATCCAGGAATCGCGTTTATTCATGTTGCATCGGCCACATCGTTGGTGGTTTCACACACGAGTCTCAAGGATCTCGCGCTGCCTCAACATCAGACTTGTCTCCATGTCAATACTGAGATAACATACTGCTCTCAACGGTCTGCCGTTTTCAGCTCGGAGCCTCCAACGACCACAATGCCACTGAAACCTGGTAAGTGCTTGCAAAATCCCTCAAAGAGTAGAACCGACCGTGATTTCATATTGATCTTTGCCAAACACTTTATCGGCTTTGAGGCCCAGTCGCTCACGGTCCACGTAGTTGCCGGAAATTCTTTGATCAACCATGCAGTGTTTTCCACTGTACCGATATTCGGATTGAGGCATATTTTAACAGAGATTGACCTTCGGTTTGTTCAACTTTTCCAATGCGATCGTGGCTTTGATTAACGGCTTTACGGATTGTTGACTTTGCAGTTCTTGCACTTGCGCCAATGTGCGCGGAGCCTAGAGCCGCCCTTCTTAAATGCCGATTCTTTCCCTCTCATGTGGCGTTGTCGGACCAATGTAGGTTCTGTTTGCTGTTGGTCCTATAATTCCCCTTTTCAATTGGGCCGCACAAATGCATGCTCCAAGTCAGCCAGAAACTCAACGCCTGACGCATGCTAATGCACTAGCTTCGCCACGTTGCCTTGGATCAACTCGTGCCTTTTTGTAAATTTCAGCCTGATCACATTTTTTATTTGACTCGGACAATAACAACGGGGATGGATGCTTGCTGTCTCAATGCTTTTTGGCTTTATGCCTATACCGCACCTCAACATCATTTGATTGACAATCACCGAAACCATGCAATTATCTAGTCCTTATTGCAGACGAAGCTCTTTGCAATTCGCGAAGTCAATTTACAGAGATCAATGCGTTGGTGGCAGGAAATTGTTCGAAGAATATTCCTCACACCTTTTTGTAGAGGATCCGTCCAAATCGCAGCTCGACATTCGTCTCTTTAGCTGCGACTCTTTGGATCCAACAAATGGTGGTACACATCACTGTTTATCAGAAACAAGGCTGAGGGTACCAAAATGCTGCAACAATGCCTCCCAATCGCTTCCCTCGAGCAATCAAGGAATTTCAAGCCCGCATAGTTGCCGGTCAGTACAATATAGGGGGGAAGTAGCGGGTTTGCGTGCCATATTGCAGGTACAAACCACTTTCACTATGACATTGGGATGTTCGCTCACTGTGATTGAATGACAGAATTCTACTACGTGGAATCGGTTCTTGTAAAGTCCACTCAAGCAGACAAAGCGGAAATACTTCGACTGACAACGCAGCTTTATACGCCAAAAACATTCTTATGAGCGCATGAGTATATCGCGCACACTCTTCGACTGCCTCATGGCCGAGTGTGATGTTTTCACACAATTCAGAGAATATGCAGTCTTGTTCAGATTCAGAATTGGGGATCATGACCTCGGACCACCAAATATGCGCTTCCGTCGTTTGATTGACCATCGGGGAGAGATTTCTCTCCTTGGTTTTGGTATGTCAACATTGTTGAAGCATGGATTGCATTCATTTACAGGGCCGCAGAATGTAGCTATGTCTTGCGAGTCGTCGAATTGAATCACCGGAACAACAGGGAAGAGCCATGGTCAGCACGTCAATTTGCAATTTACAATAAATACAACGCCTGCTCCAGAACGTCAACCTGGATTTTCATCGCCTTGACCAAAGATACAGAAGCGAGACTTCAGGAGTACTTGGCAGACGCAAACACGTGGGGCCTATTTAATCCGTTTGAGCTGCATTCTCTTCTCTCAGATACCGTTCTAGCTAATTGGGGGCCATATTTTGAATGGCTGGCAACACGAGCAGCGGAACTTGTAAAGCTGACCTCAAATTGTGGACGAATTTAGAAGCTGACCGTGTCTCCGGATCAGGAAGATCGAATTATGGTGTCTCGAATTCGTTCCGAAGAGGGTGTTCTCCTTGTTGATTTTGCGGACCGTCGGAAATTGAAGCACCTAGAAGACAAAATTCTTGACATGATCGTTATGCTCGACTCGACCTCCAATACTCTTTCATCGATACAAGAAAAGTATGCGGCAAGAAGCACACAACAGATGCTACATGGCTCCGATCAATGTGATCTTTCGGATGACCTGATTGTCCAGACATTCAAAGAACAGCATGAGAGAACCTTACAACTGAAGTCGAAGGCAGAGACCCTGCGTGTGAAACTTGCAGGAACAATAGAATTGGTGAGTCGAAGAGACTCTGTAAAGTTGCCAACAGTTAGCATTTTTACCAACAGGACCTAGATTTCATCTTCGCTTGAACTCAATAATGGACTGGATCTCAGTATACTGGCAGGGGAGGCACAAAACGAGACCAGAAAAGGGCTGCGCGACGCGATTGCGATGAAAATTCTAACCATTGTGACTCTTGTCTATCTTCCAACGACTGTTGTTGCGGTAAGTTGGTCAATCCGAATTAGAGCAAGAACTTACACACTCCCAGAACTTCTTTTCCACCGAGTTCGTTATGCAAGTTTCCAGCGAAGATGGCAAAAGCACTCATCTTGCTGTTGCCTCGAACTGGTGGATCCTGCTAGTTGCTTCAATACCTCTCACAATCGCCACTCTATATATTTGGTGGTTCTTTCTTCAAAAGCAGGCATACGACAAGTACCCCTCCTGGTTTGAGTTTTTGAGAAGGCCTTTTCAAAGAATCTTCGGGCGATATGGGTCTGCGTCATCCGAACGGTCGAAAACGTACAGTAGCGTGTAGATGACATGATTATATCTGGAGACTGGTATCCACTCAACTCTATATGTCAAGTGCCGATCCACAGCCTTATGGGCTGTAACAATTCGACTGTTAACTCTGAATGACGCCAAATCGATACTGTCATTACATTTACCTGGCGGGCTTCTTAGTACGCCCTCCACTACGAAAGTCTACACGGTTGATCACCAATGGAGGCATTTCTCCACCGCCATAAACAGGGTCGGCAGAGTCTGAAGCCCAGAATGACTACTGAGTCTCAGTGATGAACGTGATTGTGGCCGCATCTGGGCTCGAGTCTCCCTTCTGGCAAAGTATGTTCGTCAATATCCCTGCACATATAATCTTTTGTGCAGGGAAGATGAACTTTCGCCACTCGCCCCTTCGCTCTAGGGTGCGGCTCTGTACGTTTCGCCGCTGTCTTTGCTCTTTGTAACGCCCCATGGTTCGGATTTCGCTTCCTTATAACATGTGGTTTTCCCAGCCTAGCGGCCCGGCTCCCACTCAATTTCTTCCCGGGACAATAGTGCGACGGCATTGACAATGGAAATTTGAAGCCCACAAGGGAATAACAATTCCGATTATAACTCAGTTCCAGCTGCTCCGGGATCGAGGGGGACAGATGTCCGATCATCCTCAGCCGCACAATACTCGTAACAGAGTGCGCAACTTCAAGAACCGAGTACAACGAGCATTCTCGCACTCCCCAATCTCGAGTCTTATGGGTCAAGGTAAACAATTTCCTATATTCTTGGGGGGGTTATTTTGCGTTAATCGGCAAAAGGTCACCGTGTGCCTCCCATTTCAACCCCAGAGAGTGTTCCCCCGTCCCGATCAGGTACATCAACCTCTAAGTCTACGGTGCGGTCACCAGATAACTGGGGCCAACATCAGGTCGACGCTTCGGTTCAGTCGAACAGGGAAGCTCTTACACATGTTTCCAGCCATTCTCAGGCCAGTGGGCCGGCAGAACCGGCAGGGAGCTTCTCTGAGAAGATCTCGTCGAGAACATTGTCGCCCAGCATTTCCGAGAGCCATTTCGCCACGACAGAGAGGGCGGCTCCTTTGGGGACAACAATAACCACCACGAAGCCACCGCATCTCCTTCGTACAAGAGTACCTCAGACAGAGTCAATTCCTCCTGCCTCAGAAGCCCCGCTTTCCCCGGATTTGGAGCCGTCGAGAAGCTTTGGCTCAACATCCTCCAGCCCAGAAATGGTTTCTTGTTTTGACGAGAATTTCTTCCCCTTTACTGCAGATTGCACATTGCATCTACGCATTGAAGACAGAGAGTCAAAGCCAATCCACATCGGCAAAATTCCGACTTCCACAAAAGAAGCTTGGGCCATCATCAAAAGGAACGCCATGGTTTGGTACGAACAGGAGTGCAACAAAGATGACATCAAATTACGTGAAGATGAACGAGACACATTTCTTCGTGACGGGAAAGGTCTGCGCAATGGTCACTTTGTGATTTCGGGAAAGGACAATCTGCAAACCGATCCCTATTCGCTTGAACGTGAAGAAGAGATCCTGGAAACATATTTCAAGGGCGTACTCCGCTTCGTTGTGGAGCACTTGCCAAAGCATCTCGTCGTCGATGTTTTCTGGGACTTCTATCGACCGACCAGAATCCCCGATACCGCCGGTAGCTTTTCAGAAGCTGTCTCACACGAGCTTGAGAAAACCATAAGAGAAAACTTCGAAGGAGATAAGTATTTCCCTCCAGACCTGGTCAACAGAATTTTCTCCAAGGAGGTTACTGAACGAATCATATCGGAAGATCCCAGCCTAGAGGACATCGAGAAAACGGTGCTGTCCGCCAAAGTTTTCAACACCTCTGTGAAGTTACTAGCTGTTTGCTTGTCGGCGAGGCTGCCATTCAAATGCTTGAAAAAGTTATTGGATTCCGTCAAAGATCTCTCTGACCTTAATCCCTGGCCAATTTTGGACAGAGAAAACGGGCTTGGGCTCCGCGATCGGAGGCTTTTCCAAGAAAACATACCGAAATTCTTTCCTCATAGATTCGAACTGCGGAAAGGCCTGCCCCTCGCTGACGATCAAGATGATGTAAGAATTTTTAACAACGGAGAAGTCGTTCCTATCTATTATCCATCAGGAGCCAAGAAATTGCTCGGGGAAGGGGCGTTTGGGGAAGTTTTCGAGGCCAAAATCCATCCACGCGCTCATCATTTCTCAAAAGTGAGCATATTTGTGCCCCCGACACCAATCATACTAACTCAAGAATAGGACAAACATGAGATATTCGCTTTGAAGCAATTCAGTGGCCGCATGGATTCCAGCGAGCGTGGAAATCGCGAAAAGTTTGATCAAGAACGGCGTGCTCTAGAAATGATACAGAAATTCCGCACTCAACCTCATGATCATATTGTTCGTTATTTGGCAGCTTGGAGCCGGAGAAATAATTTCTACATCTTATTCGAACTGGCAAGCATAGACTTGAAAACTTTCATTGCTGGATCGGATGATGGTTATTCACAATCAAGTAAACCGCTCAGACGAAAGATACCGCGACAGCAGGACTCAAGGTTACCAATTATCGATGAGAAGTTTGAAGACTGGATCATGGAACAAGTGACCGGGTTAGCACAGGCTCTTGCCTATGTGCACGAAATCACGTTTGACTACCGATCAGAGTCGTCTTTGGTATCGCGAAATTCTTCGACGCTACAAATTCCTCATGTCTATCCTTATCGGCCAAGAGCGGTCGGTTTCCATCACGACATCAAGTTGGATAATGTTCTCGTTTTCAACTCTGTGACTAGAGGTTACGGCACTTTCAAACTGGGCGACTTTGGTTCTGCGAGGGTGAAGTTATCTGAATATTACACTGTAAACAGAACCCCTCAAATGGCCAGGCAAGAAAACGGTGCAGTAACATATACATCGCCTGATCTGGAATTGAAAGGGGAGACGACCAGGAAGACAGATGTATGGGCCTTGGGTTGCGTCTTTCTTGAATTGATGCTGTGGTGTTTCGATCGGGAATTCACGGTTCCGAGGTTTTCGCAAGAGAGGCTCAACGACGATAAGGGGCCGAGCAGGACCAACAGATTCTGGCAAACGACAGAGTCCGAGTCAACGGCGGCACTAAAACCTTGCGTCTCCAAGAAGATTGAAATACTTCGGCAGCACTGCAGAAAACGGAAATATTTCAAGGTCTGGTTCGATTGTGTGGAGGGGATGCTTCAAGTCGATGCGGAAGAACGGATCAGGGCTCACAAACTTAGCAATATCTTATCCGACAACTACAGACGCCTCCAGTACGACCGAGAATGGGACACATCCTCCATTTCTGACGATGATGGAAGAGATCTTGAGCCGGAACTGCCTATTGCTCTTCAGGATTCTGAGAACGATATGGCAGATGTGCTGTCGGCAGGGCCTCTTGATCAGACTGCAGCGCCTCAAATACTCGTTTCCCGGGTAGACTGAACAGGACTACACACATGTTGTTAAATGCTCTTGATTGATTACTGTCATGGAAGGTTTGATGGACAAAGGAAAACCATCCAACGAACTAAGATGGAGGTTATGAGACGAAAAAGAGTATTTCCTCCCCCTCTTCATGACCTGATATTGCTATACGTTGAGATGCATTTTGGCAGCCGCATTCCCACGTCGTCCAAAGTCAAGATCGACACCACCACTTGTTCTTACCGGCACCACCTAGGTTAGGCTTCAGAAGATCGTCTGTATGGTATGTCGCCGGTTTGGAACCTCTCAATTCACGAAGATACGTATGCGCAGCATTCTAAACCGGTTGCCAATGCTCGCCAATTGTCCCACAAGTTCATTAGCCCTATATCTACAAACTCGCATTCTACAAACGTTCCGAGACTCTTGGAAAGCCGTCTCCAACCGTTGAAGAGTGGATGAGATAAGGTGGAAAACGGACTGTGTCATTGTCGCGATTTGAAAAGGCTGATGGGGGAGGTAAAATAGACATTACAGACAACAGACATTCCAGGATGCGTTGGACGTCATCATTTTCCACCGCCAAAGCCTTCTATATCACTATTGTTAAAGCTTATCCTGTCTAGCCTTGCAACATCCGCCTCACTCCCAACGCACTCGACATTGCTTCATCTGGGACTCGGGAGCTATCAACTGGGCTCTTTTGTTCTTGTCCTTCTCCATTCAGCTTCTTAGGCCAACTCTGATGATGCTTTTCTAAACGTCTCGGGTGCTCTCCCGTTTCATGTTCTTTGCAAACTTCTCCGGCCTTCTCGCCGGGAATCTCTTCCACATAATTCGAAGGAGATAGCCCTATTCGATCATCTAGTCGGCATTACCATAATGGCATCTTGTTGGCCAGAGACACCCATATCCGGTCCGACAGAATGGCTGAGTGTCGCACGGATAATCGCAATGCCGTCAAGACGAGGCTTTGCGTCCAGTATGGATTTTCAGGCTCCAGAAGATCAGCCAAGCTCACGTTGCCCATGGGCTCGCCATCATCGTCCGAGATGTGAACCTTTTGGACTGCAGATCCAAGCAAGATGGCCTCCCCATAATTGCTGTCAGGGAAGTGCGGTATAATTTTGCCATCTCGCTGAACACCATTGTCCGTGCGGAAACGGCTCTCATTGTCCCGATTCATATCCGCGTTACGGATATCGTCAGGAAATTGACCGCCAAAAGACACGAATATTAGCATCGAGACGGATGGTTTCGACGAGGGCGGGAGACATGAAGCTGATAATGTCGTTGTTTGTGCCGTCTGCGTGGTGTTCGAGATTAGTGTCTGCCTTGAAGTGGACCAGATTACCACCAATGTAATCCTATGTGGGTGGACAGCCATTGCCAAGGTCGTGCTACCCAGGTCTGATTGATACAATCTCAACTATGATAGGATGATACCTGAAGTCTCTCACGAACCAATAAGCCAAGCGAAATTCATTGGAGTTGAAAAATTGACACTGATGGCGGCTTTGAGCTCGCCGTTGTGTTATTGCTGGTCGTCATCGAAATAAAGCTGGAGATGTGGAACGTCATCGTCTTTCTCTACCTCGAATGATCCCTGGAAGCCGACCCTAGACTCTGATTTTTGAGAGGTGTTGCGGAAACGTAGGACTTGAAGGGAGCTATAAGTTGAAAGAGGGAAAACCAGATGATAGAAAGGGATAAAAATGGACAACGAGGGTGATGGTGGTAGTGAAAAGGTCTGGAAAGCACATTTTCCTGCTTATAACTGGGAGGTGAGTATAGTCTCCCCGTCCATTGCTTGTACCATAATGGTGATGGCAATGGCGGCACCACTTGGCATTTTGGCCGACTTGATGAACCTCTGACTCTTTTCTCCATTCTCACCTGTGTGGGATTCTCGTAAAAGTTCAGATAATCTTTCTCCACAAGCTGTCACTTTCTCAGCCTTGAAGAAGTTTTGTACAGAATTCACGAGGCTGCGATTCAATGCCAAGACGCGGCATTCCCTGGGTGGGGACTACCCCGTGACCGAAGCCAATCACAAGCCTTACTTTTTTCTCCAGTGTCCAATCAGATTTCAACACTTTCGAGAGATTTCGTACTGAGTCTGCGACGCTCCTTAAGCCGAAATTGAGACATGACTGGTATGGGAATGGGCTGAAACATCAATCCGGGAGGAAACTGTCTGGTTTGGAAAATGCGTCGTCCGGCTTATTGGGCTGAGGACGGTCAGGGGCCGAATTTGCTCTGGCCATGTCTCTCCCGCTTGGCGAGCTCGTATTTTCACACTTGTGAGCTGACGAACACGAACCAGTTCCTCCAACCACATTGGAGCAAGCAGCAGGGCGTGCTTACAGCACGCCATTCATTGCTCATCAATACCCTTTATCGGTGCCTCTTGCTCAGAACAATTAAACCAGGACCTTGAACGAGGGCCAGGTGTGTTGACCAGCTATTATTGGGGGAAAAATGAAAAGAAAAGGCACTCGGCTACAAAAATGTACAAGGCCTCAAAAGGGGCTAGATTGTGGGGTTCATTCTTGAACTGTTTATTTCTTGCATGCCTGTCTCAGCTCCCCTTCGCCGAGCCCTGCAGCCTCGTTTGCACAGACCACCAAACCGGGTGCACGTCACCGTTCAGCTGAGAAGCAAACAGATCTTCTCATATTTTTTAAGCAAGCCACTTTGTGTAACCTCGACTCTTCTCGTGTCACGGACGTCCTCCTCACCCAATACTCATCGCAATGTCAGGCACGGGCCCTGCTTTTCAAGAGGTGCATAGGGGCAAAGGATATTGAGTTATGCCAAGGAGACAAACCTGTGAGTGAGGAACCTAGCCTGGGTCTTTTTTCCTGCTTTTCTTCTTGTTCGCAGGTACCATACTTGCTCCACAGATTCCTGAGCATATATGTGTGTTTGTGCCTTGCGAAGTACTCTCGTCCCATACAATCAACCTCGTCTTCTACCCCCCCAAATGGATTTTTTCACCAGATTTTTTCTTTTGGTGCTATTTTCGTCACATAAAGTGACTGCCTGGGGCGAACATGGCCACCGGACTGTCGGATACCTAGCCCACATGTACTTTACTGATGCAGCCGAGAACCTGTTCCACGAACTCGTGGAACCCACTGAGAAATTCGACATATCTGATGGTGCAGTCTGGGCCGACAGCAACAGCGTGAGATTCAAATGGCCATGGTCAAGAGCATGGCATTTCATTGATGCAAAAGATGATCCTCCGGAGGTCTGCAATATACATTATAGTTCTGACTGCGATCCGGACAAAGAATGTATCATAGCAGCCATCAAGAACATGGTATGACTCTGATCCAAATTGCACGGCTTCCCCTTTGGTCCTCTTATTCTGGACGTAGGCTGACATTTTGGTAAATAAGACTTCGCGGGTCAACGATCCAGAACTTTCCAAGGAAGAACAGAACAACGCTTTTAAATTCCTGCTGCACTTCGTCGGCGACGTCACGCAGCCGTTACATACCGAAGCTAAATGTCGCGGCGGCAATGGAATAATGGTTCAGTGGGGAAGACCGGATAGTCAGCCAGAAAAAATCCACGAAGTCTGGGATTCGCTTATCATCAAGAAACTGCGCGGATACAAAAGGCCAAGAGGTCCAGATCCTGACAATGTATACGACAAAGAACTTTCTTTGGATTGGGCGAATGATCTCAAAGCCAAAATGGATGGGTCTGCTATTGACGTTGCAAGGGAATGCGTCGACATCTCAAAACCAGAGCAATGTGCGCTGAAGTGGGCAGGCGAGGCCAACAGCTTTATCTGTTCTTATGTGCTCAAAGATGGGGTCAATCTGGGACAAGATGAGGATGAAGATGATTGTGAGTGGGATTGGCATGGTCCTGCAGACGTGTCAAAGGAGTATTATGAAGGCGCCGTGCCCATTGTCGAGGACCTGGTCTATAAAGCAGGCTGGAGGCTTGGGCAATGGATCAATGCTCTTGCTGAACAGAGGGCGAATATGATCAAGAGTGGGGTTGTGTTTGATACTCGCGGACTAATGGTTCAGCCACAGATGGAACTATGATATCGCAGTCTCTTCAGTCTGCTACTCTGGGAAATGTAATGTTGTATGACTTGGTTAGTGTATGAGACCAGAATTCCATTTGTTTTGACATACAACATTTATTATCAAGCAAAGTCGATGATCGTGCTGGTCTCCAAGGCGAGTGACCTTTCTCCTGAACGCTCATTGGAGACGTCGATGATGGCCATATGTTCATAATGCTCAACTATGGGAAGTGGGGTCCAATACTAGGTCCACATGGCGTATATAGGTCACCCAGTTTTGGATACCTGCCCCACGTCGGAGTCAGTTCGGCTGCTTTGAAGGGAACTGCCGAAAACGCGAGAAGCGGAGTACCTACAAAGATATCAAGTACACACTCTGTTTTGTACGTGTGAACATACATAAGTCAGTGATCTCCCGAGAGGACGACAAAAAATCATTAAGTATTCCTTATCGAATCTTCATCGTTCTTCACTCCATCACAATGCCACTCAATCATGTGTTGCTGATAGGTGCCGCCGGTAACTTGGGCAGTCTAGTCCTCAATCACCTCCTCGCTTTCCCATTCAAATTCAACATCACTGTCTTGTCTCGCAACTCATCGACCGCCAAATTCCCATCTTCCGTGACAGTATCGCGGATTAGTGATGACTATCCCTCTTCCGAATTAGCCAATGCCTTTAAAGACATTGACATAGTCATCTCCGCCATCTCCATGACCGGAATGCATCACCAGTACAAATTCATCGACGCTGCCATTGCTGCAAAGGTCAAACGGTATATTCCGACCGAATATGGCCTGGATGATCTCCCCGATTGGCTGATCGAAATGAGGCCTATGTTCCGAATCAAACATGATGTGCGAGATTATTTGGTCTCAAAGGAAGAGACAGGGTTAGAGTGGACGGGAATTGTTTGTAACGTCTTCTTCGAAATGGGCGTCATGTCAGGATTTTTCCAATTCGATTGGAAGACGAAGAAGGTCCTGCTAATAGACGGTGGCGAGACTAAGTGGGTGGCCACCACCTTGGATACCGTGGCACTGGCGGTGGTGAGGGCACTTGAGAAGGCTGAAGAAACGAAGAATCGGCTGCTCTTGATACAAGACTTTAGGGTGAGTCAGAGGGAGATCCTGGACGCAATACAGGAAAAGACGGGGCCGTGGCAGGTAGAAAATGTTGAGTTTGCGAAGTGGCTTGAGGCGGGAAAGGAGAAGGTCCGGGACGGCGATGACAGTGCGATGCCTATGTTAACCTTTGCGACGGTAGTGACGGGGAGTCAGTGGGAAGAGAGAAACGAGTTTGCAAATCAGTTGCTGGAGCTACCTACGAAGTCATTCAAGGATGCAATGGATATAGTTCTGAAGGATGTTTGAGAAACAATTGGGCTCTTCTCCAGATATTTAGCCCTCTTATTGGCCGAAAACATTTCCTGGCCTGCAACAGACGCATTTCCAAGTCACCACTGGTTTTCGCGTCGTCTTTATTTTATTCCCGAAACAATTCTGTACGGTAATCTGCTCTATTCACCAACCTCACGGTCATCATTCCAGTTCACACCACGCATGATCCTCCACTTGAGACTCGCATGGCGAATCTTCTTCCCCAAGTAGTATGTTGGTATCCACATCACAAAGAATGCAGCATTGATTCCAGCCAAAGCTCCAAAAGTGTTGAGCATACCAGATTTTTCGACCCATGGATTAACATAGAAGGACAGGAGGAAGCCAAAGGCGGCTGTATTAATCCATTAGCCCCTTTTGCGTCGGCACTCTGGGAAAGGTTTTGATGACCACTTACCCTTGAAACTCAGCTGTGCGACAACGGCTTCGCCGGCGACGGGTCGATAAGCGTCAATAACGTAGACAACCAAAATATTGGTAGATTGAGTTAGGGCAAATGCAACTGCCATTCGATGTCATATCGTCAGCTAAAGGGGGCTTTTGGAGGCACACATAAAAACTGGATATGACTTACAAATGCCCAGGCCCAGGACAGGAACTATCCAGTGAGAACGGTTCTGAATACCGACACCATATAATACTAAACCGAGTGGTCCCAGGATCATCGATAGTGTGAGGGTAGGAAGTCTCATCTCGGGTTCTCTGACGCCCTTGTTTCGCTTGGTTAACCAATCTGCGCAGGCATCCGATAGCCATCCGCCTCCCATAATTCCCACAAGTGAGCCAAGGAGCACCGCAACGAATGAAAGACCGGATTGCCATGAGACCCAGCCGTAGTTGAGGGCGAACGAGGAAGCAAAGTTGCTGCTGATCGCCACAAAAGCGCCGACAACAACAGACATGGCAAGTGTTGCCCAGAAGACTGGTGGAAGAAATAGAAGAGGAACTGGCCTCCAAAACAATTTCCAAAGAGATTCAGAAGTATATGTCCCACTGAAGATTGCGAGTCTCTGGAAGTAGGTCTTCTTCGGAGGGACTGTGGAGTCTGAGATTTCAACATGACTGGACGCTTCTTTCGACCCGGATACTCCAGAGGGTTTTACCGACAACTGATCGTTTTTCTGGAACCTCCTGTAGGATGTCTCTGGCATTGTAAGGAAAATGGCAATGACTAAAGCCCAGATGAAGGCCGTTGCCACGTAGTAGATGACTCGCCAACTCTTCTTCATAGTAATGAGACCCGAGATGATGATACCTCCAGCGATGCCTGAGGACAAGGAAGCAGAATATAGACTAGACGTTTAAGTCAGCCACAATGGATCTTTAACCCGGCATACGAAAGAAGAAGTACTTACGCCATCACCAAGCCACGCTCGTGGAGGAAAAAGGTATCTGCGATGGTCAAGGGAGCCAGACACTCTGCAGAACCACCAGCAAGACCAAGCATAAGCCTTGCACTAAGTTCGCTAGCGTAGCTAGTTGCTAGCCCGGCCCAAAGAGCACAGCCGCCGTACACGAGAAACGATAGTATGTAGACAGGTCTACGTCCGTATTTGATGATGAGAGGCATATAGAAGAGATTGGACATGCCCTGGACAAATGACAAGCCCGTAAACATGTACGATGCCTTGGTTAAGTTATCCGGGTAGCCCGGATCCGTTGGGGGCGTTCCGAACAAAGAGGCGACGAGGTTGACCATATCGACAGACGGGCCTGCGGCAAGAAACTGGGCCATGAAGATGGACGCGCAGGTAATTGCGGCAATATGCCATCTAAATCCTTTGGACCTATATCTTCTGTTAGATGCTAAACCGTTGCGAATTCTTCATGGGAATGTTTGCCAGTTCAATGGGTCATTTGGATCTGACGACGGAGTAGGAACCAAGATCATCTCGTTCGTGGCATGATGACGAAGCTGAACAGATCCAAGTGTATGGACCCTCTGAATTTCATTCCCATCTGGAGAATTGACTACAGACATGTTCAAGCAAATGTCTCCCGGGGGATGAATGTCTGGCTATTCAAGCAGGCAGACGGAGTAATAGTATCGACGATAGTCACGTCAAGTCCGGAGCTATATCAACACGCCATACTGTGGGTGGAGCCGAATCTGCATCCCCGACGCGCTCTCTTTGGCTTTCTGTATGGCCAGTATGGCCGAGCCCCTAGGTCACTGATTCACCCAAATGAAACACTTCTCCTGCTTGAATAAACCTTTTTTCCAAAGATAATTCTGGCCATGCAGAGTTTGTGAAACAAGTGCCGACATGGAGACAGGGATGGTACAAGTGTGGGCCACTTGATCGAGTAATAATGGAAGGTCAGAGAATATATTCACCCTCCTAACGCCACAGCAAAATTCTACCATTTGACGGAGAGAAGAGAGTTTTTGTTTAAAGGATTGAATCCAGTGAATGAATCAGCTCGATCAACTTGCAGAATGGAGTCTCGATGGCAGCAGCTGCACCTAATAGCGCTAGGTCTGACTGAGATTGCGTTGAACGTCTCCTCGGCCAAGGTATCTGTCGAACAAGGTCTCATTGAACGGCTGAATAGTAGCAAGTGCCTTTTTATTGAAAAGGGGTTATCACCCCTATGCCGGATTTAGGGGTAGAAATAGGAGAAGGAAAGGGGTCAAACCAACGTGTATATATACCAGCAACCTGGCAGGGCCGGTTGGGAGGTAGACAGAGCATTCAATACATTTCCAGTTGTTCCCCAGTTCGACAGTATCTTCCGCCAAGAGAGTACTAGATTGCACTGGCACTGAGCAGAGAATAGACGCAGGGCAATGTCCAAGATGCAAATTTTCTCTCCGTGCGGGGTGAACATCAATTGTTGGTCGATGGGACCACCTTAGTGGCCTTCCATGAGACGCGCGACAAGGCCCATTTTTATTCGTTAGTAGGCGGTGGCTGCGGGCGTTTGGATCAGGCTGGGAGATCGAGGAGGGGCGAGATTGGGGGGTTGAGGGTGGAGGTGGAGGTGGAGGTGGAGGTGGAGGTGGAGCCGAGAATGAAGACCCCAAAGCTCGTTACATCCCCATAATGTCAACGTTTTTTGGGCACTGTAGAGTGCTCCCACAGCGGCTATTTGGTCATTTTATTCCTCCTCTTGAGTTCTGCCTTCGGATAGAGGCTCGTTTCGAACCTCAGTCATCTTACGGTCGTCATATACATATAGGTACCTCTACAATTTTCTACTTCCAATAACATGACCAAATACACCACAGAGCATTTCCTCGGCTATATCAAGGCCTTCAACGCGAAAGACTGGGATGTACAGCACTCTTACTACGCCAAGGACGTTGTTTTGGATCTTCCACGGGGTGACAATCTTCCCACCTATCGCGGGTCTGAAGGGATCAAATCTCACTATGGCCCTCTGCTGGACAAATTCACCGAGACCATTGTCCCAATCGAACTAATGATTGAAGAAGATCGGATATTCTTCATCATGGAAACTAGCTTTCAGGCAAAGACAGAAACGATAGGACCGTCCGGGTTTACTTGTACTCCAGGAGATATTATCCGAGTCACCGTCTGGGCATTCTACAAAATGGAAGGAGGCTTGATGAAAACGATAACAACAAACCAACTGCATGGAGAATTCATTGGGAAAAGGATGACTCTGGAAGAGACAATCAAAGACAGCCAATCCAGGGCGGCCAGACCAGAGCTTATATTGGACTAGAGTCCCCGCGTAAGTTTTGATGAAAATAGATCTAAGGACGTGCAAATTGAAAAAAAGATAGTCGCAATCTTTTTGTATCCCTATATGTCCTGCGAGTACTGAACATTTGGATCCATTCCATGCTCTGCCCATTCGATGAGGAGACTCTCAAATCTTTTAGCTGCACTGACGCAGAACTTCTGCTGCTTGATAGCCGCAATCATTTGTCTCGCAACACTCTCCGCGCTTTTGCCGTACTGGTAGAAATTCGCCGTAAATGTCTTTGCAAACTCGGGTGGGGCAGTCCCTCTCAGTTCGTCCGCGGCCTCGGTCAATGTCATGTCAGGATAGAGGACGGTGACACCAATCCCATACTGCTTCAAGGACACTGCCATACTCTGGCTCATTGAGATGTTGGCTGCTTTACACAAGCAGTACGAAAGAAGATTGTCCGCTGCACCCCGAGGAGGAATGAGCCCCAATGGCGAAGCTGTGTTGACAATCCAACCGCTCCCACGGCGGATCATGGCTGACAAAAAGACTTGCACAATTCGCAGGTAGCCCAGGACATTGACTCCTATATCATGCTCGACGTTGCTTATATCGAGGTTCACAATTCCTCCTGTCCGGCTGCGCATTGCGTTGTTGTGAATAATGTCTGGAATTCCAACATCTCGGAGTACCAACTTTCCAAAGCATTCAACGTCATCGCTGTTACTCACATCACATTGATACGAGTGGGCGGCGAATCCTTGACTCTTCATGTCCTTTACGGTCGCAGCGAGCCTGTCGGCAGCAATATCGACCAGAACAAGTATCGCGCCTTCTTTGCCATATTCCACTGAACAAGCCCTACCGAGGCCACGAGCCGCTCCAGTCACAACAACAATCTTTCCTTTGTAATCCATGTTGTATTTTGGAATGTATAAATTTGTCCGACCTATAACACTCCAATGAGCAAAGACAGTGCTACAGGTTTCGTATGCCTCAGAGTGGAGCCGAAAAGGGACCGTTCCCGACAGACGGGGCAACACTAGCAATTCGGAGAATATGACAAGCTCTCCCAGTCGTCGTCGGTCTATTTTATTGTATGCATCTGAGGTTCGGTAAGGATCGACGCTTGTTTTGCAACCCTCGAGCGAGAAGTGAAGCTCACGCATTCTTCGATATCTTTCTAATGGATGCCCTTAATTTCTTTGACCAGTCGAGATTGAATCCAAATCATTTACTAGCCTCAGTTCAAAAAAAGGATGTCCTACTATCACGGAAAGAAGTTTGGAGCGTATCTAGATATTCAATACGAAGGGCTTCGAGAAACGGTACTCCTTCTATTGCGACGGCGTCACTCTGAGTATTCCTGATCCTTGAACGGGGATTTTATGCACGGCAAAGAAAGGGTCAAAGAACACTATTTGCTGCTGTTTCAGGCGGCAGACGAAATCACCGCTCCTACTGTATGATCATCACTATGAATCAGAATAAGATCTTTGTTGTCATAGAGTCGTATTTCCGGTACAAGACGAGGTCTGGGAAAGGCGTATTCAGCTGCCCTGTCAAAGAAGGTGGCTTGGGAAAGATCAGAGTTTGTGCACACTTTATTGTGGGTGGAAAGATGAAGATAACTGTCTGCATTCTTTTCGAAGGCGAAATTTTTGGTTGGATAGACATGGATGGATATGTTCAGCGAGCAGAGGTTCGATGTGGCGGATCTCATGTCATTCAGCTAATGACTGGGAAGAATTAGGGATTCGTTAAGCACTCCCAATATTCCTTTACCTTGGACTTGTGTGTAGTTAGTTGAGCGATCTTCTGGATCTACGAAAGACAGACAATGCGACACTTCCAACGCTTTGGTAAAAATAGGCACTCTCTGGAGGCCAATATGGCTAGCAATGTTGTCCGAATCCTTGATCAAGGCCATATTTATGATGGGTCCTTGGGTCTGGATTGCTAGAATGTTGCTCTGATCTTCTCTTAAACGTGGATTCAGCTTCTTAGGAAGACTCTACCTAGAAGATGCACCATGTAATTCACAAATACACTTCTTCGATGAGGAACCAAATGACCGGTCTCTGCGTATCATACTTCAGGAGCGCTAACATTCTAGAAAGATGAAAGTCTCGCTGAGCAGTATTGTTCAAATTATAATGTGCCCGTGTTGGAACAGGGATCTCCTTGCTTTGCTAATCGGTTTGTTGTCTGACCAACTTGAGCTGCACAGTTGCCCAACTTGAAGCAGTGACCGTTCGCATATGCCCATCAAACGACAGGCTGTGTGGACTAAACCTCGAAGAATTGATGATCAAGTTTACTTGTCAGGTAGCTCGGAGCCAGTCTAGTCTCCCAGCACTGTTTGATCTCTACCAACTCTGATCCCTTTCAAATATGTCTTTTTATGGCAAGATTTTGTCCGATGTACTTCCAAACTGTTGGCTAGATCTCAGCCTTGTTGACATGGCTGATTGCCAAATCCTACCAAGTTACAAAACCTGCCTACGAGGGTGCCCGTCTGGAGCAAGCCAGCTCCTCTTTGCACGGCCTCTTCGAGTTTTATGCCGCTAAAAACTCCGAAGCAGTTATGGTACGGGACAGCTACAGGTCAGACCTCGGGCAATCTACACTCTCTTCAGTTCGGGGGCGCCGCTCTCATGGGTGTTGGGAGATTATCTATGGGAGATGATGATGATTGGGCTGATCTGCCATCTTAACACATCGGCCAATACTCTTGCAGCTACAACAGTTATATTATTGCATATTCTCTCCTGGCAATTTAGGGACATTGACGTATGTGACCCACGAAGCAACCCATACTGGATCCTACAGACACTCCGGCCTGGGCTCAGCTTAGGAACAACATGAATCTCTAGATACCATCTGTCTCTAGCGAGAGTCAAACATTTCAGTTTCCCCATTTCAGAGCGATTCGAGCCCCCAATTTCCCCAAAGAATTGTCTCCAAGGACTTGATGATCCAAAAAAGCTGGGCGAAAGCTTTTTGGCCGAGTTCAGGCCACCACCGTTGTTGAAGATATCGTCGGTCTTTTCTTTGGGCGCAAGGATCTCTATGTCTTGCGACCACTTCCCAATGACCATTTCAAATGCATGGGAGAGTGTTATGCAGTGAGTGGTTTTGTACTAGAATGAACATCGTACATATAAAGGGAGAAGCTCGACCTCTTGGGCAGGCGAAATGAAGAGGTGGTAGATGCAAGTACTGCAGAAAGAGGTCCTAAATCAAATCTGACATTAAAACCCACAATAATTTTTTGACCCCTTGGTGGATCAAGATTCGGAGGACGCGGTATGCTGAGTACCCCCTTGGAGCTCGGTAGCAAATAGCCCGAATTTTGATAGCCGACAGCCAGCTCATCGCCCCACGCTTCCATTTTTGACGACGACTCAACGACGATCGTGGATTTATAGGTCACGAAAAGTATCCTCCCTTGTGTAAAGTGCTTCGGAGAATGCAAATTACGTCGATTTGAGTACAAGAACAATGGTGTCCGCTGAGGAGCAAACAGTACGCCGCGGGTACGTCCTCTCTTACACTTTCAAGCGCTGACAAGCTTGGCCAGGTAATCAACAATCTCCAGGCCAACTGGATCTGGGTCCCCGGCTGGGTTGACTCCTCTGCTTATAACACGGCCGGACGGATCGTCAAATTCATCCGCCAGTTCAGCCTCGACTTTCTTCCTACTCGAGCTCTTTTACATTTCTCCGCAGACACACGATATAAACTTTACGTCAATGGCGTGCGAGTCGCTGTGGGACCAACCAGGAGCAGCCCGTTGATGTGGTATTATGACACCCTCGATATTGCGCCATACCTCAGCCAGGGCAGCAATGAGGTCAGGTTTGTGGTGGTCCGATACTTTGCATCTTCGCGGACAGCGATGCCGTTTGAGAGGACATCATTTCCTGGCTTGACTGTCTTTGGCAGCGTTGAGGTGGGCATGGAAGCCGTAGATCTCAGCTCCGGTAAAGGCTGGCAGGCCCAAGTAGACGAGAGTATTTTGTTCCCCACGGGACTGGTCGATGATGTGTTCCTCCATGTAAGTTCCCGCTACCTCCAAAGTCTTGAGATGGGATGAATGACAGTCTTGTCACAGATCAGCGAGCGCATATCTCCTTACCCTCCAAGTCCGGTTGTGACACCCAAGCTATACAACATCAAGACTCTGAATGGAGACCTTGCTCCCTGGCGTTTGTGCCCTCGCTCCATTCCGATGCCGGTGGAGAGCCATGTTGCCGTGAACATTGTCCGAGCCTGCCAAAGCGTTATCTCCATAGATGACTGGACTAACTTTCTATCCGGAACGAGATCTTTAACTCTTCCCGGCGACTCCTCGCATACTTTCGAACTGCAGGCAGAAGTCCACTCAACGGCTTTCCTCCAATGGACTTTTAAGGCAGCTAAACCGTCTCAAATCAAACTCAAGGTGACATACTCCGAAGGTTATGAACTGGAGCCTCGCTCTTACCCCTTCTTTCGTACGAAAGCAGACCGCTTGGACAAAAAGAACAGTCATATTATCGGTCCCTTTGATGAGGTGACCTTGGACCTGCCAGAAATGCACACCATTACCTATGAACCATTTTGGTTCCGTACTTTCCGCCTCCTGCGCCTCGAAATCACGGTGGGTCCCACACCGGTCGAGCTGATGTCGTTTAAAGCCACGCAGGTGAACTACCCACTTGCAGTCAAGGCCAGCTGGAAGAACCCTGGGGACGCGCACAGTGAGAAGATATGGGACGTTTCCATTAGGACCATGCGAAATTGCATGTTCGATGGATACTCCGACTGTCCCTTTTATGAACAACTTCAGTAAGTCCACTCCAAATTCTTTTTTTTTGAGACCAAAACGTTGATCTTATTTACAGGTACTCCGGCGACAGTCGTCAGGTCGGGTTGTTCCACTACCTTCTCTCTGGCGATGACAGGCTTATGCGACAGACCATCACGAACTTGGCCGCCTCAGTCACATTTGAGGGTCTCACGCAATCCCGGTTCCCGTCGCATGTCAATCAGATCATCGCTGGTTTCTCTCTCTACTGGATTCTTCAAGTATGTGACCACCACCTCTTCTTTGGCGACACGTCGTACGCCCGTTCCTTTCTGCCTCGCATCGACGGTGTATTGGACTTCTTCGATTCGCACGTCGATAGCTTGGGCCTCGTCAGCGGTCTGCCAGAGGACGTGTGGCAATATGTCGATTGGGTGACGACGTGGGGCGCTACAGATGAGCATCCGGACAAGGGAGTGCCCATTTCGGGCAGGAAATCGAACCGTCACACCTACTTCAGCTTGCTCTACGCATATGTCCTGAAAGAGGCGGCTCAACTCGTGCGAGAGGTCGGTCGACCTGGTTATGCCGGTGAGTATGAATCGCGAGCAGCTTCCTTGCTGGAAGCGATTCGAAAGCATTGCTTTGATGGGCGTTTCTTCACGGATTCGACCGCCGATATCGTGGACGACGGGGCCTACTCTCAGCATTGCCAGGTTTTCGCAGTCCTATCGGGCGCTGCTCCGCTCGAGGATTCAGCTCGCCTCTTGAAAGAATCATTTGCCGATCCCTCCTTCTCCAAATGCTCCTACATGATGAAGTTCTATGCGCTTCGGGCCTTCGCCATTGCAGGCGACGAGGTGTATGAGTCTTTCTGGGTGCATGTGTGGGATCCATGGCGGAAGATGCTGGCGAACAATCTCTCGACTTGGGAGGAAGACGATGTGCGACAGCGTTCGGACTGCCATGCATGGGGAAGCGTGCCGGTGTATGAATACTGCACTGAGTTGGCAGGGATACGTCCCATTGCCCCCGGATCGGCTAAGGTGTTCTTCAAGCCGCGCCTCAGACTAAGTGAGGCAGTGGAGGCAAAAGTAGCATTGGGTAGGGACAACCTCGCAACAGTCTCGTGGAGCAGTGTGGACGGTGGCAAGAAACACGTGGAGTTGCGGCTAGAGAAGACTACCGAAGTAATCAGCAAGCTACCGGGAGGCAAGGAGGAAGAGCATGGCATGGTGGACAGCCTTACATTAGTCTACGACCCTTCCAGTGCTTAACGAGGATACGTGTGTTTCAGCGCTGTATCAAACGGAAAGTATGCCGCACAGGAGTTCTACTTTCAAGCGGTACTAATTTTGAAAATTGTTAGCCTCTCTCCCGAATCATTGAATGAGAGAACACCCCTAGTGGGAGATATCCCAAGGTATGTTCCGGCCGCTTCGATCGCCGTGGATCGCATTTCCACTGGCACCAGTAATTAGCCCGACAACGCGCCTCTGCACCGCGAGATTTCAAATTCGACGGGCTGAAGAGCAGCGAAGACGGACCAAGCTTAGGTCGTCCAACTGTCATGATAACGTGCGATACCTACAATGAGCACCCGAAGAGGGAAAAGACCGGTGGTCCGGGGCAATTGCTGGTGAAGAGTCAAGCTTTATTCGAATAATCCCGCGCTGCTCCGTGCGAAAGCTTACAGTGTTTTTGCAAAGCCAGCTTCTTGCTTCGAAGACTCTCTAAAAGAATTCACGTTCCATGGGGCCTCCACTGTGACTTTCAGCTTGATATATATGGAATAACTCTATGGAGCTGTTCATCCAATGAAGTGTAGGTATCTTCTAGCAAAGGGATCGATAACTTTGTAATAATCGTCCGCCAATCAGGCACGTGACCTATGAGCTCTTTTTGCAGAGGACTTGTCCTATCTCGAAGGGACCGTCAGACTATATACTTTTGAAGCGTGTACAAAGCGTACAACGCTTCCGAAGGTCTTTACAAGCCTTGGCGTCGCCACACATCACAATGTTGGCACACTTTGGGTTTTAGAAAGAAATCAAGGACAAATCTGAGTGGACGGGATTCATCCTCTAAGACTTCAAGGTACAGTCATAAGAAATACAGGAGCATTGGAGCAAGATCATGAAGATACAACAACAGAGATAGATCAACCTCTTGTTTCGTCGCCCTATGTCACGGTGTCAAAATAGCATCCGTGCTAATGTGGCTATAATATCAAGAAGTTGCTGACTGATATATACTCCGAGGTGGGAGACGATAGATGCTTCCATAGCTGTCCCTTCTAGTGGATCCTTATCCATTCGTGGACGTTGAACTTATTTGGGAAGTGTCTGAAACATCTGTACAAACGTTGCCGGCCTAGATTCCATGCGCCAGATATGATCCACAACCATGTGGCCTGGGGAAATTCGGCAGAGTGATGCCCGATAGTGTTCTGGGATAGCTCATGGATCGCGTATCAACTCAGTGCCTTTATCGTGATCTGGTCGATCGAAGTGATTGAGTAGCCCGAGCTATCAACTCCGGACGTGGTTACGCCGAAGAAATCTCACAGGTGTAGAATATCATGTGACCTTCGCGCGTGGCATGAAGACCTTTTTACTAGCGGCAAACTTATCTGCTAGCCAGGTCGACTGTCTCCCTACTGAAATTCATCAAAGATTCAGCTTGGGCTTTCTTATACTTTCTTACTACGGGACAATTATGAGCGAGCCCAATTTTCCAAGTGTGCTCTCGGTCGAACAACCATGCAAGCCTTGGTGAAGCGTCTATCCAAGTAAGTTTCCTGAGTGAGACGTACTGGGGTCTCCACAGGGCTCTCACACGGACACTGGATGCTAGTTGGCGGTTATCAACCAATGCCAAAGGTCATCAACTCATCACCACGATGAGCCTGTTTCTCCCTCAACAAGGCTGCTCCACGTCTGCAGTACGGCAAAAGCTATGAACGTTCCGAGTTACCATCACCATGGCGAATCCACCGGTAGACACCATGACTCGCACGACATCGCAATGACCGATCTCAAAGCTGATGATAAAAAGGGAGAATTCGTAGACGTCGAACATTATGACACTACCGAGTCCAAGAGCGGCCCCCCTCAGATGCGCTCCAAAGCTGACGATCTCACTGTCTGGCAAAGCGTCAAGCGGTACAAGCTGGTGTCACTAGTCGCTATGTGTGCGGCATTCAGCGCCTCGCTGGATGGTTATCGTGAGTGGCCCCTGACCAGTTCAGCTGCCCTGGACGGCATACTGAATAATCTATAGAAATTACCCTCAACAGCGGTATCGTGTCCAACAAGGGTTTCATTAGGCAGTTCGCGGCCCCTGGCACAACGATCATCAAGGGCAAATACGTCTCTGCATGGGGTGGCATACAATCTGCTGGCCAAACCATTGGTCAAATCGCAAGTCTCCTTTGCAAAGGTTTTACAGCTAGGGTATTCTAACGTTTTGTCCAGTTCCTCCAATACGCTACCGAAGCATTCGGTCGTAAAGTCGCCTTTTGTGTCTTCTTCGTAGTAGTGAGTACTTAGGTCTTACACTAACCTTTGCTTTGCACGTTATATGTTCGGACTAACACGTCTGTGCTTTGATCAGAGCATCTTTGTCGAATCAATCGCTACTCGCTGGGATCATTGGCTGGTCGCTAAGCTTTTCTCTGGGGCTGTGTGGCCATGCTGTAAGCCACTATGCCCGTTTATCTGTCTGAGATTTCCCGTACTCAGTTGAGAGGCCTCCTCATCAACGCATACAGCTTGTGAGTCCACCTGCTTCTCTTCTTCTCACTGGAAGAAAGGCAATAATTGTCCTAGCTGGTTCGTCATTGGTCAGCTCTGTGGGGCTATATCCCTCAACAGGCTCAATGCCATTGACCCATACGACTTCCGGACTCCAATCTATACTCGGGTGAGCTGAAGCCCTTAGAGTGTGGACAAGCGGCTAGAGAGACTGACCGGGCCTCTTTAGTGGGCGATGATTGGAGCGATGATCATCATCTTCCTCCTGATCCCAGAAACGCCTTGGTGGCTTGCGGGTAAGGAAAAGCTGGATAAGGTGGCGAAAGTGCTCCTGAAGTACAACGGCCACATCGAAGGCTACAATGTTCAGGAAACAATCGTCGGTCTTCCTTCAAACTACCACTTACAGTGCTCGCACGAACTGGCGTCGAATCACAGGATGTCATGACCGCTACCAAGATCACGCAGCAATTTGTTGGGCGAGCGTTTTCAATACCTACTCGACCTATTTCTGTAAGTATCTACTGTCTTCTGTTCCGTTTTCTGTGCCGACTCACCGCGCAAGTCCAATATGCTGGCAACAAAGATCCATTCCTCGTCACTGTCATCCTCTCTTCGTCACATCCACGCTCACGGATCAATTTGGTCGTCGGCCGCTTACGGTGTACCCCTATGGAGTCACCGTTCTGTCCGTCCTGTGCTTAGGCATTATTGGGTGCTTTGACTACACCGACAAGGCTACGAGTTCGCTCCTGGCAAGTCTAGCTTGATGAACATCCCCCAAAGTCCGTGGCTAATACGACGCATCAGGTTTTCTTCGCCTGTCTAGCCACGTTCTCCATCACTGGCGTCTCCGCTATCGGCTATGCCTACGCTGCCGAAGTTCCCCAACAGCGTCCGCGCGCACAAACTGTAGGTTGGGCCCTGGCCTTGTCCAATCTCATCGCCAAAATGTTCAGCTTCTGTACGCCATTGATGATTAATGGCTCTCTCACAAAATGGGATGTTAAAACGGGCTTCTTGTGAGTGCCTTTCTGATGAGACACAAGCTAATGTCAATATTCGAATACAGCTTCGCTTGCACTGGTGCGATCGCGGTTATTGTTGCCTGGTTTACGCTTCCTGAGGTGGCACGCCGCACACCTGGTGAAATTCGGTGCTCGTGTCCAGGATGTTCGCTGACGCCGCCATGTTTGACAGGTTTGAAAAGAAGGCCAATCCCCGCAAATTCAAGAAGTACGTCACCGATGTTCAGATACACGCGGACGCGCAGCACAAGAAAGAAGAGCTAAAGGTGGGGAGATGGTGCGAACAGAACGTCCGAAGGAAGAGTCAAAACAGCCATCCTAAAATCATGGTGTCTCCTTCAAATCAGATTCTCGTTGCAAGAAACTCCACTGATACAGCAACAAATAACGATATCGTTTACCTTCCGGCACAGTAAAAGTTGAGACGCAGGGTGAGGGGAAGAAGCAGCGGGTGGAGTCCTCTGTTTTATACAAAGCGGGGTTGCCCTATGAACCTCGCAGCTGATTGCGTGATCTAGTATAACATATACGTGATCTGTGATATCAATTCCCCTTGATGGGAAGGAGATTAGTAGTGGCCTCGGAGTACTGACCGGGATTCTATTCGATACGGTGCCAGATTGGGGGAAATTTTTATTTTCCTCAACTTCAAGTTTTTTCTGCAATACCTAGAAAGCATAGATGTTCGTTACAAATTAAGCTAAAAGAGAACGCCGAATTCAATATCAATATGGCGCCGAGTGCAACATTGCCGATTGAATCGAACCCCGCACCAGATGGATTCACCACGAAGAGCAGGAACAAAGGCCCGTTGACGAAAACTGGTGCTCTGGATTCTACATTCGCGTTTGGTGAGGTTACTCCAGCGATTGGAAGAGAGTATCCTACTGCCAATATAGTCAGTGATTTCCTGGACGCTCCCAACGCAGATGAACTGCTCCTCGATCTTGCCATCACCAGTGAGCCCAAGCGCACTTGTGTTCTCTTCTGAAGCCAGGATGCTGAGATTTCTGGGTTAGTTAGCCAACGAGGCGTCGTTTTCTTCCGCAAGCAGGACAACCTGACCAACGAGCTTCAAAAAACGTTCATCCAGCGTCTAGGCGAATTGAGCGGCAAGCCTCCGACATCGACGCTTCACATCCACCCGGTGTTGAACGACACGAGCGAATTTGGCGTCGGGGACAACGAGGTCAGCACTATTTCCTCGTTGCAGCGGAAAAAGCTCTTCGGTCCCGAGGCGAAGAACAAGCGTCGATACGACTCAGCCAAATGGCACAGCGACATCCAGTTCGAGACATGCCCGGCCGACTACACGAGTCTGCGTCTAACTCAGTTGCCGACGACTGGAGGCGATACGCTGTGGGCGTCGGGGTACGACATCTACGACCGCTTCAGCAAACCGTATCAGAAATTCTTCGAAGGATTGACAGCTACCTTCATCGGGGACGGTTTTATCCAGGCGGCCGAGGCCGGTAAAACCATACTTTACGAGGGTCCCAGAGGGTCGCCCGAGAACGTGGGCGGGCATTTGTCCGTCGTCCATCCTGTCGTGAGAACTAATCCGGTCACCGGCTGGAAGAGCATCTATGCCATTGGATCGTTCCCCAAGCTCATTAATGAACTGGAACCGGAAGAGAGTGATGACCTGCTCAAGAAGCTGCATGAAACTATTCTTGCGAATCATGATTTGCAGGTTCGCTTTAAATGGAAGAATCCTAATGATATTGGTAAGTGAGCATGAAAATAACTTGGCTTCGTTTAGACTTCACTGCTGATCCTGGGCAAATGTGTAGCTATCTGGGACAATCGCAGCGTCTTCCATTGCGCCACTTTTGACTATGAAGGACTAGGCGAGCGATTTGGTAATCGCGTTGTGGGCATTGGTGAGAGACCGTATTTCGATCCAAGCAGCAAGTCCAAAGCTGAGGAACTTGCACTTGCTGCATAGATCAAGATCGAGGACGAGGCATAATGGAGAGAAAGGGAGACACGCTCTTCACCGTCGACGTTGGATCGGACAATATTGTTTCCATTGAAGAGAATACCACAACGAACATACGCATTGCTACAGGACATTGTCCTCTGTCAGTCCATGTGCTAATTACAAGAAAAGTTCAATGCACTCGCCAACTTTCCACCCACTCATGTTTGCTTGCCCCTTATATCATCCATGCACGTAGCGCCCGGCTACAACGCGATCCCTAAAGCTTTAACTAAATACCACCTGTACTTTCATGCAGAGTAGTCATAAGCCTATCCATCCAGGATGTCCGCAGCCGCTTCAGTCATACTATGACACATCTCTAGGAGGTGTCTCCTGCTCGTCCTCGAATACAACAAGAAGTAAGCAATAAGCCCAACACCACCCCTCGTCGACACAACGGTGCCTGGCGTCACCTGCACCTCCGCCTTAGTCACGTACGGCACCACCCCCGGCACACGGTCATACAGCCGATCCAAGAAGCCCTCTGGCATGCGGACATTCTCGCGATGCGCCGGAACCATACATTCGGCGACCCAATACTGCGCCCCGCCACCGCCGCCCGCACTATCAGGATACGTAAACGGCTTTGATAGGGCATTGAAGCGTTCGCGATCCTCGACGGCCCGTAGCATATGCAACGCGTAGAAGTCGACCCCGTACGCGTACATTGTTCGGAACGTGTCCCCGCCGCCTGGTGTGCGCGCGTTGATCTCGATCACCATCGCGTCTGGCTCCCGGTGGGTTCCTGTACGCTGTACTGGGACTAGGTCTAATAATCCATCGCCGCGGACGTCGGCATAGCCCATCGAGGAATTGCGAACACGCGCCTCGACATGGAACATACCCCACCAGAGGCCTAGTTTGCGCAGATTACTATGCAACGAGTCGCGAAGAACTTTGAGCTCCGCGGCAGGAAGTCCACTGGGTGAGACCATGGCGGTTTCCGCAAAGTTATCCGCCAGTGTCGCGTTGGTTGCGTCGCCCGTAGAAGGCAGATCGTCCGTCAATTCCAGGAACCAGACATCGCCGTCACAGAGCACGAAGTTGCAGTCAAGCTCGGGGCCTTCGACGAAGGTCTCGACGATGACTCCCGCCCCAGCGAGCCCCTCGGCGTAGGCCATGCGAACTGCTTCGCGCATGTCAGTCTCATCGGTGACTTTCTTGACGCCTTCGGAGGAGCAGCCGGAGATGGGCTTGACGATGAGCGGGTAGTGCAGGTCTGCGAGGGCCCTGGATGTGGCTGGGTCGTCGAGCTGGTCTGAGCTCTGCAGGGCTAGGGTCTGGATGTTGGGGTCGTTGATGACGCGGCGCATCTGCTCCTTGTTGCAGCGCGCGCACGGGCTCGCTGGGCAGGCCGAGCATTTCTGCTGCCTGGCCTACGGCCACGACGTATTGGTCGGTGAATGTGACAAGACCATCCAGGGCTTTGTTCCTGATGGCGTCGGCGATGCGGTGCGGTAGGTCGGCGTCTGTGGATAGATCGAGCGGCACAAAGTCGTCGCGCAGGTGTGCATATGTGTCGCCCTCAAGCCAATGGCCGGGTTTGTCGATCACCGTAATGGCAAACCCCAGGCCTTGGGCGGCCTCGAAAAATCCTTGCGCGTGGTATGATCCCCCCTCGTATCTATGCCGGGCGGCAACAAGGGCCACCTTGTAAGCGGGTGGCTTCCTAGGGAGAGTCCAGTTGAACGATAGGCGCATCTCGAGATCTCTGCGGAGTAGCGCCCAGCTTGTGAGACTGGTTGTCGGAGTATGCTTCGCAACGATCACGCCTGGTGAAGAAGACAGCAGTGGGAGCAAAGAGAACTTGTCGCATCTGGAGAACGCCAGGAGACGCCTATCCCAGCTGCCGAAGGAGATGACGGTGTCGACGAACGTGGAGTGCCGCATCCGCACGTCCAGGATATCGCTCCGGCAGGGATATCCATCGGCCGTAGCGAGGACTACTTTCATCGCACTTTCTTTACCATAATCTGTATGAATGCGGCCAACGATGGTCTCGAGGACGGTGCCATTTGCTACAGGAAGATGTTCTTGTGCCCCGTTTTGGGTCGAGATGGACAGGACGCTCAGTATCAGATCGAGGCTGCGGAAGTAGCAGGCTGCATCGCCTTTTTGCGGCTGGTCGGAAAACTTCCACTGGCAGCGAACCTTTGATAGTGTATATGGAGCGGCTTTATCAAGGCCCGCCTGGTTGTCCGGGACGTTGATCAGGAAGTCCTCGCAAGTGTAATCTCGAATTCCGTTGAAGTAAGGAGCCATGATGATACGCCGGCGAGCGGCACTGGGAGATGTGTCTAGCACTGTGCCAGGAGAGCGGAATACAGGGCCGTGTCCTACCGGCCATAGTCTGTGCTCTCATATTTCAAGCGATGTGTAGCGCCTTGTTGTGTCTTTCAGCCTTGTACTTGGGGCCGTAGAGGCCTGCTTGACTAGATGTCCATGAATTAACACATGGATTTGTGTCTGACCGTGCATTATGCAATGTCAGCCAGTAGATGTGCCTGTGGCTGACATACCCTAACCCGTTCCAGCAGCTTCCTAGTAGCTGCCCACCCAAGAATGTCTCATGCGCCACCAGCTTCGACATCGCGTTTCTGAGATGCATCTTCGCTGCCTAAACTGCTTAGATAGCTATGGGCATGGACCTGTCTCCAAAGCTTGTAATTCTCCTGCTCTCTGCGCTGGTCATCGCAATCCTGCGCCTTCATCGCTTCTTCATCCGCCGTCAGTGCGCCAGCTGCCATGGTTGTCAACCGGTCGCGCGATCGTTCACCAGAGACCCCTTCCTCGGCCTCGATCGCATTCCTTGTACTCTGCGGGCCCTCAAGCAGCATAAAATCCTTGAACAAGGCTGTACCCTGTTCCGCACGTACGGCAATACATTCACGCTTAAGGAGCTACAGCGCAGTGTAATCCTGACAATTGAGCCGGAAAATATCAAAACCGTTCTCTCGCTCAGGTTCCATGACTATGGCATCCACTATCGCCTTGCGCCCTTTAAACCATTATTGGGAGAAGGTATCTTCAGTACAGACGGCGAGCACTGGGCTGAGTCCCGCGCGCTTATCAGACCGAGCTTTACGCGAGACCAGGTAGCGGATGTGAGGGAGTTGGAGGAGTTAATTGGGGATTTGTTTGCATTCCTGCCTAGGGATGGGACGACTGTTGTCGACCTGCAGGAGTTGTTTTTCAGATATACCATTGATTCTGCGACGGCCTTTCTGTTCGGGCAGTCTGTTGCCACATTAAAGAAAAGTCAAGAAGATCTCGGCTTCGCAGAGGCTTTTCATTATGCGCAAAAGGCAGTCCTCACACGGGGCACGCTAGGTCCGTGGATGTCGATTATATTTCCTTGTAATGACAAGGCTGACGAGTGAGATAGGTCCCCTCAATATGGTCTACCGTGATCGGAGGGCCGACGAGTGTAATCGGATCTGTCGGGACTTTGCACAGCAGTTCGTCGAGGAGGCTGTCCAGGCTGTGGAACTGAGCAAGAATACCAAAGGCATAGATGACGCCCAACCAGATACAGACGCAAAGCACCAGAAACATATCTTTTCCCACGAGCTTGCCTCGCGGACATCTGATAAACAGCGCATTCTGGACGAGCTTATGAATGTGCTCCTGGCCGGGCGCGACACAACCGCTAGTTTACTGAGCAACATGTTCTTCGTGCTCGCTAAGAATCGCGCGATATGGCATAAGCTCCGCGCCGAAGTTGCTGTTCTCCAGGGTCAGCCGCCGACATATAACGAGCTTCGTGGTCTTAAATACGTCCAGTGTTGTGTGAATGAGTGTACGGACCCTCCAAACCTTCAACTATCTCCTAGCTAATGTCTCCAGCTCTCCGCCTTCACCCTGTCGTCCCACGCAACGAACGTGAAGCCACCCGCGATACTGTCCTACCCTTAGGCGGTGGGAAAAACGGCCTCTCCCCTGTGTTTGTGCCAAAAGGCACTATCGTCAGTTATAATATCTATGCAATGCATCGCCGAACAGACATTTATGGCGCAGATGCTAACGAGTTCCACCCGGAGCGCTGGGAGGATGGCAAGCTGCGGCCACACTGGGGGTATCTGCCTTTCAATGGCGGACCACGGATCTGTATTGGGCAGCGCTACGCATTAACTGAGGTAGCTTACGTCCTCGTCCGGATGGTGCAGGAATTTGCGGCCATGGAGAGTGCAGATCCCGGGCCCTGGGAGGAGTCGTTAGCGCTAACGCTTTGTTCGAGGAATGGCGTTAAAGTTCGTCTTTTTCCTACTTAATTTAGGTGAAGTTGCTAGTCTTGAAAAATGTGAATTTGATATTGTATGGCACATTGATATACTAGTACCTGCCAACAGTAATGAACTGCATTCCGATATCCTGTTCCCTTCCTCATGCAGATCTCCTCCAGCCGCCATGCGGTCAGGGAATTCACAGAAACAGCGCGCAATGTTACCTTCACGGATCTTGGAAATCAACAATGTGCCCATTCCAGAGCCAGTGCCGCCGCCCATTCAGCCTCACGGCGAAACGCGTCCGTAATTTCGTCGACCAGTTCGGCGCCCTCGGTTTAGCGACCCTTGGCCCTGTTGTTTCCAGCACCCGACTGACCATATTCAATGCTGCGTGGCCAACAGTCAGGCCAACGGACTTCTCAGTCAGGCAGGCAAACAAGTCGTCGACAGTCAAACAACCTGGAAGCCCCTCGAACGGTCTTGGCAGGCCCACTGTGGCTGTCGAATAGCCTCGTGTGCCTGTCGATAGCCTTGTGTGCCTGCGTGATAGCCTTGCGGTATGACTGCACCGCTGCCCATAAGTATCTGGGATAGCATCGCACTGCTTTCGTGTTCTTTGTCTCTCGTCTTGTACTTTATAGTGCATTGGACAGTAATATCATTGTCGGATCTCCACTCTCGTTCCCTCGTACGTCCCCACCCTGACACCCTTCCTATAGTCCATCTCTAACGAACTTATAGATAGGGCGGCGCGGCCAGTGAAAGCTTCAGCCATACAAGTTCAACTGAAGAAGAGCTTAAATCAGTGACCTCCCAACGGCATGAACAAGACGACATCATCAACAATCACCTGGCTGGAGCTTACATTACCCATCTAGGGCACCTAGAAACTCAATGGAGCTAGGCCGGACAACCCTCTTACCTTACGTATGATCGAACACTAGTAAGGCCCCGAGTGTTTTACCACTCGGTTACGTCCTTGATAGGTCAACCACGATTTGGTGTCGATTTTGAAGCAGTTTTTGGCATTATAAAATATAACGTAAATCACTATCGAGTGGGTCGCACCCCCGAGTGGGTCGCTTCCCACCACCCCTCCATTTTGATCATCGAACAACCAGCAAGAATAAAGCTATATAGACTATTATGTAGAACAATCTTCATCTTTGTTGTCTCGAGCATGTGCGAGAGTTTGTATCCGAGCTCATTACACAGCCTGCAGCGCCGCCACGTGACGGTTTTGGCGATTACCACGCTATCATTGTTCCCTTCAACCTGCTCTACCTCGACATTCTCAGCTGCGAGCAAGCCTGTAGTTTTGATGTATGTTCTCTTGATCTTCCGCCGTTTTGTGACAGTCTCCAAATGCGCCTCGAGCTCAGCTATACGCTCATGTGCCAGCCTAAGAGCGTACATCGAATGCTCTGCCACTTTGGCCATTTGAATCGTTGCGACATTGGTCGGACTAGGGGGTGTGGATCGCCTTCCGCTTAAAACTCTTTTGTATAGTCTTATTCTGGGCATGAATTTGCGAAATATTTTGAGGCGTCTCGGGCACCTAGCCCTGCTCAGGGTCCTGACTTGACGGCGGGGGAGGGGGAGTAGGGGTGCGCACCGGAGCCACAATTATGTCGAGCACGGCGCTCGGATTGAATAGTATAAGGCCCGTGGCCTTGAACCCTGCTTGTATATTGCTTTCGGTGAGTGCACGTTGTCGTGCGCGGACAAACAATTCCACAAACTCGCTCTTGTCAAGATGAGCCTGCCCGAATCTCATGAGATTCTCCACCTCCTTGCAGCAAATTGGCTTTTCTTCGTACGTCTCCGACTCGGGGCGCGTATCCACTTGAGTCGATATCCAGTATCCATTCGGCTAACACGTCCTCCTCTTGATCAGTGAGTTTCAGGCAATTCGGACGCGTTTCGATCCGTGAACGAGTCCCATTTGCGACGGCGGCGGAGGGTTTCGCATGGGACGTCATACACGCGTGCTGCCTCTTTAACCGATCTAACTAAGCTGTCATCGAGCGCCTTAATGGCTAATAGAACCCTTCCTTCTTGTCGAGCACAAGAAGAACTCATGGTGGTGGAGTAATGAAGAGATAGAAGTATACAGGTTCATGATTTGGGGGACGCGACCCACTCGGGGGTGCCACCCATTCGGTAGTGATTTACGTTAAACTTGATTTTTTAAGGTCTGTCGTTGTGCGGCGACGCCAAGAACGATGAGCCGGCCAATCACGTAATTATATGGCTTGGCGTTATCACGTAACTAATTCCGGGATCACGTGCTTAACCCTCCGGGAGCACCCTATTCGATAGATATCGATATCCCCGATGTCGACGTGGTCCATGGATTGGATCCGATGGGTCGTGGTATTGCATCGGATCCAATCTGTGGGCCACCTAAGACGAGCTCTTACTGATCACACTCGAAATGGCTCGTAACGGGGCGTTAACGAACGAGCCTCGATATCGAGATGATCCATGGATTGGATCTGATGAAAGACCACCGCCGTCGGATCCAATCCGTGGACCATGTGGCCGGGGGGCATCCTACTCGATAGGGGTCGACATCCTGATATCGAGAAGATCCATGGACCATGTGCTCCTTGCCCCCCCAACCGGAGCCCATCGGATCCAGTCTATGGACCACCTAAAATAACTCTACTAATCACACTCGACACCCCCTCTAACCGAGCGTGAACGACGAGCCTCGACGTCGACATGGTTCACGGATTGGATCCCGATGAAATCCCCCTTTTCACGGATTAACCTTTTTCCTGAATCACGTGCTCACACGCCCCCTTTCCTCGTCGCCCATCGGATCCAGTCTGAACCACCCAACCTCTTTAACTACTTTCCGTGACCCCGTGATCACGTGCTCCCCTCCCCTCGAGGGTTGGCCTCCCGACTCCTCGTGTCAAACTGTTAGACAATAGCATTGAACAAATGCTAGCCAATCATTTACAACAGACTAGGATATATTGCAACACTCGCTCAATAAACTGTATCACCATCAACAGGCAGCAACGGTGACGTACGCTCGTTAGATAGATATATCTGGGGAATCCCTGCCTCCACTTCAATCCAGTCACTCTCGTGCCGGGGGTATGCGATTCGCGTGCGTCGACCGCGCAGGAAGCTGGCCACGAGGGCGACGGTCCACTCTAGGAGCCCCTTCCTCCTCAGGATCGCTAGTAGCCTTTCGTGTGAGACGCTGTCAAATGCTCCTTTGAGGTCCAGGCTCAGCATTGACACAACCAGAGTGGGAGTGCCTCGGGAAAGAGACTCTTGGCAGAGACTTTCGGACAACAGAGACTGGGTCTAAGCACAATTGAGCCTAGTTGTGCGAGCGTTGTCCGGTGGATGGCGAGGTACCTCAAATGCCTAGTAAAATGGGGGGTTTTTAGGTACCTTTCCATCTACTTTGCCTCTCTCGCATAATTGGCCCTATTGGTGCTTTTTCAAACGTTGTTGATCTATTTTGATAGAGCCTTTTGCACTCGCCTTTTATCCCCTACACGGTCGATACCTCGTGCTGACTAAGGTAACAAACCAGCGCCCATAGGCTTTGGGGGGACCGCCCATAAGTCGGGGGTGAAACCGTCCACAAGTCGGGGGGGAAACCGCCCATAAGCCGGGGGGGTTAACTGCCCCGCTTATGGGCGGTTCCCCCCAAAGCCTATGGGCGCTGGTTTGTTACCTAAGTCAAGCACGAGGTATCGACCGTGCAGGGGATATAAATTTTACCAGAGGAAAAGGAAGGAGGTGTGTATCCTGCTTCTCTGCCCCCTACCCGAAGATCACTTCTACGCGCTAGCATTCTACAAACACGCCACTTACCGTGGAGATTCGAACGTCGCTAGGTCAACGAGAACCAGGGTGAATAGAGAGGTATGCAGAACAATGCGCAAAGTGTGTTGATTGTACAGAATAAGCCGTGGAAGGAAGGTTGGTGTACAGAATAGGCGCTGCCCTCCTATCTCTCCGCTGATCTCAGTGATCCTTTTGATGATACTGACCCATGGGCTAGTAGGTGCTGCCGTCTCATCAGGGGTTCGCCCCCCTGGCTTCTCCTGCACCTCGCCCTGGGGGCGCCTGCGAGTTAACTGCTTGGCTCATGATTTGTGTGATGTCGTATTGGGTGTTTTTCTGCGCGCGACCGAGTCTTTTTTGACTACTGCAGTAAATATGAAGGTAGACTTATAGTCGTCCTTAAATGGTGGAATGGTACATATATATATATATATGCAAAATAAATAAAGTCTATGATGATCAATCCAACGCCTTATCCAACGCCTGGTTCTTACACATCTCATAATAATGCCCCCGTTTCTCAAGCAACTCGCCATGTGTCCCTTGCTCAACGATCCTCCCAGCCTGGAAAACGAAAATGCAATCTGCATCTCTCACCGTACTCAGCCGATGCGCAACAGCAACAGTGCTCCGACTCCTGCCTCCACTCTTCATTGCCTGGCTCAACGCAGCCTGCACAATCTTCTCGCTCTCCGTATCCAACGCACTCGTCGCCTCATCCAGGAGCAAAATCTTTGGGTCCCGGACCAGCGCCCGTGCAATGGCGACGCGCTGCCGCTGTCCGCCAGAAAGCCTGCCGCCGCGCGCGCCAACCTGGCTCTGCAGACCTTCCGATAGCGAAAGGATGAAGTCGAGGATGTTTGCGTCTCTGCAGGCTTGTTCAATTTTGGTGTCGGCTGCCTCTTGGCCCTGTTCTTCTTCGTTTTCCAACGTGGACAGCCCCAGGCCCATGGCTACGTTCTCGCGGATGCTGCCTTGATACAGAACAGGCTCTTGCTGGACGAGTGCTAAGCGCCGGCGATGGGCTCTTGGGCTTATCTCGTTGATTGGCTGGTTGTTGACAGTGATTTGGCCGGATGTTGGGTCGTAGAAGCGGGCGAAGAGGCTGATCATCGTGGACTTCCCGCAACCGGAGGGCCCGACAAAGGCGACGGATTTGCCCGGGGGGATGGTGACATTGATATCGGAGATAACGTTTGAGCGTGGGCGAGAAGGATAAGCAAAGGTAAGGGACTGGCACTCGAGAGCCGCGCCTACGGGTTTCTCAGAGGCAGCGTCGGGAGGAGACCCGTTGGAATCATCGGAAAAGTCATTGTTGATCGCTGGGACACGCTGACGAAGCCAGAAGACGTAGTTCGTCGAGCTGAATCCCCTCGTGAGGCTGGTCGTGTATTGGAACATAGCGGCTGCGTTCTCACCGCCAACAACGACGGCGATGTAAACGACGAAGAACTGTTCGTTGGTGTACTCGCCCGATGAGATCAGCTTCCCGCCGTACCAGAAGCTTAGGCCCATGGCGAGGAAGTTGATGGACTGCGTCAAGGCATACCACAGCATGGTAGAAATCAGGGCCCTAACCGATTTCTGGGCCACGACGTCTAGCTTTTCACGGTATATCTGGAGCATCGTGTTCTCGAGCGTCAGAGATGAGACCGTGCGAATCGCTGAGGCTGCCTCGGCTGCAGTCGTAGCACTATTGGAAAAGCGCATAGCAGTGTCTTCTTCTAACTTTGCCTCAAGGCGAATGCGGAAGTAACCACCCAGCAGCAGAGGAGGAAGGGCGCCAAACGTGCAGACGAGGCCGAGCTTCCAGCCGTAAGCGATGCCCAGGATCGAGACGGCGATGACCGTGACAAGGTTCACGAGAGTCAAGGCAGAGTTGATGCCTAGGAGGTCGTGTAGGTTCGACACGTGGATCAAGAGTCGAGAGCAGATGGCACCGGCGGTGTTGTGGTCCAGATCAAAAAAGGCAAGCTCCTGCTTCATCATGTCCTTGAAGAGTTCGCGGCGATACTTCCGGCCCACTCCCTGGATGATGATATTGACAGTCCATCCCACGGTGAAATACAGTACCAAGACCGCAAGGGCGAGGACGAAAGACATCAGGGCCCAGAAGTCTCCGCGATGAACTGCTTCGGGTCCACGGATTTGGAAGACTTGGAGAGTGCGCGCGAGGATGACTGCTTGTGCTGGGTACACGCCACCTCCAAGAAGACACGCGAAACCGACAATCGCGTATGCGCCCCATAGAGGCCGCTGCTCCTTAATTAACAGCCAGATACACTGGACGAGACCGTAGCCCAGAGTTTCATTTGGATGTAGGGCGACCTCCGCTTCCTCCCCCTCCTGCTTCTCGGTCCCGGTCAGACTCTTTGCGTGGTGCGACGGTATTTTTGCAGCAGACGGCGGCGTATTAGGCTCGCCCTCATCAACGACTGTCTCTTCTGAAACACCTGGCCCTTCAGTGCGACCTGCCTTTTCCAGATCCTGCGCCCGGACAAGTCTCGCATAAGAGCCGTCGCTGGCAATGAGTTCGCGGTGCGTTCCTTGCTCGATGATTCTGCCCGCGGACATGACAGCGATATTATCCGCCCGTTGAACCGTAGACAGCTTATGGGCAATGATAATGGTAGTTCGTCCGACGGAGATGTTATCGAGTGCGTTTTGGACGACTCTCTCAGCCTTCGGATCAAGCGCGCTCGTGGCTTCATCCAACAGTAGAACCGACGGCCGAGACACAATACTGCGTGCAATTGCAATCCGTTGTTTCTGCCCACCAGACAGCATGCGCCCACGCTCGCCGATCTGGGTATTATATTGCTGCGGCAGAGCCTCGATAAACTCATCTGCATAGGCATCTTTGCAAGCTTGTTGTATCAGGGCGAGTTTTTCCTCGTCCGAAGCTTCGGCGTGCTGTGTGCCTACCAAGCCAAAAGCGACATTATCGAAGATTGTCCCACTAAATAGGACTGGCTCTTGCTGAACAAGCCGAATGCGCGTGCGTAGCCAGGCGATGTTAAGGCTCTTAATCTCAATGCCATCGAGCAAGATCATCCCAGCTGCTGGATCGTACCAGCGCTCTAGCAGCCCTACTATCGTACTCTTCCCTGAGCCACTCGCGCCGACCAACGCCGTGGTCTTACCAGCCGGGGCACTCAGAGTCAGGCCGTTGAGGACTTGTGTATCGGGACGAGATGGGTACGCGAACTGGAGATCCTGCAGTTCAATCGCGCCGGTGCATTGATCGGGCTTCAGGCCTTCAGTCGATAGGGAATCGATAGCAGATTCCTTGTCGATAATGCGGAAGAGTTCGTCAGCAGCGGCGGCAGCTTTGGTGATGGTTATGATCTGAGGAGCAATGTGGGTGAGAGATGTGGCAGCAACAACAACTGCAAAGATAACGCTGTAAAGAGGTCAGCGATAACCACTAACATGGGAGAAGCAGGACAGGCATACGTTACAACATCACCGGGCTCCTCGACTTCACCACGAGCATACATCCGGATGCCCTGCCAGAAGGCAAGCCCGTATCCCGCGTAGACGCAGAAGAACTCGGTCGAGAACAAGATGCCATAGTTCGGCGACTTCTTTCGCCCGACACGCTCCAACTCAGCGAGGAACTCTTCATAGCGTTTTGCCATGACTGGCTGCAGCCAGAACGCTTGGACGGTTGCGATGCTAGAGAAGACTTCATCCACGACCACAGTCGACCGCGACAGGATACCCATCATCTTGTCCTCACTCTTGACCTCGATCCCCATGCAAACACCGGTGACAATGACGATGGCCGGAACAATCGCCATGGTGATGAGGGTGAGCTTCCAGTGCACGGCAAAGGCGACCACAAAAGCCGCGAGGAACGTAGCGCAGCTCTGGACGAAGATCGTGAGCTTTTCCGAAATGCCGTTTGTGACCAAGTTGCCGTTCATGGTCACCTTGGACGCCGGGGACCCGGCGTCTTTGGCGTCGAAGAAGCTCGCATCCTGGCGGAGGAGGCTCTGCAGAAAGTCTATCCGCAGTGCCTTGGTCGCACGAATGGCGCCGATCGAAGCGGTCAGGGCGTGGATGTAGACGAGGACGAATTTGGCGATGAAGAGATATATGAAGAAAAGGCTGGGAATGTTAGACTGGGCATAGAGCCGGCGCGTTGCCTGGAGCTGCAGATCACCTACGTGTAGTGCCCCACTTGGCTCATATAGTGGTCCGCGGTAACAGTGCCCGTTGCAAAATTGTTAAAGGTCGTCACGAACTTGCCGAACAGTAGGTCCATCAAAGGAAGGGCCGCGCCAGCAGCGATCGCGGTGGCGAACGCTACGTAGTAGAGAATCGAACTTGTTCGGTCGGCATAGCTGAAGATTCGCATATAGCTTTTGAAGCCAGATGGAGAATAGGGGTCTCCGTCCGGCTTGGAGTCGCCCTTCTTCTCGCTGGGCGACATGGGGCACAAAAGCGTAGGGAAGAGCAGCTCTACGCAGGAAAGCGATTAGGAGGTCGGGGATGGGATTCCAAATCTATCTCAATATGCCCGATTTAGATAGAATTGTGAGATGCACCCAGCGTTGGAAAGTGACATGCATATGGCTGACAGTCAGCCAGCAACCGCGTGCTGTTCCAATCGGGGCTGACAGTATACTACCGTGGCTAACATGTATAGCGTATTGAGTCTTCGATGACCCGAGGCTATACGGTCGCTGCTGACGCCGTGGTGTGCTTGCGAGGGCTGTGTAGTCTTATGAGCAGCTTCGTTCCTGCCTCGTATAGAGTCCCACAGCAGCAGCGCAGAGCGCAAACTATCAGACTGTATCAATAACCTCAACATGATTATCAACAGCAACAACAATGGCATTAGCATGAACGGCAATGCAAGTCACGACCCTACCACGACGAACGGCAACGCAAGCCACGACCATATCACTATGAAAGGCAACGGACACCACACAAACGGATACCACGCCAACGGGGCCATTTCCAACGGCAATGGAGTTCACATCAACGGTACCAATGGTAAAAACGGCACGCATATCGACCCAAACAAGGGTACCTTCTCCCCAATCGCAATCTGCGGTATGGCCTGTCGTCTCCCCGGCGGCATCGCCTCCCCAGAGCAGCTCTGGGACTTTCTCATGGAGGGGGGTGATGCACGCAGCCGCGTCCCAGAAAGCCGCTTCAACATCGCCGCCTATTACTCAGCTACCCGAAAGTCAGGAGCAGCCAATACCGAGTTCGGTTACTTCCTTGACGAGTCTGTCGACCTGGGAGCCCTTGACACATCCTTGTTCTCCATGCCTCGCGGCGAGGTCGCCAGATTAGATCCCCAGCAGCGGTTACTACTAGAGGTTGCGCGGGAGTCCATTGACGATGCTGGCGAGGTCGGCTGGAAGGGAAGCAACATCGGCGTTTATGTTGGGACTTTCAGCCAGGACTGGTATGATGCCTTCAACCAGGAGGCGCTGAAATACGGCATCTATCAAGCGACAGCGACGCATGACTTTATGATGTCGGAGCGCCTGTCTCACGAGATGGATCTACGCGGGCCTAGCATGACGATTCGCACGGCCTGCTCATCGGCGCTGGTTGGGCTCAATGAGGCCTGTCTGGCCATTTCCAGAGGCGACTGCAACTCGGCCATTGTCGGCGGCACCAGTATCATCATGGCCCCGGGACTGATGACTGCTATGGCCGAACAGGGTGTCCTGAGCCCCGACGGCTCATGCAAGACTTTCTCAGCCAACGCCAACGGCTATGCACGCGGCGAGGCTATTGTCTCATTCTATGTTAAGTCTCTCGATGCCGCTCTGTGTGATGGCAACCCCATCCGCTCCGTCATTGCGGGAACTGCCACCAACTTTGATGGCAAGACCCCGACGCTGTCAATGCCTAACACAGTGGCTCAGGAAACGTTGATTCGCCGCGCTTACAAGGTCGCCGGAATCGATGATTTTGGAAAGACGGGGTTCTTCGAGTGCCACGGTACCGGAACCAGTGCTGGTGATCTGGTGGAGACCAGCGCCGTAGCGTCCGTCTTTGGAGACCAGGGCGTCCACATTGGATCTATCAAGCCAAACCTAGGGCATTCCGAGGGAGCTTCAGGCTTAACTTCATTGCTGAAGGCCGTCCTGGCTCTGCAGTGGGGGACAATTCCTCCAAATATCAAGTCACTGCCGCTAAACCCCAAGATTCCCTTCGAGCACGTCAAACTGAAAGTCCCGCAAACACCGCTCCCCTGGCCTAAAGACCGTGAACAGCGTGTCAGTATCAACTCGTTTGGTGTCGGTGGTGCTAACGCCCATGTCATCGTGGAGTCGGCAGAGAGGTATAAACCCTCACGCCGAGCAGTTGAAGAAGTGCGATCACGATCGAATGAGCCACAACTGCTCCTCTACTCGGCCAATACCGCACAGTCCTTGAACGACATAATCCAAAAGCACCAGACTTTCCTTAGTAACACCTCGCTAGACTTCGCCGACATCGCATACACCCTCGCGAACAAGCGAGAGCACCTTGGACATAGGGCATTCTTGGTCGCCACTCAAAACACATTCGAACCCAGTACCCCCATGTCCTCGTATAAGACCGGCCCTCCTGGCTCCCAGGGCCCACCTTCCGTGGTCATGGTCTTCACTGGCCAAGGTGCCGCCTGGCCCCAATTTGGCCGCGAGTTGCTCCTTACAAACATCACCTTCTCCCAGACCATCAAGGCCCTGGACAACCATCTTCGGAGCCTGGGAGCGCTGCACCAAACTGGTCGCTAGCCGAGGAACTTGTCAAGCCGGCCAAGACTAGTCGTGTTTACGAGGCCGAGTTCGCGCAACCCCTTTGCACGGCTGTTCAGATTGCGCTGGTTGATACACCTGCAACTTTAGGAGTTCAGCCTGCCGCCGTTGTCGGCCATTCCAGCGGTGAGATTGGGGCAGCATATGCCGCAGGCGGGCTTACAGCACAAGAGGCTATCGCTATTGCCTTCCATCGTGGAGCAACAACCAAGGTGCAGACCCAGGCTGGTGGAATGGCCGCGGTAGGCTTGGGCTGGGATGAGGCAGCGGAGTTTTTGGTGCCTGGTGTTGTCAGAGCTTGTGATAACTCGCCCAGCAGTGTGACTTTGTCTGGAGATGCCGACAAACTGGCCTGTGTCGTTGATGCTGTGAAGCAGGGCGGGCCCGGAGTGCCAGTCACCACCCTCAAGGCTGAAAAGGCATACCACTCGCACCACATGGAGGCTCTCGGCGAAGATTACGAACAGGCCATGGTCGAGTCAGGCGTCGTCGGCAGCGCACCTCTGATTCCGTTCTTCTCCAGCGTTACTGGAATGCGCTTTGGACTGAAGGAGGATGACAAATTCGGACCGAAGTACTGGCGTTCCAACCTCGAACGCTCTGTGCTCTTCAGGGCAGCCGTCTCTGGCATCCTGCACTGCCCTGAGATCACCAACGAAGTCCTGCTCGAGCTTGGCCCGCACCCTGCACTTGCCGGTCCCTTGCGCCAGATCCTAACACACAACTCAAGCAAGGCTCCCTACATCGCCACTCTCATGCGCAATCAGCATGGCGTTGAGGCCTTCCTCCAGGCCCTCCGCAAGCTATACACCATGCATGTTGACATCGACTTTAAGACCCTGATGCCTCATGGCTCAGCTGTTTCCGACCTCCCGCGTTACGCTTGGGACCACCAGCGCATGCACTGGTATGAGTCTCGAGTATCTAAGGAGTGGAGACACCGCGAATACCCTGCCCACGATCTGCTCGGTATCAATGTGCCCGAGAGCACCGAGCTTGACCCAGTGTGGCGCGACCTCCTGCGCGTTGACAACACGCCCTGGCTGTGTGACCACAAGCTCCACGAGGGAATTGTCTTCCCCTTCGCAGCATACGTCTCCATGGCCGCCGAAGCCGCACGGCAGGTCTCCGGCATCCTGGATGGAGTGAGCCTCAGGCATATCTCCGTGAATGTAGCCCTGCTGATCAACGAAGATACGCCGACCGAGCTCGTCACATCGCTGCGCCACCACCGGCTGACAGACTCGCTCGACAGCGACTGGTGGGAGTTTAATATCTCATCGCACAACGGCCACGTCTGGACGAAGCACTGCACCGGCGAAGTACGCGCAGAGTCGGCCAAGAGCGTGCCCACACCTCACCCAAGCCCTGAGTCACTCCCTCGGAAGGTGGACATGACAAAGTGGTATGCGACGCTGCGACGCCAAGGGCTCAACTACGGTCCTCTCTTCACTACCCTCGAGGAGGTACGGTGTTCCACAGGCGAGGCGCACACTGCCTTCGGAAGCATGCGCAATAACCGCTGGGGCGACGAGAGCCAGTACCACCTGCATCCTGTTATTCTGGACTCCTACTTCCAGATGCTGAGTATCGCACACAGCAACGGTGTAGCCCATACTTATAGGCGCCGAATCCCCGCCAGCGTCGAGGGCTTGACGCTGTACCGCTCCGCCGAGGACAAGCTCGATCTGGATGCCACGGTGGTCTTCACTGAAGACGGATTAATCGGACATGGTTCTTGCTCGGCCAGGGGGAATACCATTCTCAAGGCTACGGGGGTGCGCGTGACGCTTTTCGATGGCCCCGAGGGAGACGATGAGGCGAATCCGATGCCCATCACCGCCCGATGCGAGTGGGTACCGCATATTGATTTCAAGAATACCGCCGAGTTGATCCAGGAGCCCCAGGGTCTTGCAGAGGCCCTTCCCCGTTTAAATGAGCTTGCTCAACTGGCCATCGCTCTCTCGCAGCTCTTAACCAGAGGCATCGACGTCCAGGACCCATCGCTGGCGAAGTACAAGGCGTGGTTGGGTCAGCAGTCAACCTCCCAGATCAACATCGACACGCTCTCTCAGGGCTTAACCACCCTTGTGAGGAATCTCAAGGGAACGCCCGCTGCGCACGCCGCTGAAGCAATTATGACTGTCTTCAACAACATTGGATCCCTCCTGAAAGGCGAAGAGACTGGATTCCAGATCCTGAACGCCGCCGCCGATGGCAACCTAGAGAAGCTCAAGGCCTTCCTCAACTACTACGACCACTCCAAATACCTGCAGTCTCTCTCACACAGCAAGCCCAACCTGCGCGTCCTCGAGATCGGTGCCGGGCTCGGCGACGGCACAATAGAGATCCTCAAGAACCTAGCTAGACCCGACGGCCAAATTCTTTACTCGCGGTACGTCTTCACCGACAGTGCTCAGGCGATCATCAACATAGCAAAGGAGCGTCTGAAGGGCGTTCCGAATATGGAATTCGCGACGCTGGACCCTAGCCAGGATGTCGCCGGCCAGGGATTTCAAGGCCGCCGATTCGACCTCGTCGTCGCTGTGAATGTCCTGAATGCATCTCCTAGCGTGCGGGACAGTCTGCGGAATGTTCGGGCACTGCTTGCCCCCGAGGGCCGCTTGCTTCTGCAAGAACCAACCCCTGCACAGCCATGGGCCAAGTTCGTCCTGGGTACCATGCCGAGCTGTTGGAGCCATGAGCAGGACGACCGGGCCTATGAGCCCTTCGTGAGCACAAAGAGGTGGCAGGAGGAGCTGCAGGCCGCTGGATTTGAAGACGTGGAGCCCGTCACCTCCGAGTCTGAGGCATTGGTGAACTCAGTCATTGTTGCCAGAGCGGTGCAGCAGAAGGTGCCGGTGAAGCGTGTTACGCTACTTAAGAACAATGTGGGCTCGGCAGACGGTGCCGCTCTGGTCCAATCTTCTCTGGGTTACTCGGCCTTCCAGCATCGGCAGCTGCGATCCGAAATACGGCTCGGTAATCGGTCTGGCTCGCACACTGCGTTCTGAACGGAGCATTGACTTTGCTGTCTGGGAGGTCGACGATGTCAACTCTCCCGTGGGCTCAAAAGCCCTGTTGAGCGTTCTGCAGAAGTTCCAAGCACGCCAACACGACGAGGCCGCATTGGATCCGGATTACGGGTATGCGATCTAAAACGGTCAGGTTCTTACCAACCGCATCTTCCCCTTCTCGCTCGACAGTGAGCGCTCTGAATCAGACTCATCCGACGAAGCAGCCTTGACGATCACCCAGCAAGGCCGCATGGACACCCTGCGGTGGGCTGCGTCGTCCGCCGTGGATCCTAAGGACAATGAAGTTGAGGTTGAGGTACATGCCACCGGGTTGAACTTCCGGGTAAGTCAAGTTGCACACCTCGGGGAAACAATAGATCACATTTCTCACTTTGGGACCAGGATGTCCTCGTTGCAATGGGAATTATCGAACGCAACCGGCCAACATTCGGTTACGAAGCCGCCGGTATCGTCCGCCGTGTTGGCAAGAACGTCACGAAGCTGCGCATTGGCGACCGTGCCGCCTTTATGGGCATGGAGACCTTCTCGACAGTTGTGACCGCGCCGGATATGCTCTACGAGAAACTGCCAGACAACATGAGCTTTGCCGAGGGTGCTTCGATGCCTTTAGCCTTCACGACCTCCATCTACTGTCTCATCACCGTTGGACGACTTTCAAAGGGCCAGGTAGGAGAATAGCATGTGCTGTGGCATTTGCCAGGCTTGATGCTAATAGATTTTCAGTCAATCCTCATCCACAGTGGTTGCGGTGGAGTCGGACTGGCCGCTATCCAGATCGCCCAGATGCTCGGCGCCGAGATCTTCACGACCGTGAGCAGCGAGGAGAAGACCCGCTACTTGAACGAGACCTACGGAATCCCTCGAAACCGGATCTTCAACTCCCGGAGCACCTCTTTCGTCGACGATGTCATGCGCGAGACCAACGGCCGGGGTGTGGATCTAGCCCTCAACTCCCTCTCCGCCGAGCAGCTGCATGCAACATGGAGTTGTATTGGCAAGTGGGGAACAATGGTTGAGATCGGATCTCCTGGGAGCCGCGAAGCTCGATATGACCCCGTTCCTGGCGAACCGGAACTACTGCTGCGTGGACCTCGACCAGATGAGTCGCGAGAGGCCACACATGGTTGCTGACCTCCTTCGCGACATGATGGAGTTCTTCCGGCAGGGCCATGTCAAGCCTGTGCGCATTGTGCAGGTGACCAGCGCCTCCGCGATCCAAGATGCGTTCCGGTACATGCAGCAGGGTAAGCATATCGGCAAGATTATCCTGCAGGTGCGCGATGACACCGGCGGGCTCGATCTGGGAGAGATCGACAAGACCAAAAAGGGTGGTGCTCAGCTCGACGGGGAAGCATCCTACCTGCTTGTCGGTGGCCTGGGTGGTCTGGGCCGTGCGATGTCACTGTGGATGATCGAGCAAGGTGCCAGGAACCTGACCTTCCTATCCCGCAGCGCCGGCAAAGCCCAGCGTGACCACGACTTCGTCAAGGAAGTCGAGAGCCTGGGATGCACTGCCCAGCTGGTCCAGGGAGACGTTACGAACCTGGACGACGTCGTGCGCGCAGTCGAGGGCGCCGTGGCTCCTCTGAAGGGAATTACCCAGATGTCCATGGTCCTACGCGACCAGATGTTCGACGGGATGAACATCGAGGACTGGCATGTTGTCCATCGCCCCAAGGTCCAGGGAACCTGGAATCTGCACGAGGCGACTCTCTCTCGCAACATCCAGCTCGACCAGTTCATCCTCTTCAGCTCGCCGTCTGGAATCATCGGCAAAACCGGCCAGGCAAACTATGCCAGCGCCAATACTTTCCTTGATTCCTTCGCGCAGTACCGGAAGAGCCAGGGCCTTGCCTGCACGGCCATCGATCTCGGAGCTATGGACGGCGTTGGCTATCTATCCGAAAACCAGGATCTTCTCCGGAAGATGCAAGATACCGGCTGGCGCGTTGTGCAGGAGGCCGAGCTCCATGAAGGTCTGGAAGTTGCCATGACGACCCCCGCTCGCGACAGCTTCCTCCTCGGTATCTCCCGAAGTGTGCCACTCAGCAGCCCGGACAGCAATGGCTGGTTGCGCCGCGACGCACGCATGGCGGTATACCACACTGTCGGCAGCGGAGCCAGCAAGGCAAGCTCTGCGAACGACGGGCTGCGCTCATTCCTCAAGTCCGTCAAGAACGACCCGAACGTTCTCAAGTCCACCGAGAGCGTGAACTTCCTTGCGGTAGAGATCGGGCGGAAGCTGTTCAGCTTGCTGCTGAAGCCGGAGGATGGGGAGATAGGCATCAAGATGAACACGGCTGACCTTGGTCTAGATTCTCTGATTGCTATGGAGCTGCGGAGCTGGTGGAAGCTGAACTTTGGCTTTGATATCACGGTGTTGGAGATGCTGAGTATCGGGAATTTGGAGGCTCTGGGAAAGTTTGCGGCCGAGAAGCTGCTGCAGCTGCATGATCTTTAGGCTGAATACATTAAAAGTAGGTAGCCAGTTGATGCAGTACCCTGTGCTTATTACGGAATTACCACATAGTTGAATTGATTTGATACTCACATAAAAATATCCAAGCTAAGCTGTCCAGACATATCTTGAGCCATCCATCCTGGTCCATAAATCAACCCTCAATACATACAAGTCATAGTGCTAATACGCAAATCAAACATTTCAGACATTTAAGTAAAGCCATCAAGATATACAAGGTCATCAAGATACATAAAACCTTTTATCATAGCGAAGTAAAGGTACCAACAGATACAAACCGAGCAATTAAAATATATATCAAACCACCAGTATACTCAGCCAAGTTGCTAAAATATACAAATCAACCCATCAAGACATAGATTGAATAATCAAGCTACCGAAGTTCAGTCATCGATATACACGAGTCAAGCAATCAAACACAAATTAAGGGATCAACTCATGTAACGAGGGAACCTTCGCTCTCAGCTCGTCCATGATCTCCTTGACGACCACCTTCTTTACAATTTGCGCATTCTCACTATTCAAGTTCGGCGCCGCTAACCCACGGTATTCCTCCTCAGTAAAAAGCGACTGTATATTCTTTCCCTGTTCGTCCAGAGCTCGTTAATATTCGTCCACAAAGCATGCGGAGATGAATCTCACGTGTTGTTCCTGCGACGCGCACGCTGCAGTGACATAAAATCGAGCCCCATAGTCTGCAGACTTTCCCAGAAATCCCAGGTAGATAGGCACTACGATCTTCATGAGTGGCGAAGACTTGACGATGGAGCGAGCAATATCTGTGGCCACGAGGCCCGGGCAGACAGTGTTTATGATGACGAGCACTCTGTCACGAAAAAACGAGTCAGACCAGCTCGAGCAACAACAGAAGCAAGGGACAACAAAAATACCGTCCATCAGTTGCCACCGCTTGCTTACACAATTCCTCGACCGCGTACATCAGCATCAGCTTGCTGTTAGCGTAGTTCGGATCCAGCTTCCCCACTGGCCAGTTATCCCTGCTACTGAAATGTCGAAGAACGCCCTCCTTCGCCCCATACTCAGCCCACCGCGAGATATCCGGATCGAGGTGGTCCCGCGAAGCGACGAAGACAAGATGCGGCGGTCGTTGCCCATTATACGTCATTTCCTTCATCCAATCGAGAAGCAGCAGGCCAAGCAAAGTCGTGCTCAACGTGTTTACCTGGATGGTTTGCTCCCTGACCCGTCTCACATTAGAAACTAGCACCAACAGGTCTAGGCCAAGCTCGGAAATGCAAATGCAACCATGCAGAACAGAAAATACGTACCATCCTTCAGTACTCTCCACGAAGGCGGGATTAATCACACCAACATTCAACACTGCGTAATCGATCCCCCTCCGCCCGGGTTCGCTCTGCTTCAGCTCATTGACAAGGGCAACGCAAGAGTTGTATTCGTTCATATCCAGCTGCAGGGCGTGGATCTTGCCGGGTGGCGCACCGGTGTACTGCGCAATTTGCCCCCTGGCGGCCTCGCCTTGCGCTTTGCTGCGCGATGTGATAATTACAGTTGCGCCAAGTGTTGTAAAGTGCTGTGCTGCCGCTAGGCCAAGACCAGCAGTCGCGCCCGTAACAAGGACCGTCTGCCCATCGAATGAGCCTGGCGGGGGCAAGGACTCTGGCCAGAGTTTGTCGCGGAGACGACCAGGTAGCGTGTAGACCATTGTGGCGGCCCCGGATTGAATTGGGATATCCAGATGCTCGTGAGGCTGAAGTTGCACTGTCACTTAATAAAACTGAGTCAGGCCATTTCCGGGTAACTTGGCAGTGGATATTGTTACGTTAATAAATTGGCAGAATATGCACGGTCAGCCACGCGCCGCCTAAGATCACAGCTTCCCGGTCAGACACCATCAGCACTCTCGTCAGCAAGAGCTTAATCCGACACTGATCGATTGAGATTGTAGCAGCGGTCGCACGTCATAGTAAATAACAAGCTGATGATGGTAATGCAATCTGATACAGAGTACCAAAGAAACCAGGCTGTGAACCCCCAAATTAGACCTGATATATGGCAAGCCCAGTTGCAACCAGCCAACCCCTTCAAAGCCTATTACACACGATAATGCCCTTGTCTCATTAGGCTAGCCTACTCTGCCTCACAAGCGCCAATTCCCATCTGTCGCCCAAAATGTACTACGCCATCTTCCTCAAATCCTGGCTGCAGGAACAGACCCCACGCGCCTCCTCCATGAACACCGCCCCAGCCTTCTACCGCAGGCTCGAGCAGTCGCTGGACGTTGCGCGCAAGGAAAACGGCCTCATGACGATCAAGCCGCGCTGGGACGACAGCGTCGTAGACCTGACAACCAGCGACTTCCTCTCGCTCAACCGCACAGGGCGCATCCGCGAGGAGTTCACGCGCGAGCTCGCCCGCCACGACGAGTTCCAGCTTAGTGCGTCGGGCTCGCGCGTGCAGTACGGGAACTACGACTATCTACTTGAGACGGAGCGCATGGTGGCGGAGTTCCACGGGGCCGAGACGGCTTGGATTGCGCACTCCGGGTTCAATGCGAATGTCGGTGTGCTCGAGGCGATTCCGCTGCCTGGGGATGTGATTGTTTACGATGAGCTGTCGCATGCAAGCACGAATCTAGGGATGAAACTGAGTGTGGCGGCGAAGAGGATTCCCTTTAAGCATAACAGCGTGGATTCGTTGCGGGAGGTTCTGGTGGAGTTGAAAAACGGCGATGGCGGCGCGGCATTTGTGTCGGGGATGCAGTCAGTTCTCATTGCTGTTGAGTCGATCTACAGTATGGAGGGCGACATCTGTCCACTGGTCGAGTTTGTTGAGCTGGCGAAGGAGATGTTCCCTGCTGGGAATGCGCAGTTTATTATCGACGAGGCGCACAGCAACGGTGTGATCGGTCCTAGGGGAGGCGGCCTGGTAAGTCTATTTGTATCTCTTGCTCGTGGACGATTATGGTATTGACTGGGATGCATAGGTCCAAATGCTAGGTTTGGAGAAGGAGATCGCCATCCGCGTGCATGTGTGCAGTAAGGCGTTGGCATCGACGGGAGGCAGGTTTCCAAAATGCCCTGCTCCCTACACAGCGCCTGCTAACAATCCCAGGTGTTATACTCTGCAACAAGACCGTTCGCGCGGCGCTCATCCATAACTCCAAGACGCTGACTTACAGCGGCGCCCCCTCATTCCCAATGGTCGCATCCATCCGCTCCGGATACCAGCTCCTGATAAGCGGTGCCACAGAGCAGGTACGTATAGAACGCCCGAACAGCCCTGCCCAGGTTCTGAAGGGCTACAAGCTAAGAAATCCAATCACCACAGGCCCAGTCCGCTATCCAGGACATCGTAAAATACTTCTTTCAAACAATTACCTCCGACCCCATCTGCGAGGAAGCAATGGACGAAGGCCTCCTGACACTCCCGCTCGTCGAAGACTGGGAGCAGCGCACAGTGCACTCGCACATCGTGCCCATCAAGACGCGGCCGCGCCATGAACAGTATCTGGCCTTCCACTTGGGTATGATGAAGATGAACGCCTATAGCATCTCGTACCCGGTTGTGCCCAAGGGCGGGAGTCGCGTGCGAGTGGTGCTGCATGCGCACAACACGAAGGAGCAGATCGAGCATCTGGTTTCGGGGATCTCTTCGTGGGCGGGGGAGATGCTGGAGCTTGAGCGGGAAAAGGATGGGTTGCCCAGGGCTGCTAGGCAGGTCTTTGCCTTGCAGACGTCGCTGGCAGTGTAAATAGCACTCCAGCTTTTGGTTTTGGTTTTGGTGGAATTTGAATCGTTTCTTGTTCTTTTAGAATATACAAATCTTTACTCCGTACAAGCGTTAAACTCATTTATGTGACTGTCTAATCATCATTGTAAAACCCGTGCGTAAAGCAAAACAACCAAGACCACCTGAGCCATCTTATCGCAATATAGCCCCTGGGGGCCAGCCAATTCAGTCAAAAGGGGCCAAAGATGCAACATCTATGACCGAGTCAGTTAGCACAATCAGCCCCCGCCACGTGTTGCGTTGCCACTCACCGAGTCCTGATACGTCTCCATCTGCTCCGCCAGTTTCCTTATTTCCTCTAGTCTATGACCATTCCTCCCCTTGAATACCTCCCGGTCGCTGTCCATCTCGTTCTCGTCGTGGTTATTAAAGAGCAGCCAGCCCAGCGTCGAAAGAAAATTCCCCGGTTCCACGGGAAGTAGATCAGGGCTCATGCTCTTATTAACGCGGTCGATTTCTTGGACGCAGAGGGATGCTACGCCGCGCGGCTTGCCGTTAGCACTGATTCCTTCACTCCACGCAGGGACTAAAAAAGGGGCAGCAGGCAGACTCACTTGCAGTATCCAAAAGACCCTCGTAGAGCCCGCGCGACTCCCGTCTTGGCCATTGCCCACTGCATTCCTGGAGGGCCTGTAGTACCGTCTTGAGGCGTCGGCTGCGACTAGCGCACTGGGAGATGGCGGGCAGGCTGTTAGTCGTGAATTGTCCGGTGTAATAAGCTACGGCCATCTGGTCGAAGTCCTGGAACCCGGCCGCACGCATTGCGTCGAGGAGGGTCTCGAAGCGCTCCGTGACGTCCTGGGTGTCTGTACTACGTTTAGAAACTGCGCTGACGTCTCCTGATGATGATGCAGCAGATGAGGATGAGGATGTGGCTGGTTCTGTTGCTGAGCTTGTTCCTCCAGCTCTTGGACTGCTGTCACCACTAGGTCTGGTTCTGCTGTTGCTACTTATCAGCATAGGCGGGATAGGTAGCACGGCGATTAGTGTTGCACATACGTTTTCGAGGAAGAAGAGCTACTCGTCGCTTCGTGGTGGGCGAGGAGCTGTGGGCGTTGCTTTGACTCACTGGGGGAACAGCTGCGCGATCAGCTTAGAATATCCACGACGATAGGATAATACACATGTCCCAAAGAGGGCAAGAAGTAGGCCAACAGCCCTATATGACATAAAATATAGATGCTTACCCATGGTTTGCGGCGTTGTACCGACCTCCCGGGGTCGGAAGCGGACCAGACTCTGCTCGGGGATCAACGTCGGATCCGACTTGGCAATCGCCACGCTGCTGCTGCTGGATATGGGGCGGAGAAGCCGCACCGCCTAAGATGTGAGAGCGAATCTGTTCCAGGTGGCCGGCGCAAGGTCCCGTCGTGCTATTACAGTTACATCGCGAGACGGGTAAGCTCGGGTAGGAGTGTGGCGGCATGGGGTTTTCCGTAGTCGTTGTCAGGGTCATTGCCATTACCGGGTCTGCGTGAGGCCAGGCTGACGAGCTTGGCTGGCCTGAAGCATCATACGACATGATATTGTTCATCATGGCGAGGGAGGGTGGGGAATTGGGAACGGAGGAGGCAAGGTTGTGAAAGTCCATATAGCTGAGATCATCGACACCGGCGTCTGTCGGCCAATGCAGATGCTGGGAGGGCGCCAGGCCTTCTTGGGGGTTTGGATCGTCGACGTGTCTTTCTCCCTGCATTCTGTCCATGTCTTCGAGGGTACATGTCAGGTTGTCCTCCTTCATTTTCCGGCCTATATCGCCAATGGGTGCAAAGTAAGCAGATGCCATTGCGGGAGCGGGTGTTTTCTGAGGGTCCGTACGGCGGTTCCTTTGTGATATTCTGTTCTGCAGTCTGCTTTCCTGTCAAACTGGGTACAGTAGAAAGCCAAGGACAGGTACAGATGCGCCTACCTTCTTCTTTCTACTGCATGGGGGTTAGTCGAGCGCCCCGAAGGCTGTGCAGGCTTCGCCGGCTTGCTTCCTGTCGATAACATGGAGATTGTCGAACAAGGTCTCATTGAACGGCCGGATAGTAGCAAGTGCCCTTTGTTGAAAAGGGGGTTATCACCCCTATGCAGGATTTAGGGGTAGAAATAGGAGAAGAAAAGGGGTCAAACTAACGTGTATATATACCAGCAACCTGGCAGGACTGGTTGTGGGGTAGACAGAGCATTCAATACATTTCAAGTTGTTCCCTAGTTCGACAGAGATCAACCGTTGAGAGAATGGATGCAGAAATGCATGCACATTGGGCTATGGAGACTTTGTCTACCCGAGACTATCTAAGGGTGAATGAGTGACTTAAATACACAGCTGCTGCTCCTGCGTGGCTCCAGACTACGGCAGGCTGCAATGCGGGGGTATAGCGGGCATAAGTACAGTCTGGACTATACAACATCAACCATTCGGAGTTTGATAGCCGGGTTGTGCGTTTATCAATTGGGTAGTTGTAACACCCAAATATCACGCCACGAATCCCCGGCCGCCACAAAAGTGGCAGGAAGGGGGCTGGAAGCCGAAAATGGGCAAAGAGATGAAAGGATCGAAAGGTATAAGAAGAGCCTTAGATAGACAGGTTTCAGTACATTGCCATTCCACACCCTACCTTATGCACTCGCAGCGATTTGTGATCCCCTTGTGAAAGACCATTACCCTTCGTTAGTATCGTTGCTATAGCAGTCGTCAGCTCGGGATCGTACCACAACAATGTCTTTCTTTTGCGGCGGGGATAGTATAAGACTATAGTGCCACGGCAGCTACGGTTCAGGCATGGCAGTCGTCACGACGGGCCGCGCCACGCCTGCCAACCCAACCCCCCCCCCCCCCTCCAAATCTTAAACACGCTTCTAACACATGTGTCGAGCTCTATTATTCGCCGTTCCCTGTGAGCACACAGGGCATGAGGGGGGGACGGCATTTGCTGTCGTCCACTGTCAACTTGGACTGCTGTGCCGCAGGTCTCTTTTGGTTACACAGAGCCAGGAGAGGTCGCTTGCTACGTAGTCTCCACCAAATGCGGGGGACTCAACGGGCTCAGATCCCTGCCGTAGTCCTCGAAAATAATTCTAGTATCCACAAGAAAGGTTAATTGGCTGCTCTCGTGGCTCAAGCGCAAATGCTCTTAGGCGCAGAATACGTAGAATTAACAACTAAGATGCACAATTTCAGAATAGCGCTGCAGGTGCAGTATATAGCCGACCCGGGAGCACATTTCCGAGACCAGGGCTTTGCCTAACTAGATACGGGAAGCGACAAATCCGCGGCCAAGTCAGTATCTTTCTAATAGGGCCCTATTAGAGAAGCCTAGCTTGAACCTCCCCACAATTTTGGGCCTTTAGTAAGCGCCTGCGTTTGTCCTTTTGAGTCTGCAATACTCCGTACGAAGGTACCTTTCAAAAGTCTTTTTCCTAGGCCGTGCGCAGTGGCTTTTTTAGCGCGCATTGGCGCATACTGTTTCTTTAGTACTAACCCCCCCCCCCTGAATAAATGTCCTGCAGGGCCTTGTTGGCGTCATAATACTAACTAATCCCAGTACAGCCACATTACTAATCAAATCGCTCAGAAACTCCTAGATTTACCGCTTCTTTTACAATTTGTTACGATTCTTGTCGGCAGAATATCCCCACCATCATTTTCCCAATGGACTCGCAGCAGATTACTCCTCGCACCCCTACAGCGCCGAGGCATCGGAACCTCGAAACCTCGCGTGATACACGTATCGTGATTCAAACTGCACTCTTATTCCAAGTTCCATACGAACAAATCCGTAAGAAGTTGAATGTTACAGATCGCCAGGTTAAGTGGTGTCGAACTGGGGAACAACTTGAAATATATTGAATGCTCTGTCTACCTCACAACCGGTCCTGCCAGGTTGCCGGTATATATTTTGGAGGGGTGATATGGGGGCTGCCAAACCAGCACCTGTCTCGACTCAAATCAAACAACCAACACACCACACAACAGGCCAAAGTGGGAGCGCGAGCTTAAGGATCACTCCAAAAGGCAGGTAGGTAAGAGCGTCAAGGTACACGAATATAGGCTAATAACAGTTGTGCCCAAAATGTCTGTTGCTGTCTCTGCCGTTGTTGCGTATCTGTCATGCATGTTGCTCCTCCTTTTTCCTGTGTCTCCCTCCGAAAGAGAGCCATCTGTTCAACATTTGCACTGTTTGCTTACTCTGTCACGTGACTGATTGGCATAGGCCGACCTCACCCCATCACCACCTTCGCGGCCACACCACCTAAGCGGCCAAAATACCCCATATACTGTACGCGAGCACACCTACTCTACGGCTGTTGAACAGTATTTGAAGAAATGGTGACCAATCATTCATGACAGACCAGGTTATTTTGCAGCACTCGCTCAACTAGGCCGTATCACCATTGACAGGAAACAATGATGACGTACACTCGTTAAATAGATATATGGACGGGGCTCTATTCTGTACTCATTAGGAGAGCCAGAGCACTCTTTCAATCCACGAAGTTTGACAACGGCCCACAAAATTGGCGGCAAACAATAGCTGTCAAACTGGGGAACAACTTGAGATATATTGAATGCTCTGTCTATCTAGCAACTGGTCCTGCCAGGTGTCGGACTTTCTGTGCAACTTGAGATGAAGGAGCGCTCTGTTCCCTATCTACCTATCGAGGTGTTGAGGCTCCTTTTATAGACACACGAATGCTACACTGTTGCACAGAGCAACCATCTGTAACGTCGTTGCCTATGGAGACCTCTCATCATCCAACACCAGGTTGCTGGGATATATACACATTGGGTTGACCCCTTTTCTTCTCCTATTTCTACCCCTAAATCCTACATAGGGGTGACAACCAAGGGGCACTTGCTACTATTCGGCCGTTCAATGAGACCTTGTTCGACACCTTTGTGTTCAACACAATTCTGTCACGGGACCACGTGCCAAGGGTTACAGGAAAGGTGTGAGTCTGTACACCACCTTTTGTTATTAAAGCGTAGCGTTTAGCGAAGCTTTTTTAGACTCCGACCTAGGGATCAATTGTGTTCACGTGACTAAAAAAGGCAAGTCCCGTGACCTGGTCCCGTCACATCACATGACCTCGAAGCCTTGGCAATCTCCATCGTAGTGACCCCGGGGGTTGGAGGGCTAAGCGCCAATCCTTCCACGACCCCTAGGTAATCCAAAAAAGCGGGTCCTGTTATTCTGTATACTGATCACGTGACGCGCGTTATTCTGTACACCGCCTCTAATTGGTCCGGATTTTAGTTTTTCCGGTTGTCTGCGTGATTCGCAGACAAGTAAAGGTGTTGCCTGAATATCCGCCTTCGGTTTAGGCGGCGTGCGTCGCATGTTATCGCCTGCATCCTTCTATGCCGCGCCGGTGCCCCTCCCGGTCAGCTACTTCAAAATATCCTCAAACCCTGATCCTCGACGCAGCCCGTTTCGGCCCCAGACTTGCAACTCCCCCCCAAGTCTCCAACTCCTACGTGACACATTTGGTTCCACCGACAGCACGACCTGCAGGCCCAGCTGATCCTGTCCATCTACACCTTTACCCAAGATGTCTGAAGCGATCGGCGACAGTGCGTCTCATTGTACCGCCTGGCCAAGTTGATTCGTGTGATGGGCTTTTCTGGCGTATGCCCCAGACTTACGAAGAGCTGGGGGACTGTCACCAAAACAATCTCAGTTGCCGTGGTTAACACTCGTCTCTTGTTGCATAGTCCGTGCCGGGCTTCTACGTCTTGAACCTGGTGGAGAATGATGTGGAAGACCGCGAAGGCGCAGCTGATGTCTTCGTGTAGGCCGGCGCAGTAAGCTAAGCATCGCACCTAGTGCCTCTAATCACAAAAATACCCCACGAGTTGATCGGCAGTGTGTACATACATTGCTACCTACGCTCCGCCTCGAATTTACAACGTCGAGCTGGACTATGTCCTTCAGCACCTAGGAGAATGAGCCAGCGGCCCTATGCGCAACCCTCGTCCTGAGACGATCGCCGTCGTGGTCAATGCCACGCTCAGGATACCTAAAGCCCTTGTCCCTTATCGCGTTTCGATGGCATGGCCTGCTCTAGTCTGTTGTCGCGTTGATATGCTCTATCCACGCCGCAAGGCCCTTCGGGAAATATCAGCAAAGAGTTGTTTGCGGACGAGGCGATCAACTCGGCAGCTATGAAAACCAAAACTAGGTGGTCGGGTGATTCACAGGGTCAAGATACAAAAACCCTGGGAAGAGGGGGAAGTGAGAGGGAGAAAGGGCAGTCGACGATTCGATCTTGCTGAGCATCACATCCCAGGACCCCAACCCATCCTCCTGCTGCGCTGTTCGATACCACCATTTCTCGTTGTTTCTATGCAGGAACAGGTTCCATAGGAGCATCGATTCCTCCTGTGACGACGTCATATCGAGTTTGGCGTAGGCGGCTGCGCGGAATTGAACATCGCTATCGCTACATTCGAGGCGCATCCTCCAGCCGATATATGTGTGGTCCGTTCCGATCTGTCGTACGACAAGTGCCGTCGCGGAGATGAGCAGCGCAATCGTGAGAATCTGGCTGAACAAGCTTGCCATGCCAAGGGAAATGATATGGATGCCAAAAGCTGCCATCCCATGGCACGAGTCGCGCTGTAGAGCTTCGGTCTAGGAGGGCGCGGAGTCGTCTAGAGACACTCAATGACTATGCCGCGAGTGGTGCTCGCCGTGATGACTTTGCTGTCCGGGAGGGCTAACACTTTGACCTCTTCACGATGTCCATCTGTCTTCTCCGACTTCATCACTGCGGGGTCGAGAGCATGCCGGTTCACTCCTTGCACTACTCGGCGGATGACCACCGAAACCAGTATTACCACGCTATTGGTCATATCCCACCGGTCACCTATTAGAATGCCAAAGACAATAGGAACAAGTGTCAAAGTTCACATAGGCGCACAATACCTCGCCAGATTCGTTCGCACTATGAATGCAGAGTACTGATTGAGGGTCCCATCATCCCGCTGCCCCTGAAACCGCTCGACAAGACAGGCGAAACACGGATGAAACACACACGCCACCATGACTGCCTTTAAACATGTTGAACCACTTCAACTTCAGTACCCTCCCACAGATCATTCAAAATGAGACTTTCCATCATTGAGTGTATTTTAATTGCCTTCCTATGTCGCACAGTAAACGCCGAAAATGGGACCTTCCACTCGGACCGCTTTCCTGGAGCCGAGCTGTCCCACCCTCCCATCTGCACGGCAACCATTCCCTCCATGAATGACGTACTCTGTGTCTACACCTACGCCTCATTCAGCAACAACAGAGGCATTTCAATCTTCACAACACCCGATATCCACTCGCACTTTGCTCTCCTTCTCAGACGACACTACTCTTCTCCCGATCCTACTACCAATGCCACTCCGTTAAAATGGGAGTCCAAGTTCATCCCTGGCAAAGGAATTGGCGTCCGTGCCACCTCGCCACTTACATACGGCGAGAAACTCTCCTCTTTCACACCAGTCCTGCTGTCGTATCTCGACGAGCGATCTCTCACTTCCCTCGAGAGGGAACACTATCTCCGTACTGCCATCGAGCAACTTCCCACCCCGACACGGTCGAAATTTCTCGATCTCACACGCATCTACGATGACGACCGCATCGAAGTCCAAGACGTAATCAAGGCCAATTCCTTCGAGCTCCAGGTTGGCGGGGTGATGCACCTTGCCGTCTTCCCCGAAAGCTCTCGCTTTAATCACGACTGTGCCCCCAACACGCAGTATTACATGGACGCAGAGCGACTCACCCATGTTCTTCACGCGACAAGAGAGGTGCGCGAGGGGGAAGAATTGAGTATCGCGTATATCGATCCCTTAAGGAGCTCCAGGAAGCGGGGTTATCATCTAAAGGCTGCGTTTCATTTCATGTGCGGCTGTGAGAGATGTTCGAACCCAGACGAGTCCGACGTTCACACTTCTATGATTCACTCCCTGCACGAGACATTCCAGGACTGGGACTGGACCGAAGATAGCCTACCTTCCTCCATCACACAGCTCCTCCCCGTATTCATTCCCTCCAAGTATTTCAATCATCCAATCACGAACGCCGCCGAGTATCTTATCAAGCTGCACGAGCAAGAAGGATTACAGGGGTTTGTGGACACTCCGTATGGGCATGCGGCCCTGGCATATGCAAGTTTACAGCAAGAAGGACCGGCGATGATGTATGCGGAGAAAGCTCTACGAGCGCTGAGGTTGCGATTCGGACCCGCTGGTGGAGGGAATGAAGGTGTTTGGGAGGGGATTCTGACCCAAGGTATCAAAGGACATTGGAGTTGGGGGAGACGACTCAGAAAGAATGGCCGAATAGATCAAAAGGAAGAACTATAGGCCCCAGAAGGGATGGCAAATGCATTTGGTTCGGAAGATTTGGTTTCGCTCCGGTGATTTGATAAAGGCAAAGAATGGAGAGCACGAATTTTTCAACGTTCGAATCGCTTCACTTTTGAAACCCTCCGGACTGGTTCTCGACTTCCCTTACAGTATGTGCCCCCTTATCCAAGTCATCGCATGGCCTATCTCCGAGCAGATTCCTATGTTCCTATCTTGCAGAGCGGATTAGCTGAGTCTTGTATGGCGGCAGCCAGCTGTCAACCCTGTGTCGATTTATATCCCCATGAGTCGGCCTCGAGACTTTGTGCAGTGGCAAATGTCACTGACTGCCATCTCTCTTCTTATTTATCTGTGTATTGGCGTGATTAACGGGATTAGCCATAGGCACCAGCAGGTTGGAAACGCCATTAACGTCTGTGGGAAAGCCATGGCAGCCAATCAAGAAAATAGAGCGCAGCTCTCTTGCCAGTGATTGGGTGCTGGGAAAAGGCCATTAAACAAGGGATACCTCGCGACTGACATTGCCATCTGTCGTGCCGATTGGCCGGGCCGGTTTCGCAGATACGCGAAGGGTCGGCGAACCATGTGAGTACAGATAAGTGTAGACAGTGAAGTAGGCACCATACTATAGGTTGGACGAATACTAAAAAGGGGAAAGGGAGGGGGTGGGAAGGGCCGTGTTTACAACGCGCCGGTCAACACTACGAAAACTATGAAAAGTCTTCCCAAAGGGGGTATGGCATAGAAGATCTGGTACATTAATGGAGAGTTCCATGAGAGATTATATGCATATGCGTAGACTTTGCAAAGGAGCCCAGTTTGGGCCTTGGAGGTCCCCAACAGTGTTCCGATCTAGTAGATCGCGATCTACTAGTTACGCGATCTAGTAGTTCTCGATCGCGTCGTCGATGGATCTAGTAGATCCGGCAACGGATTAACCATTTTCCGTGATCACGTGCCCCAAGGGGTGCGCCCCCGTCACCCATCGGATCTAGTCTACGGACAACTTAACCCCCGACGGATTAACAATTTTCCGAGATCACGTGCTCCCAGGTATGCTCCCCGCGTCACCCATCGGATCCAGTCTATGGACCGCCCAACCGCTGCACCGTTGAACGACCAGTAACACTCAGGAAAACGCTCTTGATGACCGGGTTGATGGCTCGAAAGGGGCAACAGTCTTGTAAAGGCGAGGGATGTAATAGCCGGGCTTAAGACGAACCGGTGGAGAACGGAGGTAGCGCGTAGCAATTACCTAGTCCCCTATGGGCTTAGCCCGTACAGGGTGTATGAATATCGCATCGCATCGCATCGCACCGCCCAACCCTCAACGGATTAACCTTTTTCCGTGATCACGTGCTCCACCAGGGGATAGGGGAGGGCTGGAATACCTAATTGGGAATGCCGAGAGCGCGATCGAGTAATTATCTACTAGATCTCGATCGCGTCGACGGTGGCGATCTAGTAGATCGGAACACTGGTCCCCAAACCGGTCCCTCGCAGACGGCCGTGTACAGTTGCCATATATCTTGAGAGAGAGAGAAATGTAAGGTGTGAGAGCAGAGGTTCCGAAAATGGGACTGAGTATGGGTGACAATGTGTCAAACTTCTCGTGCAACTTGAAATGAAGGAGCGCTCTGTTTTCTATCTGCTTGTCGAGGTCCTGAGACTCCTTTTATAGACACACGAATACTACATCGTTGCACAGAGCAACCGTCTGTAACGTCGTCGCCTATGGAGACCTCTCGTCATCCAACACAATGAGGAATGAAGAATTGGGCAGTAAGCCTGAGCAGTGTGCGCATTGGCAGTACAGTGACAAGACCGCTATCCAAACTGGTGCCAAGGCCAGGTGCAGATTCGCCGCCGAATACCAGACTAGGCACCACCCTATAAATCCGGTCCAGATACATTTCGGGCTCTAGAGCCGATTTAGGCTCCCGGGCCCACGTGCTCCTCACTAGAGTATAAGCATCTCTCTAGCCCGGAACTTGCGTACCTAGGTCTAGATTCCTCTACCCACGTGCCTTAACCGATGTTTAGACATATACCTCTTCATAGAGAGGTGTTCTTCACGGCTCTTGGCACATACCTAGGGATGCTTACCCATATTTCCCTTCCTATGTCTATAAATTCCATAGGGGCGTCCCCTAGCCTTGAACGACGCCGGAAAAGTTTACGTACCCAGGTCCGCCTACCCATATTCGCTTACCCGTATTCCCAGCTTCTAACCCCTATGACTTGAGCGAGAGCCCAATTCGGCACAGGAGCCCGAAAGTGTCTAGTGAAGCTCACCGGTGTCGCCAGAGATTGAAAAATATGATGTGGAAGCAAAATACATCCAACGAAATCACGCCATCCACCTCGATCTCTATATATTTCATCACTATCTATGTCGTATTCGGGAAAAGGCAGAGGAAGCTAAAGTTTGAGGCTAGTACGATGACCAGGTTCTATTGGAGACTGGTGCCTAGGCTGTTAATCAAGGGGAGATCCTGAGTCTTTCCGGATCCGATCGCCCACCAAAGGGTTTGTTCATGAATGCATAAGGATCCAGATGACCTTTTCTGACAGGATGCTCGATACTTCGACTTTCAGCTACTATTTTCAGCGGAATGTTCCTAATGAAGCTTACTGCGGAGAACTCATTGTTCATTGCGGCGAGCAACAGCGAACGTCTTTGGCGAGGACCCCTACCCCTGCTGAATTCACATGACTAATTTGGCCTTTCTTCGTCTGGGCAGAGATCGACACACCTGGTGAGCGGAATAAGGTCCTCGGTTGGGCAGCGTTTGTCGTGGGAGACCGAAAACACATTTCAAATCGGTACCATGTCCCTGTCCAGGACAGATTTCTTCATGCTGAAGCTGAAATGCCTCATGACGACTACGACCGCAAACTGCGAGAGCGCGAATACCATGCGAGCCAAAAGACTGCCACAAAATTTGTTCGAACAGAGATAGGCAAAGCATTAGAGGACTCAACGACCGGCAAGTTGTACCAAGAGCTCTTGAGCCTTCGTAGGCAAGGCACTAGCTTTTGCGATATCGGGGGGCCGAGGTTGAAGCTTAGGGCATATCAAGTTTTGGTTAACACACGATCAAAGGCACGTTGGAAGGAACTGTGGCTCAACGACCGCTATAACCGGATCCTCCAGACCAGAGAAAGGATCTCAAACAACAAGACCACAGCGGCCCACGATACTAAAGCGCTATTCCGGGGTCGTGCCAGAGCGAGCACGCTGGCACGGTCGGTCGAATCCAGTGCACCTCAAACCCGGGAACACATGCTGCCCGATGTGGCCGATCTTCTTACTCTACCAGAGGAACTTTGATGGTACGTATCGCCCCGGAGAGAATGCTGCCCGAGGCTAAGAGAAGTTATATCAGCAATACCTACACCTGTCATAACAAAAAGTTTACATCGAAGGCGGGGAAAGTAGGTCGAGTCCGATACTGAAGCCTCGAGGTCGAATTTGTATCAATGCATGCAATCACGGATCCTTCAGAAAGGATCCAGACTTTCTGGCAGGGCCTGTCGGGCTTTGAGCGTCCGTGCTGGCATGCCAGAAGTATCATCATTCGAGAAGGGAGGTTTGGTGGGCATGTTGGAGGGAGTTGGTTTCCAGGATACATGTCCGAAAATATCTCGTTGATGTTGCGAATGGTCCGAACCGATAAACAGTCGCTCAACAATGAACAATAACCACCTACCGTCACACATCACCTTCAATTTCTTCGCTTTTCAGGAAGTAATTACCATAAGCCACTCGACGGGGGCACGATCCAAGGTTGAGTCTTGGTGAGGGAACAACACATTTCGGAACGAGCAACCGAGGACAAGATACGTTTGTTGGCAGTGTCTCTGAAGGAGTGTACGGATACTATAGTATGGTAGTTTAGTGAACACTGAATATCATCCACCAATTAAGCATCTTCGAGAACGACAGATTTTGCAAGTTCTCATCATTGAGGGTTTCACGTCAGTTCACCTCTAGTAATGAATCCATTGAACTGGATCTTGCGGCCTGCAACAGTGAATTCGAATGATCGATCGATAACGACATGGTCGAAATTCCTTCCCAGCCCGGCGTCTTCGTACAACTTCCGCATTTCTTCCTCGCTAAATCCGCGCTTGCTGATCGTGTTGAGAGCATCCGCATGCTCCGGTGGTATTGCTGCCCCAAGACTTTCCATCGTTAAGTCAGGAATCTTATCCAACACCACGCACACACCTCCTCTTTTGAGGCACTGGGCCAGGCATTTCAGTAGCTTTCCTGGATCTGCAACATGGTGCAACGCGGCGCTCACCACGACAATATCAAAGCCAGAAAGCTCCTGTTCCGATAGGGGCTGTTGCTGTTTGGGATCAGGCTCAGCCAACAGATCGTATTGGCGAGCGTGCATTCGATCTGGATAGAAGCCCATTTCGCGGGCATGCTTATTGTACTGTTCCACCATGTTCTGGGATAAGTCGAGGCCGACAGCTTGAGTGACAAAGTGCGCTAGTGCCTAGATATGCGATCACAGGTGCGTTGTCAGATCACAATGGTCTTCATTGTCACGACAAGGTCTGGCTTACCCTGGATGCCGTCCCAGAGCCACACGCATAATCTAAGAGTCTGATATCATGCTGCTGATCTCCTGTGCCAGAGTCGAGAGCGCCGACCCACTTATTGCTGATCCAGAAACGTCTTGACTGAAACTCTTCGATCGTAGCTTGGATCAGATCAGCAAACTCCCTCTGATGGTCTATGGCATGCTTGCTGGGAAACGAAGGAACATATTTGTCAGCCTGAGGTCTGGAAATATGCTCGACATGACTCTTTTGGAAAATTGATACAAGGGACGTGAGGTTTTAAAGGGGTGTTCCTTACTCGAAGTGTTCACGATTCCTGGTGGCCAAGTCACCCATTTTGCGCGACCTTTGATGACAGAAATGCTTGTAGCTTCGTCCGATTCTTGGAGGAATACAATCTAAATGTGCCTTACACCCCTCATATACAACTCCCACAACTCAATTATCACTACGAACGGAAACTGACTTTTCTAAAAAAGTCTCCACCCCTTCGGGGACATTCACCAACAAACTCTCCGCTAGCAAAAACATAATTGAGATGTTGAAGTCGCCGGACCAATAGATTCTCATCAGAAAACCAATCAGCTCCTTGTCTCGGCTAAGGTGATAAAGAGAATTCGTCTTCCTAGAGGAATCCTTGCTGCCGGGCGATTTCAGGGCATACCATTGGGGCAAATTTCTTGAAAGGTCCAGACGAGGAGGTATAGCCTTGAGTCTATCGGCAGGGAACGATGTCAAAATGCCGTTTGTGGGACAAAAGAGAGGAAGTCAGCAGATTATGCGAGGATGAAAAGCTGATCATAGGCCGTAAGATAGGATTTCGAGCTAGAATTTCGACGTTCATCGTCATTTTTCAATGATTGTGCCAATATTACCTGGGCTATCGTAGGATCCAAACAACTCAACCTGTGGCGTTTCCCCCAGCTTAATTGATGTTCAGTGATAGTAAAGAGTCTCCATTGCGAAAACCCGATGTAGACGAACTCGAAGAACAACTGTATTTCCACCTCAGTAATTTGTATGAAAAAGGTTTAGAGGTGGCCAAGCGCCTCATGAAAAGAGCGTCTGCTGTCTGTGTGGCCACGCGCCGTTTTAAGCCAGCGGCTCAGATTCGGTTTATGAAAAGAATAGAGACAATGGAGATGAGGACCGTGATACTGGTGAAAAGTATCAGTTGCCGTTGGCTTATGCGATCACACACAAGAAAAATCATTCAGCTCTACCTATATTTCAGGCGGTAAAACTTTACAAGATCTATTCCAACCAACATTTCTAGAATCTCGACTGTAGCTGAGGCCGACGATACACATTTATTCCATGCCACCTTGGACAAATCTGTCGTTTCGGCACGATGTTGGGAGACTCGACCTTGGAAGGAACAGTCGGTGATTTGCCTCGGGACCTTGACTGAACTACAGCCAAGACTGTAAGCGAGATTAAAGTAGAGAGTCATCTCTCGACTATTCTCGGGAAATGTAGAGGCGTTCTCCTCCGCACAGTTAGGCGGAAGTTCTTGCTCGGCCGTGGCCGGCGCGAACAACTGTAAGCCTTCGTCTAGCTTGCGACCAACAGAGGGAGGGGTCATCCCAAATAGCGTCCACCCTAACGCTTTGTGCCAGCGGATAACAGGGTTCACGTCGTATAGCCAGCTCGCCCCGAGGATAGCGTCAAAGTCCGTAACAACGAGGCTACGTATTGACGACTTTAGTAACCTCCAGAACATCCGTAGCATGCACTTCGCAGTTGTACCGCGCATATACCTGGATAGAAAATGCCCAGCGTGCCTCTCGCGGAGAGACATATCATCAGAGATATCTTGCTCGAGAACCTCGATCTCGTCGGGCAGCTCGCGTGCCGATTGGCCTTTCGTTGTCTTTTCGCTGACGTTTCAACATTGTCGTAGTAACTCGATTAGCCGAAGCTACGATTAAATCCTGAAGGAATTGGGTGAAAGCAGACCACGTTTCCGCAGCTTTCTCCTTTCGAATCCATGCCCGCGTGGCAGCTCCCTCGAGATATGTCGCTACCTGTGTATTGCCACTAGGGGGGAAGGGGTTCGGAGGAATCCACCGGGAAAACCTTCACGAGGCCGTGATGAGAAGTCGAACACCCCGTACTCCACCTCCAACAGTGAACTAAATGCAGTAATGCAGGCAACAGCAAGCCAGAGTGGATTTGATGTTGATTTCTTTGAGAACGGTAGTTCCTCACCGATAAAATGGAAATTGTGGCCGGTTCCACAAGTACATGCTAGCTTATCGGTTGAACTTGAGGCTCGCAAGGCACTACCCATATCATCGCAGCCTGCACCTGGCACTTCGCTACTCCTAAAACGATAATCCTTGGAGGCATGCTGCTAACGTAAAGTATACCATAACTGAGGAGGACGCTGAAAAGGGCCTATTCGAATTTGACCAAAAAGGAATTAAAAATTCAGGGTTTGATAAAGGGTGTATGTTGAGTCTGTGGCGGTGCCGCATTGATCGGGGCTGAGCTGAAGTTAAGCGGGTACTGGAGCGAGCCAGAAGCGGGCTCCATTGGCAGAAGTTCTTTGATTGACTATTTTCCAGAAGAATAAGCCAGAGTACTCTCCGTGATATCGAGAAAAGAAAATAACCCTCTGGCTGTTCTGCAAAGAACATAAAGAATAGCTTGACATCAGCACCAGCCCCATTCCCCCCGTTAGTCCTCATATCAAGAGCAGACAACACTCTCTTCTCTCGCCCTGCGTCACTCCATGAGGCTAGAAAGCACCCTGAACCATGGCACTACCAAAGAGAGAAAGGAGAAGAGGAAGAATTGAGCCAGTGGGTCTGATGGATTAGTTTTCAATTTATTCGCTCCCTCCTTCGTTCAATATCCCTGGAGTATTAAACTCCTTACAGTTGCTAGGCTTCCAATTGACATCAAGAGCACTAAAGTGACGACTGACACTGCCGGCAATCTATGAATTTGTCTGCCAAGTGGTGCGCCTCCCGTACTCGTTTCATGGCAAGAACTCCAATTCGGTGTGCCAGGAGTACTTGAATGCTGTACGTCGGAGCACCTTTGATGATTTCCGATTGATTGTGGCGAGCTCGTCCCTGTGGGTCTTGCTCGGTATCCTCGTGCCTAGAAGATTCCTCCGAAGCGAATCGGCCTCGACATTCTAGCGCCCTGTCCTCTGGAGGACTTCCTTTTTGGAGGATTATCTTCTGACACTTTATCATTTGACACAATTTGTCTCTGGCATGTTCTCCGCGGAACTTTGCGAAATCAGGTCTCTGTCCGCAGATGAGTGTCTTCGGTGACCAAAGATTCCTTTTTCTTAGTACTTGCAGAATAATCCACGACCAGCCGGAGATTTCAATCAAGGAATTCATCCCTAATTGACAGGGAACATTCAGCAGGATGGTTAGAAGAGGATAGATTGCGATAATCCAAAAGTTGGGGTAGAGAGAATCATCAGGCCAGCCCAGCACAGCCATTGCTTTTCTGGGCTAACTGCGTTGTATCTTGTCCAGATTTCTTTTTGGACTGCTTATTTGACAGATTCGAGAAAGACAAGAATTCCAATGTTTCGAGAGATAATTATTGTGGTAGAGCTTTGGTTGTTTTTTGTTCAAAGGATGAAAGGTCAGGCCAACGGCCCGCTGTCTGGTTGTAGGTCACTAGTTACAAATGCTACAGTAAGTCAGAGTTGCCGCCAGTCTCGGCCCCGCGGGAAAACTACAAGCGCCAAGGCGCATTTCCTAACCCCCTTAAACAGTGGCTGTGAATCCTTTACTAGTGGAGGTCACTATTATCCCGTCGCTCAATCTGTCAGGATTGCTGCATCGATGAAGGCTGCCGCAGTTCGGTCTGCAGCTGGCCGCCATCATTGAGATTCATACAATTTCCTATCAGAGCCAGGCCGGAGCTTTCCCACACCTAAAGACTCCTCTAGAAGAGGTACGCCTTGCTACTCAGCTCTCTGATCTGCCCCGATCAATCGTAGGAAGCACAGAAACCTGTTACAGTTCCTGCGAAAGATATGCCGACCCGAGTGTAGAGAGTGCGTAGGCAAAAAAAGACGGAGTCTAGCGAGCAAATCTACTCCATGGACCCCTTCTACTTCATAATCTCTGTTCTTGTTAGTTCCATGAGGTGGTTGCCTACTAGGCTACAGCGCCCCTAGCGAGCTATAACATAGGCAACAACATAGGCAATAATGCTGATGGACACTGTTCAGATAGCTGTGTCGATGGGGTCTATTTTCTGATCGGGTCTGGTCAGAGCACCTTTTTAATTCCAAATATCAAACAGTCAGTGGGTGTACATTGATTGTTGAGTAGTACTCTGTCGGTTTGATAACTGGTCCTGCCAGATTGCCAGCATGTATACACGTTTGATTGACCCCTTTTCTACCCCCTATGTCTTGGATAGGAATGATAATCTCTTTTCCAATAACGGGCCACTGGTTCCTGTTCAACGGTATTTACAAGAACTTCAGACGGGCTGATCACTTCTGAAAATGATTCTCACGACCATTCGCTGCAGAAACGAGGAAGAATTGCAGGGACGTATACGAAGTGGAGACTCATTGTCGGAGATCAGCTTTCACCTTCAACCTTTCGGTAGATTGTCGCCAGCCACATCGACGACTATAACTACAGGCGGATTCATTGAGAATACTGTTGAAAAAGACGACGCTGGTAACGTGGTTTATTGCCTTTTCGTTCACCTGATCGGCAGATCGGCGCAAATCATGTGCACAGAGGGTCTCACGCCATTCAAAAGCAATGACCCGTGCAGCACGAGAAGGTTCGATCTCAAGGATATCGGATTCTCTAAGCTGCACTGAATTATAAGTATTGCAAAGTCGGGCAGTAGACTGATGTCCCAAAGTCAACGTCCTCGTATGGGTGAGATCGCTTGACCGCCATACTACAATGGTAACTGACGTCTAGCACGATCGGACGGTCTTCTTCGGGTGTAAAGAATAGTTGGAGCTTGGCACCGACTCCATTCTCCCCATTCCATCCAGTATCATTTTATGAAGCTAAAAAGAATCATAAACCATGGCACTGTCAAAGTGAGAAAGGAGAAGACAATGAATTTAGCGACAGGGTCTGACGGATCAGTCGGCGGTTTTGGTCCTCCATTTGTTCGATATCCCCGGAGTGTCACGCTCCTAGCTCGTATCAAAAATCCAACTGACATGAAGAATGCAAAAGTCACCACAGACATTGCTAGCAATCCTATGCACTTGTCTGTAAGATGATACGTCTTTCGTATCAGTCCTGTCGCAAGGAATCCTAGTCGATGTGCCAGAAGTACTTGGAGGGTGTGCATCAGAACTCCTTTGATGACTTCGGCTTGAATATGATGATGAGAGATATCCTTTGCCGTTTGTCCAATATTTTTGTGCTGCAAAGATGCGTCCTTGGAGGATCGGGCTTGAATTTCCGGTACATTGTCTGCAAGTAGATTTTCTCCTGGTGGGCGTTCTTGTGGAAGATGTTCTTCAAGTAGATTATCTGCGAAATTCTTCGAAATCATATCGTAACCTGCAGAAGAGTCTCTGTGGGCTGAAGATTTCTCCTCTCGTGTACTTGTAGAATCATTGACAACTAGCGGAAGGCTTTGGATCAAACGGTCCATTTTTAACTGGCAGGCAATATTCAGAAGGACGATCAGCAGAGGATAGACAACGATAACCCAAAGAGTGGGGTTGCGAGAATCATCAAGCCAGCCCAGGACAGCCATAGCTCAATCAAGATCAACTGTTTCGTGTCTTTGTCTAAGATTTATTTGGACTACTTCAGTTGATTGGTCTGAGAAATGTTGGAATATCAGAGAATTGAAGGAGCAAGTGTTGCGGTAGAAGCCCAAATGGTTTGCGTTCAGAGAGAAGGAAATCACGGAGAGGCGGAGACGTATTTCTAGGCGGGAGCTGAGGGCTCACGCCACTCGTCGAGCCGGTTTAGTCGGCCAATGGTCGGCCGCCTGGTCGTAGAAGACCTGCAGACACGCCTGGCTAGTCACACTTGTTGCGCCCGGCTGTGTCGCCTTTCCTACTGGAGGTGCATGATCCCATCCCTCAATACGCCTGCAACAATAAACGCTGCCACAGCCCAATATGTAGCCAGCCCCAACTCCTCCCTCTTCAAAAATCACTCTCTTTCTGTCTCCAACTAGCCGCTCTGAATGGTCAACCCCCATAGAATATCTGTGGACCGGGTTCAGGCCCAGACCCTGGCAGTAACCCAGGAAAGAACGAGGCGAACTCCTCACGTCAAAAACCGGATTGGGTTGAGCACGCGTTATCATTCAGCCCTTGGATTTGCCTGACCCAGTCGCAGGAAGAAGAGAGTCCCTAGTGGCTTCTCCTACGGCGCATACTCTGATCTCGGCTGAAAGGCTATCCTGACCCAAATATACCATGTGGCTCAATGACCTAAATGTACGAGTTGTGCTATTTAAAACGATTTCTCTTTTGAAAGTCTTCGAATGCTGAACAGACACAACGCCTGTCAACGTGGTTGAAAGATCTAATGTCACCCATCAAAGAGTCCCAGGGGAATACATAGGTTACGTTAGGAGACGAAGGACAAGGCTGGGAGAGCTCATTCAAAACCCCCAAATCTTGACACAACAAATGTCTGACTTGACTGCACGTATATGCTCATCAGGAATTTGGTCCTTCGTCAAGTTCGCGGCACCGCAACCTTTTCCTCATCGACTCATCAAATATAGCCCCAGAGCCGCCGTACTTCCATGCAACCACAGCTTAAGACATTTTTCAGTCGCGACCGCTGGCTATGTAACACTGAAAAATCTTCGACAAAGACAATTAGCACGATATCGAGGTCTATAAAGTTGGCTCCGACCCAGAGACTATCAGACCAGCTGCGTCAGGAATATCTCAGTATAAGAAGAATAGCATAAAGATTCGACAGACGCAATCAAAGCTTCAAGCTCCCAACGAATCTGATTTCTGGTTCTTGCATACAACCACGCGAGACATGACTTTCTCCATGAATTTCCTAGCCCTTCTCAGCTCTCTCATTTTCTACACCGAAGCATTCAAACTTTCCTTCTACAAGAACACAAACTGCGCAGGAGAATTTGTGGGTACATGGGTTGGGGGAGAAGGGCAAGGCTGCCGCCAGGAATATTCGTATGTATCCCATCAGACCCTAGCCTCTGCATTTAAACTCTAACATATACCAGTGGCCTCGCTGAGGGAGTCGTTGTTCAATCTACCGGACCAGTCGATGATTTTACAACCGTACAATTCTATAGCTCTGACGACTGCACTCCCGGAACAGAAATGACTCGAGCCAATGTCGGATGTCTTACGGTTGACCAAGGTGTTGTTGGTGCGTACAATTCGTTCCAGGTTGTGTCGACCAACTCACTAGCCGCACGTTCCTCCAAACGTCGCACTCTTGGCCAACGTCGACACACTTTTCCATTCCCGTCTGCCGCTGCAAAGACCCCTTCGACTCCAATCGTATACCATGGAATGGGTATATCGTTTGAGGGCATCGAGTATAAGTTGCATCAGATACATGCCAATGGATATATAGGAATCTTACCCAATGAGTGGGACGATGCAATCCATGTCATGAACAATGCCGAGCTGGTCCCTGACAATCTTGTGCGAAACCTCACAATCCGAGAAGTCGACGAACGTGACTTACTCGAAGCCTTATGCAGCACATTCGCCACGTGTATTGAGAGAGCGTCAGAAACTGGTGTTGCTGTCAAGGACGTCTTGAATCCATATGTCGAGAAAACCGGAACTACGGCGAAAGCCGTTGGAAAGGCAATCTTTGATTTCTTGAAAAGCCCTTTCTTCACTCAAGTTGCTGTTGGTAAGTCTCTCATCATTAGCTTTGCTGTTCATATGTCTTCGACCTCTAACGTTTGAGACACAGAGACTGCTGGTGGTTTAGTCCCTGCGGCTCTTGGAGGTGTCATTCAAGCCGTTGTAGGAGCTCAGGTGCAAGGCAATACGAACAATGCCCAAGCATGTTCTCAACAGCAGGATCAGATTGACGCTCTCATATCGATCGTACAGTCTCAAGTGTCGGCTCTGGAAGCGGCGTCAGCCAAGATCACAGCTCAACAGAATGATGCTGGAGATGAGGTCTTCACAGTGACGGTCACCGTTGTGGCTTGTGGGACAACTCTTGAATCCTCCTGCGGTGTCCCTGCCGGGTTTTGCACTTCCTAGAGGAATTTTGGACGAAAAAGTCTTTTGTCAAAGTGTTGAATCACTCAAGCATTCTCTCCCAGAGGTCCCAGGGATTGCTCGACACATGGCTCGAACGAATGGCAAGGCTGGGAATGCCTATTCAAACACTTAGATTTCCGACACATACACTTGGCTCCGCACCCGTAAAGCATACAGACTGCCGTTCAGTTCACACATACTATGTCAACGTATTTATATTTCCTCGATTTGCAGTGTAGCATATCCCGCATGATATTAGGGTTCAAGCACTACTCCATGTAAACTTCCATCATTTTTTTTTTTCCATATCATCTAGTCAGCAAGGGTCAGATTAGTTCATTTGAATCAGGCCTTGGTTTCCTCTGGATTCAAGAAATTGCTACTATCATTCGATTTATAGGTGTTTTCAATTCGATCCCAGAAAGCGAAGAACTACCCATGGTTGTAAGAGAAGTGGACATGATGAATTGTATGGCATGCCATACCGTTGATATATCATAGGCGTACTACAACGTTGCAATCATCAACATATGAGGGCACGAAGTGTCGATATATATTCGTTCCTCTTTCGACAAAATTCACCCGAGGAAAACCTAAACTTATGAACAATGATCATCCAGAGATTGGCAAAGGTGAAAAAAGCAATGCGGACATACTTGTACGTCTAGAAAAAGAACGAAAAGATGTGAAGTGGTAATGCTCTGAACGAATCCATAAATGGAATGGAAGTCATACATGGCATAAGGAGTTGGGGTGTTTTACCACCTTATTGCCATCATTCTTGTCGGCTGCCACAGCCGAAGAGACGTTGGCAATTTCAATGTTTTCGTTAGCCAAATCGATTAAACTTGGCCCTTCTCATTCAAGTTGTGTCTTCCAACCTTAGTGCTTGCTAGGTGTACGTTTTCGCTTCTTTGTTCAACCACTATGTCCATCTTCAGATGCAGCAGCCGGCACTCCCGTTACGCTCCGTACTTTTAGGTTTGCGGACAGTAATATCTGATCCCAAAGTGTGAATCTCTCTGCCTGTTACTCTAGCTCTAGAATTCATTGCTTCTGTCAAACAATCAATGGGTGTAAATTGATTATTGTTGAATGCTCTGTCTGTTTGGCAACTGGACCTGCCAGATATATACACGTTTGGTTGACCTTACCCCTATTCCTACCTATATACCCTGAATAGGAATGGTAACCCTTTTTCAAATAATGGGGCACTGGCTACTGTTCAACACTTTCGTTATCCTCACAAAAATCCCCGAAACATTTTGTGCATGTGACTTGACTCCTCGTGTACTTTCCAGAAAAAAGGATTGATCACTATATCATCATATCCTCTGCATGCTACTACGCACAGAAACAGCAGCTTTCAAAAAAAAAAAAAAGATGACGGCACATTCAACTGGATTCTAAAATACGTGACCAATGGCAACATGGGCACCAGTTCAAGCCTGCAAGAATTTGTATCGGCCTGTCCCGCCATCGACTTCATCAATGATCTTCTTGGAACTGCTGGCACAGCTTGGGATTTATCTGCGAACGGACCACAGGTATATGGCAGGACTGACAACATGGCCAGGACAAATTCTGTTCGATCATATGGAGTTGGCTCGCCGTCTACCCATGAACCTAGTTGATCAAGACATGCCCAGCGCGGAACTCTACGTGTCAACGACATACTGCCCAATTCCAAGGCCGACGTACTCAAAGAACACTTCCATCTCCTCAAGTACGGTCTTCGAAATCATTTTTGTGTGGTCCGTAGTGGTCAACGATGGTACCCGCTTCAGGCAACCGGCTCAAATTCAATCCTGTCATGGTACTGGCCCAGGAACCTACGCGCGGCAACGCCACCATCTCCACAATGAGCCTGGAAGATTCCATCACGGCCATGCTCGACGATCTCCTCGCCGAGGGTGTGCAGATCCAGACGACCTTTCTCAAATATTCTACCACAGTTCGATACAAGTACAGTTCAACACCGTTTGGGTCGGGTCCGGCGAGCATATCTTCGCAGTGCTTACGTCGAATGTGTTCATTTTCCCGGTAGCTGTCGCCGAGATGATTCGCACCCGGCTGCCGCGTGAGTTATCAAGAGGGTCAAGGATATACTTTGGTAAAGGCGGAAAGGGGTCCTGGATTGCATTATAAATGGCCGCATATGAAAATAGAGTCAATCGGAGGGACGAGATCTAAGGGGCAAAATACGACTCGTTCCATCGCTACTGCAGCACTTCTATGTTCTGACTCTTTATGAGTGCTCCTAGTACCCCAGTGTGTAGAGGAGAGTGAAAGCGACAGCATTGAATACATGTTATGCACTAGATTTTCAACGACATGCACAAAGATTGGTGATATGCACATGTGTATTAGAAATGCTCGGAGCCCGCACTGGCACTGGCGGTTGATTGTATCTACTGCATATGCAGAGTTCACTCCTTAATCTATCACACGAAGTAGATGGAAAGGTTAGATTAGGAGAAGAAACGCTGAATTTTGCTGGAGACTCACTTTTCGATTTTTAGATTTTCGACGTCTATTGATTTTCTTTTATCTGCTGGTCGTATTTGGGGAATGTAATACTAAATACCTTGATGGTTTATGCTGTCCACTTTCACCATCAAATCTTTCCACATATTCTTTGCCGAGGTTTTCTTTTCTTTTTCTTTTTCTTCTTTGCCCTTTTTGGCATTGTGCTCAACCATTGTTTACATATAGAGGTTGAACCTCGACTTCGCGCACCCATAGTCCCCAAGGTCGGTCGGACGTTGCACCAATCGAGACTTCGCAGTCCATCGCCTGCTGCGCTGTCAATGGCTCAAATGTCCCGGTCCCATTACGAGACGACCCAGAGCTCCATTCGTTCGCTTCCACATCGGTTAGTCCACCATACGCACTCCTCAGCGTCGCTGCCGTGGTTTGAGCTTGAGCATTCGACTGCGTGAACATGGCGCGGAACACGGCTTCCTTGATATCCACTCCGTACGTGGTAAAGCCGTGTCGCCGCATAAGCACGACGTTGTAATCTGGACTTGTGGTGGGTGGCGTAGCTGAAAGATTCGCTGGCGTCAGAAATGTCATCGCCAGTTCTTCACCAAGCAGAGGCGTCCGGACCAATAAGTCATGTGGTTCGGTCGCATTGTAGAAATCCTCAATGTCATAGACCGGCACGGCGCCAGGACCGAGGAATCCCGCCATATGGTACACGGCGCGTAGGGGAACGCCGGCAATCGCATAGGGAAGCACGTCTTCGCTGTGGCTGTGGATTACGCATCCGACGTCCGGGTATAGCTTGTACATTTCACCGTGGATATAGCGTTCGATGTACCCCTTGGGAGCGTCAGGCGACACGGCCAGACTGTCGTTCACTCGGTATTGGACAAGGTCACTTGCGTTGCTGACGAGTGCGGGCGCCATGTTTGCAGACATCAAGTATGTTGATGCGTCGATGGGATGACGTGCTGAGATGTGCCCGTATGCGTCGAGAACGGAGTGGTAGTGCAAAATGTGATTTGCGGTGATTAGGTCGCGTTGGATCTGATGGTCGGCGGCGTCATTCTTGAGATTCTCCAAGGGACGAAGCCGAGAAGATATGTACGTACAGAGTACCATTATGGAGGCGGGGGTCTTACCTGTTTCAAGCTGACCATTTTGACGGCGGATATCGGACTACGAATTTCGGGATTGGATCAATGTTCAATTCAACCGTGGCGGCGAATCACGGGTTCGATATGGCTTGGACTCTGTTTCTCTGCAAGCTGCATATTTTGAGGCAGACACATGCATTAAATAGCTCATCAAAGGTTTGGAGAAGTTCGGATGAAGATTCGATATGGAAAGTCGTTTATTGGTGCCCGCAAACCATTCTTTTCTCTCCGATGAAAAATCCGGGGTATGCCCCGTGACCTCATCCGAGAAGAACTGTAATTGTGACCCCGCTATTGATGTCGGTAAGAATTTGAGTAAAACCCTTGTTGGTGCGATTGTAGCGTCTCGGCGAAAAGATGAGGACGTAAAAGTCTTGGGCCTGTGTGACAAAAGGCCACCAAACATATGATTGCAAAGTCCTGTTCGAGTCCTTTGGAAAGCCGCAACTGATGCCAATTTCCGAGGTCGTCCAGTTGTGGTCTCCGGTCCTGGCACACTGGAGGCTAAGTCGAACGGAAGTTGAAAGATTTCCGGCAAGATTTCTTCGATTGCGGTAAGATAATCTTCGTAGTTGAGCTCGTGTTCTTCGTTTCCATTGATTCAAGGAGCTTGATAGGGTGAGATCCGGTTTGAGGTGGACGGTCCTCGCTTGCGGTGAAATAATAGGATAGAAAGGCCGTATTTAAAGCAAGGTCCTCTTCATGCTTGGTCGTGAGAAAGTCGTAATTCATCATCCTCGTCTCTTCTAGTAAGGGCCGAGATCAACACGTTCACGCTGCGGCTTCGTCAAGCTGCATTCCGCTCATCTCGCGAACTGTTCCCTCCTTTTTGTCAAAAAGGGCTCTCAATTCAATCTTGAACTCTGACATCCGAACTCCGAGGATTTTCAAAATAGAAGTCTGCCTTGAGTCCAATGTATCTCCTTCTTTGCAGACGAGGTAACCGTCTTCTTCATCCATTGACCCTTCTGGATGTTCCTCCAATACGACCCTCCCCTTGACAAGCCTGGTTGGGACTCCAAGTTTCCGCAAAGTTGGTTCGATCTGAATTGGTAACGGATCATCCTCACCTCCCTCGATGCCATACATGGTGTGTAGTTCGCCCGGAGGGATTCTGATTTCCTGAGTGGCAATAGTCCCGCTCCTGGCAAAATCCAGATTCAGAAAGCCCTCAAAGTATTCTTCAATTTCAGGAGGTTCTCGGTCCGTGAAAAGCAGTCCGACCTGGCCCTTGAGATAAGGACCCAAGGCACTGACTCCCGGTGCGCATTCCGTCTCTTCAGTGTGTCCTAATCCCACCATCATGACCTTTGTCTTTCCCATCATTATCCTCGAATCACTGAAATCAGTTCTGACTTGTTTGAGAAAGTTATTCCTCATATTGCGGACGTCGAATACCCAGATGTATGAATATTGTTCGGCAGCTTCCTGGACATTCGTGGCAAGTCGACGGACGCGCTCTTTGCGGTTCTTGCGAGTTTTGGAGGTTGGGACGACGCGATTTCGTTTTGAAGGTGGCATGGTAATATTCTGATCGGGCAGATACTCCGTGAAGCTCTTCGAAGGTTATTGCAGGAAGAGGCGATTTTTCGAGCCCGCGTATCAAAAAAAAAATTTTAGGTTTTTCTGCCGCCAAGACGATGCCGCTCTGTGCTCAAAAGCAGCGTCGCCGAACTCCCAGCCTCCTTTCCGTCTTGTAGTATCCAGCCAGGGTTTGACCTCTTAGTAGTATGCGCCTACACAGCGCCTGCAACGTCCATATCCAGACACGAGATCTCGTTTCCGTTCTACCTTTGTTCATAGAAATGTTCAGAGTTATTATTGCCTAGACTTGTGACGACAATACTAGGATTTCTTCACCACAGCCAAGCAGCATGGAACACGCGAACAACGATGCCACTCAATTCCAAGGCTGGACCAAATCTCCTCCAGTAAGAGGCTCAACAGACATAATTTTTGCGTGCATTATCACTCTGAGCCTGTGCAGCTAGTCAGTTATTTGTATGAATTATCCCTTCCCGTGGAGACTCTGAGTAGAGGAAAGTGGGGCAAAAAGGCATGGTTGACTTTCATTTGTCTTATTGGCCTAGAGTTCCTGCTTGGGCTGGCTCTGGGAACAATGGATTTCGGCGCGTCAATCTGTAAAAGAGTTTGATCAATTAGGTTCTGTGGAATTGACTACCACGCATTGCTCTTATGCGAAGATAGGAGAATTTGTGCTGCAGATATCTGATAGAGAAACGGTCCTTGTAAGCGCCAGGCCGCTTGCCTATTTGATTCATCACGAGGGATATCGTTAAGCAAGTGATCCTACTTGACCCTCAAATTATCAAGGATCGAAATTAAGCAAGTAGAAGTTTCATACTTATTCCTTAATGCAAGCGCTGCGGTTCGTCATTAATTGCCTCGCTCAGCTTGTCAGCGATCACGTTTGAACTCACTGTTCTGGGGCTCTTCTTCCCTACTGCTACAACGTACATCCTACGGTGGCATAAACCTTGTGATGTCGACACAGCTGAATATGTCTTCATTAAACAACGGATCGACGAGATACGTGCTCAAGGCGCCTAGCAGCGGAGCAGCCGTGGTTTCAGACACCACTCGACTTTCTCGATCGGGAGGAATGGCACGGTTCCTTACTGTACAGGTACTGGCTCAACATATTCTACCGGCTTTCCCTCCTGGCTCGACATAAAACAACCTCAATGAGAGCCTGACGGTCAGACAACGACTTCCATGACTGCCCCGGTTCGATCGTAGAGAATCGAGCAGACTTAGTGCCTAAATTCACAAAGGCATATCTGGCGTCGGGATCGTAGAAGATGTTCAGCAAGTCTTGAGTAGCGGATTCCGAGAAGTAATCCCTGTGACTCATGACGGTGGTGCTGTGAGGGATGTTGCCTGTCAAGAAAACATCTCAATCTTCTGGGGGATGCTCAATAAGACTGATAATCCTGCTATTCTATAGCAGTATTCTGGACATTCAAGCATGTATGCTTGTCAGGAACATGGCATTGCCCAACCCATAATGTATATTCTCTCCAGTATCTGAATGCCTCCCGTGAAAGCCGATGATGGTTGACATGGAAAACCAGATTGACAGTGCCCATAAGGATATTTTTCATCGCCGAACCGGGGCCGGGGGGAATGTAGTTCTCCGATAGATTAGATGAGCAGAGACTCGGGCAACACCGTAGTCCGATAATGCCAGTTTCTAAAACAGGAACAAGATAAATGAGGCTCGGTTGCCGGTGGCAATTAGGGTGACGGTGTCATTTTCTACCGGCGAAGGTGGATTCCCGTAGGGTCCGTTCAGCAATATTCAGAACGATATCGATGAGTGCTTGAGTCCCTAAACACATAGATCTTGTGTTGGATCTCTCCGCAGCTTGATGATCAATGAAATCTGGCATCTGATCGCTTCACTATCCGCAAGGATGGCGATAGCAAATGGACGTGATTGAAATTGTGGAGGTGAGGAATGGTAAATGGTGACATAGACGTGCTGGCCGGCTCTCCACTTGAACAAAACATTGCAACGTCCAAATGTAGATACTCGTTGTCGAGGATGTGGACTTTTGCATTGTACTTCAGTGGCCGTTTTTGACTTCTTCTGGTGGCCAAGTGTACGTTGCGTATTACACAGCGCCAACCAGCCACAGATATCAAAGACGATGAGCCCCATAGATGTCAGAACAAAGTAGGATGTGAAATGCGTATGCTTGTAAATCAGGCCGACCGTAAGATAGGTAGAAGTAATATGTAACAAAAAAGCCAAACTTCGTGTAAGTGATTTCGAGAAAACTCATAGCGTGCAAGCGCCATAAGTCTAATCATCTCCTTAGGTAACAAATCCCCAGATAATCATAGGCATCGGCGCAACCTTCTGCTAGACCAAATATGTGAGATCGCACTCGTGGTAAAAGAAGGAGCAATGGTCAATGGGTGTAAGAAAAAGAGTCCGGGCAACTCATCGGTGAAACCAATTCAGTCTCTCGTGCAATATTCCAGTGAAAAAGACTGATAGGAGTAATCTGGCAGCTGGTGCAATAAACTTGTCGAAGTTGAGGCGTCGATATCCAGGGGGCGCGGAAACTGACAACTTCCCTTCCGTACCGTATAAAGCTGATGGAGATATGAAGGTCGCATTGGTCCAAAGTATCCCAACCAACTGCCCAATATGCAACTAGAACTAGGATCTTTCCTGTAGGGAGAGGTATTTGAGCCAGCCGTCGCTCAACATAAGGCGTGGATAACTGAGTTGACGGAAGACCGTCGTTAAAAGAGCATTGTAACAAATAACCTGTTCAATTGGTAGAAATCGTAGACATTTCTGCTCTTTCTTGCGGAATGTGAGGATGACCTTTCATCAGTCACGTGGTTCATTGAGGGAGACAGCGTTGAAATACTTCCGACTTACTGTGAAAATGCAAGGAAACGCAGCGTAGCAAGGAATAGCACGACGGCTACAACGATGTACCAAAAAGAACACGCATCAAGCGATTGAGTGCGTGGTGGCCTTCGAATGCAGCCGACTCAGTATGTGCACGACGCACGGTAAGGCCAGTCTCTGACGTGTAAAATATCAGAATGTCCTTTGCAACCGACATCAAGATCACTGATATCCCCTGCGCTGCTTCCCATATTCGCCTTTCCTACCTTCAACAAACGTGGTTTGATCCATAGAAAACGTATTCCATCTTTGTAGCATGAAAGTCCTGGAGAGAACGGACGAAAGGGTCAGTAATGTTGGATCCACTGCCGCAAATCTGTGAAAAAGTGTGTTAAAGACTAGCCTAATCTATGAACAATCGTGGCCATTTTATAGGCGCCGTCCTTGGCGTCTTGGCCAGAATCATAAATCCATCTGAGCAAGTTTGCCCCACAGGACCCTGGCCTCGCCTATTTTGTGGCCACATAGACTGGATGCGACGAGAGATACTTTTGTAACTCCACTGAACGACCGCCGCCAATTTAATTGGCCTTTCGAATCAGCCTGGCATCAAGCACCTAAATTCCCCCGCGGGGATGTCGCGAAGGCTCCCAGAGACTTTCAACAATCTAGCCGTGCACACTCAGCACATTGCGACCGCTGGCTAATATAAGCGCCCAAAAATCTCAGATCTGGCTATATTGATGTGTTAATGAAGGATAACTCATACCAAAGATCCAATTCCCGATGGACAATGCCGTGCACTGAATGCTCAGTCCACTCTTCCACGCATATCACCAATCAAGCAAATCATTTGCTCAAAGAGAGAACATTAGCGTTTCACCCTGAATTCCCTCACGTGTTTACTGTTTCGCAGATCAACGAGCTCTTTTTGGCTTCTTATTGGAGTCCTTCCTCTGTAGTTTCAGAATGTACATCAATCTTGCTGGATAAGCTGACCTATCCCCTCTTTCTATCGTCCAGGCTTCCTCATATATAGACATGGCCCAAAATTCGCCGAAGACCTACCTGGAGCTCATGGATAAACCTGAAAAAGAAGCAATCAAGCTTCTGAGTAAAATCTTTGACGACCGATCACGATAGTCGGATACTCAAAATCCAGTCGCCACAACGTGGCTCGCCTCCTTCAATCAGATCCGCCAATACCGCCAATTCAATGCAAGACTTCTCGCCTCCATAGTTGCTTTCATGAGAAGAATATTCCACAGTCGCTGCTGCTTCTCAGGGTGGAGAGGGGGGTTATTGACATTAATATCCCTTTACCTATGGCGATTCTTGACATTACCACGCATAGCACGCTCCTATTATCGCCCACAGCATGATCGTGTCACCCGTCCTCAGGACCAGGATCCAAGGATTTGACTCTGCCGTGTTAGGTACAGGTGGCAAGGCTGCGAGCAAACAAGCGGTGACTTTGGCAGCTCGAATATGAGAGGCATGCTGGACGAGCTGGACAAACAGAGTCGGGGCGTAACAACAGTTGCCAGTGAGAAGGCTGTGAGTCATGCTGCCGCATATGACAGTGTGGAAATTTGTGATCTGACACATCCTTGTCACGTGAGATAAGATCCAGCTTTTCTCGACTTTTTTTTTTTTGGACGGCTGGACCATGCTTCTCGAATGGGCACAACACACCCTGAATCGAGATGGGATCGTGGTCAACAAGTATCGATCGGACTCCACGACAATGCAGCGTCTAGGGTCTTGCCCTGGTCCTCCTCGTGTCACGGATTGGGGACGACTTGTCCTCTTGAGGCGAAAGATATCGAGCCCAGATCACTTTCATCATGCAGGTCTCTCTATTCATTGTGAAGCGCTCATCAGGATGCTGCCATCGGCCTCGATCATTGGTGCAACTGCAGCAAAGGCACGGATCATCTACAACTTGAACTGTACAATGATGCTGCCGCTGCTACTGCTAGCAGTCACCGGAGCAGCGTATCAGAGCGAGCGATTTGCATTAGCATCAAGCTAAGAACTTCTCAGGCACATACACCTTGCCCGATCTGGCACGTGAAACTTGCCCACCACTATCAACGTCCACGATCTGCGCAAGTTGACCCGTTCGAGACTCTTTTAGGACCCCCAAAGTCTCTCGCAGTGGCAACAAGAGCCTTCCCACAAAATTTACAAAGCAGCACTCTGCTGGCTTTCCCTATACTAGATACAAATATGATACCCCCTCTTTTCAGCAACCATTTTAATTCTTACCCTTGCGCAAAAGACTCATCCTCCTAGTTCGGCATACGTCTCAGAGGCTCACCATAATTTCCAGTTATCATCATGAAGCTCCCTTGGCTGGCATTTCTCTTAGCCGCTTCCGTCTCTGCGGTAACTTATGAGGGTCTCACTGGCTTCCCGGCGAATCCCTACGATCCATATTGTGCAACAGCATGTTTGCGTTCTCTCAACACTTTAACCCTGGACTGCTCCAGCGAAGGTGTTACTGTCGGTATGGTGACCTTTTCGACTTCTACCGAATGCTACGCGGAAAACACACCGTTCCTGACGAGTGTTGCCTGGTGCGCACACACCAAGTGTGCCGACTACAACGTCCTCAATTCCACCATGGAATACTTCTGGGAAAATCAAGTTACTGGGCAGAAGGTCGCTGGGGTTTACGCTGTGCCCGCCAAGTGGAGTTATGGAGAGGCGCTTTCCAAAGTGATCACACCGCCAACGCTGCAACTCACACCGGAAGACACTGTCCTGAACACCACCGCCCTCGTCGCGCCTAGTGTCTACTAAAGTCAATACAACGTCTTGTACGGTGTCCAGCGCGAGACGACCGTCGAGAACGGATATGGGTGTGGCTCTGATTCTGTTCCTCGTGGGTTATATCAGAAGGAGTGATTGTGTCTGTGAACACCTGGGCCGCTACGCATGTCGAGGCCAACTTCCATGACCCGTTCAAGTTCAAGCCGGAGCGGTGGATCGATCCCGATTGTCCAGATGATAAAGCTGCCAGCCAACCCTTTCTCACGGGCAGCAGAGTGTGTCTTGGACGCCAGTGAGTTGTGAACGAGTTTTCTGCATTTCCACTTCTAATCGGAGAATACAGCCTTGCCATGATGGAATTACGACTAATTTTGTCCAAAGTGTTGTGGAAGTTCGACATGAAACTGATGGACGATGAACTCGACTGGGTCAAGGCGAACAAGAACTACGTTTTCTGGGAGAAGCCTGCACTACCGGTCCGGTTTCGTTATCGAGAATATATTGAGAAAGAGGGATGAGATGGCCGAGGAGCGGTGGTGGTAGCTACTGGACTGTGTTGTATTCGAGCCTTTTCTTAGATCATACAGTATATGGATGATGATTATTTTCGAGGGTGCTATTGATTGTCCTGATACTGTCGAACATGGTAGTTGCCATAGACAACAGCACTCCTGACGGCTACGCCGCACAATGACGAGACTTCCGCAACGTCTGTAAAGAGGTCCTCAGGAGCACAACAAGTTGATAGAGAACAGATCATTCAATACATTTCAAGTTGCACTCCGTTTGACAGATACACATTGACGTCGTCACAGTGACGTTCGACGCGGTTTGAATTTGACAATCACTCCCGACTGTTTCCAAAACCAGGCAGCGTCAGTTTTCCACTCTGGGTCCGGAGACGCCCATTCCAGATCAAAATATCGGAAGATCTGGGGGATGAATTTGCCCATCTCCAAGATTGAGATATTTTTCCCAATACAGGTCCGAGCGCCGTAGCCGAACTGGCATTTGTTAGGGCGGGGAGGGATACACATCAGTGCTCTTTAGGGGAACTCACGGCCATAAAACTCCGGTCCATGTATTTTAATTGCTCTGGCGACGCTTCGACCCACCGCTCGGGTCGGAACTGATCTGTGTCATCACCAAAGACATCCTTGTTCATATGAATCACAGCCGCATTCATGCTAATATTGGTGCCTCCAGATAGTTCTAAATCACAGATTGTAGCACCTTCTGGTGGAACATATCTCTCTAGGGGAAATGCAACCCCAGGGTGGATTCGTAGAGCTTCCTTCATTACTGCTTGACTGTAAAAGATCTTGATCAGTGCGACGAAGCTCTCGGCCGTAAGATGTCTCTTACAGATATGGAAGTTTCAAACATTCTTCGTACGTCACGAAGGTCGACAGCTGATGATTCTTGTCTGCATTGTCGATCTCTGAGACGAGTTTGGCATAGGCAGCGGGCGTTTTCATCAGATAGTAAAAGCAAGCGCGTAATGAGATTGCTGTCGTATCAGAGCCTGCCAGACTACTGGACATCAGTACTTCTCACGAAACTCTACCGACATACTGACATATTGTTCGACAAATGGTTTACCATGTCTCGGTAAGGGATTTGGCCGTCCTTGGCTTCTTTCGCCCTGAGCTGTGCGAGAAAATCCGTTCTTCCTGCTCCTTTCTCTTCGCTATCGTATCTCGCAATTTCGTCTTCGGTGATCTAAAGCGCTGTCTGAGCATCGAATAGATTTGGGGAATATCAGGGACATTTCAGACCTCTACGAAGCGTGACAGAGGATCGGGCAATTCTCCGCACAGTCTCTCCAAGGTACGCATAAAGGTCTTATTTCCTACCAACCAGCGGTGAAGGAACGGGAATTGGCCCACGAGTTTGGCATATTGAAGGGCGAATTCAAGATTCTTGATCATGTGGTCAACATCCCGACGTTGTTCCATGAAACCAAATTTTCGCTGAAAGGTGATCAAGGCAATGACATCGAAGGCGTACCATTGAAGCCAGACAGACAGGTCGACCGACTGGCCCTGTAAGTCGGTCATGGCATCAATGAAGATCTTGGTGCATTCGTCCGCGTAGTCTTCATAGTTTCTCGTGTTGGTCATAGAGAATAGCTGGGCGACTGGCTTCTTCAGATTCTTATGGTAGCTGGGATCCCGAGTTGAGAATAAACTCTCCATCGGCTTGTCCTTGTAATAAGGGCTGAAAACGACGTAAAAATTCGACTGCTTGAGGTTAGAGAAGGTGATTTGTATTCAGACGTCTCGATGACCTTGAGATAGTTGCTCCCTATTCCGTAGATTTGAGGCACGGCTGCGGGATCTGCGATTGAGACATGATTTGGCCCGACGCGAATGATCGGTCCATATTTCCCGTGCACTTTGCGGTATTCCAAAGGGGCCTTCCCTGAGTAGACGAGCGAAAGTCGGTATAAACCAGAAAAACGAGCAACCACGGGCCCTGGGACCTTTCGGAGGTCTGCTCTGAAAGCCACACGAAGAGTCGATAATAAGAGGAAAACGACGATCAGGACAATGCCGAGGTACGTGATCAGGCGCAAATTCGTCATCTGAGATGAGTGTCGGAAGACTGAAGGAATCATGTCCATGGTGACCGACTGGCTGGTTTTAGATGCCCCTTTGACGATGGGTTGAAGTCGGGCATAGAAATAGATCCCAAGGGCCCCAGCCCCCCATGAGATCCCCACATATTCGTGGAGAGTGCACCGCATTATGGGATCGAGATGGAACAATTGAAGCTATCATTGAGACACGTTTCGGGGCGTCAATGTCGATTGTCTCTTCCTTTTGTCTCGGTATGTTGACATTCGCCGATCACTCTCAGCGGGTCAAGTATTCTTAGCTACGGAACAATTCCTTCATCCTCAAAGTAAATCATGAACCGAGGGAGCATTTGGAGCTGTCGGCGCAATTTCTCGCTGAGATTGTGTTTTGGCGCGCGTGCACGAGATGCTTCGCTTCCCCGCCATCGTCGGTTTATCAATATTTATTCCCAACTGTGTGTAACAGAAACAGAGCATCCTCCACATAAATGCAGAGATCTCGTATATAAAATGAAGCGGTCGCAACAAGCTGTGGCCGAAGCTGAAGCTGACTGGAGAACCAGATGAAGGATTTAATGTGGGCATGAACAAACGATCACAGCAACGCCAAATGCCGATAGGGTTTGCTTCAACCCCTAAGTTGGACCCATCACGGCTTTGATCTGGATCTTGTAGAATTGGCCTGTTTGTTGTTGACGTCGACGTTGATGGCAATTATATCGCCCCTTTCCTCGAGGGTTAGAGACTTACCGAGGCTGATGCTATTGTTCGGCCTAGTGACCGAGGTAGCTAGCGGTTGTCCAATGCTACAAAGCACTTCTGACTTCTGACCTCTGAAGGACTAAGAGCCGCATTGACTTTGGTCCCCAGGCCAGATACAGCCCTAATCCACCATTTCCCGCCTCTCAGCCTAGTTAGTCGCGAGATTAGTGGCTTCACTGTGACCGATAGCCATGTGGGGATTGAGGGGTTTGTACTGGAGTTGTCCTACTGTAATTAAGATTTCTGGGGGACTCCAGATTTGAACGTTGCTCGACGTCCAATGTTCATCCTCGTGTCGCTCACGTCTCATGTTTTCCCAGCTCACAGCTTTTCGCGTTGCAGGAGCATCCCAAACTGAGATTGACTGTCAATGCCTGGACTTAGTGACATGTCAGAGGTCAGACAATCGAAAATCGCATGCCGCGCTTGCCGGAGTCGCAAAGTTAAATGTAGCAAACAGCTTCCCCGGTGCTCGAATTGTCAACTCATTGAACAGCCATGCATTTATCCCTCGCAAATGCTCAAACCGGGGCCAAAGCTGGGAAGTGTTCATAGGAGACGCTGTTTGGATCACGATCTCCGGGAACGAAACCACAGCAAGGCTCTGAGGAGGACCTGGACACCCGAAGACCCATCGGGACGGCAAAATCAACATGCCCTTGCATGTCCAGTGCCAGAACCCAGCGTCTCGGACGAAGCGGCGCAGCTCCATTCCAAACACATTCGGAGTGTATATTACCTGATTCTACCGTCACACGAAGAATCGTCTCCGAAGAGTGTGAGAGCGGCTACAAGTCCTACGGATTCTTCTCAAGGCAGTGGAGACATCCTCACATCTGCTTGCTACAGCCTAGGAGTCACGTCGAGTTCTATGAAGCGAATGTAAGTCTAATATTTTGAAGGTCTAATATGTTCACATTCGTACTGATTCGATTCAGGGTAGAGAATTTCTTTTGCACATTCACATCATTTGGTCTGTTCAGAAAGCCTGTCTTCTTCAAGAAGCTTGGCCAGATATCCTCCTGCCTGCAATTGAAGGCACTTCTAGCCGTCGTCTTTGCATTTGCATGTAAAGGGAGTCCTGACGACGTCCCCGAAGTCCTCCCAGGCCGCGGACAGCTCTCTGCCTCTGATTTGGGCGATTTGGCGAGCAGTTATGTCGACAAGGCGATGGCTGAATGTGGCGATGACCAGCCGCCCCTGTGTTTGCTCCAAGCGCTCATTCTGGTGACCCACTGGATGATCATCCGGGGCGTTCGGGGTAGAGCATGGAGGTCTCTGGGCCTTTGTATCCGCATTGCTATCGAGCTGGGACTAGACTTGGTGGATGCCGGCAAGGATCCCCAACAGGACCCAGTCGACGCAGATCAGTGGTGCGAGGATGAAGAACGGCGACGGGCATTTTGGGCCATATATGAAATCGACCAGTTTGCCACCATCATCAAGCATGTCCCCATGGCCACGAACTGGACTCCAAGCAACGTCTTCCTTCCCGCTGACGAAGACCGATGGTTCCAAGCGCAGCCTCACCAAAGTTGCTTCCTGGATCTCGATCCGATTGAGCGGTCAAAGACGCTCCAAGCGACAGGGAGCGAATCTGCAAAGGCGTGGTACATTATCGTCAACTCCCTGGTGATAGAAGCATACTTGTTGGCCCGCCGCACGGGCCAAAAAGCGCATCATCCCTCAGAGAGCAAGGGAGCGGCCCCCAAGTCGGAAACCGAGCATGGGACGAGTTCTCGAAATCAATGTTCAACGTTGCTCAATTCCATCCAGCTCTGCCTCCTAGTCATGCCCCGGAGTTGGCGATTCCACGGACAGAACCTGGACTTTGGCACACAAACCCATGATACAAGCATGATCCCCTCCATCCTCCACCGTCAGAGCTCGATATTTCATATCTCCATTCTCACCGAAGTGGCCAGGCTTCTGGCGTTAAGGCCGTACGTCTTCGAAATGTACGTGCAAAGGCTCACCAAGATTACGGGTAAAGACCTTCGTCGACAGAAGCCGCCCGAGCAGTCCTCCTTTGCCCAAGGGTCCACCCGAGAGCTCCAACAATGCTTCAACGCCTCGGACGCCATGTTGAACATCGTGCTCAATTGCTCCGAGATCCACTACCAGTATGTGAATCCTTGTATCGCACACGCCTCGTGGTTGGCTGCCACCGTCCAACTACTCCAGCAGGAGTTGACCGAAGACGAATCCGAGAAAAGGTTGATCCAATCCCAATTCGAGGTCTTGAAAGCCACCAACAACCGGTTCGTCCAACATTGGGAGATGTCCACGGTGCCCAGCCAAAATCTCGACGCGCTGGCCATGCGGCTGAAGCAATTCACCGCCGTGTCGAGAAGTTTGGTGGACAGAGAGAACACGCCTAAAAGTCGACTCAAGAATCCGTCACCAGGGACCGATGACAAGACCTCGGGGCCGTATGTCGATGAGCTCTGGCAGTCCAAAGGCAATCCGGGGGAGAAGACTCGATTGGATTTCGACCAGATGTTTAGTACAGGCTTTGCACCGTCGTCATCCATAGTTAGCAAAAGCAGCAATCAGCCAGGCCAGTCAACCAATCCAAATCCACCGCCGCCGACGCCACGGCCGGCTCCAGACCCTCTCCCTCCAGAAGCCACATTCCTACAACACCAGGAACCGCCATGCGTAACTCGACCAGGTTTAGGCGACCAGCAGCTCTCCCTGTACTGTCAAAACCCGATCTTCCCAGACCCGACAGCCACGACGGGGTCTGTTGCGTGGCTAGACACGACAGCGACTTCATGGAGTACCGACCAGAAAGGACAAGTGACGATGAGCAGCAGCTTAGACTCGGATCCACAGGGTTTGTTCTCCTTTAACACTGAGATTGAGGGGGAGCTGTCAAGTTATCTGGACGGCATTTTCTCAGGGCCTTTTATCGGCTAGGAGCTTGAAGTGCATGATGACAGATCGATCTTCGAACGTGAGATGGTTTTATGCATATATATATTTGTGCAGAGGGAAAATAAACGGCATTGGAACACGAGAAGATCACAACCTCTATAGGCTATCTGTTTAATTTTGGGGTGACGGACATGAGTATTTGGGTGTTGATAACCTCCTCTTCCTCCTCATGCTGCTCCTATTGCTGCTGCTTGTCGTAGTTTGACACTTAGCGGCTTATCCCACTCATCAACTCTTGAAAAATTTGTCCAGTGCCGCCGTGGTCTCAGACGGGCTTTCGAGACTCCAGAAATGTCCTCCCGGGATGAACTGGACCTGCACACTCTTCGCGTTGGGGATATGTTCATGGGTGATACTCTCGTAGAACTCCCTCGGTTGCGTCTTGCTGTCGTACCCTTGCAGAATCAATACCGGACACTTCCACGCAGCGAGCAGGCGGTTGCGGCGCTGTAGCCATTCCGAGCGAAACGTCGAAGAGTTAAAATACCGCGGCACGGCCTGAGGGATACCAGTGTAGGAGAACTCTTGAATCTGTCGCTCGACTTGGTGTTTGGGAATGGGCCGGGCACAGATACTCGCGTGAGCCCAGACGATGAGTTTCCGAGCGTCGTCCAGGATGCCATTGTATGCTGCGTTCATGAAGATGTCGCCTTGAGGCGAGAGTTTAGGGTTGTAGTGGAATAAGTGCTGCTCGCCTCGGGCGTAGCGAAGGATGTGGTCTGGATGGTTGGCGACGATGAAGTCGGCCTGGACGGTACCTCTGTCGTGGGCGACGACGTTGAACCGCTCCACGCCGATCAGCTGGATCATGTCGAAGAGTTGCTCGCCGGCGCCCTCGTGACGGTAGTCACCAGCCCTTTTGTCGGACTGCCCGTACCCTTTCAGGTCCGGGGCGATGCAATGAAACTCCGAGGCCAGACTGGCCATTTGAAGGTGCCACTGGTACCATGAGTCGGGGATGCCGTGGAGGAAAACGATCGCTTCGCCCTCTTTGGGTCCGGCTTCAACATAGTGCCACCGGATTACTTCGCCGTCTCCCGGCCCGAAGACGAAGTGGTGCGTAAATGTCTCTCCCTCGATGACTTCAGTGTCACCCTCTTTGTTCGCCGGACGAGACTGAACATGCGCGAATTCTGCGAGCTGATCTTGGACTTGTTCTACTGGAAGAAACAACTGCTCTGCAACCTTTTCCGCACGTTCAGAGAGTGGTGTATACTCGAGAGTTGAATAGGATGCCATGACGGGGCCTGCCGCATCTAAAAGCATGTAATCATTGCTTGATCTTTGATCTATTCGAATTGTCCTGAAATTGACCAGATATCTGGAAGCCTTAACGTCTCAAAGACCAGCCAAATTGGTCAAGTGTGTCACCGTGTAATTATTTGTACATCCAGTCGATTGGGGCTTGAACTTGTGATGTTCTTGATGATGTCTTTGACGAGCTCGAGGTCGGCGTTCGGGCGCTCTTGATCACGCGCTTTCAACTACGACGGTTTTGATTCTGGGAGGAGATGGCCCGAAAAGATGAACCGAAATCGCTCCCAAGCCCACTATCCGCTCTCTTCACCGTAATGGATACTATCATTCCCATCGATCATTTCCCAGAACATGATTCTATCATTTCCAACGATTGGGAACGCATCCACACAACAGAAACCTCGAGAGCGGAACTTTGGGAAACGCCGGTGTAGTCCCCACCGTTTCATCTGCCTCATTGCTTCCAAGAGCCGTTCGACCCCGCGGAAACGAATGAGCTGTTGGGTCCCACAGGCTCGAGCATGGGCGTAATAGGGTTGACGGGGCCCATAGATATTGTCATTCCCTTCAAGTGTTCATCTTCCTGTGTGAAATGTGAACGAGTGCCCATCCCGCTTTGCTCAATCTTCTCATTTCTGTACTTTGCGTGTTGCCACACACACTATGGATCCTCAGCAGGTTCTAGCGGAAGCTGAGACTCGGTCAGTGCTCATTCGTGAGCGGTTTTATCGAGACTCGTGCCAATGGAAGAAAATGAGAAATTGCTATCATCCAGACACTTCATTGACTATGATAGACATATCGTGGTGCGTACCAAGACTGGGTCAATACCTACAAAGCTTTCTCACATCCTCATAGGTATAAAGGTGATGTGGATGGTTTCATTCGAGGCTCGGAAGAGATGACCTCGAAGGGGCTATCAGGCTCACACACTATTCAGCCGGTGGACATCACCATCAACGGCTCCAAGGCATCTGCTCAATCCGTCGGAACCATATCGGCTAGATTTCATCATAACGGAGCTGATTATGACCTGGAATCGACATGTCGGTTTTTATCCCGGCTCCAGCTGGTAGAGACAGTTGATGGGACATCACCGACTAGCTGGAGAATTCTGTCGATAGAAATGATATATATGCAAGACAAGATTGTCCCAGTCATTCCAGAGGCGATTTCTCGTCAACCAGAATTTTCACAGTCAATCGTGAATAGCCGGAAGAGTTACGGGTTGTTGTCTTGGGTCCTCGAAAGTAAAGGCCATAGCATCAATGACATGCTCCCGGGGTCAGATGACCAAGACAGTATCCAGAAGGTGTTGGTACATAATGAAGAGTGGTTATTGTCTTAGTCGAAGATTTTCGATGTTCCATCTATAGGATGAGAACCGCATAGAATCCCTTCGAGATCTTTGGTCTGAGCGAAAATGCACAATAAAGTCAAGAGCCGAAGACGTTGACGGGAAGTTTTGCCAACGAGGCTACACTCATTGAGGATTAATGATTGAGGTAGATGAGTGTGCCATTAATAAGAGTTGTACTAGCTTCGGGAAACACGAAGACTAGAGCTGACGGCGGGTAATTTGAAGGTCTTCGGTCTCGTGTTGTCCTGCCCCAGGATGTGCTGCTCAAAACCTGCGGAAGAGTTTTGACTTCCTTTCCTGATCCAGCGGGTAAGCCCGCCACTGTAACTCACCCTCGGCGAAGGATGAGCTGGTGGCGGGATCCGATTGGCTAATGTAACGTGGGAGCCCGGCAAGTGGCTCTATCGGCTTGTGTTCCCTTCAATCATCCAGGAGGCGGCCTCATCGCGAGTGGGGTTCCTCGCTGACAAGATCCACGATGTTATCAGTACTGAAGGATCTTCCGTGTGAGACGCTTGTCCAAATCTGCCTTCATTTTCATTCTCTCCAAGGGAGTCCATGATACTATATGCAATCCTGGGAATGCCTTGGGAGAGCGACTATCCACAGCAACTCGCATACCACGACGACCTTACTAGATACTAGTTGAGCCTAGTGGTGCGAGAGTCGTCCGCATGATGGACTCCACCAGAAACAGGGATCTGACGCCATAGAACAGGAGAATCGTTGACGAGACTCTCAAGAGGTGCACGAAGGTGTGGAGCGCACCGTGAAGGCGCTCGCCAGGAGTCGCCGACAAAGAAAGTGGCCATTCAGACTGCAGCAACGGGAGGGGGTCAGTCAAACAGGACTCTGCAACACCAGGAAAGTCTACAAATCGCGAATCAATCAATGAGGTGAAGAGCTCGCAAATGCCAAAGGCATGGGAATGCCTCAACTTTGATGTTTTGGTACCTCGATTTGTGCGATTTTACTGGGGTTTGAGGGGGGGGTTTTCAGGTACCTTTCCATCATGCGGACATTGCTCGCGCAACTAGGCTCAATTGGTGTTTAGGTCACTGTTGTACGCGATTCGCTGTGGGTGGTCGCTGTCCCGGGAGGTTCCCGTGGCGGTGACAGAATGATGTCTAGTTGTGTCGCGTCGTCTACCATGAGATCGACGCGCATGAGGGAGTGAGAAGAGGGTAATGTTATTCTGTACACCACATTTTGTTATTCTGTACACCGCTTTTGATTGGTCCGGATTTTTATTTTTCCGGTTATCTGCGCAGTTCGAAGATACGTGATGTCACAACACCTAAGTCTGCCTATATAGAATGCAGAAATGATGGTTAACGATGGTATCCTCTGCACGGTCGATACCTCGTGCTGACTAAGGTAACAAACCAGCGCCCATAGGCTTGGGTGGGAACCGCCCATAAGCGGGGCAGTTGCCCCCCGGCTTATGGGCGGTTTCCCCCCGGTTCATGGGCGGTTTCCCCCTCCGGCTTATGAGCGGTCCTCCCAAGCCTATGGGCGCTGGTTTGTTACCTTAGTCAGCACGAGGTATCGACCGTGCAGGGGATCTCTACACAAATCCGGCTGTGTAGGCCACAATAATTTACAAAGTATACAGAGAAGCTCAAAATGCACGGTACTTATCTACCAAGGAAAAGGGAATCAAATGTGTTTATTGCTTCGCAACCACCTATAACGGGGAGAGTTTAACGCGTCACCCCTCCACAGCTACGCCACTTACTAGTGTTTTCTCGCCATCGCCGGGCCAACGGCAACAAGCTCTGTTAGCGCGGTGTACAGAATAACAGGATGAGAGCGTTAAGTGTACAGAATAAGGCGAGAGAGAGGTGGTGGTGTACAGAATAAGGAGAGTTGAGGCATGGTGTACAGAATAAGCAGGTTTTCCGGTGTACAGAATAACAAAAGTTGGTGTACAGAATAATACCCCCCGTGAGAAGATGAAGTGTTGGTCAGTCACGTGACGCGTTGCCTTGGCAACGTCACGTGAGGCTGTTTGGCTTGGCGACTTGCGCCCTTCTTTTCGTCTTGCTCTCTTAGATAGAACAGCAATACATTCTTTCTCTAGACCCCACAGTCTATCATGAAGAACAGCCGCGGTAACCTGCTCCAGTTGAGCGTGAGTAAGTGACACAAGAGGTCATCGTCATCCCGTGCTTCGTCTATTTCAGCTGGGGCCGACCCGAAATACTGTACTCTCGGGACCGCACTTTGATAGCCAAGAACGCGGAGGTCGACATAAGGTTCTCCACCTTCGCGCGTCGCAGGCCATGTGAGGTGTCTACCGCCCTACAATAGCATTTGCAACGCCCAATCCTCTATTGTTTCAAGGCAGGAATTGTCTAGCCTACCATTGCAAGCCTTCCGAGAGATGCTTCTCGACCACTCACGGCCCTGGGGATCATCGAGCTGACCCCAGCCTGGAAAGTTCTTTGCGCTGTAGATGTGACATCCTCGGCATTTCCAACAACGTAACGTGTGTACCTACGGTATATATCTCACATTGTGCCGAGACTATCTCTTCCTTTTCCGGCTGTGTGTCTCAGATATCCCCCAATCTCTCCTCCTACAAAGTCTAGCCCACGATTCTACGCTGCATCAATTTAGCCCACTAGCACACTTAACACTGCTCGCCATCACAAGATGCCGCTTTATCCAATTCAGGTCAAAGAAGGAAGCCCTTTTCCTATTGAAAACATTCCATTGGGAATTTTTAGTTCTGCAAAAGATGGCAGGAAAAGAGCGGGTACGGCCATAGGAGACTATGTCGTAGATCTCTCCGTCTTAGAGAAGCACGGCAAGCATTTTTGAAATGACACAGTTTGAGCACTTTAGCTCAGCGATCCAGGACGACATGGTTTTAGACAGAGCAAAACACACCAGGTGAAAAGAAGTTAAACCTACTACAAAAGCACCGATGCATGTCGACTATATGTAAATCATCCTGTGCTGGATTCCATGTCGAAATGCCGTGCATGAAAAGTAAGCAACCGATATGGAGAAAACTTCCTACGTCGGGCCATCCCAACCCCAGCCACTCGGAAGACGACCCAAATTGATTCGGCACACGGACCACAAGGAACAGAAAAAGCTTTGCGGCCCATGCTTGCTTTCACTGCTCCAAGCACCTCCCTAAACCCACATTCCGAGCTGCAGGCTTCGCAGGTGCAACTTCAGATGTATTGAAAGCTCTGTCTTTTGTCAACTAAGTGGATAACGAGAGTCCCTACATACTTACATGTCAACGCCGTTGACCTCGTTGCTTCCCCTTCTTCCATAAACTTCGAAGTACGCCTGGTACAACAACAATAGATCGGCCCCTTCGTACGATTGATTGTCCACATTGTCAGACCATCTACAAGGGCAAACTTGTTCGACAGCTTTGAATGCTGTCGGTATCCGAATTGCCAATGCAGACAACCAATAAATCTGACAAATGGCACCGTATCTATTAGGATTTCAGTGGAACGGCCAGTCTATATTTGCAGCGAACGACATTCCACATACCAATAACTACACATGGAGAATCCGAAGCTGGCGAACTGCGGTCCCGATGAGGTGGGGCCGATTATTCGTGGGACTAGTTATGGAATCTTCTACAGGTTGCTGCGAGGAGGATACATTCAACAGCTCCTCCTTACTCTTCGGCAATGCGCTTCTCGCTTTGAAGGAGGTATTCGGACATGGTTGGAGGCTTGAGGAGGCCTGGACAGATAACCTCACGGAGTCGTATCAGAGGATGGCGAAGCTAAGCTGCCAGCTGAGTGGCCCATCTCGTATTCCAGGAGATCGAGAACACTACTCGAGCTACAGAAGGCCACCAGATCACCATGATTGTACAAAGTTGGCCGACTTTTTGGATCCAATGAAATCAATCTACGACCGTGCCACGGCAAGGACTACGGCTAGAGCAATTCGGGCAACCTCTCTTCGCAAGTCAAAGGAAGGCCAATAAAGGCACTATACAATTTGACACGGGTTCTAATCCTGGGGCAGAATCTCACCCTATACTACGGGGCATTGAGACAATCGACGAATATGCTGCAGAGAGTGATATTTCCCAGTCCCAACTGTCCTATTGTAAGCTGTAGTAGTTCGAATTGAAGTACTACAACTGGCAATGATTTGGGTTGTACTACTTTACTGTGCAGTATTGCAAGTTGTAATGCGGGTGTATACTATATTGGTAAGCAACTCTTCTCATGCTGGCTAAATGAAGCAGCTGGGCAGGAATGTTAGTGTCTAACCAGAGTCGCGATTATTGGTCGCTGTGCTTCATCAGCCCTGGGCTACCCTCTTCTACGCTATATTGCTTCGAAGACTTTCCCAGACCGAGAGCCAATTCATAGAAACTGGGCAACGAGAACTTTGGTAGTTACTGTACGACGAGGGCTTATTCGTCATCAGATTCGGCCATTTATTTCGCTAACTGCTTGCCCACATTGCGGGGTATACCTCTTCGATTCCGGCCTCAGCTCACATTACTCCTTAGTCTACGCTTTGAGTCCATTGTCATTAGGTCGTCCCCACGGCCCGTTAAAATATGGAATCTCCTTTTGCTTGTCCTTTGATGCTTGACATGGCCAAGCTCGACCAAGGCTGAAGTGGAAGCTTCTCCGATCGCTTTGGAGAGTCTCCCAGCCCAGATGATGACGCGGCTTTCATTTTATTTTTTTTCTGCATCAACGTCCACAACGACATCACTCCGCCAAAAGTATCCATTGATTGACTCTGAAGCGATGTAATACGGCTCTTCTGAATGGCTAGCCACGCAAGCTGACGCATTACGCGTGTCCAAGACTTAAGAATAATCCTGGTCAACGATTGCAACAGCTTTTCGAATCTCCCGTTATGTCAGCAGTGCCATACTTCTGGCTTCTCATAATTGGGTATCTGCGAATTTAACGCTGGGCGGTGCGAGGCTTGGTATAGCTCGGCTTGAACACCAGTGGACCAATCTCTTCGTCTTTAATTCAAAGGCTGATTTCACACCCCGCCGGCATATCGTCACGCTGGACAATCGTGACGAAGTGAATGGCGTAGCAGCATAAGTTCCCAGCATCTGCTTTCACTTGGGCAGTGTTATGTGGCATGTCAAGCTCCATGATGTCGGTTAAAGGTGGGTATATATACAGGCTTATTGTTCAAAATTTCTCCCGCATCATTCTGTCTCTCTTTCCATCACTGCTCTATTACGCTCTCTAAATCAGTGATAACAGATCGCTATTATTGGATCAACCTCCATCATGGTCTCTCTCTCTCAATTATTGGCAATTGTACTGCTCGCAAGTTCCGTCGTGCTGGCGCATCCAGGCCACAATGCGGCAGACGAGGCTGCGGAACGTGCAGAGTTCTTCAAGCGCAATCCTACAACCCTTCGCACATGTACCGAGAAGTTGCGAGCACAAGGGCACGAATCGGCCAACACTGCTCGTCGTCATGCCCTAGCTAACGAGCTACGGGCTAAGCGAGGTCTCACAGCTAAGCCGCTCATCCATCGCCGCGACTTCAGTTCCTACAATTTCACGCACCTTGCGGACAACGCTGCAATCTCAGACAGTGTCGATCAAATTGTTCTTTTCGCCGACAACTCCTCCTGTACCCTTCAGACCGAAGTCACTGAAGGGCCCTACTACGTCAAAGGGGAGTTGATCCGTCCTAATCTGGTCGAGGATCAGGAAGGTGTTCCTTTAACCTTGGACATTCAGATCATTGATACGTCAACTTGCGAGCCAGTTCCCGCCCTGTACATGGATATTTGGCATTGCAATTCCACCGGCGTGTATAGTGGAGTGGTCGCGAACGGAAACGGAAATAACAACGATGCTTCCAACCTTAACAATACCGCTTTGAGAGGCATTCAACAGACGAACTCTAACGGAATCGTCCAGTTTGAGACACTCTTTCCAGGACACTACGCTGGTAAGTCGGGAAGATAGATATCTGGGAGCAGCCACTGATAAATAGATAGGCCGAGCCACCCACATTCATGTCCTCACTCATAATCCGAATTCGACCACGATACGTGTGAACGATACGCTCTTAAGCGCGAATGCTTCCGCCAATGTTCACGCGTCCCACGTCGGCCAACTTTTCTTCGATCAAGATCTCATCTCCCAAGTTGAAGCCACGCCTCCATATAATACGAACACTCAAGAGACAACCTTGAACAGTGACGATTCAATTCTGGCACAAGAAGCGGACACGACAGACCCATTCGTTGAGTACGTGCTCTTAGGAGACACTGTCGAGGATGGCATCTTGGCCTGGATAAGCATTGGCATTGATCCAACCGAAGATAAGGAAGTCAGTAATGCAGCCACCTACTACAGTGATGGAGGAGTGACCAACGACAATGCCCAGGAGGGAGTGGGTGGTGTGCCACCAAACGGTACGGCTATTGGGTCTGGTGTGCCGCCCAGCGGCACCGCGCCAGCAAATGGTCGCTAGTACGTCGAATGCGTGGCAACAGGAGGCCTTTCCAATGTGTGGTTGGCCTGATACTTTCAGTTCACATGGTTACATGCTCATCGGACACCTCTCGCTCAGGCACGTCCGTGGGCCTTTATTGCATTCGTCTTTGAGAGCTTAATGATGAAAGGACGATTTAACTCTGCCCTGTGTGGTCATGTCTCATGAAAGAGCGCATACACCTGGCTTGGACAAGGCCGACATACCACACACAGATTGTCTTAGACATCAGTCATCTCTATTCTTGTTAATCAATCTGCCCTGAGAACCGGTGTCGAACAATGAGCAGTACTCCTTTACTGGGAAAGGATTATCGCTCCTATACAAGATATAGGGGAAGAATAGAAGTAGCAAAGGGATCAACCAAGCATATGTTTACACTAGAAATCTAGCAAGACCAGTTGCCAAAGAAGACAGAGCATTCAATACAACTCATTTGAACCCCCAAGTTTGACAACCGGGCATGCTCAGGTGTCCAGATAACGTGTAGATCATAACACTTGGGCTTGCATGATGGTGACACAGAACAAATCTGTCAACGCAAACGCAATGAAGCTATCTGAAATATCTTAATAATGTGAGTAGAATCTGCAACTTGGCTGGCGATGGTTCTCGCCTAACCGTGGTCTCACAGAAAACTTTGATCTGAGCACTAAAGCCCTTTTCTCGCATCTAGACATTGTGATTGATGTATCCTATCCTTCGTTGACTCCACGAAAGAAGGGATTCAGATCTCTTTTGCCGTCCAATGCCAGAAGTTTTGAAGCCACCAAAGGGCAAGTCGAAAGCTCCGCATCGCAAAGCTGGGCTGGCGCCGACAGGACCCGCTTCAAGAGAGCGCGCGACGCGTGGAGCCTTGCTGATATTGGTACTGAAAAATGAGGCATAAAAACCATCTGGAATCCTCCGTCAGTTATTCTACGTAACAATGGTTCCAGGTAAGTGGGAAATGCCACATACATTCAGCATTGTTGGCTCGCTGAGTTACTTCAACCTTCGTCTTGAACTCGTGGGGAACCCAAACTGGCCCAAACACCTCCGTATTGATCAGGCTGTTTTCCAGAATCTGGGTAACACAATCGGGTCCAGGGGGTTTCCTCGCTTGATATGCTTGACACGAGCGGCCAAAAGATTTTTGAATTCGCTGGCAATAGCCTTGTGTACGAAAGTGCGAGATGAAGCTGTGAAGACTTCTCCTCCCTCTGAATAGAGTGCGACATGTGAGAATGGGACATGATATGCTTGCTATGATCGAACGGCCGGCCCTGATTGACACCGCAAAGCTGATTGTACTATGGGCCAAAAGTTAGCATGGGTTGTTTGACCCAGCCAATGTAGACACTTTCCGAACCTTCATGTGGGAAGACAGTAGAGACCCCGTATGTCCTGGTTCGGAAATGATGTCGATTACACCAGGTAGAAACCCAGCCTGGAGCGATAGTTGGCCAAGAAAGATAATCTGGAAAATGGACCACTGATCAGTGCAAGGTCCAATTTGTGCTGGAACTACCGGCCGACACTTTAGGGGTGACTTCTCAGATGTCTTGTAGCTTGGTGTTAGCATGTAACGGAGCCAGTGTCGTCGACAAAATGCCTCTACTGTACCTTCAGAATAAGAGAGCTTCCAGCACCTATACAATGGCCAAAACTGACCTCTTCGAAGCCCATCTCCGTTTTCAGAACTGAGTACCTGCTGGTTTACCTAAGCCCTGAATAAGTAATCCTGAGCTGTGACTGTACAATCCCCCGCTCGGCTTACCATGGCCCGAGTCAAGGCCAAAGCCTGGAATTCTGTTTGTCGCCGTCGTGCCGGTAGGATACAGTTTACTTTCGGCATCTCATTGCCAATTGTAACTGCGCTGACAGGAGCTGAAGTATTCCTCGAAACTGGGAACGACGCCATTGGCATTCCTTCCCGGAAGCTGGATTATAGTGCGTGCCGCCGTACATGTCTCATACCCAGACTCCCGGAGAAGGAAACATACTAGGAGTTTCTACCCAAGGTGACTTCATCTACTAGAAGGGTCATGCGGACTGCAAGGTTCGGCGGGCAAGGCAAGTTCAAGAGATCGTGCGTTAGATAACAATTGCCCTTCCACCAGCTGGACGGGTGTTCCACTTCAGCCTGTCGTGGGTGAAGAATATTGGAGACCGTTGTGAGCTACTGGCCGATGTTGGATCCTTGGTCCAAGCCCAAGATATCTCAGTCCCCGCCCTTGCCTGATGTGTGTCTTCGATTTGTGGCATATATTTCGCCGCCTCCAAAGCTCGACGTGTCTCGCTGGACGCTTTGAATGTCTGATCGATTATTAACAGCAACTACCTGAGGCTAATCTGAAGAAGCAACATATGTAACTGTGATAGCAAGCTCATGGGGATAACGTCAGACGTAGAAAGGAAAAGAAAGACGATGAACAAATCCAGCACCAACGCCCCAGTATCATTACACAATGTATTCCACCGCGTCATACCATAGCTGATCATCGGCATCATACCACTCATCTTCGTCCTTGGAGCAGATGATGTCGTCGATTGCTCTCAGCAACTCACGATATCGATGTTCTCCATATGCTAACGCCAGGCGAATGGGCGAGCACTTCACACCGCGAACACTTTCTGGCGTATCGCTATCCTCTATCGGCCTCGTCAAGGCATGCCAGTCTGAACCTAACTCCAGCAAGCTTCGAACAATCGGATCGTGGCCTTTCGCAACAGCGATATGCAATAGCGTCCAGTTTCTGGAATCGGGCAGCTCCGTCGCGACACTCTTGCCGTATCTCTTCTCGTACTCTGGATAGAGGACGTGAAAATTGTCGTGGAAGCCAAAATGGACCACATTATGCAACACCATCCAGCCCAACTTACCTATGGATTGAAATGAATCGACACCAGAATCCATCAGCATCTGAACATCCTCAGGTATGGCGAAGACTGCAGCTCGATGCATGAGGCCCCAGCCTTCGGTGTCAACAACATCTCGATGAAGCCACGGGAACTCAATGACATTCGTCCGGAGCATGGAAATAAAGTTAGTCGACGGTGGATGGCGCATGGTTTTGGACCAAAGATAGAAGATGGGCGACCAGTTGTAGATACTTAGGTGATAAAAGGATGCCCCGTACTTTAGCAACGTTCTGCAGACGTCAATTTGCCGGTGCTTCAATGCCCAAGAAAGTGGAGAAGTCTGTTTCTTTCCGAACGGCTCGTTCACGTCGGCCCCTTCATTCAGTAGAAGCTCGACCACTTGCGTATGACCATTTTGTATGGCCAGGCACAGAGGAGTCACGCCGCCTTCGGTGACTTCGGTGGGAGAAGCTTGACCGGTACGAAGGAGTGCTCGCATCGTTGATATGTCGCCCTCTTTCGATGCTTTCATGAACGCGTTGTTTGGAGGAACAAGTTGCTTGACGCTGATGCGGCCGCCATCGAAGAGCAGACTCGAGCTGCTGTTCCACATCCAAGATCGGGCCATGAAATCAATCTTCAGGCTCAACCGTGCTAGAAGCTGTAATTGAATGGAGAAGACGTATGTGCTCCGATTGGAAGATGCGGCGTAGGCACTGGTATGGATAATGTTACACAGACCCCATAGATGGCTGCTTCTCCGGCAACGAGGGGCTGTAGTCTGTATGCATTGCACCAACCTAGTGTCTGGCATGATTTTGTTTGTCTGGTTACCTGACTCTCCAGGTTGCAGGATTCCATTTGGCGGCGATTCATTTGATCTATTATCCTCGAAGTCTTTTTGTTCGGCGTTCTGAACTTTCCCCATGTCATCGTGAGAAATGCCCCAAGCCATGAACGAACTGTGATACCATTGCGCAAGCTGCAAGGCTGTATTGATAGAGCTTTCTGTTCCAACCAATACTGTCATCAATTCGTCGTAATTGGCCTTGTCCGCCACGATCCAGCGCAGACAACTCCTCTTTGAAAGAGCACCAGGCGCAGTGACAGCTTTTGGTAGCAGTCCTCGTATCATAGTGAGCGAATCTACCACGTTCGTGATTGTCCGTTTGAGGGCTATGCAAACAGGATCATTGGCCGGGGCCCGGTTCTTCAGATCGGTTTCTAATGTTCGCAAAAGCTCAAGGTTGCTCGATAGAGCGTCCACTCGTAATGCGGCCAGGCTCAGTTCCCTTGGAGCATGCCTTGATCTGCGGCAAATCTCGAGTGCTGTGTCTCCAATCTGTGTTAGGGTCGCGAGCGAAGCGACGGTGCCTAGTGCCTCCATTATGGCGGATCCGATATGCCGACGTGATGCTAACGTGATGTTAGTGACACAGTAGGTGCTACTGAGCAACACTCATCGCGCGAAGTTGTGGTTCGCATGGCGACTAAATTGTTCTTCATTCTCATGAGGCTGTTGCTAGTCGAGCAGAAATCCTCGTCTTGGGCGCCCTCTAACCACGCCTAGTCCTGGAATGAGCATAGTGTGATGCAGCTTTCAAGGCGTAGCTAAAGGCGACCAATCCAGTTTGTATTCCAGCCATGCTTATGTGTCGTGCGATTTGACAACACACGATCAAAGTTTTGATCAGCCTCAACTTTTAATGCTGTCTCGTGAAAGTTGCCCGCTTGAAATCACACCTCGTATCTCCATGCACGATTGTTCGGTTGAGGCAACCACACTGGCAACACAACCTGGTCACCATCCACAAGGCCACCCTGGCCTGGCAACGGAGACGGCCTCTTGTCTTTGACCTGCAACCATGATCTGCGACCGCGCGCATGTCCTAGCACTGTGAGGCCGGATTGCATCAATATACGTGACATGGACAAGCTGAGAGCGAACTGGATTCGGTCCATGTCAGTGCCAGAAGCTTCCCGAACGCCTAGAGTACATCAAACTTTCGGACCGAGAGCTTCTCAAATCCCAGCGAAGCATCTAAGGTTTGCCGGCAGCCTTGTCGAGTCAGAAACTTGCCAACAGTCGTGCTGTGGAAACATCCACAAGCTTCCCATGATTGATCTCAATACCTTCAACATCAAACGTACACATGCTAGCCTCTTGCGCCAGATTAAATGGCCCAGAGAGCGGGAGACAGGGTACTCTGAGAGTCGTCTAAGGAGAAAAATAGGTTTTCTCCATTGGCTCTCAACGTATTATGGTGCAAGAACATATCATCATACGTAGGGTGTGGCACGCAGTTGCTGGAAATGTCTGGAGCCACGAGAGACCAGGGTTGGCAACCAGAGGATTGATCCACCCAAGAAGATCGCGGAAGTGCACAATACGGACTGACTTCAGATGATCCCGCTGCTGACCTATGTTCCCAGTCCGTCGAGATGGTATCGGCAGAGGGATCTGACGATAGGTTGGAAACGGATTCCTCTGCCGTATCCCGAAAGATTCTTTTCATGCCTGCTTCGGTGGAAGCATCCAGCGGCATTGTTTTCAATTTGTTTTTGAAGATGTCATACATCATGGGTTGAACACGCTGTTCGAAATACGTTATAAAATCACCTAGAACAGTACGCTGACCGTTGTCCACATCTAAAATAGTTAATACCCATCCTAAATTGGACAGTATGTAATCGGCACCGAAAAGGATACTGACATGGAGATGATGGCTTCTTTGCCCTAGGAAATAAAATTTCATAGATTGCGAACCATGTTTGTTCAGGGCCGCGATTGATAGCTCTTCTTTTGATAGCATTCATTTGGTCGTGGGAAACCTTTTCACTAAAAGGACTGCTTCCTCGCGGAGAACAGACTTCTGCAGTCAAGTGAGAATGCAGCTCTGTTGCATTGGAGAAGGTCTCGAAACATCGCATGCAATAATAATCAGGGCAGGCATGGACTCTCCAAATATGCTGTCTTGACAAGCGAATCAGCGATTCCTTCATTTTGCAAACAATAGGAGGACTTACTTTAGGCGAGAAAGGCTTGGGAGCACGACGGTAGAGCATCGACGATACCTGGTTTCAAGCGCATTTTGCTCAGAATAGCGGGGTGGATCAAACTTGTGGAAAGGGCAGGCGAAAAGTCGTTTTGAGTCTTGTAGATTTATTCGTGGACCGCTGGAGCTGCACTCGCTCGCTTCCATATCCATCGCCCTTTCACTACCACCGGCTGTTGTTGACGCTGTGCCAACGCCAAGGAGTGCAGAATCCTCGAGTATCTGGTCTCCAAACAGCTCTGGATGCGTCGGTTCTTTTCTCACTTTCGCCTTCTCATGTTTCGGAATGTTTGTGATTTTACCCAAAGTGGTGACTTCCACGTCTTCCAAGATCATCGTCGTCTTCCTTGACGAAGTCTGTGGTAGCTGATACCATTGATCGATCTTTCCATCTGTCGTTGCTGAAACGTCGGAAGTCTCCGGAAAAGGAAGACTACTGACAAGCTGATCTGATGTTGTTCCTGAAAACCATTCAGTTGGAAGACTGGAAGAATGACCATCATCTAGTCCAAGCACGTGCTGCGGCGGGCTACCAGGCAAAGTCATGGTCGACATGGTGTCAGAGCCTCCCAGCTTTTCAGTCTGCTGTGGGACTTCGTGATTGCGCTCACTAGATTGAGTGGGCGTCTCGTCGTCCGAGGCGGATCCGGTTCTTGGAGACTGGTGGCGTCTAATATATCGCTTGAGATCAGAAAAGCGAACTTTGTGTCCATCGACGGATATCTCCCTATTTCTAGATCTCTGCAGCAAGTCCTTTTCATTTTTTATTTTTAAAGCCTGCAGGATTTGTTTCATGTCTTTCCTCCGCAAGTTCTTGACGAGATTCCACTGGCGCAGTTTCCGTTTGTACGCGTGTGTTCTGTACGCCTGTCAGTAATTGCTGATCGATGGAGTCGGAAGACATAGACTCACTGCGCAATAAATTGATAGTCGCGTTCGAGGGTTTGCTGGACATCGGCAAGAGTCATGGCTTGGTCAATATACAGACGGGTGATCACAGGTCTAAGCGCTTCCCATCTTGCGGATTGGTCATCGACACTGTCGCCAATTCCTCCGAAAGGCCCTGCTGAGCCATTGTATGTTGTCATAATAGGACCAGGAACATTTTGCGGACGAGCAATCCTGCATATTGCGGTTGGCCGCAGGTGCGTTGAACTTGAAGCACGGTTGCATCAAGGCTGATGAAGCTAAGGCTGAGCCGCTTGGCATTCAACTCTGTCCGATCCCGCGCCTCCGACTTGCCAACTTTTAATCTGACTGACTCAACGGTTCTTCCTGGTGAGGAGCACGGAGATTACTACATTTCGACATGTTGCTGGGTTCACGAATTTGCATCGTGTCTCTCAAAGCAAACTATATTTGCAGAAAACCGGGATGACGATAGTTGGAAGAGGACAACGAGCAGTGGTTGTAGAAACCGCACTAGAGGAGCCATTTCGCCACAACGCCCGCTTCCAGGGGGGGAATGAGGGCGGTACCAATTGCCAATCGACCAGTGTGCGCGGAGGACCTCCATTTCATTTCCCGCTAGCAGCACCAAGCCCTAGCTCTCTACAGCGCTCATAAGAGCACACTTGTCCAGCGTCTCCCTCATCACACCTCGAGGTCTTCTCCTGTGCCTCTTCGAGCAACGCTGATATTTCGAAAGTATGGGTGACGTCAATCGGCCTTAATGCAGGTTGGTGTGTGCATGAAATCGTTTTCGGTGTTGGCAAGCCCTTGGCCTATCGTCACTCTCGCCGTAATTTAGCCATCCAGTTATCAGCACCTTAGTTCAATGTCGACCACAACCAACGCAGTTACCCCTTTTCAACATCGGCGTTCTTCCAGACATCGTCGTGCACCACAGGTCATGACTCCAACCGGTAATCCTAGCGCAATCAGATCCATATACCCAAGTGCACCTTCGAGTTCGGTGGTAATTTGGGAGAGCGGGGTCTGGGCAGCATCAGTCGCCGCTTACCGCCTCATGTGTCAAACCTCTCCAGACGACGAGCGTAAGTCCTAGAAATGTCCCCATGCCAATAATCAACTGACAGTGAACAGTAAGCCGTGCCGAGCGAGGGCAAATGGAGCACGGCAGAATTCTCGACCTGATGACATCGACGCCGAAGCCTCTTTTGATTCACAATCAGAACCACACCCATGATGGTAAGGCGGTGATCTCAACAATAATCCACACCTATAAGAGACGTCAATGGCTGAGGCACCCATTTGCAGAGTTCTGCCCTCTTCATCACGAAACCCTTGAAAGGAATCGTGGTAGCGTTGCGCTTGAAAATGTTGACGAACAACGTACCACCAATGAGCAAATCGAAGTTGGACAGCCAACGAGCTTCCAGAGTCAAGACATCTTGGGGCTTGGAGCCGGACTCGAAGCAAATCAAGGAGAGAAAATATCAGAGTCCATTGATGAGGCAGATCTTGGAGAGGAAGATACTCCCGCACCGCATGAGGATAAGAGTGGTCCCATCAACGACGATGACGACCCATAAGCTGAGAGGACAGTAAAAGACCACTGCTCGGAGTGAGACATCCAGACATAGGTGAGAGTTCCCACAAAAGAACACGACCTAAAACCCTTAAGGTGACAAGGCTTCAGTCGTTCTAGGATATGATTGGTGAATGGAGCTGGAGATTACGCTGTTCTCTGGAGAATGATTTAGCTCCTGCCAGACTTACCATGTAACAAAGCTGAATAGGGAAAATGGCAATATCCTCGCTGCTTCAACACCTTTTCACGGCCTGATATTGCCAACTTCGCCGTGCGAAAATGTTCAATGCTGCTGATAAGGCAGTGAAAAACCAAACAGGGTTCCAAAAAATAAACACAGACACAAGAACGGAAAGAACCTGCTTCGTCCTGACAACGGTGACTGTCTAAAGGCTTTCCACGGGATCTGTCGCTGCTTCAAACAAGCTCAACAAAAGTATTGCCTTCACCGAGTGTTAGGACAACCACCACGGATAACAGTTTGTGGAAGCTGCGAAGGGTAGTGCTCATCGGAATCATCGGTATGATCAACTCAAACCCTTACAATTTGTTTTCCCCAGGCCAGACTTGCTAGCATGACTTTTTCACCAGACAACGGCGCCATGCATTCCGGTACCATTCATCGTGAGAGGTATCTGGGACATAAGCTTTACATCGTCTCCCAGACAGAGATTCACCTACAGACAGATGCGATAGGAGAAGTATTGATTTTGGTGGAACGACCGAATCGAGGATGAGTGGTGCTATGTTTTCATTCAGCTACTGTCGGCTCGAGGTCCAAGGTCTCAGCAGTGTTCCCATTTGGAGGTGATAAAGAAAGACTGCTCCAACATCAAGGGGCATGCGCAGAGAAGAAAGGTGGGGATATTTATAGGGAGGCCAAACGCTTTGAGCATGATTACACAGTTTAGCTGGCAAACGGTCTCAATAATACCGGTTAGGCTTGCGGTTAATAATCGGGGCAACATCAAAATCACATCCACACCCTGGTCACCCAATCTCACGGGAGAGATGTATTTTTGGAACACAGATGCATCTACACGGTTGCAAATAACGCAAGTTCGGAATAAACGGACCTGTCAGCACATGAAAATTATGAGGAATGCTACAATTCCTAGATTGACAATCTCAATACACTCTACTTCTCTAGGTCGATTTCTATGTAAGGAGGATTCAAGTATCAGGATGCCTGTGGCGTCCGCTGAGTACTCAACTGTCACACTAGAGCCAAGCGAGGCATCCATCATTCTCAGCACCATCACAACTGTGACGACGAACTTTTGTCACATTTGATCCGTGCAGAAATTCGCCGATTTGCTCCTCCTATCGCATTTCTGGAACTCCGATGGAGTCCGTGATTCATGATCCCGTGTCTGATAGGCTAACCTCACTGATTGGAAAGGCTAGGGCAATTTGGCCCGCTAAGTTGGGTGGAGGCCGAGGGCGCCACGGCGGGGACACGTTAGCGAATGTGAAAAAGGACGACGATTTGACTTGGTGCGTACCCCAGGTCCCATTGGTGCTTGTCAGCAGGATTGCCGGGCCACGGATGGATCGAGCATACCCAACATATGTATTCTCGGCGGACAAGGAAGGCGCTCTGGCTTTGGATCACGAAACGATAAAGCATTCTTCAATCCCGATACTGAATGCACTTTCTATAGCTCCAGCCAAAGCAAACGACCAGGACAAATACACCACAATTCGAACCGTCAACAAGGTCTCCATATGCAGTGCGCCGACTAGAGTGTCGCAAAAGGCAACATCGGACCATTCATCTTTGCTCGGCCGGCGAGATGCATGATTTGCCAGACAACTGCTTGGGCATCACTTTTTTTGTCCACTGACGAAAACCGGCTACTTGAATATTTTCCATTTCTGTCTCTCTCCTTCTTTCATTGCGAAAGGAGGCACAAATATGCTGCATAAAAGGTTAGTCCCAACGCTAGCATTCCATTCCTGTCCCATGTCAAAACCTGTCAAACGGGAGCCGTCGATAGAAAACGCCGGCAGAATTCCGCATGGTACATCCTGTTTGGTACTATAGTCATGCAGACTTCCTTGAAAATGCTGGGTTTCCATCCTTGGTATCTCCTGAGAGTTATTTTGTTGACAAAGAAATCTTGAAGCGGGCTGTGCCATTCTTGCGCCTTTCCATTTGGTTGAGGGTGAATTCCAAGTAATGATATTGGCAAGGGGACAGCCGCCACAAACGTGCACGTACGTGGGTGAGTTGTTGAAGATTGTGCTGGCAGCTCTCAGTGGATGTATCAATGGTTCTCAGCACAAATGGACTTCTGGTGGGCACCCAGGAAGTGCTTGGTCCTGATGGTTATCGGTATCGGTCCCACCATACTCTCAAGCCAGCCAAAGATCAACTGACGCGTCAGCATAGCCGCGGATGTGACGACCTCGTTCAAGATGTCGTCAAATTAGGAGATCTTGTCGTGTTCAGGAAAATAAAGCCCTCGGTCCTCAGCAGTATGTCTTATGGCCAATGAATCACCGTATCCCAATAATCATCAGCCGACAGTGAGCGGCAGCAAGCCAGACAATGGCACCAGCTCGAAGAGAATTTGACATGACCGGGTAGCAACATTCATAGCTGATCGTGGCTGGACATTCTCTACCAACGAGGATTCCCGGTGGCTTTGGGTTGACGTTTCATAAACTTGGGGCGATGGGTTTTTGGACACTGGCCCTCTCAGTCAGGCAGCTGTGCAGTGTCCAAGCACCTGTTCATCCCTCAAAACCTCCCCCTCCCCCTCTCTGATAGCTGTCCTACTCATTCTCGTTTTGCAGGCAGGAGCTATTGAGTTGATGGCCAAGGATGACACAAAAATTGGGCTCCAGGCCAACCTCTTTTCGTCTGACGCAAGTAATCAAACTGACGGTTTTTCGAATTTGAAACCAGCCGGTTTGAGTACTAGCACAGGAACCCCGGGGACATATCGTCTCAGCTGCCTGACATATCTGGCTGGCTCTTCAAGCACCGGGGCAGCAGTCCCTTGAAACCGTCCTTCATAGAGTCAATACGGATCCTTTCACCAAATTGTTCAACTTTCCCAAGCCTTATCGTTAATCAGTGATGTGCTGGTAGACACATCCACGGCCCTGTAACTAAATTTTCCACAAGTGAACGTGCCGCCGCCATGCAACAAAGTCAATCTCGTTCGAGATCTCATCGCTTTAGCAACATCACTCCTAGCGGGATGCATGACTGCTACCATAGGGGCTGATGGCAATGCTTGAGAACCCTCTCACACTTAGATACCAACAGGCACAGGTCGAAGTGGTTCAGTACATGTCTCGTTACATTAAGTGCCACGACGGTACGACCTCATCCCAGCTTGATTAGTTAGCCAGCTGAGCCGTGCCAGTATCGGGGCTTAGCCGAAGTTGAGCCGACCTGATTTGGTATAACTTGCACAAAGCGGCGACGGGATGGTCGGTCAGTTTTAGCGGCGAAATGGTTCGTGATGTTACGACCTGCTTCAACATCCGCCACTTGACTTACAGACTTTCCCATGCACACTGAATCAAGCTGAAACATGTACATCAGCACTTTCTTCGATCTTGGCAATAAGTCCGTGTAATGGAGAGTACGAATCGCTCAGAGAGTAATGCCCTGTTCTAGCACTCTCGCTTGTATATACGCCGGCGTTGCAACCCAGGCAGGTTACGCCTTTTGCTGTGGCCGTCATCGCCCTGTCAACGTCCTCTTGCGTAGCAATGGGAATGCCAGCGACATGATCACCACTGACAGGATTCGAGTTCTTGATTTCGACCAAGCATTCACTTTACCGGTGCAGCCACCTAAACATCTTTCTTTGAAGAGGATACATGTGTAGGTGATGAGATCAGTATCCGAATTTCCTCTTTCAATTCTGCCTTGCCGAAGCAGCAGACAAGCCACTTCCCAGAGTCGGCGATTGGAACCTCCAGAATCGACCTCTTCCGAATAATCTGAGTTGTACTCTATGGGACTCTTGCCGGACAAGGGGCATAGGGACTAATTTTGGAATCATTGATCCAACACATGAAGGAGGGCCCTTGCTATTAAGGTCCACTTCCCCATGGCCCAGCCCAAATCTATGGGTCCGAATGCCCGAAATGGAAGGTCACCACACTGCAGAGCGAAAACTGTTTTGCTTGGAGCCTAGTAATAACATAGATTTTACCGACATCGCCAATACCAGTCATCCCAGGTCACCAGCGTAATCTACACTTACGAATATGCGCGCATCCAGCATTAACGTCCTGCAGGTTGATCAGCTTCGGCTAAGTTCTAAGCCAGCCAATGTTCGCTTTCTACGCCCCCTTGTCTATTTGCCCGATAGTGCCTTGATATCCCAATCGTCCTAATTGACGTGAAAAACGATTTGGGAGAGGGCGAACTCGCCATAGGCGAGAAAAGCTTGAATTTGAATAACCCGAGAGAAGGTGCCGAGATGGCCGAGCTGTGTGGCGCGAGAAAATATCTTGACTGTCCTAGTCTAACCGGGGAAAAGGTGAATGAGGTATTCGAGGTGGCGGTGGTGGGTATTGTGTGATCCTATGACTGTGGATATATTTAACGCACAAGGCTCTCACCCAAATATTAATTCAATTTGACAGCTCATCCATAAACACATTCTGTCGGACGGGTGCGACTTGAGATGTACTGAATGCTCTGTCTTTCGTCAACTGGACAACGAGAGTCCCTATATACTTGTCAACCTCGTCGGCCCCCCCCCTTTCCATATCCTATCGCAGTACTCTTGGCATAACAACAACAGGTAGGTTCGTTCGTACGATTGGTTGTTCACTTGTCAGACCATTTACAAGTGCAAACCTCGTTCGACATATTCGTTCCGATCGAAATCAGGACAAAGAAGGCTTGAAATCTCGTTAGAAGTTTCCCGAAGGTCATATGCGCCGTCTACCTCTCCTCATATGCTCATCAATAGAGGATGAATGAAGCGAGAAGGACTGTGGTTCTTGAAACAGCTTACTATCGGCGAAATAACACTAAGGTCTATACCTAGAAGTTGAAGTGCAAAATGGAACAAGGGACGACACCTGACTTAGGAACACCCAGGCAGACCCTAGTAGTCAAAATTGTCTTGGAATTTGTACAAGCCGCTACGCTCATGACGATGGTATCCAAGGCTATCACTCGTCCAGCCATTCGGCGAGCTTGTAAAGAATGCGCATTGTGTCAAAGGGTCAAAATCGTCCAACCACGTATCTTGTATATTACCTGAGACTGCAGCGTAAATGAGTGCTGGCGGTAGATAGTTGCCATCCATGCAAATTGCGGCCAGTAACGAGATCCATTCACGATTGCCATCCTGCCCAGATCTTGTCAATCGGCCACTCCGAAAAGCTTCTTTAAACACAATTCTCTTTACCTTTTGAAGGCTGCCGAGTAAAAAGCCTTTTTCATCCATATTCTATGTGTTGCAAGGCTGTACGTTGTAGAATCGGATTTTCTCGAAAATCTGCTAATGATTAGCAAGGTAACTAATACATAATAAGGCCACAAGCCAGCTCAAAGTAGCGTTGGATATTCGCATGAGATTCGGCCCTTTTATGGTTTAAATCCATGCCAGTAAGGCAGGTAGATAACAACTCTTTTTCGTGGCGTTTTACGAATCTTGAAACCCAGTTTTTCGAACACTCAGATTTGGCCATTTCTTCCGCAAAGTTGCGGACCATTGCCGGTGTTGGGGGTATACCACGCTCAGCAAGCTTATTGGTATAATCAACAAGCTCGATTTCTTGTGCTATAATCGCGATTCTTCGTTCCCAAGCTGTTTTGAGAGCGTGACTAGGCCTTGACATGGGCCGGGTCGGGTCGGGTCGGGTCAAGACAATTTTTCAATTTACCCACGCACTCAAAAAATTATTTTGAAATGAACTTGATATTCACGTGTAAATGAGGGATCTCTCTTCATATTACGAATTTATTACTTAGAAATATCAAAATACACGAAACTGACAGGTACGCGTAAAGTGGAAAACCCGCCAAGGACCCGGCCCATGTCAAGGCCCAAGTGTGACGCCTCGGTGACGACGTGATAGCGTACTGCGATCAACGCCATACTTTTTTAGCTATCGCATTGTAATTGGGATATTTCTGGCATCTCGCTTCAGCAATCGTGTCGTCAATTGGTGCCATATTGAGTGAGATATTCAAATTTGAAATTCGGTGTGCGATCGGTGAAAGGGCGTGCATGCGGTGGGCCCGTGCACGCAGTGTGGATCCACGTTACCTATGATCGAACATGTGTTTTACCACTCAACCATTTGATGCAGTTTTTGGCACATGGCTTGGCGTTATCGCGTAACTATTTTCCGGGATCACATGCTATCCCCTGTGGGGGGCCCTCCCAACTCACCCATCGGATCCAGTCTATGGACCACTCAACCCCCAACGGATTAACCATTTTCCGGGATCACGTGCCCACCGGGGGGCCGCCCTCCCAACTCGATATGATCTAATATGGATTGGATCCGATAGTCCCCTATGGGCTTAGCCCGTACAGGGGTGTATGAATATCGTATCGTATCGTATCGTATTGGATCCGATGAAATCCCCCTCTCGTCGCCCATCGGATCCAGTCCATGGACTACCCAACCTTCAACGGATTAACCATTTTCCGAGATCACGTGCTACCCGGGCCCATGTGTGTCGGGGAGCACCCTACTCGATAGATATCGATATCCTCGATATCGAGATGATCCACGCATCGGATCCAGTCTGTGGACCACCTAGAGAAGCTCTACTAATCACACTCGAGACGGCTCGTAACAGAACGTGAACGGACAAGCCTTGACGTCGAGATAGTCCACTGATTGGATCCGATGGGCCGTGGTATTTCATCGGATCCAGTGGATAGCTGGAAATCTTGTCTCCTAGGATTTTATGTCAGTTAACTGACTGAACTTTCAATCAGGCCGCGAATTTCATCAGTCCAGTCAATCAGGCAAGCAACTCGACATCAGTCAATCAGGCAGGCTGGCGATTATGTCGGTTAATTGACTGTTGGCCACGCAGTCGACAATGTTCGGAATGGAGCAAGCCTCGTCCATAGCTACACTTCCTCAAAGCCGCCCGAAGGTCAAGCTGGAACCATGAAACTATGACAGAGCTGATCTAGTACTTCGCGCTGGGGACCTCGCGTCCCTCCGAATTTCAACTCTTCTCGAAGCTTTCAAGATGCGCCGGTCAATGTCCACTAGCGGTGGCAATAAGAATCGCGGCAAAGGCCGCGATTCTTGCCTTGGGTGCTGTAGCCATACCATTATGTGAGATCCGACTCTTTTTCTCCGGGCCGGGGAGACTGTCTCTTACTCAGAGTGAACAAGCTGTCGCATTGCTGATTGAAGCCTCATATTCGGTACTCAAGTCCTAGTCCGTAGCAATGCTGTCCGTCTGCCCGATCATCGGATCTTACTGGGCGCCCCGGACACCATCTTCTCACCGCAAAATCCTAACGTTACCTAGATTGTACTGTATGACACAAATGAGGTAAGAGTCTCAACAGCGAGATTTCAAAGACCTAGCAAAGAGGCCAGTGATACAGTAATTAGATTGCACACCGCCATGGTCTAGCTGTCTTCTTCATCCAAGTCATTGCCAAGCATCGAACACCACATATGGGCTGTGGCTGGCGCCAAACCTCTGCTGGGCACCAAGCGGCCTCCGTTTATTAAACCTTCAAACTTGCAGCTGGAACCGACGACCATCCCCATTACGTTACAGAAGAATCGGGTTATTGAATTCCCTAATGCCCTGGCCGTGCTAGCTGCTGGCGGTGTCGTCACAACCTGCCCGTGGCAGGCCAGTGCTTCGAAGCTTCTCTTCCGCATCAAGACGCTGAAACCGAAAGCAGTCAGCAGCTCTCCAAAAAAAAGGTTCCCGCTTGTTCTATCGGCTCGAGAAGCTGAGTGACACTGGTATTTAATCATTTTACAAAACGTTGTGATAGTCTCGTCGTTTTGCAGAGCAACCACAAGGGATGCCGTTATCTATGGAGACCCCCCCCCCCCCCACCCCAAAAAGCAGTATGCTCCTAGTTGCGGAGTCCATACATAACAGTTCCGTGTTCGACCCCGTCGGCATAGATCACTATCCGATACGAGGACATTTTTGGTAGTAAAATTCGACAACGGCCATCGAAGGAATTCAATGAGAATCTAGACGAGAACAAATTCCTCAACACGATGCCGTTCCAGTTTGTCCACGCCGGCGATCGCATAGCGGAAAAGCGGGGAGGCCTCCGCCCTGGTTCCTCTGCCCCCTCCGTGTTTGAAAACCCCAACGGCCAAAATCGCCGGACCAAGGAAAGAAAATGTTCCCTTCCCGGCGTCTCGCAATACGAAGGGCAGGGATGCGCCATTCAAGTGCACCAGGATATCGCCGTGGTTAACCAAATCTGACACAAACGCGTAGTGGTACCTTTCACTTTTCGGCCTGGATCGCAACTCGGGCACGTGGGTGCCGTCTAATGGCATAATAACGCTTGATTTGCAGTCCATTGCCTTCCATAAATACGCACATTGTGTTTGTAGGCGCGCCAGGGCTTGCGCTAGTTGACCTTCTGAGTCTCGGTTGTCAGCCTCCGGGAACCAGCTTTCTTCGGCTGATAAACAGCTTTCAAGCATCGGGGAAGCAAGTCCAATGACCTCCCTGGGATAGTCCTCGGACCAAGGGAAACAAGTGGCCTTCTGGGAATCAGGGGCACCGATCGTTCCTATCCGTCGGCCATGTAGGGGAAGGACGTTGTGTTGATCGAAATCCAGTGTGGTTTTTCTCAATTCTTCGACAAAGTCCCGCCCCCAGTAGGCCATTTGTTCAGGAACAAGGTAACGAGGGACATCGACTCGCAAATCAATCGTCCAAGAGGGCAGGTCTTTGCCACTGGCGCCTCTGTTTTCGAAGATCGACAGACATTTTAGATTATTACTTCCATTGACCGTATGCTTTATAAAGTCTTGGAATACCAATGACATTGGCTTTGTGTAGTCGATCGGCGGTAACCCCTTGGTGGCGTCCCACTGCTCGACGTCCATTTTCGCATTTGCCTCCTGGTTTGTCAGCGCAGTTACAATGCCCAAGACTGCGAAGATCTTGTCTTGAGGTAGTGTGGATTGGTATATGGCGCTTCTCATAATGGTATAGAACCAGATGGAGTTGGCTTCCCGTGTCTGATGCATTTGTTGCGATTCGTAATCGCTGCGGAAGTAGCTATAGCAGAGTAGGGCTCGAGACGCTGGGTCAGGGTCGTGGATAAATCGACTCGGAGATGTAGCATATTCGGGTAGAAGCTGGTCTAGGACGTTCGAGAGCCTAGGAAAGGAAAACACGTGCTTTCCGCAGACAATATCCATCTCTTGGGCGGCAAAGAATTCTTGCCTGATCCAAGTACGCCGAAAGAACGCTCTTGAAGTGACCATTCGCATTGCGGCCTCGCGGGCCAGGGCCAAGTTATGGTCGTAATGGTCATGATGGTATCGTTTGTTGTTCGGCGGGGAGCTAAGAGAGTACACATGCTGATCAACCTGGTCGTATTCGTCGGTTCGGCTGACTAGGTGAAAGAGGATTTCCTCCTCTGGAGATGGTGTTCCGAGCCATGCCACGACTCTCATCGCCTTTTGAAAGATGACAAACATCATCTCGACCTGCTTCGATTTCTCGTGGAGATTCCTTTGGTTTATGCAACAGGCATCTGTCCACAGATATCGGATCTTGTCTTTTCTGCGAATGTGACGGAGGGCTTCATACATTGTGTCGGAAACAGGGAGGCGCAAGCCATTACAGGCGATGGATTTGGTGAGTGCTGGATAGCCCCATGAGTAGGAGAGTGCCTCGTATTGTACAATGGTAGACTCTTGCACCAACCCCACGCCAGGGAAAGGTATGAGATCCGCTGTCAAAAGATCGCATGTGAGATCGGATTGGAAGTCGGCTGAAGGAGCAATCCTTAGTAGACGTATTTGCCATGGCGCAATTGGCCGATAAAGCTGCTCGAGAACTTCTGACGGTACGTCACGATAGGGCTGGTCCACAGCCACAGTATCTATCCATTGCGAAGGAGAGTCGATATTAGAGAATTCTCCCATTATCCAGTGTCAGTTTGTCGAATTCTTCGTCTCAGACTGCCTGGGATTCAATTCGGTGGTGATGAACTTGAAATGCACTGAAACTTGGTGTTGGGCGGGAAACAGATTATGCGCTTAAATAATCCAGCTGATAATAACAAAACCTCCTTTGCCTCTTGAATGAATCAATTTAGGAATTGAACCCCAGGTCCCCTTTTGCGGAGCCTCCTCACTTCATCGACGTATTCGTGTTCATTGTGGATCTTTCGCATATGTAAAATTATGATGCTCTATCTCATCTGTGAGCAAGGGGGTATTGGCAAGAGGGTAATTCGCTCACTGTTCTCCCCCTTTGGGGAAAGGGGTCGATACCGCCTTGGGCTCGCCCTTTCTCACCCCCGGCTCGCGCGAGCTGGAATCACCCGTAACGTACCCGTCGTGGGGGCCGAAATCTCATAGCACCTTGGCGCGGATGGTGCCGACGCCGAGCCTGCAAACCCCAGTACACCTCTATTTCGACGGTGATGATTGGTCAAGAGGGAGATGCAATCCACATCCAAAGCAGCGTTTGCCAGACTTGTCGCTTTTGATCTGCCTTCATCGAGCACGCTGGTGAGAAGTAACCCGACTCCTTGTCTGGTCGGCTAACCACTTACGCTAACACTAAGCCGATTCTGCCGACCTTGCCGTATTGAGCGGAACACCTCGCTGCTTTCACCAGTTGCGAGCTTTGCACGTCGCAAGATTTCCCAACATCGTCGCCTTGCCCCTCTCTTCCGTCGACGTTCGACCAAAGTCTTTATTCATGCAATCACTACTCGATGGAGAGAACTACCTAGAACCGACCTCCTATATCTGTGAACCTTTGCTCTTGTCGGCGCTCTTCCACTCTGCACCGGCTTCCTCAGTGCTCCGACGACCGCGCTTATGACCATTATACGTTATGCCACATACCAGATGGACATGAAGCATTGCAGTTCTGCTGTTGATCGTCCTGTACAACTCGATCCACTACATGATGGACCTGATCTCACGCTCAGGAGATTCTACCCGCTGCTGACCAGGGCGGCCTCGTCAATCTCTACAAGAAGATCTGCGGTTGCGATGGGCGTGGACTCGGCTGAGAATTTCCCGGCTTTGAAGAAGGATGGGACAGTTCCCACTCCTGTTCTGCACTGAGCGCTCATCTATCAAATTCACATCGAGTCAAATACAAGTTTCGACCGATTGTGCGGCTGTGCTGGCTTCCGCAACACAGTACCCTGAGTCGCACGAATTGCCTGATCTTCGATGTGGTCCAACAGATCGAAATTTCCTCTAGGGGCTACGGACCCAATTTTCCTCTAATGCCTATGGCTCTCGTCCGGAAATCAGGGGCCATCTACTGGGCCAGTCTTGCTGGCGTTCTTTTGCCGTCGCTAACTGGGGGCGACGGAGGACTTCACTTGTTTTCACCGGATGGTCACGATGCTTCCCACATGTCTGTGATTCGGTTTATATGGTCCACTCAGAGACCTCTCGCACGATTCTTGTCCGGCCGAATGCCAACATGCTGTGCGATACCGAATATTGAACCTGTTTGGACATCACCAACTTTTACGACCTAGCCACAATCATGGTATCATGTCGCCTCGCTGATATTCCAGATTGTTTGTTTTGGCTGGACAAGTTGCACTTCTTCTCGCTCGACCGATGGGAATATCTTCGAGGAAGTTTTCGTCCATGAGCTCTATGAGATTGATGACAGCGAGCGGGGTTATAAAGATTCCGCAGGAGTTTCCGATTTGTCTCCCACCGACGCAATTTGCTTAGGATTAGCCTTAATCCTACCATCCTTGACCGGAAAGGCCTCGCAGGGGAACCCTCCCCATGAGCAGTTGCAACCGCAGCCATGGCTGAAAGGGACTATGGTGCCTCAACCAAGGTCGAGCGCCCAACCCGCAAGGCGGTCACTGATAGAAAGCAGTCGCACAGCTAGACCTTCTCTCATGAAGACACTCTCCGCGAGTCATATGTGTGCACAAATACCTCTGCAAGCCAAGATGGGGCAATCAAGACCTGGCAACAAGGATTCGAGGACTTCAATCTTCAGACCGCTCAGGGCCGGTCCAAATGCAATGCCGCTGCCTCTATGCCTCATAGCTATGGAGATCAAGCAGCTTCCATAGTCGTCGTGCGACACATTGCCGCCCAACATTTCGAATTGCCAGAGTACCGACGGGCTTCCAGGAATGACAATGGGACAGACGCAAGGTGGTAGTCCCCTACCATAGACCCTATATCGTCAAGGTGGACCACGGCACCACGGAAACAGTCCCCTAGCATCGCTACACCTACACCGAAGCGCGCGGCTACACAATCTTTGTCGAGAACCTCGGATCACCCTGCCGAAGGGCTGGGGATACATTATCCAGAGCTCGATCAATCGACGAATGGTAGCTGCCAAGACATCACCTCATTCTTATCAGTGTAGTGTCAAGCACCCAATTAGGCGTCCAATTAGGCACCCCATCAGGCGCTCTGCAAACGATTCCTTCCTTGATGCGGGAATGCGATCATAGTCTGTCTCGCTTACGCTCCCTACAGACGTTACAGGATAGAAAGGATATCGAGCGCCCATTGAGTAAGGCTTGATAGGCCTTCACATTTCAACATCATACCGGGGCTAACCGGAGTTGGGAGACGGCTTTCATCGCCTCCGCCTCACCCGGGAGACGACTCCTGACATATCTATCGTGTGCTTGCGAACGCAGTCTTAGATCGACCTCAGATTCTCCAGACCACAAGTGCGGGGCCGTCAGGCCGGCCATCCAAGACCACACAAGAAGAGCGACCATTGTCTGCTTCTAGTACTTAAATGTCGACCGTGAAGGGTTTTCCTCTGCTCTACAGCGTGCTAAAGCACCTTTCCCATTAGTCATATCTTCGTTCGCCAGGCCAGGGTACGCCTTAAACAAAGCAAGAATCATGTCCCTCACAATCTACCATCTCCACTGGGGCCAATCCGACCGAATCGTCTGGCTCTGCGAAGAACTCGCGGAACTGATCCCCAACTTCACATACAGCCTCGTCATCTTCCCCCGTGGCTTACCAGATTCCGAGGGCAAGAAAAATCTCTTCTCCCTCCACCCTTCCGGCACCGCGCCCACGATGGTTGACGAAAGCACCACTCCACCCATCATCATGACCGAATCACAAGCCATCCTGGAGTACATCATCAACGTCCATGGGCAAGGGCACTTCCAAATCACTCCTTCTGCCGGCCCACACACTTACTCGCAATATCTCTACTGGCTGTGCTTCGCCAACGGCTCATTCCAAGCCTTCCTCTCCGCCAACCTCCTAGGCGAGTCCCTTATCAACCAGCCCGGCGCGAGCATCGACCCTTCCCAGAACTGGGCGTACTTACACTACAGTGCCCGCACGCCCAATCATCTGAATCAGTACAACAACCGGCTTGCCGAATCGAAGTATTTGGCCGGAGAAGAATTCTCGGCCGCGGACATGATGAGCATTTATGCGTTTACCCTGTATAGGGCAGTCCATTCCATTGACTTGACGGACTACCCGCACATCCTGCGCTGGTTGGGCGATGTGACGAGCCGGCCGGCGTACAGGCGTGCTCTGGAGAAGTGTGAGGATGGGCTACCGCCGTTGATACAGGCGAAGGTTCCAAAGGTCCCGCTCCCAGTGCTAATGAGCGTGGAGAGCTGGAAGGTGGTGCCGGAGTGGAGTGGAAAGGCTTAAGCTAGGGATTCTCAATCACTCCACAGACACTGCGACGGGAATTTCACCACTATTCTCTTAGGCGCCTCTTTGGAAATGTTGAATGTGCTAAACAATCCCCAAAACCCGGGAAACCGAACTCACATATACTTGCTAACATGTGTATTTCCTAATTCTAGCTGGCAAGAGTGAGAATGTCGTACCACGGCGATTCATTATCGACACCATATGAAAGATCTCGTCAAATGGAAGGCCCCGGAGAAGAGAATTTTTGTCCGAAGATCATTTGGCTGTGTCTGAGAAGCGAAGACACCAATTCCCCAAGGGCTTCATCGCACATATAGAGGGGAAGTTACTGCACCATAATAATCTGGGGTAATGGAGCAGTACATTTTTGGGGAAGTGGGGCAAGCAGTCTAGCAACGGAAACAAATCCCCACCTAGGGAAATCAAGCTGTTACACCCAGTCAAGTGCTCAGTTCTTATCCCAATATTACTATTCTAGATATGGCGAGTGGCCCGTTTGTCTGGTCCTAGTGTCGCTGATCAAGTTCTGACCAGTATCAAAAAGTGGTCTCATTCTTGATTTGATACCCCCTCATTGAGGGGCAACGGTGGAGATGCTTTCTCTGTTCCCATACTTCATGATGTCTATAAGGGAACCGAAACCGTAATACGACATCGTTCAAACATTGGCTGCAGCTTTCTCAGGCCCGTCATCAGTCCCCTTCTTAGAAAGAACCATTTGCTCGAATCTCACTCAAGCACTTTCTCCATTGTAGGATATCACCTCCCTGCCCTCTCCAGGATTTAAAAATGTCACTGCCAGCTCTTGTCAACGCCCAAGATGACAAGGAAGAGTCAGTAGATCATGTCGAGCTACACCAAACCTCCGACGAGACTGGGAACTCTAAGGTGGACTACCGTTTCTATGCTGTTGAGAAAAAGAGATTGAGTAGGAAAATCGATCTCAGACTGATTCCAATATTGTCACTCATCTATTCGTTCTCGGTCATCGATCGCATCAATATTGGTCAGGTGAGCGACCAGTCCGAAGTTGTTGCCAGGAATTATTTCTCATACCACGACAATCCAGGCCAAAGTCGTTGGTATGACTGAGGATTTGAGTATGACCAGCGCTTCGGCCTACTCTATCTGCCTGCTCGTATTTTTCCCCGCGTATATGTTGTAAGTCAAGCCGCATATCACCGGGATTTTGTCCTAAGGTTTTCAGGGCCGAGCTTCCAGGCAACATGGCCTTAGTCAAGTTTGGCGTCGCCAACGCACTGGCCTTCATCATGCTAGGCCTTGGTGTTAGCACGATTGCCCAGGGTCATGTTCAGCACTGGTCCATTCTTGCAGTCTGCAGAGTGTTAGTTGGTGCATTCGAGGCCACCGTCTTTCCTGCAATGATCTACCTTGTGTCAAGCTGGTATGTGCGCTATGAAGCACATAGGAAGCTAGCCTGGATGTACAGCATCGGGATTATATCAAGTGCATTTGCTGGTGTCCTTGCTTACGCTCTAGCTCTCTTGGATGGAAAATCTGGATGGAGAGGCTGGCGGTGGATTTTCACAGTATGCTGACTCTGCACTACAACGTGTTAGTCAACGGACTCACGTTTTACATCAGGTTGAAGGATCAATTACGGCTGCATTTGCTGTCCCTACCTGGCTCTTAGTTGTCGATTTTCCAGATCGAGCAAAGTTCCTTTCACCAAGACAAAGACAGATCAAGATGGAAGAATTGACTTCTGACCGAGGCGATTCCGTAACCTATCAAATCACTTGGGAAAACATTAAAGATCTCAAAGGTAACGCAATCAGGCCATCATTGAGTAGCATATGCTGAAAAATGCTGCAGATTGGACCATCTGGCTTGTCACGTTCATGTACATGTGTAATGTCACCATGGTTTATGGTTTGGCATTTTTTGTCCCAACAATTTTGACCGTAAGCAGTTTGCATCCATTGTCTTAAGATAACTGCCTAGACAGTACTACAGAGTATGGGGTATACGGGCCTTCAAGCCAATCTACATAGTGCTCCGCCATACGCTGTTGCCGCTGGAGTACTATGGGTAGGCTCCTATATCGCCGACAAAACGAAGCGCCGGTTGCCACTCATTATCGTGCAAACTTGTCTCGCAATTCTCGGATTAGCTTGTGAGTGCTCCGTCTGCACCTTTCCAGACTCATTGGCTCATATATTCAAGTGATGTCCCAAAACGAAATATCGGCAAAAGCTAGGTATGCGGGGATCTGTTTTGCGATTGCAGGCGCCCAAGCCAACAATTCAGCAATCCTGATATTTGGCCAAAATAACATCGTTGGTTCATCGAAATCGTCTGTTGCAACAGTGCTCAATATTGCTGGGGGCACCATTGGAGGTTTATTGGGCAGCACTATCTATCTGCAACGGGAAGCACCAGATTACATTACAGGATTGAGCGTGACAATGGCCCTGGCAGCTTGCTTGGTACTCTCTTGCGCTGCAGTTTGGCCCGTCCTGGCAAAATATAATTCCGCCGCTGATAGGGGTGAAGTTGTATTTCATGATTTGCCTGCGTGGCGCTGGACGCTTTGATCTCAGTAGAACCAAACTCGGGGCTGACAAGAAATTATTGACATCGGAAGCGGTTTTCACTTATCCTTTGATTATATTGGCAAATGTGGCACGGTAAAAAGTGGCTACCAAAACGACCAAAGTCTTGGGATAAGGACGGAAATCGGGAAGGGCGGCATATCCAGTCTAACGGGCGAAATTTCCAGCTCGTTACTTGCTGAATAGCCCCATCGTCCCATTCAAAGAATAAAATAATGTTGAGGAGTAGATTTCAATAACTTGAGTTCCAACGTCGCTACTTGTCACGTTGATGATAGATTCTTCTGGAATTGTTCATATGAATGTACAAGACTAATTATACCAAATCGGCGCCACAATAGGACTAGAATTTGAAGGGATATGTAAGGCCAGATACGGCGTCATCGCCGAGGCCCTTCTGACGTACGTCGCTTTAAGAGACGGAACGTTGTTTTTTTGTGTTGCATAGATTAAGCGCTTGTGTGCCATTCATCGAGACACCATTCATCATCATCACTTCTCTGATTGCGCAACAATCCAGCAATAAATAACACCGTGTGATTTGATCCAACAATAGGCGGTATGTCAAACTTTTCCCTCTTATCTGTTCTTCTAGCTCTTGAGGAGAGTCCCGGGTGCAGCGATGTATTCCAGTAATGGCCATGAAGACCAATAGATGCTCGTATTTGGTTCCTTGAATTGACTTGGAACACCTACACGGCTTGATTGTCATTGCAGCGGTGGCAGAACGCTCCGCTCGGATTTCCGCTTCTCCATGCAGGTTTGCCCATGCTAGAAGCAGCATGCGTTTGGCGATCAGTTTTCCCAGTATCAGGAAGTCGCTGGTTATCAGCCACGGGCTTGCACGAGTCGCATCTGCCGGTCTCGGAAGGGACTTCCAGCTTGATGTAGTCGGGTGCTACCCTATGGACGTAACTAGGGTGCAAGACAAGGTGGTGGGAGAGTTTGGGACATGGCATATAAATGGTTGCTGTTGCCTAAACTCGGCTCGATGACGTTGGGCGGCAGTCACCGTAGCCGACCGTTTGTCGTGATGTCCAGGTGCGCGGAGGAGACGGGGTTGATGGAATATTAGAGAGCATCGTGGGACAGTGGAACGCTTATATCCTTGCTCATCAGAACGTCAAGATGAAAGTGCTCGCAAAATCTACAATACCACGACAGCCAGCCGCCCAACGCCATCACGCTGCCACCACAGACGTTGCACTCAAGGCTCTTGACAGGAGGCATTTGCTGCCTACGATCCACAAGCCCCGCAATCCTGCTGCTTGGGAGAGAGCCGTCACATGTAGTTGCTCTAGAGAGCCGCGGACCGGAATCGAGCAGTCTCAAAGACAGCAAACTGCCGCTAGGCGACGCCGGCCAAAGATCATACGTACATATCTTGCTGCCTCTGGGATCCAGGCGACTGGACGTATGGTAGGGTTCAGGTGACCGATGCTGCATAAGCTGTATGGCAACACTCGAAGCGGCTTGAGCCATGCAGTCTACCTTGCGGATGATGCTGACGGTGTGATTGGAGGTCCTATTGGCTTCGAAACCTCAGAATCGGTGAATGGTGCGCTCTAGCTGACTGTCAACGAGACGCACATCCGTGTCAAGGAAAGATTTTCCCTCGCTTGACGAGATGCGATGCGGTGCGATTCTGAGATATAGAGGCGGTCGCGAAAGATAATAATTGTTGTGCTTTCTTGTGCTTCGAGTTCGTCATAATAGGGCGACAGATTGTTGGCGGGCCGGGACAACCCGTCCATCAGAGCACCTTTCCTCGAGGATGCTTTCTGGGCTTTTGTTGGCTCGGACTGGTACAATCTCATCCTAGCTGCGACATGAATACGAGGGGCTCTATTCCTTCATGGCCAGAGCTCTACCGCGACAAACAGAAGACATCAAGCAAGCAAACCCTCCTTAGGAACATGGTCATCTTGAGATTTTGATAATTCTGCCAAGGCGCGATTGCAATGGGTCACTGCCTGCGTTCGATAAATCAATTGACCGTCTTAGGCAAATGCGGTGACGCATGAAGTCGAACTGCTTGAATTTATGCCGAGACAGCGAGCAATGCATCCTTGGTTGCCGGATGGACGTGCATCAGCTGAGGCACAAAGATGGCCCGAAACTGGGGTGTAGATTCTGCTATCATGCATCGATTTCCCCGACCACCATCGCGGAAATGGTCAAAGATTTGTTCTCATCAGAAGTCTGGCGCAATTATCCATAGTAAGGTTCAAAGATCCATGTCCTTGGTGGCGGGTCACGAGCTGCACACCAAAAGCGTGGCTTGTGGCATGTGGAGACAACGATTTGCTGAATGTTGCTTTCTTAGGCGTCAGAGTGCCTCATGGTAGAATCGTAATGATATGAAGGCGTGGGAGCTAGGCAATGGTCTCAATGGCAGTGAGGCGGCTCATATAACGTTAACTAATCGCGCTTTGAGGAGGCTTGAAGGCAACATGCCCTTCGCGGGCGATTCGAAGGGTGTTGGCTAGCTGGTTTGGTACGTTTGTCTTGTGTCAAGGGGCCGTCCCCGTGACAGATACATTGTTACAGGCAGGAATCTGCATCGAGCTCTCTCGCAAGGCTGAGGTGACAACCGGAGTGATTGCTCCAACGCATAGTGCTGTTGGGATAGACAAGTAATGGGATGAAATGGTCAGAGCAGGTGGCCCGGTCCACTTTTGGGATGGATAAATTATTCCGCACGTGGAGGAGATTCAAGGATATTGGGCTTCCACCTTTATTGCAATCTGGTCGCGCAGTTGATCAGACGACAGATGACAGGGGCTTGAACAAACCCGAGAGAATGCGCCACGAGCTGGGACGGTCAGTTGGGTCGAACCGCGATTGGCAATGATCCAAGGCTGTCCATCCGTTCAGGGCACTCGCAAGCAAAATTGACAAAAGAGCCAAGGTTGCTTCCGAAGTTTCCATGTCCTCGACAGTGCCAAGTCCGAGCAATATTTAGAAATATTATCCGATTGGTGGAGAATACGACCCGAGAAAATCAGTCCATGCGGATGCCCCAGGCAACAGCCAAAAGGGAAAATGATAAAAGTTGGACTCTAATAATTGTTCTGTACCGGTCCACTGTCTTGCTCAAGCATCACTCATTTGCCGACGACGACGGCCATAATATTCGTTCGGCCTAATTTCGCTTTTGCAACAATATGACCAAAAGAGAATTTCATCGGCAGCGTCTGAATTGTGGCATCATCTTTTATCTTAGTCTCAATGCACTGCAAATTGTTGGGGCGTTGATCGTCATAGGCATCTTTGCCTCTGACATCTCTGATGGCTCAAGGCATTTAGGGAGATCGGTAAGGAGCATAAAGTTGCCTGAGAAGAGTTCTCGCACGTATAAGCTGACACAGACAAACAATAGATCTTCTCCATTGTCGCAGGTGTGCTTTCAGTGGTTATCGCCTTTGCTCTTATTGTGGAAACATTTCACACCGTGCCCAGCAGAGTGTGGCTGGTGTTGGTGTTCTTGTTCCACTGGTGCCTCATCAGCCTCTGGTCTGTTGCTGTTGGACTTTTAGGTGCGCTTTACTTTCACGGAGGACCTTCAAAGCTGAGGGCTGGCGCCGCCTTCAACTTGTTGAATCTGATCGTATGGGTTGTTGCTTCTATCCTTGGGTGCCAGGGATGTTTCCGACGGAAAGGAAAACTGCCCAAGACCAACGACGACGATGGCGTGGATCTACAATCCAAGCCTGGGGGAACATAAGCGATCATCTACCTCTTCAACCTTTGTTTTACTATCTTCAAAGGAAGTAGTACTAAGCCTGTCTCTTTGCTTGTACCAAGAGTGCAGAAGCACTGCCATGTAACTTGTCGATACTGTCCTCGGTGTTGGGTCCGCTATCGAGTACTCAAGGGCAGATCGTGGCGAGAACCAGGGCATTTCCATACAGAACCGAGTCATCGCCACCGCAGGCTTCTCAGCAAAATCGAGGAAGGCGGTGCCTTGGAGCTGGGACTCTTTTTGTCGTGCTGGGAGGTGAATGTTGGGCGAAGGTCGCAGTTCCAGACAGGCGAACGTGGCGTACAAATAACATTCATGAGCGCAGCCGTCCTGATATTGAGAATAGCTGGCACAAAGAGATCGGAGGGGAGGGGACAGGACGAAGATGGTCACAATTGGATCAAGCTCGGACGATTCTCCCCATTGAGGTGGGTGATGAGTGACATCTTTCACCGAAGTCAGATGTACATGAATGCCTCAATCTTGTTTTTGGAACCTCGAATTGTACGATGTACTATGGTTTTAAAGGAGGGCTTTTATATACCTTTCCATCATGCCGGACTAAGCTCACACTACTAGGCTCAATTGGCGTTTAGTTAGGTCGTTGTGGTACGCGAGTCGTTATGGGTGGTCGCTCTCCCGAAGACATTCCCCAGATTTTCCAGGCCTTGGCGAGATGTGCGCTGATGAGTTCTGAAATCTCAAGAGTTTGGGCTGATTATCGCTGCCGCAGAAACAACGTTCTAAACTCCGGCCATGCCTGCTCCTAGGATGGGCAATGGCAAAGTGGAGACTGCGCTTAAGATAACGGAGGATTCAAGCCACATCTTCGGGTCGATATTGAGCACTTCAACTGATGTCACCCACACTCTTTTATCCGACTGCTCGTTCACCGAATCGATATGATCATGATTTTTGTTCTTGCCCACCTAACGAAGCAGAGCAGCATAGCAATCTCTTGAGAGTCTACATCCCAAGAGGTCGTTGGCAAATGGCGGATAACGCCATCGCGTGGCTGACCGACTGACTTGATAGACTGTGGAGTCTAGAGAAGGAATGTGTTGTTGTTGTTCTATCTAAGAGAGAGCAAGACGAAAAGAAGGGCGCAAGTTGCCAAGCCAAACAGCCTCACGTGACGTTGCCAAGGCAACCAGTCACGTGACTGGCCAACATGACTCCTTGCTGTGAAAATACGTAAAATTTGTTATATCAATTTAGAGCCCCCTACAGCATTCGAATATTTCCTTCTGTGTGTGGCCCAAGGCAGTCGAATTCTTTCCAACGCTCAGTTTTCAACAGAAGTCACATGTTCATGTGATGGATCACGTCACGCTTTAGCTGGTGAGGCTGCGTATTTCTAAATTGGGTTAGCCTCGAACGGTGGTGGACGACATCTGCAACAACCTCTTTAACCTGCCTAATCCACGGCCTGATCCCAGATTACACAGAACCATACCTACCATCCTCCCCGTCATGGACTACGGATCCCTACCCGACCGCCCGCGCTCCCTCAAACGGCCGCGTCTCTCTCCAGCTGATTACACAGTAGCATGTGTATGTCCCATGGGAGTCGAGCTGCCCCCCCTTCAAGCCATGCTTGACACAGATCACGGAGATCAGTGTCCGCCCGGCCATCGAAATGCCTATATATTAGGAGAGATAGGAAAACACAATGTGGTCATTGCGGTTCTACCGGAAATTGGGAACAATGATGCGGGGATTGCTGCAAACCAAGTTCGGAATGACTTCCCCTCAATCGAATTCTTTTTGTTAGTGGGTATTGCTGGGGGAGTTCCCGGGAACGAAGAGACGGATGATGTGCGGCTTGGGGACGTCGTAATCAGCCAGCCATCGGATGCCGATGGAGGAGTGATACAATTTGACAGAGGAAAGCATCATGGTGGTGGTGAATTTTAGCGCACTGGTTGTCTGAATAGGCCGCCATCTTTTCTATGTGCGAACGTCGAGAAACTCAAGGCGCGGCATCGGCAAAAAGGAAATCAGATACAAATGTTCGTATCAGACATGCTTAGGAGGTATCCAGATATGGCCGATTACGACTATCCTGGCCAAGAGCATGATCAGCTTTTCGAGTCCGACTACCAACACGAGGGAGGGAAGACATGCCAGAATTGCGACATCCAAAGAGTAAGGAAACGGCGACAACGCCTGGATCCCCGGGTGAGAGTACATTATGGAACAATTGGTTCTTCGAATTCCGTGATCAGGGACGCCGTGGAACGCGACAAGCTGAAGCAGAAATACAATATCCTCTGTGTTGAGATGGAGGCTGCTGGACTGATGGCTGCAGCACCGTGTCTGGTCATCCGCGGCATATGTGACTATGCTGATTCGCACAAGAACAAGCAGTGGCAGCCCTTTGCGGCAGCAGCCGCTGCATCATACGCGAAGGAACTGCTTCTAGTTCTTCCTCCAGTGAGACAATCTGTCACCCGTAACCCTACTTCTGCTGAGCCATACGGTAAGCTTGTTACTCTCTTCAGATCAATATCCCCGAATACCATTTACTGTACAATATACGGAAAAAATAGAGAACGGTCTGAACAGCCATACACGGGAGATAATATGCACCCCGTCTCAAGGAAAGGCTAATGTTTTATTAGATTTAACTAGATCAGTATCCATGTGTACCACTCCTATCCTGGGAGACGGTGATCCTGGCCCCAATTCCAGACAAGGGACCATGGTAATGGACAATCCAAATGGATATCAAAGGCTTCTTGACTCATTGACCTTTGAACGCATGGATGCACGACTTATGAATGTTTCCAATGCCCTGACGAAGACATGTACGTGGCTTTTTCAAGAGGAAAAGTTCAAATTGTGGATCAAGCGAAGCAACATTGAGGATCATCAGGGTTTTCTTTGGACCAAGGGAAAACCTGGCTCCGGCAAGTCCACAATGATGAAAAAGGCTCTGGAAACAGTCAAAAGACAACAGCCTAGAGATATCATCATCTCTTATTTCTTTAATGCTCGAGCACCGGGTCAATTAGAGAAATCAAGTTTGGGGATGTATCGCTCATTAGTATATCAGGTCCTACAGGCTTCTCCTCGATTCCAGGGTCGATTTGTTGAGATGTTTGCTTCGAAAGACCGAGGAGGTGCTGTTGATGATTGGACAGCTATGGAGCTCCAGGGATTTCTCACAGATGTCGTAGAGGGATTGGGAGACCTCTCGCTCAATATCTTCATCGACGCTTTGGATGAGGGTAACGAAAATGACGTGCGCCATTTGGTCGCCTTCCTCGAAGACCTCAGTCTGAATGCAGTCACGTACGGTAAGCTGCTCAGAATATGCCTTTCTAGTCGTCATTACCTGCAAATTAGTATTCAGAAAGGACTCTCTCTTGTCATGGAACACCAAGATGGCCACAAAGACGACATTGAAATGTATGTTCGAAAGAAACTCGTCGGCAAAGAAGGAGCTCGGAAGTCACGTTTGAAAGACCAGATATGCCAAAAATCATCCCGGGTTTTCTTGTGGGTGGTCCTTGTCATCCCGATTCTCAATCAATTGTACGACCGTGGTCAAGTCGCGGCGATGGAAAAGCGTCTCGAAGAGATTCCTACTGAGCTAGAAGGGCTCTTCGCTGAGATCTTGGCAAGGAATGCTGAGGATATCCATATATCAGTCCTGCTCCTACAATGGGTCCTATTCGGGATGCGACCACTCAGTCCGTTGGAGCTATCTCTTGCCATTCAGATCGGATCGACGTCCGCACACTCTACCGGAGCCATATCTTGGTCAGATGAGGAAGAATTGCACCGGTTCCTCCTCGACTGCTCACGGGGACTCACAGAAATCACGAGGACCAAACCACCTGTGGTGCAGTTTATTCATGAAACAGTTCGAGAATTCCTCGTTCGAGAAAATGGCCTGGAGAATATCGATAAAACATTGTCTGGGAATGTCAAAGGCAGAAGTCACGATCGATTAAAGACGGTTTGTGTAAGATATTTTGATGAATATTTTTCGTTGGATCAGAAAAAATACCAGCCCAGGTCAATTCCTGAATGTACTCACCCGAGAGAAGAAATTCAAAGAGAACTTCCCCTCGCGGAGTATATCGTCAACCACATGTTTTCGCATGCCGACATAGCCGAGGGCAACGGGATCCGAAACAGACAATTTCTAAGACGGTTTCAAGCGAGAAATTCCGACGATCGCCTCAAGTGGGTCCAGTATCGCAACACTTTTCAGCGGCATCGAGCTCGCAAATATACCGTGGAGGTGAATTTATTGTATATTTTGGCCGAGCAAAACCTGGCTAATCTTGCGAGAGTGTTGATTGATGACAAGGCTAATGTCAACGCTCATGGACAACGGTACGGGAATGCTTTGCAGACAACCTGCGCTGGTGGCCATCATCAAATGGCGCAACTCCTTGTTGAACGTGGAGCGGACGTTGGTGCTACGGGCGGGGAACAGCGATATGCTCTTTGTGCTGCGATACATGGTAAACATGAGTCGATCATACGATTACTAGTGGGCACCAACATGTTACCACCAATTAAAGCACTTGAGAAATCGCTCTTTTTGGCAATTGCTCGTGGTTATTTGGACGGTGTGAAAATACTTCTTGACGCTGGAGTCGCGACGAATTGCACAAACTACCGCGAGGAGACACCGCTTTACCTAGCGGTGTCAAAGTGTAAGCTTGCAGTGGTTAATCTGCTCCTACAGAGAGGGGCTGATGTGGATGCTAAAGGTGGTTATTATGGCTACCCTCTACAGACGGCATCAGCTCGTGGCTACCGGGAGATTGCGCAGCTATTGATTGAAAAGGGTGCTGATATTAATGCTCAGGGCGGTTATTATGGCAACGCTCTACAGGCGGCATCGGCTCGTGGTTATCGGGAGATTGCGCGTCTATTGGTTGAAAAGGGTGCCGATATTAATACTCAAGATGGCGCTTATGGCTACCCTCTACAGACGGCATCAGCTTATGGCTGCGTGGAGATTGTACAGCTATTGATCGAAAAGGGTGCCGATGTAAATGCTCAAGGTGGTTATTATGGCAGCGCTCTACAGGCGGCATCAACGCGTGGTTACCAGAGGATCGCGCATCTATTGATTGAGAAGGGGGCCGATGTAAATGCTCAAGGTGGTCATTATGGCAGCGCCTTACAGGCGGCGCTGCGTTTTCGTCATGACGAGGTGGCTCGTCTACTAACTGAGAATGGCGCAGGGGGAAAATAGGAGTTGACACTTCTACAGCATTGGCAGATGATTTTCTAAACAATCACCGAAGAATGTTCTAGACATCGGGTGATTTACTTAGGATGCTGCTGGCTACCCGGAGGAAAGGTGACTCGAACCATTCGAACGATGCGCAAACAGGACCAGGCTGATGTGAACTGATGCGAAATCAGGAACAGTGGCCGGGCCATTTTCACAGCCGTCCCTGAATTCGTCATTGTGGCTGGAAAAATTCGAAGCATTATCAGGAAGGAGTTTTCCATCTTGTGCATGTGCGAGACTTCCTGCAGCTTTTCTCATTCAAAAACTGCTGAGAGTATTGTAGCCTATAAATTGCCGTGGATGCCAATAGCTTGTTATAACTATGTTCGGGACCCTGCGTATCCCATTTCTTCCTTTTGGCTTCTTCAACACCAGGTTGATACAATATGTGACCTCATTAGCAGTCACATCCGTTTAGCTCGCCCCGGCCCATTGATAGGGAAATATATGTTAGTTGAACGGGTTTGCACCGCTTGATTGCGGCCATGGTACTCAAATCGGTATCGTCGATGGTTCTCCTAGCCAGCGCCTGGCAGCCTAGGCACATATGATATCCTGAGCAACTGTGAGAAAGGTGACTATCTGTGCTACTATATTGCGTGAGGCGAAGCAGACGAGTACGCTAGCAAACTTCATAAGTCAGTTTTCCTGTGACTGGGGAAGTCTCAAGATAGCGAGGAGCCTAGCGCTTGACCTTTGAGCTCTTTTGAAGGGAAGGGGAGGTGGTTGTTGCGTGCGTGGCGGTGTAGTGGACCTGCGCCCTGGTGTTGTAAGCAATATTGGAAGTCTGAGACTGCCAAAGCCAATGCATTTCGCCCGAACCAGATCTGCAGATTCTCTGATTCGTCGCGGTTTTCTTCTTGATATCGATGAGTGTACCCCTTTTTATGACGGTAACACCGTCATTGCCACCTCGACAACTCCACAACGACGAGGACACTAGCGTCAGCAATGGTCTCTATTGATTTGTCCAGACTAGGATTCAACGTGGTCAAGGTAAGACAGTGTCTCACCCCCGGAAAGCCTAGAAGACTGGTAACACGCACAACGAGATGCCGGTTACCACGGCCCTCAGAGCATCTAATTTGGTCCATTTGACAGCACTAACGAGAATTCATATACCCACCGCATTTTTGATGATGTGTATGCAGGCGTACATCAATCTTTCCAACGAGATAACGCGTATTGTTACGAATTGACCTTGTGGCTGGGAATAGAGTCTGGAGGAGACGAGGCTGGGTCACGTGACGAGAGATGCCAATTTATGTGATTTTACAGAGGACTTGCCCTATTTCGAAGGGACAGTCAGATTATATGGTTTCAAAATGTGTACAAAAGCGTACAAACGCCTCCGAGGGTCTCTACAAGCTTTGGTTGCGCCACTTATCACAGCCACCATCGCTGCGGCGCCCTGCATTTAACTTGACCCGAGCCAAGGAAAAGCGCAAAGTGGCTCTCCCAACAAACCTGAGGGAGATATCTTTGTCATCGTCATAACGCTGGACATCTGTATCTCACGAACAAGGCACTATTACTGACCGGAAACGAAAACCGAAATTTCGTATCGTCGGTGAAGTCTGCTGGCCCGTTATTGCAGTGAGGACTTCCGATTCTCTGAATCAGCATGGACATCATGCTAAATACCTTTTACCGAATGTGGCGCAGAAATGGATGTGCCTTCCGAGCCGACGGATGGTGAGCGCAAGAAGATGGGCCACTGCCACCCGCGACTCTGAATCTTAGACAACCCACACGGCATTATCTAGGTAAATAATGGCGTGACCCGCCTTTGTCATCCTAATACGAGCCCAACATGTTTGTTCATCAATTGCAAATATGTCACTGGACTTCCCAGCCTTGTCCCGGGGCGACAATGAGCCGCAACCTCACATAAGCTCCAGCATTCCCCGCAAACCGGGGTAAGAACACCCCGCAGAAATTGCATCTTACAGACGACTAGAGCGATCCCTATGGCCATTCTTGGTGGCCCAGCCGAGCAGAGGTGGATTTTCAAGATATTACTCTGATGGATGTCCTGAGCAGTCCTCATCCTTCAGGACCATCGTTTCTGTTGAAAGACGTGGGCCCATCATCATGGCTGGCAATCGGTATACCTTGGGCATTGCCCTATTTGCTTCTCTTGGAACATTCTTATACGTACGCTGTTGTTTGCCAGTTTCTCGCCCGTTTGTTAGCTAATACTGATTGGGTTAACAGGGATATGACACGGGCATCGTGACGACCAGTCTGCAGACTTGATTTCTTCGGGATTTCCATGACGACTGACCGAGTAAACAGCTATCGCTCACCAGAGCTGGATTAACTACATGAACCATCCGGATCCTGGTCTTGTTTGTGCTGTATGGAACGACCATCACGCCAGCAGATAGGCATTATCGAAGGGTGCTGAGGTACAGGTCGGCGCGATCTACATCGCTGGCGAGGCAGTGGGTGCTATCTTGCAAATAATTATCGCGGACCAGCTTGGTCGAATCGGTTTCATGGAACTGCTGTGTGTGATTGTTACCATTGGTTGCGTTATCCAAACTGCAGCGGTCAACATTGGTATGCTCCTTGCTGGACGCATTTTGATAGGAATTGTAGTTGGGTAAGGATACATCTACGATACTCAGCCGAGTTGCTCGACGGGAAACTGACCATTTACTTCTCCATTGGCGCCCTTTGTGCCACTGTCCCAATCTATCTATCTGAGATCAGCAGTTCCAAGTCGCGCGGCTTAATTGGCGGTCTCTCCGGGGTTGGTCTCTCGTGCGGAATTACGGTGTCCAACTGGGTCGGGTACGCGTGCAACTATGCTCCCTATGGCAGTTTGCAGTGGCGTCTTCCACTCGGCTTCCGAATCCCATGGGGAGTCATCATGTTTATCGGTCTTGTGACTTTCATGCCGAATTCACCCCGTTACCAGCTTAGAAGGATAAAGTTGAAGAAGCGCGCAAGGCGTTCGTCGGGATCCGCAGCGACTTGCATTCCCACGAGGTGCCTCAAGAGTTCGGCCTTATGAAATCTCAGATCGAGTTCGAGATGAAGCGACACCTTCCATCTTTCAGCGAAGCATTCAAGCTCTATCGCCATCGCGTCCTGGCGTACGTTGTTCCTCGAGGCAAAGGGCTGCCTACCGAGTGCTGACTGGGTGATTAGTTCTATCGCAGTCCAGGTCCTGACAGCCACGACCGGTGTTAACGTCATTCAGGTACGTTACTGTTGAACAATGAGCGGGGGCGGATAGAAGGGTGAAACCTCGTGTACAGATTGCAGCTATGGAAAGGGGGAAGCCCCTCTATATAGGCCAGGGAATAGAGGCTCTTGGCGGATGTCACAGACCAGTTCATGGACACCATCGGTCTAGTTAGTGTTATCAAAGTAAGCGGCTGTAGCCTAGAAGTTCAGCAAATAGGACTCAGGAGCTTACAGCGACCCTTTACAAATCTCTGGGTATCAAAGGAGCGGAGCCGGGATGGGGCAGCCCTCTGGCCAATTCGCGCTTCACTTTTAGTCGGGCGTCATTACGGCACAACTTAAAACTACCTTGCGTTGCTGCTATATGGTGCTGCGCTATGCACTGAAAGAAATGTTCGCAGCCTTACGCCAGCGCATGCTCGCCTACCTGAAACTTTTTGTCCTCCACGACCTCAGGCTGGTCTTCTTTCCGAAGAATAGATCCTATTTATCATCAACGTCCACCATGAACACATCTTCGTACGAATGATCCTAGCCGAGCAATATTGCGCGAATCTTCTGTCTAACCTGCAAACAGCAACGATCCTTTACGACTCTACTTCTTACCTTTGATAACTTTATCAGCGATTGAGCCGTCGACCTCGGGAAATCCTCCGGCTAACGCTCTTCATTAACAGACCAAATTTTCAATGCCTTAATATCCATTAGCGCGTGACCTAAACCTTCGATGCGAACCCAAAGAATAACCACCCCCAAGCTCTCCCCACCTAGTTTGGGTGCGGGGTTCTTTGCAACCTTCGCCGGATTTGATGCAACTGATTTTCTGCGCTTTTCCTAATTTGTTAATTGGTTATCGTCAATGAATGCTCTTTTTTTTCTCTACTATTTTGCAGCATCAAATCTGGCAGAGGTTGCATCACATCCCGCTCCCCTAGTTTGGGAGGTAACTAGGTCAAGTTAGTAAGTCACGATACTCTGTGCGTCCCTAGTTCGCGCGAGTCATGGTAAGAATCACCCATGACTCATTAGCCCCGGACCGTGGCACTTTCCGCGACAGCGTATCCAGGCATCGAGATCGTCACAATATTATTGATAGGGCCTGCACAGACAAGTATTTGCTTCGATCATATAACTAGGTATTGCAAGGTCCAGATGTGTGGGCCAGAAACCTATTTAGATTTGGACAACACCTAACAAAATCTAAGCATTCCTGCAGAGTGAACGAGGAACATATTGTACACAATTGTCTTCAGCCTGATCGACTGATTCTTGCAAAGGCCTTAAAGACGGTAGCATCACCTAGCGGCATTGCTTAATTCACATTGAGTCTAGCTTACAACATCAGCAAATGACGGCCTGAGTGCTTCCCACCGCCGTTGCAGTCGGACGCAAGACAATGGGGAGGAACGACAAACGTCATATTCCCACGTCTAATCGAACAATGTTCTAAACCGATCAACTGCTGGACTTCTTACAATCTGAGATTTTAGCCTGACTTTCCAGTTTTCTTTTCTTTCAGAGTCTACGCCCTTGATCTTGAATTATTAGGATATAGCACGTTTCTCCGTAAGGTTCGTGACACTTTCTCTGATCAGGCTGAGCATGGCTTTCACCATCGACACCTGTTACTGGCCAGATGGAAGTGTTGCTGGAAATGCCATACCATGCAGCGGGTCACGATACAACCACGTCTGCTGCTATGACGGCGCCGTTTGTCTTTCAAACGGCCTCTGCTTCGGACAAGACATTGGATATCTATATCGGGGGGCATGTACTTTCCAAAGTTGGGCTTCGGAAGAGTGTCCGCACAAAGAATGTGATGACGGTGGGCAAACTTTGAAAGATCAACCGCTCGCCACGCGCCGGAAGTGCTGACTTGCTGCAGCGAGGCCGAATACTCACGCGAACCTCGTGCTCTGTCAGGATCAGCCGTTCGACACATTGATTTGTGGAGGTGATGGCACGCCAGACGACATCTGCTCAAGCTCAACCACGCTTGCTTATCCAAAGGCTACATACGCCATCCAGCTTCCAGCGAATCGAGACGCCGCCTCTTCCATGAGCTGGGGTGCATATTCCACTCGATGTTTGCCATCTGCGACTACAGAATCGACTGTGTCATCCACTGTTGCAATCGATTCCGGAAACACAAGCCCCGGCCTCGAATGCAGCTGGAATCATAACACGGTCGTCGAGAAAGGCTTAGGTATAGACCTCGGTATTCCACTGCTTTTAGCTCTTCTGGCTCTAGCGTGGTCCGTGCGTCGAGAGCGAAAAGTTCGTCGCCTATTATCAGCGCGCAGTTCTGTAGAAAACATTCGACCAGCCGGGAACACAGGGGGCATAGACAGCAAAAGGACCATGGCAGAGATGAGCAACGAGCGGAAGGAATTGTTGCCAGCTGAGCTGCCCGACTAGGATTGTGATGTCGAGCTATGTCATCTGCGATATCACGAGAAGCATAGAGGCTACTGTAGTAACGCATACGTCGTAGACCCGGCTCTGTCCATTCTCTGAGCTTTCGGCCCGAAAGATGGGTTTGGCAGCGGTGCAGAGGCGGAAGCACTCTGAACGCTCTCCTTGAACTTCCAAGCAGTCATTTCTGTGCGTTTCAGAAAGGTTTGCAAAATAAGAAAGCTGTTTTGACGATTGAAGTGGACTATTCGACGCGTCACCATCTCTGTCGTAGGAGGACACGATGTCAAGGTTCCTCAACTAAGGTTGTCGCAAGACTTGGGGTTTTACCAACCACTTCCCTTCCCTTGGAAGAACTACAAAGCTGATGTCTCTCCCAGAAACTCAGATGGGAAGGAGCCAGATTCGATACCATCAATTCAACTTCGATACCATCAGGTGTCGTTATGGCGGCGTCCTGTATGTTTTGCTGCGACGAACTCACAACATTCCGGTTCGTGCGATCCTGCTGTAGCAGAGATAGCAGAAATGAACATTCGACTTAAGGTATTCCAGCTTACTGACCATATTACGGCGCCTACAGACCATTATATACTGATTACAACCGGATTTAGGAAGGCTGTCTGCTGTCAAATAATTGTCAAGATGTAGCCACTGAAGTGATGCACATTATCTATCTAGCCGCTTACGATCACATGGAGGCCTATGCAACATAATCAACCTGAGAGTGGGGGTGACTCAATCAAACTCGAAACATCGAAAATAATGCTTCAAAATTTATCCTCTCCCGCGTCGTAACAACTCATAACTTGATAAAGTTCTCTATCAGTCTCAGGACACTGAACCGGACTATCACGAATCGCTTTTCATCCTCGCTACCAGGGTAGATAGGTCTCCTTGACAAGCCATTGTGGTGGGATGATGTGTTCCAAGGACTTTCCGGTGGCCAGGAATTGCGCGTTGATAAAGTTCTAAAGCCTCCCGCCAACTCTGCATTACATCGAACGGGCAAGCGAGACAGTACATGCTCGACAATGTGTGTGGATGCCCCACCCCCAGCACCTTCTCCCTCCCAGCCAGTGCCTTCCCCTCCTCGTACTTCCCATAGTTCTGTAGCACCAATCCCAGAGTGCTCACGCTCATCAGAGTCTCAATGTGATCTGGGCTTAATCTTTCCTTTCGGGCTTGTAGGTTCGCTCGTGCCATCTTCTCCGCCACCCCGTAGCGTCCACTATGCCATACGTACCATGCTCCTCGATACAAGATGGACACCCAGATCTTGAGCGATTCTGTTGAACAATTGAGGGCCTATCATTTACGACTAACCAGGTTATTTTGCAACATTCGTTCACCAGACTGTATCACCATTGACAGGCAACAATGGTGACGTACACTCGTTAGATATATAGACCTCCACGCCGTTGCCGAGGCTGCCGACAAAGCCCACAGTGCCGATCGCTGTGCACATGGACCATACCCAGTCGTCAGACATCATCCGGCGCTCCACCGATATAGGTGGTTACGATGGCATCATGGCTGTGTCGAACGGAGCGAGGTGCGGATAGAAGGGGTGAAAACTCGTGTGTAGATTGCAACTATGGATTGTTTGGGGTGGTTTGGGGGGTGGAACCCTATATAGGCCAGAATAGGGGTCTGACATCAGGCTGAACGTTGACCATCTTCTTTCTTCAGTCACCCCTTTTCATCAGCTCTAACTGGGCATTGTAAGGATGTCTGGCTTAGAAATTCTTGGTATTACGGCCAGCATAGTCCAGGTTGCAGATCTAGGCGCAAGAGTATCTGTGAATCTGTTCACCTTCAGCCGCACTGTCAGAGGTGCCCAGAAGAGTATTCAAGGTATCTCGGAAGAGATAGCGGTCACAAGCACAGTACTCAGTCAACTCGGCAATGAACTGAAAAGGATGTTCCAGGTGAATTGTATTCCAGGGAAGCCAAAACCACAGCCAAGAATATCACGACTGCTGTCAAGATATCTTCAAGCAACTAGAGCATGCCATCAATACGAATGACCAAGAGTCCGGCGCTTCAGCTACGCTCACAGACTTGAAAAAGCGATTGAAATTTACGTTTATGGAGCCACACATCGACAGTCTTCAAAGCAAGCTTGAGAGGTTCAAGAGCTCATTACTTGTCATGCTCAACCTTTTGATATTTGCTGGCCAGGTCAGAAGGTTTGTTATGCCGAGGTACGTCTCTGGTTAAGTAAATGACATTTCTAGTCACGAATCTCTTCGCTTGCTTAAAGAGCAAAACGCGCTGCTACAAGGGTTAGCATCTAGCGATGCTGCAAGCTTGCTGCGAGAACGAGCGCAAGAGCAGCCTTCAGAAAATTCGAAGGCTGAAGCACAGAAATGTCCAATCAGCACTATGACAAGCACTACTAAGCTCAATAGATATACTTCCAAGCCTCCCATTTATGCTAAGTTACTCTAGTCACTTCCTCACTTAAAACCCCTTGTGACTATAAAGTAGATCCCATCAATACCAATACATTCTCTACCCCAGTCTCAGCAGGATGCGTAACCTAATTCCCCAAACGAATTCCGATCTTTTATCGGCTTGGAGATGGCATAGTCGAAGTGAATGATAATTAGGGAACAGATTTTAGAGAAATCGTTTCATGAGGGAGATTTAAGTGACATGATCAATATCCATCGGTCTTCCAAGAAACATGACCCGAATATACTTTGACTTTACAACAGAGACCTTCAATAACACGCTGAACTTGTGAGCAAGATTGTGGCTGAAATATGCTCACCAATACACACGGATCTTAATCTTGGCATTCGGGATCGAATGGAGAAAGATATACTAGCCCAGCATCTTGAAGAATGGAGGTTTCTTCGCAGAAAAGTTGGATCGATCTGCTTCTGCCGTTTCTAGAAAAACACCAGAGGCTGGTGGGTTACAGGTATTCCCCGTAATAGTCAGATCCCCGTCGCTGAGTTTTGCAACAGGACAACTACTGGCAGCGGATCGAATTCGAAGAAGTTGATGACTATTCATCATATGAAGGAGAGACCACTCAGACCGAGTAATTCAAGGATTTGGAGTTCCAGACTCTTAGTAGAGCATCTAGAATTGTCATGGACGAAGCGCCAGTTGAAGCTCAAGATCAACCAGGTATGCGCTCCCTTGAATTCCGGCACATATCAGCTAAATACAACCTAGCAATTAGCCAGCAAAATAATATCGAGGAAAACGTTGTCGCTTCCAAGAGATTAAAAGAGGACAAGATCAATCGGAAATCGGAGGCAGAGGATCTACCTAGTGGCCTTTCTCAACTGACATACATCAAGGTCCATAAAAGGTACTTGCTACCGGAAACTCTTGATTCCTACCAGAAGAAGTCCTGTACAAGAAGAAAGAAGAGAAAAACACACTGGCTATCTACCTTCATCGACCAATTATATTAGAGTCAATCGGAAATATCTGCATCCCGACACTCTGGATGCATATGACCTACGGTGGAAGTAGGATGATGTATACATTTCCTCTATCCCCTCTAAATAAATCTATACTCACAGGATTGTAACTAATAGCACGAAGAATACATCATCATCACTACTTACATTGACCAAAATCTCCAAGACGAGCTGCTCGAACACACGAAGAAGCTCAAGGAACGTAAACTCATCACGGGTCCATACCTCAAGGAAACTAAGATAATCACAACGCCTACGCCAAATGACAATATCATCAAGAAGGGCGAGAGGATGTATGTCGTGCGTGAGAAGAGTAGGGAGTTAGATGATAGTGGTTCAGATGATAGTCTTGACGACTTGCTAAAGCGATTTACCAATCTGAGCGAACAGGAACGAACTAACTTGCCGAGTTATCCAAAAGAAAACGGGTTTCGAAGTAGCTGGATGTTTACCTAGCGCCGATAATGTCCGCTCGAAGTCGGCTTCTCTGAGCCGTTATGACACTGTACTTGAAGCCTCGCTTCCCAGCCTCCCTACATTCCTCCTTAAGCAGGGTGGTTGAGTTAGTGGCTGGACCCTGTCGCGACTGAATGTCACACTATGGTGCTACCTGCAGAGGAATCCGCCACCTTGGCCCGTTGGTTTGCCGTTATATACAGTGCTTTTCAAAAATCCCATGGACTGGATCCGATCACGCCGGGGAGGCTGCGTCGTACGCGCTGCCGAAGGAACGAGATCACTGTCCTCAGTGCCCACTCGGTTACATGGTCTATGGATTGGGTCCGATCCAAGGACCATCTAGATATTGAGGCCAGCGCCATACACTGTCCCCGGTCCTATCTGGCCACATGGCCCACGGATTGGATCCGATGGCTGTGGTATATCATGGGATCCGATCCATGAATCATGTCGATATCGAGGCTCGTTCGTAAATGCTCCCTACGATCCATACGATCCATCTCGAGTTTGATCAGTAGGGCTTGTCTAGGTGGTCCACCGACTGGATCCGATATCATGACTTGTCTGGGTGTCCACCGACTGGATCCGATCCATGAACCATTTCGATATCGACTTCTATCGAGTAGGGTGCCCCCCGGTCACATGGTTCACGGATTGGATCCGATGGCGGTTGCGCTAAGAGGGAGTTGTGAGGGTTCAGGGTCGAGGATCTAGCTAATGTATTCTAGCTAGCATCTAGATCTAGGTACAAGGCGTGTCACGAGGAGAGTCAAGAAAGCATGCCACAGTTTAATGCAAGTTGCAGGGAAATTTCCCGCCGAATTTGGCGGTCAGTGCCGCCGCTTTGGAGGGTTTTTTCTATCGATTCCAAGATCGCTCCCCTGATCCCTTCCTACATCAGCCCCCACCGCGGTCGTCTCCCAGATTGACTTGCTTTCCCCATGCAAACGCAACTTCTCGGGACCAGAAACAGGTCACCCTTCAGAAACAGTAAGGGATCTGTCAAACAGCTGGTGCGTAGTGCCAAGAGCCCCTATTCCCTGGCATATGTAGAGGGGCTTCCGCCGCGGATTTGATTACTTTTTTGAAGTCCATTGAGTTACAAGGTCCCGTGATATTACAGATGTGATGGCTTGGCAAAGAGATTTTGGAGGGGTAAGCTATGGCTCCGAGTCATTCCCCTCAAACAAGGCTATCTGATGATCCGCTATTCGAACGAGAAGTCCAATTCACACAAAAAGCGATCATTAAGATCGTATGATCAATTCGGGCATTCAATTTATACTTTCTCACCCATATCCTTTTCATAACTGATCCTGATCCCGAGCCTTACACAAAACCAATTTGCGTCATCTAGATCCAGACATCCAGCCACAACTCCATCATTATGGTTACGAACAAAATTAACCCCGATCCCCCAGATCCCGATGATTCGACCGTCTACGCGGGCACAACGCCCCCCGAAACGATCGCTGATAACCTCGACGCATTTAGCAATGTCGCCTTGAGCACCCCGTCAGTGCCTTGGCCCGGATCCACCTTCGTCATCCGCTCCGTCTCGTGCGGACGCGTGCTCACGCTACTTGATGGGAAGATTGTGCTGGCCCATCGGGACAACCGCGGCTCTATACACTGGGTGTGCATGGAAACCGAAGGCTGGCTCGGCTTCAGGAATCCAGTCTCAGGCAAATACCTAGGTTACTCTAACAACGGAACACTATGCTGCTCGGTTGAGTGGCAGAGAGAACATGAGCACTTTACCGTCCGTCCGATGCAGGAGGAGGGCTATGTCTTGCTCATGACGCGTCGGGGGAGCCTCCGGGCTGTGGGAATCAAGGAGGCGAATGGAATGGAGTGCTTGGCGACAATCAACGAAGGAGTATCCGGTGGCCTTGTTTGGGAATTTATTAAGGTTTAATTCCATGAGCCATTCTTCCAGGACACCTGCCAGGTCAAGAATTTCCTTACTGGGGATATCATCACTTATAAGGCTGACGCTGTGCGACGTTGCGGTGCGATTTCAGGTCAGTAGAGATAGGGATCATGTTCGGTTTTGCGACCGTTTCGTTCCATTGGAATGGCTGGACTATCCAACGTTGTCGACAAGTCTCCACTGCAAAGATCAAATAAGCATCACGTGCCATATCGACCCTATCTGGACGTTTTGGGATTAGGGAAAAGATGGGCTGCGAAGTCAGGGTTCTGCAGGAAGGAAGTCACCTATAGCATTGGACGAATGCTAATCTTGCAGAGTGAGATTTTCTTCCTTATTCGTGGATGCTTTTAGAATTTGGATTTGCTTCTGAGACTCTTTCCCCAAATAGTCGCTCTCTTTGCTAGAAGTGATAATGTCTTTCTTGGTAGTAAAAGTACGTTGAACTGTGGACAAACATTACTGTAGGAACCGGAAATCGTCCCCACCCTTATCTCATATGAAGTCATCAATACTGTAAATGATATACGTCTTTCAGAAACTGGCATGTGTTGGCCAGTCACATAACAAATTCCTTGGCAATATCACAACTTACACCCTTCCCCTTATTTAATCTTGGTCTCTTGTTAGATAGATAGAACAACACATTCCTTCATATCCCTTCTCTGGACTCCACAATCTATCAGCACGTGCCTTCCATACTATACAAACCGAATTTGTCGTGCGACAATTCCTTTTCACAAAGAGACTTCCACAGTATTTCCAAGTACATACTATAGCAGGCTTCAAAAGGTCTGTTTTGGTATGAGACCCCACCTCTGTTGGGGTTTGGAGGGGGGCGTTATGGAAGCCATCTCCTTGCGTGTCAGCTTGGCCAGGGTAGTTTTCACAGTTCTCATAGCAATTTCGGTATCGATATCGACAAGATTCGATATCCTATCGAATGTTGTCACATGCCGACAACAAGTTGGAAGATAGTTTCCCGGTCCAATTTCCGCACCGATATTTTACCCATCTAAATACCTCGAACTCTCCATCATTATAGTTGCAACCACGTCAGGCCAACAACATTACGTGACGGTGCCAAGCTCAAATTGTCACGTAATTAACCGGCCCACACGCGCACGCGTACACCACACACACAAAAACGAAATAAAAGAGGCCCCCTCCTATAGTCCATCTCTGAAAGCTTCAGCCAGACAAGTTCAACTGCAGAAGAGTTTGAATCAGTGACCTCCCAACGATGGACAAGACGACATCATCAACAATCACTGGCTGGAGCATTACGTTTACCCATCTAGGGCACCTAGACTTAATGGAACTAGGCCGGACAACCCTCTTACCTTACCCATGATCGAACGATTCTATCGGTTCGACGCAACTCGAATGTTTTACCACTCGGTTACGTCCTTGATAGGTCAGCCACGATTTGGTGTCAAGATTTGAAGCAGCTTTTGGCGGAATAAAATATAAACCTGAATTTTTTTTAAATTTGGGAATCGCCTGGTTAGGGCTTGGCGTTGTGTGGCGACGCCAAGAGCGACCTGCTGGCCAATCACGTAAGCCTATGGCTTGGCAGTGTCCTGCGTGAGCACGTGGGCACTCCCCCCGGCCGCACAGCCATCGGATCCAGTCCGTGGACCACTGTGAGGGCTCAGGGCCAAGGATCCACTCAATGTATTCCAGCTAACATCGAGATCTAGGTACAGGACGTAGCACGAGGAGAGTCAAGACAGCATACTACGCAGGAAGTGCTGAAGAATCCCTGAATACGTGGTCCCGTGACAAGCAGGGCCGGCTTAATTAGGCTTCTAGGCGGACAGGTTTGCCCTACGAGTAGGATATATAATGGCCTCTCACATAAAGGTATGTATATATTTAAGCTCGAGCGTCGATATTTGAAACGCGTCCCAATGTGAGGCCTGCAGCAAATACCCTTTTACTCTTTGATCCTGGCTTCAGCGTACGACATGCTGCTGGCGCCTGCCAGCCTTCTGCCTTTCACTGCTATTGACAGTTGTGCTTACTACGCATCGACGATTATATTCTGCGGGTATATTCTTCCGGGGCTTTCCCCCTTCATGTCTTTACAACACACCGTCTTGGGAGCCCGGATGTAGCAGGTGTGAGCACCAACTACTTGCTCCAGCAGGCGACAAATATGCCTTCCGCATTACGAATGATCAAGCGAATCTGGAAGGGGGAGACTCTTTCAGCGTAGATACTGGGAGCAAACGTGAATCATCCAGGAAGTGGTGCTCGCCAAAAGAGTGGAAACTCATGGACGTCGACAATGTATTCCCCTGTCATGCCTGTGTGACGCTATCGAAACCTCGGAAGATGTTTTGGAACACATCTAGTCTGGTACAATTCGATTCATGAAAGCCGTGGAAGGGAGCCCTGCTTGCGTCCCGCTGGGCCGGAGAGAAGCTACCGACCTCCAGCGTCATTGACTATCCTGAATATTGTCAAAGTCAACTTCAGGATCCCGGTGTCACTAGGATTTCTCGCAAAGACTTGTGTGTTTTCAGCATCAAGACACTGAGATACCCAAGCGGAAGGTCTGACTCAAACTCCGACACTGGGCAGCAATATCCAACACGAAAGCAATCCTCATCAAGGGAACAACTTCCCTTGAGTGAGAAAATTTCATTGACTGATGAAAGTTCACAGGATGAGGGATACCCCCTTCGGCACAAATCTCCATCAAGGGATCTATCCAGTGTTCCCAACAGGCCAGGCTGGTAAGCAGGCTAGGCCCGGCCGCACAGAGTATGGCCTAGGCCGGCTTGGGCTGGAGATCTACTGGCCTGTGAAGCCTGCAAAGCCTGCAGGCCGGCCTATAGGCATCGGGGAATATGTAGCAACGATACCAACGAAGGGTAAGGATCCGTTACGAGGGTGTAGGGAGAGGGATCATAAATCGTTGCGGGAGCACAAGGTAGGGTGTGGAATCGTAATGTACTGAAACCTGTCTATCTAGGGTTTCGAAGGCTCTTCTTATACCTTTCGATTCTTCTATTTCTTTGTCCATTTGCGGCGTCTGGCCACCTTTACGTCTTCCTGCCACTTCCACGATGGCTGGGGATTCTATTCGATGGCTGGAACCCCCTGGTATGTCGAGGTGTTACAGAATATGTTGGAATGTGGGTGTTGGGTATGGTGCATTACGTCCAGGCAGCAGTGTCAGGGTGGAGACGTACTATAGAACGAGGGTGGAGATCCGACAATGATATTACTATCTAGTGCACTATGAAGTATAAGACGAGAGACAAAGAACATGAAAATAGTGCGAGGCTATCCCAGATACTTTATAACCTTGTGGCATCGTCATGCCACAAGGCTCCCACGCAGGCGCACAAGGCTAGGCTCAAGCAAGCCTGGCCTGGCCTGGCCTATTGGGAACACTGGATCTATCTTCACTTATCGGTTTCGCGTCACTGCGAGTCAACCCAGGACACGAGGTTTCGCAATTAAAGACATCGGTGTCGCTTTCGTGACTGTCTCAGAGGGATCGAGCTTTGAACTCGTTGGAAGAACTTTCGTGGGTCAGGGTCCTCGTACATGGACTAGATTTGGAGCGGCAACAACTTATGATCTCGACAAATTCCGTCCACATCCTGACCCTGAAACCCCCCCCCTCAAGGGTGTGCGCAAGATCAAATTGTCCAGTCCATTGTTCCTCATGCTGCTCTTGTGGGTCGAGGTGACTCCGAGGCTCGGATAGAGTGATATGCACTTGAGCTTCGGCTTTAATAGCGGCGAGAGAAGACCAAGCATGAATATAGCAGGACATGTTCCGATGAGGCTGACCAGTATGCAGCCAGAGACTGACAGCATGAAGTCATGGTTGCCCTTTTTTCACATCCTCTTGATCCGGCGACGTTTGATCTTCTGCAATGATACTTTTCGGTGGTGGTGTGATATTGGCAGAGGTTTTAGAAGAGGAAGCGGACCGATTTTTTGATGGGATAAGCTTAATATTGACACAAATTAGTAAGTTCCAAGGAGGTTGGCGGAAGGCATCCATATACCTGTTCTCGACGAGGAAACGAGACCCCTCGATCTTCATTATCTGCTTTCCATCTCTTCACCGTCGAATGAACATATTCCTTAACTTTCGTAGTGATATTGAAACGTTTAATACGCCTGATAGACTTCCCCACTCTGAATCCAAGCACTTTGCAGTCGTCGAGGTGGTCTGGATTGTCAAAATCAAATACGATAAATGTATGATCAATCCCTATAAAAGTACCGAGATGACTCGCTTTCTGCGGATCGCCTGACGCAAATTGGACAACCGCTGTTAGTAGGGTTCCAACGACTTCTGGATGCGTGTGATCTTCAGCCTTTGAACAATAGATAACACAGCGAACTGGGCCGCAAAGAAGTGTTGAAGAACTTGATGTCATTTTGGAAAAGACTTGGTGTTAATGAAAAGTTGGCTTGCTGCAGAATTTGTGTCGAGGCGTTCGGGCCCTGTGATGAGGAATCCAGAGGCTAGCGAATGTCCCGGCTATAGGATTCTAAATTGCAGATCAACGCAAGTTGCCGAGCCCTTTTTGGAGACCTTCAACGGATTCGCTTTTCCATCCACCGGCTGCCTGATTCTCTAGCAAACGTCAAGATCCCCCGCCACTGGTGAAAGAGCGTGATTCGTTCTTCAATTAAGATCGAAATGACTACTACTATATATATCGGCTCGGCGTCGTTGAAATTTCTAACCTTCTTCCAACGACAAAACCAATCAGGAACAAAAGTGGCCGCTTCGGCTTCATCGCATTGCCTTTTTAATCCATCATAAGCAATCCAATGTCGACTTTATTGTTTGACCTCAGCCTACGCAGGGATTGGAAGTCAACCTTTCCGTCTACTTTTGTGAAAGGCGTACAGAGCATGAGCCTGGAGGTTCATGTCGGCAAGGATATCGCTGATGTGTTGCTAGAAAATTCCGTAGATCTTGCTGACATCGGTGCCGTTATTTTGAGCCATCACCACTTCGATCATACGGGAGACATGGGTAATTCCCGTCTTCAATGGATGTCCTGGTTGGTCCTGGGTGCCTGAAAGCTTTCTTGCCCAGCTGGCCCGCAAATCGCAAACAGTATGAGACAGCGTCTGCCCTTTACGAAGGCCGTCGGACGACTGAGCTGGACTTTTCACACGGAAATCCAAAGGTCTCATCTTTTGGGGGTTTCCCAGCTCATGACTACTTCTCAGGTGGTAGCTTCTACGTTCTCTCAACATCTGGTCATACCATCGGCGCTTGCACGCACGACCTCCAAGAACGGCGAGTCGACGTTTACATTCATGGGTGGCGATATTGCTCACTCACATGCCGTCTTCAGGCCCACTTCGAAATATCCCCTTCCAGCCACTCCAAATGGCCGACCATTCACGTCTACTACCTGTCCAGCAAACATATCGTCCAGATGCATCACCTTTATTCCAAGCCCGAGGGCCAGACGCTTTCCCGAACGACGCCGTTCAGTCGAGTTGCGGGTCCGGAGCATGATCTCGCGGAATCGCAGCGTAGTGCAAATAGGCTGACCAATTTTGACGATGAGGGAAACATCTTGACCGTACTGGCACATGATGCGAGCCTGCAAGATGTCCTCGAATTCTTCCCCAGGAAAGCAAATGACTGGAAGGAGAAGGGATGGAAGAAAGAAGGCCATTGGCGATGGCTAGCGCCGCGTCTGCAAAGCTGTGGGCCATCGAAGCTCTGAAACATTGAAGAATTGAAATCATAAATCTCTTGCGGCGCTTTCCACGATCCTCCTTCCAAGTCTACACTTCAATCGGAAATGAAATTGTGTCTTCACAACCGGCAAATGGCCCCTATACTTATCCAGTACATGGTTAACGTTGTCGGCGTCCAAACCCTTAGCCACCTCAAACCACCCCGGCTTAATCTTGCTCTCAATTGGGAACTTTGATAGTCCTTCGAATACTCTTTACTCAAGACAAGATGGGCATGCGCACTGTCGAAGACATCACAGATCTCATAACCGTCTTTCTTCGGCTCAATGTGGTGAAGTCGAAAAGCACCGGCGCCCCCAGGCTTGTGACCATATTGGCAGCGGCAGGCACGCTGAATCGGAAGCAAATTGTCACAAACCGGGTTCTGACAAGTATATAAGCTAAGAGGTCCAAGTTTCTGTCATGAAATCACAGGGTTCTTAGTGTTTTTGGGCGATCCCCAAGGAACCGAGGCGAGGTAGTCAAAGCATATATCGTCCTACCTCAAGATTATATGAATCACGACAAAGACATTTTGAAGAAAGAGTGGCAAATGAAGTTTGTGCAGATTCGACTTGCAGATTCCCCATCCATTGTTTTGCTGTGACAGCGTTTCTCGCTCAATTGGCGTCTTTGCGGCAAGAGCCTGTTTAGCAAGAAGTCACCGAAAAAAATGGCTGAGATGTCAAGATCACATGGCTGTTAAGGCCAACGCGTCTTCTCAGGCAATGCCTGTGTATGCCAAAGTTTGACCTTTAAAGTTCGCCCGAAAACGGGTAGCGCCCCGAGGACAGGCCAGCGGCATAGATATCAAGTTGCCAAAATGGATCTTGTCTTCCAAGATCGGCTGGCTTCCAGAAAGCCAAGCTCAGGAACTCACTGACTGTTCAGACCCAACCGGCGGCGACCTCGAACCGACTTTCAGAGCTCGAATGTCCGCATGGTGTCATATTCAGGGGCATCAACTCCTGATCAACAAAGCCGTTGGGGCTTGTTGAGCTTCTTCTTCTGCTGATCTGCGCGGATTGCTAACCGAGACTCCACCGCAACCCGCACACGATACGAACACGATCGAATCCGAAGTTGGGTGTTTCACAAACCGACCGCATTCCGACTTCGTAAACTTCGGGTTCTCTTAAATATAGGAGTCTATGGTAAAATGAAATAAGATTTCGTCAACAACCTAGCAAAGTTTCTAGTCCTGTCAACAACGGAATGCTGCTGCCTGCGAGATACAGGCGGATAGGTATAAAGAAAGGGGCAGCCAACATGATATAGGAATATAGGAATAAAGTCCAGTGTACCACTTTTCAGTATTGTGTCTCACGTTTCATAGACTGCCACAAGAGACATTGACCTCTTAATTCTACGATTCTCACTACTCTCCAGGACAACAGACTACCATCAAAGCTGTCTTATTCTGAGCTGTCGCAACAATGGCAATTGAATATGTCCTTTGGCATTACACACCTTCGCTTCCTGCTGCTGTTGCGCTGGCATCAGTTTTCGGAATCGCAACGGCAGTCCACCTGTTCCTACTGATCCGAACTCGCGCTTTCTTCTGCGTCCCTTTTGTGATCGGCGGTATCTGTACGTCTGAGTGACACCGATGCGAACCAGTCGCGATGCAGAGCTGACCAAGATTGTTCGCAGTCGAAGCTGTTGGCTATGGTGCTCGCGCATGGGCTCATTCCAACACTACCAAGACCACGCCGTACGCCATTCAATCTCTGTTGATCCTCCTCGGGCCCATTCTCTTCGCGGCGTCCATCTACATGATCCTCGGTCGGCTGATTCGATCCACTCACGGCGAGCGGTATTCATTCGTCCGCACGAAATGGATGACCAAGATCTTTGTTGGAGGGGACGTGACATGTTTCCTCATCCAGGGCGGCGGTGGCGGCATCCTCTCAGGAGCCAATTCTCAGAAGGACATTGACCTAGGCGAACACATCATCCTAGGAGGCTTGATTTTGCAGATTGTCGTCTTTGCCGTCTTTGTGATTGTCGCGGCATCTTTCCACCTTCGTGCGCGCCACACTCTGGATCTGCGAAGAACATTTTACCTCGTCATCCTGTACATTGTCAGCATGCTGATCACCTTACGCAATATCTTCCGTGCCATCGAGTACGCCTGGGGCTCTGATGGTTACCTCCTGACCCACGAGTGGACGCTGTACGTCTGTGACGCTATGTTGATGGCAGCTGTTCTGATTGCGTGTATCATTTGGTACTCGTGCGACTTCACAGGGCCATGTGTACACACACCAAGAGGGGAGTGAGATGAGAGTAGGATAGCCGAAGAAGAGTGGTGCCGCGGTTGGGGCCAATGTCTCTTTATTTTTGTATGTTTATTCTGTTAGTAGGTACCAGAAGGGTTCAAAAGATTGAATATCCTGCGGAGAGGAAAATAAACATAGATGATTTCACACGATTCCATATTCCTGCATCCATCATGATCGACCATCCATAACCCATGGAGTGGTGGGATAGAGTTGCGTTTCGTACGCTAAAGGATTCGACGTACAACTTTCGAAAGGGTGGATCACTACACCAGAACAGCATTTACTTTACTACCATTCTGCAAGAATGTTTGAGCGATTTGAAAACTGAAAAGATGTATGTCTCCTAACTGAGTATATATGCACACGATCCGGCAAAAATTTGAGTCTTTTATGCAGTGTTGGTGGTGTTCCGTGGGGAAAGTGTAGCCGGAGGAATCCCCTGGCACGTGATCCTTGGCAAGTGGTCTCGTAATTTTACCTCTTCTTTGTTGCCAAGATTTCACCAGCCTAGACCAAATACGGAGCCGAGACACCGCAGCAAGAGCCTCAACATTTGGATTCTCTCCGATTGTGTCTAGACTCCGCAGCCCAGCAGCTGTTGGACCAGGTGGCGAGGATACATCCCTCAGCAACCCTACTTCAACTCCCCTCTCCACGATCTCTCATCCTTCGGACTCTTCGAGGTTCGAGAGAAACAATGGAGGACCAAACGCTACGACGGACGACTTCGCCTTCTCCGACACAAAAGTATCTCCTTGCGTACAACGGCATCTGCCTTGTACTATGGTCCATCATTACCCTTCGAGCCATCTTTCTGATACCCGCTCTGTCCGCATTTGGCAAACTTGAAGGTCTCCTCGATGCCCTCTTCCCTCTCCTCAAATGGACCCAAACCATCGCACTTCTCGAAATCGTCCACGCATCCATCGGCCTTGTTCGAGCGAGCCCTATCACCACTGCAATGCAAGTTGCATCGAGGATCTTGGTGGTTTGGATCGTACTTGAAATGTTTCCTCAAATCGTTGCCACTATGAATATCTTCGGAAGGCCTGCCGCCGGATCGACTTCGGGACCCATAGCGTTTTCGGGGATCCTGCTAGCTTGGGGTATCACAGAAACAATTCGATATGGATTCTTTGTATGGAAAGCTGCTGTTAGTGAAAGAGTGCCCAACGCATTGACTTGGTTGCGGTACAACACCTTTTTTGTCTTGTATCCCATTGGCATTTCCAGCGAGTGCTTGCTCATGTATCTGGCTTTGACTCCAGCAGCGAAGCAGGGAAAGCAAGTGGACCTACTTTTGAAGATTGTTCTTGCCGTTTACGTCCCTGGAAGCTATATTCTGTACACACATATGATGGCACAACGACGGAAGGTCATGAAAGGCAAAGGCAAATCATCATAAGGCGTGAAAATAAGCATCTGGTCAATCATGCGGCCCTACATTGAAGAAACCCCTTCGAACAAGGAGCCCGAGCAGCTTTTTGCCGATGCAGTCTAACCTCAGGGCAGGATCCGAAGACAACGTTTTCGGGAGACTTCTGTGCCGAAACTTGTCGCCATCGGCGAGAAGGCTGAATGCGTCAGGGGGGTAGAGGAGAAACAGCCGAGCTGCCACAGTGAGTAGTCGTCTACAGCTTTCAACCAAAGGCTGACTGGAATGCTTTGGGATGTTGGACATTCAAGGTTGATATTGTCTATAAAATCGACGCTCAAATATGTAGCACAAAAGCGTCATAATTATCTGTGTTTCGCAAGGTGATCTCTACTATGGAATGAACTACCTCGTATCAAAACCTGCGTCATAAGTCAAAATGCCTTTTTTTTAATAGCATACTCTCTTGACTCTCTTCGTGCTACGTCTTGTACCTAGATCTCGATGTTAGCTGGAATACATTGATTGAATCCTTGACCCTGAACGCCCACAACATCGTACGGGCACAGAATATAGTGATCAACATCGTCTACACATGGTCCATGGACTGGATCCGATGGGGAATATCGCACGAGCACAGGACACCGTAATCAACATCGTCTACATATGCTAGATCCGATCCGGGGGTTCTGGCAGACAAATGCGGCATTTCTACCCATCCACGGACGGTCCGTAAATTGGATCCGATGGGGTTGAATGCGCTGTACGGGAATTTCAGCCAAAGGATTTAGGAATTGTTGGATTATAGATTTTCCGGATTACGGGTGGTTGGAGAATCACGTGATACTATATGGGTGTGGTTGTAGCGGCGGGAAGAGAACGTATGAGCTAACGAAACCTATCTGCTGTGGTTGGCCGCTTAAATATGTTCCGTAAACGAATGTAGTTTAGCGTGAGTCAGGATTCTTGGCAAAAATCCACGTGGGCCCCCGGGAAACGATACCCGGGGTCGGCGACGTGATCGACTAGTTCGGAGCACCGGTCTGCAGGTGAAGTTCTTCCGCATATATTCCGCATGTTTTGCCCCGATAGAAGATAGACCGAAGGTATTCTCACGGCTGATGCTCAGGGGGATCAGTGTGCCCTTTAGCGAGTTGGAGAGCATGCAAATCCCTGGTGTGTGGTCGAAGCGGTTCACTGTGTTGCACGCACACGGCAAATTGTCGCCCACCATACTTCGGACTTGTCGCTGGACCTCAAGCGTCAGGGTGGCAAGTCAATCCACCATTTCAACCGGTTAGTCGTGAACGATAGGCCACCAGTTGTTCAACAGGAATTCATTAAGTGGCCTGATGTCAAACTTGGGGGGTGCAAATGTGATGTATTGAATGCTCTCTCTCTCTGGCAGCCAGATTACCAGGTATAAATACATGCTTGGTTGACCCCTTTCTACTCCTATCCTTCCTCTATATCCTGCATAAGGGTGATACCCCTTTCCAAGTAAAGGAGTACTGCTCATTGTTCGACAATTACCTCCCCGCATACTGTGGTATCTGGGCTATAAATTTAGTGGCGTGAAAGCTGAAGCTATCGAACGATAATGAGCGGAAGGCATAGGCCCCTCATGTATCTACTCAACACACCCCGGATTCTAAGATGGTCTGGCAAGTAAGCAGGCATCACTTAGTCTCATCGGGTCGTAAGCACGTCGAGAAGCTGCGAATTCGGGACTTTGTAGAACAACTACCTCACTGCTCCTAGGAACTTGGAAATCGTCGACCACCGAGCATGTCATTGATATATATTGAACCATCCGAAAGACCATGAATAGTCCGCTCTTCAGTTGGTGACCGCCGCTGCACGGCATTCCCTTTCCACAAGGTCTCGATGTGCTTCACTCCTCGGTTTGATGATGACTTTGAACGGGTAACCGTTCTCGTCCGGGAAGAAGGGTTTTGAGGCGTCGATCGGTGCGGAGGGATCTTGCTCAAAGTCGAAACAGTACACCAACCTAGCAATAGCGATGGCAAGGTTGTTTATGCCCACGGAGTACCCGACACAAGCTCGTCGACCTATTGTTGCATGGTCAATTTAGTATACACTGCTACGAAGAAAGACAAGAATCCACTCTGAACTCACCCGTACCGAGGCCTAGATGGCCCTTAAATGCCATATCGAGCTCATCATTAATGAATCGTTCCGGCCAGAACCGCTCTGGTTGCTCATATTCAGATGCAGAGTTGGCTATTCCCCAGTGATTCCAAGTGAACACGGTCCCAGCAGGAAAATGGTAGCCTTCAAAGTCGTCGTCTCTGATTAAAGCGTGCGGAATGCCTGTCTCCGCTATAGTAGGCCTATTGTACTGATGAGCTCATTGCGCGCATGGCATCTCCTGGAGAACAACTTACTTCCAACGCATGCTTTCTTTCGCCGCGGCTCTGACTATACGAAGCTGATCAATATCCCGAGCAACGGGCAGTCGCTCGGCGTTGGCGCCACAGACTTTGTCGAGCTCCACGCGCGCTCGTTCAATCCAGTCAGGATATAGCGCCGCTCCCGCGAGGATTTCGTGCAGAGAGACTCTAGTTGTGTCTGAGCCTGCTTCCATCAATGTTCCCGAGATGAAATAAACCTCTTCGTCTGAGAACTCTTTATCTTCCCCAGCATCGAAGAACTCTGTCATAAAGCAAGGCTTCTGGATGCCCAGCTTTCGCCGCTGGCGAAGGTTGTCAATCTCTCTCTTGTAGACCCTGACCCAGGCCACTAGATCAGCATCGGACGCATGGAATACACAGGAAACTGACTCACTCGCGCGTTCGCCTGTAAAGCTTATCGCCATACCATCTCCATGGCTGCCAGGTCTTGAGCCAGGGGACGTTTGCGAGGAACGGAAATACATCGACAACGGATCGCCCGGGCATTAAGTATCGAACGAATTCTTCGGAGTTGTGCAGCAACTCGAGGAGATATGGGTCTCTAAGGCTGGTTCTTCTTCCAAAGACAACGCTCATAACCACTGAATTTGCATATCGGAGATGAGATCGAGGCCACAGATCAGGTTCGTGTAGATACTCATAGAGAAGAGCTCGAGATTCGATATCCTGAAAAGGTTCGAATATGCGTTTCTTGGTGTTATTCAGGATCCGGTGCATGACCTTTCTTTCTCTCCTCCAAAGATCGCCATAAGGCAGGACAAGGATTCGCTTCTTCCCGGAGGCTAGACTGTGGGCCATGGGGAATGCTGGCCGAGATGAATATATAGAAGCGCGTTTTTCGAGAAGCTCAGACACTACGCGTTGCGAGTTCAGAATGACCCAGTAGGTCGCCCCAAACTTCATGGTGTACCTGGCTACATCAGCAGTGCCGCCATATCAGTAAGATGCGTTGACGTACATTTCCCCATATTTCTCTGCCAGCTTCTGCAGGAAAGGACCTTGCCCAGTAGATGGCATCTGCAGGGCGTTGCCAATGATAGGCAGACCTGGGACCGGGTTTGGAAATCGATATTTGCGGCTAAAAGACACATGCCATTTGATTTGATGGACGCAGAGCACCAAGAAAAGGATCGCTACAGCCAGGTATAGCTCTCCCAGAGCAAAACGCGAGGCTGCAAGCAGCGCCATGTCGTCTGACCGGCAACACGGATCCCGAAGCGAACGTCCAGGAACGTGATAGAGAACACCAATCCATTCCGGATCAAAAGATCATCTACTCCTTTGTGCAGAGATATCTTTATAAAGTAGGTGAGCTGGTCTAGGTTGGTTCTTCGCTATCGGGGTCCCCCGAAGACTCCGGGTGCTGGCCGCATTTATCGTTTGGGCGGCCTGGAACTTCATCTCTAACAAAATGCATTCGGTCAATCTCGGGATCCCGAGCGTGTCCATTTGGCAAAGGCGTGACTGGCCTTCAGCATACCTTGCCGTTGAACAAATGGTAACCTATCGATTATGGCGAGCCAACCCATTCTGTAACATACACCTCATGACGTCCAACACCATTAACAGGCAACAGCGCCAGTGTACACCTCGTAGATAGAAGCAGAGCATTCATTCCCATCCAAGTTTGAAATCTACTTGAATTGCTAGAGGACCGAGTCTTGAGTATCGAGTATTGGGCGTTATCGCACAGGTACTTCTTGTCACCGCTTGTTGAACCTCCAGAGCATTCCGGGACAGCATACAAGCTTGGGCTTCTTTTCGTTAGAATTGTTTCAAATCCACGCGGAATACGGCTTTGGTATGCTTCTAAAATGGAACTAGCGCATCACGTGCCTTTTTGGCTAAGCCTAATTAGGAATTATCCATCAAAAAATATGCGTGGACAAAATTTACTAGTATAGCTTAGTCCCTATTCCACGTGATATCTTAACCCTACGACGAGGCCCCGAGGAGCCTATTCCGCTTCAATGCTAGTGGGTTTGACTTCTAACGAAAATTAGATCGGGATGCCGAGGTGTGTATTTAGCAAGTGATACAATCACGTGATGACAGACCCTGCGCGGATAGATAGGCAGCAACCCTTGGTCCTCTCTGGCACCTACAACTTACGGCATCCCGAAAACTTTTTTGCTCCAAGTCGAATTTGCGGCGTCCTGGCCCGCTAGCCAAAGCCGCATGATGTCTGAACATCTTACGATGGCAACCGTACCGAAAATGTCCAACGCTGATTAACGTTTTTCTCTAGTAAACTGCGGAATGGCCTCCGTCCCGAAGAGGGGCTGCTCCCTCAAACGTTCGGCTGTCTGAAGCAGGGTCTCGTAATTCTCCAGAGTTCCCCCAGAAATTCATCATAGCTCGGCAGTGTCGACTTTTCTGGTTGTCCCTGCATGAGGTCATGGTCTCTCATCTTGACATCTGCAATCTCCAAGCATGCAACTGAGCTTCCCTGACTTCAAAGGTAAACAACGTTCAAACACGACACCTCTGGACGAAGAGGAAGACTTCATCGCGCATCGCAACCATGGCTGGAACCGACCGTCTCATTGGTCCATTCAGGAAAAGTATCCATCCGCAGGAGGTACGTGGCTATCAGCGCACTGTCCGAGCTCGGTTTCCTGACACATACATAGGTCCTACCTCCGATCAATCCTGCTCCTGACCTCAAACATGAGATGTTTGAGCTAGATGGAGGTAAAGTGATCTTTGAGAAGGACGTCGCCATCACGATGAGAGATGGGGTCAAGCTCTACGCCGACATCTACCGTCCTGCGGCTAGGATAGCAGAGCGAACTCCATCTTTGGTGTTCTGGTCACCTTTTGGAAAACACGGGGCTGTACCCAGAGCTTTGTTTAAGAACATGGGGGTCGACTTTGACAAGTTGAGCCCATACACGTTCTTCGAGTTACCCGACCCATTTCTATGGTGCAGCCAATACCACTACTCGTTCGTCCGCGTGGATCCCCGCGCCACGTGGTGGTCTGAGGGCACAGAAGCGACCTACTTCTCGCCGCAAGAAGGACGTGATGGCTACGATGTCGTCGAGTGGGCTGCTTTACAGCCATGGTGAGGCAGACCGGAGATCTTTTTGCAGAGTGAGTGGTCCCAGGCTGATAGTTTTATTCGATACTCTAGGTCCACTGGCGACATTGGCTGGGGTGCGGTCTCCTATTATGCAATGTCAGCGTATCAGACGGCCGCCCTGAACCCCCCACATCTCAAGGCGCTATTGTTATGGGAGGGCATATCGGATATCTATCGCGAAGTAAACTGTGTGGGCGGAATACCTTCTGTTCCATTTCAGTATTTATGGATGAACTTAACCGGACAAGGTCTTGGGAGGAGCGAAGATCATGCAGCTGTGTCCCTCGATCATCCTCTTTTCGATGAGTTTTGGCAGTCCAAAGTGGTGGACTGGGCCAAGATTGACATCCCGACATTATCGGTTACAGGTTGGTCGTCTTTGGCTTTGCATTTACGAGGTACCATCGAGGCATGGAAGGGTCTCTCATCCAAGGACAAATGGCTCCTAGTTCACGTAAGTCTGTCGTTACATTTAGCTGAATATGGCTGACGATTCATAGGCTGGCAGAGAGTGGAGCGAGTACTATAAGCCTGCCGGTATTGAAAAGCAAAAAGAATTCTGGGACCACTTCTTGAAACGCAAGGAGAACTCGGTCAGTACCTGGCCAACTGTGCAACTCGATGTGCGCAGGTCTGCCGATGAATCTGTCCGAAAGAACTGGACAAATTTTCCTCCACCCTCGAATCTGACAACCTTCTACCTAAGAGCCGACGGGAATCTGGTGTTACAGCCGAGTACGGTGGATGCGTCTCATGCTGCTTTCAAGAGCCATCGCGCAGATTCTACAATCTCTTTTGATTACACTTTTGACAAGGAGACCGAAATTACTGGTCACGCTTCTTTGACCGTGTTTGTTCAGTGCACGGAATTCCCAGACGTCGATCTCTTTGTCGCGCTTCAGAAGCTGGACGCCGAAGGGAAAGAGGTGAAATTCTGGAACTCGAGCCAGTTTATCGAGGCGCCGGCATCCCTGGGCTGGCTACGTCTTTCGCACAGGGAACTGGACGAAACACGCAGCACTCCAGAAAGGCCTTATCATACCCATCAGAAACGACAATGGGTGCGGCCATGTGACATAGTCGAAGCCCAAGTTGAGCTTTGGCCAAGCAGTACTGTATGGCAGGCGGGTGAGACAATGCGAGTGTCAATCAACGGTCGTGGATTTCTGAATGAAGAAAACAGAACCCAAGTACGGACACCAGTGCACAGTTGGGGAGATGTCAGAGTGTGGTTCGGTGGTGACTACGGAAGTAGACTGCTCGCACCAATTGTATGACAAAAGGTGCCATGTCCATAATCCTCAATGGGACAAACCAGCCGCAGTCGAATGAGCGTAAAATATCCCGACTTAGGCTGTCATCCTATCGTAATGGGCATTTCCGCACGGGGGCTTTGTATCTCCGGTGGGCCTAGGTGCCCTTCTTCCCATGTGTCCTCCACACAAGCCCTTGTTGTAGTGATCGACTGCGCCATCATGCCATCCCCTTCTTTCAATTTTTGCATGATGCTGGCTTGGTCGAAGGTTTTTCGACTTTCCACACTGATGATGGAACAGTGCACTTGCCAAAACCTCAAAAGTCGGATTCACGACGATCATGCACTTTCGCGGAGGGAAACCCGCCTCAAACGGGCAGCGATGATATCCAGGAGTCGTGATCGATGTAAGCGCAGCAGCAGGCAGCCCTAGCCGCTTTTCTACAAGGTACGCACACTTTCTTGCTGCTAACTGCTGAAGCATCTAAAGACTCTGGTAACGTATTTATGTGTCTAGTGTGTTAGCGAGGATTCCGCGATGTGTAATGTCCTCCTAGCTGTGGCGTCTTTACGCGGGCTTCAACAGAGACTATCGAGATTGGTGCTTTTACACAAATGTATGTAGGTACACGGTTATCCTGACCATTCTGTGGGCGTTCTCTGACAAACATCCAGATCCCATGCTTCCAGCAGGTCCAAACTTTTATGGTCTTCCATCTATCAATCTTTACGATGGTGGAAACGAGCCGGTTCAGGCCAGGCCAGACTTTTATTTCAACTTCAACGCCGCATACAATCTACTTGGATTCGGTGGCGATCACGACCTTGTCCTCACCTCCGTTGCCGCCTCAAGAGGAACTAACCCAAGCGTCTCCCGCAACAAGTCTCATGACAGGAACAGATCAATCGAACTCGCAAGCCGTGCATGAAACTTTCAAGCAGTCTATTGGTCGATGGAACCCGAGAGACGGCATTGCATGGCCTCGGAAGAACATGACTTGTCATTAGACCGTACAGCTACTTCCAAAATGGATTGTATTGAAGCTTGGAGCCCGGAAATGGTGTCTCACAGTCTAACACCTAGCATCCGGGACCAAATTCTAAAAACCCTCATCAGAACATGCAACCATGATAATGTTATTGATGTTATATCATCTTTCCCAGCTGTCGAGTTGTTGGACAGGCCGCTCAAGTCGTATCTTACGAAACAAGCCGTCATGGCAGACTCCTGGATACATATTCCCACCTTCAACGTGAATGAGGTTCGCTTGGAACTGGCCATTGGTTGTCTGGCAGCCACTGCTACACTATCTTCGAGCCGATCCGCATATGTCTGGGATTTTGCGTCCTTCCAAGGAAGCGATAACAGCCTATATATGGTCTGAGAAGTCTATCAAACAATTCCAAAGCCGACTTTCGACGCCGCTGAGAAATCTCAGTAGGATGGTTCTTGAGTGTGAAGCACTTAGACGTCCTGGACATCTATTCTCCCTCGGAACATCTTGAGTTTCAAGCTTCAATATGTCATCAAGATAGTGTTCCACCGCCCGCCACGGGCACATAAAGCCCATTCAGCCAGCCTGCACCCTCCTCACATAACGTGGCCACCGCCCAGGCGATCTCTTCTGGCTTGGCCATTCTCGATGCAACCGGAACAGATTCGTTATTTTTGGCAACCATTTGTAGAAAGTCTGCAGGTGCTGCTAGCATTGCTTCCGTGGCGACAGGTCCAGGAGCGACAGCATTCACTGTGCAGCCGTACTTGCGCGGAAGGTCTCGCGCCCAGCAGCGCGTGAAGCTTTCAATCATCCCCTTGGACCCGGCGTATATAGTCATATCAGGATCTGGATTGCGAGATGTTGTGCTGCAAATGTTGATAATGCGAGAGTGTCTGCGGCTCAAGTGCTTCAATGTCGCCCTGGTCAAGAGCATTGTGCCTCGACCATTGACGTTAACTACCGTATCCCAGATCTTCGCGATCTCGCCATCATCTGGCCCGTCTATGATGGAGTGAGCACTGATACCAGCGTTGTTGACCAATATATCAATCCTGCCGAACTCGGCGGCAGCTGCTGAGGCAAGTACTTGAGGACCGGTCAGAGTCGACAGATCTGCCTCGACAAGAATGGACTTTGACTGTCCCGGAAGACCGTGCAATACCTTTTCTGCTCTTGGCCTCTCTGACGGAAAAGGGTAGTTGATGACAACACTCGCTCCTCGCTTTGATAGCTCTCTTGCGGTAGCGGCTCCAATGCCAGAGGATGAACCGCTCACGATCGCCACTTTTCCCGCTAGCGACTGAGCTGCTGGTGCGGCCGCGGAACCCATTGTAGTATAGCCAAGTTCAACTCGTTGTATATGCTATGCTTTATTGTCCTTGTAAAGGTTTCTTCAGGACCGGGCTTCATGAGGTCCAAACTAGAGCACCTTGCAAATTTAGGGAGTGGGTAGTAGAATTTGCAAAGACGGGATTCACTCCCTACGTTTTCGGCCCTCAAGAGACTGGTTGGCAAAACTATTCCTGGCACAGATATGCAAACTACTATACAGCTTTGCTCTAGCTAGCGCACGGCACTCACCCGGAGGAGGTTCTCGAGGACACCAAAGAGAAGGCCTGGCGCCTCCGCACCAGACTACGGCATCCCGTTTTTGCGTCGTCAAAGGAGTCCGCCGAGGTCTGTCGAAGCCAGCCGAAATTGTTGATCTACCACACCATGAAGTTAGTCTTCCATATGCAACCTACCAATATAATTCTGAAATTTTACACCGTACGCTTTGGACACAGGGCATTGATTCTTATGCCCTTCGACCTTATATATCGAAAGCTGGCGACTGAACGCAGAAACGGCGAACAGTAATAGGTAGCCGAGCCGCTTAATGAGAATCTGCAATCTATTTTGCCCACTCGTTGCTTGAAACCCACTTTCCTCTCTCACAATTCCGTCCTTTCCAAGTTAGACCCCCGAACGACGTCTTGCATCCTCGCGGTAATTCCACTTTCTTGAGGATGATCAAGTATCCCTATTCTTCGTTACTTACAAATCCTCGTCCGAGCTAGTACCGGTTATCCGCAACTTGCCGCATTGTTTCAGGACGCCTCCAAGCGCGTCACAGAGATGGATTGGAAGTTGCAATGAACTCAACGCAGGTATGTGCCACAATCCATACGATACAACGACAGGATATGCTGCCGATAGCTATGCAAGGGTCAAAGGCATTGGTGCCATGGTCACAACAGGAGGAGTGGGCGAGCTCTCTTCCATTAACACGCACGCTGGTGCATACTCGGAACACATCACCATGGTGCATATAGTTGGAAGTCCTGCTCTGTCCATTAGGGGTAACAGGAAGTTCAACATGCATCGTACACTCGGCAACGACGACTACGATGTTTTCAAGAACATGTTCAAAGCGGTATCTGGTGACCAGGTGACTTTGAACGATGCATCGCGCACACCCGAGCAGATCGATCACGTTTTGAAGATCTGTTGGGTGTCTAATCGACCTGTTGACATTGACATACCAGCCGATATGGCGAATAAAGTCGTCGACAGGTCCAAGCTGTCCTCGCATTTAGATCTGAGTTATCCGGTTAGCGATAAAAACCAGGAGACGAAAGCTCTCGGAGCCTTTGTCAAGCCTCGTTGATATGGGTACGGCCAGGCAAAGAGTAAGCCAAGTACGCACCGACTATCTCAAAATTCAACTGACAGATGGAGAATATGTTGACGGTGTAATGCACGAGCTGGGAACAAAGTCAGGTCTTCCAATGTTCACTACGCCACTGGCTCAGAGAGTACGCTAAACAGCACATCTCTCTGGGCGAGTATTGGCCATTCCCCTCCGGGTGCACAAGGTGAAGCTCTAGTTGCCAAAGATGCTGGAGTCAAACGGTGGACTGTCTTGTTTCAAGGAGATGGCAACTTCCAGTTGACATGTCAGGAGATCAGCACCATGATCAAACATCGTCCGCAAGTCTTCATGCAACCCCATGTCCGGCATCGATCACGGTGGGCGTGAACTGACGACAAACGTAGCTTTGTGACATACAATAATGGATACACGATTGAGAGGGCAGTCCATGAAACGACAGAGAACTATAACGACATCTTGAACTGGGACTACAAGCAGCTTCTGTGGGTCTTTGATGCGGCGTCGAGACATTCTCGAGCTTTTGAGATACATACTCGGAGCGAATTGAAGGATCTTTTTGCAGATGAAGCATTCTCCAGATGTCAGGGCGTCCAGGTAAGCGGTTCAGTCGTCTTTAGTAGGTTAAAGTATCTGACGTTCTTGCAGCTGGTAGAGGTGCACATGCCGGAACTTGATATCCCATTACCGATGAAGATGTTGGCAGAAGTTTATCATGGCTCGGCAAAGAGCTGCAGTCAGGTAGAAGCGCGTGGGCATGGTCGGATTGCTTCAGCGCACAGGCAGAGATGCTCTCTATGTTTTTGGCACCTAAACAATACTAGATAGCATGAAAGAGCATGAAGTTGCTTGAGATCTCAGGCACTTCTCAATTTGATACAACAAGTCCATTCCTCGACGACGAAAGGTTTTACACTCCTCCTGGGGTCTCATATCAATAGAGATTGCTCCGACGCTGCTTTGGATTAAGGATCACGGTACGGATAATTGTTGAGGGACTAATTCGACCAAGTAACCATTCTAGTCAAGAAGTTAGAACTGTCGACATCGTACTGTTCACTTGGCCCTGAGCTTACCGGATCTTCCACAAATGCGACCTGCCTTACGACATTGAGAAACCCATCTCCCAAAGAGTCCGTCGCAATCCCTTTCTCCCTTTCCCATGTCGTAGTTGGTATCCCCTCGACAGGACCCTGTCCATAGTCCTTTACGACTTTCACTCCTGCACTCCTTAACCGCTCCACTGTCTCAGGTACACTTGGGACCGTAAATCCTAGATGATTAAAGCCTAAATGCGGTGGAATATTCCCACTCGAAATGTAACCATGCGCCTCATTTTCTGATCCATGATAATGGCAAAGCTCCAGCAGTCCCAGAGTCTGCGTCAGCACGGAATGCTGCGCAACGTGCTGTGCAAAAGCAGCCGGATCCGCACGGTGCTCTGGTGTCTGAGGATAACCGAGATAATACACGGTCATGGGGCCGGTGTTGATAGCGAAGACAGTCCTCATGCCCATCAGGTTGACGTAGAAATTCAGCGTGGGCTCTGGGTCCTGGATGCGGATCATCATGTGGTTGAAGCGGTAGCCAAGGGTTGGTGCAGAGTCTGTTAAAGGAGACTCGTTGCGTCCACCGCCAGGGGTATGCACCCCGACAGGGAGTCTTGAGCTTAGAGCAGCTTGGGAAGTGCTGGTGGAAGCCATGTTGTCGACTTGAAGTACTATAACTGGATGCCACTCCAACGATGTTTGTCTGTCGCGTTGTACGAATGTTGAAGAAAGTCTCGTCTAGTCGCTCCAACTGCAGATGGTATTCCCCTGCGTTATGCTGCATACACCAATGCCACTTGACTTTGACAGCATAATCCATGCTCATTGTTGGTGAAGAATTCATGCGGGTTGTTCCATAGTGGCGGCCGTGCTTTCGGGAAGCCGACACGAAACATCTCCACAGTCAATGTACCAGCGGTTGTCGATCACATCCGCAGACCAAGTTTGAGGTACCAAGACCAAGGCTATGACCGACCCCTCCTGAGCGTCAGTTCTACGCTAAGTGCCAATGGCAAGAATGTCGTTATCGGCAATTTTGCGGCCTCGGCCTACTGGCAGCTTGACTCGGGAATCGGAGCAAAGATTACTTATATCAATCAAATGTATAGGCGATCGGGCAACGGCGAATTCATCAATTGAATCTACAAGGGATTCCATCAGACCGTCCTTCAATAGAGGGCTAACACGCCTGAAGCGTAGCCGAGGTTCCCCAGTTTTTAGGCAAATGTAATACTGCGCGTCCTCTCGCGGTCGACGCCATGTTTTCATCGAGTATTGATAGGTGAAGTATCTCAAATGTCATAGAAATTTAGTATTAGTGGCCAGAAAAGAAGCGACCATGGTTAGGGCTTGTGTTCTTAGTAGACATCATCCACCCTCGTATGTACTCCGCGTATCACTGTTGCGATCGAGATCGAGAAGAGCAATTCCAAAGGCGACACCAGAGAATCCGGTAGTATTCGAATCGAGTATGTACATTTCGCGATCATGGATGCAGTAATACTTTTCAACATCAGATCGGGCCACACGACGATTGAACACATGGTATGCTTCCAGACTCTGCACCCACAGGGATACTGGGCAGATTGATAAACGCTGCGCAATCTGGCCAACAATTAAGCGTCAACTAAGCGTCAATTTTACAACGGCCAGGCATTCTCGAGTATTCCACTGTTTCTGACGGCGTGCAGAGTTCCTCTCCCGGGAGCATCGGAATCTCCGAGTATCCCGGCGTACCAGCCCGAAGACTCTTTTCGGTAACGGGATCCCCGGCCTGTCCACCATCGGATCAAAACTGACTCTCAGCTAACCGACATGCGAGGCACCCATAGGACAATCTAGTTTTTTCACTATTAGCATCTTGCATGATACGGTAGCCATTTCCTTGCTCCACAATTCAAAGGACCACTCGGGGCCATGTACGGAGTAGGCAAGATGGTCAAAGGATGAGAGGTGGAACTGTAGACATAAAGTTGCTAACCCCTGTTTAAGAGGTGACTGTAGGCTTACCACATTCGAACCACATCCCGTCCGATTGAACTCTCGTTCTCATTCCCGACCCTAGAGATCACGTGGCACGGTGTAGCTCAAGAGATGTTAGTCCACAGGAGTCCGGACCATTATATTGCCTTGTTCGAGAGCTTGTCCACTTCCGACTGCATGGAGGTGTTTCTGCACGTGAACGGCAACATCCCTGGTCTCCAGAGCTAACACTTCATTCAGTTCACCTGCTTTCCGCCTCTGTTTTAGGCGTCGACTTCTAACACAGAAAGCAACATTGCATACACACTGTCTTAACACAGGAAAGCCACATGGCCTGGAGCACGAATATTTCTGGAAAGATACTCGGTTTTTCAATGTCATCACCGAAAAAGACGGAGAGATTGCAAGTGCCGTTGTACATTCACAGATATAGCATCTTACGATGACCTGCTTGCGCTGACAACATCCATCCCATGGATAGAATACGGCTTTGCTATCGGGAAACTTTTTCTTATGAGAACTTCGTCTCCGTCCAGCGACTCTTCGATTAGAAAGAGAAATACGTCGGTGTCGAACCTATGAAACGCCTTCAGCCATTCACGACGAGTCCCACTGTCACCTGGTCACCACGACGGCATCAAGCATATATGAAGAAAAGTACGGCTTGAACGACGCCCTGCTAGGTTTCAGGTCCTTGAAAGGTATCAATCAACACTCATCGATGCATAAAGTCTGCTATGCGTACCGATGTTGAGTTAGGTAGCATAGCAGAAGAAGTATTTAACCTCAGGTCCCCAGATCAAAGGAATGGTATATTCCCCCTTCTAGCTCTATCTATTCAGCAACTAGTCCTACCAGGTTGCTGGTATTTATACAGCTTTGATTGACCCCTTTTCTTCTCTTATTCCTACCCCTATATCCTACACAGGAGTGATTCCCTATTCCCGGTAAAGGGGCACTTGCTACTATTCAACCGCTCAACAGCCGTAGATGTTCTTATTCTGAAAACAAAATCCACTCGTGTGAGCCGAGGCTGTCTTTGCCTGCCATGACTGGAGTACACAGTAGAATATCTGCCCATGAACTGGTACTTCAGCGGAAGCTGTTACGTTTACGATCTGCAGAGCCTAAGAGCTTGACTGCAAGAGTTTAACGCTAGTGTAGTGACATGCCATCACATACTGGCACGTGAAGAACATTCAACCAGCATGCATCCTCCTCACATAGTGTCAAACTTGTTGTGCAACCTGAATTGAACGAGTGCTCTGTTTTCTATCGACTTGTTGCGCTCCTGACAGTCTCTTTATAGACGTGCGAATGCCTCGTCGTTGAGCAGAGCAGCCATCAAGAGTGCCGTTGTCTCTATGGTAACCTTCTACCAGTGTGTTTCAGATGTGCATGGTAATTTCCGTGTTCGACAGTTCCTTCCGGAGAAATATCATTTAGTTACCAAGCACACCAGTCCGAAGAAACCTTTCGGGAACGGGAATCCGGCCTGTGTTTAGGCTTGCCGACAGCCAAGGTCCTAAGCTCGACTGCACGGGAGCTAATATATTTCCGTTACCGATTTGCACGCAGGATGGTAGACATTTTCTTAACTCTACAGATTAGAAGGGCTACTTAAGCCCAGATCCGGGGTAAGGAGGACTGCAAAAGCAATGAGAGGCGGGGACCCAGATATAAAATTGCATCGACCTGCCTCAGGAGGCGAATCCGAGCTTCCCACATTCCAACTACATCCTTTATCCTTCATTGATCCGTGCTAAGAATATTTCTCCGGCGGACATCAGAGAAGGGAAGCATTCTTGCTGCATTGATCTCAAGTTCACCCTCATTCTCGATCCACTCCCTCACCACGTCAGACACAATGGTAGATGAAGCCATTGGAAGGAAGAGCGACGATATTGACGCCCCTCGAGGCGTGACACTTGGAACAGTCCAACTGCGTCATGAAACGACGAACGAGATCCTTCTCGTGCCAAAACCTTCGGATGATCCAGACGATCCCCTGAATTGGTGAGCACAAGCCCCTGCTCCACGCCGCAAGACTACCACTGACTTCAATGCGCACAGGCCGCTGCGCGAAAAACACTATATCTTCGTCCTCTCCTGCTTTAGCATCTTTGTATGTAACGCCTGCGGTGCGGGCCCGTCAGCGGGTGCCGTAGCAATGACGACTCATTTCTTTGCTCCGCCTAGCGACCCTAACTTCCTTACCTACGTCGGCAAAGTGGCCTACTTCTTCACCGGAACTTCCCTCACCATTGGTATTGGCCAGTTTATCTGGACTCCTGTGGCGATCAAATATGGCCGTCGACCGGTGTATATTATCTGCTTCGCCCTCCTCACCGCATGTAATGTCTGGGCCGGCTTCGCCAAGTCCTATGGCAGCGAGCTCGCAGCGAGACTATTGACTGGCATCGCTGCAGGAGCTCCTGAGCTTGTGGCTCCGTTGACACTGACGGACATCTTTTTCCTCCATCAGCGAGGTAAAATTATGGCGTAAGTCTCTAATTCCATTTATCGCCGGCATGTAAAGCCGACACACGGTAACAGCGTCTACAACTGTTCCCTCGCGCTCGGTAGCAGCCTCGGCGTCGTCATCTTCGGTCTCGTGATAAGGACTCAGGAATGGCGTGTTATCTTCTGGATCCTCACGGCCCTATCCGCTTTCTGCATGCTAATCATGATATTCACCATTCCCGAAACCGCCTATAACCGGAGCACTGCCAACCTCGGCGCGATCCCTGTCGCCGTAGCCTCGGGGGACGTCGATGCCGACGCTGTCTCTCAGAAATTCGACAAGTCATCCGAACATGTGTCAGTAGTTTTCCCCACAACACTAGGCAAGCGAACCCCTTACTTCAAGCGCCTTTCCATCATCCCCAAGGCCTACACCAGCGAGGGTATCTGGCTGCTGATGTTCCGACCCGTGGCTCTGCTCGCACTGCCCGGCGTCTTATGGGCTACACTGATCAACTCCGTCACGGTTGGTATGATAGTGGTCTTATCGTCCAACTTCTCAGCTGCATTCCAGACCATTTACGGTTTCACTTCGTGGCAAGCCGGTCTAACCTTCATCGCGATGGCTATCGGCTCGCTTGTCGCCATCTTCTTTGCAGGCCATTTCTCCGACTGGATCGCAGATAGATTCACACAAAGGAACGGTGGCGTGCGAATTCCCGAAATGCGCCTGCCGGCTCTTTCTCTCAGTGTCATCACCGGCCCACTGGGTTGCATTTTGTACGGCGTGGGATTCGGTTTGAAGCTACATTGGATGTGTCCAGTCGTAGGCATCGCGTTGAGTGAGTTAACAACTATTCTTCTATACAGCGCTAATGCCCGTCCGCAGTCGGGTTCACCGTCGTGCAATCAATGGTCGTGTCTTTGGTGTACATCTTGGACTCGTACCGCCCTGTATCTGGTGAGGTCATCGTCACGCAGTCAACATTCAAAGGTATGATCGGTCGTCTTGTTCCATGGAATTCTGGAACTGACATTGGTTTGCAGCGTGCTTCGGTTTCCTCTTAGGCTTCTACACCAATCCTTGGGTTCAGCAGGACGGATATCTTGGTGCTTTTGGCGCCATGGGCGGTATTGAAGGTGCTATTCTCCTCGGTTTTGTACCCTTCTACTTCTGGGGTAGTTACTGGCGGCGCATGTCTTGGAATTGGCCCTTCATTAGACGGATTGTCCACTGGGCCGATGACCGTGAGGTCGGCGAGTAAAGCGGCAATGGTTCCGGGGACGATGATCCTTGACATACGGGCTGAGATGGAAGGGTGACCTAAAGTCTGACAATTCAGCACCGGCGCATCCACGATCTTCGAGAGCTCGAGAGAAGGTGTTGAACAGTATGTGGTGATGTGCTCAGCTGTGATGTTAGAATACTCAGCTATACAAGGATCTTGCCCCCCGGAGACGTCGAAAGACAGTGGCAACCATTCCCTATATAAACATGCGAGGGAAGACCTCAGGTTGATGGAAGACAAAGCAGTTAATAGATCCTAAGTTCGACAGAAGGATTAGTTGAAACTCTCTGGACTTTCCAACTGACTCGCCACTACCTCAAATCCGGGCCTTCTTGCCGTGGGTTTAGTTAGTGTCTGCGTTGACCCTGAGCCAACGTTCGTTCTCCTCTGTCCATCCTTTGGAGCCCAACCCTCAACCTTTTCCCCATCGCCTTCAGTCTTCGCTCTGGGAAGGTCAACCCTTTAAGCTGCCAGGTCTCGTTCAACAACTTCGCCGTCTCCTTCAAGCAGAAAGCACCGCACACCCCAAGTATTGTAGAACAACCAATGAGAACCTGAGTTGCTTGTCCTGCAGTCTGAAAAGTAACTGAGCGGATCCAAGGATGATAGTAGAGCAAAATCCTGGTCTGAAAATGGTCGGGTCTGCGTTCGTTGAGCCTCTGTTTGAAAACCTCTTCAAGCCGACTGACTGTGAAACAGCCCGGGCACGTCCACGACCCTCAGGTGGTGATATTGTGGTCCCGACAGCTCTACTTTTAAAATGTTGTCAGAAAAACGCCTCTCCACAGTGTCCAGATCTGGAGTTCCTGCTCGAGGAAGACCCATCATCTCCGATGCCTTCGGATTCAGTGTCTGCATACCCCTAGGATGGCCCTCACCTCATCGAGAATGCTGGCGAACTCATCTGCGCCAAACGCAGTTTCTTTAATGCAATGTACAAACCTGGCTAGACGTTTTTTTTCATCTGCATCGTTGATGCTGCTTGGACCTGGGATAATGGAGACTCGTACGGCAGCTTCATTAGTGACCATTCAGCGAAATACAATCTGTGTCGCATGCCAGGTGCACAAATCACTCGCCAGGGGAAAAGACAACCTTTGGTCACATCTGAAGTGCTCAGTACAGAGCGACGGAGCATAACAGAGCAGCTTGTATATTATATAGTCAGATCAGTCTCTCACAAATTCTGGAGAATGTAGTCAACTTTGTTGTTATTCTAAATCATTCTAGTTTAGTGATAAGTCTCGTTCACGTACATTGATTCGCCCTGCATACTCGCATCCATCCCACTTGTTGTGCAGGTTCAGGGTCGAGGATCCAATCAATGTATTCCAGCTAACATCTAGATCTAGGTACAAGACGTAGCACGAAGAGAGTCAAGAACGTATGCTACGCAGGAAGTGCCAAAGAAACCCGGTGATTTTACGGAGGGCTTGTCCTATTTCGAAGGGGTCCAAGGGACCGTCAGACTATATAATTTCGCAGCATGTACGAAGCGTACGACGCCTTCGATGGTCTTTACAAGCCTTGGCGTCGCCACATATCACAACCCACTTGACTAGTACACCCATGTGGACGATTCATAACAGCATGTTCGGAAGAGCAGTGATATCCCATCGAGGTTGATCGCGTTAGTCGATCGAGCATCAGCCCGACGGGAGGAAGACGATCACCAAGGAGGCCACCGAAGGCGTGGCGCAGGAGAATAGGGTCAAGATCGAACAAATCTGAGCTGCTCCACATGCTCTCAATGAATGTGAGGAAACGGCCAATGGCGGACACCTTCCTTCGATGGTGTCAAGACGAAGAACAATGACTTTACATTTCACTTTTCCCTGCCTGGCTTGATATCCGATGTTCTGTCTGTTCTGCAGTGATTTGATGGGTTCAAGATATTGTGCCTCTGCTATCGGATAAAGGAGTCCGGAGAGAGCCTCCTTATAAGTTCGCGACGCACCTTGGTTCGGGCTATACAGTCAAGGCACTCATTCTTGCAAGAACTTGACATTTCCGCAATTTCGGACTCGTATGCGAGGAAGGAAGTCTGGTGCAGGAGCTGCTTAAAGACCAGGCAAGGGTAGTGTATCAGTCTTGGCATCGGTGAAAGAAACCCTCTAAAGGCGGCGACAATGACCTCCAAATTCGGAGAGAAATTTCCCTGTAACTGACTGCACCGCACACAACACAAACAACCGCCGTCACTTCTTGCCGATGCATACCCCTTGCCAGCACTGGGAACGGCGCGTGGAGGCCATATCGACATTGAGGCCTCCCTAAAATCCCTAAAATTTAGCCTCCTTCCTTTAATAGCCAAAATGCCCGCCATTCCGCCACCTCAACTCATCGCCCTTCAAGCCAACCCGGAGAATATTCGTAATATCTGTATCCTCGCGCACGTTGATCATGGCAAAACTTCCCTCACGGACTCCCTCATTGCTACCAATGGCATCATATCCCCCAAAATGGCCGGTAAGGTCCGCTACTTAGACTCGAGACCGGACGAGCAAATACGTGGAATCACCATGGAGAGTAGTGCGATCAGTCTCTACTTCAGTATGATGCGGAGACAACAAGAGAATGACGAACTCAAGAAGGAAGAATACTTGATCAATTTAATAGACAGCCCCGGTCACATTGATTTCTCATCAGAAGTCAGCACTGCCTCCAGGCTATGCGATGCCGCCGTCGTCTTGGTCGATGCAGTCGAAGGTGTATGCTCCCAAACTGTTACAGTACTACGGCAGGTATGGATAGAAAAGTTAAAACCGTTACTTGTCATCAACAAGATTGACCGACTGATCACCGAGCTGAAAATGACTCCGGCCGGAGCATACTCACATCTCGAAAGAGTCCTTGAAGGTGTCAATGCTGTCATAGGTAGCTTCTTCCAAGGTGAACGAATGGAAGAAGATTTACTTTGGAGAGAAAGGCTTGACCAAAAAGAAGCAGCTAAAGAACAACAGAGACCGGATGCCATGGCTTCCGTGGCAGATTTAGACCAACAGTTTGAGGAGCGAGACGACGAAGACCTGTACTTTGCCCCGGAGAAGAGCAACGTCATTTTTGCCAGTGCCATCGACGGCTGGGCGTTCACGGTTCGCCAGTTTGCGGGTATCTATGAAAAGAAGCTAGGTATTAAGAGGTCCATCCTCGAAAAGGTGTTGTGGGGGGATTTCTACTTAGACCCCAAAACCAAGAAAGTTTTGGGACAGAAACACTTAAAAGGCAGAAATCTGAAACCAATCTTCGTCCAGCTCGTCCTCGACCCCATATGGCAAGTCTACGATGCCACGGTGGGTGTCAATGGTGGACGGGGCGATCCAGCCATGTTGGAGAAAATCACCAAGTCGTTATCCATCAATCTGCCGGCTCATATTGCTAGGTCTCGAGATACCAAAGTCATACTACAGAGTGTATTCTCGTCGTGGCTACCACTTTCCACAGCCGTTCTTGTGTCTGTCATTGAATACTTACCAAGTCCTCCCAGGGCGCAGGCCATCCGATTACCTGAGATGATTGAAGAGCTGGTCAGCGCCAAGAACATCGACCAGTCACTGAAGGATTCAATGATCCAATTTAACACGTCCGAGTCTGCACCGATTGTTGCCTATGTCAGCAAAATGGTCGCGATACCGGAGAGCGAGCTTCCATCGAAAAGACGGAAATTGGGGACGATCTTGACGGCGGATGAAGCACGAGAACTCGCCCGAAAAAAGAGAGCAGAGATCGCCAAAGCCCAGGCCGACGCTGAAGGCTCTGCAAACGTGGATCGTATTATCAACGGAATGAACACGACAAGGATAGGCGAAGAAGAGGACGAAGATGTCACACCAGAACAACCAGAGGATCCCGAACATTTGATAGGGTTTGCACGGTTGTATTCAGGAACGCTATCTGTCGGAGATGAAGTATATGTTCTGCCACCGAAATTCAATCCAGCATTTCCCCATGCCTCACCGGAACTCAAAAAGGTACCCATCACCGCTTTATATCTCCTGATGGGTCGATCTCTAGAGCTGCTAGACAAGGTCCCAGCGGGAGTTGTCTTTGGAATAGAGGGTCTAGAAGGACATGTCCTGAAGACGGGGACACTATGTTCCCAACTAGAAGGCAGTATCAACCTGGCTGGCACATCAGCTCTCAGCCAACCGATTGTCAGAGTTGCTCTTGAGCCGACGAATCCAATGGATCTAAACAAAATGATCAAAGGACTGAAACTTCTGGAACAAAGCGATCCCTGCGTGGTCTATGAGCAGATGGAGAGCGGCGAGCATGTCATCCTGACCGCCGGGGAATTGCATCTCGAAAGATGTCTCAAGGACCTGCGAGAACGTTTCGCCAGATGTGACATCCAACCCGGCGATCCGATTGTGCCATATCGAGAAACAATTGTAAAGGCCGACGAAATGGAACCGCCGAAGAACAAGGATCTCCCGAGAGGAACAGCCGTCGCAGTGACCGCTTCGAAAACGGTATCGGTCCGAATACGAGTCCGCCCATTGCCATACAATGTCGCGGAATTCCTCATCAAGAACGGATCATCCATTCGACGGTTATATGCGGAGAAACAGGCACAAGAAGATGTGGTCAAAGAATCTGATGAAATGGAGAAAGACGATTCGGCAGATCTTGGGAATGATACCGGCAACGAAAGAAGCAATCTATCGCTGCAGGAGTTCCGCAAGCAGCTCCATGCTGCCTTTGAGGAGGCCAAAGAAGAAAAAGAAGGCTGGCAGAGAGTCGTGCCTCGGATATGTAGTTTTGGACCTCGACGAGTCGGACCGAACATCTTCATCGACGCCACGGGGTCAAACACATGCAAGCGCTTCCTAATGGAGCCGCATGAACTGTCTGAGCGCGAAGACCCCGACGGGAAGCAGAGTGATGCCCAAGATGGCTGTTCCCAAACGAAGCCAACACAAGATTTCTCCGACACGATCGCCTACGCCTTCCAACTTGCCACCGCTCAGGGACCTCTGTGCCGTGAACCGACGCAAGGCGTCGCCGTCTTTCTCGAAGAGATCTCCCAGTCCCAGTCGCCCGACACATCAGAACCGACCGTCGAATCCGGTCGATTAACCGGTGAACTCATCACATCAGTGCGTGAAAGCATCCGCGCTGCCTTCCTCGACTGGTCACCCCGCATCCTGCTGGCAATGTACAGCTGCACGATCCAAGCGACCCCGGAAGTCCTGGGCCGTGTGTACAGCGTCCTCACACGACGACGAGGTTCGATTCTCTCCGAGGCCCTGCTTGAAGGTACGCCGTACTTCACGATCGAAGCCACACTGCCTGTGGCCGAGAGTTTTGGGTTCAGCGAAGAGATCCGCAAGCGGACATCCGGGTTGGCGCAACCAATGCTGCGGTTCGTTGGATTCAAGATGATCGACGATATCGATCCATTCTGGGTGCCGAGGTCGGAGGAAGAGCTGGAAGATCTAGGTGTGCATGGCGAGAGGGAGAATGTTGCGAAAAGGTACGTTGATGCAGTTAGGAAGAGGAAGGGTTTGCTTGTCAGAGGCCCTAGAGGGGGGAGGGATGCCGAGAAGCAGAAGACCTTGAAGACAAATTAGACAGGCGACACGTGGAGGAAGAACGAGAGATAGGAAATGAATTCAGGGAGAAAAAAAATCATCAACAATTCTGCTTCAGAGAAACGTGGAGCCGAGTCCAATCCCCCCATTACTTCCCTTACGCCACGGATCGCACAAATGCTGTGCCTCACCAGCTTACAACGCCGCCTTTACTAGCCCTTTCGTTCATATATTACTTTTGACGAATGCGACACCACAACCATGAGACATTTCTGCTGCTGCATCTTGGTGTAGGTAAAATTTTCTTGCTTGCGTGGATTGATTCGAATCGAAAAGGGCCAGCTCTACAGAAGACAGCTGGTAAAGTGGCTTCGACAGTGATTGCTCCTTTTCAGGGAGCTTATTTTGAACGGCAAGTTTGATCGGACAATACAGGTCAAGGAAAAGTATAAATGGCTTTGCAGTAGAACCATTTTTGAATGGTATCTATCTGTCAATTTGTGAAGCTCTGGAGCTGAGTCCCAAGGAGAGTTTCTATACTGCACCGAACATTGTCCACACACCCACCAAGTAGGACCCGAAGCATGTTGATTATAACGGTCATGACGTCTACCTAGAGACTTTCACTTGGTCCAAACAGTTTCAGTACATAAAGTCCCCCGTCCACCGCCAACGCCTCGTCACTTCGCAACACCAATACCAATTGACCTATCGCTGATACTCACATACGATCGCCCTTCTACCATATCCAATTTACCTTATCGGCTTCCTGCCGTAAACCACACCCACCCGGGTGTACCCATGCACGCGCTTATCCCTCCAAGCCTTCCTCATCTCCGCCAAAAATACCTGCACCTCCTCATAAGACATACCGAGCACCCTTGTGAACAGAGCCAGTGCCCACCCTTCCATACCTGTTTCCACCTCCAATAGTCTCCACTGGCCAATAAGTTTTAGCTTCTTCCCCTCCTCCGTCCTCGCCGACGGCCATGGTCCGTCCGGCATCTTGAAGCGGTATTCTTTCACATCTTCAAAACCCGCTTCCTTCAGCCACTGATACTGATAATCAATCACGTTGACCGTTTTACCTGTCCTGATGCCAGCTTCGGTGAAGAGCTCGCCCCAGCGCACAAGTGGGGAGCCAGGAGGAGTCGTGTCATCATCGGCGTGACAGTAGCAGGAGCACTCGAGCTGTTCGAAATATGCGCCGGGTTTGAGGTGCGCAAGCACCCGGCGGTAGAAAGCGGGCCAATCACGGATGCTACCAAAGAGGCCGCGGACATGGATGAAGTCGAAAGATTCTTTGGGGAAAGTCCATTCGGAAGCGGCGTCATCGATCTCGAATTGGACGTTGGGTGGGACATTGATGGGTTGAATGGGCGAAAGGTCGGTGCCAATCACTTGAGCGGAGGGGTACTGGTCGGCGAAGTCGATGGCCCAGATGCCCGTGCCGGTGCCGACATCTAGCACTTTCTGCGGTACGGGCGTGATAGGAGCGAGGAACAATTTGTTGTCAAGCAGCATTAGATAGATGTGGTGGCCAATGTCGAGTTGTTCATTCGCGCCTTCGTCGTTTGGGCACCTGTTTGATGTAAAAGATGGGGCAGAAGTGCTGGAGACTAAGCGTACCAGTACTCGCCATCGCGAAATGCGTGATAGCGACGACCATTTTCCCAACGGTAATTGAAGATTGACGATGTCAAGGTTGTAGTATCGCTGCCACTGAGACCCAAATTCAGTGCTTCTGTTCGGCAATGCAAAACATAGTAGCGGATTAAGATCTTACTAGTCATCAGATCCAAGTGCGGAATCTACATCATCATAATCCACCTCGATCTCCTACAATACTAGTTAGACACATGCGGTCACATTCGAAAATCGATATCCATACACTGTGCGCTGCCGAACCTGCATGCGTAGCAACATGATCAGGCGCAGGTACAATGGAGGCTCGCTCTGGCGACGTCGACATCTCACAAAGGCTGGAACGAGGTCCTGGCGCCCAAGCAAGTAATCCGATATAAATATGATTTTCCGGCTGTGGAAACGGGCAATCCTGCTCAAAACGCAAATATCGGCACGTACATGGCCCGGGGGGGGGAGGCTTACTGACGGGGAGAAGGAAAGAATTCCTAGCGCTAATAAGTGGATCACAGTTAATGCAACTTTGGCTACTGGGATCTTACAGGGAAGGCATTGGATGGAGGCTTGAGAGGTTGCTCTAAACCCCAAATGCCACAAGGCATTACTCCGTACTTAAAGCGACCACCCCAACATTCGTATGGTTGCGCAGATGTGAACGGCTTTACACTAGCGCAGATTTTGGTCGGCGACTAGCACCGGATCGTCTGAAGTTGAGGATATCCCCGCCGTTATCATCCTTCCACCACAAAATCGTCCCACCCTGCTTTTCTCATGCTTGTCATTAACAGGTTCCCGCAACGGTTCCTTCCATTCCGTCGAGCCGCTCATGCCACGCATGCCATGCTACCTTTGATTGCTTCCACTACTGCAAGTTTCATGTAGATTTATGGATATCGCGCAGCCAAGCTTTACCTGGAACTCTCAACCACAAACCCTAGAATCATGTGAGAGACCTGCAATATGTGCCGGGGTACAATCAGACTTATTTTTTTTTGCTTTTGACCTCTTACGCCGCTTGTTTTCCATCAGTCTCGACATTGATCTCGTTCTTTCAAACACAGTGCCCAACAAGTCGACTTACCATGGGTGACGTCCAGTCTGCTTCGGCCTTGTACCTTGGTGCTGCCGGAGCGGGTGCTTTGCTCTTGTATCTTGTCTCCTTGGCTATCTATCGTCTCTACTTGAGCCCGATTGCAAAGTTTCCGGGCCCCAAACTCGCCGCTCTATCACTATGGTACGAGTTCTATCATGACGTTGTTCGCGGTGGCCAATATTGTTTCAAAATCAACGAGCTTCATGACCAATACGGTACGGCGACCTCCCATCTTCACGTCGACAAAGATCTAAATGTTCAGGACCCATCATCCGGATTAATCCTTACGAACTCCATGTCCGCGACCCCGACTTCTATGACGTGCTCTACAGCGGTCCAGGACGTAAACGTGATAAATGGTGGTGGTCGGTGAACATGTTCGGCAACAGTTCTTCCATTTTCGGAACGGTACCTCATGACCTTCACCGACTCCGTCGAAGTGCTTTGAACCCATTCTTCTCCAAGCAAGCCATCAGTCGGATGGAACCACTAATCCGCGACCTCATTGAGAAGCTCTGCGCGCGATTCGAGAGATTCCGGGAAACTGGTGAGCCTGTAGATACGCTCCAAGCGTATGCTGCATTGACGACCGATATTATCACCACGTATTCCTTCAACACTTCTTATGGGTGTATTGATGACCCTACTTGGAAGTTCGAATGGCCTCAGGCAATGGTCAATAGCACTACCAGCGGCCATTTGAATAAACAATTTAAGTGGTTATTTCCTGCGATGCAGGCAACGCCTGAATGGATTGTCAAAATTTTGAACCCGGCTGTTATAAACCTCATTAACTTTCAAAAGGTTTGTTGGAATATATACGGACGACGATAAGAGACCGCTATACTTACGTTGATAGGATTTGGCGCGACAAATTAGTGGCCTCATGAACGACGACTCGGAAAAAGAGAAACCCTCGCACCCGACCATCTTCCATGAACTAATCAACGGCGATCTCCCCCCTGAAGAAAAGTCTCTGTCTCGATTAGTTGATGAGGGCCAGACCATGATTGCAGCCGGCCAGGAAACCTCGTCTTTCTTCCTGAAGACTGTGACTTACCATATCTTGGCCAATCAAGAAATCTATTCGAAGCTCAAAGCCGAGCTGATGGAAGGTATTCCAAACCCGAAATCTATTCCACCGCTAGCACGATTAGAACAGCTTCCTTATCTCCATGCCGTCGTTCAAGAAGGTCATCGCTTCTCACATGGCGTGGTGGGACGACTACAGCGCATTTCGCCAGACGAACCGCTTCAATACCAAGACTGGGTGATTCCTGCCGGGACTCCGGTATCGATGACGTCCCTCATACAGCATGAAGACCCCTCTAAATTTCCCAATCCTAAGAAATTTGATCCAAATCGGTGGCTGAACGACTCGGCAAAGGCCGAAAAATATCTGGTGCCGTTCAGCAAGGGCACGAGGCAGTGTCTTGGGATCAACTTGGCGACTGCGGAAATCTATTTGACGTTGGCGACTGTCTTTAGAAGGTTCGACATGGAGCTATATGAGACGACTGCAAGGGATGCAGAAATCGCGCATGATTTCTTCATTCCACATGGTCATGCCGATTCGAAGGGGGTCAGAATTGTCTTCAAATAGTTTGCGAGAAGCTAACCAAGCGCGGTTGACTAGACATAAGATAACAAAACAACCGAGGTAATTACAAGCAGACTGACAAAAGCGGTATCTTCCAGGCCTTAGTCAGTTTCGAGATTTGTCCTTTGTAGACAACCTAGGTGTTGAACGGTTGGATAGTAGCAAGAGTCCCTTTACTGGGAAAAGGGACTATCACTCCTAGGATATAAGGGTAGGAATAGAAGAAGAAAAAGCGGTCAACCAAATGTGTATAAATACCAGCAACCTAGTAGGACCAGTTGCTAAAGAACAGAACATTCGATTCATATTCTCCTGGCCTTCATTGTTTGAACTGGCCTTCTGCAAGCCTAGCACTATCAAGCTTCAGATTCTGGCTGTCTGTTTTGGAGACGCAACCACGTCTCATCTTTTCTTCGGAGGACTGGAAGATGACTTTCTTGGACTGGCAGGCACTCGGCGCACTCAATGACGATGATGAAGCGTCTTCTGATCTCCTCTGGAACTCTCTTCGAGGCTGCATCGTGCTGGCATTCACGATTGGGGACTAGCCTAGTCACGTGCACGGCAGCCTTCGTGGTGTGATATGTGGCGACGCCAAGGCTTGTAAAGACCTTCGGAAGCGTTGTACGCTTCGTACACGCTTCGAAAGTATATAGTCTGACGGTCCCCTGGACCCTTCGAAATAGGACAAGTCCTCCGTAAAATCACAGTGGCCTTTTTTTGTAGCTCTCAGATAGATTCAATCAATCCATCCTCTCTCAGTCCTACACATCGAATATAAGGACGCTGCTCTTGATTTCATCGGCGGCATGCTAGGATAGTAGGAGGTGCTTCCGCAACAATGGTTCTGCGAGTACTCTTCATGAAGGGAACAAGTAGTGGTCGCTATAGTACTCAAGTCGTAGATGGTTAAGAAATTTCTCCACGGTCGATTCTTTTCTCGAAAGTTGAGTGGGTAAGTTGTGGGGATAGTCGACAGAATAAAAGGGCGACGATATTGGGAGATCTTTGGGAATAGGAATACACTGGGCTGCAAAACCGATGTCACCCTTTTGCTTGCACACAATCGTTCTACTGCGCCCCATCAAGCGGGGTCCCCATGTCGTTGCCTAGCCGTGTATGGTTAAGCGGCTCAAGCGAGAGTTGGGGCCTTGCGAAAGTCACTAAACGCGCTTACCGCCATCCTATACCGAATGCTAGGCCAGACGCTGTCGGTTTTCCATGATGGTGGTCTTTGTCGTGGCCTCAGGCAACAATGAGTGTTGTCAGTACCAAGCTATGCATGCTAGCCAATAGCAGTTCACAGATGCCTGCCGCACTGCAGCTGAACATCCAACTGCAACCCAGTGCAGGTGCAAGCGCCCACTCTGGTCGCGACGCAGTCAGGCTGAGCTGGCAATACTGTAGGCAACATGGAGACGCCAGCGATTTGATCGATACCGGCGGTCGTTGTCGACCTTGTTTACGACGTGCAATCAGCTTCACGACCCTCCGCGAGTCTCTGCAACCCTTACAATCCACGGCCTTGAGGCTCTCGGCCGCCGTATCCCAACAACCCGCTGAATGGGACACCGTCGACTCCGCCGCGAGGAATACATTGTGGGATGGATATGCGCGCTCCCGGTTGACCTTGCCGCTACGCAAGAGATGCTCGACGAAGAGTACGAGACCTGGAGCAGGAAGAGCACGACCACGATTTGTACACGCTCTGACGGGTCGGCGACCACAATATCGTCACCGTTTGCCTACCGGGGAGACTTGATAGGCAATAACCCTGCTACAGCTGCGGCCACGCAGATGCGGGCAACGTTCAGGTCGATGCGGTTCGGTCTAATGGTCGGCATTGGAGGCGGCGTGCCAAGCGCAGAGTCGAACATTACGAGAGCTACACGAGCTCTTCTCCCAATAGGCGTGCTATCACGCTCTTCAGCTGTGGACATAGCCTCCTGCTTGGCAGACTGTCATGCCCCCAAACCTGGCGCGGATTCTAAATCCGGGCTATTCAGCTCTTTAAAAGCTGGCTTCTTGAAGAAAACCATTGAGTCACCACAAGAACTTGAATATTTCAGCCCATAGACGGAGTTATTCAGCAGAGACAACATGGGCATCGACGACGTCTTGTCTTTCAACGAAGCCATATACCGGCAACGGGTCTCCCAAATGTCCGACGCTGAGCTGAAACAGCGAGAGTGGGAGAAACAATGCCGGTTCTGGACCAGCTCTGGCTCCGCAGGCGCCGGACTAGGAGCTTCAGTGGCGACGGGCGGCCTCAGCCTGATCTTCACCGCATACAGCAGCAGACAGGCTTATGTCGTAACGCGCAAGCGCTGGATCATTCAAGACGAGCTCCGCAAGCGGAATATAGTGCTGCGAAAAGCTCGCTGGCGGGACACTCCGGTTGCGATTGGTGCGACATTGCTGGGAATGAGCGCTGGGCTTGGGGTTGACGGGTTGATTGGGGACGATGCCGGAGGGCTAGTTACCGCGGATGTCACAGGTTCGCCCGATGAAACAGTCTCAGTGTATCTTGACGATTCATCCTGACGTTATTCTAGGAGCGGAAGCCGGTGCGGGCTCGGGGGCAGTGGAAAATGTGACCACTGACCAAACCGCTACGGGCCCATCTGACGCTTTCATCTCCGCAGCGACCGAAGAGGATGTGGCTGATGCGTTTGCTGCGCTAGCCGTCTCCCAAGGAGCAAGCAAGATAGCGTCCGAAGCCTTCGTGGATGTCATAGAAAGATTGGAAGACACCAACTGGCAAAATGAAGTCAGGAAAGCCCTTGGCTGTTTGCGGCTTGCTGGCTCCACCCATACAAGTATGTGGTGCAACAACTGCGGCAGCACGATTAGCAAAGGAAGATATGGGCGTAGGTCAATGCCGACAGTGTCCTAGCACTATGAAACTAACTTTGGTTTCTAGATTGCTGTGAGTGTAACGACGACTTTGACTTGTGCGCCGAATGCTGTCAAATGGCAACCAAGTGCCCGGGCTCCGATCATTCTTGGGCAATGCGTCAAGTCGCCTTGCTCGGAGACGTTTGTGCTCCAGATGCGAAGGAAATGAACCGGCGCTGGATGAAATACAGTGAGTTCTCCTGCAACAGCTGTAAGTCGACCATCACCCAGGGGAGGCTCTATAGTAAGTCCTGTCACTGCGCCTGTTTTCAATGAGACGCTAGTTAACTTGTATTAGCATGTATGGAATGCGATCAAGATCATGGTGGGTTTGATCTCTGCATCAACTGCTATTATCAGGGCGAGGGATGCCAGAAGCCGGATGACCACGCGCTGTACGCCTTCCTGTGGGCATTCATTCCGGAGAACACTGGACCTTATATGGCCACCCACGGTACAGGGAGTGTGCAATGCGATGTATGCATGAGGAAAGTTGTCCAAGGCTCTTACTATCGTAGGTTTTTCAAAACATCTGCTCATGTGTCCTTGGACACGAGCCAGGAAGACGTCCCGAACTGACATGATGATTGAAGACTGCAGCCAATGTACCGGAGACAAACTAGGGGACAAGTACGACCTTTGTCGCCCATGCTACGAGGTTGGAAACACGTGCCGTAATGCAAGGCATTTGCTCCATCGGTACTTTGCATATGGAGAATCGAAGGATCAGCCCAAAGTGTACCCTGATGGTGTTGTGAATTGCGATCCTTGTGGTGAGCAAATCAAGGATAAGTATTGCTACCGTAAGCTCAATTGCTCAGTTAGGTGCGCAAGTCACGCTAAATTGTCATTGTTAGACTGTGAGTCATGCAACGACGGCACCTACGACATCTGCTCTTCGTGCTATATGTTGGAGGTTGGATGTAAAGACCGCACACATGAATTGACGAGGCTCGCACTCGGGTCGTGAGAAGTCTCGGGACTCGCACACTCTCCTTTGGGCTCGCATCCCGCTCCTCAAGACCTCTTTCACACCAAACCGACTCCACCAGCACGGGCATTTTGCGCCATCGGATCTTCCTGGTCAAGCGTACTCTTTTCCTCACCGACTCCCGAACGATTAATCCTCCTTCTTCACGATTGCTTGCCGTTCACTGCGCCATCGCGCATATACTTCATTTGAGTGCCGCTGGCCGCCATATTGACAATATTCTTGAGGACCTTAACCAAGGGGACATATCAGCAGACAGATCGACTCCGGTGGGATATCTCACTGCCTTGCGAGTCAGGGCTGGTGGGATGGGCGGATTCGCACCTATTCATTGATGCCGTATGGAATACATGGGAAGAGAAAAGGGGAAAGGAATGATCGAGAATAGTGGCTTCCACACCTAGAGACCTTCAGCCCAGCGGGACTATCACAGAAAACTCATGCCTTAATCTCGGCTCACAGCATATGAGCTCCAGTCCGAATAGCTCGCGCCGCACAACTGGCAGTAATAACGACGTCCGGGGAGAAAATTCGCTTCCCATGTGCCCCCGCAGCTAGGACATTGATATTCGGTTCGTGTAGTGTGCGCTGCTGCCATGAGCCGAACGAGGTCAGCAGCAAAGCCGCTTGTTTCCTCAAGAACGCGCAAAAACTTGTCCTTCTTGAGTAAGGCCTCCATGTATTCGTGAGAAACGCGAGCGATTGTGTCCCGAAGTTCTTCACATTCAGAGGTGCCGTAGACGTCGGTGATGACGTGGGGAAAGTCGTCCATATCCCAGCAGATGTTCGCCGCATGGTCAAGCTTCTCTTTTGAGAGCTGTTTGAGTGCTGGGACCCCGTATTTGTCTGCAACTCTGTACACCCTCACATTGAAAACCATAGGAGATATTCGTTCCTCGCTGTTTCCGCTGCTGTCGTATTCATTCTCATACATAAAGCGGATCATTGCTTCGACCGCTCCTGAGTCGTCTTCTTTGAGCACGACCACATCGTCGCGAACTTCCTATGCATCAACCTTCAGGACAGTTCTCCGTCATCACAGAGAAGAGTTTAATCATACCTTCCAATCGCCATTGAACAAGCGATCGAAATACTCTGACTGGCCACACATAATTATCTTATGGACTCTGAAGTCACGATCGTCTACTTTGATAGTAAAGTCGGAGAACTTCGAAGAATTGAAGAAGCTTGACGACGTCAGCCTCCGTCTCTATCCTCATTGAGCTGGACCGTGTCTACCTCTTCAGACGAAGTGCCCCAACGTTTCCGCTTGACGTCTCGCGGTCTCTGATCACCATGGCGAGGTTAGCCTCTTCTCCTTTACTTGACATCTTAGAATTGTCCAATGATACTCCTTAAGTTGATTTAAGAGGGTGTGAATGTTCGTGAAAATTCAGTAAAGTCAGTACCGGAGGGAAGTACCGAAGTGAAGTAGCCACACTTCACCGCCGCAAACAAGGTAACTACCCGTGGCTGTGCGAGATAGGGTTCGAGCGGGAACATTCGAGAACATTTTGGCGAGCTGCGTCTGCTACGTTTTCATTCCAGAGTGACAAGCTGCGTAGAATGGCGCCCTATCTGTCAGCTTCACAGCACACACAGATCCAACACGTAATTGAATGGAGGTTTCACGTATCGCCAAATCGGAACTGCTGCTAACTGCACTTTTGACGTGGTCAAAGTCATCAGTCGAAACCAAGCACCTCGAAATCGTGGTGGGCGTTCCCAACCCGTCACCTCCACGATGCGAGCCTCCCTATTGGAAAACCTCCTTCGAAAGCCTGGTCTAACCCTTGAAGAGATGGTCGTATATCTATGGGACGAGTTCGAGTGACTTACCACTACGTCATCTCTTAGCAGGACTTTATATTCTGCGGGCTGGTCGAAGAAAAAAGGCTGGCGGAATAGCCAAAGAGCGTAGTGCGGATCTACGCGATTTCTATCTACACAATATTTCTCTTCTTCACTCCTATCAACTCGTATATGTGGACGAACCTGGCTGCGATAAACGGACTGGATTCAGACGGACTGGGTGGTCTCCTCTGGGCGTGACACCCGCGCAGTTTCGCCGTGGCCAGCGTTATCAGATCCTACCTCCGTACTCATAGAATGGGATCCTCCTCTCACGCGTGTTTCAGGGCACCACTGACAGCGCCATGTTTGAGGACTCTATTGAGTAGCTCCTCCATCACTGTGGAAGATATCCGAAGCCCAATTCGGTGCTGGTCATGGACAATGCATCTTTCCATGGTAGCGAGCGGATTGAGCAGATGTGTTATGCTGCGGGGTCAAGCTTCTTGTATCTACCCCCGTACTCACCAGATTTGAATCCTGTTGAAGAATTCTTTGCCGAATTAAAGGCTTTCGTCAAAAAGCACTGGAAGGTCAATGAGGAGAACCAAGGGGAAGGCATTTCGGGAGCGGCTGTATCCAAGGTCTGTGGTCCCTTTCTGGTACCTTGTATTCGTCCTCCCAGCCTCCCTACATTCCTCCTTAAGCACAGTGGTTAGGTTTGTGGCTGGACCCTATCGGTGGCTGGATGTCACACTATAGTGCCACCTGCAGAGGAATCCGCCACCTTGGCCAGTTGGTTGTACAATGCTTCAAAAATCCCATGGACTGGATCCGATCAGGCTGCGCCGTACACGCTGCCGAAGGAACGAAACCACTGCCTCCGGTCCCCACTCGGCCACATGGTCCACGGATTGGATCCGATCCATGGACTATGTCGATATCGAGGCTCGTCCGTTAACGCTCCATACGAGTCATCTCGAATGTGATCAGTAGAGCTTGTCTGGGTGACCCACAGATTGGATCCGATGAAATACCACGGCCCATCGGATCCAATCCATGGATCATCTCGATGTCGAGGCTCGTCATCGCGAGGGTGATCAGTAGAGCTTCCCTGGGTGGTCCACAGTGGATCCGATTCGTGGCCCTCGATATTGAAGATATCGACTTCTATCGAGCAGGGTAGCCCCCCGGCCACATGGCCCACGGATTGGATCCGATGACGGTGCGGCAAGGGGAAGTGCCCATGCGATCACATGACACAGCCACGTCGTGAGGTGCCATCACAGCATAGAAGAATTCAAAACACCTCAGGCTGAGGCTCCCCAGATCATGCTCTCATTGGTCGGCCTTGAGCAGTTCGAACTCTAATTGGACATTGATGTGACACATGACTGATTCATAGGTAGCCAAACCAACACAAAAACATTTTGGGTGTTCCTCTCGCTGGCCTCCTGAGAGCTTTGCCGGACTCTCTTAGAGTATGAAGTATGTCCTGGCCAAATTATCGGGCAGCTACCAACTTTATGGTGCTTGTTTTTAGCTGTGGAGAGCCGAGGAATGGCTAGCTTTGCGGGTCATGTTCAGCGGCAAGCATGTGCTAGACGCTTTGCAATGCCCTATCGCAAGCGGAATTACTTCCTTGCACTACTAGTACCAGAATTAGTAAGTGGATATTATTCTGTAGACGAGTCTAGTCCGCCGTTTGTCGACTCTGCACTAGGTAGTCAGGCCCCGGGACAGTGAGAACACAACAACAGAGAGACCTTTCCGACCCAGGGACTTTAGGTTTGACTCCACAGTCTGTCCCATATAGTATGCCAAGCATGGATTTCCCCATAGTGATTGTAGAAGAAGGGAAATGCGGGTTTGCGGTCGCCGCCAGCCTGGGAAAAAGCTCCCATCAAGTAACAGTACATCCTCAACCCTACCCGAGAGTATGCCAGAAGATCCCTCTTATATATGTCGACGCAGATCTTTGAGCGCTCATCGTTCTCCAATAAAATCGGCGCAGCAGATGTCCCTCCAAATGCTATCAGGGTCATCCGCTATTTGGGAGTGTGTGATGAAGAATCTAAAAGCTCGATGTTCCACTCTCTGTGTGTGCATTCTCCAGGTGGATCCAAAGATATTCATGGAGATGGTGAGGATACCTCCTGTTGGCAGTTGCTGGTACTCACCACGGGCAGGACGTTGGCAAGCAGCGTTGACGGGAGTCGGGCTCTCACGGCTCTAGCTCCCACTCCTGAATATGAGGAGCCGTCTGTCGACTCTTCAGGAACCTCTCGGGAGAGCGACCACCCACAGCGACCTTACTAAACACCAATTGAGCCTAGTTGTGCGAGCGTTGCCCGCACGATGGACTCCATCAACAATAGGAATCTGACGCCATAGAACAGGAGAAGCGTTGACAAGACTCAAGAAGGCGCACGAAGGTGTGGAGCGCACTCGCCAGAGGTCGCCGACAAAGAAAGTGGCCATCCGGGCTGCAGCAGCAAGATCTCAATTAGAGTTGAAGCCTTCCTCGACATGTTAACAGGAAAAGAGAGACCGAGTGCTCCGCTGACAAAGAGCAACAAGCGCATATGGGTACATCTTTGGAAGCCCAATTGAATATTCTGCACTTCTTGAGCTGTGCTTGGAAGAAGGCACGTGACAGTATGCTATGGTGAAGCAAATACTCTTTCCGATCATTTTCTTCAACTCTCCCGCTGCATGTACAATCTCTGTCCCTCTTTAATCTCAGCCTCGCCTTTCGGCATGCGATAATGCATTAGTTCCTGCGAGCGAAAGCTTCAAGTCCAGATTGGGTAATGACTAAACGGGAGACTAACCTAATCCTACCAAACCGCATATTTTCGACACACTTTTTCTCGACCAGCTACTTGAAATTTCCTGTTTCGATTATTTCATGGACACTGTCACAATCTTCAGAACGTTTTCTAATCTGCATAGACGTACACATATGCTGAATTAACGGTTTAAAGCACCATTTGCAGATTCGAACAGTATGACTTCCCTCGTCGTGCCGGGTCAGATCCTCGGAAACACATCCTCCTACCTTCCAGGTCCAGGCACGCATGTTTTCGAGAAAAATATCCACGCTTCGATAGTGGGCAAATCCATAGTCACACCTGCGGCAGGCAAGGAGGGCAAACCGACTATTTCAGTCCCACATCAAACCACCATTCCGGTCGGAGGCAAGGCCGCTAAGCCTCTCCCCAAAGTTGGCTCCATCGTCCTCTGTCGAGTAACTCGAGTACAACAACGGCAGGTGGCGGCGTCAATCTTGGTCGTCGATCCTTCACCTCAAGACGTCATTTCATACACTCAAGTCACAAACGATGACTTGCAATTCCAAGCCGTCCTGCGGAGAGAAGACATCCGAACTCACGAGAAGGATAAGATCGTCATCAATGATATGTTCCGAGTGAGAGACATAATCCGGGCCACAGTGATCAGTCTGGGGGATGAGAGAAATTATTACATCAGCACAGCCGGCAATGAGTTGGGCGTGGTGGTCGCAACAAGTGATGCCGGAAATGCTATGGTCCCGGCGAGCTGGAAAGAGATGAAAGATGTTGTCACTGGAAAAGGCGAGAGCAGAAAAGTTGCGAAGCCTTCTTGAGCCAGAACGAGATGCTTACCCGGAATATCAACAAGAGGGACATGCCCAACATCGGATTTGATACAGATTGGCTTCTCTTGGGTCCTTTGATGATGGCCCCATGCGGTACCAAACATGAGTGGAATACCGCGGGGTCAGCCTCATCACGAGCGACCAGCAACGCTGACCCGAGCAGGCATGGCCACCTGGATCCAAATCACTCCAAACGAAGATTCAATAATCACAGACGGCATGCCTTGCGCCCGGATAATTCGCGGACATCGTCGACAAACAGCCCGCGTTCCTATCTGTTCTATCAACTTTGATCGACAAATTCGGCTCACCACACACCCTTCTTCTCGGGCTCTCTATATCTAGCCGGACTGATTCACTTTGACAAAAGCTGACTTGGATACTTTCTCCGATACACATCCGTATCATACCATCCTACCGACAGCGTCAGTCGCAAGTATGAATACAATACTGTCCCATAATTCCCAACTCCATCTTCAGCTCGGAAGACGTTCCATTGCCTCTCACCAATACCCCCTTTCGCCCCTTCGCCGTCGTGTAAGCTTTCTTCACTTTCTCTATCACTCCCAAATCAAACCAATCATACCCTCTCCAGTATCCACGGTCACGACCCTTTTTCAAACAAGGCTATGTCAGACTGTGTTCGTCACGGGAGGAATATCAAGCCAAAAGCATCTCGAAGCAACCGACCCATTCACTTGGCGAGGTTTGAACTTTGGGGTTTTTCCTCCCATCATCCAGGTCTGGCATGCTGAGTAAGTTTTGTGTGTCGGAAAGAATATTTAGGGAGGAGACACTTCAAAGGCTTGTAATTAGTGCATCTCAGGCTAAAATTAAGATGGCCGTTATTTCACACCGGCTGCGCTTTTCTTCCCCTTTCGTTTCTCCTCGTTCCCCCTTCCCAGCGATCAGGAAGTCATACAACATCCTCAAAACAATAATGAAATGATCCTTCGCTATCCTTTCCCTCTTCCCATCCCCATCCATCCCATTCCCATTGACTTCCCTCACGGTTCAACCCATTTCACCGCTATAACGCCTCGCTATGCCGCTGCACATTTCGAGTAGCACATTCAGGATGCATATGCAGCGTTTCATTGCACAATCTCCGTGAAAGGGGTATATAATAATTTCAAAGTATTTCGAACAAAACCCAAATAGCCTTTTCTTTTTCATGCAGGTTCATCCCTCCACCAATGTCTGCTTGGGTCCTTTCCCAAGTAATTCCAACGATCTTTGAGCAAGGGCAATGACTTCTCCCTCACCCTCTTCACCTTCCTCGTCATCTGATTCGACATGCTTATCGGCAATTGTCTTCACCATCTGGATGATGTCTTCAGATTTGGCGACCATGCTCACAAGCTTCTTGTCGTCAGACTCCAAAAGTTGAAGCAAGGTCCAGATAGCAATGTGTTGAAAGGTGGGATCTCCGCTGGCCAAGAAACGTTTCAAATAACCATGAATACCACCGTTTGGTTCGGTCCAGTCTCGAACAAATATGGAATAGTCACCGACTTTCGACGACAGGTTGCCCAAGGCCGCGGCGCTGTTGCCCTGAACTTCAATGCTTTCCGAGTCTGTCAACGGGATAAGAACGTCAAAGACGCCCAAATTGAGGAGATGGGTTTTGAGTTCGTCACTCAGTGCGAGGACAGCAATAGCAGCAGTCATTTCGGATTGTACGCTCAGAGGAACGGAAAGGACCAATTCTTTGCATTTCTGCACCGCCCCAGCTTCCAGAACGAGTTGTTTGTTGCGATCCGAGCTTGCCGCAAGATTTCGGAGGGTGGAGATTGCATGGCATTGAATCTCCTCATTGTCCGTCGAACCGAGAAGATCGACCAAGGGTTTGAGGAAACCAGCATCGATGATCGGCGATTCGTTCAGAGGATGTATGGAAATGTTCCGGATACAGGCGACCGCCGAGAGAATCAGGGGCAAATAAGAAGACTGAAGGAGTCGGAGAAGTGGTTGTAAGCCTCGAGCTCGTACAATTTCCAGCTGATATTTTTCATCGGAGGCAAGATTTCGAAGAGCTAGGGCGGCTTGACACTGGACCTTGGGAGTACCGGAGTCCATGAGCTGCACCAATGATTGAACGAGGCGTGACTCAGTCTGGGCGAGTTTCTTTCTGTTCGATGCATCAACAGCAATATTGCTGAGAGCGGTGGTGCAGTAATATTGGACATCCATGTCAGGCGAGGAGAGAAGTTGGACGAGAACGGGGATGGCTCCAGCATTGACCAGTTGCTGTCTGTTATCATCTGATTTCTGGTCAAGAGATATACATGTTTTGCAGAGCGAAACATCTTACCAGAATGTGTCATGTTCAACAATGCGCCCGTGGCGTTCCTCTGAACTCGCATGTCCTTGGATTTGGCCAGCCTTGTCAATGGCCCTAGTGCTCCCGATCTGGCAATCTTTGCCTTGTTGTCTTCATGAGTGGCCAGGTTCGTGATGCATCCCACTGCATTGCACTGCACCTCGACATTGGGCGACATCATTTGTCGGATGAGAGGAGGCAAACCGCCGAGTTGAACAATGGCAACCTTGTTCTCGGCTACGGTCTGTCAGTGATGTTCAAAGTATTCATGTGGGGAGAACTGACTGTTGACAGCAAGATTTCCGAGCGCGGCGCTGGCTGCTCTTTGCACCTCAATGTCGGGATTTTGCAGAAGGAACAAGATAGGCTCCAGAGTGTCCCGGTCGACCTCTCTCACATCTATAAACACGGTCAGACTTGTCCGACATAGCCCATCTTTTTGATTTCGGTTGGCCCACCCCGTTCTGTAATCTCCGCGAACGTTAGACTGGCACTTCGTTGCAGGTCGACATTGTCCGAATACACAAGTGTGCTCAGAGCTCGCAGTGGCTCGCCGGTGAAGAAGTCTGTTTCTGCCCGCTGGGATCGGTTAAGCCACGACTGGGATTGTAGACGGAAAGGGGAGCGTACGTTCTCAAGGTATTGTAGAAGGTCAGCAACGGCTTCCCGCTCACTGTCTGCGAGGGCAGGCTCATAGAGGTTATCCTTAGGCCGACCTGAGAGGATTGGAGTTAGTGGGCAGGATGGACCATTCAAAGACCAATGGCACGGGCGGACCTTTGCAGCAAGAAGACAGAGAATACCCCATTTCAAGGAAGAGGGCCCCGAAGGGACAAAGTTGTGATGGAGAGTGTGGATCAACAGGATCGCGCGAAAGTTGCTATGCTGGTGTGGCAGGCGTTGGGAAAATGGAGTATTCTAACCAGGTCATCTGCCGCCGATGGCAATGGTGATGCAGAGTCGAACGACGCTGGTCAGGCTTGACGTGGACTGTGGACAAGACGAAGAAAGTTGGATGCCAGAGTGCGGATCGGTATCGTACAGCACTGACGACAAGCACAACCGCGCGCACAGCACGAGCCACGACCACGACGACCACAACCGTGACTTGCCCTCGATGACTTTGGGATGAGTAGGGCGAGAACGTGGATGTATGGTTACGAGTGGCGTGCACCGTGAGGTAGAGCAGTCGCAGGCAAGGATGTGGTGTGGAAGGCTACAAGTTACAAGTTGAGCGAGAAAGGATGCGTTCTCGACTTCTGGCCGGCCGGACCGAATGTGGATTAGGCCAACTAACTAAATGTGAGTGAGCTACTGTAGTAAAAGCTGCAGGTGAAGGCTAAGCAAGCAAAGCGATAGGCGGCTGGAGGGCACCTTTTAGGGTGGCACCGCTTAGCCGAAGAGCCCTAATAGGCGCACGTATTCGTTACTCGACGCTCGAGATTGGGTCATGTTGTTTAGGGTGCCGCCCATCAGCCGTTCGCCCGTAGTTGAAAAGAAGTACAACCTGCCAAGCTCAACATCGTCCAGTGTATTTTTTTTTTTTTTAAAAGCAGCTTTCGTTTACCCTTGTGTCACATCCTTGTAGAGGTACGGCACATCAGACCGCCTCACATCAACCCAGCACGGAGGAACGTCATAATGTGGGCTGCAGCAGATTCATCTTGCATGCCTCCTCATTGACAAACCCAGACCGAGCTCTCTTTCACATGCTCACAACGTCATCCACAAAGCATAGTAGAATCGCAAGTAATTGGGAACCAATAACAAAATGATCTGGATGTATTTGAGAGTAATGTTATTATTGTCTTTCTATCTTGTATATGTCCTTTTACCACACGCACTAGTAGGGTATCTTTTTCTTGAAAGCACAAGTTCCCTTCCCAAACACACCTGATGAATGAAAGAGACTCGTTCCATTTTTGGGACCGATAGACATCTACGCTTTGGTCTTTTCCGAGCTTTGTTTGCGGCTGAGGCTACTCTGCTGTTCTTCTCTGCCTCCATGAGGTTATAGTAGGCGGCGTATGTGGCAGGCATGGCGGATTGTTATGCGATTGATATGATTTGATGGATGGGGCAGATGGACTGATTTGGACGGTTATAAGTCGAGTCAAGTACGGCAATGCTTCTTTATTGTTCTTGGTTTATCCAAGGTGGAAAAGAAGAGACGGGACCAGGAGTTAACTGGGTAACAGATTATGTACTCCTGACTTCTCTCGGTCATCCGGTCAATTGGAATCGCATCCCACAATACGCCCTACTGCATCTGAATCTCAGGAGCATTCTCAAAATCACTGTAGAGAGATTAAGGAAAAGTGTACTCATCGTCTAAGACTCCGACAGACCTCACCAATCAGAGACGAAGCTGAGGGTGCCCTTGTGCCTCAGGGCGTATCCGGCTGTCGTTAACAGAAAGCTGTGTGTCAAGGGCGCGCGTGAACCTTCTGTTAGCGGTTCTCGTTGTGTCGTACATTCATGGCCACTCACAGGCGTGAACATTCTGCGTCAAATTTTTCGCTTAACTAACGCCTCCGACGGCAAGGTCGTGGAGACATTCTGACCAACATTGATAGTAGAAGAGAAAGACGCTTCGACGTCACGTTGGCACTTGCCTCAATTACCAAAGGCAACATCAGGACATGACCAATTGCGTACTCCGTAGATGAGCAATATTCAGTCCATCTCGCCGCGTGGCTCCAAACGCGCATGGATTTCAAAACGTATGCGTAGAAACAGAAACAATGAAACCAAATAATAACTCAATCGCAATACCAAGATACCCTCGAACTCACGGTTTTCCTGCTAAGGCTGTTTGGATCTATGGTACAAGAAACTGCTTCCTTACCGAACACCCGACTTTCGTCAGGGATAACGCTGTTGTACTTTCCCAAGACACGGAGAAAACGACTCATTAGTTGGAGAGATTTGCCGTAGGCGTTCTTCCGGTAACAGAAGTCTGGAGTCCTCAGATGGTCAGGAGCCGCCCGGCATTGACAGAGCCGGATTTCGATCATGAATACTCGCCAATTTCGCGGGGTCAATAAGACGCCCCAGACGATAGACGGATGTGGGACGAGGCCATCTTCAGATATTACTTTTTGGTTTTCATTGGGTCGAAACCGAATTGCGCCGGATCGAAGGGTCAACGGCTTCTTACCATGCTTTGCGGAAGAAAGAGGTAGGACCTGTGGGCCTCCCAAAAAGGTGTGAATACACTGAGCATAGAATACCCACCAACCAATCGTGATGAAATGTTGCACATATTACAGTGACTGTGTGTGTCGGGGTATCAGTACCTTCGCCGTTGTCTTGGATCGTCGTACCCGTCGTTATCGTGGTATCGTTTTCTCGATCCATAGTCGTCGTCTCGTCTGCCTCCGCCGTATCGATCTCGATCTCGGTCCCGGTCCCGGTCCCGGTCGTCGTAACCACGGTCTCGACCACCAAGAGGTTCTTTGTTGCCTCCAGTCCCGCCGCGATGGTCCCGGCCTCCATGGCCATTTCTCCGATCATCGTATCCTCCGCCATATCCACCTCTTCCACCTGGTCCACTGGGCGCATTTGGAGGCGGAAGGCCATTTTGATATCCTCCCTGTCGTCCACCGAAGCCGCTTCCTCCTTGATAACCAATACCGCCGCGTCCACCATAGCCGCCTCGGTCGCCGCGGAAACCACCGCGAAATCCACCTCGACCACCATAGCCTCCTCTGAATCCGCCTCCATAGCCACCCTGGGGACCTCCAAAGGTGGGTTTGGCAGGAGTTTGCTTGGTATATCCACGTCCACCAAGGCCGCCGCCGAATCTTCTTGGTCTCCAACCAGGGACCACGCGACCACGTTCAACATCGACAACGACTCTCCGATCTCTAATTCGCAAACCATCTGTTTCTTTGTAGGCGGCTGTAGAAGATAAGAGGATTAGGGTCAGTTCCATAATATCTTACCATTTTGAACGGTGATGAGGAAAAGGGGGGACAAGGGGTTGGGGTAAAGGGACTACGCGGGAAAAATTACCTCGCATATCTTTTTCTCGTTCATACACGATGAAGGCATACCCACGATGGGGTTTCTTGGGTTTGGGGGCTGTCTCGTCCTTGACGATTCTGATCCTCTCGATAGGACCAAATCTTCCGAACTCGCGTTCCAAGTCTGCCTCTTTTACATCATAGCTTAGCCGGCCAACAAATAGAGTCTTGATCGCGTCGCCCTTAATTTTGGGATCTTCATGTGGTCGGTATCCGGTGAAGCCATCCTTTTGCATCTCATCCAAGCGTGCCTTCTTCTCTAGTCGTTTTCGGTCGCGCTGTTGCAACCATGACTCTGTAGGCACGTAGACATCTGTCTGTTTGTATTCTTCGAGTTGGGGGAGGAATGCAGCTACGCCGGATAGCTGTGACTGTTTGAGAGCCTTTTCTTCGGGCGCACTGTCCTGAGGTGGGATGTATCGTAGTGGTGGCCGAGGCTGGAACAAAGCAAGGAGATTAGGAGGGAGTTTGTCCGTCATCTTGATTTGATGGCCAAACAGTTCGGAGTGGGAAGGATCCCAGCACGCATGGGCACGCGGAGGGTATCAGGAAGAGAAGAGAAATTCAAGACGTGATAAATTTACATAGTCATGGCAAAACAAGACAAAGGACGCGTTTGAAGGGCTCGATGATGTTGCGCGGACCATGCTGTCGGTTGAGCTCGCACCACATTTCTGCGCGCAGCCTTGGCAGACACCCAGATTCAGTTTAGCCTCTTTTCCCTCGTCTGCTTTTATCTCCAGGGCTGGCTCCTCAAAAACATTCCTCCCTACTCCGTATCATTTTGAATATGTGCAGGGACGTCAAAGAGCTCGTCGGCACATGACTCGTCCCCGACTATCCCCGCCCGCTCCGATTTAAATATCTCCGTTCGAGACATCTTCTCATCCCCAAAGAATTTCCACATATCCTTGAGTAATAATTCTGGCGTGTCCAAACTTGGGAAGTGCCCTCCTGTCTCATGGACGGTGCGACATTGAACATTTCCACCTCTTTGTGCCCAGTCGAGAGGCGTTCTGTACCAGATATCCTTCGGGAACTCGGAAATTGCCACTGGTTGAGTGACATAAGGGATCTTTCCGAATCCATGTATGTTGATTGCGCCATCCTGCCAAATTCAGGTCAGTTCCATTACCGAGAGATGAAATATTTATATTCCCACTCACTTTAGCACCATTCTTGTACAAACTGAATGCGGCATAAGGTCCAGGAATCCAATGCATCATGGTCCAAGTGATTAACCGCTCGGGAGTCCAGATACTTTTGTCCACCACGACCCCTACAACAGCGTCATAGATCCACATGGCCAATCCGACTGGCGAGTCGGTCATGCCGATGGCCAACTTCAGTGGTTTTTGTTGATGGATTTGGCCATATGCCCAGTGCTGCGTTGTGAACGCATCATGAAGCTCAATGATGAAATTTTCATCGTCACTCGTCTGATTGTTGCGATCTCTCTCCCGGTCGTCCTCGTTAGGGGGAATAATCCAAAAATTGGAGAGGACCGAGACCACACTCTCCGGATAATCATGCGCCTGGTATCTGAGAATGAAGTCACCGGCGTCACCTCCCTGAATCACGTACTTCTCGTAACCTAGCTTCTGCATCAACTCGTGGAAAGCGTGGCCCGATTGGCGATATCCAAAACCAGGTTTGCGTGGGGATGGTGAGAAGCCGAATCCAGGAATTGAGGGAGCGACGACGTGAAATGCCGGTAGTGAATCATCTGGCGGGTGAACAAGCGGTTCGATTATATTCTCGACTTCCAGGAACGAGCCCGGCCAACCATGGATAAAAAGGAGAGGAATTGCATCGGGGCGGTCAGACCTATGATGCACAAAGTGCAATGGGATAGGATCAGTATAATTCGTGTCAGGCCCGGTTTGCACCACGGTCGTGTATTGCTTGAACTTTTGATTTAGCTCTGCCTCGATCTTGTGCCAGTCATACTTGTTTGCCCAGAAGTCTCGAATAGTCTCCACATCGTGTCGTGGTGGGCCGTCCGCAAAGGCATCTTGATCCGACAAATCCGCATCGACCAGCCTTGTCAAGGAGGCCTTGAGTTTTGTGAATTCGATGAACTCCGGATCTACCGAGATTGTGAAGGATGTGATGGCCTCGCTGAAAGTGGCTTTGAAATTCAAGTTTCCCGGAGCCGGTGCGGTGACGTTAGAGGCTGTCGCCATGGCAGTGTGGATATGAACAAAGAATATGGAAAGGAGGACGACACCAATGTAGACGAGAAAAGTGAAGAGACAGTGCATATGTCGAGAAATATACCTGGGAAGGTGGGTACGAAAGCAGATTATTGCTCTGTTAGAGAAGTACGGATTGGGATAGAAAGAAGGATCCCTTGGGAGAAATAACGCTTGATGTAATATAAATACCCTGCCAGTATGCCATAGAATACCAAGACACAGCAGACAGAGTCAATGCCTAATACTAAGAAGGGGCCCAATAAGAGAAGGACAAGGCTGAATACCCCGAATCATCCTTGATCGCCGATTCAGAGAAATCACTCGTTCGCTTACGCGGGAAAAGGAGGATCAGGAGCTTATTAATGCCATTCGACTTGCTCTCAAATGGAAAGTATGACTGCCGCGGAGCTCGCTCCATCGCAAAATCACGAAGTAACCCCCGAAGCCATGGGGTTCCGCGCAAATCCCTCAAAACGAGTCCGAACCTTGCCATGATCGCACACTGACACTGACAAGCGTTTGATACGCAGTAGAAAAATCCGACGCTGAAGCAAAGTAACAGACAACATCTTACTGGCCATGTTACTGGTATCCTTCAAGGCCAAGTCCTCAACATGCACTACGCTAGGTGGGACCGAAAAGAAAGGAAGGAGTATCAAAGGGGATGGTTGGTGATTAGCTAGCCCGATGTTGACGCCTTTACCCTTCCCTTCTACCCGCAAGTAAGGACCCAACATTCGGTCTTCAATGCCATGACTCAAAAGGATTCATCTCGACGGCGACGCTTCAAACGTCAAGGTGACAGATGAACTGCCCTGATTCTCTTTCACGTTCTCATCGGTAGGCGCCACGCCGGAGCTCTCCTCCAAATCCTCTTATTCTTTGTTGTGTCAAACTACGAAACGAGATATCCTAACTGCTCAAAACGCCAGTCTGGTCTGCAGAGACTATTGCTCTCGCTCTCGATCCAACCTGATATTCCAACATTCGGCTTTTCATTGCAGAACTACGTTCATTACCAGTTACCTTTATCCTGTCGACGCAAGCAATCGACATCATGAATAGTCTTATATACCTCCGTTCTCGCGTCTTGTCACGAATGCAGAGCTTCTCGGATTTGTCAGCCGACAATAGAATTTCTCTTGGGCGTTACCTCATTCTTATCAATGGAATCTATCGTCTGCCATAGCCCATCATCAAATACTAACATGCTGTTCTAAGCACACGAATCGACATGATCCTGATGAGAAGTCACGTTTCCTCGTCTCCTCGAGAATGACATACCAAAGTTGATGGCCTGTCATAACTACAATGTCTTACATCGTTGGAGTAGGTTCGTGAGATACGTGTGTCCACGCCTCTGCGATGGAAAGCCTCGTGGAGCTTCCTATACGATATTTCTCGGTCACACTTCCGGCCATATGTATCGCCAGGTTGTTGATGCTTTTCTCAGGGGATACGAGAATGGGCCAGCCCTCATGTGGTCCGCAGGTCTCTGAATTTGTTCGCTAGTGCAACGACTGCAGTTTTGATAGGAAGAATATGCAGAGGGTCGGAGAAGCTCTGGCGGTTAGGAGAAAGCCCCTACACCACGTCGTCTATGAGCTATCTGTCTCCTTACCTCCACTTGCACTTGGTTTGATTATATCATACTTTACTAATGCTAGAGACTTCGATTATCCGTGCTGGCCATGACCACTTCGCACAGTTGGCAGGCACACAATCTTTTCCTGGAGACGGATCGATTCCGTGAGGAAGGTTGTCGCCATTCAGTCCGAACCCTCTCTGCAGCTGTTACGAATGCAGTTCAACATATACAAGATGGCTCAGAGCAGGAGAGAAGTTGTCACGATCTTTTCAACCGCGGGAAATGTGCGATCGACATACGTTCTCTGATTGTGGTGAAGGACAAGGGTTGCTTTCGGATCAGGGTAAAGATGTATGGCACTGTTTTGGGTGGCCGAGATCTGGAACAGATAGATCGGGTGGAGCACGCAAAATTTCGGCTGGCCGTACATCATGTATGATTCAATTGACCGTGAAGTCCCAGATGAAACCTTGAACAATTATACAACTTGAACAAAGAGGCTGGAGAAGATGATTGTTCGACGGCACTAGAAATCTCGAAGAGTCGACATAGCGGAAACCAGCTATGTGATTGGTGCTATCTCCCGACCCATGGGAAGTTCTCCTACGGTGTACCTGGCGAATGTGCGTACTACAATGGCTCATTCAACCTAGAGTCAGGACCGCACAATGTGCCACACAATGAGCGAGTCCAGGGACTTAACAGATGTTGAGTTGAAATTTAGACTGACGCAGAAGGAAGAGATGGCAAGAAATGAAATGCGCAGATGGACATGGTGCCACGGGGAAAGTTTGGTGGACTGCTTTTAATCGCTGTTCCATATCATCATAGTCATGATGTAACATTTGGGCCTTGCCATCTGCCTGCAGATGCTGCGATGCGTTTCCATGTAGACAGCAGTCCAGCCCAACCCGTAATGTCAGATGGGTGCACCTTGAGATGCATTGAGTGCTCTGTCTATCTAGCAACTAGTCCTGCCAGATTGCTGGTATGTATATATATACGTTTGGTTGACCTCTTTTCTTCTCCTATTCCTGCCCCTATATCCCAAAAAAAGGGCACTGGTTACATGTTCAACCCAGTGCACTCATTCCATTTCCTCTGAACACTGCACAAGGCTCGAGGGACCTTTTTGAAGCAAAATATATGACGGTTCAAGGCGGGGCCAAAAGCGGTGCATGGAACCGCCGTTTTGGGCGGTCCTTTCACCAGCGTCTCCGATGCGGATATGGTGGCTAATAGTGACCACTGTCCACAGTACTTTGATGCTTTACAGGCTCGTCAAATGCATCATTGCAGTATGCGGCGGACTGCAGTCTCTTAGCCCTTCGGCCAACAGGTCGAACGTTGTATTGAGATTTCGCCTAGTTCTTCCAACTTCAAGAATCGACTGCACATCTTCTGCATCCCATCTGCTGTGGGTACCATTGAGATTGTCATCATCCATGGTGCTGGAACATGCAAGAGGGGGAGAAAGGGAATGCCGCAATGGCAAAGGCTGACTGAGTAGGAGTGGAGATCGCTCTAGCGAGCTAGTCCAAACTAGGCATAGCGCGTCACGTGATAGTTCGAGATACTTTAAGTCCAATGGTTGAAAAAAGGGGTTATCACCCCTATGTAGGATTTAGGGGTAGAAACAGGAGAAGTAAAGGGGTCAACTCAACGTGTATATATACCAGCAACCTGGCAGAACCAGTTGCGAGGTAGACAGAGTATTCAATACATCTCAAATTTGTTCCCCAGTTCGACACTTTATAATGTCGTGAAATCCCTCGAGCGTGAGACCAACCCAGACAAGGTGTCCAAAGCCCCGAGCACGATCCTGAAGATTTCCACTGTTTCTTCCATGCCATCTCTTTAGCTGGTACTGCAGCGCTCTCAACCTTGGAAAACGCTAGGAAGGTGAATTAAGTGGTGTTCAAGGCTTAGCGGCATGAACGACGAGCCACAATCTTGACGGCACATCGTGTGGTGGCCCTCATGAAAAGTGCAAAGCCAGTAAGTCTGCATACTCCTCGAACAACTGGAGGAGAGATCTCAGTGTCGTGATCCCTTCCTGGGGGCAGACTTTTAGGAATTGCCTGGGCCTTGAGGGCGTCGGGGACCAACCAGATCTCGAATTCGAAAAGATTTCAAAATTAATAAGACTTCTTGGACGGTTTTGCTGCGAACAAGGGGATCGATTTCAATTGCAGGCGGTTTCGATGAGAAGATGGGAGGCACATCTTTCAGTAGCTGCCATTCCTCTGATGCATCACTGATCGACGCCATCGGCTGCTTTTCTCTCGTCAAAATCTGAGCCTTTCGGACGCGTACCGACGAGGTCCTGCACTCCTCACGGTTGAAGTAACCCAGTACCAATCGGCATTGACATACGTGGGACGTAAGGCGTCACGACATTACTCGTTTCTGAGAAATTGTGAGACCCTATATGTAGCAACATCAATATCAAATGGGTTAGTCTTTGGGCCCCCGGTTTAAAGGTATCTCCATAGGAAAGGTCACAGAATAGGCATTTGTTCACAAGACTAATCGCGGAGAATTGATTCTTGCAGGGCCTAGTGAACGACTTGAGGGTCGGGCATATCCAAGCACTTCTTTTGGTCCCAGGGCCAGTCCTCCGGGGCGTCCACAGAGCGTCGACTTTGAGAACACTTGACAAGCACATCCCATGTCAAGTCCCATTCCCAACAAAGACAATGAGGACGGCAGCGAAGGCTGCAGTGGCCACGAAAGTCTCTATCCTCTTCGCCGGTGTGACTAACACGATAACGATGCTGAATAGGAAGGTAAAGCCCACGATCGCACCTATTCTGGCGCCTTCACGCCGAATGAAGTACAATGCAAGCGAGCAGAGCGCAGGTACCATCGACGATAAGACTGTGCTGCAGGTGGTCACGGCTAAGAGTACTACCTTGTCGGAGTAGGAGTAGATTGGCATCTGCTGTCTTGCACCTGTGTATGCATCAGCAATATAGATGCGCCGCTTGTATTTGTGCCCGAGCAAGGAATGGTACCACGGGAGGAATCGAGTGTGGAGGAAGTACGTGAGAGGATCTCTGTTCTCGGTCGGCAGAGCTATCGAGGTGAGATCCTCTGCATTCTCTGCATCCCAGACAGCAGCTTCGACCCCATGGAAGCAGCTATGACCGCCTTCAAGGTCCAGGTTCCAGAAGCGGAGGTGCTTGTGATGCAAAGGGTCAACGGAGGGTAATTGGGAGACAGCGCGGTAACGAAGGAGTGCGTTGCCTTTCGTCTAGTTAGGAGGTGCTCAGAGATCAGCAGACGGGGACTGCGCACTATATCTCTCCAGTTTTGCGTCAAGTCGGTCCCAAAGAGCCTTCCGCATTGAGTTCGGAGGGGCGTCTCCGGAAATTGGGGCCTGGTCAAAAGAAAAGCTCGGGATCCATTTCTCTGTATTTCCAGGGTTTCTCTCCGCCTCCAATTGCAACCCCAACCCCTGCCTTAGGTGCGCAATTTCGGCCTGCAAAACGTTAAGTTGGAGAGCCTGTAGAGGCATGAAGCGCCGAAAGATGGCGAACTCGGGCTGACCGGCTTGCACCGATGACAGACGAGAGTAATCATCCATTTTAAAGATGGTGTTCATCATACGTTAAGATGGCCTTGATGACCCTTGCTACTGGAGGCGGCGCTGTGCCCGGAAGCCTTCGATGGCAACCACCGCAGTGAGGCATCTTGCATGTGAACCCGATGCCCAAGGTCTGCAAGGATGTCCTCCACCTAGTTAGCACGAACACCAGGTCGCAGAGTCGGCGAACGAGCCGTGCCGCGTGTCCCGAGATATGCACCTAGATAGGACAATCAAAAGCGATGGGGTGGCGGGCCCGCAGCGTTAAGTTCCAATCACATTCAGCTTACCATTTGTCAACGCAGCTCGGTCCAGAGGAGCATGGCGAGCGTGATTCTTTTATTCAGCGCGGGGGAGTTCAGGGGATAAAAACGTGAGCATTTCCCAAAAACCTGGAAAGTCTTCTTGGTCGTCCTTGTCGTCCTTTTCCTTCCTTTGAAAAGTCTTGGCAAGAATGCCTGAGCCTGCCGATTTCGATATGGCGGTGTCTGCGGGACATGGGCTCTGGTATAAAGGCCTCGCCCTTCCCCCCTTCAATCTGCGACAATGCGATCGGCTGAACAGGTCTTACGCTCAGGCTGACCGCGAGAACGGGCTACCCCGGTCAGGGAAACGATGATATGCGATATTACCTGCTTTCGTAGAGGTTTGCCAGCCAGCGGCCAGCATCCTGGGTACCGACTTCGAGGAAGTATGAAGTCTGACTTATTCGTAATGTATTGGATTCGTACCGCGCCCCTTAACCGGCTGTTGGTTCTATATCGGCGCGTCGTTGTAAAGAAGGGTCAACTGTTCCTATCCACGGCTTGCGGCGGAGGTCTGCGGTCAACTTTCGGCGCTCCGCACCACGAATTTTACAAGCAGCAAACTCCAACGTCCTGCAATGATCCCAAGCACAACAGAAAGCTTTACCTGTTCCTGGTCATGAATCTTTCGCGTTCTGCTGCTCTTGAAGCTTTCTGAAGCATCTGCTGTGTCCTTTTTGCAAGCCCTGACGCCTTTCTCCTACTTTTCAAGTCATATCGGGTACCACGCGTCTTTTCGCCTCTTCAGTCCCCCCATTCGAGCGTTCTGCGTCCTTTGAATTGCATTGACATTCGATCTGCCCTTTACCCAGCATTCGACGCCGCTCAGATACAATTGCAACGACACCGGTATTGCACGGCCATTACCACAATCATTGGCCATCTGAGTTGAAGGATCCCTTGACCCGGAAGGAGACTGCAGACAATTCAGCGCATCAAGGCCCTTCGAACGCGTTAAGACAAGGACCTGCACAATCTCAAATTAAAAGCCTCGGAGTTCAACAGCGAGAGTGGCGCGACAACCAACATACGCCGTCGAACGTAGCGACGTCCGGGGGGAACAATCAGGAAGGCAATACCTTTCAATCTCAGGCGTCCCCGAAGATCAAGACACATCTGGGTTGTATAAGGTGGTCGTTCATAGAGGCATTTCTCCCGGATCGACGACATAATGCCGGCGGAAACAGTACCACAAGAAAATTCGCAGCAAAATCGTGATGCCCGGGGCCAGTATGGGGCGCGTACAGCGACAACTGAATGTGTATCTTCAGTTTGCTTCAAGGATGAGAATGGGTACATCTCAGACATCATGGTCGAAATGAACGGGGAAACCAGATACCTGGGTCGGGCTCTGCTGGACACAGGATCTATGCCTAGCCTGATGAGCGAATCAACTGCAGTTCGGGCAGAAGCCTGGGGTCTGACTACCATCGATCGGAGTGAATCCAAAAAGGCCGAAGGAATTGAGATGCTTGAAGGGATTGTGAAGGGCGCAAAAATCAAGGTCGAGGGTAAAGTGAGTCTGAAGTTCTCCGTAGATGGTGATCATTACTACCGACATACTTTCATCGTGGTTCCAGACGAGGATAGATTTGACATATTGCTCGGTGCCAAACTCCTCGAGAGAAGCGCCTTGGTTCGGGCAAGGCAAAACTCCGCCGAGCCCGTGGCCGGTCGTTTGTAGAGGTTGCACACATAGCTTGGAATCCAAAAAGAAGAAATGAAATGGCTTGAGATTGCTGTGGCGTACTGATTTGGTCGCCTGCCGGCGTTAGCGATGCGGCTGACTTGAACATTGACCTTACGGGCGCGAATCTCTGAAAGGGTGGCCTCCGAATACAGCGCTGTTGGGATGAATCTGTTTGAGACCATGTCGCTGACCGCCCCTTCAATGCTGTTGTCGATCACCCTCTGGACTGCTGACACGCACAAGGTTGCCCGAGTGTAGGCGACCTGGTTAGGAATGAGTGCCGTCGTCTTCGGTCGTCTCAGCAATTGGGCCGCGACCACGACGCTCTGGCCAATGCCTTAACCTATATGCTGAAGAATGCCAGGCAGCCTGTCGATGGCTTTCCGAATCCCTGCAACATGAGATGGAGGGTGGTCTGCGACTGAGGCTATGGCGAGGCAACTTTACCATGGGACTGAGGTTATAAATCGAGGCCTTCTGTCCTTTTTGTGAGTCCCCCCAAAGTTAACAAAGACAGACCTTGGAGAGAAAAGCAAAGGAGACGCGGCCCCGAGGATGGCGAACAACGCTATATCAAACCCAAATCTGTGCGAGATCACAATAGAACGTAAGAACAAACTGCCAATAAAAAAGTTGGCAAAAAGAAACTGGCAAAGTGGACAACGCTGCGAAATCACCGAAGCATGTGTCCAAGATCTCGGTTTCTCCACTATTGAAAAGAACGGGGAGAAGAGGAAGTCCTTACGGCTTCGTTGGGCTCCGAAAGCTGCCGCGAGGACTCTGGAAGATGAGTTCTTCATAGTTCCCGAAGGCGACCACGAGATCGTTTTGGGCCAGGAGGCCTGCGACAATTGGCATTACGCCAACAACCCCGGAATCTATCCCTGCTTCATGAAGAAAGGTGCGTTAGGCTTCAATCTACTTCTAGCTCATTTATACTCACGGGATCAAATCTCGCTGACTGCTTATAGTATCGAGGGAAACAGTGGCGAAGAAGGAAGAGGAGAATAAGACTCGACACGCACAAGAGATAGCCGCAGAGAAGGCGAAATGGCTCGAGATTTTGCAGAAAGAGCGACCGAGTCCGTTGAGCGAAACCCCTGCGTCACACCTCTGATACAGACTGCACTGGCCCGAAGACATCCCGAACTCAAAATCGGACAGGGTGGCAGCGTTGAAGCGCTTATAGTGATTCTGACTGGTATTTGGTGCAAGGACCTGTGGCATAGGAGGCCTCATTCCGCCTATGATTGTTGATTTTAAGTAGCGCAATACTTTGCCCATTCGTTTAGGCAACTACCACGGTAGTCGATAGTCTATGCCTCCTCTGACTTGTGTGTGCGACCTGCAAAAGCTACGTCTTTAGTCAATCTCTGAGACGGCCAATAGGGCTGTCACAACATGCAGCCTGCTCAGAATCGACGATTGACAGCTCGCTTCGGGTGAAACATGGACCACCAGTATGAGGGTATCACTAGAGGACAGAGAACGATTCAACCAAGCATCCTTCGAAGAGCATCATTGTCATCAACGGTCAAACAAATAAAGCTCATGTTTTGCACGAACTAATGCACAAGGCTACATACTTACTGGTTCATTGACCCACTCAAGCTCTATTAGACGCACTGTTCACTAGTTAGTGAACATACCCCAGCACGAAAGGCTGAATCCTCATGCCATGCTGGCCGTTCACATACCTTTGCACGACTCAGGATTTGCAGATTTATGATACGCCTGGGGATACAGCATCACCAGGCCCACTTCCAAATGGATCCTGCCCGTTAGAATATATGGGTCGTCCGACATCAAACTTGATTATATCCACCAGATCTATATTGGTAGCCGCTGCGTAGTTGACCGTCTTATTCCGACACCGCTGAAACTTACTCCATAACAACAATGATGCACGCCAAAACAAGGACCAAGATGATGACGGTTGTCATCCCCGGGCTTTGGCTCCAACTCTTTGGTGACTTCTGGGAGGTCTTCTCTGCACCATCCAATCGAAATTGACGCCGGTGGACATCTCTGTTGACTTGTGGAGTAAACTAATCCTTAAATTTGTCACCGACCTTCACGGTGCAGACATCGGTGCCGCCAAATGCGCTGACTAAGAATACATATTTGACCATCTTCTTCGCCCTTGCCGCTCTAGGTAACCGCATATATGTCTCTGGTTCAGCATTTTGGTAGGTGGATCAGGTGGCTCTTGCTCTTCGTCCATCCATCTCTGTAGGCAAGAAGATGCTCGATTTACTTCTTTTGTGCTCATGTAACAAGTCTCTCGAAGACTCGTCCTGAACCGGAAAAGGGTGGTAACGCGTATCGCTCTTTGTATGATCTCACTCTCATCTTTGACGGCTTTTCTTTTGGGTTTAAGTCATCCTAACGGGCCCTTGTATGCACTCGGGCAAGTGCTTCAGCCCTGCGTAAGCGAGGGAGATGAGGACGTCGTCTGCGGTACTTTCGCGACTCGTAGAGGGAAAAGCAGGTAGAGGTCGCTCGTTGCGATCGTAGCTAATGCAGCTGCTTGGACTCCTCTGATCTTTTTGGCAGTTATCCTCAATCTTTTGAAGAGTGGCCAGCTATACTTTTCCCCTTTTTGGTCCCCAGTGGCTCATACTCCGCAGAAGTTTGATTCTCTTGATGACACGGCCGATCAACGGTCCGTTGAATGTCGTCGCAGAGATTGGGACAGAAAGCCGTAGGCTTGGGCGCCGGAATTCATAAAGGAAAAGATGGGAATAGGAGTCGAGTGAAGAGCGGGAGAACTGGAATCTGATGGAAATTTTACTCTTCAATAGGTGCCCAAGAGGGGCAAGGAGGTGAGCATGTTGGGAACCCCATCCAGGAAAACATACCGCAACCGGTACAAACAATTCCTTACCAGTGTCCCCTTGATCAAGCACGACGGTAGCTTCGACCGAAAAATTGACCTAAAACCGGGTTGGTGGTTCTAAGCTGCGCATGAGCGCAGCAGCCACCTTGGTTCTATGTAGGATGTTTCTCTTGGGCGAATGCTGTATTGGGTCTAACTGACATTACTAAGCCTGCCTTTGAGCATTTCTGAGAACGATGCTGCAGGATTTTCAGTCCACCAAAACTGGGCGAGGTGAGAATAATTGGCAGAGAAAGCAGCCAGACAGGTGGAAACCAGAGTAATCAGCCGTAATAATTTACAGTCGTGTCCCATGAAAGAGCTTGCTTTAGCCAACCACTTCAACCAATGTTCCTGCCGTAGTTTCCAGACCGTCCAATAGCCAACAAGAGTGGGAATCCCATGGGTTGTAAACGAAGGCACCGTCCTACACCTAAAGACTCTGCAAGTAAAAAATCGCCAATACAAGCCAGCAAGATCACCACCGCGCCCCACTCGTCGTAGGCCTCGAGACTCAGTAGAGCAGCTCCTAGACAGAGTTCTCGTATGGTGAAGAGGTGGAACAAGGTATGTACGGGCTTGTTAGCTGGTTGTGGAAAGCCGGCTGAGGCGTGGAGGCCGTGAGGGCTGACCAAAGAGCCGAGGAAAACCTCCAGTAGCATAACCGGGATGAACTACGCGACGAGGTATTGTAAGGGTGGCAGAGACGAGAAGGCATCGGTGGTGACTTCGCCGGGGACAAACGTGAGGTGTGATGGGACCTGTTGTTTGGGGGATCGTTAAGTTGCGACGAAACGCCACCCTTTATAGGTCCACGTCTGATATTTCAGATACCCAAGTTGCTTGACATTCCCGGTGGACCAAGACAGCTGCCTTCAGTGGTCCTTTGACAATCCTACAGTATTCTTCCTCCACCAGGTCGAGATGCAAATCCCAGTACCGATAGTGCAGCATGGAGAATTGAGTGCCAACTACGGCGCGCCGGACGATGGTCGAATTGGCTATTATCGGTGACGGTAATCTCGCTGGGTTTTTGCAAGTCTGGGAAAATAACCGAGGGAGCCCATTACGCGGATTCACCTTCATAAGGCGGCACAAGGAGACTTACTGACGCCGACATCCATATCGCCAAAGACCCTGGTCGAGGCGTGGATGGGGGGCGGGGCCAGCTGGGCCTGCACGTTGCGCGGCTAGCGAAGTCAAACGCTCCATATACAGTAGACGGATTAGGCGTATGAGAGGTCGAAACGGGTCTTCCTCGAAAGAGTAGAGGCCGTGACGATCGAAGACTGGGAGCTTAATCGAGGCGCACTCGGAGAGACAAGGCAAATTTTAAAGGGGCCGGGAGGGAGAATAGAGGGAGCCCGGATACGGGGGTGAGGATTTAGGTAACGAGGTAGATTTGAGGGACCCGGGGGGGGTGGAGGGGGGGGAATCGAGTATGGGGAAGGAAGGGAGGTATTCGGGCGGTGTCGAGGTGAAGCAGGACGGGGTGCGTCGGGGAAACAACTTGGATGGGAGGAACAGGATGAGGTTCTTATGGCCGTCAAAAGCGGCGGCGTGCCCGGCCCTGAAGCGGCAGGCCGCCTAAACCGAAGCGGACGACAGGTAGAAGTATTGGGCTTGGCGCTCTGGGCGGCGGAGTCTGGGTACGGCGGCCGCTTCTGGGCGACCCTTCTGTTTGGCTCCCCTGAAACGTCATGATGCCCAATCTGAGTCTTCCACGATAGCGCCCGCCCCAACAGGCTCTGATTGTGTACCTGAAATTGTATTTTGTCAAAAAGTTGGGACGGCTTTGTACATTTCCCTTGATCCCCCACCGGAATTTCTGCCACTGAAACACACGAAGAGTTCACAGAGCAAGCTCTAACGGAACACCATGGATCCCTCATCCTATGACAATGACGAGTTATGGCCTCGTCGCCAGCCTGAGCCCATTATCGTTCCGTCATCTCGACCTCTTCGGGAGAGAGAAATCATCGTCGTACCTTCTCGACGCCGGGTCCGATCGCCGTCTAGACCATACAGCGTCAACATCGACGACAGCAGACATGCTGGGTCCTACTGGTCGCGAAGTTCTACACCTGTCATCAGCCAGCCCCAGAGGGTCCCGCTGCATAGGACCTCCTCCATATCGTCTAATGCCTCCATCATCGACAGCGATCGCCCCCTCGTTCGGCCGTCGCCTCTCATTCTCGACCCTGGCATGCCACCGCCCCGTCGACCTGTCACCGTGCGATCTCCTTCTCCCGAGCGCCCTCTCTCCCCAAATGCACCGTTAATTCCGATGCCCCCTCCCATTCCTTCCGAATACCGTTACGACATCCCAACCTCGCCGATACGGCGGAGAAGTCGTTCAAGAAGCAGAAGAACCCGCCATTTCTTTGACTCGGACTCGGAGGACGACGACGTATACCACCCCCGGTATCGCGATCGCAACCATGAACGCGAGCTCCCAAGGCCTCGGCGCCGGTCGACAAGGGGATCGGATACCTGGAACCTGTCACCTTCACCGAGTAGGGAAGAGAGGTTGCGGGCGCAAGAGGAGCGGGAATTGAGGGAAAGAGAGATGCTTGACAGAGCAAAGATGGAACGGATGAAACGGCTGACGGAAGATAGAGAGATAATGAAATATGAAAGGGAGAAAGAAGAGTATCGAGAAATAGCGGCAAAGGCAAGGACGGAAAGGGTGACACGTGAGATGGAGAAGATCCAAGAGAGACTGAGACAGGTGGAAACGCAAATGGCCGAGGCACTCGCAAAGCATTCGGAGGGCGAAGGTGCAAAAAGTCAGGACTCCCAGACGGGGGCAGGAGAAGCCGAATCTAAAGCCGATCAACATATGCTCCGGGAGAGTCTCGAACGGCTCAAGCGGGACATGGAGCGCCTTCAGGAAGAGCGACGAAGCCAGGCTAACGATCTGGAAGAAAAACGAATTCGAGAGCAACTGGTGGAGAGGCAATTGCGGCGGGAACGCGAATTGGATGACATCATAGAAAAACAGAGATTGGAAGAAATACTCGGTCTGAGGGAAGCAGCGCGCAAAAATACAGAAGAGAATATGATAAAGCAAAGGATAGAGGCAGAGGAAGCGCGCAAAAGGGCCGAAGAGAATATAATAAAGCAAAGAATAGAGGCAGAGGAAGAGCGCAAAAAGGCCGTCGAGTTGTTCGAACAGTCAGTGAAAACGAAGTTTCTTGCCGCTGGCTACTCTGAGGAAGATGCCGACCGGATTCTTTCCGGGAAAAGAGCTACAAAGTCAAGACAACTGTCGTCATCGGCGGAGCCGAGTGAAGAGAGCAAGAAACCCATATTTATCAAAGTTAATCAGAAGTATCTTCTGCCGGAGACACTGGACACATTCGACTTGCCTTGGGAATTCGATTCGGTGAGTCCATTGGACCCTACTCGTGGGGCCGTATCACTAACAAAATCGATCCAGAGGGATAAGGACTACATCATCATCAAAAAATGGATCGATAAAGACGTTCAAGATGAATTATTTCAACACACCAAGATGCTCAAGAGGAAAAAGGCAACTGAGACCGCCACAGAAGTCGCGGGGAAAAAAGGCGAGGAGACTCTGTACATCGTTCGAGAATCGTCGCCTGCAAGAAGATATCGTGCAGACCACGCAGATCGTGCAGACCGTGCAGGTCGTTCAAGGAGCTACTTTCGTTGAACACCCTCTGATTCTGGTGGCTTGAGTGGACATCGATTTCTCTTCCCGAGGTTCTGGCTCCTCTATCACGATGTTCAAGAACGCTCCCCGAAGGATGAGGGCGGATTTTACGGATCCACTAACCTAGGTGTATTCCTATACACCATCGTTCTGAATTTCGAGGCACATGATCATCGCATTTTCAAAGCTCGATAAATCGGGCACGATGTTCCATCATTGACTTGGGGTCTGTCAGAGGTCAAGAGTGTTTTGGGGTGAGAACAACATAGCCACTATTTCTAGTAGAGGCGCCGAAGAGCCACCATTTTGGTCTTCCTCGTACCGCTGCTCTCCATGAGTATATTTGCTGTATGATCTTCGCTTTCTCTCCACGTACGAATTTGAGAACAAGGTCAGAATTGACCAATCAGAGTGAGCATTCAGTTTCCGTTCCGGAGAGGGACGAACTCCGGGTCCCTATAATGCTTGTCATACGACCGTACGAGTGGACAAGCACTTGATCATTAGCACAGAAAACAAAGAGAGCACGCTTCTTGATGTCAACAATGGTCCTCGACTGGTCTCGCCAATAAATTGGCGTGCTATTCGCACAGTCACGTGCCAATGTCCGGATGGTGTGCAACAACCCTTGTCGAGCTAACCCTGCAAGTCGAGTTCTAGCACCATTTCTGTCATGGCTCAGCCTCAGCGTTTAAAAGAGGCTCTTCTCGACGCAATATCGCTAATCTGACGACATTTTCTCCAGTCGCAAAGTGTCGCATCCAATATTCAGCATGCGGATGGCCGGTTTGGAATGGCCTTCTTCACGGGCAGAGCAAATAGACAGGATTCCTACGCGACGGGCAACGCCCAATTCGAGACTGAAGTGCCAGGACGCACCGCGACTGGAAAACGGACTCGAATACAGTTAAGAAATCCCCGCAAGCTCCGCGACGAGGAACAGGGTACTACAGCTCCACCAAATGGCAAAATCCCGTCACGGCCATCGATTCCCCCAAAGTATATCGCCAAACATGAACTATTTGTCCTTGATATCGCCCAAACGAGATCGGGATATCGCCCATACGAGGCAGAGAGAGAAAGGCAAGAAACCGTGATCTTAACGCGCCGAAAACCGGAAGCCCAGGACCATGGCTACGACTCTGCGATTGAGATTCGGTGGGTTCACCTGCAGGCGAAGTCTAACACGATGTCCTTCGAAGACTTCCAGAAAGCCGCTGCAGACGTTCAAGGACTGCAAGACGATGAAATTGCTCTCGCCTTGAAAATGTTGAAAAACGTTCAGTCAAGCAACGAGAAATTCTTCGTCCACGGCGAATACGGCAAATATCTGATCCCCACTGCCCACCGATACGATGGTGAAGATCCCGATCTGCGCGGAGATGAAATTCCGAAATATGCCATCTTTTTCTCACTTCCATATTTCGATCTCAGACCATTGCAGGGGCTGGATTCGGTGGGCAGGAATGAGTCCATTTATCCCATCAGGACGTTGTTGCAGTCTCATCACCGTCTGGCATCGACGATTGAACGCGACCGGAAACAGGCTGTCTTGAAACTGACCAGCTCCAAAGCCGTGAAGACAGACAAGGTCATTTATCTGCCGGAACTTTGGTGCGTGATCATTAATCAGAAGACCATCGTCACGTATGCGCCAGAGCCTCTAGAAGGCATTGATGGCCTCTTTGGGAAGACGGTATCAGCAGTAGAATCCTCCAAGGGACCGCCGGTAGTGCGGTATGAGACCCTGAAAGGAGAAAAACGCCATTTTCCGATCGCACAATGCAAGACTTGGGTTCAACTTTGTCAGACCATCAAGCTTCACGAGGACATTATCGATTTTGATCTGGAGACAAGAAACGGCGAAATCATCACTGAAACCAATTGGGTGCAGATTACCGAGAAGTATCAGAACATTGATGTTCGGATCCGACAACAGGATTCCGAATCCGACTCTGGACTTTCGAGCCATGATGATTCGAGCTCAGAGACGGACACTCAGTATGTGATTATCGCCCCAGACGATGCCAGTCGTCCCTCGTCGCCAGCGCCATCGGATCCTCACCCAGATATCGTGGAAATTGTTCCGGATGAGTCCTCTGACGGCGATGACTCGGACGCAGAGCTGAAACGCATTTTCGAAGCCAAAAGGGCGAGATTACGCGACCTTGAAGGTCACCTATATGAGGAGTCGTTCTCATCTGATCAAATAGCCGAGATTCTGAAAAATCGTGCCGAAGAATCAGCGGCAGAGGTTATCTCGGCCGTCAGGCGACCACGGAGGGCCGAGACAATAGGTCTCGCCCCTACCAACACGCAGCGCCAAAGCTTCGAACGACGATCGGCATCCCTCCAGGATAACCCTCTGGCCACAGATCCGAATGCGGGTAACGGCCCCGCCCAGCCCGATCCTCCATCAGATCCTCAACCCGACCTTCCAGCAAATCCTCAACTCGAGACTCTGTCCACGCCCCCAACCCAAGCTGCTCCCTCCACTCTAAAGAGCCAGCCTCAACCGGAGGTTGTCGTGGACAATTCACCCGTGTCGCCAGGCGGCAGCGATCCTACCCCGAAACAGAGACACAAAGAACGTCGACCCTACTATGGTAGGAGAGTAAGATCACCCTTTCGATTTCGTGGTAGTCGGAGCCGGAGCCGGAGCCGGAGCCGGAGCCGGCGGCGCGGAGATGGCAGTACGGAGAGCCGACACAGGGAACATATCAGAGGTCAGGACAGCCAAACAGCACGCCGCCTATCGGCTACATCTCCTCAGGACCCATTGTTGTCACCGCTGGGGAACGAAGCGGGGGCTATACCGCCAGAACGAATCATTCGAAGAGAACGGCGAAGGTATCACCGTCAGTCGAGTTCGAGGCCTCAACATCCACGTCATAAGAGGAGGAACCCATCGCACGATTGGCAGAAACGTCACGACACCTCTGGCACTCCGATGACTCTGTCTAACCCAATTTTCACGTGGCCTACCAGTCATCCGTCGGCACGAGCAAGTGTCGTCGCCGAAGATGGGGCGATCGCTGAAGGTCCAGCTGTCGTACCACCTCCAGATCCCAGCGTGGCGAGTAATAATAGAACCAAGCCGCCGCCCCAGAGTCGAAGCGAGGGATCATCTACATTGGGTGCATATCAAGAGCGGCCCCACGATGAGGCCACTTTGGAGAATATTCTTCGAGATACCCAAAAACAGCTAGAACAGTCAGAAAGTGCAAGAGATGGGGACTTTTATGCCCGCATTGCTGAGCAACCACTCACGTTTGTTGAGGAGAAAATCGAAGAGCTTCGAAAGGCGGCCGCTGGGGCTAATCAAGGCAATCAGGCTAATGCGTCAACCGAAAAACTCAAGGCGACCCTACCCCAGAAGGAACAAATCTTGCTAGTGGCGAAAAAGCTGCTCAACACGTTTACGCCGATAGATTACCCCTCGCCAGTCGTGAGGAAATATTGGGGTGCTGTCAGCTTACTGATAATCGATCTCGTAAGTCGCCTTGTCTTTGGAGATGGGAGCGATGAAACAGAGAAACTAATGCTGAGCAACAGCCCCACTTGTGGCCGGTGAAATATCAATTGGTTAGATCCCGACTCTTCCGGCCGGTGTCCTTGTTCTACTCACATTTTGTAGCACTCGGGCAATACAGTTATCGAATCATCGGCGCTGGAGTTCATTGTGAAAGAAAGCACCGAATTCCTCCGAACGATCGAGTACATCGTCAGAGGAATCCCCCCTGACCATTACCGAATACCGCCCGCCCTGATGCAGGCCTTTACGCATCTTATCATGTTCTATGTCTATCATGGACTTGCTATGGCCACGGCTGATCGACGCGAGAGCGAATATCTTTATATCGAGGGAGACAAGTGTACCGACAGATGCAAGGCGTTGCTGAATGATGGTCTACGTCAGCTGATCGTTCTTCTGCATACGGAAGACGACGGTGTACGGGTCAGTTATGAAGCCCTTGAATCAGAGACCATTGTCTCCTTTGTCATGGAGAATCTCCTGGAGAGACCTCTGAAGCTTGAACCGAACGAAGTGGACATCACCGAGGTCTACAGTGAGTACATATCGAAGCTGGCAAGTTCTCTTCATCATCCATGCACCGGCGCCGCCATCGCTGTGGCTGCTTTCTGCTACCGCTTCTAATACGTCTGCAGGACCTTGAAGTACAGCAATATCCTGGTGTCAAAGTGTTCGGCCAAATCCGCCTGCTCAGCGAGGAGCTCGAGATTATCGAGAAGATCTTGGCCAAGCAATATCAGATCGTTATGGACTTTGCGCAACTCACCGATGAGAGCATGTTCACCGCCGATCATCGGTACCGGATCCCCGAGTCGGAGTCTTACTCCGGAAAGCTTCGCAAAAGGGTCCTCGGCAGGACGATCAATTCTCTGATCGAAAAACTGGAAGATATTCACGAACTGAAGGACCGGGCCGCATATATGCAGTGGTCTGCGCGTCAGTCCATCTCCATTCGGACCGAATCCAACGAGAAAGCCATCCTGGTCTTCACCGTCGTCACCGTCATCTTCCTTCCGCTATCCTTCGTGACGGGATATCTGGGTATGAACGTCGAGGACATCCGTGATACAAGTCGCCGGCAGTCGCTTTTCTGGGCAATCGCCCTGCCTATTACTACGGTCATCGGGCTAGCCATCGCCGTCTTGGTGGTTGGACCTACCAGTTCGGGATGGCGACGGAGGAAGGCTGCCGAAAAGATGGACTGATTCAATAAAGGGAAAAGTTTTTATTTGTATGGGGCTATGAGAGATGACTGGAACTATCTTGACGCATATACATTCTTAAGTATATATCTCGGCCACATTATACCGGAGCAAGGCATTAGAGCCGGCGCTGCATATTTAGCATGAGTGGTGTATGGGAGTTGGGACATACATCGCTGAGAAGCATAATGTGTATAGTCTGTGTGTGTCTCCATTTTGACGGGGCGAGAGCTGGTGGCCGAAAGTGATCATGCTCCGGCAATGTCGCTCTCGAAAGACGGGACTGCTTTGGATTCGAGCGTTCATGCAACTGAGTCACCGGGTTGTGTGATACAGCCATCAAGGGGCAGCGAAATCCAATTGGTAAGTGAGATCATCGGCAGTCTGGTAAAGATGAGTGTGACGTAGGGCGAAGGTGGCTAGGTAGAAAAGCGCCCTTTGTCCGCGAAAAATTAGAAGAGGAACGCCAGAGGGCCATTTTGAGGAAGCTTTCGCCATTTTGACTGCGTGTCTGAGGGACAGGGGTCTCAATCTCGCTGTCGGATGAATCGCTGAAGGATGGGTATGATACGAACAGAGCGTTCTGAATACTAATCGGGTATCCGCCCGTTCCTGGCGAGAAATCAGTCCAGTTTTCGGATATGTCGCTCACAGGAGATAGAGACTCTCGAGCTCTCTTGAAATCGTCATCATCGAAGCTGAAATGGCAGAGTTCTGGTGTTGAGAAGCGAGAATTTTGAAGAGCTTCCATGAGTGTCATGAACTACGACCACGCGAGACCAAAAAAACTGTCAATGATTCACAGAGGAGGAAATACTGAATATCATACAGAGAAGCTCAAAATGCACGATACTTGTCTGGTAGGAAAAAAGGGAATCAAATGTGTTTCTTGCTTCGCAACTCCTACCACGGAAGGGGGTTAAATGGATCAGCGCTCCACAGATACACCACTTCCTGGTGTTTTCCCGCCGTCGCCAGGTCAACAGCGGCAAGCTTTGTTAGTGCCGTGTACAGAATAACATTGAGTGTACGAGATAAGGCGAAGGAAAGATAGTGGTGTACCGAATAAGTAGAGTGGAGGCATAGTGTAGAGAATAGGCAGGTTTTCCGGTGTACAGAATAACACCCACCTGAGAGTTTATTTCTGTTCGTTCCACGCGTATTCGTATTTTCCATCAAATTGACCCCCTCATTGATCAAACCACTCGTTGACCTGAGATGGAAACAGCCTTGTGGCCGCCTTGCTGCCCAGGCTACCTCGAATTTGGCTCTGCCGGGTTATCCAGCGTAGGAGCTGCATGCCAATCAGGCTTTGTTCTATTTGTGCCCGCACAATATTCCTAGTCGGAACTAGACTTCAGCTCAACTGCTTTCCCGTGTGGATGACCGTGTTTTTGAGAGACGAGAAATCAGGTACAGAAATCCACTGGCCTTCCAACGACTATGAGTTATTTTGAGGATCCCAAGGGGACTTCTGTGAATCCATGCCATCATGCAACTGAAGAGCGGGTACAGCACCCTGCTGTCCCTGGTATATAAATTTCTGGCCATGTTCCATCTTTCTGGCAAGTGAATAGTTCCATCCAAGAGAGTGAATCTGCCATGAGATCTATGATGGTCGTCAAGTTCTCGGTCACGGCCTTCTACTCGGCCTTGTTGCTCTCAGGAATTGTTCAAGCTGGTCCTCCACCATACTGCAAACCCATCCCAGGTTCTTCCGATTGGCCATCACAGGCAGAATGGCAAGCATTGAACACGTCCATTTCAGGTCGTCTCATCAAACCCGTTCCGCCAGGCCAAGTGTGCCAGGCCAACAGCTCGTCATATAGCGTCGTGGCGTGCGAAACGGTGATTTCACAATGGTCCAACTCATCATGGCATGCGCAAGATCCCTTCACCGCAGACTACAATGATGATGCTTGCCTACCGAACGCCCAAGCGCCTTGTACGGCTGCATTGTATCCCGCTTATGTCATCAATGCCACAAATGTCACTCATGTTCAAGCTGGAGTCAAATTTGCCAAAAGGACAGGCGTGAGACTTATAGTCAAGGGAACGGGACATGATATTCCTGGACGGTAATGGCGACACTATTATGATTGAAGATTCTTCACATTGACAGGGAACCAGGTCATCCGGCCCCAACTCGCTCTCCATTTACACGCACAATATCCGAGGCATTGATGTGAGCATTGGAGATGCCCGCGCTAGAAAGTACGGGGGTGTCGCTGCCGTCAAAATCGGAGCGGGAATGCGTATGGGAGAGATCTACATGGTGGCCGCCCAACACAACCTTACGATCGTTGGTGGAGGTGACAACGACGTCGGCATAGGTGGCTGGATCACAGCTGCTGGACATAGTCCCCTCAGCAGCAAGTACGGTCTGGGAGCTGATCAAGTACTTGAGATGGAGGTGGTGACGGCGAATGGCACGCATTTGACCATCAATGAGAATTCTTACCCCGGGTTGTTCTGGGCCATGCGAGGCGTAAGTACATGTACTTTCCGTTTTCGTCATGATTTTCTCAACCAGCCGACTCTGACATTGCTTTCCAGGGCGGCGGCTCCACGTTCGCAGTCATGATCTCGGTCACTGTTCGAGCGTATCCAAGTGTGGGAATGACCGCATACACATTCAGCTATAACACGACCGGTAACACGGATACCTTCTGGTCTCTGGTAACCTATTTCCACAGCCAACTCCCCGCCATCAACGACAAAGGGGTCATGGGTTACTATTGGATAATCCCAGATGCTGGTGTATCAGATCCCAATCCAGCGACTCGAGGCCAAATCTTCGGCGCATGGTTTGTTCCCGAGAAGTCTCCCGAGGAAGCAACCAAGATCATTTCTCCCATGGAGCAGACCATTCGCAACAACACCCGGAACTGGGAGGATCCCGTTTCCGTTACTAACTCGTCCTATGAGTTTCCGGACTTCTCATCTGCGTGGTCCCTATCCACGCCAGAGTCCGTGGGGCCAGAGCTGCGCCTTGGATCTCGCCTATTAACTCGACAGGCGCTTGAGGGCGATCCTCAACGACTCAAGAAGTTGTGGAAGCAGACGACGACCATTCCCCAGAATATTATATTAGGCCACATGGTTGCTGGCCCCGGTGTCAAGAATGTGAAGATTCCGGGGGGAGGAAATTCGGTCCTCCCAGCCTGGCGTGATGCGTATGTCCATCTTGGTAAGCTGTTCCGTGGCCCCTTTCCTGATGATCCTGATGAAATCTCAAGACTCCGTGTCCTGACCGATTGCACAGCCATTCCCCGAACCTGGCCTTATCTGAACGACACAGCAAAACTGGCCACGACCAAATTGCTGCGCAACGTTGAGGTCGAGGCTCTCCGAGAAATGGCGCCCCACTCGGGTGCCTATATCAATGAAGCCGATCCCACCGAGCCGAACTGGAAAAAGACATTCTGGGGCTCAAATTACCCTCGTTTGCTGGAGTTGAAGAATTACTGGGACCCAGATGGTGTATTCTGGTGCATTCCTTGTGTGGGCCATGATCAGTGGACATTTATTGGCAACGAAGGTATTGAGGGCGGGATCGGTCAGTCACTTGGTCGCATCTGTAAGACTCAGTGACGACTAAATTGGCAAGGACGCATGTGTGTGTGTGTGTGAGGATTCCGTATGAGATGAAGGTTTTGTCTCGATTACATGTCGAATTTCACAATAGCATTAACAATTACGTGGTGATGAACATACAAGTTTTTGGTATCGAATATGCACTCAAACTTCAAATGACTTGAAATATCCGAAATTTTGTCATTTCAAACACACCCTATACCAACCTCGGACTAGCAGGCAGACCTCGCCGACCTGACGATTTTACCAAAAGCCAAAACCTCCAAAGCTTCATCTTTCTGTATTGGCCGTAGCACATCTCGCGCAGCATTTCTATGCAGCATCCCAGCATGGTCGTGCAAGGGATCAAAACCGTCTCCGCCGCACGGGTAAGAAAACATCTCTTTTCACCTCGCAAGCACATTGGCAACCCAAACCGAGTCTCGTCTCCCACCATCCATTTTTTGAAACGATTTCAACCCTTTCTCTCATCATTCCCCCCGATCACATTGAAGCTTTTAACACCTCAACCGTTGCCATGTACTCACCTGTATATCTCGATATATCTAGAACGGTATCGGCGCCTTCATCCTCCAATGCAAACGACTCGACTTCCACTACTGCGACTGGTCCGGCTCGTCACGAGGGATGTCGGAGTTTCTTCGCTCACCGCTTCTCTCGCAGTTCACCTCAAAATACCCCAGCACCGAATTCCGTATCTCCCCGCGTCCCAATAAACATCCCATACTCAAAGCGTATTTCATCAACGGACGAGTGAAAGCCATATGCGTGCGGAATTTGGAGAAAGAACAGATACTGAAAAAAGTCGAGTTTTTGATTACGAACTCAGGCAAGAAGAACGAGTTGATTCGCGGCAAGAATGTGATTAGTACGAATGAGAATGTGAGAGGGATTTGGAGTCCAATGCATGGTGGGATTAAGAATATATGAACACCATGAGCTTGGGTTTGAATTTGAGTCCGTCAGCACTACCATCACGTGTGCCTTTCGCGAAGGAAGAGGATGGTGAGATTGAGATCCGAGGCTCAGCCAAGTCGAGTCGCGTGAAGGAGGACAACAAGGAAACCAACTACGACTGGTGTGGATATTGTTCAGTGAAAACGCCTCTGCTCCCGTTTCCAGAATGTCCTGATAGGCGAGGGCGACGGGGGGCTGTTCATGGGCACGATTGAAGTGCTGCGACGAGGAACGCCATCAAGGTGAAATGTGGTCGCCTCGCAAGAGCAAGGAGACAGACGCAGCAGCAGGAGGCTGTCACCACACAATCAAGAAAGAGACCCGAAAGAAAAGATGTGGGAAAAGAGCTTGACCACCATCAAGCAAGCCATAATGGAATTCATGTGGCCGGATGTAAAAATATCACCAAACCTCGAAAGCCTCGATATTCAATGTACAACCAATCAAAGGATTTGAAGCGCCATGAGACTTCACCCATCATTATCCACCATCTATCGTGAATCATGACATCGGCAAACCCGAGCCGATTCCATTCGGGCTGGCTTTCGCGTCTATATATTCATGGGATTCCATGCGGTGACAATTCTGCATTCCGGCTTCCTTGAGCCTCCATCGACCAGACCCCATCTTCGACCTTCCCTCATCATAAGTAGATGGGGAACATGGCAGTCTTGCCCGTAACCCTGACGTTGCAGTCATCGACTTTGCATATTTTGAATGGCTCTGGCTTCGGTAATATTGACTTCTTGTTCTTTTTGGGAGCTTTAGTGTATCGGGTCGCCGCGCACTCTCCGCAGTAAACCTGTATTCACGTTAACACGCATTTCCTCCCCCAAATGGATGAAAGACGGCATAGGCATACATGTCCACACTGCTTGACAACCCAGACCTGTTGCTTCAAATCACCTTTTCCGGTGGCCAATTCCTCGTGGCACATGGGACACAGAACTACATCTTCCTCGGCAAACGTTCGGGTAAATCCTTCTTGGGCAGCCGGAGGGCCTTTGTAGGTCTCTTGGACGACTTGTGGTGTTTCGGAACTTCGATCAAACAAATTGAGCCCCCCCAGCGCAAACGCAGGCTGCCGGTAATCTAAATTGATGACGATATTGCCCCCGGCTTCGTTCTCTGGAACCTCGCCCTCCGGCCGATTGTCATTCCCCCGCGGTCGAATACCATCTAATCGATCTAGAATGACGTCGTTGTACGCATTCTGCATGTTCCCAAGCATGAATTGTGTGCCTCGTCTCAAAAAGTCGGGGAAATACCCGAATGGTCCTCTTTCTAATCGGGGTAGGCCAGGGGAGACGTGGCGAGTTTGAGGCCTAGGTGGTTGAAGTAGACGGTTGCCTGGAGGAGCAGGTCTCTCGTCAAGAATTTCGACGTCGGGCGTGGTGGAGACCGTGGTGGTATCATCGTCAGACATTTCGGTATCCACATATTCTTCGATCTGGAAATCGGAATCGTCCGATAAATCAATCACTTCATGTATCTCTTGCTGTGATCTTCGGACAAACGGCGGTGCACGACGATTCCTCTCTTGCCCTGGCTGGGGTCTCGTATGTCGTCGGCGTACACGTAGGTGAAGGCTTTCTACGGAGGAGGAGGAAGAAGAAGAGTCGCTATCGACCGTCAGGTCAATAGTGGTATGGCCATCATGTCTCTGGGGTGGACGATTGTTTCTTGACGACATGGTGGGTCGTCGAGAGTCGTAGCCGTTTCGTTCTGTGCCCGTCGCTGGAGGTTCTGGTGTAAGAAATTCTGAGGAGACGCTCGAGGACGTTGGTGTCGCAGAAGGGCTGATACGGCGTCGCTTGGAGGGTAAATCGGGACTGACGCTCCGACTTTGGGACCGGGTAATGTCAGCGTGGGATCTCTGTGAAGTTGCCGTCAGCAGATGAATTCAAGTTATCCGTGAGGTGAGTTGGCAGCCGAATATGAGAGCGCACCTTTCGGCTGGAAGAAGCGGCCGAGTTCAGAAAGCTGCTGAGGGAGAGAGTCGGGCCGGGAGGAGGCATATTATTGATGCCGACAACGGTAGCAAAGAAGATGTGAAGAAATATTTCATAAGAGAGAGCACCCTTTTGAAGGGTCGTAGGATGCAATGGTTGAAGGGAAGCAGGACAGTTGTGGTGGTGGTTTGAGATGAGGGTGAGGATCTGATGCGGATGTGGACCGGGTTGGGCCACACAACAGCCATCCAGGCAAAATCAAAGTCCCATGTCGGAGGCAATCCAACGCCACCAAACTTAGTCCCGCCAAACCAATGCCGCACTTCTGCCAACAAAGCGACAGCAACAAGAATGTCACGCAGAGGATGAGCAGAGAGGCTGGAAAAGAATGCACGATTCTGTTTCTTTGTGGGCAGTCCATCTTATTGTACAGAGCAGATATATTCCTTCATGCCTGCTAGACCCTACTCAAGTTGGTAATCACTCCTCCTTCATCAATCGCGACCAGGTTATGCGCTCCTTTGCCCCATGCGATTCTCGTCGCGGGAGTCGCACTCTTGAGGATCTCAGACCACTCCTTGGACGCCTTTGAATAATACTCCACAGAAATTCCACCTACCCCGGCTGCTGCCAGAAACTGACCAGTATAATCCCAGGTAATGCTGTTGATTTGACTGCCAGTCTCGATGCTCCTGATCTCGGCGGCTTTCCTTAGATCCCAAATGGAGATCGAAGATGATCCTGCCGTCACTCCCGAGAGCCATGTACCATTTTCCGAGAAGAAAATGCATTTCACCGGCGCTTGGAGGTCGAAGGTTGCTGCTTCAGTGCCTGATTTCACATCGAAGATCTTGATTTGTCCATCAGCGCCACCGGCGGCCAGTAAATGACCGTCAGGATGGAATTGTGCACAAGTGAGAGCTATCGTCAGTCAGTAGGCAACCCTTTGCCCTGGGGGGGAATAGGAGACAAGCACACCTGAATTACTTTGGACTTGGGTAAGCACTTGGTTGGACTCGAGGTCGTAGAGAACATAGGACTTGTCTTGTCCGACCGAAGCCAGAATACTACCGCTCGGGTGTAGCGCAACTGCACTGACACTGCCAGCGTGGACCGAGAACGAGGCAATGTCTTGATCGGCATCGAAAACTTTGATCGATCCATCCGATGTCGCAATAACGGTATGATCCTGAGCCCAGAGTCCGCCAGTCACGGAGGCCTTGCCGGCCTTGAGAGATCGCAATGGCCTATTTTGTGACATCGAAAACACTCCGGCCGCCCCATCAGCACCCGCAACAAGTGCCAAATCGCCAGTGTCGTGCAAAGATAGCACTGTACCGCCTGGATACAATGGTTCCGATGCTGAAGACGACGTGTAACTTGATATTTCATCTGCTGTCGCCCATTCTTCCGGTACCGGTCGCTTCCGTCGGGTTTTCGACAAACTAGCGGACCACGTCAGTCAAACAGATACCACATTGAGAGTCCTCATACCTTTGTTGTATGTTGTCAATCTTTTCCACAACATGCTCTGGCAATGGCACGCCGTCTATTTGCATGGCATCCCCATTCGTATTCGCAGGACCTCTACCAACGTTAATCTTTGCCAGAGCAGCTCGTGCCTCATCTCTCTCTTTTGTGACTTGGGCGATAACTCGCACGGCGGCATCGTTCTCGTACAGTGCTATGCTCAGCTCTTGCCGAGTTTGATGTAAATTTTGTTGCAACGTGTAGGTCTGAAGAGCCAACGCGTCCCACTCGTTCTGGAAGAATGATAGCATCGCGGGTATGGACGTCATTTGTGGCGGCCGAGGGTAGACTCTATGAGGGGTTTTCAAGTCGATCAAGTCTTCCACAGAGAGGGCTTCCCCCGTCGTCGGCTCCGTGCCATTTTCACGGACGTATGCTTCGATAAGGCGTTTTTCGTAGATGTTTCCTGAAGACTATCAGACCGGGAAGAAGAAATCTTAGAATCTAGCTCACTCACCACTCTTGCGCGACGCGACTGGCACTTGAGGCGGCTCTCCAGAAACTGCGCGTTTGTTAGGTTACGCTTTAGATCATCGAGAAGGAAACGACTTACTTGCGCAGAGCATTTTGCCGCACCGTTTCTTCTACTGGCTACCGAGCAAGTCTGATTGAGAACTTCCTTGTCGCGACAGAGAACAAGGGGTTGGTCTGTGTCTCTGGCAAGATCAAGCCACCAAAAACACGACACAATTCAAAAAGTTTTCAAAGTCCAAGTGCATGCGAATTCGGCAGCAGCCAATGACGACGCCGCAAATCTCAAATGCTTGGCACCCAGCTTCTCGCTCGGCAGACTTTCCCTCCCCGACTTTGTATAACAACTTTTCAAAGGCCTTGTATTTTGTTTGGCATGGCGCGCTGAGTACCATCAAATACCCATCATGACAGACGCTATTCCATATGAGGAGCCTAGCATCGTCAGTATCTTGATCCTGTCCTCTTTTATCCTAATCTTGAACATTTTGGGCTCAGTCCTCGATCATGTCTTCTATTGTGGCCTGGTCGGCCAAGTCCTCGTTGGCATGGTCTGGGGCACACCAGGTGCAAAACTATTGTCTCGGCATGTCGAAGAAGCCGTGACACAGCTTGGATACTTGGGCTTGATCGCCATCGTCTTTGAAGGTGGTCTTAGTACATCTGCAAAGTCGGTGCGATCAACATTGTTCCTTTCAATCTGTGTAGGAGCCACAGGTATTATGTTCCCCATCGCGTTGTCCTTCTCCCTCATCGGCATGGCGAATGCTACCAATTTGCAAGCGTTTGCGGCTGGGTCAGCCCTTTGTTCAACCAGCCTGGGAACCACGCTCAGCCTTCTGAAGACGACCGGCTTGACCACGAGCCGCTTAGGGACTGTTTTGACCAGTGCCGCGATGCTCGATGATGTGGTAGGCTTAATCATGGTTCAGGTAATTTCTAATTTGGGATCTGGTCACGAATCCATCCAAGCGTCCACGATATTGCGACCGATCTTTGTCTCTATTGGGTTTGCCATTGTCCTACCACTGGCTTGTACCTTTCTTGTCAACCCCATTTTGAGGCACTGCTCCCGTATCCAAGGACAGTTCACCTCGATTGTTTCTGAATCGCCTCTCTACTTCATACTTTCAACAACATTTGTGGTGGCTCTGGTCACGGCAGCTAGCTATGCAGGCACGTCCACTCTTTTTGCCGCTTACATTGCAGGTGCGGTTATATCCTGGCTTGATGAAATCGGCGTCCAGAACCAGACTTCCCGACAGAAGCGTCCCAATCGGCCGACGGAAAGTGCTCGGCCATCACAGCCAGTTGAATCGATCGCGGTGGGAAATAGGAATTCCCAGAGCCGCGATTCTGTCACGTCTCGACTACCGACACCACCGCCAGAGAAGAACGAGGCAGTGCATGATGTAGCCCATGGGCCAACTTCCACATTGAGTCCAAAAGCCTCCGAGAGCCGCAGCATACGCATGTACAACGAATACTACGCACCAGCAATCGAATATATCTTAAAACCATTCTTCTTCGTAAGTTGCCACTAGTAATCATCTGGTATTCCTCTTCTCTTCGAAGTCAGCTCACGAAGATATCGGTAGGCTTCGATCGGCTTTTCGATCCCTCTCACGAAAATGTTCCGTGGCGCCGTCGTGTGGCGAGGGTTCGCCTACTCAATTCTCATGGCGATTGGAAAGCTCTCCTGCGGCATCTGGCTCGTTCGCTTCGCACAGTCGCCTTCTCCTCCGGCATCGACACCGACACCGACACCGACACCGACAGCAGCAAGAAATCCGAAAGAGAATAGGAAGCCCAAATCGCCGCGCAAATCCCTCCCCCGACCAAAACCCCTTTATCCGGCCTCGATACTTGGATGTGCCATGGTCGCCAGGGGCGAGATTGGATTCATAATCTCCGCTCTCGCGACAAGTAACGGGATCTTCACAAACCAAGTCTCGTCCAACTCCAATACCGGGAATGGAAACGAAGAGAAATCCACCAGCATATCGTCAGATATCTATCTCATCGCGACATGGGCGATCTTGCTGTGCACCGTCATCGGCCCGCTTGTATTGGGATTCCTGGCCAAACGCGTCAAGAAGCTTCAGAGCGAACGGGCACAGAGTCGTAATGCAGGGACAGAGGACCCTCTGGGAATCTGGGGAGTCACTTGAGTACAATTCATCAAACCATCTGTCTAAATGCTCCACGCTGAACTCCGAAGACCGGCAGTCCAGGTTTACTTGGCCAGAAATTTCTCAAGATCTTTTCCCTTGCCACTCTTTCTTCTCGTCACAATCTCCATCCACAGCCATAGCTTGTTGTGCGAGGGTATTGACCAAAGTGGCACTACCACTACTGTTCCGACCGCTCTGGATCTGGAACTCTGACTCTGATACCTCGCCAGGCTCGACGAAGCCTTGTCGCTGCTGCTGTCGTGGTCCATAAGCAGTTTGATAAAACGGCGGAGGATAGCCTGGCACTAGTGTGGCGCGGGGATCGGTTTCGTAAACGTGCTCCACATCGCCATTATAACCGTAGGGTAAGGGGGCATAGGGGTTGTTGTTCACGAGATAGAGAGGTTGGCCCTGTTGTGCGGGGAGGCGACAGTCTTTGAACTGCAGCGGTGGACCGTCAACTCCACGTTGATTTTCAATTCGGCTTCTTTCTTGTCTCGCCATTTGCGATTCATCGTCGTCATAGCCGCGTGAGTCGGGGTCGTCAAGGTATTGTGGTTGTCGAGACTCTCGTGAGCCGTTCGAAGATGGAGCAGAATTGTCGCGACGGTGTTCAGCTCGTTTTGTGATTTTGTTCACAGCATACAGGCCGGCACCAGTAATTATTGCGGCTTTGATGATGCCCATCTTGGAAACAGTTTGCCTTTCAGTTGAATCGAGATATGGGTTGGAGCAATAAGTTCGAGTCGAATCCTGGAGAATTGAGGTTGGGTTGAGCGCTGTAGGAAAATTAAGAGGAAGTTCTCTATGGCTTTGTCAGTTGATTTGCAGGAGACGGGAAGTGCTCATTTTATAAGTTTGCAATGTCCTAGCGTGTATGGGCTGTGAATTGGAGGCCATTTCTTCATAGTACGTAGTGTCAGGTATACCACCGAAAGGACGCCCTACGATCGACAGCTCAAAGACCGAACAACAATCCCGATATGGACAGACGGTTAAAGCCGAATCCGAAGCATTAAGGAGAGTGTACTTCGTACGCTCTCAGCTGGGGGGCTGTGTAGGAGAGATAGCAGGCAGACGCCATAAAGAAACCTTGGAGTCCGGCCGTAATATCTGGACGCGTACTCTTGTTGCAACCGCAGTCTGATATGACGATATTCAGGAGAGATGAGCCTCTACCGGAGACGGATCAAACACCTTTCAAGGTATCCACCTCGTCAATGTAGAAAAGTCATTCTGCTCGATTTTCGGTTTCGCGTCGTGATTGGCGGATGAATGATTTTCCATTCCGACCAGTAACTTACACAAAATACTGCCTCTGAGATCTCAAGCGACTTCTCTCAAGACAACGTCCTTCCCGATGGTCAACGACGCTCGCGTTCGCGTCGACATGAAGCATATATAGCCGTAATTGAACAAGCACCAACTACCCTAAATGGCTATCACGGTGCCTTCTCAGCAGCACTCATTCAAGGCAAGAAAAATCAAAGAATACACCGTGATTCTCTACCTTCAGTGCCCAAATCATGGAAACAAGCAGTGAAACACCCTTATGCGAAGGAATGGATCAAAGAGCACAAGTTGAATACAACGCTCTCGTTGCAAATAACACGTTTAAAGAAACGGCAAAGAGTGATGTAAACGGTAAGCAAGTGCTCCCATTATTGTGGTATTTGCGTGCGAGGAGATTTACAAGATGCAACCAAAGAAGAAACCTATGCAGCAACTCTCGCACTTCGAACATTTCGAGCTCTTATGGCAATCGCAGCATTCTTTGACTTGGAAATCACACAACTTGACGCTGTCAACGCATTTCTCAATGCACATTTATATGATCGAGAGATTTATGTCGAATACCCTGATGGGATTCCGCGTGGAGAACCAAGTGCTTCATCTTCAAAGAGCACTCTACGGACTCAAAATATCACCACTATTATGGTACAAAGAATTCACAGAAACTCTCATAAAACTCAATCTTCAAGAAGTGCCAGGCGTCAACTGCGTACTTCACAATGAATGGATCGTCGTCTTCTTCTTCGTGGATGATATTATGATATTATATCATCACGACAACAAGTCCAAGTTCGATGATTTACTGAAACAACTTCAACAATGTTACACGTTCCGAATTATGACGAATGCATCATGGTTCCTTGGAATTCACATCCTTCGTGACAGATCAAAAAGCACTTTATGGCTGTGTCATGATTCATACATTGACAAACTCGCTCACAAGTTCGACATTATCAACTGGAAACGCCTTCCACTCAGTGTTGAAAACCTACAACCCAATGAAGGACAAGCCACACCTCAACAGATTTATGCCTATCAACAGCGTGTTGGTTCGATCAACTTTGCCGCAGTTGCAGCACGCCCCGATGTGGCAAAGGCATCTTCAAAACTTTCTGAATTCTTGACGAATCCCTCAGCAACTCACATACAAGCTGCCGATCGAGTACTTGGGTATCTCTACAAAACAAGAACCCTCGCGATCGAATACTCTCCAACCGTAATGGATCAATCATTTTTGTGTGCGTCAGACGCCTCCTTCGCCGACGATAAGAATACACGGCGAAGCTCCGACGGATATATATTCATGCTGTTCGGAGGACCAATCGATTGGAGAGCCTCAAAGCAAAAGACCGTCACAACGTCCTCAACGGAAGCCGAATTGCTTGCTTTATCGAATGCAGCTGGTGAAATGATGTGGTGGGAAAGATTATTTCAAGATATACGACTCAACATGGAAGAAAAATTATCCATCCACTCCGACAACTTACAAACGATCCGATTACTCGTCAAAGAAGAATTTAAACTTAGCACTCGTTTACGACATATTGACATACATCGACATTGGTTACGACAAGAAGTCCAGGAAGGGAGGATCAACGTGAAATGGGTGCCAACCACTCAAATGATTGCCGACGGTTTTACAAAGGCACTTCCTCGTCAACGATTGGAAACATTCATTCAACAACTCAATTTGCAGGATATACAGGAAAGACTCTCGTCTACAAAACAAACCTGACGATGTCTTTCCTGGGGGGGTGTGTTGAACAAAGGGCTATTATGTATATGCTCCACAGCTGAAACACCGGTGAGAGGTTTCCATAGACGACGACGTTACTGATGGTTGCTCTGTGTAACGACGTAGTATTCGCACTTCTATAAAAGAAGCCTTAATACCTCGACAAGTAGATAGAGAACAGAGCATTCAAGACATCTCGAGTTGCACCCAGTTTGACACATAAATTGTTCGACAGTATATCATGAGATCCGATCTAAGGACCATCTAGATATCGAGGCCAGCGCCATATGCTGTCCCCGGCCTTACCTGGCCACATGGTCCACGGATTGGATCCGACGGCGGTGGCCTTTCATCGAATCTAATCTACGAACCATCTCAAGTGTGATCATTAGAGCTTCTCTGCGTGGCCCACAGACTGGATCCGATGCGTGGATCATCTCGATATCGAGGATGTCGACCTCTATCGAGTAGGGTGGCCCCCGACCATATGGTCCACGGATTGGATCCGATCATGGTGATATTTTCATGAGATTCGATCCGTAAACCATGTCGAGTATGGTCAGTGGAGCTTGTGAGTATTTCATCGGAGGGTGATCAATCGAGCTTTGTTCGAGTGGTCCACCGACTGGATCCGATGGGCAACGAGAGGGATTTCATCGGATCCAATCCATAGATCATGTCGAGTTGAGAGGGCGCCCTCGGGGGGCACGTAGCACCGGAAAATGGTTAATCCGGTGAGGGTTAGGTGGAGACTTGGGCGACGCATCCCCGCCCACATGGTCCATAGATTGGATCCGATGACGGGGCGACGTGGAGTGCCCACATTCCCACGTGACACTGCCAAGCCACGCACTCACGTGATAACGCTAAGCCATAGGCTTACGTGATTGGGCCAGCACGTCGCTCTTGGCGTTGCCACACAACGCCAAGCCCTAACCAGGCGATTCCAAAAATTAAAAAAAAAAAAAAAAAAATCAAGTTTATATTTTATACTGCCAAAAACTGCTTCAAAAGTTGACACCAAATCGTGGTTGACCTATCAAGGACGTAACCGAGTGGTAAAACACTCGGCTTGCAGTCGAACCGATAGAATTGAGGGGCCTTACTCGTGTTCGATCATAGGTAAGGTAAGAGGGTTGTCCGGCCTAGCTTTCTAGGTGCCCTAGATGGGTAAACGTAATGCTCCAGCCAGTGATTGTTGATGATGTCGTCTTGTTCACTGTTGGGAGGTCACTGATTCAAACTCTTCTGCAGTTGAACTTGTGTGGCTAAAGCTTTCACTGGCTGCGGCGCCCCATCTAGAGTTCGTTAAAGATGGACTACAGGAGGGGGCCTTTCTTTTAGTTCTACATCGATGGAGGATCCCGCGAGCCATAATCTATTTCACAGATCTAGAAGACACTAGATCTGTGAAATGGGGGATAAGTAGAAGGATTACGACTTGTCAAACTTCTTGTGCAACTTGAGATGAGGGAGCGCTCTGTTCTCTATCTACTTGTCGAGGTACTGAGGCTCCTTTTATAGACATACGAATGCTACATCGTTGCACAGAGCAACCATCAGTAACGTCGTCGTCTATGGAAACCTCTCGTCGATGTTTCTATGGTGGAGCATATACACAATACCTCTCTATCCAACACGATTTATCTAGATATGATATATCTATTTGCAAGCCTAGTGACAATCGCAGCCCCGGGAGTTGCGATTGTTACAGCCAGTCCTAAACGGCCGCAGGGACGCTGGAGAAGTGGTGCTAACTAGAATAGCAGACTCTTGCTAAGTGATGCCGGCTCGTTTATGTCGATGGTCTTTTAGTGAGTTAGACTCGTCGAAACTAGATACTCCTAAGGGTCCTAGTGACGTAAGGGAGGAGAAATCGACGTTTTGAAAAATAACGCTTGTGGGATAATCGACGGGGAAATTCCATTAGTTATATTTAAGGGAGAAGAGTGGTGTGGGAGTAGAGTCAACCTCGTCGTCGATCCGACACTCTTCACTATTCTGGGTTACCAAGAGCCAAATACGCACGGTGGGTCAATTCTGAGACCCTGAGAGGAATCTCCGTTTATTTCTTGATCGGGTCATGCTGTAGTAATAGCAGATATATAAGATGGCTGAGTCGTGAAGTCGAATGCAACTTGTCGCCTCGTGGATTTTGACACGAATGCAAGAAATGGGTTGACGCGCCTGCGACGCGAATGCAATACGCTAACAAGATTTCCCGTATTGACTCAGACCTCTCTCGAGAGAGGTCTGGCCATCGAGACAATCATTAGTCTGACGCACTCGGTCTCGAAAACGGTCAGTGAGAATCAGAGACAAGTCACTACCTGTTCTAAAAGTATAGTCCAAGTCCCGTTCTTGGGTGTGAGGGTTCGGGGTCAAGGTTACAACCAATGTATTCTAGGTACAAGACGTAGAGAATGCAGTGTTCAAGAACCCCTGAATATGTCATCCTTGGCACGTGGTCCCATGGCAATTCACCATGTACAGCGCTCTCTGAGATGATCAATGACTGGACCAAAAATCCCGTCTCGGCTTCGCTGTCGGCGGCGCTCAAGGACGAGGAAAGACCAATGCGAACGATTGAAGGCATGATGAATTGAGAACTCCCGTATGGAGCACGGAGTATACTTACTGGAGATGGTAAGTGGAAACAACCCTCATTTATTTGCTATGGGTTCTCACGATCTCATCTCATTTCCGTTCCGTTGATTTGGTACGATCGGACAGGGAACCTGTTGACTCAAAACAGAACCCTTTCAATTTCGCTTTAAGAACAGTTCTACTGCCCTTCAAAATTTGAAACAAATTTGAACCAATTTGATTGAAAATAACAAATTGCCAACGAATTGCCAATTAGCCCATTTCAAAGAGAGCTACAAAATGCTGAGAATATAACCCAACCGACCATTCTCCTTCCCCCCCATTGACTTTCGTGCTTCCTTTTCCACTTCTATTCTCTTCCCCTTCCAGATTCAACCCCCAACACCACCAAAACACCAAAACACACCGTCCAAGTGACCCGAGTCCATTTAGCGGCTGGTCCTTTGCCGCAGTATCATGACCGGACCTCGTCGCAATACCTGAGTTTAACTCGAATCCATCAAGCTCAGTTCTCGCTTTCGCCCAAGTATTGATATGGTTCAATCTTTTCAACCACAGAAAACGAAAGCTTTCCCATGCAAAGAATTTGAACCAATCAAAAATGTTGGATGGGTGTTGGTGTTGAAGAAATTAAGTTGGCCCTGTTGCTTTATGTTTCCCAGGACTTTAGATCTCTTCGTTCACGCGCAAACGAACCATACAAAAAGGGCTCGCTTCATGCATCTTGTCCCAGGAAAATTTTCCAAATGGAAGGCTAGGAGAATCAGGATCCAATAAGTCCCGATGTCCTTCCCATCCGAATTTTCCTTTTGATGCAATATTTTTACTTCGCCAATCCGGATCCCGATAAGGACAATGAAAAATAACCCAAAATCCAATCCCCAACAAAAAGGCAGAAGTCGTTTCTGATACATAACCACGTGACTAGACAGATTTGAAAGGAGAAAGAAATGACAGAAAAGGCAGGAACAGAATTGACAGCTATCCACGCTATCACACGGGCAACCTGGGCCGCACACACTAACAGGATATATCGTATGTAACACGGTTTAGAAAGGGGGGAAGGGGGAAAGATGATAAGCGCCGTCCGGACAGTGCTGAACAGAAGTGGGATTCCAATTTGTGCGAAAATAGAATTTTTTTTTTCCCCCAAGAGTCGAGTTGGTAAAGGGAGACATCAAGATCGTTCAAGCTGCTACAGGTAAGTCGTCGACTTTACTGATGTAGACCAGCTTGCAAGGTATTGGGATCGATGGTCCCAAAGGGCGTTACTGGCATGTCCATGTGTTCCCGAGGGGGGTGGTATTCGGACATGTCATTCATCATCAATAGCCCGTTTTCGTCAAAACCCGGACTGGGCATGGGCATGTTGAGATTTTGTTTCGAATACATCTCACCCAACATCAGCGTCTCATCCATCATGGCACTGGGATCGTGACTCATGCTGAACATGTCGGCCGATGCGCTTCTATGTAATGCCGATAGAGGTGGTGATTGATCAGCAATGACAGGATCAGGATGACCCATGTGAGGCATCGGAGACACTGAAGTGGGAATCATGTTGGGATCGACCATCGGCGACGGCGACAAGAATGGCACGTTGAATTGTCGTGGAGTGCCGAACTCTGAAGCGGGCATCGGTGCTTGAGCCGGGTTGGAGGGGAAGAAGCCGGGACTGGCGAATTCCGACGGTGAAGTTGCGGTCGCGGACATTGGCATTTGACGGAAGTCCATACCGTAACCCGCAGACGTATCAATTTGGAGATTCGGTCCCGTAGGAGCTTGAGCTGAGTGTTGCGGCATAGGTTGGAAGAGATGGTGATCAGGGGCAAGTTGGGGCGAGGGTTGCTGAACATGGAACGTGGGCATCGGTCCCCGCAACATGGAAAAGTCAATGGCGATCGGAACGGATCGACTTCGTTGTCGCTTGTGGCCGGGATGCATTCGACCAGGATGAAGGTGTTGGTTGACGCCGAATTGTTCTTGGAACATTCCAACGTGAGGTGGATGAGGTCTGGCAAACTGGACATTGGGTTGTGATGCAGGTCGGACAATGCCCATCGTTGGCGAGACCGGTGCCGACGCCGGCATCGCATTGACGTCGAATGGATTGAGCCGGTTTTGGAATGATTCGAGAGAAACCAATTTGGCAAGTTGGCCGCTGAGCACTTTGGGGTGTCCTCCCAGATGATGCGTGAGGACCTGAGATGCCTGCTGGTCCTCGGTGAAATCACCACATTGGTAGAAGCCTCCAGAGCCAGAGGAGTCCATGAAGAAATTGGGTGGTCTGTTCAATTCAATGACCAGTCCCCCGGGTCGAGGTGGAGATCCGTTTGCAGTTGGAGCCGTGTCACCGGGTTCCAATTGAATGCTCTTGATGAAGGCGAAGGGGAATTCGATTTTGTAACCGGCAGAGTCGTTGTTGATGTAGTAGGTAATGCAGGCTTTGTCGGGGGAGTAGAAAATGACCAAATCCATCGCATTTTGGCCGACTCGCCGCCAACTACCGATGCTCAAAGAACGGCAGGTGAAGTGGTGAATGACTGGTAGGTCACCAAGGATTAGTCCGGGCAGAACTTTACCACGGGATTCTTCCGGCTCGAACTTACCCACTTTCCCCTGGCCGGTCGGGTCACCATTCATCATCATACCACCACTACCGTATTGTGCCATTGGTCCCCCGGGACGGCCAAGTAACTGTCGGGGAAATGGTCTCCCAGATTCCATGGCCTGCATGGCCAGCAGCTGCCTTAAGGATTCTGGAATGTTGTCACAGTCTTCACCATTTTCCAAGCTCTTCTTGGCGAGCATCTTGATCTTCGCACGTCGACGACTGTTATTGATCATCATCATCAGCCAGGGTCCCTCCATCTCCAGGGGACAAGCCTACCTGTTTTGGAACCAGATTTGTACAGACCGTTCTGTCATATTGATTTCCTGAGCAATTCGTTCCCGGGTGGCAGCAGTGGGAGTGGGATTCTTGTTAAATTCCATTTCCAACGTGACCAATTGATCTTGTGTTGCCCGTTGTCTCTTCTGGTTCTTCTGTTGTTGGGTCAGGGTACTCTTTCGAGGAGGACGGCGTGGTGCGGAAGTGGGAGCTTGGGTGATGGAACTGTTGGATGTTGCTGGGGTGGTTTGAGTGACCTCCTTTGGCGATGGAGTGGATTCAGCCGAGATATCGGTGGTAGGATCTGAAGACATGGAGTCCATTTTGTCGAATGTGTGCAGTATATACGAGGGAACGGATGGATGGACTTCCTTTTTCTCTCGTATCTGAATTCAATGAAAAATGCTTGTAGGCAGGAGTTGGCAATGAGGGTCTTTCGTCGTGGGTGGAAGAAATCTTCGACAGCTGATCCGAGCAGCGCAAGTGAAAACGACTTCGTAAGCCCAGCGATGTAAAACGACTCGGTGTTTTTGAAAGCGCGGTTGCACGTAAGGACCGTAGAGTTGAATTGGGAAGAATCAAAAACCAAAAAAAAAAAAAGGCAGCAAACAGCTTAATGAATGTGGTCGAGGGCCTTGAAGGAGTGAAAGGCACGCTCGAGGCGAGATGATGAGAAACAAGACGAGTAAAAGAAAGAACGTGATAGAGAGAGAGAGAGTGAGAGAGAGAGAGAGGGAAAAAGGACGGTGGATAGAGCGATGGAGAAGGGGAAGAAAAAAAGAGAAAGAGGAAACGAGGCAGACAATAAGGGAGGTCCGGGGGATAGACAGCAAGGTGTGGGAAGACTAGGCGGTAAGAAGGAGAAAGGGACCCAAAAAGCGTGTGGCCTGTAGGAGTGGAACGCAGCCTGTAACCTGCAACCTGCAACCCGCGCAACCCGGCCGACGAGCCACAGCAGGGGCAGAAGGAAGCGGTGAATGGCGACATGTGAGTGGTGGACAAGCAGCAGCGAAGGTGCAGTGCTTGTACTTGACATTGTCGTGAAAGATGGTTGCTTGACTGCTTCTGGCGCGTGGGCTCGGGCTGGGCCTTGGGGCCTGAGGGGCTTCTGGAGAAACACACAGACTCGGTGCAGTGGTCAGACCAATGCAGGTACCGAAGCCTAAAAAACCACCAACCTTTCCGTGGGTAGCGTGGTGGAGATGTTCCCAAAATTGGCCTGGTACGCTTGAGGTTAAACTGCGAGTAGCGTCATTCATATTATGCCTGTTGCCGTTAGAGCCCTCCGTGCGCTATGCCCATCTCTACTTAGTGTTACTGCTAAAGCGCAACCTTGAAGCCTTCTCCTGGCCCTCGGGCCCTGGTCTGACGCGCTTCCAGGGCCAAACCCCCTCCAGGAGGAATCAGTCAAACACCCCATGTCACAACATGGATTCATGCTGTCCGTCTCACCCACAGGCCATCGACCATGACTTTGTCTGATCGAAGCACTCGTACCGTATGGGATCTCACGGCAACCCGCCAATTCAAGTGGACCATATTCCCAGTCGGGAGAGGTAGCTATGCAAAAAAAACAACGGAGGATGAAATTGATCCTTGGATACAGAATGCAAACAGCCATATCATCGAGGAGGATCCAACCTTAAAAGACCGTCACATCACTTGTCATAGTCTCACCGAACAAACTTGTTTGCACAGGGCGCCTTTGAGCTTGTCTTTTGCCTCCCGTTACCCTGCTGGGACGCGCCGAGACATAAAGTCACGCTTGACCACTTCATGTACACAAAATACAGCGGCAAAGCCCACATGTTGCCTTGTGCTGCGCTTGACCATATTGTGACGGGGCTCGGGCCCAGGCTATCCGTATGATCGTAGGCAAACCCGTGGCCGTCGTCGTTTTCTACGGACCACTCAAGTGCATCATCCGATGCTTCTCGAAACGGGAGGCGCTGGCCTCGTCTAGTCTTTCCCCCCAAATCAGTGCTCGAGTACGACGGCACCAACTATACTGATCATACACCATTCGTCGTCGTCGAGCATCAACGTCGGTAGCAGTACGAGGCCGACCATTGGCCAGACCGGGGAAAACATTCATCACTCATCAATGGATGACAGCGGTTATCATTCGCCACACAAGACAAGACTCAAATGATTCTAGGCGCGGTCATCAACCAACCCGACGAGGAATTGAGGATCGCTCGGCCAGCACAGGGCGCTTGGGCCCCTTGTCCGGAGGCGACACTGGAACCGTCTCACACACGGCATTGGACAGCCCGACTTGTCACTAGGTAGCTAGGTAACCAGTTAAATGCAGAAGAAGGAACAAAATCGCGCTGCCTATAATTGTCTCACGATGCGTTGGCCTGCCTTCTCGAAATGGTGCCGACCAGTTTCGGAAAATAGATCAGGTGTTGCACATATTGCGACCGGGCGAGCTGTGTCTCCTGAAGATCGAGGAGACCCAGTAGTGGCCAGCACCGGACGCCCATGTCGTGTGTGGATAGCGCTACCACGACCAAGACGGAGCTCGCCACATTTACGGTGCAGACTAATTCACAATGCACGCTGCACTGAGCAACGGAGGCTCACGAGGGGCCTGGTCAGCTCACAAAGGGTCGCATGGCCATACAGCTGATTCCTCCTCTTTTTGAATGGCAATTCAATCGGTTATAATGGTATCGGGGGGACGGGCTGCGTGGCATCGAGCACGAGGCAGCGATCAGCCCCAGCTTTTGGTCCAAGTGGTAGCCCATCGATAGGGACAGATAGGAGAAGTGGCGCGGATCACGCATTGGGCTAAGCCAGGGGAGGAGTCCCGAGATCCACGGTGGAAGGCTGTGATCCGTCGTCTCTGGTTAGCCGGGCGGTCGACAACCTTCAAGTGATATGGCAGCTGATGTGGACAGCGGCGGTTTTGCTGTCGAATCGACTTGGCTGAAGATGGAGAGACGAGGATTGGAGAGAAACTGACGGAGTTTGTGAGGGAGAAGGGTGCTCGCAGTGTGGCTTGTTTCCCCTGACGGGAGGGCTATTCCTCAACAAGACAAGCGCCAGGCACACTAGCGTGCCCTTCAGGTCCCATCGCGCTGTGATTGGCGACCAAATGACACCCTCAAACCGAGCTTGATTACGCCAAACTAAATTTGGGATTTCGTGCTTGGCAATGGTGGAGCCTTGAAGCGAACACGCGAACTTTGACGAACTCGAACCCTTCTTTGATGTTCGGGATCAAGGGTGAAGAAATCCGAGGGTATGCTGCAGGGCGCACCACTACACCAAGTGAGACCTAGCAACGGCTGACTGCGGTCCGAGCGACAAAGATCAAAGATCGCTCTGGCCAGAGTCAGTCGAATGTTCAGCCTTGACTGCACTTTTCCCCCCAACAGGTCTCACTGTGATGATTGAGTTTGTCGCGGGTCCCTCAGAATGACCGCCATCATATGTCATTCCCACTGTCATCGACATTGCATCCGAGATCTATTTCTCCCTGACACGACTTACCCACACGCCCACTTGTCATTCGCCACTGTCAGATAAAACGAGCCGAACCATCAGTTTATCACGTCCTCAACCGTTGAGAAAAACACTCATAAAAAGCTAAGCCGAGCCTCGCCTGACCTCATCGAATTTCCATCGACAGACAAACGACGTTGAGATCTCGATTTCCAGACAAATGAGGCACCCGAGTGGCAAAAATATCCGGCGAGGGACAGAATCCTGGAGGAGCCCAAGACGAGCAAAAGGGTGAAACCACAAACTGTACTACTCAGCGATGACGGTGGAGGGGGGGCAAATTGTATCACCTGCGAGTCCTCCCTCACCACCGCTCGTGCTTGGCGCAATGGGCCACCAGAGTCAATTGAGGGACCATGCCTTCGATTGTGTTGAGAATCTTCCGACTATCCAACTCCAATATGTGTCAACGGGGGAGAAGATCATTAACTACTCATTTAATGACTCGTGGATTTTGAAGTCGATCGGGATGCTTGACGGCACGTGCGTCTCCTTTTCTCCCCTTTGTCTCACCTGGTGCCCCATCTCAACCCGTTTTGGGCATCCACACGCAAGACTCCGGCCTCTGAACCACGTACCATGTCGAGATACTGTATATTGAGGGTACTTAGTATACGACACAAAGGATTGCTGATATAGCGTTTGCCCTCCCTGCTTGCTGCGGTGGAACCCGGGTATTTTATCAATAGCGTCACAGTAAGCGACTTCGCCCACGATCCACAATGGAAGCCCAAACAGAATCCCCCTAGTCGTTGCAGCAACAGCCGAGAAGAAAAGAGGAGAAAACCGGTCCGATTCCAGACTATACTTATGCATGTTTCAAACTTTGTGCTCTCATGTGTTGTATTCGTTGCTCATCCCCAAAAAAAAGGTCATATCGCCGTGCAGGTGTATTTCTCATAAGTCATGGTAACTCGTGTCCTTTGCGCACGGCGCCAAAGCCTTTGGTGAAAAGTTCGCCCATGTCAATGGATTTTCGCTGCACTTCTTTCATATCGTGTCTCTCTTCCGTTTGCCGAATCTTGACATCCCTACCACGATTCGGGCTCATTCCAGAGTGCCTTCTCCTGATCCACGACTTTCGCTCGTCCATGTTCCGTGGCTGATCCAATAATTCTTGCACTTGCGCTTCTCTTTCCGCCTGAACTGCCGCTTCTCGAGTCAGCTCCAAGCTCGACTTTTTGGTTCCCCGATCCCAACCTTGCTGCAATAGATCCGCAGCGGCCTCTTCAAATCGCTTTCGGACCTCTCTGTCTTGCTCGAACCCTTGGAATATGTCGATGTCACTCGGCCAGAATGCCGCTGTGACCGCCTTGATGATGACCTCGAGGAGACAGATGACAAGGATGATCAGGAGTAAGGTGATCCACCAGAGTGGGTTGCGGCCGAACTGGTCTAGGAAACCACGCTTGACACTGTAGATGGGGTCAAAGGGGTATATGCTGGACAGGATAAGATTCCACAGCCACCATCCACCTACCGACAAGAAGATGGCCACCGCTGCCATCACTGATTTGTTATGCAATTCGATGAACTGCAGCTTGAGAGAAATGATCACGACACATCCACTAAAGGCCAGAGAACCCATCGCATACAGCCCTTGGTCTCGGGTGAAGAACGCCTCTCCATAGATGCTGTACATGAGGAAGTAGACAATCATGGCTTCACCGGCTCCGAGAGTGGCCCACCACACATACAACTTGAAGTTGAATCCTCGATGGCGTTGCCCAATATTGTAGAGTTCAGGTACGGCCAGTAGGGTTGATGCGGCCAAATCTTTCTCGAACACTCCCATGAAGATCACCGGGAGAGAGGTGAAGAGGGTGTTGAACATGGACAAACTCCATGGTTCGTACAAGCTGGTTCCGGTATAGCCGTTCCACCGCTGATAAGTCGCTTGAACAAGATAGAACAGCATCTCTTTCCAGAAGGTGCCCAGCGTATACTTGCAGATGCGAATATAGTTCCACCGTCCGTGAACCAGTAATAATTTCAACAAGAAACGAAATTGCGCAATGGAGTAATCCGAGGTCCGCGCTGCTTGAAGGCCTTCTTTTCCGGCGATGCCGATTCCGAGGTGCGCTTCTTGGATCATAGCAATGTCATTGGCACCATCGCCGATGGCCAGCGTCACGGAGCCTTTGACTTTGGTCCGGATAGTCTTGACGAGCGAGGCCTTTTGGCTGGGTGATGCGCGGCAACAAATGACTGAATCGGAACGAATGGCCACGTCTGTGAAGAGAGCCTTCGAAGCCGGGTCGGCGTCGATGATGGTCAATGTTTGGCCATCGACCACGAGGACTGAGTGAGCCGTGTGCTCGCTTTCCATCTCGGTGAAGGCTGTGGCCATGCGGCTATGCAAGTCCCCAAGCTCGTGGTCAAGGACGATGGTCGTCGAGTAGTCCTTGATCAATCGACATGAGTGCCCAATGTTGATCGCGGTCTCTCTTTTATCTCCCGTAAGCATCCACATTTTGATACCCGCCCGACGGAATCGATCGATGGCGTCCGGAACACCTCTTTGTAGCTTGTCCTCAATCGCAGTCGCGCCCAGGAGCTCCAGTTTTGTCTCAATCATTTCGGCGGCACGTTCAATTTTGTCCTGCCGATCCACCATGCTCGTTGTGGCGGATATATAGACCCCTTTCCACGTTTGATACTCGTCCTCAGTCAGGTATCGATAGCCATACAGAAGCGTGCGCAGGCCTTCCGTCGCAAAATCATCGATGTGCTGAAAGCATCGCCCAAAAACGGCATGGTCGTTGATCACCAGACTTTCTTCGACAAGATCTTCTGCACCGTCAACTTGCATAGACACCCGCGGGCTCGTTTGCGGCGATGATGGTATCCTCCCGCCAAAGCTTCCCGATGCCCGCGATCCAAATTGAGCTGAAGGCCGTGGTGAATAAAATTGCAAACTCTTCCGACGATGGGACACTCCAGCATCATTCTCGCGTTCCTTCAACCAATGGTCGATGCTGTCTCGTGTCGTGCGAGATCGATCGAGGGATACACTCCTCGGTCGGGATGGCGTGGCGTCGGGTCCACGAATAGAAGCTGATTTCTGACTCATCTGTGTGCTTCTTCGTCGTAGCATTTGTTGTGCTTCCAAACTTTTTCGGTGGCTCGCGCGCCGTTCGACAGCTTTCACATTTGAGGCAGCCAGTTCGGCCAGTCGAAGCAACTTTCGAATTGTACTGTCCGCCCCTTTACTGAGAAGACATATTCGGTGGTCCGGAAAGCGGACGATGATCGACATTCGCTTCCTGGCACTAGAAAACTCAATGACGTCCAAGACCTCGTAAGTCTCATAGATGGGATTTTCCTCGTCGCCATCGGAGTAAGTCTTGACCGTCACCATGTTAGATTGTCGGTCAGTCACGATATAACCCAGATCCTGCGCGGCGGTCACCAAGGCTAATTCGTCCGGAGAGGCCGCTTGAAAGGTGATGTTTCCATCTTCGTCCTTCTCCGGGATACAAGTGTGGCAAAGCGCCAACGAGAGCAGAAAAAATCTGGTCTTTCGAGCGAATAGCGTATGAGGACGACGGTGGATGTAATCGAGCAAATCTTGAGTTTTCCCAGCTTCCAGAGTCAGGCCCAAGCCGTTTGAGGCCTTCCATTGTACCTCTTCCGGGCCCTCACCCAGGTTGGCGGGACTATCGACGGAGGCACCCGATTTTCGCGATAGTTTGGACACTGATTTCTTCGCCTTCTTGGCCGACGTGACATCTTTCCCCTTGCCACCGCGCTTTTTGTGCTTCAGTTTCTCCCGACCAGCCTCGCCCGCGGCCTCCTCTTGAAGATCCAGATCGTGAAGCCATGCTGTCCCGGCAATACTCATTTTCCGAAACTTCATCGAATTGTTGGTGAGCGTGCCAGTCTTATCGGAGAAGATGTAGCTCACTTGTCCCAGCTCCTCATTGATGGTCGAGGTATGCGGTTCCATGGGAGTGTCGGACTCGGCATCGTACATGTCCACGTCATTCATCATAAACATTTGAGCCACCTTGACAATTTCCAGCGACACGTACAAGCTGAGAGGGAGCATCGTGTTGAGCATGATGATGAAAGACGTCAGAATATGGCCGAATGGCACTCTGGCTGATTCAAGATACCACGCCTTGTCCTCCGTCGTCCGGCGCCAAATTTCGTACGCGATTGATAGGATGATAGCGATGAAGAAGACCAGGGATGCGACCACAATGACCACGCGGTTAACTTTACCCTGCAAGGCCGGCGCTTTGACGCGAGGGTTTTTGTTGGCGTTCATCCGTATCTTGCACTCTTCTCCCGAGTAGATGACGAGACCGATGGCGGATGGGGTGTTGCGTAGAACACTGCCTCGGTAAAGGATTTCGTTGTTTGTCAATGGAAGTGTCTGTCCGTTGACTGTGACCTGGCCGTCAAATTTGTAAAGATCCAAGTTAGGGTCTTCAACCACGAACTCGGCCGCTAGCCTTGCCGTAGATTCAGGATCTTGACAAGATTCGCTCACGCTGGGTATGGGTTTCTTGGACTTCAAGTTGGTCTCCCCATCCAAGCTTTTTGTTTCGACATAGGCCGTGCGGGTGGGCTCGTCGACGTGCAAGAGAACCAGGTCCGCCGGCACGCCCGAATCTCTCTTCAGCAACACAGCATCACCGACCTTGACCTCCCACCATTTCTTCTCCGTCCAAGCCACATCACTAGATGCACTCCCAGACGAATCCAGACGGAGAACTTTGGTGACTCGTTCGTTTTCCTCCTTGTCAAGGCGGTGTCGTCGCACGTCATCATAGCCCTCCTTGGCCATCGAAATCGCCACAAATATAAGCAAGGGAATAATAGTGGTGTATGTGCCAGTGGTGCTCAAACCGGGTATCATTTGCAGGATGGAAACACAAAGAAAATAAAAGTTGGCCAACTTTCCGAATTGTGCCACCAGTTGACGAGGGACGAAATTGAGAGGCGTATAGCGGCAGGACCGGATCAAATTATTGATGTACGGTTTCGCAGTTCTGTCATCGATAGGCTCTTCAGCCTCCAGAACATTCACCTTGACATGTCTGCCATTGACACTGGGGGGAATCGTGTTGGCTCGAATGATCCGGTCCCGAAATTGGCGATAACTCCTGGTCAGTCTTTGCAGAACGGTCTTCCGTGAATGCTGTTTTGCCAGCCGCCGCTTATACAATGGCAATCCAGCATCAGGATCAGAAAGTCGAACGTGTGTCACTTTCATGTTATTCGATTCCTCCTCTTCTGGCGCATCCTCGACTGTGACCGCGGTAGACCGCGATTCGAGCTTCGGAGACCCAGAGGCAGTCACTTTGTTGGCGTCTGGAGAGTCCCTGGTAGGGTCCATCTCAAATGTTCCTTCATTGTCCACGTTCGGCCTCTGAATATTCTGGGCAAAAAGCGAGCGTCGGAGTGAATATCCTCGGTGACGACCGTATGAGGGAGACTTTAGGATGCCCGGGGGTCTTGAGCCCGAGGCCTTGGGCTCTGTTGACGGTAACCCATCTGCCCTGAGCCCTGGAGTCTCGATAGAAAAGCGAACTTTGGAGGTATCGACAGGAGTACTCTCTGGCGACATAGGTTCATTGTTCGTTGCGGGACTTGGGCCTCGAGGGGCGTTCTTCGCGGCGCCTGACGAGTCCGGCTCGTTACGGCCATTGTCTTGACCTCTTGGGTACTTCGACGGACCAGAGGCCATTGCGAACGTCGGGAAAGGAATTTTGAGGCCTTGGCTGCCGCGAGTGTTTTCATCGGTGCGATATCGGCCGAAGCTCGGCTACCATGGCGTTTGTAGGATGTGCGAGAACAGTCTTGTTGGAAGAAATGGGGACAGACACGGCTCTAATAAGTGGAGGGCAAGCAAAGACGAACTGCAACAGTAAGACATAATAATTTGAGAACGTGGCCAGTGTGTATGTCTCAGAATCTTGCTTTGGGGCGGGCAGTGGCGGTGCATTGGGTGTTGCGTAAACAGCCCACACACTCAACAAACTGCCCATTGTGTACCTTGCAGGTAGTTTCTGGCGGGAAGGTACCTACCCATCAAACTGTGACGACTTCTGCAGCACCAATCATCGCCGGCGTGGGCATCACTGGGCAACTCGGCAATGGACGTGACGTCCACCGACCGGTAACCCTCCATACCAAGGACCTTTTTTCTCCTGTTTCCCCCTCATCAAACAGCATCCAAATGCCATATTGAGCTTAAACCGTCCATCCTGTGGCGATCCGTGCCGACGATCTCGGCCACGTCCGCATCTTCCCTCCCTGACCTCGCCAACTTTCGGGCCTCATCTTCAAATGCAAGTTCTAGTGTATTCTCATCTTCGAAAAATGATATCGCCGAAAGTGTTGCCTTTCCAGCGGCGGTAAAGGACTCATAGGAGGCAACCTTGCTGATATAACATCCTGTGATACTCGAGATGTCGAAGGGTGGTCTGCTGGACGGACCCCGTGAACGCACAGATCAGGATGATGAAAATCAAGGAAAGCAAGAACAGCCTTTTCAAAACAATGTGGATGCGCCAAAACCCTACACGGTCTTTACTCACACTGAAAGATGGCTGATCACCATTATTATGGGCATAGCTATGTTCTTCTCGCCCATGACAGCGAATGTCTACTTTCCCGCTATGCCGGCTCTTGCGGAGGCAGCGCACGTCTCGGTACAAGACATCAATCTCACCATCACCGCGTACATCGCCCTCCAGGGAATAGCCCCCCTATTCGTCGGTGATTTAGCAGACAAAATCGGACGAAGGCCAGTCTATTTGCTAACCTTCGTGATATACATCACCGCCTCGCTTGGCTTGGCATTGACTAAAGGCTCTTACGCCGTTCTGTTGTCTTTGCGCACGCTTCGAAGTGCCGGCTGCTCTGCTACTGCAGCTATCTCGTATGGCGTCCTAGCAGATGTTGCAATACCATCCAAAAGAGGTCATATGCTCGGGGCTGCCATGATAGCGGCTAATACTGGCCCCACGGTTGGCCCGCTTCTTGGTGGCTTGATAACTGACCGAATAGGCTGGAATTGGTTGTTTTGGTTTCTCACCATTCTAGGTTCCAGCTTTTTTTCTTGCTCTTGCTGTTTTGTTTCCCGAAACATCACGGAGGATCGTGGACAATGGGTCTCTTGCCGCCCCTCGGTGGAACAGACCTACAATTTCTTTTCTGATGACATATCCTCGTAACGCAACCTCGAGCGAGGAAGGCCTCCAATTGGCCAGGAAAAACACGAGAATGAGGTTCCCAAATCCTCTGCCTGCATTGAGAATTATCTTTTATCGAGATGCCGCCCTTGTACTATGTATCAGCGCGGTTCATTACGTGTCCTATTATTGTCTTCAAGCGACAATCCCGGCTCGTTTCGCGGATGGTTACAATCTGAACGGACTTCGAATCGGACTCACATATCTGGCTATTGGCATCGGTGTGGCATTTGGTGACTTCTCAAACGGGAAGTTCCTGGACATCAATTACCGTTGAACGGAAAAGAGTATTGGCTTCACTATCAAAATTGCCGGCGATGATCTCGAGAGTTTTCCGATCGAGAAGGCGCGAACAAGGTTCGTGCGATTCTTTTGATAGGTTATGGATGGGCTTGTAGCACAGGGACACATCTCGCCATCGTACTAGTCCTACAGTTCGTGCTCCAGACATGTATTGTCCAAACATTCAACACTCTACTCATTGACATTTTCCCTGCAAACCCTAACACCGCATCCTCTTCTGGAAACATCATGCGATGTGCTCTCTCAGCTTGGGGTATCGCGGCAGTACAGACCTTGTTGGACATCTTCGGCTACGACTAGGTATTTACCAAAATTTGGTAGCTTTGCAGGTGTTTCTGGGATCACGGCAACATTCCCGATCGGATGGAAAGGAATGAAATGGAGGATTCAAAACTAGGTTTATTTCTAAATCAGGTTCTCTACTTGATGCTAAATCATCCTTTATCATAGTCCCACATGAAATCTCCCTTTACAACAGCGAGTTGGCCCTCCTTGGCAAACACTACACGACCATACGACGTAACTATTGGTTTGACATCTGTGGGACCATTAAGAAAGTCTGGTGAGATAAAGAAATGACGTTGAATCCTCGTTAATTCTTTGAGATTTACCGAACATAACCAAAGCTCGTGATCAAGGAAGATAATCAGGTCCGAGTAGATACCGACAAATACTCTGACGCTTTCCTCAGAAAGCCTGAATGAAGGCAGATGAGATCCCTGAGGTGTGGCAGGTATAGAACTCGTAAAAGGAGTCGTCCATACCACTATGTGGGCCTTCGATACCCTGTTGGAAGGAGCAAGGTAGGCGACAACGTGTTCCCCAGATTGATCCGCTGAGATTTCTTGTACAGAGCTGGCGGCACTTACATCGTCTGCGTCGGCCGTGATTTCCAACCATGCGCTGTCCACCTCCTGGAGCGAATCCCATGTATACAGTTGGAGCGGTCCGCTGCACATGAAAGATAAGAAACTGTCGCCTGTCGTTGTCCACCTTCGTGTTGCAGTCAACATCGATTCGCAATGGGCGCGTTCAGCAGTCTTCTGGCGTGTTTGCAAATTCCAGACTGTGTCAATGGTCGCAGTTACTATGAGGAGATGAGATCCGTTGGGGTTCAAAAGAAGCTGTCGAACGGGCTCTGACATTTTCAGGACTAGCTGAAGGCTTTCCACCTTTATTGTTTTCCAGCAATGTCCGAACTATGACGCAACAACCAATATCAGCAGTCGCAATCACGCCTCTCCGGAAAGTAATTGCTGTTATAAGCAGATTTCCAGAGTGGACATAGAGCTCTGTGTGGAACAGGCCGGTTCGAACGTTGTATACTACCACCGAGCCGTCACTACGTCCTGCGAAGACAAAGTCTCCAACGTCATCCGAACAGACGGCTGTGATCGACACAGTCTCTTCATTATAGCCCACGACAGGGCCTTCTAAAGCCGATGCGTCACTGACGCCTGCATCTTCGTCCACTGATCGGCGTACTAGAGCAATCGGTTCCCAGACCTTTGTTTTGTTGTCGCGAATATCCACAACACGGAGACCGTCTCCAGTAAATGCCAAAGTTCTGACTTCATCGATGCCACTCCTTATGTGGTACAATAACGACAGCGTTTCAAAATCCCAAAGACTGATTGATCCTCGAGTGTTTCCAGACCCCAAAGTCCGGCCGTCCGGTGTGGATGCAAGCAAGTACGCGTCACCGTCGACGCTTATAAGCTCTTTATGCGCCCAGGCGTCGTAAACGGACAGCTCCCCGTCCTGATACGCGATAGCCAGTAATCTTAAATCTGGGTTTGGGTTGAAAAGCGCCGTTTGCACGGAGATGTTCGGGAATTTTGAACCCACATCTCTACCGCACTGGCCCACGACGGTGTTATCCTCAAGGCTGCATAAGTAAATTGGCTCGCCCCGATACAAGAGTGCCAGCAAGGATTGGTCAGGGGAAATGGTAGCTGCGATGGGGTACTTAGTAAGAAGAGCTGAGTTATGGTGGACGGTGTTGCCAGTTGCGGGGTGTCTGGCGTGGCAACCGGCAACCGACAGCATGTTGTCTTCCTCATAAACTTTCCACCTGACAACTCGACTTGACCGACTCACTCCGATCAGTTCTCTCTGGTCAATCGAAAATGTGAGAGTGACGAGGAACTCAGAAATTCGAAACGTGGTCAACAGCTCTGCGTTCATGGACCACAGACAAACCGACTGGTGACTTGCGGAGGCGAACCTTGTTTCCGAAGAATCAAATGCTAACAGCCTCACAGGCGTTGCTTGCCCCTTTTTGGGGCCAACAACACTTATAGAAGCTCCGTCATGGATTCTGTGCCGTACTGAAAATCTTTCTTGACATGTGGATCGATCGTATACTTTGATCAGCCCGTTCCTCATCCCTATGGCAAACGCGCTCCCGCTGCATGCCAGAGAAAGCCCGTAGGTGTCTCGGAATTCGATGATAGATATGCAGTCATCCCAAGAAGCAGCCGCTGGACCAACCAATTCAACCCATCGAGGCTGACCGGTTGTTTGCTGAAACAAACGAGACTGTTTCGGTGCGATCGACGGTATCAAATTGAAAATGGACCTCGGAGTGCTTTGCAGGTTACGACCAAATTTCGCAACGAGACGGATCCAGTACAAGGAGGGCTGTTCCAGAGCGACATGCTCAATCCAAGCAGAAACGTTCTTCGACAAGAAGTCTGAAATAGGCTTGAGCAGCTTGTTGGATATCGAGGAAGATGCGGCAATGTGCTCGGAAAAGGCTACGCTCGCGTAACTTGAAAAAGCCGTCCGGGCTTTTCTTCGCTCGACTTCACTCCCCTTTAGAAGTCGTCTGGTTGGGGGAATCATTTCTCTGCCCATGCATTTCAAGCATACTAGCGCAATCATCTCATGACCTTCTACGCGCTTGAAACCAAACTCAGAACCTAGTGCACCGAGGAGAAATTCGCGGGTGGTAGAATGGACTAGCTGGATGCCGTCATTCTTGTCAACCAGGAGCAAACCGCCGCAAAGGTCTTCAACAGTGCGCCGGAGATTGCCAACATCTTGATCTCCGTATCTGCCCAAAGCATCTCGGAGTTCTGGTAATTTCAGGGGCCTTGTGCTGCATAATGACCACATGAACAGGGTTTGAGTGAGCTCAGATTCCTTTTTATTTTGGCAGATGGTCCGAAAAGAGCGTTCGTAAAGCTCCGACATCCCCTGTGGGATGTCATCGAGCACTCTGGCAATCGACTTCTTCGAATATACCCCCTCAAGCTCCTGATATACAAGGCTCAACCATAAGAAGCAATCGTCTGCTTTTGTTAGCATCTTGTCCACCAGCACCGAGCGCTCAGCAGGATCGTCAACTGGAAGATCGTCTAGATGAGAATCAAGATAAAGCCTCATATCAGCCTGGGTATCAACGTATTGAATAGAGTCTGTCACTACGTCGACTTTCTGTTTGAGGTACTTGAAGTGACCTTCTAGCTTTGGTGTCGAACGGCTGGTCACAAAGATTCTGAGGTCGAAAGCGCACTCGAGGTTCGCTAGCTGTTTGAAAAACCGGTGTTCGACAGCAAAGCATTCATCAAGTGCATCGATGATCCAGTATTGATGACGCCTTATGTCGGACTGTAAGTGTCTAATGACATGCGCCGCGCACACAGATTTTCCGGCTCCTGGCTTCCCCGTCAGCCAATAAATACTGCAGTTGCCGCCTCTGTTGGTTGTTGAGGTCGTTTGAACGCTATGCCCAGCACCAGTCCGATCACAATTCTTCCAAACCTGAAATGCGGCCCGATGCTCGATCCATTTGCAAGAGCCCTGGGCCTGCCTCTCGCGCTGTTGCTCGAGATCTGACTCCGGGGAGTAAACATTTGGTCAATCTCGTCCCCGCCATCATTCTCCTCAAACCCTGCCGACAGGTCTTTGACGATAGTCAACAACATATTCTTTATCGTTATATAATTTTCGTCTTCCCGGCTTTTGAATTTGCAGATGCCCCGATGACCCGCAAAGATCATGTTAACATCCTCGCCTGGATACCCTAGAACTGCTGAATCTTGCTCCACAATCAACCTCGAGCTGATTGTTCCACGCGTCTCGTAGAAGCTACACAATCGCAATTGCTTGGGGTTTACCACATTTCGGAAGTCGTCGTTTATACCATGCAGGGAACCGGAAGCGCATTTTGGCCGTAGCTATCACATACGTCAGCAATCCAAAAGCCGCGGAGGACACTCATTGTTGAGGATTGAGAGCGTACGAGACGTTCGAAAGCTGACCGAGGATATGTTCATACCTTCCCAAAAAGGATCACAATTCCGCCACCGACAGCCTTACTGCAAATTGCTCATTCTCTTCAGGATGAAATTGTTGAGTTTCTTCTCGAAGGCAGAGTCCGTGAAAACAAGGAGTCATTGACGTTCTCCAAATAAGAGATATAACGACTCATGGTTGAAGGTTCTTGATCTTGGTTCTTGCTTCGAGGCTCCATCTCCCGGGTCCGATATGGCATCACGTACACCATTTTTTGAACAGGTCCCCCGCCACGTTGTACGAATGTCCTCCGATCCCCCCCTCATCTTGCCACAGTTTTGCCTTTCCATATGTCAAAATCCCCATTAATACAGGATATCATAGATTCGGGGTTTAAGGGGATTTTGAGTCTGGGCTGCTAGACCAGCCGACTTCTAATTTGGTAGTATTGAAGGCAAGGGGCCCGCCAGCACAATCTTTGCTGCATAAGATGGTATAGAGACATCGGCCTATCCATGATCCTTTGAGATTCCAAGATGGCGGTAACATGGGTGACTGTAGAGTTAGAGCGGGCAGAATCCTGAACTTGGTCGTACGACTCTGCAAACAGGAGGCGTAGTGTACGACATGCCTTGAAGAGACGAAGGAACAAGATTGAAACATGTGAGGTAGAGATGATGGGGGCTCCAATGACACAATCAGATACTGAGAAAATGAGAGCCGACGTCGCTAGAATAGTTGCTGATAATGTGATTGACGCTGGGTGTGTTGTACTGAGGGATGAGATGTAGGAGTGGCTGCTGATGTTCGATGACCTTGACAAGAAAACGGAGAGAGGATGACTTTGAATGGAGGGTTCCCTATATGCATCTTTTCCACTAGCCTAGATGGATTCCTGGAGTGCCCCAGCTTCAGTTCTAATAACACTTTCCTTTGGTGTTCCTCTCGCATACAAATGTAGGCCTGAAGGCGGATAGATTGTAGTACAAAATCCAGAGGTATACATACCTGATGTCGAGCTCTCAAAATAAAGTCTACATCCTTCCTAGTTTCCACCTGGCGATCCGTGACTGTACATCTTCCCATGATATCTGTCTGGTCCATCTGCGGTTGGGATCTTCCCCTTCCTGAATGACGACCGTCGGCGCTCCAGTTCCATGACCCTTGTTATCCACTTGGCCAGTGAAAATTTGTGTCGCCACTCGTCTCAGATCAGCAACCGTCACGGCATCAATCTTTTCGCACATCTCTTTGACCCCCACCTTTCGTCCATGTACCTGAACTTGTCTGCCGAGATCCTCCAATTCCACCAGTCGAGACTCGAGATTCATCAATAGGCTGAAGCGGAGTTGATTTTTGGCTCGATTGACCTCGGCGACCTGCAGACTTGGGAAGCCGGACTCCAAGGTCAGTGCTTGCAGTTCTCGGCACACCACGTCGACCATATGGCCGACTCGGCCAGGTTCGCAAGCGGCAGCTACTCCAAAAAGCCCACTATCAGTGTAGCTGTGGTTGAAGGAGACACAACTCTCCACCCATCCGTGTTGATTGAGGACGTTGGTATAGAGGCGTGAATACATGCCTTTCCCTGGTCCGCCGGCCGAGAATGACCCGCCCCCTCCGAGCAGAGTCTGAAGTGTGGCTTGAGCATAGATATCGTCTGAAGATATCGGCAGGCCCTCGAAGGCGATGTGGACATGGGACAGCGGGATTGAAAGACTGTTTCGAGGTGCAGGGAGTTTCGGGAGTGCCAGGTATCCACCTGTATAGTGAGATGACTGTGTGAGGAGTGATTCGGGTGGGGGTTGAATCACTGAGGGATCTAATGGCGAGACGGTTGCTTGATGAGGCGCAGACGTCGAGAAACTGTTGAATCCGGGGATCTTGGAGAGAATTCTGCTCGTTACAGAGGGGGGTTGAGAATGTTGAAACTGTGCGTTCGAGGGCGGTAATTCAGGTACGGATGGTTGTCGGCTGATTTCCGACGAGGAATCCTCGACTCGTGTCATGTCCCCAAAGTACTGTTCCGTAAGCTTAACCGCCTCTTCATGCTGGATACCAGCGAAAGCCACCACCATGCGCTCCGGCCGAAAAAATATATGTCGATATTTTTCAATCAGACTTTTTGTGATGTAGGGTAATCTTTCTCGGGGACAGAGCAGGGGATGTCCCAGCGTGTTGTCCTTGTAGGCGGCCATATGCATGAGCTCAGGAATGATCAGGTCGGGTTTGGACCATATTTCGGAAATTTCGTACCCGGCGATTTCTACTTGCTGCGAAATTTCTTCGTCTGTGATTCGCGGCTCTCGTATGGTTTCTGCGAGGAGGGCGATCGTATCGGGGACACCTGAATTGAAAGTTGCAGATTGATACATCAGCGCTTCCCTCGAGGAGGCGCATTGAATATTGCCTCCCAAAGACTCTAGGGCTTCTAGCATTTGATCTCCGCTTTTGGATTTGGTTGACTTGAAGGCTAGCCGATCGACAATGTGACTGGCTCCGCGCAGCGATTCATCTTCGTACCTTGAGCCCGCATCGATGTAAACTCCCACCCCGGCAAAAGGGCCTGGCAATGATTCGGTAGCGACTCGGATTCCATTTGGCAATTCTGTAATGTGGTCTAGTTCAACAGGATCCTAATGGGCGCAGGCTGGTCAGATGAAATGTCTCGTGATTATTCATGGCCAGACTCACTTTTTGCAGAGGAATTTTTACTGTAGCATATTTCCTTGTCAATGGCCTGGAGGGCTTCAGAGTTCTCCGTGAGTTCCTCAGGGCCCTTACTGCCGCAGGGCGCATGCTGACTGCGGTCGGAGGGTGGGATAAAGACAGGTTATCTTGGTGTTAGAAGGAATTAGGAAGAGTTTGGAGATATGGCTTGGATCTGATCCGCAGGCAAAACAGCAACAGGTAAAAGCTTGGCCGCAGTTAGATAGTCGTGTGGATATCGGCGTGATGCGGGATGGGAGGTCGGCGGATAAGGTCAGGAGGACAAGGGGCATGAAATCGAGAACCAGGGCGGTGATGAAATGCGCGACTTATGGAGGTTCGACGCTGGTGACATCGATGTTTACAGCCCCCATCATCGTCAGATACTAAGTTAAGAGCAGAAGGACACGGGGATGGGAACCGAATCCACTTTGTTGCCTGGTCCTACTTCTATTCCTCTTGATCTTATATCATAAAGTTCATTCTTCCTCTCGCTCCGAAAGAGTTTAGAGTACCAATCAGGCTGCGCCGGTCCCCGTAAGACACACATCCCCCTGTTTTAGTCTCCATTCTCGAATATCCAGTTTCGTTCCGAACAACGTACACATCCTGTCCTCCGTTCTACACTCCCCTTCCATTATTCTCTGACTGCGTGCGTCTTGCCGTCCATCAAGCCTTGGGTCTGGCCCATAGGGGATTGGAACAAAGTCACAGCCGCAATATTGGCTAGGCAGGACTACGGCAACGGGCACGGACAAGAACCCATCCTTTTTTTATCAAAAATACCAAGTCCCCACAAGGAGACGACCAGAAAGCAGCTTTGTTGTACAGCCTGTCCTTCCTACGCGGCTTCTTGTAGCTGCCACTCCCCGTGGCCGCCTGCCGCAGCGGCTGTCGCATCCCCCCCCTTGGTTTCACTCTCCAGAACACGACCACCTCCTCCACTTCCGCGTTTGATCCATGATATCTTCGACTGGGGTTGTCACCTCCCCAGCAGGTGCAGATTTGAATCGAACCACTTCTCGACGCCGAGGTTTGAGTTACCTTCGTGCACTCTCCCATAATCGTTCGTCTGGCGGAAGCAGCTCTACCGAGCCTTCTCGATCTCCGAGACACTACTTCCAGAGATCCTCCAGCTGCAACGAGAATCGACCAGATCCCTCCACTACTTCCAGCAGAAGAAGAAGTAGTCATTCACGCCCAAACGAACCGACAAGTCCGTTAGCCTCCGACGGTCGTCCAAACCCTCCCTCCGACAGGAATACAAGATCGTCCTCTCCTCCACCACCAACGGATTCGGGTGCAGGCGCTAGTGAACAACATAACACCGACGAGATGGCAAGACACCGGACTTCGACGTTACAGAGAAACACCAGGAGTAATTTGCAGGGGGAAAGTGCGGAGGCTGAGCCCACGTCGACGCCGGCCAACCCAAGAACCAACTCCAAGACACCTAGTACATCTGGCACGAGAGAGGAGAAAGCAGATGGTGAATCGAAGCATCAGTTACCGACTATCCGCTTCTTCCCTCACCAGGAACTTCGAAATGGGAGACCGTCTCTCACTTTTGCCCCCATTTCACGAACACTACCGAGCGAGCATTCCATAATTCGAGTCGGTCGATATTCTGAGCGTGAAGGAGTTCCCCACGCCAATCCCTCTACACCTTCGGATGCCCCGGTGGGCTTCAAGTCCAAGGTGGTCAGTCGCAAACACTGTGAATTTAGTTTCTTGGATGGTCAATGGCAGATCAAAGATGTGGCAAGCTCATCCGGGACGTTCCTCAATCATATCAGGCTGAGCCAGCCCAACACCGAGTCCAGACTATTCCCTATCAAAGATGGCGATATCGTTCAGCTGGGTATTGATTTTCGAGGGGGTGAAGAAATGATCTTTCGATGTGTCAAGATCAGGATTGAATGCAATCGCGCATGGCAAAAGAAGCCGAACAACTTCAAGTACGCCCTTAATTTTTTCCTGGACTCCATCCATGCCAAAAGCTGAGAGTGTTATAGCAAAAGTAGACACCAGCAACTACAAAGTCTGGCCAAAGATCAGCCGTCGGCGGACGCGAATAGTGGCGAATGTTCTATCTGTCTTGGTTCCGTCTTGGTATGTTCACTCTGGTTGCACGCTCCTCCTGGGACTGACAGAATCCCCAGCCTTGTCAGGCCTTATTTGTCGCTCCATGCGCTCATGTCTGGCATTACAAATGCATTCGGCCCTTATTGGAAGGCAAAAACAGCACTTATCCACAATTTCAATGTCCTAATTGCCGAGCGTATTCAGATTTGACAGCAGATGTAGACATCGCCCAATCAGATATCGATGAATGGATGGAAAACACGGACGATCAAGAGAATCAAACGACTCATCCAAATGTCGATACGAGTAATCAAACCAATTCCACGGCCGATGCTGAGACGAATGGCCAGGTGACGGGCGAACCAGCTATAGTCGACTCAGATGCTGCAAATGATACAGAAGCTGAAAGAACCACTGTCACGACAGACCCCATTCCGGAGCATCCTCCCGTGACCATCTCGAATCCGATTGAAGCCTCCAGCGATGATTCTCCGTCGCTGACACCCTTAAGAACTTCAGGACTTCTGGCACGACGACAAGCGGCAAACCCAGCTTCGCCCGAACTACGTACCATGAATGGCAACCTCGGCATACCTGATCAACCGGATGAGGATGGGATGCATGCCCATCTCGAACATCAACGGACCAGAACCCAAACTCCCGATGCGGAACAGGTCATTGCGGGAGAAGGACCACTAACCCCTCGCAATAATGCGGGACCCTTTGTTTTTGATGGCAGTGCTGGCAGATCGGGTGCGAGACAATTAGTCGTTCCCGGAATCCCAGAAATTACGGAAGAAAATGGATCTGGCACGGTATGACCTGGGTATATGACGCAAAAGTTGATGGTGCATTCTTGAATGGTGGCAATTTTTGCTTGTGAAGCTTCGACCAAACGTCATGAAGAACCCGGACTGCATTAGGGCTACAGTTCCTCCGGCTGGGAGGGCAGACGAAAAGTTTCAGGGCGATTACGCCAACATCATTTCAGCCTCATGTTCTTTAATCTGTCGATAGACGAATCTGGGAGAAACTTGGCCTTGACGGCGAATGATAAGAGACGGAGCCTAAAGACGAAGGTTGTAACCATTAGCGATGTCGGTGTGTGAGCGAGCGTATCATGAAAATGCATGCGTGTTCTTCCAAATTGACTTTTCAATTCACTAGAAGATTGGTACAGGACATGATGCGCCCTCATGCTCCTTGGATCATATTGGGCACTCCACAGTCTCAAGCACATTCTGGATCACCTTGTGTGGATCCAGATCTTGTACCAGATCTTGCGCCGAAGCTAGATCAGTCCCGTACTGGGCACTGCGCTCCCGATCTGGAGTGGCTATGATGATCCGATGTGGGTATATCTTGTTCGCGGCCAACGCAACCAAGGAGGGCGTCACATAGTCTATTCCCTGGAATGGTGCGAGATATCTGCCCATGCCAAGTTAGCACATCGGGCTTAGTCTTCTGATGTGAGGGGGCTGACTTTGCCAGAGTGAGAAATAACGTCGTCGCATACGGGGTGACGCCACCGTCAACACCTCTTTCCATTCGCAGAAATGCAACGACATCTTGGAGATATCTTCGAATCTCGGGAGTGATGGTTGTTGCTTGGCCTTGACGGCGAAGTTGTTCGATCAACTAGGATTACCTTCATTAGCCAATGTCGTTTTGGGAACCAATCAGAGGAGCCCATGCCAACCTTTTTATCGATTCGACGACTCGCAATTATGGTCTGGCGTCTCATATTGGGAGATGGAGAATATGAATCCGCAGAGTCGTCATCGTCGGACTTGTCGGCATACGCAAGTTCTTCGAGATTGGGAAAGCCGTCATCTGGGCTGTGCGAATGGGACATGAAGATCCGGTCATTCTACAGACATTAGGCCCTGGACATAGGATGGTAAATGAAGATCAACCATACAAGATGTCTGTTGAGCCTAACATGCTTTGAAGAGGTCGTGACAATGGGAAGAAAGAGGAATACTTTTGGTGCCAGATGAACAGTCGTTCGGCTATATATTCTCCGCTTTCGAATGAGCTGTGCGAGACGTTAGGGTCATTGGAGGATGTGTGAATAGTATCATTACCTCGAGAACTTGAATCTGCACGTCCTCATGAGCGTAGTTGAATTCCTTCGCAATGACTACGTTCACCACTCTTCTGCTGTCCAACTTTGATGGCTCTGTGTGGCTCGATGGTGCCGTCCGGAACGTCACTGTGGAATGAAGAACGCTGGCCTGGTAATCCATCAGCCATCGACAGGCAGGGTATCAAGGAACGCCGGGTCCACACATCATCGGCATCGTTGTCATGTTCACTTAGGTCATCTCCAAACTCGCAGTTGTCGTCTAGGATGGCGTCGCCAAATCTGTCAACAGATTGCAGGTCTTCTCGATCAAGGATGATGTATGAGAGTTTGAATATGTCTCTCACGATCTGGAGTGGCGTGAGCACTGGCTTAGTTTGCGTTTGAGGGGGAGCCCACACCAAGGCAAGTTCTGAAGCCACATCGTCCAAATAGTCATCCTGCGCTTCAATGAGGCAATGATGCTGAGCTATGAGACTGAGGAGAATGGCAAGCTCTAGATCAGTCAAGTCCTCCACCCGGTCCAGGAACGTTTGGGTCTCCATATCATCCGATTTGTAGGAGGGTTTGAATCTGTCATTCTTATTCATTTAGGCTGACTGATCGTTCTTTGGTCACCCATTAGTATGCCAGTGCCCCACAACGGTCCACCGTCGTGGTTAGGACAGCATCCAACGTGATAAAGAGCATCTAAGATACAGATCGAGACCAACTTTCGATTGAAGAACCTGACGCCTTGGCGACGACGGTGCGATGCGGACACCGACGATGATGGGTCACGTGGCCCACCGACATGGGTTCTCAAAAGCAGCGTTGCAAGGAGTCGCTGTGCCATTGGCGAACCGCCGATCACGTATGCCTTTGTGGTCAATACTGTGAAAATCCTGACTAGCTTTGATATTTCTCAAGATCCTCTAATACTATTACCCTTTCACCCTTAGCTTCGAGTCACTATTTGATAAAAGTTTATACTTGGTATAACTATCTCTCGATGGAGAGAAGAATCTCAGTGTCAGAGTGCCCCCAGGCGGAAGCTAGACGCAAACGAGGCTGTAGCGATACTGGGTACACAGGAGACGGCAGTTGAGGCAGTCGTGACGACAAGAAGGAAAAGAGGTTCTCTCCTGCTCCTTCCATTTCGGCTGACGGAGAGGTAGTTTGTCGGGTTTGGAGTATGACATTTCGTTCCATGATCCGATCATCTCGCTCTCATAGCATCTGCTTGTTCCTTCAATCCGAGCACCACTCGGCAGATCATCAATATGACCTCCTTGTCAGCAGCACCGGGTTCGCATGAGGGATAGAGTATGGACATTTTGTCAGGATGCCACTTCAAGCTCTCGGCCCGCATGGCTTTAGACATGGCCGGTGTACCCGCATCAGGGCAAGCGTTTCGATAGAAGGTCATGACGTTCGACTTCGTCAAGTCACGGAAGCGGCCGGATTTGGTAGGCCAAGGAATCAGTTGCTGAGCTTGCTGGGGGTTTGAGGGCTTCGTCTTTGCTTGTTTGAATGTAGTCCATTTCGTAACGTAAGAATGCCATGCCTGTTGCCACTCTCGTCGTTCCCTCATTGCTTGCTCTCTTGTTTCTCGCTCTCGTTCTTCCCGTTGTTGCCGAGCCTTTTCTCGCATTTTTTCACGAGCATCCTCTTCTCGCCTTTTTTGTTCTTTCGCCTCCTGTTCCCTTTTCTGCTGTTCTTCCTTTTCCCGATCTGGACGTTGTTGCTCTCCTCTCTGCTGCTTCTGGTTTCTCGCGCCGCTTTCATGCTGTTTCGGATTCCCACCTTCGAAGGAAGAATGATAGAAGGTAGTCGGGTCCGGTCTCGCTTCGAATATTTTCGATTTTCTATCCTTTGTTTTGGTCTTTCCCTCTCGAGGGGGGGATTGTGGCAGCATGGAGATTCTCGTTGCCCAGTTCCTCACGATAGAGTCGGCCTGATCCTTGTGCCAACGCCGACATAGTGACAAGGAGGCAATTTGTGGCAACAGCTTTGCGACTTCCCCGCTACCGGGAGACAATGATGAAATGCGATCAAGCAGATCGTACACGAACTTTCGATCATGTTGATCAATGGGGTTTCGACAACGGCGGCCCTGTGTGCGAGCGTAGCCCACGCAGGTAAAAGCATCTCGATCCGGGTTGATAATGCTAAAGGTAGCATGTGGATCCCATATTTTATCCTCAGGGTGAGCCGTGAACGGATTTTGAGCGTAAATCATAATTGCCCGGCTGGTGAATACGAGTCGTCTCTAAGGGCGGAGAAGAGTTTGGAACGAAAGCAGAGGACCGATGAAATGTGTATGAGGGTAGGACGGGCCGACTAGGAGATGGAACTGAATATAAAGGGATGCGGGAAGGTCGAGTCATGATTGTTCCCTCTGGGGAGGAGCCTAGATCTCGGAGTCGACGAGACCACGTGCATGACGTACTTTGTGCCTCAGATGTTGTATCGACTTGTAGCCTCCGGGCGATTCGATCGGTACAAACCTGCCCGTTGTCCAGGGTTGGACATACTGCGCCAGCTTCACAGCCACCTCCCTGTGGCTAGTCGGAGTATCTGCCAGAGAGAATATCGCTGCAGGGAAAAAGCGTTCGGGCATGTCGTAGCCCCACGCATGAACGTGCTTCAACGAAAAGGGGGCCAAACCCGCTGGTCGACAGGGTGAATACATCTGCGCCACAGGGATGACACCAAATCCGCGAACACCTTCTGCTGTGAGGTGTGTCAGATCGACCTGTCTTTGGGGGTGGTCGGTTTGGCGCTGAACAGTTCATGGAGGTGAGTAAAAAGGTGACGCCAAGAATTAAGCCAAGCAGTGTTTCAATTGGCGGAACGACAAACAACAGTTGAACAGTCTTCACCAGGCTCCTCTCCCCTTCATCATCACCATCTTCCTGCAGACGGTTTCGTATTCTCATGGACAATCTGGCCCCATGACCAACAATAACCCAAGAGCTGGCTGGGAAAAGATCGGCGACCAATTCTACCGAAAACTCCCCCTCTATGAGTCAATTTTCGACCCGGACCTCGAGCTTGAGAACTACCTGGTAGCTGGTGCGTCTTATGGTGGAGCTCTCGGTAAGTGCTCACAGGCATCCGCTCTTTGGTGATGCTCATGCGGATGTGTTCCAGCATTATGGAGAGATACCACAAAAATCGCACGGTATCGAACGGGCCAATCCACTAAGCCGACCATCGACATCTATTCGTCCTCGGGGAAGCTCATAAGCAACATCAACTGGGAAAAAGGTTCGATCAAAGGTCTCGGCTGGTCTGACGATGAGAAGCTTTTGGTGGTAACCGAGGACGGTACGGTGCACTGCTATCTCGGACTACATGGCGACTTTCAGCCTTTCTCGCTCGGCCATGGCGCTGAAGAATATGGCGTCAAGTCATGTCGATTTTGGTCTCACGGATTCGTCGCTTTACTCGCCAATAATGCCTTGATAGCCGTTTCTTCATTCGAGGAGCCAAGACCCAGACTCCTTGCCCCAGCGCCGGCAGGCGACGTTCACTCCTGGTCCCTCATTCCACCGGCCTACACCCTTTCGAGATCCGTCGAGGTATTGCTCGCTGTCCACAAGACCATATATGTCGTCGACGTCACCGAGGCAGAAGACAGAGGTCTATCCGATGGCCCTTTCAAGCACGTCAGCGTATCTCCCAATGGACGATTTGCTGCACTGTTTACAGAAGACGGCAAAGTTTGGGTGGTGGGAAGCGATTTCCAGCACACATACAGTGAATATGACTCAAAGGCAAAGACGACACCCACTCAGATCTACTGGTGCGGAAACGATTCCGTGATCCTCGCCTGGGAAGACGAGATTCACATGGTGGGACCGAATGGCACCGCCGCCAAATACTACTACGACGACCAAGTCCACGTTGTTCCGGACATTGACGGTGTCCGACTCCTCACCAATGAAGCATGCGAATTTCTGCACAAGGTGCCAGATCCTCTGGAAGAGGTCTTCAAGCTTGGGTCAACCTCGGCAGCTTCTGTCCTGTGGGACTCGATCGAATTGCTGGAAAAAGGATCTCCGAAAGCGGATGAGAACATACAACGCATCAAACCTCTCTTGCCCGATGCAGTGGAAACATGCATTCGAGCAGCCGGCCATGAGTTTAACCCCAACCTGCAGAAACAACTGCTCCGAGCCGCGTCGTTTGGAAAATCGGTTTTGGATCTTTACAGCAGTGATGAGTTTGTCGACATGTGCGACGACCTGAGAGTCCTGAACGCGGTTCGAGACTACCGCATCGGACTTTACATGTCCTACGAGCAATATATCAGACTCACGCCCGAGAGGCTGATTGCACGATTGGTCAATCGACGAGAATACCTCCTGGCGATGAAACTGTCCGAATTCCTCCATCTCCCACTCAACCGAATCTATGTCCATTGGGCAAGCCAAAAGGTTCGAGGATCCTCTGCCGATGATGATTCGATGCGAGAGATGGTGGTGGATCGTTTACGTGGCAAGCATGGTATTTCTTTCGAGACAATTGCTCGAGCGGCCTATGATGAAGGCAGAAGCCACCTGGCCACCACGCTGCTCAACCATGAGCCAAGAGCAGGAAGACAAGTTCCACTCCTGCTTAACATGGAAGAAGATGAAATTGCTCTGAACAAAGCAATCGAGTCCGGAGACCCTGATTTGGTATTTTTTGTCCTGTTGCACCTGAAGAAGACACTTCCCTTGGCCGCCTTTCTCCGCACGATCAGTAATAAACCTGTCGCGGCAGCACTGGTGGAAAGCTCAGCAAGAGCGCAAGACAAGGAATTGCTCAAGGATCTGTACTATCAGGACGACCGACCGGTTGAAGGGTCAAACTTGTTGCTCGAAGAGGCCATGCAACAGTCTCAGGTTCAAGCTGTTATTGACAAACTCAAACTCGCTGCCAGATTGCTCACGGATGCAAAGAATCCCACCGCCGTATTCCATACCAAAGCCCTGGCGGAGGCTGGTCAGTTACTGAAAATGCAAGAGGCATGGGACAAGGACATGACCGATAGCAGTGGGAGCTCCGTCGGTTTGAGTGTCAATGAAACCATGTTCCGACTCATCCAGTCTGGACACAGCAAACGGGCAGCCAAGGTCCAAAGCGAATTCAGAGTCCCCGAGAAGACTTGGTGGTGGCTTCGGCTTCGTGCCTTAACCGCAGCTCGTCTCTGGGGGGAGGTGGAGGAAATCGGTAAGAACAAGAAATCCCCCATCGGATGGGAGGTGAGTCAATACGTGACCATGCCTGGGGTGCTCTCCTCCTGACACGTTTGCAGCCGTTCTATAATGAAATTCTCGGGGCAGGCAACACACGTCTTGCTTCTTCGTTCATCCCGAAATGCACGGGCCTTCAACCTGCCGAGCGGATTGAGATGTGGATCAAGTGCGGCATGATCGTCAAAGCTGGTGAGGAAGCTTTGAAAGCTAAGGACATGAATTCTCTGGAATTGCTCCGAGATAAAGCCAATGGGCAGCAACTGGTGGAGATTGAAAGGATGCTCACCCAATTGAGGCCGAGAAAATAATTGGCCGGGGATGGCGGGCTCGAAGTCGCTGCTTCGGGTGGTCACGTTATCTTGTCGGCCTCGTCCTCCTCGTCGGTCATTGGCGCGGAAGTCGTTCGATCGACAACGACCAGCTTGGTTGCCGCCGCTGTTGTAGGCACATTGACGTCTTCCACAACTTTCGCCTCACTCTTGACTGCCTCCATGGCTTCATCTTCCCACTCGTCACCGTCCACCTGCTCCGTATTGTCACTCAGAATCACCTTCATTTTGTCAAATTTGGCGGTGCCGTTTACTTCGTCCCACATGCTTTTCCTTTCACGTCTCCTTCTGAGCCTGGACGAGGCATCATCCACCTTCTTGGCCAGTTGGTCCAGGACAACCTCTGCTCTTGCAAGTCCTTTCTCGTGTCTTCGTCGTTGTCCCCTCGTCAGAGATTTCTGTTTTCTCTTTAGCTTCGTGACCCCGCCATTTGGACGTGCAGAGAGTATTGGAGTAGCATCCGAAGCACGAGGGGCGTCCCTGAGGGATTCGTCGACGTTAATGGACGGGGAAGCGGCTCTCTTTGAGGCTCGCGATTTTGGATTTGCTTTGGATGAATCAGTATAGAATCGAAAAGGAAATTGCGTATTCTTACTGGTGGGGTCTTTCTTGACTTTCGCAGTCTTTGCCATTGTTCAAGCAGAGACTTGAGTCGGGGAGAAGTTTTTTAACACGCCCTTTTTTTCACACCTATTTTTTTTTTGTGGAGCAATCGATTGGGTTTTAGTTTTTGGTTCGGTTGGTCGTGCAGCGGGCTGACAGTCACATGCGTGACGTAGCTGCCTGAGTGGTGGAAATGAAATGACATTCAAGTTGCCAGCCTTCCGCAGCGCCCAACACGACTCTTTCATTGTATATAGAGACTCTGGAACCTTACAACAGCCTGGTTACCTCACGTCATGCCCTCCCGATTTGCATAACGCGCCGATACAGCCACCTAGCGACATTGTACCTCCAATTGAAGGGCTCATGGCGCCCTCAAGACCATTGAAACGCCAGAAAACGAATCCGAGGGAAGAACCTCAGTTGTCTCAAGGGCAGCCTGCGGACGTCCCTCTGCCGGCAAACACGCCGCCAGCTACCTCGACAGCGAAACCTTCAACCTCGCCGCCGAATGAACCACGATCGGTAAGATATTCTATGCTTAAAGTATACCAACGGCTGATGGAGTGAGTAGTCCTGGATCAGCCGAACATGGCCTCGCAAGGCTCCACTTCTTACAGAAATGGCGAAAGAGAGTGTCTCATCCACATCTAATACGACTCCGGAGACCGTATCTATTATACAGGACAAACCAAGAAGCCAAAGATCACCTTCTTTGGCAATGACCCTTGGAAAGTCTGCATCCAGCCGATCACTCCCCGCCAACGCTGCCACCACCATTGTCAACGCCACCCCAGAAGCTGCAACACCGCCTGGAAAGAGAAAACCTCAATCGGAGCTGTCCGGGAAGACGAAAGAGGAGGCCCTGGCCGATAAATCGGAACAAGCCTTTGAAAAGAAAGATCCGAATCAGCCCGTTTCCAAGGATGTACCCCAAGTCAAACGGCCTTGCGCAACGTCTAATCAACCACAAGGATCGCCGGGTAATTGGCTAAACTGGTTATCCAAAAAAGAGAGTTCCGTATCTAAACCACCAGCCGAACAAGCACCTCAAACTTCTCCCGCTGAGATTCCCGCGGCAACACCCAACGTCACAAATGGAAACCCCCCGACTGAAGGAAGCGAACCGGTGAAAGATCCTCCCTCGACGCCAAGTAATAAGCGAAGCTGGTACCAAATGTGGACCAGTGATATTCCTAGTAAACCGGCAAAGAAAGATGAAAAGAAAGAAGAGCCTCCATCAGGACCCTCAGCTCCCAACATGACCGAAATCCTCGAGCCGGCGAAGAAACAAACCAAGAATCTTGATATTCCCGCTCCTAGTACTCCTAAATCAAAATCAACATCCCAAGCATCGTCGCTGGAGACGTCACCGCCCCCACCACTCCCTGGGGATGGTACCAAGTCGTCGGGCTGGGTCTTCTGGTCCCGAGACAAGAAAGGCTCGTCAACCAAGACAGAGGACGAGCCGCATGTCGGTGAGATAGCAATCTCGGATACGCCGTCGCAGGGTAGACCTAAACGAGCATCAATCAGTCTACAAGATTCAGCGGCAAAGCCGGTCTTGAAATCTGCAGAGCAAGAGGAGCAGAGCAAAAAACCTAGTGTTCAGAAATCTGCCGGGCACGAGGAGCAGAACAAAAAGTCTAGTGTTCAGAAACCTGCGACAAACAAACAGGCCGCAAGTGAGCAAGAGCCAATACCCAAACCACTGAAGAAAGCTTCGACAAAGCAGGATAGCTCCATGGCCAAGGTTGGGTCGTCTACTGCCGTAGCCGTTGCAAGAGAGCCGGTAGAGGTCGAAACTCCGCGGACTGCGTCTCCTGCGCCAGTGAAGAAGGAAACATCGAATCTCCTCCTACCACACCTCAAAGACACTCTCAGTCCGGAAGAGCATCCTTCCATATTGCAACAGCTCGCGAGACTCCTGTATTATACCAAAGAGCCGGAGCTCAAACACCTTTCGGTCGTCAAAGAGCCTCCGCGGATAAAGAATGCACTGGCCATCGGAGTCCACGGTTATTTCCCCGCTCCACTGATCCGAACAGTGATCGGCCAACCCACTGGAACATCCATCAAATTTGCGGACATGGCGGCGAAGTGTATCAGAAAGTGGACAAGAAGCCGCGGGTATGACTGTGAGGTCAAAAGTGCAGCTCTTGAAGGTGAAGGCCGGATCGCCGAACGAGTTGAGCTGCTGTGGAAGTTGTTACTCAACTGGATTGACGAGATCCGCAAATCAGATTTTGTCATGATTGCATGTCACAGCCAAGGGGTCCCTGTGGCCATCATGCTGGTGGCCAAGCTTATCCAATTTGGATGCATCAATGGGGCACGGGTGGGTATCTGCGCCATGGCCGGAGTTAACATGGGACCCTTTCAAGAGTACAAGTCCCGCTGGATTAGTGGCTCAGCGGGCGAGCTCTTCGAGTTTTCCGATCCGGATAGCAAGGTGTCGACGGATTATCTGGCCGCCATCGAAGTGGCCTTGAAGTTTGGTGTCCGACTCACATATATTGGCAGTATTGACGACCAGCTGGTGCCCATGGAGTCGTCGATCTTTGCGCCTATTACTCATCCCCACATATACAGAGCCGTTCTGATTGACTCTCGGATTCATGCCCCCAACTTTTTGTCGCACCTGGTGGGATTTGTATTGAAATTACGCAATGTGGGCGTACCCGACCATGGACTCATCAAAGAATTGTCGTTACCTTTGGCCGGGAGTCTGTATACGGGAGAAGGGCACTCACGCATATACGAGGACGATGCGGTTTATGACCTGGCAATTGCCTTTGCACTGGAAACCAGTGCTCTTAAAGACGTCCCCATCACAAAAAGACGGACCACTGGCACGGTAGCGAATCCTTACATTCTCCCTTTTGCGATGCGCGGAATCTTAGAAGAAGACTATGTGAAGAAAGAACTCCAGAACGAAGCCCGAGAATTATTGGCCCAGTTTGATGATTGGAAACCGACGACCAGGGCGCTCAAGGATGTGAAATTTCGACTAGAGGGGATCAGATCAAAGTTATAGAATAGACTGGCAGTCTGCTTTTTGAGCATGAGAGAGTACCTAATGATTGAGAAGAGCCCGCCTTCGGCTGAAGGCGATGGAGCCACCAGCCAGCCTTGTTGATATGGGCCTATTGTCTTCTTTCTTCAGGCCTAGTTCGATATTTTCCTCTGTTTTTCAGCCTCCGGATTTTTCAGCAACCCGTACGTACGTAAGCGCTTCCAGTTGGCCGGCAGCTAGCTGGGATCAGGATTTCGTCTGGTTGGAGACATCAAATCCGGAGATAAAATGGTTCCATCTTATCGACGTACGTTGGCAAGCGGCCACATCGATCAGCAATGCCCATCCCGAAATTGACTTTCGAACCTGAAATTTTCTATCCCTCGTATGACCAAGAACCAAACAAACGACGGGACCAAATGTCCGAGTGCTAGTGTGCGTCCCGATCTCGGCAAGTCAGGCATCCGTACCAAATGTATCGCGGATATGCTTATAAATATATTAGCTTTCCACTACGGTCCCATAGAACAAGGTCCTCGCTTATAGCTTCATCCATCATATCATCATCCCAGTTCACTCTGTCTCGTAAAGCACAATGCCTTTGCAATATGAACCCGAGTTTTTGGCTGCTCTCCAGCCACTACTTCCATCACTGGCGAACAGGCCCCAGCTCGCATTGCACGATGTCAACGCCCGGCGAGAAGTAGCGGCGGTAACAATGAGTGCGATGTTTGCCCGTCTGCCAGACGTACCGGATGTAGAACGAACCGAGTACCAAGTTGAAGCTCCCGACGGCCACAAGCTTTCTGTCTATGGCTTTGCAAAGACAGGAACTTCGGACCCTTCATCCCCAACGCCGGCCATGCTTCACTGCCACGGCGGTGGCATGATTCTGGGATCGGTCGAGATGTTTCAGAGAGGGTTGCGGCTGCAGGTGTCGCAGACCTCAATTCCCATCTTCAGCGTGGAGTATCGCCTTGCCCCGGAATGCAAAGACGACAGTCTAGTCCAGGACTGCTACGCCGGTTTGGTCTGGCTGAGCCAGAACGCGAAGAAGTTCAACATTGACCCTGCAAGGATCGCGGTTTTTGGAGAGAGCGCTGGAGGAGGCATCGCGGCAGGCGTGGCCCTGATGGCACGCGACAAGAATCTTCAGCCACCGCTCGCCAAACAGATCCTCATTTACCCCATGTTGGACGACAGGAATCTCACCATCAACGAAGCCATCGATCCCCTGGCGTTCTGGACGAACACGGACAACATTACTGGCTGGACAGCCCTTCTTGGGGATAAGGCGGGCAAGCCTGATGCCGATGTCTCCCCTTATGCAGCCCCTGCGCGGGCGAAAAGCGTGGCAGGTTTACCGCCGACGTACATCGATGTTGGCGAGCTCGATCTCTTCCGTGACGAAGATATGGAATTTGCCATGCGCATTGCGAAGGAGAATATCAGTACAGAATTTCATCTTTACCCTGGTGTTCCGCATGCGTTTGAGCCCATGGCGTTTGACGCAAGTGTGACGAAGAGGGCGCTTGAAAATAGAGTGAAAGCAATGCTGAGTTTCTAAAGAGCAAAAGAATTACCGTGTCGGTAGAGAATACAGGAATATATAGGGAAAGTAATGCCACCGGCAATCAACGTTGAAATGCTTTGCCGTAAGAATGGCGCCTTTGCGTTCTACGACCCTCTGTAGGTGTTAAGCCTCGTCCGGACCTCAATGCTTCGTTCCACGTACCCAGTCTCCTCCTCTCGACTGAGGGTTATTGACAACTCATGTCCCCTATTTCATAGCATGGGCGTACCCTCTGACCATGCATCTTTCACCATGGGCTCATTTCTTCCGTCTTTCTCTGTGGCTACTGATTGGCCTGGTGAATGCAACTTTCATCGATGGCCGTGATTCCTATGTATATGACGATCAGATCGGAGACTCGCAATTCTTTGAAGGGCTATGCCCAGATTACACGAATTATGCTCGTCACAAACAGTATGTGATATCTAAACTCCTGTCCTCCGTTGAGATACTCACTCCTTCCGGTAGTAAACCCCTCAGCGATGGCCCGTTACAACTCCCCTACCAAAGACCACACCCTCAATGCCGCAAGTTCTCCTCAGCGGCAGTCGAAAAAGTCATTGAAGATCTATACCCCCGAATAAAGGATCCCGACCTGGCACATATATTCCGGAACGCCTTCCCCAATACTCTTGACACCACCGTTCTGTGGCATGTTGATGGGGTCGAAACACACGCCCCAAAGTCCCGGCTAGTGCGCGATCAAGACAGATGGAAGGGCGCCCAATCTTTCATAGTGACGGGGGATATTAATGCCGAGTGGTTAAGAGACTCAACGAATCAATTGGCCCAGTATCAACTCCTCGCAAAATCAGCCCCTGACATCTCGAATCTGCTCCTCGGCGCGATCAACACACAAGCCGAATTTGTCATTTCGTCACCCTATTGCAATGCCTTCCAACCCCCCGACCCCTCTCGTCTCCCTCTTGTTCATTCCGGTCAAGATGACTATGTTCACCCGGCATATGAGCCTCGAGTGGTTTTCGAATGCAAATATGAACTCGACAGTCTGGCGGCTTTCCTCGCACTGACAAACCAGTACCACGCCTCGACCGGCTCCACGGCATTCCTGACTCCTCGCTGGTTCAAAGCTCTCCAAGGGGTCATCCACGTCCTCGATGCTCAAGCAAAACCCACCTTCAACGCTGATACAGGCTGGTATGAACGGAACGAGTATACATTCAGCCGATATACACGGATCGGCACAGAAACCCTCAATCTCGAAGGCACCGGCAATCCGTTAGCGGACCATACAGGACTGGTTCGCTCGGCATTTCGACCCTCTGACGACGCCACCATCCTCGGTTTCCTCATTCCCGCCAACGCCATGATGTCGGTGGAATTGGCACGCACATCACAACTTCTTCGAACGGCTTCCTCCGCCGCCCCAACGTCTACGGAAGCCACATGGATGCTCCGTGTTGCCGATGATCTTGAGTCTCGCGCCGAAACGATCAAGGCCGGCATCTACAAGCATGCAGTCACCAAGCACCCGGAGTTTGGAGAAGTTTTCACCTACGAAGTCGACGGATACGGCTCTCATCTCCTCATGGACGATGCGAACGTTCCATCGCTCCTGTCTCTCCCCCTTCTCGGCTTCCTCGATGCCTCTGACCCCATCTACCAAAACACACGACGCATGATCCTCAGCCAGCGCGGGAACCCATATTACCTCTCTGGCTCGAAATTCTCGGGTATTGGTGGCCCACACATCGGCCTCCGCAACGCCTGGCCCATGTCGGTCCTCGTGCAAGCCATGACCAGCACCTCCGACGAAGAGATCCTCGAATGTCTCGACCGCGTCAAGAACGTCAGCGCCTTCGGCCTCATCAACGAGAGTGTCGATGTCCACCGCGGCGTCCGGGGGGGCGGCGACGGCATGACCCGCAGCTGGTTCGCGTGGGCGAACAGCGTCTTCGCCCAGACGATCCTGTGGCTCGTGGAGAATAAGCCGGAATTGGTCCTGAAAGAAGAATATGCGAATGCGAAGTATCGTGTGGGAGAGGGCTGGGTTGATTGATTCTGTATAACCAATCAAATTTTCATGATAAAGCGGGCCATGTCAAGATAAGTGAACTAATGCATTGACGAATGATGCTTCTTTTTTCTTACTTTTCGTGGCCCTTTAGCGAATTAAGGTTCGGCCTCCATCAAAAAGTCGAACAGATTTCTTATCCGACGCTACGCCATACTCATCATCAACGTCAACATCAATTCGCCTTGACAGCCTGAATGCCGGACGAATACAAGCCGATGGCTAATTCTTCTTTCCAAAAAAACTCATGATACTGCCCCCCCTCTTCGCGGCTCCTGACTTCCCCACCTGACTTTGCGTCTTGCCTGTACCTCCACCAAAGCTGCTTCGAGGCATTTCCTTCTTCCGCTGTGTGGGTGCCGGCTCCGGTTCGTCTTCGCTGTAACTCTCCCAGACGGCTTCTTCTTTCGTGACCAGGTAGCCGTCTTCATCTTTGGTCGTGCGCTTTTTCATCACTTTCCGTTTGCCGCGGCGGCGTCGAGGTGTGGAGACACTCTCGGTGGTCGCGGATTGTTGGCCATGCGCTTTGCTCCGGGGGGATTCTGTCTTGGATGCAGCAGATTTCTCTTTGTTTTCAGTGTCGGACTCTGACCACGCGACTTCTTCGTCGTCGTCTTCGACGTCGGTACCCTTCTGTCCTGCCGGAGGTTCTTCGTGGACGCCGCTCACATTCTCAACATCGGGAACGGCAGGTTCCTCTTCATCGTCGGATTCCATCATCTTGCGCAATTTGGCTGCTTTGTCTTCCCGCTCTTTCTTTACATCGCTCGACCGTTTCTTTGTCGTGGCGGGTTTTCTGGTCCCGGTGTCGAGGAAGAGGGCTTCGTCCTCGGATTCGCCTTCGTCATCGTCGTCGGCGTCTGTCATTTTGGTATCTTGGTCATTTGCAGCAGGTTGGGAGGCCGCTGGTCTCGATTTGTGTTGGCCCTGTTTGGCGAATACCTTGAACAAGTCGACAGCATCGCGCCTGAGGCTAGGTTGTCTGCTGGAAGCCGTGGTTGACGTGCTGTCACGGGAACTGGGTCGCGAGGAGTCTTCTTTTTTGACCGCGGAAGCAGGCGCTGAGGGTCTAGGGGCCGGTTTAGTCTGGGTAGAGGACTTTGCACCGCCAAACGTCTTTGGCTCATCTTGGACCGGTTGGAATTTTGGCGCCGGCCCTTCTCGGGTGACTGGTCTCTTGCCCTTTCGTCTTCGAACCTGGGGATTCTGAATCACACCATACGTTTTGTTCATCAACAAGGGATCTTCTCGGACCAAATAGTCTGAGAATAAGCCTCGGCTTATATCCGTCAATGTGACGAGATCTTGTATCCGTACGGGAGAGAGACTGTAGATGTGTATGGACGTGATGCTCTGATATTGTTCTTTCATCGCTGGATAAGAGAATCAGTATATTACCGGCGCGGTTGATTGGCCCACGTGAAAGTACCTTCCAAATCTTCCTCTCTCACAAGGGTGATGGTGCGTACGGGCACTTGATCTTCCTCCTCCTCTGTCGCTTGACTACCGGGTTGGCTCGGCTCCAGCATGGAACTGGTAAAAGGAGGGGGACTCGAGGGAATGGGCTCGTCTTCATCGTATGGGTGTTTGTCTCCATTGGCAGTCCCATTGACCTTCATCTGCCGTTTCTTCACTCCACATACTAGATACGTCGCGTAGATCGAACCGGGCTTCTTCCCATTCTGAAACTCGTAGAAATCGTACAGCATGCATTTGGCGGCATTGACATGCACCTTCAAGGCGCGAGAGACATGGCGGTATGAGATTGTTCGTTGCTCGGAGATGATCTCGGTCGCCAGATATCTCTTGAAGTCTTCAGACATGTCGCCAGGGTGGACCAGGGATCAGATGTGATGAGGTCGTCGTAGTTCAAAGTGACGCGACCAACGCGTAAAAAGAGGGAACGGCGGAGTACAGGGCCAAGTCTGGTGAGGCTGTGCTCTGACGTAAATGCGCATCAGATCCACCGTAGTTGTACCTAGGTAACGTTTCCTTCGACATCCGAAACATGTCCAGCCATCTTTTTAGGCTGCACAGGATTGGTATTGTGATTTTCAAATAGGGGCCTATGTTACTGGTCTTCCCTTGTCATTCTGGAGTCTTCAATCTCTTCCCCTGTATCTTTTCGTCCTTGTCCCACGCGCCTTAGAGAGTTACTCTTATATTGGAGCATTCACCTAGATTCCCTTCTCGAGCACCTGTTTCCCCTATTGCAGACTTCCATCAGCTTGGTTAGATTGAGTTGACTTATCGAGAATCGGAATTTGAAAGAAAATGACATTGGCTGGTGCCTGACTCTAGAAAGGTGAACAAAATTTGTCCATGGAGCCGCTGTCAAACGATGTCAACAATCTCCCTGGGCTGCTCTCTCTGAAAGTTCTCGAGTTGCGAATACTAATGGCCGTGCAGAACTAGACTTCCTGGTCCATTCCATATATATATAAAACAAGACGGCGTCTGCCGCTGACTGATTCCGTTGTTCACTCTGACACCTTCAGCTTTCAGTCTTTGCAGTCTCTATCAACATCCCTAAGCTGGCGACGTGCTGGCGGTAGGTACAATCTACGACTCGCCATTTTCCTTGAGTTCTTCATAGTCGAGCTCCCTGGATTTATTCAAGCCCTCCTTTGGTTTCCTCATCCTATATTCGCCATGGAATTGGCCGGTCCAGAACCAGAACTTCAGTCAGGGGAAGATCTCCCCGATCTCCATCTCGCCGATTTCACCAGGCTCGGGACGCAAATCTTCCTTTATACGCCAACGGAAACGCATGCGAAAGTGGGGCTGACGCCGGAATCAACAGCCCAACCTGATCTTATTATCATTTGTTCATGGATGTATGCAGCATCACGGTATATCAAGAAATACACCAAAGCTTATCAGACCCGGTACCCGTCGAGCTCCATTCTCCTTCTCCGTCAAGACGGTGGAGACCTGTTCTGGCGCACCGTAAGGCAGCAGGTCCAGAACATGGAGCCGGCAGTTTCGGTAGTCCAGAGGCATGTCAAAACCAAACAATCAAGCCAATCGAAAGTCCTCCTGCACATCTTCTCAAACGGCGGATCTTACACGGCGTGTCTGCTCGCCGACACATACTTGTCTTCATCCAACCAATTACTCCCAATCGCCGCCCTAGTGTTCGACAGCACACCAAGTTTGCCATCTGCCGCTCGCAGTCACACGGCTATCTGCGAAGCACTTCCCAAATCCATCCCAGCCCGAGCGATTGGTAGTGCGGCAGTCTGGGCATATCTTGGGATTGGATATGTGCTCGACAAAGTTGGTGGGAAAGAGAACATCATCATGACGCTGCGACGGAAATTGAATCACCCCCAGGGCGCATTCATGCAGCGCTATCTCAACCGGCTATATATCTATTCTCAGGCGGACCCACTCATACCTGCAGAGGACGTGGAGCAGCACGCAAGAGAAGCTGCTGCGGTCATCGGAAATGGAAGAGTAGAGATGGCGGATTTCGTGTCCAGTCGACACGTGGGCCATGTGATGCTGGATGAGAGGAGGTATTGGAATGTCATCGAGACACTTTGGAACAAGAGCTTGGAAAATTGATAGAGGGAGGGCCAAGCGGCATTCTATTAACTCATTGCTCGGCAAGCACCTATTCTTGGTTACCATTGCGGTATAGATACCAATTTGACAGCAATTTATCCAGAATGGATTGTAAAGCCGACAAGCATGTGGTAGCGTACCTTATGAGCCAATCATTCCCTCTATTTGAACCCCAGCCTTGTCCTCTGACGTAAACAAACCAGATTCCACCGCCATAATCAGATCATTTGCCGTCCCACCAAAATTCCTGTAGTGTTTTACTCTTCACCTTCCTTTGCGCTCCTTCCTGGGCACGCGATGTCCCCTCTCGTGGACTGGCTGGTCGAGCATGAGCCTTCATTTCGCAAGTCCGATGCCCTTTCCTATCCCCTTTGGTGTCTCGTGCTTTCTCACTAACCCTCACGCCCGTACTTTTACAGATCCCGTCTCCCATCTCTGTACTCCGATCTGACCGTGCAAAAAACCTCAAATCCAGAAGGCTATGCTGCGAATGTGACGGCGTGGGAAGCGGCTCTGATACGCGCCTCGCTGGCCGGTCAGCTCCCCGTTGAACAGCGCTTGATCCTCCAGACCTCCGATGCCTTACTCGACGCGCTCGCCAGTCCCCAGTACGGTCGACCCTTTGGGCTCGGTTGCGTACTTGACGAATGCGTGCGGCGGGGGAAAATGATCGACCTCTCAGATTTCCTCACCAGCGACAAGAGTATCTACGATCGTGCTTGGTTTCCCAGCCCGTGGGCGATTCTACGCTGGAGTCTGCGCCAGATCGGGGTCATGGAGAGTGGGTGCTACAATGTCGACGGACGGCTGAAGAGAGGGAATCTCGTTCTTGTGCCTGCGTTGGAGGAAGTGTGGAAACAATTGCAACAACGGAGGGAAACAAGATCGCCGAGTCTTCCTGAGCGGATCACGAGTCGCGAGTTGTTTCTTCAGGAGATTAACAATCTGCGACTGGGCCCCTTCTCAGCGCAAGACATACCTATTCTTCTACGATTTTTATCACGCGATAAACAAGTGCTCAGCTACGACGACACGACCATAAAATTCAAGTCTCCCACATCATCAACTCCGGAGCCCGTCACGCCGGAAGACCGCACCATTGCTTCCCTCAAGACTCTGGTATCCAATCTTACAGCTCAAACCACTACTCTCTCCTCCCGCATCACAACGCTGCAGGCTACAGCGCAGATGGCGGTCAAGGCCGGCAACAAGACCGCGGCGCTCGCGGCTCTCCGGTCCAAGAAACTCACAGAACGCACCTTCCAATCTCGCATGGACACGCTGCATCAGCTAGAAGAAGTATACGCGAAGATTGAAACCGCAGTCGACCAGGTCGAGGAAGTCGCGGCAATGGAAGCAAGTGCCGGCGTCCTGAAGACACTGAACACGAAAGTCGGCGGCGTCGAGCGCGTCGAGGATGTCATTGACACCCTGCGCACGGAGATGGGCAAAGTTGACGACGTCGGTGGCGTGCTTACGGAGCCTCTAGACGCCAAAGTCGCACTGGACGACAATGAAGTTGATGAGGAATTCGAGGCTATGGAGCGCGAGGAAAGATTGAAGAAGGAGGCCCACGAGGCAGAAGTCACGAGGCGGAGGATCGCGGAACTGGAGAAGGTAAAGGCGCAAGCAGATACGGATCATGGGCAAGCGCAGCAAAAATCTCTGGATGAGGAATTGTCCACGAGTATTGAGAAACTGCAGAGACTGGATATTAAGGGTCAGCAACCCGAACGAGAAAGAGATAGAATTGCCGAAGGAACGGCTTAGATCATGTTGCGGTCCCGGTCATACCAGCGAGAAGGGGCCAGAAGAGAGAAGGGGAGGGAGAAAAAGGGCGATGATACACGCACGATTTTTCAGGCTTCAAGGTGAGGAGCGATAGGCCACTGCCAACAAATGTATGCATATGACTTGTGCAGCGGTTAGTACATACGTATGTATTGCTATCTGCATCCGCTCATATGGCACGTTGTATATACAGTGCATCTGCGAGGACAGCCGGTTGACTCTTGGAGCCTTTTGTCCAAGTTCGACGTTCGATGATATGATCGTGTGCGGGCCGGTCCAACTCAGCGTCCTGCGTGAGAGATATAGACACGAAACTCGTTACAAGATATAAGGGTTCAAGGCGTCTCCAGTTTGATGATGAAAAGGAGGTTGCGATGCGGGTTGGCCCAAAGCGTTTTCGGTGGCTGACAGAGGTAATTTTCCTTCAGAAGAAGGATTGTTGGGTATCGGATTGGTAGGTTCGAGACGATCTTGTGGTTGGGGGTCGTTCATGGAGTCGGAAGAGGCTGCCTCGCTGGACTGCGGTAGTGGTATAGGTATGGGGGAGACGGTTGTGGTGGAATCCTCTGGGAAGATCGTGTCGCCCGGTTGTGGTGAGGGCGCCGGATTAGGATTTGGCGGTGTCGACGGCCGCCCCTCTGCTGGTGTTTCGTCTATCGAAACGGTAGCCTTGTCTGTTACGACAGTCTTTTTCTGTCTAGCTAGCTTGATGAGATCGTCAAAATTGCTCTTCTGAGTCTTCACATGTAACTCGCGGTCGAAATCCTTGGCCATAAATCCCGATGTAGCTACCTTATCCATTTGCCTCCCCAGAGTATCCTCCCAGATCTTCAGGTCTTGCAGGAGATGCCTTTTTGTCACTGGATTGGTGGAATCGCAGTTGGCATTCCACAGATTCACCCATTCCGTGTGCCGCCTGCGCATGAGGTCTTTGGGTCCATGGTTCGGTATTCCCAGGTCTCGCAGCTTCTTCCGTAAAGCGGTTTCATTCAAGAGTGAATAGTTGATGAAGGGAAGGCGTTCGCTTTGTTTCGCTCGAGGTTTCTGCGCGTACGCGATTGTCCCAGGTGGAGCGATCTGTCGATTGGGAGGAGCTGGAGACGGCGAATCGTCCTGAGGCGTGTGGCTTTCCCCGACTATACATTTGTCCAGATGGGAATTTATGAGCGTCTCTTTCATTCGCCGGCGGCAACAAGGACACTCCACGAGGCCATCATTGGGTTCTGAATTGCCGTTGATAAAATTCGAGCTCCCCGTTTCCTGATCCTCATATACACCACCTTCGTCTTCGCTGTCATGGGCGGCCTCTTGAGGGGACGGAAGGCTCTGCTGACCGTCGTCTGAAGCCATCCTTCGGCTTTGGCTTCGCGTACTTCGTCTCTCGATCCCAACGCCATTACTTGTAACTTCTGCCACTTTCCGCCTCTTCTTGGGCCTTCCTGGTTCAATATCTTCACCTGGTTTTTGGGCCGCATTCTTTGCAAAGGCGAGGAGACCCTTCCTGGAAACATTAAAGTTGGCGACCAACTCTTCTACCACCCAATTGCGGCGCAGTTTGATTTCTTGGTCGGATTCTCGACATGCGGGGCATCTTCCTTCCTGAGACAAGTACCGTCGTATGCACAGACTGCAGAATGTATGGGAGCAACTGGTGATCATGGGGGTTGTGAAGAAGTCTTTGCATACTTGACATCGGAGGGAGGAGTCGAGTGGTGCAAGCGCAGCCAAAGGTGTTGAAAGCCAGTCTGTGCTGTCTGTAAATTCATCTTGATCCAACATTGTCGCACCAACTGGTTGAGTATAACAGGTAAGATAGAGAACAACCCCAGGCGCCTTGACTAAACAACGCTGGGGAGGTAAATTCACGTCCGGCTCATCCTCCTTTGGGACACGGGTGACGCCGCCCTGTGCTCGCCTCAAAGTCACCCGTGACTCTCGTGTCGTGGGGGCTGAAGGTCGGGGTGTCTGGGCGCGGATGGTGCGGATGCAACGGCGCAAAGGGCAGCATATGTAGTATTATACCGATTTGAGGTGTCCTTCGCCAAACTGGCCATGGTTTTGGCCTTGGTGTCCACTGTACTAGAGAGTAGCATACCGGTAGGCTGAGATGGCACGCTTCGGATGCCGTGCCCTATAATGCCCTGTAAGAGTCGCTATAAATCTCCACTCCCGCCGATTCTCTCTCTTTTCTTCTACGAACTTTCCCACCGATGATGATACAGTTGGCACCTCGAAGCTATGAGAAAAAGAAGCCGCTCGAAATAATCTGCCCTCTCCGGATGAAGATACGATCCGCCGCCGCCAATACCTTGGTCCGGATATGGCTCACCCCAACCTTGCAACCATAAAGGACTTTATACGATTTTACGTCGCCACAAGCAAGCTTTGACTCGGTGCTGAGCAACCGACCGTCGGGGGTGAAGATTTATCCCGAATCTCCTGGAAATCCTGCTTTGCGCGTCCTACTATTTCTTCCGTAAGTCCTCAATGAATTTGGCGCAGTTGCAAATGACCACGGAGCAATCAGCGCCTCAAGTCTTTAGCCAAAGTGTGGCCACCGCGAATTAGGCTTGCATTTAGGCTGAGGGGGCTCCTGTGAAGTCTCCGCACAGAATACCTGCTAGGAGCCCTGGCCTTCGCGAGTGAGAGGCACAACGACCTTCTCTGTAATAGCTGACGATGGGGCTCCATGAGAGTTCTTTGTCTGGACCAGAAGGGTTCTCCGTGCCGAACCAATAATGAGGATGAAGGCAGTGTCTGCTTCTCAACAGAGTTCGCCAGCCGCTGCAGATAAACTCAATGTCCGATGCAGCAATACACCCCAGACCCCAACTCAAGGCAATGGATCGTCCGGGGCTCCACATTCCCCAGGATATTGTAGTTTGTATAACAAGGACTCTTGATCTCCTCTCTTCCGACGAGATAATCCCAGAACAGCAGCCAGAGAAGGAGGGTACACCATGGCGAGACTACCACAGTACAGGATTACCAACATCTACTTCATTACGGCAGACAGCATGGTGCTTTACAAATGATACGAGCCTGTACCGGTCAACCATCGGAAGCCAGGTGTGAGTTGTCGTAAAATAGACATCCAAGTACTGTCCGGCATCGTTTGGAAGAGAAGAATCTTGCTCACGACACCGAAGGCATGACCGGTGCGCCGAAGGACATTCTCCTGGCGAAGCTTGTCTCCGTTGCGTGCCATTACCCGGAACGGTGGCTTGAATGGTCAGTATACATCTAAAGTCTCGCTGCGAGGATTGACCTTGATTCTCAATGCCCTCTCGAAAATCTGGTCGCTCACCAACATTGCTCACGGCTAAGGACCTCCCATATCCAGCAACAGATTGCCAGAACGGTTCCATCCTTGAATAGTCCATGGCTGCCGCCTGCACTAGCCGGAATGTGCGACTGTTTCTCCAGTTTTCAAGGCGTTCCTTTCCCCTTTCCAGAAGCGCTGGGTTGCTTCCTGGATTCTGATGCTCACGTTGGAGGAACTCTACGACTACTTCTCCAAAGTCTCTGACGCGTTCTGATAAGAAAGCGAGAATGAGTTCCAATAAGACGGATCTCCTTTCCAGGGCGGAGCTCGAGCCCGGAGGGACTCCTCGCTTCTTGAGATTAGGGTCGTAGACACAGCTTTGCCCATGGCTCTGACATACGGCACAAGTAGGCCGTCGCCCGTCACATTTGGTTCGTCGAGCACGACGTGGCTCACATGCTTGTGAAACTCGAGCCCTTTTTGTGTTCGTTTCACTGTCGCCTAGGCCTATACTTTGACCATCATAATCCTGGGCGGTGCTCTCCCGGGACATAGTCGAGAACTACAACAACATCGAGCTGTAGTCACTGATCATTGCAGCCTACGTGCGAAGGTACAGGTCAGTTGCTAATACATACCACCATGAAGAGTATTCCTCAGTCTTCGGGTTGTGGTACTGGCTTGCGAAAGACAGGAGTGCAGTTGGAGATGAAGGATTACAGTGGAAGTTGCATGAGAGCAAAAGGGTGATTGGTGCGGCTTCTTGGCGAAGGACTCGTTCCAGATATGCCGCATAAGGTCGAGTACAAGCAGAGACGAGGCATAATGCATTCGAAATGTCTCCACTCATCAGGTCCTTAAGCTTGACTGGCATCCTCTCTTCACTCGAGTTCATTCAAATCTTCTTCAAGTCCGGAAAACCGTGTTGAATGATTCCAGATCATGGACAAGACCTCACAACCATGGAGAGTGATACTTATTCCTAGGTGGACAGAGAAATCTCATAAAAGGGGAGAAAAGGCTTCGATCGCAATCATTGTTGAAGGAAGGGCAATAACTATCCTGCTGCCAATTGACCGAAGAATGCCTTCCAGAGAGAATCGTCACTGTACACCAAGTTTCGCCATTGTGGCCGTCCACGACTTGGCTGCCCTGATGGCAAACATTTCTGGGGTGTTCTCTTCCGAGCCAAAAGCATTCCTGGAAAAGAGCTCCAGCGACATATGTCCCCGATATCCAAGCTTGTTCACCAATACATCAAGGATATCCATGATAGGTAAATACCCTCCGAGGTCAACCTCGAGCGGAAATAGACGTGCATTTCTGGACCATGTCATTCGAGGAGGCTGCTCGGGGTTGTACAGAGCGAAGCCTGGAAGAAGTGGCTCATTGAGCAGTTCAGCGTCCCCCGCCTGCACGTAAAAGACCTTTGAGATGTCGAGATTGTCGACGAGCTCTGCCAGAGACTGCTGAAAATCTGAGTCGGCATTCAAGCTCTTTCCTGTCTGACTTTGAGGGTCGCCCCAAACTCGTCCAGCCATGTGGAAAGTGTCCAGGCATAAGCCAAAGTTGGATCGGTTGACTTTCTGCACCACTGACCACGTCCCTCCCCATGTGTCGATGTATTTACCCCAAGCAACGCCCTCGTACGCAAAGGACACGACAGGATCCTGTTCAAGACCAACGTCCGCCATTTTCCGAAGGTCTTGTACAATCGTGTCTAAGTCGCCCGTCGTACCCGTCTGTAGCCAGTTTGTAGGGATCTGGATGATGGTCGTCCTTAAAATCTTCACAATCTGCATCCAAAGTCGAAGTTTATCGAGTTTCTTTTCATGTTTATCGCGATCGAGAAGGCCTTCGTAAAATCTAAAAGGCTGAAACACGATAATTGACAGGCCCAACCGATCGCACTCTTGTCGGACATGACGGGCGGCTTCTAATCGATTCGCATCGCTCAAGCCGCCTGGTAACGTGCCAGCATATGTATCTAGGTCATCGTCGACAATTTCTACCTCGAGGAACCCATGGCCGGCCGCTTGATCAAGTCGCTTGCTGATTTTGTGTAGACTGAGGTGGCCCAGCGAGTTTGAGGCGATTGCTGGCTGCAACATGCCCATTGTCCGACTTGTGCTTGAGATCGCGATCCTTGTGGTCAAATTGTGATGTCTCCCAACATATTTCACCAATGCGTCCTACGCAGTCGCCAATCTGGTTAGCATAGTACGGAGTGGTCTCAAGAGAGTCGCTTGGGAATCAGGATAAATGACTTTTCCGGGCGCTTCGCAGCGCCGGAACGTGATTTGCTTGACAGAGCGGGCCAGAACCACAGAGCCATGCCAATATTCCGCATTCAACGCTGAGCAAGGCTGTGGTGACCGTCGTGTTGCGCCGTAGTCATCTTCTTCTTGTCAGACTCTGGATCAAACCATATAAAAATTGGGTAGCATGGGAGTTTCGGACGCCAGACACCGCTTGTACATCGCAGGAGGCCCTGGAGGGTCATCCATCGCCCCACCGGCACACGAGTTCATCGCAAGGAGCTTGGGCAAAGATTGGACCATGGATTTCCTTCAGCTGAACAGTCCTACGGAAGTCATCGAGATATACCGCCGGCCAGATTTCAGAGGAGGCGTGGTAACCATGCCTCATAAACGCAGCATAATACCGATGATTGACGAGGTCGACAATTATGTTCGTGCGCTTTCAGCCTGCAATTTGATCTATCCGGATCTCAAAGGGCGCCTTTGTGGAACGAACACGGACTGGATCGGCATCAGCGAGTCGATTTTGGTTCATGAGCAAGAACATCTTCCCGGACGGATTGCCTTGGTGTATGGTGCCGGGGGCGCTGCCCGCGCCGCTATCTATGCTCTTTTGCAGATACTTAAATGTTCCCAAGTCTACGTGATCAATCGCGACTCAAAGGAGGTGGAAGATCAGGTTGCAGATGTCTCGAAATATAACCGCACAGCGTCTTTAAATGTGCTTCACATACAAACCGTCAATCGTGCCAGCACACTTTCCAGCCCGCATTTCATTGTCAGCACCGTGCCAGATCAGGATGCGATCACGGAAGCTGAGGCGGAGGCCAGAAAGATACTGGTCGAATTCCTCTCTAGAGAAAGCAAGGGGCTGCTGGTCGATATGTGCTATCACCCATTAAGGACAAGAAACGTTCAACTGGCCGAAGAGAATGGATGGAGGACAGTCAATGGCATTGAGGTGATAGGATATCAACTGAAAACGCAGTGGTCCTTTTTCGGAAGCCCAGAGATTCCAGATCGGGCTGCTGAATTTCTACAAGCACTGGCAAAGGATTATGATTCTCGAAATGTGCACGATCATTAGAAGATAATGACAGCGACTCTGGCGTTCGCAGTCTTGACTACCTGTTGGGGGAATGAATTGTACCTAGATGGAAATCCTCTGACGACAGAACCCGTCCAACAATCGATATAGCGAGCACCACATTGTCAGCATCCGGCTGAGATATGTTGATATATTATTTCAGAAGTCGACATCATCACCATCTAACCTGTGTTTTGCTTGCCAGTACAAGAGATCGTGTTTTTCCGCTGCGATCTTGCTTCCGTCTTCGACACCTCTTTCTCTATTGTGCCGAGCATATCTACTCGAACTTGAACAACCATAGTAGTTTCCTGACAGTATGCTAAATACCGATAGCCAGAAGGGAACGTCCGAAGTAACTTGTCGTCGATTGTCGGTATAGTTCGAGAATCAACTGGGATCAGCATATCCTTCTCATACCAATGTCGGACAAACTTGGCTCGCCATTCTTTATTGCCATTTCGAAGAGAAAGCAGCAATCACTTTCGGCATCTACCTCGGCGCCGTCGAGAGGAAATCGCTGCGTGACTTTGGCCCTCATTTAGTGACTGCTCGAGTCACATCTTTGTTTATATCAGTCGACAGTCTATAGCACCGATGCATGAAAATTGTGCCCGCATCCATGCCACGCTTTGATGCTGCAAATCACACCATTGCCGTGGCTACAGAGAAAAATGGCCGAGGTATGATGGCTGCAGGGATTGCTGATGGTCACCATTTGGCGATAATACTCTTTGCAAATGCGTGATAGTGGAGACTAAGGAATGAAGAGGCAGCATACACTCTACCTTGCCTAATTAGGTGGCGAACGGCAGAATCCTTTATCCGAGGCTGGGATGTTGAAATCTGCACAACGATGGGCATCTAAGATAGACTCTGGGACAAGATCGTTGCCCTCGAAACGAACATTTTTCACCTACCACTTGCAGAAGCAGCTGTCGGTCTGGGTCTCATAAGTTGCGATGTTGTGTCTTTGAGGTTTGACAGTCAGAAGTGCAACGTCGCTGATTATGTAGTTTGTTTTCCTAGCGTCGTGCTTGAATCACTACTTGCGAGATGTCATCCTTAACTGGCGTACCGGTTAGAGATCTGTTTGATCTCACCGGCAAGACAGCTATCGTTACTGGCGGTACAGGAGGGATCGGAATCTCCACGAGCACGGCACTCGCAGGAGCCGGTGCCGATATTGTCTCCATCCAGCTGCCTAATGATCCTCAGGGTGGTACATTGAAGAGCGCCATGGAGAAACCAGGTCGGAAGCTCTGGGTGTTTGAATGCAATTTGAAAAACCACGAATCCATTCGGCGAACATTTCAGCAGATCTGGGCTTCTGGTATAACGCCAGATATCCTGGTCAATGGCGCAGGCATAACGCACCACTCTAAGATTGTTGATACCACTGTTGAAACAATTGACAACGTCAGTCTAGGTCTGAGCCATCGTGAAAAGTCAGAAAGGAAGCTGATATTCAGAACAAGATCCTCGACATCAATATCAAGGCGGCATACACCCTCTTACAAGAATTTGGTAAAAAGCTTCTGGAGCTTCAGAGGCCAGGGAAAATCATTCATATCGCTTCCATGGCATCATACATTGCACAGGAGGACATTTCAGTCTACGCCAGCAGCAAGTCATTCGTGCGGAATATGACGAGAGCGTTGAGCAACGAATGGGCCTCGCGGGGCATCCAATGCAACTGCATCAGCCCAGGGTAATTGTAACTGCGATCGATGTATTTCGGCACATTGCTAACTGGTTCCGTCCTTAGATTCATTCAAACAGCAATGTCAAAACATTTGCATAATGACCCAGAATTTAACAAATATGTGGTGGAACGAACTTCCTCGAGGCGCTGGGGATATCCTGACGACATGAGAGGATTGATTGTCTTCCTTGCTAGTCGAGCGAGCGACTTCATCACCGGCGAGAGTATCGTCATTGACGGTGGTGTACTAGGGAGATAGCTTGAGAGCCAAAGATAGTTCCAATCCATGCTGTTCTTGCAGAAATAATCTGTACTCGTGGATCCCAGAAACTGCGAACACCTTGCGATAGCTACCCATGTAGGCAGCCGTCAACAGATAACCGGGGACATGTCTCCTTGAATGATCATCACGAAAGAACTGATTCAGCGGGGTGGTATCTCATTGTTTTCCCGGTGTCATGCTACGTTTGAGCAATCGCCTGCTCCTGATCCACTGAACACCGTATGAACTCTAGTCTTTGATCAGTCACTTGATGTCAAACTGGGGGTGCAAATTGAGATGTATTGAATGCTCTCTCCCTTTGACAACTGGTCCTGCCGGTTGACAGTATATATACGTGCTTGGTTGACCACTTTTCTACTCCTATTCTTCCCCTATTCCTGCATAGGGGTGATAACCCTTTTCCAAGTAAAGGGTTACTGCTCATTGTTCGACGCAAGGGAAGCTCCTGGCCTGTTCATCGTCGACAATACCGTTCAGCCTCATAGATATTGTCATCAGCGCTCGAGCTGGTTCCTGCTCCGATACCGGATAGTGGTGCTCTTGTGCTAACGTTCAGGATGGGGAAACATGATCCGGCGACCTGAGTGATTCCAATAAATCCCTTTTGACCCGTATACATGTCAAGGAAGGTTTGGCGGATATTCTCGTTGCGCTCAGCCGGGGCCTGGTGAAGTAACTGATATAGGAAAATTGATATGAGGCTTTTCTGATCCCGATAGAGGGCCGCAATTGTCGGTAGGGGCCCGTTGGAGAAGGCCAACTCCCCCTGCAAAGTTGTGAACGTCGTAAGAGCTTCCCCGGATTTGATGGCAGAGATTCTCCACATCGTCGTCTGAGTAAATGCAGGGGCATGTTATCTCGCATCTGTGGCCCTCGGCGACGTTGTTGCCGTTGGCCACTTGTCAATCAGCCACAACTTACAGACCGAGAACAAGAATGGAGACTGTCGACAGAAAGTTGGGTGGACGAGTTGAGATGATATTGAGAAAGGCTCTTGATCAGCAAATTGCGTGTTTATGGACTTGCATGTGGGTGCTGCCACGCGTGGGATCCAACCGGGAGAACTGTTTGGGTTTATATAGCCATCCTCGGCTGTCGGCCCATTCGAGCGAGTGTTTTTGCGTGTGTGTGATCATTTGGTCACTACGGCTAATTGGTCTTAGTATTGCAGCCCATACATCGCTGTTTTGATCGTGCCCTCCCATTGGGAGATACCTCGATACTTCTATGAATAGTCTATAAATTCTGTATTCTAGAGTTCTTATTGACTACTCCATTGGATACCCACGGGGGAAAGATTACTGCGTCATGGCGAGGTAATAGATTTGTGGATCCGGCCAAGGTCGATGTCGATGCAGTAACTTTACCCCATAGTAGTATTAAAATTTCATACAGTCTACTATCTAGGTAATGGTCGTGCTCTATGAATCCAAATCCAAGTCACACACGCGATGTTCATACACTCAATCCGAACAATCACATCATGTCATCAACGCCGTACGATGTTTTTCATTCAAAATCATCGTCCTCTCTTGATAATGGGCTGGGGCGATTCAACCGAACAGGACTCAGAGGCGTTACCGGCTCCAGAGGATTCACAAGTCCTCCCGCAGCTCCTGCACCCCCCAACAAACTTCTCCGGTCCACCCGGTGATCGCCTTTGTCCAGAGTTGTCATTTCTTCCACGGTCTCATCTTCAACATCGCCCTCGCCCGGGATTCCGCCTTCGAGTTCAAGCTGGCGAGTAGCCCCGGAATAACCTCTTTTTCGAGCTTCTCCCAACTTCATTCTAACCGCCAGTCGTAACTGCTCCAGGTATTCTGCCATTTCCTGATACTCCTTGGTCGCTTGAGCCTTTTGGGTCTCATTGTAGAGTTCTTGCGCTTCGTCCAGTCGTTCTCCCGCAATCTCTGCCCGTCCAAGTTTCATCCATTCGTCTGCAGTCATAATGTTCCAGAGTGCGGCTTTGCGCCTTCGCATGCCCCAGTTGGTGTGTCCAATACCGATACGGTCTGCAAAACAGGATGCGATCCGCTCGCTGACAAGGACATGGCCGGTACTACCAACCAAACCGAGCTCCAGGCTGCGGATCGCCCACTTGGCCGCTAACTCGCTCGCTGCTCGACCCCGAACTTTGAGGAGCTCCACTCCCAGAAGTATCGCGCGTAGTGCCAAGGCGGGATCCGAACAGCGAGTTAGATACGAATAACTAGCGACGTCAAGCATCAGATCAAAGTTCTCAATTTTGAATTTCGAGCTCCCACTGCTGGTCAAGGGGTTCAATAGTGTAGCGATACAGCACATCTCGTTCGCACCTGCGAGATATTTCCAGGCTTTGTCGTTCGCATAGTCTGTTCGGAGGAGCTCATAGGTCGAAGCGGCCAGCTTATAGTCGCGCAGCATGAAGGCGTAATCTGCGAGCTTACGCAGGAGACTTTCGGGAGCATCATATCGGTACATGCCCTGCAGACTGTCATAGTTGCCGCTTGCGCCTGAGCCGCCCAAACTAGTGATTGAGGATGAGCTTCGAGAGGGGCCGGCAATTCCTGTCCACCGCTTGGAGAGGGACATAAATCGACCAGAAATACCTCGCCTGCGGGAGGCAATTTGTTCATTCCAAAGCGCAATCCTTTGCTCCATATGATAGATAATGGACTGTGCCACGAGCTCGCGAACAAAAGCCCGTAAAGCCGCGGCATCGGAGGAGAAGATATACGGCGAGGGGGACGTGTTTAGGTCAATGAGATCAGCAGTGTCATACAGAAACGCGAGTTGCTCAGAAGGAGATAACCATTCGCAGGGAGGAAGTTCTTCAGTGTCGTCGTCCGATGGCGTGCATGATGCAGATCTCAATCGGAGAAGATGACAGTGAAGGCCGAAATGTCGTTTCATCTGGTCGAAGAGTGCCGATGATTTGCTGAAGTCATCTCTATCTTCGTCATGAACGAGAACATAATATCTGAGGTATTCTGGGTTGGCGTATGCCGGCAAAGCTTTCGATCCCTGAGCCGTTTGCTGATAGAGATTTCGGAGTGTGTCGATCGGCTGTTTGGTAGAAGAGCTGATGGCAATGACTGCTCCTACCGGATGACGAAATGATTCGTGTGGAGCCATGGATTGGGCGCATAAAACGCGAGTCAGAAACAGCCTGTAAAAAGGAGAGATCTCGCCTCGTCCGGGAAGATCATCCCCGTCATCGAATCCTTCGTCGATAAATTGTTCCATCAGCTCTTCTAGTTTCTCTAGTTGATTTGTATCCGACGGCGGTGATGTGCCCTCCTGAACCAGTTGGCCAAGATCCGCAAAATGGACAGCAAAGTCCTCCCAAGCTCGACTCGCACCGGTGCTGTCTCGGATCACCATTTTCCCCGAGACTTTATTGCCGAATGGACGAACTAGTCCGGTAAAGCCATTCTTGACTCCTTTGCGGGCGGCAAGTTCGTCCACCTCTTGCGCCGCGTAGATGGCGAGAGTGGGTGAAAATGCCCGAACAATCAGCGACCGTGTATCATTATAACTCTCTGAAGGATTGCCCAATGGGCTGTTCACTTGGGATCTCCCGAATCTCGGAAACGACAATGACAGTCTTCCGTTGGGAGAGCTGGAGCGAGATAGGACGCTGGAAAGAGTACTCGTCCGCGAACCTAAGGGAGGAGGGCTGGAGGTGCGGAGGGGGAGGCTGGTGGTAGAAGTCTCGGGTGATTCATCCCTTGCGGGTGATCTGGTCTTGTGAACTTCGAGGACAGGTATTGACGAGAGGTACTCGGGCTGCTGAGGCGGGTCTCCATCACTCGGCGATGTCATGGACAGCGTTGATTGTGGGGTGAAGATTTATAGGATGCTGTCCTGCGTCGCATGGAGTATGAGCGTTGAATGGGACAGGTGTGGGGGTCAATCAACATGTCAAGATGATTGAGTAGTCAGTGCTATTGACAGCATGCTCTGCAATTCCATTGGGGAGGGGTGCGTAATCGCAATCTTTGTCTAATGCAGTTCCATCTGAATTCCAGCGGAGCCGGAAATCACATTTAGCGCACATGAAGTTTTTGATTCACCGTTGATGAAGACATTTGAGTACGGCAGATCACGTGGGATACGCAGAATCTCGTATCTTGGATGGTCTAGCCTCGTTGCAGGCCTTCACGAATTCATAGCTAGACCAAGGTATATGAAAACGACTTATTTCTGGTCCATCAGTTCTTCGGTATCAATTCACCACGCTCTTTTCGACGTGGTATGCCCGCGCTTTTTTTGCCTCGATATACGCATCACAAAAGCGAAAGATGGATCTCCACTGTTTCATACCTATTCACATCAATGCTGGCGATTTCCTCTCCGAGTTCGTCCAAGAAGGCGTACTCCGCGCGCCTACATTTGCCGACAGCCAGGCAGCATTCCCTGACTTGCATTTTGAGCTGGAGATGCTCGTTATGGAGAATGAAAAGGCTCGAAAGGCTCACAAGGCCATGGGAACGTTGCTACAAGAATCAAATTCCCAGCCTCGGAGACCTAGCGTAACGCCTCTAGATTCAAGCGAAGAAGTCTTCTACTGTACGAAAACACCTTCTACCGATTCGAAGGCGGAAAGATCTCCCGAGTTTGGGGCATAGTGCATGAGGCGGGCATGGAGGAGAACACGGCGGTCAAGAGGGTGATGAAGACAAAAATGGACAAATGAAGCTGAGCTCGATTCGCACTGGACCGTAGTTGTTTCCCCCCGGCCCACCATCACGTTTCGAAGACGGGGGGCTTCTGCATGGATGCTTGTCAATTCGCAACGACTTGTCTCAGATCTCAATGTCTTTCTGTATGCTTATACGCTACAATTAATTTTGTTGCTCCACAGCTCGATCCACTGTGGCGGCGGTCTCGCTACGGTCACCCAATAGCAAGTTCCGGCCCCTGAATATTTGATGCCACCTGCCACCACGCACACCACCGCTTTTTTTAATCGTTACCGGCCTCTCTCCCGACCTCTCTCCCAACGGGAAAGGCAATTTCGCAGCAATGATAACGTTCAGAACGATGCCACGCGTCGAGAAATTTGGTCGATACTTCTATTGGCATGGACGCACCGCCCGAATATTTTCCTACATCAAATTCGTTCTCTGAATCCTTCGACCCCAACGTTCGTTGTCGCATCGCACACTTCAGGCGAGCCCACAGGATGCGACGCGACCTGAGTGTCGCTCTGATCTTTGGCGTAGGGGTCGCGCTCGCTGCTCCCCCAGTGCGTGACTCTGCGGAGCCGCACCTGCTCCGCGCCCGCAACATCGTCGACGACATCTCTGACTCCTACGACTTTGTCATCGTCGGCGGGGGTCTCGCTGGCCTTGTGCTCGGCGCGCGTCTTTCGGAAGATGCCAACCATACCGTACTGGTCCTCGAGGCCGGCGGCACGGGAGATGACTATCGAGAGCGGATAGACACTCCAGGATATGCGTACTATGAGTCCCTCTGGCCGACAGAGTGTAACTGGGCGTTCACCACCAGCCCTCAGACCGGTGCGGGTAATACCGAGATGGTCTGGCCTCGGGGCAAGGTCCTTGGAGGTTGGTGTTATTGTTTCATCCGTCATGGTTAAAGGAGAACACTGACGTCGCGCGTTCACAGGCAGTTCCGCCATCAATGGAATGTACTTGAACCGACCAGGCGAGATCGAGATCAATGCTTGGAAAGACATGCTTGGTGACATGGACGGCGCTGAGAACTGGTCGTGGGACTCCTTCTTCGCGGCCATGAAGAAGAGCGAGACTTTCAATCCCCCCACTGACGATATGGCTGAAGAGGCTGACATCACTTGGGATGCGGCCAGCCACGGTACCCAGGGGCCCATTCATTACTCGTATCCCGGCTAGTGCGTTCGCCACATCTCTGATTTTTGATCCCGCTGACACCATGCTTCAGCACGTTCCCTGATGTTGGTCAATGGTCGACGGCGGCGGAAAATTGTGGCGTTGCCGACTCCCGAGACACGTATGGCGGCGAGAACTGGGGGGCATATGTTGCGACCTCCGCCATCAACCCGGCCAACTGGACGCGATCGTACAGCAAATCGGGATATCTAGATCCTCTCCCGCCGCGGCCGAACTACGACGTCCTGGCCAACGCCCATGTCACTCGCATACTCTTCAACGCTTCTTCTCCGGCGGGCAATTTAACGGCAAACGCCGTCGAGTATGTACGCAACGGTGGTGAGGAGAAGTTGACCGTCAAGGTCAAGAAGGAGGTCATCCTCGCAGGTGGCACGGTCGGCAGCCCTACTGTTCTGCTCTACAGCGGAGTTGGTCCCAAGGACGTCCTGTCCGCCGCCGGAGTTGAGCTCGTGTCCGAACTTCCTGGTGTCGGACAGCATCTTCAAGATCATCTCGTGAGTGTCATTCGACTTCCTGATGTGGATTCTTCGGTACTTATCGTTAAACTAGAGCGTCTCCGTGCAGTGGAGCACGGATCAGGCGACGGCGGGCTCTATATACGCTGATGACGGCGCTGAGAAGGTGTGTTCTGTCCGGTCTGTAAAGTCTCCATTCCGTGCTGACTCCTGTAGAACGATCCAGTCTTCCTCTCGTATGTCAACTCTGCCGTAGCATACGCGAACGCCACCGTTCTCTTCGGTGCCGGAGCTGGCGACCTCCAGAGCCAGATCATGGACCAGATCAATAATTTCGTCCCCACTACGGGCGACACGGATGTCATAGCTGGCTACAAGGCAATCTACAGCACAACCGCGAACGACATCGTTGCCAGTCCCATTGGCTTGGTCGAACTCTTAATAGGTAACGACATTGATGGCGCCATTCGCATCGGAGCCGCTCTCCAGCATCCGTTCAGCCACGGTCAGATCTACATCACCTCGTCGAACCCCTTGGACTACCCGGTTATCAACCCCAATTACCTGACACACCCCGCTGGTACGTTGCGTGTTCGCTGCCAACAGATTGCCTATGAAGGCTGACATACCCATAGATATCCAGATTTTGCGCGAGGGGATCAAATTGGCGCGTCGCATAGGTGAGGCGGACCCGTTGAAAAGCAGCATGTCGGAAGAGACGCTGCCTGGTTCCGACGTCCAGTCTGACGAGGACTGGGAGGACTACATTCGCGGCAACAGTTTCACCGAGTTTCATCCATCGTCGACATGTGCCATGCTCCCTCTTGAACAAGGTGGCGTGGTCGACGCCAACCTCCGCGTATACGGTCTAGCCAATGTCCGTGTCGCCGACGCCAGCGTACCGCCTATCTCTTTCTCCGCGCATCTGATGGGCCCAACATATGGGTTGGCTGAACAGGCGAGCACCCTGATCCGCGCTTTTCATAATGCCCCAATTGTGAAAACCTCTCACTCCAACTCGAAGAACAACACAAGCTCGAACAGCGGCTCGAAGACGAGCTCAAGTAGTACTTTGACCAGTGCTTCAAGTACTGGTTCAAGTCCTACATCGAGTAGCGACTCGAATGATGCCAACGGCACCTCGTTGCTGCATCCCGAGACACTCTTGTTCGCGATCATGGTGTACATCTCTTCTACATTACTGCTTTGAATATACGACACTCTCGGTCCGGCGTCGGGGGGTTGGCGTTTTATCTGTGGACCTTGGTAAATATATGCACAAAACGCGGACAGGACAGCATAGCGAACAAAATAGCTCGAGCAGGCCTGCAATGTCGCAGGAGCTTCTCAGCTGTAATGGTAGATAGTAATTCAACGATCAAAAGTACATACCAGTATAACGGCATCTTTGTTTGAAGGAGCAGATTTGAGTTGTAATGTCGTTGCCGGGAAATCTGCCTCTGGTTTAGGCAGCCTGCCCGTTCTTGGCCGCCCGCCGCTTTTGATGTCGCTATAAGAACCGCTCTCCCATCGTCGACGTCGACCTCCCCATCATCCTCACATGATGGTATTTCCGTTGCCCCGAACAAGCCCTGGGAAAGTGATGACACTTCCCTTGTCCTGTATGCTGTACAACAGCGCAGCACATAGCCCGACCCACCATTAGCCGTTGCCAGTCCCATAATGTGTCCCCCCGATCCTGCTATCACCCTTGCCATCTCTCTACTTGAGGCCCGCCCAGAAGAAATCTGCCCAGGCCGCAAGATCTGCGACATTAAAGACGACGTCGCCTTCTGGCGGTACAGCGGCTCGGAGGAAGATTTTGTCAAATTCGAGAATCAGTGGCGCTCCAGCAACGTCATAGGCTGAGACAGTGCCTGGCTGAGCGGTGACAATTGGCTGACCGATGATATTTGACTGAGCAGTAGGACCTAGTTGTGGAGTGGGATTTTGGGTGATAGTAAGCTCTTGGGCTTTTGTCGGAATTGAAGCGTTGGGATTTGGGTGGCCTGTTGTAGCTGGTCTGTATGCAGGAGGCGGAGAAGCACACCACTTTTCGACCGTTATCGTCTTCTGTGCTAGTTTTATTGAGATGATGATGGCAATCTTGACATCTCCAGAGTTGACAATCCACCATGCTGCGTCATGTCTCAGACGAGTAACGTTTTCAGAGAGTCCAGACTCAAAAACAATTGTTGGCCAGTCAGATTCCTTTCCTCGGGTCGGGAGGGGGCAGAATCCCATGTCACCCTCTTTAGAGGAATTAGGGAGTTTGTACGTTGTCCCGCCAATAGGATATAAGCACTCTCGTGGGAGGCCCATTGTGATGATAAGTTCGTCACGAAGTCTCATGGCTAGTGTGAGGTGCCCAACTTCATGTACCTTTGAGGGCATCAGCTTGATAACTAACAGATTGTTATCCGCGTAATGGCTCATCCGAGTATGCTTCCCTATGCTGGCGTGCTGATGGTCAATCTTTTCAAGTTGGCCTTTTGTGACACCCCTGAAAACAAGGTACTGCTGATTCGTGTGATCGTCCATCAACGCAGCAGACTGCGATTTGACACGTTCCTTTAGATCTCGGATCCCTTTGTACGAATAGATACGAGCGTCTTCTACTCCCTCTAAGGGCGATATCTTCGGTGGTGAACTCTCCACTGCCGTAGTCTCTTTTGATGTAGTTGAGCTTGAGGATGACCTTGACATGGGTGCATATGTAGGTGCCCCATCGCTGGGTCCGCAAATTGTATTCATGTTGAGGTTCGAAGGCCGGAAGGCGCAATGTTGAAGGAGTAGGTAGAAAAATTAGACAGGGAAAGTTGTTGATGAATCAGGCGTGTACTGAGGCGAGAGGTGGGTGCACTGAGGTAGGAGAGATTATGAATGATGAACTGTATGGGAGAGAGGATTGATTGATTGATCTATCTCAAAGCACACTGCTGAATGTTAACATAAGTAGGTGGAAAGTGTTGAGGGCGCAAGTTGCCTGGGGTGTCACTACAGTTTGATAATGCCAAGCCAGCATTGCCTATTCTGGCCAACAATGAACGCTTAAGTAGCCCTTCAGTAGAGAATGCAATAGGTAAAAGCGAATATAAAAGTGACTCTCTCGAGGCTGTGAGACTTGGCGTGCCAGCCAAGTGCTCACGTGAGAATGAAGACGCTGCTTTAGCGGAGCCCTAGGGATCAATTTTGTTCACGTGACTTGACCGTCTCTGGTTCGCTCGAAGTGACCCGACAACACTGAAACTCTTAACATCGCTGCTATGTAGCATTTAAAATTGGATCAACCAAAAAGGTTCGAGTTTTTCTACGTCGTTGTAAGGTAAAAGAGTAGTGGGAAAAAGTTGCGTTTCGTACGCTAAATGGTACGACGTACCATTTTCAAAAGGGCGGACCACTACTCCAGAATGGCGCTTATTTTACCACCATTTCGCAAGCGTATATGAACGATTTGAAAGTTGAAAAGACGTTTGCCTACTAGCTGAGCATTTCTGCACACGATCATGCAAAAATACGAGTCTTTTATGCAGTGTTTGTGGCGTTCTGGGAGGGTGTTGCAACTGGTGTGCATAATCTCGCCATCACCTGATCGCGCGATCCCTGGCACGCGAAGCGTGTCGTGTCCCTACCTTTCCTCAACTCGAGGACGCCCCTTCCCTCCTGTCATGCCCGACGAAGATGCGATATACTGCTCGGCCTGTCTTCAAAGGCGCCCACTCTCCTTCTTTCTCAAAGATGCCGCCGCCGCCCCGCCCCGAGAGCAAAGTCTTTTCGACCTGTATGTCCGGCCGTGACAAACTCAGAAAGAGGAGGGCTCGACAGCCGTCACATCCTATCCCGGCCAAGAGACGGCTCACAGAAACTCCTACACGTCCAGGACCATCGACATCGATCCTGCCTCCTCTTCTCGAATCTCATCTACCTTCGATCCTCCCTCCCCTCGGTCCAACGCGTCTCGAACGACCTTGACCCGAACCACCAGCCTCGGGCTTTCTCCCACCCGAACAATGGGCGTCGGTCCAGAGTTTTCACACGGCCGTGTAAGGGACGATGGTTCTCGATGGATTTAAAGGAGGGGGTCTGCCACGCCTGTTTCTTACGGGACAAGGCCAACCAGACTCCCTTCCTCATGTCCGCCGAGAACGAGATGGATCCGGGAGAGCTGCCGGCCCATCTGCCCGCGCTGACTCAAGTCGAGGAGATGATTGTCGCCCGGTCGCACGTGCAAATGATGGTCTATCGCTACCGTGGCCACCAGTACCACTACTCGGGACACTGTGTCAGTTTCATACAAAACACGATGAAGACGGTCGATGTAATCTGCATGCGGAACTTGATGTGCTGGTGCTACGGCCCTCAGATCGCGTCGTCGGACATGATCTCCAGTATCGACGCCAGTTCCGGTCGGATTTTCGGGCTCGGAAGGGACATGTCATGACCTGGCTGCGGTTTCTCCAGGCGCACCACCCGGATTACCGGTATATCACTATTTCCCCGGACCGGATCGACGCCCCTACCGATCGATGGCGATATATCCTCATCGTTTCTGGCTCTGATCGATGAGGCGAGTGGGGAGGAACCCCCCGCGCCCGAACAACCGGTTCCCACCGAGCTGCCCCCGCCGAATTCTCAATCGATGGTCCCCAATCTCAATGTCGCCGCGACCGAGGCGGATCTCGTCGTACGAGAGATTGCCAGCCGGAATTCCCCCCTCCCAGCCTTCCCGCACCCTCGATTCGACAGACCCCCATCGACGAAGCGTCGGGCCAAGATCGGATCTTTGCCATGGCCTTCCCGACATTGTATCCGACGGGTCAGGCTGAATTCAACACCCCCGGATGCGGAAGGTGGATTTAAACGATTACACGCGGCATCTGACGTGCCTTCACGACGAGAGGTTCGGCCGGCACCCGCGCTAGCGGTTTTTCGTCTTCAACCCCTAATGCGTCGGAAGGCCAACGGGGTGGCCCGCTTCTACGTGTCGAAGGCGTCCGGTCTCAAGGATCTCAGCCGGGAAGAGCTGACGGAAGCCCCGCCGGCCGACGATGCCCTCCTCCCTCAGATTGTGCGCCAAGGTTCCGATCTGACGGGGACACGCCCGTTTTGGGGGAATAAGAGCAACCACTTACAGGCCCAGGCCCGCTTTCCCTCGCCCGGCACGTCGCCTGTTTTCGTGACTTTGAGCGCGGCGGACATGCAGTGGCAGGACCCAAAGAGAGCATTGCCTAGGCCTTTCGTATGTAGCCGTGTCATGCGTGAAGACATTAGATGGGCTGTTATTTGAGGCGCCGTTTGATTTTGAGCGCTTTGCAAGTGTACATACAGTTAGATCTCAAGAACGGGACTTAAACTTTTAGAACAAAACAGTTATTATGACTTGGGGTCGAAATCGCTAGCTATATAGATGGGCTCTATTCTCATCGCCGATATCGTTGTCGGCTTTCCTAATTAAAGTATACCGTCGTCTACTCATGGTCCATGGACTGGATCCGATGGGGAATATCGTACGGGCGCAGAACATAGTGGTCAACGTCGTCCACACGTGATCCATAGACTGGATCCGATCAAGGCATTCTACCCACTCCTGGGTGGCCCATGGATTGGATCCGATGGGGCCAGCCAATCAGAGCAAAGGATTTGGTAGTTGTCGGATTATAGATTTTCCGGACCACCGGAGGGTTGGCCAATTACATGAATCGTTATGGGGCCGCACGCGTGCGCCGCCAAGAATTGCCAAGACCAGTGTGGTCGGCTCAATCACGTGATGAAAAAGGCTTGGCAATCTCGAGCGCAGCGAGGCCTGGTTCCAATATAGGTTAACTCCTCCAAGCATTGTCTCTCTCAATCAACGCCAGCTCCGAAGGGCTCTGTAGAAGGACAATCCATCAATCCTCCTACCCTTCAGTTCAAAGCCTGAGGCGCAAAGTGATGACGCACAAGTCCGCATCTCAAAGTCTTCTTGGACTTGCGAGAAGTTTCAAACGTGTGAATGTTATCGACCCATTGACAGTACGCTTTCCTCAAAACACCTAACTTTCGGGGTCTTTTCATTGACCTGTGACAGCAATGCTTCGCACCGCGATTATCTCGTCAATTTGCCGCTCACACCCAACTCTCAATGCCTGAAATCGCCCAAGACCCAGGATCCGCTTCATCAACGCCTCAACATGCACCTACCTTCTACACCCTCGACTCCCCGGTTCTGACCACACTGTATGCCTGGCCTCAGCTGGAACCTTCACGATATGCATTGTTTAAATCTTGGTGCCTTGACGCCCCCATGCGACGGGACATCCTTCACCGCGCAGTCATCTACGAAGCGGACGCAACGAGACAAGGTACTGCCAGCACCAAATGGCGGTTCGAAGTCCATGGCAGCAACCGCAAGTTATACCAACAGAAAGGCACCGGCAGGGCTCGTGTACGCGATAAGAAGTCACCTATTAGAAGAGGGGGAGGTGTCGCCTTTGGACCAAAACCCAGAGACTTCTCTACCGAGCTGCAGAGGAAGGTCTATGCTCAAGCGTTCAAGATCGCCTTGAGCTACCGGTACAGAAAAGGGGAATTAATCATTCTCGACAACAAGATTCGATTACCGGAAAACACGGGCGCAAGATTCCTGAACAATGTGTTCGAAGCGAATCGTTGGGGTAAAGGGAATGGCAGAAGTCTGCTTGTCACCAGCACTTTGGAAGCAGGGGATCCAGAGATCTTCAAGGAAATGCGCGAAATTGGCGAACACGGATCTCTCAAAGACATTAAAGATGTTGATGTGAAAGATCTCCTCGAGACGGGACGGGTGGTCATTGAACAATCGGCGCTCCTGAATTTGTTGACAAAACATCTCGATGAGCCGGGTCCGGTTATGAAGTACTTATAGATGTACCAATACTAGTTCTGATTCTACATTGTACATTCAACCATCTTCATCAGAGTATTTGAGCTGGCAGGCCAACTGTGCACTCATTAAAAAAAAAAAAAAAAAATTTCAATTTGCAGGATGACGCGGATGCTTCCCCGTAGAAGGCTGAGCAAACTTCGGCCGAAATTCTCAAAATCTCGGTGCGAATTTTTGTCTGCCCCTTCGATCAAGTTCGTGGACATTACAGTGTATTCGTGCAGATCAAAGCCCAGTTCCGAAACATTAAGAACCTTCCCACCGTCAAAGGTGCCGTCTGACTTCTTTTGGCTTCTCTGCCGTCATGGCGATCCAAAAGAAGCACGGCAAGGGAAGACTTGGTACGAACTCCCCTGCCACCATTTCATCCCACACATTTATTCACCTGCGACAGATAAATGGTATAGGCTCGCCAAAGAGAAGGGATATCGAGCTCGAGCAGCTTTCAAGTTAATCCAATTAAACAAGAAATATGGCTTCCTGGAAAAGAGCAGAGTGCTCCTGGATCTCTGCGCCGCGCCCGGCTCGTGGTGCCAAGTTGCAGCTGAGAGCATGCCCGCATCAAGTCTAATCATCGGTGTCGATTTAGCTCCCATAAAACCCATTCCTCGAGTCATTTCCTTCCAGAGCGATATCACCACCGATAAGTGTCGAGCGACCATTCGGCAACATATCAAACATTTGAAGGCCGATACTGTTTTACACGACGGCGCCCCCAATGTGGGGGTCGCATGGGTGCAGGACGCATTCTCACAGGCCGAACTGGTTTTGCAGTCAATGAAATTGGCGACGGAATTCTTGAAAGAAGGAGGGACATTTGTTACAAAAGTATTTAGATCCAAAGACTACAATGCGCTGCTCTGGGTATTCAAGCAGTTATTTGTATCAGTGGAGGCCACCAAACCTCCCTCTTCGAGAAATGTCTCTGCTGAGATTTTTGTCGTCTGCAGAGGATTCAAGGCCCCCAAAAGACTGGACCCGAAATTTCTGGACCCGAAGCATGTTTTTGCCGAGTTGCAGGAGCCGACGCCGAATAACGAAGCGAAGGTTTTCAATCCGGAAAAGAAGAAAAGAAAGAGAGAAGGTTATGAAGAAGGAGACTGGACTCAGCACAAAGAAGTGTCGGTCAGCGAGTTCATCCATACGACCGACCCGATCGCCATTCTGGGTTCAGTCAATAAACTGAGCTTTGAACAATCTTCCAATGGTGATCTTGCACTGGCAACCCTGGATCGGCTACCGGAGACGACGCAAGAAATTCGAGATTGCTGCGCTGATCTGAAAGTTCTGGGAAGGAAAGAATTCAGAACGTTACTCCGTTGGCGATTAAAAGTACGAGATAAATTTGGTATGTCCAGTAAAGTAAAAAAGCAGCAAGAGGCAGAAAATGCAAAGGAAGCCGACGAAGTGGCGGAAGTTGAACCAATGGATGACGAGCTCAGAATCCAGGAAGAATTACAGCGGCTCAAGGACCAGCACACAAAGGAGAAGAGGAAAGAGCGACGAAAGGAAAACGAGAGGAAACGGAAAGAGATAGTAAGGATGCAGATGCACATGACGGCTCCTTATGATATTGGACTGGAACAGCAAGGACCCGCCGGCGAAGGTTCCATGTTCCATATCGCGTCGGCCAATACAGCACAAGATCCTGCCGAGATTGCTAAAGGTCGAATGGAAGATGTCGAAGATGTCGAATCCGAAGAATCCCAAGACGAACCAGAAGAAGAAGATTCAGACGACGATGGAGACAGACTCGAGCGGCAACTCGATTCCATGTATGAGCTGTACCGACAGAGACGAGAAGAAGCAGACGCTAAAACACGAGCGAAAAGAGCGAGGAAAGAAAAAGAAACAGACGAATGGGGCGGTTTGTCAGACGATAATGACAAAGCTGGCGACGTTACCTCGGATGCGGAGACAGATTTCGAAGACGATGACCGCATGCAACAGATTCCCCAAAGCGAAGGACTGTCCACGAAGGCAGCCATGTTCTTCGATCAAGATATATTCCAAGATCTTGGTATTGAAGACGACAATGACGAGAAAGACAGTGCCATAGAGCTGGACGACGAATCATCCGACCAAACGAAACCGGTATCCGCGAAATCGCAAGCGAACCAGAAACAAACCAAACCCTGCAAATCGGCACGGAAGAAATCACAAAAGGCTCCTGTCCCAGAAGACTCAGACTCGGGCTCGGAACCAGATACCTCGCCCACATCAAGTACCCAGCCCTCACGTCCTGAAGACCCTTTTCTCCCCAATGGTCAACTCGACATCGACATCATCACCGCCGAAGCCATGACCCTCGCCCAATCCCTCGCGACCAAACGCACCAAACCTGCCGACCTCGTCGACGACGGCTTCAACAAATACTCGTTCCGCGACACCGACGGCCTCCCCGACTGGTTCCTCGACGACGAAAACCAACACTCGAAACCACACCGACCCATCACCGCCTCCGCCGCGGCGGCAATCAAAGAGAAGCTCCGGGCTCTCAACGCCCGACCTATCAAGAAAGTCCGCGAGGCCAAGGGCCGCAAGAAACTCAAAGCGGCGCAACGTCTGGAGAAACTTCGGAAAAAATCTGCGCTCTTGGTCGAAGATGAAGGCATCAGTGAAAAGGATAAAGCGGCGAGTATTTCGAAGTTGATGGCACGGGCGGCGAAGAAGGGTCGCCCCAAAGAGAAAATCAAGCTTGTTGTGGCGAGGGGTGGACATAAGGGCATTGCTGGGCGGCCAAGGGGCGTGAAAGGGAAGTATAAGATTGTGGATGCGAGGTTGAAGAAGGATGTTAGGGCGGAGAAGAGGTTGAGGAAGAAACTCAAAAAATAGACTGAAAAACGGGAGCCGCACGCTTTTGAAAAGACAAAAGAATCGGGCGTCGTTCTGGAATGTTTACGAGTATGTACAGAGATGTGTTGACAGGGACTATCATCCTGATATGAACATCTCTGCTTCCCTTGATTGGCTCTGTCATAAGCTCTTCTACTGTCAAGCTCTTCCCATTCTGAAGCATTTAGCTTGTGTGCAAGTCTACTACGAATGCTGATTTCTCCCCTCGGTTCATGACCGACTGGTCCTGGGTTCCTGTCGCGTTGACCTCACTTCCCCCTCAACCTCCACTACCCCTTTTCTTCGAAATCGGTATGGCAGCTAGACCGGGAACTATTCTGTCTGTTATATTTGGTGTCGGCTTAAGGACAAGCCCTCCAACCCGGGATCTGCCTCGAATAGTCCTCGAACAGGACCAGCGGGTCTCTGTTCCGGTGTGACAGCCATTCTCGTGCTGTTGTATAGTTGATGGGTCAATTCCTTCCCTTTGCTGGCCTGGTTTTCGCCAATGATGACTTGGGCTCGAATGTGAAGGTAATTTCTTGTTGAATTGCTCTTTTTTAAAATCAATCTCTTTCACTTTTTCCATCCTCCGAAACCCCATCTGCTGCCGTTCTCTTCACCCGCATCGAATTTATCTAATTCGCTACCATCGCCTGAATAGCCGATATAGTTTCTGTTATCATCAATGATACGTCCATACTCCAAGAACAGTCGGAACATGTAAACCTCAATATCCTCTCTCCGGAGGACCTTGTGGGCCCATTCGCGGCCCTGTCGGGCTAGTTTTTGGGCCTCCTTGCGATGAGGCGCGATATAGACCCGAGGATTCAAATCGTCACCTTCCATCGCATGCTCCATGTCGGGTTTGCCATAGCCGATGAAATAGGTCAGGAGAGCATAAATGTCGTCATATCGGTTGTCGACAGGAACAAAGTGTCGCCAGGCCAAAAGTCGACTGTCGTGCCACTCTCGGAAGATGGTCGCCTTCAAGCCGAGACTCTTGCTTTGTAGGAATGCGTGCCATCGGCCTGAAAAGGAATGACCGTCCACATCAATCAAGTATTTCGATTTGAATTGCGACGTAAGTGAGACCTGAGGCTTCCAGGAGAAAACCGTGTCGTAAAACGAGCAATTCGGAACGCAACCCCAAGATTCGACGAAACCGACATCGCTGTGACGGTCGGCAAATTGAGAGGGCTGAAATCGATCGTAAAGCTCATACGTGATATTCGCGTTCGCCGGCTCTTCTCTCTTTTCCGTGAGGACCTTGACCTCGGTCCCTGACTGCCCGGTGTATGTGCCGTTGAAAAGTCGAACAAGCCTTTGTCGGTGCATGGTGGGCCAATTATCCTCCGTCTGAACGCCGCCGGAAGTGACACCACGCCACAGAATGGAATCTTGCTTGTCGCGCCAATCGACATCTTCTTCACCATTGTAGTCATACCGTTCATCATGTCGATAGTACATGTTGGCCGGGAAGAGAATGTCATTGTTGACATTAACCTTGCATTCGCCAAAGATCGGAACAAGCTTGTGAGAGGCAATAATGCTACTGGCCGAATAAAGCATACCATGAAGATCCTGTATCGTGGGGCCCACAGTACAGAGGTCGGAAGAAAGATTGAAATTGGTCACGATTCCCGCTGTTGATTCTTTGTAGAGCCTGTCAGCCTCCTTGGTGGTTATGTCGGTCCGCGCCGGAGAGTCCGGTGGACATGCTTTGGCAGCAATCTTCATGTACTGTTGACCCGGTGCGAAAAACCATTCATCGTCAAGCCGGGTTGAATTGTCTTCCTCTTTGTCCTTAATACTCATGTCCAAAAGGTCCTTGGGTTCCTGGGTAAAGCTGTCCATGACTTCGGGGGGCATGGTTCGAGTCTCATATTCTTTCTTCAACAATTCCTGCATATCCTCCCACGGCACCACCACGCGAGGCTGATCCAGCCGATTCATAGGGATATCCATGTCCGGGAGGAACTGGATAAACTTGCCGATGATCTCTTCCATGGTTTCGGACCTCCAGCTCGGATTGTCGACTCGGACAATTTTATGATTGCGGATATGGATGACAGCAACTCCAAAATCAGAATTCTCCCACATGTGAGCAGCCCGAATGCGAATCTCCGAAGCATTGACGGCCCAAAACGGTCGCAGGTCGTCCATGATTTGTTCAAAGTCGTCGACGTTGAAGACATTTCTCTTCCGCGCAAACTTGTACCATTCTTTGAACCCCGGAGGAGGATGTCTGCCATACTTGCTTCGATACTTCTCCACCGTCTGTCTGAAGGTGGTGGATATGCCAGTCTCATAGACTCTCCACTGGTCGTCAGCCTCCTGCATTAACCGTGCAATGGGGTGCAGGTCGAAGTGTTCCACAGCATGTGACGGGGGCGGAGAAGAAGGATTCGTCGGGTCCGCAGCGGGCTCGACAACAGGAGAGGGTTCCGGGTCAAGGTCCCACATGTCGTCCGGATCAGAGGGGACTGGCTGTTTGTGACCGGTCGGAGTCAAATGGCCCGGGATGGGAATGTGAGCAGATGCATCCCGAAACCTGTCACCGGAAAATGACAGGACGTGGAAGACGATGTAGAATGCGACTATACCGGCGACCAGGAAGAAGATCCGTCGCTTATTCAACTCGATCGGACCCATGGTGACAAGGAGTGTGTTGGGAAGGGTTTCACAAGAGAGGAATACATAGAAGGAAGAATGGTGGAAGAACGAAGCTCGAGCCTACCGGCTACGACAGGACGATCTTCATGATTGAAAGAGCAGAGAAGGAAACGCCGCGGAGACGGAACAAAATCTCGTGGTTCAGGAGGTGAGAAAATGTTTCCAGGCGCAGCCAAAAATTCCACGCCAAAATTCTTGACATTCCCATTGGCGGGTTGGATTGCGTACCACGGCCAATCTTCCCTTTACGGTCGAATTTGGCTCGAGCAGGAAAACTAATTTGCCCGAGAGTGTACAGTCGGTGGTATGCTGTGCATATGGCCTCATCGGTCAACTGGGAGCCTTCGGAGCCCGTCGCTTGACGGCCACCCACATGTCCTTTTGCAAGTGAATGCCATAACACCTGGTCTGCCAGACGTTCAATGGATCCAACAGCGTGAACTCAAAACGACGCAGCAATTCCACGTACACTTTGTTCAGCTCAATCATCGCCACGCTCTTACCCAAGCATTGATATTTTCCATATCCGAATATGAGATCATTGTTCTGCTCCATGGCTTTCAATTTCTCACCGGACGGTTCGTCCCCCCCATCCTCGATCAGAATCCAGCGTTCCGGGCGGAAGGCATTTTCATCAGGACCGAAGAGACTTGGTGAATGGTGGATTTGTTTGGCTGAATACCTGTCATTTCGCATTAACCAACCTTACGGCCCACGTCAAAAATGAGTGGACTTACGCGATGGAAACACCTCCAGGCACAAAATGACCATTGATGATGTCTCCAGCCGGGGGGGTCTGCGGATGTTCTCAGTTTTCGTTCGAGGGATTGCTCTTTATGACACTCACCTTTTTCGCAAGCATTCCCGCAATTGGCGGATACCATCGCAGACCCTAAACGTCCATCAGCAGGTTATTCCACACACCAGACCGCCCTCCATCAAGCTCACCTCCTTGATACACGCTTGCAGATATGGCAACTCCTTGGCTTGTGCATTCGAGACAACGCTCCCATCAGACGGAATCTTCCCGGCCGCCATCGCCGCATCAATCTCTGCCATCAGCTTCACGTAAGCCTGAGGGCTGGAAATGATACAGCGCAGGGTGGCTCTGATCCCAGTCGCAGACGTGTCCGAACCGGCCGCTCTACCGTCCTGTTAGTGGAGCTCAACAGCGGTCGCCGATGTCTACGCACAGCTGCATAACGCTTTCAGACTCGGCTTCCGTTTGTGAGAGACCATGCCGGATAAAGCTACCGAGCATGTCGCTATTGTCGCCCCGGGGCTTCCCGTCCGGACCAAAACGCTTGGACACCTGCTCCCGGGTAATGGCCAAGACCTTCCCCAGTCCCAGCTGACTTTTGCCTGATGGAGCAAATAGCTTCAAGAAGCCAATGTCGGTGAGAAATTCAATGACGCCGGGGATGGTGCAGGTACAGAAAATGTTCGGGAACAAGGTTTCAATTTCGTGAATATAGCCCAGATTGTCGTTATCGTCACGCAGGTCATGAAACTTGGCGTCGAAGGAGAGTTTGCTCATAACATCGCTCGTAAAGAACTGGACTTTTTGCGCGAGGTCCATGGGAATGATTTGTCCCGGCATGCTCACATACTTCTTATCAATCAGATTGACCAAATCGAGAACGCAGTGGTCGATATCTTGCTCCAGAGACAGATTCTCTTTACCAGAGTAACCGGCCATCATCCTCCGACGGAGGTCGTCATGCTTTTTCTCGTCTCGCTGTGAGAGGACATTGTCTTGGCCAGGGTTCAATCGCATGGCGATAAACCAATCCGACCGGGTGTAAGGCGACCTCGCCGCGGACATGCGTCGTATCACTTCGGGGTCTGAGGCCAACAGCGTATTCGGGGCTATGCGGACCAGCGGTCCATATTTCTGGTTCAGTTCACCAAACTTATCATAGATTCCTCCTTGGACGTGAAGTTGAAAGAGGGGGAAGACCGACCATCCCCACAGCGTCGGGCCCGGAATGTGGCGGAGCCGCCAGTAGGATCGTCCACAGGCGACAGCGATGTAGATCAACGAGAGCAAGGCACAGTCAAGCAACAGCGAATTAGTGAGGATCATCGTGATCACAGCGTCATAGGACCGATGAGTTGATCAGGTACAATGACAAAAGACGTCGGAGGAATGTGAGATCGAAAATTATCAGCAGGTCGTGGGCAGGGACGAGCCAGTACGATCGCTCTGGCGCTTGGTTCCTTGACCGCCGTGGAGTGGGAACGTGGGAGGCTTTGCCGAATGCCGTAGATAGAGAGCCCAATCGCCCAATCGCCGTGCTGGTAAAAAAATAAAACCCCCCAGCGTGGAGGGACGAACTTGGATCTTGGATCCTTGACATGTGAATTCTAGAACGAAAAGATCTACACTGTTCATCATTTTAGAGGTGCATCAACGATAGATCGACATAGCATGAGATCGACAACCCGCCATTTCCCCCAGGTTAGCAATTCATGGAGATTGGTCGAATCCGTCCCAGTGGCCCAAGCAACTCCCCCGTTTACTCTGGCTTCTGGCCATAGACAACATAACTAAAAGGGAAAGAAAAGTCAGCGCGGTATCACCGGAAATTGCGAAAAATACTCACATCGGCCAGTAAGAGTGAATCTTTGTGTTTTTCAGATCTTTCCTGACCTGGACCAAAAAGAGTTGGATTTCTTCGGGCGTCATTCCGAGGGCGGTAGTCCATAGCCGAACGGTGAAGCCGTCCAAACCATCAAGCATGTTGATCATGTTCCACAACCCCATCTCTTTTAGGGATTTATCTTTCGGCCATGGATTTACCGGCCACTTGAACAGATCTTGCTTGACATGGGTGAACCCGGCCGCGACCATCCATTCCTGGTACTTTGCTGTCCATGATGGGTCCCGTTTGATTATCGAGCAAGCCTCCATGTATTTATCGTTCCATTCTTGCCACGCGGTGCCTTTCATCGTCCCATCGTCACACAAGATCGGCATGTAGAGGTCCTGCATCTCGAACCAACCGCCTGGTTTTAACGAATCAAAGACCTGTCCAAACAACTTGGGGAAATCGGCACTAGCCGTCAAGAGCATCCTTCCATGAATAAAATCAAACTTTTTGTTATATGTCCACGGATTGTCGAAATCATCCACCTCGAATTTGCAGTTGGGCGGTACAGACATGGGTTGAATAGGGCTCAAGTCCACCCCAAGGACATTGGACTGGGGATGCTGGTCCGCAAAATCAATGGCCCAAGAACCGGTTCCCGTTCCCAGATCGAGTACGTCCTGCATCGTTCGCTCGATGGGGGCCAGGAAGAGCTTTCCCCCGAAGGAGCGCAGGAACATTGCGTGCTGCATGTCCAATCGTTCTTGCTCGAACTCGTCCTCCGGGAGGATATATTGACCGTCTCGAAATTTATGATAGCCCCTTCCATTCTCGACCACGCTTTGAAAGAGGGTGGATTTGATGGATTCGGTATAGGTGGACAGGTCATCTCCAAGGGTCGAGTCGACTTCGTCCGCCTCTATCTCGACGTCCAGTCGGGTGGGTTGTTGGCTTGATGAGCTCATGATGTCGGGCTTGGGAATGAATTAAACGGAAATGCGCTCGGGGTTGAATCCTCCGTTGACCCGAAAGCCGTCGTTCCCTGATAACCGAGTGGTGTGGTTGAAGAGACACAGCCGAGTTGAATGTGAACTCGCTCATTTACGATGGGGATTCGGCCCGGGGTGCCAAGAGCCGGCTTATCGCCTCATCATCGCATTCAACTTTGCTCAGTCAATTCTGGTACTTGGTAAAGGCAATCTCTCCCTACATATATCTTCCGATCGATTTGAAGATGAATCGCATAGAGTGATCCTTGCGACATGAACAAAAGTCCCAAGGTCAGAATGGCACGGATGGCCGGAGGATGACGCCTCGAATCTCCGAATTCCCAGTTTAGGCGACTGTGACGCTGCTTTTGGATCATGCCGAGGTTAACCGGGGGAGAGTTTAGGTAGCAGTTTCGCCGCCTATCTATCTGCAAAGTCTGCCGTCACGTGGCCTATCATGTGACAATTTGCTTGGCAACATCACGTGGGGAAGTTACTTGGCAATGTAACTTGCACCTGTGATTCTGGCCAAGACGCCAAGGACCGCGCTTATGTTCATAGATTAGGCTAGTCTTCAACACACTTTTTCACACACCCTTCCTCATAGAACAACAACGCATTCCTTCTCTAGACTCCACAGTCTATCAACTGTATTTGATCATTCACCACGCTACTCAGCATCCCTGGTAAGTACATTCAATCCGCGCAAGAAACTTCCACTCTGGGCTGGTAAATCCCTAGACGGTCGTTGGCCCGTCCTCGATTCAGAGATCGCTGTCAGTAATTCTCGGCCCAGAGCTGTAGCAACAGACTTGGGCAACTCGTCTACCTTCACAATCGTTATTCAATGGGTGCCTGCAAGTACCTGGGTTAGTCCTCGCCGTGGGTACACCAAGACGAGCTGCTGAGATCTAGGCCAAGGCGCCGACCCATTCAGAGCAGAGGATTCGCAGTGTGACAATGTGAAAGATCGGCGGTCCTGGAAGGCTGTCAAGAAATTGCGGACACAGTATTCATCCTCTTCGAATGGTCTATTGCTACGGGACCCTGTCTATCCGCCTTGATCTGTCTTTGGCACCGTGTCAAACTGGGGTGCAAATTGAAATGTATTGAATGCTCTTCCTGCTTGGCCACTGGTCCTGCCAGGATGCCAGAATATATACATGTTTGGTTGACCCCTTTTCTACTCCTGTTCCTACCCTTATATCCTGAATAGGGATGATAACCCTTTTTCCAATAATGGGGTGCTGGCTACTGTTCAACAACCGATTTTCGCTGAAGAAAGCTTAAGGCTCCACCACTGTGGGGCAAGGATTTTGGGAGAGCTGCGAACCAGCATATTTACCACCAAAGTAATGTTCTGTCTGCAATTTGCGCTCTCGCGGCTACCGCTGGAGTCAGATGTCGTCTTCCCAGTTTGGGTATGCGACGATCACCTTCGGCCTCAATGTCGAATTTCGTGGACAAAATTCTGCTTATGCTTGAATAGAGATTAGCAACCTGTTTGAACACATAGGACGAAATGCTATTACACAGACACCTTGGGCATCGCGTTACGCCAGGGGACTCTGATGTTGCCCATAGATCCATTCTGTGTCATAGTCACGGGTCTAGACTTCCTGCAACATAGCTACCATTTGAAATGCAGTATTACTTGTTCGTAAGCGGTGGCTGGTATGCCAAAACAGATCTCTTGTACGTGTTATGCTGTCGTAAACCATGCAGCGAGCGGAAGATGAGCTACGGCAGGAGTGCCCGTGATTCCTTGGGCAGGACGGTAAAGGACATTATGTGACAACTTCCATCATATCTTAAACGATTGTGACCTGTCATTTCCTTCACGTGAACGCTCCTAAAGCGCGGACAAAGCGTCATACTGGTCCTGCGTAACGGGAAGAACAGAGCCGTGTCTCATAAAGCTGATGTCCACGGATGTGTCCTGTGTGAATGTTCCAGAGGTCACATCGGTGGTCACGAATGCGCGCAAGCCAGCACTGCCACCCACCAGGTCACTCAGCAAGTACGCCGTGCCGTCAACCTCATTGTCCCAGTATGGATAAGGCCCCTCGTAGTTGGTGGCGATCACGTCAGTGGGACGTTCCCATGTTCCAAAAAGTCCGCTGGTGCTGACTTCTGCCACGATGCCTCCGGCCGCATTGTCGCCGTAGTATCGAACGAAAGTGTTGTCATCGACCTGAAGAAAACTGAGGTCGAGGACACCAGTGTCTCCCTTATCGATGTAAGTCGCTGGCTCACTGAAGGTTTCGAAGTCGCTTGTATATGCGTAGCGCAAGACGACATTGGTCGTGGCATCGCCTGTATGCTCAGGGTCGTCCTCGGCGTACTTTTTCCAAGTCAGTAAATTCACCAGCTCGCGAAATGGAGGCACATTACGAATTTCGAGGCCCAATGCACCAAAAATTGATCTGCGGGGTGCAATGTCAGCATCCGTAGGCGCAGGAGAGGGAGCTGGTGTTTCCATACTTTGTGCAGCGTCGAAGATGGCGTCAGGAGCCCATACCATTCCTGCAGTATCACCTTCCACTACGACGAGTCTTTCGTTGGTCCATGTGATCAAGTCTGTACTTTCCCACACCAATATACCCCTTGAGCCGGTACGCGTGGACGCATCCCACGTGGTCTATCGAGAATTCAGCCATGGTGTCACGTTCAAGACAGTACGATAACCAACTTCGTCAATGTTAAGATCGGTTCCAATAATATACCATTTACCATCTGCAGGTATTATGGAGACATCTCTCACGGCTTTGGTGCCCAAAGTGGGAGATACGATGGCATTCCCACCGTTGATTGCTTGAAACGCCGTCGGATTCGCATTGTCCGTGAGAGCAAAATAGACACTTTCGTCTGCAGTTGTCCAGTACACGCCCAGATATCCAACCTTGCTGGGGTCTGCCCTCTTTGATACGGCCCCAGAGTCAGACGTCAATGGACGAGCGAAGGAACCGTTGCATAGTGCAAGTGCACAGGTAATGGCTTGGGTCCAAGGGAACTTCATGATTGAAACGCTCTTTCAGTCGCTGGGAGGAGAATCTCAAGTGACGGAATGAGGCATGAACAGTGAGATGTGTCTGGAAGTGATCTCGGGATACTTATACTTTGTCAGATGTACAGTCGAATACTCTATCCATGCCAATCCAGCAGCTGACCATTTCGAGATATTCCATAACAAGGCCCAGTAGACCGCCACCGGAATCGTTGACTTGCGTCCGACCAGCCACGCCCGCCGATCAGCCGGTGGTCACCAATACAGTCATGTTTTGAGAGAATGCGGAAATCTGTGCTGTCTCGAAAGTATCCAGGTGTCACGATATTTGACCCATTCAAATCAAGGACTGATACCTGTTCTAGCCCATATACTTCAATGCCATCTGAAGAGAACGACTTCTCAATGCACTGGGCTTAAGTGGAAAGCGAGCAGGGACGCTAGGATCTTTGCACCGTTTCGAAACACGATCGTAAGCGGCACAAAGATCTTCGACACATGGATGCTGGCCATCCTCTGCTCCGCTAGGAGATGTCCCATTCTATCCCCCACAACCCCAGAGAGACCCTTGTCCCGTTCCTGTACTTGCGGGAAATTTTGGCCAGCAGCAAAACCCCTTGTCGAACTTGAAGTCCACGGTATGACGCCTTAGCCATCGGTTGCAGAATCAGGTATCATCCCGAAATCTTGGACATCTTCGTCGAGCACGGCCCTGCTAAGGGTCTTAAGCAAAAGTTCGATGTCGAAGGTTGCATTTTGAATCTAGCTCGTGGCAGCTTGCCAATCAAAACACTGATTCTTCTCATAATGTCGATCCGAAGACGACCAGGCCAGGAACCGATGGTGTGAGGATAGAGGGAATGCCCCTGGAGCCCCTTGATGACGTCATGCCAACCATCCAAGGATGTAAAATCTCCGAGTGGTGGGCCGGACCAAACAGCCCCAACTTTCAAATGGGATGACCCCATTTTCGAGGCTTCAGTGGCTGATGCGTCCGTGTAAATTACCGTCTCTGATGTCTGGAGAGCTGTCTGTGTTGCTCGCTTCTCCGTCTCTCTCTAGGTCGATCTCGTCAAAGACGGGGTTGTCTCCATGGTTTCATGGGATCTTCTAGTTGTTTGGAGTCCATCGTTCTCATTCGCTGTCATGGGGCGCCAAGACTCAATGCCAAGAACATGTATATAGCATGCGTTACGCAGGATACCCCTATTCGACTTCCAAGCGTGGAAGTCGACGTCGCCCCTGCACCTATATAGATAGATAGGTATCCCTTTGACGTCTTTACAGCCTGCTGGCGAGCCTGCCCCTGACATTCGCCCCGTGAGAGGAAATTTCAGATGATTTTTCTTTCGCTTGACCCTTCGTTTGACTCCCTCGAGAACTCCTTGCTACAGATGCTCGGACGATAAGGTTCTTAGACTCGCGATAATGTTCTGATCGCGCCGTTTGAGCCGGAGTCGTGCAGATGCTGCATAACAATATACTTCCAAAGTCTGTGTGGCCACTGTTCGAAATGCCGACAAGATCCTAATCAAGGCGGTCCTCCGCACCATGCTCAGAACTTGAAGGTGTTCTCTGTCACTCAGAGGATTGCTATACGGTCGAGGCGTAGTCTAGTCTCGAGACAACGCAAGCTTGGTAGACTTGTCTCGTTTGTGTGGTTCGCGGATGTCTCAATCCGTTTAAAGCAATGGCCGTCTTAGTTGCTCTTTGGCTGCTTGCTGTACATGGTCCTCCCATCTCATTTCTTGGTCGAAGATGACTCCTAAAAGTTTGGCCGTTCGACCAAGTTCTCGTTTGTTTTTTTATCAGATGTATGAGCTCGGTCTTTTCGGCTGCGAATCGCGAGCCCGTGCGTCAAGCCCATCCTCCAATGCGCGGGACGCCCTCCTAGAAGCGGGTGTCTTATATCCCTGGTCTCCTGTCCGATGTGGGCCACTACAGTCAACACACTTGCATCGAAAATTAAGTCAATTTCCCCCAGGATGATGAGCAGACGCACTGAACAGTCGTCCTGAGCAGTATATATTGTTCCGATTTTGTCAAAGAGATGAAATGCACCTGTGGAAGAGTTTCGGTATTTTTCAGGCAAGCTGTCGAACAAGGTATCCCTGAATGGTTGAATACTGATGAGAACCCCTTTATTGGAAAAGGGGTTATCATCCCTATGTAGAATATAGGGGCAGAAATAGGAGAAGAAAAGGGGTCAACTCAACATATGACAGCTTGCGATGCGATTCTCGTGGAAGCGTGTCAGGAGTGGATGATGACATGAAACATAATGCAGAGCATCACAATGACCTGGAACAGCGTTCATTATTTCGACAGGGATCTAGGGATTCAGGTCGCCATCGGGTTGAATCGAAGCAAGCTTAGCGACATAAGCAAGACTGATAGATAACACACTCAATGCGACCTCGACAGAATCCCCACTCATAAAATACCCTTCACAACGATGGGGAAAAAAAAAAAAAAAAAAAAAAAAAAGAAGAAAAGAAAGGATGTCATGAACAATCTGAGGGAGTCACCTCGATTAACACAGACAAGCACTTTTATGATAAAGACGCGTTCTAACATCTACGTGTCGTTCATATTTGTCCCCTTCGCAGAGAGTCCTAATCAAACCAATATGCCGAAAGTTTCAGCTCTTTTGCCATCCTGATGTGCCGCAAACGAGACCAAGAGTACCATTCCTGTATGTGATACAACCTCGAAGAGAGCTCCAAAGTAGGTGTGAGGATACTCCAACATCATTGTCACTGAAGGTCTCTTTATAGATGTACGAATGCTTCGTCGTAGCACAGAGCAATCGTCAGTAACGTCGTCGTCTATGGAAACCTATACGCAATAGCCTCCTGTTCAACAGATCTCTTCAGGTTGTCGACGGCCTCTCCTATCAAGGCCAACTATGGCAGTGGTCTCTACATCATCGACATCAGCAGCATCGAGTACGACCCAACTGGAGACAATATTGTGCGGATGGGCCTTCTTCGACTGTCATCTCTCAGGACGACGCCGTTAACGGTGTTGCCGAGTTCCTTGAAACTTGGGGTGTCTATCCTTATTTCAAATCTGGCCATATCTTCCTCAACTCCGTTGAGCGTGGGATCTTCTCTCTAAAGTACACTGACACACCCGCCAAGTGTTGAAGGCGTCCTGCCTAATGCGTGACTTGGGTCTGTATTTAATTAGACGCAAAGTCCAACCCACTCGCAATCAAGCAGCATTATCGAGTCCAAGGAAAGTCATCCTAGCCAGGGTGGAAAATGGAACAAATGAAAACAAATAAGCTAAAGCCAACTACTTTTCAAGAGTTCGGAGCAGGATTCAAATACCTTCATGAAGTAGGGATAGATTGTTGCAAGCATAAAAGTTTCGTCTGGATGCCCATCGATTGGCCTTTGATTTGGGGCCCATAGCTAGTAGAGATCAAACTTCAATGATGGATCCTTCCGCAGTTCACCTCTGGACTTCTTACCAAACATATCGAAACAAGGGATCTCCTTCAATGATTCTCTCACCGCGATCAGCCTGTCGATTTGCGCGGATTAAAAGTGGAATGGTGATGATAGACGTCAAGACTGACCACGCGACAAGGGTACAGCATGCCACGAGACCGGGATAAAATTGGGCGAGTCCTTTTCGTTTCACTAGTATGAAATTTGATATCGAAAGAAGGCCTCAACAAGGAAGAGGAAGCCGTCTCCTCCAGTCCCCAGGCGGCTGCCGTGACGATCAAGGCATTTGTGCCGCATGAACCTAGGAATGATCCCGCGTATCGTGGCGCAGGATTGTCCAAGAACCCAATGATGCAGAGACCAATAATTGTGAAGGCGCCTTCTAGAACAACAAATGGGCCTCGAATACGATACCGATCCGAGATTAAAGTTACCGCGAAGGCGAAGATGGCTGCCACGGCGGAGGGCGGTGCAGCAAGCAAATAAGACATGGTCTGCGAATATCCGAGGCCCTTTCGAAGAACGATGGGGAGAAACAGTAACAGACCAGATGTTCCTGCGGCGCCCCTTGCGTGGACGAACGAACTGTTGAGCTCATGAGTTGTGTGGAGGTCCAAAGGGGGAAAGAAGAGAGGGATTCAGCTCACAGAGTCCATACACGCCAATCGAGACCTACAATTTGGACTGCACGCCACGTCACATTTTCGCCTTCGGAAGAGCCCCGTTCTCGAAGAAGACGATACTTGACCACGCGGACTTCATCTGCACTGAGGAACTTAGCTTTGCGGATCGGGAAATCGACGATCCAAAACCATCCAAGAATGGCGACGCCAATTGTCAATGCACCTTGGACGATGAAATTCATTTCCAGCCTTCTGTCTCTGGGTGATCGGCAATTCTGGTCAGTCCGAGGCAGAGGATGTTGGCAAAAGAAGACAGAAAGGGTGCATATGCTCTTTTCCTTCACCATGATTGTTGTTCTTCCTCATTTGCGAGCGAGATCAAGCCTGCTTCAAGGGTCGTGATGAACAATTTGCGAACCAATATCAAGCACATTTTTATTGGTGTTGGGCTTTGTACCAGGTGCATTTTAGTTCTCGGTGAGGTGTGATGGAATCACCCACGTCGAGGGTCTCAGCCTTGCGCATTTTTACGGTACATCAGTGGGTCAGAAGGTGTAAAACTGCGCTTGCATTTCGCCCGACGCTTGACTCGTAATCGGCCCGCACAAAGGTGCGGGAAAAGAGATTTTCGCATATTCGGAGGCCGCTTTATGGGGTTTTTAGTATCAAGTATCAAATATCGTGGTCCACTTGGTCGTGGTGCCGCGCGAGTTTTGGATGTGGATGGGGCGGCATGACCCTAATCCTGAAAGAGAACAAGCTCACTCTGGATTTGCTTTACCTTCGCACCATTTAATATCTCCTTTCTTCCCTTATTCCTCCGTACTCACTTGCTGACCTTGACCTTGGCCTGACGTACAAGAAGCATAATGCATTTGTTCAACGCCCGATTGATGCTAACAGAATGTTGTTGAATTCTTCTTCGCCGTCCAAACCGCTTAAGAGACTCCCTATCTGACTTCGAACGACACTTCCACTTCCCTCCGCTATATACCTACGAACCCGCTTCGGATTCACAGTCCCTTTGCTCACATACTGTACGAAATATGAAAGTGGGCTGCAGCGCATGAGAATTACTGCCAAGATACTCTGCATAGTAAGCTCCAAGTAGCCGAGGGCTCGAAAAACCACTCCAGCAAATCCGACTTTGGAAAGACACACGTGGAATGCCGATCACTATACGCCGTTACTTTGGCTCTTACAAACGATCCACAAGTGTAAGTATTTATAAGGTAGCATGAGGGCATCTCCGGCACATAATATGATTTCGACATGAACAAGTAGGTATCGGAGTAGCTTACGCTTGACCGGCTCACCATGTGTTCTCTCAGAAAGATCTTTGGTACTTTCTTACTAACTGGCTCTCATATATCCTGTGCAGTTGCACAGTCCACGGAGCATCAGGCCACAAACTTGACCCTGACGGGGCATATTGAGCCTTCGGAGATATTCACCTTCGTCTACGTCCCATTTGAAGTTTCTTCGGATGTGACCTCGATATATGTCTACCAGAACTACTCGTTCAAAGGCGCAGGTAACTCGCTCGACCTAGGCATTTATGATCCTCGTGGTTTCTCCCCAATCAACAGTCAAGAGGGTTATAGCGGTTCGAGGGGGTGGTCAGGCGGGTTCCGAAGTAACTTTACCATCTCTGCCTCCGATGCTACCCCCGGATATAATGCCGGCCCTCTTCTGCCAGGAACGTGGAATGTCGTCCTCGGTCCGTACGCCTCCAACCGTTCGGGCATCGACTGGACTCTGGATATCAGCCTCTCATACACCCCTAACACCACTTTCTGGTCTCCTTCCTATGCTTCGACGTATAAGGAATCCTTCGAGAGTCCTCAGTGGCTCCGCGGCGATTTCCACATGCATTCCATCTATTCCGATGGCCGCTATCTGCCCAGCCAACAAATCGCCAACGCTCTCTCTCGCAATCTCGACTTTATCTTTTTCTCCGAACACAACACTGATACGGGAAACAATGACATCGGCAAATGGATCCCTACCAATGCATCACACCTGCTGATTGGCCGCGCAATTGAGGTCACCACCAGATTCGGCCATTGGCAAGCCATAGGTCTTGAACGGCAGCAACAAGTTGAGTGGCGCTATACCAACTCCTCCCACGACACGGGCTTTATCCACGCAGCGACCCAAGTCCGCAACAGTGGCGGTCTCGTCTCCGTCAACCACCCGTTCCAGAATTGTTCACGTTGCGACTGGACGCTCGACTGGGATCACAATGATGCGATTGAAGTGTGGAATGGCCGGTTTGACCCGCTGGACCAGGTGGCGGTCGCGTTCTGGCAGAGTGAGTTGGTCAAAGGAAAGAAGATCACGGCGTTGGGAGGAAGTGATGCTCATCACCCGCCGGATATTAACGGATTGCCGACTACCGTGGTGAGGGTGACCGGGGAGAAGAGTCAGGCCAGCGTAGTGGAGGGAGTTAAATTGGGCAGGGCTTACCTCGTAGAAGGGCCTGGCATGGAGATTGAGTTTGGGCTCCAGTATGGCCAAGGGCTCAAGGCTGAGATTGGAGATGTGGTCGCCAAGAGAGTGTTGGATAGCGATACCGTAGCCGAGTTTGCTGGAACAGGATTCGAGGGTGCCAGTGCGTGCTTTGTGAGTGAGCAGGGATATTTCAGAAACGAGTCGATTACTGGCGGACAGCGGATCAAGCAGGCCGTCTCCGGTATGGACTTTCTGAGAGTTGAAGTCCGGAACTCGTCTGATATATTACTCGGGTTGACCAACCCGATATATTTCGTTTGATGGTGATATACCAGCACGCGTCGGATGACGCGATGGCGACCTCGGAGCTGTATCGATGCCTGATTATCGCTGGACATTTTATATAGCAACTCTCTGGAAGGATGTCACGTCAGTGAGAACCAAACCGATCCCCTCCACCACCAGTGAGTGGCTGGAAAATGACCGCAGAGGCGACTACCAGAGAGCCTTGCCAAAGAAATTTCACTTCTCAAATCTTCCACCATCTCTATTACCCGGCCACGATGTCGGAGGCAAAAGGATTGACGCTGTTGGAACTTGCCGTATGTCCTGCCACTGTTGATTAAGCCAACATCGAATGTGGCCTGCCGCACAAGCGGCACAAGCGAAGAGTCAGCTGGGACATCCTCTAGAGAGAGGGGGTATCTCATAGGGATACCCTGGTGACTGCATGAAGTTGTGTTCGTGCGGTCGAGTATGCAATAAAATCCCACTTGACAAATCCTCGAGGATCACCAGCTGCGACATATCATGAAAGAGATGGTCTCAAACCGTGGCGTCGGAAGGGGTTCAATTGTGTGAGTTGGTAAACAGAGGCCGAGCGCAAAAGCGGGCAGATTGATCTGATAATGACTTCACAAAACAAGACAAGGAAGGGAAAAAAAAGTTCATCGAGCCGAAAGATGTAGGGTACTTCCTTCAGAACGTTCTCGACGTTGAGAACAAGGTATACCACTTCCACACTCGGGCATAGCAAGTGTCTCTCCTGTTCATCAATGAAGAGATATCAGTTAAAAGGGGTCGCAGCCTCGTACGGTGTGGATCATCCAGAGGTTTTCAGTCTCGCACCAAGCGATGGATGGTCAGGTCTGTAGAATTGGAGACAAATGTGTCACTGGCTGTCCGACTCGGACACCTGTTCGACTGAGAGCCCATCGTGCTTGCGACTACCGCGCTTTCCCCTTGCCACATGTCATCGTCGCTTTCTAGAGTCACTCGGAATAGAGGGGCTTGAAAACATTCCAGCCTTCGATTTCGATGAAGACCTTCGCCGCAAGCATCTGCAAGCAGATTTTCAAAGTCTCAGACAGTCTGCTGATCCTGAATTGGCTGGTGGCAATTGATAAGAAATACTAGTTCTTCAACCCACATAGCAAAAAGGGAGATTGTAGGAGACCTCAAGCGGTTGGGATGGCAACTGGAAAAGAGCTCATGGAGAGTCCATCCTATTGATCATTCCAGAGCCTCCTGCAGAGTCCCACCCAATCTCAGATCCCAGAAGAACGTTCTTTGCATAGTCGCGTAACTCTCGTACCCTTCACCAAGCATCTTTCTGAAACGAGTTCTCTGTATCATCAAGAGATTCATTCCCTCTTCCCTCAACGTGCCCGGGCCGACTCTCTCCCTATTCACGACCAGAGTCCATATCCAAGGTCTGGCTAGTTCGAGATAAGTCTCGTCCAGGTGGTAGGTATTGTCTTGTAAGGTTCTTGCTTCGTAAACAGTCGCGCAGTGTACAGTTGCTGTGTTCTGGGCGATTCTAATGATGCTTGGGAGAGTTTCACGTCGCAAGCGAGATTTAGAGAGCCTCTTGGGAGCTTGTCCAGAGAAGAGGCGTTCGAGCGGCTCGAAGCGTGGATCAGATATGGGATTGGCTCGCCTTGTAGAAGCAAACTGTTGGTCCCGAATGTGCTGGAGATGTATGATATGACGATTGCCGCGTAGCTAATTACCGAAGGAATTTTCGCGTATAGCAACTCAAGGACCCCATATCCCGCCGCGTGATTGGATAAGATTGCTGGCACCTTTCCTGTGTATGGGTTGATCTTCTCATCCTGCCAACGACCCCAATAACTTTATGCCAATTAATCTACCAGTGGTGGATCAGTAGTCTGGGAAGGCCCTGACCCGATACGCAGCAGCAGCATGATGCTTTTTAGAGTACCGTCGTCGACGTGATCCGCGCAATTCTGTAGGCGCCTGTGGAGCGGGACAATGCGGCCCGTTCACCAAATATCAAAGGAACCATTTCAAATTTGATGTGAGGAACAATGAGTAGCTCCGTAGCATAGAGACTATTCAAGGACAAAGAGTCGGAACAACTACATCATCGTATAGAGCGGCATCGTCCTGCTCCTTAAACGGGTTAGTTCAGATTGGACTTCTAGTAACAAACCTACTGCGAATGGGATCTGCCATACTGTATTGACAATTTCGGACAGCTGCCTCTTATCTTGGTGTCTAATTTTTTTTTTTTAATCCTCGACTGTTGGCTTCATTGAGTAGGCGAGCTCTATACTCTCAACTCTAAGTTCTTCCGCTCTTCCGCTACAGGCCAGACAGAATGCCGCCTCGACTTCCGCTCCAGCGGCCGCAAATCAATCTCTCTTCCATTGATCTTCTATCAACATCAAAATCAAATTCGACACTATCATCGACCATACCTTTCTTCCTCGTTCCCTTCCTCCACACCCAATCACGAAATGCCTCCATCCTAGCCTCCCTCTCTGACCGACCGGGGGCATATAACAAGAGAATTCGACGCGGACGAGGTCCTGCTTCTGGGAAAGGAGGAAAATCTGGCCGTGGTTCGGACGGGCAAAAACAACATGGCAAAGTCCCCGCGGGGTTTAACGGCGGTCAAACACCCGAACACATCGTGCATGGAAGATATGGCTTTATAAATCTGTCCGTTCAAAATCTTCCATCTGCCTATCTTGTCTAAAATACTGACATGGGAGTAATCCAGGCACGCGACAGAAATGTCTCCTTTGAACCTCGACACAATCCAGTCGTGGATTGACCAGAATCGACTTGATCCAAAGGCACCCATCACGGTACGTGAGTTGCTGAAGTCACGGGCTCTGCACGGAGTCAAAGACGGTGTGAAACTGCTGGCGCGTGGAAGCGAGATGCTGAAGACACCAATCCACATTGTCGTATCTCGAGCTTCACAGTCTGCCATTGCGGCCGTCGAAGCTATCGGCGGCACAGTGACCACACGCTTCTACACTCCACAAGCCATTCGCCGGATAAAAAGGAGGCAAATGCACCCGTACCTCTCTCTCCGCTGGGATCCCGTGGGAATCAACAACCCGGCTCTGATGGTCGAAGGATGCGAGTCGCTGGAATACCGTGCGGCAGGCTCCGGCTATGAATACCGTCTCCCAGACCCGACATCGCGAAGTGATATCGAGTACTACCGCGACGTGAAGAATAGAGGCTATCTGAGCCACACGGTCAAGGAAGGTGAAGGGCCGAGCTTGTACTTCAAGCCACCGGTCTCGGAGGAGCAGTTGAAGGAGTTGCGGAAGAAGAACGCCAGCGGCAGAAGGGCGGCGAAGGAGAAGGAGGAGAATAAGCTGTGGTAGGAGGAGATTTATCTGAGATATGGATCAGTTGGTCCTGTGACCGCTGTAGCAGTACTTTTTCTCTCCGATCAGGTGGCCTACGGGTCAAACAACTTGTCCATCGGGCTGCGAAAATGAAGCATCATACAGTTTAGCGCAGGAGACGAATTTCACGGAAGTCCAGGTGTATCCTGCAAGATCCATCAGAGCACCTTGCCGTATAAAACTGTCACGATGTCCTGGGCAGATATAGTCCTGGGCAGATATAGATGGATGGATATGGTTTTAAAAAAAAGTTGGATAGGAAAGAATAGCAAAATACAAACATTCCACCTCTATACAATAGAGGGCTATCGCCAAAGCCTGAAGTAAGCCTACACGCATCCACGCAAAGATGTTGCTCGCTGAGGGACCTACTACAAGGCAAGAACCTTGGAGATACAACACACAGCACAACACCACCAACCGCCAGTGGCTTCTAGGTCCTTCAAAAGGAGTCATGCAACGGATTGGCATTCATCCGGCTGCGTTCCGCAGGTCAAGGGTAAATATTTCATAGGCATGTGTTTAGGTTCAACAACCTTATCGCTTCCGTACGGTTTTCCTTGTTACTCTCGCGACACATCGCGGCCAAAGAACTTGGCCTTCACCCAATCGAACAAGACCAAGATACGATTTCGGGCTGTACACGAGACCAGTGAGCAGGTTTATCGAAGAAAAATGGATGCGGGGTGGAACAAAGAGAAGAGAACTCACTGCTGAAGCACATGCTCAAATATGCACTCTTCCAGAAAAGATAGGTCATGGTGCCTCCAGAGGCAATGTTGCCGCTAAACCAAGACACATCAGCCACAGCCTTTTCGGCACCAATGTATGCCAAAGATCCCTGGTGGGAGTATTGGAAGGGCCCAATCTGCTTAACACGGCGGAGCTGCTTCTGGCGCTCGTTGATTTCGTTGAGGATCACTTTGCGGTCATCAGGTTCGGCAGTGGCTTGTTTGGCAGAAAGTCCTCGGAGTTCGGCCTCGATGGCATCGGTTTTGGCCATGGTGTTGAAGAGGCGGGCCAAGAAGGTACCTTCTTGAGCAGCAACCTGGGCCGTGGGGGCGTAATTGGCAACGGCACAGTCACCAACAGCCCAAATGTTTTCCGTTCCGTTGACCACGAGGTATTCGTTGACTTCAAGCCCTCGACGGGCGTTCTTTTGTGCAGGGATTTGGGACATCAGATCCTTCACAACCGTTCGCACAGCGTTGCCAGCAGCCCAGACCAAGAGACCATACGGGATCTTCTCAAGAACCCTGGTACCGTCAGGCTTGTTGGCTTCGGCTTCAATGTACTTGTCGGTCACATTCTTGACCATGGTCTTGGTGCGAATCTCAATGTGTTCTTCCTTGAAAGAGGACTCGGTATATTCGATCAGTTGCTTGCTGAACATGGGAAGAAGGTTGGGGAGGGCTTCCACGAGAGTGACGTGGAAATCGTTCTTGATTTGAGGGACCCATTTTTGCAAATCTTCTTGGAAAAAGTCTTGCAATTCACCGGCGAATTCGACACCAGTCGGACCACCGCCCACGACGACCATGTGGAGAAGGCGTTTGATTTCTTCGGGAGATTGGTCCTTGAATGTTGCCGTTTCGACGCAGTCCATGATTTGCTTGCGGATCTTTTGAGCATCACCGACTTCTTTCAAGAAACACGCATGTTCACGGACACCGGGAATACCAAAAGTGGCATTTTCGGCACCGACACCCACGACGAGCATGTCGAACGGAATCGCGGCCTCCCTGGTATCTCCTTTAATATCGGAATCATCCTTGGCATACACAATTCTCTTCTCGTAGTCAATCTTGGTACATTCAGCTTCGTAGTACTTGACCTTGGCCCTCTTGTGCCGGAGAATATTGCGGATGGGTTCCATGATAGAGCGGTGTTCAATCGTACCGGTTGTGCATGACGGAAGAAGAGGAGTGAACAGGAAGTAATTTCGAGGGGACACGACGACGACATTGTAGTTTTCGGTATCCAGATTTTTGAGCAAAGAGACAGAACCCCAGCCCGTACCTTGGCTTGTCAGCAGTGTGTATCAGCGGAGACGGGTGTTCTTTTACCAAGAATAACGAGGGTCTTCTTGGTGGGATCCGGTTCATATTGATCATTGGGATTGCGGCCTTCCCAGACTGTATATGCCACATACCCGAGACCAGCAAGAGTTGACAGATATGTTATGCGCCAGAGAAAGCGAAAGAATCGGAATCGCTTCTTTGGCGCAGGCGGCGGAGAGAGATTGGCTTGAGGAGCAGCATTGTCGGCATAGGTGCGTCGGAAGGATGGCCGCAGGAGCGGTCGAGGGAGAAAATGCGAATTTTGGGGAAGGATTGAGGGATTTGTTCTGCGGATGGTTGTGGTAGCAAGGGAGCACAAGGAGCTGACGGGTTTGATACGCAAGGAGATTGTGCTCGCCATAGCGGCAGAGATTGTCGAGACGGTAGAATTTAAGGAGGAATCATGAGGAGAGGAGGGAATAGTCCAGGAAGCAAAGCTGACGGTGGCGGGTTTGTAGGTGTTGAGGAGCTGACACAGGAAACAGGTACAGACGTTATATTTTTCTTTTTCTTTTTTTTCATAGAGTTGAAGAAGAGCTGGACGGACTAGGAGTGGGTCGATTCAAGCTACAGAGGCTAAGAGGTAAGAGAATCACAGACGCTGCTGATAAGCGACGAAGGCTGAAAGCGAGTGGATTGAAGGATGTAAGAACTCTGTTAGGATGGGAGACCGCCAATAGGCGAAATGGGTAGTCGATGTGGGGGGTTCCTGGCGGAAGCTGCTTAAAATGGCCTTCCGGCAAGGCGCCCGTACTGGGTACCTATGAATAAGCCTTCATTAGTGTGGGTGACCACGTACCAGTTACTTAGGGCCTGCTGAAGCCTGAAGACGGAGATATGGAAGATATTTAAGGAGCACGTTGTCCACGATGGATGAACGGATGGTTGATCGGCTGACCGGCCGATGGAAAGTTTTCAGGAGCAAAGTATCTCGTATTTGGCGGCATCTGCTGAGGTTCCAGTGAATGGCTCTTGTTTCGTCCTACGTTGCTAACGTGGGACAGAAGAGGCCGTATGTACGCGTGAAAAGACTTATTCCCGCTCCGGCAGCATATGCTCGGCCTGCGGTGCAACGAAAAGTGTATCATTTCTCATGCTTCTTGAATCAACCAATTAATCGGTCAGTCGATCGATCGATCGGTCGGTCAATCAGTCACTTAGATCTCATGAATCCATCCCACGTCCTTGCCGCTGTTGTCTTGGAATAACTCGAGCATTCGTCTCAATCCGACTCGCGTTCCATCATAGACGGATTTCTCCATGTCCCTTGAATCATGACCCCTTGGTGTTCCATGAGCCTCTTGAGCCTGGATCAGGTTCTCCTTCGAGACCCGATCTATCCAAGAGCCTCATCCCCCACAGCCGATGTCCTCGCTCATCTGACTGTCCCCCTCGAGACTTGTCCGAATCTTCACAAAGTCGCCGAGCCTCTGTTGAGCTGTGAGTCATCGAACACCTTCTCTTCATTGTTGGACGTCGTTACCACAATGGGGTATCCAGCAATGCTCCTATGCTGTCCAGTCCATGCCAAGCGCCTTTCGCCACGCAGATCAACTTTCGTCACTCCTCTCTTTATCCTGTTGTTTATCCGATAAGATCTTCTCCGCCACGGTGTTGCCTTCTGGTGTCAACTCCGGGCCCGGCTCTTGATCCTCATTTTCTTGCTCTTTGATCACCATTTGCCTCAGCTCTTCGGCGTCTTGGTCAGAAAAGGCACCTTCTTGTAGAAGTCCAGAATGTCGACGTGCTTCTCCCACAATCATCTCCACCTCGCTGATCGCACCTTTGTCCCGGTTGGCTTCAGTCTCCACTCCAATATCGATCTTGGTATTTTGTTGCAGTTTTTGCGGGTCGAATCGAACAATCATCACCGACAGATTGTCTGTTGAGAACCGAGCCAATGCATGGTCGACCAGGATTTTGGACGCATCCTGTGGATCTTGCACGTGGCGGACCAAATCTACCGCTTCTTGATCGGAACAGACATCCCATAACTAAGACAGGTCAATATTTCCATCGCCAGATACGAATTCGTCCGGAGCAAACTTACCCCGTCACAAGCCAGAATCAAAAACTCATCTTGGTCGGGTTGGATGACGGTTTCGGTCGTGTAAGGATGTCCGGTGACCAAGTCTTTGAGGTATGAATCGCCCAAAGCACGCGTCACGGCCAGAACTCCATTCACCCGATTGTTCAATATCAGCCCTCCGGCTTTCGATATACGTCGACCCTCATTTTCGTCCATGCCCTTATGGTCATACGAGAGACGGAGTGCTTTTCCATTTCGACATAACACTATTCGTGCATCGCCGACATTGGCCGTGTAAAGAACCCGTTGCCGTGTAGCCTTCTGTTTGGCTTCTTGAACGGCCGCCGCTGCCGCTTCAGCAGTCGAATTGGACCGGGGCGTAGAATCTTTGGCTTCCTTCGAATTGTCGTTCTTTTCCGCTTCCTTGGCCGCCGCCGCCGCCAAAGCGGCAATGGCCTGAGATCCTGTCGCCGAGTGGTTGGTGGGTACTCGATCTTCCCATCTCAACACCGCTGTAATGGCCGTGCATCCACTGTTCTTCAATGGAAGATTCTCCAATTGCTTGTCTGCCGCCGTGTACGTCTGGTCGAGTAATTCGGGAACGGGTGTATTGGGGTACTTGCGCATCAAATCCTCCAAGATGACATGGAGTTTTTTCCCACACCATTCGGCCGCGAACGTACCGGCGTGACCATCAAATATGGCAAAATATCCATTGTCCGTCTCCATCACATGTTGTCCAGGGTCTGAAGGCACCGTCGTCAAACTGGCTCGGTCTTCTACCGACTTCTTCTGGGTGAGTGAGTTGTCGGCCGAGAGGATGGGGGCAGGAGTCCCGAGAAAGTTGTAGAGGTAGGAATGGGTATCTTCCATTGTCCGACGACACTTCTTGTTTTTGTCTTCGGTGACGCCGACCAGGAACGATGAATTGGCAGTAGGTTGCGACTCGCCGGCCGAGTTGTTGAGGGAGCCTTGCGGCACACTCAAGGCGGCATCGGTCTTGGATAGTTTCTGCATGGGGGTCTGAGGGCCGTCCTTGTCGCCGTGAATCAGGGAATTTTTAGCCTGGGTGAGGAACTCTTTGGCTTTGGCACTGCTACTCCTCCTCTTCCTCGCCTCGATGGTCGGTGAAGGCCCGCTCTCTTCTGACAGTTTTCGAGCAGGAGTCTCCGACTGGGGACTCAAGTCGTTGGTCTTGAATGAGATGTTGCCGCTGGGGGACACGGGGGCGTTGTTATTGCTATCGTTGCTGCTTCTGGAAGGTATGCTGTCCGAATCTACATCCCTTTCCTTTTTGCTTCCAAACATGCGATTGAGAAATCCCCCATGTGTGGAGGTCCTCCTCTCGGTGGTGCCCGCCAGCTTGAAGACTCCCCGAAGACGCTAGAGGCGGTACGGGGGACCGTATCGGCGGATCAGATGGGGAAGAACAGGAAAGGGTATGATGCGAGAGGTCTGGAGAATGCGCCCTGGCCACGCCCAGCAGCCGAATGGTGGCTAGGTTTCGAGGTTGTGTTCGGATGGAGGAGTTGAGATCGGTAGGACGGGTGCGTGGACGTGGGAGGAAGGTGGGATGAGAGAGTGCCGGATGGTAGTGAGGACGGTAGAGGAGAGAGGAGAGGTGTTAGGTAATGGAGTAGAGGTCCAAGAGGTATATGGATGACCAATACGGTGTTGATGAAGAGAAAGAGGGCCTGGTCACGAGTCGGGAGGGAAGAAAAGAGTCAGTTGAGGAGCGAGCAGGCAGAGGTGGATGGAGTCGTTCGAGAATGGTGGAGGTGGAGATGCGGAATGGCCACGAGTGGCTCGGTATAGGGTACGAGGAATTGGCGGTTGTAAGTAGAGAGCTGGAAGTGATCGCAGTTGGTGGTGAATATATGAGAAGGGGGTTCCTGCACTGCCTCAAGCTGTAGAGAGCGACAAACAGAAAGCCCAATTGCAACGGATGATGTCGTTGGCTGCTTTACTTTTGCCTTCGTTTGCTCCACGTTTGGAAGAACCTGAGCGATAATGGGCCAAGAGCGAACATCGAAAGGACAGGCAGGTTCGTCCGGTTGCGGGGGAGCAGGAGTGGAAGTAAAAGGGTGTTCCCCTCCCCCAAATTGACCAACTAGAAGTACCCGGGCAGATAAGCCGCAGCCATATTTGCTGCTGCTCTGCTTCCAATGTACCTATACTCTTTTGTGTACACTATCTGCCCAGATCTACAGTATCCAGGCACCAGCTACACAGAGTCGATTTCGGGTCCCTTTGCACCAACTCGCTTGACATCCAAGACCTCTCCTTAGCGAGAGCGAGCCTATTCGGCCGAGGCTGACAAACTCGACCCTCCCCGGAAAAGGAGCACCACTCGCATGCCCCCGGTGATGATTCATTCCATTCTGTTATGAGGCATTAACGCTACAGCTATTCGTCCAAAACTTCTTTAGTATTGCGACAGCAGCCGGAGGCGCAGCCAAATCATCTTCCATCTTTTCCCTCCCTTCTCCCGGAGGTTACTAGAAGGCCCAGAAAGATTCAAGCTCTCCAAAAGCTGTTGTGTATGGGCCGGCTCACTGTACCGCTACATAGAACCCCACCCAACAGTCCCGGCTGCCAACATATCCATCGCACGATATTACTTGATCCCCGATGCTTCTGGATACCCCGTTGCTTGCCACGGTATTCGGATTGCTGACTGCAGATCTTCCTGTCGTCGTCATGTCTGATGTGATGAGACCCAGAATCAATTGTCACGTGCTCGCTATCAGGATGTGTTGTCGATAAGACATCTGGAGGTCAGATATCCTTTCCTCATCTTCCCTGCTGCCGGCATTCCACCAATCTACTCAGCATTGGTTTTAGCAGCTCCTCATTATTTGGCGAGGTTCAAAAATGAATTCTGTCCACGGTACGAGATGCATTCCTTTCTCTTCAAAAAAGTAGTCTCGATACCCACACCACGGTACTCTGAGAAGTATTGTATTCCTAGTTACATGGAAGGCCAAGAATGGTTTTTCGCTAGTAATTTCGCACAAGGGGAATAGTTTTGAGAAAGAATGAGAGGAAAACCACGCTGGGTTTCCTTCATAGCTGAGAGCAAGTGGAGAAGCAGGGTTGAAGTAAAAGCAGGAGTAGACGGATCAAAAGCGCTCCATCGCCCACAAACCCTTAATTTTCAGCTGCAGTTTTCGTGTCCGTTCGAGTCAAGTATTCCACCCCCTTTTCTAACTTCATACGATATCAGAACCATATGGTCCATTATTCAACACTCCGCTTCAACTGGCATAAGCAGCCGCCGACCCAGGCGGCCCTTCAAGGTCAATCGCTGAGACTCGCCTTCTTGTTTCAGACGCATCTCGCACCAAATTGCTGAAGTACTTTCTGGCTACTTCGCTCTCGCGCTTGACTTTAGAGACGTCCTCTTTCTTTTGCTTCAGTTCTTCCACACCATGGGCTAGGTCCTCGGTCAACCGTTGAGCTGGGAAGCGGAGAACACGTCGGACTTCGGCGGCGATGCGGCTGGCATTGCTGTGTGTGTAGTCCATTTGTGCTAGAGTGGCGGACAGTTTCGTCGCAAGGCGCGGAGGCAGTGTTTGGGGGATGGTCGAGAGAATGTAGGCGACGGTGAGGATTGCTGTTGACGGGGTGAGCATGTGTACTGTCATATTGACAAGGGGCGACAGGAGCCTACCTGCGGCAACGACACCCGGCACAATCAACCTTCTCAAATTTCGACTTCCCAGAATCTTCGCCGCCCCGAAAGCGCCGTCAACCCAGCCTGCACCACCCACGGCCCTAGAACCCATTGTTCCCACGACAGTCAGCGCTAGACCGGTGCCCACCGTCTTTTCTTGTCGCTCCCATAGGCCGGTGACGTCGACGAAGTCCCAGACCTCGACATCCGTGTCAACAGATCGGACCAATGCGTCCCTTCGCCGGGAGAACATCTTGTCCGCTTGGAAATTAAGATTCTCATAGCCATCACCCACGTGCAGCAGACCAAGAGATTTAATCATGCTTACACCCTGGATGGTTCTGGTTCGACCGTAGGCTTCACAGCTGGTAACGGCTGCTGAGATCTGGTTCAACATTGCTATTCGAAGATCTTCCGCGTATTGGAATGCTGAAAAGAGGCCGGGGTACTCGATACCGAGGTTGGCTTTGCCGACATTGGCAATAGTACTGGTCAAAGTTGATCGTGTATGGTCGTAGACGTCTGTAGATGTCGAGTCGATATCCTTTTCAATCTGATCTGAGACGGCAACGCGCTGCTTCTGTTTCTCTTCGAACTCGGGTTCAAGTTCGGACAGTTCTTTCGAGACTCGGTCAAGTTCGGATTGTGCCACATCGCGATTCACCGTCGCGAGGACATTCATATCGCCTAAACAATTCATGAGGTAGGTCTTTGCCGGTGCCAGTTTCGAACGCGCCCTCTTCTCTAGCACGAATCTCCGGAGAGCACCCTCAAGAACTTCGAAATCTCGGATTTTCTCCTTGTCCTTCCCCTTTCCTTTTCCGGGCTCATCGTCACCGTCGTCATCCGGAGGGTTGGAAGGGCCGGGTCCACCTCCTCTTCCATTGGGCGGTATCGATGGTATCATGGGTATGGCATTGCTCGACACGAAATGTACCAACTCTTGCGCCTCTTTAAACGTTTGTGGGCTGAGTTTGGCGAGTTGCTCAAGAATCAATTTCTGACATCTTTCCTTATCTCGGATGTTGTCAAATCCGTTGACGACCATGAAGATATACGCTTTCTCATGTGCGGCCTGCCAGATGAATTCCTTCGCGGATAGTGTAAAATGGTTGGCCGCCGAAACGACAAACACGACAACATCGATTTCCTCTTGCCGGGCAAACACTGCTGTGGTCTTGACAGAGTCGGAGTTCAATCCAGGCGCATCAATCAACGCAATGTCAACCACCCCGTTATTCAGTAATGACTGGTCGATGGTTCTGACATCCTTGATGTAGACCTTGCATTGCATGTATCGGCCATTGTCGACGACGATCTTCTCCAACTCTTGTAGTGAGTAGGCATCATAGGTGCTTTCATCGTTTCGATCGTATATGGAATCTTTGTGAACTGCATGGACCTCCTCAAGACCGCCATTCTCTTTTGCGTCCAATACTTCACAGAAAATGCTGGTGCAAGGCTGCTGATCTTCCGGGAGAATCTTTCGTCGTAGCAGAGCGTTGCAAAAGGTTGACTTTCCCGCGTTCAGATCACCAGTGACCAGAACTTTACTGGATGTGTCCTCTATGCGGTCTCGAAGGGCCAGCAAATGCCGTACGCTTTGGCTGATCTTTCCGTCCAGCAGCGATGCAATCGACTTCTTTTCTAGCGAGTGAACGAGTTCGGCCTGTGACAATGCACCGACTTTGAGATCGAGCTTAAGAATGGAAAACTCTCGTGCAATTTGTGGCGTGATCAATCGGGGCTCCGGTGTCCTCCTCTGTTGTGCCTGTGAGCTCGACTCTCCTGTAGTGTCTTCTCCGACTGATGATCCTGCTCTTCTTGGGGCCCCCGGTCGATGTTGCCCAGCCTTCTTGAGGAAGATTTCCCGTGAGAGCTCTGCGTGATCTCTTGTGGACTGCGCTTGGGCGAGGCTGGGCCGGCCTGGCTGTTGTTCGTTCTCCGATCTCTGCACCGACGGGTAATGCGCCGGCCATTGTGCATTCATCTCTTGAAGTTGTTTCAGGAGTTCCACGGTTTGACCGATAGCTTTTGCCAGGGCGACTCGGTTTTGGTTGTAATACAGCTGGTGGACGTGGCTTGCAAGAGCACGCTTTTCGTTTTCGGACATTGTCGCGGGTCTTCCATGGATTTGAGGAGTATGCGCCGGCGTAGGCCTATCTCGTAACAATTCATCCTCCCATGCAAGCATCTCGCCACCATTTTGTTGCACATCCCCCGGCATACTCCCATAACCCGAATCATGTTCCAACTGTTCCATAAGAGCGGCAGCATGCGATGACTGTCCGCCGGTGCCGACTGTCATGTACTGGGGTCGATACGATGGAGGGTGGATCGGGGTAGGAGAGGTCATTTCGTCAGGGTCGTGCAGTTCGCGGGAGGACCCTTCGCCCGAATCGTGAGACTGACTCATGGTGGAAACAAATTCAAACAAGAAGTGCAACGGTCGATGGAAGAGACGGCGTATTCAGGTCCATAATAATAATGCTAAGAAGCGATGAAGAGTAGTGTGGTTTGATGGTTGTGAGCTCGGCCGGCAAAAATTCCAGGCTTGGTCGTTACATAACAAAGCGGGCGAAACGAGCCCGTCCCCACCGAATTCTCTGCGCAACGTCACTCCAGTGTTTACCTTCTACCTACACGAATTGTACTCTAGTTCAGAGGTCGATACCAAACATTGCAAATCCCCTGGGTCAGGAAGCTACCTCTAATAGCACACATTGCTCCCACAAGACCTATATTGCTCCTGCGGCTCAAGGGCTTGGTGTTAACAACTGCGATGAACAAGACCAAGATCGTGGGAGGAGTCGCCGGTGCTTAACTCGGTCTAATTCGACGAACCGCTAGCATTTCAATACCCAAGCAGAGTTATTCGGCTTCGAGTTGGAATGAAACGTATAGCGTTGCGCACGATGTCTCAAGCAATTCACGAACACGATCCGGGGCTCAAAAGTCCAGGAGGCTCCTCAGTCCGGAGATGATTACATAGAGGGTGCCAGCTCTATGGATGCCATGGGTACAACCGTCGGCGATAAACCAGCAGGAGGCAAAGACAGCAACAGTTACTATGGCGGCTCTTCCGCCGTGCCATTCATAGGACAGGTGTATCGAACCATTGGAATGTCGGTGACACTTTCAACAGTCACGACTCCGCGTCATATTTGCGAAAACACTTTACCATGGTCTGTCTCTGGCAATCTCTAAGTAAACACACAACCGGAAACGTTTTCGTTACTTCCTCGGCACACCATAGACAAGATAATGGGCACTTACTGGGAAAAGGTGCACCAACTGTATCCCTTCATCCACAAACGAACCTTCATGGCGAGCTTACGAACTTCTGTGGACGTCGAGGTGTGATGACAACACGCTGACGTTGTCGGTTCCCAACTTGGGTCCAAATCGTACGGACCGATCAGTGTCATTTTCCATTGCTCACTGAACATCATGCTGGCCCTGGCTATCCAGTTCATGGATATTGCTCCCAGAGATCGAAGTAGGCTTGGATATTTCCTAGCCAAAAAGGCTCGAAGTATGTGCATTCTGGATATGTTTTCCTTGGCCTTCATCCAAATCCTGTTGCTTATAGCTCAGTATTTACAATCTTTCCCGTTACCCAGTCGATGTTGGAATTGCATTGGAACTGCTTGCAACTTGGCACAAGACTTGGGTCTCCATATATAGCCATCCGAACATCCGAGACGCCTGAGCCTATTGGAAGTCGAGAAGCATCGCTGTGTAGGGTATGGATGCGTGATGCTGGACGCGGTTGTCAGCATGCCGCTTGGTCCCGGCACTTCCAAGAGCCGTTGACGACGACTTTGTGGAGTGTGGAGCAGGTCAACGAGCTGGTCACGTCGCCTTGGTGGACTTTTACATCCACGGACTCATCTTTCGGAAATCATGGTTACCATACTAACCTAGTTGCACGAAAGATCTAATGAAGTGCTCGCTGACTCGGAGAAGAGTGTAGCCGCGAAGCTCTCAAAATTTAGAAGTCCACCTCAGCACCTATAATAGGATTACCCACAAATGCCCACGGGTCTATCACTAATCTCGTTTATGCTCAAGCAACAAGCATCCGTGTTACACTCCGGGTACTTGCATATCCGAGTCCTTCTCTACCGACCAATTTCTTCCGGCAAGACTCCATGTCGGAGTGTTTATCGGGATATTGGTTGATGTACCATATGCCGCAAAGCTGAGCGTTTCTTTCAAAGCACTTGATGTTTGTCTCATTGTTCCATCGCTTTAATGAGGCTCCCAAAACTGATGCTTGAGACTCCGGTACCAAGACAAGCAAAGTTGAGAGTACAGGACAATGTCGGTCGTGATGGGTCGCACCTGTAGGCCTTTCAATCAATTTTGCTGTTCCCACATTGGTGTCCAAAAGCACTCGCCAGCTCTGCGACGAGCCTGGATATGTCTCTCAAAGTTCATGAAAACCGGGACCTACAATTTACAGTAATCCCCCTCCAGCCCAAAAAATCGGTGCACCCCGGAGTGGCAGCTTCTGGTGTACCTTCCTGCGTTCCTTCCACCACATCAGAAGTTCGACATCTTCAGGCTCCAACCTTCCAGGAATGTCCTGTCGCGCCCCAATTCCTTTCTTTTTCGACTTCTCTTTCTTCTTTTTCAACCCATCTACAGACGATGAATGAGGTCCCGCTGCCTCAGGCTCGACCGTCTACGTTTCGCTGCTTTTTCTTCTTTTTCGAGGATTCTTTCAGGTCAGTGTCGTGCTTTCTTTTCTTGGGAGCGGCCAAGACCCATGTGGGTCTGAAGGTGCAATCCGACTACGATCGACTTGGTCTCCCTATCACCGGAGAAACTAATTGAACTTGTTCGTAACTTTTGGTTCGAGTTGCGTCGGGGTGCGGGGAAAGTTTTCGCCGACCACGGTCTTGGCACCGACGTTGGAGCAAAAGAACTCCAGATGAAATCAGTGAGGAGGCTGACACATTTACATCAATGGTGATTTGCTCCTTTCACGCGTGGCGGCATCGCCAAGGTGAACATGGCTGTTCTTACTCTTTCTTTTCTTTCCAGAACCCTTAGGTCATACTCAAGAGCTGAATAATTGTAGTGGATAGCATATATGTGCTATACTGACCGATGTCTCGTCGGCCTCACAAGAAGTCCAGAAATGGGTGCCTCGAATGCAAAAGACGGCACATAAGGGTACGTCCGCTCCCATCATATCAACCCTTGTACCTCCGGACTGAGTAGCTCCTGAAGTGCGACGAAAACCACCCAATATGCATTAACTGTGGCGCGGCAGAGATGCGGTGTTCATTTTTCGACAGAAGCTCGCTTTACATCGTACCAGCTTTCTCCCATGGCCATTCACATGGAGCAGCGTCAAGCACCGTCTCGACCACTGCTTCAATACCGGCCCCAACGCCATGGCCTGAACATACCACGAGCAACCCGGAGTCATTTAACCCGTACAGCGTAAACATGACTCATCTCGAGCTCTTCAACAATCTTTTCAGCAAAGAATTTCTATCTTTTGAAGAGTCAGGGCAACCAGACATCATACCCACGGCCCTCTACACAAAACACGCTCTTACGACACCATATCTAATGCATCAAATCCTTGCAATGTCAGCCTTACAGCTAAGCACCAGGACTACGGATTCTCGTCGCTTTTACCGCGAATATGCCACAGGCCTACAAAACCGTGCTCTATCACTCTTCAACGAAAGCAAACCGGTCCTGGAAGTGACTCCGGCCAATTGCGTTCACATGTTTCTGTTCTCGTCCTTGATTGGCGTCCATCTGCTGTGCGACACATTGCATTATCAAAGAGACAGCCTTGAAGGGTTCATCGATAGATTCACATATTGTCTAAGCGTTTATCGTGGTGTGTTGGCCGTCATCGACCAAAGCTGGCATCTCCTACGTGAGACGGAGCTGGGACCTCGTCTTAAATTGTCCCGAGTCCTGACGGAGCCGACGGATGCGAGTGGATCGGAATGTGATACACTCCGGGATCTGGTCAATGTTGCAGATGGAACCCCGTCCTCGCGAAAGGCATATCGCGAGTCAGTACTGCATCTTCAGCAGGTGTTCGATGCGCAACGCGCAGCTTCGGGAAACAAAACTCGAATACCTGTGATATTTGCATGGCCGATACTTGTCTCACCCGACTACGTAGATTTGCTCCGCCAACGACAAGCGGAAGCCCTTGTCATCCTCGCCCACTATGCTGTGCTATTGCATCGTGGCCGGAATTTGTGGCTGATCGGCGAGGGTGGCCAGTTCCTAATTGAGTCCATTTGTGGAAGCCTGGGCTCTGACTGGCAGGAATGGTTGAAGTTTCCAAAAGCAGCTCTCCAAGAAGAGGGCTTGACTGCTTGAGAGCCAGGGCTTGCACATCACTTGCCACTTTCTGTGTCCAAAAGGCTTTTTTGTTTGATAAATTGTCGTGGAACTTTGACATGGAACAATAGATCAAAACATCAGGACCTGTGGATCGTAAGTACGTGGAGATAACCACCATCCTTCTTCCAATCTCGCAGAACAGAATGTTGCTGCCTAATAAGTTTCTTGGGGCATGAAGCAGGAGGTCACAGCGCTGGTTCATATACGTGTACACTAATACCAAAACTGGCGCATACACGTACACTAAATTCCTAGCGACAAGGCTGTGGGACGTTGACCAAGGACCAGCTGTGGATCTGTTAATTGAGGTTGTTTCCAACATCAGTCCTGCGGTAAGCAGTCACACATACATATACTCTCTACTTTTATCTCAACTGAAGCCGCCGCTAACTACGTACCAGGTCTTTCTCTAAGTCCGAGTAAACTGACTCTCAGCGAGACGGTTTTCCTCTCAACAAATCAACGTGGATCGTCTGTTTGAGTCTCAAAGTCCTGGTTCACCACCATTCTCTCCCGGCACATGAACACATAAGACAATCATGGCCCAACTCAAGCCTCTCGATGGAAAAGACGTCTACCTCTGGAAATACCTTCCTTCAATGCCGGCCGCAATTATATTCGTCCTGTTATTCACAGGTGTTACCAGCGCTCACTGCTGGCGCACGGTTAGGACGCGGTCCTGGTTCTGCATCGCCTTTGCTGTTGGTGGATTGTGTATGTTGTATTCCCACATTTCTCTGCTCAGCCCTTACCAGCGAACCGGCCGAAGGATTTGATTTACCTAGAAACCGGCATTTATTCTTGCTAACCCTTCTTTTTTTTCCCTCCAAGTTCAAATCATCGGCTATGGCACCCGCGTATTTTCTCACTACCACACCGATCAAATCGCGCCCTACGCAATCCAAAGCAGTTTCATCCTCCTCGCGCCCGCCTTCTACGCTGCGTCCATCTACATGGTGCTCGCACGTCTCGTTCGCAGCGTGCACGGCGAGCGCTTCTCCATCGTCCGCCCCACGAGGATGACCAAGCTATTCGTCTCCGGCGATATCCTCTCGCTATCCGTGCAGGCGAACGGTGCCGGGTTGACGGTAGACGAGAAGAATCAAGAATTGGGGGAATATATCGTCATCGTTGGCTTGTTTATCCAGTTGATCGTGTTTGGATTCTTCGTCGTCGCGGCGTTAGTATTCCACATGAGGATGCGGAGATATGTCGCTAAAGAGCCCGAGTTGAGGCTGGATGTCCCGTGGAGACAAGGATTGAAGATGCTCTACGCCTGCAGTGTGTTGATCATCGTCAGATCGGTCTTCCGGATCATTGAGTATATGATGGGCACGGATGCGTATTTGCTATCACATGAGTGGCCAATGTACGTCTTCGATGCTGTGCTCATGTGGACTGTTCAGGTGATTTTCTTTGGTTGGTTCCCGGACAAATTGCGGCTGAGGCCAGGCGGCAGTGGTGAGGATGGGCATGTGCTTGTGGGAAATGAGTCGCCAATAAGGTAGCGCAAGTACTTCGATGAGACTTTGCGGACCATGCGATAGCGATCGTGGATGTTGCTGTGGGTGTTTTTATGTTGGATAAACGATGGTTTAATGTATACTCCAATTTTTGGCTGCACAAGTGCTGTAGCCGTACCTGTTCGCGGCAGTGGTCGCTTTGAACTGTACAATACCCACCAGCATAGATGGTATTAGGCCACGGAGGATGTCAATCGACGGCGGCAACTTGAGATGTATTTAATGCTCTGTCTTCTATTGTCTTGTTGCACTCCCGAGGATCTCTTTATAGACGTTTCGGAAGCCTCGTTGTCGTGCAGAGCAACCGTTAGGAATGCCGTTGTCTATGGAAACTCTCTAAGAGCGTGTTCTCAGTTGTGGAGTCCGTGTATGGCAGCTCCGTGTTCGACAACATGCCTCGCGCTACTAATCGTCAGCATCTCTCCTGGTATTCAACGTACGTAATCCGAATGGATAAAGGCAAAGGTGCCACATCCAGCCTGAAACTCGACGGTCAAGCTCATGCGCAAGACTTCATCACTAGTTGACGGTGTTACGAAACTTCATTGGGTGGCAGGTCCATCTCAAAAGGTCATCTTGGCTGGTGTCTTAATATGGTATGTGGACCTAAGGACGATGTCCATGTTACAGTTGCAGTGCTGGAACATGGTGTCACACCCCAGAATAATTATCCCTCGTAGATTCGACAAGCTCGTAATGCCCTGGGTTATATAATCGGGGGCGACTCTGCCGGAGGAAATCTTTCTTTGGAGTTACCGTCGCATCTCATGCATCCAACGGACACTTCAACGACGTCGTTTCACGAGAAGACTGGCATCGATATGCTATCACCGAGGGGTAATTGGCGCGAATTCTTGCAGCTTCAAGATTCAATTACCGAGCTAATTCAACGCTGTCAGAACGATCAGGAGTCCATTTTGGCGTCGGCCATCCAACCGCGGCTTTTTCCACTGCTAAGACCGTGTTAGTCGGCGACAGAACGCTTAGTAATCGAATCATACCTTTGGCACAAAACTCGGGGACGGAATGATGATGAATTTCAATCTTATTGCGTGGAGGAGTTGATGACTAGTGAAGAGTGTCACTCAGGAGTTCGTCCATGATCTCTCCTAGCTGATATCTTGCACAGACAACCTAACGGGTTGCAGGAACAAGTTTCTTCCAATTTGTGTGCTGTGAAAGCCCTTCTAGTCAGAAGAAACGGACTATTCAGTGCTCCATCGAGCTTTGGCCTGTGATTCTGGAGTACGATTTGCTCAGCTGTCATGCCTTGAATGAATTTGGCACCCGCTTTCGCTGCATCTGGGAGGAAGGTAACTCTGGGTCTCTTTTTGCCCGTGCACGTTGCAGGGAATGTGTCTAACTCAACCCAGCCTAAACCCGAAAATAGTCGGGTGCTCAGGTCGGGTTAACTTTACCCGCTGCGTAGCCTAATTATTTAGGGACATATTAAGAACACAAAAGATACGCGGAAGAGTACCTAAAGCATAGGCGGGAGAGTGTCTGGAATGTAGGCGGTAAGTGCCTCGAAGGCGCCAAGGCCGAAATGCGCTAATCGAGTTGGCGATTCTGCTTAATCCATGGCGCCAAATCAATCAGCCAAAAGAACACTCACCCACCCGACAAAAGGACGCCAAGTCTATCAGCCACGCAAAGTAAAGAAGGCATAGCCCCCGGATACATAATGACCATTTGCCAGCTTATTGACTTTATATTGACAGCCTTATCACCCAATATTATCCAGATTCACGTAGCTGCACAACTCATGTGCTCAAACGACTAGGCAATTCTGGACTGGGCCAAATATGAGGGCGAAATACTTGATCTCTTCATCATCCAGAACAAAACTCTGAATCAGGTTATGGCGCATATGAAGGAAAAGCACAATTTCCAAGCGACGTATGTCACCCCATTCTACATATTGAGACACTGCGTCATGAGGCTGACACACGAACATGACAGCGAGAGGCAGTACAAATACAGGTTTCCAAATCTTAAGAACGTGAAAGCCAAGGAGTGGATTTGGTTTGATCAGGAGATGCAGCGTCGAGCCGCAGTTGGCAAGGAGTCTGAGCCCTGCCTTTATGGCAGACCGCTGCCGCCCGACCGTGTTGTTCGCGAAGTAGCCCGCCACCAAAACAAAGTATATACCGCAATGCCCTTACATCGTGAGTACACCAACACGGAATTCCCACGCAGTCTGCTAATTTGATCGTAGAGGTGCCAAATCCGTCTCCCCAAAGGATATCCGTCCGGACTCCACCACCAATGACTGCAATTGCTTCAGGACCGAATTTCAATCGTCTAGACGACCTCGTAGGCAGCCACGTAGACTCTTGTGCTCCTCAAGCATCTGTCCGGGAATCATCAACTGAGCAAGCTTCCGTCGAGGTGGCGGTCGCGCAGGAACGGGCTAGTTGAGCTCGATGTTGCTATGGAAACGGAGCCTGAGATTCAGGACAACCTTTGTAGGATATATCGATGCGTACCTGGATGACGAGCTAACAATCTTATTAGCCCATCTTAATCTATCACGTGTGTTGGACATTGATGGCGACTTCAACTGGGCGACGGCAAATCCTCTCTCTTCAGGGATGATAACGGAACGAACCCCTATCTTCAGCGTTAGTAGCACTCCAGGACGGCAACTTGCAGAACAGAGGCTGTCTCCATTTTCTCAATTTGTCAACCTTGAGATTTTCGACACTCGTCCTGGTTTTCAACTCATGACCAATTTGCCGTGGTTTCGGCTTCAGTCCGTGCTCGAGCAACCAGGTATGATTACCCCACGATTCTTCAGCCTGTTCCCCGACACTAACCGTACGCTTAGAATACATGTTCTTGCAGGCATCTCCTGCGCTAGACGGAGTCCCATCGATCCCATCAAGCAGTTCTAATTGCCTTCCGACTGAGGCCAGGCGAGGTATTCTATCGAATTTGCTCGGCTCAAAATTGGAAGTCCAGCTTCTAGAAAATGTCCCCCAGGTGACAAGCAAACTCCAACGGCTCGTGCCCGAAAGATATGAAGGGGAACTGTCCGAAAAAGTTGGCCAACTCCTCAATCCACGCTCGACAAGCCATTCCAGCCTCTGGTTTCTCTTCGGACTGGCAGCGTACTTTGTGTCCAACAATACTCTAGGGGATATTCGGACGGACGCCTTTCTGACATGGGTGATTGATCAGAAATACACGGACTCCCTGGAACGATTGCTCCAGATCAATACACCAACAACCCAGGCTGCTACAGAGGAACAAATAGGGTCAAATTGCTCCATCACCTTGTTAGAGGGAACCACTTCGAGCTGGCTCAAACGCTTGTCGAGAACGGAGTATCCGTGGACAGCTGGTCAGATAACGTAACTCTTCTTTACGACGCGGCAAAACGCGGAATGGTTCGCAGCGTCAGATTTCTACTCGACCTTGGCGCCAACGTCAATACCGTTGTGTATGCAAAACGAAGCAAACACCGCGCTTGGAATAGCGGTCGCCAGAAAGAATACAGAGATTGTGGCCCTGCTCCTGGAACATGATGCAAGCACTTCATACGAAGTGGCAGGGATAGATCTTCTGGAGTGGCCTTCGTTAAATTGGCGGAACATCTACAGTCTTCTAAAGGAAAAGATCGGGTCCGTTGCTGTAGGCGCCACTATCGGAGACTTGGTCGATGCAACGAACCAAAGTAGTCATTCCCTTCATGCGTACATACATAATCACCGAGGACGAATTACAAAGCACCAATTCGAGCGGGCGCTGGAAGAATCAATTCGGCTGGAGCATCTCACGGCCACAGTCACACTATTGCAACACGGAGTCAGCCTAGACTGCCACACCTTGGACAGAAGACCTCTTGGACAGCTTTGAATTTAAAACGACCTCGCCAGGTTTGCGACGTCCTGATAGGGTTCAAAGCAGAAGTTAACGTGCCTGGTATTCTCAGGAGAGTCATCCTGAAGGGCGACTTTCAACTCCTACAAACGTTCGTGAATTCCGGGGTAAACCTCGAGGAGCAAGGCATGGAAGCCTTGGTCGAATCAGCAGGTCTGGGCAACACAACGTCAGCCGCCTTTCTACTGCATTCCGGAGTAGATATCAATACTCCTGGACTAGAAATGAATCCTCTTCAAACGGCTGCCGAGGAGGGATGTTTGGAGATGGTTGAGTTCCTCCTCTCATATGGCGCGGACATAAACGCACCAGCCTATATGAGGAATGGACGCACCGCATTGCAATCACCAACTACATGTGGTGCAGCATGGAATTAGACGAAGAAGAAGAAGACGGTTATCTTTGGGAACCCAGAACACCAACTCAGCTAGCAGCGCAGTACGGACGCCTTAAAATGGTGAGAATGCTCCTTGACCATGGCGCCGACATCAACGAGGCCCCGGCGTATCGATTTGGGCGGACCGCGCTTCAAGCTGCCGTGTCCACAGAAGACATGGAGCTCGTACAATTCCTTCTTGAGAAAGGCGCAGACGTCAATGCGAAGCCGGCTATTCATGGCGGAATAACTGCCCTACAAGGTGCTACCGTATCCGGCAACATCATGCTAGCCAAATTACTTCTCGACAAAGGCGCTCATGTCAATGCAGCGCCTTCTTTTTCTGAGGGCCGATATGCCATCGAGGGTGCTGCTGAGCATGGCCGTTTGGACATGGGCCTGTTCCTTCTGAATGCTGGGGCGGTGGGCAATGTGTTCCGTGGAACGGGGTTCAAATACGCCATTAAACTTGCGGAGGAGAACGGTCATTTTGCAATTGCAAATCTCTTGAAAAATGTGACTAAGGTTCAGGAATGAAGTGTGCTACGGCGTAGCAGGGCATCAAAGGGGATTCACTATCCGCGCCTTTTGTATTGCATGCTCCTTCGGAACCAATGGCAGATTTTTGTACTTTTGCACACCGTGGCGGTTTTTGTGGCAATAGAGTCACCCTGTGCCGCTATGCGTTCAAAAGTACAAGTTTTCACCCATAAAGAGATCTTCCGCGAAAGCATTCGACGTCAAATTCGAAGCTACTTCATCACGTTCCCCTCTGTCGACGAGTTGAAGCTTGTGAAATCCTCCGTCGCCCCGCAACCGAGTCATGACGCAGGACTGCACGCCTCCGCAGCAAAGTCGCGAACAAGAGCTGGCATACGTTGGCTCATGGGCTGAGCGGTCTGATCTCAACCAACAGAGCGGTTCGGGTTGTATGAACTCAGATTCATCCGGTCGTACGAGCGACAGAAGTATGTCCAAGCCTGCCCTGACGAAATCGAGTGCTATCCTCACCGTCCAACAGGCGACAAGAGTGCGCCACGTACCGAAGAAACCAATCAAAATGGGCTCAATGACAAAGGACGACGAGCGTGGCCAGGAGCACGCTCCGCTGGAGCGACACATCACTCAGGTAGTGTCGGAAGACGTTGGTTCCCGGGAAAAGGATCTTGAAATGCCGATCCTTCCGACCCTGGAGCCCCGACGATTGAGAGAGTGCAAGCAGACCATATCAATGTTTGAACAGACTCTTGGGCCTTTCGCTTCAAGCTGGGCTACTTCTCATTCTCTCGGCTGGCTTTTGGATAATCGCTGGATCTAGGCCAAAATAGTCTTTAAGGCCTAACGTGAAGCATTAGGACAAGTGGCTCAAAATTCAACCACCTTCCCGCCATCGTACTATTCGCATTGAGATTAAGCAGGTCTTCTATAAATCTTTCTACGTTGTTGGTATATTGCTCGCGTTAAGAAGAGTATTAACCCTTAGTGATGTTTCCTCTACGCCTAAACTACCTCCTGTCTGAATACTTGTGATGATTATATAAGGCAGGCGCGGTCCACATACAGTCCACACATAGACAAATATAAAAATATTAAGAAAATAAAAGGCCCCCTCCTATAGTCCATCTCTAACGAACTTATAGATGGGGCGCCGCAGCCAGTGAAAGCTTCAGCCACACAAGTTCAAATGCAGAAGAGTTTGAATCAGTGACCTCCCAACGTGAACAAGACGACATCATCAACAATCACTGGCTGGAGCATTACGTTTACCCATCTAGGGCACCTAGAAAGCTAGGCCGGACAACCCTCTTACCTTACCTATGATCGAACACGAGTAAGGCCCCTCAATTCTATCGGTTCGACTGTAAGCCGAATGTTTTACCACTCGGTTACGTCCTTGATAGGTCAACCACGATTTGGTGTCAATTTTGAAACAGTTTCTGGCGGAATAAAATATAAACCTAAATTTTTTTTGGTTTTTTCTTTTTTTAAATTTTGGAATTACCTGGTTGTGGCTTGGCGTTGTGTGACGACGCCAAGAGCGAAGCGCTGGCCAGTCACGTAAGCCTATGGCTTATCGTTATCACGTGATAAAATAGCTTGGCATAGTCACGTGGGCACGTGGGCATTCCCCTTGCCGCACCGTCATCGGATCCAATTCGTGGACCATGTGGCCGGGGAGGCACTCTACTCGATATCGACATGATCCATGGATTGGATCCGATGAAATCTCGTGGACCACCTCAGACAAGCCCTTACTGATCGCGCTCGAGATGGTTCGTAACCGAGCGTGAATGGACGAGCCTCGATGTTCACGGATTGGATCCGATGGGTCGTGGTATTTCATCGGATCCAATTTGTGGACCACCTGGGGGCGGGGAGGTGCACACCACCTTTTGCTATTCTGTGCACTCTTTTCGCAACATTGAATCGCCAAAATCTCAACAACGAGTGGTCTGACAATACTGAAACTCTTAACATAGCTGCTATGTAGCCTTTAAAATTGGATCAACCAAAAAATTCGAGTTTTTCTACGTCGCTGTAAGGTAAAGAGAGAAGTGGGAAAAAGTTGCGTTTCGTTCGCTAAATGGTACGACGTACCATTTTTAAAAGGGCGTATCACTACTCCATAATGGCACTTATTTTACCACCATTCCGCAAGCATATATGAGTGATGTGAAAGCTGAAAACATGTTTGCTTACTAGCTGAGCATTTCTGTACACGATATCGTAAAAATACGAGTCTTTTATGCAGTGTTTGTGGCATTCTGCGGGGGTATTGTAGCTGGTGTACAGAATAGCCGCGGCCGATATCTGCTTGGCATTATCACGTGAAGAAGTTGGCTTGGCAATATCGCACCTTGCACCCTTTTCTATTTAAGTCTTGTTAGATAGAACAACAACGCATTCCCTCATCTCTTCTCTAGACTCCACAGTCGATCAATCCTCATCGACTTCGAATACCAAGCTGTGCTGCGAGGGGTGGAGCGGCGTGGTTCAGCGTGGTTTTCGATAATTTTACCCGTTTAAAAGACCCGACTGCAAATCGACCTCCATTTTCGGCCAGTGTACTTGCCAACTAAACGCGCCAATCACTTGCCTGGACTAACGAAGCTCGGGCCACGCCCTTCAACTGGAAGCCCATTCCTAACAAAAGCTTTTCTTCTATTGTTGGTCGTTAAACCTTTTGTCCCTCTGCCTCCACTGCTACACCTCCTTCCTAAGCCTGCTGCTGCTGCGTTTCACTCTGCTTGATACGCCTACGTCCCGCCGTCCTATTAACCGCCATGGACGACCCCAAGCAAGCCAGTCACAGCAAGCTCGCAATCGACGAGATAAACGAATGGGATGCAGACGACCTACTCAAATGGATCGAACAAGAGCGACGAGGACTGCTAGAAGGCGAAGATCTTGAGAAATTTAGAACCGCAAAGATCAACAAGAATATCCTTGTGAATCATGCTGGCGACATGAGGTTCTTCAGAAATGAATGCGAGCTGCCAGTTGGGATTAGCAAGAGTCTCGCGATGCTGGCGAGCGAGGTCGCGAAAGGGAAGACCGCTAGTACGCCCACTGACCACGCTTCTTTACCGTTCTCTTCACACTAATCCATCTTCCATCTCATCGCAGGCCTCGAGACGAGAAAGAGAAAGCATGCACCCGAGATGGCTCCTTCGCCAAAGAGAACCCGAGTCGACAATGGTGGCCTGATAATCAACGGCGAACTGGAGTACTTCCGATCTGGAGCGATGGATTTTCCCGATCTTCTGCAGAGAGAGGGTCAGGCTTACTTCGATCGTACCGGCTACATCTCCAAGTTGGACGAACTCGACGAGTTCATGCTTTTCTGCCGCCCAAGTCGGTTCGGCAAAACACTAACAATAAGGATGCTGAATCATTTCCACGGCCTTCAGTATGCAGATGAACATCGATGGCTGTATAAGGTACGCAACTGTATCCTTAATTACCTTAATGTGAGAACTTACCTCTTTTTCAATCGTTCTAGAGTCTCGATGTGCAAAAAGATATCGATGAAAGAAAAGTGATCCCCGGAAAGTACTTCGTCTTGAAATTCGACTTTTCCATAATCAACGCCAGCCCAGACCTTACGGAGGCGAATAAGGCACTCGTAAAGTCCTTGAACTGGGCCATCGAGGACTTCTATGACCAATATGCTGCATACTTGGGCGGAAACTTTACTGATCTGTGTCAACTTATTGACAGTGAAGACCCCAACTCCAGTCTTGAGAATTGTGCCATGGTAGTTCGAAATGCGATTGAGCAGGACGACCGACTTGCCGGTATTGAAAGGATCTACGTGCTCGTTGATGAGTACGATGCTTTTCCCAACAACTACATCAAACCACCCAAGACCGTCCGAGAACCCGGGGTCGATTGGGATGATACACAAGTCGGACGTACTCTCAAATCTTTCTGGTCTACGATGAAGTCATTGTGCGCAGAGGGGGACATCCGAAGGATTTTCATCACGGGGATCTCACCGCTCTCCTTATCCAGTCTGGGCAGTGCGTTCAATGTGACAAAAAATGTGTCATTCAATAAGAATCTGGCCGGGCTTTGTGGTTTGACATACTCGGACTTGGAAGACGCCCTAAAAGGAATCTACGAAGATCCTGAAGTCTACAACGGTTTTCTTTCAGAAATGACTAAATTTTTCAACGGATATCATTTCTGTAAAGATAAAACGGTCGAAACTGTTTACAACACGGAGACGTGCTTAGCATATCTTCAGTGTCGTATCGACGGAGACACACCAGAGACTCGAGACCCGGAAAACTCCGAAGTATCCGAACAGTTTCTTAGATTATCTGTTGGCGCAGCGCCAGTGATAAGAGACTTGCAAAACGCACTGAAATGGGACGAAAAAGGGAACTTTACGCCTCTCGAATACTTCAATTTCGAATTCGAACTTACGCTTCGAGACATAGTAAGTCAATATCTTAGCCCAGTTCCTCTTTATACTAACTTACATCTCTTCTAGAGTGAGGTTGGAGATGGTTCCTCGTGGCGTTCACTACTCGTCTATTTCGGCGGCCTTACGTTTCACCCTAAAAAGCCGACAACGCAGCTTAAGATACCGAATAGAGTTGCGGCGGATCGTATCGCTCTCGCGATTCTCAAAAAGTATAATCTACACAACTCTCTCGAAGAAGCACTGCTGTACCTCGTTAAGTACGGAGAACTTGAACCAACGTTGAGTTGTTATCGAGAGTTGATGGTGCAACGGGACATCACCGCCGAAGATCTTACCAAAAAGAGTGAAGAACACCATCGAGATAGTGTCTATTTCTGCCTTCTAGGAAGCCGTTTTGCTTCACGGCCAGAGGTCAAAGTGACAAAGGTAAATCCCATTGCTCACGACTAGCTAGATAATATCTAACGTCTCGTGTAGCAAGACGGAACAAACGGTCGCATCGATCTTCTCGTCCAGATTCCCGGACGGCTGATAGTTACCGAATGGAATTTCTATCGAATCGACTACCTGAATATAAATGCTAGCGACAGCATCGCTAAAGCACACGAGCTTCATCAGTACAAACTCAACAGAATCCTTACGCTTGAATTCGCGCCTTGGGACAACCACCACCACGGAACGATTAAGTCTCAGGTTATGGAAAAGGACGGCCCGCAGCTAAGGGATTATATCAGGAGCGCCGATGTGCGGCGACGTGTGAAAGAAGAAAGCCTTGAGTTGCAGGCACACCTTGTCATCGTTGTCGGGTCACGTCATATCTTGTTGTGGGATATAGACGAGGATGGAAACTTGGCTGCCGAGCCTCGTCTCGTATAATATACCTAACAGATCGAAAGTGTAGGATGGTCGAGGGCATTGTCATGGAAAGGTGCCGTCTCCAACGTAGAATGGCAGGAAAGGCGAAGGTATAGGGAGGTTGGACGCTCGAGTCTCACCGGAAGAGCGAAACATCCGGCATTTTACTCTCTAGACATGATTTGTAATGGCTGCTCCTTCGCCTTCCATTGCGACCGTCCCAATAGTACCTCGCAATGCTGCAGCACCGTGGTGAGCGAATGGGCGTGGCCGAGAAATGGACGCTCCCAAGCATGAGGAAGGATGGATCGCGGCGTCGCCGAGTCACGAAGAGTGCATAACCGGCCGTGGCATCGCAATGGCGGCGGGCGCGCGATTACCCCTTCGTGAAAAGCAGGCTTTCTCGTTAGCTCCTAGTTTGTATGTCAAGGCCGTACTATACACGCCGGAAGTGGCAATAGCCAACAGGCCGAGCAGGATTGAAAGAGGCCGCATCTTGATCGTTGCGGGCAGCAGGAAGATCTTCAGAT